GCCGCGAAGCTACCATCTGCTGGATTATGGCTGAACGCCTCTAAGTCAGAATCCATGCTAGAAAGCGATGATTTTTGCCCTGCACATTCTAGTTGGATACGAATAAGGCTCTTTTGAGTCGCTGGACCATAGCAGGCTGGCAATGGTGCGCTTAACGGAAAGGTTTTGTGTGCTTGCCGGCGGATAGCAATGTCATGATGCGCGGGGATAAATCCTTTGCATACGACTTACATGTACAACGGAGTATTGTAAGCAGTAGAGTAGCCTTGTTGTTACGATCTGCTGAGATTAAGCTTCAGTTGTCCGATTTGTGTTTTACACATCTAGGTTATAGTTGGCGGGAGCTGACTAGAATGTAGATGTAGAGAGATGAAGGCGGGTAAGATTGAGTGAGCGTTTTTTTGGTGGTAGTGGTGATGAAGTGTTGTGTTAAGAGAGAATAGTTTTTCGGCATAAAAGTTTGCAGAGTTCTTTGCGAAATTAACCTGGGGGGTAGTATGTACTCCAGTAGCGTTTTATTTTGATCAAAATGAAGTACGACCTTACGATTTTGCTGACATATTATGGCGTTTTAAATGATTTTAAAAAAATAGAAAAGGATTTTAATATTGATTTTACAGAACAATATATTTCAGATTTATTTAGGAATGGATGTGGTCAAAATTTTGAGTTCGCTAAATATATACATGAAAAATATAATTTTAATTCTCATTCTGTTTTTTATTCTTATTTAAATAACGGAAAATTTTCTGAAACATTAAATTATAAATATAATGTTTTGTTTCATACTAAATATCCTGATAAGTTAATTGAATATGAAAAATTACATAATATATTGAGCTTTTATTTTACTTTAAATTATGATGAGATTAATTTTAAAAAATTGAAATTAGATAAAAGATTTGTACCTACTCAACATTATATTAATTTGGGTTATCCTGATTATTATAATAAAAACATTACAGAATATTGTGATGGCGAAAATAATTCAATGGATTTTATACCAGATCGTTTTTTTTATGTATATCCATTAAATTATTATAGTGATTATAATCCATTAAAGGATTTAGATCATAATATACATAATATTGACTGTGAAAATTTATATAATTTTTTGACAGATAGAGAATACTATGGGATAAGTTTTGATAAGTTTGAGGTTAATGATATATTGCATAACACACTTTTGGCTATATATTGTTTTAAGAATAACATGCATATTGATTATTGCATATCAAGATTTATTAATGTTCATCCATCATTAGCTGCAGAATTATATATTAAACATCAACCATTTCTTAGATGTCATTTCACTCCATTTAATGAAAATGTTTTCTATAAATATATATATATTGACGAACGTTTGAAATATTTATTTATATATTATTCTTTTCATTATCATTATTCTTTTAGATATTTACGTTCTTATAATTTCGAATTTTTAGAATATAATTGTTTACAAGCTTCTAAGTTAACTAAGTATAGAAATAAATTTGAAAAATTGTCTGAAAAACTTCAAATTAAAAAAGTTTTTGATATAGATAAACATGAATTCTTAGATCGTCATATTGAACAGTGATTTTACGATTATATATCCAAAATTATTTCACCAGGCTGCATATCTATAGGAATCAACCACTATTATTACTTGGCTTATACTATTGGAAATTGTTGATTAATAATGGTTAATAGTTTATAATGTTTGTGATTAGATATTTATGTAAGATTAGCTAATGAATATATATTGTTATTAGAACTAAAGTTCTCAAATTCAATAAAATCTTCGATCATTGAAGAATTGCATTAAACAGCGCGCTATTTTTTATCTTTCCTCTTAATATGGGAAGTAATACAATTGTTCTTAACCTCGTCATAAATAACATTCATCACCTCGCCAGTGCAAAAGGAACTATGTTGAGAGATTTAAACTATCTACCCGAACCTTCTCTTTCTTAGTGCAACCTTGTTTCAACAAGTTCTCCAAAAATTCTTGCTCTTACACTTTTGAATGTTTTTTCTCAACTTTTTCTCTCTCCTTTATCTGTCACATCTATTTTAAACCCAAAATATTGCTTCTTATAAGTATATACGAGTTCATCTAATTGGAATCCTGACCTTAAGTGATTGATTTCGTCATATATAGCAGGAGCTAGTTTACAGCTCATTCCAAAAGTAATATTCGTGTTTATATCGTTTTGACGGAAATTTAATGAAGATTACAATATTACCCCGACTGTCTCTTATTCAAAATAATATCAAAATACCATCTTTGAGATAACTTAGCGGAATAGAAATTTTCTTTCACTAACACGCCTTCAGCATAAGCTTCTTGTATAATGATAATCCGTATAGTTTATTTATCCACTTTTGAAAAATTCACCCTATATACCTCCTTATATTTGATTTTTTTGTTCTAAAAGTATCTCCAACATTGTCTTGATATTAAAAAGGGCTAATAACCTTATGTGCTGTTTATGAATAGCTTGTTGATCTTCCATATATGTTCTTGTGTTATAAATGTAAAATTGATATTTTGTATTGTTAAATTTCGTTACCTAGTTATTCTAATATTTTATATTTTAATCTATGTGGTAAAACAGATACTATTCTACAATATACATCTTGATTATGCACAATCATAACCTTACAATATTATATTGGGAGTCTATCTGGAGTTTACACTCTTTCAAATTGATTAAAGAATAGAAACGTTTTTTTAAACTAAAAGCTACCGCCCTCTTTTTAAATCCATTATGAATCTTCTACTATGAGGATTTTCAAAGTTTGCGGCTAATCTGTCAAATAAAAAGCTTCACGTCGTGATCTGGAGTCTTAGATCCATAATTGCGATATTACAATATATAATGAACCTGAAAGAGATGAGTCACTTTCATATAGTCATGCGTCCATTATCGAGTCTACAATAATTAGTTCTGTCACAGAACCTCCATTCACCAAGTTTACTCCAGGGATTTGCACTTATAGTGTGTTTTCAGCAAATCTGTATCATATAAAATGCATACACGCATAAGGTAAACTGTGAACATATATACAGAATCAGTCTCCCTGATAAGTTCATTTAATATTAGCCGGTTGAAATGGAGTATACATATGGTAACTATTTTATTTAGGTTACTTTTAATTTATCAATCGCTCTCTTTTATCAACTTCACACAGAAAAATACAAACCTCCTTGAGAAAAGTCGTGCAAATACCAAACCTTAAAATAGAAGTTCAAACAAATATCCATGGGGAAAATCTTGGTTTGCTACCTTTCTCCATTATGCTATGTATGCTATATACTACCAATAAAAAAAAATAAGATATGAGATGAATATGCAAACATGCCCATTTCATAATGAATTATAATAATTAAACAAGATTTATACTGTTGAAGTCCCCAATTCTATGTGGAATAGATGTGCATCACAACTCGTTAATTCATGTAATTCCAAAAGCAAATCTATTAATTTCGATTATAATAACTGCAACAAGAAAGGAACAAATTTAATTAAGGACAGAGTGGAAAGATGAGACTCAGAATTCTTTTTAATTATCAATGCTGTACTAGTAGGATCTTTTCGCAGAAGCGATGTCGAACTACTTGTTTTAGATGATGTTTTAGAACTTGTGGTTGATGATGTTTTGGAAGTTGTGGTCTTTAAAGTGGTTTTCGAAACGGTCTTTGAAGTAGTCTTGGAAATGGTTTTTGAAGTTGTTGTTTGCAGTTTACTAAAATCAACTTTATGTTTTATTGGATCTGGCTCTTTAACAATCAAAGACATAATTGTTTCTAAAGCTGAAACTTGTTCCCCTAATCCATAAACTCCATCCCATTTTCCCTTAGACCAATCCATTCCACAAGAGATTCCATCAGAACCTCCTGAACAGGAAGCTGCCGCTCCTGCAGCAGACTTTTTCAAATAGGGCATGATCTTGGACCTCGTTTCAGGCATAACTAAAGAAGTCAATACAAGACCTCGTGCAAATAATGACCGGAAAGACCGTTGATCATTGTTGCAATTATCTTTATCAACACATGTTGTTTCCTGCATGATCTTGTTGTGGAAGAAGAAACTAAGTGATGCATCCAATATTTCCTTTGTTCTATTTTTCCATACTTCGTCTTCGGTGATGTTGTACATGTATGCACTTCCTGATAAAACAATTCCATAGTTATAGGACCATCTCAAAACAGTGATCTTTCTGCAATCATCTTCAATTTCTGCACCATCGAAAAGCCAGAAATTTCCCTTGGTATCCTCGCCAAGGAAACCAACATCATCCATCCATTTCCATACCTTGTTGGCAATGTCAAAGTAAGTTCTGTTTCCAGTTATTCTGGCCAATCGAGCGGCAATGTGGAAAAGGCTACCATTGGAAATTGTATTTTTGTAATTGTACCCGTTGTTCCATTTATAAATTTGCCATCTTAATCCTCCTCCACAATGTTTGGTATCCCATCTACCGTTCATACTGTTGAATAAATTTTCAGTTAATTTTAACCAGGTATGACCTTTTGGATTAGTGAAGTTTCTTTCAACAGCTTCCAAGAGTGCCATTCCCCAAACACCTTGATCATCATTACCTTCGGTTTTTGTTTGGTTCAATGGGACGAAATCGAAATGATCTCCAACCTGCAGATACATTCCATCAAAAATATCTTTCTTCAATGTTTCATTCTTTGGATCACAGAATTTGTAGTAGTCAAGAAGTCCACCAAAAGTTTGGCCTGAATTCCACCAGTAATTTGGTGGTATGAACATTCCGATTACTCCTCCGTACTTGAATCCATCATAGTAGTTCCAAGCACCATCTGCAGCTAATTTTGCCGCGTGACAGATACTATCATGGGAATTGATGTCCAAATCATAGGCGGAAATAAGCAATGGTGTGAATAGTGTGAGAATAACAGTGATTATATGTGAGTGTTGTACCATCATGGCTTACACTATTTCTATTAATTGAGTAGATATTTTATAAGTATATAGCAACGGCTAGGAACAAATTAAAAAAAGGGGGGGGAAATTGAGCCCTTATTTATCCTTGCTTTATATCATAGTTGTCATTTTGAGGGAGCAATTTTGTAAAATACATTTCTATTAGTTTGAAATCGGGCTTTGCCAGCCTAAGTTAGCCAAGTGTAATTATTCTATGTTACCGATTGTTGGGTGATGAAATAAGAGTAAGATAAATCGCTGACGCATACAGAAAAATATTCTTAAATTATACTAAGCCATTTTTTTCTTGGCAGCGGGGGGTGTATGTATGTTTAGATTTAGCACTACTGTTGACACTCAAGATTTCTAGTAACATAAACCATTTACAATTTGGAGTTTGCTAAGTAGCAATTAAACCTGATGATTATTACCTTGTCAGAACCATCCGGAGCTTGATGATATGTATGAGAGAGGTTATTTTTATCGTTAATGTGAAGATAGAAAAGGGGAGAGATCTGTAACCATCTTGGCATGACACTCCCTAAAAATAGGTATCTAGAGCACTGGAATTCGTATTGCATCAAGGGATACTATGTTGATATTTGCTGACAAGCAAACATCCGATGCCAGCTTAAGGTTTAACTTTAACTTTATTTCTTTTTCTTTTTGTTTGTTAACGCAACCAAATTTTTTGTTTGTGTTGACAGGTTATAAAAATAGCAAAGTGCGAAGTGGAACTTCTAATTTTATCGTTGAAATGACAAAAGTCATCCGCCTGGTTTCCCACGTTTCAAATGTCATTTATCATTTTGATGCCATGAGGACGTTTAATTAAGATGATTCAGTTTGATAGGACCGTGAATGTAAACCTGGCAATCAATTACGATCGTACCGAAGGTGCCGAGAACTAAACTAGACAAGGAAAACCAAACTGTATTCCTAAATCAATGTGTATATTTTTCGTTGTATACTTTTTTTATGTTGATAAAAATAGTATCCTAATACCCTCCCACCCCCTCTTTGTTACTCTGGTCTGATCATTCATCCCTTTAAATTAATATGGTACGTTCGGAATATTTTTCGCAGTTGCACATGTTGAGTGATATGACATTAAACTTTCGAGGCGATTTACAACGCTTTTTTTTTCCTAAAAAATATGTGACGTCATGATTGTTAAATGGGCAATCTTTGCAGAAGTTTGCGAGATATTATATTTTCCGAAGCAGAAGTTCCGATCTATACCCGGACTACATCAAATTGTTATATGACAATGTGAGAATCATTACAAAACTGTGGAGAAGTTTATTTTTGCTGTCACTACATTGACGCTAAATGTTTCTACTGAACAAAAAAAAAAGTCAGAGAAGTGATTCGATGAATTTGAAAGTTCGTATGACTTCGATTACCATTAAGTATATGAGCAAGACATACGATTTCTTAATTACATGCATCGTATAGCCCACATGTTAAAGTCTGCCAACTCAATTTAGTATCTAAAAAAAACATTTTGTAATGACCAATGCATCTCCATGCAAGGTACATGGCAAGCGACATGTACGACAAAGTGTTTTTCTGTAATACATGTTGCTGGCTTTCCAAGTCTATAAAATAAACAGTAGGTGATATTTTCTTGGTAGTCACTTGCGAATCATTTGTTTTTTTTTTTGCAACCATAAATTATTATGCATGTGCTTTGTCTTATCTTTACATGATACTGCATTACCTTTCATTATTACAATGGAAATCAGAGTCAAGAAAATGATACTGAAAAACTTTTTTTTGCAGGAAAAATTATGCTATTAATACAACATCTATACAATTACATGCTATTCTTACTATATTAATCCACTCAAGGTAAGTCTTTCCAAGAATGGCGACAAGTCATCTTTTCTAATTTCAATAACCGAGCTATCAAAGCTGTCAATTCTAATCTTTGCCCCTGAGGTATTGGAAAGTTGTTGGAAAGCTACACTAAAGGTGTTGAGTCTGGTCATCTGGGTTTCTCCATTCTCATCTCTTGCTTGTTCCTGGGCTAATTTAGCCCTGGTTGCATTATTCATCCCTCGAGGATATTTCGGAGCGATCCCCATTACTAAGTAACTGTCACTATCAACATCCAAACTAGCAAGGATTAAAGGTTTCAAAGTATGGCTTTCATTGGTGAAATCCAATTCAGTTAAATTTTCTGCAACCCATGATCCAAGTTTTGAAAGCATTAATGGATTGTTGAATATATGCAAATCGGGAATTGAACCATCATTCAAGACACAAAATCGGTATAACTTAAGGTTTTTAATTAACTTCCGTTCAAGAAGAGACATTCCAGTTCTGAAAATAACTTGTTGGATTTGCTTAGCATGTTCAAGACCTTGGAAAAGAAGTTCAAATCCTTTAGGTTTTTTGAATGATGTTTTTTGAGTAGTGGCTCCAATTTGGAGAGTATTTCCCATATTTAATGCGTCCCAGGCTGACCAGAAATTGTTGACCCATACTTTTTCTTTCTTTTGGAGTTGTTTTTCAATTCGTTCTTCTTCATCGTGAGCTTCTTCTTCCTCTTCTGCATCTGGATCTTGTTCGTTTTCATTGGCTTGTGTATCCATCCCATTGGAGGTTAGGAACCTCTTATCAAGCTCAAGCAATGCTGTCAATGCTTCAACGCATTCCATGGCTGATAATTGCCCTGTAAAACCAAAAGTTCGAATAAACCCTTGTCTGACAATACCTTCAAGCCCATACAATGGAAGATAATGATGAAAGATTCCTGGTAATTGTCGCTTAACTCGAGAGTCCATGTACATCCACTTTTGTTGCGCTACCGCTAATGATACTCCCATTTTGGCAAACATTTTATGTAATTTCTTCTTTCCATCCTCAGTCCATAAATTTAATTTGGAATTAACTTGACTTGAATAAAAGAAGGAATCATACAAGGTCCAATGTCGTAGTAAGAAAAGGTGATAATCTTTTTCTATGCTAAGTGAAGTTGAATCAGCAGTCTTGGTGGAGCCACTTACTGAAGCTGGTTCATTGGAAGGGTTGATTCTGAGGACTTCATCTCTAAGCAAGGGATGCAACTTGTCGTAAAGTTCGGGAAATTGATTGTCTAATGATGATGTACCAATAATGGAGAGCCATAAATTTTCAAGACTTGTTTCTCCAATCGCTGATAATAATGCATAGATGGTTATTGAGTTTGCGGTGATGATAGCGGTACCTTGGTTGTAGTATTGTTGGATCTTATCTTGATTCTCTGATTTTTCTCGCTTGCGTTGCTTTTTGATCTTTTTCATTTTAATTTCCTGTAATTTTCGTTTGCGTGATACTGTATCATCAGAATCTTGTGAATTTATAATAAGCTCTTCATCGGATTGTTCATCCACGTCGGTATCTCCTTCAAATTCATCATCATCTTCATCAGTCATATCCAGTTCAGATTCTTCTTCATCTTCTTCTTCACCTTGTAATTGATCCATCAAATTAGTATAAGCAAGCTTTTCAGTTTTTAGGTTTGCATCAATGAAACCATCATCAAAACAAACAATCATGGCTGATCCGAATAAATTGTCTAAATTCCACGGCCTATGCCCGTCCATAACGTATATCTTCCTCTTCATGGGAATTGCAGTATCTTTTTTTAAATCAAGATCTAAATCATTGGTGACTTGTTCTTGTCTCTCTTCTACAAACTCTTCTGGGTTCAATTCAAAGAACCCTTCCAAGTCTAGCATTGCACCACATCCAATAAGGAAAATATTGCTGACATCGCTATCCAACTTGGCATAATGTGACTTCAAGTCAGAGTATCCCACTACTGGTATCAATTGGTACTGAATCAATTCCTTTCTGAGGACAAGGCTGAGAATCTTGGCGGCACATAACGAATCTATGTCCAAACAAGAAACAAAAATCACGAGCTTGCAAGTGGAATGAGAAAGTGACGTCCTTTTGATTTCTTGGAAGGCTCGTGAGTATTGAGGTGGGTTGATGTACATTATTCAAGTTCTTTCCTCCCCCTTCTTGAAATGCTATCGTCTATGTATGGTGGTCTATCAAAGTCAATCTAAAATTTGATGTGTTTACAAAAAAAAATATACTTAACGCGTACAAATGTCAAAGTCGCCCAAAAAAAAAACGATGTGTGAAATTTACCAATTTACACGCGTTAGAAAATCCGTCATGTGATGAGTAGTCAGATGACTTATTTGCACGTGCATATAGATCTGTGCCACAAACCATGCCATTTTTTCAAAAAAATTACGGGCGTGTGGCGTAGTTGGTAGCGCGTTTGCCTTGCAAGCAAAAGGTCACTGGTTCGATTCCTGTCTCGTCCATAATTTTTTTGTTTTTGTTGATTTTAACAGGTTGGCTATAACAGGGGATTAAAGAATCCAATAATTCATGCTAGTTTTTGGCATAATTTTTGTTTGTAGTATTGTTGAGATTATGTGCTACTTAATACACCAGTTTTTCATTTCTCTTTTTTGGATGTGTCACGGTTTTGCAGACATTCTCCAAAAATATATGAGATTAAGTGTGCATAGAAATATCCATGCCTAATTAGAAGTTATACTGTATTTCGGTCCGGAAATAAACAAAAATCCTATAAAAAGTCGGCAACAATTATTTAGTACATATCGCTAATAATTACCTATCTGCTTTAGACATCCCCCAACTATTCTACAATCAGCTGATAGGCTAAGATATATTGTTAGAGCTAACAAATGACCAAGTGGGAAACAATGTATCCGCATCTCTATCAACACCTTACCCCTCCTTTTTGCTAACCCTGCAGTCAAATACGAAAACTCTAAATTGACACATAGCAACAATAAACCCAACCAGCCACCGCATAATATCGTAAACACGGCTAAAGCAATAACAATAGCGGTGTTCGTTAGAATGTGCCCCAGAAATAGAAGTAAAATCGAAAGGGGGAGGATTGGGGGAATGCAGTGGGGTTCGTGGGGGATTCTTATATTGCTTTGCCACTAGGAAACATGTCTGTTAACTATGGGAACTCCCCCAAAATTGGTGGATCCCCCACGGCAAGATTATATGTGAATGGGGGATATTGGGGGAATTGCCTGGAGTGGGGGATCCACCAATTTAGTACTGCGCGCCTAACAAAATTTCTTTTCCTACTGCAAAAGCGGTAGTTTTCCTGGTGGGGGCACTACCCAATTGGTATTGTTCCCCGATGGATCTGTGACAAAATCGAAAAGAAATATTCTCAACCTGGTGGAGAACAATGACGAACATTTTATTAATTTTGGAGTAAATTTTCCGAAGTGGTGTTTCGAGTATGGCTAGTCGGAGGATCAGGATAATTTAAAAAAAATAAGTTATTGTTATTTGTATCTGGGGTACGGGGTGCCGATTGCAATATAAATAGATAAAGATCTGCTAGTGGTTTACGTTTGGTTTTGGTTTTTTTTTTTGCATACATCATCACAAAGCAACTATAATGAGTAGTGACAAAGGTTCACCTTCAGTACTGTTAAGAGAACATGATTCTATCATGACCACCACATCAGCTAATTCCGAACAACCACGCAAGAGTTGGTTCAGGTTCAAAAACCTTTTCGAAAAGATCGAAGACAGACCAACCCCTCCTCAAGTTTACAACTATAGAGTTTATATGACTGCATTGATGGCTTCTGCCGCTGCCATTATCATCGGGTATGATGGTGGGTTCATCGGTGGTACTGTTGCCCTTGACTCTTTCCAAGAAGAGTTTGGTTTGGACAATTCTCCACATTCCAAGTACATTATTTCCAACGTTATTTCAGTTTTCCATGCCGGTTGTTTCTTTGGGGCTTTGTTCAGTTACCCATTCTCATTTTACTTGGGTAGACGTATTCCTTTGATTATTGCTGCCGCCTTGATCACCATCGGTTCTGGTATCATGTTGGCTGCCAGTAGTAGTGTTGGGTTGGCTCCAATTTACGTTGGAAGAGTTCTTGCCGGTATTTCCGTTGGGTTTTCTACCAATTTAACTGTGGTTTACATCAGTGAAGTCGCACCACCTGCAATCAGAGGTCAATTAACCAGTAGTTATGAAATCGGTTGGAGAGTTGGTGATTTAGTCGGGTTCTGGATTAACTATGCCGTTGATTCTCACATCCCTCTGAGCAAGAAACAATGGTTTATTCCCTTTGCTATTCAAATGATTCCAAGTGGGTTGTTCTTACTCGGAAGTATCTTTATGAAGGAATCTCCTAGATGGTTATTCCAAGTTGGCAGATATGATGAAGCCATCAAGAACTTGACCTGGTTCAGACAATTACCAGAAGATGACGAATATATTATCTATGAAGTTAACCAAGTTAAAGAATCCATTGAATTACAAAAGCAAAAGGTCGGATTGGGTATCATGGACCCATTCTTTGAAGTGTTTTTCCACAACAAAAAAGTGCTTTACAGATTGCTCATCACCGCTCTGTTATTCCTTTTCCAAAATTTCTTGGGTATTCAATCCATCAACTACTATTCTCCAATTTTGTTCCAAGGTTTAGGTGTCAAGGGTACTAATGCTGCCTTATTCTCCACTGGTATGTTTGGGGTTGTCAAATTCGTGTGTACCTTCATTTATATTATTTTTGTTGTTGACACTATTGGTCGTCGTAAAGCTTTCATGGCTTCTGCCGCTGTCTGCTCCATTTGTTTCTGGTATATTGGAGCCTATCTTTGTGTCAATGATCCTACCCAGCCTGGTGTCAGCCCTGGTCCAGGAGGTAAAGGTGCTGTGGCCATGATGTATATCTGGATTGCCTCCTTTATTTTGGCCTGGTCTGGAGGTCCATTCGTCGTTGGTGGTGAAGTATTTGACCAAAACATCCGTTCGTTTGTGCAAGCCATCAATGCTGCTATTTCATGGGTACCAATTTTCATCATGTCGAGATTCACTAATAATATGATTGCTGCTATGAAGTTTGGGATTTACTTTTTCTTTGCTAGTTTGGCCTTACTTGCTGTTCCATTCGTATACTTCTTCCTTCCTGAAACCAGAGGTATTGCTTTGGAAGACATGGACAGATTGTTTGACCGTGAATTACCAGCTAGAAATGCCCATTCAATTGTGCTTAACAGGGTTAGACATGAAACCGACGAAGCATTCCATGACAAGGGCTTATTTAAGGCTGATATGACCAAGCCTAATGCTCAAAATGTTGAAGACATAAACAAGGATATTGTATAAATAGGAGTATATAGACACGGAGACCTGGTTGTTTCCTAATTGAAGATTTAAATTAAGACTGTTATTGTGTTGTAGGATTTAAAAGTTATGTTTCCCAATTAAGGGTTTTTTACTATTATTAGAAAGTCATATAGAAGTCCCATTTATCGGAGCTCGGATCGCGCAATTTGCAAGCCACGAAGTCGAGTGGCTGCTTTCATTGTCTATGGATTAGTCAGGTAATTTCTAATCTAGGAAAATGCAACGGATGTGGCTTCCCTGTTGAATGACTAGCTGCTGGGTCTCATGTTATTGTTTTTGCGATTACTCATCCAATATAGACAATAACTGTGGAACTATAAGCGCAAATTACACCGTTGTATATGTGACACAAAACCAAAGTAGGAAAGGGCGCAAACAATAGTGCTTAGAAATCAGAAACTGGGACCAAAAAAAAAAATAGCATAGTACCAGTGCTTGAACAGTATACTGTTTGATATCACATAGTTTTTCTATTCACCACTGTTTGAGTATAACTCTTACATGTGTGTATCTAAGTGTACCAAAAGTAAATAGCTGACCGGTCGAAGAAATCTTGAAATCCAAGATCTCATATCTACAGTTGGCCAAGCAGATCCCAGTTACGAAATTATTTTTTTTTTGTGTCATTAGTCATCCTTGTGATCAAATAAACACCCCCGTTCTCCACTTTTAACGAGCCATGTGTATGTGAAGTAATAATCCAGAAACATCTAAAATTTTCTATACTTGTATCATTACTAATTCTGGTATCTCTGAGGGGTCTATAAAAAGGGGATAGTATTCCCTAGAGTCTGTGACAGTACTATATTAAATTACTATCAATTAATTATCAACTTAGATATCATTTAATAATGACTGCCTCTTTAAAAAAGACTGATTCTGCCAACGTGTCAATAATTTCCACCCAATCGTCAATTAGCTCAATAAAATCCAAGACAAAGAGTATAATCGGAAAGTTCAAGGGGAAAAGAAAGGAATCGACCCATTTGGGAACTATCGTTGAATACTTGGCCATCAGGTAAAGAAGATGCGAATTTACTTTGGCTAGATTTAGAGAGAACCCCCTGATCGTCAATGCAAGCTGCTGCTTCCTTGCGTGGGTTCTTTGCTTCTAAGCCACGTCAAAGAAAGGCGTGGAAGATGCAGAATCATGGATTCAGTGACGACCTAAAGTTTTAGATCCACTACTGGATAGTTGGTATTTGCCTATGTTTTAATAGCTTTGTTTGTAATGTTAATAATGTATAAGCCTTAACGCGTTAAATACAAAATTTTCGCGCCTTCGGTGTTAAAAAAAAAAACTGTAGGGAATTCTCAAGTGATCGGTTGTATTTTTTTTCTATCCGTCACTAACCACTTTCGTCACAGTTTACATACGCCTCTGGGCTCTGCATGGCAGTAACTAGACGAATCACCTGGACAGCCTCGCGTGACAGGCTTGTTCCTGCCTCCACACGATCCCATTTTAGCCGCAAACTTGATTCCAAAAAAAATATTAGCTGATTCGGTGCCGACGTTGCCGTAATTGAAGCAAGGAAAAAAAAATAATTGACCCGTAACTGAGGTATTTTATTGCCGGAAGGAAGAAGGAGATCATGTCTATTATTAAACCCATGAAATTCTACCCATTTTGACCTGTCAACCAAAGACAAGCTTTTTTTTTTAGTTCATATCACAATAATGTCTTTTGATCAACCCCAGATGCCGGAATTGCTCCTGCCCCAACACAGCATTGATCCGGAAAAGTTTCTAATCGATGACTTGCATAACAGCAACATATATTTGGATCCCCAGGATATCCTGGACGACAGTGATGAACAAGAACCACCATCGCCATACCATCCAGATGAAGATGACCATACCCCGTTATCACGACAGATGTCGGGCATGTCCACCACCGAAGCCGCCTCCATAGTGGGTGGTAAATCCATCGAGACCGTATACAAGGAGCAACATCAAGCGGATGCAAGCCACCCCATAGCCAACAACATGAAAGCCAGTTCAGAACAAAGGTTTAAAGCGCTGGATTCGACTTTTGAAGATGACAATATTAAAAAGTATGATACATCGCAAAAAGTGTTTTCCTTCTCGCTCCCACTTGGTGGATTGTCTAATCTAACTACAAGCTTATTCAAACCATTCCAGAGCTTAAAGTTGGATTTGCACAATGACGAAAGGGCAAACTTGGAGCGAGAGATTGAATTGAAGTTGGCCCGACAGCAGAGTATAAGCACGGTTGATGAAGCTAAATATTTTCGTGATTTCAAGGGGACCGATCGTGGCCGGTTCCGGGCAGTTAAGCTGTCACTTACCAATAATTTGAATGAGATCCTTCCTGATTTCATCAAACGTGAGGAGCAAGAACCGTGGGAAAGCATATATGATCGTATCGAGGGAAATATTGTCATCATGGGTGGATACAGAGGTAGTATTTTGCGGGATGCCAAGACCAAAAAACGATTATGGATCCCGCTCAAGGCTGGATTCAACCTACGCAAGATTGATTTGCTATTAGGTCCCAACAAATCCGATGAATTGGAAGCGGAGAAGAAGATATACCCTGATGGAATGTTGACAAATATTGGACCAATTGACATTTCCAAGAAATTAATCAAGAAGTTACAAGCAAATCCCAAAGTCAACCTCAAAGAGTTTGGTTATGATTGGCGTTTAGGTGGAGATTACGTGTCCAAGAAACTAGAAGAGTTTCTTCAAAAGATCTACGATGAAACAGGGAAACCCACACTTGTCATTGCCCATTCAATGGGAGGACTAATGGTAACGGGTACTGTACAAAGAAACCCCAAACTATTCCGATCGGTGATATACGTTGGCTCTCCTAGTGAATGTTTGAATATCCTTGGTCCTATCCGATTTGGGGATTCAGTTATGTTTTCTGATAAGATCCTCACCTACGAAACCAATTTCATGATGCGATCAAGCTTTATTTTCTTGCCATTATCAGGAAATGTTTTCTACAATAAAGAAACCAAAGAGCCCTACAATATAGATTACTTCAACGCCGACAATTGGGTCGAGTACAATTTAAACCCCCTTGTTGCCAAATCACGGAAAATCGCCGAAGAAATGGGAAGTATGAAACGAACTTCCTCCAATGACTCCTCGCTTTTCTTCCCGGCCATTAACCAGATTGGAATACGACTCAATAGAATGTATCGATCCAAAACCACTTCAACATTTCTCCATACTGGAGAACTAAACTCCACGCCCATTGCAATATCACACTCTCAATCCACGGAAAACACCGTCAAGTATTCCTTCACATTCTCGGAGGCGTACGAGTATCTCAAGCGAACCCTAGCTGAGACCAAAGAATACCTTCTTTCGCTTGATTATCGACCCGAACTAGCAGCAGAATACCCACCCATGGCCATAGTCTATGGGAACTCCATCCCATCTGTGCGTGGGTCGTCCGTACGTAGCCGCCAGGATATAAAGGATGGAAACTACTACGAGTTCTTTTACGGACACGGTGATGGAGTAGTGCATCAGCGCTGGCTTATGCCGGAACGCAAGGGGTTTGCCCATTATGATCCAGCTACAGGTGAGGGAGAAATCGTGGGCAAGTTTGCTAGTCCTGCAGGGCATGTCAATTTGATGACTGATTTCAAAGCCATGGGACAAGCTCTAGATGCGGTATTTGAGGCGGAAAAGGTGTGGGCAATCAAAAAATTGAGACTGAGGCGAGTGATGAAGGAGGAGTATTTGAATTATGTGTAATTTAGTGTATATATATATATATATATATATTAATAGATCAATAGAAGTTGCATTATTACTAATCTGTAGCCACAATTTGCAGCAATTTTTTTTTTTTCGGAGTGAAGCACCGAAAGATCTCGGAAATTGAGGGGGGGGAAGGTGGGGACAACTTCGGAAATGCGAATAATTCATATATTTAATGCATTTCCGTCGGCTCTTCACTCCCCACTTGTCGGCTCAATAACTTGCAGGTAGAGGTCTAGATCTTGAAGTTAGCTCCGTTTTAGCCCCGCCTGCATGTTTTTACATTAACAACTCAAACATAAATAAATCATATTAACTATATACTATCTAAAGCTTTAAACAGCCAATCTTGGTTGAACAAATCTCTTCTTGTCATGGCCCTTAACATCCTTCTCTGGCAAAACCACGTCATTTTGAGGCAACATGAATTCTTTAAAGTACCCATCAACAGCATTCAAACCATCAGTACTGAACTCGGTAACTAAAGCAACATGGGAATCAGGTCTAGCGACAATAATAGCACCTTTCTTCTTGTCAATACCATAACTTTCATAAGCATCAATATCACCTTCGTGATAAGTATTACCGATACCAGTGTACAATTTCCAGTAGTCACAGCGGCCCTTGTAGTCCTTTGGTCGGGTGAATTGAGGGAAGTCGTAGAATTCTACGTTGTAGCGACATGAACCATGAATGGTGATAATATCAATCACAGAATCGCTGAAGGCATTGACTGGAGTGAATTTCTTAGCGAAATTATCTTTAGAATCAATGAATGGTTGGAACTTGTGTAAGGTTTCCATGTTTTCAGGATGTGTACTGACATCACCAGGGAAGATCAAGACTCGGAAACGACCATCGGAAGCAAGACGGTCAGCAACATGCACTGGTCTAGCATCAGCTTGAGAAATAATGACCTCGCTGTATAATCTTCTACCAATTGGTACCTTAGAAGCTAATGGGTGCATAGTGCATCCATTGTCATCTGGTGCATTGGCACCTTCTTTCTTTACCAACACGGAATCTTCATAATCAACAATAGTTCCAGAGGCAAACTTGTTACCTTCAATGTAAACTTGATGGAATTCGTCCATATCAGCACCATCCAATACATCAGCGTTAGGAATCATGGGTTTGGAACTAAACAATCTCGAAAACTTGTGGTCAAAGGCAATCAAGTCACGAGCTACCTTCAATCTTTCCGATTCGTAAGTGGACAAGATGTCTTGTTTAGCCAACCCTTTACAAACCAAAGCTAACTTGAACCCAAGATTGTATGTATCTTGCATGGAAACATTCATACCTTGACCGGCTTTTGGAGAATGGGTGTGACAAGCATCACCAGCAATGAAAACACGGTTGTGTCTGCTGAAATTTGGGCTGACTCTTTGACCAATTTGATAACCAGTAAACCAATCCAAATCAGTCATTTCAAGAGTGTATGGTTGCAAAATCTCTTGAGCTTGCTTTAAAATAAGCTCGGGAGTGATCTTGGAACGGTCAATTCTACCTTTAGTCTTGGCTTTCTTGTCATCGACATTACCGGAGAATTCTCTCGATTCAGTCTTGGTATTTGGATCACGTTCAACTTCCTTCAATTGGATGTAAAATCTGACCAAGTCATTTTCTCTAGGGATAACCATGACAGAACCAGATTCTTTGGAGTGAATAGCACATCTGCTTCTGATATCGGGGAAATTGGTGATTGGAACCATATCCAAGACCCCCCAAACGAAATCAGTTTGTTCACCTTCCATGTCGATACCCAACTGTTTTCTGACCCAACTGTGAGCACCATCTGCCCCTAAAACATATTTGGCATGAACAACTTCAAAATCTTCAATGTTGATGGAAGCATCGTTTTCAATGTCGGTTTTCAAGTTGGCATAAAACTTGTCTTGATCACCATCAAATTGTCTGTAAAGACCATTTTCAACTTTGGAACCAAACTGTTCTGGATCGGACAAGTCATCGTTCTTGATGTTCTTGATGAGGACTTCCACAGCATAAGCATCTTGTTTGTCGGCTTCTTCTTCGTTGATCTTGATTGAGATTGGCAAGTATGGTCTTTCAACGTCAACTTTCCCCTCAGAGAAGTTTTTGATGGATTCACCAAACCAATGTTCAATATTACCTTGATGAAGAACACATTGAGTGAAACGAGAAATACCAGGAATAGTATCAGGAACTCTAGAGTTTCTCTCCAATTCACCTTTTTCATTAGGACTCCAGAAACACATTTCAATCATGTGGTTAGCGACTTTCCAGGCATTGTCCAAAGTAGTGAAGTCAAAAGCACTTTCGGAAAAGGACTTGAAAATTTCTAAGGAACGACATTGTAAACCATCAGCTTGACCTGAGAAGATTTTGGTGTCTCTCTTGTCGATAATCCTGAAGGGGATACCACATCTGGCTAACCAGGTGGCACACATTAAACCAGCAGGGCCAGCCCCAATGATTAACACGTCGGTATTAGAGTGTTTGATTTTCTTGGCAGTAGTCATAGTTAAATAAATAGGAAGTGGTGATTAGATAGAAAGATAGGTTGAAGAAAATCAGGATTTAAGCAGATATTTATATCTCCTCGGAGCTTTACCCCATCATTATGATGAGAATCTCGGAAAAAGCATCAATTCAATATTGTATGTGTATTCACAACGTCGGTTTGTTCAGAATCGGATTTTCCATGTGGGGTAATTTGATTTCCGCAGTGATAAAAAAAAAAACATGGACATGGAATTTGAACAATACATGTCCGGAAATACCAATAATACCACTTGGAAATAATCACAAAATGTGTCTACTCTAAGCCATTAAGTGCAACATAGTAATTTCAGCGGAGGCGTCGGTATATACTGCATATTCTTGCATATTCCGAAATTAATCTGGGGAAATGGACTTTGGTTAGTTCCTGGTTCATAACATCGATCAAAAAAAAAAACACTCAAATCAAGCAACCTTGTATTTTGAACAATATCAACCACTAGCACACATTCAATAGCTAATGTTTCCCAATTGGTAATATCCGCAATTTTATAAAAATAAACGATACGGCGCAATTTTTTGCGAGTACCTTCTCCACCTTTTGCATTTACTCCGAAAACAACAAAGAGATGCGTTCAGAATAGATACAGGTTTTCTGTCAACCATACATTAAATTTACGGAATTTTGTATATACTTCTTCTAAATTTGGATCGCGGATATACGTTTCTAGTTGCCTCCTATCTCTTTTGTAATCGTTGCGGATATCTCCCAATCGTATCTCATTCCTAATTAGTTATTCTCTTCAATGATTTCCGCGGAATGGTAAAGTTCAGCATTAATTTCTCCAATATATGCCCTATCGCCGAATCCACCAACCATGTAAACCCCATCAACAACTAGCTTAGTCCAGTGAGATTTGTGAGGGGTAACTATATTGTTTGGCAACCATACTGCAGCATCAGGGTGCTTGGCAAGGAAACACCTTTCCAAAGCAACTTTCTTTGGGTCAAACGGATTAGTGAAAGTAATTTTCTGCAATCTACCAGTCAATTGAACTCTAGGTGATCCGGCTGGTGATGCTGGAATACTTCCAGGATACAGTTCGTCAACTTTTTCCGTGTTTGGATGATCCCCCACTCTAATAGTAAAGGAATAATCGGACCCCCTAATTATATTTTGGTTAGTACCGCCAACATCGATTGCTAACCAGTAGGGGTCACCATCAGAATCACAATCAGCATAGTATTCCATGGAAGATACAGGAAGATGTCTTACTGATCCATCCAATTGTTTGATTGTTTTAATGGTATTGATGTTGGTAAGTGACTCCCTGTTCACCAAGGTTCTAGCAACTCTAGCACCTTCGTCAACTGTGGGTATATCTTTCAAAATAACTTGCTCATCTGCAAGAGGAGCACCTAAGGTACCGATTGATAGGACTGATAATGAAAGTAATGATGATAATCTCATGGTTGTTGCACTTATCCGTTATCGGTGATTGTGTAATTGAAGTCTTTGTCTTATTTTTTTTTTTTTTTGAGGGGCACAATTTTTATCTCGGGGATCTAGAACTTTTCACAGTCAGATTCGTGCTACAGAACACCGCAAAAAAAATGCAAAAGTTTAACTATTCATAATTTATGCTAAATCGAAAATCCCTTGGCTTGAAGATTGATTTCATGTAACTGTAATAACGAACTAAGCCAAGATTGAATTGTCACAGAAGTTGAATGATTGGAAAAACTTGTATCTACTTGCTAAGATATATCGCGAAAACTACCCGGGTTGTTTCTTCTATAGAGCTACTTCCTATATTTTCTTTGATTATACCAATCTGGCTAGATATATACTACAAGCAATAAAGAACCATTCTGTTTACTTTGCATTTCCTTTTTTCGATCTTGGTACTTGCTCCCCCCCTTCCCCCCTATTCAATATTTCATCTCATCTTTAAAAATAAAAAATTCAAAGAGTTTTTGCGGTTCTACCTAGTTTAACTTTTCATCACAAAAACTACCTATTAATGTTCAAAAATTAAAAAGAAATGCGCAAACCCGGAATCGAACCGGGGGCCCAACGATGGCAACGTTGGATTTTACCACTAAACCATTTGCGCTCAGGGAAATGCTCCGAGACGGGGAATTGAACCCCGGTCTACCATGCGACAAACGGTAATTCTAGCCACTAAACTATCTCGGACGCTTTTTTTTTGAAATTTTTACCCACTTCAAGCAATAAAACTTTTATCATGTGTCTCTCCCAATAGTTAAGTTTTGAAATTACAAGACCAAAAGATAATTGCAAACTTTATCAACTAGACAATATGGGACTTCAACAAGATACAAGTCCTTACTTTCTTAATATGTGTTATTTAAAGTAAATTCACAGTATATATCTACTCTCCTCCTTTATATTTGTGTTGATATTGTTTGTTGAAGTATTGAAATTTTTCAGTTCTGGAGAAAATAATGTTTTTATCAATTTTAATCCAAAAACTGCAAATTTTTATTGAAATGTGGATTTAGTAAAAAAACTCAATTGCCATATTTTTCATATCAAAGTCATCACCATGATATCATTTTTACATGAATTTAAATGATAATATACTAGAGTTTTCAATTCAAAATGTATTTAATAGTCATGTACGTAATAAAACCCTGACAATTTCTCTACCAAGATGTAGAACACCTCAAGATTGAACTACAAAAATCAACTTATCGATGTAAGAATCAGCCAAAAAAGTACATGTTAACACATTTGCTTGATTCCATAATAGATTATAAGATAGAGATCTCTATAGTAGTTATTGCGAGTCTAAATGAAGATAAACATACTTTCTCTCACACCCCAATGACGGAATTATTGATTTCCACAATTTTGATACAAGTAAATAAAACTTTTATTTTTGTTTTTATACTTATAATTCAGACTCAATATTGACTGTAGAATTATCTGGGAACTATTTCTTCTTACAAATCAGCGTTTCTTAAATTGCCTCCCACTACCTGTAAAACAACTGATAGTTTTTTGTTTACCAGAGTCATGACAATACTGATTCAACATTTGTTGCCTATATTCTCTTTTTTTGATCTAGGTTCAAATGATATTTAACATGTTTTCGTGACGTACACGAAAGAACCAGATGTCCGTTAAGACTTTACAAGTACCTATAATAAATGTGTGTTGAATCTTCCCACAGTCATTATAAGTAGTTATAAAAATTTCACAGTCACTTGGTCCTCATTATTCTTGTACAGCAGGGTGTTTCAAAATGAAGTCCAAGAGGTGTTGATTAGATTCTTTTGTGGCAAACGGAATATGAATATCAATTCAAAAAATCTCAATAGTTCAGTTTCAAAATTCAGAGGCTTAATAAATGGACACATTACTTTAGGAAGCAGATTGGAGTGTAAATATCTCCAATTTAGAATTTGAATAGTGTTTCTCTAGAAGGTAGGATACGGAGCAACACACCACGATTTGCAAACTTAAACGGAATGTGGCTGATGTTTTTCCCCACTAAAAAAACATATTTTGACAAAGCCCCCTCGATAATGGAAAAGGGCAGAATTTATCACTAGTTTCAACCATCCATCAATTCAAAAAAGTTATCGATAGCCTAGATATATCGTTGTTTTAAATCAAGAGTTAACTTTGGTACATCATTTAGAGAGTCTAAGATACTTGTTGCACTCGGAAAAAGGCTTGGTCGAGTTTTTTTGCAGCATTTATCTTCGATTTATCCTGCACATAAACATCACCAATATTTTGAATTTAAAAATCCATCAGTGTTAGGAGTAGTGTACGATATGGCACTGAACTGCAGAGACGAACAGTTCCATTACGGGAATATTTAGCGAAACTAGACCTTATACAAAGTAATTCTTCAATTGAGATATCAACCCTTGCCGATATTTTAATTTGGTATGTCGGTCGTAACTGCAAACTAGCATAATCCTACATAGCTCAATGAGATTGTAATTGTTTACAATACAATATACCAGAGGTCCGCCTTTACTTTTACGACAATTCTTTAGTTTAGCAAGATCAAATGAAAATGGTCAGATAATTTTGGCAGTTGGGGGTAAAGTTACCCCCTTACTCTTTGTACAAGGCCCTGATTTATTTTTATTTTTATTTATTTTTTTTTGATTTGATTTGGAGTTACAGATTGCCAACCATAGATCTTACATTAACTAGTTGACATTGGCGTTGGTTCTGTAGCGTTTGCATATGTATCATTGACAAGGTTTGGCAACAGGGCGCATACAGACCCTTTATTACTACCACGCAAGATTCGACGTTTCACATAATCAATTAAATAAAAATACGGATGGTATTTTCTACGCATGCACATGTATGCATGCTATTGCGACACTTTCCAAATTATTATTTTTTTTTTTAAATTCCTCGGTTAGACTAAAAGGAGATTTCAATAGGCGTGTGTAGGCTTGAAATGTGAAACAGGTCATTGTTGAGTGGGAGCATTTCCACTCCACTTGACGCATGTCGGGTAAACGCCTAGTTATGAGAATATGCATGATGCGGGAGGATTAAATGTGTAGGCAAGGGGAGATATTTTAATAATTATATCGCGGAAACCTGGGAGATCACAAAAAGAAATCGAAAAACCGTCTGGAATATTTTTATTACCATATTGATTATTCGTGTACCAGTTCTATACATAATCTTGCAGTAGGACCTTTTTCCTTTGCTATTATTTGTGGGATGTCATGAGATGCCCCTTTGGTCGTATTATAACCTGCAGAGCCAGGACTTGGCAAGTTCTGCCGATCTGGGACAAGAAAAATAAGAAAAAAATTTTTTAGCATAAGATGCATTCTATGCCGCTAAGGGTTTGTGGGTGTATGTATATCGTGCTATCATGCAGTGGAGATTTGGAACTTTTCCTGGGTTTGTGTTTATAGCATAATAGGGGCTCCGCTCGTATTCCTCGGCTTTCAATTTCCGCCGTGTGAAAAATTAGGGAGTAGCCAGGTCATACTAGTGATCAACCATTTCGTGAAACGGTAATAATATTACCTTTTGGCTTTGCACTGACATGGATCATTCAGGATCGGCCTTTTTCTTGGAAGAAGGATACCCCACTAATGATTCAACATTCGTGGCGTTCTATTTTTTTGCAAAAAAAAGCAAGAAAAAAAAATTTAAAAGGGCACATGCATAATTTGGTTTTACACCTTATGCATGGATAACAAATTTATCACGACTAACCGTATTCACGTAATTAAAATCCAAAAAATATGATCTGTAAGAGAAGTAAACAAACCTGTATGGATGTGTTAGATGAGGGAAAAATTACCGGTTGTTGTTTCTCTTAAAGCAGAGTTACACTAAATAAGACAACAATAACCTCTAGTTTGTGTATTTGCGAGAAACAGCACGAGAGGCCGATGGTAATCATCCGATTATTTCATTTAGACGGGTTGAAATTTCAACCTTTATTTGTCCATAATTGTAAAAACTTTATTAAAAACGGAATAATACACAAAAATAATGATAACACACACAAAATAGTTACATTTATGCACCATAATATATACACTTCATAAGCTTCAGATGGTAGAAAAAGCAGACACCTCCATCTATCATTTTAATAGCAGGCAAAGACGTTTGCAAATCCTTGCCAATAAATAATAAAGAAAAAAAAACCAATCATACAATAAATAATAATAACATTTGTAGCCAAAAATTAACAAGATATTAAAAAAAAATCTAAATTCGTGTATAATAATGATGACATCTTTGACTCTACTTCTTTTCCTTTTTGTCCGAAGTAGGTGGTGATTTACCGGGGCTCTTTTGTACCTGTTGTGGTGGTTGAGTGTGTTGTTGAGCATTTGTTTGCAGATCACCAACCTGATGAGGGTGTTGTTGTAGAGGCTGCTGTTGGCGCATTGGCTGTTGCTGCTGTTGTTGTTGTTGTGGAATACCTTGTTGCACTTGTTGATAGCCATAAGGGTAAGCCTGTTGTTGACCATATGTGCTTCCGTTGTAGTAGCCTTGATAATATTGATTATTTGGGTTATTAGGAGTGGCAATTGCTCCATTGTAGTATTGTTGTTGATAACCACCGTAAACTTGTTGATATTGAGGATCATTTACGGCTGGGTTTTGTTGTTGTGGAGATTGTTGATTAGTTGGACCAGGGGTAACTATGCTAGCCTGGCCTTGGTTGGGAGTTCCTGTAGGATATTGTTGACCGTATTGTTGTTGGGGTTGTTGAGGTTGTTGTTGTTGCTGTTGTTGATTGTATTGGGAATAGTAGTTTTGTTGAACGGCACCAGCTCCCATTTTGTTATTTACAGGAGGACTGGTTTGTTGAGCACCACCGGTTGCTGCAGAGGCAGCGGCGGGTGTTACTCCAGTTTGAATCACTCTTTTTATATCTCTGACAAATAACGGATACAACAAATCGACAATTCCTTCACGTTGTGCCATGGACAATGCTCGTTCAAAAGGAATCCAGACACCTTTCAAATGCATTGAACCAATTTTAACCACATGACGAACCTTCTCTGATTTCAATATTCCATCTCTTCTACCTCGTGTCATTTGAGCAACATTCAATAACTTAGTTCCATTAATCATGTTGTTATCTGCCCTTCTCACCACGGAAACATTGTTTGCATCCACTTGATAACATAAAGTTTTTTCATCTTCCCACATTGTGGTTGTCACTCTTGGTCGTATACCTGGAGGTTGGAATTGACCGACAGTAGAATTAGCTCCACTACCAGCAAGTAAATCTGGATTAGAAGAAGCAGCAGCAGCAGCAGCAGCGGCAGTTTGAGCTCCAGCCCCTGTTTGTGGATAACCCCTATTGCCATATGCTTGATTCAGTTGTTGATAGTAGTTGTTACCAGTGGCAGCACCAGTACCTGGAGCACCGGCCATGTATTGATATCTGGCGTTATTATAGTCAACGGCACCACCTTGTTGTTGTTGTTGTTGCTGCAGCTGCAGTTGTTGTTCAGGTATTCCCTGCTGAGGGGTTTGTTGGTTGTACATGTAATATGATCCATAATTAGGTTGTTGTCCCGCATAATTTTGTTGTTGGTGCTGATGTTGCTGTGTGCTTAGCGGTTGTGCAGCGGTTGTGGCGGATGTTGCAGAAACTGCTGCAGTAGCGGATTGAGATTGCTGGGGCGTTGACCCGCTAAATGATCCATTCATCTGATCTTGACTGGCTGCAGATACAGAGTATGCTGACATTTATTGATTCTTGGGATGTAAGTTGGCAACAAAGAAAATGATTGTTGTTGTGTCGTTTTCCTGTTTGTGTATGTATGTTACCAAGCGCCTTGCAAGTATTAACAATCTGGCAGTTGTGCTTTTAGTAGGGCAAACTAAATTTCACTAATGACTAAGTTGATGTTCTCACGTACAATTGTAATTGACTTGAATTGTAACCGGAAATCTTGGGTTTTATTCCTTGTTTTCCTTTTTGTTTTTTTTTTTTTGAGACAAAAAAAATGCGATGTGAAACCGTTTGCTTTTTCAAACTTGAAGAATTATATGGAGTACGGTAATCTTGTTATGTCGAGTAGACTGGACTTCTTTCAAATGATTGTGTCAAGTATCAAAACTGATCACTGTAAACTAAATTGAAAAAGACGAAAACAAATAAAGATGCTATTTTGCTATACCTTAAAAGAAAGATTAAAAAAAAAGATCCTTTGGCCATATATAATACTCAAATAAAAATAAAAAAAAAAGAAAAACAAAATTCCATATTCGATCTTTTCCTAATAGTAAAAAAAAAAAGAATAATAATAAAAACAAGGATTAGAGTATTAAAAAATAAAATATTATTTAAAGTTAATATGTATGTGAGGGAAATATTATTCAATAACTCAATGCGTGGTTTTAACCTAATAATTATATGTATCATGCAAGATGTATTAATTTAGTGGTTAGTGTCTGGTTTAATTTCCTAAAAGAAATCCTGTGAAAAAAATACAACAAAATTAGTTAAAAAATTTGTTTTTTTTTATGCCCTATAAAATATCCGAAAAAAATAATTAGGAAACAATTTGCCCAAAGTGAATACAATTCCAGACAGTTGGATGATAATGAAATTTCGTAAAACTAGTTGGTGACTTCCCCTCAGACCACTGATTTTCGGGTTTATCCTTTTGAGAAACCCGGTAGCAAACGAGAGTTAATTTACTAAAAGCCTACATTTAAAACTCATTGGCCTCTACCCAACCATAAAGCTTAATTTGAAACTCTCGATTAAATTGTGTGTGGGGGGAGGGGGTGTTCCCAAGCGGACTTTAGCTTCGTAATAATACCATTTGTGTACTTTGATTTTCTTTTGTTATTGATTTTTATTATGATGATATCATCATTGATTTTATCAGTTTATATTTTTATATGCATGTTCAATACGTAGCGCAAACACTAAAAATATTACAGACGTAATATCAATAAAAAATATCGGCATTAAACACGATTTCTCCTTTCAACTAATAAATATAGCCATTCAGTACTATAGATTGGAAACCACTAATTCACAAGAGTGGGGGAATCAATAGATAGGATAATTCGTATTGCCCATTATGTTCTCGGGTAGATTCCACTATTGTGGAAAAATAATTCCGCACTTATTGTGATACAAATGCCCTGCAATTTTTCTTATTAGTCATTAATTTATAATGAATATAATGACTGAAAATTGGAGCCATCTGCTTTTTTTTTGATTGCAACTTCCTTTATGATTTCATTGTTCTTTCATGCAATATTTTTGTCCAATTCACTTGTAGTTTTACCGAAGGTCTAGAAATATCTCCGCGTACATCCAATTCTTTTAGGTGGCTCATGGAACGTGGCGGTGAATTAGCTTTGATCCACACTGTATCGCGAAAAAATTATCGTTTTTTTTCACAACACCAATTTTAATCCATGCTTATCTGAATTGGGGGATCTATTAGTAAATATTGACAAATCTGAATCGTAGGAAGAAAGCTAGATGAAAGCCTTGCTTTCGGTTAGTCTATTTCTCAGCCTAATAAGTTTATTTTATTAGTAATAGGATCTCTTCTACCTGCCACTTTTCGGTTCATATATTAGATAAGGTAGAGGGGGGGGATCCAATGGTTTTTAAAAATGAATGTGATTTTTTTTGTCCGTTCCCAGTGGTTCAGGAGAAAGCTCCATGCCGATACCGGTGAAGTAATACCTTCCTTACAAGTCAAATACAATCTTCGTTTCCGTTCATGGGTTTAACTTTTTTAAATTAAATGATTGAATGACTCAAGCACTCTGCCGATTCACTAAGACTTGGCTTATTTCCCGAGTTAATCCTTAAGTAATAGAACTAATCTTTGGCGAGGAGAAAAACCTAAAAATTATTTTTTTGCTATCAGTATGCGCATTTTCCACATATTTGTTTTTTGGTTGATTAATGAACAGACTCACACCATATATGTTCTATACTTTTATTTTTTACACTTGTTTGTCTTATTATAATTAATTTTTTTTTATTTTTTTTCTTCATATTAAAGCTTTTTTTTTTTGCGAAAGATTCTCGGATCTTCGCTTACACCGTTTTCTTCAATTTTTAATAACTCATCCGAGAGGGAAATAAACACCAAGGGAGGTGTAAACGGACCATATATGTCATTATGCGTATTATGACATAACACAAAAGTAATTACACTCAGAGAATAATCGATGTGTGAATCCATGCATATCTAATTCATTCTTTAAATAGAATGCTCGTTCCGACTATTTTATCCGTGGGCTCCTTAGGATCGATATTTTTTTTATTAATTTTTTATGGCGAGGAGAGAAGAACAAAACAGAAAATAATCCTTTGTAAGGATTATTAGCGCGCGCCCATTTTAGTTTTTTTTTTTAATAATAATTTGAAATAGTTGCTATTTGGAACGATTTTGTGGTCGCTCATATGTCCGAGTGTAAGGCAATTGATCCCTATCACTTGTTAAGATATTCCCTTGAACAATGCGGATAGAACCCGCGGTTTTTAGAGCTAGTTGTGACTAGCTCGCATCGGCACAATTAGTTGACTTTGTGATTGAACCAAGCAATAAAACTAATAAATGGTTCTTATTATAGCAACCCTCATGGAAGGCATCAAGAAAGAAAAATCAAAAGTAAAATTACCAAAGTACAGTTCTTGTTCATAGGCAGCCTTACTTAAATGGCCTTAAACGAATTGTTTGTTCATGTCCCTTAGTCACCTCGGTCATCGCTATTGCATGGAATCAGCATATTCCATGCATCTTCCAATAGTCACTGAAACATTCGCGTGCAGAATTACGAAGTTTGCGCTTGCACATCATGCTTATCAGTATTAAATCACAGGAGAACTAAAGAGTTTTCCGAAAAGTGATGATGTGGCGCAAGTAAAGTTTAACATTATTCACCCCTGGCGCATCTACGACGGCGTTTTTTTTTTATTTAAAAATTTTTTTTTCTCATGCGTTGACCTAAAAAAAATATCACTTTGCGTACCCCTCTAAACAATTTTCTATCATTTATCTATCTGTTGTTATGAATTCAACTTTCGCTTGCTTTCTGATATTGTGCCTCTGCACTGTTTTTTTCTCTCCCTTTTTCTCACTCTCACCAGTAAAAATCGAGCTATTTCGTGTGGAACCCTAACTAACAAAAAATAATAAGCAGCCAAAAAAAATATTTCCATGCAAGTGAATGCACATTCAGGCGCGTACCCTGCATTTTCGAGATAACGCAAGATTTTTTTGATGTGGCAAATCTTAATTATGCATTAGCCGATTTTCAAGTGAGCAGGTTTTGGTTGTAAATGAATATATCGGTGAGTAGACATTGAGACCACAAGACCGTTGTACCAACGTGAACGGTCTGTATGAGGCGTGTTGTGCTGCTATTTACAATGGGAGAACAATGGGCTGATCATTGTCCAACAACTTTTCTCCTTCGTGTAAGCGTAATACCTAGACAATAGTTTGTAGTGGAGCAAAAATACATTGTAGTGTTTATTGTTCTTGGCAGCATTCAACCGTCTCAAGGAAGTAATCTTTCCTGGTTACATCAGCATTGTTGACATCTTTCAAAAAAGAAACACACAGTGGGTTCATAACCATTGCCATCAACACATAATTGATTATGTAATATGAAAAAAAAATCAAGCGAATCATATAGTCGCTAGAGTTTTGATCGTTCTATTATAAAGATCTTCACTCGAGAAGCAAATATCGATACATCCCAGTTTGTTTCTTGATGTATTACCTGATATGTGGTACCACTAAAATCATACCAAAAACGCCTTCAAGCGATATTGTCTTGGCAATCGAAAGAAAGTTGACAACCCCATTCTCTCTCCTTAGTTAGTATTTTAAAAAGGGATATTATTTTTTTGATAATTGCAAAAAAAAAAAAGTCTGCATGACGGTACAGGATTATTTTCTCTATGCTTGATTTTCGTGACTGGAAAATATCCTACCCGTAAAAAAAACCAAAGTTTTTGCTGACCCTGGAGTACAGGGGTACCTTAATTACATGTAAAAAAATATTCACAGTTGTTTACATATGATAAGTTGATGATCATTTCATCATCGGATACTACTTCCTGTTTAGATTATTTTCGTGACGGGTGGTAATTGGCATCGCAGATTTTAATTATTACATAAAATTAGAACTTGATTAGTAGGGTGATACGAAACAGTAACACAAAAGAAATTTGGCAATCTCAAACAATGAACAAAACAGTCGACCATTTCGGTGTGATAAGCTCTATTCTTCCTTTGCTCCGAGTTACGTATCTGTTTGTGCAATGAGGTATATTTAATCAGCCTTTTCTTCCAGTAATCTCTTCTTGAGGTGACACCTTACGCCGTAACTGTATTCATACTGACCGAATGAATCTTACTTTGCTATATCTATCACTATATCTCAGATAATAAAGACAGGCGCGTACCAGCACGACTTGAAATAAGCTGCAAAGCAAATAAAAAATATTTCTGACGCACAATAATTTAAACCGATTGCCACAAAAGTACAGATGTCTATTTTTTATCTAAATGGTAACAGATTGCATATAAAATATTTGTACATGCATCCAAGGGGTTCTAAGGGATAATTCCGAAACATGGGGTCAAGGCGTGGAGTAACACCTCAAGCGGTACTTCTAGCTATGCAGATGGGCTTATGACAGTTGCGTAAACTGCGAATCAAAGAATATGCATAGAAAGGACACTAGAATTTCATGCTAAGTTTTCTGATGTAGGTGGCACCTTTTTGGCAGTGGATCGAGAGATTGAAAATCGAAGCTGCCTATGCCTTTATAGATGGCTTAGAATAAATAGCAATTCAATTGAAAGCTTGATTAGATTAGTTGATGTCTTGAGCAGAAAAGAGGGGGAGGATATAGCAAACTGTTCCGAGAGTAGGTATATGTTAATTGGCATATAATGTTTTATCCCATGCTACATGTACAAATACAAAACTAATTACAATAATTACGCTATTGTCATATGCAAGATTCTTTCTAATTGCAATCACTGAGCCAAGAGGCATCCACTCATTTGCAGCTAATTTAGATTAAATTTAGTTGCGCAACTTGATGTCTCGTACTGCACTAGCGCCCCAAAAAAGAAATTTTTTAGCTACGCACTAAAGTTTCGGTACGACAAGCATTAAAGTTTAAATTGTCAATTTGACATGGTTTCAAGACTTTCCTTAGCTATAACTATCTAAAACCTTCTAAATCAATATAACTTTGTACGAAAAAGTAAAAAATTAAAAAGAAATGCGCAAACCCGGAATCGAACCGGGGGCCCAACGATGGCAACGTTGGATTTTACCACTAAACCATTTGCGCTCCTTATTGTTTGTTGTTTTATTATGGAGTTACTTCTGTGTGGATTTCTATCTAAGATAACAACTTTCTAAACACTTAATAGAAACTCAATAGAAACTTGATAAAAACTAAAGAAAAGAATACATAATTTCCAAGTTGAAATTCCCAAGATTCCCAAGTATTTATAGTCCTATTTTCTGGAATCTTTGGAACATCTGATTTCTCAGTTATTACTATCTAGCAACCTAAGAGCATATTTCTTTTAACCAGTTTGGGAATCCTAATTGTACCATTTGATCAATTACTCATTTAGCTAAATAACCTGCTCATAGATAACAATGGAAGGCCCTGCGGTGCCACAATAATATCAGACCATATTAATTTAAAACAATAAGCACCAAACCAACAAATTTCTATACAGACCAATGGTATGATATAGAACAGTTCCTAAAACGGACAACACTCCACTAATTAAAGGTTGCAAGAGATACAGCTTAATAACTGTTGGGCCATAAATGTTACAATATAGTAAACTTTGAATATCACAAGCGCAAAACCTGTTAAACTATGTACAGCTAGGCTATTTATACAATTTAGGATCGGATCTCAACAAATCTTGAAGAATATGCTTATTCTTGATAGTTTGATTAACGATTCCTTGGACATCTTTAGGAAATACTCTCCCATACCAAATCATGTCCTTGGACGAGTCACATTCTTTGGGGAAATAGATCACGTTCCCAGCATACGCGTGTCCACCAATATGACTCACCAATCCAACTTCCACTTTATCTACTAGGTCTTCTCGTTCGAGAACTTTAAGGAACTCATCCTCGAGCAATGGACCTAATATTCCACAACGGGCATCGGTGAGGGTATGGCCACAGATCAAAGCCAAATCTTTTTCCATTTTATATTCTGTACAGGTTTCTATGGCTTGCTCACACGATTCGTCTTGCTTCAAATATTTATGAACAAAATCACCAACATGCTTGGTTTGAAACTTGACGATCTTGCTATCAGGATACACGTAAACGAGCTGTTCTTCATGCTTTCCACATATATCAAACTTCTCCAACACTTGTTTATGGTTTGATAGAATGATATTAGAGACTTGAACTTGATGATTCTTATTCCGGAACTCAGCCTCGAACTGATTAATATAATGAGCTAACCCACCATGAATCCTCGTGATTCCCGATGGCATGTTATCAAAACTAGTATATCCATGACTTAGAATAAGCACATGTTTAAAAGGAACCACTTTGGTGTTGTTCAATTCTCGTTCGAAATTAACAGTTAATCCGTTGGGGAAAGAGGTCGGTTGACAATGGGTACATCCGGTGTCATATTCAGGCAGAGGACAACGTGGGACAAGTTTCCACGAGGTGCTATATAACCTCTTACGTATTAGACTGAGCATGGTTGTGGTGATGTCATAGTGATCTGGACTAATAGAGTAATTACTCTATTACATTATAATGGAAGATGTGAGATTTATTTTCTGTCAAAAGTACACGACAATTTATGAGATGATTCTCGGATTCGGTCCGAGTATTATGCAACCTTATGAACAATCCTACTAAGGTCCATTTTGTCTATAAAAGAAGATTTGATAAAAAGAACATGCTGTACTACTGTTTGAAGTGGTGGGAACACTAGAATAAGGATTTTACGGAGTTTTGGGTATAAAGGGAAAAGTTGTTGCAATCACTTCAATAATCAAATTAAATTGCGCTACTTATATGACTCCTCATCAATTGCAACACATAGTGCATTGAAGAATGATTGATGTTAAGGAAAATTCATGCCATTGAAGCACCTCATAGCCATTATGCACTAAATCAACCCAACATCGCTACAAGGGCTATCCATTCTGACAATAAAAGTAAGCTTTGTAAGTGCATTCCTGAGCTAAAACATCAGGTGCAAAAAAAAAAAAATAATATAAAGTTGCAAAACTATTCTATAATACATACTATACACTATTAAACACTGAAATCTTCCTTTAACTTCCATCCTTTTCTTATGCTATCCCAACTAGCAATCTCCCTAAGCATAGACCTAACCAAGATAACATCCTTCTCCGAACTCAACTTCAAATCAAGACTACTCATAATGTCATTGGACGTACTAAACTTATCCTCTTGTTTACTCAACCAATCAACCAATTTCTGAATGATTACATCACGATCAAGCAATTGCACCTTGGGTTTATAAATAGTAGGCTCGCTTTTCTTTTTCAAACTGTCAAGAATTGACGATGATGAAGTTTTAGTCTTCTTTTTCGATCCAAATTTACCCGCAAGTCCAAATTTCCCCGTCCATGTTGGTGTTCCAATTTCCTTCTTTCTTGCTAGTTTCCGGGATCGCTTCAATGCTTCGGCCGCAGCAGTGGCGATTCTATTGGCTTCTCGTTCGATAAGACTAGTTTCTTGCATGCTTGAATCGATAATATCATCATGTTTCAACGTACTGTGGACTCCACTGTTGGTGAATAGTCCCTGCATGATTCTATCTTCATCCTTTCCCTGTTCAGGTTCCTCCTTTTCATCAACATACTGGTCTAATTTAGCTACCCCCGAGATTTTCGCAACCTGATAAAAATCATCATCATTCGTGTACTTTTTCTTGAATAAACTAGTCTGCTTCCGTGGTTTAGTTCCACTGAACTTTACTTCGGAACTACTAAACAAATCCCCAGTTTCCGTGCCCTGCTCATTCTGATCACCCAATGTGAACAAATCATGGAGATCATTGATTTTGAAAAATCGTCGCTGTTTGGGATCCTTTAAGATCTTATTCGTGAGGAATGTCTTGAAGATTTGTCGATGATAAATCTTTTCTTCGATGGATCCAGTAGTCATCAATCTATATATGGTAATATCTCGCTTTTGGCCCAACCTCCACGCCCGTTCTCGCGCTTGAATGTCGGTGGAAGGATTCCAATCGGGGTCGTAAATGATTACTCGGTCGGCTCCAGTTAAATTAACACCTAATCCTCCGACTTTAGTCGTCAACAAAAACACATGTTGGGTAAGATCAGTGTTGAATTTGTCCACTAGCGTTTGCCGTTTGGAAATAGGCGTACCTCCATCCATACGCAAATAATTAAAGTAGCCAGTCAGGTCATTACCTTCCTCATCAAGTACATGCAAATTAGCCACAAATTTCTCAAGAATATCCAACATTTGCCTTGTCTGACAAAACAACAACGTCTTGTGATTCTGGCTCTGCCACAATTGGAGCAAATTCTTGAGTACTTGCATCTTTCCTGACTTGGCAGGATTCCCATAGTTGTACCCCTTTTTATACATCAATATTTCTCGGTTGATTAAATCAGGATGATTGCATATCTTTCGTAACATATCTACTCCCATAAGCACGTTTCTCTTTCCCTTTAAGATCGAGTTTAATTCCTCACTATGGAGGAATTTCTCATAGAGGTCTTGTTGAATTCGAGTAAGTTTGACAAATAGTACCATTTCATTCTTTTTAGGCAAATCCTGGGCGACATCACTCTTCAATCTACGGAGAAGGTACGGTGTTATTAAATCTCGTAAAATAACAGCACACTTATATCCCGTTTGTACCTGGACATTCGAGGCATTGGCATAACCACCCATATTTATCGGAATGGAAAATTGCTGTTGGAAAACTGGTAATGTTCCTAATCTACCGGGGAATATAAAGTCAAATAATGACCATAATTCAATGAGGTTGTTCTGAATGGGTGTTCCAGATAGGATTATTCGATTGTAGGTCTTGATTTGTTTACATGTAAGTGAGATGTCCAGATCAGGGTTTCTAATCTTGTGTCCTTCATCAAGAATGACATACCCCCATTCACGAGGCAATATATGTTTGGAATATATTCGAAGCCCCACGTATGTTGTGATTAATACATGACCTTTTTCCATGACTCGATCTATGATTTCCTGAGCATTTATTTGACTTTTTATCCCACGAAGTGAAGAAGTAGATGCATGGGGGTCGTGGGTCTCTAGAAAGGACTCTAGTTTCTCCTCCGACACTTTTTCACCCATTCCTGATCCGATACTGTGGAGAATTATACATCGTAAAGGAGGCCACCATTTGTGAAACTCATTAACCCATTGGTTTAGCACCGTGGCCGGAACAACCACAAGCACGGGTTTGTCCAATAACCCCGAGTAATGCAAGCCGGCAATGAAGGAAATGATTTGGATGGTTTTTCCTAATCCCATTTCATCACCGATTATACCACCTGTTTTTTGAGAATATAACTCCCAAAGCCATTGTACACAGGTCTTTTGATAATCGAAAAGTGACGGGTAGATATCTCCAGGAAGCTTAAACTTTGAGTTTAAAATGGCATCTGATATTGTGGGATGTGGTTTGAGCCATTCGTCTAAGTTAGGATTAGGATCTTCTTGGCGAAGACCAGATCTTCGACGACACCAATCAAGTAGTCTGGACTTGTATATCGATTCATCACCATCGTCAATATTCTTGAAATCTTCGGTTATATCTTGATCTTCTTCTTCTTCATCATCATGATCCAGTTTATTTTCCTCCGTTTCTGGTTCATACTCGTAATCGTCGTCCTCTACTTCTTTTTCAAACCCAGGTTGGCGTAAAAACACATGACTTTGAACTTGTGCCGCGTCACTGTCATCGTCATCCTGTTGAAACTCATTCTCATTCCCAAATGCCGTGATCTTCCCCGTCCTAATAAGAAACTCCTTTTCGGTCTCATCAGGCAATCTTCCTTCGTTCGCGTCATCTTCATCGCCCGCATTTAGTTTTGAATTACTCTCATCTAGTCTGGCTTTGATTTCTTCAACATCACGTTGTCTCGGCTCAAGTTCATTCTCCTGAAACCACGCAATTTCATCACGTAGCGACTTACGCTCACTGATTTTCGTCCTGGGGTTATCTAATTTCTTCAGGAGGATATCTATACGTTTGATGGTAGTGTTTAAATCCTTGATGGCCTTATCAAGACGTTTTTGGTCTAGTTCGGCGTCTTTCTGAAGGAGGGCAGCGTTAGCCTTTCTTGTGATGGATGTTTCTAGTTCTGCTTGATCGACTAGCTGGAAATCTACGGATTCGTGTGATTCATTTGGTTCATTCATGTCATGATTAGTAAGAAGAGTGGCAACCTTTTTAGATGCGCACAAGAAATCATCATACAAAAATTTTAATTATTGCTGCCAAAATTTAGCAAGCTGAAAACCCTATTATTCATACACTCACAGATCGAAAAAGAATGGCAATAGAGTGAAGCATCCACTTAAAGAATAGAGCCACAGAAATAACGAGAAACACATCTACAAATTAAGCAAACCTGGTAGCGCAAGGTACGTATATTAGTCTATTAGTATATATATATATACATGCATCACTTCAATTGAGATTTCAATTCTTGCAACACATTAGCATAAGCATCTTCATCCTCCTTGTTAATCAACTCCTTAACACTAGCATCAATAGCTTCCACATCGCGTTTCCTACCCACGTCTTTAGAAATCTTGTCAAACCATTTAATCTCTCCCTTTCCGAAACACAAACTGTATGCTTGCCCGATATTGTTTGCTCTGGCTGTACGACCCACTCTATGCACGTATTCTCGTGAACTGTTGGGCAAGTCATAGTTCACTATGTCTGTGATTGTCACCAAATCGATACCTCTGGCAATCAAGTCGGTAGCAACTAAGATGTTTATGGTTTGGTTGGAGAATTCCTTGAGGATTTTGGTACGGATGGACGATCTGTTGTTGGTAGAGTTCATGTATGCTATATTCACGTTCTTGTTCAATTGTGAAAAGAGAAGTTGCAACAATTTACTCAATCTTAATGAAGATTCGTTAGATTTGGTAAAGATCAACACGTTAGATAACTTGCCTTGAGATATCAAGAACTTTGTCAAGATTAATGGTTTTATCGAAGATTTTGCACTTCCAAATTGTAATTTGAATTCAGATAATGTAGGAGGAACAGTGAATATTTCATTAACCAACTCCTTCTCATCATTGACAATCACCAATCGTGGTTTTTGAAATTGCAAAGAGCTTAATTTCCCTGCATCAGTGGTCAATGTTGCCGAGAAGATAAGCTTCTGCACTGGTAATTTCCACTCCTCGGCAATGTTTATATTGTTATCAATCTTTGAGAGTAAAATCTGGCACCAGTTTTGAAACAGTTGGTTTAACAATCTATCGGCTTCATCAATCACCAAGAATTGCAATGCACTCAAGTCAATTGAACTTTGAAGAATGTGTTCGACCAATCTACCGGGGGTAGACACAATGATATCAGGGACATTCTCAATTAACTTACTAGCTTCGTCCTTAATGGAAATGTCATTCTTTAAACTGACAACAGACAAGTTTGTTCCCTTGGATAAAACAAGTAATGTCGATCTAACTTGATTAATCAAGGGTTTTGTAGGGACCAATATAATTGCTCTTATTCTAGGAACCACCCTTGTGTGCAAACTCTCAATTATTGGAATCAGATATGCTAATGTTTTACCAGAACCAGTAGATGCATTCACTAAAATGTCTCCCTTTACATCTGGCTGTAATTTATGATCGTGAATGTCTTGCAACATAAGGTTTAACACGGCAATTTGCACTGAGAATGCATTGGTGAAGTTGTTACTGGTTAAGTTCCGTTGCATGAATTGAGATAATGGGAATTCAGTGAATGGTTTGGTGTCACTTGGCGATGCGTATATTGGAGTGGCTAACCAATTCAACGATTTCAAATGGGTGGTGGTAGATACAAGTTTTCTGTCCTTGGGTAATGCTGGTTGGGGAAGTGGTGCTAAATCCTGAACTTCAATTGGGTCATCGGTTATTTCTTCTGTTTCTGTTGATTCTACTTGTATAGACTTTTTGAATTTGGAGAATATTGACTGATGTTTGGAAACGTAGTCTTTGTCTTGTTGGACTTCTTCTTCGTCTTTGTCAGAACCTGCTTCTTCTTCGTCTATGCTCATGTTGTCATCTTCCTCTTGTTCAGATTCAGAATCTTGTTCTGAAGGTTCAGGTTCAGAATCAGAACCAGCATCAGCATCAGATAGTTCTTGCTCTGCCTGCTCTTCTTCTGAACTAGACTCTTCCAGATCTTGTTCTTCTTCCAGATCTTCTTCCTTGTCTACCACCTCACTAATCTTTCTCTTTCGAATAAGAAGATTCCTCCTGGGTGTGACATCAACAACATCACTCTCCAAAGCACTTGGATCAAACCTTGCTCCGAACATACTGTGGTAGTTTCTCCTGTTGTCAAACTTTCTTGCAACCTCATCTTTGACTCTACAAAAAAATGTAAATCTTCTTCAGACAACACGCACGTGATCATACATCACATGACCTCGTTTTCAGTTTATACAAAAATTTTCATTCACACGAATATCTTCACACTATACTACTTTAACAGAATAGTTCACCAAGCACAATGAGACCAACATTAAATATATTAACCAGATCGGTATGGAAGGGACCTAACGTCGTTCCATTGCCTATTGCCCACGCCATCAAGACCAAAACACCCGTCAGAACCAACGCTAGAAGTTGTACCATATTACCCCAATTCGTAGGGTTAAGATTCCAAGTGCATAACGGGAAGGAATACGTCGAGTTTGAGATTGTGGATGATATGGTTGGTTCCAAATTGGGAGAATTTGCTCCAACTAAAAAGAGATGGACTTATAGAGGTGAACAAAAGTAGGGTACCCACCGTCCGCCCCCTACAACTTTCTTGTATATATTAGCTAGGAGTTTTATACGGATTTAATAAAGTTGACATAGACTGAAAGAACACTGTATGCATTTTGTCTACAATAAATATATTTACCCCCCTCCACGACTTCTTGGATTGAAATCTACCAATCGAGATTGTCGTAATTCCCCAGTTCTATCAATACTAGGCCATTTCCCCCACCCATTCAACCTAACGACTAAACAAGTGGCATTATCGTCACCACCAACATACTCAACAAACTTGACTACTTCTTCAGCACAGGATTGTGGGGTGGCCACTGTATGACCCTTCAAATCGAAATGTGTCATGACGATATCTGCCACTTCCTGATCGGTGAGTATGTTTGTTATTCCATCACTCAACAACACCAAGAAACTCTCATCACCGCCTAATCCGTTTATTGTATACTTCTTGATCTCTTCCGGCGTTAAAAACTGCTTGATTTTCGCCTTGTCTCCAATGATGTACTGGACAATATCCGGTTCAGCAGACACACCAATCTGCTTATATCGGAAATCTCCAAATGCCCGAGTGTTGGCCAAATGTACAAACCGCTCCTCGCCAAAAGAATCTGTCATGAACAAATTAGTGGAATACTTTCGCAATCGAGTCGCTTCTGTGGGATTCAGCGGATGATGCTCTTCAGTAAGACAATTGGCCAATCCATTCTTGTCCACCAATATCGCCCGCGTGTCCCCCACTTGTCCAATGGTCAATTGTGATATTGTATGTCTATTAAAGTAATAATTTTCAAAATAGGGCTGGAAAACACCTGGTTCCGAGTATATTGTTTCTATCAATGCTGTAGTGCATGTGGAACCGGAGTTGTCTGTTGCTGCTTGTGCAAACTTGTAATCAGCTTCAAGAAAACTGAGAAGTAGCCGCAATGACAAATTATCGCTGGCTAGCTCGGGAAAGTTCTTTAATTCAATCTTGAAGTTCTCGTACAAGTCGAAATTCTCTTGTCGATGCTTATACCACCGTTTCCAGTACCCACTTACGTCATCGCGATACCTCTTGACCAATTCTTCCTCAGCCTCACTATTCATCACCTGCTGGGCCTCCTCGATCTCCTTGGACAAGTTCTCAGCAAGGTAATCCGAGCATCCCTCACCACCGTGTCCATCAAACACACTGAAATTGAACAAGGTCTTGTTATCAAAATTCAACACTTTAGCACTATACCTGTCTTCGTTGTACAATCGATTAACTCGGGCGGTGACATGGCCCAAATGGGAGGGACTCTTCAATAGCGGCACCCGCAACTTCCCCAACGTCAACGGTTTGGTGGTGGACATGGGGATCAGGGGTGATCGATCTACCGCCGTGAATGTGATGGCAGTGGACACTGTTCGAAATTGCACCTTCATACATCTCTGCGTGACATTAGTTCGGCACATTATCTAACTGTGATGTGAGGTGTGTATGAAGTTGTGGTCAGATGTTGTAGAAGGACATCTCGGAGAAACCATTTCGAAATTCACCTGTCTAGCCCGGGGAAATTTTAAAAGGTTCCGCACTTCGGTAATTCACAGCAAAACTGATACCACGGAGATGTACATCCGACGGGTTTTTCTTTTTTCTTTTTTCGTTTCGCTTGGGTTGCAAAGGCAAATGCAGCCGATTGGTGGGGTAGCGTAGCTAAGTTTTAGTGTCGTATGTTTGTTTCAAAGTAACTGCAGGATCTTGCGTGTTTATGGGGTTGAGGAAAGTGGTTCCGGGGTAACAGGTCAATTTATGTTTGCGTGAACTTGCAGCAACTCTATCTTTTGAAATTTGCACCTGCATTACCCGCGGGGCATAACAGTGACCAACGATAGAAGTTTCTATAGACAACGTGAAAATGTAGACGCACCAGCAATTACTTAACTCAAACTGTATTCTGTGTAATGACAAGGAAGAGAGAGAGGGGGGGTTGAACGAGTCATACACTGATTCTGAATCAGTCCAACAAGAACCAGTTCAGCTTCAACATGAAATAGCGCGCAACTACCCAACCTACTTACACAAGTAAACACTGGTTCCTGGAAAATGAAATGACTACAAAGACAAAACACTCATCAGACCTACAAAATGACTCACTATTGTCAAAATCTCTCAATGACAGTTTACCCAATTCTAATGATCCCCTCATCTATTTGGAAAAACAAAAAAACTTGCCAGAGTACTTTATAGGTAACTCTGATTTTAGCAGCAGCAGTAGAGATATCTCGTTAATTTGAATTGGTATTCAGGTTCCTTTGTAGTTTTTTCTTTGAAACAATAGTTCACCTATCAAACAGCACTACCGGGTTATAGTCAGTAGAAACTACATAATATCCAATATTACTGATAACCAGGTAACATTTAAGCAAGAACAGAATTGCGTGATATCGATTATGGGGTACCATTTCTGATAAATTTTATATGATAGAGTGTTGCAGCTTGAAGCCGATAAACTAGGAAAGATTAGCCATTGAGCTCTTCCCCCCCCCCCCCCCCCAAAAAACTCTAGAAAATATTCAAGTCAATTATGATCGTTGTTATGCGTTGAATACAAATTTGAGACTGATACATCATGAAGCTAGTAACAGTTTGTGTATGCACAATCTGCATCTTTCTGATCATAGCCACCAAGAAAACATCCATTAGATGGTCCAGTGCTCTAAGACATATCCAACTTGGGATTGATCTAATGATGCGAGAACTTCTGCTAATGAACCAAGATGATATTGCTATTGTTTTAAATAAAACCATCATGTCATTGCCCAATGAGGTTCTTGAAATGATTATAAGCCATCTTAATCAAATTGACATTTGTCTGGTCAGTCTCATTAATTCAAGATTGTACACATTGGCCAAGAAGAAATTGTACAGTTTCATCTACTTCACCACCGAAGATCCCATTCTCATCTCAGCCAAAATCTACACCCAATTTTATCTCAACTACGCCGTTATCAACAACAATGATTCATTTCTTTGGCAGTCGGGAAATGCCAATTCCCACCTAGTTAAAAAAATGGTTTTCCAAACAAGCAGCAAGATTTTCGAGACTGCTAGAACCATATACCCCTGGGTGAACATAGTAGCAGAAGATGAGCACAAGTTATTGTCCCTGAGGCAAAATCTTCTGTCTACACAGTCGTTGTTTAGTTCAATACCCTGTTATAAAATGCTTAAAAAGCTAACAGTAAATATTGACACTGTCACGCAAGAAGATATAATATTCCTTGAATCGTGCACAAGCTTAACGGAATTGAGAATCGTGATTGTGAAGGAACAAATGTTGGACCGGTTTTCGGTAACCATGTTACCTATTGATCATCTAACGTTAGAGTTTATTGGGGAATTACTGACAAGACTGACTCGTAAACTCAAGTATATGTTCAATTTGGAAAGACTAGCTTCATTTCAGCTACATTTATTTAGTGACAAGGCATACTCTGACACCTTCGAATACGAATTGACAAGAATGTTTGCAAATTTGAGAAATGTTCGCCAGCTATCTTTGCTTTGTCAGAATATTCATTTTAACCAAGTATTAAAAAATTTGAAGCCGAATTCAATAACCGCATTCTATTTGAGAGCAATTCCAGGAAAACCTATTAATCGAGATTTCTATGTGAAACAATTTTTGAGTGGCCAAGCCAAATCATTAAAGAAGGTCTTTTTGTCTGGTAAGTTTGATGGCACCAAGAGGAAATATGGACTTGCCGAATTTGACAAACTTTTCAAAAAAGACAACACCAATGTGGCTCCAGAATGTTTAATTTTTCAAATCCACAAAACTAGAACATTGTTACAGACGTTTAATCAGTTGGAACAGGTTTTATATCAGGGACATTGTTATTTCATAGACCGAATTTCAAGTGATGATACCTATATCACTCCTTGTGATAAACTTGTTCCTATAAGATTAAACAAAAACCCAATCTGAGTATTTAATATGAACTTGTACGCCACCTTCTGGGTGATTCTAATAAATAATCATGTATTATCAAACTATATAACTAAATTCTCATTAGCATCATCATCATAATTAAAATCCTCCAACGATTCTTCATCTCTATAACTCGTGTTTCCCCTCCCAATAGTTCTATTAACGTTATCTCTAATGGAAGTGAATGTGTTTCCCAACCTGCCCCAAATCGATGTGCTCTCCGGTGTGATTATCGTTCCATTGAAGTATGTTTCTTCTTGATCGATTCGATTGTTGATATTGTCCACCAACACATCATGAAATTGACGTCTATTGTTTTCGTAATTCATATCGGCTGCAGAAACATCTTCATTTCTCAAATTGAACGGACGCAATTGTAATTCTCGCTTTGACATTTCTCGGTTGACGATCCGTTTGGCTTCGACGATAATCAAATCTTGTCGTTTAGCAGGGTCACCTTCCTCATCGTCGTCAAACAAGGTCCAGGAATCATACAAATCACCAAACCCCAACTTCTTCTTAACTTTATCATACACTCTAAACATAGCAAGTATTACCGGAATCAAAACCAATCGAGGTGTCCAATTGTTCAACAAGTTGAACAATCCCGTCAAATGAATCGACTCCCCAAACCATTTTTCAAAAATTGATTCCCTTGAAATAAACAATGTAATGAAATTGTAACTCAAGGGAATAGTCAATCTTGCGATATACATAGTATACCAACATCCACTAACGGGGTCAGATTCATGGGCTACCAAGTGGTACATATTAAAAATCTTCAAGTGAGTTAATGAATTCAAGGCACAGAATAGCATGTACGAAAACACCAATGATGATATCACAAACTGGAAGAGGGGAGCGCCGTTTATCCCGGATGAATATACCAAATGATTAAGTAATGATAATTTTGTGGAATGAAAGAATTCAGATTGTAATAATATGAATGATGAAATAGACAAAAACACTGAAGTTAATCTGTTGACAGTAGGAAGGTAGTAGTACCAATAGATAAAGTTCACCTTTGGCGAAAACAATACTTTATGGTTATCAATCCTAAATGATAATTCTCGAGATCCTACGGAGTTTAATGTATCCTCCAATCTGATAATCCTTCTAAACAAATTGTTAAATTCCGCCTGGTATCCTACTAATCTATGCAAATTCAGATTGAAGTTCGAATTCAACTTGGTCATAAATGAATCATTTAGTTCGCTTCTGGAAATATTGATATTTTCATGGATAAACTGTCTCTCGACATTCTCTTTAATATCACCAGGGATTGAATTATACAACTTCAATATCCAGTCGCGGTACTTAAAATCCTCCATTGAGTCACTGGTGAAGTTCCGGGTGAGTGACACCACAATAAGAACTTGCTCTCTAAATGAAATCTTGACATCTTCCAATTCATCCACCAATTTAGGCAATTTCAAATACTGAAAGTTTAAATCTTTTCCGATATTCCCCAGAATCCATTTGTTTCGAGGTATGGTGATCAATCCATGGGCCATTAACCAAAGTGCCAAAATCAAGGAGTAGACATGTGACAATGCAATAATCATCATTTTCAAATGGCTGGGTGAAAGCCCCACTTCAACCATGAGGTACACCACTCCAAGCAAAGACACACCCAACATCACGGCCTGGAACTTCAAATTGGCCTTGATAGAATCTCTCAACCTGTCCCACGTCTTGTTATGTCCGGATCGGTAAAACTCTAATAACATGGGCAAGACCAACCAGGTCAACGCAAACGTCGTCCAATAGTTGACTTTCCAGATTATGAGGATAACTGAATCTGGCAATTTAAACCATATGAGTTCCAGAGTGCTATTATGACTTATATAATCCAATGGAAGCAAGAATATGATTGACATGGGGATAAACACTGCTAGTGTAATGGGTATGGTAAGATAAAGTGGGTATTTAAATAGATTGATGTGATACTGAATTCCCAAGAGGGATAGTACTAGTATAAGAGAATAACATATCACCGCTGAGATCCACATAGTTCCTATGTTAAATGTACCGATGTTGCTGTTAGTTGTGTGGCGAGTGTGTGCTGCCTTTGTTTTTTTTAGGCCGGCTATGTTGTCAAATTTGCGTTCTTGTTTTGATCACGTGAGTGGTTTCCATATCTAATCTGATCAAGCATAGTGTTGTTATTTGATAGTGCAGCTTACATATTTATTTTGACTAGAGACTTTTAGACAAAGTCAAAGATTATCACAGGTAAAGCAGAGTGTGAATAAAGTGGATTTTGTGAATTATATCGAGAGATCAAATTTGGCGCAAGGCATAGAATCCACTAATTTGCAACCTGAAACAATGCTCTTCAACTTTAAAGAGAAAAAAACAGCCGACAGAACATGCAATAATTAGTCAGGTACTGGTTGTTTTGAACATGTTTATTGTTGTTCATATTTGTGCTAACCCCGATGCATTATTTCCGGTTGCAAAAAAAAAAGTATTTTCATAGTTGATATCACAGCCCTGATTTCAACTGAGCCGGCTCAGTCTAGATTGTAAACACAGTTTGATAACACTGGATTACAAATCAGGTGAAATTAAATTGGACTAAGTACGGGCGAGACCTAATTAGGAAATCTCCGAAGGACTGGCAATCAAGAATTACATCAATGCATTGTTGATTAATCACAGATTTGTCAGCATTTGTCGCACATTGTCCTAATATGGATATAAAACGGAAAGTTGTTTCCGTATCCAATTATTAGTAATACATTTGCTAATCAAATCCAATGACCACCACATCAGTCTTTGTTTCCGGAGCTAATGGCTACATCGCTCAACACGTAGTTAAACAATTACTCGCCAAGGGGTATACTGTTGTTGGATCAGTCAGATCAGAATCCAAAGGAGATGAATTAAAATTGTTAATTCAAAACGAAAAGTTTTCTTATGAAGTGATTCCTACCCTTTCTGACAAAAATGCATTTGATGCTGCACTTAAGAAACATCCCGAAGTTACTGTGTTCTTACATACCGCCTCCCCTGTTTCATTTGCAATTGAAGATGTTGAAAATGATTTAGTTAAACCGGCAATTGAAGGTACACTCAATGCTCTTAGATCTATTAAGGAGCATGCACCCCAAATTACCAGAGTAGTTATTACTTCATCTGCAGTGGCAATGTGGGGATTTGGATCTCACTTTGATGGTAACAAAGTCCACGATGAACTCGACTGGAGCCCAATTACTTATGAAGAAGGATTAGCTGGTGCCTCCTTTGGATACAAGAGTTCCAAAAAGTATGCTGAATTGGCTGCACATGATTTTATGACCAAGGAAAAACCAAATTTTGCAATCACTTATGTTCATCCAACTTATACTTTTGGCCCCCAGGCTTACGTTGTTAAGGATAAGAAAAACTTAAACCTCTCTAATGAAATTGTTAATCAAGTAATTAAGTTAGGTAAAGATGACGAGATTCCTGAACATGGAAACGTGTTTGCTGATGTAAGAGACGTGGCTCAAGCCCATATAGTTGCATTTGAAAGTGATGAAGCTATTGGACAAAGATTGTTGCTTGCTTCGGGAGATTTCACTCTTGATTCAGTGGCTGAGATTATTAATAGAAGATTCCCACATTCTAATGTTCCCAGAGGTGACGTTTCTAGGAATGAGGAGATTAAAAAGAAGATGATCCATAAATATGATAATTCAAAAACAAGAAAAATTCTTGGGTTTGAGTTTAAAACTCTTGAAGAGTCTATTTATGATATGGTAGAACAGTTGGACAATGCTTAGACTTGTGTAATCCGTATATTCGAATCTCATATGCCCGAAATGTTCATGTGTAACGTATCGCATCAACTGGTAGCACTAAATCGGCGAGGTCGGTTTTAAAACTTTGGCCATCACACCCCCCCGCCCCACACAACACCCAAAAACCAAAGCAAAGAAAAAAATGGCAGCAACGGGCTACTTTTATTCTTATCTTAGCACACAAATGTCAGACACAGAAAACATTAAACCTAAGAAGAAGTCAGTTGGTTTCGCCGAAGCACCAATTGAAGACTTGCAAGAGCATCACAAGATCCTTAGACAAAAGGAAGAAGAGAAAAAGAAGTCGTCTCTGTTCCACAAGATCCCACCGGAGTATGCTTATTTAGAAAAGAAAAACTTGGGTCAGGGTCCCAAACAAATATCACCCCAGCTGCCAGTGATCGCCCACCCCAGCCCTAAGTTGTCTGATTTACCTGATTTAAAGAATTTAAAGTTTTTCGACATCAAGGATATTTCTGTCCAGAATAAGGAGACTGAGTTGCAGTTTCACTATAATCGAATTGATTTGCCCCCTGCTGCCGACAGTGTAATTGTGGATGTCAAGTACGGTTCTTTGAATTCGTTAGATTTAGCCAAGATTAATCAGTATCTTTTGAACTTGAGTAATGTAAAGGTTGGTCTTGGGTATGAATTTTCGGGGGTGATAAGCTACCTTGGAAACAATATGAAGAGTAAATATTCCATTGGTGATTATGTGTTTGGTGTAATCAATCCTACTGCAAGAAGAGGTGCATTATCTACAAATCAAATAGTATACCCGGGGCGAGACATTTTGATTAAAGTTGACCAGCTTGTTCTCAACCAATTGAATGATATTGATGTTGAATTGAAATTTGATGTGAATGAACAATTTGAAATTGATTCCGATGAAGAATCTCGCCAGTTGGCCCAACAGCTCTCGGAAACTAAAATCAAAAGGACCACATACGCCGTTGAAAGTACAATCCCACCATTGGGTAAATTGACTACTTTCCCAGTTTTGTACAACCGGGCCAAACAATTGATTCAACATTTACCAGTTGGAGGAAACCGAGTCAACATCTTAATCAACGGTGCCGACACAAATGTCGGTCTAACCATTATTCAAATATTATTGACTGAATACGCACTGATGTCTATGAATTTACTTTTAGTGATTCGTGAAGGTTCATCCAAGTACATGGAACAAGCAGTAAACTACTTCCATAAGAAATATTACGATCCATCATCAAGAAAACAATTGACATTACTTCCATATGACATGGTGAATGACGATTTAATCTTCCCTGGTGAAAAAGTTCCAATCAACTACAAGAAACCAAACTACTTTGCAATTGAAATAATTGATGCATTATTGAACAATGATCATGGATTAATAGACACTTCCAACATCAATGACTACAAATTGGACTTGATTGTCGATTTAGTTGGATGCAAGAAGTATTTCCAGGAAACTTCCATCAAACTTCATGAGATTGAATCATTGAATTTACCATTCAAACTGAAGATAAATTCTTCATTAGAATCCTTGTTTGGAAAAGACAAAGAGCCATTCTTGGTCAAACTTCTCAAGCCCAAGAAGTACGGTTCTAGTTTAGTCAGTGGATGTAATTTCAACATTGAAGAACCTAGTTATAACATCAACGAGTTGAGTGCCGACACTACGGAAATCTTGAATCCATGGAGTAATAAATGGACCTCAAACTTGTTCAACAATTGGACGACATATACATATTATGACGAGATTCAGTTGCAAATTAAACAAGAATGGTGTGAGCAAGGGTTAGAATTGGTGCTTGCCAATCAGTTGAAGTTTAGAATTGATCATTATCTTGATTGGAGAAACGATTATAAGAAGCACATCAATCAGTTGAAGATCAATGATGGTAAGGTTGTATTTAAAGTTGAAGATTTTTAGTTACATAGTTGGCAATATACGTTCTCATGTAAAGCCATACTCTTGCAGATCCCTCGGGTATTAGAGTCTATTTTCTACAAATACTATTATCTAAACTAGTTTACATAGGAGAAACCTGTTTACGGGTGAAAGAAGGCATGTCCCAAAGTAGTAACTTGATACCCAAGAGACGATAAAACAAATGAAACGACTAACGTAAATGTTATCCTAATTCGTTCGGAGAAATAATCAGACGAACCGTTTCTTCACATGAAATGCGTTGAGGGAATTTTAAGAAAGTCTACTGCAACGTAAACACCCGACAGAACAGCTCTTTCCTGAAAGTGAATGACCGCCAGAGCCGTCAAAAGCGGGAACTTCCTACAACAATGGGTTTCGGAGTTTTAGTTCCGAAGAAGCGGTATTTTAGTTAAATTTAATTTAAGCAAAACAATGACCAATAAACATCGAATGATTCTACCTACAAACAATGGTAAAATTAAATGTCGCATTTCTTAAAGTTGGGGGAAACTAGCATTGGTTACAAATTTTGCCCCACTTACCCATATGATACTTTGAGAATTGCCTTGTTGGCCAGAGGGGCTTACGCTAATTCTTCCCCCATTTGAATCATATGTTCTGGCCTGCATAGAACATCCACACCAACTACGAATAAAAATTTTTTTTGTTTAGTCGACCAACGGGGTGGGGGGCAGACTATTGCTGCGAATGAAATGATTTTCATTTAGCCTATTGTGCGTTTTCTTATTGTGGAAAGCCCAGTCGATTGGAACTGTATTAGTAAGCCAGATTCTATCCAGTGAGCGTGTGTGCCCCTTTGGCAAATAATTCTGTAATTACAACCAATATGGTTTACGAGGCAACGAGACGCGTGGGTCAACTGTCCGTCCCCCTGAAGAAATGCCTGTGGGTGGTTGCCTGCGGAGTTGCCCGCCATTGTACATCCCGCTAATCATGACCTGGTATTACTAAGCAGGGCTATTGTTTTCGGAACAAACCGTTCACTACGGAAAAACCCGTTAGAATGTATTTTTTGCCGTTACGAAATTTACGAGAGTCTCAAAAATAAAAAGCCTCAATGTAATTTCACAGAGTGTTAATCATGGTTTTCACAGTGTGAATACTAATGGTTTAGATATCTATATGTGTGTCTATTGTTAGATGATAGTCTAGTGGGAATATTGGCAGATATATCTGAACAACTCCTGCCAAATATGCCAAAGTATTCACCGAGATCTACAAATCTTGACACTCGCCATGAAAAGTGGGTAAACAAAAAACCAAAAAAAAAAAAAAAAAAGAAACAATGTCACAAAATAATATGGCTGTGACTAAAAATATAATAATCGAATGATTTTCAGAATAATGGATCTAACCTAATTACTCTAAACGGCGAAGTATTACTAGTTTAAGGAACACTGCAAACGTGCACCTCTGTTTGCTAATTATAAATATGCAGGCAAATGTGCGATGTTTCTCCAGATTTCATATTCTATAATACACTAATCCAACATGACTCAACAATACGAAACTAAAGAATTAACTCCCGAACAAATCAAACTTATTCTCGAAACTGTTCCTATTTTGGAACAAGCTGGTGAAACCTTGACCCAAAAGTTCTACCAGAGAATGATTGGGGGCTATGATGAAGTTAAACCTTTCTTTAATGAAACTGATCAAAAGTTATTACGTCAACCTAAGATCTTGGCCTTTGCTTTGTTAAACTACGCTAAAAACATCGAGGACTTGACTCCCTTAGTTGGGTTCGTCAAACAAATTGTGGCTAAGCATGTTGGTTTGCAAGTCAAGGCCGAGCACTATCCTATTGTGGGTACTTGTTTGATCGAAACAATGGTGGAAATCCTCCCAGCTGAGATAGCTACCGGTGAGTTTATTGAAGCTTGGAGTACTGCTTATGGAAACTTGGCCAAGTTGTTGATTGACATGGAAGCTGCTGAATATACTAAACAGCCATGGACCGAGTTTAGAGAATTTTCAGTCACCAAGATTGAAGATGAATGTGATGAAGTCAAATCTGTCTATTTCCAACCTGTTGATGGTAAGATTAGTATTCCAAAGAGAGGACAATACGTATGTATCAGATGGAAATTACCAAATGCCGAGTTTGAAAAATCTAGAGAATACTCTATTTCGCAATTCCCTGAAGAAAACGAATACAGAATCTCTGTCCGAAAATTACCTGATGGTAAAGTCTCCGGTTACATCCACGAAACTTTGAAAGTGGGTGATATCTTGCGAGTTGCTGCTCCTGCTGGTAACTTTGTCTACCAAGAAGGTGAATCCGATGTTGTTCTTATTGCCGGTGGTATTGGTATTACTCCATTAATCTCTATTTTGGACAAAGCTTTGGCCGATGATCGGAATGTTAATTTGCTTTATGCTAATAGAACCGTCAAGTCTCGAGCATTTGGTGACTTCCTCAAGGAAAAGAAGAAGCAATATGGAGATAAATTAAACGTCATAGAGTTCTTTGACGGCGAAAAAGTTGATCAAAAGGACGCAATTGATCAACTTGAAAATAGAATGCTTGATGTCAAGGACTTGGAATTCATCGATGGTGAAAAACATGATGTTTATTTGCTTGGTCCAAGACCATTCATGAGAGTTATTAGAGATTACTTGGGTAAAAAGGATATCAATGTCAACTTGGAATATTTCGGTTCTTACGACCCTTAGTTTTGTATCTGTATATAATGTTTACGAATGTAAGTTTTAAGTTTAGGTAGGCAGGTCTAAAATAGCGTTGCCTATTTGGATAATGTGTCGCGCGTGACTAACACGGCTCTGAACTACTAGCCCGATGGTCTAGCACTAGAGGCGTTCTAGATGATAGGGTGCGATAACTGAAAGGGGGGAGGGCTGTAATTTTAACATTTACGAACACAACGGATAAGTGCACCCGTCCAAGTAGTTAAAGCGTCCACTAAAGTTCAACTAAATGTATGAATAACGGCTTAAAAACATCTATTTTTACGAAACTTGGTTTATTGATTGCATATCGCCATACATTTACACCCCTTCTATTTCCCTTTCGTAAAAGTTTTGTCATATAACAGGCAAACCATACTTCAAAAAACAATCGAACGAACATCTGTCAACGCCCCGTTGCATCTTGAAAATATAAACATCAACAAAGGATAAGCCACAGTGAGGAGTCAAGAACGACAGGTACGACGTTTAGATACTAGTGTGCATTGCCTCCGTGGAAAAAATTCACTCGCATACCGGCTAACTAGGACAATTCCATGTAAGATGATGCAAAACTCTGTTGGCTATCGCAGGGTGCAAATTACTTATTGGTATTACCTACAGATACATGGTCATACTTAGATGCAAGTCCCCGTATTGCTATGTCTATTAGGAAATACACTTTAGCCTTTACAGTTGTGTCAAAAAACGTACTAGGTAACTAGCGGGTTTTCTTGTACCAACACCAAACCCCGAATGATATATTTTCCGAAAGACTGTAACAATAGAAATAAAGTTCTAATTATAGATTGAAACTAAATAACAATAAAGTTCAAAGGGCACAAAACTAATGAAACTTATGTTGTAGGTAGGGGGGACGAGGTTGTGAGAAGCTTCATAACTTAGTATTACAGTAACATGCATATTCAGAATAGCCGGCCGGGTAATACTCCTTATTTGCTCTCGATAGTGTCAACAATAGTAGTGAACAATTCCACGTTGGAACAATCAATGTTGCCATTGATATTCAAATATATAGGCACTTGAAATTTTTTAGTCAATAAATTATTCAAGGATATTATTTGTTCGGTATTTGAACCAGGAACGAGATTGGTCGAGTATGAATTTATGGTGTAGACATAACTTCCCATGGCTTGGTTGTTTGTTTGATTGATGTATATCGTGATAGGTGCTTTGGGATTTATTTCATGGTTGTATGATATTATGAATGTATAATCAATCCCGTTAAGGTTAACTTCTTTAACTATATGGTTCATCAGAGTGGTCTAGGCCTTATCGTATACTCTTTTCAAACTTTTTTTTAATTAAACTTTTTTTTTTCTCTTGCCTTGTGTTCTTTTTGTTTTTAGTTAGATGTTGTTACATGCAGGTGTGCAACGTAGTAAAGGAAAGTTCTAGCATTGTACATGAGACATGATTTAACATGATACTAAGGAACGATCAAAATTAAGTAAACAACCGTTAGAGAATATGGCAAGGTATGTCCACCGTTCTCTACAGTTCCTTGAGGATGTTATTTGATTATTGACTTGCTTGGCAGCGACGGCGCAGATAATCTTGGATCATATTTTTCTGATTATTTTTTTTTAGAGTTATAACTGGTTCGACATAACCAAGTTAAGCATTTTTGATATTGTTGTTGTCGAGAACCGTCAAGGTTTTTCTTTGCTACTTGGTTACGATGGAAGACCGTTGCTAGGGTTTGCCTCGGATGTAAAGTTATCAGGCAATTTTGACCGATTAGTGGTCGTACATTTCCTTAGTCGAAAGTCATGCACTAATACGGCAACTTTTCTGTTCGAGGAAGGTATAAAATTATCAGTTGATTTTTTGTTTTGCCCCACAAAGAAAAAGTTAATTCTTTTTTTTTTTTGTTTGTTTGGGCCAACAAAAAAAAAAAAAATTGAGGTAAGGACCCGAACTCGCATAAAAAATAAAATCCAAAACAATTGAAAAAATAAGAAACGAATGGGAAAGGTAAAAAATATTTCCTTTGTAAAGGGAAATTGCAAACCTTTCCCATGTAAAGGCACAACCAAGAAAACTTTTTTAAACTTGAAAAAAAAAATCAACCTTTGTCTTTGTTAAAAAGTATTTTTTTCCTTTTTGAACTCAAACTAAATTTACTTGTTTCTTTCTAATCCAATAACTAATTTTCAAAGGAGAATTGGTATTTATATTGTGTGGGTCGATCAAAAGTAATAACCCTTTGGAAAAAACTTACCATTCTAAGATATATATTTACTCGCTTATTGTTGTATAATTTTTTTTCCCTTGTGTTTCCTCCCAACGGTCGGTTAAAAACCAGGTAAATCATGAAATCGTCATCGTCTCCTCCAGCTTCTCCAAGTTTATCCAGTACATCCACCAAATCCAGTATCAGCAGCTTAGAATCACAAACAATGAGTCTGGTTTCCAGTGACTGTTCCAAGGACTCGGACCCAGAACAAGAGAGTCACGAACAATCGGACAATAGTAACAAAAAAGAAAAAGAAGAACAAAGCAATGAAGAAGCACAAACGCAAGAACCTCAATTGATAAAATCTATAAATGAATGCTTGTTCAACGAAGTGTGCTCCGGGTTGAACTACTGCAACTTCCCTGTTCTTTTAAAGGTCGCGTTTGAAAAATCAGAACAACGGCAAGAGATTCAAGAGATTTTGGATGAATTCAAAACCTTGACTATTGACTTGCAAGATAAACTATACACTATTGGAATTAGCCAATCCAAGCCGGAGTTTGAACAGTTGCTTTATAAATTGTACAAACAACACATTGAATATGATTTGGACTATTCGAAATTTGTGTCCCACCCCGGGATTTTATTTATTAAAAATATGTCGAGCTGCTTGATGTTTGATGAAGGAGTTGATTCACTTACCATTGCCAGTGGGTCACCTGAGGCTGCCAAGAACAAGTTGTTTGACTTTTTGATGGAAAACTGTCATTTCAAGAGTGTCAAGGAGGTCAGGATATTCAACCAAGATAATGGCCAGAACTCGTTTGCTATTGTCAAGTTTGATAATTATTTAGATGTGGATATCTTGATTGAGGACTTCAACAAGCACACCCCCAACCCATTCAATACCAATCCTACCGTTCCGATGTTTTTGAATAGGTACCTTAATCGAAGAGAACGGTTCACTCCTAACAACTCGTTGGTGCAGCATAATATTAATACCAATGCCAACACTACCAACTGCATAAAGTCTTTGAATCAAGAGAATTTCAATTTGATTGTCGTGGAAAACTTGTCAAACTTTCTTCCTGCAACTTTCTCCAGCGTTGAATTTTACCAATTGATTTCCAAGTTTAAATGCTTTGGCAATGTGATTGAAATGATTTACTTTCCAATCATGGATTGTTGCAAGGATAAATGGTTAAAGGAGGAAAACTTTGCCAACAAGGAGGAAATCCAATTGAAGTGCTTTGACTATGGGTTCATCAAGTTTAAAACCAATCCAAACATTATGGACAATACCCTTCGGATATTGTATTATTTGAATAAGTTAACCTGGGATGAGTTTATCAAGTTTGATACCTACAATCTTAGTCCTTTGTCAAAGGATGAAGATGAAGAAGACCAAGAAATTAAAGGTAAAGGCAACACTGTCCTGATTACTATTGCTCAACACAAGCATAACCATTATTTATACACCAATGCCAATAACTTTTACTTATCCATGGGCAAGAACTCTATGGTTTCCATCAGCTACCCTAACCCAATGTATGTCTTGACCCAGTATGCTAGAAATTTGAATTACCAAGAAACAAATATTTACGTGAATAACTTACCCGTTGTATTCAACAACGATGATGAAGTATGGGAACAATTTTGGAAACAATTTGGTGACATTAAATCAGCCAAGATTATAAAACCCCAATTTTACCATCACGAAGAAGAGAATGCTAGTAAGTCAGGAAAAATTGGGTTTATCTTTTACAAGACGTTTAAACAAGCCATCCGAGCAGTATTATTGACCAACAATCGAGTTGTGAATATCGACAAGTTTAACCCAATTTTAATTCAATCTTCATTTGCTATTCAAAAGTCAAAATCAGCCAGTGGTAAAGCCAGCGATGTCACCATGTTGCCTAACCCAACTCCACTCATGATGCAAAATTACGCCTTGCCTAAACATCCACAACAACGTCAAAACAGTGCTCCAGGTGTACCAACCCAACTGCTGACCGCTTCTAATGCTGCGTCGGCTAACACTAGTATTCCTCGTCGTCATTCTCAACCACCACTGCAACAGAGTTCTGAATATTACAATTCATACGCAGCCTACCAACAGATGATGCCTTATGCTTACTATGGTTACCCCAACCCATACATGGTTTGTCCACCATACTAGGCTTGTTTTCTGCCCACCCCCCCCCCCCCCCCCTCTGACTTTCTATTTAAGTAGTATACTGTATATTTGCAACTACAATAAAGGATAGTTACATACAACTTTGTGTAGACACATTTCTATATTTACATGACTGAATTACAAACTTGGTGGTGCTGGTTCATTGCCTCTAGCTCTAGGAGTAATTGCCGCAGCTTCAAATTCTGGTTCCGGTTTTTCTTCTTCTTCCACCACTTCTTCATCAATAGCTTCCACGGTTTGAACTTCTTCTATATAGTACTTTAACATACTTTCAATTCCATTTCTTAAAGTAACAGAACTGGATTCACAAGAACGACAGGCACCTTTTAATTTCAACAACACCTTCCCATTGTCAGGTATAAACTTGACAAATTCGATATCACCACCATCGTCCATAATAGCTGGTCTGATTCTCGTGAATATCAATTCCTTAATCATACCCACAACTTCATCATCATCTTCGCTTATCATCATATCATTAGTGATTTGTTCTTCTTCCAAAAGTATAGGGGTCCCATTAGTCAAGTATTCTGTCAATATCGAAAAGATTTCTGGCTTGATCAAAGTCCAATCGATACCCTTGCTCTTTTGCACAGTTATGAAATCAGAACCGTACATAATCAGCTTGACTCCATCGATGCTGAACAACTTCACAGCAAGAGGAGAACAGGCTGCTTCTCTCCCACTTAAAAACTCCCTGGTTTCATTCTCACCAAGAATTTTCATGGAAGGCACAAACTTTAATGCTTGTTCATTAGGAGTTTCAAGAGTTTGAATAAATAAGTTTCGAAGGAAGCTGAGACTTCCTGTAGTTGTCCCCACTCTTGATCTGGCGGTTCGCACCAACGAACTGGTTAAGTTGTTTCTGAACATGTGTATACTCTGTCTTGATCTAATGATGAGAAATGGCAACGAGAAGCAAAATATCACAAAATTGCTTTTCAAGCGCTGCTGTTCGGACAAATACGGCCGGAAAAAAAAATGATCTCGCATGACTTCAAGTCACGTGAAAACATTTAAAACTAATATAAATGTCTATTAATATGTGTTATACAGATTCTTCAAATAAAAGTTTCTCAAATAATGATGCGGCATTTTCTTCGAATTTAGAATCGTCACTTCCATCGGAACTAATGCTTGAATCCAATTGTAATTTGTTCTTGGCTATCATTAACATGTTTTCTTCCACCGTCTTGTTAACAATTAATTTATAAACGGTCACCTCTTTAGTTTGACCCACTCTGTGAGCACGGTCTTCGGCTTGTTTGTCGTCATGTGGGTTAAATGATTGATCGAATATAATTACATTGTTCGCAGCCACTAAATTAATCCCAAACCCACCGGCTTTAGTCGATAATAAAAATACTGGGATGGTCTCGTCGTCATAAAATGCGTCAATTGTATCTTGTCTGGTGTCCACGGAAGTCGACCCGTCCAATCGAAGAAACTTATATTTGAAAAGCGTCAATATCTTTTCCAAAATGTCCAACACTTGTGTAAACAACGAGAATATTAACACCTTCTCTCCACGCTGGTTAATAATCTTATCGAGGATTTCTCGCAACTGAATAACCTTACCACTACTCAAAAACTCCTCCTCTGGCAAAACATAAGATTTCAAAGTGACGGGAAATCGCTCGCAAAGTCTATTCAACTCGAAATCGTTCATGACTTGCATATCCTCAAAGATATACTGTTGGTTAGCCTCAACATATTCCGGTTCATTCATGATTGCCTTGGCCATTTTCTGCAACTTGGCATCGTCATAATGGGTCCGGAATAACAAAGGATGCAAACAAGCTTTACGCAATTGCATAATGACATTGGTTGAACTTGGAATTGGATTATTCTTGTACTCCAAATCCGCTTGCTTTCTATCCATCAATCTTCTACGTTCTCGTTCATCTCGGGCTTTTCTTGCTTCCGACAAATAATCCTGGTAAATCTTGGTTTGACTTTCGGTCAAATCACAATAAAGGATTTCGTGGCATTTAGCAGGCAAGTACTGCAACACCTGGTCTTTACGACGTCTCAAAACAAACGGAGTCATCATGGTCTTTGCTTTCTTGATTGCTTGCTGGGATAAAAGCGGATTGTAATCTGTTGGAGTAGCTGATCTCGACTTGTTGTTAGACGAAGTTGCGGAGAACGAACTTGACTTTTGGTTAAACAATCCAATCAAATCTTCTTTCTTCTCTTCAAACAATTTCGGTAACATGAATGCTAAAAGGGAAACCAATTCCTTCAAATTATTTTGCAAGGGAGTACCAGTTAATAATAACCTGAACTTTGCCTTTAATCTCATCAACTTGGCATATCTGTCAGAACTTGAATTCTTTAATAAATGTCCTTCATCGTATACAATGACATTGAAGTTTTGCGATTTTAAAAACTTGAAATCAGCTGAAGACCCACTAGCTAAATTATAAGTAGTCACCAAAACTTCATGATCAGAATCAGTGGATAACTCGTACCGTAACTCTTCTCTATCCTTCATACTTCCATAATATGCTTGCACTTTAATATCAGGGCAAAACTTGGCAAATTCTCTTAACCAGTTCTCAATAGTAGATGACGGAACAATAACTAAATGAGGTCCTGGTTCTTCCATTTGCTTCAAGTGGGCCATGAATGAAATAACCTGACATGTCTTACCCAATCCCATCTCATCGGCAAGAATACACGATAATTTATTGCTGTATAATAAATTCATCCAATTGATTCCAACTTGTTGATAATTACTCAATGTGATGTCTTCGGCCAATAAAAGTGGCTTATGCTTGATATATTTCAACCCGCCCTTCTTTTGACGGGTGATTACGACCTCATCGTCCTCATCTTCCTCAGATTGACTGTCTTGGATAACTTCCACATCGCCATCGTCCAAAGGATCAATGTCAACCATGTTCAATTCACCTTCTTCACCAGTGACAGTGACACCCCAGGCCTTCATTTGCTTGGAAATGAAATCACCATACTCGGAACAGGATTTGATCAAAGAATCAACCGCTCTGTATCCCTTCAAATTCGACTCGGTGTGTTCAATAATCTTCATACCCAACTTCTTTCTCTTTCTTTTGTTAGGAACTTCATCAGGTAACAAAAAGTCATTTTCAGCAATATCATAAATAGTAGAAAATGGACGTTGGGAAGCAACGACATCAGCTACAGCAGGCTCAACCCCGGCAATATCAATCAAATCGGTGACTGGTGCGTTATTGATAAACTCGAGAATCTTTGCATCAATGCTGGTTATACCTACAGAGACAGCTTCCTCTTCTTCAGACATAGAATCACTATCATCATCTTCTTCAAGAAGATCTTCGTCATCGTCACTTATGTTAATAACCTTTTGTTGTAAAGTTTGCTGTTGTTGCTTTGCTCTCTTTCTGTTTTCTTTGATTTTCTCTTCCAATCTTTCCAAGTCATCATCTGCAACTATACCGTCATCTTCTTCTTCCTTATCATTGACGATAGACTCAATTTCGGTCATAACTGAGTGTTTTAACTTTGGAATATTTTCATTGAAACTAAACTTGCTCTTTAAGGAAGTGGCGTCTTTGCTATTGTTTTCTTCAACATGAGAAGCTCTGACTAACTTTCTCTTCTTTGGAAGAGACTCAAGGCGTCCGAAATTATCCAAAGTAGGTTGAGTCTTGGGTTTGAACTTATACTTGTCCAAAATTGATTGCTTTGGTTTGGTTATTTGCACCTTAGTTGAAACTTCTGCTTCTTTAGTAGGAGACATGTCTGGAAGACGTTTAACTCTTGCTCTTCCCTTCAACTTAACTGGCGATTCGTCTTCTTCAGAATAATCGGCATGCTTTGTATCATTCTCTTGTTGTTGCTGTTGCTGTTGTCTTATTCGTTCCTCTCTGGCTTCGTATTCCCGTTTCATCTTCTCCTCCATGTTCTTTTGTCTGATTTTCTCTTCTTCTTCCCTTCTTCTCTTTCTCTCCTCTTCTTCTTTGCGTAAACTCTCATTTCTATCAAAATTAGTCTCCAACCATTGCGTAATCAATCGAAGATTACCCTTCCCCTTGACAAACCCTTTAAAGATATCACTTTCACTAAGGTAATAGAATCGTTTTCTGATCACAGGGAAATCCTTGTGTTGTCTAATAGCTTGTCTCTTGGCTTCTAATTCTCGCTGTTTCGATTCTTCTAGTTTGGTGGTGAGTGAGGGAACATTTGTATTATGCTTCACGGGAGAGGAGCTGATATAGATGGGTGAAGAGGTGGGAACTTGGACATAATTCTCTTTCCCCTTTGGCTTCTCGGGAGTGGCGCCTTTGACTATCTGTGGATTGTCCTTCTTGTACCAGCTCATTTGTTGCTGTATGCTTTATTATCAAGTGATATGAGATGGCTGTTGGAAATTCTTTTTCTGCGCGGACATTTGATCCCGCACACAATGAGAGTTTCAAGACGCGTATCACACAAGCCTAGCCAACAATGTTATACATCATACTTGAAAGGAAGCAATAGAAAGTCTCTTGTAACTACAATAAGGGCATACACAATAACAGAGATACTGAAATTTTCTTTTTATAAACCTAGCAATTCATACTTATCCAGCAAGTATGTCTCATCGTTAAGATACTTCACGTCAGACACAGGACGTTCTCCCATAACACTAATTCTATACGCATGTCTGATAACCGGCTCGCTAAAATCTACACATGGGGTATGAACCGTGGTGGCATTATTCCATAATACAACGGTATTTTCACTCCATTGAATTCTCACTTGGAGATCATGAGCTTTTTCAACATGATCATACAAGAAATTTAACAAGTAATCTGATTCTTCGTGTTTTAGTTCCACGATTTTCCGGCCAAATTCCTTGTTCAAGTACAATGACTTTTCCTTGGTTACTGGGTTTTGTCTAATGAGAGGATGGATGTTGGCCTCGGGTTCCCTTCTGGTAATCCCACCGGCTCTCTTATTAGCTTCAGCTTGTTCAATCAGAGAATGAAGAACATGTAAACCTTCTAATCTCTCTTGCATGGCAGGACTTAATCTCTTGTATGCCTCCACACAGTTGGCAAATAAAGTATCACCTCCAGACTCAGGTAATTGAAGGCATGAAAAAAGTGTAAGTTGAAGACCATTAAGGGAATAAGAACAGTCGGAATGCCACGAAATACTGTTTGTACTTGATCTGAATGGAGTTTCAATTTCTTCTTGTGTTGCCCCTCTAAAAGTTATATGCATTTGTGGGAACCCTTCAGGAGATCCTGATGTTGGATGAATGTGTAATGGACCAAAATATTCCGCAAACTTGATGGCAAATTCCGGTCCTTTCGAATTGAAATCTTGATTCCTAAATGCAACAACCCCTCTCTCGGCTACAAATCTAGCAAGGTCGTTTTTGGCTTCATTTGTCAATTCGGATAATTGGATCCCACTCACTTCAGACCCAAATCTGGGAGTTAATTTCTTGACTTGATAATCGCCATCTTTTGGGAACAAATTAGACAATTTGGAATCAGCAAGCAATCCTTGATCGTAATACTTTTGAAATTTATACGGAGGGAATTTCTGAGAAGGATTCCACGTTGGTAAATATTCTGGATACTTTGATAAATGTTGGTTCTTTTCACTCACGGTGAATGCCCCATTCTTGGTTTTGCTATTATGGGCAGTTTGGAATTGAGAAGCGTCGTATTTATCAACAGCAACAGGAGCCATTTTGCTATGTTAGGTTTCAGGCATAAACTTCGAAGAAGCAAGTACTGCTTCTGCTATTTATAGTATGTCCGTATCGGTGAAGTGGGCCGATATGCACCATTGTATAGAATAGCTAACGAATATTTTAGGTATGCGAGCCACAGTTTCTCCACGTTTGTGTGATTGCAAAATTTCGCATTTCTTTTGGATGTTGGATAAGAAATTTTTTTTAGCTTAGCGAGCCACAATTTGATCCGTAGGTTGTAAGGCATTCTCTAATCTGTACACTAAATCATTCAAATAAAACTGTGGCATAAAAAGAAAGCATCCGATTTGACCCTCCTTGCTGGTTGTTTGATTTTATGCCAATCTGAGAAGAAGTGACAGAAGCTAATCCTCAATAATCTTATCTAATCGAGTCACAAGATCAAGAAAATAAGGATTTTGTAAAGATTCTCTTATCATTGCTCTTAACTCGCTGTTTGTAAGCTTCTTCAAATCAGTAAGCTCCTGAAGTGGGAGGTTTGGTGTTTGAACCTGAGGAGCAATGAAGGGATGATAGATATTTGTAGGCAAAGCTGTAGATATTGCAGGATATGTAAATTCAACAGGGGCAGGATATGTAAATTCAACAGGGGCAGGATAACTAGATACAACTTGACTCGGTTGTGTAGAGCCAATATCTTGAACTCTGATATTTCCTGTTCCAAATCCAAACTCATCATTCAATTTCAGACAACATGTTTGAAACTCAGCATCGCTCTCCATACTAATTTGAAATCGCTTAATGATCCGTCCGTATGCATCACATTGTTTAACTCCAATACATGGTGACTTGGAGAAAATTGATGTAAAACATTTATGAGTCTGGAACAACTTGAATTTGTCCTTCTTATGTTAGATTTGGAGTTCTGGTAATGTTTTTCATTTGTATTACTTACTAAAGAAGTGCCTCTCCACATAATTGTCACCATAATCTCATCTGGCTGTTTACTGTCCACAAGAAAATTGATTGAAAGATCACTTCTCTGAGGAAAGTGAAACCAAGTCAGGTTCTCTTTATAAACAGAATACTTTGTTATATTGAAATGGGACACTTTAGAAGACATAGAACCTTTGTTGATGTTATGGGCTGGATTTGCAACACTTTTTTGTGGAGAAAATTTCAGGGCGAGATTTCTACATAAATTAAGTATTGTCTCCAGGAAACAAACAAGATTGATTATGTAGACAAGAATTGTTATCCACCTTTATTGTATGTGTCTAGCCCTAAGAAGTGGACCTTGGCCTATAATGATATAAGAGTTAATATGGGATTTTCAAATCTAAAAATAGTTAGTCGAAGGAGAATACAAATCAATAGAATTAAAACCAAACTTAAGGACGTATGACCTGATTCATTTCTTGAGGTTTTATACAATTAGATGGTGTGTACTGTCCTCATTTAGTTCAATCTGGTGATTGTTGAAAATATACTTTTCACTATCACCAATATTATCATCTAATTTTCCCTCGCCTTGGGTAGTAGTCACGTAAGCAAAAGCTTTGCTGGTAACGGTTTCATAAGTCTGATCTCCTCCATTATCATTTACAGTAGTATGTATGATGAATGCCCTTAACGTAACTATCTGTACAGGGCAGGTCTCAAGTTTCTATGGCGCAAGACTGCTAACTCGACTGGTAACAGTAACAGTGTTGGTGTCAGTTAAGGCTGCCGTTGTTGGCTTCACACAATTGGCTGCCATTGTGGTACTCATCAGCTCATCATCCATGGTTGTTTCAATTGATCTAATTGTTTCATTTTTCCATGTAATTTCCTATGTCAAGGCTAAAAGCTACTGTGATATATGGGAGGCATCTGATAATGTTCCAAGTTGCAAAATTCTTTATTGCGCAGATATCCCAAAATCTCGAAAATAAACATCTCCCAGACCAAAAAAAAAAATAACAAATTAACCCCATGCTAATTCATATTATCGATGTTTCAAATACTATCCTGTGGTTCCAATGGAAGCTGCCAATTAGGAATTGGTGAAGAAAATGATATAGACCAGAATTCGCTCGTTCCTGCTCTTTTTGAAGGAGAGACTTCTGGTCAAATTGCATATAAGCCAAAGAAAATAGTATGTGGAGGAAATCATACTATGATTCTCTTTGAGAATGGGGACTTGTATTCCTCGGGGGATAATACGTACGGACAATGTGGATATACTGAACAGATCAAAAGTGGAATATTCCAGAAGGTCCCCGGCCAATGGTTAGATGCTGCCTGTGGTTGGGAATATTCCATTCTAATAAATAGCAATAATCAAGTATTTGTTTGTGGAAAGGGTTTAAAAGGTGAATTGGGATTGGGAACTCTGGTCACAGAAACTCATTTGACTGAACTATTTGCAGTATCTGGTAAACATATAATTAAGGTCAAGTCATGTATGAACCATACTATCTTGCAATGTAATGATGAACTATGGGGTTGGGGTAGTTGTAGAAAAGGTCAATTGGGCACTGTGGGCAATGTCAAAGTATTGTATACACCTACTAAATTACAGTTTGAAGGATTAGAGAATTGTGAAATCGTTGATTTTTGTCTAGGAAGAGAATTTACAATTATTCAAACAAAGAATAAGTTGTTGAAATTTGGCAAACTCATACTTGATTCATTGCCAGAGGTTCCAGGTTCCGAAGTGGGTACTATGTGGTCATCCATTCACTTGTTCAAAGACAGGACAATCAACTCATTTGGAAACAATAGTCACGGTCAGCTTTTCCCAAGTGATGATTCCGTTCCAGCTGAAAGGATGAGTTTGGGAAGCGAACATGGATTAATACTAGCTAATAATGTTGTTTATACTTGGGGTTGGGGAGAACATGGAAATTGTGGAGTCCAAACCAAACGGCCAGCAGACGATGTTACGTTTGATTACTTGAATGTACTATACAGTGGATCACACAAAGTAGTTCTTGTAGGTACAGGGTGTGCTACTAGTTGGGTTGTAATAGAAATCGATTAAAAAGGAAATGTCACGAAGTATCTTTCCCATATTCATCTAATGCGTTAAATATGATGCAAATAGACACCAAAATTTCTTGCTCAAAGATGGAAAATATGTTCGACGTAGTTAATATAGGACGATAGAACCATAATCAGTACATTTATTGTTGCATTGCAACCAGATGACCCTGCTCGACTTCCCTGTAAACAGAGAAAAAGAAGTTTCTTGGGCATATCTGAAAACATTCACTGATCAACTTCCTTTCTCATCCATGATGATATATTACACAAGATAATGAAACAATTCCCTTGTTTCTAATACCATGTTCATATACATTTTATTGAGCTTTTGGTTGCTTAGATAAAAAAAAAGAAGCGTATAGATTTTCTAGAATATTCAAGGCAAAAAAAAATTCTCATCTTCTCGCTACGACGTCCGGGTAAGCAGACCCTTTTTTAAAATCAGGTAAACCCGCATTTAAAAACACACCCTTGTAGCAAATGTCAGGTGTATGCCAATATTGGACAGTCAATACACACAATGAGTTTATTTGGGGCTGTATGTTCGGGCAGACCCATTCAAATGGCCCAACAGGTTGAGAATACAAAGTATGTGATTACCATACCCAATGCATCCAACGTCTCGTATATTACAATATTCCTACTCCCAAATTCCTCATTCACAGATACAAATTATACAGCATTGGTATATTTCCAATTGCCCAATAGTCAAGAATATAAATTACTTGGAGGCATTGGCCCCAATAAACCTTCTGCTATCTATAAATTGAACAACAATGCTACCAAAGTCAACAATCAATCTGATGAAATAGACATGGATATGGGAGAAGGACCGGTTGATTCGGCTGATACTACTACAATAAACATTGGAATATCAATTGAGCCTAGTGAGCTCGCTAGTCAATTGATTGAGCAGGCAAAAGTCAGTCAAACTTCTGCTTTGGTTGTTGCACCCAAACCTGTCCCTCGTGCTCCAAACGATACAGCGCAATTGGCCAATAAGATTGTAGGGCATGCATATAACTTTTTGGGTAGTTTTGTAGACACATCAGGTAAGGTACCTATAAAAGCATTTGACAATTGGTGGGATAAATTTAAAATGAAATTGCAAAATAATCCAAATTTTTTGGAAGAATTGCAAGAGTAGACAATTAGAATATTAGTTTGGTTAGCAACTGAATACATATTGTAATTACAACTGGTTTAAACCCCGAAACATACAGAGATAAAGTTTGGCTCGTGCATAGCATTGGCTGATCTTACGCGCAGGAACGTAACGTAACCAGATAGTTTAGGGAGGGATCAGCTGCAAGATTTGTTGGCTGCCATAATTTTTTTTTCCACTGATCCAATTGATATGAGACAGATATGGAACAAAGTGATCTCGGAAAAAGGACCATCATTAGCACATCTGCAGATGAGACATGTGTGATGCTTTTTTTGTGCCTTTCTTCCAGGACGGCAAACGCAATAGTTCAAAAAGAAATGTGTGTCCTTATTGTTGCACCACTTGGCAAAAGTGATGACCATATGACGAGGGGGATCGGGGGGGTTTGAATGGCATGACGTAGGATCACACGGAGAAGTGCCATAGTTTCTTGTTGCCATCACCCCCGAGCTCCACAGTTTGTTACACTAGTTAGCCAGGTGATCTCGGATATGTATCTCCTTGGATCACGTGCTGTGGCGTCAGTAACCGAAATTTCTTTTTTCAGTTCCCGATTTGCTTTTGTGTCACGTGAAATTTGTCTATTGTAAGGCGAAACCCACACCATTCGTTACAAGTGGCACAAAAAAACATTCCATCGCATCCAATGCCCTAAACAGAGCCAAGCAGCGCCATAGTTAGCGAAAATATTTTTTTTTCTTTTTTTTGCCCTACCCGTTTGCTTAGTGAAGTGTTAAAATTATAAATATGCTTACAAATCCAGCAGCAACAGATTTATTTCTGTTTTCTCGTTTAACATATCAAATCACACAAGCGATACCAGCTTACTAACTCCGGTTTAAATTTCTTGCATAGTATAAAAGTCCAACCTTTTACTCTATACGTCCATACCAAGTTTCGATTTTTCATCACAGATATCATTCAACTTTTATCTTATTTTCAATTCACTTAATTTTTACACATAACAATAATGACCATTGAATCTGAAGCTCAATACTCCTTCGGTACCAAGGCTGTACATTCTGGTGCTCCATTAGACCCAACCACCGGTGCTGTCATTGAACCAATTTCCCTTTCCACCACTTTTGGTCAATCTGAACCTGCTAAGCCATTGGGTATTTACGAATATTCCAGATCTGCCAACCCAAACAGAGACAACTTTGAAATTGCTGTTGCTGCTTTAGAAAACGCCAAGTACGCAATTGCTTTATCTTCTGGTTCTGCCACCACTGCCCTTGTCATTCAATCCTTGCCAGTCGGTTCCCACATCATCTCTGGTGGTGATGTTTACGGTGGTACTTATAGATACTTCACCAAGGTTGGTGACACCCACGGTGTTCAAGCTGAGTTTGTTGGTAACTTGGTTGAAGACTTGAGTGGTGCATTGAAGGAAAACACCAAGTTGGTTTGGTTGGAAACTCCATCTAACCCAACTTTGCAAGTTACTGATATCGCCAAGGTTGCTGAAATCTTGAAGGAACACGAAGCCAAGACCGGTAACAAGGTTTTATTGGTTGTTGACAACACCTTCCTTTCTCCATACGTTTCCAACCCATTGAGTCACGGTGCTGATGTTGTTGTCCACTCCGTTACCAAGTACATTAACGGTCACTCTGATGTTGTCATGGGTGTTTTAGCCACCAACAACGCTGACTTGCATGAAAAGTTCAGATTCTTGCAAAATGCCATTGGTTCCATTCCATCTCCATTTGACTCTTGGTTAGCTCACAGAGGGTTAAAGACTTTGCACTTGAGAGTTGGCCAAGCTTCTGCTTCTGCTCAAAAGATTGCTGAATACTTGGTTCAACACCCAGCTGTTTTAAAGGTTAACTACCCAGGATTGAAGTCCCACAAGAACCACGATGTTGTTTTACGTCAACACAGAAACGGTTTAGGTGGTGGTATGATTTCCTTCAGAATCCAAGGTGGTGCCAAGGGTGCTGCTCTCTTCACTTCTGCCACTAAGTTGTTCACCTTGGCTGAATCTTTGGGTGGTATCGAATCCTTGATTGAAGTTCCAGCCGTTATGACCCACGGTGGTATTCCAAAGGAAGAAAGAGAAGCTAACGGTGTTTATGATGACTTGGTTAGAGTTTCCGTTGGTATTGAAGATACCGAAGACTTGTTGAAGGACATTGAACAAGCCTTGGAAAAAGTTTCTGCTTAAACGGTGATGTTATTGTAGAAAGTTGTATGTATTATTAGTCGGGCATGATTTTATAGTTAATTATTTAATCAATAGAGCATTTTTAATTTGCAACCATTTTTTGTTTTTTTTTTTTCGTCAGATCGCGCATATGCAGGATCATAATGTAAAGCCACATTCGTAGATTTCCTTGGGACTATAGATGTATTCATACGGCTAGAGCTTTCATTGAGACTATATAAGTAGCATAAGGTCTCTTTATAATTGTATGCAAGGCAAGAGTTTTTGCTGTTGGTCAATATGTGATTCATATCTAGTTGATGCAAATGTATGTGTACGAATGCAAAATGAAGTTTTCCCCCAACCAACGCAATTATATTACATTAAACACTTCTTGCATATATACTACTACAGACTTATAACGAGCTGCCTGGAACTATATTTCAGTCTGTTGTAGGTTCCATTTAGTTAGTTGTGTAGTTTATTATCTTTATATTTTTGAACATTTGTGCACGACCATCTGACGTGTCCGGTTTCAAAAAAAACGGACTCCCGCAACTATGGGGTTAATTATAAAACCTTAATTAAACCCTTCTATAAGGTTCTTTTTTGTTTTTCTCAGTAAACAAAACATGAAATCAACTTGGCTCTTATCACTTGCACTTTATCTTACAGCAAGCACCACAGCAGCAGCACTTAATAATAGACAAAGTCTTATCTGTCAAAATCCAAACGACCCCCTAGACTGTTATCCCCGAATTTTTCAACCTAGCTGGGAGTGGCAAACTATTAAACCCGGACAAGATATACCCCCTGGATTACACGTACGATTGAACATAGACACTTTACAACGAGAAGCAAAACTAATGGATCCTAACGAGAACTCGGAAAGTAAAGAACAACAAGCAGGAGTGGTTGTTGTTGAGTCTGAAGAAGAGGTTCCACCATCTAAGCAAGAACAGTTGATACAAGAGGCTATAAGAAAACATAAATCAAGTGGCCGTTCCAAAGTCAATGTTCACGATTTGAACAATTTTGATGCTGCTATGGAAGAAGCAGGACAGTTTGACGTTGGCAAAGATGTTGAAAGGTTTAAGCTTGCATTGGATACCCTTGAAGATTTAAGTCATGATATTGAGTTTGGAGTAAGGATAACCAGAGATGGCCCTACCACGAAGAATTTAATCAAAGTTGCTACTGCATATCAAGACACAGACGTCACTGATCAAATTTATAGAATAATCGGTGCTTCATTGAGAAATAATCCCGAGGCAATTAGAAACTTGTTGGATGATGTAGACGATGTTTATATCCGTGATCTATTTAAACAATTACACGATTCAAAGGATGTTATCCAAAAACGAGTTCTTGGTATTATTCAAGCATTGGCTCAAGATTCGTCTTTTGCCAAACAGTATTTCACATTTGATCATAGTTACGGATTAGACGATATTGTCGATATCTTTCCAAGTTTGGGACCAGAATCAAGAATACGAGCAGCTAACATCTTGGAAGATTTGCAATTACATGATACTACAGAAACTAAGCGAGAAGAGCAAGTACCAGAACAACAATTCTCGCTGTTTATTCAAAAGTCATTGATTGAAAACAAAGTCATTGCCGACCAAATGAAAACTTACTTTACAAAATTAGTAGAGTTACATAAAGAAACTCCTTCACTTCAGCCATCCAAGGATTTCATAAGCTGGTTAGCTCAAGAAGTGGAATTACGCAAGGAAAACACCAAAAGAGACGACTATTCTCAACATGAGAAGGACTTTGATAGAGAAATGTTAATTGCTAGACACGAAGTGTTTGGCAACCCTATGGGATTAAGAAAGGCTTTTGCCGATGAATTATAGTTAATTTTACAATAATAGTGATAAACATCTGAATGTAGACCCCGTATATTTTTGGTTATACAAAAATCATTAAATGTGCTTTAAAAATACATGACAATATGGAATGAATATGAATTTTCTTTTCAATTTGTTTAATCGAATAAACCGAAACCCATGTCATCGTCGGATTCTTCAGCAGCTTCTTCTGGAGCAGCTTCTTCAGCGGCTTCAGTAGCGGCACCAGCGGAAGCACCACCAGCAGCAGCAGCTGGAGCACCAGTTGGAACAGAGGATAACTTTTCGTTACCTTGAGCAATTAATTCTTCAACGTTCTTACCTTCAACTTCGGCGATTAACTTTTCAACCTTGTCTTCTTCGACTTCAATGTCAGCGGCAGCTAAGACGTTCTTGATGTCTTGAGCAGATGGGGTGGCGTTACCGGCGTTAACCAATAATAAGTAAGCAGCTAAGTATTTCACTAGAGATATGTTAGTATAAAGATCATTTCATAATTGAATGGAGGGGGGACGTTTATGCTCATAAAGTTTTACAATGTTATTACATTATCAGCCATTATGTTGTTGGATGTTGTTTGATCATTCTCATTAACTTCTAAAACTAATGTGGTGGTGGTTGTTTAATGTAGACTTTTCATAGTGAATATTCAGTTGACAAGGTATACTAGTATGACATTATCCAGACCTTCCTTGGTCTGTTTCTTAAATCTTCTATTTATATTCACTCTAGGAACCGTATTTCCCCATCCATATCCTCTGTTTCTTCACATACTTGTTAAATATTAATTACTATGACAAGATAGGTAACCTGTTGTTAATGGTTAAGATTTGATATATCATTTTTCACCACCGCGAGTACCATCATACAAATTTTTTTCCAATCGAAGGTAGTGTGCGACTAATCCGCTATTAGGGCTTTCACCCTGGAGATGTTTTTTGCACGTGATTGAATTTTCTTGCAACCTATAGCTGCACCATATATCATTCTTCTTAAATGGGGAGGTACGCCTTAGAAAGATTTATATGAGATGCTTACTCAAGGAAAACGTTTGAAGATTCTAATATAGTGCAATGTGCCTACCAGCACCTGTACACTCATGTTTTGTTCGATAGAGAATTTAGCATCTATACTCCCCCATATGCCAGTATAAGACACTTTAGCCAACACTCACTGTAATCCGGGGATGTTCAAGGTATAAGTTCTTAAGTAAAACATTGGATTGTTTGAATTATTAACTGTATATCTGAGATCTTGCTGTCTCTTTTACGAGGCCTTGTTGTTCAATCATTCAGTAAGAAGCCTTCATTGAATCTACTTCCGCGTTAATAAATCACTTAACTATGTCTGTAGTTTATATTTTATTATTTGTTTATCATGTATTCTATCCAGTGGTTGCAATACGAAAGGGTTCCATCTTTGGCAAATCTTGGCGGTTTTGTGCGCAGCTATTTCCCGATATCGCGCAATCGACCGTATGGAGTGATGGAAGACTGACCAGTCTACTGAGATAATTTTATCACATTCCTGGAAGTATTATGATTTGGCTTCCCTACTAGCTGCGTGTCTCTTGTAAAGGAATATATAGCTTACGATTTAATGATGACTCGGGATATTACCATATCTGGAAAACTGTGGAGGCGGGTTTCCTGCACATAATTTATATTGTTCTGCGAAGTCAAACATTATCATGATTATTAATGCATCATCGTCAACACCAGCCGGTATCACTCGTTAATCTCCCTTCGCACCCCTCTAAAAGCCATGTCCCCTAAGCCATTCCCTGAATTATCGCCTGAGAATGAAGTCGAATTGACTGAGTCTCTTTTACAATGGTGTCTTGGTAATGGGTTAGTCATGTATCCCCCAAATTTCAACAACTTCAGTGCTAACAACTCCCCCATCACTTTATTCCCTACTCCCTTGCCTAAATCAAGTTTTACAACCGCTCAAGAAATACAAAAATTGTACAATGAGTTATACATAAATGTGGTGACAAAAGAAAAGACATGGTTAGTTGATATATTGAAGGAATTATCCAAGTATGACGCCGATTTCACAGGTAAGTTATTTGAAGTTTATCAACAGCTGCTCGACAAACATGGACAATTGGTCCAACCCTTGAGTTTAGGGTTATTTAGATCAGATTATATGGTTCATAGTGACAGCAACGAGATTAAACAAATTGAATTCAATACTGTGAGTGTTTCGTTTGGGGGATTGTCTACGAAGATTGGTGAATTGCACAATTACTTGAATAGCAGTGGTGCGTATGACCAAGCGCATAGTTCCAAGTATTATGAAGACAAAGAAATCCCCATTTCAAACTCAATTGAAGAATTGGCCCACGGATTGGCAGATGCTGATTTCCATTACAATGACAAAAAACAAGATTCAAAGACGATCGTATTGTTTATTGTCCAACCAGGGGAAAGAAACTGTTTTGACCAAAGACATATTGAATATGCATTACTTAAAAACCATGGGATTAAATCGCACAGACTTACTTTGGAAGATGTGGGTGAAAAGGTGGTCATCAAATCAGACAAATTGTACATTAAATCAACTTTGGATGAAGTATCTGTGGTTTACTATAGATCAGGTTATGCACCAAGTGACTATGATATCAATCCAGACAAGACTTGGTCCGCAAGATTATTGTTGGAGAAATCCATGGCAGTTAAATGTCCTTCGGTATTAACCCAATTATCGGGTGCCAAAAAAATTCAACAGATATTAACCAAGAAAGAAATTGTTTCTAAGTTATTACCAAATTCATCCACTCAAGATATTGAGAAAATATTGTCTACTTTTGTTGCCATTTATCCATTGGACGATAGTGAGGAGGGGAAACTTGCACAAAAGTTGGCATTTGAACATCCGGAAAGATTTGTATTGAAGCCCCAACGAGAAGGAGGTGGTAATAACATTTACAAGGAAAACATTCCCGGCTTTTTAACCAGCCTTGATAAAAGCGAATGGGGAGCATATATTTTAATGGAAATTATAAACCCTCCTAACTATAAGAACAAGATTATTAGAAATGGAGAAATCTTCCATGAAAATATTATTTCTGAATTAGGTATATTTGGGACAATTTTATTCAATGAATCAACTGGGGACATATTAACAAACAAAAATGCTGGTTGGTTATTAAGATCTAAATTTAGCACTAGCAATGAAGGAGGAGTAGCTGCTGGATTTGGATGCGTTGACAATATTTATCTTTATTGAAGTGGATCAATGCAACATTCTTCAGCAGAAGTTTCTCTTGCTTTGGTTTTCCTTTCAATGTCAACGGCCCATAATGCAGCACCTATCGTATTCGTAAATACAAGAAATAGATTAATTACAGGAATTAGTTCTAATATCAATGCCGCAATTCCAAACCCCATGTATTCAGCTCTATGAGCTCGAAAAATATCATCTTTTTGTCTTCTTGTATATCCTTTCAATTGGAAGTATCTTTGATGCCCTTGTAAGCCTCTTGAACCTGATTGTATTACAATAGTGAAGACTGGGCCAATAACTGGAATGAAATTAAGAATGAATATTGCAACTGCTTTGGCAATTGTATTGGGTAGTGAAGAAAGATCAGGTAGCATCAACACGTACCTTACAACTCTAATGTATAAAGGTACGTTACCAGCACGTCTAATCTTAGCCATTAATACTACATCATCAGCAAATTCTCTACTTAAAACAGCATCATAGGCAACTCTTTGGATATGGGGCATAAGGAAAAGGTTGACAATCAAAAGGGAAAGTGCCCCTGCTTGCAGGAGGATAGAGTACCAGGCGGCAACTATGCCAAATGGACCCATTAATAGTGTATATATTGGCGCCTCTATGGGGAAAAGTACAATAAACAGACATGAATAAATGACTAGGGTTAATCCAAGTTGAGGTATCATTATTGTTAGATAGTATGGCCAAATTGGAGGATTAATAACGAAGTAGGAAAGGCCCTGAATTGAAAGTGTTAGAAATCAATCAATTGAATTGGGAAACGACGTTGAACTTACCCAAAGGGCATATACATATGTCCCTGACAGAAGTATATCCCCTGGAAGCAGAAATATCAGAGTGTACATTAGTGGAAGGAGTGTCCTTGTGGCGGTTAGTAAAAGGAAGAAAAGTTGTTGCAAAAAAAAAGAAAAAAAAATGTACCAGTTAAATCAATACCAAATACAAGATTTCAGAGAAGGTTAAGAATTGGAGAGCAAATTTGGGAACAAACATTGGATATTCTTTTGCGATATCTAATAAATAAGGTATATAGTATGCTAAAGTTGAAATCACTAGGTATTTTGGATAGATCTTATGTATTACTCCAAATCTTGTACTATATCTGCATATCTTTTAACTAAATTCATACAAAATTAGGGCTAACTGTGAAACAGAAATTGACGACTATAACAACTTGGTTTCTGTTTGATAGTCAAAACAGTAGTTAAGTATTTCATTAAACTAAGTTTTGGTAGGTTTTAATAACTTTCACAGAAAGGTATTATCCCATCAAGACATGTTTTCTTGTCCTGATAAGAAAAAAATAATATTTCAGTCGAGAAAAATATGAAAAGTTTTTTCAAAAAAACAGGTCCCTTGGCCCAGTTGGTTAAGGCGTGGTGCTAATAACGCCAAGATCAGCAGTTCGATCCTGCTAGGGACCAGTTTTCTTCTAGGGCGTGTGGCGTAGTTGGTAGCGCGTTCGCTTAGCATGCGAAAGGTCTCCGGTTCGACTCCGGACTCGTCCATTCTTTTTTTTTTTATTATTTTTGAAGCAGAGGTGTTGCTTATTGGTTTTTGTTTTTGTAGGTGAGGATAGTGTACATTGGTTTAGCTACATGTTAGATTAAAAGATTATCGTTAAAATTTCGTTTATTAATAATATTTTTGTATTTATGTACAAGTAAGGCAACGAACAAATGTTACGAAAAAACCATTCATTTCCTTCGATAGAGAGGGTGGATGTTCTTCCATTTCTCTAAAGTTTATATCTTTCAACTCTATTGAATTTCTTTGCATTCTTGGCGTTGTTTCTAGTACCTTGACCACGAACAGGATAACCCAAGGCATGTCTCATACCAACATAGGACCCAATTGATCTCTTCAACTTGATGTCGTTATTGATCTTCTGTTTCAAATGGCCCTCAACTAATAGTTCCGAGACTTCTTTGTTAATGTCCATAATTTGGTTTTCTGATAATTGGTTGACTCTCATTTGAGGATAAATTCCTACCTTGGCGCATATTCTGGCGGCGGTGGTGTACCCGATCCCAAAGATCCCCTTCGCAAGTCCTATGGAGACTAGCTTATTGTGCTTGATTGGTTTACCGAAGATGTGTACAACCATAATGCTTTATTGATGAAGGTGGTATTGGATGTTTAAGTTTTTCATTCAATTTTTTTTTCTATAGTCAAAGAAACATGCAAACAAAATATTACAGGTTGAAACAAAATGTAAAATCATATCCAACATGTAAACCCCAATGACCCCTGTCAAATCAGTCATCAATAGCTAAAAATCGCTTGGTGTTCTTTTTCACAGCATAGTAATTCACAACCGTATACTATTTTTTTTGTTGGTTTATTAGAATATAGATAGACAGAATGAGTTTTATGCCTCAGGGGTCCAACCCAGAAACAGCCTCATTCACATGTAACACCTGTGGAATCAAGTTTGTCAGTGCTGAATTACAACGGCAACATATGAAGACGGAATGGCATAGGTATAATTTGAAAAGACGAGTTGCGCAATTGCCTAGCATAAGTTCGGAAGTGTTTGCTGAGAAGATCTTGAATCTGGGCCAGTATAAATATGAAAATGGTCGTGAGAATGAAGACGAGTATGGGTTTTATGTTGCTAATCGAAAGAGAAGATCTACTAATGGGAGACAGATTACTAAGAAGTCGTTAAAATCCCAACTGAGGAGAATCGGAAGGGGTGCTTCTACCCCTGTTTCACATCATGAGATAGAAGCAGATAATGAGGAGGATGAAGAAGAAGAAGAAGAAGAAGAAATAGACGGAGTTGATCATGATGAAGTTAGTTCGCAATTTTCCCAGTTTTCATTAGACGACCATGATGAGTATCATGAAGTTGAATCGGTAGATACTGGATCTGAGTTGAATTATACAGAATCAGACTTTACTGATTTGGAAGGGGAAATATTGTCTTCAGAAGAAGATAGCGATTTAGAGATCTATGAAGAGGAGGCGGAAGATATTGACGAATCTATGGAGGAAGCAAAGGCTATTCCAATAACACACTGTTTCTATTGTGGTCAGAACAATCATGAAATGGAAAACAATATCAAGCATATGTTTAGTAAGCATGGGTTATACATTCCCGAGAGATCCTTCCTTATAGATGTTGAAGGTTTGCTTAGCTATCTTAGTGAGGTAGTTTCCCTTGATCATGAGTGTTTGGTTTGTGGATTTGAAGGAAAAAATCTTGAGAGTATCAGACAACATATATCGTCCAAGGGACATTGCAAGATCCCCTATGAAACCAAGGAAGAGAAGTTGGCAGTTGCTGAGTTTTATGATTTTATGGACCACGACGAAGAACAACGACAACACGCGAAGGCTCCATCAAAGAAGCATGTTGGATTCAGCGATGATCCCCTGTCATCAGCTGTGATAGTTGAATACCTTCCGGCAGAAGAGGATAACGATGAAGAGTTGGAACAAGGTGGTAATGGAATCAATGATAATTATGCTTTGGTTCAAGTGGATAGATCTGGAGTTGAGTTGACTACACCTACCGGTTCAAGAATAGGTCATAGAACAATGGCAAGATACTATCGTCAGAATATCCCCTTGCCAAGAGAGCCGACCCAGGGACAACAAACTCAAGCATTAGTGGATCGAAGATTTGCTTCTGGACTTGATGTGTACCAAGTTACTAAGCAAGAAAAGGAGATCAGAAGAGCTGAACAAAGAGCCAAGAATGAGAAGGAGAGAAGAACAAAGTCATCTAAAGCTAATTATCAAAAGCATTTCCGTGATGAAATCTTGGGTACCTAGATATAGCCTGGTTAATGTTTTGTGCAGTTCACACGACTATATTAAAAAATAATTTTTTTGTAGAACTTTGTAGAATCTTCTAACTCTCCTGTGTGGTTTATTTTTTAAGCAGCCATGCAGCCAGAAAAACTAATCCAATTTTCTCTTACTACCAACACAACTGATTACATATTTACTTACGGGTTCTAGCCATATAACAACTATTCAACTCACTTATGCTTTTACACAAACACACACAGACATCGATCAAATTATATGGTTAAGGAAACTCATTTATACGACATTTTAGAAGTGTCCACCGCAGCATCAACCGAAGAGATATCCAAGAATTATAAACGACGAGCCTTGAAATGCCACCCCGATAAAACTAACCATGATCCACAGCTCACCGAACAGTTTAAGGAAATGACAAGGGCGTATGAAGTTTTGCGCGATCCCAACCAACGAACGATCTATGACCAGTATGGAGAGGAGGGATTACTGGGTGTCGTTGTTGATGAGCCTCAACAAGCACCAGCAGCAGCAGCAGCACCACCACCAGTGCCACCTAGAAGAAGATCGGCGTTTGCCACCGATATATTTTCACAAGTATTCAACGATATCAATAGTATGTTTTCACAGGGCCCCATGTTTGAGTTTAGTGCTACTAGTGCCCCAGGGTCTGGTCATCCATTCATGTCTACTACTACCAGTACCAGCACCATTTTCGATGGAACACAGTTTTCCAGCTCTGCATCTGGCTCTTTTGAAAATATGAAGAAAATAGTCGAACCTTGGGGAGAACAGGAGTTTATGCGCGGCGAAGACATTCACCATACATGCACCGTCAATCTTGCTGATTTAGTATACGGCAAAACAATCAAGTTACAGTTACCCAAAAATAGTAAATGTGGAGTATGTCAAGGAAATGGTGGATTCAATCCCAAAACATGCATACAATGTCGAGGAACAGGGAAGATTAAAACAACATTTTGTAATAGGTTTTCTCGATTCCAACAAACCGGAAGTTGCAAACCATGCAATGGAACCGGGATATTCACGCACTATAAAGATAAATGTCCAAATTGTAAAGCTACCGGTTACATTCAACAGTCCAAGTTGATTAAAGTTAATGTATACCCGGGATCTAAAGATGGCGACAGGATAATACTTCCTAGTGAAGGAGATGAAGGAAGGAATATCATACCTGGGGATCTCATTATTCATTTACGACAGAATAGACATCCGTTTTTAGTAAGGAAAGGACATGATTTATTTATGGATCACGAGATTGATTTAAAAACTGCATTATTGGGTGGTGAAATCCAAATACCAAATTTCATCAAACAAGGCCAATTATTAAAAGTTTATATAAACGTGCATGGAATTGAATCGGTAAATAATAACGATTCGATCCAACAGGGGGAGATTGTGGGAGTGATCAATTCTGATGAGCCCAAGATTTTGAAAGGTTTAGGAATGCCAATAAATGAAATGGTTAAAGGTGGAGAAATCATTGAGAATTTAAATGAAGTAGAGGAAATGAAAGAAGTGTTATTCGATTTAAGACGATACAACCGTGGTAATTTGTATATAAATTTCCATGTTAAATTACCAAACATTGGCGATTTCTCCCAGATGGATTTGTTGCAGCTCCAAAGTATTTTGCCTAGCGCACAACCAACTGGTGAGAATGGTTCCGAAATTATTGAATCGAATCTTGCGAATTTACCGGGGAATCCTAGGATATACAAGAGTGTCAGTCCGACAAAGTCTAGTTCTGGTGATATAGATATGGATATAAATGGTGGTTCATATGTTAATGGGAAACGAAGGAGGTTTTAACATGCTGCAGACATGTATTTGACAGAGACCATTCTGTCTTATTTATTATGATTTACGTTACTTACAATAGGTTTATATTACTAGGGACAGTTTGTTCTAGACATAATATAGATATGATCTAATTAAATTTGTAGTGTTTTCGCAGCCTTGGTGGGGATGGAATGGGGTAGGGGGATTTGGGGTCTGGCAAATGCGCGCACATTTTTATCTAACGAATGTGATTCATATTGTTTACACTAGCAATTAGCACATACCACCACCACCATGTCAGAAGGGAAAATTCTTGATGCATCATTAATCAAGGATCTATCCAATCACATCTATGAAAAGCGTAAGGCTACGGCGTTCCAAATTGAAACTCTCACCAAGGCAGCGTTGTCTCGTAATGACAGTCAAACAATCTATCGAATCATCAATGAGTTGACTGAATTGACCAACAGTGGTACCAATTCTGCCAAAATGGGGGCAATCACGGCATTAGGGAGCGTTTCTGTCGCCCTTGGTCTGTTTGCCATTGCCTACTTTTTAGAAGAAATTATCAAGCCGATATTTGCTACGTTTAGAGATACTGATGCTCGGGTCAGGTATTATGCCTGTGAATCACTTTATAACATTGCCAAGATTGCCCGAGGTGAGATTTTACTTTATTTCAATGAAGTGTTTGATATTTTGTGCATTTTAGTAACTGACTCCGAATCTTCAGTCAAGAATGCTGCCGATATCTTGGATAGATTGATCAAGGATATCGTCAGTGCCAAGTCTACCAATTACGTGTCGATCTTACAACAAGATCAAGAAGACCAACAAAATGAAATCAAGAGTCATTTAGTCGATGCCCAGGGAGTGGCTATCCAAGTAAACAATCCCCAGGATCCACAAAAGGCATTTTCACTTCCAAAGTTTATTCCTAGTTTATTGGAAAGAATGTACACGATTGATCCGTTTGCCAAGAAGTTCTTGTTGAGTTGGATTGAATTGTTTGATGATATCCCACTGTTGGAATTAATTTCGTTCTTGCCTAATATTTTAGAACCGTTGATTAAATTTTTGTTTAATAATTCTCCAAGTGATGTCCGATTGGAGACGGAGAATTTATTGAATGTGTTGTTGAAGGAGATTAAATCTATCGCAAAGGTCAAGTATCAAGTCAAGAAAAAGCAGCTCGAGCAGAGGAAAAAAGACGGAGACGAAGGTGACTCCAAGGATGTATCGGAAGACACCAAGGATGAGAAAACCCAAGAAGAAGCAAAACCAAAAGAGGATCAACAAGAAAAAGAGGCCAACCAAGACGAATTAGAAGAGGAAGAAGACGAAGACGCCTCAATTAAATCCCTGGATACAACAGTCATTAGAACCACACCTCAAACTAAATCCGAACCAAAAAACCCCGAAGGTGAAGTGTTCCTTATTGGTCAAGACATATTCATTGATCATACCAAAATCATTCACATTCTATTATCATTCTTGAAATCGTTTGAAAATGAAACCAAGAATGAGTTCGCCAATGAACCTCATGAAATCTACTGTCAAGTTCAATTCATTGCTTTGAAATGGTTACGCGAAATATTAGATATTTCTCCAACAGGGATCCTTAGATTGTTCCCTGATACGTTATCCATAGTAATGAAGAATATTGCCATCACGGACTCAGAGCGTGATTTCGAACTTCGTGATTCGTTCCTTAATTTCAGTTTAGCATTGCAAGAATTCTTGAACAAGTTCAATCATCAAAACGGGAACCGCGAAGAGGATTTGATTCTTGGAATAACTCAGGAAGTAAGTGACGATTTTAATGAAGTTCAGTTGCCAAAGACTATTAATGCTATAATCAAACAGTTCCTAGGGTCTACCAATGAATTATCGAGAATAACTTCATTACAATGGTTGATCTTTATCTACTCGAGAACTCCACAAGAGTTCCTTGAAGTATTTGTATCACCACTGACAACTTTTGATTTAACTGATTTGTTGAAATATTCAAATGATTCAAGTAATGAAGTGATTTTTAAAGTATTGCAATTGTTAGCAAAAATCTCAGAGTCAAATCAAGAGTTCTTTAAAAGTTTCATTATTAAACTAATTAAACTATTTGAACAGGAAAGCCATGAAAAATCCCATCGAGTTAAAGTTGACTTTATAATTAGAAAATTGTGTGTTAGTCTTGACTCGGAAATAATATTCACTACGTTATCAGAAGTTTTAACCACCATGGTTGATGACGATTTGGAGTTCTTGAATATGATGATTGTCACATTAAACAATATCTTGTTAACGGCCCAGGAATTGCTTAACTTCCGCAAGAAGCTTAAGAATCTTGACGTGTATAAGCTTGAAGATTGGCAATTGTTTGCTTCATTATTCCAAAGTTGGTGCCATAACGCTCCAAGTGCTTTATCGTTATGTTTATTAACTTCTAATTATGAATTAGCATTCCTAATCATCAAGAATCTTTCCGAACTGGAAGTTACATTCCAATTATTAACTCAATTGGATGTGCTTATTCAGTTGTTGGAATCGCCAATTTTCTTGAAGTTGAGATTGCAATTGTTAGAGCCAGAAAAACACCCATATTTGTACAAGACATTGTATGGATTGCTCATGATCATCCCACAGTCATCAACGTATACTACTTTGAGAAATAGATTGACTACAGTGTCAAGTTTGACACATACTGGTATGATAGCTACTGCTGCTACAGCTGGCTCTTCCACATCGGTATTAACAACCCCGGTGTCTACGCCAAGTGCAGGAGTAGTGTCAACGACCGGGGCAATCACGTCTCAATTGCTGATCAAGAGGAAACGAATTTATGAAATGTTGGACAAGTTTACCAAAGTACAAGATAAACATGAAGAGTACACCACAAACAAAGTCGGATATCAAGAATCAAACTATGAAGGTAGTATTGCTGCTGTAAACCTGATAAAGTAAATACTTCATTTTAAATATAAATTTAACATTTTGTAAATTTCACAGCCGAGGTTACCCGGACATCCACATTGCAAATGGGCCAAGGTCGTGTGTTTCTGATAATTCCATTTTTACAGGTTGGCCCACAATTTCCTTCAAAGTTCAACAAAAATTCCCACCAGAATTTTTCCAGGTTAAGTTGTTTACATTTTATCAAACTATAGATCAAGTGCTTGAACCCCAACCAGTAAAATCAAGATTCCACTGTCTTAGTGTAACCAGTGAAATCATCGATGTCAGATAGTATTAGAAAGTCAATGGTTCAAGTAGAGGCACAGCATGCCGCAGAGGCATTACGAATTGCTACCCAAACTGCCCTGCAACAGGCACAACAGGCACAACAACAGCAACAGCATCTCCATCACCATCACCATCGCCAACAACAGCAACAAGATCACCAGAAGTTATTGTTGCAACAACAACTTCAACAGCAACAACAACAACAACAGCAGCAGCAACAACAACAACAGCAGCAGCAGCAACAACAACAACAGTTACTTCAACAACAACAACAACAACAATCTCAAAGGTCACATTATACACAACAGATTCAGCAACGTGCAGAACAACAACAACATGACCATGAAAATAGAGTAACCCAAGAGTTGGAACAGGCTCTGCATCAAGTTCAGCAGTACAACGATCTTTCTGAATACGATTTGAAATCCCGCGATTCTAAATATAGAAGGTGGACACCTAAAATGGACCAATTCTTGATCAAGTTGCTTTCCGATGTCGTACATTCCTATCCTAAAGGTGCTGATGCTATCATGACGAAAAAGGCCTGGGCTTATGTCACTGGTCAATTAAGATTGGCCAACCCGGAGACTGTCTATTCTACATACACAAAGTATTCCTGTCAGCAACATCTAATCAATGTTACTCACCATCGATATAAGATTTGGTTTGTGTTGATGTTACATCAAAAGAATAACCCTAGCAATACCGGATACTCATACAGATGGAACCCGGATTTAGGAAGATTCCAAATCATTGATAATACTACTGGTAGTTTAATTTTGGATGAAAGGCAAGTCAAGAGTTTACTTTATAGCGAATCTCTTTCATTGCCTTCATTAAGTGCATTTAACAAGGGGAACCTTATAGTTAATGATTTTTTCTTGAGTGACCATTTAAAGTATATGTCAGTGTATCATAATGAAGTGTTGCCGTTATTAATCAGATTGGATGACAAATATGCCGAAGGGCTAGGAGATATCTACAGTGAAATTCCTAAGTTCGATTACCAAGAAGCTAACCATGAATATTTCAAACCATTGGTCCAGCCTAAACATCGAGTCACCATGTCCACCCCAGGATCAGCCAGTTCGACATCGCCTTCTGCCACTACAACCCCATCCAAATCCAAGAAACGACCACATCATCACTCCGAAGACGTCACGCTTCCATTTGCCAAATTTGGAGGATCACCAGAAGCTGATGTCTTGCACCAAACTCACCATTTGCCACAACAACCACAACCACACCTCCACCCACAACCGCATCAACAACAGCACGCTCTCGATGAATCAGTAGACCCCGCATTAAAGCGATCAAGAATACAAGATCAGGCCAACTCAATAGACTTTGAAAATGCCCTTGCCACTGCCGCAATCGCAGCAATAAATTCCGAGCCAGTGACCAATGGCCGTGACCCAACCCCTTTCTACATAAAGGACCGGAAATGGTTTAATAAATTGATCAGTTTACACGATTCTGGATTGCTTGGAGTTGATGAGGTCCTCAGTGTATGTGAAGGTGTAAGAGACAATAAAATCCCCATGTTTATGTTGAACGTGTTGGACAATTCCTATTATCCTAGTAGAACAGGAATGCTGGAAGATATCCCTGATGAAGAAACCGTAAAGAGGATCAGAGAATTTATGCTTCCTATGGTTTATAATTCATAGATAGAGGGGTTGAAATAGGGGGGGGGGGACGTGCATTTTGTATGGAATTATCAATAGAGTAAGACGTTTCTTGCTCTCGCGTATTTGTTTTGTAATATATTTGTTATTTATATAATTTGAAAAATTATACATAGTCTATCGGCATTGCAATGTATTGAATGACAACAAAAAGAGAGAAAGAAAGTGATATAAATTTTAAAAATAATTGTGTGAGATTTTGCAGCACTTTTATAATCAAAATTTTGAGGTTAGATAGAACCTTCGGCAAACATACAAAACTTTTGCTGGCAATAATTTCTATATGCCTTTAACTTAGCAAATTTGCAATGTATTAGACCGACCATTTCCCCTCATCCATTTACACAATTGAACTAGAATAGCTATACGCTAAATAATAGAGGACTTAATTTACTATGTTTCCCCACATAACCAATGAAGGTCGTGCAAGATTCAAATTGGAGTCAAATTTACAACCAAATATATAAACCTTAAACTGCCTCTCAATTGACAACCAGAGTCTTGGATTCTGAAGCAAAAGAGCAGCTAGATGTCTAACTCGTATAACCTGGAAATAGGTAGGAATGAGGTAGTTATGAAAAAAGGTAGGGGTGAAGATTTCTGGCCCAGTGGTATTGCTCCTCAAGATAGAGAGCAGTATGCTAGCTACTCAAATGAAGAGGAAGTTATATCCACTAGTGACCCCAATTGCAAATTGCTTACCGATAAATGGCTATATTTTCACGGATTTCTAATTGATAGAACTTTAGGAAAATTTTGTATTCATTATAATCTTCCCCGTGATGTATTTTATAAGCTTTCGTCATACCAATTAGATCGAGCTAGAGGCATTATCATGCAACTTATAAATGAAAGGGTATTCCGTTGTGAGAATTCCGATTTAGCTAAATATGCCAAGTTGGAGATATATTACCTCAAATTCGGCAAACTGGGCCTTATTGCAAGGAAAAACCAGGAAATCCCGGCATGGGACCCAGTCAGAGGTAAGCGAATTCAAGGGTTAGAGTTAGTAATCAGCGATATACGAGCATTGGTGTACGTTGATGAAACATACCATCATATACCAATTCCCCACCAACAGATTCAATTGTGGAACTCATCACAAATCCTTCAAGACTGCTATTCATATATCCAATATGGCCAAGAACATCTGGAAATCATCCGCAAATCGTTGAATCTTGATATAAAGTTTGAAGGAATCTATCTTTATCTAGAGGTTATGGAGGTGTGTAGAAATAAACGCTTGCAATCTCCAGATCTTCACCATCCAGTTTTTGAAGATCAATCGGAAATGCAAAGCAAAGAAAGCGATGAATCAATCATTTGCATGAAGAATATCTCATTATTCTACGAAATATTGTTGCTATGTGAAAAACTAAGTTTCACAACTGAGTTAATTGACAACAACATAATAACTAAGCTTAATATTTTAAAACCTAGAACTACAAATTTTGGGGAGAAACAGGAAGCTTGGTGTGATTTAATCATTCTTCTTATGTCAGAAAAGACGCTACTTTTGGTTCAACTTTTGGTTCCATATTTAGTCAACTTTGAAGACTCAAGTTTTTTAAACCATAGAGATTCTTTGCAAAGGCTAAAGGTTCTAATAAATTTCGCTAAGCTGGTGATATTTTCCAAAGTTGACTCCTCAGTTATAACTACCCAATACGAGTTAAATGAAAAGCTCACAGGGTGGAGGATCTTACAATTCATACATAATGAAATGGAGAAGGCCGCAGATCAAAAAAGCGAGATTAAATATTTTCAAAAAAGTCGTGGTGTCTCTAATAATCAGTGTATTTCGCAGACGCAGGTTACAAGCAAACCTGTGGATGCAGATAGTTCTTGGGTTCCTTCTAAAGAGGAAGTAAACAAGTATATCGAAAAATCAAATGGTAAGAACGTGTATACATGCACCTACAATAGTTGTGGGAAACAATTTCGATCCAAACAAGGTGTACTTCCTCATGTTAGAAGTCATTTGAATCCTCTTTTAGGGAACATGAATTTTGTGCAAGTAGACTACTATCATCAGGGTCCAGATGAGAACAAAATGTTCATTTGTACCTATAATGGTTGTAGGAAGTCATCAGGGAAGCTTTCACGTATACGCCGGCATATTCAAAGTCATATAAACCTGGAATACAATCTTCCACAACGGGAATTGGATCAATATTTGGGAGGGCCCAGATGTGAATAACGTGTATACTTGTGCCTATGACAGTTGTATGAGACAATTTGAATTCCGTTGTTTAGTACACATTCATGTGCAACAACATTCGTACAAAGCCATCGCAAGGTAGTTTGTCTGGTGACTATGGTTCTGGTAAGAGCAAGAGAGAAAGTTCCTATATATATATATGCTTGCATTGGTTAAAGAATATTTGTGAATGTGCTCTGTAATGGGTATAGCAATAGTATAATTCAGACATTAAGGAATCCTGTAAATATAAGAGAATCTTAGTTATCAAGTTTACATGAACTAGTTTAACGATTTTCCAACCATAATGAAATCATATATTTAAGGAATCTATAAAGTGATCTGGATTTTGAATCTCGTCGGAAGGTTTACCTTCGGTTCCAAATATAACTGACCATGATGTACTACCAGTTGCTACTGACCCATCAACATGTTGGCTGGTGGAGCCTGTGATTGTTGATGAAGATCTTTTTCTTGGTTCCAATTTATATACGTTAGATTGACGAAGTATATGTTCGTAATTGTAAGTTCGAGGATAGTTATCAGGCGTGTTTGGATATGACGGAGTAGATGCTGTGTATTGCCCAGATGTGTTTGCTTGAGAGCCTTTTATATTGGGTGAAGGTAGGATTATTGAGCCTTGAGAATGACCAGAATTCCCACGTGACGATCCTGACGAGGAAGAGGAGAATCCAAATGTGAATGATGCTGCTTGACTGTGATATGATAAATCTGCCGATCGTGATGACGAAGAAGTGGAAGAGCTGGAGTATGATGGTGTTTCTTGCTGAAGAGCAGTGTTGGCTTGCTTTAATCTATATTCCATTTTGGCGGCAATAGTTCTTCTCAATAATACTTCAAGCAATAAGCGTTTGTTTAATACTCGTGTGTCTCTTTTTGAAAGTATGGCTATATCATTAGGAAACAATGTCTCAAATTTAGGAGGGGCAGTAGTAATTTTCAAGTCAAATACCTCTTGTCTATATTTCGAGTATACAATATCCTTGAGAGAAGGATGTACTTTGTGGATCTTGTTCTGAATTACCCTTATACTTGGACGCGGACCAAATTCAACCAATCGTGACGTTAGTTTAGGATATACTTTTAATATTTGAGAATGGCGAAATACCCTCATTCTATGGGGCAACATTGTCAACAATGCTTGGATATAATCTCTCTGAGAAGCAAATTGGGCCAAGTCCTCTATTTTATGAAACCTGCTCTTTTGCTGCAATGATCTTGTCCTCCTAACTGGGAATCTAAACTTGGAACTTTGGTTCTTTCGGTGTTGTTTTCGGGGTTCTTTTTCTTCTTTCTTCAACAATTCGTTTCTCCTTCTTATACGTTTCCGATGTCTTAATACCATATCTTGCGATATAATAGAACCATTACGTCGAAGTCCATTAGAATCGTCAATAACTGTGACTATGGGATCAGGTTTATTGATTTTCTGTGGTATCCTTTCATATCTGAAGTTATCATGTATTATTGTTCTTTTTATTGGATTAGCAGTAGGTTCATAGATTCTGGTAAACGGGTTAGAGATTCCTCTTCCAAATCGTGATAGCGGCGACGGTTCTTGTGACTGGAAAATCGAGGAGGATGTTGATGATGATATCCCCGATCGTACTACCCTCTCTAGTGGTGGTGTGGTATATAGTTGTGTCATGTTACTTGCCTTTTCCCAAGGTGTGTGGTTGTCTGCAAATGGGGGGGGGGGTAACCGAGGTGGCAGATATGATGACAATGATGAATCAAAGCAAGACAAAGACACTGGATGAACAAAAAAAAATTTAAGCTTTTATAAAAACATGTACTCTATTGCAAGGAGGAAATATGTTAAAAATTGACTAAAATAGACCACAAAATACTTGTGTGTCTTGTAGATCAACCACAAAGTTTATTTGTATAGGGGAAGTTCGAAAATGGCTGGTTGGAAAATCAAAAAAAGAACTCGCACTTCGATTTTTTTGATTGCAAAAAAAAAAATATATTATTTTTTCTGTGTTGTTGTTAACCGAGATCAATGTACAATTACCAAATGGGGAATCCCTTGCCATGGATTATAGAGGGACTACTGACGGGGTTGCAAAGAAAACTAGCAGTATGTAGCTTAAAATTGCTTGGTATGCAATATTTCTAATATTATGACATTTTGTGACACAGGGCTCATGGTAACAAAAGGTTACGGTGGCTCCCCCTCCCATTTCCGATTGGGAATGTAACTGGTAAATATTTACTGTATGGAATGTACCAATTAAATTCTAGAATATCTCACTGTATCTTGAATACAAATCTGTTTAATCTTCTTGCTAGCAAATTATTTTTAGTAAAATTTCAAATAAATTTTTTAATAAAATGATAATATTTACATATTCAGTGTCAATATTTATATTTTCTACAATCTCACATTCCTTTCATGATCTATTTGGAATGTTCTCTCTCTCGATTCTTAAAACCAGCGGAAAGAAATTGTTTATATTTAAACAGTCGGATCCGATTAGTAAAAATGGCCATATACACCACAACACTCCAAACAACAGAAAACTGCACTAACTGTTTTATATCATATCCAGGATCCAAGCTCATATGCTTTACTAAGTGAAGGATTATTAAAGCTGCCCAGCTTCATGTATGTTATGTTATGTTATGATTCACAAAACCTATATTTGGGCTGTGATTAGACTAGGTGCATCAGGGCTTTTTCAATCAGTATAGAGTGGATTTATGCAGGAGAAATCTACACACTCCCTTCTTGACGAGTGTCCCCCCTTACTCGCCATCGGTTTGACATCAGTTTCCATGATCTCAATTATACGACTCATTAGTGGGAACACTCGTGAAAACACGTCGTTCATAACATGTCGTCGTTTACCGTTAATCGGGCGATTTAACGAATCCTGCATACTAACCACGCCCTTTCAACCAAACACACACACATTAGACGAATACGCACACTTAGCCCAACCAAATTTGACCACCAAAAAAAACAAAAACACACATTTTTCTTTTCTCCTCCTATTACTTCGATATTTATATAGATACTCAGGTAAAACATCAAGATGGATAAGCTTAAGGATGTATGTATATGATTTGTCACATGCGAATAACACGAGTTGATTGTTTCAATTGATTTTATTTGTTGTTTTTTTAGTTTGTGTGGTCAAGGGGGAGAAGGGGTCCAGATCAGGTACTGCCACCCCCTTGAAACAGGCACGTAATTTGATCTAGTTACAACTTCAAGCATCCAACTATTTGGGGCTCTATTTGACCTAATTTATTCCAGTATTGTCATGCACTAGTCAATTTGAAACAATCGACAGCGAGATATACCTTATGTTCTAGTACTAACGCCTCGCAGAAACTCAACAGTTTGAAATTGGATGCTGAAAAATGGCAAGAAAAGTCCGATGAATTGGCTGCCAGAATCAAGGAATTGGAACAAGAAAACTTGGAAAAGGATAACCAAATCCAGTCTTTAACTAGAAAGAACCAAGTTTTGGAAGAACAAGTTGAAAAATTGGAAGGTGATTTGGAAGCCGTTAAGCAAACTGCTGAAGAAACCACTGCTTTAAAGACTTCTAACGACAACTACACCAAGAAGAACCAAGTATTGGAAGATGAATTGGAAGAAGCCGACAAGAACTTGAAAGAAACCACCGACAAGTTGAGAGAAACCGACATCAAGGCTGAACAATTGGAAAGAAAGGTTGTTTCCTTGGAAGCTGAACGTGAAGATTGGGAAAAGAAGTATGAAGAATTAACTGAACAATACAATGCTGCTAAGGCTGAATTGGATGAAATCAGTCAACAATTGGAAGCTATCTAAGCTCCATTTTGCATTGAATACCCTTCTCCATCATTAATAACACACATTTGTAACATGCCGAAGTATAGCAGGTTAGTTTATAGTTTATTTTTTCTTAGTTAGTTCATATTAAATTTGGGATTAATATTCATACTATTAGTATAGGCGTGTGTTAATGTGTAAACTTGTAAGTGCTTGAGTGGAAGGTTATGATTGGTCTCGGCCACAATATTTTTTTGGCTTATTGTTTGACAGAAAATTATCGCTTGTGATTTCCTACACATTTTAAGGAACCCACGTTATCAGCTCTACTATACTACACATACACATTCTTATATAATAGATTTCATAATCTAGCTACCTGAAATTTGAGGGTACACGCACAAATGCCATTAATGGATTCACTACGGAACCGATTTTCCGATAATTTAGAGGCAAATCAAATCGATGACGACTATTCGGTACCGGCTCGGTCGTCTTCCAGCACTGCCCTAGCAACAGGGGTGGCATCATCACAACCAGAACAGACTACTTCGTCAGATACACAATTTGATCCCGATGAAGTTGTCCCGTCATATGAAACATCACAAAGAATATACGGAACAACACAAACCATAAACTCCGCCAGCGGAATCTACACTCCCATCCCATCCCTTCCGATTCCACTAACAATATCCGATTCCAATTCATCATCATCGTCATCAATCAATTCTATTCCGACCACTACCCACCCACATCCTAACCCACAAGCACCCCCTTCATTGAAACAATTGGGCCTTAAATTCCTTAATGCCCGTCAACATTTCGCACTCGCATTATGTCGGGATATCTCCCTTATGCCCGCTCTCATAAGTTTATACCAATCTTGGAAACGTATGTTCATCCACGACTCACTACTAACATCAGCGCGAGGGCTGGAACACTTTCTTGCCGGGTTGTGGTGTATTGTTGCGTCATATTTGTCATATTCAGTACTTGACGGGCTCATTGTACGATGGATTGTGATATATCTGACCCCGGCGGCCATAGTGCGAGTTCTTTCCATGTCAGTCATCATTATTGCCGTCGAGTTTTATCTTGTTTCCGCATTCTCAGCCCAGGGGTACAAGTATGGGTTACACATTTGGATCTTGATCAGTTGTATCCTCACATTTGCATATATTATTCAAAACTTCTTTACTTCGAATCTAGAATTGAGGCGAATCGGAGGAGCTGGTCATACCAGATCGAGTAGTAGAACTATCGAGGCCAGTGAAGGTAGAAATAATGAGCGGAAGAAGGAAAGACGAAGATTCTTTGATTTTTATAATATTGTTGTGTTTGCTGTGGTTCCGGTAGGATTGGCGAGTTTTGTAACTATGATTGGTCTATTACGAAGTTTATTAATCTTGAGGATTGATATTGAAACCGTGGCTCGTGAAACCAAACTCATATAGAAATAGTCACTTTTGCTCACTTAATTGCATATTGTTTCATTTCAAAACCGAAGTCCAAGATTACATTATACAAGGACCGTCTTTTCCTTGCTTGGTTGAATATAGCAATATTACATATACGAACCGGATCAGGATCAACCGGTATAATTTAGTCTATATAGGTTTAAATTATTTAGTTTTAATTAAAATTTTGCAATCATTAATGCCTAGTAAATGTTCTTTCCGGGTAACAAATTTCGAATTTCCAGTGTATAAAATAATCATCGCACCATCAATTTTTTTTAATTCTTTTACCTTTCTTTTCCTTTCCTTAATCAAAAAGCTTAATATTAATTAAGATAAGGGAATATTTGCCACGACGAGATAATGTAAATTGTCAAGTTATACTCGTTGCCATTTTATAATGTTCATTCCCGAGAGTACGAATATGGTCCCTATAGGAAGTTTGAATTTCGTTGGGTCTCTTCAGTGAGGCGATGGATTTTGAATGTCGAGATTTTGGGATACATCATTGTAATTGTAGATTCAATCTCTGTTATGCGTCAATTAGAAACGAATTTATGTATGACTGGTTTTCATTACGTTGTTGTGTTAGTCCAGACATGTCCTGGGTGCTAAACACAATACTTGCAAGCGCTCAAACCCCACCGATCAAAACATTTGACAATAAATTGAACCTTTTGTTTTAAGCTAAATGTGCATTCTACAATCACAGTAATATATATACGTTTATTAAATTATTTATAAACTGGAAACGTAGTATGACCAAGTGAAATGGGTCAAGAACACCATATTTTTTATCATTCTCATAATTGTACACAGTTAACGACGCAACTTATAACTTAACGGTACTTGTGGAAACCGATGTCAGTGGCCTTTTCTCTGAAACATTGACGACATAAGTCAATACCGTACTTTCTGATTAAACCAGTGTGGGAGGAACAGTGACGACATTGTCTTGAACCTTTACCGTAGTTTCTTGGGTGGGAGAACCAAACGTTTTCGTGAGCCATCTTGCTAAAGATAAATGTTAGTATTATGTTCTTCAAATTATCGAGTTACAGGAACAGATGAGTTAGGGATTGGATTGAATTGTTATTGTTGTTGTTTGCGTTGTATGGTAAATCTTTCACTATTGCGTATTCATACTGACTGCTTCAAATTTTGAATAGTTCATTCCAGCATATATATACATATGTTCACAAGATCCATAACGATAGTTCATTCTGCATATTTATTTGTAGTATTCGATGTATGTTCAAAGTGTAGATAATTCAATCTTTCATCGTGGTGGTTGATGGGCAAATTTTTCACTTATTTCAAAATAGGTAGATTAACACATCATACTTGCATCGCATCTATCACAGTTCATATCATGTCATTCAAGGTCGCTCTAATCTCGTTCCACGTTCATTATCCATCATGTACATACAATTTAACGTTAATGTATATAGAGTATAACTAACTAATTCTTTGAAAATTACACCTTTAAATTTTTTTCTTTACTTTCGGTGGTTAGTGTAAGTGCGCGAAAGCTGATCTTTCCTTGCAGCATAGTTAATTTTCCTGCATAGTTTTTTAGGATATGGTCGTGTAAACTGTCACAAAAAATTCAACATTCCAGGAACCAGTATCACATGATTAGGGCATAAACCCTAACATGTATCGCGTGATCTACACGCACGTGATTATCAATCTCATCTCAAATCAGAAAAATTATAGTACCAACAAGTATAATACATGATAACACAAGTTACAACATAACTGTGAATCAATATGGCTGGACATAGAAACACATTGAAACACGACCATAAGCCGTTTAAGTCCAAGCATGCCAGTAAAGGAAAATTAAAAAACCAGTACAAGGGAAAGGTCGAAAAGACCAGTGGTGCCAAATCAAACCTGACCAAACCAGTTAGTAAGATTGAAAGGAAGAACATTGCTAAACAATTGAAGGAACAAAAGATTCTCGAAAGCAAACTTACCAGAAAATTGTTTGAAGGTAACCAAGGAGCCGAAAAGATTATTACTGTCGTTTCCTTAACTTCTGATATACCACCAGTTGACATTGCCAATAGATTGTTCAACCAAGATGGAGCCAACATACAGTTTGCCTATCCTTCTGTCAACTCTATGCATGTTTCCCGTTTCAAGTCAAACTTGAAAGTCATTATTCCTAATCAAGATAATTTCTTGCATATCTTGGATGCAGCAAAAGTTTCCGATTTTGTGATTTTTGGTATAAGTGCCAACCAAGAAGTTGAAAAGGAATATGGGGAACAAATATTAAGAAGTTTGATTGCCCAAGGTATTGCCTCAGTCATTGGTGTTGTTCCCAATATCGTACAAGCATATCCAAAGAGAAACTTACAATTGGATGTGAAACAATCTTTACAATCGTACTTTAACCACTTTTTCAGTGCCAACGAAGAGAAATTGTTCCTGATTGAGAACGAATCAGATAACGCCAACTGTTTAAGAACTATATGTCAGAAATTCCCTAAGGGTGTCACCTGGAGAGATTCTCGTGGTTGGTTAGTTGCCGATTCTGTGAGTGCCAGCGACGAGCACTTGGTTGTGGAAGGTACTGTTCGTGGGGTAGGATTCAACGCTAATAGATTAGTTCATATTCCAGGATACGGGGACTTCCAAATCGACAGATTGGAAAAGATCAGAGGAAGAAAGAGGGCAACCATGGATGTAGATGATGTCGTTGATAGTTACCACCCAGATGAGAACCAAGAAACCTTGGACGAAATATATCCTGAAGAAGTAGACATGGAGGCTGACGACTACGATGATTTTGACTGGGAAGGAGAAAATAACAACCTTGGTGTTCGTACTGAAGGAAGAATCTATTTCGACGATGATGGTGTTAAAAGACCAATGGAAAAGAGGAGATTACCTAAAGGTACTTCAGAATACCAAAGTAGGTGGCTTGTGGATGATGTTTTGGAAAACGCTTCTGACTTGGAAGACGAAGATGAAATCCAACAAGACGTCCTTGAAATAGATGAAGAACCAATGGAAGCTACTGCTACTGAATACGCTACTACCGAAGTAGGCGATGCCACTGATATGCATGTTGATTTATCACCAGAAGAAGAAACCCGTCAACTTGAAGAATTCAGAGCATTAGAAAAGGATGACTTAGACTTCCCAGATGAATTAGAATTACACCCTAACGAATCCGCCAAAGAAAGATTAGCCGGATACCGAGGAGTCAAGTCATTAGGTAATTGTAACTGGGATGTTGATGAAAACGATATTGAAGCTCCAAGTATTTGGAACAGATTATTACGAATCTCCAACTATAAAGCCACCAAGAACAGAATCAGCAAGGAATATATTAAACAGACCGAAGTCACCGGTGGTAACAAAGTCAGAATCTATGTCCGTGCTCCAGTACAGTTGATCCTTGAGCGTGTCAACCCTGCTGTCCAGCCATTCACCATTTATGAATTATTAGAACACGAACATAAATTAGCAGTATGTAACTTTACATTTGAAAGTTGGGAAGATTATGAAAAGCCAATTCCATCTCGTGAATCAATCATTGTTCAATACGGTCCTAGAAGACAAATAATTGAACCTACATTCAACCAGGCATCCAACAACCCTAATAATGTCCACAAATCAGAAAACTTTGCCCATTTGGGCGCAACCGTGATATGTACCGCCATAACACCAGTCCTTTTCAACCAAGCTCCCGTAATTTACTTTAAACCAAGTGGAAATAATATTGAATTTATAGGTCAAGGTACATTCTTGAACTGTGACCACACAAGAATCATTGCCCAAAGAGCAGTGCTTACTGGTCATCCAGTCAAGATCCACAAGAGAGTCGTCACTGTGCGTTACATGTTCTTCAACCCTGAAGATATCAACTATTTCAAGGCAATTTCCTTATTTACAAAATCAGGAAGAACCGGGTTTATCAAAGAGAGTCTTGGTACTCATGGTTATTTCAAGGCTAACTTTGATGGTAAATTAACATCGCAAGATGTTGTCGCCATGAGCTTGTATAAGAGATTATGGCCTACAATTTCCTCAGCATGGACCGAGTAGATAGCATAGCAATAACACATTCATATATTAATATAAATAAAAACGATAAAATCAAATGTAATTGAAAACTAAATAAGGAAACCAAGAACGAGTAACCCTAATGCAGAAGCTCCAATTTTGTTGGCACCACCTTCGACAATAGGAGGCACAGTTGTACCAGGAGCTTCAGGTGATTCAGGTGATTCGGGGGCTTCAGGGGCTTCAGGGGCTTCAGGGGCTTCTGTTGATGAAACTTCAGTAGGTGTAGCTTCAGTGGGAGGTGCCTCTTCTGTTGGAGCTGTTGGAGGAACAACTTCAGTTGCTGGCGGAACCACTCCAGGAGGAGCTTCAGCAGATGGACCCTGTGCGGGTGGAACTGCAACTGGAGGTGCTACAGCTGGTGGAACTTCCCCAGGAGGAACTGCAGTAGGTGGGACTTCAGAGGGTGGAGCCCCTGCTGGAGGTATTCCCTCCGGAGGTACAACAGCTGGTGGTGCTACTTCTGGTGGTGCTACTCCAGGTGGTGCCACTTCTGGTGGAGTTTCAGCCAGTGGTGCTGCAGGTGGCACTTCACCAGGTGGAGCAGGTGAAGGAGTAGCAACAAGTGTAGTTGGAGCAAAGGGAATAGGTGGAGTTGGAGTCACAATGACAGAAGGAGCAGTTCCTTCAGGAGTGCTAACAATAATGGTTCCAGTGAGAGTTACAGTAGTAGGCACATCAACAGAAATAGTAGTTGGACCACATATAGCCTCTTCATCACAAGTAACCACCGTGATTGTTGTTGGTTCTGGACAAAAAGTAGTAAATTCAGTAACGGTTTCGGTAACAGGGAAAGTCACAGGAAGAGTCACAGTGACTACAGAACCAGGGAGTTCCACAGTTGTAGCTTCAGTAAAAGTAAAAGTAGTACCCTCGCATTGATTTTCATCATTGCATACACTATACGTGATAGTGGTTGGTGTTTCAACAGTGACAAAATCAGTAGTAGTTTCAATCAATATGACCTCGGTAGTGTAAACTTGTGTTTCAGTCAAAGTTTCAGTGCCAAGAACCTTGGTCTTAATAATAGTATCATTTATAGTTTGAGTTTCTGTTTCGGTAACTGTCTGTTTAATATTTTTAAATGTGGGTCCCAAAGCCAATACGCGAGAAGCAGTCGCGGAGATGAATGCAAGGGATGCTAAGAGTTGAGTCAATTGCATAGAAAATGTTGTGTATAGTTATCTATAACAATAACTTTAGACATGTAATTGTATATTCACTGGGTATTTATAATTCAAGAATGGTTGGTATATTCTCCTAGTGTTATTTGCAGCATTTAAGGAAGTTGCAAAAAAAGAATAATTGTGCGCTGGAATTACCACAATTCTCGTAAATAGGAAAAACTACACGCAGATGAAGCTAGAGACAATCAATATACTTGGGAAACCATAATTGTATTGGAAAGTTCAAGAAATATAGATAGATCATACTCCAGAAACACCAAGGCTTGAACAGATCAAATTAAATTGTGATTGTTTACTTCCTTCTTCTAGTTTTACTAGGCATAACTTTAACTTTAGAGTACATTTCCGAGCATTTGGTTGCAAATTTCTTGCCTACAGAGATCACCTTCCAATTAAGGTTTACTTGGATGATACAACAGAGACATATCATTTATCTGAAAAAGTCTTTCTACTATACACGTTCGCTGTTTTTATATTGGATAAATCTAGTCAAATTAATCCAAGTCTCTTCCAATCTTAACTTCAATTGGGGGTGTTTATGCTTGTCCAATTTCTTATAAACCAGTTTAATTTCCGGTTCATATTGTGCCAACTTGTTTGAATAATTTTCACCAACATATATTTCCAAATCATAATCAAAGCTTGAATCACCAAAGATTTCATAAATCAAGTTTAATGATTCAGTTATGATTTCCACCATTTGTAAGTTTGTCGATTGGGTCAATCCTAATTCGATGGAGTTCATTAAAAATGTAGAAATTTCTTTAGTGAGTTGGGTGTTGCCAATGATTGGAGCTACATTACCCAAGAACCCGACAATGGACAAGTATAATCTTAATTCATCTTCGTTTTCAGTCTTAACACGAGCTATTAAGGAATGAATCATATCCTGTGGGATTAATTGTGATACTTGTGGGCCCAATGATCTTACTAAACCCCACAAAATGTTCAAAGAGAGATCTTGAACATGGGTTGTTTGTGAGGAGGTAGTTGACAAGTTGAGGATGATTTTCCAGATTTCGTTACTGATATCATACCATTCAACTGGGTAAGTTTCATTACTTACCATTAACCAGGTTAAGTTATTCAATGCACCTAAAATCTTTTCTAATAATTGCAAACAACCCTCGTTATTGATTTCAAATTGAAGTAATTCACGTATGAGTGGGTAGATATTGGAAAGTAAAACGGTTTGAACATCAGATGATAATTGAAGAGGTTCAAGGGTGTCTGAAGGAGCAGAAAGGTATTCCAACATGGATGTGATGATATCTAATGTAACTTCAATGCAAGATAATGTGGACTTGATTACGGACAAGTCCAGTTTAGCGACATCCTTTTGGATATCTTCTGGAGGATTGGAGATTGATGCTAACTGCGTTTTCAATTGCATTAAATCAATGGTGGTTACTTTTTCATACAAATCAACCAATTGTTTGGCGACAACCTGTTGGTTATTATTGTTATTCAAGACTTCGCATCCATTGTATTCAATACCCTTTAGGTAAACATATGCTAATTTGTTGTCTCCGGTTTTCACATTTGAAATAAAGTCAAATAAGTTTGAAACTATGCTGTTTAATTTGATTATAAACTCAGCTGATTCAGTTGAGAATTCGTAGATAAACTCTAAAGTAGAGTTGAACAATTTGTCAGAAATACCACGAGTAATTGCTTCTTTAGTTCTAGTTTGAATCAATTGTACAACAAAAGTAATAATTGGATCAAGCTTCTCGAGTATACGATCAAAAATCTCATCTGATCCACTTGCCAAGACCATAACCAAACTGAGAATGTTATCAGCGAAGTCGTTCAATAATTCAACCTTTGACTTATCTTGCTTTTCAGTAGGATTTTCCCATAAGTACTTGAATGAGGTATTAATTTTCTCCAAGGAAGCTTCAATCGTGGTCCAGATGTTACTTCTCCAGATATAAGCTATAACATCATACCCTTGTTCAATACACAAGTTTCTCAATAATCCAAAACTTTCGACAGTAATTTCGTCATTAGAATCAGTAAGGCACTTTTCCATCAATATAGGCACTAATTTCTCCTTAAGTAACAATCTTCTCATACGTTCATCCTCAGCAAGAACAGTTATAGCCCCAAGAGCCATTGATTTATCATTGGCTACAGTCAGGCTTAATTTGTTGATCAAAGGAACAATCTTGGATTGGATAGTTGATTCATCCTTCTTAGCATCATGTGTTGATGGACCAGCTATAGGATTGAGTCTGGCACGAGCATTCTTTTTGTTTCTTTTGAGTTTACCCATGATGGTTGTAAAGAGATGGTGAAAAGAATGAAGAAGCAAAAAAAAAAAAAAAAAAAACTAACGATGAGTAAATATCACAATATCCCTGTATTGAAAAACTATGTACAGATTTCTACTCTTTCTTTGGCTCATTAGGGTCTTGGGCATTTGGATGGACAAACTCTTTATACTTGTCAACCACATCTTTCCAGCTTTCAGGTTGATCTCGATCAACGTACCCTATGTCTATGTCATCACGTAACATTCCTCTCTTTTCTAATGATTCACTAGTAGTTTTGTTAGTACATGTCCAATATTTAGAACACTGGTTAATGGGATACATACACAACAATAGGTTTCCAGAATTTAACTCCGGTATACCAACTTACAGCACCCGCAAACACAATAGCAAGCACTTTGGCTCCATTTGACGACATTGTTGCTATACGGTCCTTGTTAATGATTGTCCAATAGAAGCAAACCAGAGATTTTTTTTAATTGCGGTGGAAATTTTTAGACGCAGTCACGTGAAATGATCAACTGGTAGCATACCGCTATGATAAGTGTTTTCATCACCAAGGTGCTTTATCGTAGAAAGACAATGTGCAAGATAAGGATGCCAGACAGCAAATAAGACAGACAGAATACCTAATCTGAAAAGCAAATTCACGTTCTCACTCAGGTGTTTAAGCATAGAATGGAAGGTACGCCCACATTCTTGTTTTACCCCGAGAATTGCTAACCATTGTCGTATTTCTCATTGATGCAAGACTATGCAATTTTTTCAAGCTGATTATTAGCAAATTTACTTAATTGTAGTTAGATTTCATCTAAAATTGGTTTTGAACGCTGCTTGAAGATTAGCAAATGTGACTAATTGTTTCCGCGAGATTACGCGATTCTATTTCTATAGTTTCGACTTGGCAACCATAGTGGGGCAAAAGTTATGCAGGACCTCATCACTATAGTCTATATTGTTTCGGGTAGGATGGATATGCCGAGGATGACGTGACGTCATAAAACAATCCTTTATACAGGCAGTTATTCTGTCAAAGTTTGTGCTATATTTATTTTTCAGGTGGACAATGTGGTGGAGGCATTATTTTTTTCCCTATGGGATTCAAGTGGGGGATTTTTTCTTCCATCTAAAAAGATTTTTAGGATATTTTTTTTGCATTCTGCCGCATAGCGGCTGCAACAAAATTGGAGGACACGTTAAAAAGGTCAACTTTAGCCTAGCATTAAGATCATCGTCGGTCCTGTATATTGTATGTGATGAGTGGTCGGCACGATAAATATGTCAATGTAATTGCGTCGGAATAAATGTGAAATGACGTAACCCCACTATTTTTCCGGTGTATAGCACACACTCACATGAAAAATGGACACGGCAAACAAACCAAGAACAATGAACTGTTTCACTCCCACATAAACACCTCCGGCTATATAAATTGCCAGCATTCCCTCTGTATTTCCGCAATTTACTTCTTTCACAACAGTAAAGAAATTAGATATGACGGAAAGAAAAGATAGCGCATCATTCCTGCAAGATAGCTCCAATTCCAGCGGGAACAATCAATTCCCAGATGAGGATACAACAGTTTACACCTACTTGGGTATGAAGGGGAAAAGGCTACATCATGCTATTTCCTTCCTTGCCGGTATGGGGTTTTTACTTTTTGGGTACGATCAAGGGGTCATGGGCTCTTTATTGACCTTACCTACATTCAGAGACACATTCGAATCGATTGATACTACGCGATACCCTGACCGAGCCACATTCCAAGGTTTTGTTGTTGCCATTTATGAAATCGGGTGTTTGATTGGTGCTTTATTCACCATGTATATTGGTGACAAAATTGGTAGAAGAAAGACCATTTTTGTTGGTTGTATTATTATGATTATTGGTGCTGTCATTCAAGCATCGTCATTTTCTGTCGCACAATTAATTGTGGGGAGAGTTGTTACTGGGTTTGGTAACGGTATGAATACAGCTACTGTACCAATGTGGCAATCAGAATGTGCCAAGAGTAAAGATAGAGGTAAGTTAGTTATGGTCCAAGGTGCTTTAATCACAGGTGGTATTTGCATTTCTTATTGGATTGATTTTGGTTTCTTCTTTATTAAGAACAGTTCAGTTTCATGGAGATTCCCTATTGCTTTCCAAATAGTCTTCCCGTTATTCATTTTACCATTTATTTTAAGATTACCCGAATCTCCAAGATGGTTGTTAAAGACTGGGAATACGCAAGAAGCCACTAAAGTTTTCTCTTCTCTTGATGAAGTATCAGTGAATGACCCAAGAATTGTTTATGAAGTTAATGAAATTGCCGATTCGATCGAAAAGGAAAGAAATGATGCTACCAACAAGTCCAAGTTCCGTCTCTTGTTTATTCAAGGTGAAACTAAGAACTTTCATAGAACATGTTTGGCTGTTTGGGCACAAATCATGCAGCAAATCAGTGGTATTAATTTGATTGTATATTACGCTGGTACCATTTTCGAAAACTATATCGGAATGAGTCCAATTAATTCAAGAATCTTGGCTGCTGCTAATGGTACCGAATTCTTCCTTGCTTCATGGGTTGCCTTCTACACTATTGAAAGATTCGGTAGAAGAAAATTGATGTTGTTTGGTGCTGCTGGTCAAGCTGCCTCGATGGCTATTTTGACAGGTACTACCTGGGCTGCCAGTCCTAAGAATAACAACGACAGTGGAGCCGGTATTGCTGCTGCCGTTTTCCTTTTCTCCTTCAATACATTCTTTGCTATTGGTTGGTTAGGTATGACATGGTTATACCCAGCTGAAATTACTCCTTTGAACATCAGAGCTGCTTCTAACGGGTTGAGTACTGCTGGTAACTGGTCATTTAACTTTATGGTGGTTATGATTGCTCCTGTGGCGTTTGAAAATATTGATTCTTACACATACACCATTTTTGCCGTCATTAACTTGTTGATGTTCCCAACTGTGTATTTCTTGTATCCAGAAACTTCTGGTAGAACTTTGGAAGAAATGGATAAGATTTTCGAATTATCCAATCCTCGTACTCCTTGGGATGTGGTTAAAATTGCTAGAGAGTTGCCTTATGAGAACCAAATGCACAGTGGTGATGTTGAAAAGGCATCAATGTAAGGTGCTAAATAGAGTATAGTTTGTATATTAGATTAAACAAAGTTTCGATTTAGGATAACAATCAGGTTCTGTGTATGCTAACTACATTTTTCTCTACAATAAGTAAATGTTGGTAAATATTGGTTACTACCACTACTACTTGTTCAAGTGAATACGATAAATACTCGTTAATCATTACTATACATCTAATCAACTTCACTGTCACTATCACTATCGCTAGGAACTTCGCTCTCACTAGATTCAATTTCCTCTCCAGCTTTTTCTTCACAACCAACAACACCCCACTTAATATTGGTAACCTCTTCCAACCTAGTCAAAATCTCCGTCATTGGTGTAAACAAACCAAACTGTCTAAATTCACCATCATAAGAATGCAACATACCAAGAACACCCAATCCCTTCGCATCGCTTTCTATATCTTCTAATTTGGTAAGAATCCAACTTCCACTATCACCACCTGATGCGAATGGTGTGATATTGTCGGGAGAGTTCACAATGAATTCCAGCGAGTGGATGGCTCCATCTTGCCAGTATACCAACTTGATTCCGTTAAGATTGCCTCGGGTGTATTTTGTAGTGGACCCGTACTTAAACACGGGTACTCCATGGAGTGATTCTTGGGGATTATAGGAGGAAACTGTAGAATCAACCTCGGTATTGGCAGGTACTGGTTTAGGAACATATCTTGACAAATTTATAACTTTCCTAATGTACAAATTATCAAACATCAATCCAGGGTCGAATTCATTAAATGGAATATCATCGCCGAGGAAATTCCTACATGATAGCTTCTTGTTGATTTTCACAATTGCCAAGTCACTAAGTCTCTTTTCAGGAACGTCACTTATCCCATTTACAATGTTATTCTCGATCAATGTACGTTCACCCCAGATGATCTGTCCAAATCGTAAACTAGGCAAATTTCTCATTTGTTGAGTGTTGTTATTATCCAGTTTGACTTTCTTGATAGGGAACAACTGATCCAACTGGTTTAAAATGGATCCATACGCTACTTTGGCTTCATTATCACTTCTAGTGTATTGTGCTGACAATGCGTTTTTATACATGGATATTAAGACCGAAGAAGGCATACTTACATGAGGATAAGTGGACTTGTTTCCATCAAGACAAACATGACCACATGTGATGGCAAATTGTGAATGAGCATAGTAGGATAATTGAGGATGGGTTTGTGTGTTAATTATAGGGTATATGTAACCTCCTAATGTACCTGATGTTCTTACGGAATTTTCCAACGAGATAGACATCGACATTGGTGGTTGGGTTATATCTGTGGGTATTCTGAATGGGATTTTAAACTTGATTGGTGCGGTGATTGGGTCGTGAGTAGGTGCGGGTATTGGATTTGTTGTTGCGGCAGTAGCTGCTAATTCAACCTTGTTCTTCATGATCATCATATGGATATCATCATATAGTTCATACAAGGATTGTATGAATCGAAAATGATAGTCGTTTGGTTCAGGGTATCCGAAATAAAGACAGAGAATGGACAACTCCTGGGTTATTCCTCGAGTAATGGGAGCCAAGAATGATCCCGATTGTTCCTTTATTGGTAAGTTCGACTTGCTTATCTTTTCCACAATTCGTTCAACTACTTCTTGATTAGGTAATTTCACTCCACCGTATCCTATAGCATAATTCTTTGGTTTTACAATTTCGCTAGTTTGTAGTCTGCTTGATGAATCCAAACACCCGGCAAAATCGTTGAAATGCTTAACTAGTAATAATTTCAACTTGATATATGCTTCATCTTTTAACAAGTTGTCGTAAAAATTAAGATAGTATCGAATGATTTGTCGAACACATTTATTGTTTTCACTGGTGAATTTCCAACTGGAAGATCTCTTGTCCAACGAGTTAGCTTTTGCAATGAACCGTTTAAAACAATCAATAGCGTTTATAACACAGGTTGTTAAGTTAATTATTCCGTGATTAAACTGATTAACCACGAACGAAACATCCTCAACTAAAGTGACCAATCCGTCACTTACAATCTGACTTGCACTTGTAGTTTCGTCGGTCTCTTCGGCCACCATATTCAAAGTATGCAAGGCTGTACCAAATTCCTTCTTACCGGCACCGGGGGCACCGCTGGAAGAACCCAGGGACATATATGACGATTGCTTAGTTGAGAATGACTTCTTGGTGCCGGTGAATAACGAATAGTCGTTCATGGTTGTATCCATGGAAAAATCATCATCATCATCTTGATTCCTGCCAACAATAGTTGGATTCACATTAAGATTCATATCGACGTTACTTGTTTTTTGAAATATCGGATTAACTGATTCATCATGAGATTCGTTGGATTGGTTGCTGGTGGTAGGTGCTATATCAACCGAACTGATCAGGGGGTTGACCGAGGAAGATCCTGGCTTAGGATCTTTACGTTTAGACAACAATCTCTTCATTATAGAGTTTGATTATTGTGCTGTTGTCTGTTAAACTGTGTAGGCCACTAATAGGGGGGAGGTGTTTGTAGAACGCCGTGTTTGGCGGTGGTGGTAGCAGTAAAAAAAAAGTGACATTGCGAAAAAGAAATTTTACAATCACGTGATACACCCAGAATCACGGGACTTTTCTATACGAAGGCGATAAGCGATATAGGAATCACACAACAAACGACGAAAGGTGCGCGGATTTGCTAAGCACAGTGAAGGTACACCCCAAAAGAGCAGTCACGAAATGGCAAGCCGGCTTTGCGATTTCTGAATGTTTCAAATCGGCAACCAAGACCACTTCTAGAATGTGCATTGTTTGTTCTAGACCTTTTTCTGAAATCAAGATTTGATTGTTCGGTGCAAAGGGAACGGTCACGTGATTATGTTGAAATCTTGAAACACAATAGATTACAGGAGGGCTGTAGTGGGGACAACCTGGTAAGGGGAGAGAGCGGGGTGAGTGTGATGGCAACTATTGACTATTTTTCACGCCAGGATCGAAAGGACTACCCGATACGAGGGAAGAAACAGGTGATTATTACGTTATCTAATGTATAGATAACCCCACGGATAACTATAATCTTTGTTGGGCATGCACTGATAAGGAGATATCTGTCTGTACAAGTACACATGACATACAAAGTGACAACCTACATTTGTGTCTCTGCATTTAATCTATGGCAAATGTGTTTAAACTTTCGGCAGCAAAACGATTCATAACATTTTGGTGGTTACAAACTGTCTCGCCCTTTTCTCCACATTTTAATTTTTCTTGTTTTGCTTGTTCCGGTTTTTTTTCGTTCACTTCTTTTTTTTTTTTTCTCTCTCTCTTCTTGTAAAATCTTAATGACCTTTTGATTGGTGCTTATCTATTGCTAACTACTACACCATGCCGGTATATTCTATCAGTCATGTCGAGAACGTGAGAGTCTGTGTTGTCATGGTCGGATTGCCTGCTCGAGGTAAATCGTTAATACTGCAAAAAATTGTCCGTTACTTGTCGTGGTTGCTGATAAAACTGAAGTGTTTTAATGTCGGTAACTATCGCCGACAAATTGCTACTATGCCCATAGAAGTCGATGCCAAGTTTTTCGATCCCAACAACGAGGAAGGGTTGAAGTATCGTCAGCAGGCCATTGATTTGGCGATTGATGATATGATGAGGTGGTTCAGTGACGAGCAAGGGGTGGTTGGAATTTTAGATGCTACGAATTCCACGCGGGCCAGACGGGAAACTATTTTGAAATTGTGTCGGGAAAATTACATTGAACCCATGTTTTTGGAGAGCTTTTGCGATGACCAGGATTTGGTCTTGCAGAACATTTTGGATGTAAAGACAACCAGTCCTGACTATGTCAGCAAGCCCCAGGACTATGCCATGAAGGATTTCTTGCAGCGAATCGAGTACTACAACCAAATTTATGAACCAATGGATGCCGTGACTGATTCCGAACTAACCTTTATCAAACTTGTCAATGTAAACAGTCAGATTATTCTCAACAGAATTGAAAGCTATTTGGAAAGTAGAATTGTTTATTATGTCATGAACTTGCATATTAAGCCAAGATGTATTTGGTTATCAAGACACGGGGAATCCGAATTTAATGTCACAGGACAGATCGGCGGGGATTCAAACCTATCTACTCGAGGGTGGAGATATGCCAAGAAATTACCCGAGCTCGTACTTAAATCCTTGGGTCCCGATGCTCAACATACAAATCTTACGGTGTGGACATCAACATTGAAACGTACTCAACAAACTGCATCCTTCTTACCCTATAAGAAAAAGCTCCAATGGAAAGCTCTTGACGAATTGGATGCCGGTGAATGTGATGGTATGACGTACGAGGAGATTGAACAGAAATTTCCCGAGGATTTCAAAGCCAGAGATGACGACAAGTATGAATATAGATACCGTGGAGGAGAGCTGTATCGAGATATAGTCATTCGTTTAGAACCAATCATTATGGAATTGGAACGACAAGAAAATATCTTGATTATAACCCATCAAGCTGTGCTTCGATGTTTATATGCTTATTTTATGAATGTTCCTCAACACGAAAGTCCTTGGATGAGTATTCCTTTACATACATTGATTAAATTAGAACCAAGAGCTTATTCTACCCTTGTTTCGAGAATTAAGGCCGATATTCCTGCTGTCAGTACCTATAAGGAGAAAGGTACTTCCCAATTGGGTGAAAGTGTTGAGGGTATGAGTCTGAAGAGTAGAGACTTGATTAGTGCTAGTGCTGAGCTGTAGTCACGGCAAAGGCACGAGCAAACCAGGGCGGGCGGGGCGCTGTGGCGTAGCGACTATTTTTTGGGGTCGAGCTGCGCTTGATTACCGCGCATACAGTATTACCACGAGCATGTTCCAGTGTATATTATTTTTATAGCGATGCATATACAATATTCGTAAACTATCACCTATTTGAATAAACATAAATCTTAGCCTCGTGTGAGCCGTTGCTGCGACAGTTTCTTTTTTTACTGTTGGTAACACATGCCTTTTAATGCAAAATAGTATGCTATTGGAGTATTCTATATGTTTACACTACTGTTGTGGGCTTCCATTTAACATCTATTATTACAAAACGAGCCATACTCGTAAATACATAACTATATATGAATCAAGACCAGAGTAACCATTTTTAGTTTTTGTTTTTGTTTTGTTTGCATAATGAGGAATATAGCAGAGCAGTACAAAACTAGAAGAATCATTCGTTGTTGTGCCTGTGATATTCGCTCAGGGTTATGGCTACCATTTCATACTCTTGACTCATGACTAAGCGGACGCATATTTCTTTGCTTGTTCCTTGACTTTCTTCTCATACAATGCTCTGTCCTTCTTATATGCCCTGTAAGCAGGTTCCTGAGCAGGACTTTCGTCGTTTGGAGTATCCAACAAATCTTGCACCCCTAAAACAATTTGCTTCAACGTGATTGCTGGTCTCCAATCTTGCTCTTCATTCAAAATACTCAAACAAACAGTCCCACTAGGGTATACATTTGGATGAAAGAAATTAGCTGGGAACCTAACTTTAGGTGGTTTGGAAGGATATTCCTCTGGGAATTCAATAGTTATAGGATATACGGCATTAGCCCAAAGTGTGTTTTGTTTCCCAGGAATCCCCGCGGTCCATTGACGAAGATCAAGAGACCCGTCGGCAGTTTTCATGGGTTTGGCATAGAATCCAAACGGATGGTCCTTTCGCCATTGTTTTCTTTCTTCTTGAAGGCGTATTTGATTAAGCGACATGATTTACCGGTGGTGGATGGGTCACAATCCAAACAACCAAAAAATTTCTGATTCTGCTTTTTTTTTTTTTTCAAGTGAAAGTTTTTACAACAAATTTGTTATTGCTGCCACTTTTTAGAGACAACACAACAATGGCTACGTCAGAGTTAATCCATTCGTTGATCGAACCATCCCAGGAATTGACCTGGGATTTGCTAGATTTAACCACACCTAAACCAACAGCCAGTTCTGTAGCTCAATTATCCAATTTTCTTATAAACCCACCACCAATCAACCGTACCAGATTCAGATTTAAACGGACAGGTATAGAAGGCAATATAACCAGGTATGCAGAAGAAATATGTGACAAAACTGAGTCAGAAACACAATCTCTTTCAATGGGTCGTACCCATCAGGGGAAATCCCAAACCATGTCCAGCAGAAAAGTGATGCCTTTCCAACCAGGGGGGTTGATCAAGAGTGTAGCTAAGGACCATGATGATGACGAATCAAGATTGCACAGGAACCAAGTTGGGTTGTTTGATATGCCACCGGGGTTTTCCAGAGGATTGTCTGTTGATGCCAGTGACAGTGGACTTGAATTGGAACAGGTGGACGACGAAGAAGAGGAATCAATTACAACCATTTCCATGAACAAAATTGACACCAAGGCTTCTACTGATACCGTCACTGAGGCCACCCATGATATTCCATTTGATACTACCGAAATTGAAGGTCTTGTTCCATTTAACTATACTAATTTCACCGCATCCACTGCAGCTAACGCAGCAAGCGCCGTTCCTCAACATACTTGGGCCCATGTGGTTGACCTCGATCACAAAATTTCTGATTCAGAATTCTCAACATTCGTCCCTAACATGGCAAGAAAGTTCCCCTTTGAACTAGACACATTCCAAAAGGAAGCCGTGTTCCATCTTGAACAAGGTGATTCTGTATTTGTTGCTGCCCATACATCCGCCGGTAAGACCGTGGTTGCAGAATATGCCATTGCCATGGCAGCAAGAAACATGACCAAAACAATCTATACTTCACCAATCAAGGCCCTTTCCAATCAGAAATTTCGTGATTTCAAACAAACGTTTCCCGATGTCGATGTTGGGTTAATCACCGGTGATGTGCAAATCAACCCCGAGGCAACTTGTCTTATCATGACCACAGAAATTCTTCGAAGCATGGTGTATAGAGGTGCCGATTTGATCCGTGATGTCGAATTTGTTATTTTCGATGAAGTACATTATGTTAATGACATAGATCGAGGTGTTGTTTGGGAAGAAGTCATCATTATGTTGCCTGATCATGTCAAGTATATTCTTTTATCAGCAACTGTTCCTAACACATTTGAGTTTGCCAATTGGGTGGGTAGGACAAAACAAAAGGATATTTACGTTATAAGTACACCAAAACGTCCAGTGCCCTTGGAAATATTCATCAGTGCCAAGGGGAAAATGTTTAAAGTTATTGATGGAGAAAATAGACGATTCCACGAGGATGAATTTAGAAAACATAAGGATATTCTTGAACCCAAACCCAAGGATGATGCACCACCAACCAGAGGTGGAAGAGGCGGTGCCGCCAGAGGTGGAAGAGGCGGTGCCGCCAGAGGTGGTGCCCGAGGTAGTAACCGAGGAGGTGGTGGACGAGGAGCACCTCGAGGTGCAGCTAGAGGGGGCGCCAATAAGGGAAGAACTCCATATAATCAAGATGGCCCAGGAAAAAACACATGGTTGGATTTGGTACACCAATTAAAACCAGCAAATCTCCTTCCAGTGGTCATCTTTGTGTTTTCGAAAAAGAAGTGTGAGATGTATGCTGATTCCCTTCAATCAGTTGATTTCTGTAACGGCCGGGAAAAATCGGAAATCCACATGTTTATTGAACGTAGTTTAGGTCGGTTGAAAAAGGAAGATCGTAACCTTCCCCAAATCATCAAGATCAGAGAAATGTTATCCCGAGGAATTGCTGTTCACCATGGTGGTCTTTTACCTATTGTTAAAGAGTTCATTGAGATCTTGTTCAGTAAAGGGTTAGTTAAGGTTCTTTTCGCCACGGAAACTTTTGCCATGGGGTTGAATTTACCTACCAGAACCGTTGTTTTCAGTTCATTAAGAAAACACGATGGTCGAGGATTTAGAAATTTACTCGCGGGAGAATTCACACAAATGAGTGGTAGAGCTGGTAGAAGAGGATTGGATAAAACAGGGACAGTTATCATCATGACATATAACAATCCATTGCTGGTTACTGATTTTAAAGAAATTGCATTGGGTACACCAACAAAACTTTCCTCGCAATTTAGATTAACTTATAATATGATTTTGAACTTGTTAAGAATTGAAGCATTACGTGTTGAAGAAATGATCAAGTATTCATTCTCGGAAAACTCCACACAAGTATTACTTCCAGAAAACCAAAAACGTTATGATGAGTTAGTTGATGATCTTAAAAATATCACAATAACCCCATGTAAGCATTGTCATTTGCAAGATGTTGAGCAATTCTGTGAATTGTTAAATCAATATGAAGAATTATACGGACAGTGTGTTGCCGATATTCACGATTCACCAGTTTTGAAAACTCAAATACTTCGTATTGGACGATTAGTATGTTTCCGTGATAATACCACATTAGCTACCAGGGTCGGGTTTGTGGTAAAATCCGTAGCTGCCAATAAGGCCATGCTTATACTTACATTTGACCATGGACGTGAATATGAAGAAGCTGCCGAAAAATACAAATTGCCATATATTCCAATTCCTACTTATATTAATGCTAATTTCCCAAAGATTGTTTTCTCACAAGGATTTAGAATTGCCAGTGTTCCATATGAGCAAATTACATTTGTTGGAAAATACTCGTTACGAACACCAATGAATGATATTATTGCCAACATTCCCGAAGCAATCCAAGAAGCTAGCGTGGCTATTAAATTAATCTGTAAATATCAAAACCGATTTGAAGAACAAGATTTCAAACAAGTGGCCCAGCTTTCCCTTCATGGGTTAACTAACGAAAAGACCAATTTATTGACCAAGATTGAACAAATGAAATCCATATCCACCTGTCGTGATTTTAGTCTTCATTATAGTCAATATCATCGTCAATTCATGCTCACCCAACAGATCAACCAGCTTCAACGACTCATTTCCGATGAAAACCTTGACCTTCTTCCAGATTATCAACAACGTCTTGAAGTTCTTGAAACATTGGGATTTATTGATGAGGGTCAACATACTGTGGTGCTCAAGGGTCGTGTAGCATGTGAAATAAATTGTGGATGGGAACTAATCATAACTGAACTTATCCTTGACAATTTCCTTGGTGATTTTGAACCAGCGGAGATTGTAGCTCTTCTCTCGTGTTTCGTGTATGAGGGAAGAACCAACGAAGAAGAGCCACCATTAATCACACCTAGACTTGAGGAAGGTAAGCTGAGAATTTTGGATATTGCCAAAAAACTTATGCAAGTTTATACCGAAAAACAAGTTTCTTTAACAGCCGAAGAGACCGATTTCCTTGAAGCCAAGAGATTTGCCTTGGTTAATGTCGTATATGAGTGGGCTAGTGGGTTAAGTTTTAATGAAATTATGCAGCAGAGTGTTGAAGCAGAAGGTACTATTGTGAGAGTTATTACTAGATTGGATGAAGTTTGTCGTGAAGTTAGAAATGCTGCTTTGATTGTGGGTGATTCGGGATTATATTTGAAAATGGGCGAAGCGCAAGAGAAGATCAAGAGAGATATCGTCTTTTGTGCTTCATTGTACTTGTAGTGGTACTAAATCTTATAGACTTTTTAGGGTATATAGTTAAAAATTTTGCACCCAATTAATACTATAGAATATTTTCTTTGGTCTTTTGATAAAATATTAGCAACAAGTAACTTCATTTTGAAACCATATCAATTTTTATCATACATGTTTGAAATTATATTATGAAAATTTTCTAAAATTCTCAAGAAATTCCATAATAAATAGAAACAACTACTGTACAATTACTAATAAAATCAAACTCACTCTATAACTATGTACAGGTATTTAGATGTCGACGATCTTAGAACATCTTTGTTTTAGATAAAGTAACATATCTATCTAAAAGGGGTATTTCAAGTTTCGACCAGGAAAATGTACCCAACTTACCAAACTATGATCAACATATTTCACGGTATATAAATCATCCTCTTTAGAACTTAACAATGATTTGAATAATAGTTTTATATTATCAACAATACCAAGATTGTCTTCGTGTATTGCCCAAGCCCAATCCTTCCAATCTAATATTCCTTCCCTACTGAAAATCAATGGTGTTTTATATTCATGGTATTGTTCAAGTGTCACTTCAGCCGTAAAGAGATAAAGTCCACCAATCTCAGTGGAATCACCATTAGTAACATCCCATGTAAGTACACCTCTTCCTTGATAATTTGAAATTGACAAGCCTGTTTCTTCAAGGGTTTCTCTTTGGATGCATTCTAGGGGGGTTTCTAAAGGTTCGAGTTTACCACCAACTCCATTCCATTTACCCATCCATGGAGCCTTGGTTCTATTTAATAGAAGAACTTTGTTGTTTTCCTTACAGTAGATGAACCCAAGCGTGTATTTGAGTCTCGGTTCCAGTGTCATCCTTGTTTCTTGCCACGCGTTCACAGTGTGTTGTGTTGCCTTGACACGCGTAATTAAGCTCATTTTTCATTACCCTACTTTTTTTTTGTGATTACAATGGTTGCCAAATATGTTAAATGTTAGATAAATGAAATAAAATAGAGTTCTATATAATTGTCTGTAAGCCTTACATATAAGGATTGGTAGCTTCATTAAGGTAATCCCAAAGTTTATCACAAGCTTCATCCTGAACAAGATCTTTTCTTGCACGACCTGGGGCTCCAAAGGAAATATTATGAGTACCATCCTTGACATCAGGGGAAAAGGCAGCATATAATTCGGTATAAGCACCCATTCTCCTTGGATGAAAAAACAAATTGTAAAGCACCTTTTCAAAAGATGTAGCATATCTTTGTAAGTCAGTGTTTAAGAAGCCAGGACATACAGAAGCACTAATGATTTGTGAACCAGTGTTATGTTTACGAGTCCATGTTCTTGCCTGCATAATAGCACCAGCCTTACTTTGTCCATAAATCACACTGGGGGCAGCATTTGTCTTTTCAAAATTCACATCATCCCAGTAGAAACCACCTAAAGGTGATAACTGATGTGCTACTGAAGAAACCCATACAATACGAGATTCACCTGGAGCATTAGTTTTTGCAGTTTTGATAAAAACAGGATCTAAAAGACGTTGAAGAAGGTGTGGACCAATAATGTTGGTACCAAACTGTAATTCATATCCTTGCTTAGTCTTGGAACCTAAAGGAGGCATCATGACACCTGCATTATGAATAATAAGATCTAATCTGGATTCCTGGGATAAGAATTTTTCAGCTGCAGGTTTAATTGTATCCAAATCACTCAAGTCCACTTTGATAAAGTTGATATCTGTGTTGGAGACCTTATATTCCTTGGCAACTTCCAACTGTATTTGTTTGATGGCTTCAAGGGTCTTTTCTTCGTTTCTCGAAAGCACATATAACTTAGCCTTGGTTGATCCAGCTAATGATTTCACGGTTTCATAACCAACACCAGTATTACCACCAGTGACAATAATAACTTTTCCTTCAAAGCTAGGGTATTGATCTTCGGTAAATTTTGGCTTGCCTGGGAAAAACCCGCGGTACATTTGGACCCAATCTTGCCAGGATCTGTATGGAACTTTTGGAGCAGTCATTATTGATTCTTTGATTTTATCGACTTGGTATGTGTATTTACTGTTAAATTGGTTGCAAAATTAGAATTCTTCTATCCTTCTTTTATATGGTTGTGGAGAAACCGTTCGCGCAAGTTGCAGACAAGCGGTTCGGGCAAGTTGCGGAGAAGCGGTTCGGGTAAACCAAGAAGAAGCGGTTCGGGCAAGGCATGGAAGAAGAGACCGGGCCGTTATCCGTCGATCCAGAACATCAGAAATCTAACAAAAATATACCTTCGGTTATTAGAAGAAAAACAAAAAAAAAAAATTACATTTACCATTGTTATTAACGCCGCGGGGTTTGAATTTACCACATCACCAACTGAGGTTGCTGTCAGTTAATTAAGACCGAGATATAATCATTGACCCCAACAGCAAATTCTGAATTTCAAACCCCGAACTGCTAATTATAGAACGTGTGATATTTATTTTTGTATCATGTTTCTAGACGCAACACCTAGCTTGGAAACCAGTAAGTCAGTTTGCTTGACAGAGGCAAGTCAAAGAGTCGAACAGGGTCCAGAATCCACCTGGTTTGTCAATTAACTCATCCTCTGCAGTATTTAAATTGTTGAATGATAATTTCGCTTAAACTTGTATATTGAAGATTTGATGAGCTGCTCAAGCCGAGAACGTTATATCCGAGCAAGCCGCACAGTACATGGTAGCGTTCAACCGCCGAGTGTAAACTTTGATTGCAAAATCTCAGTACAATTGCAAAAAAGTTACCGCTTTCATTTGCACACTTCCTTCTTTCTTTTTGAACACCACAGATAAACTTCCATTTATTTGTTTATTAGTTCACCTTAAGTTATTGATCATGCACTCCGATCATTACTACCGTTTTACTCAACCTTCTGGTTTTCAGAGATCAGAAAATTGTACTGACAAAATTTTTAAGTCAGTTGTACTTGAAAACTTGTATGTTTCAACTCCACCATTTGTTAATGGAGCTACTACTGTTGATTATGATGCTCCATATAATCAATCCACTCAATCATCAGCAACTACCGTTGACGAATCATCTTTTGGTACCACTAAACCTTCAAAGCGTTTAAGAATGAAGACTTGGTTCAGAAACTTTACACACAGAAACTCCCAACCATATCTCCCAATTCCAAATGATCTGACTGCTGATTTTGGTTACAACGTTCAATTAGAATTTGGTGATGACCCTTCTGTTAAAATCCCATGTGGTTCAAACACAATTGAAACTGATTTCCAAGCTAACACTCCAAACACAAATACTTCTGGCTCTAAAAACTTTAAAACTACTCCTACTACTACTACCTTCACTTCTATCCCCTCAAAGACAACATCCAAGCGTGCCAAAATAAGCAACTGGTTTAAAAAGTGGTTTCAACCACAAAAACACAATCCCAAAGATGAACCAGATATTTTAGAAACAACTGAAGAAACCAAACCTAACTTTTTTGATACAAATTATTATCACTATTGTTCAACTTATTATCAACACGGTTCAACTTATTACGACCATGGAATTCCAATTAGAAAAGGCGTTTATCCAAATACTTACACAATTGACTTAACAAACCTTCCCATGGTTTGTGACGTTCCTACCTCCTCCAGTACTTTCTTTGAAAAAGTGAGCTACTTTTTCAAGAGGTTATTTCGTGGGAATAGAAGATAACAACATGTGAACAGCATAGATTTTTTGCCGCCACAATAATGATGTTACGGAATGTATTCCCTCTGTTGGCAACTCCAAAGTTAATGATTTCCTCACTCAAGTTGAACCAGAATTGAATGCGTTAGATGCTAAATCTGATCACAAGAATGTTGCTGCTGAACTAAACAGTTCCAACATGTCTTTCATTCATTCTGCGAAACTGAAAAGATCGAAACCGAAAACTGAAAAGTAGCCATCAATTGACAAGAATAAGCTAGTTGTTTATACTCCTCTCGACAAACAACGTATTGAACCACATATGAAATATATTTACACAATTGAAATTTGTGAATATCCACCTGATATGATTGAATGAGTTTGTGCCTATTCCGAGGGTCAGTTTAGCCCCAGCTAATTCCCTTAAGTTCGTCAGTATTCCCAACCTGATTTGAATGAATATGCAACTCCGAGGAAAATCCTTCACTTTAATCTTATTTAATAACGTGGTTAAACATTGAATGAATTAGTACCTATTCCGAGGATAAAATTTAGTCTAGACTAAATCCCCTTCACTTCATCTTGAAAAATTCCCATCTTGAGATTGAATGAATCCGTACTTATTTCGAGGAACGTTAATGTTAGCTTCTTGATGAAGCTGAACTGAAACAATTGTGTCCATAGACTTCCAATGCTTAAGTTCATACTTGTCATGGTAGATTGAATGAATGTGTGCCTATTCCGAGGTCCTATTTGGTTATAATCAAATCTCCTTCACTTCTTCTTCAGATAATAATTCTGGTTTTGAATGAATTTGTTCGCATTTCGAGGTATCTTGGAAGTCTATTAAACAATCCTTAAGTTCAATTTATAAATGTTAAATTTCAATGTGGTTCACCTGAGTGTTATATGTTCAAGCTGGTATATCAATCCGAGCGTAAGTTAATCTATTCTTGTCTAATTTTATTCACGTTATTTTTTAATGTGTTATGTCTTTGGTCTTTGTTCTTTTTCATTTGGAAACGTCATAACATGTGACGGTTTTGGTTTGGTGTTTAATCTTTGGTTTCTTTGGTTATTTTTGGTGCTTGGTATAGTCCTTTGGTTATGGTTTTGATATTTCTGCTAGTGATTTTAAAGTTTAATTAATCTCCTTTCTCTAACTTATTCCTCTCGTAGCCATGTAGCTAATGTTGACTCTAAATCTCTTATCTGCGATATCCACGTATATAGTGCAGCAGATGTATTTAGAAAGATTTCTAATCAGTGTTGTTTCACAAAATAGACATCCAACGGTCTTGCATTAGAAAGAAGGGTAACTACATTATAACCAACCTAATCTTATAGGTTTGGGGAACAAAGTCCAGCTCCGAAATGGGTAAACTACTTCATTTCTTTTTGAACAATTTCAATAACAACTCTTTCACCCTTGGAATCATGATTCTTAAATCACGTTATCCAGGACAATAATAATTAGAAATTTCCATGAGATTATATATTGATCCGTATCCACCGGTCTTGACTTTATCATCGGTCATGCATTTAAAGAAGTATTCTGATTTATTAGTAATCCCTTCGCTATAATTGCTCTATTTTCTCTTTTGATATCGTGAGAACTCTATTCTCAGACGATACCCTGCCTAATTGGAACAAGGATCTCAGAACGTGGTAGCTCGGTTAAATACTAACCAGATCTAAATTTACAAATTTACTACAGGTTTAACTATGTCAATTTATAACGATTTTTATGTATTAAATACAAAATTTGTGTAGATATAAACACCCACCCTATGGTACATGGAAAAAGAATATATTCCTAATCCCACATATTCTTTTTGTTGTTGATGTTGTTGTATGGTTGGTTGGTTGGTTGGTAATATAAAAATGACCGTATATTATGATGATTTTTATTAAAAAAAGTAAACGAATTAAAACCCAAATCTCTTATGCAAAATAAAGTATAGGATATGTCTAATTAATTTACTTTCTTCTGAAAGAACAACCTTCAGTCAACTTAGCCTTACCACCGGTTGGGGTACATAAAACGGTAGAACAAGAGTCACAGGTGACAGCAGTTTGAGCATGACTGAAAACAGTGGTGATGTTTAAACAACCTTGACATTTAACATCCATGAAGAAGGATCTTGGGGATTGAACCAAGGTCTTTAATTTATGTTGTTGAGCTTCAGTAGCTGGAGATGGATGTAATAAATCTTGAACTAAAACCTATAATTGTGCGTTAGTATAACGTTGTTGTATACAATTTCTGTGGCTCACGAAGGGAGGGGTTGACTTGATTTTCCATTGTTGGGGGAGAGGGGGGGAGGCGATTTCAAATTCTTTCATAGCTCACGCTAGCTGAACAGTAATTCGTACAATGGTTGTATCATTGGGTCGTCATTATTATCGATATATTATGCCTTGAATGCATCCACACTTTCATGTAAAGGATCAATCATATTCACCAATCTTAAAAAAAATTTTCCATAACTCATTCCAATATACTCATCAATCGAACACTACGATATATATCCAGTATAATACGGTTGATTATCTTCCATATGGTCTTTCTATCATCATATCACCCTTTTCTCTTCGATTACTACATGGTAACGCTGAACATACCATTTTGTCGTGATCAATCTAATGTAAAGAACAAGTTTAATCAGCTCTGAAAATTTTTTTTTCTTTTCGTTTTTAATTGAAACCGCTTTCCTGCTTAGAAAATTTTGCCCTGTAAATTTTTTTGCCATTGCGGGCGTGTACTTTGGTGAGAAATAAACAATACTGGGGGCGGGTAACCACAGATTTTAAATGCCGGCATAGCAGCAAAAAGAGCTTACCATTGGTCACGTGAAATTTGTGACTGCTATTTTTCAAATAAATTATTTCTTTTTGTATATGATTTTGCAGTCATTTAAAATATACTTGTCAGTGGTAACGATAACCGGAACATGGACAGCACTTTATGTATTAATTATAATTATCCAAACAAACATTCTTGTAAATATGTATTCAAATTCGAGTTTTAGGATAAACCCTAGAATGATATCAACCATAAGTCTAACTCTATTACTATAGTCTATGTCCTCTCACACCACTAGTGTTGTTGGTACAAGAGTCCTTAGTTTGTTTGGCTCCATTAAATTCCAAAGTTTGATGAGCTTTCGTCTTTCTCACTTCTCCATACGCAATCACCCATTTAGATTTACTTGAATTTAAAATTAAGAGAGACAAAACAAGTGTATATTCAATCAAAACAATAGCAAAGACAATATGTAAAACAAAGATCAAACCTATAAATGTAACGAGACCAACATCATCACCACCACCAACACCATCACACCGTAATGATCTTGCACAATCACCAGCGATAACAACTCAAGTTACTACTTTTGTTTATATATATTTTATATAAAAAAAAATTTTACTAGAAAACACCATTAAATTTGGCCATCATAAACTAAAACCACAACCAAAAAAAATATTAGACAATATAAATCAACAACCTAAGAAAACTTCAAAAACCAAAAACAAGAACGAATATTCAACATAGCATCCTTCCCATCTTATCATCATTCGTTCGTTCAATAGCGACATTTTTTTTTCTCTTTCTTGTATCCTATAAACCCTTATATAAGTATATAAAAGAGTGAATTTTTAACATGGTTGCAAAAAAAAACCATTCTAAAAAAGATTGAAGAAAAAGGAACTAAAAAGAACTGAAGGTGAGTGAATGAGGTAAAAAGGGGCAAAAGAGGACTATATAAATCTATATATAGTAATAATAATACGTTGATTATTTCCTTTTTGGTTTGGTTTTATCTTTTTCTTGTTTGTAATTTTTTGTCTATATATACAATGGTGGCTGTAGTGGCAGTTTGTATTTTTCGTAATGGCAATGTGTAAGTCATGGGGTGTGGGGGGTGGAAGTGAGTGGGATGAATTGGACGAATCGTTATCAAATTCTAAGAATGATTAATAATATAAAAAAAGATCGGATGACCCAAAGTGAACGTAAACAACAAAAATATGGTCGGGGGTGGGGAGGTGAAATTGATTAGTGTACAGATGCAAATAAAAGCCGGGGAGGGTGAGGTTGTGCCTATGTTGTGGTGGTCAAAGACAGTAGCCTTATTTATGTGCTAATTTACTTTCCAGTCTTCTTAGGCTTTCTTGGAGTTGCTCCTGGTCTATTGTTAGCAACATTTGAAGGAGGATATCTTGGCTTTTTATCAGCTGGCTTTAAAATTTGGAAAGAACATAATAAACTTTCATCCACTGACATCATTGCACCAGCATTATCAAATTCCCCACAATAATTAGGAGCCGAAAACAATGTTACCAATTGTCTTTTTGAGAAAAATTCATAACCGTCTTCAACAACTTGATGGGCACGACAAATTAAATCCATATCATGCTTTTGTAAAAATCTGCTGACCACATCAGGACCAAATGTAAAGGAAACACCTCTGTCGTTTTCGGACCATCCGGTGATATCCTTATCTGGATCTGACCATAATAAATCACATAATAACCCTACGTCAGGGATATCGGTTGGTCTCATTACTCGTCTAATTTGTTCCATTGAATTCAAATCTGGAGATAATCCACCATGCATGGTAAAGATCTTTTCATCAATAATGGCAGCAATTGGTAAACAGTTGAAACAATCAGTAAATGTTTTCCACAATTTAATGTTATATCTTCTTTTACATTCATCATAAAAACCATAGATACGATTAATGGATGCACACTCGTGATTACCTCTTAAAATGAAAAAGTTTTCAGGATATTTGATCTTGTATGCCAATAAAAGACAAATGGTTTCAAGAGATTGTTTACCACGATCGACATAATCACCTAAGAACAAATAATTTGCCTCAGGAGGAAATCCACCATATTCAAACAATCGTAACAAATCGTAATATTGACCATGGATATCTCCACAAATCTTTATAGGAGCTTCCAATTCTAATAATATAGGTTGTTGGATGAAAATTTCTCTGGCTTTTGTACAAAGATATCTGATTTCATGTTCCAAAAGGGTGACTTGTTTACCAGGTCTAGATCCTCTGACTTCTAACAATCTATCAACAATAGAGTCGATATCTGCCTCTTGGTGTTCGGTTGACATATTTAGGTATATCTATAATGTGAATTTATGAGGTAAATTGAAGGGTAGTTGTTTGCCTGGTTTAAGGGGTAGGGATTGGGTAACGTGTGGCAATAAAAACAAGGAGGCAGTGCGATATGAAACGAAGTTGTGGTGGACTACTGTTGTTCTTTGTTGATGGGTTTTAAGACGTATTATCACTTAATAAAAGGTGGGTTCCGTCTTGGCGTGTGTATATGTGTGTGCGTTGACAAAGGGGTTGAGGTAATTTGCTGTTTCGCCCGTTGTTGTTATTTGTAAAATTACTAATGAGTTATAAAAGGAGGAAAGTGAGGGAAAAATTAAAAATTTTTTCTGCTGTCTTTTTTTGTTTCGTTTCGTCCAACAAAAAAAAATGTTCATCCAACTTTAAAAAAAAAAACCGCTTACAAAAAATGTCGCTCTGGTTAAGATACCCCCATAGAGACAAACTAAATGGGAATAACAAGTAGAAAGAATAGCTGTTTGAGATTGGCTAATTTGCGTGCGCGCGACATCCAGCCGACAAACGTCATTAGGTAGGCTTATCCTACTCATCGGTTGTGCCTTAGTGTTTGCATGTGTCATGACATCCTTTTTCGTGTGTGTCGTAATTCCACAATTGCATTGTTTCAATTGTGCTGAATTATTTTTTTTTTTCTTCTCCATCGTCATATGCGCTTTTTTATTGGCCAATTTTGGTTTTTATTTTTATTTTTCCTATTTTCGGAATTATTTTTCACCTGATTCCTTACCACAGTCACGTGAAATGCGTGAAATTTTGAAGAATTTGTTATCTTTTTACAGACCGCCAGATCCTCGTTTAGAGATAGTCATTTTGACATTTTTATACAATATGAGGCATTAAGGGGGTTGAGATTGGAATGGGAATGTTGGAGGTTAGTTTTATTTCGTTAGAATGTGTTTAAGTAATAGTACAGGGGACGACGCATAGGCTTTTATTTCTTCCTGAAATATTTTGCCCCAACCTTATCTGAGTAAAAATTCTAGCGGTTTTAAGTTTCCTAAAACGCGTGGATTTCCAGAAGTTTCACCTTAGTACCCCACCTGGTACTTACTGCGTCCCATTTCTGATCTTCATTCTAGTGTTTTAATGTATAGTTCTACTAAATGTAGCAAGTATGACCATTTCTTTCCACATCTCTTAATGTAGCATGTACGCTTCTAAGTCTCGTTCACATCTTCAACCTGATTGCGCTACCAATTGACATCTCCACACACAAGCAACATTTAATACCCGATGTGGATTTCGTAAGCACTGTCAGTAATATTATAACCGCTTCTCCACATGAATAAAGCACCTCCATTTCCAAACAAATACAACATTAGATTAGTAGCAGCTAACGATAGTAAGTCATGTACAATCTGCTATAAGCCTTCAACTACTGTGCTCGTTTCTGACAACCAAGCTGATTTCTTTTATACTTGCCCTCAACACTTGCTTGATGAACATTTTGCCACACCTATTCAACCACAATCATATCTCGATTTAGTTAAACAAAAGGAGGAATTGGAAGCTAAAAAGACACAACTAGAAAAAGATATTGAATTAGAAAAACCTTACCTTTGGAATAAAGTATCTGAATATTGGCAAAAATCAGATAATAAGAAAGAAAAGCTGAAATTTGAAAAGTTGAACGACGAATTAAAACAAGTTATAGAACAACTTTCTGATAAGCAAAAGGAAGTTAGTGAGTTTAAGTTCAAGGTCTATAAGTTGAATTTGGATATTTATAAGAATCGATTAATGTTGACTCAAAAGAAAAAGTATCAAAAAGAACGATATGAAAAGATGCATCTGGAAGGCTTTTTCCCTAGTGCTCCAAAAAATGATATAGCTTAGGTTATATCTAAGGCTGCATATTCAAGTACCTGGTCTCAAGTGCAATAGCAAGCTTTTGTCAACAGTTCTTGGTGCGGGTGGAACATTCCCCTACAGCAAAGGTGCAATATTGGTCTAGCAAAGTTTAAGTGATCATAATTCGTAGCTAATTTATTAGAGTTTAGTTGATGTGGAAGCATTAATTGTTATATATATGAGCCGGGCTCGAATTTGAATTTGTATATTACCAAAATACTTCCTGACATAGCTTTATTATTTATATTTTTATATAATTAGTATTATATATAACGTCATCTATTGTGGATTTACAACTTTTTCATCGATCCAGTTTTCCCATTTTTCAACCTTTCCTTTCAAAACACTTCCACCAAAGAAATCCATATTACCTTCTAATTTATCAAATGAGAATTTTTCATTAGGAGATCCAATAACACTCAACCAAAATTCACGTAATGATTGTTGATTATGAGCATCATCTTCATCATCCTCTTCACTAACTTTATCGATTCCTGAAGTCTTGTCAATATTTGAAATTTCATTATGAATTAATTTATCAATTTCTGTAGTCAAAATACTTTGAATTTTATGAATTGGCACGGAATCAAATAAATCAGTCTTGTTAACAGCAAATAAGAAATCAACCCCAGTACGTTTTCTTTCGGTAATGGGCAATAAATTATACAAGAATTTAACGATATGTTCAACTTGATCAGGATCATTGAAATTCACCAGAGATGAATCAATCATATAGACAATTCCCTTGATATTTTGTAAAGTAATATCATTAATCATTAATTTTTCAAACAATTGATTATACTTTAAATGTCCTGGATAATCCACAATTTGATATTTCTTACTAAATGCTTGAGTAGCCAATGGGAGTCCAACTTCAGTAATATTTGGTTCAAGCGACGACACAGTTGGAGTAACAATATTGGTGTTTTCTCCTGTTTGGTCCATTTCAAGCAATTTATAGTAGAAACTTGTTTTACCGGAATTATTAGCACCAAGGATTAAGAATGACGGTTTATAATATGGAGATCTGGAACTAGTTTTGATATTTTTAATACCACCAGATTGGAAAAAGAAGATTGCCAAGATTATAACGAACCCAAGAAGGGAGGTTATTAATGCGATTAGGACGTAATCCATGGTGGTCAGTGGATAGGGCTTGCGTGGTTTATTGACTTGGAAATTGACAGGTTTTTTTCTTGATCAGACTACTAAATATTGCACGAACAATTTGGTGCGTGAGGGAAAACAAAGGAGTTTGAATTCGTTTTGTGTGATGGGCAGTCATTTCGAACCCCGTAAAATAAGGTATTTGATTCTGCTTGAATTCCAACGTGCATCTTACTGTTAAATTCTCAAAGGATTTTCTCTCACTAGATGAATAATTTGTTGCGCCAAGTCTTTATTTATAATTTTGTAGTTTGCAACCAAAATTTATATGAAATTATGACATATCAAACAAAACATAGAATGGCAAAACTTTAAACTTTGATAAAGAATAGTCCTTTAAATGTTTAGATATATGATGAATCAAGTTACAATTCAACTTGGTTGGTATTTAGTGCAGATTTTGTAATACTTGTCTTGCTGTTTCTTTTACTTACCAGCAGAAAGAAAATTGATAGCAAAATTCCGCACACACAAGCAAATATAAACAAAACAAAAAAAACTTACAACCAATTTATTATATCACTTGTAAAACTAGCTATTCTACTTGTATTTACAACCACTAACAATGGATGATCCATTTGAAAAAGAGCAAAACCTCTTACGTGCTAGAATAATTAGCCGAATGGTAAGTATTTACTGTTTCTCATAGCTACATTGGTAATGTTTGATTGTCAGCTATTTGATCCAGGAATACTAACGCAAATCTAGGAAACACTTAATGAATCCATGGCAACAATGAATAAAAACCTTCAAGAAATAAATCGAAAGAATTTAGAAATTGAGAATGTCACCAGAATGTGGCTGAACTACATGAGATACTCTGATCAATTTTCAAAAGTTAATGAAACTCCATCTGGACAGACAAGAGCTCGAGAGCAAGAAGAGCAATAGTGTTAGTAGTTGCTGGTCATTACTACTTGGCTTAACTAGCCATTATACTGTTGCTGGTGAAAGTATCGCTGGTTGGAGTAGCGCTGATGTACCATGAAACATCAGAGGAAATATCAGTCCGGCCATAATAGAGAGAAATCTTGATTGCATCGCAGATTACTAAACACGCCCTTTCCCCCAAGTCTTATTGTTATATTACATGAAATAAACCTCCATTGTATATCATTTTATATTTTAAACTGGCTATAGTACAAATTTATTTAATAGTATTTCAAAACCCACACATGCATGTTCCAAACTTTTGCTTTTTGCTTATATTGCGCTAGTACCAATCTAGTTTTGGGTAGGTAATAAACCGAATCTCTTCTTTAAAGTAACTCTTTGTCTTGAATATTTATCATCAGGAGAAAATCTAGCTGGATGAGCAGACTTGGTGATTTCACCATCTTCAGTGATTTTCTTTAAGGTGTAAATTCTCTTGCCTTCGGCGTCTAATGTGTACATCAAATGCATGGGGAATATGTGTGATTATCAGTATAACGTTGGTTCGAAATTAACTATGTAGTTATAAGAGATGAGATTGAAAATACAATTTTTTTTCAGGTACTGCAACGACTAATTTTTGACACTTGACACACGACCTATTTCTTAATGCGAATCTCTTGGTTGTTATTGCAGTTAAATCAGGATAAACTTTTTAATTGTATTCAATTGAATCGGCTTAGATGAGGTTGATATTTGACGAGCTGTTTTGTTCTTGAGTTGATGTGTTGATCCTTTGGTTGGTGTTGAAAGTGTGTGTTTTACTAAAGTGGCCAGTATACTGTTGAGACTGCGAATCTTCCACACAAACAATAGCGAAAGCGAACAAAAAAAGCAACACGTAATTCGGACAACTGAATCACCCAATAACGCTACGTACCATAGAACCAACCTATCACTATCATAATGGCGCCACCGAAGAAAGATGCATTTGCAGATTTGTTCCAGTCAGCCACAAGTTCCAACAATTCATCCAAGGTAACTAGTTTACCGTTGTCAGAACGCCAACGATTACAACAATCTCAACAACAGTCACTTTCAACTTTAGGTTCTGCCCATTCCAGCTATTCCAATTTAGGTGCATTATCAGGACAAACGAGTAGACCATCTACTCCTTTACAACCAAATAAGAAGTCATTGGCTACACCAGCAAACAATATCCAGACACTGTATAGCCATTCAGGATCAGCTTCACCTGCAATGCAAGACGATCCTTTCGCTATATTCTATAAAAACAACCCAGTTTCATCAAGTCAGCCAAATATGAATGTTGTATCAAACGAGAAACCTGTCACAACCCCAACCCCCCAAACAGGCTCTCAAGTACCTAAAATTGGCGAATTGTCATTGTTGGATGATGAATTCACAGACGTTTTCCAATCACCTCCACAAGCAACTATAATTCAACGACCAGCTTCTACTAATCCATCCACGAATTCCAGCCAGCCTCCAGACGAACGGCCAGCATCTGTAGCTAGTGGTTCTAGAAGAAGTGGCAATAATGATCGTGATTTCATTATTGCTGAACTAGTTGACATTGGATTCCCTATAGAATCAGCCAATGAAGCTATTGATGCATGTGGGTTGAATTTACAAAATTGTGTCAACTATATCATGAACACAATGAGTGGAAGATCAACACCAAGTCAACCAAGGCAAGACAATGACAATGTCTTGGGGGCAAGACCCGAGGGTATAAAATTTAATGAAATTTCATCAGGATTGTTTAAAGGGGCCAACAAGCTTTTAAACATCTCCAGAAACACGGTAATGAGAAACTTAGAACAGTTTAATAACAAGGAAAGAAATGTGCCTAATTGGATGAAAAATCAAGACCAGTATAAAGCCGATGCCATTGAAAAGAAAGTAGGTGGCGAAGATTATGGAACTGATGAAGATAATATAGATCAACAGGAAATCGAACGTATTATGAGATTACAAAGAGAAAAGAAAGAAGAACGAATTCGGGAAAGATACGGTAGTGGAAAGGGTCAAGTATTAGGGAATGGTTCAAGATCGGAATCATCCCGAGAACAGCTGGAATCGCCTGCACCACCCCGTCCTAGACGTCCTGTTGATGCACGGTCAGAAGGCCCAACACCTCCTGAACCTCCACGCCCTAGACGTCATACCCAACCAAGAACTGAAAGTCTAACACCCCCAGTGAAAGCACCAAGACCCCACAGAGAGCCTGAGATATCCATATCATCACCATCACCTGTCGCACCTGCTGCTCCCGCACGTGAAAAGACGCCCGAAGTAGATCTTCTTGGATTATCTTCTTCCGAGGCAACAACTAATGGTAAGGCTGACCCAATCAGTAACCTTAGAAATAGAGCACCACTTAATCAGTTTGATGAGACTGACTATAATCTTTCCAAGACTAAAGCATCTGAAGCATTCAAGTCCGGAGATTATACCACTGCATTAGAAGCATATAATACTTGTCTTTCAAAGCTTCCACCCCTGCATGAACTTCGAGTAATCATATTTAGTAATTTAGGTGTGGTGTACAAATTGCTGGGACATTTAAAAGATAGCTTACAAGCGGTTGATTCAGGATTGGAATTAATTGACGAAAAGGAAATCGATTCTAGTGCAAGTATCACAAGCAAGAGTGTCAAGTATTGGTATATGAAATTAATTCTGACTAAAGCTGAGGTATTGGAATTATTAGAAAGATATGAATCAAGTTTGCAATTATACAATTTATTGATTCAAAGGTTAGGAACTAAAGACAAGAAAATCATGGATGGAAGAAGACGAGTGGATAAGATTGTTAACCCTGAAAATCATATCAAAAAGCCACAACCACAAAGACCAAAGACTGGTTCTTCAGTACCAACTCCTTCTGCCACCCCTAAACCGGTACAGCAGGAAGAAGAAGTAGATACGTTGGTTAAAGACAAGATTGACACCAAGATACAAGCCTGGGCCACCTCGAAACAAAATAATCTTCGTGCCATGTTGACGAATTTAGACGAGATAATCCCAGGCAAAATCAATATGAAACCAGCATTGAGAAAATTATCCTTGAATGACTTAATGTTACTGAAACAGGTTAAAATTCAGTATATGAAAGTAATTAGTTCCATTCATCCCGATAAGCTAGCATCACAATGTAAAGGAGATAAAGAAACCGAACTAATCTGCAACGGTGTCTTCATTACTTTGAACAAGCGTTGGGAAGCATTTAGAAAGGAGGAAAATATATAGAAATCATAGTAAATAGACTAATACAACCACTGTATATATCACGTGTCTTGTGACATTTGTGTATCCAGTTTCACCAGAATTGATGTTTTCCATTTAACTTTTCAATACATTGGCAGAACTTTCAAGGAAAAGTTATCCAATTAAATGCCGGTATTCTTGGAGCTTGTGAAATTGGAATAGACTGTGAAATTTGGCAACAACACACTATTTGCCTAATTCAAAATATGTGGCCCGTCAAATGTAACATCAAAAATTGACGACATCAGTCGAAAAAAAAGACAATAAAAGATACCACTGAGTAGTTCATAAACGGGGTTTGCATAGTCAGGGACCACATGGATCAAGAAGAATTAGAAGCATTGACAAAGACATTACTGTCAATTTACAATTTTCACAAATATCAGATTGAACAAATTGTCAAACCCCGGCTTTTGAAGTATCAATCATTGACTGAAGAGGAGAAACAGTTGGTTCCTTGGTATACCAAACACACTGAAGATTTGAAAGAAAGCATTGACCTCAATCGACAGTTTTGCCAAAGTTTGGCTTTGACCATTGCTCAAGACTGGAATGTGGACACTGATGTCCACCAATGGAGTTCTGCCACTGGCCATGAATATGAAATTGTATCTACTACATTATTACAATTAGTCAGAGATTGGAGTGATGAAGGCAAGGCAGAGCGGGAATTGAATTATGGCAAAATCATACACGAATTAGAATTGTTATTTCCGGATAAGTCATCCCGTAAGGATATCAAAGTCTTGGTGCCTGGTTGTGGGTTAGGTCGTTTAGTAATGGAATTGGTACTTTGCGGATTTTGGACCCAAGGAAACGAAATAAGCTACCATATGCTCTTAACTTCAAATTATATTTTGAATCATTGCCAGTTTCCTTATTCAAATTCGGTATTCCCGTTCTTATTCAAGTCATCCCACTTAGTGAAGCGATTATTTCAAGTTAGACCAGTTGCTATTCCCGATTTGTCCCCTTTTGTGATTAATGAGCTACAAACCAAAGAGCCAGAGATTCCTTATCATGACTTGATGTCGATTACTGCCGGATCATTCATAGACTTATATGGACTAGGACTGGCTGGTGATGCTTCTGCGACCCCATTTCAAGAATCTAATGCTAATAGTTTTCTGGTGGTTGTGACGAGCTATTTTCTTGACACGGCAAGCAATATCATTGACTATTTGAAAACAATCTATCATTGCTTAAAAGAAGAGGGATACTGGATTAATTTTGGCCCGTTGTTATGGCACTTTGAAGGAGACCTAAATCTGTACCAACAAGAAAACGGGTCAATTAGCATTAAGAAAGGATTGGAATTATCAAGAGAAGATTTAGTCGAATTAATTAAAACTATGGGATTTGAATTTATTAAACACGAAAGTAATATAGAAACTAGTTATTGTCGAGATATCAAATCTTTAGGCTCATTTACATTTAAATGTGAATTTTGGGTCTGTCGGAAAATCAAGGTTTAAGATATTGTAAATCAATTGGACTGCCAATGGTGGTAACTTCATCATAAAGCAAGGTGGTTAAGAATTCCGAGACCAATTCACCTCCAAGTTCTTGTCTGATATAATTACCAGCTTTTTCAAATTGGAATTTTGGAGAATTATAAACTTTTTGTAATTTTGCAATTTCTTCATCCAAAATCTCACCCACGTACTTCGGAGTTAAGGCTTGCTTAGTATCATCCAAGAAAACCTTATTTTTACACCAAGTGTACAATTGCAATCTTGAAACTTCGGCAGTGGCAGCATCTTCCATCAAATTGTTTATTGGAACACACCCCACACCTCTAATCCAAGATTCGATATAACACAAAGCAATATAAACGTTAAGTCTGATTCCTTCGGTAGTAATCACTCCTCCTTCAATCTTGGTATTTGATAAATCTTCGGCAGTGACATTTTCATCGGGAACAATATGTATTTGATTTGCAGTAGGCATATAGTCATTAAAGATATTATTAGCAATTGGAGCCAATGCCGGATGGGCGATCCAAGTACCATCATAATGCATCTTAGCCTCTCTTAATTTGTCTTGGGCCACTTTATCCATGGCAATTTCATTTGCTTCAACATCGTTCTTGATGGGAATAATTGCAGCCATTCCTCCCATAGCATGTACCTGTCTACGATGACAAATATTGATTAACCGTTTGCAATAAGCTTCCATGAATGGTACTTTCATAGTGATCAAGTCTCTATTGGGCAAAGTGGCCGACAGTCTGAGGCGTTTAATCGTGGAAAAGATGTAATCCCATCTACCACAGTTCAAACCGGCCAGATGTTGACGTAATTGATAAATTATTTCTTCCATTTGGTAAGCGGCAGGCAAAGTTTCAATCAATACCGTAGCTCTGATTGTACCTCTAGTTATACCTAATAAATCTTGAGCAACATTGAACACATCGTTCCATAACTTTGCTTCTAAATGATGTTCCATTTTAGGGAGATAGAAATATGGACCAGTGCCATTTTCAAGTAATTGCTTAGCATTATGATAGAAGTACAATCCAAAATCCATAAGTGAACCGCTTAATGGTTGCCCATCAACAAGTATATGTTTTTCATCCATGTGCCAACCCCGTGGTCTGACCATCAAAGTTGGGGTGTTAGTATCCCAATTAACAGCATAGGTTTTACCATTGGTCTTGTTAACAAAATCAATCTGATGGCGAATGCAGTCATACAAGTTAACATGGCCATTTAAGATGTTTGACCATGTTGGAGTAGAACTATCTTCAAAATCACACATATATGTCTTCACAGGAGTGTTCAAAGCATTAACAATCATGTTTCTTTCTGGAGGGCCAGTAATTTCAGTACGACGATCAATTAAGCCTGGTGCTAATGTAGGACCAGTCCAGGTTGGGTCATTTCTGATTTTAGTTGTGAACTCATCTTTTAAGAAATCAAGTTTAGCACTATTGTCTAAATCACGTTGCAAATTCATGCGATTTTGTAAAAGTTGAAGTCTGGTAGCATTGAAGGTACGGTGTAAAAGTACCACGAAGGAAAGGGCAGATTGGGTAAGTATATCTGCTTGAGAAGTTTTAGATTCATATTGAGCTTGTTTTTCAACTTGAGCCAAGACCTGTACTCCATGTAAAGAAGTGTATAACGAGTTTGAAGTTGTCATTCTTTTTAGTGGAGAGAGAAAGAAAAAGAGAAAGAGATAGAGATACAAGAATGTCAAATATAGTGGTATTTATAGGAATGCCCTTTCCCCCCGGAAACCCACAACAGAAATGCAAAAGATAAGAGTCAAAAAAAATAAGCACTCAGTTTCGGCTCCGAAATCTGGAGCTTCCTGAAATCAGATCATTTGATTGTCAGTAAAGCGATTTGAGTCATTTTGGACATGCGTTTCCCCGGGCTTATCTATGCAGAATTTCTTTTTTCGGAGTACTGTTTTTTTTGCGAAACTCCGAAGAAAAAAAAGAAGTCAAATAGTTTAAGTTTGACACTGACTGTTTGATAGTAACAAATATTTTTACTCAGGATCGGAATTGCCACGGAAGGAAATATTTTATTATTACTACACAAAATAATATTGATGACGTTGTGATATGTCCGTTCATCCGTTGAATAGGCATCGCCCCATAAGAATGACCTATTTTTACATTGGACCAAGTCCTAGCCGTGTACAGATCCCAGCTTGGATACGTAAATCTTGAAAAGCCCCGCACACTTGGACAGCAACTGCTGGCTGGATTTACATCCCATTCTGAATCAGAACACGTTATGTCCCTGTATAAACCATACTTCTTGACAAGCATCTGATTTTCAACCACAGAAAATGCAATTAGAGTGACGAACATTCCCAAACATGGAATCTACAGTATAAAGAATGACGATTACGTTTTACCTGAGATATTAGAAATTGAGGCTTGGAAAATATGACAAAAATGAGACAATTCCAATGGGACCAGACACGAAAAGTGCGGATTTTCCGGCAATTTTGGAAGAAAAAACTCTTAGTTTTAATACCTATCATAATAGCGTTTTGACTCTATGATCTCTTTCAATGTGTTGTATTGCATAGTTACGATAACATTACATTGAAAGAGATCATAAGTTTTTTTTCTGGAAGTTTAATTTCACAGCCTATTTCCATGAAATTCCCCCTAGGATTACTTTCAAATAATAAGATTTTCATAGATCATATAATAAATTTCCATTTTTGATTCATCTTGGGTCATTTTTATAGTATAATTCGTTTTACTCATCTCCGTAATTCTATAGCGATCTTGTTATGCCATTATTGCTATAAAAACCCCTCAACTATTGTTGTATCTATTTCAGCAAAACCCTCACCCAAAACTTCAACATTTTTTGCAACAAAAAATTATTTTCCCCGATTTTGTCTTAAAAAAAAAAATAGAAAGTACACATTACTTTTGACACACACAGGTTGTTTACAATGAATTGTACTGAAATCAATTGCAAGCAATCAATTTCAACTTAGACTAATATCAATTCCTTACTTTGTTCATAATCTAGAAAAAAAATTTAATCAGAAGTGTATTCATTACCAAATATCAAATTTAATCAAGCTAGACAACAAATCTACTAACTCCGTTAAACAGGTCTCAAAGGAAGTCACATACTAACATGTTAGATTTAGCCTATAATTGCTTATAATGTAATAATATCTGATTTATACAACCAATGGACAGCACGGTATACTAGAAAGGCACTGATATCCCTTCAGAGTGGATTGGTACAGTTGCTGGGAATGTGTTCTGTGATTAGATAAACATGATTACATATTTTATCATATTTCTATTAAGAGATCAAATATAAGGATCTAATACTTTTGAAAATATGTTATCGACTCTCACAGGGTTTTGATCATACTAAATTATTACAGTCAGATTTAGTTGCTGTTGGTGTTTTAGCATGGTTTCTTTTCATTTAAATAATATAAATGTGTAATTGGTTTAAAAAACCAGGAAATGAATAGATATTTGGAAGTTCATTGTTGAATATTACCCTGACCAAGAAAAAGTAATACTACTAGATCCGGAGACTTTGCTGAAAAGGCTATTTTTCCTGATTTCAAATATGCTCCTGTCGTTTCTAGTTTATCATCCCGTCCCAGACCAACTAGTCTTTGCCAATGTTACTACAAAGACTGATACTTCAACTACCAAATACACTTTTTTGGATAGTTTTCTATACTTTGGTGTTTTGAAGCTGGAACCATTGAATACGGAAAGTCTCAGTGGTATCATTGGCAGAGACTGGATGGAATTTTCGGGGTAAAAAATGATTTTATATTTGGGTCTTACTCACTAATCTGGCTGCGAAAACATAAAAATTGCCCCTGAATTCAAGTTTTCTTTCCTGCCAGTTACAAACACTTCAATAACATTTCCCTCAATTCACACCAATAAAATCTTATTACAAGCCTTTTAAATTTACTGTTTGTTACACCTTTTCAATCTTTTACCATTTCACCATGGGACCTATTAATCCAAAACCCTTTAATAGAGTTTTTACTAAAGTTGCAGCCTTACCAAATACCAATTCTAATTCCAGTAACAATCAACCAACCATTTTCACTGGCCAATCATGCAACACCCATGACAAGTTCTACTTTAACAACTCAAAATGAAGAAAAGTTATTTATTTCTTGAAGAAAATAAAATGTCATTCCACAATGAACAAAAAATACCCCATTGTTATTATCTATGCTCAAAAATTAGATAGTAATGTATCAGTAGTTCCATGTATTCCTTCCATTCTAAAATTTAGAAGTGAACAGGAAATATTAGCAGAAGCTGCTGGCTCATTACACCATGTTGCTGGCACCACAATTGACACTATTATTGGTGACGAAGAGAGTCATGTCGACCCTTCAAACTTCAGATATTTACCAATTGTTTCGGACACCCTATTTATCCCTAGGTTTGATTTAGTTATTGAAAAGAAAGTTAACATCAAGGGTGTTGTTTAATCAATCCTATACTAGTTTTTTGTGTTTCTTCAGTTGCCGGTACTCCTCCTGAGAAAGTTACCACCGAAACACTTGTCATGAATAAGCACAAGAAGAAACCATAACACATTCATCGTGGTTTGATTGTGAACGCAGATCCCAAAACTTCACCAGTAGATTAGAAGAACGCAAAAAGAGCAAAGGTGAAGCTTTGGTATTTGTGTTTACAGTCGAAGCGTTTTTGAAAAAAAAAAAATCGTTATGGTATAAAACCACCATCAATGTTTCAATGGAAAGTTTTTTGGTGAGTAGTTAATTTTGTTTGACATAGAAGTCTCACCCAATTAATTTAAGTCGCCCATAAAGTTGTTTCTCCTCCTTTGGTATTAAGTTCATAGCTCCAGACCTGGTCCAGAAGCCACATATATATATAATTTGGTTCATTTTATATCTAGTGTATATTGTATTTAAAAAAAAAGACCCATGTATGTGTAATACAGGCAATATATGCAGTGAAAATGAGAATGGCACATTCAATTAGGTTACCGGAAAACTGTACAACTATGCTCCCGCTATAGTATTGACTTAGATATATATATATATATATTTTGTAAGTATTCGCATCACTGTACGATCTTGCAAGTGGAATCATATGCATAGGTATGTATATATGTCCAATTCATGTAGTTGTACAAATGATTGCGTTGATGGGCATACGTTTCACGGTCAGTGTGACATTGCCTAATTGTCTAGCTGCAAGTTAAAAATTTCAGCCGGAGGGTACACTTCACTACGGACAGAGCGTATGTATTTTTTTTGTTCTATAAACTAACTAAAGGTTATTCTTTAAAATGGTTTGCTCTAATCTCTTGGAGACAACTTCGTTAGAATCGGTTAAAACACCTGCTAATTTCAAAATTTCACTAGTCTTGACCACAATTGAATCCCAATCTAATGGAGCCTTACCAACATTTTGATTGAACTTAACAGTCTTGGTCCATTCCTTGGCATCTTCAGCTGAATAATCCAAGTTAGTAGAAATATATTCAACAGCTTCATCAATGTGTCCTTGGTAATATTGGATACCTTGATTAACAGCAGCAATGAAATTCTTAATTTCGGTTTTCTTGGAAGCCAAGGATTCAGCATTGGCGTTAATAACCCAAGATGGCCATGGAGTATAAATTTCCCCAATTTGTTTAATTTCATGGTTGTCATAGTATCTCTTGGAGGTAAAATATTCCCACATGAATGCATCACTGTTTTTCAATTCATCACCGTCAGCAAACTTTTGATTAACTGAATCTCTCAAGTTTTTGAAATTACTCAAGATTGGGAATTCAGAAAATTCTTGGGTAAATTTCAAACTATGGGCCAACACAAAACTCATGATTTGCGATCCACTTCCAATTCTACTGATACCAATCTTCTTACCTTCTAATTGCTTGGCATCGGTCAATTCATCACGATTGAAACCGGTACTGATGGCCCATAAAAGTGGAGAAGATACATAAGTGTCAATTAGCTTGTACTTGTCGTTACCCTTACCTAAATCAGCAACAAAGGCTTCAGTTAACCCAATGGCAATATCAACTTCTCCTGCATTTAACAAGTTGATTAAACGACCGCTACCTTCAATAACTTTGACGAATTCAATGGACAAACCGTTGGCTTGGTAGAATCCTTGTTGTTGGGCAAAGAAGAGGGGGGTGGAGAAATGTTCTGGAATATAAGCAACCTTTAAAACGGACATAGTTGGTTATTGCAAAAGGAATTGTGGGTGGAAAACCCTTCCGACATTTTTCAATTTATCCACCAAAAAAAAAGAAAAATTACTTCGGAAATCAATTACATCATTTCAAAAAGCCACCTTTAATAACATAATATTATTGGATGGACACACAGAATTAAGACAGAATGAAGTAATATGACAAACAGTATATTCATTATATAATTAATACTCTTGTCTTCCAAGAGTATGTCGCACCATGGGCTTATACACAAACCACCAGTAAACCTTTAATCTAACAATTACATTTCTTAACAAGAACACAAATTTCTATTACCATTAGAGCTTGCATTTGTACTCAAATCAATTCTACCTTCATTATTATTTTGTTCTGGGCTAGATGCCAAAGAAGCAGCTTCAGGAATCTTGTTTCCGATACCAATAAATACATCATTGACATTATATGAAGTTTTTGCACTGGTTTCGTAAAATAATAATCCCTCTTCGGCAGCTAAATTTTGACCTTCTTCAACACTTACTTTTCTCACACCTTCCCTTTCTCCTTGGCCTTCGTCATCATCTTGTACTAAATCATATTTGTTTCCAACAAGAGCAATCGTTATATCCTTGGCTGCTTGTTCATGTAATTCCTTAACCCAATGTCTAGCCTTGATAAAGGAAGCTGGTTTGGTGATATCGTATACAACTATAGCAGCCTGTGCATTTCTATAATACATTGGTGCCAAGGATGCAAATCTTTCTTGTCCGGCAGTATCCCAAATTTCATATTTAATTGTTCGTTCACCAATGGTACATTTTTGAGTAAGGAATGCTGCTCCAATTGTAGGTTCTTTATTCTCTTGGAAGTCATTACTGACAAATCGTAACACAAGTGAGGATTTACCAACGGCTGCTTCGCCTAATAATACCAATTTGACTGATGTTGCTGGAGTAGGATAACTCATGATGTGTGTGCGTGTGTGGGGGGGGAGGGGGCTGTGCAAAAGACTATTTGTTTAAATCAGAAGATATATTAATACTAAATCAAAAAATGGGTAGGTATATGGATGCAACAAGCTAGATGATTGATGTTTTGTAGGTAGTATGTAATGACTGGGTAATTCGGTAGAAGAGTAGGATTTTTGTTGTTACTCCTTTTTAAAAGTGTGTAAGTTTTCCTGGTTTGCCTCTTTATACGAAATGTGGTCACGGCACACGACCTATTTTTTTTCTTTAACCGATGTCTTTAGTTTGCAGTCGAACCAGCACCTCCTTCCTATAAAAAAAACATAAACCTTATAGTAGTAGTAGAATAATAGCATATTTAGGTTATAACTCAACTTTTATCTAGTTTTAAAAACTGTGATAGTACTTTTGATATGTGTTTTTGCTTACCTAGAATGAAATTTCAACACTGGCTCGGCTGCAAAGAGAGAAAGATCTATGGTAAACCTCGGATAATGGATAGTCACAATGAAATAAATAGGAAATAGAGACTTTAATAACTAATAATCTAATAAGAAATCCATCTGCTTGAAAAATCATGTATGACCCGGTGAGCTACCATGTTCCGATTGAGTTTTGAAGGATAAAATATAACGGCTTTAACATTAGCCAGATTCGTTGTTATTTCCGATGATAGTTAGAGTTGCCTTACCGGTACTTTCTTTTTTTGAATTTTGATTCAGTTTATGCATAATTGCGAAATCGGTGATTCAAAGTGGAATTTATCCCACTGTGACTTTGCAACGACTACTATTTATGAAACAAGTGCCCAAGCCTGCTACTGTACAAAAGAGTTAAACATTACTTGCATCAAACATTATTACTAAAATCCAACTAGAAATATCTTTAGCGGAATAGATAAAACAGATGTGTAACCCTTGATTACTTAAATAACTTCTCTCGGAAACAAGTACACTCTTCAAGAGAGCTAGCCCGGCTAAATTTACAAAGATCACAACTTGTACAGATTTCATCAATTTTTCAACAAAACGCTGCAAATATCCACCGTGCTTTTGATTCACCACTTTGGGACACCTATAATAGAACTAACACCTAAATATCTACAGTTTGTCATATCAATGGTTTTCGTTTATCTCACAGAAAATTTCTTTTTTTCTGCTATTTCCCATTTTTTTTGACGCAAAAGGCTCGTTCGGTATTACCTGAGGTTCGTACGGCTGAATCGGCTTATGCGGGATCATTTGCCGTGACTTGCCCTGTGATTTTGACTTACAACTAAAAAAATTCTAATCAGGCTATTTTTCAGGGGGGCAACACAACGAGTTGATGAGTGATTTTATTTGTAACATATGCTCTACATTTAACATGTGAAAGTTGTTCACACTTTCACTCGGTTATAGCCACTTTGTGTAATAGATAATCAGTGTTGACAAGGAGGGGGGGGGGGTTGTCATTTAAGCAAAAGGTAAATAAGATTACTCCACGCCACTGCTAGCAACGCAAAGGTAATAATTTTCCTTAATTTTGTTTTCCCGCAGGGAGATTATAAATAAACAAAAATAAACCTAAATATAAATACATCCGCGTTTGGTCATAAACAGCTACATTTTTGTATTTATTTAGTGTTTTATATTTATTCATTAGAAGTCGTCTTCTTTTTCGTCATTTTCTGTTTGCCACGTCAAAGTTTTTGCACTAGGACCAAGAGGCTTACCCACCATAAACTTCTTGCTCGTACCATTCCCACCTCCCCCCCTCGATAAAAATATTTTTCCATCCAAAATGATCCTGAATATTCTCCCACCAATCCATAGAATAAACACAATATTCAGAAAACAACCGGGTCCACCTAGGTTTTTAAAGTTAACCCACATGAATCAACGAGAGAAGTTTAACGAATTAAATGAATTAGAAGCTGATCGCATCCAAGATGGCTTGGATAACCCCGATACTTCTATATGGTCATTAACTCACGCCATGAAGCGAGTCAATCGTGGCAGAAATAGGTATTCGAATGTATTTCCCTGGAATGAAACCAGAGTGGTATTGCCTGTCAAAGATGATAAAGAATTTTCTGATTATATTAATGCATCACGGATAAAGTTGTCGTTGAGTGATGAAGGTGCATTCGATGAATACATTGCCTGTCAAGGTCCTCTTGAAAGCACATACAATCACTTTTGGTCCATGTGCTTTAATGAATCAGAAGTTCAGAATAATGATACAGTTGTAATAGTGATGGTTACACCCTTGACTGAAAATGGAGTAGTTAAATGTGCGAGATATTGGCCAGAATTGAACCAAACCTGGGATTTCTCCACTGATAATATCGAAGATGGTATAAACGTCCCCAATTTAGTCATAACTAACAAGTCAGAAACGTTTGATTCCAATGAAGATTTCATAATAACCGAATTAGAACTCAAATCAAATGACAAAATCAAGACAGTATACCATTATTACTACTTCAAATGGGTAGATGCTAAGGTGCCACCTTCGATAGAACCCTTGTTCAAAATATCCCAAGATATAAGTTCAATAAGATCAACTATGGAAACCCCCCCGGTTCCAATTGTGCATTGTTCAGCAGGAGTGGGTCGTTCAGGAACGTTTATTGCATTTGACCATTTGTTTGGTCGCAATCTAGATGAATTTATTGACTTAGTTAGAAAGAAACAACCATATCAGTATGATATTGTGTATAAAACAGTTTACCAATTAAGAAGTCAACGCATGATGATGGTACAAACTATTCACCAATACAATTTCTTGTATGAAGTGGCCAAAATGGTATTTAATGAAAATGTAAATAGATTAGACTAATTTTTAATAGTAGACGAAAAAAGTGTTGCAAAAAGATTGTAAAATGTACACTCCCCTACTCTCCCCCCCACCTCCCTTGAACATGCCAATGGTTCTAGGTTTAGATCCAATTTATCAAGATTCTCAAGTACAACAACAGGGAATAACCACAGGTACAATGGATGTACAGCTAGAGTTAAATGAAGACAGTCTACTGTCGTTATTAGAGGGTGAGATTTACAGCACATCAATTTTACAACCAGATCTAGACTATAATCAAATTCTAGATGAATTTAACCTAGAAACAGAGATTATTGACCTAAATGAGGGAGAGTACAGCAACTACCTGCTTACAGACATAGAAAACCAAGAAAATTCGATTGATTCTTTTAATTTAGATGATTTGCTGTTGGATAGCACTGGTGTAGGGTATACATTTTCTGAAATTCCCCAACTAGTGTATTCAAACAACAAGATTACATTTCCTTGCAATATTGAATCAATACGTGACTCAATTGATATCCAACTAGTTTTATCTTCATCCTCATTGATATATTTGTTGCAAACTTTAGCCAACATGGGAATAGCTGACTACAGTACAACAATTGTTGCCAAGAGGAACTTACTAAGTTTAGATTGGCTTGTAGACATACCCAAAGAACTGTACTACGCTGCCATTGTCTTGGGGATTATCAATGACCATCAAGCTAGCCTAACATTTGTTGGTGATGTGTTAACGTGCCAGAAACTAATTAGACATTGTCAAAATGTCGCGACAATTGTGTTTGATAACAAGAAAATCCAAGTCATGGATATTCACAATTTAGCCAAGTTTTCGGATGATATATGTGATTTCACAGATGATAGAATCAAGCCACTTCCAATAAATCATTTTACTGCACACAGAGAGCACCCAATCGACAAAATAGCCATCAGGAAGCATTCTGAACAAGTGCAGCCCAAAGAAGAAAAAATGAAAACTGTGAAGCTAATTCTCGCACAACGGGAAGTTTCCAGTCTTATCGGAATCAAAGGTCATCGCTTAAATTCAATTAGAATTCAATCCCGTTGTTTAATCAAAGTCTTACCTATAAATCAAGAAACCCCGGCTTTGCTTTCCAGAAGAGAAAAACCACAAGAGCTACTCATCCAAGGAACTGAATCAAATGTAGCAATTGCCGTTCATGAAATCAATACCTTTGTATCCCAACAGAGATTGAATAATAACAAGTTCCGGTAGGCCTTTACCTCCTTGCTGCAAAAAAAAAGAAATCCCAGATCCTTCCCGGTAAAATGAAACCGTTGGGGCAAAAAAAAGTAATACTATTCAATCCGGGTAAGAGTGTGGCTCACGGGTAATATAGGTCACTACTAAGTTTATTTCAGAATGCGTTTCCTATTTCGGTGATTGATAGCAGAAAATCAAAGTGAGGGCGAAACACAAAGCAAAAAAAAAAAAAATTAACAAAAAAAAAAATTTTTATGAGAAGAGCAGAGTTTTACGCTCATACAAAATAATTTTTTTTGGAAAATTTTTCACTTTATAAAACTTGTTGAGTTTTTCCCTTTTTCCTCTTCTTCTTTTTCCTTTCTTTTCCTTATTACAAACATTTAATAACAAAAATGGCTGAAGGTGTTTTCCCAGGTGCTATCGGTATCGATTTAGGTACCACTTACTCATGTGTTGCTACTTATGATTCTGCTGTTGAAATCATTGCCAACGAACAAGGTAACAGAGTTACTCCTTCTTTCGTCGCTTTCACTAACGAAGAAAGATTAATTGGTGATGCTGCTAAGAATCAAGCTGCTTTAAACCCAAAGAACACTGTTTTCGATGCTAAGCGTTTAATTGGTAGAGCTTTTGATGACGAATCCGTCCAAAAGGATATCAAGTCTTGGCCATTCAAGGTTGTCGAATCTAACGGTAACCCATTGATTGAAGTTGAATACTTGGAAGAAACCAAGACTTTCTCCCCTCAAGAAATTTCCGCCATGGTTTTAACCAAGATGAAGGAAATTGCTGAAGCCAAGATTGGTAAGAAGGTTGAAAAGGCTGTTATTACCGTCCCAGCTTATTTCAATGATGCTCAAAGACAAGCTACCAAGGATGCTGGTGCCATTTCTGGTTTAAATGTTTTGAGAATTATCAACGAACCAACTGCTGCTGCCATTGCTTATGGTTTAGGTGCTGGTAAGTCTGAAAAGGAAAGACACGTTTTGATTTTCGATTTAGGTGGTGGTACTTTCGATGTTTCCCTTTTAAACATTACTGGTGGTGTTTTCACCGTCAAGGCTACTGCTGGTGATACTCACTTGGGTGGTCAAGATTTCGATACCAACTTGTTGGAACACTTCAAGAAGGAATTCCAAAAGAAGACTGGTTTAGATATCTCTGAAGATGCTAGAGCTTTAAGAAGATTGAGAACTGCTTGTGAACGTGCTAAGAGATCCTTATCTTCTGGTACCCAAACCACTGTTGAAATTGACTCCCTTTTCGACGGTGAAGATTTCTCTGCTAACATTACCAGAGCTAGATTCGAAGACATTAACTCTGCTTTATTCAAGTCTACTTTAGAACCAGTTGAACAAGTTTTGAAGGATGCTAAGATTGCCAAGAACCAAGTTGACGAAGTTGTCTTGGTTGGTGGTTCTACCAGAATTCCAAAGGTTCAAAAGTTATTATCTGACTTCTTTGACGGTAAGCAATTAGAAAAGTCTATTAACCCAGATGAAGCTGTTGCTTACGGTGCTGCTGTTCAAGGTGCTATCTTGACTGGTCAATCTACTTCTGAAGACACCAAGGACTTGTTATTATTGGATGTTATTCCATTATCTTTGGGTGTTGCTATGCAAGGTAACGTTTTCGCTCCAGTTGTTCCAAGAAACACCACTGTTCCAACCATCAAGAGAAGAACCTTCACCACTGTTGCTGACCACCAAACCACCGTTCAATTCCCAGTTTACCAAGGTGAACGTGTTAACTGTTCTGAAAACACCTTGTTGGGTGAATTCGACTTGAAGAACATTCCACCAATGCAAGCTGGTGAACCAGTCTTGGAAGCTATCTTTGAAGTTGATGCTAACGGTATCTTGAAGGTTACTGCTGTTGAAAAGTCCACCGGTAGATCTGCCAACATTACCATCTCCAACTCTATTGGTAGATTATCTTCTGAAGAAATTGAAAAGATGATTTCTGATGCTGAAAAGTTCAAGTCTTCTGATGACGCTTTCGCCAAGAGACACGAACAAAAACAAAAATTGGAAGCTTACGTTGCCTCTGTTGAATCCACTGTCACTGACCCAGTCTTATCTGCTAAATTAAAGAAGTCTGCCAAGGACAAGATTGAAGCTGCTTTATCTGATGCTTTACAAACTTTAGAAATTGAAGAATCTTCTGCTGATGACTTCAGAAAGGCTGAATTAGCTTTAAAGAGAGCTGTTACCAAAGGTATGGCTACCCGTTAATTAAACACTGTATAATTGTATAGTTTGGGAAATATAAAAGAAATATCTTAAAAAAAGAAAGGTCTATGTAGAAACTATTCATCAAGGATATAATTACCTAATTTGTCCATCTTCAATGGTTTATCACCAAGAGAAAGGGCGGCTATGATCTTTTCGTTTTCCAGGTCTGATTCTTCCTCTTCAAAAGCGTCTTCATCGTCATACTCTTCTTCTTCTTCTTCTTCTTCTTCTTCGTCATCATCCTCATCATCATACTCTTCTTCATCTTCTACTTCAGAAAGGTCATCATCTTCATTAGCAACCATTCTCATTCCCATGACTGCCTTTTCCAAATCCTTATCTTCTTTTGAACCAGTCTTTTTCTTCGCATACCCTGAAGCCATAACTTCCACATCCAAGCTAGCACATCTTACAACATCACGTTTGAAGTTAGGATAGGCGTATTTATAACCTTCCCCATACCCTTCAGTATCAAACATAGTTGGGTCATGTTGTGGAGTATACTTGAATTTCTTTTCAAAGAAATCGCGAATACCTTGTACATCTCTATCAAAATAAGCTTTAGCGTCTGGATGTTCAATCGAAACACATTGCGGGAAATCAATGACGATAAAGTTTGGACTTCCTTCATTCTTTATGATAATGTTGAATTCATTAAAATCACAATGTATAAGTCCATGATTGGCTAATTTGACGATAAAACTCATCAAATCGGAATATAACTTCTTGTATGTGGAAGTGTCACGATAATGCTTCATTAAAGTTCCGTCGATCCATTCCATTAATATACAATGACGCAGGTGGTCGTATGGTGTAGGTACCGAGAACCCATTGTTATGCAAAACTGTCATGAATTGGTATTCTTTTTCAGCTGCTAATCTAGACAAGTACATCCAGTTTGAGGTTTGTTTGTTCTTTAAGTAATCTCGATTGTTCTTGACTGTTCTGAACGAAGTACGACCCAATCTGGCAATCTTGACAACTTTTTGCACACCTTGGTCATCACTTACCGAGTAAATATCCGATTCTTTTCCAACACCAATGATGGACCCAACGGAATAGATCGTGTTTCTGTTAAGCATAGATTTCAAGGCAAGATAATCGTATCCGGAGTAAGTTAATCTGAAACCATCGTACTTGGCGTTACGCAATCTGGATATAAGTTTAATCTTGGCTAAATCTCCAATAGATCTATTGGTACCTGATGGTGATTTCATTTTTGAGATTTGATGGATTAGTGTTGTAGGAACAAGCTCGTGATTACGAGTTCCAAGTTCGACAGCTTGTAAAACTCGGAAGTCATCGGAGGTAAGATACCTCATATGAGATGTGTCTAACTTCATTGCTGTAGTTGCTTTTGCTTGATAACTTGATAATAATTATGTGAATCTCATCTTGAATAATTTTTTTTAGGTGGTTGCCAATATTAAAACATGGTAGCGTTGGCAAGTATCAAAAATATAAACAAAACTATAGTCTTTATGTTTCAACGGAAGAAGTACAACCGTCGGCAGAGAACTGGACGCAAGCGGATAATACGTGCTAGGAAATCGTACAACAACAGAAAGCAACTTCCACCGACAGCACAGCCACTTTCTAAACTTGGTACCAATGACATTTCATATGTTGACCGATCATTTACAACCACTTATTCGTGGACAACCGTGAAACCGGTAGCTGTAGCAGCTGCCATACCAGCAAGTTCAAACAAGATACCCTCTCTTCGTCAAATATGTTCAGTCGAATTAGCCAACAACGCGAGCATGCTCACACAAGCACATCTCCAAACCGCTCCTTGGTCAGTTTGGAAACGCGTCTGGCATGAAATACTCCAAACAGGTAATGATTCAATTGTGGTATACCAAGAGTTCTCCCTGGTGTTTGGCAAGGAACTTGATTTTAAGTGTCACGAGAATAACACCAGTGATACAGTAAAGGACACCATGATTGATATGTATAGGATTCCTAACGCCAGGAAACATCGAATTGAAACTGTGTTTGCTAATGTATACTTGACTGATATTGTTACGTTTATTGCTTCATTCAAGTATGTTCCGTATGTGATGCTAGATTTATCAATGACAAAATTGAACAATGATGTTTTGTTTCTGGTGTTTCATATTCAGAAGTTAATGTGCATTGATTTATCAAACCTGAACATCGATGACAATTATCTAATACAACTAGGAAATGCTGTTAGTCAGGGAAAACTTGCAAACTTGACTATTCTAAAGGTGAATAGATGTATGAATGTAACTGTATCAGGTATAAAGTCGCTCTTCGAGAAGACAGAAGGCTCACTTGCATGCATAGAAACCGATATTAGCTTACCAATAACAAGATATATTGAACCAAATCACGGCTATGTATCTAATATGAAATGGATAAAGCTAGACACAGATACCATGCCAGCGTCGTTGATTTTGAAACTACCACTTGCATTAAAACTACATACTTTGCTTCGATTCTATGGTGATATAATAGTAGCCAAGCCCGCAGGAGTATCAATCACAAAGGACTTACTACGAGAGTTGCGACTATCCCACGTGTTTGACTTGTTGGTTATGGGTTCAGAGTCACTGGATGATGTTTCCAGAATGTGGGAAGAGAGGATCAGAGCTAGGAATAGGGTATGCCTGGGGTATATCTATATCCTAGATAAGAATTATCAAGAGCTACCATCACACTTCCCACAACCAAAACGAAAAACAGTCAAACTAGAAGAGGAAACAGCCAAGCTGAAACAGAATAATCGCATACGTAAACGTACAATTAAAGCGGATGCAAAATCGTTTTTTTGTATATAAAGTTATATAATCATCTTTTAAGTAAATCCTTAAGAAAATCAGCAGATCGTTTATGAGCGTCGGATTTAATCTGAGTAGTACTTAATGAAATTGGTGCTGGGTTAGGATGTTCCTGTTTACCACCTTTTAATAACGCCAATAATCCTTGTCCCTCAGCATTCGTGCCGGCTGACAGGTCTGGTTTTGCTCCATTCAATGAGAACCCCGCAGGTGCAGGATCCTCACGTTTTAATATTCTAATCTTGGTAGGCGCTTTAGGCGAGGGGAAGAATCCATGAGATTCAGTAGTGATTGGATCAATCAAGTGATCAACATCTTCTTCATCACTGGCAATATCAAAATTACGGAACCCTCCTGGCTGGTGATGATCGGGATCAAAGTCATAGCCATCTTCAAAATCTTCAAAATCTTCGAAATTGGAAGTTCTGGTAGCTTGTTTTGTAAGTTGGGCCAATTCGGCTTGATTAGAAAAATCAAGGGTTTGCTCGAGTGTAGGGGAGATTGGCGATTTGTTCTTATTGAGGATTCCAAGAAGTTCTGCTCCTGGTGAGGTCACCGACTTTCGAGGCTGAGCTTGATTACTTAAATCAAGGGATTGTGGCTCAGTTGGAGATTTCTTATTAAGAAGACCAAGAAGCTCAGCTCCAGCTGATGGTTTAATAACTTGGTTACTTGGGGGATGTTCAGGTGTCTTTGATTTGTTGAGGAGGCCAAGAAGTTCAGCTCCCGCTGATGGTTTAACGTGGCCGGCTGGGGCTTGTTCAGGCGACTTTGATTTGTTGAGAATCGAAAGAAGTTCTTTTCCAGGTGAAGTTACAGGTTCAGGAGGTTGGGTTTCATTCTTGGGTTTGCCGCCTAACATACTCATCAACTCCATCGATTTCTTATTCTTGGAATGGGTTCCATCACGTTTCAACAAGGTTATCTTTCCTGGTTGAGTAGGCTTCTTTTGAAGTGATTCTTCAATTTCGTTTGAAGGTTTGGGTTGGATATTCAAGAATGATTTAGGTTCCTTGTGGAGAACATCAAGTAATGCCTGTTTAACATTTTCATTTTCTGTTGGATTACTTTTTGGTTCATCTTCAGGTTTGATTTGTACTTTATCAGCTTTCTTTGTTAATAAAGACAACAATTCCTTGGAATTGGCACTGCCTGATTTAATTGTTGGCTTAACTAATGTCTGTGGATTTGGAGTTAAGTAATTTCTTTCTTGTGTTGGTGGTGGTAATTGATGAGGAGGAACTGGAGTCATTCCCATAGGATATGGCAGAGGGAGTGGAATGCTATTGTAGATGGGGAATGGTGGTGGGATAGGTGGCCCAAACATAGGAACTTGTTGATGTATAGGCACGGGAACAACTGGTTGTGGAGTGCTAACATTATTAGTGGATATTGAGTTGGCAGCGGTGGCAGTAGTCGAGGATGCCTTCACCATATCCATTAATTTCCTGCCGGCATCTATATCCTTATCCAATCCTAACAAACGTTTCAATTTGATTTCTGCTTTCATCATAAGTTCTTCTTCAGTGACATCGGTCTTGTTCTTGTTGATCCATCGTAACATTGGTTTGAATACCGTACCCACAATGAAATAATTGTTTGGATTCTTATTGCAATTCTTTTGCAATGATTTGATGTCATGCCATTGAATCTTACTAATTTCAAATCGAGTAGCCGGCAGGAAATTCGTCAGTTCATCGACATTCTTGACGAGGTAAATCTTATAGTTTTTTCCTCTGATTGTACGTTCTATAAAGTCATTTTCGTTGATCAAATCACGGCAATTGAATCCAGTTTCCTCTTCAACTTCACGAATGGCACATTCTATATCAGATTCACCCTTGGAGATCTTTCCTCTAGGGAAAGACCATGCGTTGGATTCGGTTCCCTTCACCAACACAACCTTTGTCAAATCGTGGTTTAACAATGCTACTCCTCTAACGGGGATGGTCAGTTTGTATTTCCCGAATCGGGAAAGGGCATTTTCTGGATCGCCCCATTTCCAAATCAAGGGACATTTCTCTAATATGTGACCACTGAACAATTTCATCTTCATTGCTGGTAAACTAGGATTCATTTGTCGGATGAAATCACTATAAAACCATTGTGCCTCTTCAACTTGAAAGAAGATCCGTTCAATGGAGGACAAGTCTTCTTGTGGAACATTGACGACAAATCTAACTAGGAGGTCTTCAAGGACACGGTCTAGTGGTTGGTCCGCTAGACCATCACGTAATTGAATCGACATAATGTATGTATGTATGTATTGTTGGGGTTGGAAGTTGGTTGTCCAATGTTTGTAGTGCTGGTGATGTTTTTTTTGTTGCTGAATGTTGGTGATATTTGTGTGCGGGTAACCCTCGCCAACTATTAAGAAAAATAGTTCATCAAATCAATTAGAGTAGATCTAGATGCAACTACCAGATAATCATGAACAGACAAGCTATAAGAACAATCAAGACAAAACCATTCAGCGCCGTAACTTCTACAGTAGCGAGTGCTACACAAGCCGCACAAACCAAATCAATACCAATAACCAAACCATTTGGATTAGACAAGCCAGTCTTGCTTAACCATACCATTCCAGAAAACCAATACAACTTGCTGTCAATCTGGCATAACATCACGAGTGTTGAAGGCAGAGCAAGACGTCAGAAACAATTAGACTACGATATCAAACACTCTGCTCTTTTCGATGCCAAGTCTTTCAATAATGTTCAAGGGAAGATCTTTACTCCACCACCAGCATACTTCAAATCACAATATTCGAAATATTTCCCTGATTTCATAGCGCAAACTCTTGGTGGAAAGAATTTATCGCTTTATGACGTATTGGAGAAGAAAGTCTCCATCGTGAATTTGTTTTCTACAGTTACCGGTCAACAGTGTGTGAACTCGTACTATAAGGTAGAAGGCAAAGACTTGTACGCCAAAGATTACAGCTCCTTCCAAGAAACATATCCAAATTGTCAGATTATCGATATCAACGTCCCTCAATCATGGCTTAAAGGGTTCTTACTTAATTTATCCATTAACAATCTTAAGAAAATGATTCCGCAGCTGAGATACGACAGGTATTTTATCTTACCAGACCAAATATTTCAATATGAGGTTAGAGACTCACTTTTATGCAGTAATTCCTGTTCAGGGTATATCTATGTGTTAGACCTGAAAGGAAGAGTAAGATGGGCCACTAGTGGGTACTCGACAGAAGAAGATTTGAAGTTAATGTGGAAAGTAGTTAAAGGGTTGAATAATGAGAAGTTCTAGATGTTACCCGGCTAGAAATCTTGTACATATAAATATAGACGTTTTTTTTTCCTTCTCCAGACAACGCAAATCATCATCATCATCATCACTGATGTAAACAATGCCACTTTGTAATCTTGATCAAATCGTATGTGTTACTTCTTCATCAAGACAAACAATATATGATGAACTTTTCAATTGGGAATCTCTCTGACAATCCAAAAACTTCAAACTGGAGAAAACTTTATTTAATTGACTTCTGATTATGTTTGTATGAGACAATTACGGAATTTTATACTAACTGGTATTTTAGAAGCGTACACAGAGTGTGAAAGATTGGAAACTGTTTCTTATCAGAGCTCAAGATTGAACATTGAACAGGCCGGTTCGAAGTGCACTCTTGAGCTCTTGTAAGTGACTGTAGACATGTTATCAACAGGTCCATCCTATATCGACGCCTTGACCATTGTAACACACTAAGATCCAGCCCTGGAATACGACAATCCAGGTGACTGCTCTTTACATCCTAATCAAGTGTCTCTTTTTGCTGCGTTAGCATCTTCAAGCAGAGACTTGGGTTTACGCTAGGATATCTCCAGGGTTGTAGCCCCAATACTTTACACGTGATACATCGCACTGAAAAAAAAAAGTTTTTCCAAACCACTTTAAATATTTCAAACAGAATATTTTTTTTAACTATTATACTTCTCTTTCTTTCTTTAACAACGTCAAGTAACAATGTCTGCTCCAATCAGTAAAGAAAAGGTCGAAGTTGAACAACAACAACAAATCCACAAGATCAGAATGACCTTGACCTCCACCAAGGTCAAGCAATTAGAAAATGTTTCTGCCAACATCATCAAGAATGCTGTTGACCACAACATTGTCAAGAAGGGTCCTGTTAGAATGCCAACCAAGGTCTTGAAGATCACCACCAGAAAGACTCCAAACGGTGAAGGTTCTAAGACTTGGGACTGTTACGAAATGAGAATCCACAAGAGAGTTATCGATTTACAAGCTCCAGCTGACATCGTTAAGAAGATTACTCAAATCACTATTGAACCAGGTGTAGATGTTGAAGTTACCATTGCTGCTTAAGCGGGTTTGTAAACTAAAACAATATTTATCATGATAAGTACATTTAAGGGTATTACTTTTTAATCAATAGAGGAGTTTGACTCATGAAGAATGAGTTGAAAAAAAAAGTGGGTGTGAAAGTTTTATAATTTTTTTTTGTAAGGGGACATTATATCCAAGTGCTCTAGGCGTGCCGTATGAGAGATCATGCTGACGTTGTGGTGTTGCTATCAGGATTTGGTATAATCAGTTGAGAAAAGTGTATATGTTTTTTATGTACTTCTGTTTTAATAATACATTTCTTAATAAACCGTGTCCCCCCATTACTGTAGTTGGCGGATTTATGTTTACATCACGTGCCAGGTAAATTCCACCTCCGCTCTTGGTCTCCGCCTTTTTTTTCCCCTTACAAAAGAGAGAGAGAAAAAAAGAGGCAGACAGCCAATTAAATCCCTACCAATAACACAACACAACACAACAGCCTCTATACAATATCCTAGTAATGGTGTACGTTCTCGCGGTCAAACCGCGGTTTTTGTACGTCACTGCAAAACAACTTCAACGGATGGCTTATAACAAACATCACATTGCCAACTTTGCCCGGAACTTCCTGACCCACCAAATCCCCCATAACGTGAAACGAATCACCACCAGCAGCAGCAGCAGCAGAGATTACAAGAAGAAAGTGGCCTTGGTTTCTGGTGTGATTATAATTGGCTCATTCATCAGTTTCAGTCACTCTGATTATTACAATTTGGATACCATACCTACTGTTGCTAAGCCAATTGAAAAGAATAGTACGCCCGATGGCAAGAGAATGTTCTCTACATCCACCAGTTCACTCTTGCAGAATCCAACTTCGAAGCAAGGGATCTATTTACTCACTGAAGACCAAGTGCTGGAAAAGCTTCGTCAGTTTGAAGAGTCATATCTAGTCAATCGCGGTCGGGGAGTTACCCGGTACGATATTTGCCAACTAGCCCTGAACTCGCCCATTGAAGATGACAGAGCTGAGGAAATTGTTCAAGTGCAGTTGTTGCAGGATAATAACATTCGTGCCAGTACTGACTGGATGTTTTTCGGGGTGTTTGACGGACATGGTGGCTGGACCACGTCTAGCAAATTACGAGATAAATTGATTGGATATGTTATTCATGAATTAGGAACGATATTCAAGAGTGTCAAAAGTGGGGACACCGAAGAAGAAGTCAGATTAATCCCAAATAGTGCTACCATTGACCAGGCAATCAAGAATGGATTCCTTAAACTCGATCACGAATTGGTTAATGAAAACATTGCCAAACTTTTAAATGAAAACAACAAAGCCAAAGCCGCCGAACTACTCATGCCGGCTCTTTCTGGATCATGTGCCTTGGTTCTGTTTTACGATACCCATCTGAAGATTTTAAAAGTGGCGGTCACGGGTGACTCGCGGGCCATATTGGGGCTGTTTCGCGATAATCAATGGACAGTACGGCAATTATCTATAGATCAGACTGGTTCAAATCCTACCGAAGTTGCCCGGATCATCAGTGAGCACCCCGATGAACCTAAAGTTATCAAGAATGGAAGAGTGTTGGGCAGTCTAGAACCAACGAGAGCATTTGGGGATTGTAGATATAAATTACCGGGACTGATTCAGGAAAAGATATACAAGCAATTCTTTGGCAAGAAATTACCCAATTTCTTGACGTCACCTCCTTATGTCACTGCTGAGCCGGTTATCACTTCGACCAAGGTTGATCCTGATAACAATGATTTCTTGGTTATGGCCAGTGATGGGCTTTACGAAATGCTCACCAATGAAGAGATTGTCGGATTAGTTGTGAAGTGGATGGAAAAAGAAAAGATGATTAAGCCACAGACTTCGATTTGGGATATATTTGGCACGAACGAGAATAAGCTCCCACAGGTGGCTGACATCACCAACGATAAGTCCCTGAAGAAACCACCGCAGGGGAGAAGATTCAATAGTAGTGGATTGTTCTTGTTAGAAGACAAGAACGTATCGACCCATTTAATCAGAAATGCATTATCCAATGGAGGAAGTAAAGAACAAACCAGCATGCTTATTTCCATTCCTAGCCCAGTCAGTAGAAGATACCGAGATGATTTGACTGTGACTGTGGTATTTTTCGGTAAGGATCAAAAGGGAGAAGATGATAATGGTCGATTGGAGGTGAACGTGGAAGCTACTGGAGGAGGAGGAGGAGGAGGTAATGCCAAACCAAAGTTGTAGTATTAGGTTTTGTGTAGATAAATATTCATATACACATACATGGTAGGCAACGCCGTAAATGACCTCGGGTAAAGAAATGGCCCCGCACAAAAAAAAAAGCTGAATTTTCGATCAGAAGATTCAAATCAACCACTTTCTTTATACCAAATGTCCGACCAAACTCAGGCTACTACCGAAGTTAATCCAATTAAGCCAGAAGCTGCTGCTGCTAAGGAAGCTACCGTGTCCAAGGCCGCTGTTCCAGCTGTTGCAGACGATGATGTAGACGATTTAGACGACCTTCTCGACGACTTTGCAGACGACGTTCTCAGCAAACCACCAGGAGCCGGGGTTGCCCAATCACCAAAAACCAACCCCACAACCGCAGGCACATCTGCTGATGCGCCACTCAACGATGAATTGCAATCTGGCATTGCGGACCTCATCAAGGATCTCAACATCACTGACCCAGAAACCCAAACCCAATTTGAACAACTTGTGTCACAGTTCGAGACTGAGCATCGTGCCGAAGTTGAAGCACAAGAACGTAAACCAGCCAATTTCGAACATGTCATGAAGGAAACCATGGAACGATTGAAAAACAGTGGTAAAGACATCGACGACAAGATTAGTGGCGACGGTGCTGGTATTGGTGGAGAAGATTTACTTACACAAATGCTTGCTGGATTAGGCGGAGACGGTGATAATTTAGATATGAACAAGTTGTTGGTAGAGATGTTGGAACAATTGTCGAGTAGAGAAGTGTTGTATGAACCAATCAAGGATTTGAATACCAAATTTCCCGATTACTTGAAAGAGAACAAGGATAAGTTGGATGAAGCTAAATACACTACATATAATAAGCAATATGAAATCACTACCGAGATTATTACTATTTTCGAAGCTGCTGACTATAGTGATGATAACAAAGCTAAAAGAGACCAAGTTAATGAACTTTTAGAATCCTTACAAGAATTGGGCCAACCTCCTGAAGAGTTGGTGGGCAATGGTGAATTTTTACCAGGATTTGGTGGTGGTGGTGCTGGCAATGATCTTGATTTCAATGATAAGGATTTACCAGAAGATTTAGCCAAGGACCTCGAGCAAGGATGTAAGCAACAGTAATTATATAGTTAATCCCGATCTATTTGCAAAATCTTGATAGTATTGTAACATTTCATGAGTAATACCTCGAGCGATTCCTACTAATGCATGGTCAAAATGACGTTTATGTACAGTAGAACATTGATTGTCCTCCATGATTGCGGCAAGACCTGCTTCTTGACAAAGTAAGGTGACTTCAGCCCCGGAACACCCTTCGGTAAGTTTAGCAAGTTGCTGTAAGTCGACTTCATTCTGATCTAAGTCAAACTTGCTGCAGCACTTCTCTAAGATCTGTACTCTTGCTTCAAAATCAGGAGGGGCAACGTAGATATGACGATCTAATCTACCCGGACGTAACAATGCTGGATCGATGTCACTTGGCTTATTAGTAGCACCAATAATAACCACTCCTTTCAATTCTTCAACCCCATCAATTTCATTAAGCAAGGAGGTAAGCACATTCAGGGATGCATCGGTAGAAGAATCTCTCACGCTGGCAATAGCATCAATTTCATCAAAGAAGATAATACTGGGTGATGCTGCTCGGGCCTTTCTGAATATTTCTCTGATTGTTCTTTCTGATTCACCAACGTACTTGTTGAAGATTTCTGGTCCTTTCACGGCAAGGAAGTTAAGACCTGATTCCGTGGCCAATGCTTTTGCAGTAAGGGTTTTGGAACAACCTGGTGGTCCATAGAGGAGCACACCTTTAGGAGCAGATATCCCAAGTTTGGAAAAACTGGCAGAAGCTTGCAATGGCAATTGAACCACTTCAATAAGTTTCTGTTTAAGTTCATGTTGTCCCCCGATATCTGTCCAATGTACTTTTGGCATTTCCAACAAGATCTCACGCATGGCTGAAGGACGAATGTCAGGGTATGCTGCAAGTAAGTGGTCTACGGTGACCTTAATCTCGTGCTGGGGTGTGCCTTGGGCCAATCCTTGTTTGATGGCATTCATGACTGCTTCACGACAAAGTGCAGATAAATCAGCACCTACATACCCGTGAGTCTTGCTTGCCACGAGCTCAATTTCCAGTTTCGTCAACAGGTACTTATCATGGTTCATTCTATCAAACAATTTGCTAAGAATGTCGGTTCTGGCATCAATATCAGGAATTCCAATTTCCACTTCGGTGTCAAACCTACCTGGTCGACGCAAGGCAATGTCAATACTGTTTGGTCTATTAGTGGCACCCACAATCACGACACGTCCACCATTATCCATACCATCCATCATGGTCAATAATTGTGCCACTACTCTAGATTCAGTTTCTCCAGCGTCAGATCCGGTTCTTGACGGTACAAGGGCATCTATCTCGTCCATGAATATAATTGATGGTTGGTACTTTCTAGCTTCGGCAAATATGTCCCTGATGGTGTTTTCAGTTTCTCCCAAGTACTTTGAGACAATGGAAGGTCCATTTATGGTTAGCACATGGGCATTGCTGGTGTTGGCGGCACATCGAAGAAGCATGGTTTTACCGGTTCCGGGTGGTCCATGGAGTAAGATCCCTCTAGGTGGAGATATCCCGAAATCGGAGAATAAAGTAGGGGAATGCAATGGGAGGGAGATTGTTTGTTGGAGGAGTTGAATTTGTTTTGTGAGTCCACCTACAGAGGTGTAGGTGATTGGGTCGGGAAGGTAAGGATATTTGGAAGTTGGTGGGGTTGTCTGCGATGTTGGTTCTAGTTTGGTGGTGGATTTGACAAAGATGTATGGCGGTGACACTACCTCTGTATCTGCTGCAGCTTCGTTAAGGGACAATTTGTCAAGCGAAGATTCAAGGGAAGAGTCGATATCAACAATGACAGAACCATTCACATTCAATCCAGGGTAAACCAATCCAATATCATCCAATGTCTTCTTATCAAGTTTCTTGTCACTGTCTTCAGAAACATATACACACTTGGCATATGGTGGCTGTCTGGTGTAACTAGTAAAGTCGACTCTATCACCAAGTAAGAAACCGGCCAATTGTCTAAATTCATCACTTACTTCAATCATGTTTCGTTCAACATCACCTGCTTGGACAACACCAACAATACCAGGCGATCCATCACGAGAAACAAGAATAAACTCACCAATGGACAATGCAAGAGAAGGAATGATTTCTGCATTAAGAATAATATGAGAGATTGTTTTACCACTGGGTGACAGGTGGGGGCGGACAATGTACGATTTAGGAAGTTTGATCTTTTTAGGAGGATCTGTGGAGGTGGCCACCGGAGTTGGGGTTGATCCTGACGGAGTCTTTTTCTTTTTGGAGGACATCACGTTGGGGAGGGAGGAAGAAGAAGAAGAGCAGAGTTTATATTTGTGCGATGGAGTATGAAAATTTATTTTTAATCTTTACCCACAACACAAGATCACATCATGGTCTCTAGATTACATACACTATTGGAACCAATAAAGCCAGTGCCGAAGTACTTGAAGAAACTAGCCTCCCAGAAAGTAACCGCGCACCCTATTCAAACTTATATACCTCACCTTGAATTCACCAGCCGTGACTTGACTGCGATATCTCAAGGTCTCACTAACAACACATTAACCATCAACACCCAGCCTTATCAAACTGCCCTTCTTCGACAACTAGGAAAACAAACTTTACTATTCCGCCTTTATACTTCGACTATATTTCTGGGTCAACGATACTTGGCATCTTCGCCATATGAAATCAAGAATGATCTAGGTTATTTCACCAATGATTGGGTAATACCGCAAGTAATGCGCCGCAATGGGATATACGACTGTTGTGTCGTTGATGATAGATTAGTAACCACTGAGAGAATCGAATATGAACGATATTTAAACAAAGTCAAAGAAGTTAAGGATAAGACAGCAATAGGAAGTTTGTTCACTTTGATTGGATTGGTTAAAGTAAAGTACGGCGATAAGGAAGCTAAGCAGGTTTGCGATAAATTGGTAGAGGGTAAGAGAGGTATTATTGAGATTGTTCAAGAAGAAATGAAGTAGCATACATCGTGTATCCTCTTGCAAAGCTGGACTTTGTTCCCTAAATCTTGGTCAGAAATCTAACAAATAACGAACAAATGTATGACATTCCATGTAAATAGTACAAAGATCAATACTTGACAAATAGAACCCTTTTAATACAATATTTTTGAATGTTTATGTTGTAGATTGACAGAATCGAACTGGTTAGTAATATTCCTAAATCTGTTGCTCCGTATACGTGGATATCGCAGATAAGTGATTTAGAGATAAGATTAGCTACATGGCTACGAGAGGAATAAGTTAGAGAAAGGAGATTAATTAAACTTTAAAATCACTAGCAGAAATATCAAAACCATAACCAAAGGACTATACCAAGCACCAAAAATAACCAAAGAAACCAAAGATTAAACACCAAACCAAAACCGCCACATGTTATGACGTTTCCAAATGAAAAAGAACAAAGACCAAAGACATAGCACATTACAAAATAACGTGAATAAAATTAGACAAGAATAGATTAACTTATGCTCGGATTGATATACCAGCTTGAACATATAACACTCAGGTGAACCACATTGAAATTTAACATTTATAAATTGAACTTAAGGATTGTTTAATAGACTTCCAAGATACCTCGAAATGCGAACAAATTCATTCAAAACCAGAATTATTATCTGAAGAAGAAGTGAAGGAGATTTGATTATAACCAAATAGGACCTCGGAATAGGCACACATTCATTCAATCTACCATGACAAGTATGAACTTAAGCATTGGAAGTCTATGGACACAATTGTTTCAGTTCAGCTTCATCAAGAAGCTAACATTAACGTTCCTCGAAATAAGTACGGATTCATTCAATCTCAAGATGGGAATTTTTCAAGATGAAGTGAAGGGGATTTAGTCTAGACTAAATTTTATCCTCGGAATAGGTACTAATTCATTCAATGTTTAACCACGTTATTAAATAAGATTAAAGTGAAGGATTTTCCTCGGAGTTGCATATTCATTCAAATCAGGTTGGGAATACTGACGAACTTAAGGGAATTAGCTGGGGCTAAACTGACCCTCGGAATAGGCACAAACTCATTCAATCATATCAGGTGGATATTCACAAATTTCAATTGTGTAAATATATTTCATATGTGGTTCAATACGTTGTTTGTCGAGAGGAGTATAAACAACTAGCTTATTCTTGTCAATTGATGGCTACTTTTCAGTTTTCGGTTTCGATCTTTTCAGTTTCGCAGAATGAATGAAAGACATGTTGGAACTGTTTAGTTCAGCAGCAACATTCTTGTGATCAGATTTAGCATCTAACGCATTCAATTCTGGTTCAACTTGAGTGAGGAAATCATTAACTTTGGAGTTGCCAACAGAGGGAATACATTCCGTAACATCATTATTGTGGCGGCAAAAAATCTATGCTGTTCACATGTTGTTATCTTCTATTCCCACGAAATAACCTCTTGAAAAAGTAGCTCACTTTTTCAAAGAAAGTACTGGAGGAGGTAGGAACGTCACAAACCATGGGAAGGTTTGTTAAGTCAATTGTGTAAGTATTTGGATAAACGCCTTTTCTAATTGGAATTCCATGGTCGTAATAAGTTGAACCGTGTTGATAATAAGTTGAACAATAGTGATAATAATTTGTATCAAAAAAGTTAGGTTTGGTTTCTTCAGTTGTTTCTAAAATATCTGGTTCATCTTTGGGATTGTGTTTTTGTGGTTGAAACCACTTTTTAAACCAGTTGTTTATTTTAGCACGCTTGGATGTTGTCTTAGAAGGGATAGAAGTGAAGGTAGTAGCAGGAGTAGTTTTAAAGTTTTTAGAGCCAGAAGTATTTGTGTTTGGGGTGTTAGCTTGGGAATTAGTTTCAATTGTGTTTGTACCACTTGGAATCTTAGCAGAAGAATCATTACCAAATTCTAATTGAACTTTGTAACCAAAATCAGCAGTCAGATCATTTGGAATTGGGAGATATGGTTGGGAGTTTCTGTGTGTAAAGTTTCTGAACCAAGTCTTCATTCTTAAACGCTTTGAAGGTTTAGTGGCACCAAAAGATGATTCGTCAACGGTAGTTGCTGATGATTGAGTGGATTGATTATATGGAGCATCATAATCAATAGGAGTAGTTCTAACAAATGGTGGAGTTGAAACATACAAGTTTTCAAGTACAACTGACTTAAAAATTTTGTCAGTACAATTTTCTGGTCTTTCAAAACCAGAAGGTTGAGTGAATCGGTAGTAGTGATCGGAATCCATGATCAGTAACTTAAGGTGAACAAATAAACAAGTAATTGGAAGTTTATCTGTGGTGTTCAAAATGAAAGAAAGAAGTGAGTAAATGAAAGCGGTAACTTTTTTGCAATTGTACTGAGATTTTGCAATCAAAGTTTGGCTCAGTGTTTAAGATGCTACCATGTGTGTGCGGCTCAAATATAATATTCTCGACTTGAGCAAAATGTCATTGTCGCAGTAGTCTGACGAGGTCCTTGATCTCACATGCTATGTCGATTCTGCTACTAACTATTATAATTAATAAAGTTTGACTGGTTTATCTCCGAGCTCCATAATTTATGGTAGTGACAACGAAATGATAGTAAAGCTGCTCACCCTATGACCGAGAGAGAGGAATATACAAATTTTATAAGGTCAAACAGTAAAATAAGCAAATGAAGGTGATTTGGGTGACTGGATATTGTCAACGTAAGAAATAAGGTTCAGTAAAATGTAATGGGGTTTATGTATAGTTGTGTAAGTTTTCTAAATGGGATAAGTAAAAAAAATAGCAGTTGGGGCAAGTTTCAATATACGACTGGATGTGGGTATCTCACAACAATTGAAATACTAGAGCATAGGTAATTTCATTGACAAATCTCGTGGATCCTCTTAAGTTCCTTGTGATGACTCTGATATGCAAAATAACTAGTCGATTCCTAACTAGGCGTCACTTCTCTGAACATGATATAAAAGCGAATACTTACTTGCACCATAGTTTGTAGTTTGTTGTTTTTTGTTTCAGAGACAAAGCAAAGTAAATTGCCATGACATTCAAACAATTAATATACAACTTTTACCAACAATTTAAGAGATATCTGGCATTAATGACTTAATCTCTTGCAAGTTATCATCCTTGTTGTATACTGTTCTGGTATTAAAGTTCAAAAACTTGCTACTGTTTTGTTGGGGTGTGGCTCTTTGCACCCTTGCTAAAAAAAACTCACTACTCGGCTAAAAATTTCAACCCCCCCTCCTCCCCCCCCCCCAAAAATCATACATTCTATATGTTTACAACCAAACACCGAACATTCGTTAATTATGCTTGACCTACAAGCATATCCAGAATTAACATGTGGGCTACGTGCCATACTATACCCTATGGCTCCAAACAATGATAATGCCTTTAACCCATGTTTCTTGACATTGTTGTTGACATTATTCGGAGTTGGATTCGCAATATACGGAGGGATAACATTTTACCTTACTCTTAAGAGACCACGATATGGTGATTTGCTCCCTAGTAGTACAGGAATGTCACATTACATCCGATTGAATTCAGTTCTACTACAATGTTTATTAATGTTCTACTTGGAGTCGTTTCTAAGCATTCATGAACGGTTGGCTGACCAAAAATTGTTGTCATTTACTATTGTCAATTTGGGATTAGTATGTGTCATATTACCACTACATGTAATTGAAGTGATGTACGAACCTATACCATGTGATGTACTAGTGTTGTATTGGCCCTTCCTAACATTGCTTGAACTAGCATTATATTTCCAAGATAATTATACCGGTTGGAGAATAATTAAACTGATTGAGTACGATTCAACAATTCAGATCGTGGAAGCATTGCTTATATTGAACTCGATGTTGATATTTGTTTTGGAATATTCACGAGAACCAACCCAGGAACTTATTGCTCACTATACTGAAACCGATCCCAAGAAATTATCTGAACCCAACGTAGTTCAACGTATAACTTTTAGTTGGATGAATGAACTTATAATGAATTCCTACAGGAATCAAACAGTTACTAATACTGAATTGCCCAATACACCTACTGAATTATCAACTATTCATGCAACTGCAAAACTTGGTAAACACTGGAATGGAAAATTCCATGGAAATCTTACCAAATCATTACTCAGATCTTTCGGTCTAGGATTGCTCGTTTCCTTTGGATATGAACTTGGTGGAAGGTTGCTCAACTTTGTTCAACCTCAATTCCTTAGATTTTTAATTCTTTATTTTGATCAACCAAACGCTCCATTGTTAAAAGGAAGTTTAATCTGTATGGCTATGTTTGCTAATACCTTGTTGCAAACATCATTGAACAATGAGTACATGCTCAAGAATTTAGAAGTAGGTTTGAATTGTCGAAGTTCGTTAACTTCCATGATTTACCAAAAACTGTTGAAGTTATCATCAGAACTGAAACTAAATATATCTAGTGGTGATATCATAAATTTAATGAGTGTTGATGTTAACAGAATTCAAAATGTTTTAACAAATCTAAGTACTTTAGTCTTGGCTCCTATCGATATTGTTTTATGTATTGTTTCATTATGGCCATTGCTAGGAAAGGCTACATTTGCTGGGATTTTTACCATGATTTTTCTTGTTCCCATAAACTCAATCATTATAAAGTATCTGCGTCGATTAAATAAGACCCAAATGAAACTTAAAGACAATAGATCAAGAATAATCAATGATATCCTTTCTTCGATCAAAAGTATCAAGTTGTATGCTTGGGAGAAACCCATGCTTGAAAAGTTATCCAATGCTAGAAATGACCTTGAATTGAAGAATTTACGAAAGATCAGATTGATTAATCAAGGTGCTTTATTCATTTGGAACATAATCCCGTTCTTGGTTTCGTTTACGTCATTTGCGACATTTGCATTGATTCTGAACATTCCATTAACTTCAGATATTGTGTTCCCAGCATTGGCATTGTTAAACTTGTTATCGTCACCTTTATTACAATTACCTATGGTTATAACATCCATGATTGAAGCATCAGTTGCCATTACCAGGGTTCGTGATTTCCTTGTAAGTGAAGAAATTGATGAATCAATGATTGTACGTATTGCTAAGCCTGCCATTGATGAACCCGCTGTAAAAATTACAAATGCTAATTTCCATTGGACGAGAGAAAAGTACAGCGATACTGTTGTTCAACCAAGCACGCTTCGTAATATCAATTTTTCCGTAAATAAAGGAGAATTATCATGTATTGTTGGTAAAGTGGGCAGTGGGAAGACATCGCTCTTGCATGCATTGCTAGGCCAACTCATAATCACAAAAGGAAAATTGGGCACATCTCCATCAGTTGAAATTAGGGGGAGTGTGGCTTATTGTTCTCAACAACCATGGATCATGAATGCAAGTGTACGTGAAAATATCTTGTTTGGGTGCAGGTATGATGAAAATGTCTACCAAGAAACCATATCTGCATGTCAATTGATCCCTGATTTGGCTATACTTCCTGATGGTGATGACACTCAAGTTGGTGAAAAGGGAGTATCACTTTCTGGAGGCCAAAAGGCAAGATTGGCATTAGCAAGAGCAGTGTATGCTCGTGCTGATGTGTATTTATTTGACGATGTACTTTCCGCAGTTGATTCCCATGTTGCAAAAAACATAGTGGATTTAGTATTGAGTAAAAATGGGTTATTAGGTGGGAAATGCATTGTTTTATGTACGAACAATATGAATGTGTTGAATTCAGCAGATATGGTTACATTAATGGAAAAGGGAGAGATTACAGAACAATCAACTGTGACAGAGATTGATGAAATATATCATCCGAAATTGCACGAGTTGATTAGAGATTTCGGAAAACAAACAGTACCCGATAAAAGTCCTTTACTTGATACTGAAGTTATCGACACCACAGATATTGCCACATCAGGCACGGAAGATTATGCCATTGAAAATCTTGAAAAGGGTGATCAACAAGATCTTGAGCTTGTTCCCAAAATTCCTGTTGTTCGTCCGAGAAGTTTACGTCGTGCTAGTATTGAAACCTTCCATTGGGATCCATTGAACAAACTTTTACCTAATTTGCGTACTGGGCAAACTAATGAAGTCAGTCAACAAGGGAAAGTTTCATGGTCGGTGTATTTAGCATATATCAAAGCATGTTCTATCCCAGGTGGTATATTCTGGTTTGTATTGTTACTCCTTGCTTCGGCATTATCAGTTGCTGGTAATTATTGGTTAAAACATTGGACAGAGCTGAATTCGAAAACTGGAGGTAATTCCGACGTGTGGATGTTTATTATTGTTTATGCTATTTTTGGATTGTCTGCTGCTATAATGACTGTGGCTCGTGGTTCTGTGATGATGCTTTGGTTGGGTATGAATGCGTCGAGAAAGATCCATGATGGGATGGCCGAACGAGTTGTTTATTCACCTATGGTTTTCTTTGAAAGAACTCCAATTGGGAGAATTATGAATAGATTTACTAATGATATCAACAAAATTGATGATGGTATTCCGCAAGTTTTTCAAGGATTTATTGCCCAAAGTGTCAGGACGATATTTACATTGGGTGTAGTCAGCTATGTCATTCCGTTATACATTATAATTATCAGTGTGCTTTCGATTATCTACATTTATTATGAGATTTATTATGTTAGCATCTCACGAGAATTGAAAAGGTTGGTGTCTGTGTCGCGATCGCCAATATATGGCCATTTAGGTGAAAGTTTAAATGGGATCGATACAATTCGGGCATATCAGCAGGATAATCGATTCGAGTTTATTAACAATGTTAATATTGATTTTAACTTGAAATCGGTATATATGTTGAGGTCTATTAATCGTTGGTTGTTCTTTAGATTGCAATTCATTGGTGCAATTGGAGTATTATCAGCTTCAGGCTTGTGCATTTATAGTTTGACAACGAAGCATCCCTTGACTTCATCCATGGCTGGGTTTGTTATGACTTATGCATTACAAGTCACAAGTTCATTGAAATTAGTGGTTAGAACATCAGCTGAAGTGGAAACAAGTATTGTTGCTGTGGAGAGATGTTTAGAATATATGGAATTGTCAATTGAAGATACTGAATCTCCTGTTGTTCCGCCACCTGCTTGGCCCATTGATGGAAGTATCAAGTTTAATGATTATTCTACAAGGTACAGAGCCAATTTGGATCTTATTCTTAAGCATATAACTATGACAGTTAAACCAGGAGAGAAGATTGGGATTGTTGGTAGAACTGGGGCCGGTAAGTCATCGCTTGCATTGGCAATATTCAGAATAATTGAGCCGGTTGAAGGAAACATTGAAATTGATTCATTAAACACTAGTCATATTCCTTTATATGATCTTAGACATAGGTTGAGTATTATACCCCAAGATTGTCAGTTAATTGAAGGTACTATTCGTCTGAATCTTGATCCGTTTAATTATTATACTGACGAAGAAGTATGGCAGGCGCTTGAATTGGCCCATTTGAAAGAACATATCTTGAGTTTGAAGGATGAAGAAGATAAATTGTCATGTAAAGTGTATGAAAATGGGGCTAATTTTTCATCTGGGCAGCGTCAATTGATGTCATTGGCAAGAGTATTACTTAAAATGAACGATCTGAAGATATTGGTGCTTGATGAAGCCACCGCTGCAGTTGATGTACAAACGGACAAGATTATTCAAGAGACGATAAGAGAACAATTTAAGAGCAAAACGATAGTTACTATCGCACATAGATTAGAAACGGTTATGGATAGTGATAAAATTGTCTGCTTGGACCAAGGAGAGTTACGTGAATTCGATAGTCCAAAGAATTTACTTGAAAAGCAAGGTATCTTTTATCATTTGTGTAAAGAAGGTGGTTATGTATAGGATATTTATACTTTTATAGAAATAAAAAGACGTTAGCAAAAGTTATGACGGAACTACATACCGCGTGCCCTCAGATTATCGCCGATAACAAAAAAAGAAAAGACCGAAAAAAAAAACGAATCAAAGATCTGACAGACAAAAATCCCGCCAACAAGAAAAAAATTGGTAATCCAATAGCAAGGGTTCATATCAAAGCAACTTCATCAATTATTCAAATATGGCTTCATCAGCAGCTCATGCATCAAAATTTGCTCGTTTTTTAAATTCCGAAACTGGTCCAAAGACTGTTCATTTTTGGGCTCCAGTGTTTAAATGGTCCTTGGTTATAGCTGGTATTTCTGATATTCAAAGACCAGTTGAGAAGTTAAGTGGTACACAACAAATTGCATTATTCTGTACCGGTGCTATATGGACTAGATGGGCTGGATTTGTTATAAAGCCAAGAAACGTTTTGTTAGCCTCCGTCAATTTCTTCTTGGGTGGTGTTGCTGGATACCAATTAATTAGAATTGTTCAATTCAGACGAAATGAAGGGGATACTCCTGGTCAAGTATTTGATTATATTCTTAATGGTGCCAAGGAACCAGTTGCACCAATTGAAAATAAATCGGATTAAATAGATTTAGCTATATAGTGTATACTACTAAATTAACATCTCATCGTCTTCGTCGTCGTCCGATGGTTCCGCAGACGGTCTTGTTGGTGCTACTGACAAGTCATCCGTGCTTGGTTTGTCCTCTATGTCTATATCTTCCTCTATGTGCTCCTCTGCATGCTCTTCTTCTATGTGTTCTTCTACACGCTCTTCCTCTATATGTCGTTCATCTTCTATGTGCTCGTCTTCGCTCTCCTCCTCTTCCTCCTCGATCTCCTGCATATTCGCTTCATCTTCTTCTATATCAGACATATCAGATTCTGCCTGTTTAACGCTAACACCTTCGGCATTCTTAACCTTTTCCACTTCATTAAATGCAGCTGCCAACTTTTTGTCAAGAAAATCTTGCAAGTAATTATTTCTAGCGCTCCATTTACTATTATTGGCCATAACTTTGGTTTTAATCACATTCAATATCTCATATTTAATTCTCAATTCAATTCTTAGTTTGAATTCAATATTAATAAGTTTGCTTATAACTTGATAATCAAGCATAGCTAAGTTTGACTTTGGATCTAGTGAAAATAATTCCGATAATTTAACAATCTTGGCTCCTTCAGGGATTAGTTTGAGCAAGCTTTCGTCCCCATATATTTCCAACGTCTTTACTGAGAATTGAAACTCTGGAATGGTTACCGTTTTAGCAATTTGTTCATATTCTTCAGTTAGTTTCTCTAAATGGGTATTGACACGGTGTATACTGGCAATAACTCGATTATATTCAAATATACCATTGTCGATAAATTGGTTTGCTTGTTCAAGTTCCCAATGTTTATAATCCTTGTGAGTTTTCGTAATTTTGAACGAGTCAAGAATGAATTGTTTCTTTAAGGCTTGTGGTGTTTCATCTGTGGCACCTCTTATGATTGATTCACTGTTTTCCACCAACTCATGGGCTGAGTTGAATGTTTCAAGCGTTGCATTAAGATGGTGTTTTAATATAGCAATCTTCTCTTGTTCTGGCAGTATATGCGACATTTTCTTTTCTGTTTTTCTTTTCGATAGTTTCCTCTCCCCTGTGACTAAGTTTAAGCTTTACTTCACACCTTTTGATCGTGTTGTTCCTTCTGGTTTGATTCTTCTGTTTTCTTTTCTTCACTAGAAAAAAAAAATTCAGCAGCCAAATCATACAAATATTTACAACACCAAAATACCACTTGGTGACAGCATTCAAAATATCAACAAAATAATCTTGCCATACCATGAACACAGATATTGACCAATTACGAACAGATTTGTATACATCATGCATAAAACTAACTCATTTAAACCTACATCAATCCGCCAAATGGTGTGCTGAAGCCTTGGCAGGATTGTCTAAACAAGCCACAACACCCATATCAATCACAGAAACTTTCGATCCTGACGATTTACTAGACCAAGAACGTGTTCTTTTAGCAAAGACATACTTCAATTGTAAGGAATTTGATAGAGCGGCACACGTGTTGAAAGATTGTGTTGGTGGGGACGCATTATTCATTAGGTTATATTCTATGGTGTTGGCTATAGATAAACGAGCCACTGAGGAAGAAGGCAATGAACTGGAAGACAATGATTCACTAAATTTACGGCTTTCGAAAGTATTGGCTGAATCTAACCAATACTTGACCACAAAGGAGAATGCCTTCTTGTACTATCTTAACGGGTTGATCTTTAACAAGAAAAAGAAATGTCAAATGGCCCAAGCAAACTTGTACAAATCAATTAAGCTTTTCCCATTCAATTGGTCATGTTGGCAAGAATTGATCACCTCATTTACGAGTTTTGAAGAGGCAATTTCCTTTCTTTCTAAAATCAAAAATTCAAAACATCTATCGTCACATATAATGGTCCAATTCTTTGAAGTGGTGGTATTGCAAGAGTTTTACCACCAATCGCCATCGCTATTCACAACATTGAGTCAATTACAAGATCTATTCCCTAAGTTTTCCTTTGTTAAACTACAGCAATTCCTTATATCATATCATAATCTTGATTATTTCACAGCAGAACATATATTCGATGAAATACTAGCCCAAGATCCTCTAAGACTAGATGACCTAGATACATACTCCAACATGCTTTACGTGATGGAAAAACGACTGAAATTGACCTATCTCGCTCATTTTGCCAGTTCTATAGACAAATATCGACCAGAAACTTGTTGTATATTGGCAAATTATCATCTGATGAAGTCAGAACATGAAATGGCAATAATGTATTATAAGCGAGCATTACTCCTTGACAAGAACTGTTTAAGTGCTTACACATTAATCGGACATGAGTTTGTCGAACTAAAAAATTCACATGCCGCCATTGAATCTTATAGAAAAGCCGTTGATATAAATGCCAAAGATTTCCGAGCATGGTATGGGCTCGGGCAGGCCTATGAAGTGTTGGATATGCATTTATACGCATTGTACTATTACCAACGAGCTACCAAATTACAAAGTAACGATAAAAGAATGTGGATCGCCATTGGTGGGTGTTTTGAAAAAATTGAACAGTATGAAGAAGCAATCAAATCATTTGAAAAGGCATTGACCATATCTACGTCAGCTGATGAACAAGGAAATACTCTCATTGATCCTCATATAGCATATCGATTGGCTACTATATCTGAGAAACTAGGAAACTTACAAAACACGGAGAAGTATATGAAATTATGTTTTAATCAAGAATTTGAAATTGGAATAACTGATGATACATGCAAAGCAAGATTATGGTTAGCTAGATATTCATTGAATCAAAAGAATTTTAATTATGCTTACGAATTAGCTAAGGATTTACAACATGGTAATTCGCATGATATTGAAGAAGCGAGGGGAATAGCTAGAGAGGCAAGAAATAGAATGTAACGCATAGCTGTCAGCAAGCCTAGCTGCTATTCGGGATAATAATAGATAGTCATTACAAATGTACTTATCAAATAATGGATTATATATTTCACCCGGGAGGTATTAAGTGGTGAATATATTACAAATTTTAGTCTATTTATATAGTATCATACTTAAAGTATAATAATGAATGACGTGCTATTGCTAAGTGTACATGAAATATTAATAATTAGTAGTAACAGTGATGGTCTCAGTATTGCACAATCTCCTCTTCCAACTTGGGTAAATTATTCAAGTCAAAGCTGCTCATCACTACTTGAATAGCCTTGGGTAAAATCTTTTCCAAGTTATTGATTTCTTCGTCACTAATCCCTAACTTTAAATTGACTAGTAAATGTGGAGGCAACACTGGTAAATTTTCATGTTCTAAGATCAATTTTGATCTGGTAATTAAAATCTTGCCATTCTGTAATACATAGTCAACAATTTTTTGTAATATGAAATTTTCAGCATTAAAATAGTGATCAAATTTGTTTAAACTCTTCAGAGGCTTACGTTTGGAAATGAAATCGGTATTACCATAGTTAAATGGTAAGTTTAATTTTGCTCTCACATCAGGATGTAATTGTATATGAATCATTGGTGACTGTGGATCAGAAGTTATCATAAATGGAGTAGACAACAATGCATGGTCCAACTTATTATAAACAAACATTATACTATGGTGCAATGAAGGAATCAATTTGTTTTCTTCATTTTCAATCTCTTCTATAGCTTGTGAAGTCACTTTTGCGGAATATGGAGGTAATGATGCACTAAACACATAGGCATTTGATTGAATTCTTTGATGGTGAACCATAGGAGTGGCACCAACACAGAAGCCACCAGAACTAGCAAATGCATTAGCCATAGAGCCAATGGTTATAGAAATTTCTGATCTTGGAACGCCGAAATGTTCAGGAAGACCACGGCCATGATCACCTAAAACACCAATGGATAAACTTTCATCAAGGAACAATCTGTACTTAAATTCATTTTTCAATTCCACGAGTCTTGGTAAATTGGCAATTTCACCGGTGGTGGCAAATAATGCCTCGGTTATAATAAATCTTCTTCTGATTGGCTTTTGCTTATCCAACACTGGTTTCAATTGGGTTAAGATTTCTTCTAAATGTTCCACGTCATTATGATCATACCATTCAATATCAGCTCTAGATACAATTAATGCTTTTTGAATGGCAATATTAACCCCACTATCAACAACACACAAATCACCACGTTTTAAAAATGCAGGAATAACAGAACCAGCAGTAACAAAATCCTGACCATATATAATGGCCTGCTCTGCTCCGAGGAATCTGGCTAAATCTTCTTCTAATCTAACATGAACATCTTGAGTACCATAGAAATTTGGAGGACCACAAGCACCAACACCAGCTTGGTTGATGTGGGTCTTGGCAGCGGCTTTAATATGGTCATTTTCGTTAAGATTAAGGAAATCTTGACTGGCCAAGTTAGTAACTGGTTCATTGGCACCTGCAAGAGTAATATGGGAACCGTTATGGCCTTGGATTTCAGGAATGGTTTTCAATTCCCATTTTTCCAACTCAGTCAAGGGTTCCACTAAAGGTTCCGGAGTCCATTCTTGACATAATTCGTCAATTTCGCTAGGACTTAACTTCACTAACTCCGACTTGTTTTCCAACCTCATATTACTAAAGAAATATGATAATGCAAATAAAACCAATGCCATTTCAAAAAGAGAACGTATTGGGTCATCTTGATATGAAGATTTAATGTATCTCAATATGATTTGTCCACCTGGAATTCTACCTAATTGATTGAGGCAGTAAACAAAGTTTTCCGAAAATGAATTAGTAAGTAATTCCCATGCTGGAGGGATTGCGGATACTATAGCTGTGGTTGTTGTTGTGATAGTGGTACTAATTATAGCAGTGGTCATGATGAATGTCTATAAAAACCAAAAGCCGTAATTAATCAGAAGAGGAATTCAGTTTTGGTTGTAATTTTTGTTGATGTGTGGTTTAAAAAAAATCCAGAAAGAAAAAAAAATTGGTGATTTTCGCACTACCCTCGGTTGAAAAAATCGCGCGTCGTCTTCCGCGTTAATAGGGGTTTGTATATCATATGATTTGTGGTCATGTGATATTTGCCTGTGGGTTTTTTCTCCACTATAATTTGGTTGCAAATAGCCTGTACAAGTTTTCAAATTTACATATCACTTTCTCTTTCTTTGCTCTGCTTTTACTTGGCCAAACTCCAATCATATTATCACGTCTAATATGTGATTGATGGTAAGTATAATTGCTAACTACATCTTATTGCTAAAGGATCTACCTTGGCTAATAATTGCCATATCCGATCCTTGACCACAAACCGGCTTATTATTGCAAATAATATAATTCTATTGCTATAATGGTTGCTTGGGCCCTATTGCTTAACTTGAATTGCGCATTCTTCAATTTTTCCCCTTGATATTCATGTTATTGCTATTCAACGTGCGTTGCTACTTAGTTCTGGCTTGGAAATGGCTCTGAACTGACTAAAAAGGCTGTGTCTCTGTTTGTGATCGACAGATCGAGGCGATACCAGAAGTACCGTCGAATAGTGGCAAGGTGAACTTTAGTTTATTTCTTCAACAACTCTAGAAGGATCACATCGTGCGATTTATAGTTTTAAATATGTTTTAAATATATTTTAATTTGCATTGTTTTGACGTATATCAAACATATCATGCAGACTCTTGCGAAACTTAAGCACAATTAGACCTAATTGCTAGTTGCCTGTATCTTCCTTTTCAGAATTCGTATACAAAATTAATTAACGAATTAATACGACTATATAATATATTAGCTAAGGTATAAATACTTTTGATACCCCTTCAACTTCTCTTCTACAACAAACACAACCTTCAATTCCTTTACTTACCAAACTTAATCGACAGTTTTCACAAATAGCAAAACATTTACAGGGCCAGGTAATAATTTCTCTAATATTCGTTTGACAAATAACACATTCTAATCGTGAAAGTAATTCATTATTAGGTATATGTGACTTGTTGGCCCGTTTCTCTATTATTAACTCAATAAGTTTTGTGGCGTCATTATTCATGGAATTAGGTAATTGTGTGGTAGGATGAAGATCTCGATAATGCGATCTTGTTAATGGACCATTACCGCTGTATTGCATGTGTTGTTGTAGCACTAAAAGTGTATTTGGAGAAGTAATGATTTCATTGAAATCTTCAAAGGTGAATAAATCATAAATTGAAGTAGGGGTGTCTTCAGGTATGATTTCCTCAATCTCTTCATCAGATTCGTATTCTGAATCCAGTATTTCATCCGGTTCGTCAATGTAATCTCCTGAATTATCAACCTCTGATAATTCTCGATCACCAATTAATAGCCTACTAGTCAATTCATCTTCAGGTATTAAATCAGTGCTTATGGCAGTTGATCGCTCAGATACTCTTCTAGTAACATATTTTTGTAGAAATTGGGGAATTCTTTGTTTTCTTTTTTCAAATTCCTCATTGGTTTCTTCATGGTTGAGTTGACGCTTTCTGAATAATCCTGGCAAATAGTCTAACAAAAAAGAATCTACAAGCAATCCATAAATTAATTGCCATGCATCAATAATCATAACTTTCATAAACTCAATTCTTCTTCTCCAAACACTTTGTTCTTGGCTAGTGTTGTTAACTTCAACGGCATCAGAATATGGTGTTCCAGTAATCAATCTTGAACTTGGTTGACTGATCAAATTGGCATATCCTGATATTTGATTATCTCGAAGATATTGAACTAAATCTCTAGATTTAACATTGCGAATGTTATTTCTGGTCAATTTTTGCTTCAATTGTTGCCATAAGCTTCTTTCAATCCATGTATCATTATCCACTGTGATTAAGCTTAATTCAGTTATATAGCTTGATTTACCAGCCAGGGTAATTGCCAAAATCCCCACATTTAACAATGCAGTGTAGAAATCATCATTGAGATTAATATTCAAACTAAGTGTGTCTTCATCTTCCTCCTCGTTCAATTCGTGTAAAAAGAAACTGGCATAATTCAATCCCTTTAATTCAAATCCATTAATCATGATTGCAATAATAAATATTGTGAAACTAATAAATATAATGCCTAGTATTAAAACTTGTGGTGTAAATGTCAAAATTAAAATGAATGGGAATTGTAATACTTTCCATTGACTAAATGTTGAAATGAAGTACGTTAAAAAAGCCATTCCGATAATTGTCAGTGGAATCAATCTATACTTGTTATTATTAATTAAAGCACCAATGTGAATGTTCAAATGGTTGAAAATCAGAAATAAAGTAGCCAATAACACTTGCTCGGTAGGTCGTTTATGATATTTTGAATTTGTAAAAAAAAATGCCCCATTGCTACTAAACTCTTGAAATGCTAACGAATGTTCGAATATAGTAATACCAGTCTCGGTATATGGTTTCTTACCTTGGATTGCTGCAATTAAAGTTTCAGTAAATGACAGCCAACAGAAATTAAGGAAAATGGGCCAATACATATCACTGGTTGGACCGATCATAACTTGTGACAGTGGAGTTTTCATGTATTTGGAATCAGCGTAGTAATCAACATTATAACCAAAATACTTATCAGGAAGTAACCTGGTATACAACCATGCTAAATCAGGAGTACTGGTATGATTAAGAAGATTCAACGTGACCAACACATTGTATCCGTTATAGCAAAGGGATACAAGCACCGCTATTCTAAAACAAATGATTGTAAGTTTTTTAAGCAAAGCTGCCAGATGCTTATAGTTGTCCCCGGTTATGCCCATTCTATTTCTATTTATAGCCAATTGTTGGGTATAACTGGTATTTATAGACGCAAGGACCAAAGTTCTATTAAGAATCAATGCCATAATTAAACAACTTAACCCGTAAATTGAACAACAATATGTACTTATAGCACCGAATCTATTCCATGGTAAGGAATTTATGGCGGATGTTTCGCTTTGTTCCCATATAGCGTCTATAAAGGCTGTGATAAATTTAATTACAATAAAATAGTCTTCATCGTCAGTAGCAGTATTGGTAGAAGGGGTAGTGGTATTTGTTGTATTGAATAGGAGCTGTGATGCATGTAATGTTGTTGTTACTGACATTATGAATATCCTGTGAAGGATTGAACGGGTGTAACACTTTTTGACAGCATTTAACAATCAAGTATGGGAAATAAAAAATATCGTGCAAATGTCTGATCTCAACAACGACATTTTTTTAAGAAAATGTCGTCACTTGCATGCAATTCAAATAAGGTTTTTGTTTTTACAACCAAATTGAGAGAAGAGCATCATCACCAGTAAGTACTACCTCCAAGTATATAGACATCAATCATGGGAAGGAAGTTACCACCACCTCCTCCCCCTCCTCCAGGAATTAATTCAGATAGTGTCAATGGAAATGCCAGAAAAAGAACAAAACCTGGCCCACCACCGCCACCTCCACCACCTACTTCAAATTTACAACCAAAAACTCAACCACCACCACCACCTCCTCCTCCTTCTAGAGCAGTGCCACCTCCACCTCCTCCACCACCATCTAGTATAGTTACTCCTTCTTCTTCACAGCAAGAACTAGACTCGCGTAAGCGACAATGGCTCCAAATCCAAAAGACTAGATTCAAACAAGCACCCAACAAAGCATCGGGTGGGATAATTCATCCACATAAACCAGAAATGCCACCACAACATCTCCGTAAAATCATGTTAGATCATGGTGACTTGACTACCAAAAGAATAGCCCTGGATAAACGTTCACATTTGGGTTCATTGAAGTATTTACCTCATGCATTATTAAAACTTTTGGAAAATATGCCCCAACCATGGGAGCAGTCCAAAGAAGTTAAAGTTCTTTATCATACCACGGGTGCAATTACATTTGTTAATGAGATTCCTAGAGTTATAGAACCTGTATATATTGCCCAATGGAGTAATGTTTGGAATCAAATGCGGCAGGAAAAACGAGATAGACGTCATTTTAAACGTATAAGGTTCCCACCATTCGATGATGAAGAACCACCGATTGACTGGAATGAGAATTTAGAAGGTGTGGACCCACCCGATTCAATTAGAGGTGAACATGAAGAATGGTTCTTTGAACAACAACCATTTATAGACGATGAAGACGTGGTAAACGGAGACTCGTATCGAAAATGGAATTTAGATACCACCAACATGCATAAATTATATCAAACTTCAAAACCTATTTTGAATGAAACACAAGCTGCACCTTATTTGTTTGATAATGATGCCTTTATAACTGCTAAAAGTTTGAATGTTGCCTTACCAGGCGGACCTAAATTTGAACCAAGATATAACAAAGAAGACATTCCAGAGGATGATGACTTTACTGAGTTTAACTATATTGATCGAATTATTTTCAGGATACCTATTAGAACTGAGTATAAAGTTGCATTTCCTTATTTATATAATTCCTTTGTTAAACTGGTGCAATTGATTCTGTATCATCACAGCATTAATTGTTATCAGGCAAATAAACAAGATACATTGGTTTACACCTTTAATGCAAATTTCAATCCAATATTACCTAGAGTGAAACCGAAGCAACAGCAAGTGCAAGAAGAAGAAGAGGAAATTTTTGAATTGGACGTTGAACCATTCCTTAAATGGAATCTGGAAGAATCTGAAGAATCCGATGAGGAGGAACTTGAAGAAGAACTCCCATTTGAACCACAAGGAACCAAGCAAGCACTTGAACTTTTATGGGCCCCCTATCCTTTTAATCGTCGTAGCGGTAAAACCGTTCGAGCTCAAGATGTTGCATTAATTAAGAGTTGGTATAAACGTCATGCACCCCGAAAAGCACCTGCCAAAGTTAGAGTTTCTTATCAAAAATTGCTCAAAAATCATATTCTTAATCAAGTTCATACGAGAAAACGCCGACATACACCTAAACGTGCTAAGCTACTCCCTAGTTTGAAATCAACAAAATATTTCCATCAAACTACTATAGATTGGGTTGAAGCTGGTATACAAGTATGTCGTCAGGGGTTCAATATGCTTAATTTGTTAATTCATAAACGTGGATTAACCTATCTTCATTTGGATTACAATTTTAATTTGAAACCAACAAAGACATTGACTACCAAGGAACGTAAGAAATCTCGTTTTGGTAATGCATTCCATTTAATTCGTGAATTGCTTCGTATGATTAAAATTATAGTTGACAGTCATGTACAATATCGATTAGGAAATATTGACGCATTTCAATTAGCTGATGGGTTGTATTACATAATGAATCATTTGGGTCAATTGACGGGGATTTATCGATACAAGTACAAAGTGATGCATCAAATTCGTCAATGTAAAGATTTAAAACATTTGGTTTATCATAGATTCAACAATATTATCGGGAAAGGTCCTGGTTGTGGGTTTTGGCAACCAGCATGGAGAGTTTGGATATTCTTTTTGAGAGGAGTTGTACCATTATTAGAAAGATGGTTGGGTAACTTAATTGCTAGACAGTTTGAAGGCAGACGAGCAAATGATGTTGCCAAGACTATAACCAAGCAAAGAGTGGATTCGTACTATGATTTAGAATTAAGAGCACAAGTTATGCATGATATTTTAGATATGATACCGGAAGGATTGAAACAATCAAAGTCTAAAACTATTCTTCAGCATTTAAGTGAGGCATGGAGATGTTGGAAAGCAAATATTCCTTGGAAAGTTGCTGGATTGCCTGAACCAATTGAAAAGATTATTGAAAGATACATCAAGGCAAAAGCAGATGGTTGGATCTCTGTAACACATTATAATAGAGATAGAATTCAACGTGGTGCAACAGTTGAAAAAACTATTGCCAAGAAGAACCTAGGTAGGTTGACAAGATTGTGGATAAAGAATGAACAAACTAGACAAATGAATTTTGCCAAGAATGGTCCATATGTTAGTCCTGATGAAGCAGTTACGATTTTTCAAACTATGATTAATTGGTTAGAATCTCGAAAGTTTTCACCAATTCCATTTCCACCTATAAATTATAAGCACGATACCAAGTTATTAATTCTTGCGTTGGAGGGATTAAAGCTGAGTTATAATGTTAATTCAAAATTAAATTCTCAGCAACGTGAAGAATTAGCTTTGATTGAACAAGCTTACGATAATCCTCATGAATGTTTGGCAAGAATAAAGAAATATTTACTTACACAAAGAATCTTCAAAGAAGTTGGATTAGAAATGATGGATTACTACAGTCATATAGTACCAACATATGCTGTTGATCCATTGGAAAAGATTACTGACGCGTACCTTGATCAATATTTGTGGTATGAAGCTGATAAACGGAAATTGTTCCCAAATTGGATTAAGCCAAGTGATGACGAAATTCCACCTTTGTTGGTATACAAATGGTGTCAAGGAATCAACAACTTGCATCAGGTTTGGGATATTGACCAAGGTCAATGTAATGTAATGTTGGAAACATCACTAGAAAAATTTGCTGAACAAATTGATTTTACATTATTGAACAGATTGTTGAGATTAGTTATGGATACAAATATTGCAGACTATATTACTGCCAAGAATAATGTTAATTTGACATTTAAAGACATGAATCATATTAATCAATATGGGTTAATTCGTGGTTTACAGTTTTCTTCATTTGTTTATCAATATTATGGATTGGTTATAGATTTACTTATACTTGGGTTAGATCGAGCTAATGAATTGGCAGGACCTATAACATCACCAAATAATTTTGCTCAATTTAAAGATTTGACCACGGAAACTTCATCACCAATAAGATTATATTCAAGGTATATGGACAAAATCCACATATTCTTCCGTTTTGATAATGAAGAATCTACTGATCTTATTCAAGACTATCTTTCAGAAAATCCTGATCCAAATTTTGAAAATGTTGTGGGATATAATAACCATAAATGTTGGCCAAGGGATTCAAGAATGAGATTGATGAGACATGATGTTAATTTAGGTAGAGCTGTTTTCTGGGAAGTTCAAGGTAGAATACCAAAATCATTGACTTCAATTGAATGGGAAAATACATTTGCTTCAGTGTACTCGAGAGATAATCCAAATTTACTATTCCTGATGTGTGGATTTGAAGTTAGAATTTTACCAAAAGTGAGAAATATTGGTGGTTCCTCCATTGAATCTTCGTGGGATCTTATTGATCAAACTACAAAAGAACGTACTGCAAAAGCATACCTTCAAGTATCTCAAGATTCAATTGATAATTTCAATAATAGAATTCGACAAATCTTGATGTCTTCCGGTTCAACTACTTTCACCAAGATAGCAGCAAAGTGGAATACCGCATTGATTGCATTGGTTACATATTTTAGAGAAGCTGCTATTTCTACTCCTACATTATTAGATGTATTGGTTAAATGTGAAACCAAGATCCAAAACAGAGTCAAAATGGGACTTAATTCGAAAATGCCTTCAAGATTCCCACCAGCGGTTTTCTATACACCTAAGGAATTAGGTGGGTTAGGTATGTTAAGCGCATCACATGTGCTTATTCCTGCTTCTGATTTAAGATGGTCAACTCAAACTGACACTGGTATTACACATTTCCGAGCAGGTATGACTCACGAAGAAGATAAGATGATTCCGACAATATTCAGGTATGTTACAAGTTGGGAAAATGAATTTTTGGATTCTCAAAGAGTCTGGGCAGAATATGCTATTAAACGTCAAGAAGCATTGGATCAAAATCGTAGATTGACATTTGAAGATATGGAAAACAATTGGGACAGAGGTATACCTAGAATTAGCACATTATTCCAAAAAGATCGTCATACATTAGCTTATGACAAAGGACATAGAATTAGAAATCAATTTAGACAATTCAGCCTTGCTAGATTTAATCCATTCTGGTGGACTTCAAACCATCACGATGGCAAATTATGGAATCTCAACAATTATAGAACTGATGTTATACAAGCATTAGGTGGTATCGAGACTATATTAGAACATACTTTGTTTAAAGGAACTGGATTTGATTCATGGGAAGGATTGTTCTGGGAAAAAGCTAGTGGATTTGAAGACTCCTTGAAGTTCAAGAAATTAACCAATGCTCAAAGATCAGGTCTTAGTCAAATCCCGAATCGAAGATTCACTCTTTGGTGGTCTCCTACAATTAATCGTGCCAATGTTTATGTCGGTTTCTTAGTTCAATTAGATTTAACGGGTATATTCTTACATGGTAAAATTCCGACATTGAAAATCTCACTTATTCAAATATTTAGAGCACATTTATGGCAAAAAATTCATGAAAGTATTGTATCTGATTTATGTCAAGTTTTTGATAAAGAATTAGAAGTTTTGCAAATTGATAATGTTGAAAAGCAGCCAATTCATCCTAGAAAATCATACAAAATGAATTCATCAACTGCTGATATTGTATGTATTAGTACTTACAAATGGAAACTTAGCAAACCATCATTATTGAATGAAGATGATAGAGACTCTTATCCTATAACAGCTAATAAGTTCTGGATTGATGTGCAGCTAAGATATGGGGACTATGATTCTCATGATATTTCAAGATATGCAAGACTGAAATTCTTGGATTATACCACTGATGGAACAAGTTCGTATCCAAGTCCAACTGGTATAATCATTGCCATTGATCTAGCATATAACATGTACGATGTTTATGGTAACTGGTTCCCAGGATTGAAACCATTAATCCATAATGCCATGAAGGAAATTATGAAGAGTAATCCTGCCTTGTATGTGTTGAGAGAAAGAATTAGAAAAGGGTTACAATTATACCAATCACAACCTCAACAGCCATTATTGAATTCAAATAACTATGCTGAGTTGTTCAATAATGAAACTCAATTCTTCATTGATGACACAAACGTTTACAGAGTGGTTGTTCACAAGACAATGGAGGGCAATTTAGCAACTAAGCCAATCAATGGTTGTATTTTTATATTGAATCCGAAGACGGGTCAATTATTCTTGAAGATTATTCATACATCAGTTTGGTCAGGGCAAAAACGTTTAGGACAATTGGCGAAATGGAAAACAGCAGAAGAAGTGACTGCATTGGTCAAGTCATTACCGAGAGAAGAACAACCAAAGCAATTAATTGTGACGCGTAAGGGTATGATGGATCCACTTGAAGTTCACATGTTAGATTTTACAAATATTTCAATTAGAAGCTCAGAATTACATTTGCCATTTGGTGCAGTTATGAAGATTAATAAGTTGAACGAAATCGTTTTAAAGGCAAGTGAACCACAAATGGTATTGTTTAACTTTTATGATGATTGGCTAAAAACAATTTCTCCATATACTGCATTTTCAAGGGTTATTCTTATATTACGTGCGATGAATATTGATCAAGAAACTACCAATAGAATATTACAACCAGATGCATCAATAATTGTTCAAGATCATCATATTTGGCCAAGTTTATCTGATGAAACCTGGATTGATGTTGAAAGTAAATTGAGAGATTTGATTCTTGATGATTACTCCAAGAAATATAATGTTAATATCCAAAGTTTAACTCAATCTGAAATTAGAGATTTGATTTTGGGTCAAGATATTAGAGCACCTTCTGCCAAGAGACAAGAAATTTCCCAAATTGAATCTGCTCCAAATAATGTTGAGAATAAGGATTTGGTTGCCTTAAAGACCACAACTACAAATGTTCATGGTGAAGAAATTGTTACTGTTACAACTACAAATTATGAACAGCTGACATTCTCATCTAGAAATGAATGGAGAAATAGGGCTATTGCTGCTAATAGCTTGTACTTGAGAACCAACAATATCTATGTGAATTCCAGTGATTTTGAAGATGAAAGTTCTTACACATACATTCTTCCTAAGAACATTTTGAGTAAGTTTGTTCAAATTTCGGATTTAAGAATCCAAGTTGGTGGGTTCTTGTATGGAAAATCGCCAAGTGATAATAATCAAATTAAAGAGATTAAATGTATTGCCATAGTTCCACAATTGGGTAATGTTAACTCAATTCAATTTCCTGAACATTTACCTGAACTGGTGGGATACTTACAAGATCTTGAATTGTTAGGTTGGGTTCATAGTCAATCACAAGATTTCTCATATATGACAAGTTATGATGTAACTACCCAGGCCAAATTCAATATTCCTTCTAATTTCATTGATATGACGGTGGCATTTACTCCTGGTTCAATTACAATTTCTGCATTTGAATTAAATGAATTAGGATATGAATGGGGAAAGCAAAATCAAGATATGATTTCCGAATCTCCTCAAGGATTCAGTAAGGACTTCTCCAAACAAGGACAATTGATTGTAACTGATCAAATTGGTGGTACATTTATGGTTCCTGAAGATGAAATTTGGAATTATTTCTTTATTGGTACAATGTTTAACCCTAAGGAGATTTACGATATGAAGGTTGATATCCCAATTGGCTTCTATCATGAATTACATAGACCAATTCATTTCCTTGGATTCAGTCAACTACAAGAGGATAATATTGCTGAAGCTGATCAAGAAGATGTATTTAACTAGTGTGTATATACTAATTGCATAAATCTACATTTTATGTTTGAGCTCTCCACTCATTAACTTCTTAAATCTTTCTAAAGGAATTCCTGCAGTCCATTTCTTAAGTCCACGGAATGCTTCTTGTGAGATGGTACTACTAATTTGTGGGCCATACATATCCTTCAACAATTGTTTGTTTTGAATAATTGAATCAAAATGTAAGTTTTCAGTAGCATCAACTAATTCATCCAACACCTTCTTATTAAACTCTTCAGTGGTGAGTTTACCATCATAATGTTTATTAACAAATCCGACATTGTACAAATCTTCACCCAGAATTCTTTTTGACATTAATAATGCTTCATTAGCCTTGGACCAACCCAATCTTGTAAATAAACTAGCACTGGTACCACCTTCATTAATAATACCAATGTTAGCAAATGGAGTCAACAAGAAAGTCTTCTTTAAATTATTAACATAAATCAAATCACACATTGCCACAAGAGAAGCAGTCAATCCAATAATTGGACCATTGAGAGCAGCAGCTAATATTTTCTTATGGGCCATAACTGTTTGCACAAGGAAAACCTGCTTTGCCACGGATTTACTTAACCAAGTTTCCAATTTGGTATCATTGTTAGAGATAGCTTGAGCATTTGCGCCGGCAGAAAATACTCGGCCAGTTGATTGAAGCAAAGTGATAATGGTATCGGGATTGTCATTAGCTTGTTCAAGGTATTTGCATATGGTATCATACTGTTCCATAGTCAATGCATTTAAAGTCTTGGGATTGTTTAATGTAATAATGGCAGCTGTGCCTTTAACTTCATAAGTGATTGTATCTGACATGGTTATCTTTATGTTTTCGAATAAAAAAAAGAATAATTAATAATTACGATTGCCGATGTTATTTATAAATAAGGATTTCCTCGGTTGGTAAAAATGTGGGGAAGGGAGTTGAAATTTTTCCGTTTTTTGTACACAGGAAGTCTTGATCCGTTTCCGTGGAACCCGCAGTGACAGCATGTAAGGAGGAGGGGAGAGGTTCTTCAATAAGCAAATTTTGAGATTCTAATAGACCATAGAACACAGTTTCATTAGTCCTATTTTAAAATAGTTTGTTGACATCTTTCTTATTTCATGGTTGTGATTATTATGTAGTGAACACCTAGTGTCTGTAGTTATATTTCTGGTAAATAATTGCCAAATTTTTCCAAAAACTTTGTGATCCAGATCCATCAAGGTTAGAGATCTACATTGCTGTTATTAGCATAATGAAATCTAAACTGTAATATATGGTTCCAGTACATATTTTCAATAAATCTTGACCATAGAAAAGAATAGACAAAAGTTAAATGCCAAAATTTAGATCATAGAAGTTTCGCAGCCATCGGAGTTTGCCCGGATTTAAGGTTTGTGCGACTCAATTACTGAAACTATAAATGAAAGCAATATACTTTTCATAGCCATCAAGAGTATTAAATCCATGCATCTTTATATATATATGTATATACTAGATTGAGTAACTTTATTGTTTGGCAAATACCGGCTCACCAATGCCTAACTGAAATAATATAATCTTCAATTTCAAACAACAATTTCCTTAATTCAAGAATTGAAATATTTTCCTTTAATAATAACAATTCTAGTGAAGATTTTCCATTCATATATTTTAATAGCTTATAAAACACCGTGGTTAACTCGGATGATAACTTACATTCTTCAAATATAATCTTATTTATCCATTTTCGTTCTAGATTTGAGGCTCTGCCTGGATCAAGGATTATTGTATCGTCTTCTTCAGTTAATGTAACTGTAGGGAGGGTAGTTTTAAGTGGTTGTTCTGGAGGTGATGTTACTAAAGAATGCTTCCCCTGGTCTCTCTTTGATGTGTTATCTGTTGGTTTAAAAGTATTATCTGTAGAAGTAGTTAGACTCTTTTTCTTCTTTTTATTTAAATTTTCATTCTCTAAATCTTCTTCAACTTTGATTTTAATATTTCGAGAAATCTTCAACCATATAAAGGTTTGCAATTGTGTAACATACCCAAATCTGATCAACCAAGCTAAAGCTTGTAAATAACTTTCGCGATGATCCTTCGACGGTATGATACTTGCAAATTGTTGAGGCTTTCTTGATTGTGGTGATAATAATTTAAGAAAATGAGGTAATGAAGGTAATGTAGGAAATTTCTCTTTAAATAACACAATATCATCTATAAGTTTTAAAGAGATTGGTGCCATTGGTGATACGATAAATACAGATCTTGTTGATAATGGTTGTATAATTCTGGCTCTTCTCCAATATATCAAATGATAAGCAAACGATTTGATTTGCATGATATCTAATTTTAATCTTGCAGATAATTTAAAAAGTGATTGTCTTGAATCAACCATTCTTATAAAATTAGCCATATTACTTTGTTTATCAGTTTTTATATCACGAATCATGGATTCTGGTTCATCTAGTAATAGTAATGCAAAATACATAATAACATCTTCTTCTTCATCATCTTCTCGAAAGGCATTAAACGTGTGGCCATATCTTGAAGTTTCTCCAATGTTAATTAAACCGGTATTATTTAATAAATTAGTTGTTGATGATAAATAAGATCCAGGAATATAGGGAACTGTTGAGTCAGGTAAGGAATGGAACTCGGTTTTTATTGGAATTTGAAATGATCTTAATTTACCATTTATTAAAAGATTGGCAATTTTTGAAGTTGTGATTGAGTTGTAACAATCATGAATTAACTTACACAAGCTTGATTTTTCTAATAGTTTTGTTTGTAGCTCTTCTTCATCAGTGTATTGATCTTTGATGGTTAAAATACTCTTTACTTGATCACATATATAATCATGTTTCAGCTGTTCATATCTTAAAACTAAAGATAATCTTGAAATAACATAATGAAACATTTCATCAATACGATAATTTGATTCAATCATGGGAGGATTCATAATAAACACAAGATGGAACATGTTCAAAGAAAGCCTAGGTTTGCTAGGTGAATCATCAGGCTTGGGATCTTCTGCCAATTCATTGTCAATATCTCCATCGTGATCATGATAACTCTTGTTCTTCTCGCTTGGCTTTCTCCAATGTCCATCATCATATTTATGAATAGGCAAACCCAAGAAAACCTTGTTCTCAATTGTTAATTCAAATCGAGTATTGCACATTTTCTTCGGCGGTGCCAACATTTCACATAAATAAGCTGGATCAATTCCATATATAGTGTTGTCAGTATTACTAACCTCTGTTTTTGCTGTAGTCTTCTTGGTAGAAGATTTATTAGCAGTTGCTGCCCTTTTAACTTTATTTAGATAGCTTCGTCGTTGATTCTGCTCATCCAAAAACAGTAGTAGATCTAATTTAGTGCCCAAGTAATAATCTATATGATGGGTATCCCATGCAGAATTAGTACCAGAACTATACTCATATAGATCACGTTTAGTGAATTCTTGATCCAGATCATCACTACTGCTTTGTTGTCCATACAACTCATCATCATCGTCATCTTCTTCTTCACTACTATAATGCCAATTATTCACATCTTTAAATTTTGGGATATTTGAAGATTCATTTAAACTAGGAGGATATTTGTAAGCCAATTGAGGTCCACTATGTGTTGATATAACAAGAAGTACTCCTAATAGACTGGGATTGGGAAGATTAAAGCTCATGGTTGAGCTTGAAAGTATATGGTTGTATGATAAAACGTAGAACTAGAGTGAAGAAAAAAAAAAAAACTTAGTTTGAGACGATAAGTGGGGAGGGCAGAACAAAACAAGTGGTAGCACTAACCAATAAAAAAATCAAGACTATATTGTGAACTATGTAGCAAATATCTAAAGCTTATGTTTAACTTCCTTCATGGCTAATTGAGCAAATCTGGTCTGAGGAACGCCTTCTAACCATTTACCTAAACCTCTTTGAACTTCGTTCGAGTTAGCATTATTGATGTAAACATCTCTTTGTTGTTTCAACAATTGCTTATTTTGGAAAATCGAATCCTCATGTAAGTTTTCAAAAGCATCATAAATATCCTTAAAAACTTGTTGGTTAAACTCCTCAGTTGTTTTGAATTTACCTTCGTAATGTTTATTTATAAGTCCAACATTGTAACAATCTTGACCAGAAATTGGTTTTGCTAATAATAAAGCTTCACTGGCCTTGGACCAACCCAATCTCATAAATAAAGTGGCTGAACTTGCACCTTCAGCAACTAAACCTAAATTGGCAAAAGGTGCCAACAAGTAAAATTTGTTTATGTCATTAACATAAACCAAGTCACATAATAATAACAATCCTGTACTTAATCCAATACATGGTCCATTAACAGCAGCTACTAAGATTTTCTTATGGTTATTGAAAACATTAGTTAACCAAACATTTCTGGCAACAAATCTTTCTAACCAATATTCATGACTGAACAAAGTCTCAGCATCAATTTCTTGTAACTTTTTATCAGCGAAATTGGCCCCAGCAGAAAAGAATCTACCAGTACTTTGAATTATAGTAGCAACAGTATCTTCTTCTTCATTAGCTCTTTCCACAAATTTACCCAATTGTAAATATTGTTCTCCATTAAGGGCATTTAACCTCTTGGGAATATTTAAGGTGATAATTGCAGTTCTATCTCTGACTTCATATAAAACATCGGCTGATTCGGACATGGTGATTGATTTAATGCTATTAAAAAAAAAAAAGTTTAATTAATCTAGTATGGTGAATGCTTACTATTTATATTGATCGAAGAACTTTTGTGGGGTTTACGCGGAAAAAAACAAGAGGGGGGTTGAAAAACCGCACTAGTTAACATCATCCTCGGCTTGACTACTACAGTAGAAAGTAGTGGAAAAGAGTGTGAAATTTTTCCGTTTTCTAGAACGGGTTACATATTTTGCTTATAATTAATAACGCACATGGCTATATCCGGTATACAAGGTTTCTACACTGCTTTTATAAAGTTAACTCTTACGACATATTAGGTTATTCCCTTTTTTAGTGATATCAAAGTTTATACACAAAAAATCATACACACTATTTTCTTAATGTATTTCAAATCACTCACAAATAAAACTATACACCTAGGCAGGTTACTTATTTCTTCAAATTAGTCGACAACCATTCCAAACCTTCGTATAAACCATCTCCAGTAGTGGCACATGTGGCTTGAATATACCAAGGTCTTTGTCTGATGGAATGTAATCCTAATTTTTCTGTTATTTCGGCCGCATTCATAGCATTTGGTAAATCTTGTTTGTTAGCAAATACTAATAATAATGCATCTCTCAATTCATCTTCGTTTAACATTTGTTGCAATTCTTCTCTAGCTTCACTAATTCTATCTCTATCATTGGAATCAACAACAAATATAATCCCTTGAGTGTTTTGGAAATAGTATCTCCACAATGGTCTAATCTTATCTTGTCCACCAACATCCCAGACTGTAAATGAAATATTCTTATATTCAACGGTTTCAACATTAAAACCAATGGTTGGAATTGTAGTGACAATTTCACCCAACTTTAATTTATATAAAATAGTAGTTTTACCAGCAGCATCTAACCCAACCATCAAGATTCTCATTTCTTGACGGCCAAAAAGACCAGCAAATAATTTAGAAAAGGATAATCCCATTGTAGCTTAATTCAATCGTTATACTTCTATGAAAAATGGGGTGATGATGTAACCTGAAATATGAATGGTCTGAAGTTTTTTAATGTTATATTTTTGTTCTTAAATTACTAGCCTAGTTACTACAAGTAAAATTCTTGTGTTTTGTATTATTCTTTTGATGAATGGTTTAAGTTGTTGACAACACAGAAGGTAGTTGTGTGGTCCTTTTTTTTGAGGTGATCTTTTTTTTTTCCTTCGTCATTTCCCTTTGGATCAGCATTGTATTGATGTATAGATGTTTCGGCAAGATGGTGATACTGGTGAATCCAAATCACATGATTTAATTGATAGCTCTAATATTGCCTGCTGTACTTTACTACCGATTAGATTTGGTATTTATATGTTCGTGAAAGTGTTTAATGCAAAAACTGCATCATATATCCTCTCTATGTTATCTCTAGACTATCTTGTAAGTAACAGCTTAATTGGTATATACACTACTGCCTCTCACCTTGTCGCTTTATCGTTACTCCCCCAAAAAAAAAAATAAAAAAAAAAACAACTTGACATTCTTTGCTGGTTGTAGACACTGTTTAATCATTTCAATACATCTATCAGCTATGTCTAAAGTTATCTTTAATGATATAATCCCAATCATACCAACACATTCATACCTGACCAAGAGAACTCAATTAATATTTTCTGAAGAAGCTGCAGCCACAACCACACCCGTAAACAAAACAAACTTTGCTGTTCCTATTTTTCAAATACAACAACAAGATGGTAAACTTCAAGACTATGTCCTAATTAAACATTTGTCTCAACTTTGGAATTATCCTTCTTCATATCAATTAATCACTAAACTTATTAACAATACTGTGTTAACTATACACCAATTTAAAAAGACCGATGAAGCTATCAACCATCAATTAAACCAATACAGCTTGATTGAGGTGAAAGATATCAAATTTGAATTATTTTACATTGCCCTTGAAGATATTTATTCGGTTATTAATAATAAACACGTATTTTACCAATCATTAACAGCAAAACCTCGTGTGAAGAGTCAGGCTGTGGCTATTAGTGCTTCTGGTGATACATCTATAAACAGCTCTAATGCACAATCCAATAAACCTGACGAGAAAGCTCAAGAAGAACAAGAAGAAGAGGATGAAGATGAATCAGACGAATCAGATGAAGAGGACGAAGAAGATGAAGTTGATGATGAAGATGTTAAAACCCCAAAACCTTCTCATCATATTCATAAATATAAGAAGAATGAGTCCACTGTCTTGACTAGTTCTGCTTCAAATGATGATATAATCACTGTCAGTCAAGCTTTTCCACAATTTGGTATTGTTGATTCAGTAGTTCAATTCAATCATGCGCAATTTAATTCATTAAATCCTTTGACTAAATTGAATTATTACAAGACTTTACCTTCAAGTTCATTGCACAAATTCTTACCTAATAACAAATTGACGTTTTCTGAACGAGAATTATTATTAACTTCCCATAATTATTATTCCAATGATTCGGAAGATTCTAAAAAGCAACAGCAACAAATTGAACGGAAATTATTCCGGAAGCCAATTGGAAAATCTAAGAAACATAATATTCACGTGGATCCTAATACGATAGATTTAAATGAATCAGTGATACCTGGTCAAGGTTATATCCAAGAATTTAATATTAATCATATCTGTAAAGTACCCAACTACTATATCACTTCAAATCACCAACCCGCTGCTAGTGCATCAACTCCTGATGGGTTAGCATCTCCAGGTCAACCAGCAGCATCTATTGGGAAAATCAATATGAAGAAATTAAAATTGAATTCAACATCGAATTCTTCATTTTTGTTCAATGATAACATTAAAATGTCTAAGAATATTCAACAATTGATCTTTAGTAACGACAGTGATAATTATCATCATGCAAAATATTACTATACTAAATCATATCGTGGTCCTGGTTCTGGTAATTATAAGGATGCCGCGTTGATGAATAAGATTAACAAGATTAAATTAACCAATGATCCAATTAAAAAGATTCATAAAAAGAAGATATCCACAATTAAATCACGTTATAATCACAGCTTAAAAGGGTTACTTCATGAAAAATTTAATAATCAATTAGTTGAAACAGTATTTGCCAAGCAGAGAAAGTTTACTGAAGATTATTCTAACCTTGAAATGTTGCATAATAATTTACAATTTAATGTTTTATTAAACACTTATAGACACATTTCAAATCAAACTTGGAAGAATTATTTTAAATTTAAAACTACTGATTTTGAACAATTGAAGGCATCGCAAGTTGAACAACGCGAAATTGAGTTGAGAAAGCAAGCAATTGAAAATCATAATCAATGGATAGAACAAGAAAAGAATAGACAAGAGCAAATAAAATTAATTTTAGATCAAGAAAGAGCAGAATTTGAGTCGTTACAACGTGAACATATTCAGAAGCAAAAATCAATTGAAGAAAAGAAAAGACAGCGACAATTGGAAGATACATTCAATGATCCTTTTATTAGTGATTCTAATAAAGAATCAGCTGGGGAGGAAGAACAATATGAAGCATTAAACCAAGAATTCCAACAAAAACAACTTGAATTGAGTAAGAAATTTGAAGCAAAGAAACGAGAATTCCTTGCTCCTATACCTCCTCCAGTACCAGTCGAAACTCCACAGTTTGATATAATTAATCGCTTTTCTTTGCCTACTATATACCCTGAAATTGTCAAGAATTTACCACTAGAGTTGAGACAAGAGAGTATCGAAAAAGATGATGTTCCATCAATTAAGAAACCAATTAGATACATAAGCACTTATGCTCAGGAAGGTATTAAAAATCCTGAATTTGTCACAAAGGTTGAAATGATAAAATTACCAAATGCAAATTCAGTGGGTTGGGACAATTTAAGAAAATTTAAGCATAGTTAATCTTTATATATTTCAAAGTCTAAGCCATATTTGGGTTTAATATTTATAGAATTCAAATTTTTATTTATGAATTGAGCTGTTATGTTCCTATCATCAAACGTCAACTTTTTAGGTGTAACAGATAACTTGTTAATTCCATGTTTGATTCTCTCTATTCTTGGATTGTGGGAATTATTAGTAAAGTTGGTGGTATCATCATCCTTAGTCATCTTTTGCACCATGGGTGTGGAAATATCATCATCACTCTCCTCACCCTCTGTCTCGTTGTTGCTAAACTTCTCTGGGTATATTCTTCTGGCTTTAGTTCTCTTATCTATGGACGAATAGTTTGAAGGAATCGGATTTGTTAGTAACACAGGTTTCTCTACAAGCATGATGTCTGGCCGTGTGAGTTCATTAGGCTCAAAATTGTCTTTGTTTGATAATTGGAAAGTCATACTATCCAGTAAATATTTCATATCGCCCATAATTGAATTATTCCAAGGAGTCCTATGCAATGTTACCAAACTTTATACTTTTATATTAAAAACTGTAAACTTTTAATTTGCTGGTTCAGATTATCCCTTTCGGGACAAGGGCAAGATGCGCGCAAAATTCAGTCATTGTGGGGCAAATGTGCACATAATTTGCAGCAATAGGAGTACTTCTTAATGATTTATATGCAGCTATATCTAGCTTTACTAGATAATCACATCAGAATAAAGAAGTTGTTATTTCCATAATAGCATGTTTGTTCTTGTTCAAATAATTTTACTTCAATTTTGTTAAAAATATTTGGAAGAAAAATGACATAATACATTAGGAGCATGATGCAATGTAATACTTTTGATATTTCTCCTCTCAGATAATCTCAGTATGCATTCCTACCACCTATTTCAAGCTTTAAGAGAATCAATGGTGAATAAATAGCATATTATTTGAAAGATTTTAAATATATCGCTACCAGTTACTAATATAGGAAGCAAGTATGTTGTTCCTACCTATTGTGTATCGAAGTTCAACTTTTTCACAATATGAATTAATTAAAGAGTTATCTCTCTATCGATATGATATTGGTTCTCACAATTCTGCTTATTAGAAATATGTCTACTTTGAATATTGTGGATTAAGTCCCAAATTTATCAACAAGCTTAACTTTTAAGTATACAAAAAATCTATATTACATAATTCACAACATAAATGATTTACCTCACAAGCCAACCCCATTTGTCTATTCCAATAAATTTATCTTCACTGTTTCGGTTGAAATCTCCATAAATAAGACAATAATGTTCCAACAAGAGTCTAATTTCTTCGATTTCATCAATAAATTCAAGTGAATTAATTCTCCTGAGTGTATCAAATTCCACCCACGGCTGATTATCATCTGTTTTTGGAGTCTTTGTGTATCCACCCACATTACTCATATCTGTAAGCCGTAAATTGTTTAGCTTGCAGTTTGCAGCTAAGAATTCCCGTCTTGATTCCAAATCAGGATATTTGTTAAATGTCATTAAATTAAGACCCCTATCAAGTAAATTTTTTGTCATAGTTAATCCAAAAGAATCATTAAGAGACATTGGTTCATATATGATAAATGAAATCAAGTTTTTGGATATCCCTGTTAAATAATTAATGGTATTTTCGTATTCATCAGGTGCCAAATAACAAAGTGAGCATTCGCTTATTACAAGCGTTGGTAAATTTGAATCAAAATGAGCAAAGGGGGTTTTATTATCCTTCCATGTACGTATATCTATTCCATGTAGGTGATACCTTGACGTTTGTAAATCACAATCGAGTTGTACAAATTCATCTCGAGATTTGATCATGGGAATTGTATCAGATCCAAGACCCACTGTTTTTCTAAGTTCATCATCATTATAAATAGCTAATTTTTTAATCTTGACAGATTCAGGAAAATCAATCTCATGATATATAACATTACTATACTTGTTTAATATCGAAAATGCTCGGGTATCAGACCCGCTTCCCAAAGAAACAATTTGGCATTTGTCAAGCTCTTCAATAAAACCTTGAACAATATTATCTATGGCCTTGGTACGGAGATAGGTTCCCCTGTTTATCAACGGAAGTTTCCTATCATTGAATAAATGCAATGCCCTGGAGGAAGATAAGTTGGTATATCCATAACAATATTGTAAATTTTGACGATACGACTCAATTAATTTAGGAATATAAATGTCATTTGGAGTAAGATATGATTTAATGTTGATGCTATTCCGGCAACTAAGAGCATCTAAATCTGTCGCCCTTATCAACTTGTCCTGTTTATCTTTCGGTGATAACATTGCTTGGCCAAAATTCGAGTTCTCAAGCTTTCGATCGAAATTTTCGTCTTTATCACTAGTCGAAATACTACAATTACATGCAGGACTGCAAATGTACTGCAAAACTCCATCAAGTGTTCTTTAATTCATTAAAGTTGACAATTCTACAATTATATGTACGTATATATGACTATATCTATTATTGAATTATTGAACCTAAAGTATAAATCACAACTATATTTACAACCGTCTCTATATACCATCCAAATAATAATCTAGAAATATCGAATTATAACAGCATACACGAGCTAGTTGATTCAAGGAGCGCCTCTATTTCTGTTGAGTATAACAAGAAACTTATATAATATCATATTTTCTTTATTATAACCCACCAATTATCCTTTTCATAGCCCTCATCCACAATAGTACAGCTTCCTGTCTTGAGTGCATTCTCCAGCAATTCTCCTTTTCTATATAAATGATAGTACCTATACTTGGTCTGGTCTTGCTCTTCTTCTTTTGGTTCCTCTTTCTTTGGCGTATTAGCCGAATGTTGCTCAAGTGGATCTTCACTTTCCAGTTTCTCAGTTAACTCAGGAGTCAGTTCAACTGTCAGATCTTGAGGCATCATCTTTGATTTCTTTTTCTTTTCCTTCTTTGGTTGAGGCTTCTTTAAAACCCAAGGAATTAAAATGTCCTGGTCATCTCCTTCCTTATAACCTCTACGTGATTTCTCTTGCTCTAAAGCCCAACAATATATTAAACATTCACCTCCCACTTTCAATTTGGATAAAATATGCAGTATAGCTTGAACTCTTCTTTCTTCGTTAGCAAAATGATGGATCACAGCAATGGAAATAGCAAAATCAAATCGAGATTCAGGGTGAGGCAATGAAAGTCCATCAGCTATTCCCAAGTTATAACTATTTTCTGAAATATCTTGCCCACAACGAACAAGCCCTTCTGAATGATCCGTTCCTATAATGAACAATTTATCATTTATCCCCAAATATTTCCCATTTCCACATCCAACATCTAATCCAATGGAATAGTCCAGCCTAGTTTTTAAGAACTTTTCAACAATTGGCCATGGCTTATATCTTGTTTGTGAAAAATGAGAAGCTATCTCATTGTATACATCATGAACAAAATCCTGCTCCTGAGCTTTTGGATCTAATCCCCTTTCAATAGAAACTGATGGAACAGACATGTTTGTAAGTTCAACTCTAGTGCTAAGTTGTCCGATGCGCTTCCTACTTTTTCGAAAACAGTATATTTATTTTTTTTTTTCAGCAGGAAAATTTCGAGTTTGCGGAGTTATTTTGACACCTAAACTGACCACCTATGATTCCACAAAACTTTAATATAGTAACCAATGCTATCGTATTTGTACTTGCTGTGACCGGACCATGGATTTGGGTCCGTATGCATCAAACCAATGAAATTGAAGTCCTACAACAATTACTTAGGGATGGTCTCTTCCCTGTTACCATTCCAATAGCTATCCAATTTGCTGGAGATGTTAGTTTCACATTTCCAGATTTAATTGAAGCTACGCAATTCCAAATAGATAGAGAAGTATCTCACTTAACAAACAGTAGCCTATACATACAGTTAATCGATAATTTTGATGATAGTAGTCCATCATTATATTCAATTGATTTGATTCTTAATAATGAAAATACATTAGGAATTTCAGCTACTAGTTTAAAAGGATATGTTTTTTATACATTAGACTCGGTTCATTCCAATGACTTACCATTTGTGATTACTCAAACAATCCTTTATCATTTAATCCGTCCAGAAATTGATTTGATGAATCGCCCGCTTACTGAAAATTTCCCTGATTCACTTGATATAAAATTAAAGTTTAATGTCCACAATGAAACTGTACAACATAATGTCACTGAATTCATGGATAAAATGAAGCAAAAGCTTGTTGGTATTTCAGTTATGAATTGGGAAGTCGATAACAGCTTAACAACAAGAGACAATGCAACATTATCCGTAAAATTTTCTGGACAGAACAGTAGCATAATCATATCTCCTGAATCAGACCCAGTTGCAGAGCTTCTGATGATACTACAAGAGCAATTGAATTTTCCGAAATATCCTAAGCATAACATTTACTTAAAAATCGAAGCAGCTTATAGAATAAAAACTTTGCAGATATTACAAGAGTTAACAGATAAGATTCGCAACAAAAATCCCTCCCAGTTGCTTCAAAACCTAGTCCATCAAATCATATCGGAAACCAGTCCCTCGTGGATTGGTTATTTAACAACTGCTCGTCAATTGCTCGATAGTCTCTAATAGAGTAAACAAATGCGGGAAACGCTTATTCTAAAATAAGCTAACCCCAATACAATAGAATCTCAAGCTGGCCTTGTACCCACCATTGTTAACATGACATGTCTCATCAAGATTAAGAAATACCATTGAATTTGGAACTTCATTCGAATGACTCGCTGCAACGTATGCGAAACCTCCAGCATTTGAGCTATTAACCAATTCAACTGTAGAATCAACGTGATGCTGACACGACAGAATAAGCTGCTCAGTAGTGCTGTAAATAATTCCACAAGGATATTTACTTAAATAGAGGGAACCACCACCAAAATATGCTTTCATTGACTTGTATACATCAGTTCTGTGCAATTTAAATAGCCATTTAGAGCAAAAATGGTCCATGTGTTGATTAGTGTGACCTTGTTCAATTAGCCAACAATACTCACTCAGCATTAATTTAGAATATATATAGCCTTACCATCAATTACACTCAATACTTCTAGTCAGTTCCGAATATTTCTTTCATCATTAAACCACTAAACAAATACTTGTAGTATACAATTCCCAATTATAAGCCGAAGGATTAGTATTAGGGAATCTCTAAGCTTTATAAATGTAGCCTTGTTAGTACTCATTTGTTCATGGCATTGGGTTTTCACCATGCTAAATAGTTCAATGCTTGAACCAAGATGTCAAACTTGAATTCAAAAGGTAAAGTGAAAGCTAATTAAACCTCAGCACAAAACCCTTTTACCAAAACAATAAAATATATTAAACACTCCACCAGATTCTTTTATTTTAAAGAAAAGCTTTCAGTTATATTCAACCAAGTGCAAATTGTAAACAATAGAGCTTCTGTCATTCTCCATGCAAGATATCAATATCATGTGAAGCAATTCCTACGGTTGGCTCAATTTGAATAGTAAAAATGCTATCATTACCCTGAGAAAGTGATTAAATAAAATGCAAATAGCCTATCTCTTCATCTACATACAGTCATAGCCTACTCATACTGTAAAATATCTGAGAACAGTCAACAAATTTCTCAAGAATATCGACCTAGTAAAAAATTACAAGGATATACATAGTTGTTGGTTAATGGTTCTATACCTTTATTACACTTATCTAAATCTACCTCTCAACTAATAAGATTACTTACACTTTACATCAGATAGCAAGGATGCATTGTCTAAAGGATATAATATCCCGAGCTATATTAGCAAGCCTCCAAAACTTGAGCATTAGTTGCTTTAACAGAGCCTTACTACAAACTAAGAAGAAAACATTCACACTAAATGAAGAACACACACCAACATTCATTGGGGGATAATACAAACAGACGAAATAGTTGGAAACACAAGCAACCAAGTAATCAATCCTATATTCGCAATATTGAATACAATTCCTTTAAAATTACAAGAATTATAGATATCACTACAAGGTCTGGTGGAGCAAAATATTACAATCATGAACATTTCTATTATTAAAACTCTACATTTATTTAACCGTTACTGTATAGCAAGTAAATCGCAGTCCTTCATTCTATCATATTTGGTGCTACTTTGAAACTATTGCAAGCTCTTAAGGTCTAACATCTAAAACCTAAAACACTGTATCTGAGACTCTATATCTTCTTTACCATAGCTGATACAAAGTACAAATACCTCCTCTTGTAGTCACAACAACACCTTTGTAAGAGTGTCAGATGCATTTGAATATTTCAAGATCAATAGTCTTTCGAACTCAAAGTAAGGTTGATAACCAGCTGCCATATCTGTTCTAATATTTCAATGCAGCTGGAATTACCTTACTAGACATATGTTGCGTTCATAATGTTGTGTTCAACCGTAGTTATTTCTGAAGCTTATTACAGAAGCTACACCATTACTCAAGTTCAATACTAAAATATACTTTTGATTAAATAGTAAGTATAAACGCCAAAAGTATGGCAATGCTCTAGATATCGCTCTTATGTAAGGTGTATATCCATAGTTTTATTAAACTGTATCAGAGTTGAAGATAGCTACTGAGGTTATCTACTGCAGAAACACGGAATCGTCATCAATGTATTCATTCACATTGAATACATTAGCAAGAGTTCATGTGAATAAGTTTATAAATTAGAATGATTTACGATACTACTTCGGGAAATAGTTCTACTTTAGCATTTAATTTCTTAGCTGGGAGTTGCAGTAGCAGAGCTATGTTCTAGTTTCAAGGCTAGCTGTAGACTGAAAGAGTATGTATAGAATGGGTTTGTTCATTATAGAAGACTAGAAATCATTTAAGATAGCCTTTGCAGATCGGCACAGAATTGTAGACAATTTTCCAATTTTCCAGTTAGTGCTAGAACTTAGTAAGTAGCATTATATAATAGATTGCTATAGATTGTTATAATGAATAGACGGCACCTGTTAATTAATAAATGAACACGTTTTGAGAAAGATAATAGAGGGTGAAAAGAAATACTATAGGAAATGGGTTATTCTAAACACTGTTATCTTTGCACTACTTATATTGTTTACATATTAGTATGCAGAGATTATGCGGTTTTCGTTTGAAGGTATTAAGTTGATTTAGTAATATATATGTGTACGATGCTCACACATTATTTAGTGTAGGGAAATGTAAACCGATGATTACAGGCAATGCAGTTCACACGATTTAATTTATAATTACCAAGTAGATACTTTGTATTTTGAGATGTGGTGGCTCGCGGGTGTATATATCTATATGCTAATGGGTTTGGGATTTCTTACGTATTATTCCTAAAAGATTTAGTGTATTATTTGATTACGATATGTAGGTTGCTCGAATGTTTTTGATTGACATATTTGTAAATCTCTTGTACAGTGTGTTCTTGTTTGATTTTTATTGACTATTTTTAGTAGATCCAGTAAATATTTTGCGATATTGAGGTAACAGTATTAGAGCACTTTGTTTGCGAGGATATGAATGATGCGCTTAAGTGCTCCCACCTTATTGAGTAGCAAATATAGTGGTTAGGTGATGGTTTTCAGTGGGTCATCTAGCAGATTAGAAGTTCTGATTATGCAAGTAAGGATGGAGATTGAGTACAGTCTTTTTATTGTTTGCTGTAGCGAGTTGCTTTATTTAAGTATTTTAAGATAGACCAGCGGTTATATGTTCATGGTTTTATATGTAGTTCCCAGTAGATAGTTGGTGTTATAAAGTCTTTACTAGAAGGTGCTGAATTTGTGAGTGTCTGCAGAGGGATACTATTTAAGCTGTGTTAGGTGAATAATTTAGAGTTGTTATCAAAGGTAGATTTTGTTTGATAAGGTTGTTCATATGATTTGATTATAGGTGTTTAATATGTAGATACTTGCGACTTTTTGTAGTTAGCACTGTTGTAAGATATTATTTTTGCAATATATCGAGTCTATTTTGTTTGTTTCATAGTTATTCTGGTTTAAGATATGATTTTAAAAGGCTTCTGTGTTGTCTATGTAGATTTTGCATATTTGCAACCAGCGTGATGTTTTGCTAGGTGCATCAATGATTTCATGCCATGCTAGATACGTAGTGTTTATTGGTATATTTGTTTGATAATCTATATTCTGTACTAAGTTGGTAGTCATTTTGTGAAAAGTGTATGAATCTGTTATCAATGCAGTTGCTAGTGTAACAACCGGTGTACTAACTTTTTTTGCAGCTGTTCGTTGTGCGAGGAATAAATGACTTTTGATATGAGGACTATATGTATGAGGGCTATGAGAGAGATGAACTTAACTCAGCAAAGGACGAGGGTGATAGATTTTCTTAATCAAAAGATTTGTTTACTGAGCTTTTTCCGTAAGAGTTTAGAACTTCGTATCCTTCAAATATCCAAGTACAGTCACAATGAGACGATGATGTGGATTTGAAGATTAATAGTAGTTGCACAGAGATTCAAAATTGAATGAATTGGGTTGGCAATTGAGCATACTATATAAGTGAAGTGTGGGGAAGAGCAAATAAACCCAATCAGGGAAGTTTCTTCGATCAGAACGGTGTTTCGTGCCTGTCGCTTCAAATATAAATATGTAATGGCGTCTGCTCTATGCAGAAAGTACTTTACTAGAAACTGAATTGGGTTGTTGGGAATCGGAGTTTGATATTGTTAGTAGAGCAAATTGGAATTACTTTTTTATAAGTAGATACAACTTGAGATGATGTATAATGATAGGAGGAGAAGGACATTTGCTCTGAGTGAGATCATGTATTTAGTTAATGGCTTGTTTTGAGAAGGTGGTAGAGAGCTAGACTTGTGTTTTTGGGAGAATTGATTGAAATGACAAGCTGCTAATGAAACTTTATAGTTTGTATTTTCTGGTTATTGCATTAGCCTTCATGATAGTACTTTTGTAAGATAGCAGTATGCACATCATATTGAAGGTATGTTGTGAATAGCTCAGAATATATGAACGAACAAATATTTGCAAGTAAATGTTTATATGAAACCAAGATTCTTATGTAGTTACACTTGATAAGGGGGCGATTGTACTAGTTTGCTTAATGGATAAATGTTGCTAAACAATTTATAGATTGAATTGGTTGTGCTACATAATAAAGAATGCGTTGAAAAGAAAGCAACTGAGTGCTAACCTATTGCATTCTGTGTATTAACTTGTTTCCTTGATCGACCTCTCATTAGTACTGGTCTTTGATGAATTTAAAGGTCACTAGTCCTAAGTCAACACTAGTGTTGCCTGGAGAGGTTAAATGGGAAGCGGATACCACCTGAATTAAAGTGGTTCAGATACGCAAGAAAGTATCATGAGTGTGACTACATTGTTTTCTAGTAACAAAAAAATATATTTTAGAATCTATATACTACGCTACTACTGCTGTAGGATCTTTATGGTGACCGTCATATGGTGGTGGTGGAGCATCAAAGTTATCCACATCCAGTGGCATCTTTTGCGGTACTCTTTGTTCATTGGGTGGATTGTGCATTTGATGTGCTCCTTCGTCGTTAGGTGGATTGTGTACTTGATAGATTGTAGTGTTGTTCACAGTTTGGGGAGCAGGAGCTTGGGCAGGGACCGGAGGTCTGTTCATAGTTCTCCAAAACATGAAAAACATTGGCCACCTTAAAGGATGCCAACCTCTTCTGACTCTTACTCTTTGGGGTTGGTTTTGGGTTTGATTAGCTGAATTGTTGGAACTATTACCATTTCCATTGTATCTTGTATTGGAGTTATAATTTCCATTTTGGTAGTTTGTATTGGACTGGTTAGAGTTTTGATTGTTTGATGAATTGTTGTTGTTATTGTTATACCTGCTGCTCGAACTGTTGCTATTGGAGTTGTTGTACCTACTGGCAGACCCGTTACTCAGTTGGTTATAGTTTCTCGTTGATTGCGAATTGCTGTAGTTGGATCTGCTAGCAGAGCTGTTCGAATATCTTTGCGATGATGATGTGGTATTCTGGTAGCGTCTAGTAGATGATGAGCCATACAGTGAGTAACCTGATCTGTACCCACCTCCATATCCTCCATATCTCATACCACCTCCATAACCGCCGTAGCCTCTTCCGTACATGTTTAAATTGATTTGATTTGTAGTTTAAGTAATGCTTATATTAATATTATATTAATATCTATGATGATATACAAATCAAACCCCAAAGAATTTAGACAATCATTGAATTTATATAGTTTTCATGCTTGATGATTGGGGCTGTACTGCATCATTTATTATAAATGACGTAGTACTACCCTTTATTTCTATGTATTGTTTCCGGGAATATTATTTCTCCGCGAAGAATGTATTTTTTATGCAACTGGACTGATGTGACTTGACACAGCCTAAAAAAAGATGACGCGAACATCGGAAATATGTCCAGTTAACTCCGGAACAATGGATAGACATAGCTTCACGTGCATCCAAATACATACCTCGGGTCTATTTGACTATAAGTTGCATTGTTTAATGGTCTGCTAAATAAATACGAGATGATTCGAGCATGATTTCAGTAAATTTCCATGCTGCAATTACGTCAGATTTTGTGTTCACTAATTGTCTGAGTAACATAGCCTGGTAAGCCTCATGGAAATGAAGTATGTTCCAACAAAGATGTATCGGTTTTGCAGATGATAATCATTTGATTTCATGTCATTATTGCGATAACTCAGCACACATTTATGCTATTTGACTCTTATTTTCCAAATAATTGTCAGCCCGAGTTTTCAGAAAATTTGTTGTAACAAATTAAGGTCTAGAAACTGCATCCTATTGTTTTGGCACTACTGGTGTAACTATTCTGTACTACTGTATTAACATATTTTCGAACTAGTTCCTACTCGCAATATGTATTAAGTAAATTTACAAAAATAAGTAGACAAATTAAATACTTTTACACTGCTTCTCTTCCAGAGTTATCCAACGATAATTGCCTCGACTTCTCTTGAGCAAACTATGACCTTAAACGGCTCTACAAAATTATACTTCTCTTTTCAAGCGTGAATTGCCGCTTTACACCCTATCCAATATATACTTCGAAAAATACACTAGTAGAATTGAATGTTGAGACTTCTGTCTGAAGGAATATATTGTTGCAATGGCCAATAGTCGGGCAAGATGAAATACTCTCATTTGAACGTGGTATAATTTCCGTGGGCAGTAGGTAATTGCTTATGAATAAGTTTCAATCAAGGTATCTCTTAAATTGCCACCAATAGCATCTGGTTGGGCATCTTGTAATCTGAAGATAGATTCGATAACGGATAATTCAGGTGCAGTGGTATCTAAACCTGAAACTGCCAACCAATCGTTAACTACCATACCAGCACCAACAACTGAAGAACCTCTATTTACAGTACCTGCTACTAAAGGAACTTGTAACAATGATGATAATTCTTCTTGGTCTTGGATTGAAGTTTGGGGATGGACTAATCCACCTTGGTTAGACAATGAACAGTATGATCCAACAAGAACGTTTCCTGCGATAGTTTGACGGAAAACTTCTACACCTAATACATCAGCAATTAATTCTTCGGTTTCCCTTTCAATATCTGGGTGAACCAAGGCAACGTAGTCATTACAACAGATCACATTACCCAATGCAGACAATCTTTCCTCTACTCTTTGAATCTTAACAGAGTCTGGTAAAGAGTTTCTTAAATGCATTAATTCTTGATCGGTGGTTTGGGTAGGTACTAACAAACCACGTCTGTTACCTGAAGTCATTCTACCAACTATTCTTGTTCCAGCAATAGTTGTATGTACGATAGGGATGACATCACCTAATTCAGCTTCAAATGCAGAGTAAAAATTTTCTGAACCACCAACTGCAACTAAACAGTATGAGTTAGTTAAATTGGAGAAGACACCAACTTCATTGGAATTTTCAAATTGAGTTCTAGTAGCCATGGTCTATAATGCTTATTATTTAGTAGTAAAGGAAGGATTTGAAAATTTTTCTAAGACATCTCAAATATAGATCAAGGAAAATTTAAGGGGAAAATGCGAAATTCATATCACGTGATTCGATGGTTTAATTACAAAGCATATATTTGATGGGAAAAGAGGCAGGAAGTAACTGGTTGTCAAGAAAGCACGTTGCTGATTCGGAAATACAGATAAGTTCTATCTATATACTTCAAAACAAACTACGTATTTTCCTCGATGTGCTTGGAGTAAAGCTCAATATTATCGTTACAACTAAACATCAAACAATCGATGACTTAAAAATGGAACGTTTACATGGTATATTCTCAGGATCATCGGTAACCCAGCATCGATGCTCTGGAGTCTCAAGCAATAACACCTTAAATTTCTTAAGTAACTTGACCTTGTATGGGGTAAGCTTTTTTCCCTTAAGCTTATAAATAGTTCTTAACATACGCGGTGCAATAATATAGGAAGGACGATATTGCATTTGGCCAATCTCTCCCTCATTTAAACTGCAGCTGAACAACAAAGTGGTTTCGACTTGAGCTCCCACTTTGAATCCCGTTGCAGCTTGAACTCCCAATTCCAACCCAATGGGACTTGTTTGGAATTGAAGTTCATTCTCAAATTCCATAGTTGCTTCAAAAGCAACTTTAATTGATCTCAATATCACCCCTCCACTTCCCATCCTCGAGTCTAAGCAAGAGGAAACTGGTAACCAATCTGAATATTGTTTTTCTGGAACATAATTTGGGTCTTCTTGTTTCAATCCTGTCCACATTTTGATTAGGGGGTCATAATACAAAGAGCTATTGGAATCCTTTAAGAAAAACGTGTTATTGGTATTGGAAAGCATCTCTATGTGTTTAGTCTCTAGCTCGTCCAAGGACTTTACAGAATAAATAATGGGGCTCTTCGGTATTTCAGGAAGCTTGAGTTTGGCACCCAAATCAATGAATTCGGGTGGTTGGGAGAGTAAATTTGTGTTTTCCTGTGGTAGATTATATATCTGACCATAAGAATAACTAAGTAACCTCGCAAATAACATGAACAGACATACTAGCATGTTTACTCCTAAAAGAAATCTCTTTTAATCATACAAAACCTTGGGGGGACCAATTAGTTTCTACCTACAATCCACTGATAAAAAGGGTTGTATGTAGTGATTGTAAAATCATCTCACCATTTCCATCTTGAGGCCATCCCAGGCAGGATTTCTAGCTAGTCCTAAGCATAACAAAACATTGCTCTTATAATTTCTTTCGTTGCTGCATAATATGAACATTAGTTTCACTTGTAAAGCACATAATTAGTTCTCTATAGACACTATTATCTTCCAAAGCAATAATCCTGCTTAAAAAGGGGTATATGGTATGTTTGATTGTTTCATTGTGTGCCTATCCGTATAGTCCGAAGTCCATAGAGCTGTCAATTTTTTTCTAGAATTTTCTGGCACTATCGAGATTGTTCCGCCGTAATTTCCGAACCATGGGGGAAGTGCCAACGCCCGCCTGCATAGAAACAATATAAATTGGCAATGAACTTAGCTCCTCTTTGAAATTCTTTACATTTTCATCAATTATTCTCTTCTTCAAAGGATTAGCTAAAGATGGACGAAACTCAATATACAGACAATGCATTGCAAATAATTACCAATGCAACACAATTAGCAAAAGATAATGCTCATTCACAATTGGTTCCCTTGCATTTCCTTGCTGCAATGGTTCCAACTGATGATACAGAACACTCAACTCCCTATTTGAAAACCTTAATTCAAAAGGGTAGATTTGAATGGGCTCCATTTGAAAGAGCTGTCAATAAACATTTGGTTAGACTCCCTTCACAGTCGCCTCCTCCTGAAGACTTGAGACCAAGTTATGCTGCTGGACAAGTATTAACAAAAGCAAATAAGATCAAGCAACAACAAAAGGACAACTACATTGCACAAGATCATATTTTGTTAGCATTGTTGGAAGATCAATCCATTAAGGATGTTTTCAAAGAAGCTGGTATAAATGTTGACTCTATCAAGACTCAAGCAATTGAATTAAGAGGATCACAACGAATTGATTCGAGACAAGCTGATTCTTCTTCCTCATATGAATTTTTGGGTAAATATTGTGAAGATCTTACTGAAAAAGCAAGAGAAGGGAAAATAGACCCAGTTATCGGTAGAGAAGAAGAAATCAGAAGAGTGATTAGAGTTCTTGCCAGAAGAACAAAGTGTAACTCTGTATTGATTGGTGATGCTGGTGTTGGTAAAACATCTATTGTTGAAGGAGTTGCGCAAAGAATTATTGACGGTGATGTTCCTAACGTTTTGGCAAACGCTAGGTTGTTCGCTCTTGATTTGGGTGCATTAACAGCTGGTGCAAAATACAAGGGTGAATTTGAAGAAAGAATCAAGGGTGTTTTGAACGATATTGAAAAGTCGAAGGAATTTATCATCTTATTCATTGATGAAATACATATGCTTATGGGTGATGGTAAATCTGATGCTGCTAATTTATTAAAACCAATGTTAGCCAGAGGTGCGTTACATTGTATTGGTGCTACTACTTTTGCGGAATATCGTAAGTATATTGCCAAGGATGGTGCATTTGAAAGAAGATTCCAAAAGATTGATGTTCCAGCTCCTACTGTCAATGAAACGGTTGCCATTTTGAGAGGGTTGCAACCAAAGTATGAAATTCATCATGGAGTTCGTATTTTGGATAGTGCCTTGGTTACTGCTGCCCGATTAGCTTCTAGGTATTTGACATATAGAGCCTTACCTGACTCAGCTGTTGATCTTGTTGATGAAACTGCAGCCGCAGTTGCTGTTGCAAGAGACTCAAAGCCAGAGGAGTTGGACAATATCGAAAGACAATTGCATTTGGTTGAAGTTGAAATAAATGCACTTGAAAGAGATAAAGATGCTGATGCTGCTTCTAAGGATCGTTTGGTGCTTGCAAAGAAGAAACAAGCTGAATTGGAAGAGAAGTTGGCTCCTCTTAGAGAAAGATATAGTCAAGAACGGGCAGGACATGATTTATTGATTGCTGCCAAAAGAAAATTAGAGGAGTTGGAAGTGAAGGCACAAGATGCAGAAAGAAGGCATGACACTGCAACTGCTGCCGATTTGAGATACTTTGCAATCCCGGACGTTGAAAAGCAGATTGAAGAGTTAGAAAGAAGAGTTGCTGAGGAGGAATCCAGTAGTGACTCTATGTTACGTAATGCCGTTGGTCCTGAACAAATTTGTGAAACTGCAGCTAGATTAACCGGAATTCCAGTCACCAAATTGACACAAGCTGAAAATACTAGATTAATCAATATGGAGAAGGTGTTATCTTCTGAAGTTGTTGGCCAATCTGAGGCAGTGAAGGCTGTTTCAAATGCAATTAGATTGAACAGATCAGGGTTATCCAATCCTAACCAACCATCATCGTTCTTATTTTTGGGTCTTTCTGGTTCTGGTAAGACCGAATTAGCCAAGAAGTTAGCAGGATTTTTATTCGCAGATGAAAAAGCTATGATTAGAATTGATTGTTCAGAATTAGGTGATAAGTGGTCGGCTTCGAAATTGTTGGGTGCTGCTCCTGGTTATGTTGGTTATGAGGAAGGTGGTATTCTTACAGAACAATTATTAAGAAGGCCATATTCAGTTGTTTTATTTGATGAAGTTGAAAAGGCAGCTCCAGAAGTTTTGACTGTTTTGTTGCAGGTTTTAGATGATGGGAGAGTTACATCTTCTCAAGGTAAAGTTGTTAATTGTTCCAATGCAATCTTTGTTATGACTTCGAACTTAGGAGCACAATACATCAATGCATCCAAGGGAAACAAGATTGATCCTGAAACTAGAGAGTTGGTTATGGGTGCTGTTCGTGCTCATTTCAGACCTGAGTTCTTGAATCGTATTTCGAGCACAGTGATATTCAACAGATTGTCAAGGAAGGCCATTGCTAAGATTGTTAAAATCAGATTAAGAGAAATAGAGGAAAGATTTGCTGCTAATTCTAAGACTATCAAGTTGAATCTTGATGATGCAGCATTGGAATACTTGTGCAAGAACGGTTGGTCTCCTAATTTAGGAGCTAGGCCATTGAACCGTCTTATTCAACTGGAAATTTTGAATAAGCTTGCAGTTCTCTTGTTGAAGGGTCAAATAAGAGATAAAGAGACTGCACATGTGGTTTTGGGAGAAAAGGGTTTAGATGTGTTGCCAAACCATGAACCAGAAGATGTAGAAATGGGCGATGTGGATGTTGACAATTGGGAAGATACAGACGATGAAGATGATGATGATGACTTCACTCGTATCACATCTCCTGATATCGATTAATCTAATATCAGTTTATAGTTTTGTAAATATAAAGAAATATAAAGTAATTATTTAAATTGCTATTTCTTTTGTTTTTTTTTTGTAGAAACCTTTGTGTGCTTATTATACTCGCTAAGTGAATGGTGCATTTAACTTGAAGAACTTGAACTATACTGGTTTTGACTACGTTTATTAATGGAATCACGTGACTTTTTTTTGAAACTCATAACTGATTATCATAAATATTTTTATGTGCAACGTTAATAAGATATAAATGATTAGTAGTCAGGTTATAGTTGGGATGAAGTAATCCTAAGGTATTAATTTTTTATAGTATATAATTAAAGCAAATTAGTCATATTTTATGTGAACATTACTGATATCAATTGTTTGTTTTTTTTTCCATTTGTTTCTATGAAATGGAGCTAATACAACAGTACTCATCTAGTGAAGAATCTGACGAGGAATCTCTCAACCGAAACGTTACTGATATCCCATTGAACCAAGAACTTGAAAATCATCCTGTCACCTTAGAAATTTTCCTGGAAAAACACCACACAACCATGCTGCAATCGTGGGGAACAATCTTACTTTCAGTTTGGAGAGCCCCTCCATTAGCAAAAACTAAATTAAAACAAGCATGCCATCGTGTTCTTGAACAACTTCCTGCGATAGCTCAAAACTACAAGGTAGAACCATTGTACAATGAGACATTCAGGGGATATTCTCAAACGCCAATTCACATTTCATACAGTTTACCTTTATTTATCAACAATAGAGATTCAAACCTAGCAAAGCAAATATTGAGTGAGGAAACGAAAAGGTTAAAAATTCCTTCCAGTTTGGTACACCAAGAAGCTGTGGATAAATCGAATCCACTTCTGTCAATATTGCAAAAGAACCCTAAAAAGGTAGTGAGATTGAAATTTGATAAGAAAATGCTCTTGTTGCCAGGTGATCGAGGTTTTAACAACCAAATATACTTGTGTGCCAGAATACAGCAAACTCCTGATACTAGAGAATTTTTTCAGGCGATAGACGACGGCATCTTACGTCGACTTTTTGCAGAATGTGATGTTGAGGCATTTGGCACCAAAACAAAGGGACTCGAACATATCTCTATTTTGAAGGGAAGGGTTATCACGAAGCCATTTTCAGAAGAATCATTAAAACAATTAAGTGAGCAGTTGGAACAGATTGATTTAAGTGATCTACTTGGAGACATTAATGTCGATCTTGATAGAATCGAGCTTGATACAGGAGCGCTGACGACCGAAGTTCAGGCAAGATTATTCACATAAGCTGTAGTTTTAGGATGTATATATATATATATATAGATAGACAGATAGATAGATAGCATGTATATAGATCTAACTTTCATACGAGAAAGAATATTTCTCATTATACTTTGTTCATTCAGGAATTCTTACCGTAGTCCTATATCAAGACAGGTCAAAAATCTTTAGTAGTAAAAATAAGCAGGTTTGATGATTATGTTAACACGATATTTATCGCTTTAAATATTGGGATAACTTATGCAAGGTTGTATTCATTTTTGGTCATTTGGCTTTGGCTTTAGCCTTACTTATTAGCAATTTTGCAGAAAATTCGCAACCATTTTGGAATTAATTGCATAGCCAATACAAGAAGTACATTTCTACTAATAACAATGAAAAAAAAAATATAAATTAACAGAGAGAATCTCCTTGGAGTAAAGATATTGAAAACTATGAACGATAAAGCTTAACAATAATTGTTGTATAGATCATATTGGTATTCTCATGTAGCCACTGTAGTTCCGATTGGTCGTGTACCAACCAATACAGGGAAAAACGGCACAAGTTGTGTGTGTGACTCGGCGACATATTCCAGTTGACCCATTTATATTGTAAAAGGAATTATTAAAAGCAAAACAATCACAACAATGTCTTATAAAAAGCACCAGAAAGATGTGGAAAAGCAATTGATAGATATAGTCAATAGTAGAGGAAATGACAACAAATGTGGAGAATGTGGTACTCCTTTCCCTACATGGGCTTCTTACAACCTTGGGATATTCTTATGTGGACGTTGTGCCTCTATACATAAAAGAGTTTTAGGACCTCCTCACTACGATATCTCTAGAGTCAAATCATTGACTTTGGATACATGGTCTGATCAACAAATTGCCAATTTGAGAAAAGTGGGAAATAAACGTGCAAAACGGAAATGGAATTCCAAAAATGTACCATTCCCCTACGATGGTGATGATGACATTGCAGCAGTTGAACAATATATTAGGGATAAATATATAAATGGCAAGTTCCGTGATGATAATATCGACCCTTCGGATTTCGAAGATCGCGAAAGCAGATACAGTGACGATCAAGTCCTGAGAAGACTGCGCTCGAATAGTGCTGTGAGCCGTGCTCCTATCCCCAGACTTAGTCACAGAAAGTTGACTACTTTTGAAAATGGCCAATATCCAGTACAAGTTTCTAAGATTATGAGTTTCGGATACAATGATCGTGAAACAGTGTTGGAAAGTTTGTTATTATCTAATGGGAACATCGAACTGGCACTCGATATTTTAGAGCAAGATGCAAAAATCAACCCAAATAAAACCGAGATCCCTCCTAGTTTGCCAAGAAGACCTCCTTCGTCATCTATCACCCTGGCATCCACAACTCCCGCAGCTACTGGTGCTAGTAGTTTGCCACCACAAACACAACCAAGCTCAGATGAGTGGTGGAATACAAGCAATAGTGCACCAGCTGTTCCAGGAGCTACACCTCAAAATGCCACACCACAAATATATCAATACACAGATCCTATAACCGGTCAAATTTCATATATAGATTCCAATGGCCAAGAGTATTTGGATCCAAACAATCCTCAGCATCAACAGCAATTAATGCAATTAGCTAATCCCCAGTTAATGGCTCAGCAAACAAACAAGCAAAATATATTATCTTTATACAATCAACCAAATCAGTTCACGACTAATGTTGCTGTGCCTGTATCAGCCCAACAGCAACAACAGCAACAACAAGTCCACGGCCAACCTCAAAACCCAGCGTTTAACGCACAACCTAGTGGATTTGCTCCCCAAGTTCAATCTCAATATGGCCAACAACAGATTAATGCATTTGCTCAACAACCACAGCAACCTCAGCAGTACCAACAACAACCACAATTTACTGGATTTCAGTATGGGCAACCTGGCCAATCACAACAAGGCTATTGGAACCAATAGGTTGCAAACAGCTGAAAACGCTTGTGAGTTTTAGACGATTGTTTTTGTTCGGCTCCCATCTGTTGTTCCATTGACAACGTTTGTAGAATGTGATATTTGCTTATGTGTCAAATAAAATAATAAGAATTTTTTTTATAATTTATACGAAATATTACGATTGACATATATAGGGAACGGATTCAGCAGTATTTACTGATTATATCATTCCATTTCATGTAATTGCGTTTAGCCTTAAAATGTCTTCGCAGAAGACTGCTGTTGAAGATATTAATTTTGGAGTTCGTAAATATAAGAAATTACGTAATGCTTAAAATATTTCCAAGGGCACATACACGTACTTCCACGGAAAATATTGGCTCATTTCGCAAAAGAGAAAATGTGGGCCGGTTTTAAGTTCTTGCACATGAGCATTATGCTATGTCAAGAAAGGGGGACATTGTTCTCGAGGAACTCTCCGCAACCTAAATAGGCTATATTTTTTTTTTCACAAGCGCGCGAGGAGATAAAGTGCAGGTGAAATATTTCTCCGCTATTTGTGTTTCTCCGTGGTTTCAACCCCATATATTATGTAATACCCAAAATTAATTACCAGAAAAAGTCAAAACTTTTGCATTGTAGTATTTATAAAAGGGCTCTTATTTGACTTTATGTTGTTGGGGTTTCTTCTTTATTCCCAGTAGCCAACCATACAAACAGGTAGTACTGATCGTTCAAAACAATGGTTTTTCTTTCCAGCAAGATAGAAGATAGTCATCTTGATACGTTTATTGCTTTATCAGATGGATTAGTTCATGAAACATCAATTGACAACATTAAGGACTCAATTGACCCTGAATTCCCTGAAGACAAGTTGAGAGAATATGTCGAAAGTTTCACCCGTCCCTCAAACATTCCTGAATTCAAGGATGCAGTTTTGCAAACGTTGAACAAAAACAGTAGTGAGTCAGCCAAGATGTTTACCTTTGTTATGAATCTTTTGGATTCAAGGATTATGGCACCAATGGTTAGTGGTTCTACAACTTTAATTCGGGATATGACCTTGGAACAACGTGAAAAGCTCTTGGCTTCATGGAGAGATTCCAATATCGCATTAAGGAGAAAATTATTCAGATCTGTGTATGCAATTACTATCGCTACGTATACTCGATTAGCCAATGATTTACATTTACAGGCTGTGGGGTATCCTGGCCGAGAATTGCGTGACACAGCCTACGAGAAGCAAGTTGTTGACGATTTCAGGTATGATTTTATGGAGAAACCAACAGCTGATGGTCAAGAATTGTATTTGCCTTACATTGACGCTATAATTATTGGGTCTGGTTGTGGTGCAGGTGCAGTTGCCCATACTTTGTCCGAAAATGGATTCAAGTCACTTATTCTTGAAAAGGGGAAGTACTTCTCTAACTCAGAGTTCAATTTTGATGACTTGGATGGTGTTACAAATTTGTTTGAAGGCGGTGGAACTATTTCTACCACTGATCAAGAAACATTTATTTTAGCAGGGTCCAATTTTGGGGGTGGATCAACTGTCAATTGGTCAGCATCACTTAAAACCCCTTTCAAAGTTAGAAAGGAATGGTATGATGACTTTGGTCTTGAATTTGTAGCCTCTGAAGTTTACGATAAATGTCAACAATATGTTTGTGATAAGATGCATGTGGGTACTGACAAAATTAAACATTCGTTCGCTAATCAAGTGATTATGGAAGGAGGTGCCAAATTGGGGTATGCTGTGAAAGCAATTGATCAGAACACTGCAGGTCAGGAGCACCCATGTGGATTTTGCCATGTAGGTTGCAAATTCGGAATCAAGCAAAGTACTCCTAATAATTGGTTTAGAGAAGCTGCCGTTACTGGATCTAAATTCATGGAACAAGTGAAGGTTGTTCAAATCCTTCATTCGAAGGGGATTGCCAATGGTGTTCTTTGTCAAGATACAGTTACTGGGGTCAAATTCAAAATCACTGGGCCTAGAAAGTACATTGTCTCTGGTGGAAGTTTAAATACTCCAGTGATTTTGCAAAACTCGGGATTCAAAAATAGACATATTGGTAAGAATTTGAAATTACATCCCGTCTCTGTGTTAACTGGTGACTTTGGTAACGATGTTCGTGCCAAGCCTTATGAAAACTCAATTATGACATCTGTATGCACTGAAGTGGATGACTTGGATGGAAAAGCCCATGGTGCTAAGATTGAAACTGTTTTAAATGCGCCATTTTTGCAACAAGCATTTTTGCCATGGTTTAGTAGTGATGAAACTAGAAGATCAATGTTGCGTTATAACAACATGGTGTCCTTGTTGCTTATTACTAGAGACAAATCTAGCGGTTCTATTCGGGCTGATCCAGATAGACCCGATGCATTTATTATTGATTACCACGTTAATAAATTTGACCGTCATGCTCTAATGGTTGCTCTTCTAACAGCTGCAGATATGTTGTATATTCAAGGAGCAAAGAAAATTATAACTCCCTTGCCAAATGTTCCAATTTTTGAAAGTGACAAACTCAAGTACAAGAGATCAATTGAAGATGTCGATTATGTTGAGTGGAGAGCTGCTGTTTCCAAGATGAAGTTTTATCCTTATGGTACTTCTTTTGGTACTGCCCATCAAATGGCAAGTTGTCGTATGTCTGGTAAAGGTCCCAAATATGGGGCTTGTGACGAGAGGGGTAGATTATTTGAATGTTCAAACGTTTATGTAGCTGATGCTAGTATCATGCCAACTGCAAGTGGTGCAAATCCAATGATTACTACATATGCCTTGTCTAGATATGTTGGATTGAATATCGTCAAGGATTTGACAACAAAGGCTAAATTATAAGAACAAAAGTTCACTTTTATTATTTTTTTTTCTTTAAGTTGATAATATATGCTCTAAACCTCATACATTGTACTATTGCAGCTTAAGAAGTACTTCAAATTGGTATGATGATGTTCTTTGTCCGTAGGTATTCCGGCAAACCCGAGGGGACCTTTGTCGCATTCACTGCAAATGAGTAGCCTGTCGATTTTGACCGTACTGTCATGTCCTATTATAGGATCATCGGATATCAGAGAGGGTCTACTAACACCAATATTGTCAAAATCCCATACATTATCTATTTGGTAGAAGTTGGTGGGGCGTTCAATTGTAGGAAGTTCATCTTTTGTGGCTTTAACTGTTTGCGGGGCATTATCCACGGAGATTTGAATAAAGCTGGGAGAGTACTTAATTATTCGGGTATTACATTGTTTAAATGGACATCTTAATATCACATTATGATCCTCAGACTGTAATTTCTCTAAGTCTATTTCACTTGAAAGTTCGAGTGGCATTTTAGGTAGGTTTGAGTGAAAGAGTTGAGATTTCGTAATTAAATTTTTTTTTTTCATTTTTCTAAGGTGCATCTGCTGCTACCATACGCGTTTGTTATTTCTAACGGTTGTCTTTGGACCTCCACAAATTTGTCGAATCGTTTACATAACTGATTTCATTGGGTAATTCTAGCTTGACGAACTTTTGCAGTGGAATATTTATGATTTAGAAGTGATTTTATCGTAATTTCCGCATTTCATTGTAGCTAAAACATCGCGTGTATCATCAGTCGGCTTTGACATTTCGACAGCCAGCAATACTAGACTAACAGGATACGGTAACAATTCTAGAGTCGTATTGTTACATAGTTTATCAAATCCATTATTCTAATTCTCCAGTGAAACATTAATTTTCCGAAGTTCCAGACCCAAAAATAATGGCAAAAAAATAGTTAGTGCAAGTTGAATTTCCTAATTGGGTAGAATATAAACATGCCAAAAAGTTTCAGAACTAAGAAATTGATCTTTCACAATGAGTGATCAGATTTTCTCATACAACTAGGTTGGGATCGCAGCGACGGTTACACAAATACCGTGACCCTGTATCTTTCTAGTAAAAAAAATTGGATCTTTCGGTTTTTTTTAAAGTACTAATTTACATTGACAACCAAAATGACATCAGCAGATAATGTCAATCAGGGTTGGAATACACTCTACGATTACGACAACGGGAACATATATGTACATTTAAAGAATAATGATTTATTACGGTTAAACTTTTCCTTGGCTGGATTTGAAAATAACGACGTCAACACATTAAACTTGAAGAATAACCAGCAGATTGAAACTTTACCACTGCCACCTGATAAGTCAACCTTATTTCTATTACAAGGTAAGCTCTATGCTTTGACAACATTGGAAAGTAAAACAGAACGAGACTTGTGCGGGGATGGCATAATATCCATAGTGGAATTTTCTGGTAACAAGTGGAGTACTATTACAGGATTGAATTATGACAATATTAAAGATGCTTCATTTTACCGCTTTCCAACCATATTCACAAACCCTAGTTATAACAACACAATATATTTCTATGGAGGACTTTGTGAACAGAGCAATTCTATTTCCAATCGGTTACTTTCTTTCGAAATGGACACCAATAAATTCAGTACCATATTGACTAGTACCAAGCCACAAGCGTTTTACGGAGCAGGAAACTTGTTAGCACCTACGCCACAATCTCAACTAGTTATTGGTGGACAACTGAGTCTGGGATGGTTGAATATGTATCAATTAGCCACTTGGGATTTTTCTGCCGGCTGGTCATTCGAACAAGTTAAATCTAATTCTAATGATACTATGGTAAACTCGAGAAAATTTCCCTTGGTTCTCCCCTTATTCCAACCAATTGCAAATGAATCTTCAATTCAGGATAATTTCAAACTTGATCAAGTGTTGTTGATAGGTGGGGAACTGGGAGGTCAGCAAGCAGCAACACCAGCATTTGCAAAATTAGCGCTCGACTCAAATCAATGGTATTGGAACTCGTCAATTGAAACCAACCAGATCGATTATAGTGACATTTCCGGGGCTGCAACGATATTTAATACCTTAGTTGTGGTTAATTCTAGCAGCACCAATAACAAAAGAGACAATCAATACCATATCAATTTATTTGACACGAATACTTTCCAACCTGTGAAATCTTTGAAAGAAAATGTCCAGGCGTTGCAAAGCACCAAATCTTCTCCCAAATCTTCCTCATCTTCTTCTGATTCGTCGTCTTTCCAGAAGAAGGTTGTCTTGGGAACTGTTTTCCCGGTTGTTTTCATTTCAATAGCCATAGGAATAGCGGCATTCTTTATGATAAAAAGAAGAAGAAGGAAAGAAGAAGAATCACAATATAATGACATTGACTATAAGTTTGGATACTTGCAACAACAATCTATACTAGGAGATGGATTGCACAATATAAGTGATAGTAATTCAACTTTGGACAATGCATCAATAGACTCGTGGATGAAAAAGAGACAAGAGTACGACAAAAGATTAAGACATAGCTATCTTGCCTCGAATGAAACATTAAATACCGCGGATGAAGAATTATTGATTGAAAGAAACCACACGGAAACTGTGTATGATGAAGATGACGATGATGGAGAAGGTGATATATCATTTGGTATGTCATTGCAGGCACCACAACCAGCTATAACGACGAAATCAGTGAAAAAATTGAATAAATCATTCTCATACAGTAAGACTCCTCCAACATCACCAAATTTCAAACGGAAAAAGATCAATAAACTACAGTCGTTGAGATTGACTAATTCGGAACAATTGATAGGAGGAGCAGGGTATAAAGAACTAGAAACATCACCAAGGAAGTTCCACACCGACGAAGATAATGAATTTGATGAAGTATCTTTAGACGAAGCCGTAGACGCACAGGTCTTAGTCAGTAGCAAACGAAGATCGATCTTACGGGTTGTCAATCCAGATCAAGCGCTGAGCATATCCAAACAAGAAAGTATTGCAGAAAGTGCCTCGGAAAAGGAACCCGAGAATTTTAGTGAAGCAATCCGGAACCAATTTGAAAAAATTGCTGAAACTGCAAGTTTAAGACAAAGGGTGCCGTCAGGACAAACTATTTTAGATTAAGCTTGCATCTAATTTTTTTTTACACGAGGGTGTTGTGTAGAATGTGTTAGTTTTATGTATTTGTATGTATTTTTAAAGTATAATTTTTCTTTGTTGCTAACTACTCGGCTGTGGTGGGTAACACAACGGGTATAGCCACATTTGGAACTCCTTCCAGATAAGAAACAACAACAAGGTGTCATTTTCAATTAGCCACCCCATGGGGCATTGACGACAATAAAGGAAATGACAACAAGGTGACTATGAAATATAATCACCGAGAACTTAGAGTCATGGGGGTTTAACTACTTCTTTTAACATTCCGGAGTTTATCTATAACAGCAAACATAGTTGCACTGTGCCCCGATTACTACGTTGTACAGGAAAATTATCATACAATTTTTTTTATTTTTATTTTTATTTTTATTTTTATTTTTTTTCTATATTTTTTTTAGTGAGCACACCAAATTTCAAACAATCAAAAAAAAAAAGACAGTAAAAAAAATATAGTTGGAGTTTACCAAATCTTGGCGTATACAATAACTGTAAACTCACTACACATACCAAAGAAGAATACACTGCCTACTCTGACTCCTCCACTTTGGGTCTACATATTCGCTAAATCATTTACCACATTGATACCGGGCTCTTCTACAAGCAAAAGAGCTTAACTCAGCCTCCCTACTCATGAATATGAATCTGGAGATGGACGACTATTCGTCAGAGCTTGTCCATGACTTTACCATCCAACATTCAGTCAATCCATCATCAGGCTTTCAAGAACCAAGGTCGAATCTAACTCAAGATGGAAACGCACCTGAGGATTATGACAACTTGTACCATCAGTTTGGATTCACGCCACTGAATTCCCTATTGGAGGCAAGACCGGATGTTTCCGTGTTTAAACCTAACCTCTCAAACTTGGGCTCTCCTTTGGATTTTGATGGCATGGATGTTCAGTATGACATGCAGCCGACTTCAGAACAGCAACAACAGCAACAACAAAACCAGTTTGAACTGATTGAAGAAGAGAAACAACAACAGAAACAAGAACAGACACAAAATCAACAACCAATGTACGATCAACCTATTCCTCAAATTCATTTCGATACCAGTATTGATCAGCAAGTAAATCTAAACATGCCTGGTGCATTTAACGTTGCTGTTGGTGAAAACATGGATGTCGACGACTCCCCTCAATTCACCATAGAGCTGGATCTATACTTTGATCCTCAGTTGGATAATAATTCCATAGTGACTAACCACATACATATCCAAGACACAGATTCTCTATTCAAGAACCAGCTATCGATCCCCCATCAGAATCAAAGTAATCATCACACCCCAACATTTAAAGAAGCTTCATTCACTCTGTTTGACGAAGTTCCTAAAGTAGCATTCCCAAGTACAAATGGCATGGTTCAAAATAATGGTTTTAATAATGTAAGAGATTCAGTATATGAAGATGATAGCTACCAACATGGAAGATTAAGAAATGGTTCCATAGATAGCTATTATGCTGCCAATGTCATAAATATGCATCATCATATCCAACTGCAACAACAACGTCAACAGCATCAACAACAACAGCAAAACCAAATGTCTTCCCAGCAGCAGCAGCAGCAGCAGCAGCAGCTACAATCTCAACAACTACGCCTACAACAGTTACCTCTGCAACAACTGCTAAATCAACAACAATATACAGGCTCATTTGCTGGCATACAAAACAAAACAATCTTCAACGAGCTATCACCCTTGACTACATCTACTTCACACACTCCATCGGTATCCTCAGTTCATTCCACCCAGCCTTCATTCTTTTCTGCCCAACAATACTTTACCCGCACTTCATTAGATCAGCCACCTTCGTCATTAAACCGAAATTCGTTAGATTTATACCCTAAGAGTACTAATTCAATGGACAATCTGCAATCTCAACAGCAACAACTGAGGAATCCTCGTTATACAAGTTTCACCAATTCAATTACTAATATATTACCATTTATGGGGGATAAAAACCAACAGCGGGCCCCATCTCCCAACCCTGCTTCAGGAATGAGCCAACCCATGGAAAACAGCAATACACCTCTACCACAGTCCTCCAGACATTTGATTAGAAGTATCTTTAAAAGTTCAAATGCCATGGGATCAAATAGTAATGCCCCAAATGACATGGGAATAAACTTTGCTCAGCCATCGTTATTGCAGAATGGGTCGACATTGGAAGGAGAAAATAATAATGGTGATGGAGATTTCATGATTATGAGTCCTACTAAAGAAGAAGGTCAATTTGATACACTTGAAAATATGCCGGTTATCACCAAGAAACCTAAACGATCAAAGAGAAGTCTTTTCACTAGATTCAAGAATCCAACGTCTAAATTAGATGCTCCAATTGAAGATAATGCAACCAATATACCTCCTGTGGCTGAAGAAAGTAAGAATGATATAGAAAGTGCTTCGAATAGTATCATTGGAAATACATCAACCCATGGATCATCAATTGGTGGTAGCACACCCTCTATTAGCGGAGTCAATGTAATGGATAGCTCAGCATCAGAAGCATCACATCAACAGTCCCAACTCCAATCATCTGAGCCTGATTATGCTGCCTTGTTTGAAAATGTCGGTAAACGTAAGAATATAACTTATAGGAAACCAAAACCTAAAGTTAAAGACGAAAGTCTTAGTACTGAAACATCAAATACAGCTGGAGAACAACCTACTTCTTCCTCGTTGCTCAATTTTGGTAGGTCTAGAAGTAAAGAAGGCAGTGCTCGCTCTTCTATAAAGCAGGATAATGTTAGTGAACAATTTAGTGGCGAGAACCTCAGTGTTGCTTCATCCAATGTATCTTCCACCAATCAGGATTTGCTGCACGAATCTGAACAACAAGACTCTAGTACCCCGTCAACTCCAACCACATCAACCATTGCCAGTGCATCCAAGAGAATTCTTGGATCGAAGTTGATGCCCAAGAAGAAATCTGCATCTAAACAACTTAGTGCAAAGGATGCTGTCCTACTTTCATTGGATACACCCGTGGCCACGATGATTTCTAAAGGTGTAGAAGTTGAAGTGGATTTGCGCTCATTGGATTTACCACCAGACACCAAGATTTTCCCTACCTCGATTATCAATTCCAAGAATAGAACCAGAGGCCGTAAAGAGAATAAAGAAGCAGATATGGTTGATGAAACAAAGATATATTTATGTAATTATTGTTCGAGAAGATTTAAACGTCATGAACATTTGAAGCGTCATTTTAGGTCGTTGCATACCTTCGAAAAGCCATATGATTGCAGTATATGTCATAAAAAGTTTAGTCGTTCCGATAATTTGAATCAACATTTGAAGATTCATAAGCAAGAAGAGGAGATGGCACATATGGATCAGATGGAAGAAGTTGAGGTTGAAGATGAATAACTGCACTTATGCTTATATATAGCTAGATTTATATTCCTTTATTTTTAGAAGCTTTAATACATTAGTTGTGTTTATTCTTTACTATACAAATGTAGATAACATGATCGAATTGAAACAAAAAAAAAGATAAATTTACATATAAAAAAGAAAAATAAAATGGTAACCAGACAGAAGAAACAATAAATAACCAAAAAAAAAAATGCCGAATATAAAAAGTAAACCATAACCTATCAAGCTGTTTGCTTGACGAGTAACAAGTCATCACCAATTTCAGAACTGAGCTGGTCCTCCAACTTATCTGAAGTTAGCACATCAAGGACCATATCTTTCTTCTTCTGGGGTTTTGTGACTCTGCTGGTGTTGGCTTTGGTTAACCCACCCACGCATATATTTCTCTCCTGATGTTTCTTCAATGCATCCAACCTTGCAAACTCTTTGCCACAAGAACACTTGCAGTGCCTTGCCTCCAAATGGCCTTTCACGTGTCTGTTCAAATCATGCTGACGCACAAACCTCTTGGGACAATGAGAACAACCAAAAGGTCGGTCACTCAAGTGAGTTTGAATATGGGAACGGACATTGTAGCGACGAGTGAATTTCTTTCCACAATTCTTATAAGTACATGTGTAGATCTTGTTTTCATCAGGGCCCTCCCAGTAGTTGTCAAGTTCCCCAGGTGGCAATAGTGAAGTCTTTTTGATTCTTCGTCTGGGTGACGTATCTTTGATTTGTTTTTGTACGGTTGTTTTCGAGTCAGGTGATATCACTGGACTCCATTCAATCTGGACGTGATTGTTCCTAATTGGGGTATTTGGAGATTGGTTCTTCAATGGCGTGAACTGGGTGATTGTAGCATTTATATCTTCAGTGTCATCGTAGTTTTTGATTGGACTGCTGAAGTATTTCACGGGTGATGAATTAAGAGAAGGGACCGAGTTTTGATGAATCATTTGTTTGAATGGAGAAGAATTAGGAATAGCATGGACCCGTTGAGGAGATTGAAGTGTTTGTTGTTGGAAGTTGTTGCTGTCTTGTTGGAATATATGTTGGGGCAGTTTCTGGAGTGGACTGCCGTTCAAGGACAGGTTATATTGAGATGGTGGCATTTGATTAACAAACCGTTGTGAAAGTTGGACATTTTGGTAATTTCCTTGTTCGGGGAAATATTGGGGTGTATAGAAATTGGCGTTATTCTTTTGTAAATTAAGATGAACCGGTGACACTTCGGTTGCTTGTTGACGAAGAAATGACCTTGATGGGGAGGGAGACATTGGTTCGGGCGAAGATTGCCACTCTGCAGACCCGTTAGTTAATGGTGGTGGAGATGGAGGAGGTAAATATGTTGGATTAAAATTATTTTTCATACTCAGCTGTTGTCTTTCTAGCTGCTGTTGTTGCTTTTGTATTTCATAGAATTGAGCCTTTAGCTGTTCCTCCTGTTGTTTCAACCTCTGTTGTTGTAATTGGTTTTCTGTGAGGAGTTTCTTTTGTAGCATCATTGGCTCTTGGATTGGAATGGGAATGTACTTTATCTCTGATTCTTTGGTGTTGCTTTCCTCTTGGAGTAATGGCTCAATGTCATCAACATACTCAGCACCATTCTTGGGTTGATTATTTATCTGTTGTAGGTATTGAGCCGAATAAGTTTGTCCCATTGGCTGGTCGTTTTTTCTTACTCTAGTTGGAGATGGAGATGGAGATGGGGGGAACTTATATGCTCTTGGGTTTTCATTGGTGACGTAATAGTCTTCCTGTCTTGATCTTCTAGCAGTTGGTTGTTGTTTTGGTGGCTCGTTTAACATTTGTTTCTTGGGTGATGGTGTTGCTGCAGGATTTTTAACAGGAGACAGTTGATCTAAATTATTTAACTGTTTATTTTCTTCTGCGAACTCGTCTTCTTCGAGTAATAAGATAGGTTTTGGTTCTTCCCCATAACTGAAATTCAGGTCATTGGGATGGAATTCTCCAGGATTGTGAATAAAAGCAGACATCAAATCACCAGGAGCAACCGACTTGCCAAAATCAACCGATTTTCCTGACTTGTATAAGTCAGTGGTTATACCATTAATTGAGAGCTCACGATTATGTTCGATGAACCCAAAAATAGCAGTACCACTTTGTTGTCTACTATGTTTTGCCTTGTGGTTACCAGTATGGTTGTCCTTTAACACATAACCTGAAGGGACATCCAAATCTTGCAACCCAGCTAAGGTTTCATTGAATAGGTAATCAACTTCATTATTATCTTGGAAATATTCTTCAAAGTTTTCGTGTGGCATTGGAATCGGCCTGGAAGTGATTTCGTCCAAAAGATCGAATTTATCCATCGTTGCTTTCCACCTTTTAGTTATCCTTTCCTTGAATCCTGTAATGATAAGTTAAAGTTGAAATTAGATCTCGTTGTGATAAGAACTGGTCGTAAAAACTTTAAGGAAAGAAAGCTTGATTTATCAAATGATTAAAATTTTGTGGAAGCAAAAAGATTCTGGAAAATAATCTAGGAAAAGGACAAAAGTATGATTACACTATGGGATCATTGCAAACATATTGATGTAGTTCAATACATACATAAAATTTCACAACCGCATTGCCTAATTAGGAAATAGGTAAACATTGCCAAGTTTATACGGGATTGACTAAAGCAAGTGAATTCCCACGGCAAAAAAAAATATTGTCAAATCTCAATTTAGGCCCAATTAGGCAGGTGGGCCATGAGATACAAATACAGGAAACAGTCAAAAATAGTCGAGACAAGAATTTTGCAGTTTACAACCGCTAAGGTCCCAATTTACTACTGACACTTTTGACTTGACGCATGTCTAATCCACAAAACACGAGATCCATCACTACAGGACATGACAGGGCATGTAAGCTGTCAAACAATGCAAATCGATGTAATATAAATATAAAGAGGAGATAAAAACTTGTTCTTTTAAAAGATTACTGTTATTACCGTAATGTACATATATCTAAGATATCAGTTTACTCTAATAACAACATTTTTCTTGGGTCTTCGATTAATTCCTTCACGGTCTTCAAGAAAGTAACAGCTTCACGACCATCCAAGACTCTGTGATCATAAGTTAAAGCCAAGTACATCATTGGTCTAGAAACAATTTGACCGTTGACGGTAACTGGTCTTTGCTTGACACCATGTAAACCTAAAACTGCAGTTTGAGGCATGTTGATAATTGGAGTACCATATAAGGAACCGAAAACACCACCGTTAGAAATAGTGAAAGTACCACCGGTCATGTCTTCAATGGTTAACTTACCATCTCTAGCCTTCTTACCCAAGTTGGAGATTTCACGTTCAATACCCAAGATAGATAAGGATTCAGCGTTTCTAAGAACTGGAGTAACCAAACCCTTTGGAGTAGCAACAGCAATAGAAATATCGGTGTAGTCTCTGAAAACTAAGGTATCGTTGTTTTCAATGGCAGCGTTAACAGCTGGGATTTCCTTGGCAGCTAAACAAGAAGCCTTGGCGAAAGCACCCATGAAACCTAACTTGGTACCAGTCTTTTCAAGGAATTCATCTTTGTATAATTTTCTCATTTCCATCAAGTTGGACATATCGACTTCATTGAAGGTAGTTAACGAAGCAGCAGTGTTTTGGGATTCCTTAAGACGTTCAGCAATTCTTAATCTCATTCTGTTCATCTTGACTCTTTCTTCGTTTCTAGAGAAGTTGGTAAAAGTAGCACCGGACTTGGCTTCAGCGGCCTTTGGTTCTTCCTTCTTTGGAGCTGGAGCTTCCTTCTTTGGAGCAGCTGGAGCAGCGGCTGGAGTGGCGGCTGGGGCAGCAGCAGAAGCGGCTGGAGCAGCAGATTCAGCTGGCTTGGCCTCTTCCTTTGGAGCAGCTGGAGCAGCAGCAGCAGCACCACCTTCTGGGGCAGCACCTTCTTCAATGGTAGCAAGGGCTTGTCCAACTTCAACAGTAGATTCAAGTTCAACCAAGAATTCAGTGATAGTACCAGCAACTGGAGCATTTACTTCAACATCAATCTTATCGGTTTCAATGGTGGCAATTTGTTCATCTTGATTCACATATTCACCAACTTCTTTATTGAATGCAGTTAAAGTACCTTCAGTGATGGATTCAGCCATATCTGGGACCTTGACGGTGGTAGAAGCAAAACGAGAGAATGACAAGTTCATTGGTCTATCAAAAGCTCTATTTGAGGATTGGATGTGCATCGATCTGATGGCAACAGCATTGGTAACCTTTAACCCGGAGACAGCCAAAGGTCTTGGAACACGTTTTAATGATGATTTAATAGTTCTTGACAACATTGTGTTTTAATATATGTGTGTAAAGTATGGAATGAACCAGATTGAAATGTATAAAAACACTGGATGCCTTTTTCTAGAAAGAAACTAGGTGGTGTTGTGAAGTTTCACTTGAAGGTGCCGGATTTCCATCGTTACAAATTTTATCCCGCATGGAAAAAAAAAGAGACAAAACCGACTGGGCCGTTTCAAACATTCCGGTCGCTTGGCGCGTTCATTCTCCCCCAAGTTTTTTCCCAGCAAATTGTCTCCAGCTAAAGTGATGAGGGTTTTTTTCTCAATCTTTATTGGTTAACAAACCCCGGAGAATGTCGGTCGGAGCATTTGTGCGCCGCATAAATTACCCCGAATATTGGAAAATATACCTCATCGCCTTACAAACTTTAAGTTGCTCTACCTATACGATTTTATTGGATCACCAGGGTGCAAAAAAAAATGTCTCGACTCCGCCACCGGTTTTATTTGCAGCTAGTTATTGTTGGGTTTTTAGGTGGAGGGGAAGGGAACAGTTGTTTCTGTGCTCCTTCATTGCAGCTTGTTCTCTATATTGTAATAATTAATCCATTCTTCGGGTTGCAATAACAACTGTAGAATACAAGGATAAAATTGACGGTTACTTCTTAGTCTAACCACAACAACAAGAAGTAATTTTGGTTGTAGAACCGTCTAGCTAGTTTATATAAATAGGTTTAAAGCATGCAACTACAAGCAAAATAATCCCGGGGTTGAATTTTCTGTCTGAAAACCTGCATATATATGTTAGATTTGTTACAACAGCTTTTGATCTCATACTTGGCCCGTTGATTATTCATCTAACCGTCTAATATCAGTTTCTATTCTTTTTCTCTAAACGGGTAACAAAGCTTCGAGTAAATTAGCTCGTCTTGACCAAGCAAAACTTCCCCCACATAAAAAATATCGCCCAAAGTCTGACTTTTTTCCACACACCATAAAAGTTCAACCTGGCCTATATCAACATAAACCAATAGGTACAAAATGCAAAAAAATAATGAAGGATGCGAGGTTCGAACTCGCGCGGACACTGTCCAGTAGATCTTAAGTCTACCGCCTTAGACCACTCGGCCAACCCTCCAATTTGTGTTCAAAAATAATTCCGAGTTTTGTGAAACCATATACAATTAGAAAAATTTTTATTCTAGGTTTGATTGGGGATTGGCTGAAACTTACATATCATGATATGGAAAGAATATAACTATGTCTATTCTATCTATCACTTATTATGAGTAAACTTTATTTATACGTCTTGAGACTTTCTCATGTCATACTAATCTTTATTAAAATTCTCACAAATATTGACCAAATTTGTTGCAAAACCAACACTACTTTTTTTGCAACCTGTGATACTTGATTAATAAACTCTTTTCACCAACCGAGATTCAGGAGAGTAGTTCTAAGATTAGAAAAATAGCAGATATATACCATCTTTTGAATGTCTCCACCCAAAGAGGTGACTGTTATTGCAAACTGAAAATATTTGACGTATTTTTTTTTTTCTTGAAAAATCCGTCTTCATTTTATTGATTAGGGTCAAAAACAGACCAACAAACTTTCCCTTCACAATATTGTTGAAAATATATCATTTTAGTTGATTTAAGTGGAGAGATATATGTACCACAATGAATGTAGGCAACAGTGTTCAAATTATATCTTATTTGTGCAGTGATCAGATGTTGCAAAGAATTCGAAAATTTTGCAATCATAAAAAATATACCAACAATATTTCATTCTAATCCATAAAACAAAGATTATTAACATCTATTGTATAAATCATTATTAATTAAGAAGAAACATATAGCTTATGGTAAATAAAAAAATAAAAAAAAAGAAAGCCCGACGCGGGGGTCGAACCCGCAACCTTTTGATACCTCTTAAGTTTTTAATTCTTAAAAGTCAAACGCTCTAGCCATTGAGCTAGCCAGGCCAAATTCTGGGGGTTTGTTAGAGGAATGAACTCTTTAAGTCTTGCACATGAACCTTTGGATCTGTGTGAAGTTAAAGATGGAAACGTGTAAAGTAATCACACAGGATCTCGGGTTTCCCTTTCACCTTGTTCACCTAATACGAATGACATCTTTCCCCACTTATGGAATTGGGATAATGTAGATTTGGTGACGTATCGGAGCCTTATGCAGAGGAATGTAACATTATGCAGAATCATACCGTACACCTCAATGATATCGCAGATACGTGACGAATAAAGTATTAGAGTGTCATTAACTCGCAAGGTGGTTAGGAAGGCTATGGATGTGAGGCAAGACGAGAAAAAGAATATTTAAATGGTTGGATTTTCCCAGAAAGTCACTTTGGATTTGTAGAAGTGAGTTTTAACTTAACTTAACTTAACTTCGTTTTAGTTTACGAATAGATAAGAGAGACTCGTCGTAATTCTTTTACAATATTTCGTATTATAAACTATACCTATATCAAGGACCTATAGGAGAATCTAATAGGGTTGTTCTTACCATTTTATAACATACTAATGCAAGATTTTGATTTCTTGAAAGAAGAAAATGTGGAATTAGTCACTTGATTTAAATATGAAGATGCTAAAAGAAGTATCATATCCTTTGAAAAGATTCCGAAAACACTCACCTTGAGCACCAGTTTCAATTTAAAATCATTTTTTAAAGAAAAGTTTAGAAATAGTGAAACAAACTTGGCTACAATAATGTAATAGATATTCCTAGATGGTGACTTCTAATTTGATAGGCTTACTTTCAAGAACAAGAAAAATCAATAATAAAAAGGATTAGAGGGAAGAATTAGAATTCGAGGATATTAGTGTGTACAATTCAAGACACTAAAAATACGTAAAAAAAATTGGATTTTTTTGAAGGATATTTAAAGAATGCAACTATATTTCACAGATTAATATCTCTCAAACACTAACATTACACACACACACACATTTAAATATTTCAATGAAAAGACACCTCTACTTAACCCCTGTGTTAATTGGATAACATGAAAAGCTTCGAGATACTAACATTTACCATGAATTCTATGGCAACTCTACTAGTTTATTTTCGAGCCGAGCTCATATTAAGTCCACTCAAATCACGTGGAGAACATGGTAGCGATTTCACCTCTGAGTACAAACATTGACTGCGAAAATCTTTGTGCAATCGCAAAAATTTGTCTTTTTATCTTTTTAATTTGTACACTTATTTCTTTCTGAAAATTACCGATAAGTTTCCAATTACTTGTTTATTTGTTTTAATAGAAGTGATTGATTATGAAATCTTATCATTTCGACCTCTATGGTCAACCATTTGGTTTCCATAGACTGAAATTCTTTGGTAAGAAGGATTTTGAATCACCAATACTTGAAGCCATTATTACAAAATTAGATGTATCTTCTGATAAAAACTCACCATTTGTTAACACTGACACTACCCAAAGTTTACATAATACTGAAAAAACTGCCACTGTTGAAACTACTACTGCTGTTGGTACTATTGTTGTTGCTGCTGAAGGATCTGACGCTACAGTTAAACAATCTAAGCGTTTAAGATTCAAGAAATGGTTAGAAAAGGCCAAATCCAAAGGTTTTATTGTTGATTTTTCAAAGATTGCTGCTGTTGATTCTAGTTCCAATTCAAATTTAGATGATTATGTTTGTTCCTCTAATGACACAAACACAATTAAAGCTGCTTCCGATAATACCCCAAATACAACTACCGCTGCTACTAATTCAAGTAAACTTACTGATACTACCCCCAAGATTATCACTGTTACTACTCCATCTATATCTGTTACTCGTCCTCCTTTGGTTTCTGGCTCCAAGCGTGAAAAAGTGAAAGGATGGTTTACAAAGATCATCTATGGGAATTTACAAACTGATAGTGAAAATGTTGCCTTAAAGGAACTGGTAGTTGATGATAAAGATGCAAATGATGAAGTTATCTTTGTTGATTACTTTACTTGTTCCTCAACTGATTTGAAAGATGATCATTTTAAAACTGTTAGTCCTCCAGAAATCCATATTTCCAAACGTCATCAATTAAAACAATGGTTTAAAGGTTTCTTCATCTACCCACAAGCTTCCAGTGATGATCAAAATATCCCAGACCCTGATTTAGTTGATGAACATGAAAATGTTGATTTCAAGTCTTTTGATTCTATTTTCCTTCATGGACCCCCATCTTCTTGTTCAAATGACGATGCAAACTCTTTTAAGGTTAAGCCATCTTTCCCCCTGATTTTTTATACCGCTGTTACGGAATCTGCACCTTTGCTTTTTCAAAGATTGAAGGATTGGTTCATCAGATTAGTGTTTGGAAAAGGTAAATCCCGTGATGTGGATTCTACGGAAGACAATGATTATGCTGATAAGGATTCTGATGATGTTGACCTTGGTGTCGAATCTGAAATCTCACTTGATGTTCAAGGACAGACCGTACTTGAAGATAATGGTGACATTACTCCAAACAATGACAATACTAATGATAATATTTCCCCTGATGCTGAAACTGAGGATGATGATTTTGAAGAAATATGGGTGTATTGCTTCGAACGTACTCTCCCGTATAAAAAGCGAGTTCCTAAACGCAAATGAAGGGGAAATTATAAACCAAATCAAAAACTTGAACATTTAATGTTTATTACTTAATTGAATTACAAAGACAAGTTTAAGCAATTAGAAACTTATGGACAGACCAATTCTTCGTTTCCAAGAAGGATCTAATAACATTGAAATTGAACCCATAATGGTTCTATTATTACATTTAACCCAATTGAAATTGACAAATATCCACACATGATTAAAGGTTTGAATGAATTCGTACCTATTCCGAGGCCCCATTTAGTTCCGACTAAATCGCCTTCACTTCGTTGTCAGATACTTCCACACTGACTTTGAATGAATTTGTACCCGATTTCAAAGAAATCCTTAAGTGCAATATTATCAAATATTGCCTAATTAAATGTGGTTAAAACGAATGAATACGTACATATTTTGAGGTTCCATTTAGTTCCAAATACAAAGCTAAATCCCCTTCACTTCTTCTTCAGATATTCCATCCTGATTTTGAATGAATCTGTACTTATTCCGAGGAATTTGTGAATTTTATCCCTAAACTTTCAAACGTTAAAGTTCAATCACCTAAGTTAATCGTGGTGAAATTGTGAATGAATTCGTACCTGCTCCGAGGTCCGTTTAGTTTCTAGCTAAACCCCTTCAACTTCATGGTCAGAAAAAAAAATCTCCTGATTATGAACGAGTTTGTACCTATTTCCATATGAAAGTTTGAGATACTACACAATCCTTAAATTCATTGTTAAATTTCAATATGGTTAATTGTTTCCGTTGTAATATTGTTTTCAATGCTCATACTAGTATTTATTTCCAGTAATAAGTTATAATTGTCTTACATTTTGTTTTTACAATGACAAATTATGTCCTTGTTTGATTTGGTATTTTCCTTCTATTTGTTGGTGTGATGATATGTTTTCGTTTTGGTATTTGATGTTCGGCTTCATTCTGGTTGTTTGGTCTCGGTATCTTTGGTCATTTTTGCTATTTTTGGTATATGGTAGTTACAGTTTTTAAATTTGATAAATTCTCTAAATGTAACTGTAGTTGCGCCTGACTCATGAGCGAATTGTATTGTAATGAAATTCCTTTTAGTGATTGAAAACGTTCCAAGAAGAAGATCAACTTATTACTGCTTGCATATTGCTGACTATAGCAAGTAGAAACATCGGACCGGTGCTACCAGGTTACGTGATGTTAAGCTTGGCTTTTATTAAAATAACCAGATCCACATGGCAAACTAATAGCGGCGATCAAAAAGATATGACGCAACATGTTGCAAGCTCCATGAATTAATAATCAATTTTAAGTTTTTGCCATCAAATCTACCGATATCGGTTGTATTTGCCATAGATCTGACCACGTGACGTATTTTATTCCGATCCCAGTCCCGGGACAAGTAGGAACTAGTTGTCAATGACTGTCTGGTCCATAAAATAAAGCTAAATATATAAATGGTCAGTGATTACACGATCAGATCATTCATTATGTCATGTATGGACCCTACCCTTCCCCGAGCACATATGCTCTGACTAATCTGAGCAATCTAAGACATTCCAAAACATTCGACAATATTTTTTTGCAGTCACGAATATCTTGGACAGCACTTGTCCTGCTACGATCACTCCACACACGGTTGCAAAAGAAACGTAGATATCCGAAGTTTCCAGTTGATCGTGACTATAATTATTTTAGATGTGTTCTAGAATAGAGTTATTTTACCGGAGATTAACCATTTCTCGCAAGTTAACTTCCGAAATATTATAACCCAGATTATATTATTTGAAATGCAACTAAAACGTGAATGACTCTGTATATTTCTCCGGAGATAACACGTATGTGTTATCTCCACGGTAGGTCTCTAATCATTAGTGATGGTATACGATCACTCTCCCCCGGCAAATCTTCAAGATCTTATATAGTGTTATGGGGGACAGGGTCGTGGCTCGTATAAAAAAAAATAATTGCCGCATATAAAAAACCTCCCGGATTTCACATCTCGGAAAACAGTTGTGCACATTTCGAACGCCATTGCGAGAATTTGACATTTAAATTCCAAATTTTCATTTGTTGAAACAAGCACTTGTTTGCATACACACACAATAATTCAATTGACAAATGTTGAGAACAACTAACTTTAAACCTGTCACTAGCAAATTCTCCCAATTTGTTAGATATGCCTCTACCAAATACGACGTTGTTGTTGTTGGTGGTGGACCAGGTGGATATATTGCTGCAATTAAGGCTGCCCAATTAGGATACAACACCGCTTGTATTGAAAAGAGAGGTGCTTTAGGTGGTACCTGTTTGAACGTTGGTTGTATTCCATCCAAATCCTTGTTGAACAATTCCCACTTATACCATCAAGTTAAGCACGAAGCTGGAATTAGAGGTATCTCCATCAACGGTGACATCTCCGTTGATTTCCCAGGATTAATGAGTGCTAAGGAAAAAGCCGTTAAGCAATTGACCGGTGGTATTGAAATGTTATTCAAGAAGAACAAGGTTACCTACTTGAAGGGTGAAGGTTCTTTTGTTAACGAAAAGACCTTAGCTGTTAAGCCAATTGACGGTTCTGAAACCCACGAAGTTGAAGCCGATCACATCATTGTTGCTACTGGTTCCGAACCAACTCCATTCCCAGGTATTGAAATCGACGAAGAAAGAATCGTCACCAACACCGGTATTTTAGCCTTGAAGGAAATTCCAAAGAGATTGACCATCATTGGTGGTGGTATCATTGGTTTAGAAATGGCCTCTGTTTACTCCAGAATCGGTTCCGAAGTTACCGTCATTGAATTCCAATCTGCTTTAGGTTCAGGTATGGATGGTGAAGTTGCCAAGAATGTTCAAAAGTTCTTGGGTAAGCAAGGATTAAACTTCAAGTTGGGTACCAAGGTCACCAAGGGTGTCAGAAACGGCGAAGTTGTCAACATCGAAGTTGAAGATGTCAAGTCTGGTAAGAAGGAAGAAATCGAATCTGATGTATTATTAGTTGCTATTGGTAGAAGACCATACACTGAAGGATTAAACATCGAAGCAGCAGGTTTGGAAGCTGACAACAAGGGTAGATTAATCATTGACGAACAATTCAGAACCAAGCACCCTCACATTAGAGTTATTGGTGATGTCACCTTTGGTCCTATGTTGGCCCACAAGGCTGAAGAAGAAGGTGTTGCCGCTGCTGAATATATCAAGCACGGTCACGGACATGTTAACTACGGTAACATTCCATCAGTTATGTACACTCACCCAGAAGTTGCTTGGGTTGGTCTTAACGAAGAACAATTAAAGGAACAAGGTATTAAATACAAGGTTGGTAAGTTCCCATTCATTGCCAACTCCAGAGCCAAGACCAACGTTGATACTGAAGGTTTTGTCAAGTTCTTGGCTGACGCTGAAACTCAAAGAGTTTTGGGTGTTCACATCATTGGTCCAAATGCCGGTGAAATGATTGCTGAAGCTGGTTTAGCTTTGGAATACGGTGCTTCCACTGAAGATATTGCTAGAACTTGTCATGCTCACCCAACCTTATCTGAAGCATTCAAGGAAGCTGCTTTAGCTACTTTTGACAAGCCATTAAACTTTTAAGTAGGTTAGTATAGTATCATTATTATTATAGTATATTTTTAGTCGTGCGAACTTGTACAAAAAAATGTCGTACCAAAAATTTTCAAAAAAAATTTCACTGAAAGTTAATAGTTAGTAGTAGTAGTAACATTATAAGAGTAAGGATATCATGGGGAACCCATTACAACACCACTTCGTTAAGCTGGTTAAGCTTGCCAGTCTGATTAATAAAAATCTATGCGCAAATGTTATTCGTCATGAATATATAGTTACAACCTTACCCAAGGCCAAAGCTGCCCAACCGATTATAGAATCATTCTTAACCAAATCATTAAACCAAATCAAGCAAAGCAAACAAAGCAAGGAAGCCGTTGAAGTGGAAGACATTAAAGAATTCAAATTTTTACATACACCCGACGTGGAGGAAATTGGATCCAAGATTATCAACGAATTAAGTTCAAGATATCCTACTAGAAAGAACGGGTTTACGAGACTTATTAGATTGGAAAGAAGATTAGGAGATGACAAAGCACCTATGGCCATTTTAGAATTGGTTGATTCCGAATACGAAATTAAGTTTTGGTACACAGCCAAGACAGTAGCCAGATTGGAATTGCAAGGTTTGGAATTGGACGATATCACCAGAGTTAATGTTGATACCATCACTTCCAACAGAGTTGAAGGTGAAACCAAGTTCCGCGAAGCCGTGGAATTATGTAAGAAGGAGTTCTTCAAATATGACCAAGAAACTGGTGAAGTTACTGATGAAGAAATTAAAGCCAACTTGAAGAACTTGCCAACCAATTTGGAATACTATGGTGGAGAATTAACAAACACTTTGCTTGCTTCTAAACAATATAATACCAAGGAAAGACCAGCCAAAGAAACCAAGGTGGAAATTCCACCATCTCCATTTTTAAACCAGTAGATAAACACATGTACATAGTCAATGCATAGCTGAGTAATAACGATACGAACAACATGTAGCACCACAACCGTCTGGTCCGACTAGGGGAGAGGGGGGGGGGGGTGTACTATATTAGATAATCAAGTGTTATTTCCTGCGGGATAAACGGTTGTCCCAATACACGGTTTGATTTAATTTTCGTGTGTGTATAAATATTAAATATTCAATGCGAGACAACCATCACCAAAACAACAGTCACTCTTTACACACTCCAATGTGGTTCTCCAAATCAAACTTCCCTACAGCTGGTAAAACAGCAATTATAATCGGTGCCTCTCAGGGAATTGGTGCTGATTTAGCCTTGAAATTGTACCAAAAGAACTGTTCAGTCATACTAGTTGCCCGGACAGAATCTAAACTAATCCAACAAATCACTAGAATCAAATCTTCCATTGGTGAGAATGAAAACGTCAAATTGTCATACTACACATGCGACGTTTCCAACTATGACAATTGTGTTGATCTTTGGCAGAAAGTCGTGAACGACGGGAATGACCCAGATATAATCTTTTGTTGTGCTGGGTCAAGTGTTCCTAAATTGTTCAATGATTTGACCAAACAAGATATCCAATCGGGTATAACTATAAATTACAACACTGCTATTAATACTATCCATACTGGGTTCAAGCAATTGTTGGAGAAGGAAAACAAACACCGTCATGTGATTTTGTTTAGTTCAGTGGTTAGTTTCTATCCATTTATCGGATACCTGCAATACGCACCTATGAAAGCGGCCATCCAATCCTTATCGATTGTCCTTCGTCAAGAATTGGCGCCATACAACTATAGAGTTTCATGTATATTCCCAGGGAACTTCCAAAGTGAAGGTTACGAACAAGAACAATTGACCAAACCGGAAATCACAAAGAAAATCGAAGGGTCAAGTCACGCCATACCAGGAGAAGAATGTGCAGATTTAATCATTGACCAATTGAGCAAAGGCTACGACACAGTGACTACAGATTTCATTGGTTGGTTACTTGGATGTTCCGTGTTGGGAGTCTTGCCTCGTCAATGGGGATTCTTTCAAATCATCGTCAGCTTCTTATTTTCAATATTTGCTCCGTTGGCTAATTGGTTTGTTAATAGAGATATACAAGATTCATTTGACAAGTCCAAGAAAGATTAAATATGTATTAGCTAGTTCTTATTTATATATGACAACACCTTCTTATCGAGATTGAGTCCTAAATCATACCAGTCAATAGAATAGATCCAATTCACAGCAGTTATAATCTCTTCGTTCCAAATATCTTTGCACGTCTCTTTGAAGTTACGGTTTGTAGTCAATATGCGTGAGTCTCTAGGGGTGTTGTCTTGTGGTATGGCCTCTTGGTTGACAATTCGTTGTGTGATTCTGTTGGATTGTCTCAACTGTTGAGAAATAAATTGTTGGTTTTTGTGAATGTATTCAGTAGTGTAATATGTAAATACAGAGGTTAATAAAACCCCTCCTAAAAAGCCATGAATTCTACCTCCCATATTGCCGTATTGTATCGTCTGGTTAATTGTAACAAATAGTATTGGGTAGAAAAAATCAACGAAAAAATTGAGGAACGAAATATCACCAACCACTTGGTAGCACACAGAGCTCATTTGGTAGTGAAAAGCTAGATCTAAACAGATACAAGTAAGATTTATTAAACCACTAAACATAACTGAGAACTAGCAGATCCTTATTCAAGCACCCGTATTACCAATCTAAACAAGAAAGAAAAAAAACAGAGCGGATAAACCATTAACCAAAATAATATACACCAGATGAAGTTACATTACATCAAATCTATGAGACTTAAGATCTCAAAGTATAATCTCGCAACCATTCATACCAAGTAGAACTTTCGGGTTTATCAGTAGAGGTAGTGCTAGGAATCCCTTTTGGTATGATACTTTCCTCATCATCTAGCCCAAAATTGAATTCAATAACTTCACTTGAATCAACCGAATTAGAAGAGCCTGACCGAACCTTATAACCGTTAAACAACCAAGCCTTTAACTTTGATCTCGTAGAGAGAGGAATTTCATTCATTGTGTTTGATTGGTCTTCACAATAATCTTTATTTGTTAAATTAAATGGGCAACCATCAATATCAAGTTCATGCATGGGAAAACCTCTAAGTGTAGAAGAATATGTTTGGTATTCACCAAAAGATTTTAACCACATCTTCCACGTCATATGCTTGGAGTCCGTAGTTGAAATAGGTGTAGTAGCAACGGTACTTTCATTACCAGAAGAAGAATTAGTGGAATTTATCGTAGCATCAGTTGAATTCGAGTTAAACCCAGGACTTGTTTCTTTGACAACAAAATTGGACTCATCACCATATGTGAAGCTGAAATGTGTTTCAGTTTCACTACTATCATCCTTATCAACAACATCTATAAGTTTCAATTCCAACTCATCCAATCTATCCATCAACACCTTACAATCAGCAAGAGAAGTTTTCTTCAAACTTTTTATCAAATCCAATTTATACTTGTTAAAAAGTTGTTCATAGTCCTCCTGTTCAAATTCAAACTCTTCCACATCTTCACTGGTAGCACCGGGGCCCGTATATCGTTTATAATGATTGTGCTGCATGATTATAGACTTGATCAGTTAATTTGTGATTTCACAAAAACAAAAGGAAACATGAGTATATATTTTTAACCGCTGAAATTTTTCACTTGGTTATAGATTTCGCAGTCAATAGTTTACCATGTTATACACGCTACCAAATTCTCAAACCCTTTGACTCTAGTATTCTGAGTTAGAAGTTAGCATGACATTATATTTCCACTACTCCCAGGGGTCAAATTCAGCTGCAGTTACAGCTTAGGCTTGTTAAAACTTAAAATCATACACAACTGGTAGCACCCAAACCTGTATTTGAATTATACGTTGGAAGGCTTGCATCTAGAGCTGTTCTAACGCAAGCCAGACTACGTAAGAAGCTAGCCAAACCAAGAGACAAAGACACAGACGGTAGCATAAAGGAGATTGTAGAACAGTACAGTATCGACAGTAATATATTTATATACAAGTTATAATAATTTAATCTTCTTCTTGCTCGTTTTCAACCACCTTCAAGACATTTTCAATAGCATTACGCAAGAAAGGCAAGACTTGAATCTTTTGCAATTTGACGGATTGTCCTGATTCTCTCAATGCCTTAACCTCTTCAATAGCATCAGCAGTGTCGTTCAACAAGAATGGTAATTCCTCCATGACTCCGTTAAGTGGGGCAAACTGTAAGTCTGGGTTAAGTTTGAGATATCTTTGTAATTTTATGTCGGCGATGTAGCTCAACCCTTGGGCAAACTTGACATTTATGTCGTGGTCTATGTCGAAATCTTGAATGTCTGGTTTGATACCGAAGAAAGCGTATTGTAATCTGATCAACTTGTCAAAATAGTCGTTGGATTCCGATTCTTCGCAGTTTATAAATCTTTGTTTGAATTCAGACAAGTACAGGTCTTGTTGTTCTTGTAATAATTGGGCACGTTCGTAGGCAACCTGTCTTTCTAACAAGGTGTTCTTGACTCTCTTTTGCACCTTGACTAATTTCTCGTCAAGTTCAATGAACTTGGAAGTATCGGCATAAACGGCTTCACCTAATCTAACTTCTCTGGCGAGGATGTTTCTTTCCTTTAAAACCAAGTACCAGATCTTGTGCAAGTCGTCGAAGGACTTTCTTCGTAATTCGTTCATGGTCCATTCTCTAGATTCCAAGTCTAATTGTTCTGATTCACGGAGAGCCGTGGTTTTGTCAGGGAAGAATTGCCATAATGGATGGTTGGGGTTGACATCGAAGTTTTGGTGGGTAGGCACGATGGGTGCTCTTAATTTGATTTCGCCGGTGAATTTGAGTTTCCTGGCCACAGCTTGAGCTGGAGCTGCCGAACTAAGACTTCTTCTTATGATGTTCATGTTAGTTGCGTTGTTGTAGTACTGGCTGTCTGTGAAAATTTATTCTTGAAAAATTTTTTATTGCGACAAAATGAAACAAAAATGAGTTTGTTTTTCGTTGGACCGTATCACCACCACCACCACGTACCATTAGAGCAAAGGAGTATCATCATGTCCACAAAAGAAGAGCCATTAGACCTCATTAGGTTCCATTTAGATGAATTCGTTCTAATCAAATTGAGAGGAGCACGAGAAATCAAGGGGAAATTACAAGGATACGACTCCCATTGTAATATGGTGTTGAGTGAAGCTGAAGAATACATTTATAACGACAGTAATGACGACGTAGAAACAAAGAAGACAGAGATGGTGTTTGTCAGAGGTGACTCAGTTATTTTGATAAGTCCTATATAGTACTATCTAATGCATGTTTAATCAATTCAATCTTGTTGGCATTGTTGTTCCAACTAGATTCAAGGGCGGCCCCCTCTTGTTGCAATGTAGTTATTTGGTCCAAAGTCGACTCGATGAGCTGTTCATAATCATCAACAGTCATTTCATGGGTGAATTCTCGCAAGTTAGATTTGTTTAATCGATACAAGAATTCCGTGTCGGAATACTTTTCAAATATTTTATAGCTAGTTACATCAATGTCAATGTCAACTTCACTAACCAAACTATTCAACTTCTCTTTGGTGACAATCAACGAGGTATAATCTATCGATCTATCGTCTTGCTCTTTTAGCATTCTATTTGAAATGTATCTTGTCTTTGTCAGGTCAATATTCTGTTCAAAGCTGTTAACCAATGTCTGAATCTTGCTGAGAATTGGTTGCTGAATGGTACGAATATTGTTAATTCGTTCTTGAAGTAGCGTTTCCTTCTCCAATAGCTGTTCATATTGGTAATTTATATCATCTGCATGCGCTACAGGCTTGATCAGGAGTATATTGGACAACTCTTGCAAGTGTAGCTGATATATATGTCCTATTTTGTCAAGTTCAACCTTGAGCTGATGCACTTGGAGCAAAGTGCTGTCTTTAGACAAGCTGTATATCTCCTGTCTCAACTTTAGGTATTGGCTGATTGTCTTGTCATAAAACTTGACATGATTTGTCACTGATTCCTCAATCAACTTCAACTGTTTAGTATTAACGAACGTCATATCTGCTGGTGTTGTTGTCTAACAACCAACATATAAATTCTGGTTAAAAAAAAAAATAAACTAAACTTGACAACAAGTTTGATTCACTCCAAAAGACCATGTCGGATATCGATGCAAAGATTTACATATCAACAGTTGAAATACTTGCTTCTGGCGGAAACCTAGTCAATCACTTCAAATCGATTGCTGGTGTTGTAAACAAAGACTTTCAATATACAAATGTCCACAATGTATTGAACTTGCTATTGATCTACACCTACCCCAACACAATCAACTTACAACTTATACCAAAACTAGCACGACTCGTACTCACGCAAGCCAAGCCAATTGACATCGAAGAGTTTGCTAATACATTGCCGACTTCTGTGTCACAAGAAGTGTTGGTTCAAACAGCAAACGATTTATTGCTTGATACTACCAACCAAGTAAATGCCCTAGGATTCACAGAGCACACCCTCCTTCTGTTTGTTCAAAGCAAGACATTACATTTATCAAAGTATATACCCATTGCGGAAATATCTCCATTGTTTAACTTTAGCACTCCCGAGATTGACCAATGGCACAAGGGAATTATGCAAGTGTTTGAATATTATTCCAAATATGACAAGTCATGTACACTTGAACAGTTTCTTAAATTGGACTCCCTTGAAGAAAGGTTTAATGTGTTGATCACTCCGTTGAACAGTAATATCGAGCAATATACGAACCATGTTCTATTACCATTGTGTAATTACTATCAAGATCTCACTCCATTAAAGTACTATATGTTTAGTGATTTGACTGTCGGATTAGCAAAGTATAAGCGGTGGTTCACTATCATCAAGTCAATTGTTCATTCTGAGTTCACCCTGGATGATTATAGGGAGATAATTGAGTGGTATATCATTAGTTGTTACTATTATGCCCATAAAGAAGATAGCCTACCTTCGATTGAAATTATCAACATTTATGATGTGATTTATGACACGTTATCATTGTTTGACCAACCAGTAAGTGTTTCCGACTTGTCATGTGCTGATTTCATAGGCTGTGACATAGACATTCCCCAACAACTATCCACTGATTCCTTCAAGAAAGTTGTATCCACCTGTCAAAACTTGTTCCCGATTACCAAGCTCACCATTGTGAAATATTTACAATACAATCAATCAGTCAATAATAAAGATATTACCAAGCTTATCAGCACGCTTAACCACACCAACTATCACCAGTTGATGCCGGCTATAACTGCCTTGAAGCTGCAGTTCAACTTGGATCATGGTTTGATTAACAAGTTGATTATCGAACGACTTCTTGCCTCTAACTTGTTTGACGAGGTCAAAGAATATCAGAGCGAATTATCCAGTGATGAATTCTTCTCGTTGGTAATTGACAAATTCTGGACTTCATTTAATTCAGCCACTAACTTAAACGACAAGATTGGTCATTTACACGAATCGAAACAATGCCTTGACTTGAGCGATAGTTTACAACTCAATGAAGAGAACCACGACTTGATTGTCCGATTAAAGCACTTGTTCAAAGCCATGACAAACCTCAAGAACTTCAAGATTGTGGTTGACAAAAGCAAGCCGTTCACACCTGGCCAATTACTCAGTTTCAAAGACGACTTAATTGGACTTATTACTGTGATTCTCCAACAAAACCCCAAGTCATACCTTGCATTCGAGAAGTTGTTCAAAATAATCAACGACCTCGCACTTTATTTCCAAGCAGAAGGCGATTTCTTCAATAAGGTGAAGATCGCTTGTATTGAGTCCAGTCTTATCGACGACAATTTCGAATACGCATATACTCACACCAAGCAATTGTTTACTGTAAACGTTGATGAATTGTGGATTATATTTTACCAAGTGGGCAAGTACATTTCTCCAAATTGGACAGAGCCGAATATAAATGTATTGGTTAAACAACGGGAAATTCTTTCTTTGACATTGAAACATATCTCGGAGAATAACAAGATAATATTGGATCAGTGGGAGAAGGTAAACTCCCAGATTGAAGAATATAGTGAACAAGTGTTGAATGTTAGTGAGAGCAAAGAGGCCAGTAGCGATGATATTGTTGAGAATATTAGTACGGATAAGATTTCCAATTTGTTGGTTTCTGGGTTAGGATGGGCTATTGGAGCTCATCACAGATGAGTCAGCTACGACATTTCCTTCAAGGAGTTTAACCTGGAAGATAAATAGGAATATGCATTAATCCATAGAGTACATCGAAAGTAATATTATGTAGCAGCACTGAATTTCCTACGACAATACAATCAATTGAACAACGACAAGATAACCCCTCCCCCTCCTTCCCCATAGATACAGGCGTTCTATGGTCAATCAACCTAGAATCGTGAAATAATTTGACTGTATTTGGTCAAACTTGGCAACCATTTCATGATATTCAACTGTGTCTCAAAAAACATAAACAAGAAAAAAACGCCTTCTTTAACTTTATCACCAACGCTTCGTCTAAGACACGTCCAAGAAATCACCTGATAGAAGATTATAGATACTTACATAGGAATTCCCATCCTTCCTTATGTTTAATAGATTGTTTCTTATCCCCAGGAATCCACTATTTATACAGTATAAAACCATAACTAGTTCGAGTTCCACTTACATGACACGCGTTACTGATGAATTACTTTACGGGATTAATTTTGACGATTCGTTTGGTCTGAGCGTAGACATCATAGAACCAGAGGACAAGTTAGTATTTGCTACCAAAGACAGCAATTCGTTCTCTGATGATTCGTTTGTATTTAGTGAGTCTGATAGTGTTGTTTTGGAAGCTGTCAGGCAGCAGAGCAAGCTAACGTCAACCAGCGAACAAAGTGCCAAGAGACAGGCGTCGCCTTTAAAGAATACCCCGAAACTAATAAAACGTGAATCAACAGGGTCTAATCGTTCCGATAACACCATTTCGATGTCCGTAACTACCCCATCACCACCACCACCACCACCACCACCACTATCACAAAAAATATACGCCTCTCCCATACACACTGAATCATCCAAATCGAATCCCTATAGCACCACACTAGAGCATAAAAGTAACAATGGATATATTCATACAACTCCAGGAAGAGGATTCAATCCAGAGCCCATCACCACAAGTTCCGCAAAAGCACCAACCAAGGAATACATTAACACAACACCAGGGCGCGGGTTTGCCCCACCATCCTCATCACCTATAAAGGCAGAACGAACTTCTTCTTTCTCACCCATCAAACCAGGTCTACAAAGGAAAGAACTTCCTTTGTCTAGCTCCGGCTCATCAGTTATAGAAATCAAAACCAGACAATATTCCACCATCGCTCAATCCCCCGTTAAAACCCTCCGATATTCAATTATCCCCGAGAACAAACAATCTCCTAATCGTAAGTATTCTGCTACGGCAGTTCCACCACCCGAGGAAGAAGAAGAAGATTTGATCCACTATGTTCCTTTCGATGATGTCTATATCAATCATACCCCAATACTACCTCCAGAAGAAGAACATTTTTGGAATAGTATGGCTGTTCCTGAGGACGAAAAATCTTTCGACATAGCGGCTGAAATAGCCCAGGAGGAGTTTGCTAGAGCTCAAGCATTGGTTAAACCGAATGTCAAATTGAACGCTAAGCCTAAACCTAGAAACTATACTCTTCAACTCGCAACGCAAAAACCAAGTGAAGCAGAAGGAGAAAGCGATGCTAATGCTAAAATAGTCAAACCGTTAATGTTATCGCGAGAACAGGAAGAAATTTTGGAAAAAGTAATGCGTGGAGAGTCAATTTTCTATACTGGGTCTGCTGGAACGGGTAAATCCGTGCTTTTGCGAAGTATAATTAAGAGTTTAAACGGAAAATATCCAGGGAAAGTTGCCGTCACAGCATCCACAGGGTTGGCAGCCTGTAATATTGGAGGAACCACACTTCATCGATTTGCCGGGTTTGGATTAGGAAAAGGTAAACTTTCAAATTTATTGCGGAAAATCAGAGGTAAGGAAGCCCTGCTTAAAAGATGGCTTAATATTAAAGTATTGATTATTGATGAAATATCCATGATTGAAGCAGATTTGTTAGACAAGTTAAATACAATTGCCAAAAGATTACGGCGGAATAAACGACCATTTGGTGGTATTCAATTAGTCATGTGTGGTGATTTCCACCAATTGCCTCCCGTGGTTAAGCATACTGGTGATGACGGGAAACGGTTGGAAACACCACCCGAAGTGCGCTTTGCGTTTGAATGCGATGCCTGGAAGGAAGCCATTACCAGGCCATACATTCTCAAAGAAGTGTTTCGACAAAAGGGTGACCAGGTGTTTATTGACATGTTGAATGAAATGAGATGTGGGCAGATTTCACCCGAAACAACGGCGGAATTCAGAGCGTTACTGAGACCATTGAAGTGTCCCGAATGGATTGTGCCTACCGAGTTATTCGCCACGAGAAACGAAGTTGAAAAAGCCAATGACAGACGGTTGAACCAATTGCCGGGCAAACCCATTGAGTATGTGGCTAAAGATGGAGGTACGGTGACTGATCCCGATCAAAGACAGGTGTTATTAAACAATTTCTTGGCTCCCGCTTTGCTTAAACTTAAAAAGGATGCACAAGTTATATGTATCAAAAACTTTGATGATACCTTAGTCAATGGCTCACTTGGACAAGTTGTTGATTTCTTGGACAAAAATGCATATATGAAAGCTAAAGACGGGAAAGATCCCCCACTGAAGGATGATTCCGATTATATATTCTCGGGTATTCGTGATGGAACGCTTGAATTTTCTGGAGCCATAGGAGGGGGAGGAGGAGCAGGCGGTGGTGGTGGTGGTGGTGGTGCTGCTGCTGAAGAAGCAAACTCGGACAGGAAACGGAAAATGTCCCGGGTTTTTCATGATAACCCATCTGAGCAATCTGAGTTATGTCCCATTGTTAGGTTCCTCCTTCCTGATGGAATAAACACCAGAACAGTAGTGATTGAGCCGGAAAAGTGGACTATGGAAGATGATCAAGAAAATATCCTTGTTGTCCGAGAACAAATTCCATTAATGTTGGCGTGGTCGTTATCTATTCACAAATCACAGGGGCAAACATTGCAAAAGGTCAAAGTTGATTTGAAGAGGGTGTTTGAGACTGGGCAATCTTATGTTGCACTATCTAGAGCTGTATCAAGAGAAGGGTTGCAAGTATTGAACTTTGATCCTTCTCGCGTCAAATCTCATCCAAAGGTTCTTCAATTTTATAATACTTTAGAGAGTAGTGAACCCGAGAAGGTTACTGGGCAGAGCAAGTTAGGGTTCGCTGCTGTTAAACCTGAAGAACATGCTAATTTCAATCTCGAGCAACATACAAAGTATGCTCCTGCTGCTGCATAAAACATTAATTGTATACTATTTATGAATTTATTGAAATGCCTTCAACTATGTACATATGCTAGGACTACTCAATAAATCTATTTACTTCAATAACACTGGAAACATTGTTAAACGAAAACAATTGTCTAATACTCTCTTCATCTTTACTACTTAATCCAAAGATAATATTTGGTTGTTCTTGAGTAGCTAGTAATTTCCAAACAAACGAATAAAACAAATCACCGTATGGATCTTCAATTCCAGGAATCTTTTCATGATTTTCTGAAGATCCTGAAGTTAATGCAGTTTGATGGATTAAACTATCGATATCAGCAATTATCACGTTGTGTGTTTGAACATCTACACCGATGAATTGTTTGGCTGTCATCACTATGTTTTTGGTCACGCTTGTTGTGTTATATTCGGTATATGACTCGCCTAGTTGATTGACAAGCTGTTGGGTGTCTATATAAGTGGGGACAACAATTATGGCTGGTTCACTGTTGATCTCACTCAATCTTGCCATGATCTTAAAAATCAAATTGTTAAAGTGGCTTATAGACTTGGGCTTTCTTTTGTGAAGGTACTGTTTTGTGGTTGATTTTAATGACCTTCTAGATGCCAATTCAAGTAATTCTCTCACTTCATGAGACTGTGGAAGGTTGTGGACGAACTCGTACTCAATTAGCTCTTCCCCCTTGAGCATGGTAAAGTATCCCGTGAGTTTTTTAGAAGATAATGGGAATGTACCAGATGTTTTAAACCTTCTAGGTTTATAAACATCTTGATACTGGTACTCGTAGTTTAGTATATCACTGAATATGCCCACATAAGTATCATTTCTCGATTGGCGTTTAGCAAGTGATTTTTCGAGAGTTTCCACTTGTTCAAACTCCCCATTCAATTTAAGACTTTCGATTTCTTGTTTGAGTTTCTCATTTTGGTTCATGGTTATGATCAGTTTATGTACATGTTCTGGAGTCATTGTGAAACAAAACTGAATCTCTTGATTGTTGAGAAAGTCCAATTCCCACGATAACCGTTTGTACAATCCTGGATCGGCAAATGTTGGATCTTTAGCCATTACTAGCTTGGTATGATTCTTGGTGTTAGTTACGTCATGATTACGGTGATATTCATGCTCGACTAATTCCAATCGGGTCACTGTTTCTTTGTACAAAGTTCTTGCTTTCAATTGTTGAAGATTGTTGATTAGTAAGGTGAGATGATTATAGAAATGTCCATTGTTTTCTCGTTGTCCGATTAGCGAAATTCCGTTTATGTCAGTACACTTGAAGAATAAACTCAGGTTGTCGACTGCGAGGAACTTGACGGATGCTAAATCAGAACGCGACTCCTCATTGTCGTATATCTGTAGAAGTTTGTCCAAGGTAGTCACCAATACTTGAGGGTTACCAGTAGCAGAACTCACAGTGGCAGGTGCACTGTTGTGATACATGAATTGAACCAGTAAGGGCACTCTTTCAACTTCAAAAGGAGGAAAATCCTCGCCATTTGGCTCTTCAGTAAATGTAATAGTATCGGGAACACACTTTTCCGGCATGCCCTTAACCAATATTTCCGTGTAACTGTGATACTTTTCGACAATCTCATCAGTAGGCACAATAATAATAGAATCAACTGCATGTTTACTCATCGACTGCACACGCGGTATTCTCTTCAAACTAGTCTGTAAAGCATGTAGCAACACACTTGATGACTTACCAGTGTGCGGTTCAGACCGCAAGAGTAAGTTATCGCCTGCTCGTAATCTCGCCAACGCTATGCTTTGGATCTTAGTCGTTTGGATGTTCTTATGGGTGTTTGGTGCTAGCCATTGATTTATTTTGTTTTGAAAGTACGGAAGGATTCCGTATTTGGTGAATGGGTGTTCATTTGATAGTTTTCTACTTTTGGAGAATGTGCTTAGGAGTGGCCTCGTAGTGAACATGACTGATTCCTCTCTCCCCCCACACAGTTGTATTGTACTCATCGAGATTGAAAAAAAATCGAGCTACCAAATACCATCCGAATCTTCTTCTCTACATTCGTTGTTAAAATGGTAATCATAATGGTAATGGTGACGGTAATATATTATGCTACACAGAATTTCTTCTATTTAAAACCTTCTTGTCGTCTTCCACTTTCTCCTGCTTGACCAATCCAGCAATGGGCGGCATCTTCCCCTCATGTTCCCACTCCGTCAATAACCTATCGGCATAAACCAACCCCACCTGATAAATCTCTTCAAACTTGCCAAAATCTAACGTGGCATAATTATCAATGGGTGGTCTTAAGTAAACCACTCCAGGGGTACGCTTGGCACTCTCCAAAGCATTCACACTGGCGACATACGCCAACCTCTGTTGGATATCCATCATATTGGGAACATTGGGGTGGGTCGAGAATGGATTCCAACGGTTAAATAATACCCAGAAGCCCGAGAGGGTGTCTCCGTAATTCATGGGGGTTCTGTCATCAATTGAACCCACATCCACGGCAATGATATATTTAGCACCCTTCTTTTTCATCTCATTGACAGGTAGGTTGTCCAAGTATCCCCCATCTAAAAGCATGCTTCCATTGAAAGCAATTGGAGGGAGTAGTCCGGCCAAGGACATACTAGCACGAATGAACCGCCACAGGTATCCAGTTTCGTGGATCTCCATGGTGGAGTTCGTAATGTTGGTTGAGTTGCAGAAATATCTGATCCAAAAATCCTCAATCTCGGTGAACCCAAACACTTTCCAAATGCCTCGATTGAATTCATAACCTGTAATGTATGACGTGACGGGGTATGTGAAATCCAATACCATTCTCCACATTGCCGAAACACGTTTTGAGAACTGTTTAGTACGAGCATAGATGGATACAAATTCGTAGTCTCGCGCATACAATCCTCCCACGAATGATCCGATGGACGTACCACCAATCAAGTCAATCGGAATCCCATGTCTTTCCAAGGCCGTGACCACACCCACATGACTCAACCCTCGCGATCCACCACCACCAAGGACTAACCCAACTGCTTCATTCGACAAGATCCGCGCTAATCGTAAAAAGTCATTCTTGTACCGCGGGTCGCTCTTGGTCCTCATGCGGTGCTTCTGCCTTCCAATAACGGCATTCTTGACCTCCTGGAACTTGATCTGGAGACTAGGGTTTGATCGAGCAATGCGATCGGCCCAACTAGTTAAAAACGATTTCGGCACAGCGTCCTCGTGTCGTGTCTCAAAATTCATCTGGATGTGATGGTGACCTTGCACCCATAGTCTGCTCTTGATCCAGACACTGGTGGACCCGGGGATGACGTATTTGTCCTGATGGATCAAACACAAGTCCGTGCGCGCGGTGGTCTTCATCTTGATTAGCAATTGCTCGTATTCGCCGATGGTAGTGGCTCCCGAGGGGTCATCGGCGTCAGCGAGTAATAGTATACAGTCACCCTGGGAAATACATGCATTGGTCCAATTCAGACGTACTGGTGTATCACAAATGTATACCACCGTAGCGTATTCTTCTTCGAGAAAGGCAAAATACCCCAGCAATTTCAACCGCGCAAGTCGTTCATCAAACGCATGGCGACCAAGGTGGGTAAGTGTAGATGCTTGGTCGAGAGCAATAACATTCCTCCCGATGGTTTTGAATGCACTAACCAACTTTTCTGCAAATTCCCTAACAGGCAACTCTGACACCGTAGGCAAGATCGTAATAGTCTTGTAATCATTGTTGATATAATGAGAGGTGGAAGAAGTAATTGAGTTATGACTCTGTTGAGTTTCCTGCGCCACAACTTTCGAAGCCACCAATCGACTAACTTTAACCAAAATCAGCGGGTTCTGAAATGAAAGCAACTCAAACAAGGTTCTCGGGATTCTCGCCGTCTCTGAATCTCTAATTGCAATCAATGAGTTTGATCTTCGTGAAGCTGTCAACACCTCAACTTCGCCAATGGACTCACCATGGCCGTACTCTCCCAACACTTCCAAATTATCCTTGCCTGCTTCGTTATTATTACGAACCACCCGGAATCGTCCGCTTAAAACCACGTGAAACCCATTGGCCAAATCTCCTTGCGAACACAACACGTTTCCTGCGGGGATATGACACCATTCCAAGGCATAATCAATAATCAAGATTCGTGGCGTAAGCAAGTTCTTTAACGTTTGCGCCACAGGCAACTGCAAAAAGTAGAATTTATCCATTAATCGAGAATAGTCCAGTTTGTTAATATGGGCGATTATCACCCCGGTATCGCTGGGTGTTTTAATACTGACTAGTGATCGGAAACCCACTACGGAAGTTAAATATCCTGCTATACCTCCCGGGTTGACCGTGTACATTTTGCGTGGGTTAGATGCTGTTTCATCAGGAGGTTGAAAGTAAACATCCAATTGCCCATTTATGACGTAGTACAATCCAGAATTGAACGTGTCCTGCTTGACTAAAGTAGTGTCTGGTCCCACATATTTAATCTCCAATACTCCAGCAAATGCTTCCTTTATGGTATCCATAGATATCTCGGGATGTTTCGATGCAACTAGAGTAGCAGGAGATGCACTCGCAGTAGCTTGTGCTTCCTTTTGTAATGTTTGTATATTGATTGTCGTCATTAACAGTTGATGATTTCCATAGAATCTTCCCGGGGTAGAACTACTACTTGACACATCGGTGAGTATGCTACTCGATGGAAACAATTGATTGAGATTCACATGGGATGATGTAGCTGATGATCTCAAAGAATAATCCATTTGTGGCTCGTTTATGCCCATGATTTTGAAAATATTCTCCACTATGCCGGTACGCAATGAGGTCTCTTCTGTTTCCTCTACATCATTGGAAAAACTAGGCAAGCGGAAAGACCCCACCAGGGAACGGTGAGGCAATGTTGGTGATTGCAGGACAAACGATTTGAGTGAAGTTGTTGACGGTTGCGATTTTCCATCTGTTTGTCGAGATATAGGAACTGAAGAAAGTAAATCACCAGGATGGGCGGACTTTAGTCGGGAATCAAGCATAACGTATCTCGAAGAAGATGTTTGTAGATGATGCTTTGAATGGTGGACATGAGTAGGTGACTTTTCCGGAGTGGTGATCTTATCAAGGAGTCCATCAATTAGGTATTGTGGCAAGTTGCTTCCCTCCAGTTGGTTATTCAAGGCAATTTCCGATTGTAGAAGCTCACCCGTGAGTCCAAGATAGTTGTGCACGGTATTCATGGTGACTTTATATAATCTGGTGAGCACCATGGTGACAATGTGACTGGTTGATTTGGGGTACTTTTGTTGAACACGTTGGAAGGCTGAGTATGGAATGATGGCTATTGTCATATCACCCTGTGAATCTTGAAATTTGGGACGACATATGATATTGGGGTAAGTATCCTCTAACGGATTGACATCGAGTGGATTCACGGGTTTCTCGGGTAAGTTCAAATTCAATTCTACGGCAGGAGATCTTAATCCTCTCACTGGAGTTTTAATTTCAAACAAGTCTAGTGTTGATATGAGGGAGCTCAAGGGAGCACCACTCTTTACTTCATTCAATAGTTGGTACTTTTGATTTCCAAACGTGAACAACTCCTCGCGTTCAAGATCACTACTGGACAGCACTTCGTGTGATATCTTGCTGTACACTTGCGCCGTGCCTTCCACGACAATCAGAAACCCCATTCGTTCATCAAGATAAAGGATTTCGTCGCGGGAGACTCTCTGGGTCGTCATATTCTTGGTCAATTCGTGAAACACCAGTTTCTCCAAGTATCCGAACACCTTAATAGCCAGGAGGAATTCATCAAGATAATTACCAGAACTAGATTTGGACTTGCTGCTTGATGTTGTGCTGGTTGATCCTGGCACTGTTGGTGCCGAAGTAGCGATATCCTTGGCCACGGATCGGGAATAAGAAGTGAGATACTTGTAGCGGATGATCATGTAGGTGAAGAACACCATAGTGGCCATGATGAGGAGCAACGACGATAAATTCATTCTGATTTCGAAATTTATGGAGAGGATCTGTCTGAGCCATCGCCACCCTTCAGATATTGACTGATCGGGCAGCGTTGGAGGCCCTATCATTGGTTGATTGTCCATGTGTAAGGAATAAAACGTGTAGGCAGCATGGGGGAGGGGGGGATCAAATTACGCCGCAGAAAAACCGCGGTTTTTTATAGTGCAGAAATCTGGGGGGAATCACATGGGAGTATCAACTTCGTTACTAATCACATAGCAACAAGTACTCTGTTGGTGCTAGTGCCAGTGCCAGTGCCAGCGTATGTTTACGTTAGATTGAAAAAGAAATACCGCAATTAGTATTTGCGAGTTTAGATATACAGTAAATACAAAACGATTTTTTTAGATTGCTACAGCTAATGCTTAATTTCATAAGGTAAACATCCGAATCTGGCCAATATCCGTTCAATACCATCCATACCCAACTCCAACTGTTTAAACTCGGGCCCATAACTGATTCTCACATAGTTATACCAAATTACTTCTTCCAAATGACTCAAATTCTGAGGGTTAATCAAAAAGAAGAAGCCAGGAACAACAATGACCTTTTCGTGCAAACATTCATGGAAGAATCCCAAACAGTTGCTCAACTTTCCCGGCAAATGGGATAAGTTTAACCACAAGTAGAACGTCGAGTTTGGAATAGACCGTTCATTAAACTTGAATCCCATCTTTGTCAATCTGTTAATCACATAGTCACGCTTCATCTTAAAGTGTAATTGCAACGCCTTCATTTCTTGACGTACACGCAAGGGTTCAAGCATGGACACAGCCGCATATTGCAAAGGTGCATTGGACCCACCGTCCAAGAACGACCCAGCTGAACTCAAGGCATCGATATACTCTTCTGGACCCAAGATCCAGCATATTCTCCAACCGGGCAATCTGAACGCTTTTGTCAACCCGTTAAGAATAAGCACGGGGTCGCGATTGACATCTTCGACAAACATGGCGGAACTGATGGAAGACCCAGTACAGCCTTCATCGTAGTAATAGTGAGAGTAGAACTCATCCATGATTAAAAGACACTTTTCCCGACACATGTGGTGCAATTGCTGCAATTGGGACCGTTCCATGCATCTACCGGTAGGATTACGAGGGTTGGAAGTCAACAAAGCACTGACACCACGGGTCAATTCGTCTTTAATCATTTTCAAATGGATTTCATAATTATCCAGTTCATTCAATGGCACAGGAATAGGAGCAAAGTTCTTGAAAAGGGAAAGCATTTCTGCGTAAGCAGTGTAGTCGGGCAAAAAGAACGACAAGTAACAATCACTGATAATGGAAGCAATTCTCGTTAACCCAGCTCTTCCACCAGGGACAATACACACGTTCTTGTATGTATATTGCGATTGCTTGCCTTCACGATAGGTTTGGTTGTAGTAATTTGCAACCGCTTCTCGTAACACTTTTACACCGGCTGTAGGAGCATACTCTTTACTTTGGTCAGTAATTGGCACAGATTTAGGACGGATAAAAGACCCCGGGACGGTATCACCGTGTTCAGGAGCACCTTGGCCTAAGTTAGCCCAATCGGCGACACTTTCTGAATTGAACCCATACTCAGTAGCACGTTCAGTGGCCCACAACACCCCAGTAGACGACTGTTTAGTGTTGATGGCCGGTTTAAACACCTCTTCATTGAATCGAGGACGTGGCAAGGGAATTGGGGTAGCAACATCACCATGTTCACTGCGAGACAATTTTGAAATCAACGATTGACGAAGATTGACATTACGCAAGTTGGGGTTCTGCAGGGAAGTTCTGCTGCCGTGGGCGCTGGGACTTCTGAATCGATTGTCTCGGTCGGCAATCAAGCTCAAGTGAGGCTGCGGTTGGGCAAGTGAAGGAGGAGCATGGTGGCCGATGGAGGCAATGTTGGTCCCACTGGGGCCCGACAGGGGTGGTGCAGGAGACAGCTGAATTGCTTCGAATAATGACGATGCAGATCGACGCAACCCTGGGGGTAATGTCGATTCTAAATGTTCAAATTCAAGAAGAGATCCTTCGTCTTCAGGACTGTCGTCTGGTTGCAAATTGCTCATGTTGGTTAGTTAAGAAGAAGAAGAAGAACAAGTAATTGAGTGAAAAATTGGAGAGCTATGACTCTTTTACTTATAAGGAGAGAAGAGAGTACAGAAAAAATGCGCTGCGCTTGTGGGGGGAGCGAGCCGGATCCGGCGCAAGGGATAGACGGAACTTGGGAAGGAAGGGGAGCGAGAGCGAGATGGATACTAAACCAAAACGACTTCCATCCAAGGTATATGGTTTATTGGTGTCAATTGAAAGATTGCATCATTGGCCTAGTCATAGACTCATCAAAAGGGAACAGTAGCCTTGTGGTATGACATAAAGGCAGTGGTTAAATCCCTCAGATCTAAGGGTATATACCCAGCGAGGCTTTTTCTTGCTTGCTGTCAAAGCTTAAATATCCCCACAAAAACCTAATTTATAATCAATTATAGATGGTATTTATCTATCATTCGTTGTAGTTTTCTTTTGAATATTTACTTCTATTAATATACAACACATTCTCCCACTCTCTCTCTCCTGGGGATGCCCCTATTGTTAAACGGTCATCGTTTGCTATTGTTTCCCCTAAAAGCAAATCACGTGATTGCCTGATTCCCTCTTTTTTTTTTTCTTAATGCCTCGCGCCAGTGGGTCCCTCTGTGTGGGTCGGTGTGTGTCAGGTACCCCAAAATAGATCACCCAAATTTACCCACCGCAAACCTTAAAGGAGGGGGGAATGGTTTGATTTTCTTTGTAATTGACCACATTTTGGTAAACAAGCGTAAAATATTTGCTTAAAGAGGTAACAATACACTACTTCTTACTATTGGTCTTCCCTTGCTATTCATATAATGGGACAACACTTGTCTATACAACAAGATGACTCTGACCAAAACAACAACCAAGATAGCACTCCAGAACAATCACTCTCGTCTCTCAACTTAAGTCATGACAATTACCTTTCCAATGTCATTAAGAAACGAAGACATCTCAGCATACCATCAATAACAATCCCCAACCAACCACAAACCATTGACTCTCTAGACCTGGTGTTTTCTAGATCTGCCCCTGATGCCCCACCGCATATCGAAGATGAGCCCATGATACTGCAAAGTCCAAATCATTTGTCTTTAATTCCAGTAACTTCCCCCATTGACAATCCTCACCAGTACCCTTCCACGTTTTTCCTTAGTCCAATCACTTCCAATGAATCCCAATTTGTCGAACAGACCTTGCATACGGGAAAAGTAGATGATGTCAACATGGAAATCGACCACTACCCGGAAAAGGGCACCTACGCCGAAGATTTCTCCATGGAACCAACACCACCACTTGAGGAACCGGTGTCTATCCCACATACTCCTTCGGAAGATTCACTCGTGCATAAAGGTTCACTCACGGTTACACCCTCCGCCACTCCAGCCTCTAATGCATCTCCATTATTATCCCTCCCGCTTGAAATCCTTTATCGCATAATTGAGTATGTTTACGTTGACAATGATATATCGTCAATCAATTCCAACTTGGAGAAGTTTGCCAATACCATACCACTCTTATCCAAGAAATTCCACCATTTATCATTATGTTTTTTGTACAAGTACACCATTTTCAATCGACCACATTCTTTTGACAAGTTTCTTCACAACTTAATGACAAACCCTACCATTGGTAAATACGTCGAGTTTATGGATTTCCAGCAGTTTACCTCGATAGGATTGGGAAGAACCGGCCGCATGAATCAGGAAATTCAAATGGTGACTTCAAGAACTATAGCTCAGGCATTACAAATGACCCCGAATTTACGAGAATTTCTCGCATCGGAAAACATCCAGGATGATATGGATGTGATTGTCTTGGACCATTTGTTTAACAAGTTGAATCGAATCAAAGCGCTCGACTTTTGCGGGGCATCTAGTGAAGCGTTTGCTACTGCATTTGAGACATTGACTATTGAGAGGGATTTCACATCCATCACCAAGATTTCGTTTCATGATTGTTCGAATTTGAGTCTGGGAGTGTTTCATCGGTTATTGCCTCGCTTGATCAATTTACAGAGACTAGATTTGAATCACACGTCAATTACGAGCAGTATTCTTCTTGAAATCCCCAAAACTGCCAAATTAACCCATTTATCCCTTGCTAGGTGTTCGCAATTGACCACCAAGGACTTGATTAATTTCCTCGTCAGCCATCCAGCTGTATGTCGCGGCACATTGAAATGGCTAAACTTGCAAATTGATTCAAATGTGATATCTCCACTCTCAGACATATATCTCCACTATACATTAAAACATTTGAATGCACCCCAGCTAGTCTACTTGAACCTTGGGGGCATGCCCGTGAACTTTAAAACCCTAATCATCCTCAAGAACAAGTTTCCACAGTTGACGAGTCTCAACATCAGCCATGCCCAAGTGAAGCCTGAGGACTTGAATGAGTACATGAAGGACAACCATAACATCATGTATCTCGACATCACGGGGATCAAGACGCTCACGCGGTTCAACCTCCCCCTGTTCCTCAAACGCAGCTTCACCGCCAACTTAGTTGCGATTGAGTTTGACTACCGTATCTTGTATGAACTCACCCAGGGCGAGCACACCAAAGTCACAGCACCACAGACTTCGTTTGTCGTGGAGACGGCGCCGCCCCAGATCTGGAAGTTTTTCGACAACGAAGGCCGTAGAGCATGGATCTACAAGCTCAGTCCCACGGACTCAGAGTACAAGTCGATAATGGCCGGTTCGAGACGGACATCGGTCCAGCAGTCTAATCTTGTGTACTACGATTTGGAGACGGGGAATAAGATTGTTAGTTTTGTAAGAAAGCCGGGGTTTCTCAAGTATGCTGCGCGAAAAGTCAATTGTTCGATTGGGTATTTCAATTTGACGGGGTATAGAAATAAGAATAAGTTGGAAGATTGTTGGCCCGTGGAGTTTAGTCAACGGGGGATTTATAATTACTATTCGTTGAATGTTAAGTAGTGCATGTTTGTTTATGAATAATATATAATAAATTATATTTTATAATGTGGTAGTAGTAGTGGTGGTAGAGATAAGAGAGCTCGGTTATCATCTGTGCTCAGGGTAATATTAGCTAAGCTTGTGATAAATTTGGAAAAAAATCTGCTAAAGTTCTTCAAAAATATCAAAATTTAACCGCAACAACCGAATACGTTAAATCAGGTCCATCCATTGATTTAATTATTAACATATAAACATACAGCCTATCTGGTCCTTCTGAACTGGCTAATTTCCTTCTATACCTCGTTAATTATTACATAATTACTTACACATCCTCGGTATGGAAAATAAGTTTTTCCGCGCTCAAACTACAGCCCGAGTCTCCAATCCCCACACTAACCCATATAAATTCCTCCTGAAAAACCATCAAACCTTTTCCTTACAATTTACTACCCAACAATGTCCGCTCCTGAATTAACCGACGTCAGATCTCCCATCGATTTAGACAAGCTTTCCGTATACTTGACCTCGCACTTACAGCTGCATTTCAAAACTACCATCGGCCATAATGCGGCTGACATGTCGAACTTTGACAAGATCGACATCAAACAATTCACATTTGGCCAATCCAATCCTACGTACTTGATCACGGACACTCGTGGAAAGAATTACGTGTTGCGGAGGAAACCTAGCCCTAATGCAAAACTCATTTCTCGCTCGGCCCATGCTGTCGAACGTGAGTTTTTCGTCTTGAATGCAATCAATATAATTAACGAAACTAGTCAGTTGAAAGTCCCCGTTCCGCGAGTTCACTTATTATGTGAAGATGAAGGGGTTATTGGGTATGTCTTTTACGTGATGGACTATGTTAACGGTATTCAAATCAAGAACCCCTCCATGCCAGGCATATCTGCAGACGATGCTAAACATTACTGGAACTCCATCGTGGAGACCATTGCCGGTATTCATTCACTCGACGCAGAAAGATTGATTAGTTTACTTCCAGAAAAGCACTTCCCGCAATTCCAAAACTTAGACAAGTTGAGAAAAACGTCCTACTTTAAAAGACAAATCAAAACCTTGCACAGTATTCATAAATTACAATCGCAACACGTCAAGGAAATTCCAAACTTTAAGGAAATCACTAACTGGTTATTGGATAACGCACCCAAGGACCCAGCCCACTTGACTCTCATCCATGGTGATTTGAAAATCGATAACGTATTATTTGACCCCAACACGAAAACTGTATGCGGAATCCTTGATTGGGAATTATGCACCATTGGTAATCCATTATTCGACTTGGCCAACTTCTTCCAGCCATTCCAATTGCCCAACAGATTAAACAAAATGTTGTACTATCCCCAGAAAACCGACATGGGTTCAGAAAATTCCGAATCGATCCATTTCTTGTATGACCAGTTAAGTAAGTATCAAAAGTTGATTACGTGGGATCCTAAAGATTCCAAGAACAATGCTACTGATTTATGGCCTATTGGACACGTGTTTGGATTATTAAGACTCTGTGTGATTAGTCAGGGGATCGCCATGAGAGTTAAATTAGGTAATGCCAGTTCCGCCAATGCTAAAGGATATGCCGGAATGTACCCATTTTTAGCCGAATTAGCCATGAAGTCGATCAAGTCATTTAATGACAAGAAACGGGAATCAAAAGTTTAGTATTTATAGTTTTATAGTTCCCAATCTAACATAATAGTGTAATTCATTCAGTAGTTTCCTTTCGCCTGAATCGGAGTGCAGTTTTTTCCGTTATTGACTCATGATCTCTCACGCCATTAAAAAAAAATAGTTGAAAAATAAAAATTTCACTCTTCACCAGATTAGTCATTAAAGAGTTTCACTATCAACCATGTCTAGTTTCGGAACTATTTTTAAAGTAACCACCTTTGGAGAATCCCATTGTGACTCTGTGGGATGTATAGTCGAAGGATGTCCACCAGGTCTTGCCCTCACAGAAGACGACGTCCAACCTCAACTTACAAGAAGAAGACCAGGTCAATCCAAGCTTTCCACACCTCGTAATGAAAAGGATCAAGTCAAGATCCACAGTGGTACTGAGCATGGCTACACCTTGGGTTCCCCAATTGGAATGAGTGTCAAGAATCAAGACCACCGTCCAGGAGACTACTCAGAAACCGACTTGTACCCAAGACCAAGTCATGCTGATTGGACCTATATTCAAAAGTACGGTGTCAAGAGTGCTAGTGGTGGTGGTAGATCTTCTGCCAGAGAAACCATTGGCCGTGTTGCCGCTGGTGCCGTGGCTGAAAAGGTGTTGGCTAAGGTGAACAATGTTGAAATTGTCGCTTTTGTCTCTTCTATTGGTAATGTTAGTATGAATAGAGATCCTCAAGATGAAACCTTCCAAAAAGTATTACAAACCGTTACTAGAGAAGAAGTCGATGGTGTTGGACCAATCAGATGTCCTGACGAAGGAGTTCGTGAAGAAATGGTTAAAGTTATTGAAAAGTACCGTGACGCCAAGGACTCCATTGGTGGTGTTGTTACCTGTGTGGTTAGAAACTGTCCTATTGGATTAGGTGAACCATGTTTCGATAAATTAGAAGCTAAGTTAGCTCATGCTATGTTGTCTTTACCTGCCACCAAAGGTTTTGAATTTGGTTCTGGTTTTGCTGGTACTCAAATCCCAGGTTCTAAACATAATGATCCATTTGTCTGGGACGAAACTAAGCAAAGATTGACCACCAAGACCAACAACAGTGGTGGTATTCAAGGTGGTATTTCCAATGGTGAAAATATTTACTTTTCCGTTGCCTTCAAGTCAGCCGCTACTATAAGTCAAGAACAAGAAACTGCCACTTATGAAGGTAAATCCGGTGTTTTAGCAGCTAGAGGAAGACACGATCCAAGTGTTACTCCAAGAGCTGTCCCAATTGTTGAGGCCATGACTGCCTTGGTGTTGTGTGATGCATACATGATCCAACAATCTAGAAATGCCACCAGATTGTCAATTAGCGATAACTAAACAAATAATTTAAACATAGTAGACATTCTAATGTATAAAGTTGTACTTACCAGTTCTGTAGTTTGGTTGCTAGACAACAATTACAATTTTAGCAACAACGCGTAAATCAGTGACACCTTGAAACTTCCACAAGAAAAATGAAAAAAAAAAAAAACTGAACACACACAAATCTCATGACGTAGCATAAACTTCTTTAGTTTAATCCAAACCAAAAGAACCCCACCATGAGATACCTGATTGTTCTTTTCTTGATATCCCTCGTCACAGCACATAATGTGCTCCTTGCGCCATACGGGAAACAATGTTTCTTTGAAAACTTGAAAAAGAATGATGAATTAGCGATTAGTTTTCAAGTTGGATCACGAGACCCAAAGAACTCTGAGCAATACGACGTTGATTTCTGGATTAATTCTCCTCAAGGACAAACTTTGGTCAAGAGAACTGGTTTCGACCATGGTGACGAATCAATCACCGCTCCTTCCAACGGTAAATACACTTATTGTTTCTCCAATGAAAAAACCGGTAGAGTTGATTTAGATGTGTCGTTTAACATTCATGGGGTTATTTACATTGATTCCACTGATCCTAAGCTGGACACTTTGGATTATGCCATTCAAAGATTAAGTCAATTAACCAACGATGTCAAGGCTGAACAAAGTTATTTGGTTATTAGAGAAAGAACTCACAGAAACACTGCTGAATCTACCAACTCCAGAGTTAAGTGGTGGTCTGTTTTCCAAATTCTTGTTGTTGCTGCCAATTCCATTTTCCAAATTTACTATTTAAAGAGATTCTTTGAAGTCCAATCCGTTGTGTAAGTTGGATTAGCGTGTATCTATATTTAGAGAATTATAAAATTATAAATAAAACATGAGTTGTTAATGCAAATGCACCCAATAATTTATGAAGTAGTGTTTGTAGGTTAATACGAGTTTCTACCCCTGTTGCTGTTACAAACTGAGATCATCTCCTTAAGCTAGAAATTCGAGGTTTACAGCCAATACAAAAGATCTAAAAGTAAATCGATCCAAAAGTAAATCAACCCAAAAAAGAATCAACCATTGATCTGCTCGATATCAGAAACTATCAATAAACTGCATCTGCCCACACACAACAGTGTTAGCAGTCCAGCTGTTCCAACACGTTATTTGCCAATCAGATTCTTTAGATAGCATTGTAATGAATTAATCTTGAATGAAAACCAAACTTATAGAGGTACAATACTAGATATCCACCTAATACCATCTCGTAATGAGCGTACTAAAGAGGGATTCACTAAAGAGGGATATCTTATCAGGCAATTATACTTGTTATTATTGGCAACCAACAAAAATATTCTTGCAGACTCTCATTATATGCGAAGATTATATGCAGGCACAACTGATTAAGACGTGTCAGGCAGAGCTATTTTGCCAATATGGTTAGTAACTTTTACAAAATTGACAGTTTGTAACACTCAATGATTTATTGGAGCACTGTACATTAACACTGCCTAACATACAGTAATAACTGACCGATAGAATGACCTGGGGGTAGGCAAATCATGCCTAAAGTATGCCTTATGGTGAGTCAGGCACAGATATGTGCGTGGTTACTAATAGGTAGTCTGAGTCATACTCATTTGCACAAATGATCCACATATTTGCTCTCAGTCCAAATTTTAAGTGGGATAGGTACCTTGTCGTATTAGAGAGCATTAGAGATGATAAACCCAGTAATTCGAACGTAATTGGAACTACTGAATACCAACCAGGATGAATCGGCCGAAGGAGAAAAAAAAATTCTAAGAGATAGAGATACCATAGCTCAAACTACTTTATGCTACTGGAAAGCTGAGTTCCGTTGTGCTTCAAATCGTACCACTAGAACTGAATTAACCGAAGATTTTTTTTTTTGCATCACAAAAATCATCGCAACTATAAGCCATAGATTTAGCTTATAGGTTCCAAAAATAGATCATTGCAATGCGTTTCCCTTTTGGAGTTGACCCCAGATTTGTCCATAGTATCCGCGCTATTAAAACACTAAGCGAAGCGCAAGAAATTTGCAAATACTGCATGGGTATCTGGGGGTATGAGAGCAAAAGGCGTATAGTGTTTCCAAAACGGGACAAAAATTTTCCGTATTTACATTTTTTGTTCGCATTGTTAGTCGGGAGAAAGGAGAAAGGGAGGGGGAATTTGTGCGCTCGGGATTAGGTGCCTTTATTTGCTATTTAGTGCGGAAACAACGGTCCAAGGTCATACGAGTCCTCGGCTTAAATTCACCAAACTCCCTCAAGGGATTTACTGGGAGTTTTATATAGCGCGTGAAGGGAATCAGGAGTTTACACGGACTTTGGTTGGAGCAAGGTTTGCCTTTTAAAACCGCCTTAGGATGTGGCACATTTGTGTTATTTTCCATGTGTGGGGAAAATTTCGCCACTAGGTTAAATAAACTTTCCGAAGTATAAACAATGGGAGAGATCGACCAGCTGGAATCTTTGCTTTAGGACATGATTTAGTGCCCCCACCCCCTTTTTTCCAACTTCAAAAAAGAAGGTGAAGCCTATCACGTGTAAATACGGGTCAAGCTTTTCATATGCGCCTGGAAAGGAAAAAAAAAGGAATCTTGGCCATAAAGTATAGAAATGCCGTTCAAGGTCAAGAAAACATTTGGTAAATTCAGGATACTTGTCGTAATTATAATTTGCTCAAGTTGCCTGGAACTGGGTATAATATTCCTTGTTGCTGGGATTTTTCAACTACAGCAAACACCAACGGCATTAAGAACCCCCTAAACGTTCGGCAAAAAATGTGGTAAAATACACATGCCCCTCAAACATCCGCTGGGAATTGTTCAGTTTCACCCCTCTCTTTGGTACTAAAATAAAATTCTCTCATTTCTTTTTTCTATTGTCATGGTGGATGTATGCCTTGTCATACGACGTGTTGACATCACTAAAGAATTTGGTTGTATGCAGGGCTGTGGATGAATGGAAATAAGCCAAAATTGGTTTTCTTTTTTTTATTTCTTGCAAATTACACTTCCCTATAAATATAAGATAATCCGTATCAAAAATTTTCCGTTCTTCTTCTGCTATACTTTTGGCTAGAGTTTTTTCAGTTCCTACTTTTCAAACTAACTAAAGACTTTCAGTCTCTCACGCATCTCAAAAAAAAAGATAACACAGTACAATGTCCAAATTCGTTGGTGTCACGGAACTTCCTCCAGATCCTCTTTTCGGTCTTAAGGCCAGATACAATGCTGACTCTCGTTCCGATAAGGTCGATTTAGGTATTGGTGCTTATAGAGACAACAACGGGAAACCATGGATCTTGCCAGCTGTCAAGCAAGCTGAACAAAAGTTGATTACTTCCCACGATTACAACCACGAATACTTGTCCATTAGTGGATTTGAACCATTCTTCAATGCCGCCGCCAAGGTCATTTTAGGTGGTGATTCCTTGGCTATTGCCGAAAAAAGAGTTGTTTCCCAACAATCTTTATCTGGTACCGGTGCCTTACATTTAGCTGGTGTTTTCATTAAGCAATTCTACAATGGTAACCACACTATTTACTTGTCACAACCAACCTGGGCCAACCACAAACAAATTTTCGAATATATCGGATTCAAGGTTGCTAGTTACCCATACTGGGATAATGAAACCAAGTCTTTAGACTTGAAGGGTTACTTGGCTGCAATTGAAGATGCTGCCCCTGGTTCCATCTTTGTTTTGCATGCATGTGCCCATAATCCAACTGGATTGGATCCAAATGAAGCTCAATGGGACCAAATCTTGAAGGCCTTGGAAAAAAAGCAACATTTGGTTCTTTTTGACCTGGCTTATCAAGGATTTGCCAGTGGTGATTTGAACAAGGATGCACATGCCATTAGACACGCTATAAATAACAGAATTATAACGTCTCCAATTGTCATTTGTCAATCGTTTGCCAAGAACTGTGGTATGTACGGTGAACGTGTTGGGGCCATTCACATTATTGCCACTTCGCAACCAAATGATGCCTTGAATAGAGCCATCAAGTCACAATTGAATAGAATCATCCGTTCGGAACTCTCCAACCCTCCTGCCTATGGATCCAAGATTGTCGCTAAGATTTTGAGCGATCCCCAACTCTACGCTCAATGGGAACAAGATTTAATCACTATGTCTTCGCGTATTCACCAAATGAGAGCTGCTCTCCGAGGTAAATTGGAAGAATTGGGCACTCCAGGAACTTGGGACCATATTACTAGTCAAACTGGTATGTTTTCATTTACTGGTTTGAACAAGGAGATGGTTGACAGATTAGAACAAGTTCATGGGGTTTACATGGTTAGCAGTGGAAGAGCCAGTGTCGCTGGTTTAAATGAGGGCAACGTTGATCGTGTCGCCAAGGCTATCGATGAAGTGGTGAGATATCACAGCAAGAGTAAGTTGTAAGATTTCTCCAAAACGATTATATTATGACTTTGAAAATCTTTATAATAGTTTTTTTTTTATTGTTCAATAGACTGATCTTTAGTGTTTACTTGAAATTGTAGAGTTGATGTTCCTCACTAAGTTCCTCGGTTGGTTGCAAAATTATGCGAGAACTGGAACGTCGCGATCTTGTAAGCCTCTGTTTACTTTCATCCGAGCGTATGCAACTATGGGCGACTCATCGCGTAGACGGAATATGCAGCATTTCTAAATCTTGTCAAAAAGTGGAGAACTACGCTAAACCGGAATTGATTCTATGCTAAGCGGATCTGGACGTTAAGGTTATTATCATTCATTTCAAACCTTTTGCAATTGAAATACCTCGTTATACTATATAACATACGCGGGGTTACTTGTAGCTACTGATTGAAACATATCCAACACAGGTCACTTTTGTCATAGGGATGATTGAATAATAATAGAAAAATAACAATGTAAAACCTCCTGAAGGAAAAACAAGTTGCTGAACTAGGTTCTATTTCTGGAACCACCTTACTTTTCGGTTGCTGGTGTGATTTAACCAACCTGCATATTGCGATATGACATCAGTATGATGATTATGGTCACACCACTTATCAAAGTCTGAACGAACAAAGATATATAACATGACGTTGTCTCATTTTAGAGAATCCTACTGTGTGCTATCCACAAAGAATACCCATGTCTTATTGCTCCAAGTTGAGAATAAGGAAACCAGAACAGAGATATCATAGACGATAAAACACACACACACACACACATGGAGAATCCTAGCATCAAAACAGATACGAAAACTAATACCCAGAAGAACGCTGGTCGCCACGGTCGTGCAAGAAAAGTTAGCAATTCCAGTATTGAAAGTGATGTTGTTATAATAGGAAGTGGATTAGCTGCTAGTTTGATGCATGTACAGCTTTGGTTCAAACGAAGGAAGAAGCACAATCACAAGAATCGACACAAGAAGTCCAAACAGACTCATACGAATCACACATTGGAAAATGTTGCTATTGATTCAGAAACATATTAGACAATATACCAAAAGGTGAGGGAAAGGTTGCATGAATCTTCATTTTGCAGCAATAATGGCGACGAGAAAAACACCAGGCTTCCAATAATGGTTAATAGGAGATGTTTAGATTAGAAAGCATACCACACAATAAACAGACGAATCAACCTATATTTTTCGGCCCCGTAGTACACAGCGAAATAGTATATTTTATAGTCAATTTCTTGATTTTCGAAGCAAATCAAAGAAGAAAAAAAATTACGCTGGAAAAGTCCGAGATCTAGTCCGAAACTTATTTTTTGGATCAACACACTAATAAGCTAGTAAGATCTTGGGAACGACTACAAGATTAGAGCCGACTAAACAGCTGATATTTGTCCCGTGCTGGCCGAATTTTCTAATCACTCGTAATTTGGCTGCGATGAGCAAGATTGCGATGAGGAGAAAATACCGTCATGTAATTTCTGTAACATTTCGAATGATCAGGATTTAAAGCAACTAAACCTGATTAAGCGATTGTACTATTTTAAAACACGAAAAGGCTTCAAACAATGCTACGTGGACCATGCGACGGGTTAGTAACATATTTATTTCACAATGCAAAAACATACACGCCCAGCTTTTGCGGACGACGGCACCGAAAAATTGAGCCAATCAGTCGCGGCTTAATTTAGTATTCCATCGGAGTTCAGCGGTTTTTCATTCATCGGACAAAATATTCTGCACGATGCAGCACCGACAAAAGCAAAAGAATCTGGAGAAAATCTGATCATGTGATTATGCGGCATTAAGTGAGGATACTTCCGAGGGATGGCCCGGAGCAATTTTAAAGATAAGTGGGAAATAATAATTGAGATTTCTGTAAAACTTGGTACAGCATGCATATAGCGGGTACCGGTTCGTTGGGGGGCAAGCTTACCTATCTTGTAGAAAGATGACTAGATCGGGCATAGCGTTGATGAAATATTAAGAAAACGTTCCTGCCGTGGGTCATGTAGTCCGAGGATTTGTTTTTGTGGTCCATGCAGGTTTGTATTAGAAATTTGCCAGCTTTAATTGGCTTGTTTTCTGACAACCGGTAAAAGAATCCGAAATTTACAAGGTGTTACATCCAAACATACATAGAAAGACCCCGGTTTTCCCAGAAAATAATCCCAACAACAAAAAAAAAAAACAAGCCCATTAAGATTTCAATTCTTTCATTCAAAATTTTCTCATTTCCATTATTTAAATCAACCAATTATTCCTACTTGAAATTGTTTCAGTAATTTTACCTCTTTTTTGGATTTCCTTTTTCCTTTTCCTTTTTCTTCATCAATCCATTCAATTGAATTGTTAGAAAATGTTGTCTACCTATTCTAAAACAGCAGTTAAGGCTGCTGTCCCAAAGGCTGTTCGTTGTTTGGCAACTGCTGCTTTGACCAGAGATTCTCAAGTCAACCAAAACTTGTTGGAAACTCACTCCTTCATTCAATACAAGAAGCATCTTGAAAATGTTGAAATCGTCAAGTCTAGATTAAACAGACCATTGACTTACGCTGAAAAGCTTTTATACGGTCACTTGGATGACCCTCACGGTCAAGATATCGAAAGAGGTGTCTCTTACTTGAAGTTGAGACCAGACAGAGTTGCTTGTCAAGATGCCACCGCTCAAATGGCCATTTTACAATTCATGTCCGCTGGTATGCCACAAGTCGCTACTCCATCCACCGTCCACTGTGACCATTTGATTCAAGCTCAAGTTGGTGGTCCAAAGGATTTAGCCAGAGCCATTGACTTGAACAAGGAAGTTTACGACTTCTTGGCTTCTGCCTGTGCCAAGTACAACTTGGGTTTCTGGAAGCCAGGTTCCGGTATTATCCATCAAATCGTCTTGGAAAACTATGCTTTCCCAGGTGCTCTTTTGATTGGTACCGATTCCCACACTCCAAACGCTGGTGGTTTAGGTCAATTGGCTATCGGTGTCGGTGGTGCTGATGCTGTCGATGTCATGGCTGGTTTGCCATGGGAATTGAAGGCTCCAAAGATCATCGGTGTTAAGTTAACCGGTAGAATGTCTGGTTGGACCTCTCCAAAGGATATCATCTTGAAGTTGGCTGGTATTACTACCGTCAAGGGTGGTACTGGTGCTATTGTCGAATATTTCGGTTCCGGTGTTGAAACCTTCTCTTGTACCGGTATGGGTACCATCTGTAATATGGGTGCTGAAATTGGTGCCACCACTTCCGTATTCCCATTCAACAACTCCATGGTTGACTACTTGAACGCCACTGGTAGATCCAAGATTGCTGAATTTGCCAACGTTTACAAGAAGGACTTCCTTTCTGCTGATGAAGGTTGTGAATATGATCAAGTTATTGAAATTGACTTGAACACCTTGGAACCACACATTAACGGTCCATTCACCCCAGATTTAGCCACCCCAGTTTCCAAGATGAAGGAAACCGCTCTTGCTAACGGATGGCCATTGGAAGTCAAGGTTGGTTTGATTGGTTCTTGTACCAACTCTTCTTATGAAGATATGACCAGAGCTGCTTCCATCATCACTGATGCTGGTGCTCACGGTTTAAAGGCCAAGTCTATTTACACTGTCTCTCCAGGTTCTGAACAAGTTAGAGCTACTATTGCCAGAGACGGTCAATTAAAGACCTTCGAAGACTTTGGTGGTGTTGTCATGGCCAATGCTTGTGGTCCATGTATCGGTCAATGGGATAGACAAGACATCAAGAAGGGTGAAAAGAACACCATTGTCTCCTCTTTCAACAGAAACTTCACTGCCAGAAACGATGGTAACCCAGCTACCCACGCCTTTGTTGCCTCCCCAGAAATGGTTACTGCTTACGCTATTTCCGGTGACTTAGGTTTCAACCCAATCACTGACACTTTGAAGGATGCTGAAGGTAACGAATTCAAGTTGAAGGAACCAGTTGGTGTTGGTTTACCAGTCAACGGTTACGACCCAGGTGAAAACACTTACCAAGCTCCACCAGAAGACAGAGCCTCTGTTCAAGTCATCATTGAACCAACCTCTGACAGATTGCAAAAGTTGACTCCATTCAAGCCATGGGACGGTAAGGATGCTGAAAAGTTGCCAATTTTGATCAAGGCTGTTGGTAAGACCACCACCGATCATATTTCTATGGCTGGTCCATGGTTGAAATACCGTGGTCACTTGGAAAACATTTCCAACAACTATATGATTGGTGCTATCAATGCTGAAAACGGTAAGGCCAACGAAGTCAAGAACCTCTACACTGGTGAATACAAGGGTGTTCCACAAACCGCTGCTGACTACAGAGACTCTGGTCACAAGTGGGTTGTTATTGGTGACGAAAACTTTGGTGAAGGTTCTTCCAGAGAACACGCTGCTTTGGAACCAAGATTCTTGGGTGGTTTCGCCATCATCACCAAGTCCTTTGCTCGTATTCACGAAACCAACTTGAAGAAGCAAGGTTTGTTGCCATTGAACTTTGTCAATGTTGCTGACTACGACAAGATCAACCCAGACGATGTTGTTGACTTGGTTGGTTTAACCACTTTGGCTCCAGGTAAGAACTTGACCTTGAGAGTTCACCCAAAGAACGGTGCTACTTGGGAAACCGAATTATCTCACACTTATAATGCTGAACAAATTGAATGGTTCAAGGCTGGTTCTGCTTTGAACAAGATGGCCAAGGCTTAAGTGTTGACCTCGTGTTTTTAAATTTTGTTTATATTTATTTATTCAATAAGAGTAACAATTGTATATTTGAAGACTACTGTAGCAGCACTTCCTTTGTTTTAGATTTCGATATCATTGGATGGTAACTAGCGTTATATACGCAGCGTAAAGTGGTGTCTAGTACATACTTGAAAAAGGAGCATTGGCGAAAATATTTTTTTTATGCAGGAACAAAAGGTTGTGCATAATAATATTGCATAGCGTAAATTTAAATCTACAACTGCAAAAGCTGAACACATATACGATGACTACATATTTTTATTAACACTGGTAGAGTTATAAAGATACGTCTAATGCGAAGATGAGGGCTCCAACCAGAAACCTTTTGATACCCATTAAGAAATCGTTGTTTCTTAAAAGTCAAACGCTCTAGCTATTGAGCTAACCAGGCCAAGTACTCTTGTCTGAGAGTTGGGATGGACAGGTAATGTTACAATGGGGTGAAAGGGGAGATTAATTTTATTTGATATTGATCACCTTGAATGGGCTTGAAATGAAGAAGACAGTTTAGGAGAGACGCACGGCATTCTGGCGCATTGTGTTGTCTATGATGTAATTGTAGTTATATTCTAGCAGCTGTGCATTTCAGGAATATTCAGTCCGACACCCTCACAGTCCGAATCGGATAACCAAGCTGTCCAACAGATAACAGATTATGTAAAACAGCTTATACAAGTTAAACATTTAACAAAGGTTATTTTCCTAAACAAGGATGGAACCTGCATATAATTTGTAATCAAGAGGGTACAATTGGTCAATGTGAAATACCACAAAGTTGCCCAGTAGAATAGTTTCAGAGAGGGTAGGAGGGGGGTCTCGGGTATTGTTAACGGGTCTAAACTGGCGAAACTATAGAACCGGAAGGGCGTACAAGTGTTCGTCTATGCTTGTAAGCGTAAACAGAAAGAACGTGTCCAAGGCGGGGAACGATAACGAAGCAGATAAGAGGTGCTGTAACGGCATTCTAGAAATGCCGAAACAACGACAGTAAGACAAACTAGAACCATGGCTTAACCGAGGAAGTAAACAAAAGGCGGGCCACTTTGGAATTGTGCCATACGCAAAAAAAAGGGGCAGATCCATTTAGTCGACAATGTTGACACAAAATCTACAATGGCATATTTATTAAGATTTATATGTAGGTGCGACCGATCGCCCTAATCTATGCGTCGACAATCCAAGGGATATTAATGTACGATGTTTAGATTAAGACACATGCACACGAAAAGCCTACTTTGATCGTGATTACCGAGTGGAGAACCGTAAACTTAAAACTGGAGGGGAACCGTAGGGAATGATTCTTTTTTTGGAGTGTGTGGCCCAATAGGGTATTTCCAAATAATAATAGCTTGTACAGAACAATGTAATTAAGCAACACAATGAAAGGTACCACTTCGTAACAAAATTGAATGGACGTTACGAAACAATCCTTTTTAAGATCACAAATTTCCTCTTTTTCATTCATCTTATATTCAAGTTGCTATTCTTTTACAGCTAGACAACAATGTTTGATAATCTCCTCAGGACTGCACTTGAACACTGGGTGATCACCCTGATAGTGTTGGCTATTGGCCACTTAGCAGGTAAATACTTGTACACCCAATACTTGATGAACAAGCTTGGTGCCAAACCCTTCACCAACTCATCATATGACGGGTTCATGGGATTTAAAGCCGGAGCACAAGCTTTGAAAGCCAAGAACGAAGGTAGAGCCGTTGAATTCAACGACGCTAGATTTAGAAACATGCCCCATCCAGAAGTGTTCACTTTCACTACTAAACTATTCGGAACTGAATTAGTTGTTACCAAGGATCCAGAAAACATCAAAGCTTTGTTGTCTACTCAGTTTGACGATTTTGGACTTGGTTTAAGATTCAAGTTTTTCGACCCCTTGTTAGGATCAGGGATCTTCACTTTAGACGGTGAAGGATGGAAGCACTCTCGTGCAATGTTAAGACCACAGTTTGCCCGTGAACAAATCGCCCATGTCCGTGCCTTGGAACCTCATTTCCAAGTGTTGCAAAAGCACATTGCCAAGAACCAAGGACAATTCTTTGACATTCAAGAGTTATTTTTTAGATTTACAGTTGACTCAGCCACTGAGTTCTTGTTTGGGGAATCTGTTGGTAGTTTACGTGATGAGTCTGTGGGTTACTCGCTGAAGGAATTGGATTTTGCTGGTAGGGCCGACTTCGCCGCCAAGTTCAACAAGGCGCAAATGTACCTTTCCACCCGTTCGTTATTGCAAAAGATGTATTGGTTAGTCAACAATAAAAAGTTCCGGGAATGTATCAAAGCTGTGCATGAATTCAGTGATCACTATGTTAAGATGGCCCTTGATGCTTCTCCTGAAGAAATTGAAAAACAAGTTGGTTATGTTTTCTTGTATGAATTGGTTAAACAAACCAGGGATCCAAAAGTATTGCGTGATCAATCATTGAATATCTTGTTAGCTGGAAGAGACACCACTGCTGGATTATTATCATTTGTATTTTTCGAAATGGCTAGAAATCCAGACATGTGGTCTAGATTGCGTGAGGAAATTATTAGTCACTTTGGTGACTCTGAAGTTGAACAAATCACATTTGAAAACTTAAAGAAGTGTGAATACTTGAAGGCTGTGTTGAATGAAAGTTTGAGAATGTATCCTAGTGTGCCAAGAAATGGCCGTGTTGCCAACAGAAACACCACCTTGCCTCGTGGTGGTGGCCCAGACGGTAAGTCTCCAGTATTGGTCAGAAAGGGACAAAATGTGGGATACATCATCAATTCTACTCATCTTGACGAAACTTACTACGGAAAGGACGCAAAAGAATTCCGCCCAACCAGATGGTTTGAACCAGAAGTGAGAAAATTAGGATGGGCATTCTTACCATTCAATGGAGGTCCACGTATCTGTTTAGGTCAACAGTTTGCGCTTACTGAAGCCTCCTATGTCATTGCCCGCTTGGCACAAAATTACAGTAAATTGAGTTTACAACCAGGCACAGAATATCCTCCGAAAAAGTTGGTGCATTTGACTATGTGTTTACAAGATGGTGTTCCTATTAAGTTCGAGAAGTAGTTTATGTATTAGACGATGTAATTTATGCAAACAATTTATAAAATATTTTTTATTTTTATTTTTATTTTTATTTTTTTTTGTTTTGCCTGCAGCCATTTTGTGCATACATCCCAAAGCGGTTTAGTAATTTGCAGTATTTACATATTGCCTAATTGGGACAGGCATTGGTTATTATACCCATTAACCAGATTTCAAAATCCAGCCAAGTATTATTTTATTGGATGAACTAATTCATTATTGTGCAATAATCAAGAACAGTAAAGCTATGGCCCAATTCAGACCATACGGTGGCCATGAGCAACGAGTCGTAAGTGATTTATCACGGTTCGATTATGAAGGCGCTGGCATCCCCCTCCGCAAACCATCTGTCACTCCTTCCGAGATCAGTTCAAGCAAATTGACCTTGGATACAATCATTCCATTGTATTCCAGCAGGATCGATGAGCGGGATAATCGAGGATACCTGCCTCTACCCACCGTCGAGACGCCGGCAGAGCACGAACACGATCTTTCGTCATTGCCTGAAGTTATTGATCCGCCGACGCCTAAGTCGTTGGTTAGAATTAGAAAGAAGCATATTTCAGTAGGTGTACAAGTGCCCCAGGACAACCCCAATTTACTCGTTGGCCCTACACCACCTCCTAAAGAACTGGTAAGACCGCCCCGAATTCCCGAGAACGTACCCGAAAATGACCTACCACCTATGCCACAACCCCAAGCAGAAAAGAGCCGGGCCCAGTTTGCCGATGCGGAAGTAGGCAGTTTATCATCAAAGAGGAAACAACTTGAACAAGATTTGATCAAACTGGTGATGAATCGTCCCTTGGTTAAGTTCCATGCTGATCGATTCGGGCCTGATTTTGCCGGGAAGGAGATTACAATCTCGGTCAACTTCTTCATATACTTGTTTGAAATCATGTTCTGTATTATTGAAATTGTCATTTCGTCAGTGTTGTTGGATAACGATTCTATGATCCCTGTGGATGTATATAGATACTTTATCGCTGATGGGGTCATGGGGTTGATTATATCGTTGTTGTTGATTTTCCAGGCTATTACATACGAACGAAGAAATGGGAGCTTCTACTGTCTAGCGGTGACAATCATGAAACTAGTGGCATTTATCCTTATTGTTTCTGTGGTGTTTCCCAGCCCAAACTATGCGTACTTCCAAATATGGGAACTCAGGAGGGCAGTTGGGGCATTCATTATTATATCCATGTTTCTCTGGCTCACCAACTTGATCATGTTTGTAACGACATTGTACATCCTGAGGTTAAACTTGTTACAGGAATTGAATTTCGATTATAGCGATCAGGGCTTGGACGATAAGTTTAACAAGAGGGGCATTGTCACTGAAAAGGAAGAGGATCTTAAAGAGTTTTACCTCAATGAGAATGGTGAGATGTTTGCATTGACTGAAGACTGGGAAAAGGAACAATACAAGGGGAGAAATAAGATATTGGTATATACATTTTAATAAAGCGTATCATTTTTCTTTATCTGGCGTAGTCGCAAACCTCATAAAAAAATTGCAAAAAAGAATTTGCAACCACAAACTAATCTCTTTCTAATACAACACACACATATACAAACAATGAAATTCATTCTATGTTTCATCCTATTACACATATTGAGTGTTAGTAGTCTCCTACTCCCCCAGGAATGGTCCGTCGTCAGACCCACCCTTGAGAACCTCCGCGAAACCAAAACCAGATTATCCACTAGTTTACAATCACTTATTTCCGACCACACTTATGAAAACTCGTCCATCCATGAAACGTTGACATTCATTCCCCGTGAGCTAATGCATCCTGCCTTGTTTTCCAATCTAGGACTATCTTACTTGTTTGAAGGAAAGCAACAATGGGTGAATTTGACCAGTGTCGATCAAGTGGTTGTTCCCAAGGATTTCCAGTCGTTTTTCATATTCAATTCAAGTGAACCAGTACCTTCTTCCAACTTTAAAGGTCCAGGGTTTCACAAGTTGCTTGGAAGAAGTGTTCCTTTTGCATTGCCACATTGGTTAGAATTGCTGGATTATTACATGGTCGTTCCTAGTTCACACTTGAATCTATCAAGTTCACTGGAGTTAGTCACATTACCCAGAAGTAAATTACCAATATTCAGAGAGCTGGTCACAGGAAACAAGCCAATGTTGGTATTCATGTTCAACCAAACTACTCCACGATCCAAACACACTCCAATAATTACCATCAAGAACTACTTGACTTCTGAGGGCCGGTTCAATTCCATCCTGAGTTTCTTTGACAGGTTTGCTAACCTCTGGTTGACACGGGTGAATTACGACAACTTAGTGCATGCGGTGTATTGCACCCTTACATCCTCCGAGAGCTACTGTTTGAAGATCAAAGACGACCAGTCCGTTCACGTGTTCCCTGCCTTGCATGATTTTCCTAGACATTTCCACAGCAAGTTTGGTGACAAGAGGGAGATAGAGACCCAGGCAATAAGACAGATCCATGATGTGTTGAGTGTCAAGACTGACAAATTCAATGATATTAGTTATGAATTGGCCCATTCACCCAAGACTGTAATTGAGAAGGCCGATGAGAAGTTGGACAACAAGCTCGATGGAACAATCACGAGGATCCACGATGTCAAGGAGCTGGTGCTTGATAAGTTGGACGGCCGCAAGACAGAGTTTATTGATAAGGTGGGACTGAAGTTGGACCATTTGGATGACAAGACTGATTTACTTGCTGATAAGATTAAGGAGAAGGCTGCGGCTGTGTCCAAGTATAAACTCCACCCGAAGATATTTGATAAAGAAGATGCAGTTGAACAAGAAGATAATGAAGTTGAACAAGCAGACGATGAAGTTGAGCAAGCGGAGGATGCAATTGAATTGTCAGACGGAGAACCCGAGGCAGAAGTTCAACCAGAAGCCATCTACAATAATGAGGATATCACCGGTTACGTCAACAAGAGAAACCAATACTACGAAGATACATCAATTGTTCATTCCGATGGATCATTTTCCATCCCCTTATCATTACTCCGATTGGAAAGCGTCCGTGCTGAACTGCCTAGACTGAGATCATACAGCCAGGTGGTCAATTTAGCCACTCAACAACCATTGAAAAGAAGAGAGGAAGTTTCCAACTCCGACTGCCAGCCGATAACCTGGTACAACATCTTCCATTACAGCATTTTTGGCGAACCCAAGTTCTGCAACGACGGCGACACTCCTCTATAGATGTTCTAACAAATAAAACATATAATTTTCTATGTAAAAAAAAGAAAAAGAATAATACACTAACAAATCTATATATAATCCATTCGACTTCCGCTGTTATCGCCATAACCCGTCAGTTGATTGAACGGATTCTGTGGACCACCAGTGGTGCTTGGGTACGAGCTGGACGCACCAGAGGGACCACGGTTAGGAGTCGATCCATAGCTGAATCCTCCCCTGCTTTGGGCGGCATTGTATGGATTACCAACAATGGTGGAGTTGGGCTGGATTGGATCAGAATCAAACATAAAACTGTCACGTTTGGAAGGATCTTCGTAGATGTTGGACGACGAGTTAGTGTTTACAGGATGGTAGGCTTCACTACCGTATACGGACTCGTCTTCTTCGTACTTCTTGGCACCAATAGGTGATGTCTCAGGTCCTCCATGTTCATGTCCTTTCATGGCAGTAGCTCCCAATTCCATAAGCTCCATATCTTGTTGTGGAGATACTTGGTCGTCGGTCTTGCCGAATCGTGGCAAGAAGGAAACACGGTCGTCTTTCATTGGTTGGTAACGAGTATCTGGGTTCTTGTACAATAATGCTAAAACACAGGTGATGATAGTGAAAAGCAAAAGGAACAAAGCAAACACAGCATTAAGGACAAAGTAAACCACAGCCATGACGGACGATACAACTTGTGGTTGACGGAAGATATTCGAGAAGAACATAAAGAACAAGGCGTTGATGGTATTAATGACCCCAATGGTGATATTGAACGCATTAGTTCTCTTATCCATGAATGGTCTGATCCAACAAAGTAAAACAAGGTAAACGAGTTCAATAGCAAAGACAATCACCGATTGGGCCATACCTTGATGTTGTAAAACAGCGACAAATAACGACTTGAGGAAGATATAGATAAGAGTGACGAGGACAAAGTAGTAGCAGTCAGCTCTAAATTGAACATAAAGGAATCCAAACCTGTTGAGGAATTTCCCGTCTCCGAAAAGCAAGTAAGCAGGGTTTTTGAATTCACGTACCGATTCTCTTCCCTTGATCCAGACTCTGACTGCTGCTTGGAATAACAAAACCACGCAAATAACAAGCAAGAATACGGCAACAACGATGGTACCCACGGAATCTCTTTCAACAAATTGCCAAAGACACAATAAAGCCACTTGTGGCAAAGAAAGTACCATTAATCTGTAGATGGTACCTTTGATAATGGAGGCCCATTGTTGACGGTACTCGTTGAATTTCCCTTCATTCATAATCTTACTTCTAATCAAGATTTCAATCACGGCCTTGAAAAGCATCAAACAAACAATCATAACAAAACAGAAAAAGAACAAGAAAATGATGGCAGTCATGTACAAGTCAGTGATTTCAATTCCGGTAAGATAAGCCACTCTTTGGATACCTCGCAACACCAAGATCTTCCCGGAGATGTCCTTGTCCTTTTCATCAATGGTGTAAAGTTTTGGATCTAACTTGTCACCAAGTCCAAACGTTTGTTGATCTAATGAGATATCAGCACGCTTGACAAAATTGACTTTGCCCATATTTGGAATGAAGTCGATTTGATTTAAAACTCCCATGGCGGCTCTCTTGACCATTCTAAGTTTCTTTTGCACGGAGACAGAAATATAGTTTGATCTCAAAATATCGGAGGGAGTACCACCAGTTGATTGAACATACCAATTAGCGATATCTTGAACAAATCCCAACTTGACAATACCCATGGACCACACGAAATTCTGGGCCCACGCAGCAGCAATGGGTGGTACTCTGGCTACAGCCATCATGGCGGTGATGACCAACGATTGGAAGTAAACGAAAAGCGACATAGAATTGGAAGCGATGTGGGCTGCGGTGCTGGAATGACCAATGACGGAAACTACCCCGGATGTAATAACCCCTAAACCAGCCACAGCCGCAATTGGCCATGCGGCGTATTTGGTCTGCACGGTTTTACCATTGGAAAGGACAGCCTCGACACAAGCCAACTGGTTGTTGTTGCTTGAGTCATACACCAATACTCTAACTCTTGCATCTAAATCAGGAATGGTGTAAGCAACACCAGGGATGTCCTTGGTGACTGATGAGGAGACTTCATACAGCGAAGACAAATCCAAGTGACCACTGGTTAAGGGACACAAGGGGTTGTTTTTTGAATTGAATTGATCCTGGTAGTCCAACGAACAAAGAGAGATGTTTCTTTGCAAGATGTTCAATCCATAAGCAATCAAGTTGACGTTGGCAGTGACATTTTTGTTGTCAATGGAGGAGATGGCGTTGACGTTGAATGTGAAGGTGTTGTTGTCGGGGAAGAAGTAGATTTGGAAAAGGGAGGCTGTGAATTGTGAGTTGTCCATACAGGTCAAAAGCGACGTTGATGTGATGTGGTTGGCGGCCATAACCGTCTGGCTTAGCCAGAAGGCAATTAGTATCTGAAGTAATCTCATGGATATATTTGTTTGTGTGTGTATATGTGTGTATACTTCCTAGATGTTGATGTGGGACAAATGTGTGTACCTCCAGATCGCAGTGCTGTGATTTGCTATCGTGGCTGAGTCTGAGTCTGTATCTGTGTATGTTTGTCTAACTGGTATACAGAATCTATCAGATGGTTAATACAAAGTGTCTACCCTGTTTGATTGTGTAAATATGTCGATGTCAACGAGGCTATGTCTGGTGGACTATGTGTAGACAGACAGCAGTTAAAGTTGATCAGTGGTGATTTGAACTTTTTTTTTTTCCGTGTAGGAAATGAATTTATTTTAGCTGTAGGTACTAAAAAATATTTTTTTCTTTAGTATATGTACAAGAAAATGCACAGCCTGCATAGACAACAACTTGAAACAGTTGACAAGAAGAATGCACTTTATATAGGGATTTATATTTTTTTTTTTTTTTGGTTTTACTAGATTTCTTTTTTTTTTGTGCAATGTGTGACATTGCGTAATTCTATAAATAGACTACCCGCTTATCAGAGGTTATTTGGTGCATGATGTAATTTAATTATGAGCACGGTTTTTTTTCGTTGGGCATCACGCTGCAACATGGGGGTGGTCGATGTGCTGCACTCCTTGCGTAATGCATCATGTGGTCAATATATAGATTTCTGTTCGCGATCACCTCACCAAGATCTCTTGTTGTTTCCTTTTGCAGCAATTTTTGTAAACACCAAGAAATTTACCAAATACGCGTATGATGACAATCAATGTCACATTGACATAGCACACGAGGTTACACTATGCGAACTGGCAGTTGGCTGTGCTTCATGGCGATATCACTGGTTTACATAAAGTGAAGAAAAGTTCAAGGAAAGTTTCGTGAGGCCCCTTTGATGATATATGGCCGTATAGCAGTAACATCGTCAAACTATCACAAACACACCTATGATGTAACCACCAGATCATAATCGATCTAAATCGTCCACACGAAATGTAATGGTAAAAAACATTTGTGCATAGCCCTGCATTTTTTTTCGCCCCACTTTGTCGTAATCAGAACTGTAACTTTTATTGGGCTAAACAAGATGAACCAGCTAGTAGACAGATACATTCACAGTTGAAGATACCAGTTTCTCTTTTATTGAAACTTCTCGATGAGACTACCAAAAACTCGCTCAACCTGTTCACCAGACAGTGTCTCAGTCGGTTCACCCGACTTATAACACTACAAATATTCCTATTCAGAAACACATCACACAATTTTCACCATACCCACAAGCACATCAGCGTGCCAAAGTTATCACATTACCGTCAAAAGTAACAAGTACATAACTATTCCCCCACCCACCCACTGGACTCAACTACAGCAGAACTCATTACTCACCCTTTATGCCAATTCTACTACTACTATAATCACAAATGACAACAGTTGCTATTGCCCAAGTTACTATCCATACTGTTGTTCCAATAGCTAAAGCCCAACAACCTGACCCAATCGTTGCACATGTTATAGGTATCCATGCAGCAGCAACAGTAGCACCCGCAATTATCATTATACCAGCCAAAATACTAAGTGAAACATACTTCCGAAAGCTTCGCTTCTCAAGAGCATCTGCGCCTATTGTACTAGCTTTAATAATAGTTTTAATTATATATGTCAACGATGCAGCTATGATTGTTAATAAAATTACAATGATGAAAACTTTAGACTCGAATATTTGCACTTTGTTTATTATCATTTTATAGATGATTTAAATATTGATATCATAACTTAAGATCTATGTCTAAGCGACAAACTTGCGACAAACTTGAGACAGTAGACAAAGAAGAACCATTCCCCTTTTATGCAGTATTTTTGTTGTTGTTGTCGTTCATACTAGTGCCACAATATAACTCATACTAATTTATAGTAATAGTTCTTACCACATGGGACTTTCTTCATACCACCTCCGATATCGAAATGCATGGTACTTTAGTGTAAACAATTTGATCGGCTGTGGTACGAACTTTTGTTTCTCCTTATTATGGATTGTTTTATCAGAGTAATATGAAAAATAAGGGAAAATACTGTAGTTTCCATTTGCAGCAACTTAGCCAAACCCGTAAACGCCAAAAAATTTGGAAAACCAAGTGTTTGGAAATAGGTAACATCAACATCACAACAGTATTTCATCAACTATCACTAGTGATTGGCCTGACATCAACGTTAACGTTAACACAAGAAATGTCAGGGGTATTGACATCAACTCTAGCACTAAAACATGCTCAGATTTCAGTGGTGCCCTTTTCTTTGATTTTGCAGCATTGCTAACGTTGCCAAAGTATCACGAACCACACCTATGACGTAACCATTAGATTGTAAATAGATCTAAATCGTCTATATGAAATGTACGTGTAAAACAGTCGTGCATGGCCCTGTATTTTTTCGGCCCGCTGTCGGCAAACTTCAGGTACAAGATAACTAAAAGGCAAGATGGTTAATAGTTGGAAGGACGTATTCAAAGTAGATGAAGATAGCTTTCAGCTATTGCAACTACCCGATGAAATTATTCTAGAAATATTCAGTCTTCTTAATCAAGTAGATGTGCTCCTGTTAATGCAGACCAACAAACGGTTGTACCAGTTTGGACTTGAGAAATTGTACCGTAGGATATATCTCAATGGAGGTTCCAACTATATAAAATATGTCATCTCAAGCTATACTTACACCCTGTTTTATCTCAAATACACAATCGTCAAGTCAGTAGATAAGTTCATTAACGAGATTCCTACCAATAAGAACACTCATTTGATCAAGGAGGTATTGTCCGATGGCTTAGAACCAAGCGGATTTCACACCATGGCCCTGTTGCCAGGGGTGACATATGAATTTGACACTGATGTTGGTGAGATGGCCTACCGTAATAAACAGCTAGTCAAAAGTTTGGTGCTTAGAGATGAGAATTATCGCGCTTTGAAAGACCATATTGATGACAACCACTGTAGAGAATTGCATATTTCCCGCTGGTGTAATGCAGCTTCATTTGAGATCATTCCTAAACTAACAGGATTGGAAATATTACACGTGTCTGCTATACAGCAAATAATCACGGGACTTAAATTGAATATTCACAAGTTACCACTTAGGGAATTGCTCTTGAAAAGTTGCAAAGTTAAAGATGACATTTTCAGGGATGTACCTGAACTATTCCAGCTTGAAATGGTCGAAACATTCGGTTTTGATTCCATTGATGATTCTATATTAGGTTTGCCCAAGATAATTCCTTATCTCCATAACCTCAAAAACTTGTTTCTTCGTGGTCTGGGAACTACACCTTATGAAGCGGTAAAGCATTTCCCACCCGGGTTAAGATTCTTGTGTCTACATGATGTTAGTTACAGTAAAATCGATTTCTTTGATTATGGCACGGTTATACTGGCCATAAGCGCACATGAGAAATCATTGACCCGGTTGTGTTTGCTGAGTCGGATCCATCATTACATGGCAAACCACTGGATAGATAAAGCATACTCGTTTAAACTTGCTGAAGCTGACAAAGCACGTAACTTGCATTTAATCGAACGAATACTAGCAGGTGGCCGCTTTCCTTATCTAGATACAGTTATCTTAAATGAGATTTACTGCTTTATCAAAAGACAAGGGTCAGATGTACATATCATTACAGTGTAAAACAAATATTCATAAACAATATACATAATAAATATATCTAATAAGGAATACCGTTGGTCAATCTTTGGAACTCGTCGTACCCTTTAGTGTAGAAACTCTCCATTGCTTTCTTAACCAACTTTCTAAAATGGGCCAGCGCTTCCATTTCCAGCTTACCAGGAACAAACCTACTTCTCAAGTTCTTAATAGTAGTATCTTTAAAACATGGCAATCCACTCTCCAACATGGGTGTCACTGTTCTCACAATAGTCTCCATGTATGGACGACAGGCCAAGAACCCCTTGACACACAACTCTTCAAACCATCTGAATGCCTGGGTATTGGTATCACTACCACCCAACACATTAATCATTTCACGTGTAAGTTTAAACGGAGCAACTTCGAACTTAACACCACCTGGGACAATATCAAAACAGAACCCAAAATCAATGTGCAAAACGTGACCTTCTTCACTATACATTATATTACCATTGTGTCTGTCCTTGAACTGGAGCAAGTATGAAATGACCGAGTATGCCGCGAGAGACTTCACCAAGTTGTTTCGCGCCTTTTGGAACTCAATTGAGTTCTCGCCGCCAAATTTGGTAATGAAGTACTCATACAATCCATTGACAGCCTCACGACCAAGCATGTCTCGCGAAGTAGCATTAGGCAACACGTCAATGACCCCACATCCAGGAGCAGTAGCAGTAACTCGGTAAGGGAACACGTACAAATCCAAACCAGCATCACTCCATATAGTCCTAAACATCGAAATCAACTGAAGTGCAAGCACATCCTGACGACAATCATCACCGACTTTGAAAATCGCACTTTGCCATTTGGTGATTATATTGTGGTCCTCGTCCTCCTTCTCAATCTTGAATGTAGCTAAAAATGGTGCCTTGGCATGCGATTGCAATGGTTTACCTGACTTTCTGTTTATATCAACGACGACACCATCGGGATTGGAGGGCAAGTACACACCTTGCTCCAATTGAATCAAAGCCATTTCCTCATCAATCTTCTCCTTCTTCTCCGCCTTGGATTTCTTAATATACGGCTTAAGCTTACCAGAAATACCAGTGACTTGATTAAAGAACCCAAACTCTTTCTCGTAAAAGACTCTGTCGGTAGCGGAGAAACTGGAAATCATCTCGCGCTGGATTTTGTCAAGGGTGGGCTTCAAATCGTCTGGCACTGTACTCTCATCATCTTTGAAGCTGTTGGCAAGCATATTCCAGATGATCTGATGAGCAAATAACTGCGACACTTTGGCGGTTTCCAATATGAATCTTTCCACGTATCCCTTGGCGTCAAAGCGTAGCGATTGCACAATTTGCGGCACGTAAAAGAAGGTAACATTGACATCGTGGTATTCCAAACTTCTCATAGTGAATTGAAGGACATAAGGGTTGGACCCAAATGGTGGAAGAAACAACGTGATGGCGTCAATTGGACAAAGCTTGGCCCAGAATAACAAATGGTGTGAGGGCATAGCCGTACCGGCATTAATACCAATGAAATATTGCACAGCGTCAGGGTAGTGAATAGCAGGAAGTGGATTATCCGTGATTAATTTCTGGAGCTGTTCATCTAAGTTCTTGATTTTATAACGAAGCGAAAGATTGACAGCAAGGATTGGATCAAACTCGTAGGCCTTGGTGATGTGGGTGTTTTGAATTGGATCGTCAATATATGTACCTCTGGTATCCCGTGGGTTCAAGCAGTTCAACCAGACATTAAACTTGGACACCTCATCATCAAGGAAATAAAGCAAAATCTGCTGTTTCATAACCTGGGAACTACTACACTTCAAATGATCCGTCAATCTAGCAACGTCTTTCAACAACGAAAACACACTTTCGAAACGAAGTGCATCCCGGCCAAATGGATACTGACTTCTCTGTCTAAACCAACTCAATCCAGCATCAAGAATGAGTTCCGTAAGGGAACAACTCAGACGACTGCCCAACTTCTTGTGGTAGTTCAACACGTCAAAAGCAAATCTAATCAATTCAAACCGGGGCAATCTTGCCAAAGGGTGGTAGCTGGCCACATTCATTCTGCGTAAACCATACTCAACAAACCGGGTAAACACTTTCAACAAATGATCACTTTGGTTAAGGGTAGCTTCGAAATTGGATCTAAACAACTTGATGATCTCCAAATGGGGTTGGAAGCTGGCGTTGGTCTGGTCAGCTAATTTGTACACACGTGGACTATTTGTAGGAGCATACTCCATCTTGTTGAATTCCGGGTTGTCAATGTCGTGCTGTTGTGAAAACATCCCCTGGGATAAGTCGATTGATTCCTCCCATTTCTTGGCGATTTCTGAGAGCAATAACGTAGACAAATTAGGTTTGTCCTTCATAACCACAAACCAGATAGCAGTAGCGACATTCATGGACTTTTTATCAAATTTAGCAAAGGGAAGCTCAACGATGTATCTAATGAGTTCACCGTGGTTTGAATCGTTAAACAAGACCAAGCCTGCGATTTCCACGAGCAATGAAATGATTTTGTCATTGGTTTGCTCAGACATGGTGTTTCTTGCATCATATACACGATCTCTGATTTCCCGGAACGCCTTATTAGTTTCTTCCTCGGTTCTAAGTGGTTGCTTATTGATGATCTCAGCAATAAAATGGTTACGCCAGGATAACTGAGAGACGATAGTAGGTAATGTGTCCAAATTGGCAGAATTGTACAAGGAAATCGACGACAATTCACGATCATGACTGGATATACTTCCGGCCATTTCAAGGGCAAACGACACCCCAAACTGAATCTTTGATTCAAATTCCACCTCCTTTTCCTGAGTCGACGACACATATGACTGAATCAACGATTTAACATCGATGTTACACTTGTAGAGAAGCAACTTCATCCAGTACTTCAGCTTATCGTGGAATCTCTTAAATGTAGCACTTCTCCATTGATAGTCATCCGACAATAACAACTTAATACCGGTACACTTGGCAATAAATGTCGTGGTGGGTTCATACTGGTGGGTGTCTGCATCCATCAAACTGTCAAACAACAAAGTGAGCAAGTCAAACAAACTAAACAAACTGCGCTTGTGACAAAGAGCACTACTGACTTTATTAATCAACAAATCACAGCATTGCACGGCACAATCTTGCAAGTCCTCAATGGGGTGGCTGCACAACACAAGCATATTCGTGAGCTGCTCAGCAATATAATCGGAACTAAACTGTTTGTTGGCACCAGTGTTGATCAATTGGATGTAATCCTTTACGATCTGGAATGCAATTTGGGAAATGTACTTGTCGGCACCACTGGTTTTGACACTGGGGTCCAGGAAATAAAGCAATATGGTTGAGCAATCACCACTTCTTACTCTAAGCGATTCGACAAACACGGTAGCAGCCAAGAACATGAGCTTAGGGTACGACATGGTTCTATGGATTTCAAAGATCTTTCCAAGGATCTGTCTATGGTCTTTCACGTTATGGTTACTGGATCCTCTTCTAAGCACGGTGTTCAAGTCCAAACTAGTTTCAGTCTTGTCCCAAGAAAGTTCCGAGGCTAATGGTGGAGTGTTGTATGCTATCCGTTCCAACTCTTTGATGTTATCTTGGCAATTTTTGGAGGTGATGTTGTACCCGTGAACAACCATGTTGAACCAGATGTTTCTAAACAAGTCAATGGTATGGGTGCTGGTGATCTTCAATGGCTCTTCCGATTTAGTCACATCGGGCAACATTTCCGCCAATGGTTTCAAGTAGATGGCAATCTGGTCCCCAATTTCTCGGATCTCGGTATGTGGTCGATGATGTTCCAATTGCTGTACATCACCCTTGTTGATTATGGCTGTTAACATCTCGTCCAAGTACGTCATGTACAAGTCCAGCTGGTGGTTCAAGTATTGCACCTTCAACTTACGGGCCAAGGAAATCTGCGCCTCTTGCAAATTAGACAACAAGGTAGTCTTGCGGTGTTCCAAAGCGTCCAAACTGAGTCGATTGAGTAAACGAACGGTGTTGATGAATTCACGTTGCGAGAATGGGGCACATGAGGTTAATCCACGAAGAATAAGCGTACCTATTGGTGATTCAATCTTGGAGATCTTCTGGGAAAGAATGGTACAGGCCAATGAAGGAATGGTTTCATCGTTACACTCTTGGCAAACTTCAATGATGGCGGTGATGGCATTCTCACATACTTTTCTGTAGTCATGTTCGTCAAATTCAACTGATCTGTTCAACAGGAAACTGGAGATTTCCGAGTGTGCAGGTGAAGGCAATTGCAAATCATCAATATATCCATTAGGTGTTCCGCTGTAGATTGTACTGTTATGAGAAGCTCTGGTCTTTCTCTTGGCATCAAACCCGTCATAACCAACAAATAAAAGATTGGTCAACGAGTAAATGGTAGTAACTACAGCATCTTGAGACAATACTTTACTGCACAAACCGACACTCTTACTGGCTTGCAAACAATAACTTGGATCCAATCTTGGGTTAGCCATAACCGAACTGAATGCTCGAGTTAATAATGGACCCACAGTGGCATCTTTAAACACGAGCAAGCTACCAAATTCAAACACTGTAAGTCCCAAGTCCAGATCAAGCATCACTTCTTTGATGCTGATGCAAGTTCTAAACAACCGTTTCAGAGTCTTGAGATCCCAATTGTCGGTAAATGTCCCACAGGACAACACCTGAAGATTGTGACTTTTAGCCAAATAACCCAACTTCAATCTTTTAAACGACGAGTACACAATGTATGGTTCACCCCGGTCTAAGAATTCCAACTTCTGCAATGCCAAATCGGAAAGGGTCTTGATGATGTTCATTTGATATCTGGAAAAGTTCAAATTAGGAGTAAATAAGGTTCCATTCGACAGTTCATCAACGTCGTCATACTTGGAAGCAACTTTACTCAAGATGCAGTGCAATAAGGAGTTGTTTTTGTTTTCAATAATGGCATTGATGATTTGGCACATGATCTTAGCCAACAATTCCAAATACATAATGGGGGAGAAGTTGACAAAGTAGTCGCGATTCAACACCGTGTCGTACTCTTGGGGAGGTTCTTCGGCAAGCTCTTCACAATAGCTTTCAACGTCTGTCAAAAACTCTTCACTGTCAATAGCCGAGTCCAACATGGTAAACACCTTGAATGCTCGAGGGGACACCGTCAAGAACCTGGCATTGGTGGCCAACCCTTGCAACACCCCCAGTAATGAGAGAAAGTTGGAGAGTTGTGGTTCAGCCGTATAGAAGAACCCTTCAATAAACTCGTGGAAAATGTCAATCACGTCTTCCATGTACAATTCACCATACATGAACCCGAGATTGATCAACGCCATGGTCAATTTCTCACCAAGCAACGCCCAGGGGGATATAGTCACGGCCTGGGATAAGATATTGTATGCGAATTGCTGGTCGGGTAATTCAAGCAAATAGGCTTTAAACTTGTCAATAAGCTCCTTGCACTGGTCCTTTGATTTGAATGCCAAGCCGGTTGATTCACAGAGCGATAAAAGTACCTGGTACTCCTTGAGGGAGATTGCGACATGGGACATGCTCTTGTTCTTGGAATACTCCTTGGGTGTTGAACTTAACAATTTCAGGAAATCAGGCTTGGAGATCCGTGGACTGATTTCTTTAAGCGTGGACGCATCATAGTTGACTGTGAGTTCGGCCAACTTGCGCAACGCCTGATCACGGATGGATCCACGGGAGATACCAGCAAAGTCCATCTTGGATAACTAAAGTACTAAAGGGAAAGTAGTAGCTAAAAGTGTTAACTGTTGAGAGTTTGCTGTTTGGTTTTTGGGTTGGCTAATATTTTTTTTTTTTTTTTCAAAAGAAAAATAGACAGCAGACACCGCTAAGAGAAATTTCCCATTTGGGAAAACAATGCAGTCAGTGACGATTTTATCTCCACGCAACGACACTAATTGATGGAAAATATCCCATTATAGGTAACTACCATGCAAGGTACGCACTTGAGTATCACAGGGGAATTATCAATGGTGGGGAGAGGGGGAGAGGGGGAGAGTGGGAGAATGGGAGAGTGGAGAGTGGGAGAGTGGGAGAGTGGGAGAATAGGAGAATAGGAGAGGGGGGTCGATCACAAGTATATCTGATCGTACAGAATAGATCTTGTGTAATCCCTAACTAATACCGATGAAGATAGATCATCGTTTAGGTTTAGGAAAATCAAGGATAATTTGTTTATTTAGACCCAAGCGAACGGATGCAGTATGTACGTCAGGGGGTGGTTCTAAACATTCGTCGCATATGCGCAAGTTTTACTGCAAAAACTAACTAAAAAAAAAATAAGATTTAAGAATAACCTGACCTGATTTTACAAAATGTAACTCTTGACAACTTGTATATAGCATTATCCATCTGATTGCTACTACCTGTTCATATAAATAGCCCGACAGTAGCTGTATTTATTTGTAGCATTTTTCTTTCCCCAATACAACAGCTTATATGTAAGATCGCTTGCATATTGTAGGGCCAATACCACTAGTAGTACTACTATTGAATAACACTAGACACGCACAAGTATATAACAACACACTTACTGCATGATCACTATTTATCTTGGCTACCCTTCCAAGTATCTCCTGGTGTCCACAGTATCCACCACATGTCTAATATTATATCTATGTCGCGCGCCTGATGTTCCTGTTTTGTGTCAGCTGTGTCGCGGATAAATTAATCTTGGCTTAATAATTATTACACAATCATTATATATTTGATTACCTTCCTGCATATAGCGCCATCGATTGCTCACACATTGGGAACACTTCCACTTACAGAATGTGTCAGTCACACACACTCACACATAAACCAAGGTTTATACGGCGTCCAATGCCATGCCTCCCTACCCCAAGGGGTATCCCACACTCCACAATAAACTACACGCACAGAAAAAGCTCGGAAAATGTGGGACGACTATAAAAGTTAGTTCTTGTGGAGTCTGCATATTGGAGGTGGCACTGAAAATCTCCGGAGTAAAATTTTCCGAGATTTTGTCTCAGTGGGTGAACATTCCGCATTTGGGGAGAGAGAGAGGAGGAGCACAATTAAAAATAATTTCTGTCCATGCATTGTTCATCAGTTGATGACCAGAACGTTATTTTTCACATAAATATTTCATCATCTGCAGAAAGTTCAATCATTCTTTTTTGAATCATCAACAAACAACAACAATGTCCCTCCCTGCTAAGCTTGAATCAATCGTTTCTGACATTGAATCTCAATTCTCAATTGATGACGCCTACATTGTCAAGGCAACAAAGTTCTTTCTTTCCTCCATGGAAGCCGGGCTTGCCGCTCCTTCCTCTCTGAGAGAATACATGCCAATGATCCCAGCCTACGTCACCTCCATCCCAACAGGTAAGGAAAAGGGCCTCTTCCTTGCTGCCGACTTGGGAGGAACCAATTTTAGAGTCTGTTCCATCGACTTGAAGGGTGACCACACCTTCGAATTGAAGCAATCCAAATACAGAATCCCAGTTGAAATCATGAATGCTGAAGAATCAGAAGAATTGTTTTCATACTTGGCCAAGAAGGTTGAACTGTTTTTGGAAGAACACCATGCTGACTACCACACCAAATCTAAAGACCACTTGAAATTGGGGTTCACCTTTTCCTTCCCCGTCAACCAAACCGCCTTGGACCAAGGTACTTTGATCAGATGGACCAAAGGTTTCAATATCCCAGACACCGTTGACCGTGATGTCGTTGAATTGTTACAAGCTAACTTGGTTATCTTGGGTATCAACGTCAAAGTCGTTGCTCTTGCCAACGATACCGTCGGTACTTTACTTTCCCGTGCCTACGTCAATGATCCTGCCAAGACAAAGTCAAACACTATAATCGGTGCCATCTTCGGTACCGGTACCAACGGTGCTTACTATGAAACCATTGAAAACATTCCCAAATTAACTGCTGATAAAGTCCCAGAAGGCGCCAAGGGTATGGTTATCAATACCGAATGGGGATCATTCGACAACACCTTGAGTATCCTTCCAAATACCAAATGGGATGTCACTGTCGACAAGGAAACCGCCAACCCAGGTTACCACTTGTTTGAAAAACGTATCTCAGGTATGTTCCTTGGTGAAATCTTGCGTGTTGTTCTCATTGACTTGTTTGAACAAGGACACATCTTTGTCGATTTAGCTGCTGAACGTGGTGGCTCCTTACCCCACAGAGTCAAGGAACCATGGCAACTTGATGCTGAAATCTTGTCCTATATCGAAATCGATGACTCCACTGACTTGCAAATGTCTGGTTTGATCATGCAAAACGTGTTGAGATTGCCAACCACCAAGGAAGAAAGAGTCCTCATTCAAAGAATCACCAGAGCCATCTCACACAGAGCTGCCTACCTTTCTGCCATCCCATTAGCTGCTATTGCTTCCAAGGTCAAGGACCAATACAAGGATGACGACCGTGATTTCGAATTTGGTTGTGATGGTTCCGTGGTTGAATTCTACCCATGTTTCAGAGACACTATCTTGAAGGCTGTGGCTGCCATCGATCCATTAAAGGGTACAGGTAAGAAAATCCATTTGAGAATTGCTAAGGATGGTAGTGGTGTTGGTGCTGCTTTGGCTGCCAGCACTGTTGCTTAACAAAGCAAGCAATGCAATGCAATGCGGCGCAAAGCTGAGCTGAGCTGAGCTGAGCTGAGCAAACGTTATATAGTTTGACTTTTAATGTACAAGATTATTTAAGTAAATATTTAAGCAACTTCTTTGCCATGGCAAAATTTAGATCCAACGGTTTTAATTCTCCCGACCGGAACAATCAAACATGCACACTGCCCACTTTTGTGTCAGGTGGGGGCATATTCGCATCGTAAATTACATGTCATCCACACACTTTTTTCACCAACGCGCGCTTTTTTTCTCACCATACATAACCCGCTGCGAACTCCACATAAATCTAAGTTTGATTCTGCCGAACCTGGGGCGGTTCTTCCGAAAATCTAAAACAATGGGGAAAAAAATAAATTAAATCAAAAATTATTCAGTGATGAGACCTGGTAAGCCCTATTTTCCAGCATATATAAACCCCCCCCCCAGATCTTCCTGTTTCAAAATGAATTCTTCTTAATATCATTAACTAATATCCTATAATCTCAACTAATACAATGTCCTTCACATCATTCATCAAGCCAGAATCCGATACATCTAACGTGATCCCAGCTAAACCAGAACGTCTCAACTCCAACCTCGCCCAACGTTTCCTCCTCACTGACAAAGTCACCGTCATAACCGGTGGATCAGGTGCTATTGGAAGTGCTATTGCTGAAGGTTACGCCCAATCTGGTGCCCACGTCGTCATTTTAGATTACGCTGGAGACAACGGATTGTGTCAACACTTATCCTCAACTTACAACGTCAAGTCCAAGTTCTACAAAGTTGACATCACCTCTGCTGAACAAGTTGAATCAGTTGTCAATCAAATCGTCGAAGATTTCGGTACCATCGATGTGTTTGTCGCTAATGCTGGTATTGCCTGGTATACTGGTTCCATCTTGAACGAAGACTCCACCGTCGACAAGTGGACCCGTTTGTTCGATGTTAATGTCCATGGTGTTTTCTACTGTGCCAAGTACGTTGGTAATGTGTTCAAGAGAAATGGTAAGGGATCTTTTATCATCACTGCCTCTATGTCAGCCCACATCAACAATGTTCCAAACTACCAAACCTGTTACAACTCCTCCAAGGCCGCTGTCTTGCACATGGCTAGAGGATTAGCTGTGGAATTCTCTGGTTTTGCTAGAGTAAACTCCGTCAGTCCAGGTTACACCAACACTAAATTGAGTGAACCTATTCCTAAGGAACAAAGAGCCAAGTGGTGGGCATTGACACCAAAGGGCAGAGAAGCCGAGACTGACGAATTAGTCGGTGCTTACATTTACTTGGCTAGTGACGCTTCTAGTTTCACTACTGGTGCTGATATCAAGGTTGATGGTGGTTATTGTGCTGTTTAATATATATATATATATATATATATACGTGGAATTAATAGAATAATAATAATAGCAATTTAAACAAACGTTATGTAGATTTCTCCATTGAACTTGAATGATCGCGGATCAGACCAATTGCTTTCTTCAACTGTTCCTTCATGACATTCAACTTGGCTTGCTTATTCTGAATATGATCTCCACAAACTTGAATCCTGTATTTGTTAGTAAGTTAATTACCTAGAGGTTAACTGTAGTACACACCTAGCAACACTCTTGTCTCGATCAACAGCACAAAGCACTTCACTCCATGCACTTTGTCTCCGGATCAACAGAGCCAGTCTTTCTTGAAGTGCTTCTATTGATTTGGCATATTCGGTAAGGGCAAACGCAAAACATTCTTCTAATTTATCCCAATTGAAGTGGGTGGTTAATTCCTGGATTAACTTGTTGAATTCAGGGTCGTCGTAGGATTCAGTAAGGATTCCCTTTTCTTTTAAGTAGGCCTCTATATCGGAATTTGTTTCTGGCTTGATATCTGTCATGTTTATTGTCAGAAATAGAAGAAGAAAGTGGTTGTCTAAGCTTGTTTACCTTTTTTTTTGCAGCATTTTTAAAATGTAAACACGAGATAAGATGTACCCAATAGTTTAAGTTGATAGAAGATGATAGTGACAATCATTTGCTCTGGAAGTGAAGTTTGTCCTTTTATTCACAAACCTGTTTTACATGTGCTCAGTATTGCTGGATTATGCTAATGTCTAGTCTTTATGCGGGTAGTAAGTATCAACTTGCAAAATTTGAGCTTGGTAAATCTGTGTGTGTTGATGAGTTCATAAACCAAAAGCTTTGTAAACATGGGATTTCTGTAAGTTTCTAAAACAACGATTTTTGATGACTGGTAAATCATCGTTTGTACAATGATCTACCCATGATGATAGATTTTTGCCCTGTATCAGCTCACACCCTAGAACATTCATCACTCAAGCCAAATCAACCATAAAACTACCCAAATTGTTACATAAAAGATATGAGATGAAAAACTATGCATCATACTTTTTAATCTAGGAAGAAGTGATGATATATTAAGCCTGTATACATTAGAATTCTATATCTTAACAAACCTATAATTCCCTTTGAAGGTTTGTGAACCTAGTGTCATTATGCGCAAATGAACCTACGAATTTTAGGAAACAATGAACCTATGTTTATAGTCTGATCGTCTCATGATTATATATCAACAGTCCCCTGATTGTAGGGTGATAATTGCATGATTCACAGCAAAGCATTTAGCTATAATTGTTTTAAACACACTTGCCTATGATTAGTAAAGGCTCACAAAGCTGCTGTTCTAGGAGGCTCTCCAAACTATGGATTATTTAGGAACTTGTGATGCACCAAGCTAGGAGTTCCACATGCTCACCAAATTCTGCTTGCTTCCGAGACTCATATAGCTCTTATATCGGGCCTCCAGCCATTTCCATAGTTGAGACAACTTCTCATTGTATTGATCTCGCTAGGTTGACTTGACCTTCTAAAGTGGGGAGGCTCTGGTCCCCCCCCCTGTTTTCCCGAGGCAACCTATTCTCGGTAGCCTCTCTTACAAAGGTTCCTTTTAGATTAGCTTTCTAAACACCCTATAGCTTAAACACTCTTGCTGGTCACATTTAAACTTCTAATATTGTGGATAATTCACTCTGAATTGTCGATAATTTTGCCAATTGTTCACTATCCGCTCAACACAACAAACTTTACCCTGGAAACATACTAAAAAAGATACTTTACCATCAAATTCTCCAAACCAGAATCTTATCAAAACATTACGGAGTCATTTCTCAAACTTAATAACCCAAATTATCCAATTATTGACATATTTCCTTGGTAATCACCCATGTCTTGGTCTGGATGCACTTGTTTCCTAATATAGATCAATGTCCTGCATATAAACAGATCTAACGTTGTTGTCCAAAGATTGAAAATCTCCAACTAGATCAAGTCAACCAGTTTCTTTTCAATTCAACCACCCCCTTCTCTACAATGAAATGGATCATATCATTGTTTCTCATTCACTTGGGACTATGTATATCAAAATCACAACCAGGTCCATTATCCCTTCCTAACCTCCTCGACATTAAGGGCCTCTCTGAGCTCAAAGCTTGGCAAACGTTTGGAAACATTCGATATGACGTAGGTCGATTGCTTATTGATTCCTCCACCGTGGGTAAATCTCAAGGTCAAGGTGCAATTTGGTCTCGGAATGATCTTACTAACGCTGATTCTGAATGGACGATCGAGTATATATTTCGGACAAGTGGCACGGCTCGAGACTTGACCTATAGTGACGTCAATGGATTAAGTCTTTGGCTTGTTGACCCAGTACACACATTTCAATTGCCACGTTTGAGTTATGATAATTTCGGTGGACCAAGTTCATATGATGGGTTTCAATTCTTGATTAGTAATGAAGGAAGACCAGGAGTTAAGATTTTCAATAATGATGGATCGAAACCGGGGAGTACTAAAAGTAAGGATGCCATTGGTGATTGCCAATTCCACTTTTTGGACTCGCTGGTTCCATTCACAATTCGTATCAGTTACAGTAAAGCCAAGAGTTGGTTTAAAGTGCAAGTGGATAACAATTTATGTTTCAAGACTAACAAGATTGAATTTCCCAAAACGAAGTTTAAGTTTGGAATGACTGGTAAAGTCGCCCAAGGATCTAGTGAAGTTTACGAGATTCTTGGATTAAGAGTATGGGATCATTTGACCGAGGATGCAATTGATGATCATGGATTATTGAATGATGGAGATTCAAAGGGTGATACTGCTACCATTGTAGTTAAGAAACCCGAACCTAGTGGACCAGCCCAAGTTAGACAATCATTAATGGAAAAGGCAAGACAGCATAGAGAAGAAATGAAAAAACAGGGCCATAATCCACCAGCTCATCAGCAACAGCAACAACCACAGCATATACCTACTGCCAGTGGTGACATGCGTGAAATCAATTCCAAATTAGACCAACTTGAATCCTTAGTGAAACATCTTCAAAGTTCCATCAACAAGCAAGAAACACAAATTCATGATGCGAAACAGAATCTGATGTTACAAAAACATGCCATTGACGACATTACCAAATCAGTAACTGATCTCAAATCAGTCATTGCTGAGCAATACAGTCAATTACTTCAAGCCGTAGCCCAATTAAACCAAAAGGTTATAGGCGAAGTAAGAGAACAACATTATGGGATGGAAGAACTTTCCAAAAAGGTTGATCTCCTCATGGCTAACCATAAGGAAGTTGCATATCAATACGAACGAGAAACTCAACTGGTTAAACCAAGTGCCGGGTTCATGGACGTGATGATTTCTTGGATTCTCGTACCGTTGGTGATTATTCTTTTACTTCTTTTGGTGTTTGTCTATAGACTTAGACACGACATTAAACATTCAAAACTCTTATAGAATAACTGTTTATATAGAAAAGTTTATATACTGTCTTATATTAGCGTCCCCTTCACTCTTTGATTGGAGTATCTGGTGCCTTACTTGGTGAAAGTGATCTAGCTACATCTTCATCAACCAATATAGCACTCAATCTCTTTTTCGGAGAAGATGATCTCTTTAAGGATCCAACTTTTGTAGGAGTTTCCGGAGCACTATCAGAAGAACTATCCTCCTTAGTTTCCTTCTTAGATTTACGTACCACAGTTTGTAAACGTTGCTCCAACCTGGATCTAGAAGTAGCAGCTACACTTTCCTTGGGAGTCAACGCTTTATGTGCGGAACCAGCACGACTCACATGAGCACTATTATCTCTACTTGCACTGTTTGCTGGTCTTGTTGAGCTCTGTCTTCTCAACTCCGTGAATATAGTTTCTTTATGATTCAACAAATCAGTAATGAAATTAACTTGATGTTTATCATTGAGTTCAGACTGTTCCTTTTGTCTTAAAACAAGCGGAGCAAACTCCTTGGCCAACGAAGATTGCAATGTGACGGCAAGAGTTTCATCTTTGGATCCGATAATGTTGATCAATCGGGCAATGTGAGTGAGTAATGCGTCCAAAGTGGCGATATTGCATTTGGGCAAATCACACAATATGTTTTGCAATCCGTTGATTCTGGAACTGGTTTTGGATTCATCATTGGGTGGGTAGTTGAGGTAGAGCAATTTGATCACATCATAGTTGGTACGTGGCACTATGGAATCGGGTAATTCCATGAAATAAAGCTTTAATACATTGGTGATTACCAATGGGTGGTTTTGTTCGAGGATCGAGTTGATATATTGTGGATCGCTGTTGTTATCGTTTAGCTCCGATCTTAATTTGTGTACTTGGGCGAGATGGATAGGTTGAGTCCAGAGATTGATACGTTCTTCATCGTTTTCCAAATCAGGATACACCGAGTCTAAATAACTCAATATACATTGAACCAATATAGGAACAACCTTCTTATCAAGTCTTGATTTAATGTTCAAGTCTACCCCAAATGTCTGTTTAACGTGCGAATCATAATAGTTATCATATAAAACCACGCAAGGCTTAAAACCACCAGTAGCGTAATTTTCAATCAAGAACTTCAAATCGTTAATAGGGTGAATAGTTTCTTCCAATAACAATAATTCGTCATAGAAATTCTTCAATTCGTCCATCCCATTGGAAAAGCTAGCCAAGAAATCAAACATCACTTTTTTGATGGCTTTTAATCTGTCAAGTTCACATTTTTGCATAAATGTCAAATGGTCCATTATAAGCTCTTCAAATTCACATCTGGTTTTGTCGAGATCAACTACACTGGCGTAATATTGTTGGTCTAATTGATTCACTTCTTTAATTAATTTAGGGAGCTGAGCTGGGTCAGTATAGTCGACGGCACCTACGCCGATGGCTTCTTTCATATCATCGAAATATTCTTGGATTTTGGCACCACCTGTTCCTTCAATCTTAGGCACAGTGCCATTTGCATTATTGGTATCTTCGGTTGAACTGGATATTTGTAATTGACTCAACTTTGTAATTTCAAATGCAAGTGGTTTCCATTGGTAGTAGAATTGAGAGCTGTTTATAAATCCTTTACCACTGGTCATAGTTCCGATAAGTCTAATGAATCCGTTATTGATTAATTCCAGAGCAAATTTTTCTGCTTTCTCTAAATTACGATTGAATTGGGGTAAATTGTCAATTAACCATTGGATAATGGAACTTCCAGTAGACACATTGTGGTAAGTCCCCAAAATAGCCACCTTGTGAGACGTCAAGGGGATGTTTGTCAACATGTCTGTTAACAATGCTTTCATTTGTTTATGGTCATAAGTGATGTTGCCGAAATAGTATCTTTCTTCTTCATCGTCAGGAACTTCCTCTTCATAAGCATCCTCTAGTTTCTGTTGGAATGTCAATTCATCCAACTCCTCTCTCAATTCTTCTTCGGTATAATGAGACTTGCATTCTTCCAACATTCTGCATTTGTTAAAGTATCTCTTTTGCAATTTATCCAAATGGGCCTTTTTCAGCTTGAAAAGTTTACTTTTTTCGGAAATCATCAGCTCGGAATATTCAACTCTACCCTGATGCTCCTTGCACCATTTACTGAATGGTGCCAACACCAATGTCTTGATATTGTTGGCAATTTCCAAATGGTATTGGCCTTGTTTGGTGAAATTTTCATTCATCTTCAGGTACGCGTTCTTAATAGTGGAAACATAGTCGTCGTTGAGTTGTCGTTTGTTCTTGGTGGATTTGATGGCAGTTTTTTCAATTGATTCAAGTTGGGTGCCATACAAGAGCTCCAGCTCCATTCTTTTGTGGAAGAGGGAGATGAAATCTTCATTTTCACAGATGCCTTGATGGAGCTGTTCAAATAGGACCTTGAACCCCAGGGAGTAGTCCAGCGTCCAGAATGAATCAGCAAATGACATTATAACGCAGTATAAGCCCTTCTATAGATATATGCGTTATTTAAAATGTGATTGAGTAGTACGTGACGTATTTGGTCGTCAAAAAAACTGGGAACACAGTGTATGGGCTTCTGGTTGTAGTGACTACGTAAATCTAATTTATTTATTTTTTTTTTTTTTTGGAAAGTTCGCGGAGTTTTGATTTCGTTTCATTACGAAATGTGGAATCCAGACAGCCAATAATCATGTATTAATACCGTGTTGTAAAACACATCACCACCTGACTACATTTACCTATTTACATACAAAACGTAAGTTTACTACCATTTGTTTACCATCGTCTCTAAAATCCAATTGGTTTTTCACTACCTTCAGGCATTAATGTCAAGAACTTGTAAACACCCCCCATTTGATCCTTGTCGGTCAATCTTCTATAGGCACCATAGATCTTATCTTGAACATCTGGGTTGCTTTCATTCTGCTTGATCAATTGATCAATACGGTATCCCACTCCGATATTATGTAACCAGTCGCCTTGGTCTACTGGACCATAATTTATTATCTTGCCCTGACTTGCTTGTTTGGATATGTTCACCAAGTTGTCAAAATCTACATCGGCAGATAAATCAACTTCACCAGGTTTGATGAACGGAGAAACAAATTTATGTTTGTAGATTCCACGAAGGGAGTTTTCTGGAATGGAGTCGACAACACCGTAATCCATGATCATAACTGCTCCAAGTTTAGGCTTGAGCAATTGGATCATTTTCATGAGGAATAATTCAGCGTCAGGGCAGATTTCTATGCGGCTGCCTTGAGCCAAGTCACGATAACGTGGAGATAACGCAGGAATCATGGACGACGGAGTCTCCTTTTGTGATACTGTCAAATGGAATTCAGTTTCAAAAAGGTCGTTTTTCTCTACCGGCTCAGTGGTTGCTAATTTAGGTTGGGTATTAGTCACAGTAGGAGTGTGTTCAACCATCAACTCTCTCCATCCGGCCTCGGTCTTGGTGAAACTCTTGATAGGCAAGGCATCAAAGAATTCATGGGCTATTATATAGTTTGCCGTGGCCTCATCATCAACTATGTCCTTCTCGGTATACACCCACTTTATAGCATTCCCCCATTGGGTGGTAGACTTGTTGAATCCTTCTGTTGTAGTTTCAAACTCGTGTTTCTCATCGCATAGTAATTTCCATTGTTCGCGACGTAACACGTCCGACGCTTCAATCATGGTGATTTCAATATCAACAGGCGTGCTAGCCTTGGCTATAAATCTATTGAATGTTCTGAGCGTATCGTACATAAGCGTACCTCTTCCTGGGCCAAACTCGACAAATCGTATTTTCCCAGGAGAGCCTTGGGATTGCCATACCGTGAAATACCAAACCCCAAGCATCTCGCCAAAGACACTCGATATTTCCGGACTGGTAATGAAATCACCACCTCGCAAATCTAATGGATCACGAGTGGTATAATACCCCATCTCAGAATGGGTAAGACATTGACGCATGTATGCAGAAAGTGGAATGGGCCCTGTAAGTTGGATAGTTTGGGCAAATAAATCAGTAAGCGTGTCGACTTTGCGAGCTGTTGATTTAGAAGGCAGTGGGAATTGAGGCATGCTGCCTAACTTGGAACGGATGTTGGATTCACCTTTGATTTCGGATTCAAGACGGGCAATCTGCTCTTTGATTATTGTCCGGGCATTTTCGAATTCTTGTTTGGTGAATTGTCCATAGTTTGACTTGTTGATATCTTCCTTCTTTTCGTTTAATAACAAGCAGGTATTGCTGAATTGACGAGATAGCACACGACTGTAAAGTCTTGTTGTACCTTTGTATAATTGAAGCATTCTACAGTAAAGTAAATTAACTCCAGAATTATTCCTATCACAATTTTTTTTTTTTCAGATCTCTGCTTAAAACTTAAACATATGTTTAATAAACTAAAAACTAGAGCAGGATATACAACGAACTAAAAGAAAACAACAATAGTATATATCCCCAAAGAAAAACAGCTCATTTACAAACTACCAGCTAACCAGTTGATGGACAGTATATCATAGCATCCATGTTAACACCTTCGTTCTTTATATCCTTGACAACTTTGTCAGAATCAACATAGCGATTATACTTGACAGAATAACTTCTGCATAAACGGAATCCTAATTTCAAATAAAAGTTTCTGTTGACAGGATTAGAACTTTCTAAATACATCACACTATTTGGATTTTCAGAAATGAACTTGTCCAAAGAATAGTTGTAGAGAAGCTTGGCAAGACCTTTACCTCTCATACTAGGCAATGTAGCAATATCATCCAAATACCAGATTTGGGAATCCAAATCGTCCAAATTAGCATTAAGAATTTCATTACGAACCTTGATTAAATAAGGAAGTTTATCTTTAAACACTTTAGAACGACATTTACTTAATATGGCCCTGTAATTGAACTTCAATGATGATTTATGGATCTTATCTTTAAATTTGAGATCAGCAGCGGAGAACGTTTCATCTTCATCACTATCACCACTTTCATCACTTTCGTACAAGTTCAAGGGGTTCCATAAAGCAACAGCAAGGTAAGGAAACTTATCAGTGTTTACATCCAATTCGGCAAGTGTCTGTTCTAATTGTTTATCCTTGATGACAAAGATAGTACCGTTGGTGTTTAACACTTCATAAGTTTCATACTCAAAATAAGACAAAAACAAATCCAACTTTTTCCGTTTGTAGACAGTAGCTGGAGTGGTATGTTTATTATACTTGTCAGTATTAAGAATATAGTTCATGAATGGATCGTCTTCGAACCCAAACATGAGTGTCTTGGCTACTCGATGGTAATCCTTAAGGGTTGCCTTTTCAATAGTGATGTTTAATTCATTTGGAATAGATAATGATGAGCTAATCGAGCCAGCTCTTGGTGGTGCGGGTTTGCTTGTAGTTGTAGTTGTAGTAACTGTTGTTGTAAATTTATTTGTATCAGATTGACCATTACCAGGGGAAACAGGGACGGGCAGTCTCAGAAGGTCATGATCAATGCCAATATAACCACCTGAATCTAACAATGAACTGTCTTCTTCAAGGGAAGAAAACATGGACCCATTGTTAGACGCAGGGATTGCATTAACATTGACGGTTAAACTCAGTCGTAAGGAGGAAGCAATGGAAGAAGTAGGGGTGAGAGATAGAATGGGGGACTGGGGCAATGATCTGGGGATTGAGTTTAATATAACCTCCTGAGACGAAAGCAGTCGAGGTTTCCTCTTGGCTGTTGATTCATGGTAATCTTCTGAAATGGGGGCAAACATCATTTCTATTCATCAGTTGAGTTGGTGTTTAAGTGTTGATAAAGAAAGTATAAACGAGATGAAATGGCAAGAGAATTTTAGGTGCTACTTATAGTTATTTTATTAGGAGTTAATGATATCTGGATTGGGCAGAAAAGCGCAAAGCGCTGTCACTTTCCAATAGCTGCAAAATAGGACAAAGTTGAACAATGAGGAGGAGGAAATAACAAAGAACGGAATCTTCCATGAATTTCCGCTCTCAACAAAATGTAAAACTTGCGCTTTTAATCTAAGATAAGATATACCCAAAACAATGTTGCCAGTTACACACCAAGGATTATACTATTGTCTTAAAGGGGAAGTCTTACACATATATATTAGCTACTGACGTAATCAAAAAAAGTGTCAAAATTCCAGATGCGAACAATGCTTCAAAAATGAAACAGGAAATCGGTTTCCGAAGCTTTCTTTTGGTAGGATAACTATAGGATAAGAAATTTTTACGGGTCTAATCAAATATCTTGGTGGTATTTCTCGTTAAAGGTCATGTCATTTGTCTTATCTATTGATAACACAGTTTTGTTTTTGTTTCGTAATTTGAAACGAGATAAAAAGATTACACAAAATCATACAACGACAAAACTATGGAAACATATATCAACAACTCAATGCTTCTATACATTTACAACTACTTTCCATACAGCGATGCATCTTGGTATGTATCAGCTCCAGACGAATGCACCATGTCTTGTGCTATATTCTTAATACTCAATTGTTATACCACTCTCGGAATTGACCTACCGCTTCTCCTCTATCCACCCCTAATTGACAGTTCGGCAGTTAATATGCACATTGATGTAGTACCGCGCAGTACGTGTTTCTAGAAGAGCCCAAAACCTAAACTTAAAAATGTAGAGAAGGATTACAAATCATCACGTGAAAGATACGTTAATTAACATTTATTTCTGTTGGGCTTAAGAACCTTAATTCCTAAGCCTAGTTATCCATATTCAAGAGGGATGAAATCCTAGGCTACTAGGTCTAGACCACCAGCGTTGATTGGTAATGATAATTTAAGAATAATATTATTCTGCAGGCTGCTTTTGACAGGTTTGAATATGATCTCTAACCACGTTGGTCGTATAGTGTTGTCTCGTTTCGGGCCAAAGTCACGCGCCTCATTTCACCCACACCCCGCCAAATTAAATTCTGCCCGCCTTAAATTTTCAACAAAACCCGTCTCAAAATGAAAGCATCCTGGGCTTATTTCCCCTTGTGTAATTGACTAGCAAAGCCATTTAGTTGGCGGAGAAAGCTTGGCTCGCGTCAGAAGGAAGTTTACAAGTACACTTCTAAAAATAAAACTAAATTTTGGTACTAAATTACCATAGCAACACTTAACTCCTAGGTTTCGTCTGATATTCCTATGCCGAATTACATAGTGGCGCATGAATATACACAAACAGGCGGAAGTGGAATGACAGCTTCTATATATAGAAACAGGACGAAGATATACTGATGGTCGGATCGACTCTCATTCAGTCGTGACACATGTATAGAAATATCTGTAAGTAGTAATGTAAAATAGGTTTACACAAGCAAAAGGCTGGTGAACAAGCTAGTTCAAGGCAGTAATTGACATAGAAATTAGCTAGCTGAAACATACTTACTCCATCTATCTTCTCGTTTATTATTTGTAGTTTCTCGTGTTGTTGTTTTTTTGATAATTTGTTTTGCTGTGAATTTCTCATGCGTCAGAGCTCCGTAATCCATTTTAAAACTTACACATTCGTGGCGAGGGAACAGCAAACAGCTAGAGATAGACCGACGGAATTGGCTTACACGAACTAGCATTGGCTAATTTTTTTTTATCACGTCATTGACTCATTTCTTCCCACGTCCGATCTTTCGCCCCAAGGTTCACCCCGGCCCCCCCCAGCAAACCAAGCCAGTCAAAGGAAGAAAAAAAAAAAAAAGAAAAAAGACAACAGCATTCAATTTCAAGTAACCTCAACATTTTTTTGCCGAGCTAACCCTGTAGTTCTTTTCACTGTGTTGTTATACCTCCATTACAATATAACGTTTGTGTATTTCCAAAGTGTCATCCAGTACTTGATCAATACATCGCACAGCTTTTTACATTCAACTCAACCACATCGTACAAACTAAATCACTACTCGCTGACACATTCACTTAATAAACCCCAATATCTTACACATACACATTAGTCATCACCCAGCATTTTAACCCAATCAAACAATCATACACAATCAGATACATAAAAAATGGGTAATTCATCATCTAAACTGCCTGGACTTAAACCTGTACCATTAACACGAACAGACACCTCTAATTCAGCCAAGTCTTCTCGTTCGGTTAGACTGCGGTTGTCTCTATCCAGTATCAACAGCGGTAATAATAACAGTAATAATAATAATAATAATCACAACCACAATCATAACAATAGCGGGTCCGCTATTATAGATGATGACGATACTGGTCAAGCAGATCTCAATCCAAGATCACCTAAGATCTTGTCAAGAAAAGGTTCTGAAATTGGTGGATCACGTCCCAGTTTGAGTGATGGGAATGGACTTATACCGCCGAATGATGTTAGTATATCCCACAACAACAGCTCATCCAACCTTTCCACCTCGTTCAATGCAAATTTACCGCCATCCATGATGCAAATCCCGCCCAAGGAACCAATATTGATTCGAAGAAATACAAATGATAACATGAATTCAGTAAGTTTGGATTCAACTGTTCCTAACTCACCAGTAGCGCCGTCCGTTATCAACAATATCGGCGCCAATAACCCCGTGTCCAGAACTTCAACCAATCATTCCATAGCGTCGTCAAATAATAACGGTATATCACCACTACCTTCAAATGGAACACCCAAGGTATCATCTTCGGTTCCAACCACACCACTTCCTAACAATAGCAATAGTTACTTCAATCTGAATAGTAATGGCAACGACGATAATAGAAGTATTCATAGCCGGACTTCTCTGGCTGGTGATTTAACCGAACTTTCCAAAACATCATCAATCAACAGAAATGTCCTTCAACAAAGCACAACTACGTCTTCAGTAGCAGGGAGCATAGGATATACTATCGACATTGAAGACCTTATCCAACGTTTATTGGATGCAGGATACAGTGGTAAACGAACCAAGAATGTGTGTTTGAAAAATAACGAAATTCAATTGATTTGTGCTACGGCTAGAGAAATATTCTTGTCCCAACCTTCATTATTAGAATTATCTCCTCCGGTGAAAGTTGTTGGAGACGTACATGGTCAATATGGTGATTTAATTCGTATTTTTACAAAATGTGGATTCCCGCCTCTGACAAACTACTTATTCCTTGGTGATTATGTTGATAGAGGAAAACAATCCTTGGAAACAATATTATTATTACTTTGTTATAAGATCAAGTATCCTGAAAATTTCTTTTTACTTCGAGGCAATCATGAATGTGCCAATGTTACCCGAGTCTATGGATTCTATGATGAATGTAAGAGAAGATGTAATATCAAGACCTGGAAATTGTTTATTGATACGTTCAATACTTTACCAATTGCAGCTATAGTGGCAGGCAAGATCTTTTGTGTCCATGGAGGATTATCACCGGTGCTCAATTCCATGGATGAAATCCGTAATATTGCCCGTCCTACCGATGTCCCTGATTTTGGGCTCTTGAATGATCTTCTATGGTCAGATCCTGCAGATACTGTGAATGAATGGGAAGATAATGAACGAGGAGTGTCGTACGTGTTTTCCAAGGTTGCTATAAACAAATTCCTAACCAAATTTGGATTTGATTTGGTTTGTCGAGCGCATATGGTTGTTGAGGATGGATACGAGTTTTTTAATGATAGAACGTTGGTTACTGTGTTCAGTGCCCCCAACTACTGTGGAGAATTTGACAATTGGGGTGCGGTAATGAGTGTTAGTGAAGAATTGTTATGTTCATTCGAATTATTGGACCCATTGGATAGTGTTGCATTGAAACAGGTTATGAAGAAGGGGAAACAGGAGCGTAAATCTGCCCAGAGTTTACAAAAGAGTCAGAGGTGAAGAGAGTAAATAGCAAGACACATTAAGTTTTATTTGATGATTTTTCTAATTATTAACTAGGGTTAGAATATGTCCTAACAAATGTATAATGAATTTTACATTGTATAAGTGTAGTTCGATGCAACCAATAGCATTGCATACAAAAGCGTAATCTTTGTCGACGACTGTAATTACATCGTCTATTTCATGTCTCTTGAAACAAATTACTGCGACTGGAAGCAGCAATATTTAGTTTCATGCATGCATGTCGATGCAGGGTTTCAGTTCCCACCGTCCCTGAAATCCTTGGCAGATCTGCAGTCTTTAATGCAAGATTTCGTGGCAGCCCTCTCCCCCTTTAGATAGCGCGGTAAGTGGCAGGTTTGTGGGTGCTTGGCTGCAACGTCTTGGCAGCCGCGGCGTTTTCGTGTTGATAAAGGCAAATAATATATGAGCATCTTCAAAGCCTTCTGGCAACTGAACAAATCGTCAAATCTCGTGGAGTGGCAGAAACTGCTTGTATGTACGTTAATCCACAAGACAAGCTGAGATCTTTCAAATTGATTCAGGTTGCAGATGGTTTAAGAAAGTGGGATGAACATTGATAGTTTTTTGTAATTATCTAGGGAATTACCGTTTCGGTGAATGCCAAGACAAATCGAGATAGCAATGATTTAAGGCGATCATCATTGCATATCGTGTAGCTGTCTACGGCTAATCGGCTTAGAGCTTTCACGCGGCATTTCTGATTCACATGAAACTAATCACTGGATGTCTAACTTTGTTGTAGACCTTGGCGTTCGCGTACTCCTGCCGTGGATCAACCCTTGACAACAGATGTCAAAAATATTATCCCTCATTGTCAAATTATTTTGCATGACAAGGTACAAATCGTTTTGTGAACAAATGTTCTATTATCATTTTCCCCCCTTTCATTATAAGTATACACCACAAAGATGTTCTGAAAGAACAAACCAACCTATCCTTACGAAAATTATTATTTACCTCGTAAACTTATTATTTCGCAAATCTGAGCAGATTAATGTTTTTCTTTTAGGAAGAGCTATAATTAGTAAGTCAAACATAAAACCAAAAAAAAACAGAATTACGAGCGCGACATTTTTGTTAGTATGCAAGATTTTATTTTTTTCATAGTCCTGTGTACAGCACATGAGTACGCATTTGCGTACATGCAAGTTCCCGGATATTAGCAGAACTAAAAATGTGTAGACCCTGTGGTTAAAAAAAATAGTACGAAAAAAAACGAGCAAATGAAACGAGTTAACAATATTCACAGCTAAAGTCTAGATCTGTATCTTTGCCACACATTCCGAACCCTTCCCGGTAGGCAGCAACAGTACTAGGAACATAGCAACAATAACCTAATTCAGGAACACTAGGTAAAAATTTTGGATGTATTTTTTTCGCCTTATTTTTCTTAGCCCATTTTTTAAAATAGCTGAGCGCGGATTCTCGCCCATACATGCATGTGGAACTTGTTCCTGCGGCTTGTGGCTAGAATATTATTAATTATTTCATAATGAGGGTTGATTTTGTGGTTATCGGTGTTGTGCCATATTTCCACCATTTTTTGAGGCGGGTTGGTTTCTTGTTATTTTAGTCGATCAGGTGGTTTTTAGTACTGAGCAAAGCCATAACAAGGCGGTGGTTTCTGGAAAAGGTAGCACATCCCCAGGTGGGGTGAGTGGTGAGGGGACTGTTTTTAGATTACACGACCATATGACTGAAAATTTCACAAAGACGCCCTGGGCTTGGCGACGAAACAAAAAGATCCCACGGTAAATAACCACGGTTAAAAAAATTTTTTAAAGAATTATTAGTTTTGTTTGCTCCCCCTTAGACTTGACAGGTGGTGGCTAGTTTTTTTTTAATTTTATGTCTGTCGGATTAATTTCCGTAATACTTGTTAGGTTTTCCGAGTTCTCATATATTTTGCGGGTATTATATAGTACATAACGTTAAATCTAGGGTATTTACTCACTTTCCTCCTCTTTTACATCAACAGAAATCAAGCTATTAATCGTAGGCTTTTTAGAGATAGTAGTATCAACCAAATCAGGCGTGGAAAGGTCTTTGTCATTTTCGTCAATAAATGATTTTTCAGATTTAGGACTGCTGGTAACGATTGAATTAATGGAAAGCACTTGGGTCAACAGTTGCAGCAGAACTAATTCTTTGTTTTGATCTTTTTCATCATTCAACACATCTTTTAACCAACTTTTTGTTTGAACGATTGTAGTAGTAGTAGAACTGGTAGTAGTAGCAGCAGTAACGTTGCTTGTTGCTTCCAGGGTTGTTGTCGTACCGTTCAACGGAGCACTATTAACTTTCTCAGGCGAAGATGCCTGCCAGTTGGTTGGAATAGGTAAATTCAGCACCGAAGGAAGACTAGCTGTACTGCCACCACCATTACTTATCACTGTAGTCAAATTTGTAGCTGAAGACAAATTATGATATGAAGACAATGGTGACTTACTGGTCGATGTGGAAATTATTGACGAGTTTGGATTCAAATTACTGCTGTGAGGTGAATTATTTCTTAGAGAAGTTTGACCAAACGATTGGTGGAATAAAGGTGATAAAGGACTTATTAAATTTGAAGATGGAATTGAAGATATGGAAGATGCTGATTTTAATGGTAATGGTAGGGTATTTGGATCCAAATTGAAACTATTATTGGTAGGTGGGGCTGATTTTAATGGATACATGCTAATGTGGTTATTATGATAAGTTGATGGCAATAATGATAAAGGTCTTGGTCTTCTTTTTGGGTTGAACTGATGTTTTGGTAATTTTAATTCGTCTTGAGGTAAAGCTTCCGAAGTCGAGTTAGACGAAGCGGAAGATGAAGTAGGAGTGGAGTTTGAACTGGGTGTGGTTGTTCCTGTGACGTGATAGTGTGGCAATGGAGTAGTTTGTTTGTTGATATATTGATACTGACTATAATAGCCATTTGTTACTGGAGATTGTGCTTGATATTCACCACTCACGTAAACTTGAGCATACTGTGGTGGTGGGTATAATGGAGCTGAATGAGGGGCAGGATAATAGGCTTGTTGTGCTGCAAGCTGCTGCAGTGGTTGTGGGTGTTGTGGCGGTGGAGGATGTAGTTGCAGCAGCTGCTGTTGCTGCTGCTGCCGTATCAGTCTTTTTCTTGGTTTACCATTATTCCTATCGTCGTTATCATCATCACCAGAAACAACATCACCATTCCTATTCAAATAAGTTTCATAAGCATGAACTGTTTGCTTATGTTGACGTAAATTGTCTAACCGGCTGAAATTCTTGGAACAATATGGACATGTAAATGGTCGTTCACCAGTATGTTTCCGTTTATGTCGGGCCAAATGCTCACTTCTGGTAAATGACATACTACACCCAGGATATCCTGTGCATTGAAACACGCGACCCTTTGATGTGCGTTTAGATTTATGTTGCTTGTTTGTGTGGCTAGAATTGTCATTAGCCGATTCGGAGTAGGCTCCATTTGTAGTGGCTATAGCCGAATCGGTGGTGGGAGACGGGAAATGAATGTGGGTTTGAGTAATAACCGGAATTGAAGAAGGCACATGGTGTGAACCATTAGTTGTATGAGGCGATGTAGGCTGTTTTGTCATGGTTAACATAGGCATATAACTTAACATTTGCGATTATTGTAGTATAGTAAGAGCAGTTGAGTTTCTGTTGTTAATTGGATGGGGAGGAAGGGTGGGCTCACCTAGTATATTCTAGAATTCAGTGGAATGTAATAGAATCTTAGTGATGTATTGGTATTGTTTATGCTAATATAGGTTGAAGTAAAGAATGTCAAATGGTAATGAAAGTATGGTGTATGGGAAATTGGTATAGATTTTTAGCGCCCCCAGGTTGTCTTGTTTATTTATATTCGAATTGAATAGAAAAGCAAAAAAAAAAAAATTAAGTTTGTATGCACGTCCAAATTTATATTTGTTTTTGTCGGTTTTTTTTTTTTGTCAAAAGAATGTTCCTTGAAATTATACAAGCTACATTTTTTTTTCTTGTTTAATGTTTATACTTTAAAAATAAAACAGCTTTTTTTTTTTAATTAAAACATTTTTTTTTATCACTAACTTAGACAGGACGAAAAAAATAAAGAATAATAGAATTACGAAAGATTTTAAATTGTTTTTCTATTTCGTCCCGCCCCTGGTCTGATTATTGACTGTTGACGGGACGGGACTTTTGTTATACCCGTGTTTTTGTTCTATCTAATTAAGACAATTCATATTAACAATCAAGTTTTTTTTCTTTTAAGTATTTGACAACCCCAAAAAATAAAATATTTTCAAGAATTTAAAGTTGAATAAAAAATCATTCTCCTTGAATGCTATTCCCCCTCAAAAATAATCTAACTACGAAAAATCTTGCTCAAATGACTGGCTCCCAAAAATATATTCTTAAAAAAATATATTTTAATATACATGATCAAATAAAATAAAATTTGTCGTACATGCATTTCGTGAAGGGCCAATTAGATTTTTAAACACTAACTATCAGGCATATTATAGGCCAAGATGCATCTTTGGAAACGGGGTTTGGAAGGGTTATATCCCTCCCCTCCCCTGCGTGTAGTAACCTAAAAGTAGGTTAGCATGAATAAACAAAAAGATCTAGTTTAACTAAAGAGACCTTGGTTTTGAACAGATGGCTCCAAAGTCTTTGTGTTTTTAAAATACAACCCGATTTTCAGTTACAAAACGAGAGAAAAACAATCAAGAGAGACATTTATTATTTTTTTGTTCCTTCTCCTTGTCCATTTCAGCGACATTATTTTCTTTTTTTTTTTCTTAGTGTGCCTTTATTATTTTTTAAATCGTGATTTGGGGCTAAATCACTTGTGCATAATGTCACATTTTTTTGAGTGATCGATACTGGTCAGATGATTTGAATGATAAGTTTGAAATTAACATTGTTAGACGATGACAATGTGGGGGACTATCTAGGTTGAATAGCTTGTTTTGTGGTCTAAATTGATTATAATTAGAAGTCAAATTATACCCTACCACCCCCAGATTAATGCGCTTGGCGTGAAGTTATGTAGGGATACCAAAAAAGGGTTTTATAATCCCTTTTTTTTGAATGACTCTTTCTTAGCCACTTTTCCAAGATCTGGTTCCTTTCTGGTACCTTTCGCTACAGCCCAGACAGTCATGGCACACTGTAGAGTTAAAATTAAATTATATAAACAAAAACACACAAAACTGAAATGTCGAAAAATAATATGAATTTTTATTTTTAATGTATGGCCATTATTTCATGTATGAATTAAAATTGATAGATTTATTCAAAGTAGGTATTGTTCTAAGCAGTTACGAAAAGTTTGAAATGGAAGGCGGTGCGAATGTTAGATAAAGAGAAATAGAAGCGATATACGAGATGATGGTTGTAATTCCATGCCCCACTTGTTGAAAAAATCAGGCGTCGCTCATTATTCCTAGTTGAATTTTCCGTGATGCTTACAAATATTACCTAGTCAAGAAGTATGCTATTACGATAGTTTAATCTACGCGTACTCGCCCCCTCATTTAAACTTGTGTCTCATTACACTCCAACTCTCCTCTTTTTCCAGCCCATGTGGTTAGGAAACATACCTAATTTAACACAAATATTTCTTGGTACAAGTTTATTAATTACATCCCCACATTCCAGAGGATTTTGAAATGCGCCTGATTAATTAATAAGCCAGGTACATCCATTTATTTTCATAATCTAACCCACCTGGGGATTTGCGGAAATATGTGGTTAGTGCAATTTCTTTTTTTTTCCAGTTATTTTTTCAAATTGGACATGCTTCTAGACGGGCAACTAATTTTGTGATTATTTTACTGTACAAGCTGAAGTACAACGGTTGTAAAGTAATGCGATATAAAGAGATATAGATTCAGGAACACATATTGTGAAACAGTGGCCTGGTTTATTTTTTAAGTTGGTGAAATAGGAGCAGTACGCCTTGCTATCTGGAATAGTTTCTGTTATCAGTTACTAGGCGATCTGGATCTAGTTCCTTACGGAGATTCACCCGGAGTTAAACCAGGCCAAAATGTAACGCAACATCGGCTACTATCCTTGATTATATTATTACTATGGCTATATGTTCGTATAAACAGTACTTAACAGCATGTACTTGTTGATTGTGAAGCTTGATTTTCAATACTAATATCAATAGTTTCTGGCTTTGCATTAGCATTATCATTGGCATCATTACTATCTTGGCTAAACTCAGGTAAAGACTGAGCAATCTTTTTAAATAATAATTTGACATTATGATTTGCCTTTGTTGAAGTTTCAATGAAAAATTTTGATCCGATTTTATTATGTAATTGCTCAACATCTTCCACACTAACTTGTCTTTTATCATTAGCCAAATCCAGTTTATTCCCTACAAGTACTATAATCACATCATCACCTCGTTCCAACTTAACGTCCTTAATCCACTTATCCAAGTTTAAAAATGACTTTTTGTTGGTTATATCATAACATATCACGGCAACGTGGGAATCACGAATATATGAAGGAATTAATGATCGGAATCTTTCTTGACCAGCAGTATCCCATAATTGTAATCGAATTGTCTTTCCTTCTTCTAAGTACATTGTCTTGGACAAGAAATCTATTCCAATGGTAGCAGCATAAGTTTCATCGAATGTATCATACATGAATCGAGTAATTAACGAAGTTTTACCGACACTTTGGTCACCCAAGAAAACAATTTTATATTTTCTTAAGATGTTGGATTTATCTGGCGAACTCATAGTATGTTATATGTTATGGCTGTGTATGGTGTCCTCTCCGTTGACAAGAACTATGCTGTAAAATGTAAATGTTTCTTTTTTTTTGTTGGTAAGTACACTCTTGATATATGATGTGTACACAATCTATTGTCTATCCACTTCTGTTTTATGTGAGTATAGTGGCGTGTGTGTACTATCCCCACTGTTCGTTGTTTGGTTGTTATTTCTCCCAGTTTTTTTTTTCTTTCCAGGTCACCAATTTCTTCCAACGGAATTTTTTATTTTTTTTTTTTCGGGTACGGCGTAGTGTGATATAGACAGGGGGGAAAACTGGTTTCATTATAGAACAACTGCCAAGTAATCATGGATGACGCAGAATTGAATGCAATTAGAGCGGCTAGATTAGCTGAACTTCAAAAGAATGCCGCTGGTGGAAGCGGAAGTGCTCCCTCATCATCAGCTCCTACAGGTAACGCTGGATCATCAGCAGGCACCGATGACGTTGCCAACACAATCTTGGCCCGTGTTTTAGATACTCACGCCAGAGAAAGATTAAACCGTGTTAAAATGGTAAGACCAGATAGGGCCCAAGCTGTCGAACAATATATTCTTAAATTATACTCCATGGGCCAATTGCAACGGAAATTGGGCGAAGATGAAGTGGTGGAAATATTGGATGGTATAAGTAGAGATAGTTCTCAGAAAGCTCAAACGAAAATTACATATAATAGAAAGCATGTGGATGATGATGATGACGATGATGATTTCTTTGATTAGTGTTTTATGGTCTGTGTATAGAAGTAAGGATTGTCATTATGTGTTTACTGTATGTAGAGGTCACGTGCATGTTGCCAAAATTTTGGACTTTGGAGAATGGCTTTGTGAAAACCCTTTAATCCTCCCGACCCCCATCTCTTCTTTCTTAAAACCTTTCTTCGGTTGATCTATTATCAAACTTAACACGAGAGAATTGTTAAGTATCTTTTTTTTTTTGCTACTTTGGCTGTTGTTTACGTTCTAGTTACAAATCATAAGGATCGTGTCATATTTTTAATTTCACTTTCTTCTTTGCAATATCTGGGTTTTGTTTCTCCTAGCACTACACGCTAGTTGATAACATGCACAGAACTCAAATGTTATACTAACCGAACCAATACCAACCATAGAGAATTCACCATACATAGCCATGGTGTTTCAAACCACTTAGATATTCTTGTTTGTGAACATTCGCGCTACCACAATTTTTGGTGTTTTTTCTGTTTACATATTTTTGTTTACATTTCCACAAAGTTTTGTTTCCAGTTCTTCTTCATTACTACACCATACAATGTCCAACATCCAAGTAGTTGTACGTTGTCGTTCCCGGAATCAAAGAGAGGTCGACGCGAGGTCACCTATAGTTGTAGAAATTCCCAATGACAGATGTTCCATTGATGATCCATACATTACCGTCAACTATAATCATATCACCACTACAAATACAAATACATCTTCTTCAACTGGCTCATCATCACCCTTACTTTCAAATCAAAGAACATATAAAGTAGACCAAGTTTATGGATCTCAGGCTGATCAATCACTAGTGTTTAAGAACGTAGCTCTTCCGCTTTTCAATGAGTTCTTCAATGGGTTTAATGTCACAATATTAGCATATGGACAAACAGGAACCGGTAAGACATTTACCATGTGTGGTAACGAACCAGATATAGACAAGCTTGAAGAATGCGATGAAAACATTGGGATTATTCCTCGTGTGTTGCATGAATTGTTTAGCAAATTGAAGGACTCTGATTGTGATTATGTCGTTAAATGTTCGTACTTGGAATTGTACAATGAAGACTTGAAAGATTTGTTGCAAGAAGATGCTCGTCCTTTGAAGATATATGAACAGAATGGGAAACTGGGAAAGTCAATAAAGATTCAGAATTTGTGCGAGCGGCAAATAACGGATTACAAACAAGGTTTCAAATATTTAAAAATGGGATTAGACAAACGGAAAACAGCAGCTACCAAACTAAATGATGTTTCTTCAAGATCACACACTATATTTACCATCAATTTATATAAAAACCACGGAGAACAAGATTTATCTGGTGATTCCCGTTATCATATAGCTAAGATGAACTTGGTTGATCTCGCTGGCTCTGAGAATGTTAATCGTTCAGGATCAATAGTTAAAGAAACTGGATCTATAAACCAGTCCTTATTGACATTAGGCAGGGTTATCAACACGCTTTCTGAACAAAAACCTAACCAACATATACCGTACCGTGAATCCAAATTAACAAGATTATTACAAGATTCCATAGGCGGGAATACAAAGACAACATTAATTGCTACCATTTCTCCTGCTAAAGTAAACATTGATGAGACTTGTTCAACGTTAGATTATGCCAGCAAGGCAAAAAATATCAAGAATATACCCCAAATTGGTCACGAATCCGATTCAATAATGAAGAAAACATTGGTGAAGAATTTGTCTGTGGAGATTGTGAGGTTAAATTCAGATTTGGTGGCTACCAGAAGTAAGAATGGGATATACCTTGATCCCGAAAATTATCAGGATTTAGTACAAGAAAATGAATCATTGAAGACATCATTAAAAGAATCGCAATTAGCAAATGAACTGATACGATTTAAGTTACAAGAAGTTAAGGAGTCAAGCAAGGTAGAAATCGACAAAATAAAATCAAGAATGAATAAGTTGGATGGTAAAAATAAACAACTACTGACTGACAACCATGCTTTACTAAGTGAAACCCAAAAGATGCTGATTGAAAATGAACAATTGCGACAGAAATTGAATCGAGTTTCGGTACAGATGACTCATTCTTCCGACAAACTATCCAAAGTTCTTTTTGAGAATCTCAACAGTTCAATTACTACAATTAAAGACACGATTACTAAAGATAGCCAGAAACACAATATAGACGATTTAATCCAGGCCCAACTTCAATTAACTTCCCAACTCGAAAAATATAATCATGATATCGATCTCAAAGTCAAAGCTTCAAATGATAAAGTTCGCTCACTTGTTAATGACGGTTTACTGAATATCCTTGATAATTATAGACTATTATCAGACAAGATACTGACTAACCAACGAGAGTATATAATTTCCCTACAACAACAAATTTCTCAATTGAAACAATCAAATGAACAACTTGCAACTTATTTGAGTACCGATAGATTGGCATTATTAAGTAATAACTTATCTGAACAAATTACTGGGATAACAGAGCTGGTCTTTACTGAATTCAAGAATACCATTATAAAATCTATTGATGATAACAAGAACAAGCTTTGTAATAGTCAACTACAGGCAGTACGTGGAAATGTCGATAAAGAGAGTCAAATTTTGCAACAACACATGATGTCATGGCGACAGGAATTAAGCAATATTTTCCCTCTGATTGAAAAAGAAGTTGGTGCCCATGATCAAAATGTTCAGTCTTCTATGAAGAGTGCTGCAAATTTTGGTAAACAGGGTCAAGAAAGGATTAACGAATTATTACATGAGAGCAACACTTTTTCATTATCTGATATACCACAACCTGATATTACCAAATTAGAGACGATATCCAAGAACTTATCCACTGATCATGATAAGCTTGTCGAAGATTTAACTCATGTGAAGAATAACCTTGGTGAGATTGAATTATTTGATGCCAAGAATGCATTCAAGATATCTCCAATTAAAATAGCACAATCAACAGCATCTCCAGATAAAAAGCAGCTGACTCCATCACGTCGTTCCCCACCAGCACAAGTATCAAGGATTGCACGTGCTTCGACTATAGTGGGTAGTGTTCGGAATAGAGATGATACTAAAATACCAAAGTTAAATCGAAGTAAATCATTTGATGATAAGGAGAACCGTAATGTCAAGAGAAGAAAGATTTTGCAATTGATCGATAATCAATAGAAGGATTGTACTTTCCTATATTAATAGCTTGTTTTTTGTTTTGTTTTGTTTTGTTTTGTTTTGTTTTGTTTTGTTTTGTTCCAGTGGGGTGTGTATATTCAACTGCTGTATTAATAATAGATTGGGTTAGTCTGTTTATAGTTGTACAATTAATAGATCTTTAATTAGGTAGGTTGTAGATGGAAGTGTAACCTACAACTTCTGTTTTGCAGCTGTAAACTATCCTAATCTCAAATCCTGCATATAACAACAGCACCCTTTCTGGGGTGTGCGTGTGAGAACTTAACACCCAATTCATTTTACCCGTTCCGTAGCAACAACTATACACATAATTCTTACAAATCCAAACTAGAGTGTCTATTGATATCGGAATATATACATGACCATGATATCTAAGGGAGTGCGTTATTTCATAGGCTACTCAGCCATTTCCGTGGCAGCATTAGCCTGGTCCATATATGATTCATTAACCACGTCATACAACTTCATCATGTTCTTGATTGAAATCTCGGATGGAATTAAACTAGGAATCACAATCAATTCCATAATATTGGCGTTCATATTGACTATAAAGCTACTACAGTTTATATTATTTGGATCATTACGAATAATTGAAGTGGAGCACATTTTTGAAAAGTTGCCCTTTTTCATAATTGGTACGTTTTTAAATCTAGCTACGGGTGACAATGACATTATTTTGAATGTTCTTCTTATGGGATTGTCGATTATGTTCAAATTCATTCACATTGTAATGTTTGATCGATTGGACTTTTTGAACTTGAGGATAGTCAATAAATTGTCAAGTGGTGAAACTGTCACTATTGGTACTGTGGTTAGACATTTTGCGGGACTGTCCAATTTTTGGTTGAATATCATCTGTGTTGTGCTTGATTTCTTTATTGCCAAGTTCTTGGTGTATGATGTGTTCCAAGGGATCAATTCCGTGACCTGTTTATTGTTTGGTTTTCAATTTGCTGTACAGGGTGTAGAGGCGTTGACTAATTTTGCCAAATTGATGTTGGGAATTTACGAACTTATATTTTATAGAATTGAACGAGGGAGCACGGTTAGATCTGAAACATCTATCGAGACAGTTGAGCCAACCCAGGAAACATCTGTTGAAACAGTTGAGCCAACAGAGGAATCAACAGAGGAATCAACAGAGGAACCAACAGAGGAACCAACAGAGGAACCAACAGAGGAACCCACAGAGGAGCCAATTGAGCAACCATTAGATGAAGATTTATTTGAAGATGATGACGATTTTGAACGGATATGGGAAAACAAGACTTACTACAGTAAGGGAATAGATATTGGATCTTCGATTCTAACAGCAGTCTCATACCTCGGGTTCATATACTTGTTGATTTTCGAATCGGGTCTTAATTTACCTTTGTCAATGATACAAGGAACATATTCTGCTGTACGACAAGCATATGTCCAAATAAACCAATTGCGAGTATTTATTGAATCTTCAAAGAGATTAGACACCCAGTTAGCAAATGCTACTACAGAAGATTTGAATGAGTCAGACAACTTGTGTATCATCTGTCGTGAAGATATGCATTCAATTGAAGACTACGAGAGATTATTCCACAAGCCTCAACCTTCAAGAAGAAGTCCTAAGAAATTATTATGTGGTCATATCTTACATATGGGCTGTTTGAAGGAATGGATGGAAAGATCAGATAGTTGTCCATTGTGTAGACGGAAAGTATTTGGTGGTCAACCCAGTGTACCAACAACAACTCCACCACAAGTGCCAGTCCCACAACCTCAACCTGGTGCGGTCCCTATCCCCCCTGTAGAAACTGGCACTGCAGCTGCAACTGCAACTGCAACTGCAACTGCAACAGCAACAGGAACTGGAACTACAACCCCAGTTGAAAACCAACAAGCACAACCCCAAAATACAACTAACTTCTTTGCAAATACCCAACCAACACCAACCCCAACTTCAACTGCAACAACAAGTCATGTCCATACCCCGATAATAAATCACGAGGAAATCACAGATAGATCAAACGAGGACGGCATTCATCACCAAATTTTTCTTCCTTCCAATGCATTGTTACCACCAGACTGGATTCTCCTCCCCTTGGAAAAGTCTGATGGTGATTGTGTAAATTACAAGGTCAAGCTTTCCAAATTTCATACGGCAGATTTAAAGGTTAAAACAAAAGATCCAAATAGAGAAATTATAGTTTATGACATTCCTCAAGAATCGTCCTTATAGAAGATATATGTTTTAATACAGGTTAACTTTTGTTCTAATAATACATCTATAAATACCTCTAATCAAAATCAAAATCAAAATCAATCATTGTCAGTTGGCTATTTTGCTGTCCTTGTTTTAAATTCCGTTCAAATGTTTCTGGCTCAACGCTTTGACTTATGTTACTATATAGTTCCAAACTATTTCGTCTCATATCAAACGAGTTAAATCTATTCTGATCGTCAGCTTCTTCTTCCTCTTCACTGATTACATCATCGTCTTCTTCTTCCATGCTCTTAATGAACTGGTGAGTGTTTTGTGAGAGTTTATCATCTACTTCGGGGGTAGCTTCAATTCTGCCATTGGTTTCGGGAGTTTCTGAGTCCGAGCTAACAGCGCTCCATCCTTCCTCATTATCTGTGCTTTCCTTTGTTGGTTCTTCGGAATCGGGACGAATTGGCGGTTCTTCAGAATCAGAACGAATTTGTCCCCATTCATCATCAATAGTTGTCTTGTTACCATTCACATGTGTTGATTCTGCTATCACATGATCCGATCCGGACATTACAACATCAGAATCATCGACATCAGCTATTGTAGTAGCTTCACCGTTGTATTGAGAATCTGATACGTCAGATTCAATATCATCCCATCCGTTGTTATTCCCATTCATTATAGGAGATTTCTTTAAATCCGAATTAACAATATCTTCCTGTTGTGATGCATCCGAATGGAAATTTTCGCTATCCTTTGCAGGCTCCTCCTCTTGGTCAGATTCAATTTCCGCCCATTCATCATTAACCACTTTTCCATTGACTCCCTCGTCATTCTTTGCAGACTCCTCCTCTTGGTCAGATTCAATTTCCGCCCACTCATCATTAACCGCTTTTCCATTAACTTCCTCGTCAGAATCAGAACTGATGGCATCCCAATCATCTTGTGAATTTGGAACTTCCATTGCACTATCACTGATATTCCCACTAACTTTCTTCTCAGCAACTTCCTCATCCGACGAAATATCACCCCATTCATCCAATTTCTGAGTAGGTTTCTCTTGATCGTGTCTGTTGATAGTTTCCATCAAGGACGATATCTGCGAATCAACCTCAGATTTAGGATATTCAAATTCAAGCTTTTCACATTTCTTCAAAGTTTCATTGATTATATGCTGTAAACTATCAACTTCCTTTAGAACTTCACGTCTATTTCTGTATGGTTGGTTCAACTCAGTGAAATTATCAGCGGTATCCTGTACTGTGTACGCATATACTGCTTGTACAGCCTGACACAAGTGACATAATGCATAAATAAAATATAGCACTCCTTCGGTATTAAATGGTGGTTCTAATACAAGTTCATTAATTCGATTAATCAAATTCTCATACTCTTGCTTAACAAACAAGTTCCACAATGCGGTTATGACATAAAGTGGAGTCAATGTCTTTGAACCTGATCTCCACACAGGTGCTGCATTTGGTCTACTCTTTCCTTTAGACTGACTAGAATTGACATTGCTAAGCATATAGAACGACGACAAGTAATCGAAAAACTTCTCCACTTTGAGGGTATGCAGATTCAGTTGCTGCTGTAAATTGACTAATATTTCTATACCTAATGGCCAGATTGTCCTAATGTCAACACTAGGAAAACGGATGAGTAAACTAAAAATCTTGTATGCGAGTTGCCAGTTCTTGCGAAGGATATTTACATGGAGTAATGTGGATAAATTGTTGATTTGAAGTCGTTGGAATGACTTGTCCTTGTCAATGTAGTCTTTAGGAAGTACTTCCAACCCATTGGAACGTATTAAGAAGTCGATCTTTGCTCGTCTATGAGAATGGTCAAATTCATTAGTGAATTGATCAAGTTTATGTGAGACAATGTTATCATACTCTTCGTATTTGTCGTTGACTTCTTCCCCGTCTTCTGCATCCTCATCCAAATTATCCAAGAATTGGACTACTTTAGCTTGTAATGTTGCGTCATCGGGTTGTTCGCTCTCTGTTCGCTTTCCTCCTTTCTTACTCTTTTCTGATTTGGTTTTCGCTTTAATATTCTGATTCAAGTTCTTTGTGATATGGTACACTTCAAATGTCTCTTCTGGCTTATCTATCTTGTTAAGCTCATTGTGAATCAACTCCAACACTCGTTTCCTCACATTCAGATTTTGGAGTTTCCGTTTATGGACCTTAGAGACATTCCTGCGAATCTCTTCAACCTGTTTGAGTTCAGTGTACTTGGTTAATAGTTGGTCAGTCGCTCGTTTCCCCCTCTCATGACCGGCATTCCTGTGTGTTATATCTTCAAACATTATATAAACGGAATACTATGTGTTAGCTGTGTTTGGTGTAGCATTACTTGGAGAAAGTCTATTGGTTGTAAAAAGGAATTAATTGGGATTAATTTTTTTTTTTTGTTTATTTTTCAATTCCTTCGATGATGATGATGATGATGATGCTCAAACTAAATACTGCAAAAAATTCATATAATGTTCACTTTCTCTATATTCAAAATGTTCAAGTTGAAATAAAACTTCAACTTCAATACTATTTACAGAATAAAAACTTATAGAGTCGTGGTACAAACTTTTCCTTAAATTACGTCAACTAGTTGTATCATGCTTAGAACATACCTGGCATACCACCCATACCACCAGCTGGTGGTGCTCCAGCTGGAGCCTTTGGTTCTGGAGCATCAACAATAGCACATTCAGTAGTGGCCAACAATGAAGCAATACCAGCAGCATCATTTAATCCGTTCTTGACAACCTTGAATGGATCAATGATACCAGCGGCGATCATATCGGTGAATTCACCCTTTTGGGAATCGTAACCATAGGTGAAACTTGGTTCGTCGTAAATCTTACCGACAATAACAGCACCTTCTTCACCAGCATTTTCAATAATTCTCTTGGCTGGCTTGGTAATGGCAGATCTAATGATTTCAACCCCTAACTTTTGGTCAAAGTTAGCAGCCTTGTCCTTAACACCATCCAAGATCTTGGTGGCCTTGATTAAAGCAGTACCACCACCTGGTAAGATACCTTCTTGAACAGCAGCTCTGGTGGCGTTAAGAGCATCATCATAACGATCCTTCTTTTCACCAACTTCAACTTCAGAAGAACCACCAACTCTAACAACAGCAACACCTCCAGATAATTTGGCTAATCTTTCTTGTAACTTTTCCTTTTCATATTCAGTGGTGGTGGCATCGTCAATGGTGGTTCTAATTTGTTCACATCTGGTAGCAATGTTGTCTTTAGAACCTTCACCATTCAAGATAACAGTGTCTTCTTTGGTAACGGTAATGGAACCAGCAGAACCCAATAATTCAAGAGTGGCATTTTCTGGCTTGATGTCCAATTCTTCAGTGAAGACGGTACCACCGGTAAGAACAGCAATATCACCCAAGGTGTTCTTTCTGTTATCACCGAAACCTGGAGCCTTGACAGCACAAACTTGAACTTGACCTCTCAATTTGTTCAAGATACAAGCAGCTAAAGCTTCACCATCGACATCTTCGGCAACAATCAATAATGGTCTTCTTGATTGGTTGGACAATTCCAAGGATGGTAAAATGTCTTGGATACTAGAAATCTTCTTTTCAGAAAGCAAAACCAATGGGTTTTCAAATTCAACCTTACCGGTCTTGGTGTTGGTGATAAAGTATGGAGAAATGAAACCACGGTCGAACTTCATACCTTCAGTGACTTCCAATTCGTCAACCAAGGTCTTACCTTCCTTGACGGTGATAACACCTTCCTTACCAACCTTTTCCATAGCAGAAGCTAATAAAGCACCAATATGGTGGTCACCGTTGGCAGAAATAGTAGCAACTTGAGCAATTTCAGCAGAGGTGGTGATTTCCTTCTTGTTTTGTTGTAAAAAGTCAATGACGGCTTCAACGGCAGCTTGACTACCTCTTCTTAAATCCATTGGGTTACAACCAGCAGCAACGTTCTTGACGGATTCAGTGAAGATGGATCTACCTAAAATAGTAGCAGAAGTGGTACCATCACCAGCACTTTCGTTGGTTCTGGATGCAACTTCTTGTAATAACTTGGCACCCATGTCTTCAAACTTGTCTGGCAAGGTAACAGCCTTGGCAACGGTGACACCGTCCTTGGTGATTTTTGGGGAGCCGAATTGTTGTTCAATTAAAACATTACGACCCTTTGGACCAAGAGTGACGGAAACGGCATCGGCCAAGGTGTTGACACCCTTTAATAAGGCGGCTCTACCTTCAACACCAAACTTTAATTCCTTGTGTAAATGACGAACAAAGGTGGTGGAGACTCTCTTGATTGATGATTGGTTAGCTCTTAACATGATTATGCAATAGAATGAATTCTCTTCTGATCAAACTAGAAAAGGAATAACTAAGAAAAGGTTCGATTTCCCCATTTAAATCCTGAGTGAAAAATTTAATGGCAAATCCGAGAACGAAAAAAAAAAAATTTTCCAGAAAATTCCATCACATGATAAATTGCACGTGATTAATACCCGATGTTTCTCCGGGAAATCGGATCTGACTATTTTGCAACCAATATATGAGATCTGGAGCGTTCAGTTCACTAGAAGCTAGATTCAATCTTTCAAAAGGGACGGGGGTTATCATTAGTTGTAAAGAATACAAGAAAGGTTTACCAGGAATACGGTCAGGTGAGACAGTGGATTAGCCAATAGGTATGATATTTAAAAGAAATTTTGTAAAAATACTGCAAAAATTGCGCCATAATATGAGTTAGTTAAGTTTTCGATATATTAAAATGTCTTACACGTAATCTTTTATAAAGAGGTTTTGTATCATAATATTTGTGAGCCAACATAAATACCCAGAGAATATGGAAATATTTTTCCTGAGAAGCAATGATATGCAATCAGGAGTTAGATATAAGGAAGAGGCCAGTTTTGATTCACTTTTTTTGCAGCAAAATTGCCCATCAACCAGCATATACCAACTTTTCAGAAAGAATATTATTCCAAAACGGCATAAAAGGTGTCGCAACAGTAAAAGAAATGGAAATTGCTAAGTTCTTGCCATCCAATTAAATCACCAACTTATTTAAAGCACATCCACGTCAAACAAACAAGATATACGAGAATGCAGATTAATACATCAAATACAGTGGTGTATTGATATGGTATTACAATAGATGGTTAGGAGACCCCTTTTATTACTGGATAATGATATGTTACACCACTGCACGTCCATGTAAGTTTAAGTATTTGAATCCAACTCATTTTCATTCACGCTCGACCAGTTAAATAGTCGAAATCCCTCATGTAATACATTTGATACAAATTCAGATCAATCAACAACAATATATTTGGGATTCTTAAACAAAGAAAAGAAGAGGCCACTAGCACAACGCTAATCTTGATTTTCAAGTACTTTATTCAAAGAGAATAAGCTTTGAACCGGTAGTGTTCTTTAAGAGCACAGCAGATGTCAGAGTTCCATTCATGAACAAGCAATCCATTGAGCTTTGTATAAACATCAACCCAGAAGATAAACCTATTCGTCCAGGGAATATTGAAAAGTATGTTTTGTGTAAAAGACTATTAGTACCCCCCGAGGATCCAAATGTTGCCGCTCTTTATGTTCCTGGTGATATCCTTTTGAGTCCAAAGGAACAATTGTTCTACTAGATCAGTTAATCTAGGATCGATTATTTGAAAGAAATTGCTTGAAAATTGGCCAACGATGAAGAATTTTTCAATCCTGAGACAGAAAGGGGTGATGCTATTCCAACCAGCAAGGAAATGTATTGGCTCAGCTGTAATTTGATAAGATTGGGATTCCACAGCTATTTATTTAGTATAAGACCTTGGCTTGCTAACAACTTCAGGTGATCTGGAACACAAACACAATTCGAAACCAACGAAATTATGAGATATCAGGAAGATGATTACTTCATCACTAACTTATAGGCTATGCTTCCGGTGACCAGAAATCCTCATTTTTCATTGGCAGGTCCACAGGATAAAATGGTATTCTTGGTTGTTCTAGGTATTGGTTTTGAAGTTCCAGCTTTCAAGTTTTGAGAAATGGAACTTTGTTTTGGAGAAAGCTCTAGATATACATATACCATAACGCTATTGCTATTGATATATTCACATTTTATTCCAGAGGAAGTAGTTGATATTTTCCAAAGTCACTTTCCAAAATGATGACAAAAGGGAACACCTCCTGTTTCTTTTGAGAGATCACTTTCAAGAACTATAGATGGAATATCCAAAACACCACACTAGTTATTCAAAGCCAATACATCTAGGTCAAGTCCTATCTATTCAAGATCGAACATCTTCTAGTGTATCAAATACATTTGAAAAACATTAAAAAGAGTGATGTGAATACCAAAAACCATATTTTTGAACTGATCTTGATGTCACCATACAAGTTTTCTCACAGTTTAAATGCTTTTGTATATGCTCCCAGGCATAGTATCGGACTACTGTGTTATCTTTTGTGGTTACAGGGCTCAAGCTGGATCTAATGGATATATATCCATACTTTCATAAAAAATAGCCAGCTGATGGGGATGCTTATTTTCTTGTTGCCTCCCCTAATAATAACATTGCACTTCAGAAGTTCTCGAGAGCACAACAACACAAGTAACAAACTTTTCAAGTCGGTAGGAGAAAGTAGGACCGTTGGGTGGTGGTACCAGTCGTCTAGTTTGACTACGGGCTACAGTTTTGAGGCGTCCGCCTCTATCAACGCAAAAAGCCACCCTTTTGTTGGTTTGGTCCAATCAGGGCTTTGGAATGGCCATAGAAAAAAATAAAGTATAACCAGGTCACTACATTTCCTAAGCAAAACCTGCCAAATTGGGTTTTATCATGCATTAAGTATCCCATACTAAATAATTAAAACGCTATATCAAACTAGTAAACAACAAAGGAATGACACAGAAAAGAAGAACCAAATATATTTATACATAAAATTACCAGCCAGCTACTATTTACCTTGTATCAACTTCTTTATGAGCGAAGTGTTGTCATAATATTCTTCCCCATTAGGTGATCTGGAGTTTGTAGAGTTAGTAGAAGCGATACTAGTACTCACAGAAGAAGAGCTTGGAATTATAGCACCAGCAGCGACAGGAACACTAATCGAGGAACTTATTCCTGCATCCTCTAACCGTTTGGCTTCGTCCATCAAGGGCCTAATACAAAGCCAACCAGTTTCAGTTCTGAAATGACGAGATAATGCGTCACTTCTAGCAAACTTCTTACCACATCCCCATTTGGTTACACCGTCTTGTAAATAACCCTCACATTTGAAATTTTTTATCCCGTTATGTAAAAGTTCATGTCTCTTTTTATCATGGGATCTAGCAAAGGTTTTGAAACAATGACTACATTTAAATGGTTTTTCGGTGGAATGGGTCTTCATATGTGATTTCAAATTGTAGTGCTTTTGAAACACCTTGTTACACACTTCACAGGGGAAGGATTCAACAGGGTTTAAGGGTGTGGCGTCGGTTGCCTTTTTTCTTCTTTTTCTTCGTATAGAACGGGAGATAGTATACGAGACAAGAGAAGAATAGTCAATATCTGGGGGAGAAGTTGAAGAACCTTTCAGGGATGTTGCCAGTGATTTACCAACAGTACTATTGTTATCTGATTGTCCAGATAATGGACTAAGTGGATATCTTTGGCTATTAGAAGGTAATACTGGTAAAGCTGCCTGTGAACCGTTGACAGCAGCATTATTGTATTGATAGTAAGCACTATAACCTCCAGCTTGTGGAATAGGGAGGGCAGAGTATGGGCGTGGTTGTTGGGAATAGCCGTTGGCACTGTTCGCACCATTGTATTGGTTGGAGGAGTAATCATAAGAAAATGGTGTTGGTGGTAGTTGTGGGACAGATGCCGAATATGCCATGAATTGTGCAGGTACCGCACTTGAACTAATATTGGTATTGGCAGATACTGACTCTTGTTGTGGTAAACTAGCAAATATAGAAGGAAGTGCTTGGTTTTGTTGTGGAAGCTGAGGTGCTTGTTGCTTCTGGCCTTGAAGAATCAGTTGATTTTGTTGTGTTTGGATATATTGCACGTTTGGCATTTGTTGTTGATGCAGTTGCAGTGGTTGCAAAGGTTGTGGTGGTTGTTTATGCGGATCGGTTTGTGGCATACCATTATTGGAATTATAGTATGAGTTGTAGTTGAACATTGTTAGCATTGTAGCAATTAATTATTCTCTACGGCAGTAAGATTTATCTATAAGCAATCCAAAATAAAAATATATTAATAAATTAAATCCTATTCAAATAATGCAAAATACAAAAAAAAGAAGATTAATTACGGGGAATTGTATTTATTTTTATATAAAAGAAATATAGCAGTTTTTATTAATTTGCATTAATTATTAGATAGGAATGGGGATCGGGATTACAAGCTGCTGTCCGCTTGGAACATGAAAACTTGAAATAATAATTCAAAATATTTGAAAAAAAAAGCAAATAAAATGTTGAAAAAATATTAGCGCATAAAAAATATTTTATTATTGAAGGTCCAGAACCTAAACAAACCACAGTGCATACCATAGGTAATCCATTTCTTACGCAAAAGGGTAAAGTTCCAAGTCCTTTAATAGCCTGGAATGCACGGGAGCAAAGATATTGGCTTGTGTGGGTGAATGATGTAATGCTTTCTGTTTTCTTCAAAGCCAGGTATACCTTAATAGCTGACAATCCGTCAATTTGAGCAATAAAAAAAAATATTTTTTTTACACGCATTTTGATCGGGCCGGCGCTTAAATTCTACATAAAGTGACAGCTTGCCAGACCCTATTGCAACCAGCCGTCTAAATCACTTTGCCAAGAATACAAACCAGGAACCGTTGGGCTTGGTAATGAGCCCCACCCGGATCGACCTTGACCAATGATGTAATTGCAACAAAACACCTCCTCTTTCACCTGGAATTTCTCTACGTCACCGTTGAAAATCAGACAGAAAAAAAAAAAACCGCACATACGTAAGATTTACGGATTTACAATTTCTTTTGTCAGCTGCAGTGTTATTATTGCATTCCGTGGAACGGATTAGAGACACCTCGTGCCATTAACCTTATCGTATCGTACCATTATATTATGTCTAATTAATTTGACACATGGAACACAATTAAGAACAAATACGTTTTAATCTGACAGTTTTGTCTAGCTTGGCAAACCAGGCTTGGGAAAATATCATTAACATCCCCACCTAATTTCACTAATTTTGATTGTTCATATTGCCTTTTTCTTTTTTGAAACGAATATTTTTTTGTTCTATTTTAATGTGTGATGCATTCAGTAAAAAGTCTTGGCAAGGGCTTTTTCTTGTCTATCGAGATTTTCAATCATTTCGGATTATCTTTTAAATTTAATTTTAATGAGCGAGTGTAGCTTACGTCATTTTAACCCCACGATTTCAAATTCATTCAAAGAAATAACTTTAGAAAACCGTTATACCCACTAAATCTCTATCGTATGTTTCCTCTTGTTGTGGTGGGGTTATCTGTCTTTTTTTTTTTTTCAGATGACAATCAAATATTTTGAGGGATTTTTCATCCTACTGGGAAATTTTTTTTTTTTTTCACACTAGCTAACTTCTAGGGTCGCGATTTGCTTCGTTTCATTATGTCATGGAAGGATACGTCTTTCGACACATCGGTATACAATTGATAAAATATTACTGTCGCACTATTACAATGGAATGGGGTGGAGGGGTAATCCCTGCTTTAAGTTCCCCAAGCAGGTGGATACCCAAGGAGTTGCGTGATTTGCGATTGTTTCCAATAATAAACTTTTATTTCGTATTAGTAATCGCGAACAATGGACTTGTTTTTGGTAAAGCCACCGGGTAAGGATCCGAGTGGTGGATAGCTTCACCACTCCATCTAAGCAACTGGTACCCATGACAATGAATAATCTCGGTCGCAGGGCTTGAAACGTCAAGATCATAGCACAAAACATCGCCACAATGGCCTAAATTCTACACATTTGTTTATGGCCAATCGACCGCAGGTTTTTGTCATTGTCTACAACTAATTTGTCCTAGAAAATTAATTCTCCTCTTCTGAGTTTGTAAACGGACCGTGGGCATTTTTCGACGTGGTATTGCGTATGCAGAATAAAAAATTTTCAAAATTTTACTCAGCCTCGATTGCATTACGATAACACCATTTCTCCTCCCGCTCATTACCTACCTGCCAATGGTAAAAACTCATAAATCCAGTTATCATTAAAACGGTAGACAAGACTGGCTGCAAAATCCAGCATCGTAAATTGTAACAAGAAAAAAAATCATTAAGTCACAGATGCATAATCGTAACCAATAAGTTGCCAAGAATTTACATGGCTTTTGGAAATAATTCTCTTCGTTTAATTTTGATGCCTTGTCTTTTTTTTTCTTGGTTTTTTCCTGGGGGCTGGGCTTTTTATTTTAGTTATATGCAGGTGTCGGATTTCTGTAATAGACTAGTTTTACGATTGTAAGAAAGGTAGGGACTAGTAGTTTGTAGTCTTGGCGGCAGATTCAAAGTATGGTGGTTATCTACATATAAGAATTTGATCAATATGAAAGTGTAGCTGAGAAAGAACCAAAAATGGCGTCATTTTAGCTTCCTAGATTCCTAATTTGTCCATTCAGTAAGCACCAATATTCAGTGAGATAAAATGCGTTGTTATAGAGGAAAATGGAACATCAAATAAACATCAAAGATAGTATGGAATTAATGGCACCTGGGACATATCAACTAGACTTTTTCCTAATTCAATGGTGTTCGTAATAGCTGGGAATGCTGGAAATTGACGAACGAGAGACAAAAATGGAAATGAGTGACAAAGGGAGAGAGTTAGATTCACTGCCATACGACCCACTACAGGCACTTACTAACTTCAGCATTTCCCAAGGCGGTCTCTGACATAGCTAGAGACACATTTGCATAAGAAAAATAACGGACAAGTGACCCTGTTGAGTTTTGACGACTGTTTACGAGTTTTGAAGCATAACTGTTTGAAACGGAAATGTTGTTCTTCTTAAATTAGGGCTGGCTAGTATTACCGAAGGCTCACAGGGAATCATACGAGTATACAGGCTTAGATTTTGTTTGAAATCAACATCATCAACTTTCTTTCTATCATTTGTTATGTTCAGGAAATAGACGAAAAGACCATGAGGTTTAAGTCAAATGAGTATGAATAACGAAAGACATCTAAGGCTGCTTAATGTGGAACCAACAACGTGGAAAGCATATATGCACTTGTAAATATAGAACCCATGTCTTTTCGACTCCTTGCTGAGTAACATGTAGAAAATTTGTAGCTATAATACAACATGTTAAGTAGAACTGGTAAAATAACGGATTTTAATTTGCATGACATCAATAGAAAGGTGACACACATTTATTACTTTTTCTAGAATGTAATATTAATATAGTTGTAAAGAACCCTAGGTAAACTATAAACCCCTGTTGAGAGCGGAACAAGATTTGTTGCTCTATTAAAGCGATTGGACACATAAACCTTTGAGGGGCTTAGAGAACAGGGCCCCAACCAATACAAGACTCAAGATTACATAGAACCAAAACTAATCATTCACCAAAGAAGAACCCCTAATCAATCTACAACTTACTATTATTTCAAAAGGCATCAAACAAGAAATACTAAATCCCGCGTGGTCTATAATATTTAAAATTGATTATAACATGGAAATGAAACTGTCTACAATAAGGAGAATCCTACTAGCAATAAAAGTAGTCGGATATGTAGGTGACTAGAAATGTCAGTAATTACCTCGAGGGTTGGAAATGATATCCCTGACATATTACCTGGACATTCTTTGGGAATAGAAGCAGTTTCTTGATCAAGTTCCATTCCGACACTTTCTTGATGCAGTGACAGTTCTACTTCCACAGATTCTATCAATGATTTCTTTCCAGAATCAATCCCTCCCTTCATCATTTTATTAAAACCAAAACTGCCCCAATATTGCCTTCCTCCCAAATTAGCAGATATAACTACACTATTTGATAATGAGCAAATGTCATACAGAGGTTTGTATGTTGAAGTTGACAGGTTTCTTTGTGATTCATTATTCTTGCACACATTATCAATTACCACATTTCTGCAGTTTCTTGATCCACAATCACTCATTCCACTTGGACACATAGGCTGGGTAAGACAAGTTTCATCATTTGAGAATTCCAGAACTGAAATACTTCTGAAATCGGACTTTTGACAAATCCCATGGCTAGGATATTGACTGAAGTATGGGGGTGAATTTATAGAGTCCAGGACCACAGAATCTTTTCCTAATTGCTTTACGGCCAATATTTGTGAGTTAGTTGTCTTTTTGAAAGTTGAGTATACACCAAATATCGCAGTATCAGATTTCCAGTTCTGACAGCTTCCTTTATTTCTTGAAAGACAAACCCAATACATTTGATGGTCCCAGAATTTAATGTTTTCAGGAATGTATAACGAGGCACTCTTGGAGTTTTGGCTGTCCAATCCAGCGAAATTTGATTTGCAACATTGAACTTGACCAATAATTAGCGACAATATTAGTATTAAGAAATAATCATAAAATAACAACAGATAATATAACATCACTTGGAATTACAGTAAGTGGTGAACAAAATGGGATCATTTTTTGTTAAGATCCAAGAGTATTTATGATGTTGTATCGATATCTTCGCTCACTGACCAAACTTGCCAAGACATTTGACTAGTGACACATTTTTGTGTGATATTAATAGAAGTCATCATTTGCCCAAGTTCTCATTTACTAAATCAGATGATTTCCCTTCAAAAGTATAGCCCCCCCTTTATTAAGATACCCAAGGACCAGAATTAACCTTGCTTGGCCACCTTTCAATTCCTCGTATAGAGTTTGTTTAGCAATACCTGTTTTCACATACCACATTAGATATAAAATTTCTTTACTAGAATATACACTTACTTGCTTTTTTCTGCGGTTACATGTGATGTTACAGCCTTTAAACAGGTTAAACTAAAAGAAGCAGCGTTCTGGGAACTTATTCAAAAATTACCGATTCCCGTTCCCACCCCAAAATCCAAATAACTTCACCCAACTCCTTCACAAAAGTTTAACTCGCCAAAAGGGTATGGGAAACAGAGAGGCATTGTAGAGTAGCAAAATATTTCTCTTAATGGGGTGGATATTCAAACACATATTACTAACTGGAAGTAATTCCGTTCTGACAAAACTCGCAAAACTCAATGACTAGTTTGTTATTACTTGAAAGGTTGAGAATTTTTCATGTTCATATAGCTAGATAGCCAGATCTTGAAAGATTTGCAACGTATTTATTGGTCAGAGTTAAACTGGAGTATGAATTTCAGCATACAGAATTATACATAATCCAAACAAGATAAGCGAGCAACCAGATTTGTACTACACAACAATTCTCCGTATTCGGCTCTAGCTTATAATTAATTGCCAACACAATGAAAACAAAGTGGATTTGCATTAATTAAACTGCTAGTACGACCAGGAGGCGGATAGCACAATGCCGTTATATGTTAGTCATAACGGTTGGACTGGATGATATTAATGTGTGATTTAAATTTATGCACTTATAAAGCCTCGTTGCGAAAAAATCTTATGCGATTAAAAGGAAAAAATCCCTGTAATTGCATAAAGTTGGGGAAAATTTTCAAATTTAACTAGGAGTAGGATTGCTAAAATCACCCTTATAATCGAATACTATTCAAATAAAATAAAGGAAAGAAAAGATTTTCAAGGATGCAATATTCCAGATCATCTATAAAAGGATAACGTTTTTTTTTGTCTCATCAATAAAGATCTAAGCAATATACCCAAGGATTAATCATGGCTGATTTTAGCGAGAAATCACAAGTAGCTACTGATCACGAATCACTCAGTACTACATTGAATGAAGAGTATGATAACGCCCTTAAATTCGTTAGTGAACATCATGACCAAAAGCCAACTTGTGACCCAAAGCTAGTAACACGGAAACTAGACTTTGCAATCTTGCCAATATTATGTTGCATCTACTTCTTACAATTCCTCGATAAGACATTGTTGAATTACGCTGCTGCTATGGGTATCAAAGCGAATCTTGTTGGTAACCAATTCGCCAACTTATCCACAATTTTTTATGCTGCTTATATCTTTGGTGAGCCAATAATTTCATACTTGTTACAAAAATTCCCCCTTTCCAAAGCTCTTGGTACTTTTATTATTTTATGGGGTATAGTCGTGGCTTGTCACTCCGCATGCTCCACATATGCTTCTTTGATGATTGTACGTACCCTATTAGGTATTTTTGAATCATCTTCGGCAGTGGGGTTAATTATTATTAGTGGAATGTACTACAGCAAACCTCAGCAAGTAGCTAGAATGGGCATTTGGTCAGTTATGGCAGGTACTGCTACTATTGTCGGTGGTCTTTTGTCATTTGCATTCCAACATGTTCATACCGAGACATTCAAATCTTGGCAAATCTTATTCTTAGTCATGGGTTTAATTACCGTTGTCTTTGGTATATTCACTTTATTTTACTTACCTGATAATGTTCATACTGCTTGGTTCTTAAATGAAGATGAAAAGTTGCATGTCTTGGAAGTTGTCCGTCAGAACCAAACAGGTACGAAAACTTCCAAGTTCAAAAAACATCAAATTGTGGAATTATTATTTAAGGATAAGTTTACCTGGTGGTATATGTTGTTGACCATTTGTTCCCAAATTGTTACTGGTGCTATTGGTACATTTAGTGTCACCATTACTTTATCTTTTGGGTTCGATAACTACGAATCTGCTTTGTTACAATTGCCAGTAGGTGCCCTTATCATTATCATTATTTTGACTGCCACTCAACTAGTTCGTCATTTTGGTCATATTACTTATATTGCAGTCTCCATGTTCATTCCTACTATAATCGGTGCCATTGTCTTGTTATGTAACCCTAATCGAGTTGGTAATTTATTAGCCATGTATTTGTTATACAGTGGTTCATCAGTGATTACCTTGATTTATGCCTGGATTAGTGCCAATACTGCTGGTACTTCCAAGAAATTCTTTAGAAGCGCAATGACAATGATTGGATTTTCAGTTGCTTGCATTATTGGACCACAATTATTCCAAGCTTACAGTGCTCCAGGTTATCACCCAGCTAAGATTGTTATTTTGGTGACACAATGTGCTTGTGTTCCGATCACTTTGGCTATTGGTTGGTTATGTAAGAAAGAGAATGAAAAGAGAGATGCTGAACCAGTACAAGAGTTGCCAGAAAACTTTGAGTTTTTGGATTTAACCGACATGGAGAACAAACATTTCAGGTATACATTTTAACAGTCATAGCTATTCATTTCTATGTAAATATATTAATAATCAATTCCAATTTGTGTGCTGATGAACAAGCGTAGATGTTATCTCTCTACAGTTTAGGTTTTGAATGCACATCGGGGAGTTTATATTTCAAAATAATATAATTAAATTAAAGCAAAAAATAACTGATGGACTTTTCATAGGGATAATGGCCTAGACTGTAATGGAAAACAGATATTCATTAGTGGCGAAGTGGTTGATGAGAGATTTGAAGTAGTCAGCAGAGAATACAGCTGAAATTAATTCCATGGTTATAAATGAATTCAAAAACTTTCACCCCAGAATGCGGAGAGGGTTCGTATTCTTTCATGAAGGGGTTGGCCCAAAAAACCTAGTATCATTATGAACTTTTCTAAAGAGATACAATCGAGAAGAATTTATTACGTGGAATATGAAGTGTAACTTTGTGTTGCCAATCTTGGTAAATAGTGTTGAATTGCTTTGATGTTCTCCTAAAGTTGTTACTTTTATACATTATGGTAATAGTATTTGCTTGATTGTTGATTTCTGTTGTGGTCAGCGTGGTTACGGTGTACAATATTTGTAGTTTCTATCCTTGCGTAGATGAAAATGAAAATATTGTCATAATATATATATCATTATTCATTGAAGGAACCAGGAATAGATTTCCACCTAACAAACATAATAGACTGGTTATCCGGGACGTAAAATGCAACTCTAGTATCTTTGAAAACACAGATGAACCAAACTATTTGTCAAAAGATGCCTTTAAATAATCCTTATTCAACCTTACCCAATAACAGTATTTTGTTATCAAAGCATTTCAATATCAAGAGATCTTTTTCCTCCAAGCTTCACCTTCAGGAAGACCAAATATTAATATTCATCCTCCAGTGAATATCATTAAACCGCATACTCCTTGGTGACAGAAGGCTTGACTAACGAGCATGCTCAAAGTGCATTTAATAAAAAGTTCTACAAATACAACAACTCCAAACTCTGGAAGAGAGGATAACCACATTTTACCAAAAACAAATACAAATTTCCAATAAAGCGACTACTCAATGTCTGATAGTGAATCTAAAGATAAATTAGATGACAATTAGATTAAATCAAATGTGAGTCCACTTAACTTAGATTAATGTAGCAACCTATCCTTCTATATTCACTCTTATCAGACAAAAAATACTCAAGGAAACTCTATGGCCAGAGATTATCTGAAATCATGTCAAGATATTTAACTTACAAAAACCAATGATTAACAAATCCGCTTTGCAAGGCAGAATGAAGGTAACAAACTATGCAAAAAATTTCATTACCACTACCATTCTCATGCATTGCTGATTCTTACCTAACTTAAGCAGGTTAATCCATCGGAAAACCAATCTAGAAACGATGGGAATACAAGCTGGACAAGAATGGGAAACACATAAATATTACCAGCAGACAGTTGCTACTCAACCTAATTGGCACGAAATTCATATGTCCAGATGCTTGATAACACTTCTGATGCATTCACCAAGGCTTTGGGTTTCATGCTACTCCACACAACAAAATCATATGATCGGAGATAACTTCATTCAATCAATATATAGATAAAATTATTGACAATAGCAATTAAATCATCCAAAGATTTCCAAATGGTGCATTTTACTATATGCAGACCAACACCGTGTAAGGTCTAATTGGATGCTAAATTGTATAGATAAAACAATTATATCGAATTAGAAAGAATTTGCAAGAGTTTCCCTTCCCTTGCAGAATTAGCTCTGTTTATGAGACAGCATATTAACAGTGATTTGGCCGTCAGATTATTAATGTTTACCTTATTCAATGCTGAGGGTTCTAGTTAGATATTACAGGAATAGTAACAGCGTTTCTGGAAATTATATTACGTGGAATAAATTCTCGTCATACTAGTACTCAGGGGATATGCTGAGACGACAACACACTCATAAAAAAAGGTCCCATATTATTTTTTCATCTTCAGTATGTACAATTAAGCATTTAAATGCAACACACAATGCCAAATCATGTACAAGGGTAGGCGGGGGCTAGAAGAGGGGTACTTCTTATTTTATAGCATATTCGGCACCGATACTATGTATAAACATAAAGGAGTGATCTTATTGTAGAACCGTCTAATAATAAATAGTGAGGCAACAACAAGCGTCAAATGTTTATGTAATAATTTATAACGATAATATTCACTTGCTGTTTGTCTTGGGGTTTCCTAATGGATTTATCACCTATATAATATTTGATAGATGTACCATGAGTAATTATAGCTAGGAGAGAAGTCCAGAAATTACCAACAGAGATTGCAATTTTGGTTTATTATTTTGTTAAAGAGTGGTCATAGTAAGCCATACAATTTTTACTCATGTGCTCGCAACCGACATTGTTCACTATTCAGAATATGTCAATTCATTCACTTTTACTAATTCAAACATCGAGTTATTTATATATTATGCTCCGCTTCCTAAATAAAATATATCCGGCTGGGCATAAGCATACATTTACCAACATCAAGGAGGGTTGCAATAATTTTCTTAACAAAATTTTTTTTTTCTGCGCCACCCTTGGCCGCAGTGTCCCTAATTTATTTTTTTTTTTTTGCTCTCCTCACCAGCTTATAGTTTCTTGCACCCATTTTTCTTTTTTTTTTTCTTAGCCCTGGCTCCTTTCATAGCAACGTTCGGTAAATAGTGTCAATATATAGCCTTCTGTACCCTGTATTAAAATTAAAATAGGAAATCAGCAAGTCAAACAAACAAATCAAAAGAATAAATAATGTAATTGCCTTTTGGTGCTTTTGCATTTCTATATCCAAAAGTAATATATAAAAAAAAACAATCACCTCTCTCTAGCAAAGATAAAAGAAAAGTAGATTAAACACGACCTAAATTTCATTGAAATATCTTCCAACTCTCGCATTAATCTCTTTCATTATTCAATATTCTCAAAATAAACAAAAACAAATTGAGGATATCCAAATATAACTTAATTGTACTGATGACTTCATCATCTAAATGAGCAGTCTTCATAATATTTTGGGTATCAATGACAATATAAACACAAAATACAGCCGCACCAATAAAACAATACACCTTCTCCATCATACCGGTTTGTCCGGGGAAGAACATCATAATGAAACCCCAAGCAATCAAACCCCATAATACCATTCCTACTGCACCTTGCCAACTAGTAAAATCGTACTTGGTTTGGAATGCAAACAAAGTTAATCCAACAAAGATAACCAAAGTTAAGAGCAATGCTTGAATCAAAACTTCACTTTCGACAAATGCACAGACAACACCAATTCCATAAGCTTCAAACACAGTAAAACATCCCAACAAGATTAAATTAATAGGATATGATCTGGCCTTGATGAATGCACCAATCATGCATCCAATGGCACCCAACATGGACACGAAAAGCAACCAGGTGTTTTCAAGAGACCAAAGCTTGATTCCATCCGATGAACGGATGATAAATCCAACCACAACGGTGGCCATTAATTGAAGGGTCAATAACAGATAGACCTTTCTGATAAATAATTGACGAATGGGTAATTCACAAGAGGCAACATCAACAGAGTACTTGAAATCATCCGGGATATTGTCACCAAAGGTTCTTGGTTGACTCAGCTCTCCAGTGACACCTACATCACTGTATGCTGGTGGTTGATTGGGTATTTCTGAGTATGACATTTTAATATATTTAATAACTAATTGATTGAGTAGTTAAATGTAGTGGTTTGCCTTTATAAAGTTTGCCTTTATAAGATTTATGGGGTGATCACATTTTTTTTTTTTCTGATAGGGCAGTGCATGATTTTACTCAGTTTGGAAAATGTTGCAGTATGGGTGCAACAAGTGTGTACTCCATAAACCTTAATTTTGCTATGGTTAGTACACAATTGTATCACTAGAATGACATGGGAACAGCATTATCATTTATTAAGATTAAGTGTACAATGGAAACAAATTGTACTGTTAATTGTCTCTCAATATATCATAAGCATTTAACTGTTCCACCACTATGAACGTTACTTCCTATTTCAGTAATAACGGCTGACATGTGGGCCATTTAAATACAATAGCACTAATGCGCATCACTAGTTACAATTAAACATGGTAACAATCGCAAAGACCAACAATATTTCAAGAAAACAAGTAGGTCACTCAGTATGACTTTTTTTTTTCTCAGTATGTTGTAGAACTATCGGGAATTTAGAGCCAGAGTTCTTGAGTTAACTATGCACCAATTCAGGAAGGACCAGTCTTGCCGAATCTACTGAACAAGTGTTAAAAATTCAAGCCATTTTCATTTATCATAATTTAATTCTTTCTGAATGTTCAAATACACAAATATTGATAGAACATCACTGGGCTTAAACTTTACTTACAATATAGCAACTACATATTCACCACTCAAGCCATTAGGTGGGGCTGAGGTTGCAACGTGGCAACCAACGGCGATACTTCATGTGATTCAATAAGTTGATCTAACAGATTCGGTCTTAGCCGTTAGTTTGATGTCATTCTGATTAAATTTCCTTCTATGGTCATCTAAGAACGACATTTCAACATGAAACAAAACCATATCTCTCTAATCCTACTACTTTGGTTCCGTCTCTCCTTTGAATAATCATCTGCATTATTCCCAGATTGCTTTCAATCATGTATTTTACCAGAAACGGATATATTTGACTCAACAATAATGTAATGCAGTACAATAGATAGCTGGATTATGAATTATGGATAATCAATATAACCCCACTAGCAATAAAAGGCGGCAACAGCAACCACCCAACTAATTTACTTGTAGCTACTATTACTACTACTGTTACGCCTTAATCAAATACTGGCAAGATATTCGGGCTCAAGTTCGGATGTCTAACAGCTCAACACTAATTTTTTGCTGTTATTATTATTTTTATTTTTATTTTTTTTTTTGGCTTTCCCGTAAACAATTCTGATCCCTGACATGCAATGCATGGGCTCTGAAAATATACATGAGTTATTGACGGCTACCCCGGGGTTGATGCTGGCGTGACCCCACATGATTAATTAGTTATGTGATTACCCAAGGATTCAAACCTATTGTTGAGCAAGTTGTTTATGATAGCGATAACAGACTTATCTTACTTAGATAACTGATTTGCGGCGGGCAGTTTAAATCCGATGCATCTTTACATCATTTGACGTGGGGATTTTGATTTATGCCGAGAACAATTGAAGATGAAATTCGTTGTAAGGAGGGGAATAACCGTCAGTAACACCCCACCCCCAGAATTTGACTTCATCTGACATCACTGGAAAACGCTGGTGGTTGGTTTTTAAAGTTAACAAGGAGAGGGGGAGTGCGGGGCTACTAAACATTGAGGGATTTTGAAAATAATAGATTGTGCAGATTGGGAATAAAGTTTTAACTTGAAATATTTTTTTACTCGATTAGTAATTACAAGATAAAGGACAATTACGTGTCTCGCAAGTGAAAAAGAAATGTGGAGAATTGAACAATTGAGAGTTTACAGGTTGAGGTTGGTTATTTTCTGAACCATGGGCACACATGCAGGAAAGGGCTTTTACGAAAAAAAAATTTCCTTGAGTGAACAATGTATAATCATATATCTAATATTGTCCTAAAGTCTGGGCTTACTATTATTTGTATCGTTTTTTAGTATGTAATTCAATAGATAATTCAACAATAGTGCGAATTAGTCCTAGATTAACGCTGAGCGCTATCCTTTTTTTTTGTCATACATTTTGCATAACCATGAAAAATCTATGCATGATGCATCATAGCCAGAACAAACTTTAAGTTTTTCGGTTTTGCAGCAATTTCCCAGTAGCTATGACAACAACATATTCAACCCACCCGCAAATAGAGTTTGACAATTCAGAACTCGTTAATTGTTGTAGTATTCGGAGTTGAACAAACCCTATTCACACTTCAACCCCCCACCCCCAGAATCCGAAACAAGTAATTATTGATTATTGTTTTGAATATTTATTTTTTTTTTTATTTTCAAAAGCCATCTGACAACGCATTTTTTGCAATTTGCAGTTGAGCCCATTGTTAAACCCACCAGCTTTTTTTTTGGTTTGTTGAATTATTTCACGCTTTGTAAAATTATTACCCCCTCCCCCAGGAATTAAACTAGTCCGGAAATAGTCAACTTTTCTCCTTTGTACGGGAGGGAGTGGGGTGTAGATTTGATGAAAACTACTAACTCCGTCTGTGTTTAGTCATCAAGGGGGATGCTTAGTTGCCATTACTCCCGAACTACAATTCGCTACTACGAAAAAGAAACTAAATCTAATCATGAAATTATTGTTAAATGTTACTCTATAGAAATATCCAATAATCTCTAACTCTAGAAACGTAAACCCAAAATAAAAACCCAAATAAATATCATAACCCCATAAAAGCCCCTGCCTTTACAAGGACATTCGTAAACAAAACCATGTTGAAAAGAAACATCACTAACCCAATCAAAACCAAAAAAAAATGTGAACTAAAAAACCCAGGTCTACTAATCATCAGTACTAGACCTTCTAAACTTAAACTTCTTAATCATGCTCTTGTAATCTCCTACGAGGGATCCAAGTGAACCGCCTCTAACAGAACCAGCAGAGTTATTACGAGTGGTACGAGGACTATTGTCTTCTTCACTGGTACTACTGCAGTCGCTGTTAGGAATAGCGTAGTAATCATAACCAACTTGTGAATGCTTATGCAAAGGTGGTGGTTGTCTAAACATGCTGGCACCGCTGACTGAGTTGCTATGCTTTAATCGAGAGGAAGAAATAGCAGCGGATGTAGCACTGCAATATACAGATTGTGAATGCGTTAATGGTGGTGCAGCTTTATTGTTAACATAATGAACTGAGTGACGAGGTGAAACTGTTGGATCATTAGGAGGAGTACAGCATCTGAATGGACATTCAAAGGCACTCTTGACATGCTTGACGAATTCATGATACAAGTTAATAAGAATATCGTCGTGGATATATCTTCTGCATTTGATTAGCAAGGTAAAATCTGGCATCTTGTTTAAAGTCAATTGAGATCTGAAATGACAAGGTAAATTGACTTCGCATGGTGCTTCAAGTTCTATATATTTCGTGTATAACTGTTGCCAGTGCGATATTGTTGGTGGTCTAAGCGAAAGGTAGGAGTTTACATCCAAGACAAATTCGAGATTTTCATTGCCATGAACTGATGATAAATAACTGACAAATTTATCCAAGTTAAAATCGGAATTCTGGGCATTGATGGATGTGTTCAAGATTTCATCCAAGGTAGGAATGACTGTTGGTGGCAGTGATGATTGTGGTGGCTCAGATATTATCTGGGGTTGTTGTGATGGTGAGGAAGGAGTGTGAGGTGTTGGTGGTGAAGGTGAATGCAAACTTATTGGTGTAACTTGTGTGCTAATTGCAGCTAAACTGCTTGAAGTAGAATTTAAATTATAGTTGAATAAAGATTCGTGATTCACTTCAGTTGCTGAAGCGATCATCATGCTTATAAGTATATAATCTATACGTGGAGTGGTCTTTTACTGTTTCTATAATGAATTGGTGGATATTACTTAACCTTTATAATAAAATTTAGACAGCCACAGCCAGAGCCTGGTATTTTTTTTAACAATAAAAAATTATAAACAGTAAAAAAAGTAATTCAACTTAAAAAATATTTTCCTTTTATTTTTTAATGCATTTCAGATTTTATTTTTCGTCTTAAAAAATATTTCCGTATGCGTTGTGGTGCAAAACTCAAAACAAATACCTCTTAGTTAATAACCCCTCAAAAAAAAAAAAGATGCGTTGTTTCCAACGTGAATTGATCATGTTTTTTTTAAATGATCTATTTTTGTATACAGGATACCTTGACGTAAGATTGCTTTTTTATTGTTCAAGTTATATCGCTTCTTACTGTATAATCGAATCCACAGTACAAGAAAAAGGGGAAGCAAGATGAAAAAAAGCAATCCAGCCTTTTACCGATGATCATGTTTACCTTTGCAGAATTACGTAGTAACTAAATATAAACGTTTTTTTGCTTAACTAGAAAGGACGGGCTTTTGTGAAGAAAAGAAAAACAAGAAAAGTTACGATGGGGTTTGCACGGTACATTAAAGTGAAAAAACTAATAGATAAGACATTTAGAGATAAAGTTTTGTTCCTCATTGTTCCTGTTCTGTTTAGAGTTTGCCAATAAGGTGCCGCGCTAGTATTAAACGCAGTGTTTATACCTTTATTTGTATTGTATGGCATGATTTCGAAAGGATTCGAGAAATACAAACGACACACATTGAGAAGTATCTCCACTTTTTTTATAACTGGTTAAGAATTATTATTAAATTCCCCCTCGTTTTTTTTTCTTAACTACTGGCAACCAGAAAAAAAAAAAATAATAATAATAATAACCAAATTCCATCTCCAACCGTTAGAATCACAAAGATAAGTGACTCTTGCAGGCAACGTTTTCAAAGACCTCAACGTTTTCCCCAAATTTTATCTTATCTTATCTTTACACTGCCTATACTAAAAATGACACTCATGGCCTATATTCGATGTAAACAAGTCCCCATTTACGCAATTAGGGCGCTTAAGGCAAGACACTGCCCTCTTGCAGATCACTTTACACATCGTATAACACTGTAGAGAGTCAAAAATAGATTGTTACACAAACTAGAAGAGACTATTTTTATATGCAGGATAGTCCTCAAGGAGAAAAGTTAACAGAGCTCAGATCTTATAATTCGTCTATCAGTCCACTGAAATTAACACGAGATCTTTCCAAAATCGGGCACATAATTTAGCATTTTCTTAATTTGTACATATTTAAGGAATCGTCTGTTTTATTCTATCAGCTTTCCTTGGTAAAATTTCCGCACACAGTTATATCAATAAAGATCACACCATTAATTGCCTTGGTTACAAGGTAACATGTATTGGTAGTAAACGCGTACATAATATCTCCGGTTTAATAATTAATTTTTTTTTCTTGTATTTTTCTCCTTAATTACGAGATCAGTTTGTGATACATGCCGTTGGAAATTGAATTCCGCCAGATTTGAAAATAAAGCAGTGGCACCCTCCCCCTTGGACTATCTTTCTTAGCAACAAGGGGAATTTCAAGTTTTTGATAGATCAACGGCTTTCTGATATCACAAAGATCTATCAGATGTGAAATTCACGGTTTCAGATCGGTCTAAATGGTTATCTAAGAGCATGGGAAAGTTTCGGTAGAAATAATGTTATTAACAGAAAAAAAAAGAACAATAGTTTTTTCTTGCAGGACCGGGTTTGTGATACTATTACAAAATCCCCCAACAATTAATTTATTCATTAACACCTGGGCTTGATCTTTGTTAGTTTTGTAACGAATTATAGTGTGTCACTCAGTGGGGGAGCATGGAGGAACGGAATACCCCTTTAGGAAACTATTCCAGTAAGGGAGCACTCCGGATCGGCATATTCTTTTTTCGATGGTTTGTACTCCACAAGGCATTTAATAGCCTTGGCAACGGCATCCACATGCAAGATCTAGCCTACAATGGGATTTTTTTTTTAAAGAATACACTATTGGGAACGATGCCAGGGGGGGGTACGACCATCACCTGTTATTTGCAGCAAATATCAGGAGATTCCCTAGAAAATTGCTCATTCCTGAGTCAAACCCGCCTTCGGAAAAATTCTCTAATGCTGAATTGCGCCTTGCATCGGACAAACATAGTTTGAGATTTAACCCAAGATCCCGATACCCGTCAACTATAAAGATAAGTAGATCGTTGGAACACTCAGATCATCTCTATCTATTAAACACAAAGTGTGTCGGTGATATAATTCTTATTGTGTCTAATTGCATAGATTTTTCTTTTATTACTTCTTTGTTCGACACCGTGGGATTTTTCGATTCGCGTTAATTTACAACGATTCCACACCACGACAACGATGGGGGGCATTGTCAAGACACAGATAAAAGTGGCTTCACCTTCACAACAAGCGCAAATTGCCTATTTGGTTTTTGCGAAGCTGATTGTTTTGATTTTTTATTTTTGCGAGTAGGAGTTATTTTTCTATGAGAAAATTGGAATCACCTTCAGGTGTCGGGTATTTGATTTTCCGGATGATAACTAGGATCAGCTTGGCAGCAAAACTGATCCTATGCAGCCACTTTATTGATTGCAAATAAACACGAGGAAGGTTAAACGCTATCTATCGCTGTCTGAACCTACAATTGCAGGTTATGCAAGAGAGTTGACATAATGAAACGAGAGATTGTCTTCTTCCTGCAACTTCTAAGCTTAAGCCTCGCGGGATGATTCACACATCACAACCCGCACACGGTAGAAGTTCCCGTGCTATTGCGGGGAGATGGAATGTTCTACCGAAAATTGCATTATCTAAGGGCCAATTCATTGTTGCAAAAAAATGCAGTTTTGCAGGTTATCTAAACAATAGTGCTTTAGTGAGAAGAGCAAGTATGAAAGATTCCACGTTCATTGTTCTAGTGTAGATATAGTCTCTTGTTGCGTTTAAATGTAACTAAATATTAGCAACTTTCTTAGTACACTGGGATATGGAAAATTCTTCGGAAGAAATGTCTATCATGCTTGCTTTCTCAGATTGGTATGCTATCCGTTTTAGCATGAGCCATAACTGTGACATTATGGAAGGTGTTTGAATTAGTTGCTCATACCACCATTTTTTATATCAAATATTAGAGATAAATCTACTCTTAAAATTTTAACTGTTATGGCTCATAGCACACAGGTAATATAATTAGAGACTATTTCAGAAGAACAAGCAAAAAGAAGAAGCCATTTATCTGTTATGCAATAGTTGTGCGTGAATATTTGTAGAAAGATCATCAATAAAATCAGATTTAAGTTCAGCCAGGTTATGAGGACCCTTTGCGATAAAGATCAAAAGCAGAACTTTAAACCTGAAACAGTCTGGTAGCTTATACTTTATTTACTAGTTATCTGGAAATATCATGCTTTTCTCTAATCCATAGAATCTGCTCATTTGACATTTGCAACCATTGTCGCTGCCAAATGTAGTAATTTTATATTGATGCAAAATTTCGTTGAAAAAAGTTTAAAATTTTTTTTTACAAACTAATGTGATTTTAACAAAGTATATAAACCTGGATTCACCATGAACATGATAAATTATCCATTAGATAACAGATAAACAGTTTTAGAAATATGGATGAAAATTTTGAAACATTAGGCAATAGTTTGTTGGCAGATATCGACAACAGTGGCGATATTTTACTCACTTATGCGTTTCCCAATATTGATGACATTCAAGTTTTTCCTTTCAAGGTTCTCGATGATTATCAACGTAGAGTTCTTGAAAGTTCAATCGTGTTTGGAGTTTCAATAGGTGCTTGTTCTGTGATTTTACTTTTGTTATTTGTGGTGCTGTATAACAACCGAAAGAAGAAATTATTCAAGTCTTTTCTTTTCAACTTGAATGCTGCTATTTTGTTAGTATACATCATCCAATCAGGATTAAATCTCAATTATTTAATGAGTAGATTATCATCTCCAAGTTTCTTCATTACTGGAGCTTATTATGGTGAATCATTTGCTATGACGGATACTGCCAATGCCTTTAGGGTGATTTTGGTAGGGTTGGTTCAAATTTCATTAACTTATCAAGTTTACATTATTTTCAAAGGTCATAGGTTGAATATATGGAGTGTTTCAGCTACATTGTTTTCAACATTGTTCTCAATAACAGTAGTTGCCTTTACTATCAATTCTGTTGTCCTTGCCCATAGGAAGAATTCAGCTTTTACTCATGGTCAGGAGCGTAATTTTGTTTCTCTTTGGAATGACTTGCCTGTGTGGTTATTCTCAATTAATATCAACATCATGTCGGTATTGTTGATTTTGAAACTAGGAATGGCCATTAGAACAAGAAGATACCTTGGTTTGAAACAATTTGATGGATTACATATTTTGGTGATTATGTCCACACAAACTTTGATTATACCATCAATCATTTTATTCGTTCATTATTTTGGCATTTCAAATGTTGGTTCTATGCTAGTAAAAGTCAGTATGTTGTTGATTGTATTAACATTACCTTTAACTTCACTTTGGGCACAAACTCAGAATAATACCGAGAATATTAATTCGTCTCCAAGTATGTCCTTCATAAGAAGAGAAATTTCTACTGTTACCACGTTCAGTAATAATAGAGGAGGAAACACTCTGAATTTGGAGAAGAAGCCATCTTCTACAGTACAAGGTATCATATTCCCGGATTTATCAACTAATCCTGGATCTGCTTTACCTTCTGCTATTGAACAATTGTTGGGCGAAGGAGACGACACTATTCTGAACCCAATTTCCTGGGAAAAGATTTAAATCTATCGCTGAATTGTTTCTATATATGATAAAATTAGATATTTATTATAGTTCTAATATATGGTGAAAACTCCTCTAACAAAACTTACCCCATATTAACCATTGTACTTGGTATCAAGTGATTGGTTACCTAGGGAATAATTCAACATATCATATTTAATCACGCTACCAAATTCAAAAAATGGCAAAAAAAATTCCCCCGGGAAAAACCGCACACAATTTTTTTTTTTTTTTTTGATCTTACTCTTTTCTAGATCACTCATAAAGTCCAGCCCCAGCAACGATGGTAGCAGAGCCGGTACAAGCAACTGTACAAACCCTCAAACAATTGTATTCACAAGCAACAGGTTTCATAGATACCCAATATGACAATGTTGTGAACTCTGATCTTTACAATAATTCTTATGATAAAATCACCAAGTTGAATCCGTTTGGTGAGACTAATGGGTCAATTATATCCATTGGTAATCCGCCACCACCATCACCACCACCATCACCGTCACATTCTGCTTATGGTGCATGTTCGAGAATGTATCAGAAGGTATATGATCTGATTAATGAGAATAGAGCTAGATATATTACCTTGTTTAGTTGTGTGGGGCTTGGTGGCGCCGCGTGGTTGATATACAAGAGAAGAAAACGGAATTTATCAGATTCAGCCGAGAAACGTCACAAGAGACGTGTTCCTAAGTTGACCAATGGTGCAAGAAGAGATGTTGTGTTGATTATTGGTTCTCCTACGGAACCATTAACCAGACTCATAGCACTTGATTTTGAAAAGCGAGGATTTATTGTATATTTGACTATCTTGGACGAGAATGATTCGAAATACATTGAATCTAATCCAATCACTGACGATGTTAACTATTTAAACTTGAATGACAAGAAGGGCAATATGGAGACTCATGTTTCCACTTTTAATCAATTATTGAAGTTGCCCGTAGTTCCATTCCCCGGAGCTGAAGCACACACCCTAAATCTTGTTGGTGTGGTATTTGCTCCTAGTTTATACTTCCCTATTGGTCCTATTGAGAATATTGCTATTAGTAGCTGGGCTAAATTGAACGACAGAGTGATGACATACCTTAAATTGCTTTCCTCAGGACTTATTCAATTGGTTAGAACTCAACAAGCAAAGTTGATATTGGTCAACCCTAATATTTTGAGTGCATTGGATATGCCATACCATGCACCTGAATCTATATTCCAAAATCAATTGAAACATTTGTTCACCACTTTAACTAGAGAATTGAGTTCACATGGAATCTCAGTGACTCAAGTAAGACTAGGTAATTTGCATATTCTGAATCAGAAATTGTCGTCGGGACCTCGAATTGAAAGTTTAGTGAATACGGAAGTTAGAGCATGGACTTCGGAAATGAAACAGTTGTATTCTGACGATTTCTCAAGATCTCAATTCAAAGCCAATCCAATAAAGTCAACTGGTGGTAAGGGAACAAGTTTACGAGAATTATACCATCTTTTGTTTGATTTGTTGTATAGTGAAAAGAGAAATCCTCCAGTTGTGTACTGTGGTACTGGTGCTAGAGGGTATGATTTGATCTGTAGAATTTTCCCTGAGTCATGGATAGAATGGTTTTTGAAATAGATCTATATTTATTTAATCTTGTATAGTTAATTTAATTGTTCTCACCAAAACACTTTTGCAATACCCTATTTTTTGCAAGTGCTTACCCGGCCATGGAGCTTTTCCCACATCGCAAACAAAAATTTTTCTAGTGGGTAAGAAATTCCAGTATAAATTTCTTCATGTTTTCTTCTTCACCTCCATGTTCAAAGATTCGTCATCGAAGCCTACAAAAAGACTTTTACAAGTCAATCAAAGCTTTGGGGAAAGTCTCCTGTCACAATAGCGGAAACGCAATGATCTATCACAGATTTCATTGACGGCGGTTTACATTCCCATTTGTGCTGATATGTCCTTGCTTTATATCTCTTTGATTTCCTTACTCTTTCAGGGTGGGTCGGATCCTGTTGGCTCTATTGTTCCATGTTGTGAATTTCTTGATTCTGTGTTTTTGTTGCTAATCCATTTGGATCTTGTCTTTCTAGCTCTGGCAACTGATGCACAATTGAATGTGGGATTATTGCACAGGTTCAATATACGGGGTTAACACGGACCTGGTTCTTAAGGGGTCATACACGGAGATGTTTGCTTTTTGGGTGTATTTTGTGCATTGGGAAAGTACGTGCCGTATTACGTTCCTGAATGGGTTTATTTATCTCATTTGGATGTATTCCGGTATCATTTCTCGGAATGGTATTGGACAGTCGACATTGGGATCTTGCGGATCCTAAACGATAGTCATGACGAATGATCGGTATGATTAACGCAATGGAGCTTATTCTTGATTCATGGAGGTCCCCCCCCTTTTCACAAAAGTCTGATGCAGAGTTTAGTGTATAAGATGCCAGCTCGTGTGTGCATAGTCAAATATGCCAGACTTCAACTTCAGGTGAAGTTGTACATGATTTATACAATTTCTGTTAATTTTTTTTCAATGAGAAAACTTTTCGTATGATGAGACATCCAAGCAAACATAGAGTCAAGCTCTGAACCTTTACCATCACCGTCTGGAAAGATGGCGGGATGAGTGAAGATGAAGAGAGTTGCAATTTACTCTGATTGAAAAGTTATTCTCAAAGAATTATGCAGAATTTGAATAAATGGTGTAAACAGAGAAGAGGAATCTGTAGAAATAATATCGATATTAATAATAAACATAATAAATATATAAACCAAGCAACCCAAATCTCTATTCAACTTTCCAATGACTAGTCAAACTATTACCCCCTTTCGAAGAACCATCATTCCCCAGCAACTCAACAGCATATAAAAGTAAAGTTGTGCCCATATTCACCCAATTCCAAAATTGCCAAGGATGAACTATAATCAGGGCACTTGCATCTGTCGAACTTAGCTCGCCATATAATGGCCATAATTGTAATTCGGTACCCAATTCTCCAATGTAGGATAACATCAAGTGGGTATACACTGCGATTATCAAACATGGAGCATATGCATATATTATTCGGATCATGGCTGAAGGTGGCTGATGGTGGGGTGGTTTTAACCGGAATGATTTCTTTCTTCTGTGCAGACGTTTAGGATCGGTGGAATTCGCTTTGGAATTAGGTTCAGTTTCATTAGACATTCTTGACAATGATGTGCTTGATGCCTGTCTTGATCGTATAGTTGGGGTCTTTGGTGGAGTAACTGAAGGGTATGCGGCTGAATGGTATAATGTAGGAATAATCTTGGTGGCAGCATAAAATACTCCAATTCTATAGGCTAATTTCAAGAACAATGGGAATGGCAATTTTAAAATGGCCATGATCAAGAAATCCCAAATTCCTTTGAATGATGCGGGTAAGGTGGATGCTAAGAATGGAACAAGTTCGGAAATTGGGTTCAAGATTGATGGTGGGATTTTGGGGATTTCATGACGTAAATTAGATGTGGCTTGGGTTAATAATGTTGCTAATGTTTGAGAAGCATTTTCAGACAAGATAGGAAATGTTTCATATATGCATCTTACAATATATGCAAATAACAATGAAGATTCAATTATTGAGCCTTGACCACTGACTATTCCAAATAATCCTAGCCCAAAAGTTAAAGTAACTAATGATCCTAAAAGCGAAGCACTAGCAATGTCAATTGAGAATGGAAACACATAGATTCGACACAAGAAATATATCGCAGCAGTAATAATCGAACCGCTTCCAATCAACGATACAATCAACCACGAATCTGATTTATAGATGGTTAACCAATTCACGGTTTGACCAATTGCTTGTATTAACAACAATGAACAGAACCCTTCTAAAATAGTAAACACCGGGGTTGCATTTTGTAACATGACTTTCCAAAATGCAAGGGGATTGAAGTATTTATATTCGTGAGATGCTTCTTTGGCATGGGCAGCAAAATAACTCAAGAAGAATGTCAATAAACTTGGAATGATAAAATGTTGACTGTAATAAACGATTGAAATCCACCGGAAGTACCTCGTTCTACGAGCCATTATTCTGATGGTGGTTAATATGAAATAAATAACAAATGTAGTCAAGGAAAAAGCCAATCCACATTTGACTCCACCAACATCAAATGCTAACGGGATAGTCAAAATGACCAACACGAGGTATAATGTGGCGAATATGCCTCGTATGAGGCTCCCTATTCTATCTATGATTTTCATGGATGTACTCTAGTATGTAATTTTTGTGGGGAACACACTAACCGAAGGATAAAGATACGCTTATAACGCTAGGAACTGAATAACAAATAGAATTTAACAACTGTCACCAACATGGAGCTCCAATGAGCTTAAACAATTCAGGTCTTGTCTTTTCTGCTTTATTTTTTTAAACAGCAAATCTGTCAAGAAGGAGAATCCGATACAAAGACTAACTTATATGAAAATTAATATCAAGGAAAGAAACGTAAGATACAATTGAATGATTGATGTGTTGTGGTTCCCTTTGATTGCTTGTTCTTTCACTTGGAATCCGTGGATTAGGAGTAAAATTGGTTTGTTATTTTCATTTTATCTTTAAAGAAAAAAAAAAAAGTTGTAGATTTCTTTGGTGCGTGTGTGACGATGATGGTGGTGATGTTTCTACGTCAAATTACAACACGTCACGGCTTTTTGACATTAAGCTTTGCGACATAAATTTGTCAAATATCAACTCCTAATTTAAATATGTATTTCTATGTATAAGTCTATCTATTTTATATGAATTTAGTATTCAAGTTCTGGTGCTATTGCGTTCTTTAATATCTTTTTCAATACCATCTCCAGCGACATTATGTTGTAAGCAATAGTTAAAGCTTCCAAGTATTGAATAACTTCAAATCGACAAAGCAAGTCAATATCTGCTAATCTCCTTATAGGAGTTAACCCATAATCTTCTGCAGTACATCCATCAGGGAATGTTATCATTCTACTTCTTGGAATGGCTGATGCTGTAGAAGTTCCTGGCATAAGAACATAGTTTGATTTTGGTTGGAAAGAGCGAGTCAATCTGTGTAATGAGTAAAATGGTTCCATCATTGTGAAAAAAAAAAGCTATATGTGTTTGTTGTTGAATGGAAAGGATCTGTTGCAATATAGAAACTATAACTTGTATTTATATCAATCACTTTCTAATTATATTCGAGTTACATTTCAATCCCCAAGACTATTTGAGCGGCTGCCTAGTCTAAATTTAGTTGGTTACCCCTCAGTCATCACTAAATGATTTGTGGTTGTATTTCGATATTTTATAACGTCAGGCAGTAGTACTAGTCGATATCCTATTGTTTGGTTGCGCGGCGGGGTTCTAAAATATTTCCGTATATGCATGGATCAAATAGCGCAAAAAAATATGACGCAAAACTGGCACCAAATGCAGAAATAACGCAAAAATGCAATAGGTTTACGGAAAAACTTTGCTTCTAGATATTCCTGAAACAATAACATAGAACCATCCCTGGCTCAATATAATCCGAAAAAGAAAAAGGGGAAGAATTCCAATTAAGGGAATATAAAGCCTGATTGTGATGTAATTTATACGGCTTTCCTATAGTGCCGTTTCTCAATCGTATTTTAAGTAGAGATAACTTATAGAGATATTTTAGCCACCTATTAAGCCAATCATATTTTATATCCATATCTCAGTGAGGTTTTTTTGCCGCTTAGTAAGTCAATTAGGTTACACCCATAGAGATGTTTTTGCCGCTTAGTAAGCCACATTATGCTTTATCCCTGAAAAGTGACACGATAATGCAATTCCAAAAAAAGTTGCTTGCTGCGATAGGTGTTTTTCCTAATTTTAGTTTTATACTTTATACCTGGACTTAAACATGTGAACGCAAAGATACTAAAGGGAGTGCTCAATTTTCTGAGCTGTGCTTCATCACAGGTGGAGAAATGTACCTGTAGTTTAGACGTCGTTTTCTTTTCTAGATACATTGAAAGTTACTAGAATTGGAATTTCTAAGAATGAACCAAGAAGTATCAGATAATTCCATAAAATTAAAACAAGGATTATGCAAAAAACAAGTTTCTTTTTTTAGCTGAATATTCATTATTAAAAAGCGACTACTGAAAAGGAAACTAATTACGAAACTAAAAATTGACAGCCAAGTTTGCATATTTCAGTCCTAGAGAAAGTAGTGTTTACCTTAATTCAGTAGTTACTGAAAAGATTCTGATTGATATAATTGTTGTTGGTACTGACCATCAAAACATAAATAAGGTTATTATCGAACAGAATTATTCTAAGGCTATGTTGAAGTAACCTGAATAAACCATGGATATGAAACCCAAATCTTGGTAAATCCTTTCTGATTTCACACTACTATAATCATATAAATATGACCGTAAAAGCCCATAATTTCGACTAGAAGTAATACTTTATATCATTAGAACTTTAACATGAAACTCATTTGAGTAGTTTTAGCAACTTTTGTTACCCTGATCTCAACAGAGATTCTTAGTTTGAATGGGGGGAGGGGGGTGCCACTTGGCAAATATAATACAAGAGAAAAGAGAAGGTGATTTCCTTGGCTGCTTTGATGTGAAATATGAATTCAAGAAATACAAACTCCCCTAGCAATAATTCAGAGATATAGGCAATATCAAACCAAGTAAATTTCTTTGTGATAAACCCAACGAATGTAAGTTTTTGCAAAATATGCAGCTATATAAAAGGAATAAGGTTCAATTACAGTGGTAGTTTATAGAACATAAAACATCTTTGATTGAATAAAAGGTAAACATAAGTTAGTAGTGAGGTAGTACAACTTTGATAGATGAGGTTTCCCCAACTTTAAATTTAAAAGGTGCACACTGATTTACTACTGCTACAACCTATCAGGGCAGATCATTGGGAAACAAAATTCACGATAGTAATAATTATCTAGTAGCTATTATAATTGAGGATCTAGCTTTTTTAGTTCTATAATTAGAAGAGTTAGACTGATGTTTTTAAAAGGTGCTCTTGTTAGTTCAATTATTGTAATTATTAATAGACCCCTTTTTAATTATATGTTCCAAAATTATGATCAAAATCTAACTCTGTCAAAATAAACTTTAGGTTGAGTTCCATATTACTTGGCATATACAAGAATAACTAAAATCAGTGGCAAAGTAGAGTTACTCGTTTGGATAAACCCTATATTTCTGCACATGGTAAGCTACATCATTAGTACATCGTGTCGCTTTTATGCACAGTATAGAAGTTGCAAAAACATGTGAACAATGGTAATAAAAGCAAAGGAAACCAGTGAACTGTAAGCAAACAAGACAATCTATTAACAAATCAAACCTTTTAGATAAAGTCTTCAAAAGGAAGCTTTAACCATATCTTGCCAAGAATTTCGCTGAAATAAAGGGAACCGATGACACATGCATTTTCGCCTAAAATTTCTTTTTAGATTTTCGAGCTACTAAATAGACAATATATTTCTATATACAGGGAAGTAAGTCGGGGGACCATCAGCCATGTAGCAAACTAAGTTAAGATTAATATTTAACAGCTTGTTGTGTCTGATTCATGCTTTGTTCTTTCCTCATACACTAATATTATTATAGCAAATTGCGTACAGAAATAAAAATTTACTAGTTTTTTTTTTTCGATTGAATTTTGGATTTATTTTAGAAATATCCTACACAATACCCTGATAAGTAAAACGTTATAATAATAAGATAAGACAAAGAAATATAAATTAAATATTAAAGACTTAGACTTCCAGAACCTTAGTCTTAATACCAATCTCTTTGATGTCAGCCTTTTCGTGTTCACTGTCATCGGACTCTTCAACATAAACAGCTTTTCTTTCACCACCCAAATTAGCACCTCTGTTTTCAGGACCAAGCAAGATAACAATTATCAAGTAAACCATAACAGCAGCCATAAAGATAGCCATAGTTTTACCATAGTCATAAATTTCCTTTGCAGGATCGATAGGGAAACGTTCCCCGAGAGTAGCTTCAATAGTAGAACTAGCAGAAGAAACCAAGTTACCTAATTGGTACGAAACACCGGAAACAAATGCACGGAATTGTGGTGGAGATAACTCAGAAAGATGGATAGGAACAACCGACCAAGATCCTTGGACACCAAATTGCATAAAGAAAGCAGTGACCCACATTGGTTTGAATGCCCATGGATAGATAAAAGCACAAGTAATCACGTTACCACATAAGATAGCAGTTCTTCTACCAATAAATGTGGACAAGTGACCAATAACAATACCACCAGCAAGAGCACCCAAATTAGCACACACGTTAACCACGGTGGAAGCATCGGCACCGTAACCGTATTGTTTAGTTAACATAGTTGGATATAAATCTTGAGAACCATGGGAAGAGAAGTTGAAACCAGTCATCATAAGAATCAAGTAGATGAGAATCAACCAGTACAGTTTAAGGGCAGCCTTGGCTTGAGATTTGAATTCCTTAACCTTGGATGATTTATTCATAGCACCTTCTTGGAATTTGGCTCTTTGACTCAAATAAGCGTCGGTTTCTGGGGTGAAAAATCTCCAAATAATTAAAAGAACAGGTGGACCAGCACTGAACCAAAAGAGAGATCTCCATCCCTTAGGAGTAGTATCGACAAGAGCTCTTTGAAAAATGACAGCCAATAAATAACCAAAAGCATAACCTTCTTGGAAAATACCCGAAAGAACACCTCTTGCCTTAGTTGGAGCATCACTAAGGGCTTCAGCAGCACAGATACCAAAGATACCACCCATAGCAACACCAAACAAAGCTCTAAGACCCAAGAATTGTTGATATGTAGTGACAAAACCAGTACCTATTTGAATAACAACCAACAAGAACAAATTAATCATGTAAGGCCATTTTCTACCTCTAGTATCACCAAGAGCACCAAAGATAATAGCACCAACAGTTCTCAACATTAAAACCAAAGTAATACCCCAAGAAACATCTTTAACACTGACGTCTAAATCTTCAGCAATGTTGGTAAGGTTTAAGGAAGTGGCGAAAAAATCCAAAGCATCCCAAGTCCAAGCCAAGAACCCTAAAAGGAAAAAATTCCATTGGTGCAAGTTCATCTCAACCAAAGGCTTAAAAGGGTTAAGTATTTCATGTAATGAATAGTGGGAATATTCATCTCTGCTAACAATAAGCGATGAGAGTCTAGTGGAGAAATAGCCTCTGATTGCTGGCCAAGTAAAAGAAGGTGGATGAATAACATGTTTGTCATCTTCCTTAGCTTCAACAGGATTAATACTACTAGTGTCTGAAGTCATTATTGTTTGAGCGATGGTACGAATCTGTTACTAGTAGTTGGAATCGATATTGAAAACAAAAAAAAAGAAGTTGCAATCTCACTGGGGGAACGTTGCTCCATTTATAATAAATTTTTTTTTTACATATCTAGGCATATTGAACTGATAAAAGTCTCAATACCATACACCTAAATGACCAGGCTACGTTGTTAATTATTTTTTTTAATCCATTGTACTTTTGCTTGCCCCCCCAGAAATTACTATACTCTATACTTCCTTTCTTATTGTCGCGAAAAAAAGCCAACAAAAATAAAATATTTTTTGACGCTTTTTTCTGCAGGAACTCCTAAATTCTCAAGAAAAATTTCTTTTGTCAGTTTTATATTTTTTATTTTAGTTTTTTTTTTTGAAATTTGTAGTCTGCCGTAGCAATCGACACTGGTTGCCTCAGTTAAACTTTCAATAATTTTTTTTTCGCAATCTGTACATCGAGTGACTACCATCTTACTTTTCAAATTAAGCCATAAATATAAGGAAAAATTATCCGGATTTAATTCGTAGTTAAGAAAAGTATAATCAAGAAATAACACTCTCTAAATTGAGTTTTGGAGGATGTAAATCAAAGCGTTGGGCGTGTTAATAATCCAGGCGCCTCCAAAACCTTAATTTATTACGAAACGGGGTAAACATACATAGGTAGCCGTGTAATATGCCTATCTCCCCCGCAATATTAATTTGACTTATCGGACTTTTGTACGGGATAATAGGTTGCGGAAGATCCTGCCCCTCCCCCACTTCTAATTGCCGTAGTTTTAAACTGAAATCTCCTTGATCAAGTGGAACTCCGGGTGTTACATCATTGTTCTTTGCCCATTGTTTTTTTTTCGCAGCGAGGTATTTGGTTTTTGCAAATTTGTTGAAAATAGTCGAGACATATCGCCAAGAGCGGAGTAGAATGACATCACTACGTTGAGCTATTACTAATATACTTTCAAGCTAAATGTACTCTTTGAATAGGTCATTTCCATCTTACTGGGATAAAAGAATTTGCTATGGGTAGGTATATCTCGGGAGAACTATCGGAGTAGAATAACAAGTGGCTTCGTGTTGAAGATTGTTTCCAGTCTGACTCCGATCAATTGTTCCGTTTATAAATATGCAACTTAAAACAATCAAATGGTGTTTTTTTGGGCCATAAGATCGAACACCAACCATACATAGCTTTGACTTTACGTAATGAATATCTAATTCTTGCAGACATTCAAAAACCATGCAAATAACTACGTGTAAGAGAAAAAAAGGTCAAGCATTGGCAATCTCTTTGATTAGTTGTTTCTGGGATCGCCTGGATCTCGCCACATTTAAGGTTTTCCAAGAAAAACCAGTATTGTTTCAATTTCTTCGGCTACATGATTTTCTTCACCGTTCAAGATACACACATTAAAAATGAATGCGTTCTGTGGACATCAACATCCAATTATAATAACTACATAGGACCCCTGTAATTCCTCTTCGGAGCTCCTAATTACCTCCCCATTTGTTGATTCTTGCAGAACAATTCTCACGGCATTGTGATTATCCGGAATATATTAAAAAATATTTTTAGGTTCCTGTAAATTTATGCAATAATAAAATATTTTTTTTTTTGGAATTCTTCCCCCCACCGTTTCATCCATCCACCAAATGATTTTAGTAATCTCTAATTTATAAAATGCTATTGTTAGATAGAGTGAGGAGAACACATCAAATGAAATCTTACGGAAGAAGGCGGGTGTCTCACCGTGTGGTACTGGTTATTTCAACGTTCGCCTTAAATTAATGTCCGGAATCGCAAAATTTAAGCAATCTTGCATATTTGAGATTGGTCACATTAGAATCGTCACATCCTTCCCATCACAGGCTTTCAGAAGAAAGCTTGTCATTTCAGAATGTTAATGATCGCTATATTTGGTATGTTAAAGCACAAATTATTCCCTTAGAGTTATCCGAGGGTATTTATAAAGCTTGTTTAGTGGGAAAAAAAATGCGCTCAAAGATTTGACAATATTTTATTTTTTAATTAAAAATAACGCGGTTGCAAATATACACAATTTTTTTCTTGGGGTAAATATCAATTAGTAATATTATAGGACTAACCCGGGATTGGAATGAATTCTCCACATAACCTGAAACAGATTCATTTGTAGTTGTATTTGGTTCTATGTTTGATTGCTTGGTTTTCTCCATGAGAAGCAAAATATGAATGGTGTACCCTTTAACCAATCGAATTAGTAGATTCTACCATGGTATGCGACTGTAAAAGACCACAGGAGAACTAGAACAGCTAAAATGTGGTATAATTTCGCATACCTCAGAAATAGAGCCATCTTAGAGGTTAGAATAACTAGAATAGATCACAAGTAGTTAAGAAGATTCGACAGCTAATCTATGAATAATAGTTAAACAGAAAACATGTAAATAACGAATAAATGGTTAACAATCTCAAATGAACAAGGTACAAGCATATGCCAACAGCACCCTTAGAGGTAGCTTCTTTTGGTGTAGGTACTCTTCAAAACAACAAATTTGATTTCCCAGCATGTAAATTAATTAAGCTCTTTATCAAGCAACGTTTTAATTTTATCAAGGTATAATATATGGCGATTACAACATTACAACATAAAATAGCAATGCACCAGTTATGTTCCGTAAGTTCTCTCTTGTCATTTACTTTCTATGATCAAGAATGTTATGGCCCGGGCTTTTTTCATAGACAATCTATAAATACAGACACAACATGGTTTGCTAAATCCAACGGATCAAACTATTTATAACTTTCAGTAAACTTAATCATTCCTTTTAGTTTATTACTCCAAAAGATTCAACCATCTCAAAGTAGAGGAGCCATAATCTACATCAAAGTTTTCAACCTCACTCATACTCAAGTTCAAGTGAAAGAGATTGGAATTATAACGCATATAAAAACAGGGGGAGGATTTCAGAGTAACACTATTAATTCAACTCAGACTCAATTTTAACTGGATTAGATTATGTGGTTAGACTCAATAATTTAAACGTGTAATCTTGTTTCTCAGTATGTGCAAGGTCTGCAAATTCACAACTCAGTACCAATAACCACTACAATACCCTTTTGATTCAACTTGGAACAATTTCAATTTGGTGAATGATGTCGTGAATTGAGCATATTGAAAATCGACAAATACAGAGTACTTCATGGACAAACGTATCTTAAGGCACCTAAATATCGTATCCCATTTGGGCCAATGTGATACGGGTAAAATGCTGAAGCTTCATTTTCTGTTCCTGAGAACTCAAGATGTTTTAATTTTTTGAAGAACAGGATTCTCAGTCAAGCCTTTGAAGTGAAGTTTCTAAGTCCAAGTTTCTGAAGATTAGGGTGCTAAAAGGATCATGGAACATCTGTTAGAGTATGTATGAGAGGGATTAAATTTGTCGAAATGAATTCAAATTCTTTCAAGCTAGTAAATCATAACAAATACTTAAAGTCTTTACCGAAAAAGACGGAAATGATCTAGATTGACACAAAACATATCAATCTTACTAATCCATTCATGACACCATTCAAAAAATTCTAAATTCTTTGAAAGTGCCACCATGTACAGCTGTTAATTTTTATTAGAATAATATCAGGTATATAATACATGAAGCGATAAATTTTATCTAAACTTCTCCCAATTCCACAATTGTGTGGTATATAAGGTCGGATTAGAACACCGGTGGGGATATTGTGAAGCAAAGTTCATTAGATTAATATTTATCTAGTAGTAACCAGGTATTTTCATCAGGAGATGTCTTAAGGAATTAAATTTGCAAGTGCCACTTAAGCGAATTATAGATACGAGTAATGTAATTTTCATAAAAAAAGAGGAAAGAATATGACTATGAATACAGTTTGCCATTTTTCGGACATGATGCCAGCTTCTTTAGAATAAGTAGAATGGAGTCCAAGAATGTACTAGATGGAATCGGTAAGTGAATCCGCGAACAAGAGTAATTAAACAGGATTCTTGTTATGTAAGTGATTGTAACACTATGCAGTAATCTAGAAAGCACAAGAAAAGTCTAATAAATATTACTGGAAGTAAAACAAATGCCATAGCCGAGTTTGCAACCATGTAATCTTCCTATCCGAAAATGGAATACCAAGTCAAATTATCTAAAACCCTGAACAAGACCCCATAGATAGCTTCATAAATAAATTTATCAAGTAGTTTATTGGATACTGACTTCGCTTTGACATAACTGGCCTTCTAAGTATCCCGTTATGTAAAACAAAAATGATTCAGAAAATACAAATATACCAAATAGAATCAACTATACAACAATATAATTTTCGTAGACTATAGTCTATATATATATATATAGTATACGCGCTAACAATAGTGGGAATGTAAAACTACCTAACTTTTTTTGCTGTCAAAGTATCATTAAGGAGAAAATAAAAATACCCCACAATTAAGGAAACCGCATACCGAGAAATCATCTCTTATTGCCACTTTACATTTTCTCCTTTTTTATTTTCTTGAAGAGCCTAACCATTCCTTGGCTCTCCTCATATTGTAACGTAACCTGTAGTCATGACCATTCCTTGACTATCCGCGTTTTCCCCTACGGCATTAATCTTCGGTCTAGTCCCAAAGGGGGATGGATACCACGGTAATACAATTATAGCCGATTGTATCCCTAAATCTAGTTGGCATTATTCGGTATATAAGGGAGTATATCGGTAATCAGAGGATGGATATAACCGAAAAAAAAGTCGTTATCAGGTGACGTTGCGATAAGATAGGGAGGCTGTTTGTACTTCTATAGATTTGCGTTGGATTACAATATCTTCAGCCTGACATCACCAGATGACAGATTGTTACGTATCGATAATTATTACAACCGAATCCAATTCCATCACAATAAAACCATTAATACATACATGAAGACATTTGCTTCAAAAATAAGCGGGCTTTTTTTTTGCCAATGCAAGGCAATAAAGGTTATAGGGTAAATTTCTTATCCTCCGCCAATAGCCGATAAAAATTGTGTCCCCTCGATTTATTTTTGTTTGCTGCAAAAAAAGTAAATACAAAAAAAAAAAAAGACAAAATATGACCACAATCACAGTTTTACGGAAAGGCGAATTAGGGGGGTAATTATCTTGTCCGAATTATTCGTCAATTATAAATACATCAGATATTACCTCAAGTTTAATATTACCCAATTTGTCTTTTGGTAAGTAAAGCGTTATGACTCCTGTTATAGAAACCATACAAGATGGAGAAAGCTCCATCAGCCCAAACAACTCCGGTGTATGCTCACCAGTATCAATTCCTAATGAAATACATCTAGGAGAATATCTATTTCTCCGTATAGCACAAGCTAACCCTAAACTTAGGTCAATCTTTGGTATCCCAGGTGACTTTAACGTTGACTTGTTGGAACATATGTATTCGCCTTTGATTGCCGCCAAGGATATGAAGTTTGTCAATTGTTGTAATGAGTTAAATGGGGCATATACTGCAGATGGATATGCTCGTACCATTGGTGGGTTAAGTTGTTTGATTACCACCTTTGGTGTTGGTGAGTTATCGGCTATTAATGGTATTGCTGGTGCTTTTGCCGAATACGTGCCGGTGTTGCATATTGTTGGTGTCACCACTACTAAACAAGCACAACAAGCTAAGGATGGAACTGAAGTTTTGAATTATCACCATTTGGTTCCTAGTGTTAATCCATTTGATTCCCCCAATCATGATGTATATAAGAATATGGTCAATGGAGTGTCGGTTATTCAAGAAACATTAGGAACGGACCAAGAGTTAAATGTGGAGAAAATTGATCGGGTATTAAAGAAGATTATTCAAGAGTCTAGACCTGGTTACTTGTTTGTCCCCGCAGATGTTTCAGATATTTTAGTTCCTTCTGTGTTTTTGTTTATGAATCCATTCAATGCCGAGCCAAAACATAAGAATAGTGCCAAGTCCATTGAAGTTCTTGATGATGTGTGTGACACTATTCTTGAAAAAATGTACAAGTCAACCAAACCTTCTGTATTGAGTGATTGTTTAACTTCTAGATTTGGATTCAAGGAACAATTGGATCAGTTTGTTGATTTACTACCAACTAGTATAGCTAAATTATTTACCACCAATATGGCTAGAAATGTTGATGAAACAAGAGAAAACTTTATTGGTGTGTATCATGGAAAGGGTTCTTCTGATGATGGTGTTAGACAACAGTTGGAGAATGAAACTGATTTGTTGGTTACTTTGGGCTATTTCCATAACGAAGTTAATACTGGTGCTTATTCGAGAAACCTTACTGATATCAAAGACATTATCGAAGTGCATCCAGATTATATCAAAATTAATCACCAAGTATATCACATTAAGCAAAAGGATGGCGAACGTTTGTTTACATTAGGAGATTTGTTATCTGAACTCACCTCAAGATTTGATCCTACCAAGTTTGCCAATCATACACCAGTACCTATGTACTCCTTTACTCCTGGTGCAATCTACAAACAATCCTCCAACGACAACTACTTTATCCCACAAACCAAAATCATTGACCATTTAAACACCTGGCTCAAACCAAACGACTTATTAATCATGGAAACAATGTCATTCTCATTTGCTCTTCCCGATCTTAAATTCCCCCGAAACTTGCAGTTACTTTCTGCCAACTTCTATGGATCAATAGGATATGCTCTTCCAGCTACTTTTGGGGCCACCATGGCCATTAACGATATGGGATCTAATCGTCGTATTATCTTAATTGAAGGGGATGGTGCTGCACAAATGACAATTCAGGAATTGTCAAGCTTTATAAGATATCAAGGTGTTCTCCCCAACATGCCAAAGATTTACTTGATTAACAATGACGGGTATACTGTTGAACGAGCAATCAGAGGTCCATATAGATCATACAATGACATCAATGGTCACTGGAAATGGACTCAGTTGATGGAAACATTTGGTGACTCAGATAGAATGCGACATGATTCTGTTACATTGAAGAATGTGGATGAGTTTGAAGGGTATTTCAATGGTCATAAGAGTAGCAATAATTCTCGTTTGCAATTTTATGAAATTATTGCTGGGAAGTATGATGTTCCTGAAAGATTTTCCAAGCTGTTATGTAAGAAGTAGTGTATATTTATAGTTTAGAATATATGAAAAATATTTATCTTAGACTTTGGTTGTTAATTCTTTTCCAATTGTAGGGTTTGCAATGGATAAAGTATTTTGCACCTGACTGAATATTTGGTAGCGCACAGTATTCCATTATTTTCAGAAAACAAAAAAAAAAATAATACACCCAAACAAAAAATTGAAAGACAACAGCAATTCTTACAACCAACACATATCATCAGCAAATGGTAAGTCTACTGTCAATCAACTTCTTTTATCATAAAAAGTTACTAACAGCGCATGCATAGTCCGCTTTATTCAACTTTCAGTCATTATTACAAGTGATATTACTATTAATCTGTACCTGTACATATATCCATGAATTATATCCAAAGTTGTTCAACCTGCAAAAGACAGGATTATTGAGTGTATTCTACAAGTTCGCTAGGATAGGTGAACGATTAAGTCCTTATGTCGCAATTGGATGCTTCATAATGGCATTTAACGCTTTGCTGGCGTAAATCTACAAAAGGTATTTAGGGGTTTGTAATTAATATAATATTTAAGGTTCTATCTAAATTCATACGATTCATTGACGGAATTACACAATACTGGTGCTCTTTCGTTCCCGACAATTCTTTCCAATGTCACGGCATCCCATTTCGAGAACAAGATTTTCACCAAGGCTAAATCCAAGTCACATTCTTGTTTGAAGACGGATTTCCCAATGAATCGGATGAGCTCCTTGTAGAAGACTGGGTTGGATGGTAGACCGAACATAACTAATGTTTTCACTCCAGATATTTCAAATCTTCTGAAGTAATGTAATCTTTCGGTGTACAATAAGATCTTGATTTTCCCACTGGTGAATTGTTGTCTTGTTCTGGTTAATTTGGACTGCGAGGTGTATTCGTCAATAGACGCAAAATTAAACTTGGTGTTGGCTTTCAAGTGGGATTTAACACGAAGATAGTCAAAATATGAAGGGATGAAAATCATGATCCCGTCTTCGTATGAAGATGACTTTAATAATGAAGGCAAGATTGTGTTGGTGAAGAATTTAAATCTTGAATCTGGGTCCAGCATTGGACTAGGACTCTCGAATCTTTGAAAGATTTGTTTGATTTTCAATCCAATCGAGTTCATAATACTGTTTTCTTGAGTGATTATTGGTTTAAACTTTAGCTTACCAGCTAAATTGAACGATTTATGTGAAATTAAATTGTTGATCATGGGTGTTTGAAATTCGGAAAATACTAAAGTTTGACGTAATAACTTTGCTTGATCGTTAATGGACCACATTCTAATTCTACTGAAATCTGCATCATGGAATTCTTTAGGAATTTTATTAACATATTTCATCACTGTGTTGACGTGATCCCAACTTTGCATTTCAATTTGGTTTGCACGATCAATAATCAATACTTCAATAGAGGAAATGAAATCATATTGACGTTTCTTCTTATCTGGATTTTCCAAAATCATTGATAATCCAATAGGTGAAGCCAAGATAATATCAGATGAATAGAATGACGAGTACAATTTAAGTGACTTACGAGTGAATTTCATCCCAATGCAAAAGAAATCGTTATTGTTTCCCTTGAATGCGTCTATGAAATCATCAGGTTTGTTATTTGGTGGTTCAGCGGGAGTATGGAATTGAGTAGTGAATTTTTTCTTGTTTTCCTGTTGTTCAGTACCCGATAATTGAATCATGGTTTCTACTACTTCATAACATGCTTCTCTAGTAGGCAAGAGAATTAATACTTTTGGTCTGGTGAATCCTTGGTCACGATATTCTGGTTCTTCATCTTCAACCTCTCCTTCTTTGCTCTTGAGTGATTCCCTATAGCTGTGTAACTTTGTTGTGTTTTTCAAAATTCTATCTCTGGTTTTATAAATATGATTTAATGCATGCAAAATGTATAATTTTCTATATTGGGTGTTTTTGAAGTGCTTGTATTGATAACTGACATCAACATAGTTTAAAATTGGTTCCAACAAAGTTGATTCCAAGTCAGTTAAATCCTCGGAATATTCTCGTTTATAAGCATCCAAAACTTTCTTCTTGATCAAGTAATCATCCAAGGAATTCACATTGGATAATGGTCTAGAAACAGATTCACCGGGAGGAACTTGCAACATAGAAGTCAAAGACAAGTCATTCAAGACCTTCTTATCAGTAATGTTCCATTTCTGATTCTCCTTAACACAAAGCTTTTCTTGCGATGCCATATAGTCATCCAATGGTTGATTAAAATGAACTTCGTATGGGTCTTGATTTAAACCTTTGGGGGATTCTTCGTCTTCGTCAACAAAGTCAATATGGTCATCTACATCTTCATCTGCATCTTCTTCTTCCTCTTCCATGTTAATTCCAGCTACGTTATCTTCTTCTTCTTCTTCTTCTTCAACTTGTTCTTCAGTTGATTGTTCAGCTACTCGTTTCTTAGGTTTATGTTCCTTATGATCAGACTTTAACAAAGTCAAAAGAGCATTATAGACTTGTCCCTTATCAAACTCTTCTTCTTGCTCTTCTTCAACTTCTGGCTCTTCTTCTGAAGATTCGATCTCTTCTTGTTCCGGTTCTTGATGATCCCGAGGCTTTCTAGCTGCAGTACGAGTAACAGTTCTCATTTGAGCACGACCATGTTTGGTTCGTTTAGTCAAATCAACCACATGGTCGCCACGATTGTGACTCTTTCTCTTGACTTGTCTGGCCATGATGTGTGTTGTTGTAAGCAAAGCTTAGGATTACCTGCTCATCGGAAGTACTGAAAAATGTATTCTACATGCGCACGACCATGGTCCAATATCAACGCGCGGAAAATGACTCGCTATTTCAAGCACTTCCGTGGACGCTATACAACATCCACTAGTCACCCTTTAGCACATAGAAAGATATCATATTAGTGATTAATCAAACATACAAAAGCATAACCTAAGATAAATTTGTTGGATTCGCACAAAAATAAACCAGTAATTGACATATCCGCCATCCAATAGATTCTTCCAAATTTCACATGGTTAACTATACGGACGATCCATTTCAAATGGATGAAGAAATACCAGAGTATTATTCCGGTAATGATGTATCTCCAAGAAGCAAGTCCCCTTCGTATATCCCAGAACTGAAGGCCTCATCCCAGAATAGCCTATTGCAAGAGATTACTCCGCGATATTCAGAAATTCTTAATCATAAATTGCAACAGGATAACAACTTGATACGATCACGGATCGAACAGTTAAAAATGGAAGAAGAAGGGGTTAATACTACCACTACAGAAGAAGAAGAGGATGCTCCGAAGTATGAAGAGGATATAGACGACAAACTTGATGTCAATCTTCAAAAGAAGTTACAGCTCGAGTATGAGAAAACTATGGACATGGACCAACCATTAACTCCACCAGAAAACTTTGCTCCTATTATAAATACGATCTATCGAAGTTCGTTTCCACAGCCCAACAATTTTTCATTCATAAAAACGTTAAAGTTAAAATCGATACTATGTTTGATTCCAGAGGAGTATCCTCAGTTACACACAGAGTTCCTATCCCATGAAAACATCAAATTATTCCAACTCGGAATGTCAGGGAACAAAGAACCATTTGTGAAAATATCATCCGACTTAATCACAGAAGCCATTCGCATAGTACTCAACCCGGAAAATCAACCCATTCTCATCCATTGTAACCGAGGAAAACATCGTACTGGGTGTCTAGTTGGTGTCATACGAAGATTACAAAACTGGTCTCTTACAATCATATTTGACGAGTATAGGAAATTCGCTGCTCCCAAGGAAAGACCAATGGATCAACAATTTATTGAACTATATGATGATACAGAAGCAATCAAATATTGCCAACAATACAACCTTCTCCCGTTGAAATGGGATAACTAAAGTTTATAGAAAATCTATTGCAAAGGACCTTCCTTTGACCAAAAGAATTTACGTCCGTATATGGAACTGTTTCCAAGTGCTAATATGCTTAAAGCCGCTGGGCTTACTTTACCTCTAAATATACTCTTGATACTGGCACCTCCATTGACTATCAAGTAAAGGGTTGACCAGGCGAAATTGAACCCAGCACCATTGACTGGTTCTCCGTCGTACATTATCCATGCACCTAACAAATTAGCAGCTCCGAATCCCAAACATGATACTCTGGTAGGCTTAATAACTGCTGTCTTTACTTTCACTCCTCCTCCTCCAGAGCCAGATACAGTATGGGTTACAGCAGGAAATGCTCCTTTTAGAAGTAACAGACCTCCAAATACTAATGCAGGGATAGGAGTTGATGACCATTGGTCAACTGTATCAATGATTGATTGTGGATTAGACATTGCCTTCTGTAGTCAAGTAAAAGAAAACTGGTTTGCTTAGGGAGTGAAAATATGGAGCAAATGAAATTCCTTACAGACAGGAAAAGTGTTGCAAAAAAAAAAAAAATTAAATGTAAACAAACGACTACGTATAAGCTTTCACTAAAATACAATATTTATTTGAATGATATCAAAACTAATATACATAAACGAATTAAACAATCCCTAAAGACCCATCTAAGATCTTTCACCTCTTAATCTTCTAGCTAATTGGATATCCTTCTTTTGGATAGTAACTCTCTTGGCGTGAATAGCACACAAGTTAGTGTCTTCGAATAAGGAAACCAAGTAAGCTTCAACGGATTCTTGTAAAGCACCAATAGCAGAAGATTGGAATCTTAAATCAGTCTTGAAATCTTGAGCGATTTCTCTAACCAATCTTTGGAATGGCAACTTTCTGATCAATAATTCAGTAGACTTTTGGAATCTTCTAATTTCTCTTAAAGCAACGGTACCTGGCTTATATCTGTGAGGCTTCTTGACACCACCAGTAGATGGGGCGGACTTTCTGGCAGCCTTGGAAGCTAATTGCTTTCTTGGGGCTTTACCACCGGTAGACTTTCTTGCTGTTTGTTTAGTTCTGGCCATTTTGTTAAATGTTAGATGATAAGAAGAAAAGAACGAAATCTAAAACCGGATATAAAATGGAAATCAGGTTAATTTATATAAAATATTTGACAGATGGTTCCAAGCGTCACGAATTTGTTGTTTGGTAAACAAACATAAAATTGATTCTTCGCGGGGGGATTGTTTGGTATGCGCCGTGAGAAATAATAACAAAAGCGAAACTCGTATGAAGATCTTCGCGGATTTCTTTGTTTGTGCGTGTCCTAGCTACGGGTAAATTTCGTTTTTGCGGTGATATTTTTCAGCACGATCGGATTTTTAGTGTCTTTTCAGGGGCACAGAAGAAAGTTTGCGTACATTTGGGCATGCCTCAGTATAAGTTATTAGTGCTAGTGTGCTCACATTTACGCTTGCAAGACTAAATATGTTCTTTTTCGCACACACGAGAATCGAAAAGCTCGACAAAAAGTGCTTTATTTACAATACTACAAAATACTCGCATCTATGCGTAATTTGTATACCTGAGAAAAGCATCAATTTTGGTGTTTTTTTCATTGTAAAAGCCACAAAAAATAAAATTCCCCTAACAAGCGCGTGCGCTAAAATGTAAAATTGGATGCGAAATTCCCGTCACAGTTTGCAACGACGCATCAAAACAAACAAATAATCAACGCTTTTATGGGGCAAAACAAAACATGGGCCACAAAGACACCACTTTTTAATTTCAAATCTGAGGAATAGAAAATTTATAAATATAACTTAGATTCTCTGATAATTTGCATTCTAGTTTTTTTTATTTTTCTTATCAGGATTAGTTATTACAACTTTCTTTTATAACAACTTAATCAAATAATAATCAACAATGTCCGGTAGAGGAAAAGGTGGAAAAGGTTTAGGAAAGGGTGGTGCCAAGAGACACAGAAAGATCTTGAGAGACAACATTCAAGGTATTACCAAGCCAGCTATCAGAAGATTGGCCAGAAGAGGTGGTGTTAAGCGTATTTCTGCTTTGATTTACGAAGAAGTCAGAGTTGTCTTGAAACAATTCTTGGAAAACGTTATCAGAGATGCCGTCACTTATACCGAACACGCCAAGAGAAAGACTGTTACCTCTTTGGATGTTGTTTACGCCTTAAAGAGACAAGGTAGAACTTTGTATGGTTTCGGTGGTTAATCGATTTGTTGAACAAGTATTCATCAAACCTTTGGTTCATCTTATGTATTTTTAGCGTTTATTTCAATGTGTATATTAGTAATAAATACAATTATTAGTGAATGTTGTTATTTGTAGCAATTTGTATTAGAACAATTTGCAAGCAAGAATGCAGGTATATTCTATAAACTAGTAAAAGAACTTTTCCCCTAATACACCCCCATCGGCTAAATACTTGTCAACTCTAATTTTAATATTGTTTTCAAGTTCATCAGTATCAACCTGACGAAACACTCTGAAATTATCATCAGTGTGCTTCTTCCATTGAGGCATACATGAATCTCCTCCATCTTCAGTATCTGTATATCTCTGTCTAGGACATCTACATCTACACCCGGCACCAAACTTCCTTGGTTTATCTGGAAACAACCAGTGCTTGTCTTTCTTGTTTCCTTGGTATGTATCGCTAGGGACATATTCCAACTGGTTCTTTGGTGAGTTTCTCGGACAATGAATAAAGTTGGAATGACGATACCCTATGTCTCGGAAATAGTGTATTTCTTTCAAATCTAGCATCATACCAATGGCCAATGAATGAATCGGTGCATCTCCCCATCTTTCCTTATAGAATCCACCTGTGGAATCTAAATATTTGAATAGTTTCTGATACACTTCTGAAGTGAAAATATCAGGCCTAGCAATTTCAAAATTCGACCAGAAATGGCAAAGATTGTAGTCCTCCCTGTCCATTCTATCTTCATGAAGGGCCGGGAGTTGGGTAGCTTTTGAGAATAGCTTGTGAATGAGTGTGGGGTTAAATTTCTTGACATCTTCATCTTTCTTGTCCTTAATTGCTAAGAACTTGTCAAGCACAACATTTTCTTCTATTTCTTTGAGAATATGTGGTCTGATGAATATCCCATCATATTCATCCTGGTTTGCTCCCGTGGTCCATTTCGAATCATGGATGAATAACCGCCAAGCGTTCTTAACCTGTATGTTTTGCTCTTTAATAAACGATTTTATTTCTCGAAATAAACCAGGAACAGTATAATACAATTCATTAAGCATAACATTAAATCCATACTTCTTCCCACGTTTCTCCATTTCGATGAATGGATCATAGGTTAAATCACAGTAAAATTCCACATTTGGCTCAACTCGCCAATACCATTCTCGATTCTTGATTAGATCATGTTGGTAGAACTGTCCCGAGTAGAATCGACACATTTTATGGTATGATTCCATATTACCGTAGAGAATTCCTCGATCTCCTTGCTTGGTAATGTACTCTTTGATTTCATCACGATCAACATCTTTAGGGAAATCCCATACTTCTGGTTCAATAACTCCAAACTCAACTTCAGATTTAGTGTGTTTCCTGACAGCTTGCTTAAACTCAGTAGTGAACTGTTCATCATTTAGAAACACCCAAGGATAGTTATACCACTGGTTGAAGTGTCGTTCCATGGATTGCATGGATGTGATTACATCTTTGATCTCGGAATTTCTCGCTAGCATGACTAATGCAGCATTGGCTCGTGGTTGATCTGTATTAGGAACTGTGCATCCATATTGAAACGGTTCGTCGACTCTGGAAGATATATCTTGTTGACTAATCTTTCCTGATTCTATATGGGGTTCTTCTTTCAACTGGAACTTGGTCCAGAATGGATCAGGATTATAAAATAAATAATTTGGATTCATATATCGTATAATACACGTTGTTAAAAGTACAATCACAAGCCAAAGATTTATTGACACAGATTTATAAATAGGTACCTTAAACTGGCTCATTTTTAATAGTACACGCATAAGAGGACGTGATCGGGCAGTGCCTGTAGGAAATGTTCTTTTATTCATGTCGTCTTCTTCTTCGCTGTCTATTTCATTTGATTGTAGTGTGTAATCCAGAGGACTAAGAAAAGGAGTCAACTTAATTTCTTCATTGGTGTTCATTTTTCTTTTTCGTATTAATTTGGCTCATGCGCCTTTCCTTATTCCCCTAAACCTGCTGCAAGTTTGGTGCCCTGAGAGTTTGTTTCACCTCGGTATTGGTTAATCCCGTGTAACCTTTTTTTTTCCTTTCCCTAGATAGTTCTGGTAAAAACATTGCTTTGTCTTGGATTCAGCACTGGTTATATTAATTTTACCAGATCTAATCTAAACAATGGGCACCCATTATTTTTTAAGCAAATCTTCCCACACTCTCACACATACACACGCACGCACATGGGTAGTGCCGCCTTAATTAATTTACCGTTTCACTTGCTATATTCGTTTATTTTTACTAATAATACAAAACAATTACAAAATTACTATTCCTTCTTTACAATGGCATTCCTCAACAACATTAAATCCTCATTTAGTTCTTCCGTCTTCAACCCCTGCGGCCCCATAAACTGTTTATTCGAACCTCGAGTTTGAGGCTTGTTTGGAACTTTATCCACTAATATGAGAGATGCACCCCCGTCTTCATTCTGCATAATAAGATTATTCAACGTATCGTAATCCTTATCACTGAGGTTTGACTCGTACCCACTACTTATTCCACCATGACCGTTGCTTGTTGCTCCATTGATAGCACCAGCTCCGTTTTTACGAATAGGTACGGCAGATGTGCTTGCACTCGCTATACTAGACGACATTTCGTCATTGGAGGAATATCGTGTGGCATATAATCGTCTTCTTTTGCCGGCAGAAGTATAGCCGTTGTATCCATTGGCAGTTGAAGATGCATTCCCACCATCCGACAAGTCGTCGGCCTCGCCCGTGGTGAACCGTGTGGAAATCTCTCGTTTTCTTAATGATCGTCTATCACTGACAGTAAACCCAGCATCACCTAATGCTGTAGCTTTGGAAATTGAATTTGAGTCGTTCCACAGGTTCCCGTTGACTAAATTCAACAACATCTTGTCTTCTTTAAGTTGTTTGATCTGAACTTCTAGCTTGTCGTACAACTTCTCTTTGATTAGTTTGATCATTTTGTCATGGTTCTCCTTAGCCCGGGCTAAATCTTCGTTGTATTCTGTTTCTATTCGTTTCACCTGATACTCCTCCCATAATCGAAGTTTGGTCAATTCGTAATCACGTACTTCTTCCAACTCAATACGTCGATTCATGAATTCATCATTGGTGCCCTGCTGTAATGTCGCGAGTTTGGTCTGAAGTTCATGCAACAGGTTTCTATAAAATATATCCCGATCGTTTCTGAACGTGAGTTCAAGTTTGTTCAAACGGGATGAGATTTGTTGTCTCTTTTTGTCTCGTTTCGTCAATGCTTGGAGAAAATGTTAGTACGTTATTCAAGCCTTTTGTTATTGATCAAACAAGATATAGATACATACAATCTGACATAAGTGTGTTTCGTTTAGGGTCTTCCATGTTATATCCATACAAATAGCTATCTCTTTCTACTATTACTGGTAAATGTTTCTGGATTGTTGTAAAGCTAAGTCTTCTAGTTTTTACTCCGGACGAGAAAACCGGAACTTTTGAAACTTTGGGAAAGCCACACGGTAGAAATAAACATCCGGGTAACCCACAAACAAGAAACTGATGAGTGTTGTTTATATGCAGGAGGGGATGTGATTGTTGGTCCGACGCGGGATCAAGCACCCGGTGGCCGAGTTTGGATTTTTTTCCTGTTAGTCAGTTTCTCCACTATTTATATAGTTGTGAAATACTACACCGTTGTCGTAAATTCCTATAGATATATAGCTAGAGAGACATGACTGTACCCACTCCATACGATACAGTCAAGGATTTGCCTTTTGCCGATCATAAATTTGAAAATACCCCCCAGTTCACAACACCAATCCAATTTGCTTTAACTAAAGATCCACTGCATAAAGTCACATTGTTCCCTATACATGATCATCACCAATTACCACCAAACTTGATCCAAGTGATTGAAAACGAGTTTAACTTCATTGTAGATGAAGGACTAACTTATCCGCATCATAATCCGTTACATGGTGAGGAATTCACCAAATATTGGTTCTTGCATTTCGTGGCTGTTCTTCTTGATGGTGACACCTTTTCTAGTGTGGACGAATTGAAACAGGGCGATTATTCAGTTGATCAATGGGAAAAGGTTTTCCTTGGAAACTTCTACATTAAACCAAATTATATCGGTCGTTGCTCTCACGTATGTAATGCTGGATTCGTCGTGAATCACAACAAGAGAGGATTAGGCTTGGGTAAAGAATTGGGGAAGAAGTATTTGGAAATTGCACCTAAGTTAGGATACGTTTATTCCGTGTTTAATTTAGTATTTGAAACAAACGCGGCCAGTCTAAAGATTTGGGATTCTTTGGGATTTGAAAGAATTGGTTATGTAAAGCATGTTGCTGTGTTGAAAGGTCATGACAAATTAGTTGGTGCTTATATGTTTGGTAAGGATTTGCAGTGATCTTTTGCTATATTCCTTGGCACTCTGCAGCATTAGTGGCTAAAACTTATACCAAGAAAGGATTTATACAGGAAGCTCATGTGGTAGCATTGGCATTCAGTTTGATAGTTTAGACATTATACATAGATTTAGCATGTTTGCTTTGCTAATACAACGAGAAGATACGATTAATATTAGACTACTCTAGCTATTTACATAACGACAATAAGTGTTTCAAAATTAATAGTGCTCCTCGCGAGCCACTTCAGGAACATCATTATCCGATTCAATATCGAAAAGTCTTTCGTCGAGTACATCCGGATCTCGCTGACCAGTGTGTTTTAAACCGACTGCTTCATCATGAAATGTGTGTTTATTCAAACTAGAATCATCTTGAAATTCTTTATTATGATTACCAAATAATGTAGCTTCTTCCTCACCATCTGGTACCTTAACATAATTTCTTCTTCCTGGAATACAACCTAGAGTTATTCTTTCAAATACCACTTGATCGAAAAACGTCTTGACTCTGGCCAACGAAAATGTGCCACTTTTGACAACACAGCTAACGATTATATCAGAACCAATCTCATCTGTACCTGCTTCATCCAAACTTATTTCCCCTAAACTTTCAAATCCGCCATTTCTGCGAATACCACGATCATAATTAAACCAAAAAAGCACACCAAGGAAAATGGCAAATACAACAAACGAAACCAAGCACAGTTTATATTCAATGATTTCATGAGACACTTTCCTGGACATGGCACCGCAGTCAGTTTATCCAATTGCTCTGCTTTGACGGTCATGCTCTAATTAATTTCATTAGATCTCAATAATTCAAATTCTATCTATGTCGTGGACAAAGACTTTTACACCTTTTGTAAATCTAGCTGCCATAGCTTTGATAACTTTGGCGTAATCTTCTTTCTAGCCAATACAAGCACGCACAAGAATATATTCATACATTTGGCAAATTTTGTCAATGTTTATAGTTACAACGAACGGTATACACATTCATCATAGTACCTTCATATACAGTAAGCTCTGTTATTGGTTTATTCCGTTGCATTTGTGACCTACCACAATACTTACGAACTACAAAGCTCACATGGTAGCACACCCTAATGTCTCTCGCGACATATAATTTCTCATCTGGCGACATTTATTAAAGTGACAAAGAAAAAAAAATTTTTTTTTGATAATTCAAAACAAATCAGTTGTTTACATTCCTAGATATACCCTAACAGTATACAGTGTACACACTTGCAGCCAAAACCTAAAAACCTGTCATATCATACATACATTCATCATGCCTGAATTCGATGATGTATTACAGACTCCGCAGTATCGAACCACCGGTGATTCTACGTCATCTCCACTAGCAGAATTTAACCCTAGTGTATCTATCTTAGACAGATATACCGTGTTGCTTAAGGACGGGGAAACCACCGCTACGATATATCCTATTCATTCACCAAACGAGTTACCCCCTGGCCTTCTTGCATTTTTGTGTGATGAGTTTAATATGGAAATCGAACGTGGTGATACCTTGCCCTTTTTCGACACATTACACATTGAACAATTTCAACAGTACTGGTTCGGGTCATTTGCTGCCGTTATGGTGTTGGGGGATTCTCCAAGTTTAGACGGACCGCCACGACAATGGGAAAAGGAATGTTTGGGAACGTTCTCCATCAAGCCAAATTATCCAGGTAGATGTTCACACATTTGTAGTGCCCAGTTCTTGGTTAATGCTGGTATCAGAGGCAAAGGGATTGGTAGAACCTTGACTGATTGTTTCTTACAGTGGGCGCCAAGGTTGGGGTACAGTTACTGTATGTTTAATTTAGTATTTGAAACCAATGTGGCCGCACGTAAACTTTGGGAATCATTAAACTTTAAAAGAATCGGAAGAATTAAGAGCGCTGGGGTGTTGAAAGGACACGAACATCCCGTCGATGCTGTGATTTATGGTCGTGACTTGGTGAGTGCCACTGATCCAACTGTTGGTGCTTACCGGTTTGACAAGATCAAGTTTTACTTGGAAACAGGACGATACCCTGCCATGGCCGATCGACTGGAAAAGTCAAGATTGCGTAGTTCGGCTTCCCATTACAATTTAGAAGATGGGAAATTAATGCTCAAGGGAAGAGAAGTTGTGGGTGATCCTGTACGTCAATTACAAATATGTACTGACTTACACATGCAGAACCATGGTGGGATTAACAAGACCACTTCGCTAGTCACGGAAAAGTACCATTGGGTGAGAATCAAAGATACAGTTGCTACCGCAATCAAGAACTGCCCTGAATGTCGTGACCCAACTCGTGAAATAGCAATGGTTAAACGAGGAATACCGAAGAAGATGTCTACGGGACAACCATCGGCCACAGTCACTCGTCATCGTATCAACAAGGTGTACTCTAACCAATCTCGAAACTTGATGAGATCACGAGCAGCTCAAGATGAAGTGGAAGCCATGGTTGCCGCAGCACAATTACACAACCTCCCCTCGAATCGTCATGATGACTTATTAAGTCATGAGTTGGCTGGGTTGGATGATAATTTGATTGCCGTTGTTGAAGAAGCACAACGGAATCAACAACAACGAATGCAAAAGGAAAGACAACAGCAACATCAGCATCTGGACCAACAGCAGAATAGACATGTGCAGACATATGCGGAAGTTGCTGCTGCTGCAGTCGCCAATGATGCCGATTATCAAGAGTACGATTACCATGAATACAGTAAGCGAAATAACGAGGATGATATACCGGTTGATCCACAAGTAAGTTCCTATGACCATGGCAATGGTGACGAAATTGAAATTGCTAGAGCATTAATACAAGCTAATGAAGACGAGCATGAACGACAAAGTAATCGAAAATCCTCGCGACACGAAGAAGAATCAGAAGCAAATATGTTTATAAAAGATGATAATTAATAAACGTTAAATTTTTTGCAACTAAATATATATATAATAAAGCTAATAGCTGACTAAGTTACCAATTTGTAATCAACATGATTTCCCCCGAAAGTAATTGACCAACCAATAAACATCATCAAAACTACCAGCTTTTATTTAAAAATCAAACTATGAACAGATGTCTCTTAAAATTCAACACCAATAACCATGGCTAAGATAGCCATTCTGATAAACAAACCATGTCTCATTTGTCTAAAGTATGCAGCTCTTTGATCGAAATCAACTTCTTCTCTAATCTCGTTAGTTCTTGGCAATGGATGCATGATGCACATGTGTTGCTTGGCATCGCTCAAGATCTTGTTGTCGACGATATAAGTGTCCTTCAATCTCAAGTATTGTTCTCTGTCTTCGAATCTTTCTTCTTGGACTCTGGTACAGTACAATACATCAGACTTGGCAATGATTTCCTTGGTCAACACTTCAGATTCGAGTTTCAACATCTTGTTTTCAATCAAGAAGTTTCTAATATCTTCTGGGATAGCCAATTCCTTAGGAGAGACTAATTGGACTCTGACATTGTAATGACGTAACAAGTGACATAAGGAGTGGACTGGTCTACCGTACTTCAAGTCACCCATGAAGGTAACAGTGATACCATTGACAGTACCCAATTCTTCTCTGATGGTGAACAAGTCTAATAATGCTTGAGTTGGGTGTTCTCTGGAACCATTACCGGCATTGATTATTGGAACTGGAGAGTATTTGGCAGCAATGTCAGCAGAGTCACTAGATGGATGTCTCAACACAATAGCATCGGAGTAACAAGCTAAAGTTCTGATGGTATCTTGTAAAGTTTCACCCTTCTTGACGGAACTGGAGATAGAATCAACAGAAACAACTCTACCACCTAATCTTTGCATAGCAGCGTCAAAGGAAGTGGAAGTTCTAGTGGATGGTTCGTAGAACATAGTAGCAAGAACTCTTCCTTGTAAGAGATCCAAGACACCTTGTCTTTCAACAGCAAGTCTCATTTCTTGGGCAACAGCAAACAAAGCATGCAAGTCAGATCTGGTGATGTCCTTAACAGACAAGAGTGAGTTTCTCAAGAAAGTGTTGTTGTTCTTTCTAATGTAGTCACTCAAAGCAGCGATTTCACCTAAGGAACCAGCAACTGGTTGGGAAACCAATTCGGCACCCAATCTTTCAAACTCTGGTTGTGGAGTTGGAGTTTCTCTGAGCAAGGAAGGACGACGGATGTCGGATGTGAAGGAAGCCAATCTTGACTTTTGACCAAGAGTTGGCGATTGTGGAATGCTAGCTGAAGTAATTGAAGCAAATCTATTACGTGGAATAACTTCATTCTTACCAATGGTACTATCAACCAAAACCTTACCGTCCAACACAGAAGTTTCACCGTGCAAGTTAACTCTTTCAATAGCACCTCTTAATCTCAACTTGTTAATAAACTCTGGGTAGGAAGCGTCTTCAATTACAGCAAATCTGTCTAAATCAATTTCAACTTGGGCCTCTTGCTTTGGAATCTTAAAGATTTGACATGGTTCATCATGGAACTTGGAAATGATATCAGCAATGGTCAACTTACCATCTTTAACAGCAGACAATAACAATGGAATGGTTTCGGCAATACCAACACCGGCAGTAGCAGCCTTACCAGTAGCCTTGGCAACCAAGTATGGCAAGACACCAATAGTGAAACAGTCAATGTCAGCCAAGTTTTCCCACAAGTATTCTTGATCCTTCTTGGTTGGCAAGAATGCATAGTCCAATTCGTCTCTAGACAAGAACAAAGCAAGAACAGCAACATCACAAGTAACCAGTAATCCCTTGTTCTTGACCATCTTGATCAATTCCAAGTCTTCTTGAGATAAGACACCAGTAACATGGACACTTCTGTTATGTAAGGAAGCCAACAATAACACACTGGCTAAGTCAGTAGTCTTGGCATCAGTGACAATTGGCTTGGTAGTTGGCCAGTTGGCAAAGTGGGCAGTGATGGCAGAAATGTGAGAGTTGGACAAGTCTTGGAATGGCAAGTATAATCCACCAGCTAATTCAGCAGCATCGGCAACAGATTGAGCATTGTTGTCAGTAGCAGCAATAGAAACTGAGTAGTCGGTGTAAGCACCAGAACCAGCACTGTCAATAGCATCAACAAGACTGGTGAAGTCAGTAACGGTGGCACCTTCTTGAGTGTGAGGCAAGAATGAGTTGAAAGTGAAACCAGCAGCCAAGGCCTTCTTGGTGGTAGTGCTAAATTCATCAAAGGAAGTGGTGAAGGAAGTAATGTCGACTAAACCTGGTAAGATAGCAGTACCGTGAGAAGTTTGAGCATCACGGTTAGAAACTTCTAATGGAATCTTTCTGGCCATGGCTTCAACCAACAATTTAGCACACTTGACGTTAGTGACCAATGGGACAGCATAATCAACAGCCATACGACGAGATTCATAACCCTTGGACATGTAAGAAGCTGGACGACGGAATCTGTTGGATGATGGTAAATTGACATACAAATCAATCAAGTTGTTGGCCAAATGTTGAGTCAAGGAGTATTCAGACTTTTGGTCTTCTTCCTTACCTAAAACTTCCAAGTAGTGGACAGGAATGTTGTGTTCCTTGAGGAAATCAGCAGTACCAGCAGTAGCAAAAATCTTGAAACCCAATTCGTGCAATTTAGCAATGGATGGTAATAATTCTTGCTTTTCCTTGTAAGAACCAATGGAGAACAAGATGTTCTTCTTTGGCAATTTGAACCCAGTGGAGATCAAAGACTTCAAGTAAGCTTCATACTTGTTTCTACCAAAAGTAGCAACTTCACCAGTAGAGGCCATTTCAACCCCCAAGACAGGATCAGCACCGGCTAATCTTGAGAAGGAGAATTGTGGAACCTTGACAGCACAGTAATCTTCAGGCAACTTTTCACCAGGGTATGGAGTCACTGGCATATCCATGATAGCCTTGGTGGCCATTTCAATCAAATCAGTACCAACAACCTTGGAGATGAATGGGAAAGATCTGGAAGCTCTGACATTACATTCAATAACCTTGATTTCGTTATCTTTGGCAATGAATTGAATGTTGTAAGGACCAGTGATGTCCAAAGCTTTACCGATCTTGGCAGTGGCTTCAACAATTCTTCTGACAGTTTCAGGGTCTAAATCTTGTGGTGGGACAATCAAAGTAGCATCACCAGAGTGAACACCAGCGTTTTCAACGTGTTCAGAAACAACATGCATGATCATCTTACCATCCTTGGCAACAGCATCCATTTCAATTTCCTTGGCGTTTTCAATATACTTGGTGATAACAACTGGGTAATCTGGAGAAACGTCAACAGCTTGACCCAAGTAAGAAGCCAAATCATCCTTGGAGTAGACAGTGTTCATAGCAGCACCAGACAAGACATAGGAAGGACGGACCAACACTGGGTAAGACACTTTTTCAGCAAATTCTTCAGCTTCTTCAATAGAAGTCAATTCCTTCCAAGCTGGTTGATCAACACCGATTTTATCCAACATTCTGGAGAACTTGTATCTGTTTTCAGCAGAATCGATCATTTCTGGGGAGGTACCCAAGATCTTAACGTTTTGACGGTGCAATGGCAAAGCAATGTTGTTTGAAGTTTGACCACCCATAGAGATGATAACACCGGCACTTTGTTCCAAGTCGTAGATATCCAAGACTCTTTCCAAGTTGATAGTTTCAAAGTATAATCTGTCAGCTTCATCATAATCAGTAGACACAGTTTCTGGGTTGTAGTTGATCATAATAGTTTTGGTACCGTTTTCACGTAAAGTTCTGATAGCTCTGACGGCACACCAATCGAATTCAACTGAAGAACCAATTCTGTAAACACCAGAACCCAAGACAATAACCCCGTGTTCGTCAAAGACCACATCAGAACTGTCAGCATTGTAAGTGACGTACAAGTAGTTAGTGAAGGCAGGGAATTCGGCAGCAACAGTATCAATTTGTTTGACGAATGGGATGATGCCGTTATCCTTTCTCAATCTACGGATGGCCATTTCGTTAGAGTCCAAGAACTTGGCAATTTGACGATCTTCAAACCCTAATTGCTTAGCTTGTCTCAAGATTGGCAATGGCAACTTTTCCTTTTGGCCAAATGAAGCAATCAATTCACCAAACTTGATTAAACCGTCTAACTTGTTCAAAAACCACTTGTCGATGTTGGTCAACTTCCAGACCTTGTCAACTGAGTAACCGTCACTCAAGGCATTAGCAATAGCAAACAAACGTTGGTCAGATGGGGTTTGTAATTCTTGATCAATATCAATCGACATTAAAGCAGCAGTCTTGTTGAAACCCAAGTTTTGGTAGTCGACAGATCTAATAGCCTTTTGGATAGCTTCTTCAAATGTTCTACCAATAGACATGACTTCACCAACGGACTTCATGGAGGAGGAAAGCAAAGCAGAAACTCTGGTGAACTTCTTCAAATCCCAACGAGGAATCTTGACAACAACGTAATCTAAGGATGGCTCGAAACAAGAACAGGTGGACTTGGTGACAGAGTTCTTGATCTCGTTCAATGGGATGTTCAAACCCAACTTGGCAGCAGTGTAAGCTAATGGATAACCAGTGGCCTTGGAAGCTAAAGCAGAAGATCTGGACAATCTAGCATTGACTTCAATAATACAGTATTCCTTGGAGAATGGGTTCAAGGCATATTGAATGTTACATTCACCAACAACACCCAAGTGTCTGATAACATTGACAGCAGTGGTTCTCAACATATTGTAATCTTCATCACTCAAGGTTTGGGAAGGAGCAACAACAATAGAGTCACCAGTGTGGATACCCAAAGGATCAAAGTTTTCCATGTTACAAACAGTAATACAGTTGTCAAAGGCATCACGGACAACTTCATATTCAACTTCCTTCCAACCCTTCATGGATCTTTCGACTAAAACTTGTGGAGAAGTGGCAAATGCCTTGTTACACAAACTGACCAATTCTTCTTCGTTGTCAGCAAAACCAGAACCTAACCCACCAAGAGCATAAGCAGCTCTGACAATCAATGGATAACCAATATTGTTGGCGGCTTGGATAGCTTCTTGGACATTGTTGACGGCTTCGGACTTGGCACACTTTTCATTAATTTCAGCCATGGCATTGGCGAACAATTCTCTGTCTTCAGTAGTGATAATAGTGTCGATTGGAGTACCCAAGACCTTGACACCAAGGCCTTCAAATTCATCCTTCAATGCAATACCAACACTCAAAGCAGTTTGACCACCGAAGGTACAGTAGATACCATCTGGACGTTCGTGTTGGATAACCTTTCTAACGAATTCTGGGGTAACTGGTAAAAAGTAAACCTTGTCAGCTAAACCCTTGGAGGTTTGAATAGTGGCAATATTAGGGTTGATTAAAACAGTGTAGATACCTTCTTCCTTCAATGCCTTAATGGCTTGAGAACCAGAGTAATCGAATTCACCAGCTTGACCAATGGATAACCCACCGGAACCCAAAACCAAAACCTTCTTGACATCAACCTTTGGATGAGCAGCTCTGTTTTCAGCAAGAACACCACCTGGGAAGGCAACTTGTTTGTAGACACCGGTCTTGTTGTAATCGATAACAGAGTCAATGAAAACATCAAACAAGAATTCGGTATCTCTTGGACCTGGGGTAGATTCTGGATGGAATTGGACGGAGAAGAATGGCTTGGTTTCATGGTAGACACCTTCGTTGGAACCATCATTGGCATTGACAAATAATTCCTTCCAGCCTGGAGTTAAAGTGGCAGTATCAACAGCATAACCATGGTTTTGAGAAGTGATGTAACAACGGCCAGAAATAGTGGAAGTACATGGGATATTGTGACCACGGTTACCGAATTTCAACTTGATAGTAGAAGCACCGGAAGCTCTGGCCATCAATTGATGACCCAAACAGATACCAAACACTGGGGTCTTGGCTTCAGCCAAAACCTTGGATAATCTTTCAACGGTATCATGCATAACAGCTGGATCACCAGGACCATTGGAAATGAATAACCCATCATATTCTTCCTTGGTGAAATCATAGTCCCATGGAACAACTAATAACTCAACGCCTCTTCTAACAAAACATCTAATTTGGTTGTACTTCATACCAACGTCAACAGCGACAATTCTGATTGGCTTGCCGTTCTTACCCAACTTAGCACCGTCTTTTGGAGTGTACAACACTGGCTTGGAAGTAGACACCTTAGCAACCAAGTTCTTCACATTTGGATCATCGTATTCAGGAACTTCAAAGAATTGCTTCCAGTCGTGTTGGTTACAGTCGGCCAAGATTTGTTGGGACTTCAAGTCAGGCTTCAGCAAACACAATCTACCTAAAGTGGAACCCTTTTCTCTCAATCTCTTGGTGACAGCTCTGGTATCAACACCGTAGATAGCAGGAATACCTTCTCTCTTCAACCATTGACCCAAACTGGACTTGGCCAAGTAGTGGGAGTATTCTTCAGTGTAGTGGGCAACAACCAAACCGGCAATGTGGATTCTGTTGCTTTCAAAGTATTTAGGTAAGCTTGGTTCGTAATCATCGTCCATTAACTTCAAGTCTGGGACACCGTAATTACCAACCAAAGGGTAAGTGATCACCAAGATTTGGCCCTCGTAGGAAGGATCGGTGATACTTTCAGGGTAACCAACCATACCGGTTTGGAAAACGACTTCACCGGCGGTGGCAACTTCAGCACCGAAGGAGTAACCTTGGATGGCGAACCCGTCGTGGGTTTCCAATGTCATTAAACGGTCACCGGTTGATTCCATTGGTGGAGAAATTGGGGCAGATACAATTTGAACCATGTTTGCAACAAAAATAAAGGGGGTATTGATTTAAATTGGGGGAGGATTTAAAGTAGTACCTTTTATAAATAAGCTAATGGATGAGTTAGTAACAGGGTTCAACAGCAAATGCTAGCACTGGTCTGTATATGTTGGGAAAGTGTCTGGTAAGTTCTTGAGATTCCCACTGGTGACATTTTTTTTTTCAGGCATCGCGGAAAAAAAAAAAGGATCATCGCGCTTAACCCAAAACCTCGATTTCCTTAATAGGATAGAAAATGTCAGAAGTGTCGGACAATCCAAGGGCAAATGCTCATCTCATCTCAGCAAGTAGTTGGGTGGCAATACAACTCGATATTCATTACATTACAATTATCTCTTTCTCTCAACAATTAGCAGTTCCAGTTTTTCAGACTTTAAATTTCAGATCAGAACGTGATGGTGCGTGGCACCAGCACCGGGTCTGGCTCTGATTCCGGTCAGAACATACCTTCTCTTGTGTAGTCAACTGAAGCTTGTGGTTGCAATTATACACGGGAATTGATAATTGTTGAGAAAGAGAGAGGAGAAGGAGAAGAAGAGAGAAAGAAAGAAAGAAAAAGGGAAAATAAAAGAAAATAAAATAATGATAAATAATGTATGGTGAAAAAGTTACGTACTTTCCAACTCTATTTATACCTGGTTAAGCCGTAGTAGTTTTGAGAGATGAGTCTTTAAAAAAAAATCTTTGTCCAATTCCGAGATCGCCTCCCCCTCGAGAAAAAAATTTTTCACTCACGTCACTGGACGTGCATACATAGTTAAGACAAACTTTGTATGTAACGGCACTTTTCAAAACCACCCTCGTAAATGTTAGTTTCGAGGGCACCAACTGGACAAAAAATTTTGAATTTGCCGCGATAGTTTAAAAGTTTTTCTTGAAAAATAGAATAGGCGTAATATTGTGTAACTAGCTGGATTGCTGGACAATTGAACGAGATGAGCTGCAAAAGAAACCAAACAATGCCATCACAAAGAAATACGTTTACGTCAATGCCCTAGCATATGCCAGTAGATACTTAACCGCGCTTAAAAATTTAGGGTTTTTGTTTAATGCTGGCCCCTACATAGTCAAATTAGTTTTTGCAAATTGAATTTTCTGTTCGACAACTTTTCACAGTAATGTAGGTATATCTCACGTCTCTTGTTTTGAATGTCGCAATACCTAAATAATAAGCATTTCATCGCCATTTCATCGCCACTCCCATCTGTTTATCTTTCAGCTGTGCTATTTCTGCCAAGACAGTTTTGAAGTATTTTCGAAAAAATATTGCTAAAATTGCAACCAACTAAAAATTAAATTGCAATATTTATTTGCCACCGGCAGAACTATCTGCCCATCTTGCTTTCTACTACGAATAGACTGTATAGATACAGCTGAAGATATTAACAATAAACAAAATTAATTCTATCTATAACTCTATAACTCTATAAATTAAAGTAATGCAATAGCCATTAACGAAATCAAAGAAACACCCACAGTTTCCGCACCGTTAGTAGTCTTGGTTTCAGCAGAAGTAGATTCGGTCTTGGATGAAGTTTGCTCCTTGGAACTACTTTGGGCAGTGGTGGTACTGCTGCTTTGTTCAGTCTTGGAAGCAGAAGCAGCAGAGGTAGTAGTAATGCTTGATTCACTCTTTGGTTGTTCGGTGGAGGAGGAAGCAATAGTAGATTGTTCACTTTGAGCAGCAGCAGCAGCAGTGGTTTGTTTGATATCGGACTTGGATGCAGACTTGGAAACAGACTGGGTAGGGGCAATTTCAGCGACATTTGCATCAGTAGCAATGGAGTTTTGGATGTAGGTAAGAATAACAGTGCCACCACTGGTGTAAGCAGTAGCCCATCTGCCACCAGCATTGCTATCAGAGCCAGCATTAGCATCAGTGTAAATGCCAGTGGCAGCAGCAGAGAAATAGCCGTTGCCCGAGTCATCACCAGAATCTTCACCAGCAAAAGTGGCTTCATCAGTAGCAGCTGGATAATCTTGGTCTCCATTAGCGCCAGTTGGGATGTCACCGGCAGAGGCTTGAGCAGCTTGATTACAATAAAACTTTCTCAAACTGGCAGGGTCAAGTTGGCCACCAAACTCTCTGCTAGCTTCGGCACTAATATGTTGACAGTTCTGGGCACAGTCACTTAATTGATCGTAGAAAGTATCGTCGAGACCACAAACACAAGCAAGAACAGTTGGATCGTCATCGTCAGAATCATTAGGATAACATGTGTCGACAGTGTTTTGCATCTCAATACAACTTCCACTGCACGCGTCTTCTCTCTTCATCATATTCTTAAGAGCATTGTATTTAGAGACATTGGATGCAGAAGCCAAGGCAACAGAAGCAGCCAAAACAGAAAGGAATTTCATAGTAAAGCTATTCGATGATCTATAAATCTGAGAAGCTGAAAATTCGGAGGCTTTTCTACAAATTTATATTGGAAACACGGGCTATTTTTAGTGTCAACAAAAATTCATGATCTCGGAATAACTACTGTTCTCGGATCCAAAACAAAAAAAAAAAGAAATTTTTTTACGATCGATCGTGGTGGGACTTGTGCCGCTTCGGTTGGGGGAAAAATATGCCAATTTATGCACAAGCGAGATGGCAACAACATTGTCTTGATAGGGGGTTATATAAAAGCATTAATCTTGACAAGGCTTAGTGTTTAATAATCCACACATCCCCTTTTTTTAATCATGAAAACAGGGTATATATATTAATCACTAACTAAATATACATTGGATTAAAGTAAAGCAACTGCAAGTAATGAAATCAAAGAAATACCCAAAGTTTGAGCGCCATTCTTAGTTTTAGTTTCAGTAGAAGTAGACTCAGTACTGGTGGAATTGTGACCCTTGGAAGCAGTTTCAGTAACAGTGACTCCCTTTCCAGTGGTAGTTTCGGAATGATCGTGGTCCAGGGAACTAGCAGAACCACTTGAAGTAGTAGCACTCTTTTCGCCCTTAGAGGATGAAGAAGACTTGTTTTCATCTGTAACAGTAGTAGTGGTTTGGGCACCCTTTGAACCAGAGTTGGAGGATGAACTGCTTGTTCCAGAACTCTTTGCACTAGATTCGGTGGCTGTAGTGGTTTCCTTTTCGTCAGATTTAGTCTTGGATGATTCACCATTGCTAGTTCCAGAAGCAGTCTTGCCACTTCCAGTAGAAGAAGAACTACCATTGGAACCCTTTCCACTAGAAGAAGCACTAGAACTAGCACTAGAGCTAGAGCTAGACTCACTCGAGGAAGCACCAGCAGCTGTTTCAGTTGAGGGGGCACTACTGGAAGCACCATTGGCACCTGATTCAGTAGAGGCACCACTACCATTGGCATTAGAAGAAGCAGTAGCAGCAGCATTTGCAGTTTCAGTTGCTGCATTCAGTTCAGTGTTGGCAACAACAACAGTTTCAGTAGCAGCAGCTGCACCAGTGGTAGCAGCAGCAGCAGCAGCAGACAGAGCATCAGCTGCGGACAGAGCACCAGCACTAGCTGCAGCTTGTCCAACTTGCATACAGTACAACTTCCTCAAAGTTGCAGGATCAACATCATTAGTTTGCAGTCCACAATTTTTGGCACAATCACTCAACTTCTGGTAGAAGGCATCATCAAGATTACAGATGCATTGAAGAACACTTTGAGTCCCCACGTTAGAATCGTTAGCTTGACATTGATTCATCTGGTTTTGAGCATCAACACAACTTCCAGTACAGGCATCTTCTCTTTGTACTAGTTTCAAGAGGGCCTTGTGTTGGGAAAGATCGGTTGCTGAAGCTAAGGCAATAGAAGCTGCCAAAATTGGTAATAATTTCATTGTGAAGAGCGTTAATAGAAAAAAAAATTTCTCCTACATTAAACCAACATGGGGATTTTGATGCATATTTATACCACCCACGAGACTTAGTCTGACTTAGTTCAGGTCAACAACTCCAGAAACCAATTGTTTCTAGAAACTTTTTCGCGATCTTACGGCGCGAGGAAATATTTTTGTCAAGGGTTCCGGATTATGCATAAGCGAGCAGGACAACAATGGGGTCAGTGTCATGTTATGCACAGGGGCTATGTATTTGATTCACAACCGTGTAGCACGCCATCGAAAAAGAATGATGATTTGAAATTGTCTGCTACTTTTGGATGCCTCCTTGGCGTGTCAAAGGTATTGTACAGACAACTGCAAAATCGCAACCAATGAAATAAAAAAATTAACCCTTTTAGACCCTCCAACACATGCTAATTTATATTGTTTTATAGCCTCCAACTAACGTGGCCGACTGAAACTTTACATGACCAGAAACTTACGATTCTTGCCAAGATTAGTCGTATTTTCAAACCTACAATAGGAGTGTATATAGTTAGTTGCGGGTAAAAAGTATAAATCCAATGCTTTATTATCAGATGCATATCAACTGCCCCATTTCGGAACAAATACAATCAAAACAAGGTAAATAACACGTATATTACATTTTAGGGCAATTTGTAAATAGTTTACAAGCCGCCAAAAAACAAAAACAACACTAAACTAAAAGCACCTGATTGAAGCAGAATAAAGAGAAATCAGGTTATCTATTCGGCTTTGTGGGTTAATAATACAATTAAAGTAATGCAACTGCCAACAAAGAAATTAAAGAAACACCTAAAGGTTGGGCACCATTTTTAGTTTCAGATTCAGAACCAGAAGTTTCTGTGGCAGAGGATTTATTTGAACTAGATTCGGATTTGGAAGTAGGTTGTGTAGCACCGGTTTGTCCAGTTTTAGAAGAGGTAGAGGAATCACCGGTTTGTTCACTCTTTGAAACAAAATTGGAGGCTGATGCCTTAGAAGTGGTATCAGAAGTACTGGTTGATTCACTCTTGGCAACAGCACCGGAGGCGGTTTCCTCGGAAGTGGTCTTAGTGATATCTGCTTCGGTTGAAGTTGGAACAGACCTGACTGAAGTTTTAGTAGTACCTTCGATGGTAATTTCATCGTCAGCAATTCCGGTTGAATCACCCGAATCTTCTCCAATATCATCTCCAGTTTCAACTGCAAAATTTCCATCAACAGAAGCATCGCCATCAGGGTCCAGGCCAAAGTCACCAGTTTCAAGAGGGAGATCAACCCCCAATGCAGGACCATCGCCTCCCCTATAACCAGATGGAATGGTTCCATCAGCAATAAGTGAAGAAATTTGAGCAGCTGCATTACAGAACATATTTTTCAAAGATGCAGCATCAGTTTTACCACCATATTGGGCATTGGCATCATCATTAGCATTACAATTTTCAAGACAATCACTAAATTGTTTGAAAAAAGTATCTCCAAGACCACAAATGCAGTCAAGAACTTTCTGAGTTTCAAAGTTAGAATTGCCTGGCTGACATTTGTTAACTGTGTTCTGGATATCAACGCAGCTTCCACTACATGCATCTTCTCTTTTCATTAAATTCATAAGAACATGGTATCTGGAATCATTGGAAGCTGAAACTAAGACAACAGAAGTTGCTAAAATTGTAAGTAATCTCATAACAAACAAGTTTGATGTTCTATAAATCTGGTAAATTAGACATCTGGGGGCTTTTTCTCTATATATTTAAATATTGTCACTTTATCTATTTTTAGAGCAGGAAAATTACTTGCGATAATTGTCAGTCGCAGCAAAAAAATTTTCGCAAATCATTCTTCGGCCGTTTCCATCGGAGATACGAATTTTGGCGAATGGGTATAAACGAGGCGCGACAGCAACGGTTAAATGTTGGGTATTGTTCTCTTGAGGGGTATTGTCTACGCATTATATTGAACCTACTAGTATGATATTGTCATGGTTTCTCCTTTTTTGTATAATACTTTCTTCCTCTTCAAGTAGTTGCTCCCTCCCCACACACACCCTAATGTGTCATTGTTGGTTTTGTGCAACCGTTTTTCGTCAACGTGCAGATAAAATTATTTATGAAAGCAAAACAAAAAAAAATATTAGATCATTCGATAGAGGTTATAAATCTTCCACCATTTGGCTTAGCTAGATATATTTACCTAACTCCTATTTCCGAAGACCGTCTGCCTTGTAGTGTGATCCCGAGTACCTGATTTGGAAGTTTGCAAAAAAAAGGCTTAGATGTAAGTATTGCTTTAATTTCGCAGTCAAAAAAAAAGACGACTCAACAGAAGAAACAAAGAGAACTTCAATATTTAGTTAAGGTGATACCGCCTGAGTTAATATGAAACAAATGAATACTGTTAACAAACTAATTATCTCCGAAAATATCTCCTAGAGTAATTTTATTCAGTATGTGTGTGAAAGTTCTCTCTTGACACACATGATGACGACACAAAAACAAATAAAGAAAGTCGTCAAAAATTATAAGCAATTCAATTAAATGAGTCTATTTGACCATACTATACCAGCTCTTTAAAACAATCCAACTAATGCCGCTCCCAACAATTTAATCATCGAAGTGTCGAAAAGTTGAGCTCCATTTGTTGTAGCTTCCGTTGAAGCAGCAGAAGAACCAGAATTGGATTCTGTCTTTGAAACACCGCCAGCACGGAAAGACGTTCTTGCAGGATTGGAATTAGCGTCTGCTGCATCGCAATAAAATTTCTTCAAGTTTTTTGGTTTGAGATCCTCATCACTAGTATTTCCAACCATATCAGGGCACTTTTTAACACAAGTGCTAAATTCATCAAAAAATTTGTCACCAAGGTGACAAATACAATTATACAAACCTCTCATATCGTGTTCTGAATCAGAATCGGAAAAGGACTCGTGATCAGAATCATTATCAGAATCAAAATCTGCTTTTTTAGACCGGCAACTTCCTAATCCTTTTACAACATCTTCACAATCTGGAGAGCAGGCTTTTGCTGTTTGCAATAATTTCATAAAATTATCTTCAGAATGGGATGCTGAAGCTAAGGCAATGAACGATGTCAAAATTATTGGAGCGAATTTCATGATAAAATAACTGATTTGAATAATGCAAAGTTTTGAATATGTATGAATATATCTTTACATGACATTTACCTTCATATTTATATTCTTGGTTTCTTCGTTTCTTTTTTGAATATCTTGAACCTTCATAACTAACTTACGGAATTAAGTTAGTCTTTTGTAGGGTGCCGCCAGTTTCCAGAGTTAAATTGGCCATAAAACACTATTTAAGGTTTGTGCCCCTGATTATATGCTCTGCTGGTAAATTGATTGCTATGAACTGTGAATGAACCAGTTAAAATGGCTGTAAAAACATTTTCATTCAATACACAAAGTTAAAAGAAGAAAAAGAAAAGAAAACTTAGTACACATACATATGTAAGTTTAGAATTCATGACAACCGGGTTTAAATATATTCTAAAACTTGCAACAAAAATGATTTCATTACAATGTTAGATTTTACATATTATAAAACATTAATTAAAGTAGCGCAATTCCCAACAAATAAATTAATGAAACTCCAAGAACTTGAGAAACATTCTTTTTAGTTTCTATGGAAGCAGTAGCAGAACTGGAATGTTTCGGTAAAGTGCTAGAGTCCGAAGAAACATCTTTCTTTACAGGATTAAAAGAAGCAGAAGAAGAATTAGAACTATTTGTGGTGCCTGCTGCCTCACAATGAAAATGTTTTACATTTTCAGGTTCTTTATCTTCTTCGGTAAGCTCCTTAAAAACATGCGGGCACACTTTAGTACAATAACTGAAATTAACAAAAAACTGGTCATCAAATTGACAAACGCACTTATAATATTCTTTCAATCTCGGGTGGAAATTTGGGTAGTTACCACAACTTGAAATGTAATCACCACCGCAATTAGCTGCTATATAAGTAATCATCCAATGACAGACTGGGCTGTCGCATCTGTTATACTCGAATGCTTTCCTAAACTCATTATAGTCTTTAAAATCTGAATCTAAAGCTAAAGCAATAAAAGAATATAAAAAAACTGGAAGAAATATCATAATTAAGTAAAGGGTAATCTCGGGTCATGAAAATATAAGAATGCTTCTTTAGCTACATTTTTATATACTCGTAATTGAAACAGCTTATTTTAGTATAATTCGTTCCTGGTCTGACAAACTCGTAAGCTTCCCAATGAGGATATAGAAATGGATAGGACGCGATAGTTCCACGTCCCCTGTTTAATAGTCAGTTTTTATTTTTTTTTGGATCGTGTTTTCATTCCTGGATAGGCAAAAAAATTGGTTAAGGTATGAACTTGCTGATGTATGCTCAACGGGTAAAATAGTTCTGAAAGACACGGACAGTACATGGTATATATTTTTCAAACTAGTGGAAATAACTATTTTTTTTTTTGCAATCCCCAAGATAAAATCTATTTGCACTATACAATTTAAAAAATTTGTATAGGTGTGCACAGTATTTGTAGTTTTCAATATGCATTAGATTATTATCTAAGCCCCGGTCCAATGATTTACGAACATTGACAAAGCTTTATTCTTTTGGCAGAGTTTTAACCCAGCATCTTCAAGAAGTTCACGGTTCTTTTTTGTTTATAAATCCCACACACAATCGTGAATAGATGAACCCCTAGTATCCGATTCTGAATGGTCATGAGATAAATGAAATATCACATATAGATTATTATACATACACTCTAATACTTGTAACAAAAAGATTTTATTAAAATATTAGCTTATCAAAACAGACTGATTTACATACTATAAAACCAATTGAAGTACCAATCAAAGCAACGCAATTGCCAACAAAGAAATTAATGAAACACCGAAAACCCCAGTACCATTCTCTTTAGTTTCTGTTGAATCGGAAGTGGAGTTGGATTGTTCCTCTGAAGTATCAGTAGCTGAGGCAGTTGTTGACTTCAAACCATCTAAAGATGAAGAGGTTTTTGCAAGTTCGGAAGTGGCAGTTGCTCCTTCACAATAAAATTGTTTCATTTTTTTAGCATCTTTTTCATCGTCATCAATAATTTCAGAAAAGATTGGACAGTTTTTAGCACACTTGCTGTATTTATCAAAGAAATCATCATCTTGTTCACATAAGCATTTATACATTTTTTTCATCCCTTTGTCAGTAGTATCTTGTAAATCAGAACTTGTAGTGGAACTTTCACCTTCTTCCCCTTTAGGCAAACAACCCGCTAATTCAACTGCAACACCATAACAATCAAAATCGCACTTAGTTAACCCATTAAGAAATTCTTGATAATTAAAGTCGGTAACTGAATCGTCAGTTGAAGTCGAATTGGCAGCTGAAGTCAAAGCAGCAAAAGAAACCAAAAGTACAGGAAGAAATCTCATAATGAAGTGGTAGTCAAGGATAATCTAAAGCAATGAAATATAAACATGGCTCGTTATCTACATATTTATACACTCGTAATTGAAACAGCTTATTTAAGTATAATTCGTTCCTGGTCTGACAAACTCGTATAGCAACAAGCTTCCCAATGAGGATATAGAAATGGATAGGACGCGATATTTTTGCATCACTTGTTTAATAAAGTCTATTTTTTTGGATTATGGTTGCCTTCCTGATTAGGCAAAAAAATTAGATTGAGATTTATACCAATGATGTATGCTCAACGGGTAAAAATGATTAAGAAAAACCACCAACATCACATGATACTATCTTGGATGACAATAATTTCTTAAAAGGGGAATTAGATAAAAATAGGTTTTAAAGACTAGTGGCGATCTAAGAGTATTAGAACAATATAGACGAAGGGGACTAAAACGCAATAACGGGAACTAAAGTAAGGAACAATAGATATATTTAGATACTAAGATTTTACGAACATTGCAACCAAATTGAAATGTAGTTGGGTTATAGTTACCTGATACCTGTACGGTTAAACCCTAACAGATGTTGAGGATAAATACTGTATTCTTATTGTAATTAGATAGAGTAATAAGTTGGTTATTGCTACCAAGTTGAAATATATTACCATGCCTGTCAAGTACTTACTTATTATAATGAACTTGCTTATATATAATATAAAAACAATCCTATAATAATATAATTCCCAATAAAGATATCAATGAAACATGCATAACTGTAGCAAAGTTCTGCATAGTAGTTATATTTTCTAGTTGAGTTTCAGATTCGGTTTGCATCATGGAACTGGAATGTTTGCTTGCAGTGGTTATTACCTTTGAATTAATATTTTTCAGTGAGCTAGTTAGTTTCAGTGAACTATTTAGTTCTAATGAACTAGTAGGTTCCAATGAACTAGTAGGTTCCAATGAACTAGTAGGCTCCAGTGAGCTAGTCGGTTCCAATGAACTAGTTTGATGATCGTTTGAGTACATTTCGGAACTAGTTTGGTCACTTCGTAAAACAGCATCTTCACCATCATCATCAGCTTTCAGAGTAATAGGATCTGACGAATGCCGATTAACTATATCACAATAGTAGTTTTTCAAGTCCTGAGGATCATCAAATTGAACTCCTAGTATATTGTTATATTCCTCACAATTGTGAAGACAATCGTTGTATTGAGAAAAGAAATTGTCATCTAGATTACACACACATTCGACAACAGCTCGACCATCAATATTAGGATAGTCTGGAAAACACGTTCCTAATACATTTGCTGTATCTTTACAACTTCCTTCACATGAATTTCTTTTTAGTATTTCGAAAGTATGGCCCTGAACCATCTTTACTGGTGCTAGAACCACTGTATACACCAAAATTGTAGTAGTCCAGATCATAACAAGGAGCAGTGTATAAACTATAACTTTTGAAAATTGGATCTTTTATTTGTAGTGATCTGCATTTGTAAATAGATGAAGGAAGAGAACTTTTCTTTAAATATAAACAAACCTGAGTATATCATTATAAAACAGATATCAATAGAAGGTAATGTTGGTCTCGATTAGGAATCTTCCCTACCTCTTTTGGTAGTCTGATCCAACTATCCAAGTTGAGAATAAAACGGCCTGTTCGGGTATATATGCTAAACGGCTAATTTGTTTAAGAAATAATAAACAAAACAATTGTTGCATATGATGAGTGAACCATAAAATACTGAAACATAGTTGATATCCTTGATTTTGTAGAAATTGAAGTATAATACGTAAAAAACTAGAATGGTGAAGTAAGGATTAAATGCATTACATTTATAAGGTTTTATAAGTTGGTTGAAGAAATAGTATACCTGTAACTATTGTTTCAAGTATAATAATTTCCCAGTCCAAACAAACTAGAGGAGTCTAAATATAAGAAACCAATTAGTTTAAAAAGAACCTATAGTTTAAACAATCTTAATAATGGAATTAGAGCTTCTATATTAACTTCTCATGGTTTACTTGATTGCAAAGTTTTTTTTGTAGGATTAATATCTTTGGTGTTTTCTTCTTGTTTTCCTGACAGATTCTGATAGAACCAAAAGATTCAATATTACAAAGATCCAATAGACAAAAGTTTGTACCTAAATAATTGAAGAAAAAAGTGACTTTTTTAATAGATTTGCAGATATGTTTATAGATAAACATGATACATATAAAAACAAATACAAAAGTTCAAATAAAACAAGCTATAATAAAGAAATCCCCAACAAAGCAATGAAGGAAACACCAATAGTCGAGGCACTATTTTTGGTTGCAGTGTTGACCTGACCGTCGACTGCAGCCGCAACGTCGGAATCATCTGCAGCAGCAGCTGCTGAAGAAGAAGATTCACCAGCCACTTTACAGAATGCCTGTTTGAGTGCTTTAGGGTCATCTATGTCCAGGGATAAATTATTTTGAAACCTATCGCAATTGGTTATACAATCAATATAATCTGCAAAGAACTTGTCATCAAATTTACAGACGCATGTAGCTACTTTTACAGCATCATAATTAGGATAATCAGGAAAACATTGTTCTAACTTGGGTCCGACTTTTTCACAAATACTACATTCGTCTCTCTTCATTACCTTAGCAACGTAAATTGCATTTAATTCATGAATCCCGGTTGCTGAGGTCAAGGTAATTAAAGTTGCTAAAATTGTTGTACTAAATTTCATAATGAAGTATTAATGTTATAAAAATTCTAAAATCTTGGGAATTATTCTCTTTGATGAGCATATTTATATCATATGAGTTGAATAATATGAAATGAAATTGGATGTTCTATTTGAATACGATGGTATTGTAAAAACCAAATATAAATATTGTATTGGTAGTTCGTAAAATACTATAAGCCTTAAAAAAATAAAAAACAAAGAAATAGGTGCGAAATGGAAATTAAATCTGAAAATAACCTGAAATTAGATGATTTCTTGCAGTTACGAAAATAGCTTGTTCTAGGAACCATTTCTGATGTTTGTTATCTTATGCACCGATTACGAGAGTAGTGATCCTGTCAAAAAGTCTTGGATTGTTTAATTTAATTTTTTTTTTAAGTTCGTAGTTTAGTTACTAAGCCTCTGTGGGTAATTGTTTTGGTTTATTTTCTTTATCCTGATAATCCCGAATACCAACTCCGATTCTAAGCCTCCAATAAGTATACCAATATCAAGAGTTTCTAGTATGATGAGGAATATCCATTGCTTTGTTTGCGTATTGTCTTCACTTCAATATTGTGGTCTCCTGTTAATTTGCCTATTTGTACTTCTAAATTGAAAATGGAAAGATGTTGTGCTTACTCTATGTAATTAGTTTTTAAGCAATTGGAAGTAAAATTATTAAAATGAGGTATTACACCTATAATTTAACTACAAAATTCTTCACAAAGTGCTTCACCAAAATAGTTTCAACAGGTTGAAACTATTTTACAATTTTTAATTAGAACAATACCCAGTAGATACTAAAGACAATATACAAAATAGTAATATAACAATTAAAGCAATGCAATTGCCAATAAAGCGATAATAGAACCACTTAAAGTCGAAGCAGAATTTTTGTTTGAGGATTCGAGGTTGGAATTAGTTTCTGTTTCCGAACTAGATAACTCGGGAATAATTACTCTTATTAATGTCACAGTAGATTCTGGCATTTGGCTATCCAGAGAACAAAGATATTTTTTCAATGCTTTATGACTTTCATATTGCTTAGGGATCAGATCATCAGGACGAGAACATTCTTTTAAGCAATAAACATAATCCGAGAAAAAATCCATACCCAGATTACAAAGACAGGTAACATCGGAATGATGGATAGAATCTGAGTTGGAATCTAGATTACAGTTGGTCAATTTTTTGTTTATGTTTTCGCAGCGCTTAGAACATTGCTTTTCAGTCGCTAATACTAAGGCAACAAAAGATATCAAAATTGTAGTGAAGACTCTCATAGCTAGTGTCGATCACATAAAAAACAGATAAATGGAGGATGATAATCAAATTTATAGTAATGAGCAAAGAGAATGGATTTAAAGTTTGACGATTGGGAATTCAAGTTGTGGTAAACCTAATACAAATTGTCAAGGAAAAGATTAAAGAAGATGATCTGCTGCATATGCTGGCCGTGCTAATTATTCAGCAAGCTTATACCACATGCAATATCTATCAAATAATGTAAATAAATAACAGATAATTAGACATGAATGCGAATCAGCATCAACTTTGATATCAGTAAAGAATCGGTAACACAGCAGGTATTAGAAAACAGAAATACGCAAATAATAGATCCCGAAGAATGTCTCACTTTTTTTTTGTCTTGGACAATAACAAAAAGTAGACTAAAATTAATATACTTCGTTTAAGCTTTTGTAAACAGAGTTCAAATGCAATTCCAAACGCGACTAATCTTGGCAGCACAAAGGTAAATTCTCCTGATTGTAGCAATAAACTTTGTAAAAAAAATTGCAATAATAAAGTATTTGAATGCCCCCCCCCCCTAAAATGATATTACTTACAAGAAAGGGAATAAGAGATTTTGTTCTGAAACGACAAGAGTTCAAAATTAAGAACACAAACTTGTAATGATGGTATGGCTAGAATGGGGATGAAGCAAAGGTTCAGGAATTTCACCTACAATGTTACCACAAAATCTTGTAAAACATAGTGTGCATAATAAGGTCTATTTATATTTTGATTTACTTGGGGCCAGCTGGTATAAAAATACTTTCAAAAAAAAAGTCAGAATTTTAACAAAATCCCGATACAATTTAAAGATTAATTTAGACAATATGCCTGCAATTGCATCAATCAGAATACAATCAGCCACAACTGAATTAGAACAACTACTACTTGTACAATGATTGATATTTGAAAACTTGACACAATTCTTGACACATTCAATGTGCTTGGAAAATAAAGCGACATCCAAGTTGTAGGCGCATTTTTCAACCTGTAGTGAGTCATGACTAGGAAAATTGGGCATGCAATGTAGTAGCTTAACGTTCACATATTGATAAGATGCATGTGTATTGTCTATTTTTACCACACAGAAATAACATGGCTCGATATTTCAAGAGAATTGAATATGAGAATGAATTTGTGTATAATATATAATTATTAACCCAAAACAAAGGTGAGAATTACAAAATTCCTTTGATAGAACACTTCAAAGTGAACAAAGTTAAATCTCAAATTGAAATCAATTTATGTGGGAATTTGATGGCATAATTATATATTAATCAAATCATATTTATAGAATTCCATATCAATTAAATTTAGTTCTTGAACAATTAAATCAAGGCAAACCCCACCAAAACAATGAATGGAACACCTAAAACAGATGCACCATTTTTAGTAGTGGATGTAGTTTCCGTCGTTGTATCATTTAAGCTAATACCAGCAGCCTTACATATCTGCAATTTTACCTTTTTAGGATCATCCAAGTACTGTTCATAGATACTAGGAGTCTGGTCACAGTTCTGAGCACAATCAACCAAATCAGAAAAGAATTTGTCATCCTTCTTGCAGGCACACTTAGTAAATTCCTTAGTGTCGAAATGAGGATAATTAGGTGCACATGGCTTAAGCTGGGTATCCACTTTTCGACAAACTCCCGAACATGCATCTCGCTTCATTATCCTTACCAAATTGTGAACAGTTAATTCAGGAGATACAGTAGCCAAAGCTAAGGCAATATAAAAAGCAAAAAGTGTTGTAACAAATTTCATAATAGAGTGTTATTATCGAAAATTATTAAAAGAATTACAGATTAAAGTGCTTTTATGGACATATTTATACTTGAAAAGTCTGCTTGCAAGAACTTTGTTTACGGATGGCAAACATCTTCGAGGTTTATAAAGTTTGGATCTTGGTTCCCTCTTTAGCAATTTTTCCAAGCACGACTGTAGTATATGTAGGTGATGCTAAATATGCGTTCCTCCAACTGAAATTGTAAACAGACAGATTAATCTCAAAGGTGAAAATCAAATAGTCGTCAATAATTAAACTATAATAACGATGAGTCATACAGTATATGCAAAAACAAATAAGAAATGATACTAATGCTTACTAGATCTAAATAAAGAAAAAGTCATTATTTTAGCACAAACCGCATAGGTAGGTTCTTATTGTTTATGTTATTTTATCTAATGAGTAATGTTTTTTTAAGCAGAGGACAGGCACATACGGGTATTGAATAAGCATCTAAGAGAGGAGTCTCTCGCCTCAAAAGAAACCGTATTCATTGATTTTGAATTCATTTGATTAAATGGAGTACCATACATAACATTCCCTTGTTTTATGTATGGAATTACATATTCGTTTATACTTGCCTCTTGATTAAACTAATTCATGTTGCTGTATTAATTGTTCCAATACTTTACTTTTACTAGATCTCCTTATGGAATTAAAGAATAAAAAGCTTGATCTGGGTTAACAGTTTCCTACCAGCAAGACTAGAATGAAGAACAGGCGGTAAAGAACAATAGAACCTGTTTATCTCAAATTATATTGTACTGTCTCGTAAGCGAGTTAACACAAAATTAACTACGATCTAGCATACAGCCAATAATAAATTTATTATAAGTAAGCGCCCCACCCCTCACCTCTCACAAGCAAAGTATCACTGGCTTTTGTTTGTGACGACTATATAGCCCCAGAAAATCATTTTGCAGTAGTTAGCGGCAACAAGCGCAAGACATGTCCCGATTTGGGCTATCCCAATATCTTGGCAGAATTTAGTTCCTGCAGAACAATATGGAAGTACATGATGATGCGGCTATTTGGACATCACGGAATACGTCAGATTAAACTACATGGACAACCAGTTCAAAACACGATTATAATTAAGAAATTAGAATAAGATATTTCTTAGCGGGAAGAGTATAGCCCGACTAGAACCAAGAAAACAAGGATGCGTACAGAGATATTTCCTACCCCCTACCTTTCAAATTCTCCTCAGATTAGTTAGTACAGAGATCAAATATACTGATATTGCCGTTTCACGTCGTGACATTGCAAGGTCATCGCCACAACAATAAATAAATTAGAGCACGAGCCATCTCGAGTGAAAGCCATTGCCAAAAAAAAAATAAAAAGAAACAGAAAAAAAATTCAAGAACCAAAAAAAAATAAACCAAGAATTTTAAGACAGTCAAAACCATTCCATTGCCAGTTTACAATCACACAACCATTTGCATAACCAACCTCATATAGAGTCACAACTCACTCCTCGTTCAGAGAGAACCACAACTAATACATTAATCTCTTTTTTTTTTCAATTCATCAACTACTTTATTTTAATTCATTTACCACATTATCTTATGTCTATATAGCAACCATGGTCACACCTAGAGAACTACATCAGATATTGGAGCAAAAACGAAATAGGTTGCAGATAGGTTTGCATATCCGGAAAGTCATTCATTCAGTGGCATCTGCGATCTATCCCTATGCCAAAGTACTTCTTCCCAACTTTCGAGCCGTACACTATTTCTATATTTTAACCATGGCATTCCTTGGTTCGATCATAGTGTACCCTATCAAAACAGTATCATATACAGATGCGTTATTCTTCACCAGTGGTGCATCTACCCAGGCAGGTCTTAACACGGTCGATGTCAATAATCTAGCGTTATATCAACAAATTTGTTTCTACATCCTCACAACCTTGACCACGCCGATTTTTATACACGGATCCCTTCTTTTCGTGAGATTATACTATTTTGAACGTCATTTCGATAATATCAAGGAAAGGTCAAAGTTGGACTTTCAAATGAGACGAGAAGCTACGTTGGCCCGACAACGTACGGCAAGTTTCCGGAGCAGGCGGAGCTCCCGAAGTTCATTGCGTCGAAATACCGAGAATAACCAGGGCCTTGGGTTTTATGATAAGGAACTAGAACTTGATAATCTTGAAAAGGGACTCGATGCCGAGGATTCGACCCCGTCAAAGCACTCCAAAGAAGGACAATCTTCCGATTCAGAGGAGAACAAGGCACAACAACAACAACAGCAACAACAACCACAAGAAGACCATAACGATCCTGGAATTAAGTTTGGAAATTTGCCTCATCCACCGAAGAGAAGAAAATCATTTGATCCTGAAGAAATGTATCGTTCAATCAATATCCTTAAGCAGCAACAGCAACAGCAAAATCAGAACATTGGTGGCTCAATAAGATTTGGCAATTTGGAAGCACCTCCTCGATCAAGAAGATTATCAGGACATAGTGCTGGCCAAGGTAACGATGATGACGATGAAGTTTTGATTATCAAGTCACCTAATGAAATTGAAGGTTCCGTTGATCATCAGGACATATTCACCACCAAGAGAATGAGAGCGGCTGTCACGGCTCCAATTAAAAAGAGATGGAAACACAGTCCTTGGACTACGAAATTAAGAAAGACCATTTCAGGAGGACATCGTAGAAGTATAAGTAATGTATCAAGTGAAATTGAAGAGGAAGAGATTGATGATGAAGCTAGTATTGATTCTGAGAATTTTAGACCTGAACCAAGTCATACTGAAGACGAGGATGAAGATGAGGATGAAGATGAAGACGAAGATGAGGATGAAGATGAAGACACTGAACAAGAAGATACCGAAAATGAACAACAAGACGAGGATGAGGGAAACGAAGCAGATATTAGCAGAGCAACTTCAAATTTGGAGCTCCCATCGCAAGACGAATCCGGTGGTATTAGATTCACAAAACGTAGACACACAATTGAAGGTGAAAAGACAGATTTACCAAAATCCAAACCTAAACCTACTCCCACAAGGAAACAGCGGAAAATGCGTAGAACCAAAACTCCAAGACCAGGATATTCCGGTCTTGATTCCAACACCACATTCGTTCCTTCTGCTCAACACCAACATCGTATGTCATCAGATGAAGAATCATGGAACGGTGAATCTGACAGATTGAGTCGAACCATGAGTACCAACTACCTTTCATGGACTCCTACCGTGGGGAGAAATTCTACATTTGTTTACTTGACAGATCAACAAAAGGACGAATTAGGAGGGGTTGAATATCGAGCTGTCAAATTATTAATCAAAATTCTTGTGTCTTATTACATTGGGTTTCATTTACTTTGTGCGTTGATCTTGTTGATTTGGGTCTATTGCATGCCTGATCACAAACTGCGATTGGAAGGGTTGGCTATCAATCCAGCCTGGTGGGCTTTCTTCACGGCACAATCCGCATTCAATGATTTGGGATTTACATTGACTGCAGACTCAATGCTTTCCTTTAATCAATCAGCATTGGTATTAGTTGTGTGTTCATTCTTTATTGTCATTGGAAACACAGGATTTCCGGTATTTTTACGATTCATCATTTGGCTCTTGTTTAAAACAGCCAAGCCATTGTCATTATATAAGGAATCATTGGGATTCTTGTTGGACCATCCACGTAGATGTTTCACATTATTGTTTCCCTCGGCACCCACTTGGTGGTTGTTTGCCATTTTGGTGATACTTAACGGGTTTGACTTGGTGATTTTCTGTATTGTTGATTTGAAAGATAAACCATTTGAAACTATCCCCATGGGCTACCGTGTTCTTGGTGGACTATTCCAAGCATTTTGCACCAGAACAGTGGGATTTACTGTAATGGACTTGTCGGAACTTCATGCAGCCGTGCAAGTGTCGTATATGCTTATGATGTACATCTCCGTGATGCCGTTGGCAATTTCCATCAGAAGAACTAACGTTTATGAAGAACAGTCGCTTGGGGTGTATGCTCGAGAAAACAACCAAAGCGACATCGAAAATGGCACTCCTTCAAACTATGTCGGGGCCCATTTGCGTAATCAATTGTCGTATGATATATGGTATATCTTTCTTGGGTTGTTTGTGATTTGTCTTGCTGAAGGTGGTAGGTTGCGTCAACAGGATTTCCGCTTCTCGGTGTTTGCCATCTTATTTGAGATTATCAGTGCTTATGGTACCGTGGGGATGTCATTGGGTTACCCCACTGTGAACACGTCACTCAGTGGACAATTCACTGTTATTTCAAAACTAGTGATTATTGCCATGATGATTAGAGGAAGACACAGAGGGTTGCCATACACTATTGATCGTGCTATTATGTTGCCCGATGCCGAAATGCGGAAACACGATCGCATGCAAGAAACACATGCTTTGCAAAGAAGCAATACTTTGGAACAATCAGCCACGCATACTTTGCGTCGTGTGGCTACTCAAGGTGGAAGTGGGGGTCCTATTGACGCGGGACAGAATCTTTTAGGACGGGTTTATACAAATGTTCAAGATTATAGAAGAAGAAGACACGAGCGGAAAGAAGCCAAGAAGTTGACTAGTAGAAACCCAAATTACATTGTTACTACTGTGAGTAATATATAGAATAAACGATATTTATTTTTATTTGTTTTTAGTTCTTGTCTAGAGGTAATTCTTTCTATTTGCGGTCCTAATGAATCTTCTCAATTGCCATTCTACATCGGCATCCTTATTATCTGGCAAGCCTAATCTTATTTCATACAATCTCATTTCAAATCTTGGACCGATTTCACTGATTTCGACCGAGTCCTTGGTCTTGACGTAGACATGGTGTCTTACCGATATGTAGTCGTCATTATTAACAAATGTGATCACTCTGGATGAGTCCTTTTTTACCCCTGGTGGGAACAAGTGCTGCAATATTTTAACCACACGCTTACCCAAGTTGCTATTGAACCCTTCGAATATCAAATGAGGATATGATTCACTTACGTTACCCAAATTAGGCAAATCGTGTCTTAATTTGACATTATGTAATGTGAACACCGCAGTTGGGCCATGTGGGAAATGACTCACGGTTAAACTGGTAGGGACACCACGATGCTCATGCAAGATGATCACATCACTGACGGCAACTCGTGAACAGGTCTTGACTAAATCCGGGATAACGTAATTACCACGGTTTAATTTCAAACTGTTGGGGAACATCAATTTTATTTCTTTGGAAAATTGTAATAATCGTACGCTGGGATCTCGCGAGGTGGTGATGATGACCTTGGGGTCAGATATACCGGACATGGCACTGTATTCATCATCTATGTCAACTTCATCTTGGATACTTTGGTCATAAATGAAATCAGATTGGAGCTTAGAATCTTCAGCAAGGTCTTTAGAAAGCGGTTTACCGGTGGCTAATGCTGCTTTTAACTGTTGTCGTTTTTCAGTAAGTGATGACTCCTGAAGCTGGAGGGCTTTTCTATAAAGATATTCTCGTCTTTCTCTAGCTTGTTTCCTAATCATGGTGATGTTTTTGTAGTACTTAGATAGTATTAAGATGAGATAGAAACTTTTTTTTCTTAATCAGATGAGCTAACAAAATAGTGCTATGCTACCATGTGACTTCAAAACAGTGATGTGCTACCATGTGACCTCAAAAACCTCCACTTCATGCATTAATCAGCACATTGGCGACTGGAGTGCTAAAGCATCTCAAAAAAGTTGACAAGGATATACAAGGGTCATATATATCAAAAGATGTAACTTGTATTGAACCAAATGATACATGAATGTTCCCACGAATAAAAATAATTTTTCCTTAGTTGGTGTGGCTACTGTTGGTGGCTATCGCGAATAAGACAATAGAAATGTGCTAAGAATATTTTTAGCAAAACAACAGGGTGAACGATTTAAACAACTGACACTATATTCAGAATCGTCTCATCACATGCCAAGATCAACGATACCCTCCCATTTGGACACAACAAGACAAATTCAATTTATTCTTGGTATTTACTATTTACATCTTTACAAATATTGACAAACTGTCAAACTTTTATTCAAAAGTAGATACAAAACACAAAGACATACAAACACAAAAACACACTGAATTATAAAAGGTTTATTCTATGATTTAAGCACGCACACATTCTCTTCTAAAAAACACGGAAATAAATTATCATCAAAAGTCATTAATAAACAAACATAGTTATAAAAAAAAAAACAAACCCGGCTAATGACCATTGATTTCAGTTGTAGTTTGTCTAATACAATCAGCAAGGGTGGTGGAGATTAAACTGGCATTATCATCGCTGTTGATCCCACTGTGGCCACTACCTACCGACTTATTTCTTGTTCTTGTTGGAGGGAGGTCCAGGTCAACGTCGTCCGAATCTGACAGATCAGGGGAAATTAAAAACTTGTTTTTGGGACTGGCATGCTTCTTTTTATGTTTATTTGATAAGTTGGCAGTCAATTGGCTGGTACGTAATGGCTTGTTTAACAGGTGTTTGACTGGTGGGATGAATCCTTGTGAGTATGCATGTTTGAAGCTAGGTCTTCTGGAGCTAATTGGGTAATCATCAGTAGAATTATTAATCATTTCGGCATAACTGTAGAAATTAAGCGATGACTTCGAACTAGTCAATTTTGGTGGTGAAACTGGGGAAAACAATTGTTGGCTTGATGAACTAGTCAAGCTCGAATCAATAGACAAGTTTGTAGATTGAACCAGCAGCAATGGTGTGGATTGACTTGATACCTGCATCATGGAGTTTTTCCTAGAAGAAGGTGAAATTGGTCTTCCAAGGGCCATATTTAATGCAACTACAGACGAGTTACGACGAGTAGAATATACAATTTCCACATCATCTAAATTAGTTTGCTTGTCATAGAGCAAGCTGGCAGTTGCATCAATAGCTGGTGGGATGTAATCTTCATTCTTCAAGTATTGACCCGTAGCTAACGAGATGGATGAGTTGTGAGTGGATGATCGTGGTCTTCTAGGTTGTGCATTGGCGGAATTGGACACTAATGACACAATCGAATCTGATCTCAACCCTGGTTCAAAAACACAGGAATCTTGTACTGATCGTTCAAAAATGTTATAGTCGGTAGTTTCATTTTCTGAAATTATAGATGCAACGGAATGTTTAGGTGAGGTGTCACCTGGTTGGTGGTGGTTATTGTTTTGACTATGATGGTTGTTGTTGTTGTGGTGGTGGTTGTTGTTGTGGTGGTGATTTTTATGGTTTGGTTGGGGGTTGAATGAAAACAAGGATAGATCCTCGTTGGTTGAAGATACAGTTTTGGTGGACATTTTTTTTTTTGTTAGGATTACACTTTTGTTATTTACAGTTTTGGCGTTGTTATGACTTGGTAAAGGAGCTTCCTTAAAGTAACAACGTAATGATGGTGAATATAGTTCAAATAAATATTAAGCAGCAAAGTACTTTTCTTTTTATTATTATTTTTATGTTGATTTTTTTTTGCCTTTTCCGACGGGGGAATTATAAAAGTATTTCCGAAGTAAACAAAACAGTAAGGGGCTGTGTCTTTTCAAAACAGACTTGACAGATTGTGATGGTTAATCTACTTTCAGCAAAACTAGGACAGTTGAAGAAACAAAAAGATATGAAGGTCAGACGAAACAAAGTTTTCACAAATTTAAAAAAAAACCTCAAGGCAGCTTTTTCTTTAATCTTCTATGGACACTCTCAATTTTTTTTTTTTGTAGATTAGAAAAATCTGGAGCTTTTTTTTAGTTTTATATTTAAAAAAAAACCAAATAAAAAAAGTTTAAAAATAATTTCTATTAACAAATAAAAAATCCGGTCGTGTCCGGATCATTCCCCGATAACCAAAATTAAGATAAAAAAATTTTATTGTCTTTTTATGACATAAAACAAAAAAAGGAAAAAATTAAAAAAAAACACATACTAGAAACATCAACACATTTCTTTTTTAGCGGTTTTTTTTTCTCTTCTTGTTTACTAATTGGTTGATTAGGTAATAAGATCCGTTGTAGTTTCGGTGATAGCAAAGAATTGTAATCTTAGCTAAGAATTATTAAATGGAGAGTTATTGGTTTATTACAGTCTGGTGATATAGACACGCCTCTCGTTCGTATAAATGAATGATCATATCAATATCACCATAGGACAACACCTAGATCTCCATTGTTATTTTTTTTTGCTGCAACGGCACCACTTGTACTTGACACAAACTTTATGCAAAAGGACGTCATGCGTAAAAATACTGAACCCTTCCCATAGTTAAAGGATGCCCGGTGTTTTAGTTTGTCTCTCGTTTGTTTTGATCACACATTTTGCAATGTAGAGCCCCATGGGAAAATGAAATTCAATTTAACCACATTTTGTGTGCCGTCTTTTTGGTGGTGCCTCCTCAAATCAATGGCTCGCCCCCTCTTTCTTGCGTCACTATGCAGGAGAATAATACAATTCGGAAGAAAAAGAAAAAAATAATTTTGAACATCAATTGTTGGTTCGTCTCAATTAGGAAAAACTACCAGTGGGGGTGGTCATAACGGATAAAAAAAAAGTATTCACCCATGAGGAGGAGGAAAGTGGAAGAGATATACACTAGGGTCATCATGTTTTAAATCTCCACTTGACAACACCATGTCTCATCTCTTGTCCAAATGGTCACAAGATAGTTAATTAGCCAACTCTGTACACGTGGTACGGATCAATTCTTGGCCCTGGCCCTGCAGTAAGCAGCCAGTAGGCAAGTACTAAAAAAAAATTTGTAGTGAAAAGTACCGCGGCGAAATTCCAGCGGTAGCAAAAAAAAAAATTTTTTTTATTTTTTTTGTTTTGCCCTACAAGAATAAAAAGGAATTTTTTTTCTCATCAGAATCAAGAAATCAACCCTTGATTATTTCGCAATCACCAACTGGGGGGCGGAGGATGGTTATGTTCCCCACTATATTTTCTTAGGCTACGGCTCTACCTGTAAAACTGTCTTTTTTTATCAGGCAGATCTAATCGTATGACAATGGCATGAATGTTCTTTACATTTGCTACATATGATGTCATGGTCCTGAAGTTAAGTTCATATAAATGATCTAAGGGGTTCACCTAAGGCGTTACTAAGCTTGCGTTCTGTATGGTGGGCTAAAACAAGTGCGCTTTCCAATAGATAACGATGTACCTCTAAAATTTTAACCGATATACATATATCGCGTTTTGGCGTGGAATTGATGCATTACCCCGCCACCGCTAGGGTACGCTACCTAGCGCAACCCAGTTGCTTTTCACCCCCTCCTCCTTATTTGACCCTTCCTGTGTTGGGAAGAAACAAAAAAAAATAGTCTAAAAAAAAAAAGTGATCATTCATTTATTTTTTTGTGATACTTTTTGTTTTTCGGATTGCAAGCATGGAAGTCAAGAAATAAACTGCAGATATAGCCCAATCAAAAGTCATCCGTTTGACAACTCTAATGCTTGTCCTATGGACTAATCTTGGCCGTTCTAAAACAATGACGTAATATCGTCATCTCAACCAATCACGAAACTTTACTTGCTTGCGTGTTTAGTTTTTAGTTACGACTTGTTCCATGTGTTGCCTCTGATTGGAACAATTTTCTCGTAAACTTATTATTAATAACAACTACACCCCCCATGTCCCGAGCAGCTCCCCGTGAATACAGTGGACATAACCAACGGTCATTTAATTGTAGAAAATACTTGATAGAAACAATAGACATTGTAAAACTGGGAATGAATTTATCCCTAAAAGGATATCACCCTGGTTTGGTAGCGTTGGGTGCAAGCAGAGCAACCAATGAAATTTCATTTTATTTTTTTAGGTAAGTAACAAATCTGGAGACGCTTGGTCAGGGTGGGGTGACAGGGTTTATATCCCCGTGAATGTCCGAGGGATGAAGTTGCATGGTTATGTCATTAGGATTAGATTGTTATGCAAAACTTTGACTCAAAATTGAATGATTATAATACATAACTCCGTGCAAATCGCATGACTTTGACACCTTGTGACGAGGGATTTCGCATTCATTCATAAACATCGGCTTTATTTCAAGATTCAACTTGATGATGTAGGCTTGGAATTTTTTTACGCACAGCCAATGGCAGAATATGTGCTAGGCTCAACCGTTAAACGGTTTTAAAGTTGCTCTCGGACTTGCATAGCGATCAACTGCTATTGGCTGCATGTGACTTGCCATTGTTTCTAGGCTTTGTGTTAAACATCTCCGTAACAATACGCGATTTCGGCTTCACGATATTGTGACATTTGATTATGTAATTGGTAACATTTATTATTGTGTTTGACTAAGAGAGAGAGAGAGAGGTCGGCATAACATTGTAGCAAGCCAAGTGGTATTCCCTATTTTATCGGATTATTTGTAAAGGTTCTATGCAGGCGTTATTTTGCAACCGGGTAGATTAGAAAGGACTGTTTCCATGTCTAATTTATTAGCACTCTTGTGCTTAGCTAAGGAAATGTATGTAACAAGGTTATGTTAACATGTCAGTCATGCTTAAATTCAAACTGATTTCAAACAGGTACAAATATCCTGAATCAATACATTATTGTAACCTAACTCAATATGATATCTCTACTACTATTATTGGGGGGTTTTATTGGTTTTTTTCATCAAAAGAAATTAGCAGAGTCTTCACGTCATTCGATTCTTTCGTTTGAAAGAACCAAGAGTATTTGCTATTCCATATTCTAAATTGAAATGTATCGTGTCGAATTCTGAACCGCAATGCACCCAGGTTAAAGGCGCGATTAGAATTTCTATTATGTTCAATATTGGAGGTTCTACAATACAGACTGATTTCAAATGATCCAGCTACTTCACTCCTGGATTTAGCAAAGCTTCATGATGGTAAACATGCAATTTCCACTCATGCTATGATTGAAAGATCACTTGATGTATCTGACCACTATACTATAACTTCCTCGTCACTCAATATAACTCAGCGCCATTTAATAGAAGGGAATTATCCAGAAAGTTACAAACGGGGAAAATTGGGTTTCTAAGTTAGTAGGAGTAACGCAAAGATAGGTAGCAACTCAAGGTATGCTGCAATCACTAATAGATTGAATGGCTGAGGGGCTCTCCTGTGAACAGGTATGGCATATTCTATTCACTTCGAAATGCAGTAGTGCTGGGTTTATTATTAGTTATGAAACTATCGATATGGGGGGTAAGACCCTTCATAAGTGGCTTTCTTTTTTTAATGTTTACGATTCAGAGTTATTGAATATATTGATGAAATATATGCAACTACAATTCTGGAAACCTGTTTCCTATTACAGATGTTGATACTAAAAGAACTGATAATAGAACTGATAGTATCTTTAACCTACCACTGCTGAAACCACTGTATATATAGGAATTTCCACTTTATTCACTACTTGTCAAATCTTCATTATAGTTATCCTTTTCAGGGTAATTAATCATTTGACTAGCATTACTAAATCTATCAAAAAAGCTCTCTTCCTGGAAGGGATAGCAGTTTCTAAATTTGCACTATGTAGTTCTTACAGTATTATACATCTTATGACATACAACACCCGTGTATAGATGTAATCTTTGGTGTCTTGCAGCAATTGTGCTACCAGTTTCCTAATTTTTCCCACCAAACCCGATAGAACAAAAAATCAAATTTTAACCCCGAAGTTGGTTGTCAAAAAATTTACAACCAAACAGATACAAACACAAGCAATAACGCCGTCATTTATAACTAGATGAACATCGATTTAACCCCTGTACATAGACACTGTCAGTATTAGATCAACCAATCGAAGAAAACGCGTCAATAGAGGAATATTTTAAGGGGTATGGTTGAATCTACAACCAATTCAAATAAAGCAAGTCCAACCAAGAATGGCAATGGTTCCAATAGATCACAACAGGATCGTCCAGCAGCGTTAGCGGCAGCACTTGCAGCAACAGCAAGCAAACCTGTCAAACGATACATCAATCCCTTCGTTATGGCGCCATACACAGCAAATCAAGTACAGCATCAATCATTGGATAGAAAGAGAAGCGCCACTGTGTCTTCGGTGGATTCAATCCCAATACAATCGGTTCTCAATCGTGAATTATACAATCCGTCCTCTGAAATGCATATACATACAGAAGGAGAAGAAGTGAATGATTATGGCATAACGGATTCCGATGATAAGACAGATACTGAAGACGCAACGATACGACCGGTACTAGGAGGGAAACCCAATTCATTAACTACACCTACATTAGAGCCCCATTTTGGATTTGGACGCCCACCAGTAGTGCGTAAACGAAGTGCCACTACCTCGATTATAGAAAATGCGTACTTCCCCGAGTTTGATTACAATGAAGAAGATGAGTATGATGACGACGAAGATGACGATAGACAAGATAATGCAAAGAGTCCCACCTGGTTATTGAGTGATTTGTTATCTAATTTAGGCTCAATCCGAGATACTGACGAGTATACCATTGTTGCTAAAGCGAATGACCTTGTGCTTTTATTTCAACAACATCCTAAGTTGAAAAATGAATTGGAAATTAAAACAGTATTGCCAAAGATCCAATTTATGTTATATCATCCTGTACTGGAAGTTAGAAGTTCAGGATACAGAATACTACGATATATGATTTCAAATTATGAAAGTTTGAGCTTGCTAATTCAGTCTAAATTGTTAATCTATCTAATTGTTAGTTTATCGGGAGCAAATTCAACTCTTGTGGAAATGGAGCAGGCTCTAAAGCTTATTCGTGAGTTTTTACATATAGATAAGGGTACTGATTTCTTATCTACTGGGGTCATAAAAGCGTTGATTGCAATTGTGGAAAGTGGTGATGATGAAAAGACCAATTATGGCCAGTCAATGATTGAGTCAATACCAGAACTGTTTAAGAATGTATGTCTTGAAACCATTTGCGAAATGACCATATTTAATCCGGAACTTGTTTTCCATAGTGGCGGGTTTAAAGTAATTATTAATTCAATTCTTGAAGGAAGTGTGGAAATATCATCAACATGTTTAATTATCTTGCTTAAACTTTGTGATTTTCAAAACTCCCGTAAATTTATCAGAAATGGATTTGATTTAGATTCACTTATTTCAATATTTTCAAACATAGTGGATGATGACGATAAAGTTAAGAAAGTTTCCAATTCCAAGTTACAAAAAATTTCGTTCTTGATTGCAACGTTACTAAAGAATTTCAATGGGCTAATTGCATTTTCCATTGAGAACTTCACCAGTATAAACAATTTAGTTATAAATCTTCATAAGAAAAACAGCAAGATACGAGACTTCATCATGGATATATTTCTCGATTGTCTTGGAATTCAAGTATTTCCTTGGTTGGAGAATTCAGCTATTGGTAATTCAATCACAAGGTTTAATGAATTTGTTGGTAGAACTAGTTATTCATTTACTTATCCCCACTTGAAACCTATTGAGCACGAGTTTGAACAACAAGTAGTTAATCATTATTACGGATTACTTGCATTGGTTCTTATAAGGAATGATATCTTTGATAGGTTGGTGGATATAATTGAACAAAACCTGAATGAGTCAAATACCAAAAAGGCTACCCTTCTTTTAACCCATTTATATGCAATGGCTAATAGTTTGTTACCACCAGAACTAATTCGTCCTAATATGTTATTACGTGATCTTTCCCTTCATGCAACATTTAAGATTATTACCAGAGACAAGTTCCAACCTAAACCTGACTACTTGGTGAATATGAAATCGACGATTAAGAAGATCAATATTGAATCCCGATACAATATTGATGACACTGAGTTTAAGACCAAGATTAACAATACCAAGATATTGACCATAAAGGAATTTGAAGAATGGAATTGGACATTGTTAGTCACGCTCATTCAAGGACCATTATCTAACCCAAAGCGATTTGACGAAGTATTGGAAAAGTATCCCAAGTTTTTCAAACGGTTAATGTCCTTTTATCGACCATTTAAATTTAGGTTTTCAAATACATCATTGAATAATCGAAACTCTATGAAGTATATCAATATTGGAACTCAATTACTCGAAATGTTCTTGAATTTGGATAATGGAACTAAATATTTGGCATCGAGTAAATTGTTGCCTCAATTGGCTGAAATTGTGGCCCAGGTTGATCCATATAGTGGTATATCATCCAAGGAGCCATTACTCAATAAGAAACGATTGGACTCAACTTGTTGTATGGGATATTTACGATTTATAGGTATACTTAGTGCGAAACCTAGTGGTATTCAAATGTTGGAACATTGGCAATTTTTCACATTGTTTTTACATATAATTGACCATAGCAGTGAATCCGAATCAAACAACTTATTTATCATCACCTTGTTTAAGAATGTTGATTTCACAATCAATTCCCGATTTAGAATTTTATTGGAACAAGCACTGAAAATATCAAATGTTAAGGTTAGAAGTTATTTATTAAAGCACTTGTATCCTAGTTTGATCAAAATTAAAGAATGTGAATCATTTATTATAAAGATTTTGGTGACTAGTAATTTATACGATTCCAATCACGATATTGCCATTAATACGGTTGATTTGTTGTACCTGTTTTACAGTGACAATGATTTTGCCAACTTGAATACATTAGTTGGATTATCTCCCTCAATTTCCGTTTTATCTCAATTCAAGAATGGTCGTTTACTTTTGATTCATTTCATGAAGATTCCAATTGGGTTTAAATACCTTGAACAATCAGGTTATATTGATCAAGAATTTAGTAAATGGGATGATATTACTGATTTCCAATATTTGAAAAAAGTGGAATTGCTAATCAAATATCAGTTGTTTCCGTTCTTGGGTAATTTTGAGGATCCGCAAATTAATGATTGTTCTTTATCTGTATACTTTTTCAAATATTTGCTAACTACTGAAGAAGGATTAGGTTATTTCAATCACGGTAAAGGTCGTGATTTCTTGGAATTGTTGATCAATTCAATTACCGATTCATTCGAGGCTATTAATACCAACGAAGAATACTTTGATATTGAAAATCAAGATGAAGAACATATTAATTATATTAATAAACTCAAGCAAAACTTGTGGATAATTGGGAACATTGCCCAGGGACATTATGGAATTCAATTGCTTGATCCATTGTATAATTTGAATCTTGACCATTCTGTGATTGATATAATCTTGGATAATTTCAATAATTGTCCCGTGTGGTCACTTAGAGGGGTCTGTTTCTTTATTATTGGTATGATATCAAGTACTAGCGAAGGGATTGAAATTTTGGATGAATACAACTGGATTAGTGTTTTAGATGAATATGAAAACAGTAAAGGATTAGCATATCCGCAAAGTCCCAATGGAATTTTCAATGTTGAAATTACTAATCCATATAGGGATACTCGATACTACCACATTTTCAATGTGGGTTCAACCACAACAGCACCCTCGTTATGGGGTATTTCTAACAATGAATCTGTGGACACTATTAGCACAGGCGAGGAGAGTGGAGAAGATTCTCTCAATGTTAAAGTGAATGAACGAGTGATTACCCTTTTACACCACTTGAATTCAATTCTAGCAAGCATTGAAAATAGAGCAATTAAGGAATTGAATCGGATGAAACAGGCAAGTCCTGAGTTGTTTAGTGACGTTGGGTTATTTCTTGAAGTCATTAAACTAATCGACAAGGGCAATTTCAAATTACAGAAACGTATATTTATATTTGGTTTATTTAATATGAAGATTTTGGAGAATTTGCTAAAGCCAGAAAGAAGAGGACTGTTTAGATGATTCACTTTTTGTCTAACCTACGTTTCTTCTTGGGGTTACTTGCACCATTTGAAGCCAACTTGTCAATACTACTGCCTTCATTGTCAACCAAAGGGAAATCAGTTCCACTATATTCATTCACAACACCGGAATTCTGGACATTCAATGGTTTGTATTTGGATGAAACTAAGTTTGGATAATGACGACGACACCAAGCTTCCATATCTTGAGGGTTGACTTCACTGTTTATCAAGTCGTCGTTTATTAAATCGGGTACCTTTTCATATAGAATACAATTAAGTAAATGTTTCTTGGATATAGGTGTAGTGTCGTCGAGGTTGGCCAATGGATCTAGCACTTTGGCCAACCTTGGAGCTGTTTCTATGATTTTCTTGATACGGGCTGATTCATCGGTAGTTTCGGATTGCTGCTGTTGTTGTTGTTGTTGTTGTTGTTGTTCGAGTTGGTCAAGGATGGAAAGGATAGCGTTGTTTCTTCGTATATAGTATGATAGGGTAATTCTTTGGTTCTTTTCCTTGTTGAATAGACTTGCCGAATTGGCATATGCCTTTTTATATCGGTCCAAGTACTTTTCGTAGATTTTGCCGTAGTCTTTTGTGGGTTGATTTTCCTCTGATATTTCTTCAGCAACAGGTACTTCCTCTTTAGAGTTGATTGGCTCGGTATTTTGTTGTTCTATTTTTTCTACAACTTCCTGTGGTTTCTGCTCTAATTGTTCGACTATTTCCGACATGTTTTCTAAATGTATTGCTAGGATAACCAAGAAGACAATGTTGGTGGTTGACTGGAGAAACTGGAAAAAAAGTAGTAACTAAAATGTCGCAATGAATAAACCAACCGCGACTTTTTTGAAATGTCTCGTCGCCAACAAACGCCAGAAATCAAAGACACACTTTTCAAAAAAGACGCGTATAAAAAACTTTAACTCATAACAATCAACTACTTAATCCACCCAACCAGATGTCAATCGTATCTCTTCTTGGTATAGAAGTCCTCAATAACCCGGCAAAATTTACCGACCCGTACGAATTTGAAATCACCTTTGAATGTCTTGAACTGCTCAAGGACGATTTAGAATGGAAACTCACTTATGTTGGTTCATCCCGTTCGCTTGACCACGATCAAGAGCTTGATTCTATATTGGTTGGTCCTGTTCCTGTGGGGATCAACAAGTTTTTATTCACGGCCGACCCGCCATCTCCGGAATTGATCCCTGCTAGTGAATTGGTCAGTGTTACCGTTATCTTGTTGAGTTGTAGCTATGCCGATCGTGAGTTTGTAAGAGTAGGATACTATGTTAATAATGAGTATGATACGGAAGAGTTGAGAGAAAATCCACCGGCCAAGATTCAAGTGGAGCATGTCGTGAGAAATATATTGGCTGAAAAACCAAGAGTCACCAGGTTTAATATTGTTTGGGATAACGAAGATGGTAATAGTGAACAATATCCTCCAGAACAAAATGTAGAAGAGGAAGACGAAGAAGAGGACGAAGAAGAGGACGAAGAGGAGGACGAAGAGGAAGAGGAAGAAGAAGAAGGTGAAGAGGATATTGACGTTGACATTGAGGGCGAAGAAGAAATACTGACTCCGGCAGATGATCCTCGGGGAGGAATTAATGGTGAGGAAGAAGTAGAAGAAGAAGAAGACATAGATCTTGAAGTCGAAGAAGAACCTGAAGGTGAGCAAGAAGATGCGGAGGAAGACGAAGCTAATACTCCGCGTGATAAATAGAATTTTATAGTTTCTCCAAAATAACCCTTTGTGTATTAATATCTATCTAATAGACCTTCATTATGTCGTAATTGATTCAAGTAGTCCATTTATGCATTGGCATAAGTGACTCACCACTTCCAAGTTAAACCCATGTTCCTGATTTTGCAATTTTCCTATCCATTTGTCGGGATGCCATTTGACACGTTCTTGTTTTAGCAAGTCTGACAATTGCTGTTGAGGCGATTTCACCATTTCGTAGAATTGCATGAGATTGTCCTTGTTAATCAAACTGATCAAGGTATCTTGTGGTATTCTTGTTTCGTAGAAATGTGGAGGTAATATAGGCAACTTAGGTTGTCCTTCTCTCGAAAAGTATTCTTCTCGTATACGATTCTCTCTTATTGAATCGACTGTATTGTCACATTCAAGATACGGATCACTAATTCGTTTGTCACCAACATGTACATCTTCGTCATCCTCTTCCATTATTCCAGCTGAGCTCATTGGGAATTCACCAATGATTTGATATTTCCCTTGTGGTTGTACCATGGGAGTATAATCATTGGCATTATACGCCTCTCGCAATTTTGAGTATCGATTGTTATTCACGGGAGTTTCGTATTTGAACTGAGGTAGTTTTTTCTGGACAAACTTGTATCCATTTATGGTTTGTCCGTACTCTTCATATGCAGAGCTATGCTTTGCTTCAGATTCTTCTTGATGTTGTTTGTTTTCCTTTTCTTCTTCTGGAACTGTCAATGGAGGTGTTGATGCTCTTGAAGTTGACGGCGTGGACAGTGATATTGGCATTTGTTCAAAATCTTCCTGTTCTCGTATTGGCTCTTCTTCGTCATCTTCATAGCGAACGTGCAGGGATGTTTTTGGTAATCTATCAACGGATGTCTTAATAGAATGCGCTAAATCTAGTAATACCTTCTTTGGTGTCGTTTCTTGTTTCAACTTTAACTTCTTTCTTCTTGGTTCATTAGGGCATGGCGTCGAATAATCAAGTGAACTGGTTGTAATATTGTGAATGTTAAATGATGACATGTTTTTCGAGTTTCCGGTGGATTCATTGCTATTTTGTGGTTCATTGTTAGGATAATTAGGTGTTAATATCATCATGCTGGGTGATTCAACATGCATTCGTTTTCTTGAATTGATATTCAGTGACATTATTTCATCCTTGTCATCAACGTCTGAATCGGTATCATTGGTAATTGTCTTGTTTCCATACGAGAATTCGTCGTCCTCGTCATCCTCGTCCTCTTCTTCATCATTGATATCATCACCTAATGGGTCTATTTCCACAAGTGGAGAAGATTCAATATGTAAATCATTTAATCTTCTCATTGGAGACATAAATGATACTGTGCTATTGGGGTGTAACGGTGTACTTGCAAATATATTGCCGTTGCTTCCGGAACTAGATAGTCTTGATTCTATACCATCGCTGTTTATAATCTTTCTAGGAGAGGGAGTTCTATTAGCTGTGGTGTCTTCTTCCTCCTCTTCTTCTTCGTCTTCGTCGCTTTGTAATATGCTGTGGTTATAACTGTCATCCAAGTCGGATGACGGTGCTGCCCGTTTCAGGTACCATGAGCCATTTCTATGCTTCAATGGGGTGCTGGTATTGTTGGTGGAATCTGTGTTGTGGGTACTATCTGATGGATGTACAAGGTTGGGTATGGGATGATCGTTCAATAGTACCATTTTTATCAAGACATAAGGCTATTGGCGATTTGTATTAGGTTCATGCAACTGGGGATATTGTTTGTATATGATTTCCTTAATCACCCCAAATATAAACAAAAGTTTTTTTCTTTATTTGTGTTACCCGGACTGGCGGAATTTTTTGTTGGTAGATTTGCTGCAAATGCTGCAGCGAATGTTTGATAAAAGAATGTGCGTCAATTTGAGCGACGTATATGTGAACCATACGTCAGAAGCGTTCCAGTACTTAGACGAGAAGTAATTAAGTTGTAGAAAAAGAAGTGTGAGGAGAGAACTTGTACCAGGTTTCGTGTTGTTTCAGTTTTGAGGCGGTTCAAGGCAATTTGTTTGTCGTTCGATGTCTTCTTTGGGATATATTTCAGGGAAACAGCCGAGCAAGATGTTTACCATGTATAGTTGGTAATAAATGGTTGATTTGTCTTGGATTTCACCAAGCCAATCCCGGTGCAAATTAATTAAAAAAGAATTTCCATGAAAATTCTGCCAAATCTTGTCAAATATATAGATATAGATATAGAATTTCATCTACTAAAAACATTCAACAAAATAGTCTAACTGATTCCGACTATACACACCAATTTATTGCAGATCTACAACACAACTATAACAATAAGCAAGCAAATAACCGTAAACAAGAAAATTTTTGTTTGCAGTGGCCAAATACATACATCTTAATGGCAAAGAGTATGAGAGTCTTGGGGAAGTCATCCCCATTTTGCGGTGTTCATGCTCTATACCATTCTCTATGTATAATCTACTGGATAATTCGGCTTAATATTGCTCCGTACTACCCAAGGCTGTGCAGCATTCCAGTCACGCACAACAGATTAAAAATATTTGACAGCAAGTTGGCAAGTAATGGAACATTCCAGAAACAGCGAGCCAGAAAATATACGTGTAGTACTTATATGCCAAGAATACCGCTTAGGTCGAGCCGAATTTGGCACTTTAGACAACTACGCTGCTTCATCAGATGACCACAGTTATTCGTGAAGACTGTGGCATCGATATCGACACCCGCGAATATGTAAACGCGACGAGATGATTCAAGTCACGTGCGGTTATGGAGTCTTGCTCGCTTGCGCTTGCGCCTGCGCCATGATCCGCATAATAAAAAAAAAAAGAAGTGCGTGATGAAATAATAAAAGTCATGAACATTTCCATTGTTTTCTTATCTATTAAAAATCACTATTTTTTGTTTTGCGTAATGAATGATGCGTGGCAGTTCACCAAATTGTGCGAAATAACCTTTTTTTTCTTCCGATAAGAATGGAATGGTAGCGTCCAGGAACAATTAGATCATTGGTGATGCATGCAGGATGAAATAATATCCCATAGATCCACTATGTATGTTTGGATGCAATCACGCACGTGCCTCTGCACATCCATGCAAGTCCCCTTAAGCTCTCATGTTTTTTCTTTTTTGAATTTTAATGGCTGCCTTTTGAGATATGGCAACACTTTTCCATAAATTACTAATTTAATTTCAAATTCCCTTCTTTCTTTGCTTTCTGCTTTTCCTATATATAAATCCAACTCCCATTTCTCCTCCCTGTTTGGGCAGATCACACTAGCTTATCCCTTCACCTACTATACTAGTTAGACCCACTAACTAAATTTTCTTTTAACTAGCGTTTTTACCACAAAAAGTTTCCTTTTTAAACTTACACCTAAGTTCATCCTTCCTTACACAACAAAGAGAACTTTCATTTAGCATTACACATTCAATGCTTAATCTTATACTATCGGTCCAATCTGCAGTACCCGATCTTTCCTTTATCGATATTACCCTTCTTACTTTTGAAGCAGTTTTAGAAGTTGTTATCATTTGCTTTGCTGGGTTTATTGCGGCCCATTCTGGAATATTAACAAACTCTGGTCAAAAAGTTCTTAGTGCTTTAAATGTGGACTTGTTTACTCCCTGTTTAGTCCTTTCCAAATTAGCTTCATCCTTGTCAATCAAGAAGATCGCTGATATCATCATTATTCCCATCTTTTATGCTGTATCTACTGGGATTGCATACTTGTGTTCAAGATTTACATCGTATTTATTATCATTAAATGAACCAGAAACCGATTTCGTGACTGCTATGGCAGTTTTCGGTAACTCCAATTCCTTACCGGTTTCATTAACCTTAACCTTGGCATATACTTTACCTGACTTATTATGGGATGATATTGAAGGCGATACTAATGATGGCGTTGCAAGTAGAGGTATTTTGTACTTGTTGATTTTCCAACAGTTGGGTCAAGTTTTAAGATGGTCTTGGGGATTTAACACCTTGCTTAGAAGAAGATCTCGTGTGGAATTGAATACTTATTACACCAAGAATGGAGTAATTATTCACCATGATGAAACCACTACTTTACTCAATGATGAGCAAACTCTTTACATGGATGGAAATACATCGCAAGATTCAAGTATCGAGCCACAACAAGGACAAGAGTCTGTTGTCACAATTGATCCTACTAAAGGTGACGAATTCCTTCCTTGGTATAAAAACATCAAGAATCTTCCATTCATTAAGCAATTCCTTGCCTTCATGAATCCACCACTTTATGCCATGCTTGTAAGTGTCGTGATTGCATCTGTTCCAGCATTGCAAAATGCATTTTTTGGAAATAATGATTCATTTATTCATAACACCGTGACTAAATCGGTTACTGCCTTAGGTAGTGTTTCCATCCCACTTATTCTTATTGTTCTTGGGTCAAACTTATATCCATCATCAGATATCCCACCAGCATCCAAACACTACAAGCGTATTTTGATTGGTTCCTTACTTTCAAGAATGATTTTACCTTCATTATTCCTATTACCAATCATTGCCCTTTGTGTTAAATTTATCAATGTGTCTATTTTGGATGATCCAATCTTTTTAATTGTGGCGTTCATTTTAACCATCAGTCCCCCAGCTATCCAATTGAGTCAAATCAGTACCTTGAATGAAGTTTACCAGAAGGAAATGGCAGGAGTCTTGTTTTGGGGATACGTTGTCTTGACCTTACCAAGTACTATTTTCATTGTTGTTTGCAGTTTGGAAGTTTTAAAGTGGGCTAGATAGTCCCAAGGAAGGAGTTGCTTTGATAAGTATGGTCTTTCTTTTGTTTGCATTTAATTCTTGCTCGTTAGGGATTAGTATTCATATGTTTATAGATTTATAAATGTCATTATAAGTAGTAATTAACGAATATATTGAATAACAGTAAATTGCATCAAGTGACCGCGTCCTATTGTCGATTATTAAAGCTTAAGCTCATGAATATGAATTTATTAGTATGTAGTGGTATATGAAAGGACCAAGCTTAGCTTCAGTCGACTTGTAGTGATCGCCAAAGGTCTTTGTACTGAGAAAAAAAAAATAATACAAAGACAATTACATAATTGTACATAAGATTGCTTTCTAACAATGTATAGTTATGAGCCAATAAGCATTTGTTCATTTAGGCTAATTTAACATAGAAGAGTTTACGAAGGCAGTATTCAATATATTTATAATTAACAACCAGCCAAACTCCCGTCAGCGAAGTAGAACGAAGCAACAAGAAATAGATGGCTTGCTGATATAGTTGAGGCAAACTGTGAAATACATGAGGCGGATTCGGGCATGAATTCTCCTACACACGAAAAAAATTTGTGCAGCAATTAATTTTTTTTTTATTTTTGTGTATTATTTTGCATACAATGGGGTTCAAAGCCAAGAGGATCTGGTGGGGGATCTTCCTCGTAATTAGAATGGACAAGGTACACACAAAATAATAGTACAAGATAATATTAGATAAGCGTGAATTTCAAATTCCGGGATTCCACATTTTGTTTGGAAATATCGAAGCAAGGTAGTAGCGAGAAACGTTTGAATTTCAGATCTTTTCCAAATGGAGATGATATTTCAAAGCCACCCATATTGCGTTTGCCCAACTTGGAACAATAATGCAGACGCCCGTTGTTCAAGAAGAACCTTAGATACGCTCCATTGTTACCTTCTCTAGATTGCTTAGAAGAAAATTCATTTTCTGATTTGACTAAATTTATAATTAGATAACCCCTAATCTAATGTATTAGTTATTATTCAATTTACGAATATTCTGGAATATAGTGTCGACCCATTGATAACATTCCAATCCCAGCTGAGAAAATTTCATCTGGGGTGGTGGTGTGTGTGTGTGTGGGGGAAGGGAAGATGAAAAATTTTCACACTCTTCATATTAATTCTGGGGTTAAACTAATTTTCATATTTTCATGTTCTTCCAAAAATTCTTACAATATCCCATTGAAACCTTCAAACTCCACTTTATCACAGCCATTACTCCACTCATTGAATTTCCATAACTCCGCTTCCACACGTGCCATTTATAATAAAGAGTTAACCCAAGATGCAGAATGCCACCTATTATCTATTGTATTTTTGACAGGGAATTGTAATGATCGAAATTCTTGGCAGGAAAATTTCGACCCTTAACCAGCTCTTTCCAGGTAAAAGAATTGACCTTGGACTAGATTCTAAATCGATACTACTTGATCGAGTAATATTACTTAGCCAAGATTATGCCCAGTAATAGCCCACGTTGTTAAATCTACCGTTGTCTCGGCTTATATCTGTAGTGATTGATTTCCTACATTATGCAGCGAAGCAAAAAAAGATCGCCTAAAATGTTTTACTTAGTTATGCATGATCTAACTCCCAAGCACTATGCAAGGCTCAACCATAGGTACACATGCACATATGACTAAAGATCTGATTCTAGAGCCCAAGTTTGTCTTCAACATAGTCTTCTAATGACTGTTGGCAGGTTGAACAGTCTTTTTTTTTCTTTCTCAACTTTAGTGAATCTACTAATTTTCACCCTGTGGAAATAATATATTTAGATTATTATTTTTTTGGGGGGTTATTTTTTTTCTCTTCAATTTTGTGGAACGGAGATGCACCATTGAAAGGCGGAAATAACACACCTGGTTCCGACGCATGAACCTCTACATAGTCAGCCTCAAGTTATAATTAGGCCATGGTCTGTTTTATTGTATATGCAAGATTATCTTACAATAATCGAGTTTGTACGAAATGCCTATGTAAGATATGGTTATGATCTTGGCACATGGCTCTCTCCTCCCCACCTGGAACGTCTCCGTATAGAATATACGGAAAAGCCACGATCAAACCTCAAATACTAGAAAAAATAACGTAATGTTACAAGTCAATGACAGCAACTCAAAGTGTTTATTTTGTTGATAAAACAATAGACGACAGCGTATAAATGTGTGATTTGCATACCTTATTTGTAATCGCGATGGATATATGTTATTCCGCCTCTTCACATTTAACCATGCATTCAGGTAATTTCCCCACATCCCGTTGATTCCGCAGTCAGTCATTCTCCTACTATACGGTGGGATCATAACACACCACCACCATGGTACTGTTTATAATTAATTATTTTTTAAAACATACCAGTTCTTTTTTTTTTTTGTGATAGTGCCGTAATGACTGAATTGGGATGAGGATATGCTATGCATGATCTTATCCTTTAGATGGAAAAGACCGATTTGCCATTTTGCCATTTTAATTTAGATTGGTTGTAGGGGCAAAATTAGACTAACGGAACTAAAGCTAAAGCGGAGATCGAAGGTTACTAAAAATGTTAAATGTCAAGTGACAGTGAAGTTGACCTATAATGAAAAATAGAACAAAAGCCTAAAACAAAGTATAATATTATGTGAAAATAAATCAAAAATTTAAACAATCGACAAAGAAGGTAAGCTACACAAACAAAAAGTCATTCATTGTTTGATGGAGAGGTTGCTTTTTTTAGTAAGGTTTCAAAAGAAAAAAGCCAAAGTTTTGACGAAGAAGGAATTAAATTACACTACTTCTGTTTCTTAACCAGAGATTTACTAGGGCTATAATACAAGAGATCTTCAGACTTTAAGTCATTCGTTTTTCTTATTTTCTTAACCTAGCAGTCAGTGAACTAAACAATTAAAAAAATAATAGGCGTCTTTATGCTTTTATTTTTTTATGCTTTTTTTTTTTTCATATAGGAGAGTGTGCATTGAACTTTTACTGAGGCTAAATAATATTTGTAAGAATTATTAATAAAAGAAAAAAAAAAATTAAAAATTATGTATCCAAGCAAAGACGGAGAAAGTAGTTAAAAGTTTAAACATTTTTTAAGGGTTTTTTTTCCGATTCCTTCTATCTTGACCAAAAGCTCAGAACCGTTCGAACCCAAATCCTGTTATTGATTCCATCTTTTATAACATCTACCCTAAACATATATTAGTAACAATAGGCATTGATGGAAACGAATACATCTGAAACAGATCATAATAACAACAACAGAGAGTTCTCACCTTTGTTGTATCCTTTGCAACAGACCACTAACCAATCGCAGCAGCAGCAGCAGCACACTCACCACCACCACCAACCCCCACAGCAACCACGCCAGCCTCCAGTGACAAGTCCCAACAGTTTGAATGAGATTATTCTAGGCATGAGCGAAATGTCGTCTCCTACAGTACCGTCAACTTCATCTTCAAATCTGAAGCTCACACCACTGGGGTACAACCTTATACATTCCGAGACATCAACTAGTGGAGGAAGCGTGACTACTCCTAACAGTGGCAACCCACCTAACCCCTTCACTGGAGGAAGTGAAGATGGCAGTATAACTGCTGGAATATCAACCACTAATGTGAATGCAGTGACCACTAATACATCTGCAAGTATTATTGCAAATCCTGCTGTTCAAGCTGCAGTCAACGCCAATGCGATTGCATTTGGCGAAAAGGCAAAACGTAGGAAGCATAAAAATTCAAAACTAGGATGTCCAAATTGTAAGAAGAGACGAGTTAAATGTCTGGAGGATTTACCGGCATGTATGAATTGTCGGAAACATAAAGTTAAATGTGGATATTTGGACTATACCGAAGAGCAACTAGAAGCTTTGCGAGAAATGAAGGCTCAAAATGAATCGGATGATGACATAGTAATACCGACATCAACCAATACTACCATCGCAGTGGCCGTACCAAAATTAACCAAAATTAAAGCTAAACCAAGAAGTAATTCCATGATGTCCAGAACTCCATTTTCAAACACCAGTTTAAATACGACAACTACAACTTCCACCACAGTTCAAACAGAAGAAGAGTTTGAAGAAACTTTCGATATAAACAGTGAACAATCATATCCAGCAGTTTCCTACCAGACAATCACTCAAGATTTTGATAATTTATTAAGTGACGAAACTGTTGATGAATTACCAATTATCTACCCTGTATATTCCTTTAACGACTTAAGTCAAAATCATTCACATCCCCATAACAACAGCAACAACAGCAACAGCAATAGCAACAACAGCAACAACAGTAACAACAACAACAACAACAACAAAAACTTCCATAATTTTGGCCGAGACCGATCTCAATCCCATCCATTGTCATATAAACCAAAATCAAAACTTAGAATTAATGCAGCATCCGTATCCCATGCCCCTCTCGTTACAGGTAAAGCGGGTGATCCGCTCCCAGGGGCCATCCATTTGCAACAAACATTCACTCATATCCAACGTCAAGAAGTCGATTATTGGAACTTGTTAGTCAAAATGGTCACTGCCGCCGGTCCCGTCATTCAAAAGGGAACTGCTTCATTACAAGATATTCGTATGATTTACCGTACCTGGCTTAATTCATTCATTTACAAAGGTTTCAATTCTCAACTAATGTTCAATGTATTAATTAACTTAACCACAAATTTCCTTATTTCCAATAGTTTTCAAGAATTATCACGGTATTTAACTAAATTAAACACCTATGAATCCGTAGCCCGGGCAGAAAAGTTATCTAATGAAAGATCCATTTGCATTGTGAAATCATTCAAATATTATGCAAAAGTTATCAAGGATTTACGTATATTGTTGAATACCAATGAAGATCCTGATTTAGTTGGCTCGGTATCCTATATTCTTAGTCTAATGTCAATCTATGATCCTGAAGCAACTTTGAATTCCATGTGTTGTTTTAGAGACGGGTTGTTCAGTATTTTAACATATAACTACAACTCCATGATTAAAATCGGGATCATACCTACATTGATCCCAGTACATTTGAAATTGATGACCAATATAGTAAGGTCAGTTTATTTACCGAGCTATGATCCCACATTTTTGACCGAGTTCCAACAAATGTTGTCTCGATTCGGGGATATTGTCATGCCATTACTTCGTCACGATGACGACGACGACGATGACGAAGACGAAGATGAAGAGGACTCACCTACACGGACATTACATATGTTCATCCAGACCAAGTTCAATGACTTGGTTGAATTCACTAAGGATACTATAGCCACCTACATTCCTATGATCAATGGGCATTTACGCAATGTTGACTTACAACAAGAAATCCTTTATGACATGTTGTACCGTTGGGTAAGAATGTTCCCGGCTAAATTAATCACAGTAAGAAGAAATTCCGATCCATTAGAAGCAGTTCTTTACTTGTTCTACAAAGTATTTAAAAAGGCATTATATGCCATGTTTCCCCAAGTGAAGTTCTTTTTTTTACGTGATTTCGACAGTCCATTAATGTTGGATGTTTTCTCAGGAGACCACGATCAAGACATTTTTCTTCACATGTTGAGTAACCCTAATGTGAATAGCTTGCCTATTGAGCTATACGAACCAATAATTGAAGAGTTGAAAGTGATGTCATCATATTTGATTAGAATGATTACGTTTTTCCAAATGAGATTGAACTTATTGTATAGGTTTATGGTGTATGAAGAAGTTCCCAAGGAACGATTCAAAATTGATAATGTCAAACAATGGAGAAATACCATTCAAGACATAGCATTCACCAGGTATGAATTCAATCAAGTTATTGGTCTAGAAGAAGTTCAAATTAAATCATTCATGGGCCAATTGATTCGTCGCGAGAACTATCCACGGTTAGGGGCAAGCTCAGTGAGTAGTGTTAACAGTAGTGACTATATTGATGTGGATGTTGATTTTATGACATTGCAAGAATCGGGATTGCTTGCTAATGATTATAACATCATGACATCGGTTTGAAGTTTATAGAATATGTAGAAACTATGATAATAGCGAGCGTCAGGAGTATCAAACAAATGCGTAAAATAGATTTACAATGTGCGTCGAACCAAGTTGCGTTAAGCTTCACTATTGGTGTGTATTATATGTAATGGGTGCAAATTGTACAAGTATAAAGTTGAATCAAAGTGCGTTTCAAGATTAAATTACAAATCGGAGACAAACTATTATTTTTTTACATAAGATTTGCTTTTTACCGTATATTGAACTAAATGCGGCGAAAACACATATCATTCCACTTGTCAAATAATTACAAATAAGGCATGACAGTCCAAGACGCCTCATAGAAGAATCTGCTATGAATTTATCCTGCTGCGGGTTATGTCACGCCATGGGAATAGTAATGTAATCAACCTAGCCAATATAGATATGTTATCAACAAGCCATACAGTAAAGCACAACCATACAATTGCGTAGTGAATACAAATATGTGCAGAGAACATAACCTGAAACAAACCTTTTGCCAGGGTCGTGCAAATCATCCCAAAGTTTTTTGATCTTGCTCGTTCCAGTTTTGTTTTTCTGTTGTTGAACGGGCGGGCAACTGTAGCAGTGACAGGTTAGTAAAAAAAAAAATAAAAAGAAATCGTGACAAAAGGATTGTGAAACAGAGTGAATTGACAAGTTTGTTGGCATAGCAATATAGACCAAGGGTATACAGAAACAAGAACCCCACGCTTTAATCCAGTTACATAGACCAACTAGGACATATACATTACACTGCACCTACTTTTATTTCCCATAATTTTGATACATTAACACAAACACCATGGCTGACAACACCGACGACTATTCCTACGATTATGAATATTTATACAAGATTGTCTTGATTGGAGACTCTGGAGTTGGTAAATCCAACTTGTTATCCCGATTCACCCGTGATGAATTCAATTTGGAATCCAGATCAACTATCGGGGTTGAATTTGCTACCAGAACATTGGAAATTGATGGCAAGAGAGTCAAGGCCCAAATTTGGGATACTGCGGGACAAGAAAGATATAGAGCAATCACCCTGGCTTACTATCGTGGTGCTGTTGGTGCATTAATTGTGTACGATATTGCCAAGACTGAAAGTTATGAAAGTGTTTCCAGATGGTTGAAAGAGTTGAAGGAACATGCTGATTCAAACATTGTTATTGAATTGGTGGGTAATAAATCCGATTTGGACCATTTAAGAGCTGTTCCAACTGAAGAAGCCAAAAACTTTGCACAAGAAAACAATTTGTTATTCATTGAGGCTTCTGCATTGAGTAGTGATAATGTCGACTTATCCTTCCATCAATTATTAAAGAATATTTACGAGATGATTTCCAAACATCAATTAGACACCAATGAACAAGGAGGCGTCAATAAGCCAACCACGGCCGGTGGTCCAACTATCTCATTGACTCCTGCACCACAGCTGAAAAAGAATAAGAATAATGGAGGATGTTGTTAGTTTAGCTTGTGTATTACTTATATACATTTTTTTTTCTTAACTATGCTATTTTCTTGAGTTTACCCTTGACGCTCACTGGTGTTTTCAAAGGTCGTGTTGTTCCCTTACCTTTAGCACCACTAACTCGAGAACTCACAGGAACAACTGGTGAACTTTCAATAGACAAACTAATAATTTGGTCTCCTCGTAATATAATCAAGCCAAGATTTCGCTTGTCTAATACCACATCTTTGCTAGTACCACTGGTGGCACCCGCACTGTTATTCTTTTTCAAATTCGCCCATGACTTTTTAGTAATCCTTGATTCTATAGTGTCAGAAATAACCAAATTAAGATGGGAATCAAATGCTAATAATGTGCCAATATATGTCCTGTTATCGATTGTGATTATTCGAATTCGATAATTTATTAAATCAGACATCTTTGTCTTTTTCGTGATTGCTATATTCTGACTGCTCATTATATACTTCTTGCTATTATGACTGATTGACTGATTGAATCCACCTGATTCACCTGGCGCTTTCACTTGCTGAGCTTGTCAATATTCCATCTCTGTGTTGTGTAAGAAAAGCAAAAGAAAAAACTAACAAGGGTCGTGTAGAACACAATCCAACAAATTGATTGTCCTGGCTCCCCCATGCTGGCAAAAAAAAACATAAACAAGAATATTTCACGTAGTTTCTAAAGGGGGTAAACACGTTAATTTACAATGTCCAAAGAAGAAGCATTGAAGAAAGTAGAAGAAGGTGAGGCTTCTGAAGCTACAGAAGTCGAAGAAAGCAAGGTGGAAGAATCAGCCGAAGCTAAGGAAGACGACGACAGTAAGAAACGTAGTGGTGATTCTGACAACAAGAAAAAGAAGAGAAGAAGAAGACAATATGACGATGACGTTCCTCCTGAATCTGAAACCAAGCCTGAGCAAGAAGAAGAGGAAGGTGAAGAAGGATCAGGCGATGACGACGAACCGGAAGAAGAAGCTGATGAAGAAGACGACTTGTTGGAAATTGATGAAGCTAATATTATCACTACTGGTAGAAGAACCCGTGGTAAAGTCATTGATTTCGCCAAGGCTGCTAAGGAATTGGATAAAGAACAAGGAACTATCCAAGAAGATGGGGAAGAAGAAGAAGAGGAAGAAGATAGTGAATTTAAATAGAAGGTGTGTACATTAGGTGTATATTAATAAAGTACATTAATAAATTGATACAGCACAGTAACATAAGCACGTTGACTTAAGTGCCTGGTTAAAAGATGTTGTAGGGGAGCAATATGAGTGAGCTATTTTCAAAACCAAGGACTTGATGCACCAAGACGCGTAAATCCACGGGATTTGAATTGAATACATACCCCTCATGCGTGCAGTAGCCTTACATCACAACAACCAAATTTACTTGGATACTATTAAATAGAAACAGTTGTACAAGTATTTGTTGAAGAAAATCTTCAGAGATAATCTTTCCCATCACGCAAGTTCATAACGGGTATATTTCTACGAAATAGTTAAATGTCTATGAGGCACACCGGTACATCTTCTCTAAAAAAGCAATAATTCATCGGATTTGAGATAGCTTATTAAGAATGCATATCATCCCTTCCATGTCCAGACACGCCACAACATAACTACTTATTGAAAGCTGTTAGGTTTTACTTGTCAACGATTATAGACAAACAATCTTACAACTGACATTCGAACATATCTATCACGAATAAAACTATTGAAAAAACATCTATAAAACGACTATTATTAAAGAAAACCAAACGAGTTGATTCATCAAGGTAAAAAACTGAAAAAAAAATTTAAAAAAATTAAAAACCGTAACGAACCGATAAGCATCTTGAACTCAACATCATCAAACTGTGCCCCTACTGTCTCTTTTTTTGTATTTTTAAAATAAACTTTTATGAACTTTTTTTTTTGGGATTTTTGAATAATTGAATACTAACATGAGGACATGTAGTATGGATTAGCATATCCTACATATCCAACATGGCTTGGTGGTGGTGGTCCCACATACTGTACTGCAGGATCATTGAATTGGAAACTATAATTGTAAACTGGTGCTGGAGGAGGGGGAGGTGGTGGTAACATTCTTTGCTGGGATGGCTGAGGAATTCTCTGTTGTGGTTGCTGGTGTTGGCCCCAGGAGGATTTCAAAGCATAATACTTTTGATCATACTCGGGACTGGATGGAATTGATGAATATGAACTGTGTGGTCTGGTGATTGGCGATGAATTAAGTTGAGATCTTGGTGATGAGGAACATGGCGAGGAAATTGAAATGGGAGAGTTGGAAGCAGATGGAGCATGTGAATACTTCTCCAACCAAGTTTTCCAACATTCTTCTAACGTCAAGATATTAGTCTCAAAATTGACAACATTTAAACTCCATTTGACATATTCCAACCATTCCTTTTCCATTTTGTTTAATTTTAATAAATCTAATCCAGTAGCTCCACACCAGGACTTATTAGTAAATGTATTGTCATCATTAAATTTATTGGCCAACACTAATGAGACCACTAAATGATTAAATATTTCTTGTTCAGTCAAGACTTTACTGGTGATGGAGGCATCACTGGAGAATCTCTGGTTCATATATTCCAAAGCAATAATGATCGTAGATTTAGGTAATCTGGTAGCAAATAACACTGACACAATTAATTGTTCAAATTCTAAACTTGGATTTCTCGATTGCTTCAACATGCCAAATCCACACCAGGATAAGAAACTCGCCATTTGGTTAAGATTATATTCTAATACGGAATTAATACCGCCATTTACAGCCGGTTGTTGCTCCTCTTCATGGTTAATAACAGGAGTGTAAACTGATTGGTTGTACACTTGTTGTGGTGGGGCAGCAACTTGCTGGTAAGAATATAAGGAATGGGAAGGGACATGAGTTGGTTGTGGTTGGTAGTACGAGTTGTAGTGTGCTGATTGTTGTGGTGGTGGTTGTGGTGGTTGCTGTTGAGGTGGTAAATAAGAACTAGTTCTGTGGCCAGCCGTACCCAATCCGTGGAGTGGATATTGGTGGTGAGGATAATGAACTTGGTACATAGTAGCAGTTAGCTAGCAAAAAGTTTTCCTGACTCAATAAAAAGGAAAGGAAGTAGTAGTAGTAAAATAAAAGGTAAAAACGAAAACTTAATGAAAAGCTCGTTTTAATAACAACGTGCGTAGACTTTGAACTGGTGGCAGTAGTAGTAAGTTGTTTATCACCGAAAAAAGTATTCAGTGTATGTTTAGGCAGGTAGGGGATAAGTTAATATGTCCTTGATTTGCTTAGCATGTACACTTATTTTGTGGTAATGAGATATATCTAGGTGGATACTTTAATAGACACTGTGTGGTAATGTGTATATTGGTCAGACCCGTTTCGTACTCTAACAAGTTCTCAATCCGTCGGTTGTTGGGGAAGAGGTAGTGGTTGTGATTTTCTCTCGCTTTCGCTGTTTCTCTGGCTCGTCTCGTATATGTGAGAGTGGGTCAAGAGATTCAAGTGAAGTGTAGTGAAGTTTGAAAGGCTGATCAAAAAAAGTTGTCTCTTGAAAGAAAAACTTTTTTATTTAAATTAGCAGTACCAAAAAAAAAAATTTTTTAATTCAAAAAAGGGAGAAGAAAAAAAATTTTATATTTGTGGTATAAATTCAATTTAAACTCGATTTTAAGTAGATTTTTGTTGCTATTTTTGTCAAATGCCAAAGCAAACACGTGAAATAGATGTCTGAAGTTACTACTTAACGTATTAAACACATATGATATGATATCATATCATAGTATTTTGTTGTGTTTACACTACATAACTTGAACCAGCCTAGTTCAGGGTTTTTTACCGAAATTGCGTATTAACAACACACAACAGCAAAAAAAGAAAACTTACTCTGTTTCTTTTTGTGTCATTTAGGTTGATTTCCTTTTGAGTCTTTTACGAAAATATGAAAATTTTTTTACCAAAGCATTTTAGGTTGTATGCAGGTTAATTGTTGGAATGTTAGCGCTAACAATTAAAATGTAGAAAAAGAAATTTCTGTTGCGGCCCAGACTTTTCTTTTTTTGGCAGTGTGTGCTTTGTTCTCGCCAGGTGGACACGACCTTATTCAGGAATGTTCCCGCTTAGAGACAGGACCGTATAGTGGGTTGCGGTTCGTTTCTTTGCCATGTCACATTGCAATACATGACCTTTGCCGGTACGACAGGAACTTAAGTTACAAAAAAAGCAATAAAGCAAAATTTACATGACATACATCATAATATTAACTCATCCCATTCCCGAATAGCATCCGTTTACTATGCCGACTGTGGTAATCGCGCCTAGTTTGTTGTAAACTGTTGCTTTTTCTAAACCCCGTAATAAGTTTAGTTCCAGAGAATCTAGACCCCTCGTGCCTCGGGATTATTTATTTTTATTAATTTTTTTTTTTCTTTTCCTCTTGTTTGAATTTCCCACTTTTTTTTTTTATAGTAAGGTGTACCAAAAATTATATACTCCCTATTCGCTGGGATAAGGGCTTATGAGCGTAGAGCACACCACGAGACTACGAGATAACACACATGCGTGACTTAAATTGTGAACAAGGGGGTTGCCTTGGTACTAGGGGATAAATTGTAGATTTCATGTCATTCAAATTCAATATCCATGACATGATAACAATGTTTCGCATGGTGATATCCCCTCTCGCCAGCCCCTCTTGTAGAATGTTTAGGTAATTGCCACCTAAGCTTTTTCGTATAATTAAACATTCGCATTGGCAATAATTCACATAGCAATTACTTATTAGCAATATTGCCCTATTTGCGTAATTTGCATAAACCACACATAACAATTAAGACAATGCGTGACCAATACCTAACTTGTCCTATTACGTAGCCAAGATCTTTGTAGTTTGCAGTTGGCGCAACATTGAGTAGTGCGAATTTTTTTTCCTGTATACTGGATTTTGCATCCATGTAATTGCTAATATTAGTGACGTGATTGGGTATACATTTAATATTGAATTATAAATTCTAGAAATGTTAACTATTGGCTATATGAAACATACTGTTACAGCATCTTATATGACCTGTTGGACTATGTAATTTCCTTAAATCTTGAAGAAACATAGTTGTGTTTTGGGGTTTAATTCTGCCTAATTAAGACTTCAGCGTAAATATGTGATTGTTCAGCTAGACAAGTAACCCAGATTTAATTACAGAAATTCGATTATATTGATATTATATTTAATATACAAGTGTATACTATGAACCAGTAGTGGTGTTGGCTGGTCAACTTTTTTTTATGGCATTTGCCCATTGGATCAAGCACTCCAATAAGCTTGAAAATGTAAGTATGAAAGCAACATTCGGCAGATGTCACTTTTCCTTATTTTCTCCCAATGGTTGTTCTCAATATAGTGCCTCTATTAGTTTTGTCTATTACGCCTGTCAAAATACAAGAGAGTAAGTTACTTGTTCTATTCGTCTTTGATTGAATTAAAGAACGAGCCAATACTTGAAATATATACTTCTAACATATTTGATAATTTTGGAAAAAGAAGATACATGAAAAATAGGATAAACATGTGATGCTTTTATTCCTTCTTTATGTTGTTCATTTTATACAATTATTCAATCTATATATATAATGGCTGTTTCAAATATTTACCACCGAATGCAAAAAAAAAAGAAATACATCAATAACACAGAATGTAATAGATCAATGGCTTCCGACTTGGATATACTAGATGCACTTTTGAAATCCGCAAATAAACATGAAATAGAGTGTCAAAAGGAACTTTAAAGGGATATAATGGAACAAAAATAGGTGATAAGTGTTAATGAAATATGCAAAATTCATCAAATTTCTTTTCTTGCTTATTATGGGTATTTTATTTCAACGACTTATAGTTTTCCTTGTATACTTGAAAGGAAGGCTATACTTGAATATTTATAATTTACAAAACTTACATTTATTAATACTTGCAATACTTGTAATAATTTTAAATTTCTATACAGTTCTTGACAACACCACTTCAATCTGAGAAATCTGTTGTGATAATTGCTTGGTAAGTTCTTCTTTACCCTTTTCTCTTTCCTCAGAAGTGATGAAACATTTCTTGGCCCGGAATTGCCAGTCTATTATACAGTAAGTAAAGTAAACCCCAAACACTACACATGAATAGTTCATGTTTCCAGCAGTCACAGGCATGACAGCAGGGAAGTTATAAAATATGAATGAGAATAACGACCAAGAAACAACCACAATATTACAAATCAAACCAATGTGAAACTTGTCTAACCAGAATGGACCAGGTTTTATTTGATCTCTTTTGAAAATCAAAAAAATGGTGGGAATCAGGTAAGAAATGGCCAAGAAAAGCACGCAACAAATCAAGATTGAGTTGAAAGCAGTGACAGAACCTAAATAGATGAAACCAATAACAGCATTCCAGCCACAGGACATCAAATGACTATTGACAACTGAACCAGTCTTTGGATTAACTTTAGCCCACCATTTAGAACCAGGCAATCCGTTGTCTCTTGAAAAACTCCAAGCTAATCTTGCTTGCCATGTGTGACAAGAAATATTGCAGCCAATAGCAGTCAATAAGATAAGAAATTGTAAACCAATCGCAGCAGCCTTGGAACTAGTTGCTTGATGGAAAATATCCATGATTGGAACACCAGTGTTCGAATTTGCAATACCATCCAAGTTCTTGATACAAAAGAACATAGCTATTGAGTAGGTGAAGGAGGTAATAAACCCAATGATTACAGTACCAATAATAGCCTTTGGAACATCTGTTCTTGGTCTAGTTGATTCTTCAGCAATATGAGTAGCAGCATCCAAACACAGAAAACTCCAGTTGGGATTAATTAAACCAACAAAGAATGCAATGGCACTTGAACTCCACCCAGTACCATTAGTGAATTCAACAAATACGAATTCTGCACTTTGAAACTCACCACCTGACATGGCCAATACCACTATAGTAATAATCACAAATGAAGCTAATGAAATGTACAAAGATACTTTTGAAATATGTGGAAGTGGTCCTTCATAGACATTGAAAATGACAAGCAAGACGTTAGCCAATTCATAGGCAATAAAAACTTGCCATTTCTCAACCGTCTTGTCTGGATGATTGATCATGTACATACCCACAACTGAAGTAGCAATAGATATAGTAACTGAAGCTGAAGTGAACACCGCACCAGCCCAAGCAAAGGAACCACATAAATATGACAACACAGGAGCCCATTTCTTTGGGGCAATCTTTTGTGTCCAGTAATATTGACCACCTGAGTTGGGCATAGCACTAGCTAATTCACCAAGAGTAACAGCAACACACATACCTATACTAGCAAGAATCATAATACCGTAGACAATCATCATTGGTCCACCACTGTAGATACCAGCAACTAAAGAGGCAGAAATACCAAACCAACTATTAGTTAACCCAAATCCAACACCTAAAAGAGCGATTAAACTAAAGTTACGCCTTAACTCTGGTGTGTACCCTGTTTCTTCAGCAAGTTCCAAGTTAGCTCTAGCTTCTTCCAAGAGTTTACTTGCTTTCTTGCCATCGGCAAGAGCTAATTCGTCCAAATTTCCATTGAACGTACGGGGTATTCTTTCAGGAATTAGAGTGCCTTCCAAGCTAACACTGGATACAGGATATACTGCTGTAATTTCTGGACTTTTTTCAGTAAATGACATTCTTGTTTAATGTTTGCAATATTCAAGCTGAAGAGGAAACCCCGTTCCAGTTGTATTTATTTATAACCTTCTGGCCAGTAATAAGATAAGAATTTACTTAATCATCATTGTGAATTCACAACAATACTTACAGATCATAATAGTCATTCATATTGAAAGTGGTGACAAGCGAGTTTCAGCCGGGAAAGGTGTACTTAAAAGAGTTAATCTATTAGGCTCCAGTGATAAGATTGCTGGAAAAAAATATTTCCAAAAAAATAGAACAATGAAATATTCGCTATTATCTTATCCATTGAGATAAACTTTCCCGATTAGGGATCGACGTTTATATTTTCCTGATATGTAAGATTATTTATGTGATGCAGGCACAAGATGCATACTATAGTGATCTTTTGTTTTAAGCGGAGATATGAAACAAGATGAGCAAGATTACAATGCTGCAAAAATGCCTCGGGTGGAGAAAAATTGTTAGAATCGAGTAATTATTTGCAGACTCGACAATAATTCTGAATAACTGCTATCAGTAGTTCAAGTAGTATATAACCAATCCCTTATCTCGAATATTTCCAGATAGGAGGATAGACGTGTACGTTGACTTTTAGCGGTCTCGAAAGAAACACCTTATCTTCCAAAAGAGAAGTATTGATAGGTAATAGAAGCCTTTTAATTATATCATTAAATAACAATATTGTAATATATCACAAAATATCAAACGTTTTGTATGGGGTACGTCTATTATTGTTTGTGAGTTACAATCTTTATTGCAGTATGTTTGCCAGTTAGGATCTATGTTCTACGATGAGTGTAATGTGATATTATTAATACAAGCTTGAATGTTAAGAATGAATTTCTCATTATACAAAACTTTATCTTGGAATGTGCTTCATATAGAGGGGGTTGCTTTCCTGTATTAGGTTGTTTGGTCCTGTGGGTCAAGAAAGTTTCTAGAACTTCTATGCAGAAGACGAAAATATTAGTATATTTGTCACCCCCTCCTCCACCAGAGGGTCAAGTTCTTAATTTTGAACTGGAATATATCGGAACTGGGAAAGAGAAGTACAAGAACTAGATTCAATATAACTCTGCTGTTAGTGGAAACTCTAATTAATGGAAAGTTCGATTGCTTAATAAACTTATATATAATATAAAGTTTTCGATATATCGGGTAATATTTTGGAACTATCCCATGACAAATGGTGGTTAAAGTACTGAACAAACTGGCTTGTTATTTCTTTGAATATGAGAGTTTCTCAATCCTACCTAGTTAATCATGACCCAAGACTAATAATTCTACAGATTTTGACAATTAAAGTCATCATAACCATTTGAACAGTTTCAAATTTCCATTCTCACTTGGGCAGTAAAATTAATCTTTCCCAGTAAGATCTTCGGACTTGATCCGACTTGTCAAAAAGCTTAATTGAACATTTCGGATAAACTTAATGCGCATATACATATCTCAATAAGGATTCCATAATAATAAGCGCCAGTTCTTAAAATAGCTATTGTTCATTGCTTTTTGTAATCCCAACCGGACCACAAAACCGTTAACCATAGATTTCTTTTTCTCCGTTCACCCCCACTTTCCCCGTAGGGACTTAATATTTTTTAGTGAAAAAAAAAAAAAAGCTAGCCACTCCACTTCCACTTGTTACCTCCTCCTATTGTTATAAAAATTTTAACTCTCCTTTAGCCATTTCTCATCATGTTTTTCTTCAGTAAACAACAATGGCTCCGCCAGTACGATCCAAATATACTCGACCCTGTGATAGTTGTAGTATACGTAAAGTTAAATGTGATTTGAAGCAACCTTGTTCCCGATGCGTCGACCATAATCTTAATTGCACCAACAATAGAGTGAGAAAGAAATGTGGACCAAAGAAAATTCACCAAAAGACTAGAGATACCATAAATCAAATATCCAATGTTAATCCTCAGGACCAGTTCATCCCAGTTGAACATTTATTACCTTGTTTGCAGATATATCAAACTTTTTTCCCTGGTGTATGGCCAGTGGTGTCGGTGGCACAGTTGATTTCGGTTTTGATGAACAAGTCGTATACCACAATGGATACTTTGTCTGCATATTCCTTAAGTTGTGCCATTTCAGCTGCCGTTATTGTCCAAGTATCTTTCTTAAAGAACAAGAATCACTTGTTTCCGATCCTGGATACTATCAAGAGTTTAGATTTTGTTTCACAATCAGTTAAAGCCCGTGATATGTTTAATTATAGATCACATCCTAGTTTAGATACACTTTTGACATCGTTTTTCTTATATGTGTATTATGTTAACACCGAGTCAGGAACTCCAGCAGCATTGAACTACCTTCGCGAATCCATATCAACTGCACAAATCTTGGGGTTGCATAACCCTTCAACTTATACCAATAAGTCACCTGCAGAAGTCCATAGAATGAGAAAAATTTATTACTTATTACTTGTTACAGAAAGATTTACTGCTATAGAAGATTGTTTGCCAGTCATTTTAGAACCTTCAATTCCATTGCCATCTTTAGAAGACGAAGAATATCCAATTTTAATTAGTGGGTTCCGAGAATTGGTCAAGATTTTCGCTATTCCCGACAAGTCTTTCTTTGACAGATTTATCTCTTTAAACACCAATGCATCCAGTCTTCCTTCTTCATCTTGGATAGTTAATGTCCAACAACAACTAGGAAATATCAAAATCATGGAAAATGCCCCTGACATTCAAAAGTTAAATATAATCATCAGTAAATACTGGATGAAATCGTTAACATGGAAATTAGCACAAAAGAACAATCTTCTCGACGAGATGGAACCAAGTTTATCTATAAAGTTCCCATTTGCCATAGCCAATGATTTCCTCGATGAAACCAAGGATTTGCCCATAAGTTCTTATGAATCAAACGGTCCAGGTGTATGTGTTAAATTATTAGCCATGGTGGATACTTTAGTGGATGCAATAAATACAAGTCAAGATAATACCGGGTTAACCAGTTTACATGGAGTTATTTCTTTGCTTGTTCAATTGAAGAATGATATTTCATTACCAATTCATGAATACAACAAGATTATTAATATGAGTAACAATCTTTCTACTAATGCGTTTGCAACAGTTCCTCGTAACGAAGGATATATTTCAGAACTTGGATCCGATGATTCCTCAGAAAGAAGCGAACATGATGATATTAACCAACCATCACCATTTACACAAATGACAATGGCATTTTGGATGGGTCCTACTGGTACCACACCTTTAGAGGTTCCTGCTCCTGTTCCAGTACAGATCCAAGTGCCATTTTCAGAAAATTCATTACTGGATTTATATAACCAGTTATATTCTTAGATGTGTATCTTAAAACCTTAAACTAATGATAACGACTTCTTAATAGGTATATTGTAGAATTATTCAAGACCTACATTCACTTTCTGACACGATTTGTGATTGTTGCAAAATAAAAAAGAAACTGCTCACGTGATCTACGCGACATTTTGCGCTTTTGTGTTCGTTTTGGGAACAACCGTAAACAAAAGTTTTGTTTTACAACCACAAACAAACAAACAAACAAAATAAAACCTAAACAAACTGTTTACAACCACTCTTCTCTTTTCTTGTAGAGTTAACCGATTCAATGAGTTCAATCCCTCTTTATTTGAAAATCAAAGGAGGTTCATCCACTGAAGGTGAATTCATCCCTTCTCACTTCAGTCAAACTTCCCCTTGTTCAATTGAATTCAATGAAACTCAATACGACTTTGCTCACATTTACAATGAGCAAGACACTGATTACCACCATTTGTTAACCAATGACAGAAGCTCATGTGTTATATTGATTGGCCCTACTGGTAGTGGTAAAACCACCATGATCAAGCAATTGGCTGCTGGTAAGATTAAGTCATTTGCTCCTGTTGGTCCTCCACCCGTTGGAAGCTTGGTCCCACCACAAGCTTTCGTTACTGCGTTTGAAATTACTAACAATAAGTACATTCTTGATTTGTTTGATGATAACTTACATAGACGTATTCCATTGTTTAACTACGAATCACAGTTGAAGAGGGAAAAGGTCAATGAAGATACTTTGAAACATATCTTCAAGAAGAGATTGTCTCAAGCTACTGAATTTAATCCAAACTCAAGCAGATCTTGTTTGGTCATCACCTTCTATTATCAAAATCACAGAACTACTTTAATTGATTTAATGGGCAATGAAAGAAATAACGTATTTGCCAACACTAACATTAGTTCAATTACTCAATTGTTAGCAACCAAGCAAAATGTTGGTAGATCAAATAATTTAGTCACTAATATGATCTTCAAGAATCATGAAATTCAAATGGTTATGACTTTGGATCCTAGAGGTGATGCAGGATTAATCAAATCTACTTTAACTAATGTTGCCAATTTGTTAAACAATTTCAAATTGTCCTCACCAGTAAAAGCTGCTGCCACTAGTAGAGTTCCAAGTTATGCTAGACCAACAGCAAGCTCCAAGACTTTGACCAAGGTTGCTGTTCCAAGAAAGACTGTCTTAGCTCCAAAGAGACCAGTTCCTACTCGTGCTATTCCAAAGCGTACTATTGTTGTTAAAAGACCATCTTCTAGTTACATCCCACCTTCTTCTCCAATTAAACAACGCAGATTGGATGAAATCGCCAAACTTGAACAAACGATTGAAAACTTGCAACTGTTGAATTCACAATTACAACAACAGTTAAATGAAATCTCAACCAAGCAAGATATGAATGAACACTCTCAAATTATTGATTTGAGAGCTCAAATCGAATCACAACGGGAAAAGTTTGTTAATCATGTTAATGAAATCAAGTCTGATTTCGTAAATATTAAAACTGAATCTTCAATCTTGGGTAATTCATTCCAATCCATTGGTCAAAATTTAGATTTGATTCTGCAAAAGTTAACTGAAGCCGAATCTTCAATTCAGCAAAAGGATGAGTTCATTACAAAGCTTCAAAAGGAATTGGATGAGCAGCTGCGTTCCTTAACCAGCTATGAATCTGAAGTGTTCAGGTTAAAGACAGAATCAGAAGACAACAAGTCAGCTGCTACAGAAACTATGGATAAAATGATCCATACCAAAGTGCAATTGACTGAACGTGTCACTGATTTACAGGCCCAACTTGACGCTAAAGAAGATGCAATTATTAAATTAAATGAAGAATTAGATGTCAAGAGTAAGTTAGTTCACGAATTGCAAGATCTCATAACCAAAAATAGTCAAAAGATTGAAATGTTGGAAAATGAGGTTGTCATCTTGAAAAATCAAGTTGAGTTAAAGACCCAACAGTTCGAAGAACTTGATGAAATCAAGAATGAAAGTGAATCTAAAGGTTGCCAGATTGAAGCATTAAATACTGACTGTAATCGATATATGGAAGAAATTGAAGTGTTGCAAAAGAAATTGGTAGAACAAGAACAGAATAGTTCTAACATTGAACAATCTAATATTGATTCCAAGGCTGAACACGAGCAACAAGTTGAAATATTGAATCAAGAAATTCAACTCAAATCAAATGAACTTGCTGATATGCATGAACAACTTGAAAAGTTGAAAGCCGACCATGAATTGGAGTTATCTCAAGAAAAGAAATCACATTGTGATGCCAAATCTAAATGGAAGCAACTGGTTGAAGAACTTCAACACAAAAATAGCAAAAAGAAGGAAGAAATTGAAAAGTTGAAGAAAGAAGTACAAGCTAGAGATGACACCATCAAATCTGCTGCTAGTGAACTAGAACAGAAGATTCAAGAAATTTCTAACTTAAAGTCACAAATTAATGATTATGATCTTGAACAAACACACTTGAAAGATTTAGTTGAAAGAAATCATAAATCAATTCAAGATTGGGAAAACAAATATAACGATATGGTTAGTTTGAAGGATGATGAACTAAAGAAGTTACACGAACAATTGGATTATTCTACTGGTGATCAATTACTTAATGAGATGAATTTGGTATACCCTAGATTTAATCCTGAAGAAATTTATCAAGACGGTCTCACCGATGACATGACCATTAATTTCAAACCTCCCTCAGACATGACAACTGTTTTGAAACCAGCTTCCGATATCATTACTATTTTAAATCCAGCTCAATCTGATGTTGCCTTAAAGCCAGACGTCAATACTACTTTGAAACCACCAAAGAATGATGCATCTAAGATCTTAAAGCCAAGCACCAAATTGAATAGTTCGCCTCTGAGACCATCTTCTAAACTTGGAAGTTCACCCTTAAAGAGACATCTGAGCGTTTCACCAAAGAAGAAGAGAAAGAATCCAAATTTGGAAAGCATCAAAGCAAAGTATCAAAAATTAGGTAGTCCCTTAGCTTAATAACAACCCTATATAGACATGTTTTCAATATAACTAATATAAAAGACAACAGTACTAATACCTTGCTACAAAGGGGATATTCGTCTCATTGGTAACACTTGTAATTATAACTATACAGTTCTTCTATCGGTTAAATATCTAGCAATTGGACCCAAACCAGTAACTTCGACGGTTTTTTCAAACCAAGTCAATAAGATAGTACCTTGTTTCTGACCGAATTCCAGACTCATGTTCTTGTACAAATATTTGACTAATGTGTCCTGTTGTTCTGAATTCAATTGTTTAATAATAGAACTTAATTGACTTAAATTATGATTGGTTTTAATGGAGATTAAAACTTCAAGTGCTGTACTGGTATGAGCCTCTTTAGCCTTTGGATCGGAAACATATGGAGGATTATCTAATACGAGCTCTAAAGCTTCTTGGAATTTTCCCGAGGATAAATAAGTACGAACTTGTTGACTGATGCTTACTATAGTTTCGTAAGAGACTGGATCTAAAGCAGGGAGTAAGTCTTCTTCGGTTATATGAGCTTCTGTTAATGCGTCAATATCGATTTTTCTCCAGTCTTCTGATGCCATTGTGTTCAATTGGTTGTGGTTTGTTGATAGTGTTTACTTGTTGGAGAGATTTGAGGGTTTGATTTTTGGTGGAACTTTTGGAATTGGGGGGTCGTGCGTGTGCGCACCGATTATCCTGGCTTAACAGGAAAGTATTGGGAGAGTAAACATTGGTAATAGCATTAACATTAAAAGAATGCAAAACAGTATATGACTACATTATATGATATCTACATTATATGATATCTACATTATATGATATCTACATTATATGATATCTACATTCAAAAAAAAAATCCAGTTCTATTATCTATTTGTAAACTCTAATATACACCAAGTGGCAAGTACTTAACCACACTATCTCATACCCTCTTTTTCTTCTTCCCGTCTCTTTCTTCATCGTCTTGCTCCTCATTTTCAACTGTGGAATACCCATCAATAAACTTCAAGGCATCGCCCATCAACTCTTCAGAATCAACAAGAACAACAACCATTCCATCACTACCAACTTCATACTGAATATGACCTTCGTTAGGAATACATACTTTCGAGTCAAATTCATCAAAGAAATCATTTACTTCTTCCATTGATTGAATAGTGTCAAGCAATCGATCTTGCATCTCGCCATCTGGATGACTTGGTGAATTGAGTACTATTATTATTCGAAGGGGATTATCGAGATTTTCTGGTTGTTCAAATTCTGTGTCGGACATTGTGTAGATCTGACGGGTGTGAGATATATGTATATATATGTGACGTTATCTGTGTATTGTACAGCTGACAACACCCAGTTATATCTGTTGTGTTGTTACAAGAAGAAGGATCTGTCGGATACAAATAAATTTATGTGCATTGAGATGAGATTCACGATTGAAAAATGCGGAAAAAAAAAAAGGTTGGTACTTAAAATTATCGTTTTATTAAAATTGTACAAATCATATAAACATTTCACAACTTACTGCTGGCTAGTTAGATAGACCATTCCTTGAATTGGTTGATCAAACCTCTGGTTGAAGCATCATGAGTTTCAACCTTGGTCTTGTCATCCAATTCCTTACCAATAACCTTAGCTAAAACTTTACCTAATTCAACACCCCATTGATCGAAAGAGTTAATGTTCCAAACAGCACCTTCGGTGAAAGTAACGTGTTCGTAGTAAGCAATTAAAGCACCCAAGTTAGCTGGGGTGATCTTTTGAGCCAAGATAGAAGTGGTTGGTCTGTTACCAGAGAATTCCTTGTGTGGGACTAAACCACCAGTGGCACCTTCAGCCTTGACTTGTTCAGTTGACTTACCAACCATTAAAGCTTCAGCTTGAGCAAAGAAGTTGGAAGCCAACATTCTTTGGTGCAAGTTGTTTTCAATTGGGTTGTGAGATTGAGCAGCCAAAATGAAATCAGCTGGGATGAGCTTAGTACCTTGGTGAACTAATTGGAAGAAAGAATGTTGAGCGTTAGTAGCTGGTTCACCGAATAAAATAGTACCGGTTTGGTAGTTGGTGTATACGTTAGCTCTGGTAACGGATTTACCGTTAGATTCCATAGATAATTGTTGCAAGTAAGCTGGGAATCTGTGTAAGTATTGATCAAATGGAGCAACCAAGTGAGTTTGAGCACCGTAAAAGTTGTTGTACCATACAGAGAGTAAACCTCCCAATACTGGAATGTTTTGCTCTAATGGGGTAGTCAAGAAATGTTGATCAACAGCTTCGGCACCCTTTAAGAAAGCTTCAAAGTTGTCGTAACCAATGTAGATAGCAACAGATAAACCAATTGCAGACCAGACAGAGTAACGACCACCAACCCAGTCATTGAATTCAAACATGTTCTTAGTGTCAATACCGAATTTGGCAACTTCTTTTTCATTAGTAGATAAAGCAGCAAAATGCTTGGCAATGTGAGCCTTATCCTTTGCGTGTTCTAAGAACCATGACTTGGCTGAGTTGGCATTGGTAATTGTTTCAGCAGTAGTGAAAGTCTTTGAAGCAATCAAGAACAAAGTAGTTTCAGCATTCAAGTTCTTTAAAGTTTCAGCAATGTGAGTACCATCAATGTTGGAGACAAAGTGGACATTTAAACCTGGTTGAGCATAAGCCTTTAAAGCTTCAGTAACCATAACTGGACCTAAATCGGAACCACCAATACCAACGTTAACAACATCGGTGATGGCTTTACCGGTATAACCGGTCCACTTACCGCTTCTGACTTCGTCGGAGAATTCCTTCATGTGTTGTAAAACATCATCAACTTCCTTGGCAGTGTCCTTACCGTCAACAGGCATCTTCTTTAAAGCTCTGTTTCTCAAGGCAACGTGGTAGACAGCTCTGTCTTCAGTGGTGTTGATGTGGTCACCAGCAAACATTTCATCTCTCAACTTTTCAACACCAGCTTCCTTGGCCAATTCAATCAATTGGTCCAAGATTTCCTTGTTGACAAGGTTCTTGGAGAAATCAAACAAGATCTTGGAACCATCGTAGTTTTCAAAAGTTCTGGAAAAGGTTTCAAATCTGGATGAATCCTTGGAAAATTCGTCCTTGACACTGAATTTTTCACCAACGGAATCGTAGGTGGCTTGTAATTTTTTCCAAGCTGGTAATTCACTAGCTAACTTAAAAGAAGACATGATAACAATAAAAATAGATCAATTGAGGGTCAATTGGTTGGATAAAAAGAATGAGCAAGCAAAATTTTAAAACTTTGGAAAATTGTGGTATAATTTATATGTCTGGTTTTTCGGGAGAATTACAAAGGGGGGAAAATTGCGGTGTATAATGTGGGATTTTGTTTTAATAACTAATGACAAAAAAATTATGTAATTTTTCACCACTCGATTTTTTCGGCTGCTTCTATTCCACTTTAATCCGTTGAAACCGTTAGATTAATAATTCATTAATAATGTCACAGCAAGCTCCACACTAACTCAATTGCACATGTTCGATCCATTTCTGCTTGGCCACGTTTAAATTTAATTGGTCATTAAGACATCGAGAATCTGTAATTTATTTTTGTGTCTACGGCTACCGATCCCGGGTGCAACTTCTTTCAGTCTTTATGATGCAAAACTGCAGGTCGAACCCCGACACTGCATCTCATTAACACTTACCCTGCATATAATTAAGCGATTATTATTAGAATATGCTCTAATGGGGACTGTAACGAAATCTGGGGTTGTTGTTAATGGTAAAGTTGTTAGTTTTGATGTTTATACTTCAGATCGATCCCTTCTACCCCCCACCCCACGGTTTCATAATTTGACGGCGATATATAATTTTTGATGATATTTTTTTAGTACCATCACCTTACTACGCGGAAACAAACATCAAGGTATTGAAAATGTAAACACAGCAAATAGATTGATTACACTTAGCTCTTGTTCTATAGTTCTTCTTGAATGATCACTGTCAGCATTGGTGTGCATATTACTTATAAAATTTTGAAATAAATTAGCAAGTTATTATCCAAATTTTTTATATTAACAGTTACTACATTATATTTCAAACGAATTATTAAATTAGAGCTATGTATAAGGAATGTTGATTGTAGTTGTAACACTCAACAAAGTAAAAGAAATTATATAATACAATTAATTAAAATGATCAATGCAATTGGAGCACTCCAGCTTGATGCACCATTAGCATACTCTACCACAGGATTTGATGCAGTAGTACTTGACCATTGATGCAAACTCATGGTGTTTCCTGGGTTTTCACTTTCAGCATTGTTAGCTGATTCTTGCTCAGCTGCTCCAATATCGTTTCCTGACCATTGATTAACACTTGGAGTGTTGTTGTTAATGCCGTTTTCACTTGCTCCATTAGTGTTAGAATCATTTTGTTGATCAGCCCCAAAGCTGTTTCCTGTATTTCCATCAGCACCAGCGTTTGATGGACCATTTTCATCAGGATTACCAACATTGCTTTGGGAGTTTCCACTAGACTCATTTACACTTCCAGAGTTGCCTGAGTTGTCATTTTCAGTGTTGTTTGAGTCGTTTTCACTTCCAGAGTTGTTTGGGTTGTTTCCATTTCCAGAATTGTTTGGGTTGTTTCCATTTCCAGAGTTGTTTGGGTTGTTTCCATTTCCAGAATTGTTTGGGTTGCTTCCATTTCCAGAGTTGTTTAATGAACCTTCATTAGACACATCATTGTTATCTGTTTCTTCATCAAATTGGTTTCCGTTCCCGTTTGTAGAATCATCCTGATCAGAAGCACCATTACTGTTTTGGCTATTACCATCATAATTGTTTCCTTTTGGATCAGAATTGCTAGATTCGCCGTTGTTACCAGTTTCTGAAGAACCATCACCAACTGTGGTTGAAGAATTACCATTTTCGTTTTGATCTCTAGTAGTAGTATAAGTGATCAAGGACTCAAATTCAGAAGTAAAAGTACCATCAAAACCACTTACAGTTGTCGTAATTGTCATAATTGAAGTGATAGTTTCTATTTTGACTTCATCGTCAGTAGCAGCTGAAGGTTCTACACCTGTTGAAGTTGAAGTGAAAATTCTACTTGATAAAGTCGATGGAATGAATGACAGTTCAACATGCGAAGAAGTTGCCAATGAACCAAAAGATGAATATTCCTCAGTAGTAGATATTTCAAATGGGATATCGGTTTCATCTTCAACCATAGGAGCTTTACTGGATTGACTGATAGTTAAGGAAGATTCAGATGATAAAGTGATTGAGGAGCCTTCAGTAGATGACAATTCTTTCAGGTCTGAATATGGGTTATTAGATAATGTTGTTTCACTTGATGAATCAGTAGTAGTAGATGAAGCTGATGAAACATCTTCACTGGTTGAAGGGCCACTAGGTAAAGCATCTTCAGTAGATAACGGATCTTTAGATGAAGATTGTTCTTTAGTAGTGGATGGATTTTCAGTTGATGATTGTTCTCCGAAAGTTAATGGGTCTTCAAAAGTGGCAACTGATTCATTGGAAGAAGTGTCTTGAGTGGTTTCTGGATATTCAATAGATGCAGTACCTTCAGAAGTGGCAATATCTTGAGAAGTAGCAATATCTTCAGAAGTAGCAGGATCTTCAACACTAGTAGGGTCCTCAGTAAATTCAGTTCCTTCAGAGGTGGCAATATCTTCAGAAGTAGAAGGATCTTCAATACTAGTAGCGTCCTCAGTAGATGAAGAATCTTCAGAAACAAAAGGACCTTCAGAAATGAATGGATCTTGAGTAGATGATGAATCTAAAGTAGTGGATGGATCTTCGGAAAAGGTTGAATATTGAGCAGATGAAACATGTTCGCTAGAAGTTGGGTCTTCGGATGACCAAGCTTCTTCAGTAGTGGAAACTAGATCACTTGGTGTTGGGTCTTCGGCAGTTAAATATGAACTGGTAGATGAAAATTCTTCGGTGTTGATATCCGTTTCACTTGTTGATGAGCTTTCAATTAATGTAGATTCTTGAGAAATAGAAGATGAATCACTAGTAGTTGGGTCTTCAGTTATTAATGTAGATTCATTCTCAGTTTCTGTAGGAATAGATAATAATTCAGTTGATGATGATAATTCTTCAGTACTTGGGTCAATTTCAGTTTCACCAAATGGTTGAGTTGTTGAAGATCCTTGAGTAGAAGGCAAATCAAAGGTTGACGATGATGAATTTCCGTAAGATGGATATACAATTGTAGATGATTCTTGATAACTCGAGGATGAATAGATAGATGTAAAGTCATTAGTTTCTAAGATCGATTCAGTAGTGGAAGATTCTTTGAAAGAGGTTGATTCTTCAGTAAATAATGGCTCCTCAGTACTTGATTCAGTTGCTTCAGGAAATTCTGTTACAGACGATTGTTGAGCAAATGATGAGGATTCATCAGCAGTTGATATCGTGTCACTTGACGTGGAACTTTGAATTGTCAAACTTGTGTTGGCGTATGAAGAATATTGACTGGTAGGTAAAACTTCAATACTTGAGTAATCATCAGAAGATGGATCTTCAGAAGTCGAGGAAAACAATTCTTGAGTTGAGGTCAGGTCTTCGAAAATAGTGGACTCTTCAGCCGAAGAAGCTTCGTCTTCAGTTGTAGTTTCTTCTTGCATGGATGATGATTCTTCAGCAGCACTTGTTTCTTGTGCATATGTGGTTTCTTCTTGACTTGTGATTTCATTTTCTTCGGTAAGTTCTGAAATAGTTGATGGTAATTGAGTAGCTGATGATGACTCGATGTATGAAGTTTCTCCTTCGGTCGAGGTTTCTTCTTCGCTCGAAGTTTCCTCAGTGTAAGTTGATTCTTCTCTGTTTGACGAAGGTTCCACAGAAGAAAAATCTTGACCAAATGACAGTTCTTCAGTAGATACAGAGTTTTCAGTACTAGATGTTTGTTCTGTTTCCTCAGTGAATGGAGTTTCTTCTGTTTCTTCTGTAGTTAAATCTCTCTCTGTGGTAGTGGCCAGCTCAGTGGAAAATTCTTCGATAGATGATTGTTCCTCAATGAAGGTAATTTCTTGACTGGTCGACTCCTCTTCAGTTGATGATGGACTAGGACATTCAGTTACTATAAATACAGTATCAGTGGCCCAGGTGGATGTTGAATAGGTGGTAGTGATAGTTGATACTTGCCCAGGTGAACAAGTAGTAACTGTAGTCGTAGTATGAACAGGGTTATATTCAATCACATTGGCAGTTGATCCAGGCAAAGCACTCTCGGTGGTGTATGAAGTTGAAATTCCTACATAAGTTGTAGTGGTAGTAACTGTTGGGATAGGAACATTAACAACAATGGTCTTGGTTGTGTCACTAGATGTAGAAAACGGCATGGTTGATATTTTTGTGGTCAGACCAGTATATGTTTGTGTAACAACTTCAACTGCCTCTCCATTACCACCAGCAACATTGTTTTCATATGCACCCCAAGAGATAGTTTTTCCATTATTTGTACTTCTACTACTACCGGTACAGGTATATGTATTAACATAGTTCATGGAAATACTAACCCCATTGTTAACTTGGACAAGAGCATCAATGAAAGGTCTGTAACCAGCAGGAATATTTTGATAGTTGACAACAAAGGAAGTAGAAGAACAAGAATAAGTGTAGCTGAAATTTTCATCTGCATTTTCTGGAAAATACCAATCATTTAAGGAATTAGTGATTGCCATCTGAACAGAGCTGCAATCGATTTGTGAGCCCAGGTTTTGGATCTTCATACCAATCGAACCAGATCTGTACCCAGATGGACAGTTGCCACCAAGAAGATAGTGTTGTTGTTTGTTTAATGAAGGGACAACACGGTTAACATAAACAATCTTGCTTGGATCATCCGTTGAACCACCAGCAAAAGTAGCTTGAGTAGAAAGTTTGTTGTCACCATCATAATAAGACACAGTATTTTGCCCATTATGGAAACAAGTAGAATCTTGCAAATCGGTACTCAAAGCAGAGCCACCAACATTAAAAGCTACTGGAAAATTAACAGTTCCATGAGCATCAAGCAGCGGAGTAACAGTATCCAAAAGAACACATTCTAATTTAGAAAATGCAACAACAATATCACCAGGGTTAAAGGTACAAGTAGCATAGTTAACCAGACCAACATTTAAATTCACCGTAGTTTGACTCGTAGTGAACTTGAAAACACATGGTAAGTTCAAAGTGAATGTATCACCAGGCAGCATGGTGCTCCCATCTATTTTCCAGGACAAAGTAGAAATCCAACTTGGATAAGCGGGACCAGCAAAGGGATAACTAGCTGCTTTTTGCCATACCAAAGAGTCAAAGGATGTAAAAATTCCACTGATTTGTTCAGAAGCGACTAAAGTTAATGCTAAAAGGTTAAAAATGAGAAATTTAAACATCGTTGTTGGTCGGTGATAGATAGAAAGATGGAAGAGGCAAGAACAAGAGGAATCAGCTCGTGTATTTATACTTGATGCCTACTCATCTTCTTTTTGCGGCAAATCCAAAAATAGCACATCAGCGGTAATGCTTTAGTAATTTTGCTGTAAAAAAGTTTTGAGTCTTTTTTTTTTTGCAGTAATTAAAAAATTTTCTGGTCAAGAAAATTCGGGGCTTATGCTACTGCATATAGTGCCTTCTTCCATATCCGAATTTCATGTAATCGGGATAAGTAGATCTCTTTCCGCTATTGGTTCCCGTTTGAATTATAATTCGTAATTGAAAGTATTGTTCAGACGCTTCTTCATATTTTATGGCAAGTATATTCAAGCTCATCGGTTATACTTGCTGAAGTCAAGAACCCTTTCTGATTGAAAAATCGATGATCCAAACTAGGTTTAAAATTTTAGCCGTGATTAGAAGCGCGGCAGATCTGCGCCTCTTCCTTTCCATGCTGCAAGAGAAGCGGAAAAGAAACAAAAAAATATTATTTTTCATGTAATATAATAGTCTTCGCTTTGCTCCCCGAACACTGAAATTATTATTGGAACAATAACTACATTTCCGTTTAAGCCGAGCTGCTATTTTTTTAAACCCCATCCGAGGGAATTCCTGGAATCATGTAGAATTTTCCGAACGGAAGAAATACAAATTCATTTTGCTAACGAAACAACAAAAGTAATTTCTTTTTCAAGACTCATAATCTATTCATTCTATTCCGGAAATACTCATCTCTCTGGCATTGTCTTATCATTTTCATGTGTGGAGTCTAGTTAGTTGGTATAGATTATTATTTTATTTGAAATTTTATTCGGTGAATGTACAATTGTATTCCGAAGACACAAAATCTTCAATTCCTGCACATTATAACCTTCCAGAAGACCCAAAATTATTCATCCTGAAATAGACTTTTCTTTTTTTGCGCTCTGGAAAATAATTAACCAATTTGTGGAAATTTTTGCAATACACAATTAGAAGACAATGAAACTAGTTGCGCAAAACTAATATTGTTAGATAATACTATCACAGAAAGATCACGTCATGGTGAAATTAGACGGCTCGGCCAGTATCTCTTAGTTTTTCTTGGCAGAATGGAAAATTCAAAGAAGATCTAACTACGAAGTAACTATTAGTAACTAAAGCAAATCTAGAACAAAATCTTGCAGTAGTTGATGTCTGATCTAAGTATTTTGACACAGTTAGGCATTCCATATGACTATTTTTACTATAAAATGAACAACTGGTTTAGTTGTGCGATACTTGGCTAGCCAATCAGAAATTATCGATTTATAAGAATATAGAAGCTTCGTCAGGGGGCTAAAAGGAAACTTTTGCCAATAGACTCTATTGTTTGAATATACTGTATATAGTCAGGTCAACTTTGTAATTTGATATGTTATCTCTATTTCTTGGCAACATATTGAAATATTTCGTATCTGCAGAGTAGATCACAAAATTGACTGATTGAATTTTGTATAAGGCGTTGGATCCAATTTTTTGACTGTGGGTAAAACAATCCAATAACTAAAAAGGATAAGTAGTTATCCAATAATCAGACATCACCATTGTTCAACAGTTCCCGGGGTCAATTTTATTTTCAATTTTCGTAAAGATTGGAGTTATATTCCAAATTTCAGTATACATCCGCCTTAGGGCTTGTTGCAAATTTTGTGGTATTTTTTTGATTATGAAATTCATTCTCATGATTACAAAGCCTTGCTCAACATTTCAATTAAGCTTATAATTTTCTATATGAGTTAATCCATCAATTAATACCAGATCTGTATTCTATCGTGGTTTAGATTTTGTTTTTTGTTTGGAGGGGTTAACTTTTGGTGTTTTTTTTTTCACAGCTTCATCTGATTACACTAACCCAGATCATGAGAATTTAAAAAAAGGGTATAGCAGCTAGATTGAAAGATTTACCGAACATACCTGAATGATATTCTGACATAAAACATTTCTGGTAATATTGTGGTATTACCAATTGTATTTGTAATAAATATGGTTTTCTTAACTCTTGGTATTAACTAGTAACTATATTAACTATTTCAAATAAATAAATAACTTAAAAATATCTATAAGGACGGTTGAGTGTTGTTATAACAACCAACATGCTAAAAAGGATTATATAATACAATTAATTAAAATTATTAAAGCGACTGGAGCATTCCAGCTGGTTGCACCATTATCATAACCAATTACAGAATTGATCGAGCTTGTAGTTGGAGATTGAGACATACTTAATGTGTTTCCTGCATTTCCACTTCCAGGATTCATTTGTGATTGATTTGGTTTAGAACTACTGCTGCCACTGTTTCCGACATTTGTACTACCTGAATCTGAAGTTCCTTCAGTAGAAACACCAGTACTACTTGTGCCAATTTGGTTTCCATTTCCACCATTATTTGAGGCAGGATCTTCCCCGGTATCACCATTATTACCTTGAGAATTTCCATCTGTAAGGTTATTGCCAGATCCATCGTTATCACCACTTCCAGTTTCTGAAGAACCATTATCTCCAGTGGTTGAAGGATTACCATTTCCATTTTGGGTATTAATAGTAATATTTTCAAATGAAGAAGTAAATGTGGAATGCGAGTTACTCACTGTTGTTGTATGGGTCATGATTTCAGTAGAAGAATTTTCAGTTTCCAAACTTTTGACTTCATTGTTGGACTCAGATGAAAATCCAGAATCTGTTGTAGTTGAAGCTGGAATTTTACTTGAAAATGTTGTAAGATTCAATGAACTAGATGAAGAATATTGTTCAGGGGAAGAGTTTTCGGATTGACTGGATGGGAGATCAGTTTCATAATTGACCCAAGGTGCTCCATGGGATGTAGATTCTGTTGTTGTTGACAAACTTGCAGAACTTGAAGAGGTTAAAAAGCCTCCAGTGGTTGAATATACTTCAGTAGGTTCCTGTATGCTTGAATGTGGATCAATAGATGATACCATTCCTGATGATTCAGTATTTGTTAATGAATTACTTGATAATATAGTTTCAATTACTGACAATTCCTCAGAAGACAGATTCTCACTTGAGGATTGGTTTCTAGTTGATTCAAACTCACTCGAGGGTTGATCTTCTGTAGTTGTTGGGTCTTCAGAAGTAGAAATTGATTCAATGGCAGAAACATTTGGCATAGTAGCAGAATTTTGAATAGAAGTTGGGTCGTCAGTAGAATTTGGGTCTATATTAGTTGGAGGATCTTCAGCAGTAGTAGTGGACTGGATAGTAACAGGGTCTTCAATACTAGTAGGGTCTTCTGTTTCTTGTGGATCTTCTGTTGCTTCTGGATCCGCTATTGTTTGTGGATCTTCTGTTTGTGGATCTTCTGTTTGTGGATCTTCTGTTTGTGGATCTTCTGTTTGTGGATCTTCTGTTTGCGGATATTCTGTTTGCGGATCTTCTGTTTGCGGATATTCTGTTTGCGGATCTTCTGTTTGCGGATCTTCTGTTTGCGGATCTTCTGTTTGCGGATCTTCTGTTGCTTGTGGATCTGCTGTTGTTTGTTCATAGTTAGAAGCAGTATTTTCGCTAGTTACAGGTCCTTCACTAGCTTCAGTATCAATATAAGTAGATGATATATTTGAAGTAATCGATGGATCTGAAGTAGGATCCAAAGTGGAAGTTTCTCCAGAAAGTGAATCATCCGTCGTAAATGCTAGTAAATCAGATTCTGAATCTTCAGAAGTGGTTGGATCTTGAGAAATAGTACTAACTTCACTAGACACTGGATCTTCAGTGATTGAAAATGAAATAATCGATGATGATTCTTCTGATATTAAGGTAGATTCACTTGATGATTGATCTGTAAATGTTTTGTCAGTATTCGATATAGTTCCACCCAAGGGTTGAGCATTTGAGGAGCCTTGACTAGATGCAAAATCAGTACTAAATGATGAATTACTGTAAGATGGATATACAACTGTAGAAGGTTCTTGATAGCTCGAAGATAAATTTGTGGATGTCAATTCTTCAGTCTCAGTGATTAATTCACTGGATAAACCTCCTTCAGTAGTAGTTGGTCCTTCCGTATGCAATTGTTCTTCAATAGATGATGTTTCTTCAGTAAATGGTAGTTCTTCTGTAGTTGTAGTTTCATCTTCAGTTGAAGCTTCATTGGTAGTGGATTCAATGACAGACGAGGATTCAATGGATGTAGATTCTTCAATAATAGACGAGTCTGCAGCAGTTGTAGACTGTTCAGGAACAAATGATTCCAGGGTAGATAATTCTTCCATAGATGATTCGGCAGAGGTAGATTCATAATCACTCGAATCTCCAACAGTCATGGATGCTTCAGCAGTTGCAGATACTTCTACGGTAGTGGATTCTTCACCAATTGTAAATTCTTGAGAAGATGATATCAATTCAATTGAAGTTGGTTCTTCTGTGGTTACTTCAGATAAGTCATTAGTAGATGATTCTTCACTGTATGATGAGGATTCGGTAATGGTTGATACTATCGCACTAGATGTAAAACTTTGAATTGATAAACTTGAATTGCTGTATGAAGAATATTGACTTGTAGGTAAAACATCAACACTTGAGTAATCACTGGAAGATGGATCTTCAGAAGTTGGGGAAATTTCTATGGATGAAGATTCCTCCGAAGTTGTAGGTTCTTGTATGTATGTCAGTTCTTCAGATGCAGTTTGATCTTCACTAGTTGTAGTTTCTTCTTGAGAATATATGGTATCTTCGTCCAAAGATGTGGTTTCCTGTTCAGTTGATGTGATTCCTTCGTCAACTGATGTGGTTGCTTCAAAAGTAGGGGATTCATTTGTAGATGTGGGTTCACTTTCAGTTGAAGTTTCCTCAATAGTGGATGATAACTCCACAACAGTACTGGCTTCAATGAATGATGACTCTACGATAGAAGATGTGTCTTCGATAGTTGAAAACATTTCAGTAGATGATGATTCTTGAGTGGATGGGGATTCTTCAGTAGTAAATAATTCTTCAGTAGTGGATAATGCTTGTTCGGTAGATGTATCCTCTTCTGTTGTAATTAGTTGTTCATTGGAGGAGTCTGGAGTATCTGAATATTCTGATGTTGTTGCAACTTCGGTAGATAACAGTTCATCAGTAGTTGGTGGTTCATCAGTAGATGGTTCTCCGGTAGAGAGTGGCTCCTCGGTAGAGACAGATTCTTCAGTAGATTCAACCTCTTCAGAGGTAGATAATTCTTCTGTTAATTCAGCGGATGAGGTTTCTTCAGTCTGTTCAGTAGTAACATTTCCCTCTGTTGTAGAGACTTGCTCAGTAGAATCTTCAGTAGATAGTGATTCTTCAGAGAACGACATTTTTTCACTAGTAGATGTCTCTTCAACAGATAACGTTTCTTGATTAGATGCAGACTCTTTGGTCGATGAAGTCTCTTCCCTAGTTGATTGTTCTTCACTGGTTGATGTTTCTTCGCTGGTTGATAATTCTAGACCTGATGATATCTCTTCAGTAAATGATTGTTCTTCGGTGGAAGAAAATTCTTCACTAGTTGATGCTGGTTCTTTGGTGGATAGTGGTTCTTCTATGGAGGAAAATACTTCATCAGATGATGTTTCTTCTGTACTTGATGGTTCTTCGGAACTCGATGGTTCTTCGGAACTCGATGATTCTTCACTAGTGGATGGTTCAGTACTGGATGGTTCTTCTGTACTAGATGTTTCTTCAGTAGCTGTTGATTCCTCGGTATATGATGGTTCTTCGCTAGTTGATAGTTCTTCGGTACTTAATGGTTCTTCGGTACTCGATGATTCCTCAATAGATGACGATTCTTCGCTGGCAGATGGTTCTTCGGTACTCAATGATTCCTCAATAGATGAGGTATCTTCAGTACTAGATGGTTCAGTACTTGATGGTTCTTCAGAACTCGACGGTTCTTCAATACTTGATGGTTCTTCAGAACTCGATGGTTCAGTGCTTGATGGTTCTTCAGAACTCGATGGTTCAGTGCTTGATGGTTCTTCCGTACTCAATAATTCTTCAGAACTTGATGGTTCCACGATAGATGAGGAATCTTCAGTGCTTGATGGTTCTTCACTAGTTAATGATTCCTCAGTGTTTGATAGTTCTTCGGTGCTTGATAGTTCTTCGGTGCTTGATGGTTCTTCGGTGCTTGATGGTTCTTCCGTACTAGGTGGTTCTTCCGTACTTGAGAGTTCTTCAGAACTTGATGGTTCTTCACTGGTGGATAGTTCTTCACTAGTTGATGGTTCCTCAGTACTCGATGGTTCAGTACTCGATGGTTCTTCAGTACTCGATGGTTCTTCAGAACTTGATGGTTCTTCGGTACTCGATGGCTCTTCAGTACTTGATGGTTCTTCACTAGTGGATGGTTCAGTACTGGATGGTTCTTCTGTACTGGATGGTTCTTCTGTACTTGACAATTCCTCGATAGATGAGGTATCTTCGGTACTCGATGGTTCTTCACTAGTTGATGTTTCTTCACTAGTTGATGGTTCTTCGGTACTCAATGGTTCTTCTGTGCTCGATATTTCCCCAGTAGATGGTGTCTCCTGAGTAGATGATGGACTTGGACATTCAGTTACTATAAACACAGTATCAGTGGCCCAGGTGGATGTTGAATAGGTGGTAGTGATAGTTGATACTTGCCCAGGTGAACAAGTAGTAACTGTAGTCGTAGTATGAACAGGGTTATATTCAATCACGTTGGCAGTTGAGCCGGGTAAGGCTGTCTTTGTGGTGTATGAAGTTGAAATTCCTACATAAGTTGTAGTGGTAGTAACTGTTGGGATAGGAACATTAACAACAATGGTCTTGGTTGTGTCACTAGATGTAGAAAACGGCATGGTTGATATTTTTGTGGTCAGACCAGTATATGTTTGTGTAACAACTTCAACTGCCTCCCCATTACCACCAGCATCATTGTTTTCATAAGCACCCCAAGTAGTAGTTCCACCATTGTTGATAGATGATCTGCTACCAGTACACGTATATGTATTAACATAATTCATGACGACACTGACTCCATTGTTAACTTGGACAAGAGCATCAATGAAAGGTCTGTAACCAGCAGGAATGTTTTTATAATTGACAACAAAGGAAGTAGAAGAACAAGAATAAGTGTAGCTGAAATTTCCTGCAGTTTCTGGAAAATACCAATCATTTAAGGCATTCGTGATTGCCATCTGAATAGAACTGCAATCAAATTGCGATCCCAGGTTTTGGATATTCATACCAATTGAACCAGATCTGTAACCAGCTGGACAGTTACCAGCAAGTAGGTAGTGTTGTTGTTTGTTCAATGAAGGTACGGCTCGGTTATTAAACACGATACTATTTGGATCAGTAAATGAACCATTGTTAAATGTAGCTTGAGTAGAAAGTTGGTTGTTTCCATCATAGAATGAAACGGTATTTTGACCACTATGGAAACAAGTAGAATCTTGTAAATCGGTATTCAAAGCAGAGCCACCAACATTAAACACTATTGGGAAGTTTATAGATCCATTAGCATCAAGCAGTGGAGTAACAGTATCCAAAAGGACACATTGCAATTGGGAGAATGAAACAACTACATCACCAGGGTTGAATGTACAAGTAGCATAGTTAACCAGACCGACAGTCAAATTGACAGTCGGTGTAGTAGAAGTGAACTTGAAAACACACGGTAAGTTCAAAGTGAATGTATCACCAGGCAGTACAGTACTCCCATCGATTTTCCAAGATAAAGTTGCAATCCAACTAGCGAAACCTGGACCATTAGTATAAGGGTAAGTACCAGATTGTTGCCATACCAATGAGTCAAAGGATGTAAAAATTCCACTAATTTGTTCCGCACTGACTATAGCAAACGTCAAAATTGTAAAAATGAGGAATCTGAACATTCTTATTTGTTGCTGATAGAAAGCAAAGAACAAGGAATTGTGAAGAGGGGAATCACTAGTTATTTATATGTGATTCTTGCTCATCTCTTTTGCGACAAATCCTGGGTTACCCCATTACTACTGATAGATTGCTAATTTTGATGTAATGAAACCCCGATTTTATTTTCTTTTCTTTTGCAATAATTTAAAAATATTTTAATGACCAGATTATTTGAGGCTTATAAGAATGAATAAAAGGGCAATGTTCCGAATTTCATTTCTCGGCAATTACTAGAACCCGCTATTGTTGCCGTTCAAATTATAATTCGTAATTGAAAGTATCGTGCGTATGCTTAGCTATCCGTCAGGGCAAGCAAGTTCCTGTACCTGCATGATGTTCTTGGGGAAGTTCTCTCTAGGTTCCTAAACTGTTTGAGTCAATCTATCATTAATAAGGTAAGACTTCGCATATGCGATTTATAAACGCGGCGGGCAAGCGCCTCACAAGTGCTGCAAGAGAGGCTAAATCGGAAAAAAAATATTATTTTTAAGACAGAATAATATTTGCCGCTGTGCTCCCCCAGATCCCTTAATTATTGTTCAAACATTTGGTACATTTCCATTTATTCCCAGTATACAAACGTTTTATCCTGTCTGAAGGAACAATTGTGAATCAATGTTACAGAAGGAAATATATTCCCATTTTTTATTAGGCCCAGCGCACTCAAGGTATTAATTTTTTTTTAAGATTCATAACCAATTGTGATCTTAGCTATCTTGTGCAGCATATTCCACTTCTTTTTCCATTTTTCCGGTGTGGTGTCTAGTTTGTTTTTTAGCAGATTATAATTTCATTTCAAATCTGTTTCGGAGGAAGCAAGATTGTATTCCGAAGACACAAAACGTACCTATCCTGTATATTACTTTCTTCTAGAAGATCAAAATTTGCTCACTTGAATAGGCTTTTATTTCTTTTTTTTCTTTGTGTTCAAAATAATTAATTATTGTGGCAAATTTTGCAATATATCACAATCTAGTCTTGTTCAGAAAATGGTGAATTTAGCCGGGTTCAAAACCATTTTTTAGTCTTTTAGGAAAAACCGAGGTTTCGGCGGTTTCGGGGAAGATCTAACTACGGAGAAACTATAAATCACTAAAACAGATCTGGTCTCATGCAGTTGTCTTTCTTGATCTCAGAGAGTTAACATTGACAAATTGGACCAGGAATTAAACTGTGTGGAGATTGGGGTAATATGAAGAATTGTCATGGTTCAGTATTGGCCTTGCTCAAGTCAATTAGACATGATTTGGTAAGGCAAAGAAAAGTTTCCACGGGGGTAGAAAGGGAAACTTTTGCCGATGTGCTTTATTGTTTGTATATCCTGTATAGAATTTCGGCGGATTTGTAACTTGGTATGATATTTCCATCAAATTGACGTATCTCCGGAAAAATCACACAGTGGACTAATTTTTGAACCACACGCTAGGATTCTATCCTATTACACCAAAATTACGATTAAGTAAGCAATTAAGTAAGAATAACGATAATTGCAACAATATGAGGAAAGAATTCTTCAATTAGTTTTCACTAATACAAAAGAAAAGTTGGGAGCTTGGTTTTTCCGAAGTCATGTACGCCTTGGCTTTAGAACAAGTTTTGTGAAATTTTTAGTCAAAATATTATGAAATTTATATATATATGATTACAAAATCATGCTCCAAATTTAGGAGATATATCTATCTCTACTATTTCAATTAAATCCGAAAATTGAATTCTTGTGCCCTTCTTCGTCAAGATCTGATTCACCATTACTTTTTGACTTACGAAGCAACAAAATGCAAGTTTCTGCAATTCCAATAGCATTGTAAAGTATTTTAGTTAAAAAGTTATCCTTTTTCGATTCATCTCTTAGCAGATCTCAAGAATTTACTCGATTGAGATGATATCCGGTTCCAACATGCAAAAAACTATATCTCGCTTGGAACAAAGCTGGGCATAACTCGTTTAAATCAAGATTACGCCTCGCACAAATTCCAATCGCGTATTTTTATCATCCCAAAAAAGAAAAATGAGTTGAGATTTATATTGTATAGTATAGACACCCCTCAGTACCAGAAATTATGTCAAAATTAGTATCTAGATGGGCCGATGATGACTCATTGGTAGAAGAAGCAATCAAGCAAGATTCAAAAGTAAACACTAAACACACTCGGGAGTCTGATTGGCACAAACCAATAACAGTCAAAGCTAACGAAGCACTTCCTAGTCGATGGGCAGATGCTGATGATGAACCAGCACCAGTACCAGAACCTATTGAGAAGTCGCCTAAGAAATATAATCGATATGAGCAACACAAACAAAGAGGAGACTTTGAACACAGAGGTGGAAGGCAGGGAGGACGCGGGGATTACCCTACGCCCCCTCATTCTAGACATTCTGATGAGATGAAACAAGGTTCATATCCTTCAAAAGCAGACAGGTATAGTAATAGACGTCCAGTAAAACGTGAACCAGAACCTGAACAAGATGATGAACAGCCAGAAGAGGATTTGGATGATGTTGAATTAGAGAAGGGGCCAATGACAGATGCTGCGAAAGCTTTTGCTGCTCGTTTAGGAATTTCTGCAGGAGGGTTTGATAAAGGATCCACGAAGAAGAATTCAAAAGAACAAGAGTCTGATGAATGGGAAGATGCAGATGAGGAAGAGAAGGAGGAGGATGAGAAGAAGAAAAAACTGCAAGTTAAAGAAAGACAGTCAGCTAATCCATTAGCTTCACGTTTGGGCAAGTTATCGATAAACGAAAACAAAAAGAAGCCCAATCAAAGAAAGGATATTAAGAAAACACCATTTAGAACCAAGCATGACCTTGAAATAGAAAGAAAGAAAGCCGAAGAAGAAAAAATGATTGAACAAGGTAAAGCAGAATTACTTAAGATGATGGAAGAATTTAAATCAGGGGAAATTAATTGGGCTGATGAGGAATAGACATGGAATTTAGTTAATATGTTGTATTGTTATAGTGTAATTGTAGTTGTAATATTAATCAGCAGCCTCTAAAAATGTAGCACGCGTAGTGGGGTACCGTTTTTGTACATGCTCGCACTAATGTCCACACTACCCCAGTCGAAATATTCGCTCTTCAATTTTCTTCTGCGACACCACCAATCATCTTGAAACAAAAAACGCATCACTTTCACAAGGATATTTCCAATTGCTTTACAATCAATCTTAGAAAAACCATGATAAGAAGATTTAATTATTCTTCCAGACCGTTCAGGATACTTCGGTCAATACAACCACATACATGCCCTCCAATTTTAGGAACATCCACCCCTATATTTCGAAAGACATATTTTAACCTGCCACCCACTCAAAACCTTACTAAAGAAGAATATGAAAAGATAAAGTATGATCAACTAGTCAATGAGCTGTTGTTGAATACTATACAAGGGGCTACTGGTAGTAGTAATAGTAGTTCGGGTGGTAGTACGGAGCAACGGATGAAGGATACCAGAAAACTACCCATTAGCACTGTACTTCTTCTAATTGCAGCAGGAAGTTCACTTTCTATGTTGGTATACGTTATTGTTCAATATAGAAAATTTGAAAAGGAAACAAACGCTAGCGCCGGAAGTACTATAACGACAAGATCATTATTTCTCCCGCTTTGGTTTCATACTAATTGGTTCAATCGCAAACGATACCAATTCCCTCAAGGGATTAATTACTTTGATCAGGATTACCATGAATATATACTAACAGAAATGTGTCAGTTGAATAAGTCAAGTAACGACAACCTAGAGAATTATTGTTCCATATTGGAACAGGAAAATATCAAATACACTGTATTACAAAAGCTCTCATCCAATTCAAAAGTGAAGCAAATATTTGGACTTCCTTTAGTTATTGAGCTGATTGATATTTCCCAGTTTAAGATTTGGGTTGAATCGAAATACCCTGGGGTTTCAGGAATACGAATAGATATATCAAAACAAACCAACGAACAAAACAATGATAGTAGTACTGATGTAAATTTGCTGTGGTGTATTAAACCTATAAACTTTGGCTCAATAGTGAACAATATGTTAGTTCAATTAGGGTTGAAATTGGACCGACTAGAATCTTCAAATGCTGAAATTAAAACTCATGAAAAATCAAGTGGGAAAGTTCACGAAATGAAATTAGAAAAATCTAAACTTGTCCTTAATAAGAATCGTGATTATGATATTGCTTTTACTGGGAAATTATTAGTTATGGATAAGCTGAAAACTAAGCTGTGGACTTTAATTTATAAAGGAATTATTGATTTTGATCATTTGATGATTAATAGAGGAGTCAAAATTGTTTCAATGGATTTAAAGAGTGGTACAAGTGAAAACATTACCTATAAGATATTATAGTAGTGTCATTTACTGTTCCCAATTAGTATACGGGACCAAAGTAGCAACCAACCTGTACATACGCTACCAGGTATTATTTATATGCACACCACAAAATATTTTTTTTCTTTCCAGATAAGAACAATGAGGGGGAGCAATGAGATAAGCAATTTTTCAACAACAAAATTTAAAGCAAACAAACATGATACACCATTTTCTTCTTTGGTTTTGAATATGAATAACTCCAATGGAACTAAAAAGAGGAAACATACTCCAAGTGAAACAAGAAAGCTAGCTCAAGCATCACGTATACTAAAAGCTTGTGATAATTGTCGAAAACAAAAAACCAGATGTTTTAGATCACCAGAAAATCCAAATTCATGTGTCCGATGTCATGCATTAAATAAGTCATGTTCATTTGAAACATTTAACTTTGATCCATATTTCACTGATAATAACAAACTCGATTTGATTTATAATGGAATTAACGAAGTTTTGGGGCTATTAAAAAATACCCCCACAATGGTTGCAACTCCAATATCTAATAGTAGTTCGATCAATCTGCAACAACAGGAAAATGAAAAGGAGGATTCTAATGAATTTGTCGATGATAGCACACAATTCCAATCACCTCCAAGCTCGTTCATAACCAGTCCATTTTTAATTATTTCAAACCTGGTACCAGAAAGTGTTCCTTCACCCATACATAAGTTGTTGAATCCAAGCAAATACCACAGCGAGCCTAATGATGTCATATCACTTTCTATATTATCTGAATCCGATGCAATTACATTAATGGATGAGTTTAGACGGGATTTTGGTAAATGGATCTCACTACCAATTTATATATCAACTAAGGATTGGATAGACGAGATAAGAATAAAATCATCCCTTTTACTAACAACAGGTTGTTGTATTACGATTGGTAAAACAACAAGCTCTCTACCAGTTGAGCTATCTAATAAGTTGATACAAGATATGAATGAATGTATCTTGAAGTATTCATTCTATCATAGAAAAGATGGAATAATTGAATTTTTACAAGCAATGGTTTTACTATCAACGTATCTGATATCAATATCATCTTTGGTTCTAGATTCTGAAGCTAACCTAGACCTGTGGACATTATCACAAATTGGATTAAGTACATTTATTTCCAGTTCGACATTTGGTCATTTAAAAGCAACTAATGACGACATAACCTTAACTCAATTAAGAATATACAATCATTTATGTCTTACTCATTTATTTTATTGTATGATATCTGGACGAATGTGCATAATTGATGAAATTAGAATTAATCAATGTTATGGTACTTTAAGTTTATTAAATGCCACCAATTTTGATGGAAGAATGGTCGCTGAGATAAATATGATACTTATTACTTATACATTTATCCAATTGAATAACAATGTACAGGATTTATCAGAATTAGATCACAATTTGATGAATGTGTTGGAGGAAACTAAATTATGGTACCAACAATGGGAATACTTATTTTCACAACCTACCATTCAATTTGTAGAATTGAATTATCATTTTTGTACAATTTTGATATATTATGGATATGAATATCATAAAAGCAAAATAACTGGCCGTAAAGTTGAATTCTTGTCCAATGCTAGTTTGAATGTTTTGAATTATGCTAATGAATTCTCACTCATTGAGATGTTTAACCATGCTTATTCTTTAGTTAAGGAAATTAACAATTTAGAGGATGATATTGGGTTTTCTTATCTATCTGATCAAATTCATTTCTGTTTCTATTTTGCAGCTTTGTGTTTGATTAAGATTTTATATCAATGTACTACAGGAAAAGGATATAGCGAGCAATTATCAGAGAAGGAAAATGTTATGGAGGTAGTAAACACTTTAGTTGATAAATTTTCAACTATATCAAGAGGCGATTCAAATAATGCTGCATTCAAGTACAAATCAGGGATCGAACAAATTTTACAACTGCATTTCCCAGAGTATAGTGATTCTTCCTAGATAAATAAAAGAAGTGATGATTTTTGAAGTTATTCGAGTAAAATATACGTAGTTCTTAAGAGCAGATCTAATCTGAGTTCTTTGTAGTTCAGAAAACCCTAGATTCGTGAAGCCTTGTCCAATGTTTCATACTATTAATACCACTGCAGATATACCTTGAAAATGAAACACAAAGGTTTAATCACTTAAAACTTTCACCACCACGCATTCGTGTTTTTGTGCAGCAAAATGCCGTGCTTTAAATCCGAGAAACAATTCCCTTAAATTTTGCAACTGATCGATGTTTTCTCTAAAGATCTTGACCACTGAACTAAGGTATTACATGTTATTTACTCTATATATTACACTATTGTTTACAAATTATGTATGTTCTTTCTATAATGCTATTAACTCACTTCAAATGTCCTTTATAATTTCCTTCCATGTAATCAATGTGAACAAATGCTCTTTCCACATTAGGTAAACTCTCAATCGAATATTGTAAAGCTTCAGCAATATCATGACAATCTTTAAAACTTAAGTCAAATTTATCATTAGCAAAAACCAAATCAATCTCAACATTTAAATTATCACCCACATGATACACTTTCAATGCTGTTATTTGTTTGATAGGTTCGGCAAATCTGTATGCCAAGTATAGAATAACTTTGTAATCTACTGGTTCTGCCACTGCCCCTGTTAAATTGTTTATATGCTCAAAGGCAGTCATCCCCCAGTTGACAACAATGTATATAGATAATAGCAAGGCACCGAGGGGATCGAACCACCAAATATTGAACCAGTGACCAAGTGCAGGCATTAATAGCGATACAGTATTGAATACAATATCAGTCATGGCATCTTGTGCCAAAGCTTGCACAGAAGATGATCTACTACTAGAACACCAAATCCAACAACCAACCTTGGCAATAATTGTTATAGTCATAATTGCAATTGCATCGAAACCAATGACGGCTGGAACATGAGAGTCCGCAGGTGACATGAATAATTTCTTGAATGATTCCTGACCAACTTGCACAAATGAAATGATGATAATAATGGAGAAAATCAATATACCCAATGGCTCTAATCTTGATCTTCCCACTGGGTAAGAATGCTGAACCTTCCAATCTTTAGAAGTGGCTAGTCTGTTAACAATATAAATAATGAAAGTTGACAAGAAATCTAAAATCGAATCAACTAAAGATGCCACCACAGACATGGAGTTAGTTAAAATTGTAACCACGATTTTCCCAATAAGAAGCAAAATATTGATAAGGAAATTCACTAAGATTGCAGTTAGAACTTGACTTTGATGATCATCTTCGTCGTATCCTAATAATTTTGCAACATCTTGATCAATGTTCCCAGGAACGTCGTGCAATCTTGAATACTTGGTTCTAACGGTTGTGTCTATTGGTTTTTGCAGTTCTAAATCGTCGATAACGGGATTAAAACTAGATTGTCTTGACAAGACATTTTCATCCAATTCAGTAATATTATCTAATTTTGAACTATCTCCACTTGGTTGTCCATAAGTAGTCAACATATTATAATGGATCTTACCAGCATCAAGGAAATTATCAATTTCTTGAAATTTTTCAATCAATTCATTTTGTTCTTCATAATAACTTCTAACAGATCTTGACTTTATTTTCTCTAAATCCGAAATGTAATAGTCATACCAATTTGCAAGAGGTTTCCACTTACCAATTAATCTTGCAGGACGTAATGCATTGACAATATCAACAACACTCATTCTCCTATATTCACCACTAGAAGAAATACTTTGGTTATCTTGGAAAACTGGTTGTTGCTGAGAAGCAACAATGTTTTCAAATGGAGAATTTGGGTTTGTGACCGAATGATAACTTGATAATATTCTTTGGAAAAGTGGTCTTTCTGGTTGACTCTCAGTACTTCCTCTGGCACCAGGTGCTATACCTCCAGAACGGTTATATTCGTTGGTAAAGGAATACCGACGAGCTTGACATGACGATGAAGGATCTCTTGGGTCTATTGAGCCAGTTGATTGCGGACGGAAAATTGAATGTCCTGGTGGTGCTGATCGTCTATTATTTGGAGATGCAGAACGAGTCCGAGCGAATTTCTTGTTACTTGATCCATAATTGGTTGTGGATTGTTGTTGCACGTTAGAAGGCAACAACGGCTGATACTCAGTGCTAGTGGAATCTTCTTGTGACATGATAATAAACTTGGGTTGATGTCAATCAGCAGACAGATAATTGTGAAAAAGAAGTGGTGATCTGGAGAATATATACCAAGATATATGAGATGGGTCACAGATTCACAAATAATGAGTTTATTTTTTTTAGTTATGCCCCAAAAGGGAAAGCCAATAAATTTCTTGCGATGCAAGAGGTGAGAGCGCACATGTGCTCAGCCACTAGTAAAAGTGAAACTCCGAAGCAGCTCATAGTTTAATTGAGATGAGGTGAGATTAATAAAGTCTTTTTCTTTTGACTTATTAGACTTTGAGCTTATTTTGTTTTGAAACGGTGCTAAGTAGAGTAAGTATTGAAGGGATTTTAGATAAATCTAAGCAACAGACTAAATATTAATAAAGACAAATGCTGCCTCCAGAACGTATAAACTTGTATCGTATGGTAGTACTGGAATAATTAAAGTTCGTAATTTAGTTCAACAATATGGAAAAAGATCTAGGTCAAGTCATTGATCATTTTGTCATGACAAAGGCGGGATTAATTACGAAGCTTTATGTACAGGATTATTAACTATTGCACAGATATTTTTCACCAAATCCACAGATGATGTGCTCCGAGTATGACACAAGATATAACTCCTGGATATATCTTAATATTCCTTGTTTATCTGCTTTCCTGAAGAACTGGCTATGTAAGTTTTTATCAAGTAAAGGTGACTCTAATATTTTGTTAAACGATCGGCATACTTAATTCTGACCATAGCAGCATTTTCGGGTAGATTGCACTAGATTTTGAATACCAAAACTTCTTTGTTAAGTATCAACTTGATGTCTCTTGCCGATATTTCCGTCTTAAATATATTTGAATTGTATCTAATAATAAATATTCTTTGTTACTATGCTGAAATTCTTACTTCCGAGTTGATACACATCTCGACCAAGTTCAAGAACTATTGGTTGGTGCTCAGATCAACCATTTGGTCCAAACTGTTTCTGTATTTGAACCTGATATTTGGAAGAATACACTATATAACGTTGAAGTGTACATTGTTTCTTTATTCTGGTTTGACAAAGGATATATATATATAAAACGATTGGAAACCCCAGAATCAAAAAAAGTGAAGAAAAGCAAACAAGCAGCCGGATAGAATAATTTAGGAAGTTAGAGCATACCTTATAAATGATTCTGATCCAGACGTTTCTGTGGATAATCAAAAACCTGTTCATAATGATACTATAGTTAATATCGAAAGAGGGATTTTACGGGAAGGTATGAAAAATGAATACTTTAGTTGCACAATAGATATTATCACGCAGTACTTTATCATCTATGGAATCTGGAATTTACTATAGAGGTATCATACTCAATGTAAAAATGTACATTGCTACCGCCTAATCTTTTAGCAATTCCGTTTAATTGAATCTAGAACATTTTAAAAAATCCTCTATTCGAATTCAAACTCCTATTGTAACTCGGAACATATGGGTATGTATTACAGAGACATCTGGCATTGGTACTTCAGACAATTCTAGAACAATATTGCGGACTGTTGCATTCCACTGATGTATACTTCTAATATAACAGAATTACTTAGTGTAGAATACTCGGAAATATTTAACCGTTTTTCCTGTAGTGAAAATAGTCTCGTGTAAGTTTCAACCAAACATGGTAAAAAAAACGCGTCTGTTTACTATAAAAAAAGTAAGCGATCATGCATATTCTGATTTATGTTTATAATTCGCTTAACGAAGGTGAATCTATTAAGACGATTCAATATAAATCACTATATACATTACGTCATTAGTAAATCGGCTTCGCCCTGGTTTTAGTTGTCTATGTTTTCTTCTTTAATGGTTATCTATTCAACGCCTCCTTTCAACCTGGTTTCGTGGCTTTGCTTTTGATTTTCGCGAACCGAAAGGGATATTGTTCGCAACAAACATCGAAAAAAAATATTCTCTTTGAAAATTCCTTTTTAACAATCTTTCCATGTAGAGTTGATGTTTGAGAGGAGTACATCCTTAGAACCATCAAATGATCAAGAGTTGAGATTGGTATAACCTTTTGCTTTATGGTTTTGATTTTATAATCTCGAAAATTGTAATTGGTAAAGTACGCGCGCGCGCGCACACACACACACACACACACATACTAGTACCTATAAATGGTAGAACCCCACCGTTACCATACCAGGTAATATAATAACAATTCCAAATATGTTCCTTTTCGACCCCTACCTAGTTATGTTAGAGCACTCAATGGATTCTGGTTAAATTTCGGGAGAATTTATCAGCTGTTTCAGATACGATTCAGGTGATTACTACCGAGTTAGCAACCGCCGAAATGTTTTAAACAGGTATTTTTTAGTTTTGTTCTCCAAACAATGGCACTGCTGTTTCACCATAAAAATCTCTACAATATATAAAGCCAAGATCGCATCCATATATTTCTAATGCTTCTCTATTTTGATTCAACATCATTTGATCATACAGATCTAGCCATTCCTTTAAAAAAAACTAACTTAAGTCTTTCCTTTTATTCATAAAGTTCAGTTTTAGAATCTACAATGAAGTTTTCACAAGTCGTTTCAATTGCCTTGCTTTCAGTAGTTGCTCAATCGGCTATTATCACTAAGACCGCCACCGATACCAGTGTAGTCACTGTTGTTATTGATCCAGTTACAGTTGTCGTTAAGCCTCAAAAGCAAGCAGCTCCTACCTCAACTCAAGTTTCAGTTGAAGCTGAAGATCCAGCTCCAGCTCCAAAAGAACAACCAATTGAAGTTCAAGCTCCAGCTCCATCTGAAGCTCCCCAACCAGTTTCATCTCCATCTGAAGCTCCTCAACCAGTTCCATCTCCATCTGAAGCTCCCCAGCCAGCTCCATCTCCATCTAAAGCTCCTACCGCAGCACCTAAAAAACAACCTGTGGTTAAATCAGAAGGTAAGTCTACCGATCAAGGCGATTTCAGTGGTGTACGTGATCTTGAATTCTCCAAACAAATTCTTAATGCACACAATGAAAAGCGTGCCGCCCATGGTGTTCCTGCATTAACATGGAGTAAAAAGGTTTATAACTTTGCACAACAATATGCTGATGCCTATGATTGTTCTGGTAATTTAAAACATTCTGGTGGCCCATTTGGTGAAAATTTGGGTGTTGGTTATAAGACCGCTGCATCTGTTGTTGATGCATGGTATAACGAAGGTAAGAATTACAATTACAACACCAGAACAGTTTTGGATCACTTCACCGCTGTCATTTGGAAATCAACCACTCAGTTGGGTTGTGCTTATAAAGATTGTTCTCTGAACAATTGGGGGTTATATATTATTTGTAATTATGACCCAGTTGGTAATGTTGCTTCTGATGAATATAAGAAGGATAACTTATTACCACCAATTAATTAGGTATTACATTGCTGGAAATGTTTTTTTGAAATGTTTGATTTAAATATTATATGTTTTAGTTATTTCAAATAGGGAGGAGTAAATTTATATAGTAAATTATGTATGAATTTTACATTAGAAGAAAATCAAAACAAATCAATTTTTAGAAGGCTTCTAAAGTTTTTATAAAATTGCTGCGAATCTGGATGTAAATTGTTTTTTTTTACAATATTAGGTGGTCTTATAGTTATTGTCCACTTTAATCATCATCAATAAACCCCAATTCGAGCCAATCTGTTTGACCAATGGCTGCTTTATAAAGTTTTGGAACTTCACACAAATTAATATGTTAAGCACATGATAGAACAACAGAGGATGTTTCCCTGGTAAACTACTTTCCAAAATATTTATAAACTAGCAGTTTTTTTGAGCTTCTCAATAGAATATAAATAAAACTACCTTTCGTACCAGTTAAAAGGATAAGGGACCATGATGTATAAAACTTGTAATACTAGATGAAAGATAAATTATATTAAATGTCCAAAGTTTCGAATCATGTGCTCAAATTTCTCTAGTGTGTCAATTATGGGCTTTTTTTAAGGGTAAAACACAGTTTGATTTCCACAAGTTTCAAATAAACATATATTGAAACATTTTCAGTTATGTATGGTTTTTATCTTGCACCAACTACTAAACGTATTATAGAGTATGGTGTTTATTCCAAACTACAAAATATCCCGTTGTAAATATTGAAAGTTAATTTTTTGCAGATGTCGACCAAAAGTATTTTATTTTATTACTTGCTATACTATTTATTGCTTAAACTGTTAACCCTTCTTGGATACTTTTTGGGAATATTAAAGAGTTAGCAACACACCCGAGAATATCTTACCATTTGTCATATAAAGGTTCCTGTATCTAACAATATCAAGAGAATGAACATTAAGTTTTACCAGTAGCCAATTAAATAAAAGTCGTGAAAGTTTTGATCAGTTCCGCGAGATCACGCTTACCGGAGGTAAATTTTTGGTACATATTGAATATATATTATTTTTTAGAACAAGGTTGACAGATCGTGTAAAGTTCCAAATAAGGAAATAGTGGAGATTTACGGTAAACTAAAAGAGCCACGAATGCATAATTGATTGTATTTTCGCAAAACAAATGCCGATTGATGGGATTCGATTTAAATTAGTAAAGAGTACCTGATTCTCAAAGCAGTGAATTTTTGATTTGTCTGTGTATGCCTTTTTTTGGTTAGCTATATGTATTGCTGTGTCATTATCCTTCCAAAATTTCTTTTAATAGATATATTTGGTTCTGGGAATAGAGCAAGAGCTGATACCTTTCCTGCCCTTATAGAAAATATTCCGAGACAGATTCATTGATTGGTATTGTTCTTCAGTTTTTTTAGCTCGTCTCATTACATAAGCGAATAATAAATCGTATCATTTTTACTTAAAAGCCTTGTCCTGCATTTAGCAAAAGTTTTTTGCAGCATAAACGAAGAAAACTATTTTTTTAAACATGCTGTCAATGTTAAAAGGCTATTTGAGGATCATCAAACTATATCTAACAGATAGTTTGTATGTCTGTTTTGCCAATACTGTTCATTTTACGTTACGAATTCATCATACGTAAATATCGCTACAAGTGTAAAAAAGTTATCATTTCAAGCCAGCTTTTTTTCATATCTGGTAAAGGACATCTCGTCAATTATCACCAAAAATGTGACATTTGAGCTATGCATTATTATGCAAGTTACTATTGTGAAGATACAAGTTTGCACAGAAATAACGTAAATCCAATTCTTCATGACATGAAACATCTAATTGATTATTATCATCAGACAGAGTAACAAGGAAAATATTCCTAAATCCAAGAACTGTATAATTCATCGAATGTTGTTATAATACATTCTAGTAAACTCAAATCGCTGCATGCCAAGAAACTTGCCCAATCGAACCCCTTTATTTTAAGACACATGGAGGCTTCCATCCACATATGCATAAATTTAATAGACGAGCTAAAACAAAAACTAGTAGAAGCTTAGCCCTAAGGCCTGAGTATTAGTTTCTTGATGTTTTGGAAATTCCGGGACCTGCCGCTGTCTATTGTTTGTTAATGAAAAATATCTCGCAAAATAAAAAATATTAATATAGCTGCAAATTGTAATTGAAATAATATCCAAAATGAATCGAACGTGTATTATTTTTTTTGAATTCAACACAGTCTGTTTCCCTCGTCAATTTCCATACTCTTGAATTACAGAATATATAAAGCTCAATTGTTTCGTGAATCAATGACTCTCTCCTTCAATTCTCAGACACTACATTCAAAAATATCATGTACTTAATTGTTCAAATCATATTGCTATTGCAAGTTGTACTTGCTGCTACTTCTACGTCTAAGGGATACGCTCCTTTTGCTGTTAGTTGTCCAGCTGGACTGTTAACCAGAGATGCCAGTGGTATAAACTCAAACGAAAAAACATATATTACTAACCGTCAATCAATGGCCAAGTCTGCCTTGGCTACTTTCCTTAACAATGCCAAATTAAAAGACTTTGACGTCCCTTCATTCATGAAACAAGCTCTGCCAAAAATTGGGTTGGCCATTAGTGGAGGAGGATATCGTTCTATGCTTACTGGGGCTGGAGAATTAGCAGCTTTGGATTCTCGTACTTCTTCTAAAGACAAGACTTTAGCTGGTATCTTGCAAGCTTCCAGCTATATTACAGGTTTATCAGGGGGTAGTTGGTTAGTGGGAAGTATTGCTGCAAACAATTATTTATCCGTTGACAAAATCCTTGCCGATGGAAACTTATGGAACCTTAAATCCATTTTGAACTATTATAGTAGTACAATTTCCAATGTTCTTATGTGGGCTGAAATTGGCAAACAAGTTAATGATAAATCCAAAGCAGGTTTCAACACTAGTATCACTGATCCATATAGCAGAGCCATTTCCTACCAATTTTTGAGTAACTTTAACGATAACGGTGCTGGTGTTCTTTGGTCAGATGTCACTTCTAACTCAGCTTTTAGAGCTTTTCAAATGCCATTCCCTATTTTAGTTGCGGATGCAAGAGACAATTATATTTCCAACTTGAATTCCACAGTGTTTGAAATAACTCCTTATGAACTTGGTTCATGGGATCCAAGTTTAAAATCATTTGTTCAAACTAAATATCTCGGTACCAACTTAGACAGCGGAAAGCCTACCGGTATATGCTACAATGGTTATGACAATACTGGTTTTGTCTTAGGTACATCCTCATCTTGGTTCAATCAGGCTCTTTTGAAATTGTCGAATTCTCGTCTTCCATCGTTTCTTTCCAATCTTATTACCTCTGTTGCTACCTCAAATATCCAAGTTGCTCATTACAAACCCAATCCATTTTACAAGAGTTCTAAACAAGATACTAGTATTTCTAAGAGCTCATCATTGGACTTGGTTGATGGTGGTGAAGATGGTCAAAATCTCCCATTACTTCCATTACTCAATAGAAAAGTTGATGTGATATTTGCTTATGACAACTCAGATAACATCAACCACTGGCCCAACGGATCTGCTCTTATTAAAACTTACCAAAGACAATTTGTTGCACAAGGTAAGAGCTTTGCATTCCCACATGTTCCTGATCACAAAACTTTCCGTAACTTGAACTTGACTTCCAAACCAGTATTCTTTGGTTGCGATGCCAAAAATTTGACCTCATTAACCGCTAATATCTATGATGTCCCTCTTGTTATTTACTTACCAAACCGTCCATTCTCCTACTGGTCTAATACTTCTACTGCCAAATTAGAATATTCAATTACTGCACGTAACAAAATGATTCAAAATGGTTACGAAATTGCCACAAGAAAGAATGGTACTTTAGATTCTGAATGGGCTGCTTGTGTTGGATGTGCTATCATTAGAAGAGAACAAGAAAGATTAGGTAAAGCTCAGACTGACCAATGTAAACAATGTTTCAAGAAATACTGTTGGGATGGTACTATTTATCGCGGTGCTGACATAGGTGATAACTATAGTGACACCGGGTTGACTAAGCTTGCTACTGCCTACAATTCCCAGAATGTTGCTGGTTTTAATGATGGTAGTTCTGACTTCTAAGTTAGTTAATATTGTTAATTAGAGTAAGCTTTATTATTCTATTTGAAGCTTTTTGTTTTTGTTTTTTTGCTAGTATGAGTTTTCGATTACATTGCTGATGTATGAAATTAAGTCAGAATAATGTATACTGGAAAATGTCCAGAGTTTGAAATATTTTTGTATGCTGTTAGAAAAGATAATAAATTTATTTATTAAAAACACATATCGAGTTGTCTGTAATAATTTCTTCTTGGGAATAATATCACAAGTATGAAATCAAATTCTTGAAGGTAAATGTCATTTAGGATTTGTGAAATCTCAACGTCCAGGTAGATTTGTCTAAAAATCATCTGTTGTGCATAATGTGACATAGAATAAATGATTCATTTTCAAAAGTAATATATTTCGCCATTATAAGGCGGCTCGAAAAATATTATTTGTGTTGTTATTATATGAAACCTTCGTTACTTCTGTAGGAATAGTGAGGACATGCTCAATGAATAAGCGAGAAAGTTTGTAGAAATATTTATTTGGATTTATCTCCTCAAAATAGGTCGATCTATATATTGTTAACGCCTTAATTTCCGGGTAAACCGGAAAATGTGCTGTTACGAAGTCTGTTGAACCTAGTGTATCTTTAGGAATAACCGAATCCAGCGTATAATCTGATCAGACAAGCGGGATTTAAATAAGCCGACTCAATCTACAGGTCCTTCAAATAAGGTAAAAATGATAAATTACCAACACCCATTGAAACCAGATCCAAGGAGACAAAATATATGGCTACAGAACTAAATCATAATAAAGTAACAGATACAACAAATTTGGTGAGCCATTAATGCTACTAGAGCCTGGTTAGTTGATTAGTAAAATCTGTGTATCCTTGTTTTATCTGTCAATACTTTTCTTGGCTATCCGTATATTTTTATTCTGTAATGCTTTTCTTTACTTCTGAATCTAAATTTGGGACCGAACGCATTCTTTCAGCCGATATAGAAACATATTCATACATGTATATCTTCATTTCGTCTCTTTTTAGCTCGTCTAATTACATCAACGAAAAAAAATCGCTTCATTTTATCAATAATCCTATCCTGCACACCAGAGAATTTACTGGATGAGCCTGGAAACTATTTTATAACCTTTTATTCATGTAAATTGATTATTTGAGATGAGGTAAGTAGGCTCACGCGACTTGTGAAACCAGAGTTCTGTTAGTTTATACGTGATAAACAGTTATGATCCTCTTGTTTGGCAATGTCAGGTAAATATAACAAGTCCATAAATGATTTTTTGTTTGGCCAAAACCCTATATTTTGAATATAACTTTCAATAAACCGTCATCAATTATTGCCTGAGTAGGTTTCACATATCAGATATGCTTTATTATGCACGTCAGCTCCGTATCGTTATTAAATAGCACGAGAACTTATACGAAGTTATACAAAATTTCGAATATTTTTTATATTCTCAAGGCAGTAGAACTCGTGCTGCAACTTGCGAATTTTTATTTTGCAATATATAAAGAGTTATTTAAATCAAAATTATTCGAGATATTCTTCACGTTCTTCTAATTGTGAACCATTAAGAATTCTCTAAAGTCTTCAAAAAATAGTCCAGTATTAAACCTCCAATGAAGTTTTCAAACGTTCTTTCCCTCGCTTTACTTTCGATTGCTGCTCAAGGTGCTGTTTTACCAGGAACGGATGAAGCTGATGCTCCAGAAGTTGATGTAATTGCTGTTGCTCAACGTGATATTTCTGAATCTGATGTTCCTAAAATTGATGTGGTCGCTGTTGCCCAACGTGATGTTTCTCAAGAACAAGAAGTGGATATTGAAAAACGTGGGTTCGGTATTGTTGCCGATATTCTCTTCGTTACTGAAATGTTCACTCTTCATAACTTAAAGCGTCTTCGTCATGGGGTTCCTCTCTTAAATTGGGACCTGGGTTGTTATAAACACGCTCAGAATCTTGCAGATAGCTACGACTGTTCGGGTAATTTCCCAGACCCTGGTAATGAATATGGTAACAATCAAGGTACAGGAAATAGCAACCCAGTTACTGTTGTTGCTGATTCTGCTGTTGTTGTCGATAGTTGGTATGCCCCAAGTACTAGTTATAACTACGGCAATCCAACTGCCATGAATCTGTTTACCAACCTTGTTTGGAAATCAACTACCAAGGTAGGTTGTGCTTACAAAGATTGCAGAAGTAAGAAGAGAGGTTATTATTATACCTGTAGTTATGATCCAGCTGGTAATGTTCCAAATTTTGGTAAACAAAACATTTTCCCACCAAAATAATAACGGTTTTTATTTCCCTTTTATGTTATATATCTAGAGTGGATGAATAAATTAAAAGAAATTTATGACTTTTGTATGTAGAAAATAGTATGATAATAAAATTAATCCTAGCAATAATTATTTAACTAAATCATTATGAGTTAAAAAGTACCATTGAAAAGGAACAGATAAAGTCCACGGTCTGCAGACCGTTACACGAATCAGAATTGAATTCCTATAATCAATTCAATTTATTTGTTCTACATAAACAATTTAAGAATCACTATCTTTCATAATCAGGCTAGCATTTCTAATTATTGAACTTAGTGGTAACCCAATCACTACTGATTAGATTTTGTTCACATGGTAGCGGCATGGATAATTTAAACTTGATCTCAACAAATGATACATGTAGTCTTTTTCTATATATGTTGAAAGCTCAACAATTTTTTTTTATTGGAAATTCATAAAAGTTTATTATTGTAAATTATAGTTTATCAAGAACGTCAAAAATTCTCCCTTCGAACATTCTCCTGAAATCGATTACTAGAACTCTTTTTTTTTACGACTTAAACACGTTAAAATTCAAACCACTGTTTACAAACTTGAATTGATACATCTTATAGAAAGAATGCCAGATCAAATTCATAATGAATATCATCATCAGCTAGAGTTTATGTTTTTCTTTGCATTTTATGCATTCATAGCAAAATTTGGAGGTGTTTTCGGTCCTTCAGGCAACCAACTATATGAATCTTTGTCAAATGAGGATCAACTAAATGCAAGGTATGAAATTTTTGACCAATTTGTTGAAGTTGCACGTAAACATACCCTGAAACGTTATAAGGAGTTATGTAAAACAGCAGAAGGCAGGAAAAAGTTTGATGAAATTGCAAAAATGTTTGGCTTTACCAAAGCCACGAAGGATGTTCAGATCCACGATGAATTTCTGCATATGGTCTACATGACAGGTACCCCGATGGAAAGATTGGTATATACTCTTCGTGTTGCCGTAGCTAATTTGTTTGGTGATCCTATATATCCAGATAATACTCACAGTATTGATGTATTAATATTGACTACGTTTATGAATGTTTATATCCATAAAGCTTGCGAAGACGATAAATTAAAAATGCCCTCTTCACTCAAATACTTTAAAAAAGGTAGTTGGGAACAAGAACTGAAATTAGATAAGTTAAGAATGGAGTTTTATAACTTGGTTGCATTCTATAATGCATTGCCTACAATTTCTGGGAATGACGATATTTAAATTGAAAAACTCGTATTAGAGATTGCTTTTCTATATATATATATATATTTATGCATATAGCATATTAATTCTATGCTATATAATTGTTGTCGCATACTTTCGAGTTGCACCAATGTTAGTAAATGATAGTAAAATGATACCGTTTGTATATAGAAATATATATACGATTTATTTGGAGGCGTAAATAAACCTTAGGAAATACATGAAAACCCAGTCTTAACTTAACCTTGTCCCATAAAAGAATCGGGTTTTACGTATTTTAGCATTAAACCTTATTGTAGCTCGTAATATCGTATGATCTAGAGCATAAGAAAAAATTATGTCTCAAACCAGAATCTACGTATAAATTGAAATGGCTAATCTTGGATTTTACAAGTGTAACATCACTCGTTTTCTCTACAAAAATGCCCCAACGAATCCACAATTCACATAAAGATCAACTCGAGCTTATATTCTACACTGCTTTTATCGCCCACCTTCAGCACTGGGGAGGATTAATTGGTCCGGACCTTGATCCTAATTATTGTACAATGAACACCACAGACCAACTTGATGCAAGATATAAAATCCTGGACCAATTTATAATGGTACAACGAAAATATGTCTATAAACGCTATATGGAAGTATGCGAAACAGAACAAAGCAAAATAAAGCTTGATGAAATTGGAAGTGTTTTTGGCTTTAAATATGACACAAAGCATATTGAACCTAATAATTTAATGTACTTGAAAGGTACTGCCGAGAAAAGACTAACATATACCATTCGCGTTGCCATGTCTAATTTATTCGGTGATCCTATATATCCTGATAAATGTTTTAGTATTGATCTGTCTGTGTATGATATGTTTCACAGCAAGCTAATCCTCAAAGCGTGTAGGGAAACAGGAATAGAAAAACCATCTTCACTTGAATTTTTTAATTTAAGTGAGGATAACCTGAAATTAGATAAGTTAAAATTAGAATTTAATAACTTGGTTGCCTTTTATGCTGCGTTGCCTACCGTTGAAGACAGGGAGGAATAGAAAAACTTGGTTTTCGCTGTTTGCACATATATCATTGTAATTATTTCCAGAATCTCTGTAAAGATATTTGTGAAGATTCCAACCGATTTTACATCCTGATCTTCCAGTATTACTTGTTTGTTTAGTTTATGTAGAGAATATATCTTTTTGTGGTCACTGTTGCTAAAAGTGTTAAATTAAGAATAAGGATCTACGTCTTTCATATATTAAGAATACACTGGATAAAAGTTTTCCTTATGAGTTTTGCGTAGAAGTAACTAAATTTGTTTAGAGTTCCTATATTTCCTGATAATTCGCTCAGTATTAAAGTATCAACAACGATTGTATTTGTGCATGAATATATATCATTAGGGCTTAAAAAGAACCTGGATTGTCAAATTCATTGTTACAAAGGTTTTTTGAACCAAGTGAACGGGAACCAAGTCAAATTCTGCATCGAGTTCTATAATTTGGTTGTCTCTTACAAAACTTTACCACTCTCAAGATGATAATAATACTTGAAATATAATCCCTTAACATTAAATAATCAAAACAATTGTGACATCCATCGCCTGTTTTCTAAATTTAATCCAGTTACAATCGCTAGGATAAAGTCCAGATTGATTTGCAACCCTATGATACTCAGTATTACCCGGATGTGATGTTGGTAGGGACACGCCAATTGTAAAACACTTGAAAAAAAATTTTTTTGCGAATGAAGAATAAACCAACCCTCATCTTCTTTTTCCTTTAACCAATAAACAAGTTTACTTTATTTGAATATTGCTATTTATTAACGAAATTCCTGCTCTATGATTCATAATAATGTCTATCAATTGGGTATGTTCTATTGATTTCAAAGGTATAACCACAAACAACACTAGAGGATAGTATCCCACGTCTTGGCCAAGTTTTAGATGATTAAAACTAAAGATGTAACTATTTTACTGAGGATGTATATGCAGGACAAAATAATTAAGGAATTCTTCGTTTATGATTTCTAAATAAGGCTTTAAGTGGTTGTGAGTGATTTATTGGATTCAAAACTAACAATAATTTAGTATGTGAGATTTTTTATTAATTAATATAAAACTTCTAAATGATGAATTGTTTCACAACATTCTGTCCGGTGAACCCTGATCCAAGGATAAAACATGCATCACCATCTGACTTTTAAGTTTTGTACTCGTCCTTTAGGTTGACTTGTGCGTTTTACTAACCTTTGAAGATTTTTTTTTAGAAAATGTTGAATAGATGACATTGTTATATCATAACTAATAGGTATGTTCCATAAGTTTATTTACACATGGTTTCTCTTTTAAATGATGAAAAACTTAATTTTCAGTTCTGCTTCTGAACCAAAAATTCTATGAAGATAACCTTTTACCAAAGCTCAATATCTGAAGTTAAAAGAGAATAGTGTGGAAAATGTACTTTTTGTTACTTTTTACTAACTATAATTTAGGAGTTTGTAATGTATATACGATGTTCAATAAAAGCAAACTATCTAAATATTAAAAATAACAACCTTTCCGTCAATACCAGAGGTAGAAACTTGCTTTGGAGAGTAATTTCTAATACTACTGATAGAATTTTGATGAATAGTATCTAAACCTCTTGAACCACTGGTTGCACTTGGCTTATTAACTCTACCCTTCAAATCCATTTGCTTGAACATGTTCAAAGCTTGATGAGAACTGATCTCTTCTTCATCGTCATCATCATCTTTATCATGAGCAACTTCTTTTGTTAAATCGGTTTCTTGTTCAATCTTGTAACCTTCATTCCAACTGGATACATCTCCTTCGAACACAATCAAATTGCAGTTGAATCCTCCAACGACAATCTTGTTTTCAGTAATCCAAGCTAAAGATTTAAATGGAAGATAATTAGTCTTGATATTCAAAACAGCTCTTGGTTCTAAACCTTCACCTGCAGGATAAACAACTCCAATTGAAGAATCATGAGAAACATAGGCTAATGAATCACCACTTGGACTAAACCTAACATAATGAATCCATGCTCTTGTTTCATTAGTATAATCTCCACACAAGATTTGGAAAGGTAATCTCGAACCCCAGACTGTAGGTTCTGGTTTTTCGTCAATTCCCTTAATGAAAGCACTGAAGACACGAACATGACCATCGGTAGATCCACTTGCTAAAAGCACGGAATTTGGATGCCAGTCTAAGCTAGTGACAGTTGATTTGATTGGTTTTTTCAAATGTTTAGAAATCCACCAATCATTTTCAGCCTCGTAATAACAAACCGCAATAACTCTGTCAGAAGAACCAACAGCAAACTTTTGTCCATCTGGAGACCATCTACAACAAGTAGCAGCACGGTTGATACGTAAAAGGACTAAAGTTGGCTTGTATTCACCAGTGGAATTTTCCCATACCAAGGCATTTCTGTCTTGAGAACAAGTCAAGATTTTTGATCCATCAGGGGAAATGTCAACTGATGTGACGGTCTTGTCATGTCCACGTAAAGTAGTAACAAGAACTGGTTTTCCGGATGAAACATTGTAAACTTCAACTTCATTGGATTTGGTGATTGCTAAAAGAGATCTGTCAGGGGAAAAGACATGGTCTTTAATTGGTAAGTTACCCAATTGGAAAATTGCTGCTGCTGGAGAAGACATGTTTATGGAGGCTTTTTGGATTTGTTGGATTGATAGTCAGGAGTGAATCTCTCTACTGATTGTTCAATTGATAAATTGAGTAGAAAATGGGGCATAATTATCTGACACTTTTCGACAGGATAAAAAAAATCCGCGCCACTATGCCAAAAAAAAAAAGATACTTCGTTAATGCTGGCTGAAATTTATAGGTCCTATACAAAAATATATATATAGCTAGTACACACTAGTTGTCTTTGACAGAATCTTGTTCTTGCCTATCTTGGATGCTCAACTTAATCTTCTTCCAATAATGACTAACTTTTTCATTCTTTACCTTTGACATTTCATAATCCAATCTTTCAATAATAGCACCAAATAATCTTCTAGTTTCTTTATTGTACAAAATTCTAAGCCAATAGAAAATCAAAAACAACACCAATTGAAATCCAGAGCCACCTCTAAAGAAAATAGTTCTAAGTAACAAATAAACAATCAAAAGCAATTCATCATAAGCAATCAACGAAGAAATGAATTCGGATTCTTTTTGAATAATTGAAACTTCTTTCCAGTTCCCGATATGTAAAATTGATAACAAGTAAAAAGGAATAATCTTAAACACAGACTTAAATGAGACAATCCAAACTGCAGCAAGGATAAGGTATTGGAAATTTTGTTGAGACAACATAGAAGCAGGCGATGGCAAATATCGTAAACCAAATTTCTTACTAAATGTAGCCAACATGGCCATAATTGCACCAATAAAGGTTAATCTATAGCAGATTGAGTTTATATAATACTTGTTGGGTAACCAAAAGAATTGGAATAATAATGAAATTGATCCAAATCCTAAGGTTAAGAAATGCCCAACTTGCCATATTTTGAATTTTAATGGGTTGGTGGTTTTGTTGCATCTAACGAGCTTACGCTTCTTCATCATTGCTAAATCTTCTTCATCGTTAGGAATGGCATCCTTAGATGTTTTTGGGTCTACCTTTGATGGTTGAGTGGTGGTAGCTTCGTTCGTAAGAACTGTTGTTGATCCATTGGCACTGGCATTGGAGGACATTTTGAATGATTCACTTTCTATTAACAAGTAGCTGGTTAAAGAAAGACAGGTTAAACCCAACTGAAACGGAATTTTGACAGCCAGGGGAAAAAAAAAAAAGACTCGCTAGTCCGATGAAATAATTTTATTGTGCAGGAAAAAATATAAATTGTAAACAAGTCAACCAAACATCAACAAATCAAGTTTATTATTACCAGACAGCAGTTCACATTTACAGCAATATAGATCAAAACCATGTCCTCTAGAGCTGTTAGTGTTACAGATTCCGACGCTACAAATGTCTCTGCCAATTTTACTGACTTGGAAAAAGAAGTTCTTTCTGAATACAAAACATTGCTTGTCCAATTGACAACATTAAACGAAGATGTTAAAAGATTAATTCAAACCCACGACAGTTTTGATAATCAAAATGTTCACGGTTTAATGGAAACATGGCAACAACTAGAAAAGCAATCCGGGGTAGTGAACAAAGTTTTTGAAAGTGCTCTCTATGATTTAATTAGGAATTATGATGGGGCTGAATTACCACAACAAGTGAGCTTTGAAAAAATGGAATAAAAGAATGGGCAGTAATGAGAAAGCTGAAACAGAGAATGAAAGAACTAAGGACTAATATACATAAATTGAATGAGAATCTGCTAATAGATAAATGGATACACATGGCAATAGATGCATTTCAGAACGAAAGTAATATTTGAGAAGATCTAATTCGTTGTTCAAGTTGGAATGTAAATGGGGCCATTTTAGTCTTTTTTTTTAAAAAAAAAAAGTGAGTATAACTGTGTTGCCAAAAACAGAATTTCAAAAGCGGGGAAGCCTGTTTAGAGGATTTTATTCGTCTACGGAAGCCAATAGTTAGTAATAGAGGTCATTTAACACTGTTGGATATAACATATTTAGCTGTATTAGTTTTATGCTATTTAGATGTAGGCATGACCAATATTATTCAATCACGTGCAAGTTCCAGAGTCAAAATTTAGTGGGTGGTTTTCTACAATATAATGAAATCTCATCTTAATATATTTTTTCTCCAGAGATTTTCATCCTATTAAAAACCCTCTAGTTTTCTTCTTTATCCAATTCAATTGGCAATTGACTAGCAAACTACGAAAATGTCTGATAACGATAAATACTCTACTCCATTATCTTCAAGATATGCATCTGAAGAAATGTCCAAGATCTTCTCCTTGAGAAACAGATTTTCAACCTGGAGAAGATTATGGTTGAACTTAGCCATTGCTGAAAAGGAAGTTGGTTTGAGTATGATCACTGATGAAGCAATTGAACAAATGAAGAACCATTTAGAAATCACTGACAAGGAAATTGAAGATGCCGCTAAGGAAGAAGCAATTGTTAGACACGATGTCATGGCCCACGTTCATGTTTTCGGTAACACCTGTCCTGCTGCTGCCGGTATTATCCATTTGGGTGCTACTTCTTGTTTTGTTACTGATAATGCTGATTTGATTTTCTTGAGAGATGCATATGATGTTCTCATTCCTAAATTGGTCAATGTCATTGACAGATTAAGTAAATTTGCTTTGGAATATAAGGATTTACCAGTCTTAGGTTGGACCCATTTTCAACCAGCTCAATTGACCACTGTTGGTAAGAGAGCTACTTTATGGCTTCAAGAGTTATTGTGGGATTTAAGAAATATGGTTAGAGCCAGAAATGATATTGGTTTAAGAGGTGTTAAGGGTACTACTGGTACTCAAGCTTCTTTCTTGTCTTTATACCATGGTGATCATGATAAAGTTGAGGAATTGGACAAACGTGTTGTTGAATTGTTAGGGTTTGACACTGTTTACCCATGTACTGGTCAAACTTACTCTAGAAAGATTGATATCGACGTTATTGCTCCATTGGCTTCTTTTGGTGCTACTGCTCACAAGTTCGCTACTGATATCAGATTGTTGGCTAATTTGAAGGAAATTGAAGAGCCATTTGAAAAGTCCCAAATTGGTTCTTCTGCCATGGCCTATAAGAGAAATCCAATGAGATGTGAACGTGTCTGTTCTCTTGCTAGACATTTAAGTGGATTGTTCAACGATGCTGTCCAAACCGCCAGTGTTCAATGGTTTGAAAGAACCTTGGATGACTCTGCTATCAGAAGAATTTCCTTACCTTCTGCTTTCTTAACTGTTGATATTTTATTATCTACCATGTTAAACATTACCAGTGGTTTAGTTGTCTATCCAAAGGTTATTGAAAGAAGAATCAACTCTGAGTTACCATTTATGGCTACTGAAAACATTATTATGGCCATGGTTGAAAAAGGTGGTTCCAGACAAGATTGCCACGAAGAAATCAGAGTTTTGTCTCACCAAGCCAGTGCCGTTGTTAAGCAAGAAGGTGGTGATAATGATTTGATTGAACGTATTAAAAAGACTGAATATTTCAGACCAATTTGGGATGATTTGGATAAGCTTTTGGACCCAAGCACTTTTGTTGGTAGAGCTCCTCAACAAACTGAAAAATTCGTCAAGAATGATGTTGCTAATGCATTAAAGCCATTTGAAAAACACATCACCACTGAAAATGTCGCCTTAAAGGTTTAGAGTTTTTCTTTAGTTTATTTCTTGTTTTTATATTTTAGGAATATATGAGATTTGGTAGAATATCTTGTAGAAATGTAAGCTATATAGAAATGTGAAATTTTTTTATTAATGCTATGAAATCTATTCTAATTCTGTTGTTCTATAATCTTGTCAATATCTTCAACTTCTTGCAATTTGAAATCTTGAGCAAGACTAATACTTTGTTTATTATCAGTGGAATGAAGCAACTTAGCCAATTTAGCTTGAGGACCCCATCCATTTACTGGTGGGTTCAACTTAAATGGTAATAACCAGCTAGTAATGGCAACAAAATTGTCAGAAAGGGATGTTAATTCATGGACCAAATCTTCAATACAGATAAGACCTAAATCATTACCAAATTGATCTTCAACTAATTGATTTGTGTCAAGTTTGGCAACCTTGGTAGATTCTGGATTTTCATCATCTGGAACAAGGATACGAGCTCTCTTTTGAAATAATTGTCGCACAGAGTTTAATGATGGTTGACCGACAATAACATATGGAGCGATCAAGGTTAACATATCCATAACTGTAGGGGTGGCCTTGACAAACACAGCGGTATTTACTTCAGTTAATTTCAAGACTGTTAATAATTGGTTAGCTTTGGTTGGAATCTTTAAACCCTTGGTATGATTTGGGATTCTGATAAGGAATAATAATTTGGCATTACCTTGAGTTTCTTCTTCGGATAAAACTTGTTGCTTCTTCTTAGTCAAGTTTTTGATTCTCTTCTTTTCTAATTCATTTGATTTGTGGTTACTTACTAAAGTTTCAGCTCTAATAAATTTATTTTCTTGTTGCTTTTTCTTGATTTTCTTTTGGGTAACAGCCTTTTCACGAGCTTGTTCTTGTTTCTCCAACCTCTTTCTATCAGCATTCTTTCTCTTACGTAAGAGTATTTCGGGATTAGAATTTAAAATAGCCATGGTTGTTCAATATAATTATGATACTTCTTTAAAGATCAGTAAAAATTGGTTCAATATTTTTTTTTTTTGAGATGACATCGCGAACTGTACTGAGGTTTGGATTTTTTTTTCGGGCCACAACAACAGTGTATCAAAGGCTAAGAAACGAGTGGGGGCCAAGCACGCATCTACGTACAGTAACGACGTTAAGCCTGTTTGTGTCAAACCGTTTACGGAAAATGACGTGCTTTAACGGTTTTTGGTTCCTGCTTTTTGTATCACAACTAAGAAAAGGGTAAGATACGAATACACCTTTGCTGCAAAAAAAAAATATGCCACTACCGTCCAATTAGACTCCCTACCAGACAACCGGCTATTTTTAGGAGTAAAATGAGCCCACATTTATATCTTCTATTAGCAAATAGTCAAAATCCCCAGATACTAAAATATTTTTTATGACTTATGGGCTACTCATGCAAGTATATGTATGCTTGAAATTATAACTTTGAATGAGAAGTCTCAGGTGGTATTTTGATCAAGGCTTATATGTTGTAGATGATAAATCTATATTCACATGGCGTGATTATCATAGAAGGGTTAATGCAACCAAAATCCAGTGGGCTATAACTTCCACTGATGCATTTTGACGTCTGTCCGCATACGGGATAGTGGAATGCCCTCCAGATTTCAGATCCGACCGCCACATATCAAATGTCGTTTAGTAAGCCGCAGTTTTTTTTTGTAATTGATCTAGAATTATTGTTAAAAGGTGTTTTTGCCATTTCGACTATCTATTGTTTGTTGCCGTTCCTGCTTGTGATTGTTATTCACCCTAAAACTTTTGCGCAAATTTTTACCATAAAAATTTCTATATATAAATGAAAAATGTTGCCAACTTTTACCGAAGCTTTCTTGAGACCACCACACTTTCTTTCATTGATCCATAGAATCGTTCAAGTTTATTAAGACTTACTGTATCTAATCAATTGAAACTTCTGTGACAATCAATATAACAATATACTTGTGATCGACCCACATTTTCAACTTTTACAACCAATTCCCCCATTGTAATCACTATACTATTGTGATTAACTAGTGCTTATATTTCAAGTTTTTTAATAGCGGATAGATAATCCATCGAATCAACCAAGCTTTTCCATCTCCTCAACTCATCAAATCGGTTCTCGAATACTAGTCCCAAATCAGAAATATCCTTCATTTAGATCCAGACAGCCATTAAGTTAATTGGGAAATTATTTTCAGACCTGCAGAGAAGCCAATCCCAAAAAAAAATTTTTGATCCCATTACTATAAGGCAGTTCTTCTTATTACCACAAGAAAAGTTCACTTTTTCTCATACGTTTCTCTTTTTCTGATTCAATTTCAACTTCAAAGTTCTTGGTTTCTTGTGAAAGGGCTCATAATTGGTTTCTTTCTACAATAAGCTTTTGAACAGAAGGTTTTTTATACTTTATTTTTCTTATTTATTTTGTTTTACTTTTTCTTTTCTTGTTTTAAAGTTTGGTTTTCCGATTTGGTTTAGTTTCTTCCAAGGATCTAAAATTTTTAGATTAACCCGAAGCGGAACATTTGAAGGTCATATACAACTACAACTTATATCGTTGCCAACAACCATTCTGTTTTCTTTTAGGGTATTTTAGGTTTATTTTTGTTTTACGTATTCATCTGGTTAGCAATCTTTGGGTACAATCGAGGGGAAATTGACAGTTCATTGTTTACAATATTTTCTGGTAACATATTACAGATCAAATTTGAATCATTGTTTCTAGGTTATAATCAGAATAAACAAACACACAAACAATTGGGATTATTAAAAAGGTGTTATTATAGAATCAAGAACAAGGTCATTAGGTTGTCATTTCAAGATCATCCAGAAATACCCATATCAAACATTACTACGTTTTTAAGATAAGTCATCAAAGGGTTTCTCTTCTATTTTTGCATATTCCAGTTTTAATGTCTTATATCATCCAGTTATTGCATTTCACATAATCTTAAAGGTATAATTTACAATATTTATAGAGTATCCCACATCAACTTACATAATTTAACACTCATACAAACAAAAATCATATGGATCAAAATCAACATCTGCATCATCAATTAGATGATTCCTACAAATTGCGGCAAAATCAACCACAACAATTACTGAGACAGCCCAGCCCAAATATTCATATTCAAACAAAAGAACATCTGCATATACAACAAGTAAATCCTCAATATCGTCAAGAGCAGCAACGACAACAATATCATGGAGTTCAATACAGTATGACACCAACCTATATAAAAGTTGAACCAAACGAGGGACAAATAACACCACATAGATATCAACTGCCACAACCTCAACCCCAGAATGTATTTAGGAATCTAAGTGGTCATCATTCAGGGAACGTTTCCTATCAGAGTCAACCAGTTCATCAACCATTGCAACCGGGGTTGCAACAAATTCAACCAGCCGCTCCTCCACAGCAACAGTATCAATATGATTATCCGCATTCTTATCCGCCACCACCACAACATCCACCTCGTCCGCAACTTGTTGCTGCACAATCGCAACCAGTACCTCCTCAACTGCAACCACCACCACCACCACCACAACAACAGAGGTTTGTGCCTGGACCATCATCGGCACCAGCATTTCAATCATTCAATATAAATCAACCTACATTGCCCAATATAGAACAGCAGCACCAGCACCAGCAGCAAATATCTCCGATAGAAACATCGATTACTTCACCATTGGATCGATCCAAAACATCTCCATCTCCCCAAAAGAGGAAGAAATATAAAAAGCATGATTATACCCTGCCTGCAGACCAAGGAGAAACTGAATTGAAGCAGCTTGCTATGAATGCCGCGGATATACCTTTGGCCGAATTAGCATTAAAAATCAGACAAGTTGAGAATGAAGGATCAACAATCATAACTCCAGGGAGTTCTGATCATTTCAAAGCAAAGGAAAACAAAGAGAGACAACGACAATTATTTGGCATGGTTTGGTTGTTGAACTCCTGTGAACATTCTCCTACTGCCGTGGTTCCTCGTAATAGAATTTATGCCCGATATGTTCAAGTTTGTGCTGACAATAGTCTTTCACCATTATCTCCAGCTAGTTTTGGTAAATTGGTGAGAATATTATTTCCTACTTTGACCACAAGAAGGTTGGGTATGAGAGGACAATCTAAGTATCATTATTGTGGAATCAAATTGAACGGTGATCAAACTTTTCAACTGCATTTATTAACACAACAAGCGCTGCTGTCTTCTCAACAACAGCAATTAATGAGTGGATTTTCTGGACAACAAGTTGATTCACCAATATCGTCATCCAATTCATCGTTATCATATGATAGCTCACCATCTTCGCTGTCTCAAATACATACTCCTTCGTACACTCCGATTAATTCACCATCAATTGCAATGACTCCTACAGTCACAGATCAATTACCGCTGGTATCTCATATGAAATATGTTCCTAATTTATTCAAGTTGTTGAATAGCAATGCTGCTCCAAGTTCAAATCCATATACTCCTATTCAATTACCATCCATATATCCCTATTTACCTCGTGATACTGACTACGATATAGCTGATACCCTTCATTCATTATACAAGCTTCATGTTAACTCCATTTTTGAAGCGTTGAGATTCATGCAATTAAAGAAACTCTTTGCTAGTTTCAGCAATTTTAATAGTAAGTTGACTGCGCCAGCTTTCAAACTTTATACTAATGAATGTATTATTGATTGGGTAAAGCAATGTGATTTGTTAATGTATAAGAAAATGATTCGGATGTTGAACAAGTTACAATTACAATTCTTGATTCCAACAGAACAGTTGCGGCAATTGAAGCAAATCTCAAATGGATATATCAAGACTTTGTCTGGTACGTTGATGAATGGGAAAATTTCCAGGAACTTTGTTATTATGAAATTGAAACTAGCAAAACACTTTGTGAATTTATTGAATCGATTAATTAAAGTGATTGAAACTGGACAACCTGCGTCTCGTATTTTAACTGATGCATCCGAGAAACATTCCATGGTTCAGGATTGGAATAAATTGGATATTCGTGAATTAATCAGTCGTGAAATTCCATGTGGTGACCAAAATATAGAAACTTTGACATATATATTAAAGCAAGAAGTAGTGGATTTGCTTGTTGATAAAGGTGAGTCTGGTCCAACCATGTTCGATTTTGCTGAATATATATCTGGTCTTCCAGGACGATTTCCCCAAATCAATGCTAGATTGTTTTTGTTGTTATCGTCTAACTTATTAACTGCATGTCTTAGGGACATTAGCTTGGCTGGAGGAGAAGGTTTCGGAGCTTGGTGGATCGTGAGATGTTGGACTGATGAATATTTGTTGTTGACTGTTGAATTGGGTGGATTTTTTCTGGATGATTTCCAAGCAATGGAAGCTATTAATTTGCCAGTGCCAGTACCAAGTTTTGCCAGTGAAAGAATCGATGCTGGCCCTGTGGGAGTGAATTCGCAAGGATCACCAACAGAATCCCAACAAATTGAGACACAGCACAATCAAAGATCGTTCCCCGGAGATGGTTCCAGCATTAATGAAGCAAGCAATCCGGTAAGTGGAGCCGGAAATACTTCAGGATTTGACAATTCATTAGGTGTAATTGATTTGTTAGATACCTCGTTAGAATTCGAGACTCGTAATTCTCAATTAGCAAGCATGCCTTCTCAATCGGAAATATTGGTCAACTATGAGAGTAATATCGAAAGTATTCTCAACCAATGAAACAGTTGTTTCATTATTATGCATTTTTTAACTTTTAATATATTTAATTAACTCTGGTTAAGATTTATCCTTTAAAATTGTAGTTAGTCATAAATATTAGGCACTGCGCGGCTGCGAATTGTTCCCCCTATATATCTTTCAATACCTTGGCGGCAAAAAAAAATAAAAAACATTCTTACATTTACCTTTCTTCTAGCACATCCACACAAACACCTCTAAAATGGAATTGGAAAATGTATTGAAAAGGTTTAAATTGACTGAACAAGATTTGGCAATTTTGGAATCTAAAGTTTACTGGGAACGGAAACTTATTGCTTTGTTATTGCAGTATGTTTACATATTTCCAAATGATGAAAATAGTAAGCGGGAATTCAACGATTGTGTTAGCAATGAAAAGGTTCAAGTTACAGGTAAGTATTTAACCCCTGGAAAGAGAGGGGTTGTTGCTTGTAAGGATTTTAAACAACCTGGGGAAGTTATTATGGAAATTAATCCAGTTGCAGTTCCTTCATCTGATTCTATTGATTGTTTTACCAAAAATTACCAAATTGAAGAACTTGAAAAAGTATTAGAACCTTATATTAACAAAGTACATCCAGGAAGAAAAGAAGAGGATGATATCACATTTCAACTAGTTATCCGGGTTTATCTCACTTATTTGTATGATCCTCATTACAAAGCCAGAGTGGATAATTTGTGTACTCACCAACATGAACAAAGGCTTGACCCCATTAGAGAATACATAACCCTTCTGCAATCTCGTCTTGTTCAGATATTAACTGACTTCTTAAACAGTCTGACAATTGGGAAAAGTGTTCTTAAAGAGAAATCATTGATTCATCTGCAAAGGAAAGGATGGAAATTTCTCGAAGCATTGATTTGCGTTGTTTTAATTAACCACAATATTTTATTGGATCAAGATAATGAACCAATTGGAATCGGGTTGGATCCTGATTTCTCGTTAATTAATCACAGTTGTGCTCCTAATTGTATCTTGAAACACAAACAAAATTGGCTGGGGTTTGAACTTGTGAATACTGTTCCAATTGTAAAAAATTCTGAACTTACTGTAACTTATATTGATACTTGTTTTCCCAAAGAACTTCGAATGTTAGATTTACGGTCCAGATATTTCTTTAACTGTAAATGTGAATTATGTCTGAAGCAAGAGGATCCATACTTTAGTTATTGTTGTCCCTATTGTCATGGAGCACTCAAAACAGTCCCTTTTGTACAATTTTTAATTAACAACAATTATCCACCCCCAACTTGTTTAAGCTGTTCTAAAACCATCAGTTCTGTGTCCTATAACAATACCAACTATATTATTAAGTTTTTCCTTGCCCTGATTCTTTTTTGTCATAGAAAGTTTGTGAACGCTGACAGTCCAGAACACATCTTATTCTTGACAAAAGAGTTGGAAATGAATTGCAAGGCCAAATTAAAGGATGTAATTGAAGGTTTATTATTGAACTCAGATGACTTTACTCTAGAAGATAGTCAATTCAATATTGTGTACAGATTGATAAATGAGATCATTCAATACAATGTGTTTCCGGTCTATGCATTTCCCATGAACAGAATTATTGGTTCTTTGGATGAAACAAAAGAAACTAAGGAGTTGACGATTCTTGGTATGAGGTTGAATTTAGGGCTTATCAATACTTTACTAGTTACAATTCCATCTGATTTGAGTCATCAAGAATCCCAAAATGGGCTGATGTTTTTAGAACTTGCTGGAAAGGTTTTGCATATCTTACTGGTTGCAAATGATGTAAACTACTATTCTATTGGTGATCGCAGAATGGATCTTGGAGTGTTATGTCTATGTGGTGAATTCTTCACTAGACAAGTTGGAGTTAAGTCCAAGGAACTAATTGTTCAACAGTATTTGGAAGTCTACCAAGAATTCTCCAAGAAATGGCCCATCGAGAACCCTGAACCCCAGGTCAGTCTCACCCATTACTGTTTACGCCAATTATTCGAGTTTGCTAATATACTGCATTTGTTTATTGAAACAACTACCGAGTTTAGATTGTACAATGCCAAAAGAGAGGTAATTCCGTTATTCTATATATGATTAAAAAAAAACACAACTTCTATACATCGTTTAATGCAACACATACAGCACCCTTATGGTGACCATTATACTGTCTAACAGTTTCACTATTAGACAAATCCCACAACCTCACATAATGATCAGAACAAGCAGTCACTAGGTATGCACTGTCTGCACTGAATGCACAATCCCATACCCATCGTTGATGTCCCTGTAATGTTGTTTCCAAAGTAAAATTTTGCTCAGTAGACCAAATTCTAGCTGTATGGTCTGCTGAACAAGTAGCCAAATGTTTCATATCCGTCAGTAATAATACCCGAGTGATATATTTCAGATGGGATCGGAACTTAGTAACGGGTGTTAATGAAGTTATATCCTTTTGATTTTGCATTTTCCATACATAACAATTCCCCTTGTGATTCCCAGCCACAAGCATTGATCCATCACTGGCTACAGATATGGAATTTATAGGCACATCATCTTCAGGAATTAAATGATGAGTGCATTGATTCTCACCTAGATCCCAAACACGAATGTTTCCGTCTTGATCACAACTTATAAGTTCACCTTGATTAGGATGAATGACAACTTCATTCACAGGACAATTATGTTTGTAATTCCTTTGCACAGACGGAGACCTCACATCCCACACTTTAACCATTCCATCTTCCAGAGATGTAACCATCCATTTATTTTCCGCTTGGAAGGCAAGCGAAGTCACGTTATTAGTATGGCCTTCAAATGTCATGACGGGATTATTATCACTATTGCCACCGGAATTACTTCCACCACCTGTTCCAGCATTAGCAGCTGATGTTTGAGCTGCGTTGTTCCCGGTACTCCCACCCTGTCGTATGTCGTATAATCGAACATATAAGTTCCCAGCAGCAGCAAGGAATCGTTTGTCGGAGGTGATTTCCAATCGATTGACCTGGGAGTCTGTATGTTGGATTGTTCGGGAACATACCCCTGTTAATGCATCCCAGAATCTAATTGTATGATCATAACCTGCTGATGCTAATATAACAGACATGATTTTGATTGAGTGAGTGGAGCAGATGTAAGATGTCAATATTTGGAAGAAATGATATCAGAAATATTATTACGTTTGTATTTTTCTGGTGAGTACACTACTTAATTTTATTGCACTATCTATATATATATATCTATCAACAAGAATGCTAATATGATAATGTTACTTAAAAGCCGTTAATCTTTGTATATACTATGTAAGTTATTAAATGTTCATCTAGTTTGAAGTGAATGTGGTTTCTCATCTATTAAAAATATTGATTGATAATCATTCTTTGTTCAGGGGTTAAACTGACAGGATAATCAACCTTAAATGTTATTTCCAAATCACCTCTAGTTCCTGGAGCCTTACTTATAGGCATACCTAATCCTGGGTATGTTGTGGTGGTGTTTGGTTGAACTGGTTGTGATCTTGAGAATGGTATTCTTCTTCCGTCTATGGTGGTGACTTCTCGTTCAAATCCACACAAGGATTCCTTGAATGATAAAGGTAAGTTCATCTTCAAGTTATTACCATCTCTCTTAAATACAGGATGAGGCTTTTCTTCAATCACAAATTGAATGGTTTGTCTACCACCGGTTTCTGGTTCATAATCACCTTCGTTAGTGAAATTGATCTTGGTACCTGCTTTCCAACCAGGTTTAATATTTATAGTAACAATTGAAGAACCTTGACTACCATCGGCATTCTTTCTATTAATCTTCAACTTCTTGGTAGCACCAGCAAACAAATCTTCTAAAGCAACAGGTAATTGTCTGGTAACTGTGGTTGGCTCAGCTCGAGCGGCTGATCTTCCACCAAACCCACCAGGCATACCTCCTCCTCCTCCTCCACTTCTGAATCCGCCTGCTCCACCAAATGGACTACCACCAAATGGACTACCACCGGCACCTCCGGGGAAGCCGCTGGAACTGAATGTAAATCCATCATCACCCATGCCGAATCCACCCATTTGTGAGAATATATTGAATGCGTCAGCTTGTGAAAATCCACCAGAATGGAATCCTCCACTTGGCATACCTCCACCACCGAATCCTCCGGCTCCTCCGAATGGATTACCACCTGCTGGGGCATTTCCTCGAGCAGCTTCTAACCCGTAGTCATCATACACTTGTCTTTTATCTTCATTGGATAAGATATCAAATGCTTCTGAGATTTCTTTGAATTTTTCAGTATCACCAGTTGGTTTATCTGGATGGTACTTCAATGCTGATTTTCTGTATGCCTTCTTAATTTCTTGTTCACTGGCAGTTGGACTGACTCCCAATAAATCGTAGAGCTTAGTTTCCTTAACCATTGTGTGTGATTATGCTTATACTGAAATGTACTTAATTGTTGCGAGGGTAAAAGGGGGGTTAATTGCAATTGTAAGGGTTAACAAAAATTGCTATCTCCTGAAAGAAATGGGTGAATAGAGTTGAATTTTTATGGCAGCTTTTTTCAGCGTGTTTTTTTTTTTCTCCTGGCAAAAAAATATTTTGTCTTCTGAGTGCCAGTTTTTTCTAGAAGGTTCTACAACGAACGAGAGTATACTTGGAACTGGCAAGGATTCATCATACTTATGCTATAATATCAAGCAAATTAATATAAACAAGTACATACACATCACAACCACAGCTTAGTCCTTCTTTTCAGCTGCCAATCTTTCTGCCTTTTTGAGCGCTCTTTTACGAATAGCTTGGTGCATACTGAAGTTGAGAGAATTTGCAACCTTGGAATAAACACCCACAGTATTGGCAATTGCAAAATGCATAATTGCATGAGACCAATATGGTGTGTTGGTGGCAAACCTTTCTTGAGCACCGTTACGACGTCCTACTCCACGCAAAGTGGCAGCAACGAATTGCTTTGGGTTTGGAATTGTGGCTGAAGTACGTCTAATCTTGGACATGGCCGAGGTAACCAAATAGGAAATAACCAATTCAACATCTACACCTTGAGGTTTCAATTCTCCAGCAAGAGCATTGGACCATGCTTGTAAGAATGCCTTAGATCCAGAATAGGTAGCCAAATAAGGAGTAGGCAATAATCCACCAAAAGAGCCCATGGTTAAGATCAAACCTCTAACCTTCTTCTTTTCTTTCTTGATAGTAGACACAATCAATGGAGCAACAACCTGAGTGATTTTTAATGTAGCAGTGTTGTTAATGGTGATAATATCATTCAATTCCTTCTCATCTGTTTCAAGGAATGGAACTGGGATAGAATGGGATTGTCCGACATTATTGACTAACACGGTGATTGGCAATTCAGAAACAACGTTTCTAAGAGAAATATAGTTTGCATCATCATCGGTGGAAGCATCAAATGCAACAATCTTAGTTTGGACCTTATATTTAGATTCAATTTCAGTAGCAATCAATTCTAATTTGGATTGAGTTCTAGAGACCAACACAATGTTTAATCCTTTCTTTGCTAATTGAAATGCATATTCTTTACCAATTCCATCAGAGGCTCCAGTTACAACTGCCCATTTACCTTGTTTAGCACCATACTTTTTGAAATTAACAGGGGGTAAAATAAATAAGCCAAAAATCATAGAACCAAAGCTTAACCCTAATATGGTCAATTTGAGGACTCCAAAGAGCAATGCACCATAAAGTGCATAGTATACTACGCGATTCCCTGAAAGGGAGGATAATAAGTCTTCAACTGACATGGTTGGAAAATATCCCTATATGAGTTCTGTTACACGTAAGTTGCCTCCAATTTTTTGCTGTCTCAATAGAAAAACCAACCCGTATTTTTTTTTTTTTCAGCCCCGATTTTATTCAGTGATTACCCGGTTGTATCTACATACTGAAAATATTACATCTACAAATATATAATAATTGACTTATTAAATCCCTTCTAATTCCTTTTATTTACAGTTACAACTAATATACACAGTTTTAATCACTCGCAACATATCTACTTTGAAAAAAAAAATAATATTTATGGTTTCTTCTTCCTTTGTCATGGTTTCTTCTTCTCAGAGATAGGTAAACTCTTCTAGTTTTTCAGTAGTTAATTGAACATGTAGTTCCTCTCTTGCAGCTTGTTTATCCAAATTTGAAACATCACTTTCTAATTTCAACTTTGCCTTTTGTAAATTGATAATCTCTTTATCAACTTTTGACAAGTCATTAAATCTGCTTTCCAATTTGGTTTGAGTGGTTTCATCTTGAATACCCATGATATTAATCCATGGATTCTTGAATGTTTTTAATTTGTCATTGACAATAGTATCCTTATAATGACGGGGAGTGCCACCTTTGGCTTCATTTGCTGAATACTTGGAATCGTAATGATATCCACCGGATCCACCACGGAAACTACCTCTACCTCGATAACTTACTCTGTGTCCTCTATAAGCACCGGAACTTTCATGGTATCCAGCACTGGCACCTCTAGCTTCTTCTCCTTCTCCACCATGTATTACTTCTTCAGCTGGAGTTGCGTCATGTGGAACTTCTGGAGATGGGTCACTACCACGATGATCAGGAGGTGTATAGCTCTCTCGATTATTACTATATGAACCATAACCACCTCGTCCACCTTCTCTTCCACCATAATACCCAGATCCATATCTTCCACTGCGTGCCTGATATCCACCTCGCCTCTCACCTCCATAGTACCCTCTATAATAACCATCACTGCTTGCTCCTCCCCTATTTCCGCTTCCACTTCCACTTCCACTTCCGCGTCCTCTATACGATGTACTATCTCTATACCTTCCATGACCACGATAAGAGCCACGGTATCCATTCAGATAACTATTGTGGTCTTCATAATAGTGGCCAGATGAACCAGTAGTATCTGCCCCATTTGCGCCACCATTGGGTCCAGAACTACCCCCGGTACTCATATTGGGGTTAGATGCTGATGATGTGTTATCTAACGCCATGTTTATTCCCTACTTGTTATCTTGTGACGATAAAGAAATGAAAACCTTGTTCCTATTTCTTTTTTCGTGGTCTGGATTTTTCCTGCTTGCAGTTCAGGATACCTTGGAATAAACCTGTAAAATTGTGTTAACATGTAGTTGCAATAACATGTAAAAAAAGAAATAACCTGTAATTAAACCTACACCACATCCAATCACTAATTCATTGAATGTGATACTATAAACAAGTGCTGAATTGGAAGGAATCAACATCAACCCATTTGTTAATGTGGTTAGTTTACTTGGAAATTAATAAAATTTCTATTGGAATTTCACTTTCATTGTGGGGTGTGGTAATGGTAAGGATTATGGAACCACAAGGATATCAAAATTATTTGTTTATTTGGAGAACTATAATTCATACGCCAGTTCTAGATCAGACGCGCCATCTTCTTGAGTGTTTACATTCGGATTTACTCTTCGTAAATACTCCATTCTTGCATCTTACCAGGTGGCTGTGTTCCTGCCAGGTCCTTTTTGTTTTGTGTGAAAAAATTGTGTGTCATTACATCTCTCAAATAGGAAATTATAGTCACGAGCCAGAATGTTAAGGAAAATGTTCGTGCGAAGCACAATTTGATAACATCCTAAATTATTGTCAACTCTTTCTTAAATCTGTCTGGGTTTTCTTAATCCACTTTTCCCTTTATGGAACAAGAATAACACTGAATTTAAATTCTTGCTTAGGTATTTCTTATTCTATAGCAATTAAGTATACTTGAATGGTTCGATTATCCTTTTTTTTTTACGATAAACGACAACCAAATTAATTTGCACAGACAATTAGTTTAAACTATTGCACAAAATCACTCAAGCCAAGATTTACAGCTTCGTTCAAAGATCCTGATACACCTAACCCATACTGACATATTATTTAACTTGGGCAATTTCCATCATGTCATCTACAACACCTAGAATCCCTTCGGGAAGAGCATCATTCATTCCTAGTAGTCCTTTGCCTCCTATGCCAGTTTCAACCACTTTAAGCACCCCTCCTCTCACACCACCAAAGAACAATCCTCCGAAACGACGAAATACTACGATTGGTGATGACGAATCGATATTCGATACAGTATGGAAAGCAACGTGTAAAACTGGTAATACAATCGCACCTAATGAATTGTTCAAGTTGTTACGGCTGTTGGAACTAGATTTGACTTCAGCTAACAGCAGCAATAACTTCCTCACTAATGACACAGTTATCAAACAACGGATTCTAGAGCAAATACAGCAACGAAAAGATATGCCAATCACTAAGGATCGAGCCTTTGAGATAATTTCTCAATGCTTGGATGATGTGAAGTTAATTGATGTCGATAGAGGAATAATAATAGGCAAATCGAACAAGCTTGATCGTTCACGAATATACCATGATAATTTTAGTAATATGCTAAGCAAACACAATATTATTGATGATACAGAAAGTTTGGATGATTATGATGACACAGCAACATTAATGGAACCCCGACCGAAGGAATTGTCACCTGTTGATGAGCCTGATTCTGATGTTTTTAAACACAAGCGACTGGATCTGGCTCAATCAACAAAACTGAATTCTTCTTCAATGTCACAAATACGGCAAACATTACAAGATTTAGAGAAATTCCATAATAAACTCGACCAACAATATTCAAACTTGGAAAATGATATATCTCTGATTAAACAAAAGAATGATCAAGACATGAAAGAATTGAAAGCACTAATAGAGAATAATGATAGCATGATTGACAGAATTGACATGATCCGTGAAGAGTTAATTGACCTATCCTGGGAATTCAATCAGTATAAAGAGGAAAGAGGATATGATCCCCAGTATTTTGAGCAATTGAAATCAGCTTTCAATGGTGAATTTGTCGAAGATATACCAGAGCAAGATCCGAATCATGAATCATTATGGGAAAAAAATGGATCACGAAGAGTTAAATCACTCTCAGGGATTCCAGTAAGGAAGCAAGCCAAAGAAAATAGAAGATCTTATTATGGGATCGTGTCAAACAGGGAGAGATTTGATATCGACAATGAAAATAAAGAGTTTAAACCAAGCAATATTCCGGTATTGACAAGCGTATCTAAGCAACATAGAAGATCTTACTATGAAATCATGGCAAGCAACAATAATTCAGATCAAAGAACAGGTTTGAAACCAAAGAATATTGTATCTGATAGAGCACCTGGTAAAGAAAAACGAATGTCATACTATGGATATATGTCTAGCAGTAATCGTTCTAGTATTGAAGGATCAAATTTGAAACCAAGTAATATTGTACCAGCTGTAAATGACAGACTATCCAGTGATAAACGAACTTCTTATTATGAATATATGGCAAGAAATAACCGTCTAAGCTTGATACAAAACACAAACTTGAAAGTAACTAATATAGTTCCAGCATCAAATGATAACTTATCCCTTGATTTAAAGGATCTCTGTGATGTATCCCTGAACGTTGATAAAATAATGACACATACCGAGTCTGATCCAGAAGACTTGCCACTAGGAGAAAGCTCCCGTTTGGACGAATGCGATCAAGACCACCAGGATGATATTGCTATCACAAAGAGTGTGAATTCTGGTTCGGTACGAGAATCATTGATATCAGTGGATATTTCAACCGATGATGACAATTTCATGCTGTATGGCGATATAACGAATCCCCACTACTCGAGCATTACAGAGGAAATGGACAAGGGCTTTGAGTATGAAAAGTTGCAAGCTGATGATAGTGACGATCTACAAACGAACGCCATATTGCCTGTATATGACGCAGAAGAGATTCTGACTGAAGAAGCTACTAAGTTTTGGTTAGCTATTATCTTCTTGATACTAGCCCTTTCTTATATAATTTAATACTCGTAAAATTTTCTATTTGTAAATACACACATTATCCCATATTAACCGATCTTGAATAATTGTCATAGTGAGCATCACCGCTGACTTCATTATCACTTCCATCTTCTTGGAAATATGGATGGATCAATGCTCGCTTTGCGCTTATTCTTCTACTTGGATCATAAACCAACATTTGCTCTAAAAGGTCAATACCGTCTTTATCCAAGCTTGTAACTGCTTCTGATAATGGTTTCTTCTTCCATTGTGGGAATCCAGGCTTAAAATCAGGCAAATAGCTAATATCGGGCCAGACTTCTTCATTAGGAGTACCCAAGGTTCTGAAAATCCGGAAGATTTCATCAATTTCGGAATCACCAGGGAACAAAGGTTTTCTATTACACATTTCCGCAAATATACATCCCACAGACCACATATCCACCCCAGTAGAGTATTGTTTACCACCAAGCAAGATTTCTGGGGCACGGTACCATAATGTGACCACTTCGTGGGTGTATGCTCGCAAGGGGACCCCAAAGGCACGAGCTAACCCGAAATCAGCAAGCTTCAAATTACCTTCCTTGTCAATCAAAAGGTTCTGTGGTTTCAAATCACGATGTAAGACACGGTGGGAGTGACAGTGTTTTATACCTCTGATAAGTTGATTCATGAATCGCTTAACCATATCATTGCCCAATCCCATGCCTTGAGGAATCGATTCCATGTATTTCTTCAAATCCAAATCAAGAAACTCAAACACAAGGTAAAGTTTGTGAGAGTCTGAATGAATAATGTCGTATAATCTTACGATATTGTCGTCTCTCATTTCTTTAAGGAGAGAGATTTCCCGGATAGCAGTGGATGGAACCCCTTCATCTTCAGATTCCAATCTGATTTTCTTAAGAGCAACAATCCTATTGTTGTGTTTAGTGTCTAAAGCTTTGTAAACCACACCATAGGTTCCTTCTCCTACTTTTTCTAGACGTTGGTAATCCGATAATTCAACCATGTGTGTTTATTCTAGTTATTTATATTAAAATGTGAATGCAATAATTTCAAACAAGATTCCAACCAGCTGACTGTTCAAAGGGGGGAAAGGTCTTACTTCTAAATTTAGTATTTTTTGGAGGATTTAATCCGTGTATCTGAAAAAGTAACAAATTGTAACGAACTGTTCACTCTGACTGTCAAAAAAGAAACAAAGAAATTTTGGTTCAAGAAAAGAACGACGCGCGCCTTATGGAATTTATCTTCTATGCACTACAAGATCGCAAAATTAGGAAAATAATTTAGACGAAACTTAACAAGCAATAATATTAGCAGGTTACAGATTTCAATTAGAGATTTACATTGTTGAACTATGATGTAAACAAGATTGTTTGCTAAATAATGAATTGTTCCTTTAAATCCCTAATTCTAATAATATAAATAAATAAATTAAATAAATAAACTTTCTAAAGCCCACCAACTAATATTTCTTTACCTTCAAGTTGCTCATTAGTTTTACATTTCCCTTCACCGGCTTCACATACCTTGATTTCTCTTCCCCACTCACTGTTTAATATTTGTCTGGTGGTGATTCTTCTACCCGGAATAGGATCCAATATAGAATAAATGACATTTCTGCATCTTAATCTCTTTAAGCTTTCAATAGGTTCATACCCACCTTCCTCCTTTCTCTTGGTGAGATATTCTTGGTAAAATTCGTCCTTTTCCGGGTCAGCCAATTTCCATAATTGTCTTCCTGTACGCATAGCCATGTAAATCACACCACAAGACCAGACATCAACACATCGAGGATCAAACGTCTCTTCGGTAAATTCTTCCGGGGCAATGTAAGGAGAAGATCCACAAATCCCTTCTGATAAGTGGATTTCTCGTTCCCAAGCGATCTTAAAACATTCACTATTACCAAAATCAGTGATTTTTAAAATCCCATTTTGAGTCAATAATAAATTCTCGGGTTTTAAATCACGGTGAGCAACCCCCATTTCATGAATATAGTTAACCCCACGAATCAACTGTTTGAAATAACAATCAGCTTCCGCATATTCCAATTTCCCTTGTCCAATAATTAACGTATATAAATCACCTCCTGAACAAAATTCCATAACTTCACAATAATCGCCATTAGCATCCTTTAATAAATCCAAAGTATCAATGATATTGATATGCTTCAATGATGATGAAATGCAAAATTCAGATGTTAATCGACGGTGATATTTCTTGTCACTTTCATTAACACGTTTCTTGAATTCCTTAACCGCATATAAACTTTCAATTGACGAAGTCAAATTCTTCTTATGGGAAACTCTAACAACACCAAATGCACCACGTCCGATAACTTCTTGACATCTTCCATACTTTTCCACAAATGATCTACAATCGGGACCAGCAGATAAGTCGGAAGTCTTGTTGAAGTTAGGATCATTCTTAGCTTGTGCAACCAAACTAGCAAACAATGTAGGTGGTTTCTGGGCATTCGCTTGCAGTTCAGTTCCATTTGCTATTGGGCTCCCTAGTATATCTGGAACTGCCGATACTGCTTCATCTCTTCTCTTTTTAGCACCAAGGAAATCCTTCAACATGTTAGACAACTTTTCTTGACGTTTAGCTGATCGAAGGTTATGTTCATGACTTCCATTTTCCAACATATGAAACCTAGGTTTAACTGCAGCAGGAGCAGGTGATTCTGATTTAACTTTAGTGGATCCAGAACGCGATAATGAAACATACGGAGCTCGCGGGCCACCTCCTGGAGAAGATGAAATGCTTGGTTTTCGTGTCGTGGATGGTGTTCTTATAGATTGGTGAGATACATAAGGCATACCGCCTAATGGAGTATGGCCTGGTTGTGGTGGTTCTAATGAATAAGAAGTTGATGATGATGTTGCTGCTGCTGGGGGCACAGAACTAGTTAGTTTTTCTGGATTCTGATCTATAGATGAAACCAGCATGGGGGATGATGTACCTAGCGAGCTCTGACTTGACGAGTTCGACGATGTACTTAACTTCGGCAATGATTCATCAGATTTGGAAGGCATAGCAAGATGAGAATGAGCTTGCGGTTGATTCATAAACTTATCATGTCTTGAACGACGTGGATAGTCCTTTTCTTCATGGACCGCTTGTGCGAGGAGCAAATCTGCCGATCTTGGAGTCATTTTTGACAACTCAGAGTCCGAATTTATAGACAAATGTTGGTGTTCCTCTGGGATGTTTTCACTTTTAGTATGATGTTTCTTATGGGCAGGATGGTGATGCTCTTCGTTATGGTCGTCAAAATGGTTCAAATTACTTGACAGAAGTCCAAATAACTTTCCAAGGTGGAATTTTTTAGTTTTAGCTTCACCCATTACGTTAATTTAGTAGCTATGGATAAACTGGATATACCTTGTTTCAGAAGTTGCTAAGGGGGGGTAAAATGAAGCTTGATTTTGTGCTTAAACGGCGGCGTTGGTGGCAGTTACCTTACTTTTTGATAAATACCTTTGAAAGTATGAGTATATCGCTGATTTCTTTCTCTTCTATTTGATTTGTAATGAGGTGTCTTTTCTTTTTGATTGTAAATAAAAATGACTTTGGAAAATTTTTTGTATATTAAAATAATTGCCTGAGTCCAAAACAAAGGGGAAAAAAAATCCCTCAGGTGAAGCAAAAATTAATTAAGCAAATGCGCTCCTACCAAATTGGGAATAGGAGGAATAAACTTGTACAGTACTTGTTATGAGTATATGTCAATCAAGATATGTGATATTGGGAAATTCTTAGCAATCTGTTTACTAAAAAAAAGACTTTAATGGTTTAGCTGCTATGATCTGACACTTAAGGAAACAACAACTACTATTTATACCTTCTCTATTGTTACGGGAAAGGCTACTACAACAAGAATTAGTAAAAGAAAAATTGCACACAGAAGAAAAAAAAAAGAGTCAAGCCCCACAGCCTTTGTTTTTTCTTTTTTTTTATTGCCAATTTATTGTTGTGATCTGTTTACGCCTCCTTTTCTTTTGTTAAGGATTTGCCTTTTTTTTATTTTTCTTACAGAGCTTAAGGTTTCTATATTTACTTCTGAGCTCTCAATTTCGATTCAAGTCGTATTCTCTCAAGAAATGGTTCCTCAAGTGTTATCAGCCTTGTTGTTGTTATTTTTGCATTGGTAATTGAAACAGTTACAACCTGTCGTACATACATTTTATACTTTTTACCATATAGCAACTGATGGTGTGACCAATCAGCGATGCAAAGCTAAAAAAAAGGTTCCGATTATCCAATTGTTTGTTCTATTCTCATGCATCCTAACTTAAATTACGTAATTGAAATTTTCTCTTGTCTGCCACTTTTACAAGCTTTCTTGAGTATGGTAACCTAATTGGGATAGTTGATTCCGTATTCCGTTCTTTCAAAATTCTCATTGTATTGTTCCATTGTTATATCGTGTTTCTTTGACAGTGAAAATGGTACGTTTTTTTGCATGATTAAACAGAAACAAGGATATTCGGGTATTGACATGCAGAGTGTAAACAGATTGGAAATCTCTTGGAAAGCATAAAGTCGACATAATCATATGCTAGAGCAGCAAATAGAGGTTCCAAGAGACTTCCGTAATTAAACTTCGACATAAAGAACAACAACAAACAATCGATGACTAATTTCCTGACCAGGGCTCTGTTAAAATAATAGGACGTATATGCTTGCGTACATACTTGCATACACTACTATTGCTGGTTACAATGTTACAATAATTACCTTAAACAATCTTGTTGCAGGAGTCTTTAGGGCTTACGCCCTGGAGCCATATTTGTTTTTCTATGTATGTTTGGATGTTTGTCACCTTTTTTTTGTAATTTTAGTTTTCGGTCTTTGTGTAAAGCGCATTCATTGTTCTATGCATAGAAAAATTCGCTTGAGTTCCTGCAGCAAGTATTATGTTTAGTGCAAGGGCTACTTAACTAGCCACGGTTCTGTTCTATTTTCAAGTAGTGTGGGCTCACTTATATGATCATGTTGACCTAGTAACTTTCTGTAGGGGGGGGACAATAATATTCTGCTGGGTGGGTTGATTGAGTATTTTCTTGAGCGATCAATCAGTATCTAAGCCCCGATCGATTTTGGAGGCTTTTAAGTTTGCACATGTCTTACTTCGTAATTGGCATTTTAGTGTACATTTCCATCGACAAGTGGTTCTGAGCCTTGGTTATTTTGATTATTTGAATCAGTATTAATGTGACTATCACTTCTTTCATAAGATGCTTCCAAACGGGGTCATAATTCTGTATCTTTTTGTGGTCTCTTCTTTGTGCTCTTTCTTAATTAAGGTTGTGTAGTCCTTTCTGGTTGCGGCTTACACCTTTATCTATTATATTTGAACTTGGTCAAAATCTGGAGTATAAAAAGAAAAGTTGCAAAAGAAAAGTCTAATTTTTTGGAAGACCTTACTAAAAATAACTATCGTCAATATCAATGAACTCGCACATTTTAAAAATAGATCAACCAATGTAAAAAGAAGGTGAAGTAGAATTTAAAAGAAATAGCAAATAAGACATGTTTTCGTTTTTTTTTACTGATATTTGTTAGTTGATAGTTTCTTCTATGACTTTCCCAACAAAATGAGATTATTATCCCAACTTGTCCCCAAAATCTTGATACATAATGAAATTATATATAATTAGTTCGCATAAGTCTAAAAATCTTTCTTTCGTTTTAGTGTTATCATCTAATCATCTGCTAGAAAGACAAGAATGTTCATCTGGTCAAAAACTACTTGCTATATTTTCTTACAGTGGATATCTTACATTCCAAGTTTTATCAAAGTTAACTACCAGGGAGCAGGTGATATTACCAGATAGCCTAACACATATCCTTGCCAAGTAGAAGCTAATTCTAGTAGTATCATAAATATCTTCCAATAATGAATTATAGTGGTTTTCTAAGAGGGTTTCAAATTTGTTTTGCATCAGTTTTTTTTTGTATTCTTATTAAACAATTGAGATTAAAATCTGGTGTTTGTGAACGTATTAGTGATTTTAGATCATAACTGAAAGTGGAGCTACTGCAACCTTGTCACATAACTATACAGTCACATAACTATACAATCACTTTCACTAGTTTAACCATGGTTGCAAGTCCAAAACCAGTGCTAATTTAGCTATGTTTAAGTAGTCTTTGAATAAGATATGGATTGTTTTATGGTTTTCAAAGAGTTATTGTTATTAGAGTTTATTCTTTAGTTGTTCTACAGAGTTAATTTATTATGATAAGTTATTGTTTTCGGATATCTCGAGCGGAATTGAAGAATAACAGTTTCCACGCATCTCTCCCACTTCTATGAGCAAGCCCTGGTATAAGCATAAAAATATAATTGTAGATCACATCCCAGTTTCATTGTATCGCATAATTTCTTCCTCGGTATTATTTCTAAATCCTTTAATTTCAATTATTAAAATAAGCTTGTGCTTCGAAACTGAAGTTTCTTTGACAATGACTTCTGGTATCGTGTGATTAATTATAACTACATATACTAGTTCTAGATAAAATATTAATTTGCCAACTTTTGTCTTTAAATCTGGCTCAACCATATGCATATGTATAATCTACGATAATGGTAGACAGGAAACTACCTCGAAGAAAATTTATTGCAAACTACACAAAATCTTTAAAGTATTGGGGCTAGTTCATTGCTGACATGATTATTTGGTAACCGCCTCCGACCTTCCAATATTTCCATCTTCTTCTTCTTCTTTATTTCTTTTTCAGGCTTTTGTGTGTGTACATCGAGAATATTTTTCAGTATTGTATTGCCGATGGTAGTCGGCATCAATAGGGGGTCTAGAATTGCGACTACCCCCTGCATACAGTGCGTGTGAAAATTTTCCTGATGCTTTGAAATTGATGTCATGGTGACATTGGAAGCACATGCTAGAAGACTCTGTATAGGTGAACTACTGTAGTTTCCACCACTACCATCATTCCTAGTGCTAGCTTGCTCTTCTGTTTGAAAGGGGCATTGGATATCAGTATGTGTATGTAGGGGGATCTGACTAAAAAACCAAAAAAAAAAAATTTCCTTCAATTTATTGCAAAATTTCATATCTATTGCGAAAATTATTTTTTACAATCCTTTTTCTTTTTATTAATGGGTTTCCCAAAAGAGACAATTAATTGCCGTTTAAATGCAATTGATTAGTTTGATGTGGTATTCTATCAAGCGACGATCCACAGAAAATAACGTCGAGAACAATATTTGAGGAAAGTTTTGAGATGTAGCATTGGCCACGATTTCGAAGGGGTTGATCGAAATTGTGGATATCCCATAGGGAAGCAGTTTTTCCTTTTGGCAATATATAAGTTCTTGATTCCTAGTTTCTCTTTCCTTTTTTTTTCAATCTGTCTAGATATTAACAATCGCTTCCACTATCATAATCATCATGAACAAAGTTTTAATCGCTTACTTGTTTGCCTTCGCTTTAGCTGCCCCACAACTTGTTGGTAAGAATGAATTAGTCGTTAGAGATGTGACTACTGTCTTAACCGTTCAAGTTGAACAAACCATCACTGCCACTGTTCCAGATAGTACTGTAGATACTGCCGCTGCCGTTGTCACTGAAACTGACACTGCCGCTGGTACTGAAACTGGTGCTGCCACTGAAACCACCACTGTTGCCACTCAAGCTGGTACTGAAACTTCTCCAGCTGGTGCTGAAACTACAGTTACTGAAACTCCAGTCACCACTGTCCCTCCAATTACCACTGTTGCAACTGGTGGTGCTGCTATTCCAGTTGGTTCTGTTGCTGCCTTAGCTTTGGTTGCTTTGGGTATGGTTGGGTTTTAAAGGTTGACATTTTCAAGTTTCTATTCGTTTACTATTTACTTTTTCGACTTCGTATGACAGGATTCTATTTTGCCAATAATATTTAATATATGAATTTTTTCAATTGGTTGCTCTGCTGTAAAGGTGAGTTCCTTCTACATTTGTGATCATCAGAATCAAACCTAATTAAAATCGGTATAATCTGTCTAACTTTGCACCTGTCTCCGTAATTTATCCCCATTTGCTAATTGATCCTAATTTCAAATCTCCTGGCGAGCTCAAAAGGTATTTTTGCATCAATTCCTCTAGAAAATATAGTCCTTCTATCTGAATTTGAAGAAGTTATCGTAAAAAGGGTTATTTGAACCATTATGTGCTCCGTTGCAAATCCTCGAGTTTAACCATCGGTACGTTACAGAAATCTCGAACCTAACTAGTTTTCGCGGAACTAATTGATTCAGGGATTAAGTGTCTGAACTCCAAAGATAAACAGTGATGTCGGTATCACGAAAGTCTAATATTAGATTTTGTCAGTCATTTCAGTATCATAGTCTGACGGGCTATTGTTCAAAAATGAATTCTTGTAACTCGAGTCAACTATATTTGAAACTTGAAAACTTTGTTTCAATCAAGGAGTTGTTTTTTTTTTTGGCATTACCAAACAAGTATTCAATATCTTTGTAAAGATTATGGTTTTTAAAATGTGTTGGAACTTATAAGGAATGAAGTTCTGCTATTTATACCCAAACACGAGATTTGTAACAGTAGTACCAATATGGAAACTCTAGCAGAAATATCTTGGCATGGGTATTTTAAAACATATTTCTGGAAATACCATACACTATCTAAGGAAGCACTAGAAAGTAGTTCTAGTATCGATTATTCTCCACAGCTCTTTTTTTTTTTTTTTTGCACCATAAAAGTTAATAGTTGTACATAATAAATAAAATTGTCATAATTCCAACTCCAATCCATTTATAAAACATTTAATTGAACATAATTTTAATAACATATTAATTTTCAGCTCCACAGCCAGGATAGTCTTGCTGTTTAATATAATCTTATCTCGTAAATAATCAATCAACTCTTCGTTACTGACATATAAGTTAGCCGGTAATCTTTGATCCTCTTCATCGTATTGGTTCATTTGATATACTACTTTGAGAAAAATTTTAAATGTTTCCTGTTTATGATTTATATCAAATGTTAACTGACAGTTGTATAGCTTGTGTCTGTCATGTTCAATCGCGACATAATTATGTCGTGTTATTCCGATATCTGATAGATATTGTATGAATTTATTCGATAATTCTGTAAAACTATTCAGTGGTGTGATAATGGGTGTCCCCGGATAAGTTATCGGTGGTGGGAAAGGAACAGATACTGGCTCCCTGGTTTCATTATCAATAAAAGTGGTTATTTTCGTGAAGTTTATGGGATTGGGTATGATCTGTGTCTTAGTTGTATAACTGCCACTATTGCTCATTGTGCGACTGTTGTTCTAGTGGCTAAAATTTCTGAAACATGAGATCGAGGTTAAGATGTTTCATGCACACTATTTATAACAGTTTCTTTTTTTTTTTTTACTATGCGAGAATTAAGCATCTAAGCGATATTACACAGTCTCTGAATTTTTTTTTTTTTTGCCCATGTTAATTTTTATATAAACTATACAACCAAACATACATTGAACCAACCAAAAACTTAAACAAGAAATATTGCCAAAGATACCCTTCCATGCATATTTCACTCCTCAGTCAATCCTGTATCTTCAGTTTCCTCTGCATGACTTTCAACCCGTGTAAATAACTCTTCATCTTCAGTTTCTTCGGGAATGTTAGTTAATTCTCGTTCAAGAGAATCCTCCATTTCTTCTTCTAGTGCATTAGCTACTTCTTCGTCTATAATTTCTTGTTCTTCCAGTTGTTCCAAATCATCCACGTGCGAGTGATCCAAGAAAGTCATGCTATCGGGTTGAATGAAAGTTGAAGTTGTTGGTGGGGCTTTTCTATTTCTCAATCCAGTTGTAAAATGATACCCGTCATCATCTTCATACTGTGGAGTAATCGCTGACAGAACACTATTATTTTCCGACAATGGAGTTAGACCTCTTCTCGCATCAATTTTATTTCTTACTCGGTTTTTCAAATTAACATCGGGAACAATCACTGGGTCAATCAAATCAAATAATTGTTGTCGTCTGGAGTTACTCTCTTCAATTGGTAACGGTTGTTTGTTTTGGGTCATCTGCTCATCTTCTTTTAGTGGTAATGTCAACACGAACCTAATCGCGCTTAAATTCATCCAAGTAACTACACCCACAATTACTCCAATATAAAAACTGACCATAACAAAATGGAACAATGTCAAAAAGAACAATTCAATTTGACCTGCAATCCAGTTCAAGTCGTCAAACTTCCCATCCTCTAACTCAAGAAAGTACCGTAACGGTATAATTATGGGTATTTTGATCAATGGTGTATAAATCATGATATTAACCATTAACGAAAGGGGGATGAATACTGCATTCGAGAGAATAAAAAGGTTTATTGCGAACACTAATTTGAATGGTGCAAGGATTGCATTGACTATTGAAGCTACCACTGACATCTTGACTGGTATTTTCCGACGTTGCAAAGAGTGTAGGGGGGTTGATAAGTTGGTTTTAAGTCTATCTAATAAAAATAAAAAAGAGAGATAATGGGACTATCTGTGAGGGGAAAATAAAAAATTTGAAAATAGCTTTCCTTGCGTTACAAAATCGAGCCAGGAAAAAAAAAAAATTCCTGATTTCCTCTACTCGGCAATATGCAACTATAAACTTACAATGCATTAAATTTCTTATTTTAGTATTTTAACCTATATCTATGAAAACATGCTTAGAGGTGCAGAGGCATTGTTATCTATACTATTTGTATGAGATCGTTCACCTCCGTTACCTCTTGCTTTATTACCATCCTCTTCATTATGCTTAATAACCAATCCAGTATTCATTATCGTATTATCTTGTTGTAACTTCACATGCTGAGATTTAATATAATCAATATAATAGTTACCGAAAACATTCCAGTGGAATTTTACCAAAGTGGCGATTCTGGTGGCAATATTCTTCATTTCGGTAGTATTATTAGGAGCAGATTTAGTTAATTCCAATTCACGCTCATCAACTCCGTCAATTATATTGACGATTTCCAGTAACAATTGATTGAAAATTTTAATTTCCATCAAGCCATAAACTTGAGAATTTGGTTGAATATGTTTAATCAACCAGTTGTAACTGAAATCAATTAAATCCTTAGGTAAGTTAACTTGAGATATTTGTTGTGGGTATAAATATTTAACCAATTGTAAAGAAATGGAGGAAATGTTCTTGGTCCATTTAATGTTTCCATTATCATCAGTAACAATTGCCAATATATCTTGTTGAACTTTTGAAATATTTGCTGAGGAAAGTAATTCAGATGAATTTGGTACTTTGGAATTGATAATCAACTGTTTGTACAAGATAACACATAATTGAATACAAACTAATTGTCTTACGTCAGCCCGTAATAAAACTAATCTTGTATGGTCAAATGTTAATGTTGATGGGAATTCCGTAGCCATTTGTCGACAACTTAATAAATCAATGATTGAAGATATTATAATTGGTTTCAAGGTGGTGTCATTAATGTTAGTTTGTGCATCAGGCGTTATTTTTTTCATATATTTTTTGTAAAACCAATTCAAGGAATCATTAATATTAATTTTTCCGTGATTAATTAATGTCTGGAAATAATCGCGTTCGAAATCAATAGCAGTTTCAATTAAAACAGGACGTAATATTCTAATTTGATGATTGGCAACATCTAACTTCATGGCCTCTAATATTTGGAAAATCATTCTTAAACCTTCAACTAAATATTCAACATTATTAAGGGTATAACTCTTGACAAATTTCTCATTCATTTCACTAACCCATTGGTCTCTCATTGGCGCACAATGATTCTTAAACACTTCACCTAACCAGTTGGACATTTCCACAAAATCAAAACTTCCATGGTTTAATTGCTGAATTAATAATTCAATGTCCAAGATTTCTTCAACATGTTGACGGTCTTTTGTTGGTAATAACAGTAATAAAATATCTCTCAATGTTGTGAATAATATTGGCAATCTATTAAGTTTTATTGCGACATTTTGTTGTCTGTTGAAAAACTGCAGACATTCTTTTTGAATCTCTAACCAATATTTGTCAATGATTGACTTTTTACGTTTACCTCGCTCGCCATCCAAATTTGGTCTAAACTGTAATTGAGGGTCAAATAAAATGTCGTGTCTCAATTGTGGGTTCTTTAATATTTCATGCAAGTCGATTTCCTTTAACGATTGAAGGTTAATAGGTGGTAATGGTGGAATGGTACTGTTGCTGCTACTATTGCTGCTACTGTTACTGTTTATATGATGATTGGTTGTGGAGAATAAGTTATGGTGTTTTTTATGAGGATAGAAAGTGGAAGTGGTAGCTGAGGTAGCTGCATGATTACTGAAGTTGATGATTGGTAATGATCTAGATCTGAATCGGCGTATGAATTTAGGTGTCTTGTTAATAGTATGGCCTGAAATGGCAGACGTGGTAGGGGTGTTAATGGCGGGAGTAACTGCGGTGGTAGGTTTAACTATGTTGGAAGTAGTTGGGGTGGCTGCTGGGCTATTGCTGGAAACTACAGTGATATTGTTGGTGGTGGATCCAGATGCAGATGTGTCCAATCTAATACGCTTGGCTGGATCACTTGAAGATGATGAGTTGCGTTTGTTAGACGTAGTCACTGGTGCACTGTTATCAGAAGGTGTTGTCGATGATGATCCTGCAGTTGCCACTGTTGTTGCTGCTACAGCTGCCGCAGCAGCTGCTGCAGTCGCAGGGTTAAAACATACTTGTCTAAACTGCTGTTGCTGTTGTTGTTGTTCTTGTTGTTCCTCTTGAAACACAGCAGGTTGTTGTTCTTGTTGGTCTGAGTTTACTTGTGAGTTCATCATGTAAATTTATACGGTGAGCTTAGTATGTAAATCGTGTATCTTCTTGTTCTTATACTTGTATATATCTTTCTATATGCTATTGGGGTATATGTAGGGGTATTATAGTGAATGCTTAATGGTTTATACTTGTCTTTTGGGTAGAATAAAAAAAGAAGAATGTGTAATAATTTTTGTCTGTTAATGGAATTGGAAGGGAGAAAAAATAGACAAACATTTTAAAAAAAAATTAAAAAAAAAAAAGAAAGAAAAAAAGAAACACAACAATTGTCTGTTCATCATTTTTTTTTTGCCATTTATTACTAAAATTAATTCTAGATAAATTAGCAACAGCAGAAAAAAACCTCCTAACCCGCACCCACAACACCACTGAAATAAGAAAAAAAAATTTAAAAACATGAGCTTAATTTTAAGTTGCTCGTCTCATTGCTTAAGGCATATTAGCTTAAACACATTGCAATATTGGGGCAAACTGTGATCATTTTGAAAGTATATTCCTTAATGTCTTGTGCGGAAATATCAAAAATTCAAATTTCATCCCATGGTCTTTTTTTTGCCCTGCTTATTAATCGCCTAACACTAGTAAAAGGGTCATTCACCGTTTACAATTTTTTTTGCACCTTCTGCGAAAGTCGCTCACTGTGCCCCATTGTCGTAAAAATAAATGAAAAGCAATGTCTATAGCGCGGTAATATTTGCAATAAGCCGATAGGTCAGTGTTTCATCACATACTTCTGCTTAGGCAACTACCACATTTTTTGACTCCTATATATTGCTTAGTCTAATTATCTACCTTCCAATTGATTGCGTCGATTGGCAAAAAAAAAAAAAGAAAAATTTTGCAGTTTTTTTTTTGGCTGCCTCATTACCATTCCACAATTTGTTATTGCCGGAAAAATGTAATAATTTACATTTTTGTGTTAGCACTTCATGTAAGTCATTAATACAGAGAAAAAAAAAAGTGGCAAAAAACAGGTGTATGTGTGAGAAAACAAAAGAAATTTTCTCGTGCACATAAGTTATAATAATCACATTTCTTTTTTTACCTGGTCTTCTTCGCACGTCTCCGAAACAATGGAGTTCTTTTATTTTTCGTAAACTACATCATGTGATCAGACAAAGACTAATGATGATGGTAAATTTTTGAAATTACAGAAGAATAGCCTGTTTGTTTATGTGATTTCTACCCCCGGCTAAATTGGCGCTAATCACAATTAAATATCCAAATATTCTTGAGTCTCAACAATTAACGCGTTAACACAAACTCTGGTCCAACTTTGAAACAAAAAGAAATAATCATAAGTTCGACTATTATGCTTACCTTGTCTCGCATATATCTTAGTTGATTTTTCTTAGTTTACCTTTGTCTGTTCACAAAGATATCTAAAATTTCCTACTAAATTCTAAAAACAATGATCAAGTGAAAATCTTGTGTTTACATGTCGGAAAAGTCAAAGTATCTAACTCTATATGACTCTCTTCTCCCCACACAACACATGTTTGGTATTTTTGGCAAGAAAAAAAAAAACTAAAACGAGGGCGGCCGCGGGCGGTTACCGACGCCGGCGGTGGAAACGGAACAGTGACATGCTACATAACAAAGTCATTTATTGTTTCATGGTTTTTGTTAATTAAATAATGGGTTGTTTGCTGTTTATCTTTTGCGCTTTGTCAAATATTGAGTATTTGTGACTTGTCTTAATTTTCCTCATCTCTGATTTCTGGGTATTTTCTATTTTCTATTTTCTACCCCCTCTTAGAACCTTATTACATTTCTCGAACTCATCCGAATGAGGAACATCTCCTATTCACAAATGTCATCGTTTTTCCCCCAGACAAGATAATTAAAATGTAACCCCTCCAATAGACAAACTGAAAACTCTCGCCATTATGCCGCGGTATGTAGTTCAATAAGGCTTAATCTCTAGTGTTAAAATGCATTTATGCCTATACTTGGCAATTCAAAACTGGGCTAATGAAAAAAAAAATTAGTTTGCTTGGCTAAGGCTGCATAAACTGACATAGAAATTCGCCCCCTCCCCCTCCCCCCTATGATCTCCACTATAGAAATAGGAGATAATATTTTATTATTCTGGATAATATATTAACTACTCTATTTAAGAAAACCTTATCAAAGTTAGTCGACAATCAAAATCTTGTGAACACAAAAAAATAATTAACAACAGCATACGTCATGGAACAATGTATATTTTTCTAGTCAAGGAAAATGATATGACTTTGTGCTTAAATCTGGGCACGCCTTTTAACATGTGCTTTTTTATTTGCTTCTTTATTTTGGTGACGTTATGCAGTTGTGAACAACTGTGGTTTTGCTTGGTATAAAACATTTAAATTAGTAAATCTGACGTAATAGGTGCTTTTTTATGTAGTTGCAAATTTCATCGTCGTATGTTTATCGGAATGTAATCCGAAAGTTTGTTCGCCACGTATACTCTTGCAGGATATCTTGTATGTCCAGTCTAACATTGTTATATTAAACAACTCTCTGAAGTTTTGCAGTTGCGTATCTGAAAGTAATCTAATAATTCCCTTTTTTAGATAAAGCCAACAGCATGTTCGTCAATGTTTTAGAGGAATATTCCTAATCCTTGCAGATACTAAAAACTGTTTCGCGGCAAATCTTTCTATATGGTAGCATCAAAATGGACAATACAACATGGTATATAATGAAACTTGTACATTGTAGGTCTATGAGATAGCAACTAATGGTTGAACATAGCATTTCTCCACCTTTGTACAAGTTTTTTACCTCATGGTAAATCCAGTCCAGTGGATTTTCCTTATGGGAGGGGGATGGAATATTGGGACAGAGACTAAGAACAAATTATAAAATTCTATTCCTTTTTATATACCAGAGGGAAAGGATAAATAATGACCAGCTCATCAGCATCGGAGAGACATTTACAAACCTAGATCTTTTTTCCTTGATCCGGTTCCCATTATTATTTAGAAAACGGGTAGACTGTAATCCTAGTTCTGATCTACCGATAAACTGCTCCGAACGAACTACGAATTTACAGAAAATTGGTCAGCACGACGACACCTCGACTCTTGCGATAATATAATTTTCCATCTTTTCACTATCTATAGAACTATCTGGACATTAAAGTATTGTGGTACGAAAAACGGCAGCTGACAAAAATATCGTATTACGATAATAGTTTGCCCAACTCTTTAAAAGTTTTTCTAGTCTTTGGTCATCTGGGTCATTCAGATTGATTGGATATCTAGGCATATTTAAGGATATTTCGGAATTGTATAAAGCTTGATCAAGAAATAAATGATTCGGAATAGACTAAAGAAGTTTTTGGTACCGAAACTAAAGAGGAATTGAGTTAGATGGTCATTAAACTACTGTTAAGAAAGGAAATTATGGAAGAGATTGATCAAGAAGTGAAATAGCCGTTAGACCCGAGAATGAATCAGCGTTAACAAGAAGTCATTTCATATAGCTTTGAAGGATCCAAGGGCTGGAAGGGTAAGATCCAAACGGTAGTTACTTCTGAAATAAAACAATTCTGTTATAAATATGAATAAACAGAATGATAATGGAAGTGATCGGTCATTAACTTTCAAAGAAGCCAGTTGTTCCGATCACTAATACGGAAGTGGTTTATAGATTATTTCATCCTTCGTTTAAACGAAGCCGAGGGAGACTATTATCGGATGGTAATTTCCATAGACCACTGTTCCGAAGCAATAGTTATGATGTTCGTATAACCTACTGTCAGATTTCTGTTCTTGCCATTGCCTCCAGAAAAAGAAAAGAACTTATATGAATAGTAATAAATAAGCGAGATCTCAACATTACTGTAATAAATTCCTCGTAGGTGACTCGATGACTGTCACTAACTTATAGTATTCACGGAAATTGAACAATTTTTAAGTCTCGGGTAATTTAAAATAGTAATTTTAGTCAGGTACGATATAATTACTACTGCAAAAGCGGAATCATCTAAAATTCAGAAAATGACAATCTTAAAGATTTAATTCTTAGCTATAGGAAACAATAGCGAACGACTATCTATAGTTTCCATCTGTTCCGAGTGTTCGCTTATTATAAGGGTCCTGTTCACTTAGTTTGTAAATGATAATTTTTTCCGCTTCCGGAAAAAACGGCTTTAGGCATTTTTCCGGTGATCTATTTTTTTTTTTGCAATCTGTCAGGCGTCATTTGTTCCCTAAACCTATGTTAGTGTAACTTGAATCACTTGAATCTTACCTCGGAACGGAACTATGTTGATTATAGAAGTGTATCCCGTATCAGCTTGCCACATCACTTTACTTCACATTCTATCCTTTACTTCCGTATGATATAGTCATGAATTTACTTAAAAGGGTCCAACTTCTCTATACGGTAATCATTACGACATTAGGAACTTCGTTATATGATATTTCTCTTATAATATTAATACTCATTACCTGCTTGATAATATAGCCACGGAAGTGGAACTTATAGTGATTGGGTTTTTTTTTATTCTTTTTTTTTTGGTAGTTTCTCTAAGAATAACCTATCCGAACCGAAGAAATGAAACCGAGGTTGGGTTCATGTACAAATAATGATATACTTGATATACGAATTGTCGTACTCGATTCTACAAGTATTACTATAAACTTGATAGTGATTTAAAGTCGTCTCACTTTTTGAAATGATATTTGGCATTTTTGTTTGCCAACTTTGTTCTATCATTCCAACAAAAATGTAACAATAAGTAAATCTTGGGTAACTACCTTTGATGAAACAACCAATAAATTGTGACTGCTTTTAGAGACTTCAAGATTAGCTCCAATCTTTTGTGATTCAAGTTTTTCTTTTGTTTGAAGCTTTACTTGATTAGTGTCATCAGCACACTAAAACAAGAAAGGCAAGGTTGAAGCTAGTTTAACAAACAGTAGTTATCGTAAGAAAAGATAAAAGTATAATAGGAGGCGGAGGGTTTTTTCTAAGGCTTCAGTGGAATGCGAATAAAAATTATTCAATAAGAAATAAAGGATTCCTGTTAGATTCAGTATTGGTAATTCATTTAACTTCATCAATCGCATAATCACCTTTTACATGACCTCTTATTCTTACTCCCGTTAGTCCCTCGGATACTCGTTCGTACTGAAGGGTGTAAAACTAAGTTAAATTCTTCCGAGGTTGAACGATTTGATTTACAATTTTTTTCAATATTCATTACCGAACCGATAGATCTTGCACCATTCAATGGTCGAATATACAGGAAGAACTTACAAACAGAAGTTTTCGATGACTTATCTGTATAGCTTCGCCATATATGTGGATAAATTATTATAGAATTAGGTTATGGGGAAAATACCGTGACCTATTTTCGGAAGTAGTCATTACGAACTAGAAACACGTTCACCAAAAAAAAAGTGAGCGGATATGTTCAAAAGTTATAACGTGATAATTCCGTATCTGCAGGAAATGACGGAACATGAATAGTTGACTATCCAGTGATTCCGAGGATTATTAGGTGTGGAATAGTCTCGCTTGTATTAAAAATGACGTTTTCTGTAAGCGAAGTCTAAAAAGAAACGAAGACCCTAGCTATCGTAAATACCAAAATTTTTTAGCAACCGGAAAAAAAGGATGTGTACTTTTCGAGTCATGGTTTTGCAAATGCTGCAAATGGAAGCCAAACTTTCCTGTTTTTGTGGTGTGATAAGTCGTACGTCATGTTTCATACGAATAACCCTTTTTTGGAACATAATAAGAGTCATAATAAGGATCACAAAAATATTTGAAACTACCCCCGGAAAGTTTCATCACCATTACTATGATAAGAGCATGATCCTTGTTCAGTTGTAAAAGCATGATGCGTGGCTAGTATGGATGCTGATGGTTGTTGTGAGGAATCAGAACTTAAGAATTATTATTTCGGTTCGGAAACAAGTCATCGATAAAAGCTGAAAACTGTTTATGGGGAGATGTTCCTAATTTATTCTCGTAGGAGGCAACGGTTTCGGAAACGGAAATAGAAGACAAAAGTAAAACTGTATTATTGGTATCTTTTTCTATCCGAAACGTTTTAGCGTGATTTATTTAAAGTGGAAAAACATGATTTGAAAGAGTAGAACTTTCATAAAAGGTTGTGCTTACGGATGGCTGTGCAATAATTGTTCATACGTTATTTCCAGCCGTTTGGACCCTGCATAAAATTTGATCAAGAGCTTTAAGGACGGTTTAGAATTGGACAATATCGATATTAACCACTGCAATATCTCTGAAATCAACGTTGCCTCCCTTTCTACTATCACCTTTTGTGCAGCATCTTGCTGCAAATATCTTTTCAGCAAGCATTCAATACAAGCACATGTCTATCCGAGTTATCCTCGGTTATCAGAAAATATTTGATACATTTCCGAGATATGTACCCCAAGTTTCAGGAACCCGGAGTTACAAAACCACTGTTATTATTACCAAGAGTGAATCATCCATGCTGATAGATTTTTGCATGACAATCTAAAGAATCTTCAGTATTCTGAGCCGAGGTTCACGGAACATCAACAGAATATGGCATAATTTCTCTTCCGCTCTAGCAACATTATTCCTTCTAGCGCCACTGTTTACAACATTCTGCAAACTCAGTCATTCGATGGAACAGACGGAATATTTATAAGATTCATCACGAAATGTAAAAACCTTATAGCCGCGGAAATGACGGAAGGGGACTAAAAAGATATCGTTTCGAGAGCTGGTGCATGATATTTGACTCACTTGGTGTAAAAAATCATGCAAGGTGTAAAAGAGATCCCTAGATGTGTAAATGTTGCAAGTATTTTGATAATTTCCGGCTAATATGAATGAACTTCTCCTGTTCGTCTAACCCACAATTTTTAATCAAGTCCATTTGGGTGTAGATTCGTCAATGGGGTACTGAAATACGACAATTGTGTTGATCTTTTCCGTTCCGATGACTTAATTTGGGCATTAAATGAAGCAAATGCATGATCTCAACCGAAGCGGTTGCAATTGTGTTAGACAAGGTCCCTAGTTCCGAAGAGAACCTTAATCCTTTCAAGGAATATTCGGGTCCCACGGAATGGAACATAGTTGTAGTTGAAGAATACAAAACCATAAAGAGTCAAGAATGTTTCAGTCACATTTTTGCATGTCGTGGTATGAGTCGGATCTTCAGGATGTCATGTAATATTTCATTTCCAGTAGCAATCCTTGCATCTAATTTATAGTATCATTGCGGAATTGGGTTTCCTATCTTAGAAAATCCGTGGAATAGTTTAATTGCTGGCAAACTATAGATTTCTCAGCATTTTTTCTAAATGGCAGGGATTGGGAATAATTGTCTACTGCTAATGAAAGAAAGACAAGATATGTTACTATCGGTATCTCTTACTTTATTTACCAAGTGGTAAATTGTTTAATCGCTCAAAAGTCAAAATTGCAAAGCCCTGGTTTCACGCATTGTTTTATGTGGTTCGACTTGAAATCTGCCAGTCGCTCAATTGCCATCTGAACAAAAAAAACTTTCTTGTGCCGCCAAAAACCAAACGTTTATTTCTTGTTGCAAAAAAAAAAAGTACTAAAAATTTAACAATAAAATTATTGTTTTAAAATCCACAATGGTAACAATACAAAGATCTCCCCCAAAACTTGGCTCAGCCCAGTTTTGTCCAGCCAACCACATGCATGGTCTTCATGTTTTGTTAGATCATCGTGCGTCACGGTTTCGAATATTTTGTACACGAACAAGAAAGAAAGAGAAAGAACAAGAAAGTTGAAGTTTGCTAAGAATTTTCGTGTGGGAGGGGAATTGTTGATTGGTTTCCAGAATTGTGGCAATTGGAATCGTCAACTTCTTGGCGAAGAATTCGGATTAATTTGTTGAATTTAATGTGTATGACATGAAAGGCGGAGATATGAGTGGATCTGTGTCGAGGGCAAAAAGGTTATTTATAATATAGAAGAAGGTGTAAAACACATCGGCAGGGAAAAAAAAAAAAATGATGCCGCATTGCTCAATTTGGAAATTTGGCGATTTTACATTTCCATTGTATCCATTGTTAATCTTGTTTTGTTCGAGATTATTCATACACATTTCTAACTCTAACGTGAAGATCTCGGGGTAGCTAGCAAATTTATTGCGAAGGTAGCCGCGATTTATATTGTTTTATTTTTTGTTACTAATAAAAGGTTCGAAAAGGGACAGACTAATATTTTAAGATTTCTCGGCTGAAGTATCTTTAGTTACTCCAGCCTAAAATAAATGTCTTTGTTTTTAAAAATAGTACTATAAGATATGTACGATCTTAATGCAGATCCATGTGTATGCAGAGGCATCAATGTACTTATGCTTAAGTCTTTTTTTTATCAATTAGATTAGGTGAAACGCCGTAAAAAGACGAATAAATATAATTAATGCTTCGAATCGCAATAACTTAATAAATGTGGAACATGAAATCCAAAATAATGTTGAACTTTATGACTTGGCATAGATAAGAAACGGTGCATAGATGGCAAGACTTATATCTAACCATATTAGCAAAAGTTATAAGAATCGCAATAATTTCTTTTGGTCTTTTCCTATTCTTATTTTTTTTTTCTTCAAACTCCTGAGATTTGCCACGGGTTTCTTACTACAAATTCCAAATCTTAGTTTCGGAAGTTACATTTTGTGTGTGTTTCTAAAAACTTAGACTCGCCGCTATAATTTATACTTAAATTACGCTACGCATTTGATTAGCCACGGAACTTGATTGGGCTTTTCAAACATCGACTAATTTAAAGCTAGTTCGTCTTAAAGGAATATTATTTTCTGAAGAACAAAAAAAAGACGAAGAAGAAATTTTGAAGTTTTTATTTTTTGTTCAACCATAGGTTTGTTCATTGCGGTTTTACTTCAGAAAGTTAACTCCAATCCAAACTTTTCCGCAAAATTTCAACTGGAAAAGACGGTAATATACGCTTAATAATCCAATTATTCCTAATTTTTGCATCTGGTTGCTAGAAATAACTAGAACCCCCCGAATACGAAACGTCAGGAACACTTTCCAGATTCAGAATATTTTTTCCAGAGAGAAGGAATTTTCTGCAGCAAAGAGGATCTTTAAAAAAAAAAAGACGCACCAGCAGAAGAAGTAGAAAGGAATCTCACTAAAAAATATAGAATTTATTTTATTTTTTTGGCTCAAAACATATTCCACCTAAGCAAGGCCCATCACACAAAATAAGTTGGAGGATTTTTTTTTTCTTTGTGAAGTTTTTAAACATTAAAAATACTGTTGTCTTCCAGTTTAGTTTTGTTATACGGTCTTTTTCATTTTTCCATTTGGATTTTTCCTTGGACAATTTTCCGGTTCTTTTTTTTATTGATTTACGGGTTTAATTACACTGTAACCTTATTTACTCCACTTCATTGAGGCTATACTACAGACATTTCAATTTCAACCATAAACTTCTACATCCCGCTTTGTATATGCAGAATTCATACAAACGGCTGCAGAGTTAACATTGGTTTTTTTTTCCCACCATATTTAGACATCATCAACCACACTATTCCAGCAGCACAAAATGACAAATAAACCTCCTGCTGCGGCCGATGCAGCAGCAGCAGCGCCTGTACCTCCGCCAGCACCGCCACCACCACCACGACCAGAGTCAACAACCAATGACAGGGCGGAGTCACCGTATCCTAACCACCATAAACAACAGCAACAATCATCGACAATTGAAACAGCAACCAATGCAACCAATGCAACCAACACTGCGGCTACCCCTGTCCCATCTTCTCAAGTGCAAGCCACACAAATGAACACCAGCAGTTCGACCACTACGGTATCATCATCGAACGGCAAAACCCAGGTTGTATTCATCCATAAACTATATGATATGTTACATGACGATTCCATTTCCCATTTGATATTTTGGTCACCAACCCTTGATTCTTTCTACGTGACCCCAGGAGAGGAATTTTCTAGAGCACTAGCGCAATATTTTAAACACACCAATATAGCGTCGTTTATACGGCAATTAAATATGTATGGATTCCACAAGGTCAATGAAACATTCCTTAATCAAGAAGATCAACCTCAAGCTCAGGGGAGCAACACTAATAACAACAAATGGGAATTCAGACATTCAACTAATCAATTTAGAAAAGGTGATGTTGAATCTTTAAAGTTGATTAAACGAAGGAGTTCGCGGAATATAACCAGTCAGAGAGAAATTGTCAGTATAAAGTCTTTACCTCCTACATCACAACCATTAGATTATCAATCACAACATCAGCAACAACAACAACAGCAACAGCAGCAACAGCAGCAACAGCAACAACAACAACAGCAACTGTCATATCCTTACCATTACTACTCCGATGATGATGGTATACGAGATAAGTACCAATCAATCACCTCACCAACCCAGTCCATGCCAGCTGCTCCCGGAACCCCACCAATACCGCCTCATATACAGCAACTGGCTCAACAACAGCAGCAACCCCCGTCACATCAACAGCATGGCCTGATTCTGTCTCAAGCAGGAAGTAGGATGTCTCAAGACTATTCTAACCCGCCTGTATTAGGTCAAACATCATTTGAAAACTCCATAAACTTTAAATTTCTTGAGATTAATAGTCAGTTGAATGGACTTCGTAATGAATTGACGGTTATGAGTAACCGTTGTGATATGTTGCAACAGGATTTGAAGGGCCTGAATAATGATTGTCTTGCTATCTTGGAATTGTTTGAAAATTGGGTAAGGAATGAACAAGCTGATGCACCAACTGACCGGGTAAAGTCTCCTATGCCGATCAAAGAAGAAGGGATTCCGGTGTCAGCATCTCCAATGACTGTTTCGGATAAGTTTAAAGTATTGAGCGATATCCAAAACATCAAAAATGCCATAATCAAAAGACTGAATCAACCTCATAATATCCCACCACCTCCTCCTCATCATCATCACCATCTGCTGCAATCATTTCCAACCCTCCCTCCACCACCTCCTCCACCACAACAGCAACAACAGCTGCAACCGCCAACTACTTATCATTTAGATTCAACTTCTCGTAATCCTTCAAATCCAAACATTCATATTGTTCCTCAACCATACCCTTTGAATCCTCAATATTCCATTTACAAGAATGAGAATGTTTTCCGTCCTAAACCAACCGAAGAAAATGATCCAACCAGAAGAAATATGTCAGTGTATGATCCATTGCAACCAGTTCCTTCTAGACATAATTCCCGGGTATTGATCGAAGATCCAAGCTTGCCACCTCTACCATCATTAGCACCATCCTCTAATGTATTGGGGCAACCTCCTTTCAGATTGAGAGCTGAGTCTACTTATAGCCCATTATCCATGGCTGGTGCCAAACAACAGCAGCAGCAACAACAACAACAACCACAGCAACAACAACAACAACAAACTGGATCACCAGTCCTGCAATCACATCCACCTCCACCACCAAGTCACTACTCAACTCCTTCAAGTACTCGTTCCTCATTAGAACTGAAGAAACCAGCTATTCATCCTGAACCTTACCAACCATCTCAAACACCATCATCGACATACCCTCCACTTGGATCTAGAACAAATTCGTTGCCTACTCCCCGCACTGAGATATACAACCCACAAGGTGGATACTTTCACCAACGGAACTCATTCACATCAATGTATGAACCAAAATATAGCCCTCTCCCACCTCTGCAACAATCTTCACAAACCCAATCAAATGGAATCAGACATGGATCCCCTCCAAGAAGTATCCCAGAACAATTACCCAGTGTTAGTGAATTAGACAAGTCTATCAAAATTGGCAGCACCGGTTCTGTAGGTGGAAGTGTTGGTTTACCTCCGTTGTTTAAAAAGAATAATGATATTGGTGATTCTGATTTGAAAAAGAGACGTTTAGATTGAAATTTTACTGTGCTTATATGTAAATATATTAATTTGTATAATTTTTGAAATATATAAAAATCTGTATTTTTACTCATTTGTACTAATTTTGTACTTTGATATCCCTCTTCAATGGCTCAACATATTCATTTTCCAATTCATCCTTGACATAGACGATATAATATGGAGTAGCAGTGTTTCCCTCGATGAAATTAAACACTTCACTAGCAGGAACTTCAGTCACAATTTCATCGTTATATTTCCGGAATATGTTATTGTTATGAGGATCCTTAATGTAAACCCAATAATGGCCATAGCTTGCCTCACCACGATGAATAAATATAGCAAATATAGAATAGCCAATTGATCTATAACTTTCAAATTGACTGGAAACTTGCAGGTGAAGCTTGTCTAATTTAGAATCAATGTCAACGAGTTTTTCTTTCAAGTTGTAAATTTCTTGTTGAAGTACTTGGATTGTGGTTAATTCCACCGAGAGTTTGTCATCTTGAATAATTCTACTTTCAAGGTACTTTTTGGTGGTGGTTAAAGTATCTATAATCGACATGGATGTGTCTTGATCAATATGAAGGATATCCTTTTTTGTTTCCATTAATTCATTGATTTCTCGTTTCCATTTAAATACTTCTTCTCTCTTTTGTAAAATTTCAGGATCTTGGGTATCCAAGTATCTATCAAGATATATGGTATCACTGAATGGAATAGGTTCAATTGATTTATATGCCATAAGCTTTTCTCGATCAAACATTACTCTTTGAACGTGAAATTGCAAGATATCTGGTAACTCATTTATGGTAATACTTCTTTTAAATAATCCTTCATCCAACTTAACAACATCTTCATTGAAATAATAATCAAGGGCATCATAAATACTCTTGGGATGATCACTAACATTGATAATTAAACTAAAGAAACGTTCCAATGAAACTCTTGGTTTTTCATCTGGCTTTTCTAAGGAAGTAATTGTTTGCTTGGTCTTTCCATAAAATAGTTTCTTGATTATATCATACTGCTCTCCATCTTTATCCACTTCATGTGGTGGTAATACTGTTTCAATTTGGAAAATCACATTTTCAATACATTCAGTAACATCTTGTTGACGGCCAACTTCAATCGTGCTTTCCATTTGATCAGTCAGGATAGGAAGTAATTCTGGGCCTGGTTTATTCTCGGATACGATTTCGCGTTCAAGTTCTACTTCCATAGCTAGTTCTGTCAGTTGTTCAATGACATCTGTATTACCCTTGTCCTCTAACGCACCCATTTCCTCTGAAGTTGGAGTTTCCAATTCATCACCTTCTTTACTCTCTAAATCCACAATCATATCAGTATTCTCAGTCTCTGTTCCACCTTCTTCATCACTCACCTCCCTCATGACAACTTCAACTTCGTTCTCTTTTCTAAAGTTAACTGGATTTGACAATGGAAGGAAACTTAAATAAGCCAAGTCCTTACTTGGTTGTACACATCTACTATTAGTTTTAATCATCTCTTCAAACAAGTATCTCAAGTGGTAAACAAATTGTCTTGAACGTTTAAGTTCAGAAATCTCCACTTTCCGTCCACCAATCTTTCTTGTCTGGGAAAATTCATCAATCGTGAAATCAGCCTCGTTATAAGAAAGAATTAATTCTCTCAATGGCTTAATACAAAAGTAGTATTGAAGCAATGAGTTCAAATAACACGTGTTTCCGATATTGTCTAACCCTGCAGGCCAGTTTTCAGCCGGGAGCAATGATGAATCGATCTTTCCTGTTTTTAAAAAGCTGAAGATTATATCGGAGTTTCTAGAGTCAGCAATCAATGTCATACAGTAACGAAGAGTACGGATATCGGTATCTGAATGGACAAATTTGTTTTGGAAATTAGTGAGGATTTCAAAATCAGACATTTGGAAAGTTGAATCAAGTAAATCATATGCTTTGGCCGTAGTAATATCATCCATTTCGAGTAATTTCACATAGCCTGGAAGTTTTGCTTCAAGATAACTTAGCAAGATATAGCTTTTCCGTTGTACTGCAACTGAAACCAATGCTTTGTTCAAAAATACCACATCGTCACTATTGCCATTAAACCCATTGATTTGTAATATCTCGTCAAGTTTGAATTCATACGCTGTGATCACCACATCATCCTCGGTAATCTCTTCAATATTCAACTCATCGAGAGCAATCGACATAGGAATAATTTCCAGGCCAATGAAACCCATTAATGCCCGAGATTGTTTAGCACGGGCAATAAGTTGTAAATGCTTGTTGTAATAAGGATAATTCTTGGGGTCGTTTTTGAATTGGGTACGATACATAGCAACAATCACATCATCATCAATCTGGTCAATCTCGTCTTGATTTTGAATAGACAATCCAATGATTTTCATTGATTCCAAATAATCTCTGAATCCAATTAATTCACCTTGACTGGCCATATTGTCTAAATATGCATCGAGCTTTTTCGGAGATCCTGGTCCAGTATTGAATTTATAATCCCTGGTTTCACGTAAGGAGTCCACATAATGTAATCTATTAACCAAGTCAGAGACCACCGTGTTTTCAAAACATTTAATAATCAACTCATCCAGAAAACTAGGGGATATGCTCAAATTGACAAGGTATGGTAATCTATTAGCATGAGTATTGTTGAAATTTTGAATACTTGTAGCTTTATCATATTCTGTAATAGTCAGAAATACTAATTTCAAACTATCATTGAATGAGTTGGGAGTTGCCGATTCATCATTCCGTGGTTTGATTTTTGTTTGCAAGTATAAAAGTTCCAGCACCTTGCGGATATATGATTCCTTCAATCCTGGTAATAGCGTTAAATTAGGTGGAATAACATCTTGTTTATCCTCATCTAAAGTGAATGATAATCTGGTTAATAATAGGTTGACATCAATTTGGGCATCCATGACTGTATTCTTCAAACTGATTGTCTTGATTGGATCCCGCGGCTTCAACAATATTGGTCCACGTAACACCTTGGTCAATGTTTTAATACAATGCTTGGCACTAGGAGTAACTTCAGGAGATAAATTAGGATGTTTTTCAATACCTTTCATGTATCGTTGCCTAATTATTTTACTATCAAGGAGTGGATTTAAATCTTCCTTAGTGAACTCTCGATTAAATAAAGTTACTCTTAAGATTTGATTGTTTGGAGAATTCAAACTTTTGAAAAATGCATCGTCGATTAAAGTCTGGTCAGAATTGTCTGATCTCAGCAAGATTTGACGATCATTAGGTGAAAGTAATGTAGATGGAATAATATGATATTGATGCTTATCAATTATGTTTGTCACGAATGGATTTGAGTCTGATTCAAGCACAAGGATACGGAAATGACAAGTATAATCAGGATTCATCTCATCAACAACCAATCCTCTGAGGACATACAATGTTTGAGCCGTTTCATCTAATTTTATGGTTTCTAATGCAGGACATTCTTCTAAATTCTCATTTAACTCTAGCAACTTACACTTGAAGGCATTGGAATTGACCACATGACTCAAATGATGGGAATAGTCAATGGGCTTGCTATTCAATAAACTATAGTTATATTTTTGTCGTATGGGGATCGTCCATTTCAAATCATTAAGAATACGATTCAATGTCTTGAATGGATACTTGATCAATTCCGAGTTAAGGATTTTCGTACGTTTAGATAAACCAGATGTTGGATCAGGCGATGGTACATTGGTTGTTGAATCCTTGAATGGGTTGGTGGATTTAGTCGTGGCAACAGTGGCAACGGTGTCTCCACCAGCACCACCACTTGCAAAAGCAGCAACTGCAGCATATGAAAGTTTGGCCTGCTTGGACTCTGGCTGTGGTGTTGGTGCTGGAGTAGATACTGGGGTGCGAGTGTTGGATGAATCAGTCGGAAGGGCAAGGGATCCAGCCAACATCGATCCATCCAATTGTTGCTGTTGCGGTGGCGAGACTGATTCCTCTTCAACTGCATCTATAAGCCCTTCATCCATAGAATCTATAGGTTTGTCAGGAATTGGCTCAGTTGATGATGATAAAGTGTCTTCCTCCATGTTGGATTTGTATGTTGTTGGATGTGACAAGACGGTTGGTTGTCTCAGTTGTACTGGGTTTGTGTTCAAAATGAAATTCTATAAGTTTATAAATCTGATGGCAATTGTTTGACACCTGGTTGATTACGTAATGACCACGTATGTACTTCCGTATTAAAAGAGTATTTGTCGATATATTTTTACAACCAAAATTTCTAAATTTGCTAGGGTTTTCAAAAAAGGATGTCACAAGAAACCACAAGCCAAAGGGTGGTGCGCGCGCATGTCACCACCAAACAGGAACCAGTCAATCATAAAGTGACAGACCAAATTCAGTTCTAAGCAGAAGAAAAAAAATTTTTTTTGTTAGTGTAGAGATCAAGTAAAAAAGTTGCAACTACCATAATCGACAGAGCGGAAGCAAGTGAATAGAGAGAGAAAATGGCTCAACCACCACAGTCAATAGATTTTGACAAGATCAGAAACTCTTCCGATGGAACCTTCAAAGGATTGGTGTCTCTGGGCTTCAATGAGATCGTTGGCAATAATCCGTATTTTGCTGCCGGAGGGGGTTTGATGGTGTTGGGTACAGTATTAGCTGTTGCCAGACAAGGGGTAATGAAGAGTTCTGGTTTCATCTACCGTCAATTATTGGTGGACTTGGAAATTCCTTCCAAGGATAAGTCATACCTTTGGTTTTTAGAATGGATGTCTAAATATAAGCATCGTAGTTCTCGTCATTTATCAGTGGAAACCAGTTATGTCCAACATGATAATGGTTCAGTTTCTACAAAATTTTCATTAGTTCCTGGACCGGGAAAACATTTACTTAGATATAAAGGTGCATTTATGTTGGTCAATCGTGAACGTTCAGGAAAATTGATTGATATGACTAGCGGAACCCCATTTGAAACCGTGACATTGACAACATTATATCGAGACCGTAAATTATTTGGAGATATGTTATTAGAAGCAAAACAATTGGCATTAAAAGCAAGAGAAGGTAAGACTGTGATATACACGTCCTGGGGTCCAGAATGGAGACCATTTGGACAACCAAAAACAAAGAGATTATTTGAATCTGTTATATTGGATGAGGGTATTGGGGAAAGTATCTTGAAAGATGTGCGTGATTTCTTAAATAGTGGTGAATGGTATCGTAAACGAGGTATTCCTTATAGAAGAGGATATTTATTATTTGGCCCACCAGGCAGTGGTAAGACTTCGTTTATTCAAGCCTTGGCTGGTGAATTAGACTACAATATTTGTATATTGAATTTGTCAGAAAACAACTTGACGGATGATAGATTAAACCATTTGATGAACCATATACCCGATAGATCCATATTATTATTAGAAGATATCGATGCTGCATTCAATAAAAGAGATCAAACTGACGAGAAGGGGTTCAACAATGGAGTTACATTTTCTGGGTTATTGAATGCACTTGATGGGGTTGCCAGTGCTGAGGAATGTATAACATTCATGACTACTAACCATCCAGAAAAATTGGACCCTGCTTTATTAAGACCTGGTAGAGTTGATTACAAGGTATTAGTGAACAATGCCACTGAATTTCAAGTTAGAAAGATGTTTATGAGATTTTACGAAGACGAGGATGCCCTTTGTCAAGAATTTATGACCAAGTTCCGTCAATTAGATGTGAAACTGGTTAGTACTGCCCAATTACAAGGATTATTTGTTTACAACAAAAGCGATCCAAGAGGAGCAATTAACATGATAGAAACATTACGAAACCCAAACTCTGTATTTTAAATCCTTGTACATAACAAAATATAGATATAATAACCTGTAAATAATATACCCCAATATCTTATCCACGATATTTCTTCAGCAATTCATCATTGACACTTTCTAATCGCTCTAAAGTCGGTTCTCCTTCTTCACCAGCACCATTATTAGGATCACCTGCTTTGGACATCAATTCATTCACATAATTCACATAAATCAAATAAATCAATAAGTCACAATTGTCCTTCTTTAAAGTAGTTCTTGATGATGATGATGATTTACTTTCTTCGGAATTACTTAAATTGTTCAATTTGGATGATAGTATCCTCCTGAATCTTGCTTGGTTATAAGTTTGTCTGTTCTTCTTTATACTTGGCATTGTATGTTATGTTGTTATTTTGGCCTCTTAAACCCACAGAAAGAATGTTTATGTTTTTGCTATTTGCTTTTTGCCTTTTTTTTTGTGGCTGCCTCAATCAAAGAACCCCTTGTTCTTGCTTCTCCCCACATGGCGTCAAAGTACGTATTACTTGACAGCTTTTGAGACAAGTGAAACATATCAAGTTGATTTGACATACTCTATTATACTATTGTGATCATTTAGCGTTCACTTAACCAATTTATTATCTCTAAAACAGACAATTATAGTTGCTAAGAGTAACAATTGCCACGTGACAATTGTCACATGTCTGGTTCTTGAATTCCGTTAAACGGCAACTGCGACTGATAACAGCAACAAAATTGAACCAGCCAGGGAAGGCAATTCTAGAGTCGAAATTAATTCACTTTCCTTAACCAACCACTCCCAAGAAAGCAATCAATACTACTATTTAAGACATAACTAGTAGTTCATTCGTTTTTGTTTATTTTTTTTAAAGTTTAACTATATAGAATTGGCGGTTTCAAATCATGTACTTGAAACCCCACCTTGGATTGACTTCAATATGTCTCTCCTTCTTCTTGCTATTCTCAATCAATGCAGAAATAGTAACAGATGAAGTTGACTTATACAAAAAGTTTGAGAGAATCAAGGGAATTGTACCTATGCAGGATACTTTTGAAATCAAGACAGAGGGAAGAAAAGGAGGTTTCGGCGGTGGCAAAGATGAAGACAAGGAGTGTCCTCCATGTTTCAATTGTAACCTTCCAAATTTTGAATGTACTCAATTCTCCCAATGTAATGCCTTTACTGGAATGTGTGAATGTCAAGATGGATTTGGAGGTATGGACTGTTCTGAACCATTATGTGGAGCCCTCGGCGATGGAAATAACAATCGTCCGGTTAGAAAGGAAAAGGATCCCCATTGTAAGTGTAAGTCTGGGTGGACTGGTATAAACTGTAACATGTGTACCCATGACGATGTTTGTGATTCATTTATGCCCGAGGGTTTGAAAGGTACTTGTTATAAACAAGGTATCATAGTCAATAAGCTTCATCAAATGTGTGATGTGACCAATCCTAAGATTATATCTATCTTGAATGGGAAGAAACCTCAGGCTACTTTTGCATGTAATAGAACCTCGGAAAATTGTAATTTCCAGTTCTGGATTGATGAATTGGAATCATTTTATTGTGACTTGAACAAGTGTAAATTGGATTATGACTTAGGTGCCAACACTACCCATTATAATTGTGAAGAGGTTGCTTGTAAATGTTTGCCTGATAGAATGCTTTGCGGACAAGATGGTTCCATAGACATTTCTGATTTCTTGACTGAAACAATTCGTGGTCCTGGAGATTTTGCTTGTGATATTTCTTCCAAGAGCTGTAAGTTCTCGGAACCCAGTATGAATGATTTAATTCAAAGCGTTTTTGGAGATCCATACATCACATTAAAGTGTCAGTCGGGTGAATGTGTACACAAGAGTCAAATTCCTGGATATGAGGTACCAGACCACTCGAAATTGACGTTGGGAAGTATTTTCCTGATTATTGGTGTATTTGTTGTTTGTGTTTTGATTGTGGTGACTGCTGTTCGTAACATCAGTGAATCGGCATTGTTTAAGAAGGATCCCTACCGAGGTGAGCCATTTGAAGCTGATGCTAGTGTCTTGAATCAAAACTTTGAACCAACAACATTATCATTTGAAAATATCAGTTATGAAGTCACTGGCGGTATTCGTGTCTTGAATGAAATTTTTGGAGTTGTTAAACCACGAGAATGTTTGGCCATTATGGGAGGTTCAGGAGCTGGTAAAACTACTCTTTTGGATATATTAGCTGGAAAGAATAAAGGTGGTAAAATCTATGGAAATATTTATGTCAATGGGAAGGTAATTGATCCTACTCACTACAAAGCAATTGTTGGATTTGTTGATCAAGAAGATCATTTGATCCCAACTTTAACTGTTTACGAAACTGTTTTGAATAGTGCATTACTTCGTCTTCCAAGAGATATGAGTTTTACTCAAAAGCAAGCTCGTGTTATTGAAGTTTTGAATGAGTTGAGAATCTTGAATATCAAGGATCGAGTTATTGGATCTGATTTTAAGAGAGGTATTTCTGGGGGTGAAAAAAGAAGAGTTTCTATTGCATGTGAATTGGTTACCTCTCCTTCAATCTTGTTTTTGGATGAGCCCACTTCAGGTTTAGATTCCTATAATGCTAGAAATGTTGTTGATTGTTTAGTTAAATTATCGAGAGATTATGATAGAACCATTGTGTTTACTATCCATCAACCCAGAAGTAATATTGTTTCCTTGTTTGATAAATTGTTGTTACTTAGTGAAGGTGATTTGATTTATTCTGGTGATATGATCAAGGCTAATGACTTTTTTACTAGGAATGGATATAATTGTCCATTAGGATATAATCTTGCTGATTATTTGATTGATATCACGGTTGATCATAAAAAGATTGTCAAGGTTACAAATGCTGATTCTGACATTGTAGCTGCCACATCAACCTCTACAGATATACAAGATGTTGATATTCATGATGCTTTCCTTAAAAATAGAGCCTCTACTCAAGAGGATACCACTTTAGAATGGGAGCACTTTGCTACTCATCGTGATGAGTACAATAACGAAATTATTGGTCGACGTACTTCAAAGACTGGGGAAGAAGAGACGTATATTCGTTTGCGTAACAAATTGCCAACTTTATTTGTTGAATCTTCATTAGCATTGGAATTGAAACAGGAAATTGAAGAAGGTAAGCAACATCATACATCACTTGATTTGACTAAGCATGATATCAAGAAGGCGACTTTTTTTAATCAAGCTGCCATTTTGTCTCTGAGAACATTTAAGAATTTATACAGAAATCCTAGATTATTATTGGCTCATTATGTCTTGTCATTATTGGTTGGTTTATTCTGTGGATATTTGTACTATGATTTATCCTATGATATCAGTGGATTTCAGAATAGATTGGGTTTATTTTTTTTCCTTCTTGCATTCTTTGGATTTTCGTCCCTTACTGGTTTGCATTCATTTGCAACTGAAAGAATTATATTCATTAGAGAACGGGCAAATAATTATTATCATCCCTTAAGTTACTACTTGAGTAAGATATTTTGTGATTTGGTTCCACTTCGAGTTTTGCCACCAGTGATTTTAATTAGTGTTGCTTATCCATTGGTTGGTTTAACTATGGAACATAATGCATTCTTGAAGGCAATCTGTGTCCTTGTTGTATTCAATATTGCTGTATCTACCGAAATGCTTATTGTTGGTATATTAATCAAGGAACCGGGAACTTCAACCATGATTGGTGTTTTACTTTTATTGTTGTCATTGTTGTTTGCTGGATTGTTTATCAATAGCGAAGACTTGACTATCCTGATCAAATGGCTCGAATGGGTTTCTGTATTCCATTATGCATATGAAGCCTTGTCTATTAATGAAGTCAAGGACTTGATTTTGAGAGAAAAGAAGTATGGTTTGTCGATCGAGGTACCTGGTGCTGTTATTTTAAGCACCTTTGGATTTGATGTTGGGGCATTCTGGAAAGATGTCTTGTACTTGGCAGGATTATCATTATTATTCCTTGTGTTTGGTTATGTTTTCTTGCATAAATTCGCCATTGAGAGAAGATAATAGAAGATGTGGTAAAAAAAAATAAAATGTTTCTATAGAACAACTATGTACTTTTAATCACGTTTAGCTGTTATAATCTGATTATAGATTTGTCGTTTCAAATTCTCTTTGTCCAAATCATCTTTATTTATATCAAAAGCAAACTCTTCCAATGGGATTGGCAGAGTAATTGGTTCATCCAATGGATCATGGTAGGAAGCAAGGTACGGATGTGCTAGTGCTTCATCAACAGTTATTCTCTTATTTGGATCAAACACCAACATTTTCTCCAACAAGTCGACACCTAATGGATTTACATTATTGATTCCATGTTTTGCAATCCTATAAGGGTGGGTGTTTATATACTCGGTAAAGTCTAACTTTTCTCTATGAGGTAAAGACTTGAGAAAGTTCTTTGCTCTGTGTGACTTCACAATATGCATATCCTCTTCAGATGGAGAGCCTATAATCTCAAATATTAACCGTAATTGGTGAACATAATCGCTTCCGGGGAATAATGGCTTATAAGTGAACATCTCAGCAAGTATGCAACCGACTGACCAAATATCAATTGCTCTTGAGTAATTAGCTGCATTCAACATAATCTCAGGAGCCCGGTACCATCGAGTAGCCACATATTCTGTCAAACTGGAAATGTTATTAGGCAATTCTTGATTGGGGTATAATTGGTTATCTAATCTGGCTAAACCAAAATCACAAATTTTCAAATCACATTCCTCGTTGACCAAAAGGTTACTTGGCTTCAAGTCACGATGAATCACCTTGGCGCTGTGGATTAATTTCAATCCTTTTAATATCTGATATACAAAGTACTGTACATGTTGATCAGTTAATGTATGGGTGCGAATGATATTATGGAGGTCGCTTGGCATGTACTCCTGGATTAAGTATACTTCATGAAACATTTGGTAATTGTAAGGTTTTTGAACGTCATATAATTTGATAATATTTTCATGATTATCGAACTTAGATAAAAGCTTGATTTCTCGTAAAGTTCGAAGACAAAATAATGGTCTTTCAAAAGGTTCAATACGTTTTATAGCCACTTTCGTCCCTGTGGGAGTGTGAATAGCAAGGGCTACTATCCCATACGCGCCTTCTCCTAGGATTTTTACAACTTTTAAACTTTCAGAAACATTGAACACGACCTTACGAAGTGGTTGTGATTGATTTATGGAACCTCTCAGCTGTTGGTTCAGGTTTTTAAGTTGATTATAGCGATTGAACTTGTTCACAATCATTGTTTTAGTATATAGTTATGAAATAAGAAAAAAAAAGTGGGGATTTCACTTAAGGTCTCTTTATCAACTTATATACTTCTAAGAGTTTACAAAGATGGTAATTTCCTTTGCAATTGGAACTGTTCTTAGATGAAACTTAATTTTAGGCTTTGAACTATGAATTACCTTAAAAGTTGATTCTTAACATGGTGGAATTATTATTTAATGATGCAAAAAAAAATATAAGTTAAGCGACATACATGAGAGGGGTGGATGGAGTGGGGAGAATAAAACATTTCAGTGATGTTTCAAGGTTTAGCCTCACCAATGCTTAAAAAAAGCTGCGATGAGGTCATGTTTCGAATATCTGTAAGTCATACGAATGTTTCAATACTCCACTTTCCTATTTTTGTTTTTTGTGGTTCCTACGAAAATATCAATCGTAGAATCAGAAAACTTCAGGGCTGTTAAGCGAAGTAATACAGATACAGATATTGCTATATTGTCACATGCAAGTAGTACATGGCAACCCTCTAGTCTTACTCTTGGTTATTCTGGAAGCCTAAGTCTGAAATAAAGAATTCCTAGTAAATTTGTCACTCTGTGTAAAACCAGTTAAGAGTCTTGGCAGTAACTAATACAGAAAACTACATATACGGTAGTAAATTTGAAACATCAAAGACTTATCGATGGCCCGTTCTGTAATTGTCTGCCAGGGAACATTTCTAAGATTAAAAAATATGTATAAAGTGTTAAAATAAAACTCCCAGAAACAACTTTTTTTTTACCCTAAATATCAATGTTAATCACATGAATAAGATTGATAAAGTGTATAGATCTTCTTGTGAACACCTAGAGATTAATCTCAACTGGGTTCTATTAGAAGACTCACAAAAACGAACGTTACATTAGCTAGAGTTTCTGTGCATTTTCTTGGTAGTAATGTATTAAATAACGACAACTACTGAATATTTTTATTGGTTGATAAGATGATATAGATACAAAACGTAAATGTCATAACTAAGCCTTTTCTTTCAACACCTCATCTAAGTGTTGAATTGATCCTTCGGAGTACTCATCATCAAGATTAGATACTGGACCAGTATAGGTTCTATAACCCCAAACATAAAAGTAAATCAATGATAAAATCCACATTCCACAATTTATAACCACAGTGTAGTTCATTGAATCCTTGTCAACATCACGAGAATCAGGGAACATTGCCAACACAATCACAAATACAACCCAACACAGTGTAACGCAGTTAATGATTCTACTAATAATCTTACCGAAATAGAATGGACCAGAAACAAACCTCTTCCTTCCCAAGGGTAATAATACCAAAAAAACAGGAGTGCCCCAAGCTAACAAGTTACAAGCAACAGCTAAGGAGAACAAGGCATTTGCACCAGCAGTACCGTTGATCAATACTAATAAGCCCAATACAAGTGATAAACATCCGGCAAATATGGTTGCTCTAACTGGCACTTGAATCTTTGGATTAATAACTTTAATAAAGTTATAAACTATTGGCAACCCATTGTCTCTTGCAAATGACCAGATTTGACGAGATAAAGCAATCAATATAGAAACTGACATCATGTATTGACCAACAGCGATCATAGCCATGAATGCTACTGCCCATTTCTTTCCCAAAGCGTCGTAGATTATCTGGGCCATAGGGTTCCCGGTTTCCGACAGAAGTACTCTAGCTGTATCTCCATCCTTAATACAAGCTGCGCAGACGATACAAATGAGCCAACCTAAAATCCAACAAGCACTGATAGAGCCGACAATCCCCACGGGAATTGCTCTTTGCGCATTCTTAGCCTCTTCACTACAGTGAATAGCTGAATCAAATGCTCCAATTGTCCAAATAGCTGGCATAAACCCCATGAAAAAAGACCATGCTGTACTATAAGTTGTTCTAGCATTTTCAAAATTAGTGAATATATATGAAGCAGAATTGAAATCGTGTTTCTTTCCGGCAGGAACAGCAATCATAAACAAAATTATAAGGAAGGTATTAACAATAATGGAAATCGTTTGCCAATGGGCAGCATATTTTGTGGTTAAACAAGAAATAATAACATTGGAAATAATACATGCTGCAAAAAGACCATAACATTTAGCATTGGTAATTTCAAAATCCCCATCTGTTTGGATAAACACAGCTGATAAGACTTCGACAGCAAATCCATAACTTATACTGCACAATCCTCCAATTAACCCCAACGTGTTAGAACAGCCAATCAAGAAACTCAAGGGAACCCGGATCCAGTGAGGGGCATAGTAATTAGTATAGTAATACAATCCCCCACTGGTGGGAATAGCGCTTCCTAAGAATGACATGGATGTACCAGTAGATAAAATAAAAATACTTGCCACAAACCATCCCCAAACTAATCCAGCAGGACCAGACTCAAGGCCAGTTGCAATGGTGGATGAAATACTTGGTAGCAACCCCATGATTGAATATGCAATACCAAACACTTGTAAAGTACTATAATGACGTCTTAGTTCTTGTTTGTATCCGATTTGGGCTAATAATTCAACATCATTATGAGCTTGTGATGGATCAATTTCACGAATTTCTGATCTTATCGAAGCAATATGGTGCAAATGATCCTCTGTTTTCGATCTGATCGAAGTTATAACATTTAGGTGCTCTGAATTTCTCGATCTAATGGCATCCATTTTATCAATATTGTTAGATTAGATTTGTTTCTTTATTAAGTCTAGCAATACATGTTCCATTTATACCTATTCACCACACTTAAGCCCCGTTTGGAGAACCCCCTCACCCCACAAATTAGCCTTATTGTTATGAGTAGATGTGGTGAATAATTGGATGCGAAAAACAATTTGATCATGTCCTATTTTGCAGGTTAGCTTGGAACCTGCAATTTTGTTCGGCGGATTTCCTAATACAGACTTAACGCAAAGAACTTGGTTGATTGCTAAGCCTAAGTGACAGGATATTGAGCGGATACTTATGATATCCTACCATATATTATGTTGAAATGGTAAGTTTTAATTCTCTTGTCCTTCATTTGTAGGTTGTTTTTTTTAAAAAAAAAAAATTACTTGAGAGGCTATTTGTATGTGATTTCAGAGAACTGACTCTCTGCTGTAGTAGAATGATAGTATTAGTTAAAGAATCAATTCACCACTACACCTTGTTAACTAGATCGTTGAATTTTTATATTAGAATACTTGAGTCATAACTTTTTCCTACTTGCTAACTCAGAATATATTATTCTCGCTAAGATTCACAGTGTTCAAAAGGTGTTGATAAATTGTGGCGGCAAGTTTGTGGGGTTAATGAAATTTCATGAGCTCAATCAGTATGACGTATGTATCCATCATGGGTTTCTACCTTTGTAACGGTCTATAACTTATTGTGATAACCCTACAATCCAAAATATATGCTTGGGTAGAATTGCTGGGGTGAGGTTCCTTCTATATTTACATGTAGTTCAGTATGGTAAAAAATCGCATTATCGTTCACTGGACCCGAATTTCCGCTTTCATTTCCATTTTATTATAGGACATGTCCAATAACCAATACTAAACAACCTCAAACGTTTGCTTCACTCTCACTCAACGTTTTACTATTCGATTCCCATATAACAAGAAAAAAAACAACTAATTATTAACCCCACATCCACTCAAATAATATACACGAGTAATGGAACGATAATCTGAAATCTTTTCTTTTTAAGGTAGTTGAGGGAGAGGCAACTAACTCGTATGTGTGGTGGAAATAGAATAACATGTGACTGATTTCATTTGTGCTAATTCTTCGGTTGCCAATGGGTAATACTTTTAGTGCTATAAAGCAAATAAATGGAAGTTAAAATTTTGCGCTATTTTCACATATTAAAAGAAATTATGGCTTATTAAGAAATACATCAAATTTTGAATTTGCGCTGGTTAATTTCAGCCTGTATACGTCTTGGTATCTATCTCCTATTCAATTACATTTCTTCCCTGCGCAATTTGTTTTGTGGATATGTCAATCTGATCCGAGGCTGCACAAAATTACACAAAGTCACACTCTATCACGATTTCCTGACTGCCCCCTTGAATCTTCTCTTAAAGTATTCAGCTCTCTTAAAACTGTTTAGACTTACTCCTATAAATAAAATTTTACTAAGCCACTGTATTTTCTCTGCCGTTAAGAGATGACACGTCACCCCCTTGGTTTTTATGAGATAAGCACTCTTCACAACGTCTTTAATTCACTCCGGAATATATTTCCTTCTTTTTTCTTTTTTTTGTTTTCAAACACGGTATCATATTGTTGCTTCCTGGTACTATATGTGGTAATCACCGTATTCATATAGGGGGTGGTGCAGTGTGTAAAGCAATCCTATGGTTGTGTGTGTTAGACCAGCTGCATAACCCCAGGGCGGACTGCCAGAAAATAATCAATACAAAAATAAGGAATGCAGAAAAAAATAATGGAGGATTTAGAACAAGAAGGAGAGCTATTTACGAAATTTCATTCCGGATATAATGAAAACGGGCATATGATAAAGTACCTAAACACGAGATCATACCACCCTGCAAGTGATAAAAAAAAGGAGTAAATTCCATAATATGGAAATGTGAACGGTGGCTCGTGTGGCAGAATATACGCCAATTCAATTCTGGAACATATTACAATAATTAGCATTTCCGTTGCCACGGTGATTCTGTATGGAATATTTTATGTGGGGTAACTGATAATTAATTAAACTTTCAAAATAATTGTATAATTTCTTTCTGTAGGGTTTCTTAAAATAGATCTGGGAAATCTTTGTGTCAAGATCCTGACTAATATATGGCACCTCTTGGCATGACACACATCTTAGCGAGCGATTTGGCAGTAACTGAATTTACTGTACAAGGGAAATGTCATACGAGTTTAAATGTGGGAGAAGAATCCACATGCACAAAACGGAATCCCTGATTTGTCTTTTATTGTTCTCAAACACACACACTAAATAAACGCCGATAAAACAATTTGCGAATATTGTCTGTGTTACCGTAATTAATTCCGTATCTTTAATTAAACCTATTGTGTAAGAGAAAAAACCAAGCATAGAAAAGAACTAGTTTAGGGAGTGTTCGGACAATGGCCCGAGATAAAAAAATAATCCCCTAAAGGCGGCTCTGTATCAAGATTAGGGAGGAGGGGAGACTGGATGGTCTGGCCAATGGAAAGTGCGGTGGCTTTATTAAGTGTTCGTAATTGACAAAGTGACTGCATTTCAGCAAAATTCTTATAAAATAAAAATTTCGTATAATTTTGGAGTACAAATCTTTTATTTTTTTAATAGCTGCAGCAAGTTTTTTTTTTTTTTCATATTTTTCATGGGGGATTTTTCTTGTACCAATCAAATAATGCCTCAGCTGCAATGAACACTCCCTAATCAGCTTTATTGGGAAATTTTAACCTAAAGGACAATGGTAATGGGGGGTGGAACAATGAATTTTAGATTTGCTGGCCTGACATGATGCAAAGAGGACATAGTTGCAACTTCGTAAATGAAAAATGGTATATAATAGTTACGAAATGCAACAAGTTTCTCCCTTGTCTCACATACTCTTGTGAAACAGCTCAACTTTTACTACCAAGATAGCTATTTATTCATCTCAACTTTTTTTAGCCATGACTCCGAATGAACTTGGATACTTGATTTCTTCAATCAAGGATAAAGACGCCGAATTTTTTGAAACTGACAAAGTGTCATTAAAGGGATATCTTAATTTCCAAGATTGGAGAGATAATTTTATTGCTAAGTGTAACCAAGTTGGATTACACATTGATGAAAGCTTACTCTTTGATGATGACGTGGACCAAGGTTTACGTGACGAGGCCACTTCTGTCGTTGATGAGTTTGTTCAAACTGGAATTGAAAAGACAGTTCCTGTTAAATGGAGAGCAGTACTTGATCAAGACAAAAAAGGTATTGATAACTATCATCAAATAGTTGACAAATATGGCATTGAAATCAATTTGGAATCTGCAGTAGACATTCTTGGTGAATTCTTAACTAGACCTATTCCTGGAGATGAAGCTCTGGCTTTCTGGAATAATATTGTGAGCAAATTTGACATTAAAGAATTAGGTGGTTTACTCTACTTGGCCAACATTGATAAGGATAAGCGTCAACAGATTCTCAACAAACATCGTGAGCATAACCAACAATTCTCTATTGAAGCTGTTGAAGAATATTGTAAGGAATTGAATATTGAATTGCCTAAAAGTGTTAAATTTACCATGACCAACCTTCTTACTATTGACACTAAATTGTCTAAAAATTCTTCTTCTCAACTTACACCACCAGACAGTCCAACCAAAAGAACTCGTTCCCATCAATTGACTCCTAGAAGAAATAATGGTAGGAGAAGCAAGTGCAGATACTGTGGGGCTCTTGGACATTACATTGATGAATGTCGTAAGTTGAAGGCTGCTGAAGAGAAAAGGAAACAAGCTCAAGTTGCTTGAATGAACATTCTATTTTTATTAAAGCTGGTCTTATATATTTTACTTCTTATTCTTCGTATAATTCTATTTTTCGGTTCATATGGCATTTTTAACTTTTTTTTTTTTATAGCAATCCTAGGTATATAAATAGAAATATCAAAAAAAAAGCATCTATTAGATTATGGTTGTAAGTAATAATTAGTTCCAATTGATGGTATTTTACTGTGCAAGCATTATGAGAATAAATGTTGAAAATTAAAGATATAAATCTATATATGGGTGCAAATTTGTTCCCAAAAATTGTTGAAAATCCTTCAAAATATAAATCCCCTGATTACAAGGTTATTAAGCCGTCTGAAGAACTACCAAGCCTCTTCACAGCTAAATAAAACTAATCACATACGATCACAACTGGTAACCACCTTTACAGCTGTGAAATGTGGAACTATAGTGGGTAAATCTTGCAACTTTCCGTAATAGGAAAAAATTATATCCGAAAACATATTCAAAATTTAAATGATTTGGTCATGATTAAATCACGTGACTGAAACTTTTGCGGTTTTAAAGTTAAAAATTTTCAAAAAAAAAACAGGCAACTTGTCCGAGTGGTTAAGGAGAAAGATTAGAAATCTTTTGGGCTTTGCCCGCGCAGGTTCGAGTCCTGCAGTTGTCGTTATTTTTTTAAATTTTTTTTTAAAACACGTTTCAAGAGATTATTACAGCAAGTGAAAAGGATCTCACAAATTTAGGGAGAGCAAAGATCGATTAACTAAGTCATTTAGTTATTTTTTATGGGTTATGCAAAAACACCTAAAAGTTTAAGGTTTCCCCCCTTTACTTAATTGGTAATACAAGGGTTCACCAACATTTGTGAATCGAATGAGAATTTAAATCCACAGAGCAAGTATAATTTGTGATAAATAGGAGGTCACTAATTGGGCTGTGAATGACTGGATCACGCTCTCTAGTAATTAATTATTATACGATAAAGCCAACTATTATGTCACAAAAAATACACGGAAATATAAAACACAGTTCCATGCATGCTACTACGCCTCCGGCTCCACAAAAACAAGAATAATCACAATGGTTATATCGTCTGTCTATCTCGCATGATTGGAGTAAAATTGTCATCGACGTGAAATGACGGAGTTATCAAATTCATGCATAAACTCCATAACTAAACAAAAAAAAATGGGTACAGAAAATCACGTAATACTGTCACTAATTTTTTTTCTTTTGTATTGTATTATTGTTTTTCTGTATTTATTTTTGAGTGATGGCACCATCGGGAATTCTCCATTTGGGTCAGAGGAGCCTTGTGTATTTTTTTTTTTCTTTTGTCCCTTTAACTTTATACGGGGCAAAAGTAAGGCATGTTGTTTTCTAGTTTTATTTTTTTTGTTTAGCCTTTTGATCAATTTCACTCTACTTATCAACAATACAATACAAATTTCTTACCCCTCTTAGTAAGTTATACATAATCAAACAAAACGATTCAATTTACAGCAAATACGTTGTATGAACAATTAAACCAAATCGCATGCTACCAAAAGAAATGACACCCCCAACGGTATCAGCTGCACCTTTGGTGGCAGCCGCATCTAAGCCGGAATCAACAAGTACACCACCATCCAAATCAAACGAGAATAACGTTAGTTCAACTACCGAGACAGCCAATAACACCCTTCCACAGTCAGACAGTAAAGACAAGAAAGAAGAAACCACCAATGGGACATCGAAACGTAACCTTGATTTCCAGAAAATCAGAGAGATTTTAGAGGAAGAAACCAATACATTTCTAAAAGGAGTTAAAAACACCGATGTTGATTGGTTTATTAGAGACAATAGTGTGAACTATACTATTCAAATTCCACCAAGCACTCAAACATCTGATAAGAAGACTGATAAACCATCAACACCAGACAACCAGACTACTCCAGAGAAAAAAGTGGCCACTACTAATGGATCAACCAAGGAAGCACCCCCGTCACCCACTTTAGTAGTATCACCGCACTTGAACACAACAATTTCCAATACCAATGACAATTATGAAACAAAGACCAAGCCATCTATTGGTCCCATTCAAGAAGAAATGGCACTCCCATATGGGGTCAGTCAAATCGACCAACATCATAAGGAAAGTCAACTCCGTCACCAACGAGCAAGTACAGGAGACATTATGAAATCATCTAGACGAAGAAGTAGTGCCATTTCAACAACCAGTACTACCAGTACCAGCTCTACTTCTAGCAGTGGTCTTTTTTCTAAATTCAAATCCAAGTTCCATAAATTTAGTGAAGCTTCCCCTCCTAATTCTCCAACTACTTCGTCATATGCTTTACATACCCCACCACCAAGTGCCCCTGCTATTGCGCCATCACTTCTACCCCCTATGTCGCCTACAAAGAACCAAGCTGCATTATTTAAGAATGATTACGATTTAAGATTGAAAAAGAAGAATACCAATGCTAGTGCCACTTCAAACATCTCAATTACTGATGTATCCTCACCAAAGCGTACAGCATCAAAATCTGAAATCAGCAAAGCAGAAAAGAATGCCGCGTTGTCAAGCTCGCCAACTTCACATATATTTGGCACTGCTACCGATGATGATGATGATGACGATGGTGGCGCATCTGACCCGCGATTAGACGAATATATCAAATTTTATAAACAAAAAGATGTTCGTCGAGCATCAGTTTCGTCATCACGTGCAGGATCAGTCGATTCCGGGAAGTACCCTCCCGCATTAGTTAACGGATTTGAACATACTACTTACAATTCTACACCTTCTTCACCACCCAAGGAAACTACCTCGAAACTTTCCTCATTTCTTCGAAGAAAAACTGCAACTATTATTAACCCTCCATCTGTATCGTCAAGAAATGAATCTTCAAGTTCTTTAGTGAGTTCAACATCACTCCCTGTTCCTGCTCCTGCAATTTATGGTTTAGAATTAGATCCAAGTTTCAAAGGATTGAAGCCACTTAAACGTGTTGCGTTCCATTCAAGTACTTTCTTGATTGACCCACCTCAGCAAATTCCTCTGAGAACCCCAAGAAAGGGGAATGTTGAGTTATTACCTAATGGAAGTTATAAGATTCATCCGTTGACCGAAGAAGACAAATTGGCAATTGAAAAGAGTCAAATGGGATTAGGTGGGGGTATTGTGGTTGGAGGAACAGGTGCTTTAGGATATATCAAGAAGGATGAGAAGGATGAGAAGGAATCGGAAGAAGGAGAAGGTGAGAAGAAAGAAGACGAGGAGCACTCAGATGAAGATAACTCAGATGAAGAAACTGCAATTGATACTCGTGCCAAGTCGTTTAACATTGACAAACCTATGATCCCACATCAACCGCTTTTGAAATACAGTGTTCCTGTGGAAAAAATGGCCTTGGACACAATGTATTCTCGTTGTTGTCATTTACGTGAGATTTTACCGATTCCTGCCATTCTTAAACAGATTCCAAAATCGTCAATGACTCCATTACCTTTATTACAATTACGTAATCCGACACCAACCATGGTTGAAATTCAAACATTTGCAGATTTTGTGAGAATTGCTCCTATTATTTGTATTTCACTTGATGGGGTTAGTTTATCAGTTGAACAATTCAAGATTTTGTTAAGTGCAATGAGTGCCAAGAAACAGTTAGAGAAGTTGAGTTTAAGAAACACTCCTATTAATGAACAAGGTTGGTCATTGCTTTGTTGGTTCTTATCACGTAACAAAGTATTGAACAGGTTAGATATTACTCAATGTCCTAGCATTGCAGTTAATATTTTAAAGAAGAAACGGAAAAAGTCAAGTGACAAGAAGTATGATGAAGAAATTGAAAGAATGACTTGTAATATGGACAATAGGTCCGATATGGATTGGTCATTGTTTACTGCCACACTAGTCGCCAGAGGCGGAATTGAAGAATTGATCTTGACCGGTTGTTGTATTACTGATATTGCCATTTTTGAAAAATTAATCAAATTAGCAGTTCTGAAAAAGACAAGTAGATTAGGTCTTGCATTTAGTCAGCTAACACCAAGACACTTTAAGATTTTGGTTGACAATTGGATATTCCAACATTTTGCCCGTGGGTTAGATTTAGGATTTAATGATTTTTCCAATGTTTCCATGCTTAAGATAATTTTGGATTATTCGAAACGTCCTAATTTTGATAAGATTTTGGCTAACTCATCATTATCATTTTTAAGTTTGAATTCGACTAATAACACATTCACGGATATATTCAAAGAAGTATTTGAAACTATTTTATTGAAATTGCCAAATTTGAAATATCTTGATCTTTCCAACAATCAAAAGCTTTTTGGAACATTTGGTAAAGTTGAAGAAAATACTAGTAGTTTCCAAATCGATGATACTGAAATGACAAAGACTACAAGCATAAGCAGCACCGGTTCCAATAACACCAACAATGAAGCTTGCATTATTCATTATTTCACGTCGAAATTCCCATTATTTCCAAAACTTATTCGTCTTCATCTTGAAAATGAAAATTTCAGTCAAGCATCAATAGTTGCTATTGCTAAAGTGCTTCCATTCTGTAAGAACTTGGGATATTTTTCCATCTTGGGTAATAAGGTTGATTTAGTTGCTGCAAGTTGTTTAGTCAATGCAATCAAGAACTCCAAGACATTAATTAACGTTGATTGTAATATTGAGTTATTCCCTGAATTATTTAAAGAAAGAATTGGATTATATACCATGAGAAATATGGAACGTTTATTGTACGCAACTCAAAAGGTTCCTTCTATGGCTCAGAATGGTGAAAAGGAAGATGAATCATTGACAGAACAACTTAATGCTATCCTTGCTCTCAAGGCCCAACAAAAACTTGATTTGAAACTGGAACAAGTTACTCAGTTCTTATCTAGAGTCCAACTCATTCGTCATGAATTGAAAGAAACAATCGACGAATTACTTGGATTACAATTGAAGAATGGGTTAGATTTGGACGGTAAGGAGACATTAATAAGATTTATTTTCATTAAACAAAGTATTGAAAAGGGATTACTGTTGATTGATCCAAGTTTAACTGAAGATGATGCCAATGATGATGCCAAACATGATAATACCGTGAATTTGTCACACTCAGATGAGGAAGTTTCCATTAATGATGACCTTAATGGAAGACATTCGCCAATGAGATTATCAAGTAGGACCAGTTCAAGAACAAGCTTGAACAATTTGAACAAAGAAGAAGCATCAGTGTTGAGATTAAGTAAATTAACTCAATATCATAATTTAGAAGATGAGGAATACGCTGATATGAGTGGAGAACAATTACGTCAAAGAATGATGAGTGTTGAATTAAGTGACATGGATAAAATGATTGGATTCTTGGAAATGCTACGTGATAAAGGAATTACCTTGGAGAAATTGTTCAAGAAACATCAAGCCCATTTCAGACTGCAAACTCATGATTTATTAGATCTTGCTGAAGTTAGAAAGAAGTTGAAATCAATGATTGAATATGAGCAAGGCAGTGACGAGCAAAAGACAAACAAAGAAGAAACTGACGATGCAACTGAACCAGTCGAAGAGCCAATTATTTCAACCAACGAAATGAATGAGACGTATGATAAAGTGTTGAGTAGTTTTACGAAATAGAGATAGATTTTTTAATTCATGTTATACATTTTTTTATAGTTTATAATAATACATACATCATCTAGTATTCGTCCTCGGAGTCCATTCTCTTAATTTTAGCCTTTGTATCATACTCATCATCAGAATAAACATCATCACCTTCTCCAGCCTCACCTTCACCAGGTTCCCCACCTTGTTGATCAATTTCTTCAGCTAAATCTTCACATGCATCAATCCAATCGGAATATATGTCAACCGGTTGGGATAGGGAATGTATAGCGGTCTGGAAACTTTGTCCACAAATCTTACAGTGTAATTCTCCAAGCAAGTTTTTCTTATCTATAGTACAAATGACTGATTTTTCATGATTACAAAATAAACATGTGAATTGTGTATCAAGCGTTTGTTTGATTTTTTTGACCGGTTTCTTGGCCGAGGACTTTCTCTTTCCCATGGTCTGTAGTTGTAGGGTCCAAAAGGTATAGTTGTTGATATTCGTAAAATTTGATCTTCGCACTAATTTCAATATTTGCTGAAGAAAACACAGGTGGTAGCATAGGTGTTCTACAAAGAGCAATTTTAAATACTATATTATTGTATGGTTTATATGTCTATATTTCCAGCCAATTATTGGTTTATCTGGATAAATTGAGTTCAATATAATAAAATCCCCTCCAAGCACTTTGTTCTATAAAATTGTGCATGTACAAAGTTTGCTTATTCTCTTGGTCTAAGCATCAGTTGAGCCTTCTTCTTTAATCTCATTTCCAATCTCATTTTCTCAAATTGCAATTTTTCAGCCTTAGTATCTAGGCTGGGACCTCCATGAACTTCTGTGGAAGCTCTTGATCCATTTGAATTAATTGAGGAAATGCTCGATCTTCCACTACTGGTATAGCTCATTGAAATTTTCAAATTAGGATTATACTTTGCATTCAATTTGTTTCCGTATTCATACAATTTCAAATCATCATTTCTATATTCATACAATTTGAATGAGTCCTTGTATAAATTGTTTATGAAATCTGCAGGATTATGAGTGATTTTTCCTGTAGGGTAGTGAAGGAGTAACGAAAGACATTCACTGAAATCACTAGCTATAAGGTCGGTTTTAATCTGGATTAGAAGTTGGATAATCATGAATAAGACGAGATCAGGCATTATGGCCGGAGATGCAACTAGCTTATCCCATAATGACGCGGTGGTTTCTAAATCTATAATCTCACGTAAAAGAACAAGCCGCAAATATCTGATTATCCATAGTTGAGACTCAAGTTTAAGTTTCGCAGTCAAGTTATAATGAATAAACTGGTCAATTTTCATAAGTTTAATATTGAAATCATCAATGGTAGTTAATAAATTTGATTCATTCTCATAGAACTTGGCAAAAGCGCCCGATTTCATCAAGAATGCATTCAAGATAGTGAACAAATCATGCAGAAGGTAGTTCAGATCGTAGAGCTTGAGGATTTTCAAATCATCCACAGAAATTGTATTTGTTTGCGGAATAGGTATAGACTCCTTGTATAACAGATGGTAGATTAACCCTAAAATTTCATGAATTCCCTGCTTATAGCCTAAATTACATTTTGACCAAACATACAAGATTTCAATGAGTTGTCTCTTAACTGAAAGTGAATGGGGTTGGTTTGGTTGAAAAAAGTCTTCACCAGGGAATAGTCGGTCGATATCAAGAATAATTGCCTCAAGTAGTTCAATGTCTTGTTCTGTAGGAGTAACTTCACTAGGCAGGGGGGTTGAACTTCTACTGGTAGACAAGGGATCATCATTAGCCCTTACTCTGGCCAAGGAGTTCTTTACTGAAGATTGTCTCTGCGGTATTTGTCTAACTGAACCTGATTGAGAATGGGTTCTTCGAAGGGTTCTGTGGGTCAGCTCTTCTTTAGTTTTATAAAAATAATGGTCACAAGATAATTCCCACCATGGCACTTGCATATCGCCACGTTTGGTCAATTGATGATATACAACGCGAGAATCGTGTAATCTTGATTCCCATTCGTTTATATTCAAACTGTTTGTAATCAAACATACTTTCCAAACAAGCGTTCGTGTAAAAAATGGTGTTTGAGAAGTGTAGTCGCCATTAACAATGCCAGATTTGAAAGTCTCTAGATTCCCTTTAGTCTTGTTTATGGTTAGAAGAACATGCTGAATTATTTCATTCTCCTTTAGCATGTTCAATGTTCTATTCTATATGCATCAAATGTGTCAAAGTTTACAACCAAGTTTCAGCTATAGTTGTCTCAGGAAAAAACAAAAAACAAAAAAAACAGTGATCTGAAATATTTTAACCATAACAAAAATACTAGGAACTATAAAATGACTTCACGTGAAGAACTTTCTAATGAAGAGCTTTCTGCTAAGCTCACAGAATTATCAGAATGGGAGAATCAGATGTCCCACACTGAAAAGCAGCTTGAAATTACAAGGTTAAAGAAAGTGCATCCATTGTATGAAAAACGAAGAGAAATTTTGAAAAGTATTCCAAAATTTTGGTATATCGTGCTTGCTGAAGGTGATGAATTTGTAGAATATGTCAATTTGGATGATTTGAAGTATATAGAGTTCATTGATGATATTTACGTGTATTATCCAATTGCTGATACTGATGTGAGCGAAGACAACTTTAAAGATTTTTCAATTACTATTAGCTTTGCCGAGAGTGAATTAATTCCTAAACAAACCGTGACTAAACATTTCAAGACTATATTTGGGGAAGAAGGAGAAAAGATAACATCAGAACCAGTAGATATAATCTGGCCTACGGATATTGAAGATCTTAACCCCAGGGCAATAAAGCAAAAGAATAAAGGTAAACAATTGTCTACTGAAGATAAGAAGAATTATCGTGCTGGTATGAGATCATTTTTTGCATGGTTTCAATGGACCGGAGAAAAGCCAGGTAAAGAGTTTAGAAACGGGGAAGATTTAACCAATTTGATTGTAGATGATTTGTATGTGAACGCTTTAAAGTATTATACCCTTGCCTTGGCTTCTGAAGAAGACGACTATGACGAGGAAGAAGAAGATTCTTCGGAAGGAGAAGAATTGGATTTAAGTGAGGATGAACCGAATGGTAAGAAAAGACCTTTGGAAGAAGAGACAGGAACAAGCAGTAAAAAGTCAAAGTAGATAACGTTTAATAAATGTCTGCCTAAATAAACACTTTTATTTTGTTTCAGCAACTAATCTTTGAATCACATGGAACCCTTCAAACATTTGTAAACCATACCATGCCAATCTTTGCTTTAACGGAGTACGATACTTTTTTAAATAATTTCTAGTAAAGAAGGTGATTTCCCCGACATGAATTGCAAACAATCCAAGAGCAATCTTCAAGGAATAAACCTCAAATTTCTTATAATATGGTAATTCCACAACACTTTTCAACAATGGAAGACTTCTAAGTAAATTTGGATTGAAGATATTAAGAAACAAAACAACCCACAAGAAAAATGTAGGGCCACTGGCTAAAGTTGGTGGCGTAACTTTTGTCAACTTTTTGACAGCAAACCCTTGTTCTTTAGCACAATATTTTGCCATAGCAATCAATTTCGCCTTGATGTCTTTCATTTGTTCAACAGGTACATGTTCGTCTTCAAGGGCGTCATCCCAATAAATTGCAAATGACTTGGAAGTTTCTTCTGACTTTAAATTATATTCAATAACCAACTGTTTATCATCAACCTTGACGATTTTCACGGATTTCTCGAGCAAATTATCTGGTTTAACTTCGGCATATACAGCTAGATAATCAATTAACGCCAACTGATGGTCTGCATTCATATGGCTTATTATACGTTCTGACAGCATTATTCCTCACAAAGCCTCTTTGTTGAACTTTGAATGGAAAAAAATACAATATGAAGAAGGAATTTGAATTAAATATGGAACTTCATATGATTATATCATGTCGTGCATAGCTCAATTCCGGATTAGGTTATTCATTATAGCGAATTACCAGGAGAGCAAGAATTACCAAGAAAAAACTAACTCCGAACTTTCCTGGAGAGGCGGAGCTTGAAAACAAAAAGTTTTACCACACATTATGGAACAGTTTCTGCCAGTCATACTACTCTCCACCAAAAAAAAAAAAAGCAATCCTATTTGGTGAATAATCTGACGCAAGCGTATATAGGCAAACTTATGATAAAAATATGTTACATAATTTCCGATAACAAAGTTTATCTGATGTTGTATCAGGTGATTCGCCTTACAATGCGGGTAGCCAAAAATGGAACTGGAGACCAACGGAAAAAAACCCCAGCGGAAAAAAACCTATCAAACTATAAATTCCGATGTAAATTTCCAATTTACGTAAATGCACCATCGCACTAAAAGTCATCACAGTTCCTTTAAATATTTCCAACACATTACACCTTCCATTTGATAATATTCACTACTTTTTATGTTACATTCAGTTATTAATAGTCAACCACTGCTGCCTTCACCACAAAATGGAGCCATACACCACAAGAAAGTACTACCTAGAGATGAAGATGTAAAATTATCCCATATAAAGCAAGAACGGATGCGCAGTCCTGTGCCGGATTTTGCCATGTCACATTTCCTTAACGATGAAATAAGTTACTTATATTGGTTTCAAGACATTGAAGAAAATTTGCAATTGTATCCTCAATTTAATCCATATTTTGTCCTTGATAAAATCCCCCTACTGGGATACACTTTGGATTATCAAGATAAAGTAAAGAAAGCCACTGCTAAATGCATAGAAAATCCCGACGTTAATCAATATTTGAATTTTCAATTGTACAATTCTATAAACCAATCATTACATTATTTAGTGGGGGATAAAACCTTTATTGAAAATTTTGAGGCAATAAAGTTTCACTTTCACCAAACAATAAACCCATTCTACTTGATGACATTAGAACACCAATTAAGTTTTGATTTGAATAACATATTGAAATTTTTGACGGATTTAGATAATTTGACAAAAGTATACACACTCACATTCCAAAGACCTCCAACTAATGAATTGAAATTGGAGTGGATTATGAGATGCTTGAATCATTATAGTGACATATCACGAGAGATCCAATTGAACTGGGAACAGATTAATAAAGATCCAATATTGATTAGAAGGATTTTGACGAAATATGCCAATTCAAGGATGAAACTTAGGAAACGGATTTAAACTGTATTATTTAGGGAATTTTTTATAGATGTTAGTAATGTACAATTATATTGACAATTGGTGCGAGTACTAACCAGCCATTCTAGGAAATACCAAAAATAACTTCATTGCATTCCACAACAGAGCAAAAAATGCTGGGGTTACCCCAATATTTTCAAGGCTTCACAATTTCTTTTTGGAAACTAGGTGTTTCTCCTGAAACTTGGTGACCCACTTTATCAAAAGCAAAAACAAATGAGGAGGATATATTGTAAAGCTTTATTAAGGGGCAAAAAATATTGCAACATTAGGATATGTTCTACAATTGGAGTAAAAATTTTTTTTGCCTTTACTTCTTGATGAATACTATGACCTCCAAAGTTATTTTCTTATACCCTGGGACACTCACATATATAGATAAGATAACATAACAACCAGTTTTCACTAACCATCGGATTTATGTCAAGGTTTTTTTTCGCACCTAAAATTTTTGCCATGTTAAGCACGTCACCACAACACAAAAAAAGAATTTTTAACAATATGATCTACAGTAAATTACACAATACCACATATTAAAATCCACAAAAAAAAAGAAGTGATTCCGCCCAGGATCGAACTGGGGACGTTCTGCGTGTTAAGCAGATGCCATAACCAACTAGACCACGGAACCAGCTGATATTTTTTCCGGACGGGGTTGAGTTTGTCGTATTGACTTGAATTAAAAAATTATTCACATATAGAAGTTGGCAAATAATAAACTTTGAAAACCTCCTTTGTGAAATTTAGACAGATCTAACTATAGTGGAAGAACTCAAGAATGAAAATAGGTAGAGAAGAATTAAGAATTCTATTTTTTTATGCTTGTGAAATTTGATCAAATTTTCAAAACTTTTTTGCAATAATTTTGTAAAATATGAAGTACTCTTCGTAGTAAAAATAATAATTACACAACTTTTGTATTCACCTAGCTTAAGAACAATAATATCGACGATATACAAAGCATTTCATACTCATGGAATAACTTCATTTGTTCTTGAACTATTGCCTTAAAAATAAAATACTTGCTGAAAGCATATTCATAAGTATTAGACTCAACATTAGTAACACCACGCAAAGGATACTCCAGTTCGCACAAATAACTTTTTGTCCATCCTTTCCAACATACATACAATAACTAATTATATTAGAATCTAAACTTTGTTTCCCAACTCCAAAAAAAATTAATTCTTGAATAGTATTATAACTATTCTATAAAGTAGTAAATTCAAAAAAAAAGATTGATTCCGCCCAGGATCGAACTGGGGACGTTCTGCGTGTTAAGCAGATGCCATAACCAACTAGACCACGCAACCAATTTATATTTTCAAAAAATTAGAACTTTTAAAACACCTATTATTATGAAAATTTTTTAATGACCCTGCATACAAGAGACATCTCAACGGTTTCTGAGATCCGGAAAAAAATATTTACGAAAGTTTCTTTTGTCTTATTTACGGTATTTTTGCAGTTGCAAGAATTGTATTTTGAATTCCGGGGGGTTAAAGTGATAATTACGTGCATTTAGATGAAGGTACTGTCACAGTCTCCAGAAGTTACGTTTTAAGTGAATCGACTTCTAATTTTGTATATTTATATCCACTGCATAATTCAATCAATTCTTACAAACTTCGAGTTCCAAGATGATCTTTCCGAAACTCTTGGATGTGAGTATCGACCAATGAAATGAGACCAGCCCAGTCAAGGATAGAAGGGATAGGAATAGATCCCGGACCGTTATTAATAATATCCTCGATTTGTTCTCTAGAATACCTACATTTAATGATTATTAAAGATGGGGTTTCTCCAACTTGTTCTGGATCATATTTCTCTTCATGATATTCAAACGGATGGGCAGGACAATTATTAAGTAGGGTTTCCAAAAATTTAATCCTCGTATTGCTTAACTTTCTATAAGTAATCGTATTTTGTCTCCCTGGAAATGCACGTTTATTAAATTTAATTATCCTTTCAATGCCGGATATGTCAATATTGGATCCTGAATTAGAAGCTTTCCTAAAGAAAGAATTATTTCGAGCTTGTTGAATCACAAATATAACATCTTCTTCAGTTAAGTTTGTGGTTTGGAACTGCTGACACAATTGTGACCATTTTGTTGTAATTTCAAAGTAACCGCCAAAAGGATCAGATTCCTTAGTACCACCATGTTGTATGACTGTAATTTCAGTCGGATTGGGTTGTGTTAATGAAGGAGAATCGGATGGTTGTGAGTTGGAATACCCCAAAGAGTCAATTGATGTTGTTTTATCTGAGCCGGTGGATGATTTCCTTGGGTTTTCTTGACCTTCAATTTGTTTACTTTTCGAATCTTGAGTTCTTCTACCAAAATGCTTTCCAAATCCATTCTCAAATCTTGTTCTGGTATCTTCTATTACTTGATTCCAGGTAACGAAAGCCTTATTCTCACCTTTGCTTAGTCTACGCATTGTTTAGGACAATATGTGCTTAAGATCTGGCGTTTAATGAGCAAAGAACTACCAAAAGGGGAAAAATTTTTTTGCAACCCGTTTATTTACTACTCTAGCCTATAATACAAACACTCAATATTACATGTATTTATCTTGAAGAATGTCTGCGGAAACTAGCAGAGATATGTAACAATCATCAAGGAAAGATCTATCTAAATTCTATTATCGATAGTGTCTTAGAAAGTTGGTAAAAACCAGTCAACCAATAACTTCAAATCAATGAAAGACGCAGTATATTACTTCACAGAAGTGTAACCCGAGTACAATTCTTGTTTTACCACCTCAAAGTAGCAAATCCACCAACTAAGTTGGTTTATGTTGCATATTAAAAATGTCTTCTTGTATTATTAGTCAAAAGTATACTATACCAACTTTTGAAAGGCTTCTCGCACCTTTCGTAAGGCAACCTCAAATCGATTACGATTGAATTCATTCAGCAAAGACTTAACCACATCGTCTTCTAATTGAGGGATTGTATCCTCTATACTATAAGCCTGATCTATCCTCAATTTGAAGGAAAATTCCCTTTCATATTCATTGGGATCTATGCTTGTAAATATAAATTGAATCAAGGTTTCTTCCAAGGCATCAAACTTCAATCCAGTATATCTTTCATAATCGGATATTTGATTCGGAATCCATGCTAATTGGGCTTCTAACTTTTTGTTTATTTCTGTGAGTTGTGTTTCTCTCTCATTAATCAGTGACTTCAATTTGTTAATCTCCAATTCTAGCTCATTCTTAGAATCCAGTAATTCCTTCTTTTTCTTTAATAACTCATCCACTTTTCTACGTTGAGTATATAATGATTCCACGGACAGTTCTAACACGTTACGCTGTTTTGCCTCCTCTTGTTCAATGGCTGATTTTTTAATCAGAAGCTCTCTTGAATGGGCTCTCAATTCCTCTATAAGTTTGATATGTGCCTGCCTTTCCTGTTGTAATTTAGATTGGTTGGAACTCACCTTCCTCTCAAGGTGGGAACTGTAGTCTTCAGCAATTCGTTGAAGTTGTTGCAAATCAATGAGATCATTAAATCTATTAGTGGACAAGGTAGACATAGTAATGCAATGTAGTATAGGTTCTTATCTGTGTTGTCTAATAAAATTTGTTAAATGGAGTTAGTGTTTTGTTTTGTTGTTGATGTTTTGGTTTTGCGGTGTTAAATTTAAATCCGAGGGCGGATGACCAAAGCCAATTCGTAAGCACAAAAAAATAACAAAAAAAAAGAAAAGCGCGCAGATCGTCAGCCCGGCTTTTCCTTTTTGCGTGAGGTTTTTGTCTGTGGTATAAAATAACTAAAGATTCCTCTCACGTTTTTATCTATTTCAATTAGTAAGTATACCCGATAAAGATTTAGAAGAACTTTTAGTTTATATTTAGTACCACTCGCCCCATAACCGTTTAGAGCTTGAAACATAGCATATTTACAACTATAACCAAAATATATAGTGGAAGAAACAAAATATTTACTTCATACACTTATGAGTACTACCACACTTACAAATGAAAAGACAACTCCAAGTAGTCCCACAGTCAAACTCTTGACCTTCAACACATGGGGGTTGAAATACATTTCAAGACACAGAACCGAAAGAATGCAAGCCATTGCCAATAAGTTGGCTAACCCTACTTCTCCGGATGACGATTATGATATAGTTGCTTTGCAAGAAATTTGGTGCGAAGACGACTGGGAATGTATCCAACAAGCTTGCAAAGACAGATATCCTTACCGTAGAGCATTCAAATCAGGAATAGTGTCTGGTCCAGGTTTAGCAGTTTTATCCAAAATTCCAATAGCAGAAACTTTTCTTTATAGATTCCCAATTAATGGCCGTCCTTCAGCATTCTTCAGAGGTGATTGGTTTGTTGGAAAAGGTGTTGCTGTCACCTTATTTAAATCTCATGATGGAAAGGCTTTACCTATTGCCCTTTTGAACTCACACATGCATGCTCCTTATGCTACCAATGGTGATGCTAGCTATTCAACCCATCGTGCTTGCCAAGCTTGGGATTTCACTAAACTTGTTAAGATGTTGAAACAAGCTAGATATGCCGTGATTCAAGTTGGTGATTTAAATTCCAAACCAGGATCATTACCTTACAAATTATTTACTATCGAAGGAGGCTTATCGGATTCTTGGAATCTTGTCCACGAACAAAGGTACGAGGATAACCTTATAGAATTATCACCTCATGATCAAGTATTGCATGCTGGAATAACTTGTAATTCTAGATTGAATTCCTACAGACAAAAGTCTGAGCCATGGCAAGCATGCAGATTGGATTATGCCTTGATTGATTCTAATAACATCACACCTATCAAAGCCTCCGTGAAATTTACTGAAAGATTACCAGCACCTCTTGATTGTTCATATTCCGATCATTTTGCATACAGTACCGAATTTACAATTAATAGTAAAGATGAATTTGCCCCTGCATCTTATGAAGATCAACAAATCACTCTTGATGCCAAGGAACTGATTTATCGAGAATTATTAGCTGAGGTTAGCGAATACCGTCAATTTACCATCCCATTCCAAGCCACGTGGAGAAAAGTACATTTTTTCCTTTCTTTAATTATAACAATTGCATTACACGTTGGTGTATACTTTGTTTCCAGTGTAGCTGGTTGGATACCAGTGATTTTCCTCCTTGTTACGGTCGTGGTCATTCTTAGTGGAACTATTAATGGGTTAATTTGGTATTGTGGTGTTAGACCAGAACTGAGAGCACTACAAGAAGTTCAAATGGAGGTTGAAGATGCGTACACTTGTCTCAAGCGTCAATGAAGAAGGGAGACCTTTTAATATTTATTTGTTTTATGTTTTTTTTTGTTTGTTTTATGACTTTTGCTTTTCAGCACAGGCTTTCATGCCTTTAATCACTAATACTTAATACTTAATTAGATTTAATTTTAATGAATAATACTATTTTAACAACTATTATAGTTAGATTAGAAAAGACAATCTAATGGAATAGTATTTCCATTAGAAGAGCAGCTGAGCTTCTCTGGTTATCGAATAATGTACTTTGTTATTAATCAAACAGGAAATTTTATTCACGTTCCTTGGATTTCGGGGCATAATTTAGAAAATGAAAAATAGCAATGGCTTAGCAAAGCATACAGAAAAGAGATAAAAACGAGAAACTATTTACACATGCACCTTTTATTTTGGTATTGACAACAAACAATGAGTTGAACTCCTAATTAGGTTATTCACGACAAATACAAAACCCCAAAAAAGGACGACAACTAATATCCCGAAACTCACAAGCTGGTATGTTAAACATGGCAAAAACTCACTAATATAAATTGGCTCTGTGGCCGAGTGGTTAAGGCGGTAGACTCAAGTTCTACTATCGTAAAGATGCACGCGTTCGAACCGCGTCGGAGTCATTATTTTTTGCTATTTTTATAACATTTCCTAAAGATACAATGCTATGGGAATTGTTTTGGAGTGAAAGACATGGATATTTGTTTATTGATTGCTCCATTTCATTTTTAAAGCAAGATTAAGTTTCGTAAAAATATTACGATGCTTATTTTTTTCTGGTCATGCATTATCGGTTATTCATTGTCGTCGTACCACTTTTGAACGATGAACGACATAATGGTAGCAGTAAAATTGCAACTTAAATATAACTTTGTTGAATTAAACTAGATAAGCAAGAGTTCAAGTTGTTAGCATCATGAAAATTAAAAGAATAAAACTCAATAAATAGACCCACAAGTAAAACAAGTCAAAAAACATAGTAAAAGAATTCAAACTTAAATAAAGCGAACAAATAGTTGTAGCAACTCCTAAATGTAATTAGAACAGGAATGATAACACATTAACCACAACCAAGAAACTGATGTGTTAGGAAAATATTATAAACCAATTGTGTCTATCATTGTTTGTGGATTTCTGTCTTTAAAGTGTTTAAATTGTAAATATCCACCACTTGTCTGAAGTTGAAGAAAGTTTCATTTCTAATTTCCAACTTATGGACATTGGTATTCACTTTCTTTTAAACAGAATGATTCAAATGAAGATCATTTAGACGCCCTATTTACGTTTTTGGGTTAAATTTATATCAAAATAGCTTTTATTTGAGTTTCTTTCATGATTATTCTTGCTGGTTATGTATGATTAAACCTAGTCAAACGATTTCAGATAATGAAATAGATGATTACATGTTTAAATTTATTCATCAGAGGTTTGAAAAACAATTATAGTAACTTACATTAAATTACTTTGAATTAAACAATAAATATGAACTAATTACAAAACAATATTAATTAGAACATTTGAAAACAAAAAACAACAGACTGGCCATATCAAATAAATATATTTCAAACCATAAGATTCAACTAGAATATTAAAACAATCAAATTAAACACACAAGCAAAAACAGCAACTAAACTAGATACGGTTGAAGGTGAAGGATTACCAGATTCAATTGAACTAATAGATGGTGTTTCTGATGGTACCCCTCTACTCCCTCCTCTTTCTGCCCTACTTTCCGAGGATTCAGTATCAGATCTTCCAGAGGCAGATCCTTTTTCGCTTCCAATTGCCGCACCATCACCCGCAGTAGCCTTGTTGTCATCACTCGTTGCAGCCAGAGACTGGCCAATGTTACCATTACTCACGGGATGATATTCAATCAAAGTATCAGGAGCTCCAGCTCTACCAGACTGAGTTCTGAATGAAATACTCTTGCCATCATAGGTACTAGTAGCAGTAACAACTGAGCTTGGAACCTGTACAATTACAGTCTTTGCCGAATCAACCTTGGAATCAAAAGGTAAAGTGGCCACTTTTGTAGTCAGACCAGAGTATCTCCTCGTTTGAGTAACAATTCCAGGAGCACCGCCGGGAGCACCACCGGGACTACCAGCACCACCGGGAGCAGCACCAGCAGCACCAGCACCAGCACCAGCACCACCAGCACCAGCAGCAGGAGCTACCAGAGACCTATCCGTTGGTCGAGAAATATACTCAGTAACCCTGGCAGTTGAACCAGGTCCTGCAATCTGAGTCCTGTACGAGGTACCTTTTCCATTATAAGTAGTCGTCACAGTAATAGTAGGAACTGGCACATTCACAACAACAGTCTTGGATTTATCAGCACCAGATTTAAATGGCAATGTCGACATCCCAGTACTTCTTCCATTGTAGGTTCTAGTCACAGTTCTTGTGCCAGGTTGTCTTCCCGACGTACCACCTGTTCCTGGTCTGGGAACGTATTCAGTAACAGTTGCAGTTGACCCAGGTCCCACAGTTACAGTTTTGTAAGAAGTGCTTGGTCCATTGTACGTACTGGTAATAGTCACAGTTGGAACCGGAACTTCGACAACGACAGTGACAGTTTCATCAACACCAGTATTAAATGGCGACATAGTAATTCTCGTAGTCAGACCAGATAATGTTCTTGTCTCAGTAATTGTAACTGTTGGACGTCCTATTGGAGTAACAAATACAGCTCCGGATTGATATTCAATAACAGTGGCAGTCTGTCCAGGACCAGTAAACACAGTACTATAAGAAATATTCTTGCCATCGTATGTACTTGTTACTGTCACAATAGGAATTGGAACTTGAACAACAACGGTTATAGTTTCATCCACCTCAGGGTTAAATGGTAATGTCGTAGTTTGAGTGAACAAACCAGTCCAGGTTCTCGTTTCAGTTACATAGTCAAGGGAGCGAGGTTTAGGTTCAGTGGATTCAACAGGTCCTTCCGTTGGTTCGCCAGGGACAAGTTCAATAACAGTGACAGTCCCTCCAGGAGTAGCAGGTAACGTAGTATACGAAGTAATAGTGCCATCGTAAGTACTGGTGATAATAACCGTGGGAATGGGAATCAACTCAACGACAGTGACAGTTTCGTCGACTTCAGGATCATATGACAAGGTAGTGGTTTGAGTATCAGTGCCGGTCCATGTACTTGTTTCAGTAGTGGTACCAAGAGAGCGTAGCTCAGTTGATTTTGTACCGGGGACAAGTTCAATAACAGTGGCAGTTTCACCAGGACCAGCAGTAACAGTAGTGTAAGAAGTAGTGGTTCCAGTATAAGTGCTAGTAACAGTAACCGTGGGAATGGGAACTAACTCAACGACAGTGACAGTTTCGTCGACCTCAGGATCATATGGCAAGGTAGTGGTTTGAATGTCAGTGCCAGTCCATGTACTTGTTTCAGTTACAGTAGTGGCGGTAAGGCCAGGAACAAATTCAATAATAGTAGCAGTCTTACCAGGTTCAGCCGTAACAGTAGTGTAGGATGTCGTTGTGCCGAGATACATAGTGGTCAGGGTGACAGTAGGAATGGGAACTAGCTCGACAACCGTAATAGTCTCATCAACTTCAGGTTCATATGGTAACGTGGTTGTCTGTGTATCAGTACCAGTCCATGTACTAGTTTCAGTAATGGTAGTGGTAGTAATACCAGGAACAAGTTCAATAATCGTAGCAGTTTCACCAGGAGTAGCAGTCACCGTAGTGTAAGAAGTTACAGTACCATCATATGTCGTGGTTACTGTGACAGTGGGGATTGGCACTTGAACAATAATAGTGATAGTGTGGTCAACACTTGTCTCGTATGATACTGTAGTTACTGTAGTGACCAGACCAGTGTAAGTCGAAGTAACAACTTCAACATTCTCAGCGGGCAAAGGATTAGTGTTATTATATTCTCCGAAGCCAAAACCGGACCATGTTTTCATAAAATCACCACATTGATATAAAGTTTCCACACCCACAAACGTGGGAAATCCATTTGGCATTTTCGCATATATAGATATAAATGGGTCATATCCCTCTCTGAAAGGAAAATGTGCAGTATACTCCCATTCTGAACAATTCTTGTTGTATGAAATATTATCATGATCGATAGGATATTGCCAATCATTGAGTAAGTTAGTCATTCCAGCGTCAGCCGTGTCACAAATAAATTTTGCTTTATCTGAATAAGGTAGTGTAAGAGTTAGTTCTATCCAACCACATCCCCAATACCCTTCTGCCGGCCATAGCATGTATATTTGTAGTTTATCAACTATGGTTGAGATTCGAACTCGTCCGTACAGGGGATCTTGAATGGGATCTTTAAAGTCTGCATCAGCCGAAAGAACATTGTGCCCGTCTGTGAATGAAATAGTGTTGATACCAGTATGAAACATAGATGCGCAAATCAAGTCCGTATCTGCTTTAGACATACCGACATTAAACACCATTGGAACTTCCAAAGAGCCAGTAACCTGGGTCAGACCTTCAACTTTATCCAGTAAAGTACATTGCAATTCAGAATATGGCACAATGTCCTCACCAGGATTTAGAATACAGGTAGCATAAGTGGTATTAAGTCCGGTAGTTGGGTCAGTTATTAACAAGTCAAGACTAGGTTCAGAAATTACAAAGTTGAAAACACAAGGCATGGTCAATGTAAAGGTATCCCCAGCTTTCATTGTAGACCCGTCAATTTCCCAATTTAAAGTTGCTAACCAGGTGGGCCTAGCAGGCGGAGGGATTTTTTCCCTTCCGTCACCAGGAACTAGCTCACCTGGATCCCACACCAAGGAATCAAATGAAGTAAACACTCCACTAATTTCTCGGGAAAAAACAGTAGTTAACCAAATCGTCAATAATAGTAGCACAGAAATCATCTTATGTTTAGCTGATTATTTCAGTATATGTTTATCCTTGATGGAGTCAACTCGCCCTCCTTTTATATTAGATTGGCTCCAAATGTAACATTTTAAGTACGGGATACTCCTCAGGAGCTCATCTGCAGCCAAAGCATTTTCTTAAACAAAAGCAATGGTTATGTCTAAACTTCTGCATGATTAAGAACGTTTGTTCTTGTAATAACTAGCGACTTTAAACTTCAAGCTCAAACCGGAGCATTGAATTCCACAGTTAGTATTGCAATGCTAATAAAAAATGGGACCTCTTGTTAATTCGCAGTTCTACAATTTTCCAATCCTTGTTTAACTAGCTAATAACTTGATAAGGCAATTTCAGCCAATATCCAATATACTGAACCTAAAGGGAGTTAAACTTGTTGATTATAGCTGCTTGAGGGAACCAGGGTAATTTTTTGCAATGCATGACATTTCAAGCTTATCATTCGTTATCTCAATCTTTACGGGAAAGAAACTTTGACAATTGCTGGGGCCACTAACACTTTAATTATAATTGAAAACAAACTGGAGTTTTCCCAATTAATGAGTGACATCCGGGCTCAGGACCATGTATTTATGTTTTAGAACCTTTCTCTTGCTTTTCCCAACATTATGAAGAAGATACTTCATTTCAGTTTGTAACACTGTCCTGTAATAAAAATTGCACAATTTCCAATTATTGTTGTTGACTAATTATTCTTAAGAGATATAGGATTGGGGCTTATAACCTGTCAATTTTAATTACAGATTTTATCCTTGATGGTTATAATTAAATTAATATCTCATATTTGGCTGCATGAACTAAGGGATAAGCTGTAGAGTTTCTTTCATAAATCTCCCTACTCATAAAACACTTATTCATATCGGTTTGTAACACTTACATGTCATATATGATGCCATTTCACGTTACAGTTGCTAAATCTCTAATTTTATGAGTTGTATGGTCTTGAAATTTGCGGGGAGCTAATAACTCTTCAATTATAATTGAAACGAGAAGACTTTCTCTTCATGCAACAACGACTTACATTCGGCTTCAAAAACAGAAAGCTATAACTTCTTCTTCCTTAAACGTGTTGTCTATCTTTAACTATTTCATTTCAACTGTAATATTTTCAATTATATAAAATGACTGCACAAATAAGAGTGCTGAACTTTTTGATCAACCTTCAAGGACCTATAGCTATATAGACCCAGGTCGCGTTTCTTTATGATGCGAAATTGAGAACAAAAAAAAAAATAAAAAATTAACATGTCAAATGGTAGCACAAACTATATTTACCCGGCTCAAGGATTTTCTCAAAAAAATAACAATAAGAAAAAATAGTTACGTGTACCATAAGGAAAAGGCAACATCTGCTATATCGCATACACAGAATTTAGTTACACTAAATAACAGCAATGATATATCAATTAATAATAACCATCCTACTGTTAGGATATGCCTCAGCTATGTTTGATTTTTTCAATTTTAACCAGGGTGGTGGGGGCGGCGGTGGTCAGCAGGCCAGATCACCACAAGACAACGAAAATGTGCTCTTAAATACGAGATGTGAGAAATACTTGTGTCCAGACACTGGAGTCTGTGCCAAGTCTCCTAGATTCTGTCCTTGTCCATTCCCATCCTCGCAGTTGAAATGTCCTTTGCCTAATGGAAACTATATTTGTGTTTCAAAACCTGCTGGCGAAGAAATTGCTGATAAATATAGTGATCCAAATACAAACTGGAAGATTGATGCTAAGAACAATGATATACGAGATTGTGGATGGGTGAATCGAGCTTATAAAGGGCTTGTATAGTATGTGGGGGATGGTTTGAGAAAACAGATTTACACGTTCTAGCGATTTGAGATTGAAGGAGATCGGCTTAATACTAGATTCAAGTCAAAATAAAGAGTATGTTTTACCCATGTGCTGCCAGCACTTTACTAATTGATAAATATATAGAAGTTACCTAATAGCCTAACAATACTTATAGCATCTTTTTTTCTTTGCAAAGTCACGTGACGATAAGAATTTGTTCTTTTTTATGTGCCGCGTAATTTTTCACGATTGAGTCATTGAGGCTCTTGATAATAAAAATTGGAGAAACGGAAAAAAAAATAAGCAGATCTAATTAGAAATTTATTGGATGAAAAATTATTTGAAAATTTTTGATCAGATTTTCTTTTCTACTTTTAGTTTCCAAAAGGACCAATTACAAATGTTAAGAGCTAAAGTACCGCAGTTATTTACAGCTAGAGCTGCTAGCAGATCATTAGCCACTCAAGCTAGTGGAATATACGAAGTTCCCCAAGAATATCAATCAAGAACTCCACCTTATTCCAAATTGATTTCTAAATTGGATGCAGTGAGAAAAATTCTTGGAAATGACCAACCATTAACATTAGCAGAAAAGATTTTATATTCACATTTGGTAGACCCTGAAGAAAGCCTTGCTTCAAGTAATGGTAAAGTTTCCAATATCAGAGGATTACAATATTTGAAATTGAATCCTGACAGAGTAGCCATGCAAGATGCTTCCGCTCAAATGGCTCTTTTACAATTCATGACTTGTGGAATGAGTTCCACTGCTGTTCCTGCTTCTATTCATTGTGATCATTTAATTGTCGGTAAAGACGGTGCTGAACAAGATTTAGTAAAATCAGTCGCTACCAATAAGGAAGTGTTTGATTTCTTGCAAAGTTGTGGGGAAAAGTATGGTATTCAATTTTGGGGCCCAGGCTCAGGTATTATTCATCAAATTGTCTTGGAAAACTTCTCTGTTCCAGGGTTAATGATGTTGGGTACTGATTCCCATACTCCTAATGCCGGTGGGTTAGGTGCTATTGCCATTGGTGTAGGTGGTGCCGATGCGGTTGATGCATTAACTGGAACTCCATGGGAATTGAAAGCTCCAAAGATTTTGGGGGTTAAATTGACTGGTCAATTATCTGGTTGGAGTTCTCCAAAGGATGTTATCACTAAATTAGCTGGTTTATTAACCGTCAGAGGTGGTACTGGTTACATTGTTGAATATTTTGGTGAAGGTGTCAAGACCTTGTCATGTACTGGTATGGCTACCATTTGTAATATGGGTGCCGAAATTGGTGCCACCACTTCTACTTTCCCATATCAAGAAGCCCACAAGAGATATTTGATTGAAACCAAGAGAGGTCCAATTGCCCAAGCTGCTGATTCAGTCAATAACAGCTACGGTTTCTTACAAGCCGATAAGGGTGCTGAATATGATAAAGTTGTTGAAATCAACCTTTCTGAATTGGAACCTCATGTTAATGGTCCATTCACTCCAGATTTGTCTACTCCAATTTCTAAATTTGGAGAAACTGCCAAGAAGGAAGGATGGCCTGAACAAGTTTCTGCTGGTTTAATTGGGTCTTGTACCAATTCTTCTTATCAAGATATGTCTCGTGCTGTTTCCATCATCAAGCAAGCCGAAGCTGCTGGTTTAAAACCAAAGATCCCATTCTTTGTTACTCCAGGTTCTGAACAAATCAGAGCTACTATTGAAAGAGATGGATTAATTGACACATTTGAAAAGAATGGTGCTATTGTCTTGGCCAATGCCTGTGGTCCATGTATTGGTCAATGGGATAGAACCGACGTTCCAAAGACTTCTACTGAAACCAATGCCATTTTCACTTCATTCAACAGAAATTTCAGAGCCAGAAACGATGGTAACAGAAACACCATGAACTTTTTAACTTCCCCAGATATGGTCACTGCCATGATTTACTCTGGTGACATGAATTATAATCCAATCACCGATTCGATTAAGTTGGAAAATGGTGAACTGTTTAAATTCCAACCACCACAAGGTGAAGATTTGCCATCCCATGGATTCATTAGAGGAAGAGAAGAATTCTACCCTGAAGCCAATCCTCAACCAAAGCCAGAAGTTCAAGTCAATGTTTCTCCTGAATCCGACAGATTACAATTATTAGATCCATTCAAGCCATGGTCAGGTGAAGAATTATCAACTAATGTGTTGTTAAAGGTTGAAGGTAAATGTACCACTGATCATATTTCCGCTGCTGGTGCCTGGTTGAAATACAAGGGTCATTTAGAAAACATCTCTTATAACACCTTGATTGGTGCCGTCAATAAAGAAACTGGAGAAGTGAACAAAGCATATGATTTGAATGGCGATGCCTATGGTATTCCTGAATTAATGATCAAATGGAAGGAAGAAGGTCGTCCTTGGATTGTCGTTGCTGAACATAACTATGGTGAAGGTTCTGCTAGAGAACATGCTGCATTATCCCCAAGATTCTTGGGTGGTTCAATAATCTTGGTTAAATCATTTGCCAGAATTCATGAAACTAACTTGAAGAAACAAGGTATGTTACCATTAACATTTGCTGATGAAGCTGATTATGACCGTATCTCCAGTGGTGATTTGATAACAACAATTGACTTGGCAGATATGATTGCTAAAGAAGGCAACAATGGTGGGAACTTACGGGTTAAGGTGACCAAGAAGGATGGAACTTCGTTTGAAATTTTAACTAAACACACCATGTCTAAAGATCAAGTTGAATTTTTCAAGGCTGGTTCTGCCATTAATTACATTGGTAACTTGAAGAAGCAAAGTAACTAGAGTTTAATATGTATTTTATATTTACTTCGTAAAGAGTAATTAAAAAAAAATATTCTGCAAATCTAAACACAATAATCTAAGCGTCAATCAAATCCTTAGACTTATCTGGATCTTCTTCATCATCTTCGTCGTCATCATCTTGACCTCTGTCTCTGTCGTAAAATTCTTCCAAAATCTTTGGACTAATTCTATTCAACATTTCCTTTGGATAGATTCTTAACAAAGACCATGCAAGATCCAAGGATTCGAAAATAGTTCTGTTTTCATAAGCACCTTGACTGATAAAGTTCTTTTCAAACTTTTCCAAGAATTCCAAAGACAATTTATCTTCAGTAGATAAGGCTTCTTCACCGACAACGGCCTTCATGGCAGCAGCATCTCTACCAATGGCATACTTGGCGTACAATTGATTAGAAACATCACCGTGGTCCTTTCTGGTCATACCTTCACCGATAGCGGACTTCATCAAACGAGACAAGGAAGGTAAGACATTGATAGGTGGGTAAATACCACGATTGTGTAATTGACGATCAATGGAGATTTGACCTTCAGTAATATAACCGGTCAAATCAGGAATTGGATGGGTAATATCATCATTAGGCATGGTCAAAATTGGAACTTGGGTAATAGAACCGTTTCTACCTTCAACTCTACCGGCACGTTCATAAATGGTGGACAAATCGGTATACATATAACCTGGGTAACCTCTTCTACCTGGGACTTCTTCTCTGGCGGCAGAAACTTCTCTCAAGGCATCGGCATAAGAAGACATATCGGTTAAAATAGTCAACACGTGTCTTTCGGTTTGGTAAGCCAAGTATTCGGCGGTGGTTAATGCTAAACGAGGAGTAATAATTCTTTCAATAGTAGGATCATTAGCCAAGTTCAAGAATAAGGTAGTTCTTTCCAAAGATCCATTTTCTTCGAAATCTTGCTTGAAGAATCTAGAAGTTTCCAAATTGACCCCCATGGCGGCGAAAACAATCGAGAAGTTTTCTTCATGACCATCATGGACATCCTTGGTTGGTCTAACCAACCCGGCTTGTCTACAAATTTGAGCAGCAATTTCATTATGTGGTAAACCAGAAGCAGAGAAAATAGGAATCTTTTGTCCTCTAGCAATGGAGTTCATGGTATCAATGGCGGAAACACCAGTGGAAATCATTTCTTCAGGATAAATACGAGCAAATGGGTTGATTGGAGAACCGTTAATATCCAAGTAGTCTTCAGCAAAGATCTTTGGGCCCTTGTCGATTGGTCTACCGGAACCGTCAAAGATTCTACCCAACATATCTTCGGAAACTGGAATCTTTAAATTTTCACCAGTGAATTCAACTCTAGTCTTTTTGACATCGATACCGGATGTACCTTCGAAAACTTGGACAATGGCCTTGGTACCTCTGACTTCTAAAACTTGCCCTTGTCTAATTGATCCATCAGGAAGTGTCAAGTTGACAATTTCATTATATCTTGGGAATTTAACATTGTCTAAAATAACAAGGGGTCCATTGACACCACCCACGGTGTTATAGTTGATTCTTGGCTTGATTTTGAACCCTTGGGTCACAGCCTTTTTGTTTAACTCGAATAATTCTTGGTCGGAAAGAAGCATTGTGATAGATGTGCTACTGATTCCAATTGATGATTAATTGAACAGCCAATTGATGATGGTAAAACGTTGTGAAACGGCCATCGATAAGCATTTTTCTGAGGGTTAAATTGGCAGTGCGTTTTCTCAACGAAAAGTTTCCGAATGGTTTAATTAGTGATGTAATTTACGCAGAGATAACTGAAATTTACACGCAAGGTTTGTTATATTATTTAAATCATGTGGCTCACTATATCCCATTCCTCACTTAAGTTTAATCTGGTGGGGTTTCTTATGATATCCCGTAGTTTCAAGTCCAAGAATGCCATTGGTTTGTCTGAATGCTTCTTTTTTGTACCTAAAACAGCACTAGACTTCATTAGTAATTCATAAACGTGTTCCATCAAATCTTGGAAATTGGTCCGCACGGCGGATGTTGCATAATCAACTGCTTGCTTCTCTTGTTCATATAGCCTTTTTTTGAAACCCAAATCTAGGTTCATAACTTGTCGCAACACTTTTTCGAAATTGCACCACTCATCAAGAGACATGTCTTCAATTTCACCCGTGAACATGAGAAATACTTGGAAATTGGTAATTAGTTTTACAATAACAAGAAAGAACCTAAGGAAATCCTTTATTGAAAGACGATTAAATGGTTTGTTGATGATTTTATGCGGTATGATAACCATATTCTTTTTCGGCGACGAGGTACTTGGTGAAACAGATCTATCATGCTTTATAATCGGTATATTGCTTAAATCAGCCGGTTCTACTGAATTAGATCTATGAGCCCGTCGTTGGTGATTCAAGGTCTTTGAAGACAAGGGAAGCTTATAAGCATCGCCAAGTTTAATGATTTTCTCCGTGGGGTTTTGAATGTCTTTGGGTACTTCAAATATAAGCAGATCTTCTGATGTGGGGGTATCTGTTGAAGATTCAACATCAGACAAACCATCCTCTTCTGATCCTTTTATTATTTGTTGTTTCTTTCTTATTAAGTCGTAAAACTTGGAATCAGGAAGAAATCCAACTAATTCAGGCAAATGCGGTAACTCTACTCGGAACAAGTCTGACAATTGAATCTGCAAAACAATCAACCTTTCAAGAAATTGGTTTATAACTAGAAGATTATAGCCCAACAATTCTTCAAGTTTCAAGATTGGTTGGTGATTAAATAGTAGCTTTCGCTCCTTGTTTTGGAATGATATTTCTTTTAAGATTTTAAAATTTTGTTCTTGCAACCGCAATACTTGTCTCCCCACTTGCTTATTCTTTGTACTTTTATTTTCCTCGATTTGTGAGTTTAAACTATCAATCCTTGCATTACCATTGGAAATTAGCTTGGTTTCACTTTTTAACAAATCCAACCTCAATTGATCCAACTTCTTCTCTTGTTCTTGTTTCTTTTCCTTTAAAACTTCGATCTTGCCTTTTATTCGTTCTTTGGAAACATTCATCGCATCAGTTTTTAACTTCAAATGTAAAATCCGGAGTTTATTCAACTGAATGGCAAATGCAGTCAATGTGGCAGTAGACGGTATCGGTAAAGATTCATCCATACCATCATAAACCAACTGCTTGTCAAATTCCTTATCATGTCCCTCAATTAACAAGTCAGTATATTCAAATATGGAATCTATTTGATGGCGACATCGTTCATTCAATTCATCATCTAACCGTGATTGGATTTGATATTGTCGTAGTTGTGATAATATGGATGCATCTGTGTGAGTGGTGTCATCGTTGTTACGATTATTCGACGACATCTAGCCAGCTCAGCTGTATGAAAGAGCTTGCTGTGTTTTGTTACTTTTAGTGGTGATTTCTTATCTGGTTGTTTTGTGATATTTTTTTTTGCACTAGCCCTTACACTTGCACTTGCACTTGCACTTTTTCCCTTGGGGTGGTGGGGGGTAAAGACAACAAACGTTAACCAGCACCTGGTACATGCAACGTTAGTGAATGTCTTGTAGTGGTCCCAGAGAATCAAAGTATTGATACTAGATAAGTTAAATACTGAACTAAATATTATATTATTAATTCATGTATAATGAGAATGGCGTCGCTTTAGAACAACTTTATGTTCCTAAAGACGAACTTCAAAGATCTTGTTAGTTTGAAAACAAACACAACTTTTTTATAAAACTATAGAATATCTAAGTAACTGGAGCAGTGGCTACACCCAATTCTGAATCACCTTGACCGTAATACAAGAACCATTGGTTATGAAATTGCACTAACCCTTCGCAAAACACAACTTTGTTAACTTGACCATTTTTTTCATTGTTTGCTTCCGGGACAATAACTGGCTTTTCTAACCTGGCAACGGGACCATCCACAATTTTATCGTAATCAATCAACATCTGGCTGATTGAATATGTATCTCTCTCCAAGTGTCCGTCACCAGTAGTCAGGGCATTATATATGAAGATATATTGACCACTTTTCATCTTGATTGGCGCAGGACCCGATTCAATTAATCTTGATTCATGGGGGAAAACCAGTTTGGCAAAGGTGTTATGGATCAAGGAATAGCTAGGCAAAGCCCAGTGAATTAGGTCATCTGACTCGGCAAGATGTAATTCAGAGTCGCCCCAAATCATGTAATATTTCCCATTCTTGTTTCTTTCAGTGAATACTGCCCCCGATTTAGTCCACTCTGGACGGATATTTCTTTCGCCATAACTTGTCACTTCAATATCATGCCATTCCGCCGAGATAAAAGGAGGGTACTTCTTCCAAGTGAACAAATCTTCGGAAACGGCAACACATAATCTAGCTCTATATCTATCGTACCCGGTATATGTCATAATAAACAATTTGGTTTCGGGATCCCGCACGATTCGTGGATCTTCTACACCACCACCCATTTCATACCACTCTGTAGGTGAAAGTATTGGGCGTTTAAATTTCTCAAAGTGAACTCCATCCTCGGACCAGGCAATCCCAATGGAGGAGGTTTTAGCACTGTTTTGTGCTCTATACAAGAGAAATACTTTGTTGTCGACAACTATAGCGGTGGCATTATAGAGATAGGCACTTTCAAATTCGATGTTTGGGTCAGGGGTAAGGATTGGGTTTGCCGGATGTTTTGTGAATGGTCCAATAGGAAACGTTGAAGGGGGGGTATAATCTTCCCCGGAAGGAGTATCCCTTGATATAATTGGAACCAACATAGTATAATTTGTATCAATTGACAACTTGCTGTGAGGAAGACCCTTTTTGACAGGTGAAATTCGGCATTTGTGGGGGGGATGAAGACATTGCTGTGGGGGAAAAAGTGAGACATTTTTGATTCTAGAACATGACTTGGTAGCGAGCTGCAAAAGATTAAGAGTGACGTCTTTTTTTTTTTGCCTTTCCAGATTAACAACAACCCAAAATCAGAAAATAATGTGAAACTAACAACTGGTTTTATTCTTGCAACTCTGAGTTGTTTTTTTAATAGATCATTTGCTAGTTACAATAGAGCAATCACACGACTACAGTCACGTTTGTCTATATATATTTATATCTTATTTCATCAATTGTAGAGGAAAGGCTTAGCACCAGAACCACCACTCACCCCCCCACTAACCCACTAAAGTTTGACGAGGGTTATTCGGAAAAAAAAGTACTCAGCATATACTTCACCTAATCGGAACAATTTACATGCATATATATAGAGATGGGACAGTTATTATCACATCCGATTGAAGATAAGCAATTGGACTATCGATCACACCGAACTTTGTCATATTGTATCGGGGCCATGCAGGGGTATCGGATGTCAATGGAAGATGCCCATCATGTTAAAATAAGCGAAGATGAGACAGTTACTTTGTTTGCTGTATTTGACGGCCATGGGGGGCGACAATGCGCCGAATATATCTCCCATCATTTACTGAAGTTGATATTCCGACAATTGTTCAGCAATAAAGTTAACATGAATCATAATGAGACATTTAAAGTATTGAAGAATGCGTTTTTCAAGATAGACCACGACTTGAATAAACATTTGAGTTTGATAAATTGTGGAAGTACAGCGATAGTTACTACTATTATAAATAATTGCATATACGTGGCTAATACTGGAGACTCAAGGTGCATTCTTTCATTGGATGGAGGAAATGCCAAGACATTGTCATTTGATCATAAACCCAGTAATATGGGAGAGAGAGTTCGAATCGAAAACAGCAATGGCTATATATTGAATGGGCGAATCAACGAAGTGTTGGCATTATCACGAGCATTTGGAGATTTTAAATTTAAGTTGCCGTATATTAATTCAACCAGAAACAAATACATTCTTGAGAATAATAAGCGGATAAAGAAGGACTTGGTGCATTTACCCCCCGAGTTATTTCAAGTTACTGTGGAGCCCGATATTTTACTATATGATATGAATTTCAACAAGATTCCTGAGTTTATAGTAATAGCATGTGATGGTGTGTGGGATTGTTTTAAAAATGGACAATTGATCAAATTAATCAGAGACAAATTGGCATTGGGGTGGAAATTGAACAAGATTGTTGAATTTGTGTTGAATGATTGTTTAACCATGGCTAATAATTATACTGGAATTGGGTTTGATAATATGACCATGATTATCGTGGCATTGCATCCCGATGGGAATGTAGCAGGTGATAATAATCTTGATGAGTGGTATCAAGTAATGATGGATAAAATCTTGAAGGAAAAGGGGTTATTGTGAGTTATGTACAATATTAGACAATTAGCACGAATAGACGACAGTGATATGAAGTAGTTCTGTAGACATTGTAACGTAACTATAAAAGTTTTGTTGTATTTATCTGATGCAGTACATATCATTGCATATAATTATAATTGAGATGATTTAATTTGTTAGAGTTTTGGCAAATTTCGGGAGAAGCAACGAGTTAGCCATGGCCGAATCCAGGGGGTTTCTATGATGTAACAAATGCAGTTGGCCAAGGCGCAAATCTAGCCTGGAATGCTGTATGTGTGTATATACATACACACATACACACATACATATATACATACGCACACACAGTACATTCCAAGTTTACGTCACCGGCTGCGAAATTGGCGTGTATAAATTTGGTGCAATTAGGTGCAAGATAATTGCGAATTCTCTATAAAATGCATATGTTGTAAAACAAACTGCATTGTTGGAATATCAACGCAAGCCAAGAAAAGGCTTAGATCGGCCAGTAAAATCGACAGTAGAGTTTACATTAGACCACACATATTGCTCTCCCGTCATGAAGGTAGTCAGCTTGGTTCACCTTGTTACTGACACTCTGTCAACTAATGGAGATGTTTAACTAAATCGTATTTTGTTTGTACTAACGCATGGCCACTGGAAACAAAGAAAATAGCAATTATAGAACTACAAACACAGCCTCTATAATTAAAGAGAACATACACGCTTACCTCCTTATTGAGGACAATTGTACACCAACACCATCGGACATAACGGAGAGCCAGCGAAAATTGCCCCCACATCCATAACCATATCGCTTTCCCCCCCTCTCCCCCATGTCCCACTCGGTGCCAGATTTTTCGTACATTTTTTTCTTTTTTTTTTTTTCCACTTGAAGCGACAGACAAAAACAAAAAAAATAAATGAAAAAGAAAAAAAAAACCATCCGATAAAAAAAAAAAAAAACAAACAACCACAACATACAAAAAAATATTTAATGTCTGGTGGGACTGACTCAGTCAAAAATTATCTCAATTGTTGTTACAACCAGATTGTTCTACCTTTCTCTACCTTTTACTATCTTACACCTTTTAGCTCAACTATTCAGTGCTAGACACTCTAGTCAACCATGACTGAAATAGATCTGCCCTACCATGATCCCATAATATCACTTGTTCAAGATCCCAATCTAAACAAAGACAATGATAAGTCTTCCCAGCTTATCAAACTCATCCAAAACATAACCGAACGTAAGGTATCCAAACTATGTTCGTCCGCATTCATAATACTCCAAACATTGGAGAAGCTCCAAATGAAGTTCAAGAGTTGGGAGTTCCTTTCGTTGGACTATAACAGCGACTACCATTTTGAAAATAAGGATGACCACATTAAACAGTTCAATACCGGTGTCGCTGATAAGGTTATTGTCGCCTGTTCGGAAATGAATATCAAAATCGTCAAGATCTCCGCCGATGTCGATTATATAAGCAAATCTTCCCGAACGTTAACTCCACTAGACTTGATATCGGACAGCGGTACCATGTTGACCAGTTTGGTGTTGCGAATTATTAAACTAAAGAACGAAATTACCGAACATTTAACCATATCTTATCTGAAGGCTAAACTAATTTCCATTGGACAAGAATTGGAGCTCATGGACGAGGACGAGTCAACCGTGGAAACCTACAAGTCATTTATTGTCAGTTTACTCCGTCAATTGAATGAAGCGATTGAATCGGGAGATTTCGAAGCTAAATACGAATGTCTCGCCGTGATCAACGATATGGAACAGATGTTTGAAAAATTCAAGTTGGAAAGAATGATGACTGACTTGTCCCGTACCATCGAAGACAATTACTCGTCAGACGACGAGGTTCAAGAACCCATGTCGGAAATTCCTTCTCCACCCGAAGATCACAGTACTGATGAAGATTTCTTTGACTATTCCGATTCAGACATCACAAATTCAGTATACTCATCTCAGCAACTACCGTTGGTACATTCTATAACAAGACAACATACCCACCAAGCCAAGGACTCCCTTTCATCGTGGTCACAACCTAAACCAACCACCATCACCGAAGAACTTCCATATTTAATGACGGCATTCAGCTCAGCCAAAGCATTTGAAGAAGATGTATCTCACTATAAATCTGAATCTTCTTCATCCACGACATCTTCACAAACTCCAATTTCAGCACCATCCTCATCGCGGCAAATACCGACACAAGAGACCAAAGCACGATCAGCACCACCTACTGCATCAGCCGAACACAGGAATAAGCCATTTTTCCATAAGGCGGCCAATTTACCGGATTCATCATTATACAATGAAAGTATACTTGTCGAGAAATCGTTACCTAGTCCGTATCTAAACAATTCATTATTATCCAGACTAGGAATAAGGCCCCAGGTGGTGACTGTGCCCATGGCATCCACACAACCCAAGGGTGTATTGATCGATAGCAAAACCGCAAACAAGAACGAGAGTAATAAATTACCATTTACAAAACAAAACTTGCTTACCCAAGAAAACTTGCATAGTCATGACTTGGAAAATGATTTAGTGGATTGAACTTGACAAGTTTGTTTAATGGACATACAAAGAGATTTAAAACTACTGCATTTATCCTAGTTATTACGCATATATTATTTATGACTTTTGAATTGATAACAATTATTCAGCCACAGCATAGTCCTCTTTTTTTTTTTCTTTTTCTTCATCATCATCATCATCTTCTTCTTCTTCTTCTCTCTCTATAATTCTATACACCTTTGGAGGTGATTCTCTTGGTGGATGAATTAACCTTGTACAATTCCTTGACAAAACTCTCACCCCAGAATCCAGAAGTGTATTTGGAAATATACCCAAACAATTTCTTGAAATTGATTTCCTTCTTCTCATCAGGCAAGGTCAAGCTTTCCTTGATGGCATCACTTAACTCTTCGGTATTCCAAGGATTGACAATAATTGCCCCATTCAAGGATTGGGCAGCCCCGGCGAATTCCGACAAAATCAATGCCCCTTTACGTTCCTGCTGACAAGCAATGTATTCATAACTGACAAGGTTCATACCGTCTCTTGTAGAACTAACCAAACAGACATCACTGACGTTATACAAACTTATCAATTCGTCAAAAGGAATGGACTTATGCATATAATGGATAGGCACAAATTCAACAGTACCAAACTGTCCGTTTATTCGACCAACTAACTCATTCACGGTTGCTCGTAAACTTTGATATTCTTCAACATCACCACGAGAAGGAACAGCAACTTGAACAAGAACAACTTTGCCGATCCATTCTGGGTTCTCAGTAAGGAAAACTTCAAACGCATGGAGTTTTTGTGGAACACCCTTGATATAATCAAGACGATCAACCCCAACTATAACCTTGCACCCTTCAAACTTTTCTTTAAGTTGGGCAATTCGTTCAATGACACTAGGCTTCTTCAACCCGTCAATGAAGTTATCCACGTCGATACCAATAGGGAATGCACCGATGGAAATGCTTCTTCCTTGGAACTGAATTCCGTTCGGCAACGTAGTCACATTAGGGACAATTCTCGAAACAGAACTAAGGAAATGTCTGGCGTAGTCATAGGTGTGGAATCCAATCAAGTCACAACTCAATACCCCTTCCAAGATTTCTTTTCTCACGGGGAGAATACGGTAGATTTCCGAACTAGGGAATGGGGTATGCAAGAAAAACCCGAGTCTAATATTCTTCTTTGATTGGCCAATTTCTTCTCGCAACATTTGTGGTAAAAGCATCAAGTGATAGTCGTGAACCCAGACCATGTCGTTGTCCTTGACCTGTTTCACGATCTCCACGGCGAATGTTCTGTTGGCCTCGATGTAGGCGGCCCAGGCATTCTCATCAAAGTTCATTTCCCCAGGATGGTAGTGGAACAATGGCCACAAGATGGAGTTGGAGAACCCATTGTAGTGTAGGTCGGCGATGGTGTCGGAAAGGAAAATGGCAGTACAGTTGAACTTTTCTTTCAAATCGCGATTAACTCGTTCCTGTTCGTCTTCCGGGACTTCCAACCCGGGCCATCCCAACCACTGGAATTCGGTAGATTTCTTCAATCCCTGAAGCCCGGTGACCAACCCACCCAGGGACATGGAGTAGGTGTAGGATCCGTCTTGGGCACGCTTGATGGTAACTGGCAATCTGTTAGACACCACGAGGACCTTACCGCGAGTCATGGTTGTAGTCATAGTTTTGTTGCAAACGCTGTAGACAAAGAAAAGAGGCGCAAAAGGTGGGACGCAAATGAAAATGAAAGTGGGAACCAGGTGTATTTAAATTCGTGGTGGAATTTGCGAACTGTTGCTACGAAAAATCACCCTTAGTTTGTGTGGCAATGTGTTAATGTGTGAAATGGAATAGCAATTGAAATGTGGTAGTTTTAGTTAGTTTGCACATTTATATAGTGCCGGCAACGAATCGTATTGATGTTTGGATGTTTGGTCTCCCCTATGGAACATCATGGAAATGAGGGGGGGATTTTTCTGCGCAATGTGTAAATGTTGGAAATCCGACCATCCTCGGCGTATCACGTGAGGTATTCCGGGCAACGAGTCACAATCTGGAGGACCTGGATGAGCAGTGAAAAGTTTTCACTGATAGATTTCTATTCTATACTATTACTCTTATAATCAAGTCATGACCCAATACTGCCGTATTTAATACGTCGGAGCTAAAGCTGTAGTCGAGGTTACTCTATTGATTGTTGTAACATTAAAAGTCACGTGGTCGCCCATCCATCAAACAGTAAATTCCAGAGCCTTCTCACCACGTGACGAGCAGCAATGTGATTGTAGCAAACTGTCACGGGCCATTGCTCTTTTAGGAAGTCGACGCTCGTGGCTGTCAGTCGCAATTTTTTCCCCCTTCAGTTTTCATAGGCAAACAAAATAACAACAGCAAATAGCATCCAGGTCCCCGTTTTGTAATACATCACAGTCACAATGTACAATCCATACGGAAATGTCGCGGCTGATTCGTACCAGAATCAATACCAATACCAACCGCACGACCAATCTCAACAACAATCACCACAAAACTTGCAACACCCTCAGCCACACCATCCAACGTCGTTTGGCCACCACCCACAACAGCAAATGTACACGGGACAACCACCGGTCCCCACAGCAGCAGCACAACAACACCAACAATACCAACAACACCAACAACAACAGCAGCAGCAGCAGCAACAGCAACAGCAGCAACAACACGCACAACCAGGTTTCAATTTCCTCAATGAGCCCGCAGCTGCCTTGGCTTCTCAGTTTGCCATGAGTGGATTCCAACAATCTAACCAGTACATCCAAGAAAACTTTGGAAATCTTTCCATTTCCGGCGATATCAACTACTATTTCCAAGTCAGCAACTCCTACGTGTTTCTGAAGATATTTTTGATCTTGTTCCCGTACAGACAAAAGGATTGGAGTAGGATATCCACCAAGGAAACCGGCGAAAACCAATTCTTGCCTCCTAACCGTGATATCAATGCTCCCGACTTGTACATTCCCTTGATGTCATTTCTGACATATATATTGTTGTGGGCCGCTTTCCAAGGGTTGAAGGGAGACTTCCACCCCGAATTATTCGGATACTTGTCTTCGCAAACCTTGGCGTTTTCAATATTGGACATTTTAATTTTTAAAACCGGGTTGTATCTCTTGGGATGTCCGCAAAGTTCCATTTATGATATCGTGAGTTTCTCCAGCTACAAGTACGTCTCAATTATTGTGTTGTTGTGCTTGAAGCATTCAATTGGAGATTGGTTAGGTTTGGGTTATTACGTGTCTGTTTTGGTGTTGATTGCTAACTTGGCAATCTTCTTGATGAGATCGTTGAGATTCTTAATCTTGCCTACCAACAACACTAGTGCTGCTACCAACAGCATCACTTCTAGACAACGTAAGATCAGAATTCAGTTTTTGTTTGTTTACGCTGTGATCATTCAAGGCTTGATTATTCTCTACATGAGCAAGTGAATGCGCAGGAAGAGCCCCACCCGCTACATATTTATTGACTTTGAAATGCTAAATATACTACTATATAGATAAAGTTGAAGGAGCTGACTTGTTCTTCTTCTATGGTTTGCTAACATCAATACACGCGTAATAACATGTTTACAGTTTACACCCATTTACAGGTTGGATTGGCGTTTTACAGTTTTTCTTTTTCTTTTTTTTTTTGCAGCTTCGGTAGACGCGTTTAGAAACCAACCAGGAGTTGACATCAAGCTTTTACAACCACAATAGTACTACCATTCAATACCAGCTCATTCACTACTGACTAGCCATGTCAAAGCTGAATTTCAAAGGATCAACATCCGCGAGATTCGTCAAAAATGACAAAATCACAAAGTATAAAACAGAACGACCACGACAAGAAATACCTGTTGATCCCTATGTTGCCAACAATCCCATGCTTAACGATGCTCACCAGAAGCGTGAATTGGTCGAACGTATAGACAAGCTCGATTCCATCATGGGGTTTGATCGGTTTGAACATGGCGAGCACGACGGAGCCAAACCTAGAAAGGGGTGGTTGGTCAACATGCATGCTACTACTATACCTAGTGACCAGTACTTGACTGGGTATTCTGGAGTAGACTACTACTTTTTAGACGAGGAAGGTGGAAGTTTTAAAGCCACGTTGCAATACGATCCTTATTTCTTTGTTGAGGTGCTTCCGGGCCATGAATCAGAAGTGGAAGAGTGGGCAAAGAAGTTCTTGGAAAGCTGCAATGTCAAGAGTTTGACGAGGGTGCTGAAAGAAGATTTGGCATTACCTAACCATTTGCTTGGATTGAAGAAAAATCTTATCAAATTGACCTTTCATAATGTTTCCGATTTGCTAGGCGCAAGAAGGTTGTTATCTCCTATAATAAAGGAAAACCAAATGAAACGAGATTCACGAGAAATTTATAAGGTTATGAATTTTAGCAATGGCCACACAAACGAAGAATCAACCAACACCACTGATCCTTCTACTTTCCTAGACGATATCAAAGAATATGATGTTCCGTACCATGTCAGAGTATCCATAGACAAACAAATACGAGTAGGTAAATGGTATGATGTTTTTGCTAAGCACTCAAAAGTTCATCTTGTGGAAGATAAAGAAAAGATTGCATTTGCTGATCCAGTGGTATTGGCATTCGATATAGAAACAACCAAAGCACCTTTGAAATTCCCCGACGCCAAGATCGATCAGATTATGATGATTTCATACATGATTGACGGAGAAGGGTTCTTAATCACCAACCGAGAAATTATTTCTGAAGATATAGAAGATTTCGAATATACCCCGAAACCAGAATATCCCGGGTTGTTTACTATCTTCAACGAACCGGATGAAAAGCACGTGTTGTTGAGATTCTACGAACATATTCGTGATGCAAAACCAACCGTGATTGCGACATTTAACGGTGATTTCTTCGATTGGCCCTTTGTGGAAACCAGATCCAGATTCCATGATTTAGACATGTTTGATGAAATTGGATTTGCCAAAGATAACGAAGGAGAATATAAATCGAAATACTGTGTACACATGGATTGTTTCCGATGGGTCAAGAGAGATTCATATTTGCCTCAAGGTTCGCAGGGTTTGAAAGCAGTTACTACAGTCAAATTAGGATACAATCCTACTGAACTTGATCCAGAATTAATGACGCCGTATGCATACGAAAAACCACAATTGCTTTCTGAATACTCCGTTTCCGATGCTGTGGCTACCTATTACTTGTATTACAAATATGTTCATCCGTTCATCTTTTCCTTGTGTACCATTATCCCATTGAACCCAGATGAAGTGTTGAGAAAAGGTACTGGTACCTTGTGTGAAATGTTGCTTTCGGTTCAAGCATATGAAAACAATATCTTGTTGCCTAACAAACATTCTGATCCTATTGAACGATTTTATGATGGCCATTTGTTAGAATCGGAAACTTATGTTGGTGGACATGTTGAATCGTTGGAAGCGGGTGTTTTCCGAAGTGATATCGCCACTGATTTCAAAATAGATACTGCTGCCATTGATGAATTATTGAGAGATTTGCATAATTCTATCAAATTTTGTGTTGAGGTTGAAAATGGCAAGAAATTGGAAGATGTCGAAAATTTTGATCAAGTATATAAGGAAATCGAATCCAAATTACTAGAATTGAAACTGAATCCGTCAAGAAAAGAAACTCCGTTGATTTATCATGTGGATGTGGCGTCAATGTATCCTAACATCATGACTTCAAACAGATTACAACCAGATTCCATGAAATCGGAAGAAGATTGTGCTGCCTGTGATTTCAACCGGCCAGGAAAGAATTGTGATCGTAGATTACCATGGTCTTGGAGAGGTGAATACTTCCCAGCCGAGATGAATGAATACAATATGATCAAGCGTACTTTACAAAGCGAAACATTCCCTAATTCAAGACTGTGGTTACCTCCAAGAACGTTTGATGAATTGTCATACACTGAACAAGCATCCTTGATTAAAAAGAGAATATCTGATTATTCCAGAAAAGTCTACCACAGAGTCAAACAAAGTAAAGTTGTCACTAGAGAAGCAATCATTTGTCAACGAGAAAATCCATTTTATGTCGATACAGTCAGAAGTTTCCGTGATCGTAGATATGAATTCAAAGGATTGGCCAAAGTATGGAAGGGTAAGGCATCAAAACTTGATGGTGCTGATAAAGACGAAGCTAAGAAGATGGTTGTTCTTTATGACTCCTTGCAATTAGCCCATAAGGTTATTTTGAACTCTTTCTATGGGTACGTCATGAGAAAAGGGTCGCGTTGGTATTCTATGGAAATGGCCGGTGTTACATGTCTTACTGGTGCCACCATCATTCAAATGGCCCGTGCATTAGTGGAAAGAATAGGAAGACCTTTGGAATTAGATACCGATGGTATTTGGTGTATTTTGCCTAAATCATTCCCCGAGAATTTTAATTTGAAATGTAAGGATGGCAAGAAGATCTTTTTGGAATATCCTTGTTCCATGTTGAATTATTTGGTTCATCAAAGATTCACGAATGATCAATATCAAGATTTGGTTGATCCAGAGACTTTCAAATATAGTACTCGTTCTGATAATTCTATTTTCTTCGAAGTTGATGGTCCTTACAAAGCAATGATTTTGCCAACTTCTAAAGAAGAAGGTAAGGGGTTGAAGAAAAGATATGCTGTTTTCAACCATGATGGTTCCTTGGCTGAATTGAAAGGGTTCGAGTTGAAAAGAAGAGGTGAATTGCAGTTAATCAAGAATTTCCAAAGTGATATTTTCAAATTGTTTTTGGAAGGTAACACCTTAGAATCGTGTTATCAAGCAGTGTCTACAGTTGCCAACAACTGGTTAGATGTATTAGACACAAAAGGTGGAATGTTGGAAGACGAGGATTTGATTGAACTTATTTGTGAAAACAGAAGTATGTCTAAAAGTTTGGCCGAATATGGAGATCAGAAGTCTACTTCGATTACAACTGCTAAAAGATTGGGTGAATTCTTGGGTGAAGAAATGGTTAAAGACGCAGGGTTAGCCACCAAATACATTATCAGTGCCAAACCAATAGGAGCACCAGTCACTGAAAGAGCTATTCCCGTGTCGATCTTCTCCCTGGACAAAAAGGCAATATTCTTGAAGAAATGGTTAAAGGATCCTTCATTATCTAATTTCAGTCCTAGAGATGTTATTGATTGGGATTATTATAGAGAAAGATTGGCTTCGGTTATTCAAAAGATTATTACAATCCCTGCAGCATTGCAAAATGTTAAGAATCCAGTTCCAAGAGTTCAACATCCAGATTGGTTGAAAAGAAAAGTCACTATTCGTGAGGATTCCAAGCAACAAAGTTCAATCGCAACTTTCTTTGGCAAGAGTTCCAAATCAGAAATAATGGAGAAACAAGTCAAGGATATTGAAGATTTTGGTGAGGCTGATTATTCCATGAAGAGTAAAGTTGGAAAAGTCACATCAAAAAAGAGAAGAGCTGGTAGAGCCAACTTGGTAGCTGATACTGAAGAAGAAGAAAGAAATCTTGCCATCTTGAACGGACCATGCCCATCAATGACAGAAGATTATCAAGGGTTCTTGGCTTACCAGAAAGCAAAATGGACAATGCAAGAATCTAATCGTGAAAGAAGAAGAAAATTGTTTGGATCTAATGCTGAAAGTTCGCAAAGATCAACCGTGGGAAGCATGATTAGAAAACAGGCCGAGAATGTTGCTGGTTCAAATTGGGAAATCTTGCAATATAAAGAGGATCCTACTAAGCCTGGGAATTTGAAAGTATATGTTCTGGCTGGTAATAAATTACACTCGTTTACATTTTGTATTCCAAAGAAAGTCTATGCATCATTCAAGACAGAACTTTCCGAAAGAAGATTGAATGTTGCTGGATGTGACGTTGAAAAGTCCAATGCTATTCTTCCAAATGGCCATGATGCCACCAATTTGTACAAGTTTACTATGCCCCAATCTACGTATCAGGAACAAATGACTGATGTCGATAGTGTGTTACAAGACACCAACATTTTAGGACTTTATGAAACCCAAGTTGGACCAGTAGAACGAGCTATTATTGATTTAGGAAATGTTGTCAAGTTTGATGATACCAGAGTAGGAGCATTAGGTAAAGGTTTGAAGAACGGGTTTAATGTGAAGGATTTGGTTAAAGTTGACACTGATGCATATTTGAGAAGGTTTGAAATGGATATGGTTTATTTGTTGCATATTGTCACAAACAGTTATGAATTCTTTACTGTTTTCAAGACTTGGGAACCACAAGCACAAATCTTTGTCTTGAAACCTTCTGCTTCTGCTCAAGAATTGCCTGCCAATATTGATAGAATTTATCGTGAAATTTACGAAGCTAAAAAGGATAAATTGGGTAAGGTCAACAATATCATTGATTATCCTAGCGAAATGTCATTTGAAACTGTCTATTACCATGACAATGCCAAGTTATTCAAAAAACTTAATCAAGTCCTTGGTAAGATTAATGAAAGTAGAAGCAATACCGCTTTACTTGCTATTCAATCGCCTTATGCATCTCGTTTATTAAATGTCTTGACATCAACTGTTGATTTCCCTACCATTAGAATGAATATTAGTGAACTTGCTTTGCCTGCACTTGGTTGGCAAGCCTTGATTTCCAAACGTGTGATTAACCATTACTTTGTTTTGGCTTCCTGGGTTAAGAATTTGATTTCATTGTCCAAATATGGTGGGGTTCCACTTTGTAATTTACAGATTGAAAATGTTGGATATTTGATTGACATTGCATATGCCAGGAGATTAGTTCAAGGTAATATTGTGCTCTGGTGGTCATCCAAACCATTAGCTGATCACGGTGGATTTGAGTTTGATAAGGTAACAGATTATGAAAACTTGGAATTCCCCACCATTAATAATCCAGAGATATATGAAACTGCATGTTTAGAGGTTGAAATTGGAACTTTGGAAATCAATACCATTCTTACCAGTTCTTTGATTAACGAAGCTGAAGGAACTGATTTGGCAGATGATGCAGTTAGGTTTGACAATAATAATGGAGCTTCAAGTTTTGCTGAGGATTCATTTTCTGCACCTGCTTTGGCAATCTTGAGATCTATGGTTAAGGATTGGTGGGATGATGCATTAAAGAACAATATTAATGCTGATTCAATGATGAATAACTTGGTGACTTGGGTTCAAAGAAAGGATTCGTTTTTGTATGATTATGATTTGCGTTATCATGTTCATAATTTGACTTCAAAGGCACTTTTACAATTGATTGGGGAATTCAAGCGAATGAATGCTCATGTCATATTTGCCAATAGAAACAAGATGTTGATTCAAACTTCAAAAGTGTCAGTGGAAAACTCTTATGCATATGGCCAATATATTCTCAAAGCGGCTAGATCGAAGCCTTTGTTTAATTTCCTTGATTTGAAGATTGTCAAGTATTGGGATCTCTTGATTTGGATGGACGAATTTAATTATGGTGGACGCTGTTGCACTGAAATCACCAACGAAGAAATGCAGAATTTAGTTCCTGAAAATCAATGGCAGTTGAAGAAGTACTTGCCTGTTATCTTCCAGAATGAGTTTGAAGATTGGCTAGTTATATTCTTGGATGCTCTTTCCAAACACAAGATTGAGACATTGACTGGAGGTGGCACGCAAACTGGAACACCTCGAGTGACCCAAATTATGCATATTCTTAAAGGTCAAAAGAACCTTGAAGCTAAGGAAACCGAAGAAGAAGATATCACTAATGGTGTTATTGAATTGTTTAGAAGACCACTTGAAAAGAGAATGGAGAAGTTGTACCGCCGTCAGAATGAAGCTATTCTTAATCCCGAGTTCAAGAAAGAATACGAGTTTCCAAAATTGGTGGGATCTCATTTACATCTTCGAAATCCAGCTTTGGAATTGGTTAAGTTTTTGTGTGCTATATTTGCATTATCACAAAAGAGAAATATCGAAGTGAGATTGTTAAGAAAGGAATTGTTACAATTGTTTGATATCAAGGAATTCAGCAAGGAGGCATCTTTTAGAAATCCAAGTGCTTCATTGAAGTTACCCCACGTTATATGCGACTACTGTAATTATGTTAGAGACATTGATTTATGTCGCGAAGAAGAAATCAATATTTGGCATTGCGTTCAATGTCATAAGCCATACAACAAGATAGCCATTGAAGAAGAGATAATTGCCCAATTTAACAAAACACTCACCAAGTTTTACAACCAGGATTTGAAATGTTCTAAATGTAATCAAATTAGAGCTGGTAATTTGGATTTGTTTTGTAAATGTTCTGGAAACTGGACGGAGACCGTGTCTCATCACGATGTTGAAAAGAAGCTTATGGTGTTTGAGAACGTTGCCAGTGTTTTCAATTTACAATTGTTGAAGGGATTAATAGAGGAATTGTATTAGTTTTTAGGATATAGTTTTTAATGTATTATAGGTTAACAGTTTTGTGGGCACGCGCACCTCTTGAAATCGGGAACAGAGTTGGTGTGAAATTTTCTTGTCTTGACGTCAACAATCAAAATCATCAACGAATCATGAGTTTAAAGGCAGAGGAGTCAGTGGACTTGAAAGCTCAAGTGAAAGAACGTGGTTATGAAATTGATCTCTTGAATGCATTCATAAATCGAGACCCCACCCTTCTGTCAGACGCGGTAATTGTCCATGGCTACAAGTCCGTTGGGAAGACCCTCACGGTGACAAGTTTCTTGGATGCGTTAAACGTGAAATATTCCCGCATAAACTGTGACGAATGTGTGTCCAAGAAGATTCTATTGCAACGTTGTTTTAACAGGATCAGGAAAGACTCGGGTGTTCAGTTTGCCGAAGGTTTTTCTAAAGCTGACTACTTGAGGTATGGAAGACTTGGTGAGAATTTCAGTACTTTTATATCGGCATTGGAACAGTTCATAAGAGAGACTGAGTATAGTGAACACCATGTTCTTATTCTTGATCGTTTCGACCAATGTATGGAGGCAACTGACGAGTTATTTGCTTCATTTTTGAAATTGAGAGAACAGTCAATGATTCCAAACATAACTATAGTGGTTATTATCAGTGGTGATGACCCTAGAGAAGTAGCAACGTTGGCTACGCCACATATTTATTTCCGTGCATACACTGAGGATCAAGTGATTCGAATTTTACAGGAAACTCCGTTGTGCAAGTTCAACATGGAGGATCTTGATGGCACTACTGCAGGCTACGAATTTTGGTGTCAATATGTCAAGGTGATTGTTGATTTGTTCTTTCAATACTGCGGATCGGACATGACTATACTCAAAGATATTAGTATGAGATTATGGGATAGATTTATTGAACCAGTCAAGAGCGGTGAATTAAAAGTGACGGAGTTTGTCAAAGTCTATAAGCAGAATGTTGACCTTTTCACTAGTGATAACATAATAAGTAATTCAGCAGTTAGGGACTTCAAGACTTTGGAAGAAGAGAAACAAATTGAGAATGGTAATGTTGAAGATTTGCCCTTGCACTCCAAATTCTTTTTACTTGCATCGTATTTAGCTTCATACATTGAGCAACGGAATGATTTACAAAAGTTTTCCAAAGTAAAGGGGGTCAAATACAAGAAAAGGGCAAGTACTACTGTATCCAAAAGAGGGCATCTTTTGAAAGAAGATATCGACACGCGTTTGTTATCGCCCAATTTTGTTGACCTTGAAAGAATATTGGCTATATTATCTGTAATTTACCGAAACTATGCACCAAGCTTGAACAGATCAGATAAAGATGAGTTATTGTACATCGATGATGAAATTATCGTGAATGAGGAAAAGAAGGAGATTGAAAAGGCGAAATTCACACTAACCAGCAACATCGATTTGAACAATCAGATTGCCACTTTGTTTTCATTAGGATTATTAAGTAAATCAGCATCGTCGGATATTTTGGGAGCTAGATTGAGATGGAAATGTAACATTAACTGGCCTACGGCAGAAGGACTCGCAAAGCTATTGAATTTCCCAATAGCTGAGTTCTTGAATGATAATTAATTTTGTATAAATACATAATAATACAGTTTATTCGTTAAATTCTATCAAAGAAATGTGCTGGAAATCCAGCTGTCCAACTTTTCGTACTTCTACTCGATTTTCAAAGTATGAGTCTTTCCAATGTTTCATCTCGTAAGTTGAATATGGGCCATTAACATTTGCATCGTCCTCCCATCGAAATTCCCATATTTTCTCTCCATAATCTTCAGTTTCTTCGTCACTTTCATGAAATCGTTTAGTGCCTCGTTTGTAGTCTTCTCCTGTTTCATTTCTGTACTTTCTCATCAACTCTTCTCTGGTTAAGTCATAAGTATCAGCCAAGTACTTGTCATTTATAAGAATGTCGCATAGATCAGTAACCTGGATGATTTTCTGTTGATTTTCCTGAGGAATTGTCTTGTTTTTCTTTTTCACGTTCAATCTGGCAAGAGCTTCCAAGGGGGTTTCAGCTGGCTCTAGCAATTCAATAAGGCTTGCTAGCAATGATTCAATAGGTTCCATATTGATGTTCTTGTTCATTAATTTCTCTGCCTCTCGTTTTTCCCGTTGTTCTTGAGCCAATTGGGCATTCTTTATATCTGATTTTTTAAAATCGTTAAGCCATAAGTCATCGCCAGTGATTGCTTCTTCTTTATTAGCTACATAATTTCCTTCTTTATCGAAATGACCTTCATTTGATTCCTCGTCAAGATTGAATGCTTCTATTTTGGGAGCAGATTGAGTTTCGCTGTCTTGTTCATCATCATCATCTTCTTCTTCTTCTTCTTCGTCAGTGAGTCCTAGTGCGTAGACTCGGTTGGCAGAATCTTGAAATTGAACTTGTTTAACTGCTGATTCATCATCACTGGCAAACATGTCATCCTCCTCATCATGCTCGCCATTCGCCACGTCTTCCTCTCCACTTGCAAACATGTCATCCTCTTGCACTTGCTTGCTTTGCTGGTTGTCCTCTAGTTCTTCCTCCACATTGTCTTCCTCTGACGAATCGGAATCGTAATTCAAGCGAACATCGTTCCTATGCTTCTCCTTATACTTTCGACTATTCCCTAGTATGACTTCTTGTTCTTCAAGCTCGTCATTGCTTTCAGTGCCATTCATATCTGAATTGGTTGTAAAAAAACTGACTCTTTAAAACTCCAAAAAAAAATTACCCATTTACGCATCTGGTTTGTTTCACTTTGCTTCGTAAGCAATGACTGACTTTAATATCGACTCTGAAGAAATACTCAATCCTGAAGAAGAGCTGTATAAGCTGGGATATAAAGAAGGACAAGACCAATCAACCAATGAGCAATATATAGAAGGCAAACAATACGGATTACAGACTGGATTCCAACGGTTCCTAGTTGTAGGTTACATCCAGGGGCTAGTTGATCAGTGGAGAAAACGACTTAGTCAATATGAAGGAAACATTACATCTCTCGAATCACATTTGCGACAATTGGAAGAATTGATTGACGGAATTCCCAGCGGGAATAGTGATGCTGAGGTGGCAGAGTACGAAACGAGACTTACAAAAGCAAGAAATAAGGTCAGAGTTATATCCACTTTAACTAAAGATAATTCCAATATCAACAGTCTTGACGATTTGATAAAACTGGTTGGTGGTCAGTTGTCAACCAGTGAAAATGTAGACGAGATGTGGTGATTGCAATGTGTATTGTATGTAATTCTTGTTCAGAAATAATAGTCAAAATCTAAGGACTTGTCTCTACTCTCTAATTTATAACTTAATATCCCACCCAAGGGACAATCTATAACACCAATAATCAACTGTTCTCCATGGCCATGTTCAACAGGAGCGAAGTTCATCCCACAACACTTTCCTAAGAAATCTATAGATTGGATTCTAGATTGTATGCCTGTCTCTCCAGTCTGAAGCAAATCATTAACTTCAACTACACCCACATGGTCTAAACTTTCCGCCCAGGCAATGTAGTCTCCATTATGACTGAATTTACAGTTTCTGACAGGAGCTCCATATATGCCTTGGCTGAACCCAAGAGTTCCACTCCACGAATACAATGGCTTGTCGGGGTTTCTTCTATCCCATAACTTAACACAAGAATCTTGGTTTCCCGTTAATAGCAAGTTTTCATCTCGAGGAGACCAATCGCATCCGAATCCAAAATCATCATGCGATTTAAATTCAAGGTGTTTCTCACTAAACTTTATTCGTTTATCGACAATATACGAGTTGATATTGTCCCCCGTGACAAATAATTCATTGGAATTGGTAGGGTTAAGTGCAGAGCAGTTAAGCGGGAATGGTAGGGTATGCAATTGGGTTATTCTGTGTTTGTTTAAATCTATTAGCCTCATGCTTTTGTCATTTGATGATATTATTAACTCTTGGTCTCGTTCGTTTATTATTATTTGGTTGGTGATTCCATCTATGTTACTGGAAAGGTGGTATTCCCCTATATTTCGTACTTGCTCGGGATTAGAAACATCCGATAGTATATAACTTCCTTCAAAAGTCCCACTCGCTAAATAATTGTTAGTACATGCCAATGTGGATATCCTACTATTCGAATTTCTCGATAGGTTTCGAGAATCTATTAGACAGTCTACTTTCATAGCATGAGATTTTCCCAGGAATATTTTGTCTGGCATTAATCTGTTAATTCTGAAAAATGAATGATAGTCTTGATCTCCGTCATTTACACTTACGGTTTGCATGTGTGAATCATGGTAATAGCTCAGAGGGTAATATATTCCATTTCCAATATCAGTTCCACAGCAAACTAAGTTTCGTAATTGTAAATGAGTAATGTGAAGTTTCAATTTACTAAAAAATTTATGAAATTTGAAAAACTCAGTCTTAATTTGGTATCCCTTAACATTAAGTTTCTGCTAGGAAGTTAGTATTGCATTCATGTACAACAAATTCTTTTTCACATACTTTTAGTGCATTTTCTCGTGAGTTGGGGATATTATGGAACCAGTTGTCTTTCCCCACTCGACGTCGGTCATTGTTAAACTTTTGTTTCAACCCATGTGGCCATTTGACGCCCTGAATATCACCACGATCTGAAGATTCAAAGCTAAACGGTAATTTGTCTTCCCTAATTTTCAATGAATTTAAAATAATCAAAATATCTGATTTTGATAGTTGTGAATTGTCGTCGTATAATAAATTGTATAAGAACGTGAGTGACTCGGATTGGGTCAACTCGTACTCATGAAAACTTTGAATAGAGTTGGTAGCTATGCCACCTTGCTGCTCTTGGACTTCTATAACCACTTCTTGTTCTTCGGTATCATTTTCTTCTTGTTGTTCGTCTTCATAGTCACTACACTCGGCGTTGTCATCACTGGCGTATGCCTGTAGAATCGGTCTTGGTTGGCTCTCTGAAGCCGATAGTATTATCTCCGTAACTGCTGCACCCTCAGGTGAAAGTCTTAGTGCCATAGTGTGCGCTTACTGGTCCAATATAAAAAGATCGGGTTTGCGGTACAAAGTTGTGTTTATATTGAATGACTTTGATTCTATGATATATCCGATCGTGTTTTTCCAAATACAATGCAATTTCTGTAAAGATCCTGTAAGAAGGCTTGTTTCTATAAGCCCGGGGTATCAATAGGAGGAGGTTGGTGGTGCAATAAAGTGGTTTTACAATGATGTTGTCTGTAGAAAAGAATATGGAGTGCAATTTTTTTACAGTCTTTTTTAAAAGTCTAAAATAATTTTTTAGTTTATGTTACGGTGGATGTCGCAAGCACTTCCCATTGGAAACGACAGCAGAACGAACTGGTAAATCCCGATAGGTGTAAGCTGGTCATCAGTTATAATCGGTAGCTATGTTGAAAGAAGTGGGTTGAAAAGTGGACGGGTTCTAATTAGGTTGTAAAGACAATGACGGAACAGATAATACTTAATAAAGAATGTTCTATATGCATATACAATGAAGAAACATCAGCACCATGCACTCCTGCGCAGTTTAGCTCAATGGAGTTAGTAGCAACGCAATACTAGTAAAATGCAAGTAATATACGTGTTCAACTTGATTTACTAGCCATTAGGGCTCTAACCACCATGCATTACTCTTTAGAGAAAAAAAGAAATGTTAGAGATGCAAAATTCAATCCATTGTTTGATGTGTGTTGCCAATTACAACCACAGATGAATATCTAGCAGGAAATAGTATGATTGATTCATCCTGTTATTCCATATGATAGATGATCTTGGCCCTTGAGATAATGACACTTGTCAAAAACATCATCGCTTGATTCAGTCTTCCGTTCTACCAACACACTCGCATGTTACCAATTTTGTATTTGGCATATCATCTCAAAACTGAATCGCTGGATTCAAGTACAATCCTGTCGTCTTGCTCTTTTAAATAGTCATGATAGTACCGCAAAGTGGCGATTCGTATTGGTGAATGGTGACTACATGTTTTACGAAATGTTTTACACAGGAATTACAAAAACATAGTGTGTGCTACCAAATACTCCCGAAACTACCCGTGGGAGATCATCATGGTTTGGAAAAAAAATAAGTTTGGATTAGGCAGCTTGTCTCCGTCTAACAAATTTGAACTGGGGGGGGAGGCTAACAGAAACTAAATCGAAAAGGTAAAAGCTTAAAAGTTATGGTTTTCTCGTAATTGCCACTGAAAATTTTTATAAAAAAAGGGGTAATAATAAAGTTGGGTGTGTTTAAATCAAGGATGGCACTAGACGTAGAACAATGTTAATGGCTATTATCCTAAAAGAGTGAATGTAAGGAACATTTTCTACAGCTGCGCCGCCTCCCATTGTAGTGTTATCTAAAGAAGTGAGTCACTTGTGTTTTGTAAACAATAACTGTGGAGCAGCAAGTAGGTGCGGAACATAGGCAGGCGGTTTGAGAAATTTCGAGCCGTACCACTTGGGCTCCCCGTCTTAATTCCGTCTACCAGTTCGAATGTACTAATCCAAGATTCAATCTTGGCGCGGATGCAATCGGCACAGAGCTTATTGCACTGAGCGCATATACCAGGTACCATTGCTGCACGGTCAGGAATATAAAACTTTAATATGCCAGCAGCGCAAACTGTCACAAACGCTAGAATAAATCCGATAATCTTCGGAAGAATGACGTCGCAACACTTTGGGGCGAAAAAATATTTGTTTGATTACTTTTAGTCTAATTTTTATTAGTGTGAAATTTTCAAGAAAACAATGACCGGCCCAATGTTATATAAATAAGAATAGAATCCGTCGCACTGTACCTATGTTTTTCTCCTTCATTAAACTATGGACGATATAACATCGCTAGAATTGGGCAATGATGAATACAGGCCTCAGAAGCGGCTTTTGACATTCATCATGCGAAAACGGGAATACCCCATTCCCAAGGATGAAGAGCGACAGCCGCATCCTGCCCAAAAGGCAAATCTTATCTACAAATTGTTCTTTTGGTGGCTTTTTCCCATAATGAAAGTCGGCTATGCCCGAACTTTGCAACCAAATGACTTGTGGTTATTGACAGATGACTTGAAAGTTGAACATTATACCGAGATCTTCTATACGTATCTCGAACAAGTAAGAATTAAATCCAAGAAAAAGCATATTGAAAAGAAATGCAAGGAACGAAATGAGGCTGTGGAAAACAGCTCTTTAAGTATAGAAGAAGATTTGAAAGATTTTGTGCTATCCCAATGGGATATTGCCGAGGTTGTATTTTTAACTTTTAGAAAAAGATTGGTCAGTGGAATAATATTGGCTTGTCTTTCCCTTTGTCTTATGGCGCTTACTCCATTGTTGACAAAGTATCTTATTAGATATGTCGAAGCCAGAACCTTTGGTCTTCAGAATAGTCCAGGTAAGGCCATTGGATATTCCCTCGGGCTAACCTTTATGATGTTTATTACAGGTGTAATGATTAACCACTTCTTCTACATGGGTTTGCTTGTAGGTGGTGCAACAAAAGCCTTACTAACCAACACTATTTTGAACAAGGCTCTTAAATTAAATGCAAAGGGTCGTCATAAATTCCCCACGGGTAAGATCACATCCATGATTACGACAGATTTGGCTAGAATCGAAATTGCCTTGATTTTTCAACCGCTTGCTATAGGTCTTCCTGTAGCTGCTGTTATCGCCATTGTCATCTTAATTGTCAACATTGGTGTTGCTGCCGTGATTGGTATTGTCATATTTCTTTTCTTCTTGGCATTCCTTTCCGTGGGTGCAAAAAAATTATTTGAATACAGAGATATTGTCAGTAAGATCACCGATAAACGAGTCAACTTAATCAAGGAAATCCTTAATAATTTGAAAATGATCAAATTCTATTCCTGGGAACACCCCTACCATAAGAAAGTGGTTCAAGTGCGTAATCAAGAAGTCAATGTGATTTTGAAAATTCAATCGTTGAGAAATATTATTTACTCCATAGCATTGACATTGAACGGGATTTCGGCTATGATTGCCTTTTTGATCTTGTATGCCCTCAGAGGAAAGACCTCCAGTCCAGCCAATATCTTTTCTTCGGTGTCTTCATTTGAAATGTTGTCTTTCTTTGTGTTTTTAATTCCACAAGCATTATCTACCACAGCAGATATGCTTATGGGATTTAAGAGAATTGGTGAATTATTTTCGGCTCAAGATGAAGAGAGATACCAGTATTATCTTACTCGTGAAGATGAAAGTGAAGATGCCGTCAAGGTCACTGATGGTTGTTTCAGTTGGGAAAATTTTGAAGATGATGTTAATGACGATGAGAGTGATGATGAAGTTGATTTGACCAAGTTGTCAAGAAAGGAAAGAAAGAAAGCAAAAAAGGAAAAAGAAGAAAGAGCCAAGAAAAGAAAGGAGATGCAGAAGGATCGAGAAGAACGAGAAAAAGACCTTGAAAGAAGTGGATTTAAATCTGAATCCACATTCAAGGGATTGCAAGATGTTAATTTAACAATCAATAAAGGTGAATTTGTGGTCATTACTGGTTTGGTTGGTTCTGGTAAGTCTTCCTTATTAAATGCAATCTCGGGTTTCATGAGATGTGACTCAGGTGAAATAGATATCAATGGTTCCTTATTACTCTGTGGTGCACCATGGATTCAGAATAACACCATCAGAGAGAATATCCTCTTTGGTTCTGAATTCGACAAAGAGTTTTATGATAAAGTTGTCTACGCTTGTTCCTTGCATATTGATTTAGATAATTTACCTGGTGGTGACTTTACTGAAGTTGGTGAAAAGGGTATCACTTTATCTGGTGGTCAAAAGGCAAGAATTAATTTAGCTCGTGCGGTTTATGCCAACAAAGATATTATTCTCATGGATGATGTGTTAAGTGCTGTTGATTCCCGTGTAGGAAAGCACATCCTTAACCAATGTTTGCTTGGATTGTTGAAAGACAAGACTAGAATTTTAGCTACCCATCAATTAGCTTTGATTGGCCAGGCTGATAGAATTATTTTTGTTAATCGTGATGGAACTATTGACATTGGGACTATGGCAGACTTGAATGCTTCAAATTCAGAATTCAACAACCTTATGACATTCAGTAAATCTGAAGATGATGATGAATTGGATGATACAACCGATGTCGTTGATGAGAAGGCTGAGTATATTGTAAGTTCAGATGAAGAAGAGGAAGACAGTCATTTGGATTATAATCTTAACAAAGATGCCGCCAAGGGAAAGATCATTGCCGACGAAGAAAGAGCAGTCAATCAAATCAAGAATGAAGTTTACTTGAACTATATTAAATATGGTGCAGGTAAGTTAACCATTTGGGGATTCCTTGCTTTGTATTTGTTTGTGTTGGCTATTTCTACATTCTGTTCGATCTTTACCAATACCTGGCTTTCATTTTGGGTATCTCAAAAGTTTGAAGGTAGATCTAATGGTTTCTACATTGGTATTTATGTGATGTTCAATATCTTATCGCCAATTTTCCTTACTATTTCATTTATTGTTTTAATCACAATGACCACCTTGTCGTCAAAAAATATGAACTTAAAAGCCATTGACAAAATCTTGTTTGCTCCTATGACATTCTTGGATACTACTCCTATGGGTAGAATCTTGAATAGATTCACAAAGGATACAGATGTTTTGGATAACGAAATCAGTGAAAATATGAGATTCTTTTTTGTTAATGCTGCCCAATTAGTTGGTACCATTATTCTTTTCATTGTATTTATTCCATGGATTGCAGTAGCTTTACCTGTGATTGCGTTTGTTTTTGTATTAATTGCCAACTACTATCAGGCATCCAATCGTGAAGTCAAGAGATTGGAAGCTATTCTTCGGTCATTTGTGTTTAACAATGTTAATGAAGTATTGAGTGGTCTTTCTGTTATCAAAGCTTATAAATCACAAACCAGATTTGCCAAAATTAGTGATAAGTTAGTCAACAGGGCAAATGAAGCTACCTTTATTGTCTTTGCAAATCAAAGATGGATTGCAATTCAGTTGGAAATTGTTGCTAGTTGTCTTGTTTTGTTGGTATCTTTATTGTGTTGCTTCAAAGTCTTTGATATCAGTCCTGCTACAGTTGGGTTATTGATGACATATTCCTTAAGTATCGCTTCCCTGTTGTCAAACTTAATTAGAACATTTACCGAAGTGGAAAACTATATGAATTCCGTGGAAAGATTGTGTCATTATGCCCAGAAGCTACCCCAAGAAGCAGCTTACACTATAGATTCTACTGAACCACCAAGCACTTGGCCTCGCGAAGGTGGAATCGAATTTGATAAGGTTAATATGAGGTACAGACCTGAATTACCTTTAATACTTAAGGGATTAACTTTCACAATTGCCCCACATGAGAAAGTTGGTATTTGTGGTAGAACCGGTGCTGGTAAATCATCAATCATGACTGCTTTATACCGTTTGTCCGAATTGGAAACTGGTAAGATATTAATTGACGGTGTGGATATTTCTAAGATTGGGTTGAAATCATTACGTTCTCATTTGTCAATTATTCCCCAAGATCCTGTATTGTTTAATGGTACCATTAGAAGTAACTTGGATCCATTTGGTGAACACCTGGATGAGTGGTTGTGGAATTCATTAAGAAAGTCAGGTATTTTAACCGCTGATGAGATTGTTGAGGCACAAAAATTAGATAAATCTACTAGATCTGAAAACTTACCTAAATTTCATTTAGACAAAGTTGTTGATAATGAAGGTGAAAACTTTTCTCTTGGTGAGAGGCAATTAGTATCATTTGCTAGAGCATTGGTTCGTGAGTCCAAGATTTTGATTCTTGATGAAGCTACTTCCTCAGTTGATTATGAAACCGATCATAAGATCCAACAAACAATTGCTAGTGAGTTTTCTGATTGCACCATTTTATGTATTGCTCATAGATTAAAGACCATTATCAACTATGATAGGATCTTGGTGATGGATAAGGGACAAGTCAGTGACTTTGATTCCCCTTGGAAATTGTTTAATACTCCTGGAAGTTTGTTCAGGGAAATGTGTGATAAGTCAAACATTACAGAAGAAGATTTTGTAAATAGAGCTTAAAATTTAGTGCATATAAATATAGCTTGGTTTTTTGTTTAATCTTGTTTGTAGTTGTATTAGCACATTTAATGCCGGTTGTAATGAATAGATGCGAACTTTTTACACAATTTATCCGACGTGCATATCCGAAAGTTAAGCGAGATCCAAAGAAGCTCGAAAAAAAAGACTTAAATAGGATAAAAGATACAAATAAAAGTTATATCATTACCGAAGAAGTAGTTTTGAAACAATTAAAAGCTGAACTATGGAAATACTTTTGTTATTTGAAAGAAAGAGAATGACTGTGTGATATCTTGCGGATCGACGGAAATATGCAGTGTCCAAAAATTAGCCGCCGGAAAATTAAAAACTTTTCCGAAATTAGGTGGGGCAGAGGGATTATTGAAATTAAAGTTTTACAAAATAGATTTAACACAAAAAAAATTTAACTTGTTATAAGTGTTCAAATTCCCTCGAAAGTTTATATTTTGTTAAACTAGTTATATTTAGTGGAAGAGCTTTCAAATCAAGGTAGTACTTCGACCTCCCTGCAAATCAATTTCCGTTAATAATTTCTTTTTTTCGCATTAAACTCGTAAATAATATCCTGCTTTTCTCTTAATAGCGGAAAACATCTAGGAGTGAAACAAAATGAGAGCCTGTGAAGACTATTTAGTTTCTTTCCCAATCAGAACCCTTCCGAATAATGTAATCTATGTTCAAATATCACTATATGCATCGTTCTGTGATATTATGCGGTTATATATGTTGCCTTGCATTGAGCGAAGTTTTCTAGAAAAGCCGCTTAATTTTTTTTTCGAAATTACCGAGATTAACAAGCCTACGCATTTTTTGAATTAAAGATTTTGAGACCGCGGTCGATTCACAAGTATTTAACTTGGCAATTTCATGTTCAGCTTGTGGTGACATGAAAAGCGGAATCACCTTCCGATATTACAAAGGTTGCTGCATAACCGCGCCCTAACGCAGCATGGTGTATTCGGGAACGCCCGATGCACTCTCTACCAATTAGTTTCCGCAGATGCAAACTAAAACTGGCCATTCTCTTATACCACTAGTTTCTCGTTGGGCAAACTTGGATATAGAGGTAATGGCAAACTGTAATTTGTTTGGGACAACTTGAAAGTTGATCTAATGGTAGCGAATCTTTCTGGCGATCTCGGGGAACGGTCAGATCTATTGTCATGCACAGCGCTTATAATGCGCCCGATTTGCACAAAGAAATTTTTGGTGTTCATGCTTCTTAAGGGGTATTTTATTTTTTCCTATAAAAAAACTTTCAATATAAAAAAATAAAACCCGCCGATATTTATTCTGCATTTTTCCAGTTTATTTCTCGAGTTTAATGGGCTAGTTTGCATTAGAAGAAGAAGTTTTAATGGCCCGTAATAAGTCCGATAAGAAAAAGAAAGGCAATAAGGCTGTAGATGATGAAAAACCAACAGGACACTCACTATTCAAGCATCCAACAAAACGTAAACTGGAAGAAGACATAACTTATCATCCTAAGAAACATAAGTACTACTACGGTAGTCAACCAGTAATATCAGATGAAAGGGCCGAAGCCAAGTTGCTAAAAAAGTTTGAGAATGAAGTCTTGGCAAACGACCGTGCTATCAAAACTTTAAGTGACTTGCAACTGGAGACCAAAGAAAAGAACTTGCACCTGATTAAAAGATACGTTCGTTTTTGTGCAAATAAAGGGTTGTCTGACTTTTATGTCACCAGGAGATTAGCTAAAGAGTTTATTGAACTGCGCATTATTCAAAAGGGCCAGCTCAGTGAAGATGCAATAAAGAGAATACAGTCGGCTTTAAACAAGTTGTATCACATGAATAAAATTGTATATTCTTCACATCAGCCAAATGAACTACTAGAAGATGATCTAATAACAGAGATTATGAGTGAGAGTCAAATAGCAGATAGATCCCCCTCTGATACACCCTCGTTGGAGCGTTCCATTGGTAAGGTATCAAAACATAGGTTGACAGAACAAGAGGAACTACTATTGAAAAAGTTTGATCAAGAGATTTTAAATTCAGAGAAGACCAGAGCTGTACTAGAGAGTCTAAGCGGTAACACCTTCAAGTCATACTCCACTGATATGAAGCGCTTCATTAAATTTTGTGCTCAACAAGGCAAAAGTGATTTCTTATTGGACGAAAACATCTTATCAAAATTCCTGAGTTCTGAATTCAAAAGAAAGAAGGATAGAAGTTCGGCTACATTTAGAAATTTAAGAAGCAGCTTGTTAAAGTTGCATCAATTAACGTCATTGGTGTATGACGTAAAATACTCTGAGGGGGAAATAGTTTATTTCATTAATAACGTTAAAGAAGTACCCCACGAGGATACTGCAGAAGATAAGTTACTTGCCAAATTGCAAGATATGTACAAAACTACAAACTTGTTATCAGGGTTATCTGAAACTAGTAAAAAATTGTATTCCAATGAATATAATAGGTATGCCACGTTTTGTGCTCGTGAGGGGCTTGATCATTTTCATTTGACTGGGCCCCTATTGAAGAAATTTTTTGTTCATGATATCATTGATAGAAGCCCACATATATCTGGAAAGAAACTACAGGAAATTCTAAGTAGGTTGAACCGTTTACATGCAGTTAATGTTGAGACTATACCCAATTATCCTGCTGAGATTAAAGATCTCCATATCGTTAAACAATTCTTAAAGGAGTATAAAAAGAACGAAGCAAAAGCAGAACTTGCAGATATGTCAAGTTTGACAATTCTGTCCCTGTCCTCGGACAGTGAAGATACCAATGTGTACGGTGGAAAATCGGGGTACTCTGGTAGTGTCCCTGGGTTCGTCATGAATAGGAATATCTCCACTGTCACTCAATTGGTTGAGGAATGGCAAATGGTATTAAAGCGAACTGAAAAGTGGGGGTTGGAATGGATCAAGACAGAGGTTGATCATGATTTGTATAGCGAAAGAAAGGTAATTGTTGATTTCATTGGCGAGCTTTTGCAAGAAATGAGCGGCGGTAAAAAAACAGTCGACCATGTTGCAAGAGTACTAGATGCCTATATGGTTAGGAAAAAGATTTCGTTGCATAATTTGATTCAAAAGATTGAAAAATATCCTGAGTATTCAAAGAAGGAATTCTTACGAATTTTAAAGTAGGGTTATATTATAGCTAGATTGTTTTTGCTGGGTTTGGAGTATTCAAAATATGGTTTATAGATACAAATGTAATTAATTATGTAATAACATATGGCAATTGCAGCCTAATCACAATAGTCCCTTGCAGGTTTTTGCATGTTCTTGCAGGTACTTGCAGCCAGGGTCTTTTCGGATATGAGCCCGGGTAACCTCTGACTATATGTCGCGACATAAATCAAATTCGGTCTTCCAAGGATACTCCAATTAGCTAATTCCATTTCATTTTGTTTCTTTTTTTTTTTTCCTCATGATGTTTGAAGTGTCTGATGAATGGAGGTTCCCTATATGGCTTATTGCCTAGGAGGCTTACTATTTCGAATAACCCTGGCAAATCATTTAACTGGATTAGCTCGGACCATACTCGGACTTGAATATAAAAATTTGCCATTCTCGTCACGTGACATGATACTATTGCGATTTGCTGTGGATCTGGCACTAATCCCGCACCAGGGCAAGCATCAGCCCAAGATAATTTTCAGATATTTTGTAGTGATTTCTAAGCACAAACAAAAAACTTGTCTTTCTACTGATCAAATAGATTACAAATACAACTATAATTAAACATTAAAATGTCGGGCCACTTATATCATTTTGATGTTGCAATGTCATGCTCAGGATGCTCCGGTGCTGTTGAACGTGTATTGAATAGACTTGATGGTGTTTCCAAGATTGATATTTCATTAGACAAGCAAACTGTCGATGTGGCAACCGTTGATTCAGTCAACTATGATACCGTTTATAATACCATTGCCAAGACAGGAAAGAAAATTAACAACGGTAATGTTGTTTATTAAGTTGGGATGTTGTCTACTTGAATGGTGCTGGTTCTAAATTGCATGCTTGCATTTACATACTGATGGAAATGTGATACATCTATAGAATATGTATTAATATGTACTAATTCATATTTCTAAATTCTATAATTTCATTAATTGTATCCTCACGCAATTCACTTTGAATGAATACACTCTTTATTAACTTTATGATCTCATCGGTGGTCAAATCATATAAATCCCCTTGGTAAAATCTAGCAATGATTGCTGTGATATGATTATTAATCATAAATCTAACATTAGCGAGTTTATTATATGACGCTAATGATGTCGAAATTCCAATTTGTTTAATATATGAACTTGTAATGTCATGAGCAGAGTCAATTATTTGGGTGAGTTTGGTACATTGGAATTCACTAATGTCGTCCAAATCAATAATTGAATTAATTAACCAATTATTTATAAATTCGACAATATCAGTGATTAAATGTTTTAATTTATTAGGATTAGTAGTGTATAATTGTTTATCAAGATTTTTAAACCATTTATCAAGTAAATCCACACTAGTTTCACTTTCTTCATCAGACAAATCAATCGTTGCTAAAATGGTTTTAATTTTCAGGTAAAACTCAACTATCACTTGATTCCAATTAGTTTGGATAAATGACTGTAAAGGTAAATCAAGATTGGCTTGCAAATAGTTCAAATCGTTAATCATTAAGAATGAATTGGTAAGTGGTGGATATACCACTGAAGAAAGTGCTTTGATTGTAGAAACTAAATATTTGCGGTCCAATTGATAATCATGGAAAATATCAATTACTTTAATGGAAATTTGTGAAATAAGTATCTTTTCGGGAACTTTCTGCTTCACTTGTGGTTCAACCACGGTCTTCTCCTGGGGGATAGCCTCTTTCGGTGGCTCCTTGGCTTTTACAATCTTTTTTGGTGATTTCTTCGTTAGGACCTCTTCTTTGTCAGATTCATCATCCCAATTGTCATCCCATTTATCATTCCAATCTGCTGCTTCTTCTTCTTCTTCTTCCTGGTCGCTATTGTCCCATTTAGCATTCCAGTCATCCTCTTGAGTGGATTTAGTTTCTTCTTCCTCTTCTTCATTTTCATCCCATGCATCGTCCCAGTTATCATTCCACCCATCAGTTTCCTCTTCTTCTATAGTTTCCTCTTCTTGTACTGGAGCTTGCACCGCTTGAGCCATTTCCAGAACATTGGCTTCTTCTTTATAGGTCTCTTCTTGATAAATCTCTTCCACATTATCAACAGATTCTAATTTGGTAATAGCATCAGATAAATAAACTTGTCTGATCTTTTCAATATAATTATCAATAATCCATTCCAGGTGTAATTTATATAAGCTTTCTTCAAGCGAACTTGAACTTTCCAATCTAGAAAGCACATTCCACCCGGTACTCTTGCATAATTGGATCAATTCAACCAAATCAGAAGTATTTATCTCATTAATATTGGTAGATATTTTGGTAATTAGCAATTTTGATAATTTTGAATTGATGTATTGCTTAATTGATATGTTATTCAATGCATTGATAAATTTAACAAGGCTGCCTACTGATCTCAAGAAATTTGGCTGGGGTGAATCAGTGAGACTAATTGTAATTCTTAAATCGTCTTCTTCCAGTTCGAGTTGTTTTGGTTGCTCTAATAATATATCGACTAATTGATCCCAATATATCCTGTATTTTGTGAATACTTCTAATACATATCCGTTTTTCAATATAAACGAATTGAAATCATTTAAAATTGCCAGGTTTTCAATGTGATGTTGATCCGGGACTAACAACACAAGATAATCATTCAATTGTTGCACAAACTGTTTCTGTTGCTTGTCAAACAATCGTGACAACTGTGAATATATGACTAATGAAGAATTAGTAGGAATGATGGTCGATTTGAATAAGGTGTGTAGTTGTTGCAAGTCAAGCAAATCAGAAATTTGCTTTTGTTTGTCTAAAAGTTGGGTGATTTCAGAAATACTACTGTTTAACTCAGTAAGACGTTTAAGCTCCTGAATGTTTCGTTGAATTGCTTCATGTTTATTGTTGAGTTGTGATAATGAAAGTGTTTGAAGTGATTCTTCATCATGTCGTGTTTCTTGTTGGTGGTAAAACAACTGTTTTAGTTGCAGAGTTTGTCTCAAATTTTCAAGAGTAACAGATGAACAGACATTTTGGATGTTTTGATTGATATTCCTTAGTTCGTCTTTCTTTGAAGCTAGTAGAGTCTCAATTGACATTTGGTAGTAGTGGGTTGGTTGTAAACTGAAAGATGATTTGGTTGTACATGTGTTGTCAAATTTGTGAGAAAAAAATGGGTGTTTTTTTTAGCTTCCTTGTTGGTTAAAGTGCACTAACATTGCTTAGAAGTTTAGGCATTGGGATGCAATAGCAAATATAACAGAGATGTCTGTCTACTTGTTTGTGGCTTAAAGCTGATCTTATTCTCATACATTAATGACTCTTCTTTCTTTAATAAAGTATCTTAGTCAGGGGCGGCTAAGTAATGGTATTTTGGTGCTACCAGATAGTGCCTAATTTTGTCACGTTTGTTGCTTACATGGTCGGTGGCAAGGCACCGGTGTTCTAAGTATGCCAAGATGTATTAAATAGACTATAAAGTACTTATATTAAATCTTCAGTGATATCATCATCTAAATATTCATCATCCTTATTCATTCTATATATGGTCATGGCCATACTTGCAAAATTCAATCCACCCATTACCCAATCTGGTAATACTATACCATATAATTCAATTAAGTTAAATGATAAATCCAAGAAATTACCAATTAGTTCAATTATCAACATAACTTTATCAAACTTCAAATCTTTCAAGACTTTGTTATATTTCTTACAAATATCTTCATGGATCATGCTGGAAGTTTTCTCAGCTTGTTTGTTTAGCAAGCTATATTCAATCTCAACTTTCTGAATCTTACGAACAACATTGAGCAATTGTGAGATGGTTTTTCTAATCAAAAATACTAAAATCAATACCCAAATCTTATTGGTTTGCTTTAGTAATTTAAGTAAAAACTTGGGAAACATTGGTAAATTGGATAACAAATGCAAATTATCAAGAATGTTTGCTAAATTCTCTAGTATTTCCACTACAAAGTGTTCGATTTTTTTCAATGAAAATTTGCTATTGGTATTTCTGGGATACTTCCTTGGTGGGGTGGCTCTCTTCTTTTTTTTCTTTGATTCTTCCTTGTTAAGATTAAACTTCTTATAAATGGAAGGGTACTTTGGTTTAGGCACAAGTGGAAGTTTTTTGTATTTGGAATATTCTCGTGGTTGTTCTTGTTGTGGTTGCTGGTTCTTATTCAATAATGAAGATAGTTTATCTAACTTATCAGGAGTGATGGAACTATTACCTTTTTCTTGCTCTTGTTTAGCTAATCTAATTAAATTTTCAAGGATTTCTTGTTTCTTATCACTGGTATTAAGCGGTTGGACACTGGATATTCCTGAGATACTCGCGACCATGACAGATGTTATACAACAGTTACCCACGGGAAGTAAAAAAAAAGTGGAGTAGAAAAAAATTACTGGTGCTTTTTTTTGTTGGATAGTCCGCTGCCGCAAAGTTATGGCCGAGGAACAAAAGATTTAGCCCGCGTAGTCAAGCCGCACGGTATTAGTAGTCAACTAGGTCAATGGCTGTAAGCTTCTGCAGTGGTTAATTCTGATGATATTAAGTCAAATTAGTCATATATAGAAATGGAATATCTACCTGATACAACGTAAACACTACAAGAAACACTCTATTTACTTATAAACTTTGCTAATTCAGACATAAATGATTCCAGATCCAAATTCTTGCTATTGATGTTTCGCAAGAATACTTCACCTTGCTCAATGCCAACAACTTCCAATACTTTGTAATTAGTCGTGAATACCACATATTCATTTTCATTAATCACTAATTTATAATTTCCTTTGGTAGCGCATGTTATTTTAGTAGTAATTTTCTCCTTAGTTAAGTTCTGGAGTAATTGATTCATGGCTATATTCCATTGACCAAATTGTTGTAACTCCTGATTTACAACCTGGTGCTGGTCTTGACTGGTTTGAATGGTTTGGTTTAATTCTGCTAATTCAGAAGATAACTCATTGACATTGTTTGTGGCAGAAGTATATTTCCTCTTCGCTATCTCAATCTGGTCTTCTAACTGTTGTAACTTTTTCTGTTGTTCTTCTAAAGCTTTTGTATTGTTACTACCTTGCAACATGAAATCCAAGGTTTCCCAGTTATCTTCCAGCTCCTTGAGTTTAGCTATTTCTTCTTCTAGTTCTTCAGCTTCATCAAACAATGTAGTAGTAGTCAACTCGAGATATTTCTCATATAAATCAGAAACTTCCTTAGTAATAGTCTCAAGATCGCCAATTTGTTGATTTAGTTGTTGTTTCAAATGTTTTAACCGAAGTTTACTTTCTTGGGTAGATTCTCGAATTTCTTCAACTTGTAAATCAGTTATATCTTGATTATTCTCACAAATATGTTTGAGGAATTCGTATCGAGTTTCTTGTTCAAGATATAGAAACTTTAATTTGGAAAGGATATTCTTTTCATTAGCAATTTCGTCATCTATATACCTAGGGTTGGTTAATTTTATATTGGCACTTTTAAAGTCTTTCTCTGCTGATAAAATCCAATACTCGGGGGTGTATTCTAGCTGTGATCTGTATGATTTGCTTAACGAGGTCTCCATTGTAGTTTCTTTGTTTATGTTAGCATACTACGCGTTTGGTGTGTTTGTTTTTTTTTAAGTTCATTTTTGGTTCTCGCGAAACTGGAGAACTATTTGGTGCAAATCCTCCAAAAGAATCTTCAAAATTTACAAATGACTACAAAATACACTAACAAATAAATAATTTATCGTAAATACAGTCTAGCTAACATCTCTAGGTTGAATATCACAACTTAATTTCCAAGCACGGTCTTCTTCGCTATTGTTTAATTGAATGATTTTCCACAATTCTAATAAAATAAGTTCTTGCAACGCTGGTACCGGAGAAATAAAATATCCATCTGAGCCACCAGTATTAGTTTTACTTAAACTCAAGAAACTGTATCTCTTTGGATGGTGTTCCTCTGTATCCAAGTATGAAATTTGTAATGTTTCAATATCAGCAATGATCCTGCTAGTTTTCAAATACTTGTCGATATTAATCAATTTTTGATTTAAAAATGTGTTGGCTTTACGATAATTTGGGTTACCATCAGTCACAAATGTCAAATCCTGTAAAAATAATGAAAAATATGGGACAATCGGAATGTTATAATCATTTGCAACCAAAAACTTTCTCAATTTACTTCGATAAACTGCATAATTCTTATCGGGGTGTATAATGCTCGATAAATATTCATACAATTCAGTATATTTCTCAGATAAATCTTGCCATAAACCATCCAATCTAGTAATCAAATGTGATTGCAATGCAGTTATAATAGCAGCCAATGAATTAAAGTTTCGTAAATACAAACATGAAATAGCAACCTTTAACCAAGTCTTGACAATATTAACCCGTAATTTATCCAGAATCCTAGGTTGTAAAGTTGATTCTAAAACATAACTTGATAAGCAATTAGTAAATAATAATGATGTGCGAACATTAGGAGCCATTTTTAAATGAGCACGTTTAGCAGTATAGTTTTGATTTAAAAGCTCTTCTGGTTTAATTGCACAAAATATTTGTGATTCAATTAATGTTAATTGTTTAGCGATTTCTAGTCCATTGAAATCCAATAAATTAGGACGATAATTTGATAATACCCATGTTTGATCACAAATTTTAAACCAATTACTAATCAAAGTAGTTAGTTCGATCGGTTTATACTTTTTGTCGCTGGATTCACACCATGAATCACCCAAGATTGATCTAAATGCAGCATTCAAATTTTCAATAGTATGCAATTGTGATTTGGTTAATAATGACCCAGCATTAGATTTTTGATTCCCGATACCTAATGGTAATGGCAAAGCTGTTATCGAGTTTGAAGTTGACGAATTAGTATTGATTTTTGATAATTCATATCCGTCAACCATGGAATATACCGATTCTTCGTCACTCATAATTGAAGGAGGACGGTCAAATTTTTTCTTATTAATGGTTATGCTTCTATTAACCAACTGATTATTGACACGATGATAACGTTTCTTGTTTTCAATTAATGGATGGGAAGATAATTTTGCTGCGATTTCCAATAATCTCAACCCGTCTAATGGCAAAATAATACAAACTCCTTCATTAAAGAAATTAATCAACGTTGTTAACAAGCTGTAATCTGCATCATGATTCCAGTACGATTCCATCCAAATTTGGAACATTTTAACAATCAATCTTCTTCTCTTTTTCATTGCAATACTATTGTCGAGTATTTCCATTTGGAATCTGGAAATTAATTCTTCAATCAAATCAATACCATTGGCAAAACTTCTAAAACAAATAAAAAATGTTGACACAAAGAAATAATCCGGAGGAGCTTCCTCATTTGTAAGAGTGTAAATCAATCCCTTAAATGATGCACCTAATAAATTACCACTCGAATCAACTAACAACTCATTCTTAATATCAGATGCACCATTTGATTCTGAAGAAGCAAATTGCTGAAACTCAGGGGTGGAAATCGAAAATGGTGAGGTTGTATCATTAGTCAAGATATTTTGCATCAAATTTGCACCTGATTCGGTAAAACCTAGATCTCCGGACTTTCCAGATCTAACCAAAGAATATCTGTTTGACTTGTATGGCTTAGTCACACTAAAATTTTTAAAATTGTCTGGTTGATTCAAATTTTTCGCAATACCTAATGAACATTTACGAACAAATTCCTCGGGTTCAATTCTCATTTTTCCATAATCGGGATAAGTTCTTTCCCCGCCACCTTTTAATTTGAAATCTCCTGTAACATCTAATAATTTTCTAATTGAAGTAACTGTCATACTGATAGCTTTAACCATTTTAGAAGCAATGACAATTAAGTTTCCACCTTCTTTAGTGTAATGATAATCCCTAGTTCCGTTAAATTGAGGTGACCCAAATGAATCAACTTTTTCCTTGGCAGATTCATTAAAAGTCTTGGAAACTAATGCTTTCACCGTAGTGACCAACTCGCTAACTAATGATAATAAACAATCAAGTGAAGCGTCTAAATCTTGAGGTTTTTCGGATGTGAAATCAGAGCCAACTTTTGAAATATATAACAATTCACGTAACAAAAGAATAATTTGATGGGTGATAGTTTCCAAAATATCACATCCAACTTGGTTATGTTCAATCAAATCTAATCTTCCTAAGATTAACCCCAAGTATGAAAAAAGTATTCCATTTATTTCAGTGATTCTTTGTTTAGCCAATGGTGGGCTTGGAAGCAAAGAATAACTAATGAATCCATCATGTGTTGCTTTTGGTTTGGCGTGTTGTTTGGCCTGTCCTACTTTGGCACTTTCAACTGACCAAATTTCCAAGAACGAAACCGCTTTACGAGCAACTTGATAAACCATCAAGGTTAATACTTCAATTTTATTAAAACTGGAAGTGTTTTTAAATTCATTGGCTTTGACCATAAGATTATACCAATCAGCTAATAATGTTTTTCTTGATTTTCGTACCACCGGTCTCTTAGTTACAAGCTCATTTGATCTCGATAAACAATCTGTCTCCTGTAATAATAATCTAACACCATCTCTGATTGAATTAACAACCTTGATTGAAAAGGTATACTTGTTATTCCGGGTCTTGTAACTTAATGGATTCAAAAGGAATTTTCCACAAGAATGGAATAATGGTTTTAAATAATGACTATTGGGTATTTTAGTTTCATCATCACTATCATAATCATCCTCATCATCAGCTATTGCAATAGCAAAATAATTCATAGGAATCCATCCTCGTTGTAAAGAATCAATTAATGTTACTTCACCCCATCCAGATTCGTCAATGGTATGCACAAATGCTAAATCATTCTTGTTAAATGATAAACATATAGAAGCATCAGCTTCTGATTGTAAAGAAGATGAATCAAATGGATGCAATGCTCTGATAAATAGCGAGGAAAGATCTTCTTCCTCTTGTTCAGCCACAGCCATTGTTGCTGCTTCATAAGCAGTTTTAGCGACTTTTGCGGCATTGGTTCCATTAACTGACGTCTCAGATGCAACTGATTCGCCGTCAGATGACAAATGTGAAGCATTATTATCATCATAAACTATATTTAACCCTGTGTTACTGTTATTGTTGTTTAATTTACCCTTTGTAGCAATGAATAATTTTATCTTTTCTTCTTCAGACAAATCTTTGAATCTTGTATCAGTAACAACTTGACTAAGCAAGTCTTTCCGTATAGGTATTTCTTCGTTGTTTGTTTTATCAGCTTTAATTCGGTTCCCACTAAGGGCAAATGAGTCGTCTTTGCTGGTATTAAAATCAAAGGAGCTAGAATCTGATGATGGTACCTTACTAGAAGAACTATTTATACTCAGTGCACACAGAGAAGGTGCATCAGGTTCTTCATCGTCTTGAAAAGTTTCATGAATTTTCTTGTAATAGGCACTTTCGCGTGTTGGCTCATTTGTGCCCGCGTTTAAATTGTTAGCTTTTTCAATATTTTGTTGAAAATTATTCATAAATTGGTGCGAATCCCCTGTTGTTGTCTTGTTTTGTAACTTCATAGATAACCTCTTGAATTTATTACTCAATTCTTGTTGGGGTAATAAGTTTTGCTTCTGTGTCTCCACAATGAATCCATCGGCTCCTATCAAAGGAGTCTTATCATCTATTGGATCATTGTTAGAATTGGATACTAATTTTGGAGTAGCATCTTCTGAAAGACTATGGGGAGGTGAATTGCGTAAAATGGAAGCATTTATTGATGTGAAACTAGGGGTGCTTCCAGTGAACCGGTTATTCTCGTATAGTTGTGCTTTTGGTTCTAACATGGCTTCTTGTTCTTCTCGATCAGAAACGTAGTGAGTATTGACAGTGGTATAGGACAGCAAGGTGTTGTTTGAAACTGGGTTGCTCAAGTACTCTTGGTTGTTTATGTGTTCATCCTCCTCTTCTATCTCTTCATTGTGAACTTCAAAAGTTGTGACATTTGAATGTTTAGTTTCTGGTTGTGAGTACACACTAGAGGTAGTACTAATATGCTTTGTTGGGTCAGGAAACGAGGGATGTAACATGCTGAAATTTAACGGTAGTACTTATGCAATGTTTCGTCTAAATAACCTGGGGTAATATACTAGAGTGTCTATTCCTAGGTGAAATATTCAATCTCTAGAAATTGGTTGTAAGAAATAAATTTTGGTTGTAAGATTTTTACAACAAAACTGGAAGGGAATTTCCTGATTATTTTTATTTTTATTTTTATTTTCTTTTTTTTTTTAATTCTGATTTATTGGCGGTAAGTAGAAAATTGCATTGTATTTTTAGACTTTTTCCTATTTGGGCAGGACGGAGGAAGTGCGCGTATTAAGGTACATCTAACGCGTGCCGGATTGAAACTAAAAAAAACTGAAAAAAAAAATTTTTGTTAACGAAAGGGGGGAATTAACAATACGTTTTAGTCGCTTAAAGCAATCATCGTGTACCTGACTAAATGCGTCCAATTTTGAACCACATTTGTATTGTTCTAGTACTGGTCGCTAGATTATGTAATAGTTGACTATCGAACAAATTATGGTAACAGGTTATGAATTGTTTATAACCCTAGGGAACATAATTACTCGAGGGGGAGGGGGCAAAAAAAAATATGGTTAGAGGCTATAATTACGACGACAAACCCCCCCCCTAATTTCGAATATTTCGGTTGGGTCGCCCACAATTACTTCAACTGAATCCTTAATCGCTCGGCAATCTTTAAATACGAATTACTACATATCTGATGGTATTCAAGCACTAATGCTTAAAGTATGTTTTAAATTCGCGGTATAAGTTACTAATTGGCATGTGCTCAATCTTCTTTCCGTGTATCAGGAATTAAGGAAAAACATCGCAGAAAACCCTATTTCGCTCTTATCTTTAACTTTAAATAAAATTAGACAGTTGTCATCCCTTCTTTTTTCTTAACACCCTGTCCAATAGTCTAGGTGTCAAAAACGACAAAAAAGACGAAATTTCATGTGCGTAACCGGTTGCTGTTGATTACGAGCAGTTGAATGTAAACGACTCTGTGAGTATATGCCTCGTAGGAAATTATCAGCTGCACTTTAAGTGCTCCTGCATCTAGCTGATATTAACGCCGTGCATGTCTTTCAGATACAAAATCTTAAATCTAGACTTTATGGATATATCCCCTATACTAGAGAGGCTGTTTATTTGATTTCGATGTGAGCCAGTTAATAATACTTTGTCTAGCTAGTAATAAGTACATGATATGGAATAACTGTTTGTTACCAAATTTTAGTTGTGGTCCCTGGGAAATTTCTTCTAGTTAATTTTGTCGGATGCAAAAAAAAAAAGTTTGAGTTAAGCGGTTAACAATGTTTATTCTAACATTCCTTCTTCATGTTCACGCAAATCAACTGGCAGAAGAAAGCAGAAGCAAGAAATTTGATAAGCTATAAACATTCAAACAACCCTTCATCAAGTGGGAGTTCATCAAGTGGATTTTCGTTTGCTGGCAAATCAATTAATATGAAAGCTGTTTGTCCATCAAAACTGAAATTTAAATTGAAGATACAAGATTTAACCGCCAAACTTAGGTCGAATAATATCTTGTTTGCAAAGAGGGTTAAAGAATTTCAATTTCAAACCTATGGGTATTTCTATAAACAGAAGGAGGGTGTAGTCATTGAACCACATTATAATTCGTGGGATAATATCTCCTCATCCACATTTTCTTCCAAGGATAGCTCCAATTCCACACCTGCTTGGGTAGAACCCATAATTGAATTTCCTAAAGAAGTATTTGGTGATTCAGCTAAAGAAGGTCCTTCATGCAATGCATTCAATTCACCCAAAGAAGAAATTCATCAGAATTCCCCCAGACCCATAATCTCTTCGCCTAGAGAAGAATCTTCTTATCATTCAGCTAAAGAGAATCATTCTGAGGATTCGGCTATAGAGAACCCCTCCTATAACACACCCAGGGAAGTGCTTCGAGTATTTTCTCCTGATCATGGTTTAAATTGGAATCCAAACACTGACGAAACTGAAAATGTTTCAAATAATATGGTTTCTTTTAGCTTGAAAGAATTGTGGCAATGCTTTTGTCTTCATTATAATACAACTAGTCTTACCATTGAAGATGTCAAAATTTGCGTTGATCGTTTGTTTCCTGACAAGTATTCTGAACAAGTCGACAAATTATATTTACATGACGAAGATTTCAACCATCTTTTAGAATATATTGGAGTCATTGTTCAAAGAAATGATTTTTGCTTCTCCTATAACCCTAAAGGAAAACAGTTATGAGTTGTTCTTTTTTTTTTGCAACTTTTAGTCCAACAAAAAAAAATGCAACAAATTCTGCCACTCACAGGAAAAAACATCAACAAAAAAATCCCCGCCTGGCAATAGTTTAACCACCGCTGGAAACTTAACTACTATGGCCAAGCCTAAGAAGAGAACATCATCCTCAAAGAAGGATACTTTCAAGGAGGTCTCCAATGATATTCCTAAAGTATCTTCTCCTAAGCAAGACCCACCTAAAAGTATCTTTAAAGATTCACCAGTCTATGACTTGTTGCATTATTTTGAAAAAGCCCCTGTTCAATGGGAAGCAAGATACATCCTTGTTCTTACTGCAGTATTATTAAGATCTGCTGTTGGTTTAGGTGGACATCTGGGATATCACACCCCGCCAACTTTTGGAGATTTTGAAGCACAACGACATTGGATGGAATTGACAATTAATTTACCTATTTCAAAATGGTATTACTTTGATTTGTCATATTGGGGGTTAGATTATCCCCCATTAACTGCATATCATTCCTATTTACTCGGTATGATTGGAAGTTTCATCAATGGGTCGTGGTTTTCATTGGATGAGTCTAGAGGTATGGAAACTGATGGGTTAAGATTCTTTATGAGATTTATGGCCATTGCAAGTGAATTGGTCTTGTATATCCCTGCCATATTGACAATTGCCAATATCTTGGGTAAAAAGTTTAATATTAACCGGATGGATCAAATAATTATTTCGTTGGTTATTATCAATCAACCACATTTGGTATTAATTGACCATGGTCATTACCAATTCAATTCAGTTATGCTTGGATTCTTTGTCTATTCTGTAATTGATCTTATAAAGAATAATTTGTACTTGGCCAGTATTTGGTTTGTCAGTTGTATCAACTTTAAGCAAATGGGATTATACTACTCCCTCTTCATTTTCTTTTACATATTGAGTCAATTGAAATCGTTCCTGGGATTTATATTAGTTGGGTTAACTGTGGCCATTACGCAATTTGTCTATTTACTTCCGTTCATACTAACCAAACCCGAATCAGTGCTTCAGATTGTTCTCCGAGTTTTCCCTTTTAATCGTGGATTATTTGAAGATAAAGTCGCAAACTTTTGGTGTACTACAAATGTCTTGATCAAATATCGGGAAATTATTGATGCTGCTCAATTACCTAAATTGGCTTTGTTGGCGACATTATTAGCAGTGATACCAGCAAATGTATACTTGTTTTTCAAGATAAGAAGCAGACCATCTACAAAAATCCAAGGTTTGATCTATGGATTCTCGCTTAATTCTTTATCGTTTTACTTGTTTTCATTCCAGGTTCATGAAAAGAGTATTTTAATTGCATTAATACCGATTTTATTGTTGTTGTTGATTGATCATAAAGATATTGATATTATTCAATGGATAAATAATGTCGGTACTTTCAGTTTATATCCGTTGTTAAAGAAAGATGAATTAATAATGCAATATTTTGTGAGCAATTTCTTGATCAATTGGTTAATCGGTCCAAAGATCTTGTTGCAAAAGAAATATCTGTTGAATACGGTTGTAGTTTGGGGTACATATTTGCTAATGATTGTTTATCATGTTATTGACGCTACTATGAGTCCACCCACAAGATATCCTGATTTATGGGTTATTTTAAACATTGCAATTTCATTTGCGGGATTCTCATACTTTTGGCTTTGGTTGGTGTATAAGATCTACAAGTTATAGTTTCATAGTTATCATATTAATCTAATCTGGTCTTCTATATAATAAGAATCCACTCTTTACACCAACTTTAGTATATAGTAATTGAGCACGATGGTTTTCAAATTGAGTAGACCAGTAGCATTTCTTACAATTCAATCTATCAGCCTCAGAGTAAATATACTCAATCAACTTTCTGCCAACACCATGTAATCTATTGTCGGAACAAACAAACAAATCATTCAAATAAAGGGCATTTTCAATAGTCCAAGTATTTCTATGTGTCAAGTAATTGGCAAATCCAATAATAGTGCCGGTTGAATCGTCAATAGCTACCACGGAGTAAACTGGTTCATTTGGATCAAGAAATCTTCTAAATGTTTCATTGGAGATTTCGGGAGTTAATTTGTGAAGTGACTTGTAAAATTCAATGTATCCTCCTGGTCCTGTCCAAAGCTCGAGCCATCTTTCCTTGTCCTCGTCTTTAATTGGCCTTAATGAAACTGACATTTTTGATTTAATTCTTGAAAATTTTTCAAACTGGGGAATTTTAGGGTCTATTTATACCTAGACTTTCTAGAAGCTTATCAGGCAATGACTAACCAGCCGCCCCACAAATTTCTCGATCAGGAAAAAAACCGCTAAAATTTTCACCTGTGTTTTTTTATTTTTTTTTGACTCACGGGAACCTCGTTCCGGAGAAACCTTATCAGGAAGTGGAGTCAGAAAATACCAATGTTCGTTGTTCCACTTAGCTGAAAAGGAACAACTACGGGTAACTTAACATATTCTATCTACAAAAAGTAGAAAATAAAAAAGTTTATTGAAGGAGGTTATAATTTTCGAAAGATTGTTGCAAAAAAACCCAGTAAATACCAAAGGAATATCCTTAGTTGTTGCCAATATAATATATTCAAGTAAATGTTACAAAAAACTCAGTTGTAATAAAGTTACATATCATAGGATCAAAAGTAAGGACCATCGGTAGAGAATATACTCGGTATTATCTTAAAAAATGTACCAATATAGTTCAATCAAGTTCGTCCAAGATTTAAATCATGCTTTTGTCATACGTTAATCATGTGAGATATATCACGTGCATAATCAGAGGCCCGCTGCAAGTGCAAAAGTTTTCAAGAAAAAATCTGGCAACTTGTCCGAGTGGTTAAGGAGAAAGATTAGAAATCTTTTGGGCTTTGCCCGCGCAGGTTCGAGTCCTGCAGTTGTCGTTATTTTTTTTCCAACTTATACAATAAGTAGCTTGTATAAGCTACTTGTTTTTTTGATTACTAAAGAGGTGCTTGCAAGTATAATGAATATTATCAAATCTATAAATATTAATATACAAAAGTATCAGACAGATGAATTGAATTCTTATCCTTCAAATGATCCATATATGAATTCCACAATTTATCACCACTTCTTAAACAATTTTCATCCCCAATAATAACCATACCATACTTTGCTCTTGTAAGAGCAACATTCAATCTTCTTTCATCTCTAAGGAAACCAATTTTGCCCTCAACATTCGATCTTACACATGACATAACCATGAAATTCTTTTCACGACCTTGGAAAGCGTCAATTGAAGCAATTAATATTCCTGACACGATATGAATTGTCACTGGTTTAGAATCATTTTTGATATCATCGATATCAACTTCAATTCTAAGCTCTTCACTTTGTGGATTGATAATGTCATCCTTTACTAGAATGGACGAGATTAAATCTCGCTGACCACTATAAGGAGTGATAATCCCGATATCTTCGCGCTTGATTCCCTTTTCAATAATCAAATTCTTCACTACTTGAATAACATAGTTAATTTCACCAGGGTTGGTATAAGTGAATCCTCGATCTTCACGTAACCAATTATGCACGGACTTTTCACGAGCTTTTCCGTTCGTGTTCCAGAAATAAACCGGGTTCTCAGGAATTCCTTCCATTTTACGATCTTCGGCTGTTATACCATCTTTTAATAATCCGCCATAGAATCTATTTCTGGCAAATTCACTGATAGTAGGGTGCATACGATATTGCGTGTCCAACATATGAGGTGTCTTATACGTTCCATTAAGCAATACCCTTTCAAATAATGATAATGACAATCCAGGAACTAAAGAGAAACAATTCAATTGTTTCTGATCACCAACAAACACAAACTTATCAACTCCAGGAACAGACAACGGAATCAAAGTGGTTGGTTCAGAAGATTGGGTAGCTTCATCCATGATAACCACGGGGCATTTTGAAATACTTTTCAATTGTCCAGATCCGGCAACCACAGTAGTTGTGAAGATAACTTTAGCTTGAGCAACCATCTTCTTGGTGACTTGAAATCGCTCTTGTACGAATTTCTTGTATCCAGTAGTTCCCACACTTGGCTTACCACGTTTAATTTCGTCTACTATTGTCTGAGATCTTGTCGATAATCCCTCGTAAATCTTATGGTGCAAGCAAATTGAAGATAAATGATGACTCTTATTGTATTCTCGTTCTTTTTCTGAGGCCACAACTCTTAAAAGATCTTTTTCATGAGTTGGCATCAACTTTTCAGCAATATTGTCAATGGCAATATTGGAAGGCGCAACAACGAGGATCGGGTATGTGTTTAAGGAATCCAATAATTGCAAAATGATTTCAAAAATGGTGGATGTCTTACCAGTACCAGGAGGACCTTGCAATACTGTAATTGCATTGTTAAAGATAGATTGAATAGCTTGCTTTTGAGAATCATTTAATGTATCCCTAGTATACCTCAAGAAATTCTTAAACACAATTTGTCTAATTGGTTCTTTTCCTAAAAGCATCTTGATGAAATTGTTATTGGAAAGACTATCCATAGCATTCAAAACACGACTAACTGGTACAGAAGCAGGCATGACTTTCAAATGTTGGGCATGAACAGTTTTAGGCAATGGCTGATTATTCCAATCATACAAGGTCACCACCACTTCAATAACATCTTTCTTTGTACGTCTGCCTCTCTTTACGTTCTTACTAGAAACCTCATCAACGGCCGATATACAACCATACCAAGGAATTTCGTCGTTTAAAATCAAGAATATAGATTGCCCAATCAGGAATGGGTTCTTCTTTAATTTTTTGAAAACCTCAGAACGGAAATTATTGACAATATCTGAGTCCAGAAGAACGCTTAGTTTATATTGGGTGTTTCTCTTGTCTGGATCTTCATACCATTCAATCATGATATACTCGGACTCAATTATATTCAGAATGTTGGTAAGTTGATCTTCCAAGAACATGTTGAAACTCATTTCTCGATAATATTCGTGCAAAGAATCATAAGTGAGTTTAGGTTCACTTGCAGGATTATATTTAGTAATTGATGGAGGAAGAACAAGTTCATTACCATTCGGTATGTTATTCTTGCGTGAAGATGATGGTTCTGGAGATTTAGCAGATTCTTTACCTTTCTTTGACTTGGACTTTTTAGGAGGTTCTTTTGATTTCAAGCTTTTGTTTTCTTCATCACCACGCCCATCCATAACAACATGGGTTTGACTATGTTCCTTTCCTTGCTTTTGCTCATCATTGAGAACTGGTGTTTGACTTCTAGAAGATGTCAGCTTACCACTAGACTTTTTTGGTTTGGTATTTTCACGCTTGTCATTACCTCTGCCCTTCTTTCCTTGTGCGGAATTTTGAGGTTTGTCTTCATTTCCCCAACTGTCTAAGCTCACAGGAGTTTGATCAACTGTAGTCAGTTTATCACCAGATTTCTTGTCTTTAACAACTTTTTCATTGGATTTCTTACTTTGCTCAGGCTTGTCAGCTTGCTTGTCTTTAGCCTTATTCGCTTGCTTTTCTTTAGGCTTATCATTAGTTTTCTTTCCTGGTTTAGGTATGTCATTAGCCCTCTTTACTTGCTCAGATTTACCATTCGGTCTAGATTTATGTTCTTCTCTAGCTCTCTCCTCGCTGACTGGAGTGTGACTTCTAGCAGGAGTCAGCTTGCCACTATTGACAGGGCTTTTTCCCACTGGGGTATGTCTGCCACTATGAGCAGGACTACCTCTGCTTGGAGTCTTCCTTCCTTGCGGAGATCCTTTTCCTTTCAGAAAATTGCCGAATTTTGAAACATGGTCTTTTTGTGCTTGCTTTCCAATAAGAGCCGACCCAATTGCCTTGACTGTAGTTCCTGATTTAATTGAACTTGCCAATTCTTTAGTTGCCATATAATGAGCACGTCTTTCTTCTGCTTCAGGATCAGGTTTCCGTTCTCTTCGACCTCGTTTGCCTCTTTTCTTTCCCTTACCAAACTTGCCCTTTCTTCCCCTGTTTGATCTTTTCAAATTCTTGGGTACTTCTTTGATTCCAAGCAATACCGATAAAAAAGTATCATCATCTTCACCTACAAATTTTACATCGTAGTTAATCATACAGGCTTTACAAGCGACATATTGAGTTCCGTTTTTGTCGTTCCCCACGAACAAGTTCTCATCACTGTGACAGTTCCTACATTCTAAATCTCTGAACTTCAAATATTGGTCTAGTTTTAGGAAAAAGGCACCATTGGAGAGAGTGTATGTCGCACTTGGAGTTTCATTATTTTCAGTCTTTTCCTTTTCCAGACATTGCTGACATAAAAGGGACATATCCGTGAATCCATACCTGAGGATGGACAACTGGTGAATATTTGAGTCTTCACATTGTTCACACTCTATAGTCTCGTCGAGTTCGTTTATTCTGACATTCTTGTGTCTAGTGGTGGATAGATGTTTCAGAATCAGGTCCTTGCCGTGAGTTTCTGAACATGTTAGACATGTGAATGTGGTGTCCTTGGACATTACTGTGGTTACTGGTTATGTGTTGCAAGAAATTTTTAAACCGTTATAATTTTTTTCAGATGTGCTGGGAGAGAGAGAGAGAGAGACAAACCTTTCACCTAACAACTACAAATACTTCAAACTAATACAAAATGAAAGTAATAGTAATACATTAATGAACATCTACACTACCCAAGACAATCCAATCATTGACATCTCCTTCGCACAACACCAACTTCAACACTCCGCCGTCCCAACCTAATCCAGAAACACCACTATTAAAACTATCACTATCAACATTGTCAATGTCTAAATAATCTGAGATTCTCGTCTTGATGGTTCTCCATAATGCATTGTCAATGGGATGAATATTACTATAGACTAATGATAAGTGTGGGTCAAACTCGTTAAGTGACCAATCGGCTGCTTTCTGAGCCGCAAGATACTGTAATCCTGATGTATCAAACTGTTTAGCTTCTTGTGCAGGTGGAGATTGCAGTTTAGTTCTTTTTTTAGAAAGTTTCCTCTTTACTGTATTCCCATTGGAATCCTTGGTATACAACTGAGGATTTTGCTTGATGTTTTCCTCTTCTATATCGTGAGGTAAAATCACAAACAATTCCCGTATTATTCTGGCAAACGACACTAAATTAGGATCACTGTCGACTTGGAAATAAAGCTTTTTAAAGAATTTCCGTTGACTATTGACCCGCCCTAATCTGACTAATTTATCATGGTTTTTAGGTAACGAACTTAATGCCACAGCGCTAGCAGATAATATTCGGTCGACATCGTCTCGTGTTTTATTGGGATCATCTAAGTCTATCATTATATTTGTAGTTATGGTAATGTGTGGTTCAAATCTAGGAGGCTGTCCTGGGAACAACGTATTCAAAGATCCCATAAGGGTCTTTAATTTGTCAGAGATCTGACTATTAGATCTGGGACAGAGCCATAGAGCAACTCCTATGTTTTCTGAGTTAATAATTGATCCCATGGCGAATGCAATTGTAGTAACATACCCATTCTTATCAGTTGTAAGGAAGTGGCGGTGAAAGAAAAATAAAGTTTCCCCTAAAGATCTACGATTTTTTTTTGTTTGTCAGTGAGCAAATTAATGAATGATCTTTGACCAGCATTGAACAATAGCGAAAGCAGTTAAAAGCTACTACGCTGGTGGAAATTAAATTGTTTTTATTTCTATTTCTATAATTACAAATACTAATACTTGGCAGTAAGAACATCTACACCTTTAACTGCGGAATCGTCAACAAACCAATTAACTTCAACCCCAGTAGAAATTTCATTAACAAGCTTAGAAGGTAATTGGCTTGATTTGTCACCAAAGATTTCCTTTAAAGTGACTGCCTTACCAGCACCTTCAGCAACAAAGGCAATTGAAGTGGCTGCTTCCAAGACTGGGAATGTAAATGTAATTCTTCTTGGCGGTGGCTTTGGAGAGTCACTGATGTAGGCAATTAATTTTGATCTTTCCTGTAATAATTTATGGCCTGGAAACAAAGAACAAGTGTGGCCATCAGGTCCACAACCTAACAAGATAACATCAAGTTTACCATCAGCTGGTAACTTACTAGCGTAGTCCTTAGTAATTTCAAGATCTTTGCTTTCGTCAGCACCTTCTAATTGACCGTCTTTACCGGTCAACAAGGATTCGTCAATAACATTTAATTTTGGATTACCAGCGTCAGCAGGCAAGTTTTTCAACACTAATTCATTAAACAATCCAAAGTTGGAGTCTGGATGGTCTAACGGCACTAATCTTTCGTCACTGAAAAATACTTCCCATTGATCCCATTTGACACTTGAGGCAACGTCCTTGTTGTCAATCAAAGCTTTCTTCAATACTTTCCCTAAAGATCCTCCAGATAATGCAATTTTGAAGGTATTCTTGGCAGAGATTGCGGCATCTTGATGTTGGATGATATATTTCCCAACGGCGTTGGCAACATCAATTGATTCAGCGTAGGCGTATACTTTAGCAGGCATGGTTGCGTAGGTGATTTCAGAAGTAACAACTTGTGGTGGGAATACCTCAAATCTCAATTTTTTTATAGTTGCCGGTATTACCTTCTTAGTAATTTTTGCGTAATAATTTTTCACTGCGGGTGCACTAAGATCTGTAGCAATCTAACATACAGCAAACATCTATCTACATTATACTTGAAATAGTTTCTACACTGTAGATACTACCCCCTCTCTCCTAATATTACACTATACAATAATCATTCTAAATAATGAGAATACTCTGCACTCTCCTTGATCTTATTATTAAAAAACTTTTCCAACTTGGTGGCATTCTTATAATATGTCGTAGTATCACTATTATAAGCACGACAATTATTGAAAATTAATCTGGCATCATACAAGAACTGATCGAATGATTCATACTTGTCATTTTCAAGTTTCAGCTCCATAGTAGACAAATCCATTGGTTCTTTAATAACTTCGTAATAATCTTGAACTTCTTCTCGATTAACCGGCACGGCAAATGGCCATGCTGAGGGATGGTTTTGCATTTCTGAAAACAAAGTAACCATGAAATTGTAATGAGGCCCGCGTTTTGGTTTTTGGGCTAATTTATCCATTTCTTCCAGCCACCCGCTTTCTATTAAGCCAGGAATATCCTTCGGGTCTAATGTTACATTCTTGTTGGTTTTAAATACTTGTAATCCTGCTCGAACTATATGTGATTTTGATCTCAGTTTGATTTTCTTTTCAATAGCGGCTTTTTGCAATAATAGAATCTTTCCCAGATCCAAATATCGCATTATTGGTGGCAACATTGAACACTGCATTAATGTACCTCCTTCATAATCTTTGATATACCCCATCCATATTGATTTATCTAACGATACCTCCTTGGTGAAACCTTGTTTTTTGAAATATCCAATAGCATAATTATCAGCATAGGTTAAGAAATACATTATAGGAGAAGTTGCTCGGACATAATCTTTTAAATGATTCATCAAATGAGCACCATAACCACGAACTTGTTCGGTGGAAGATATAGCACAAAAGACAATTTCCGCAAATCCTCGATTATTAAAAGGTCTGTAAGTAATACCACCCACCACAGTTAACGGTTTTCTAACCACGGCCATGGATAAATGTGATCTGTCGTATACCAACCTGGAAATATATTCTCGAGGCATTTTAGGTAATTGTTTCTGAAAGATGTTTTTTAAACCAGTTAATACAATCATACTTTCTCGAGTATTGTCGTTGTTTACTACTCGGAATTCTATCTTGCCCTCTTTTTCCTCAATTACAGACGGTCTTTCTTTGAATGTGTATACATCTCCGTCAAAGTTGAATGTGGTTATTCTTTTGCGTTCTTCTTCAGCTTCATCATCATCGTCGTCATCATCTTCCTCCTCCTCTTCTTCATCACCTTCTTCTCCATCTTCTGCGTCTTCGTCTTTGACCTTTTCCTCTTTCTCGTCTTCGTCCTCATCCTCGTCGTCTTCCTCATTTTCACGCTTCACATGTCTATCTCCTCTAATGTTACTATTTCCATTCTCTTCATCTTTATTCTTGTCAGAACCATTGGTATTGCCTTCTTGATCGGACGAGTTGTCGGGCTCGATCTCAAGCTTGACTTTCTTGTGTAAAGGAATGTCATCGTCGTCTTCTTCCTCTTCAGGAGATAATGTTCTTTTCTTATCCACCATGGCTAATGATATCCAGTTCGACCGTTGATTGATTGAAAGGTGATTACTGTCTATAAACTTGTTGTTTGCAACATAGTGTTTACCCAAGGGCGTCAATTTTTCGTTCAGAATCAACGCCCTCGGAAATAAAACAATCACGTGATAGGAGTTTATTTCCGATCCGATGAGAAGATATGAATTTTTTTTTTTTTGCAAATAAATTATACTGATTTGTAATATTGATTATTTACTTACTACTACTACTCCATAAACATGTCAAATTATACTCATATGGACCCTAATCATAATCATGGGGCTGGTCCAGTCGCTACAGTGTTATGTTGTAACTGTGGTGTGCCTATGGATGGTTCCCAAGGGTTAGTTATGTGTTACGATTGTATTAAGTTAACCGTTGATATTACCGAAGGGATTCCCAGGGAGGCAAATGTGTCATTTTGTAGAAATTGTGAAAGATTCTTGCAACCACCAGGCCAATGGATTAGGGCTGAGTTGGAATCTCGTGAGTTGTTAGCATTATGTTTGAGAAGATTAAAGGGGTTGAATAAAGTCAGATTGGTTGACGCTTCCTTCATATGGACCGAACCTCACTCTCGTCGTATCAGAGTCAAGTTGACAGTGCAAGGTGAAGCTATGGCCAACACTATTGTCCAACAAACTTTTGAAGTTGAATATGTCGTTATTGCTATGCAATGTCCTGATTGTGCCAAGTCGTATACTACCAACACTTGGAGAGCTGCTGTGCAAATCAGACAAAAGGTGCCACACAAGAGAACTTTCTTGTATTTAGAACAATTGATTTTAAAGCATAATGCTCATGTTGATACTATTTCCATTCAAGAAAGTAAGGACGGGTTGGATTTCTTTTATTCCCAAAAGAACCATGCGGCTAAGATGTTAGATTTCTTATCAGCAGTGGCGCCAGTCAAGGCCAAGAAGTCCGAGGAATTAGTCAGTACTGATATCCACTCCGGTTCTTCGCAATATAAGTTTTCCTTCTCAGTGGAAATTGCTCCTATTTGTCGTGATGATTTAGTGGTTTTGCCAAAGAAATTAGCCCACTCATTAGGTAACATTTCCCGTCTTGTGTTGTGTTCTAAAGTTACCAACTCCATTCAATTCATAGATCCAAATACTTTACAGATTGCTGACTTATCCCCACTGATATACTACAGATCCCCATTTCCTTCATTGTTGGATGCTACTCAATTAGTTGAATTCATTGTTCTCGATGTTGAACCAACTGGAGATATCAGAGGAAAGCATGTGTTGGCTGATATCGAAGTGAGTCGTGCTGCTGATATGGGAGTTAATGATCAAAGTTTCTATGTTAGAACTCATTTGGGTGGTATTTTACACCCGGGTGATTCATGTATGGGGTACTATTTGACCAACACTAATTTCAACTCTGATTTATGGGACACATTAGACAGTGACAATATTCCCGAAGTTGTTATTGTTAAGAAACATTACGCTAGAAAGAATAAGAAGAACAAGTACAGAAAGTGGAAGTTGAAGAGAATGGCCAGAGAACATCAAGATATCGTGGCCAACGATGATTCCAGACAAGCTAAACAAGAACAAGAACGTGCTGAAAGAGACTACGAACTTTTCTTGCAAGAATTAGAAGAAGATGAAGAATTGAGACAAACCATTAACTTATATAAAGCTGGTGAAAATGCTCCTGTTAAAAGTCATGGTGATGATGAAGATGAAGAAGATGAAGATGCTCCTGAAATTGGTATTGACGAGTTGTTAGACGAGTTAGATGATATGACATTGGAAGATACTCCAATGGAAGAGTAAGTAGTTGAGTAGTTAATATTTTAATTTTAGCAGTCGCCGTCCCCCCCCCTCCCCCCACGTTACTAATTAGTGTGCAACTCCCCCCACTCTTTTTTTTTCCTTCTTTGTAATCACTTGCAGTTACTGTAAAGAACATACCAGATAACACACATAACCTGTAACATACACACACATACACATTCACCATAAACTGTAATCAATGAGCACAGACAATAAGATAGTTAAGTTCACACCCATCCAATCATTTATAGAATCATCATTTTTCATTAAACTTTCCCAACTAAAACTAGACAAGTTTAAATTAGATTCTTCCAAACATGTAATTACGGGGTTTATACAGCACCCCAAACTACTCAATCGGTTCAATGACATGCCTACTCTTAACCTTGATCAGGATAGTTTTGAGCCTGAACAAGTGGAAGACCTGTCAAAAGTGTTTATCAAAGGTGAGATATACAATGTGAATACAATCGAGGAGTTTAAACAGATTGACAAGTTACAACAGTTGACGGAATGGGGAGGGCAAATATATGAGTCTATGAAAACGGTGACTACATTTGATTATCAAGTGTTTAACCAGTTTTACATTTTGAGTTTCTCCGATTTAAAAAAATACAAGTTTTATTATTGGGTGGCGTATCCTAGTTTCACCTCCAAATGGTCAATTATCGAAGAAAAGCAACAATCGGATGATTTAAGTTTGGTCAAGATGATTGAAGAAAAAATCAACCAACTAGGAGAAAATGGCCAATTCTTCCAGCTTGTAGATGGACAGTTGGTGGATGCACCCGAAACAGACCAACCAGGCAAGTTTGTGTTTGTAGATACATGTTTGAGTAAAGATAAGAAACCAGGATCGCAACTCAAGAACTATTTATATTATATTGCACTCAAAGGATTCAAGACTATTGAATTAATGATATACCGCGTGGATGGTTCAACATTTAGCTATAAGCTTCAACTTGAAAAATACGACAAGGTTCCAAAGACTATAACTGGCTGGGAGCGTACCAGCCAGGGGAAATTAGGTCCAAAATTAGCCGATTTAGGTTCTTTGATTGACCCCAACCAACTTGCCGCACAAGCAGTAGAATTAAACTTGAAGCTTATGAAGTGGAGAATAGCTCCTGATATTGATCTTGATATAATAAAATCTCAGAAAGTGTTACTTCTTGGTGCTGGCACTTTGGGAACATATGTCGCTAGAGGGTTATTAGGATGGGGAGTGAAACATGTCACATTTGTCGACAATGGCAGAATCTCATACTCTAACCCAGTCAGACAACTGTTATTTCAATTCAAGGATTGCTTTTCCGATAGTGGTCAGGGACAATGGAAGGCACAGCGTGCTGCTAAGCTGTTACAAGAGATTTTCCCCGGAGTTGATTCAAAAGGGTTCAATTTAGAAGTTCCAATGATTGGCCATCCAATCACGGATGAACCTAAACAACGTGCTAATTTCGAAACATTATGCCAGTTGTACGAAGATCACGATGTTATATTCCTACTTATGGATTCACGAGAAGCAAGATGGCTACCTACAGTATTGGGAGTCGCCAAGAATAAAATTGTCATTAATGCAGCTCTTGGGTTTGATAGCTATTTAGTCATGAGACATGGAAGTTTATTGCAGCCACAAGATCAGAGATTGGGTTGTTACTATTGCAATGACGTGGTTGCACCTAATGATAGTTTAACTGACCGTACCTTGGACCAAATGTGTACTGTAACTAGACCAGGGGCAGCGCTAATTGCATCAGCATTAGCTGTGGAAATGTTGGTGGCTATACTTCAACATCCTGACAAACAACTAGCAAAACATGTAATCGTCGATAATAACAAGTTTGGCAGTGTACCACATCAAATCAGAGGCTTTTTACATAATTTTAATCAACAACTGAATTTGCATGCACCCAATTATAAATATTGTTCTGGATGCTCTGAACCGGTGATTAATGAGTTTAATACTAGTGGATGGGAGTTTATCAAGCAATGTCTTAATGACAGTTCCTACTTGGAAGACATCTGTGGGTTAAAACAAGTACAAAAAGAAGCAGAATTGGCTACACAGAGTTTATTAAGAGAACTTGAACTTGATACAGAAGATTATGAAGCTGTTGATGTTGATGCGGATGATGAAGATAGTGAATGGTTGTCTTGAGCTATTTTATGTAGTTTGATTGTTTGGGCGCGTAACAGATTCTTTTTTTTTTTTAATTTTTAATTTTATTTTTTTTTTTCTAAATTGTATAAGGAAAACGTAAACAAAGGTTACTGATTATACTCCAATCACAAGATAAACGTCTGAGATTAGCATTATGATCCTGTTTATCTCTTCACATGGTGGAGGAAATGTCCCACCTGATGTGGTGACGCTTAGTGATTCCTTTGAAGATATACAACCACACAGCAACAACAACAACATCATACAATCCCACCTTGTGCTGCAACCAACAACCACCAAGAAACCAACCAAGATAAAAGCACCTTTAGTCAGTCAAATCACAGATTTACACATACAACAAGGACTTATAGTCAGAGACTTGCTATTTGCACTTCTTGGCTATGAAGGTATATTCATCAAGTATGCAGAGAGGTATGATCCTCAATCTCTTGAATGTAGGATTCTTGGACCTGAATTTAAAATTGCAAAGAACTTGGATTTAAGTTTGAAAACAGTCACAAAGAAATTACGTAAGTTAGGACGATATTATTCCGGGTTAACTGAATTTATTCAATATTACGATTCAGCAAGATATGGAAAAGTGGTTCAACGATTTTGTTATGTGGTTAATGAGTTTTTGATCCATTATAAACTGGTGATTCTTGAATTAGAACATGAGTTCCAGTATAATGCTAGTTTCAATCTCACTAAACTAGATCAAGTATTGAGTCAAGAAGTGGCGAATAAGTTATTACATTTGTATGAAATAGCGGTTGAAATACATTTAATATCAGAAGAGAGGAGGAAACATAGCCATACAGATGAATATACCCATCAAGCATTACTGGAACTTATCCCCAAATCAAATTTTGAATCTTCAGCAAGAATAGAAACAAATTTATACCTCAAAAAGTTTGATTGTTGCAAAGGCGGATTAGTGTTACAACTTATACAACAGAGATTACGTTTTTACAAAGGGGAAGCTGCTTCGTTTGCATTTCTCACAAAGCTTTTGGATACTGTTGCCGAGGATTATCTTGTAATGTTAAACACTTGGCTTACTGAGGGGAAAATTGATGATCCATTTGATGAGTTTTTGATTCGAGAAAAGGAAGTTCCTCCTACATTTATTGATATCTTTGATTCTAAAAGTGAATATTACTGGAATGAATTGTTTCTTATCAAAACCGACGGATTGTTGGAACAATTTCAAAATTATCAGATCCAACTGAAGATATTAACTACGGGGAAGTACTTGAACATATTCAAGCAATGTACTGGTATATCTGATTTCCTGAACTTGCACGAAAAGTTGCAAACTATAAGTACATTATCGTCACAAGATCTAGAATTGAAAATCGACGAATTTTACAAACGTGCCAATAAAATGTTTATGAAGTTGTTATTCCAAGGATATAATTTACGTCAATTAGTAACCAATTATCAAACCAAATACTTCTTTGAAAATTCATACAAGATTGATAAGTTTATCGATGGGTCATTCTCAGAATTGAAGCGAGATAAATTCAAAGTATCCATTTCAAGGTTACAAAAACAATATTATGATTTATATAACTCCAATGAAAAAATTCATAAAATTGGAACTATTCCTTCAATATCGGATATCATTCAAGAACGGCAAAGTTTTACTATAAGTAATGAATCACTATACCAGGTTGCCAATGAATTAATGGAAGGCAAGCCCGATTTTGAAATCCAGCAAGATCAAGATTTGGAAACTAATATTCGCTTAATTAGTAATACATTACATCGTGAAGGTAGCAATCTGCCCCAATCAACGCGAGGAGATACTACTGCTGGAGGAGGTGGAAGAAGATTCCTGCCTCTGAAACAAACCAAGGATCCTGATGACAACATCGCAATTGCTAGTGTTCACCTTTCCATAGACTTGCCATTCCCCTTGAATCTTGTTATTAATCGTGAATTATCCTATCATTATGAAATCATTTTTAAATTGTTAATGAATTTGAAATTCATTAGTAGATATAATGATATCATTGCTAAAGAAATAAACCAATCTGATGTATGGCGATACCCTAATTTTGAACCAAGAATCCTTAAATGGATTTTAAGAATTCGACTGTTACATTCGCGTGTGAGATTATTCATGGATGAATTGCAAAGTTATATCAATTATGATGTTATTGAACTGCATTACGCTGAAATAAGAACATTATTGCAAGATACCGAGGTTGAACTTGCAGAAACGGAATTAGGATCAGATATAGGGCAAGAACAAGAAGGACAATTGTTTAATAACAACACAGTGTTACAAGGAACCGGCAATAGTAATTCAATTTTTGAAAATCGAATTTTGGATGCATTACAACGACCAGGGACCGCCAATAAACGAAATGGTAGAAAAGCTCACGAATTATTAAGTGTGGATAATTTAGTTCTTCAACTTCGAGAATATTTGAATACGGTAATTACTGAGTCATTACTTACGAAATATGAATTGCTTTATGAATTGAAGAGAATTTTGGACTTCATGATGCAATTCAACCATTATATTGTATTATACAAGAAGATTTTAATTGTGAGTGATCGGAATTTACATGAAGTATATTCCGAAAAGTTTCCCGAGAGGTTTAAGGATAAGGTTATGGATCCAAATCTGATTGATCGAAGATTTGCCAATTTAAATAATTCCTTGATGGAACAACATGGACGATTTTCAGAATATCTTGCAAGTTTCCTTGATAAAATACGAAAGTACGGAGTGAGTGAGAACGGAGGACTACTTGCATTGAGTGATAGACTAGAACAATGTTTTCCTGAATAGTAATCTTCTAATTTATTACTGTAACAATATATATAAACTTTTTTTTTTTCTAACTAATAACAGTATCTTCGTCAGTAGCTTGTTCGTTCAAAGTTTTAATAATAGCATCAGTCTTCTCTTCACTATAAATTTGGAATCCACCTTCAGCAGTGACGCTGGCCAATTGGGCATTCTTGCAATCCAACTTTTCTTCCATAACTTGTTTTAAAATCTTTAATGCCAATAATTCCGCTTCTTCCAAAGTTAAACTCTTGTGATATTCGTTGTTCAATTCTGCTTGAGCTCCCTCAGAACCTGATCCAATGGCCTTGGCATCATATCTATAAAATGTCCCAGAAGGTTCAGCATGGTACAATTGCGGACCTTTATGTTTATCCACACCAGCAATCAAGAGCGCCACACCAAACGGACGAGACATCAATCTCTTTTCCCCCTCAGCACCTTCCCCGAATCTCAATGCCAAATCACATACACTTTGGGTCAAACTCTCTACCCTGATATCTTCATCGTAGTATAAATTGTGGGTCAAACTCAGCACTCTGGCATGGTCAATCATAGATCTGGCGTCGGCAGTAAGACCAGACATGGCACAACCAATATGGTGATCAATCTCAATGATCTTTTCAATGGACGAAGCTTCCAATAACGAAGATGTGACACGCTTTTCTACACCGAGAATAACCCCTTGTGAAGTGGAAATCCCAATGGCGGTGGATCCTAATTTAATGGCTTCAAGCGAGTATTCCACTTGGAATAATCGACCTTCTGGGGAGAATGTAGAGACTCCTCGATCGTATTCACTTCTGGTTAAAAACATTATGGGGTGTATAAATGGTTATGTTATCTGCAATTGACTTGGAATTTGAGTAGGGGTACTTGGTTATATTCTGGTGGCGGTTTTTTTCAAGACTTGGGTTTTTTCACAGAATCACTAAACAAAGGGTGCTACCATGTGAACCTATAAAAAACAGTAAGAGATGAATTTTGATGCAAAGCCAGCTGGTGTAAGTGATCAAAGAAAGTACCATTTATTTTACAGTTACAATTAACCCACACAAGCATTGAATGGGGAAACTCCTAGAAATTATGGTATCCATTCCCTTTACAGTAATTGCATCATCAATCTATATTTACAATATTGTCGTGCGACTACCAGAGGTTTACAGCCAAAAAAGGAAGATACAGTCTTGCATTTGATACTGAAGCTGTTGTCTTGATAGATGCAAAACTTGAAGTAGAGCATAAACTACAAACAGAAGGACATCTACAAAAGAAAACTAATCATATCCTAGCATAATTTACACTTTATAACTTATAAATTTATCTAACTATATATCATTCTTAAGCAGACTTTGGAGCCAATTGAACAATCTTTTCAGCAGCTGGGTCCAATTCTTCAAAAGCATACAATTTCAAACCAGAGTTTTCAATCAATTCCTTGGCCTTTTCCATGTTGGTACCTTGTAATCTAACAACAACTGGAATGTCCAACTTGAAAGTGTGGGCAGCAGCAATTAAACCTTCGGCAACATAGTCACATCTAACGATACCACCAAAGATGTTAACGAAAATACCGTTAACCTTCTTGTCGGAAAGAATTAAACCAAAGGCCTTTTCAATAGTTTCTGGGGTAGCAGTACCACCACAATCCAAGAAGTTAGCTGGTTCACCACCGTATAACTTAATGATATCCATGGTAGCCATAGCTAAACCGGCACCATTGACAATGTTGGCAATGTTACCATCCAACTTGATAAAGTTAAGACCGTATTTGGAAGCTTCAACTTCTTGTGGGTCTTCTTGGGTAGTATCTCTCCAGGAGAAAACTTCTTCTTGACGGAATTCAGCATTGTCATCAAAACCCAACTTAGCATCCATGGCCAAGACCTTGTGGTCTGGGGTTTCAGATAATGGGTTAATTTCAACTTGAGTACAGTCACGGTCAATGAAACATTGGTATAAGCCTTGGATGGTCTTGACAGCTTCTGGGATAGCTTCTTGAGTGAAACCCAAGACGTTGGCGATTTGAGCACCCAAATCATCAGAAACACCTTCCTTTAATGGGACTTGGAAAGTCTTGATAGCATCTGGGTTTTCAGCAGCAACACCTTCAATATCCATACCACCTTGAGCGGAAGCAACAATGATTGGGGTTTGGGAAGCTCTGTCCATCAAGATGGCAAGATAAGCTTCAGTAGCAGCGTCTCTTCTTTCAACAATGTAGACGGCAGTAACTTCCTTACCGGCAGCACCAGTTTGCTTGGTGATAATCTTGTGACCCAACATTTGTTGAGCCAAGTCCTTGGCTTCTTGAGCAGATGAGATTAACTTAACCCCACCTTGTAAACCAGAGTCAAAGTGACCCTTACCACGACCACCAGTCAAGGCTTGGGCCTTAATGACAAGTTCAGAAGTACCGAGCTTTTCGGCAGCTTCAAAGGCACCTTCTGGAGTGGTGGCAGCAAAACCTCTTGGGATTGGGACACCGTATTGTTGCAATAAAGCAGCAGAACGGTATTCGTGTAAGGATAAGAATCTCTTTTGTTGAGCGGCAGCCTATGAGAGGGTTAGTATTATATTTATTTACAAAAAAAAACATATCAAAAGCGAGTTGGCGGTGATCCACGTGTAATCGACACTTTTTCAACTTGGCAATTGGTGATAGCTTGGTGTACATACTCTAGAGACACGAGCAATGGATCTGGATAACATGTTTATATGGTTTTGAAGGGTTGATTAAGGATCTAAACCTGGGGACAAGAAAAGAAAAGAAAAGAGGGTGGAACGAATTGAAAAATTCCAAAGAAAAACTTAACGGGTTATTGGGTTAGAGTGAGAGAGAGAAAGCAAAGAATCTCTTGGTCCAACAAAAAATATTTTTTTAGTAAAAAAAAAAAAAAACAAAAATACTTCAAAAAAAATATGAAGCATTTTTTTTTTAGTTCATAGAAGGAAAATTGGTTCGGACACAAGTGCGCCGGGGCGACACTAGCCAACGGCTTCTACGTGGTTGACCCGCGCGCCAAGGGAGGGGGAAAACTCGCTTAACTGTGGTGGTAAAAATTAACACTTTAGCAGCAAGTTCTGGTTATACCCCACCAATGTCAATCCCCAGAAAATGCATAAAAATATTATCTAACTGAGACTATTTGGTTGTCAGTAGTTCAACTAGCAACCAATCAAATCAACCTGATTGAAGTCAACTACGCCTCGTAAGGTTTTTTTTATCGTATTATCCTTAATGTAAACTCGTGCAATACTTCAGTTCGGTAGTAAAGAAATAGAACGAGGGAGCAAAAATAATAATAAAAAAAAAAAAGAAAAACGGCCCACCCGGTGCTTTCCATAGGCGCCACAAAATTAATACCTCCTCTTCTATTTTTTTTTCTTCGCTCGGGTCCGTCCCGGAAAATGCCTGGTTTGTGATGTTGGAATTTCTCCGGGACTCGCATATCAATCGTTATTAAGCGAATTACGAGATCAAACTTGATGGATGCAATTACATGGTGGTTGTACCTGAACATACATTTCATCTTCATTATTATTGCACTACGTTATAATTACACTTCTTACTTTGCAATAGCCATTCTGTTCGCGTAACAGGCCAAATCTATTTGTATTAATAGGATGCATTTTGCATTGAATATGTCCATATCTGGTTAGCCCAATTAAAGATAACCCGATACCATTGCATCGAGTTCCCCTTTTAACTAATAACCTAACTGAATTCCTTTCTATATGGCAATTGCAGCCAATTTCACAAACAATATCACAATATTAACTATTTACAGTGCCTGACCTTTTCACGTGACGTTAGTTCTGATGTGTATCAAAAAAAAAAAAAGAATTGCAACTATGGCATCTCAGATATGCTCCACTATAAGAACTAGAAATGGCCAAATATAAAACAGTAAGACCCGAATATGACGACGAATCTTCTGACGAAGATATACAAAACAACTGGAAAAACAATAATAATGAAGAAGAAGAAGATGATGATGACGAGCTTTCAAGAATGTCATTTGGTGCATTGAATGCTGCTCAAGCCAAACTCCAATCATATTCTGACGACGAAGATGAGTTCTTGGAATCTGATTCTGATTCAGCACCTGAAGAAACAAGTAGTAGACACCAAACTAATGATAATAAAAAGAGATCCAAGCATGCACCCCTGCAGCTGTCTTCCAAACGTCCAGTTTCTAAAATAAGAGATATCCCTGGTTTAGAAGTAAAGAAAACCGGATCAGGATTATATACCGATATAAGATTCGATGCAGCATATGGGAAAGCAGATTTAAGTAAAACTCGTCGTGACTATGCCTTTTTGGATGAATATAGACAACTGGAAATCAAACAGATGGAACAAGTATTAAAAGACAAGAAATCAGCCAATCTACTTTCAGAACATCAAAGAGAAGATATCAAATTACAATTACAGCTGTTAAAGTCAAGAATGGATACATTAAAGAATCGTGATTTGGAGAATCAAATTCTCTCATCCCATAAGAAACAACAATTGCAAGATTTCAAAGTTGGTAAACTGACGAATCCATATTTCCTTAAACGAAGCGAAAAGAGAAAGATATTGCAAAAGGCCAAGTTTGATTCTATGAAACCTAGACAAAGAGAAAAGGTTATGGAAAGAAAGAGAAAGAAGAGATTGGGTAAAGAGTTTAGACAATTGGAGTTTAGACAACAGAATCACTAACTTATAAACTTTTAACTTTGCATAGAATTTTATCATCAAAATGTATATTAAACAAACTGTAGGGGAAATAATAATAGAGATCTTATATACAAGAAATATGGCGATGAGATACCACACCAACAAAACTGTGTGAACTATGCCCTTAAATGTCTATTATTTAATTTATTTCTTATTCTCGTTAGCAACCCAATCTTCGTAACTTCCCACATAGTTACCTCTCTTGTTATATCCAAAAGTTCTCGCTAATTCTTCGGCAGCTGTGCTTCTAACGCCACCCAAACAATAAAACACCAATTCCTTATCTCTAGAAGGCTTTTCAAAACCAAAACTTTCCAAGAAATCGTCTTCATTCAATTCTAATGCGCCTGGACTGGTCTTGAATGGCAAGTTAATAGCACCAGGAATATGTCCTTCGCTGAATTCAATTGGTTCTCTAACATCAACCAAAACAGTTTCAGGGTGTGATTCTGGATTGGTGGCCAATTTCTTGACATCCTCGTATGTGTAAAGCTTGGCTTCTGGGGATTCAGTAAGAACAGAATATGATCTGTAGTGAGCATTGCGTGATGCAATCAACACAGTCTTGGTGGCATTGAATAATCTAGGAGTGACAGTGGTTGATCTAAAAAGGGCGTTTGTGGTAAAAGCTCTGGATGAAACGAGACCAGTTCTGACAACGGAACTTCTCAATGATCTAAGGGCATGCATTGGATATATTATGAAAAAAGATGGATGTTTATTTGTGTATCTAGTTGACGCAATCGGTTAGATCGGAGGCGTATATAGTTGTAATGTATGAGTCACGTAGGAGGGGGCGGATCTTTCACGATGGGGGATTTCACTGGAAAACTTATCACACTTTTTTTCCCTGTACATTTTTAAACCTGCTAAAATTTTTCTTTTTGCGTTAACAGTAAAATTGAGACCAGTTAGAACCGCCAGACTTGCTCCCACCACCCACCGCCACTACCAATGGAAAAAATCGGATCAACTTACCACAAAAAAATTCTTATGCAAGATCTATAGATAAGAACTGGACTATAATCAAGGTGATTAAATCACCAGAGGCATGTAATTACATTCTTTCATAAGTTTTGTATATTTATATATCTTTGTAGTTTGAACAATTACCGTTAAAACAGAATACAGAATGAAACAAAATAAAAAATAAACTTAGATCCAGACGGTAAACTGGGTACTATTTACCAACAAGATAACCAACAGATATGAATGGTGAACCAAGCATGTTTATCGACGAGGCAATATACTTAGTGTAAAGCACGTTTATGTCCGTTGTTTCCACCTTTGCCGTTGTTGTTGTTATTGCCATTACCATTATCATGACCCTGGTTATTTCCCTTATTATTACCATTACCATTAGGATTACCAAAACCTGGTTTATTGCCATTATCTTTACCGCTTCCAGGGAACTGGTTGTTTCCTTTACCATTATCATTGCCATTCCCATTACCAGGTTTATTACCATTACCAGGTTTATTTCCATTGCCAGGTTTATTTCCATTGCCAGGTTGGTTACCATTGCCAGGCTGGTTTCCATTGGGATGTCCGTGTTCATTTTTGTAGTCATCACAGAACTTTTTGATTTTGTCGTTGATTGGATGGATACAGAAAGTAGGTTGAGGGTGGTGTGATTTCGATGTTGTCTGAGTGGATACAGAGGAAGAAGATTCAGTAGTACTTGATTGCGACGACGACTCTTCAGTAGAAGAAATTTCAGTAGAGGAAGTTTCAGTTGATGAAGTTTCGGTAGAGGAAGTTTCAACTTCCTCCGTGGAAGACTCATATTCACTGGATGTAGTTTCAGCCTCAGTAGTTTCTTCGGTAGACGAGTCTGATTCAACCTCTGTTGATTCCTCTTCAGTACTTGTAGATTCGTTTTCAATTGAGGTGCTAGGACTAGAGGCCCAAGATGGAGTGGTATTTAAAACGCACGAACATCCTCCTGAGTTTGCTCCAGGTGGTACGACGTCATTGTATAAAATAGAAACACTCAGTCCGTCACTACTAACCGTAAACTTGCTCGAATCATACCCCATACCAATATCGAGCACCACTGGGTTCCCATTTTCTGTTATTGTGAGTATTCCAGTGTCGGGGTCATAATTAAAACTACTAAATGATATATCTGTTATTATGAACTGATTACCACTTCCAAATTGAACCAACTTATATGACAGTCCTGCTACGTCCGTTTGGACATTTAACAGACTGGAGGTACCTTGAAAAACAATAGTAGGAACAAAACTAGTAACAGGATAATAGACACTAAGTTGGGAATCAAAAAGAGCAACACATCCATTGCCATCTGGTGATTCCCACAGTATTTTTTGATTATAAAAACAAATATTCCCAGTATTGACACCAGAATCAAGAGTGAAATAACCTGTAGTTCCCCAAAACGTTAAAGATCCTGTATTGCTTTGCAAGAGCATTATAAGGCTTAACGATTGTCCCAAAATCACAGCTTCCCCATTATTTTCAAAACTTGTCTCATAAAAATTACTAACAGAAGCTACATCCAGGCTATCCCACAACATAAAACCGTTATTTACAACAGTAGAAATATGAAATGTTTCATATGCGTATAATTCTCTGAAATAAAGCTGACCTTCCTGGTTAACTGTTAATGTTCCAAGATACAACACGCTTTCAAGCAGGGGTTCCAATGTAAGTTCACCCCCTTCTTCAACCAGAAAATCTTCTTCCGGGGCAACTGCATCACCAGAAATTGTTGTTGTTCCGGTGACATCAAGGGCAATTGTGTCAGAAAAGAACAAAGTGATAGCAGCAAATATTAATAGCCAATTCATTGATATATTGATTTCAATTACTACATGCCTTCATCTTCTGGATGAAATTCTATATGTTCTTATATATACAATTATGAAAATTTTTCTAATAAGTGTTTATCGCTTTCAGGGATAACTGTATTTCTAGGATTACAAAAAATATTGTAATTATCCAATCATGGCGTAGTTTTCATCTGCCAGGGTGTAATTGCGGAGAATGATATTAACTAGAAGTAGGCTTTGAGATGCAATTTTGTTTAAAAAAAGGCTTATTACATAAAGGGAGTTACAGTTACGGATTGACACAATTAAGCCGTATGGATATTCCATATTTGCACCAATTAAACCTTGAACATTTTCAACACGATATTATGCTGGCACGGATATGATTCAAGAAGTAACTCACCAGAAGTGTATTCGATGGTAATTAGAGAAAAAATGAATAATGTAAAACATTCTAAAGTAGAAGACCGTTGCCAAGAACATAAGCATTGTTTTAACATTTGCAACTTTCCTATACTAAAAGGAGGGGGGTTCTATGATATAAAATAATTAAAAATACAACGGAATTTTAATTTTAATCTCCTGACATCGTATCTGTAATGAAATGTTTGATGGAAATGTGTGATTTATTTGTAAAAATAACACTTCATTATTTTTTTATCCGGACTTATTGATCTTGGATAATCCCCTCTGTTCATGAAGAACAATATCTCCGGTAAAAAGCACCTGGAGATAACTCAATTCTTTCCACGAAGAACATGGTAACTCCGAAGTACTCCTGGAGATAAGCAATTATATTATCTTATTTTCTTTTGGTGTCTCATGATGCCAAATCTCCGTATAATAAATTACATTACGATATAGGTATCTTTGAAAAATTATTTCCATAAAAATTCAATAGACACGCTTATGCTAAATGGTTAATTAATAGTAATATTACTTTCTTGCTTTCACCATACGATATGATGAGATATGATCTGCTCAGCATCACTTAAAAGATATATATTCTAAACTATGTAGTTCTGTTTCCTTCATCCTTACAATGGGATATGAGAGGGAAGTTTTGCAACCTTTTTAGTGTAGCAGGGGGTTGTTATAAATATCCAGTTAATGCAAGGACTGGAATACCTCTCCACCATTGACATTATCAATGGAAAAGGAAATATTGACCTATTACATTCTTTTCAAAGAGAGCAAAAGATCCAGAGGTGGAATCATTAACTATAGCAAAACTAATAGATGTATTTCATTATACTATTTAGCATAAGCCTTTGTATATTTATATACCTTTGTAGTTTGAACAATTACGGTTAAAATAGAATAAAGAATGAAACAAAATAAAAAATAAACTTAGATCCAGACGGTAAACTGGGTACTATTTACCAACAAGATAACCAACAGATATGAATGGTGAACCAAGCATGTTTATCGACGAGGCAATATACTTAGTGTAAAGCACGTTTATGTCCGTTGTTTCCACCTTTGCCGTTGTTGTTGTTATTGCCAGGTTTATTGCCGTTGCCGTTGCCGTTGTTGTTGTTGCCATTACCATTATCATGACCCTGGTTATTTCCTTTATTATTACCATTACCATTAGGATTACCAAAACCTGGTTTATTGCCATTATCTTTACCGCTTCCAGGGAACTGGTTGTTTCCTTTACCATTATTATTGCCGTTCCCATTGCCAGGTTTGTTACCATTACCAGGCTGACTACCATGTCCGGGTTGATTTCCATTGCCAGGTTTATTTCCATTACCAGGTTTATTTCCATTACCAGGTTTATTACCATTACCAGGTTTATTGCCATTGCCAGGTTTATTGCCATTACCAGGTTTATTTCCATGTCCAGGCTGGTTTCCATTGGGATGTCCGTGTTCATTTTTGTAGTCATCACAGAACTTTTTGATTTTGTCGTTGATTGGATGGATACAGAAAGTAGGTTGAGGGTGGTGTGATTTCGATGTTGTCTGAGTGGATACAGAGGAAGAAGATTCAGTAGTACTTGATTGCGACGACGACTCTTCAGTAGAAGAAATTTCAGTAGAGGAAGTTTCAGTTGATGAAGTTTCGGTAGAGGAAGTTTCAACTTCCTCCGTGGAAGACTCATATTCACTGGATGTAGTTTCAGCCTCAGTAGTTTCTTCGGTAGACGAGTCTGATTCAACCTCTGTTGATTCCTCTTCAGTACTTGTAGATTCGTTTTCAATTGAGGTGCTAGGACTAGAGGCCCAAGATGGAGTGGTATTTAAAACGCACGAACATCCTCCTGAGTTTGCTCCAGGTGGCACATCTCCATTATAGGAAAGTACAACAACAGAAGTACCGGCAGCGGTTACGGAAATCTTGCTTGCATCATACCCTGTACCAATATCAAGCTGTACTGGAACCGCATTCTCTATCGTAATTATTCCCGTATCTGGGTCATAGTTGTAACCAGCAAATGATAAATATGGTATAATAAAAACATCACCGATTCCGAATTGAACCAACTTGTATGACAGACCTGGTACACCTGGATTGATCTCAAATGTATTTTGTGTACCTTGAAAAACAATGGTAGGAATAAAACTAGCATCAGGATTTTTATAGTCTGCAACTGAATTAAAAAGAGCAATACATCCATCACCACCTGAGTCAGAAATCACTTCTGTTTGCTCATAAAAGCAAATATTTCCTGTATTGATACCTTGATAAACTTCCACAGTACCAGTGTTTCCCCAGAAAGTCATAGAACCTGTATTACTTTGAATATTTATGATAAGGTTAAGTTCTTGTGCCAAAAATACCATTTCTCCATTGTTTTCAAGACTGCTATCTATATAAAGAAAAGCAACATTCACATCCAGGGTGTCGAACAACATAAAACCATTATTTACAACAGTACTAATATGGAATTCTGCAGTTGAATCCGATTCCTTAAAATAAAACTGACCTTCCTGGTTGACTGTTACTGAACCAAGGGATAACTGAATTTGACCCTGTACTACCGTAAGTTCACCCCCTTCTTCAACCAGGAAATCTTCCCCCAGAGCAATTGCATCATCAGAAAGTGTTACTGTTCCGGTGACATCAAGAGCTATTGCCCTTGAGAGAAATAAAATACTAATTGCAAATATTGATAACAAAGTCATTGATATATTGATTTGAATTACTTAAGGATTTCATTCTCGAAACTAAATTCTATACGCTTTTATATATTTTGGACAGCATTCTGATAGAAACCTATAAACTACAGATTTCATCTCCAGGACCACAAATAATATCGTAATTATCCAATAAACTCATTGTTTTCTTCTAAAAGTGTGTGTTTGCGGAGATTGTCATTTTCTCAAAGTAGGCTTTGAAATATTTTTCTGGCCCAACATTGAGAAGGGGGTATTCCAGTTACGGATTGACCTAATTCAGACGTATAAACAATCGTGTACGAATTAATCAATCCTTCCACATTTCCAAGTTGGTACCATGTGGTATTTATTATAATTGCAATCCAGAATTATCATGTACTAATAATGTTTAGAAAAGCTAAGTATTATTTTTTTTAAAAAAAAACTAAAGACCGTTGCCAAGTACAAATCTATCATTTAATGTTGTCATTCCCCTATATACAAAAGAGGGGGTTCGACAAAATAAAATTATTAAAATCGCAATAATTCTGCAAAAACACTACAATGATAATATGCTTCTGTAACTATGGGTAGTAAGATGAATTGTTTAAAATATCATCTGATTATATTTTTTACCCGGAGGTAGTTCCGGACATATACTCCTGGAAATCAGAAAAGATATTATTTTACTAGGTTTCAGTGTTTTTTAGAACAATGGATCCCCAAAATACCAAGATACATCTTACTATACCTACATTTGGCAGAATATTCCCTTGTATTGTCACCACGATTCCAGACGGAAAAAATCAATGGACAGAATTGCACTAAATAGTTCATCCATTGCTATTGTCTTTTCTTGGTTTAAGCATATAATATGATAAACTTAGTATCGCATAGAACAGTCGTTTTCTAAAGCGATGTAGTTCTGTTTGGTGCATCCTTTCATTGGGGGTTTACGAAAAGTTTTTTTTTTGCAACCTTTTTAGACCAGAAAAGTATTTTTATGCATACTAATTGATGTCGGGACTTCCAAGAATGTTCAGAACAGTCATAAACACTTTACCAGTGTAGAACCAATTAATATTCATGTCATGAGAATTAGTTCAATTAAACGTAAGCAGAGTGAACTTGGAAATTGAGTAATAATTTTGTCACAATAGCGAATAGAACTGAATATCACCGTAGGAGAGAGAATATAAGATAGGAACAGTTACTGGAGATACGAGAAATCAAATTAGTTATATGGTTAGGTATATCAGAAATTATGTATATTTATATGATTTACTCATTTGTGCAATAAAAACTTGTACATGGCCCAATAAAACTTTTTTTGGTTCTCACTAAATCAATTGAAATATCAGCAACGATCACAATCGATAATGAGCTCCTTTTCCAGATCAACAAAAATATTCGAGGGTAATGCGGCAAGAGTTTCCTTATACCGAGACTCTATTTTGTTCTTGATTAGGCTCATATTCTCAGAAGTAAACTCACACGTAAATTCAAGTTTTGTTAGCCCGTAGCCTCTAGGGAATTTTTTTCTTAATTCCAACTTCCCATTTCGGAAAAGTAAGGTATAACTGTTTTGATAATACCAACTTATTTCTTTATGGCCGTGGTGGCAACGATCGTACTTAGTGTGCTTTCGAGTCTGATATATTTCAAATGACTCATCAATTGTAATATTACGTTCTTTCTTTAACTTTCTAAATAACCAGTAATCTGATACATGAAATACTGTAATCAACTTTTGATCACGCCAAACTGGAAAAGGCATATATTTATGTAGTTGTTCCTGATCCATCCTTTCAAAAATACGTTTTGCTAGTGGGTTTGTTCTACAAGCATTGTAGTACAGATATCGTTCATTCAATAGTTTGAAACATAGAATCATCTTTTCAACTATAATATCTATGATCTTGTTAATGCTTCTGCTATCGCAAGGAAAAACTTGACAGTCGGCAAAGCTTTTCTTAAGATCGCGGTAAATGAGTTTACCTGTTCTTGTGAGTTGCAAATAATTCTGTTGATCCCCACGAACCGTTGTTAATAAATGTTTAATTAAATGAGTATCATTGTGCACTGGAACTATTTCAAACCAACTTGGATCAACACCAGGTGGAAGCTTGATCTTGGAATCATTAGGCACAAAAAATGGTACCAATGTAAGTTTAAATTCAAACGTCCGTTTTAGATATCCCAGATCAACCTTGGTTTCTGACTCATCGAAGTCACAAAAAATATCGGATAGATCTCCGATCGAAGTTTTGTTTCTATCATATTTAGAATTCCACGTATAATGATCCTGGTATTTTATTACATACTCAGGTGCATATTCAACTTCTGCTCGATGAATTAAATCATACAATAGCTGTTCATCACTCTCTACTTTGACGAAATGAAATAGAATACCTGTTATCACAGAGGGGGGCTCACAATTCATCAAGTACATTAAATATACCCGTGACTCCATTTTATTATTAAGATATTTGTCAATCCTCTAGTATTTTGATTTTCTAATGACTCTTCTATTTTTGAGTTGTATAGTATTTTGTCTATTTCAAAATTGGTTTCCTTTAAAAGGTTTTTGCAAAAAAAAACAGAGAAATACAAAAGAATGTAGAAACATAAACTTCGGTATTTAGTTTAAGGAATTCAACATCATCTCTTTATACCAAGTATGATTCGGTTAGTCATAGTGTAAACAAACAAAGCTTTGGAATTTGGGCATTAATGCATTTCAAAAATCATAGCAAATGACTCACGATGTAATGTTTATGTTTTTTCTTATATACTTGGCGCGAAAGATTATTATTTCAAGTTACAAAGATGAAATAGCATGAAGGAAATATTTGGGGCTAGAATCCAATAAGATGCCATTTTCTGGTTTGACCGTAAAATAGTTTGAGCCACTTATGGTAACAAAATGCATGGCAGCTTTCTAGAAACTTGGGGCCCCTAAAAGTTTATAACAGTTCAAATAAATATACTACCAAAAACGTATATATCATCGTCAAAAGCAGTTGAACTGCTTGATATAGAAATTAAATAATAAATTGATTACTTTAATTTATGGAAGTATATTATGTAATGTGGAAGTATACTTAGAAAAATATGAGAGCAGTTAGCAGAGAAGCTAGGCAACAATTAAGCTATGTAATTCGATATTAATCAGAAATTCTGTATATTTATATGGTTACATAGTTCTGGGAATAAAACCAAAATACTAGTTTTGTATATTATCCATGAGTTTGCAACAACTGTATGATTATGTCTAGAGCAACTGAGTTATTGGCCGCAATTCATACAACTTTTAATGAGCTCATTTTCCAGATCAACAAAAACATTTGAGGGTAATGAAGCAAGTGCTTCCCGATGCCGAGACTCTATTTTGTTCTTGATTAACTTCATATTCTCAGAAGTAAAATCACACTTTAATTCAAAATTATGATCGCGTTCTTCGTAGAATCCTGTCTGTAATTCCAACTTCCCGTTTTCGAAAACTAAGGTATAATTGTTTTTATAATGCCACATTATTTCTATATGGTTGTGGTGGCAACGATAGTAATAATCATGCCAGGAAAAGCAAATTTGAAACATCTCATCAATTGTAATATTACGTTCTTTCTTTAACTTTCTAAATAACCAGTAATCTGATACAAAAAGTACTATAATCAATTTTTGATCACGCCAAACTGGAAATTCCATATAACCACGTAGCTGTTCCTGATCCATCCCTTCAAAAATACGTTTTGCTAGTGGTTCTATTCTACAACGCTCGTAGTTCAGATAGTCCGGACCTGGCCACCTGAATGACAGAATCATGTTTTCAACCATAGTATCTATTGCCCTGTTAATGCTTCTGCTGTCGCAAGGAAAAACTTGACAGTCGGCAAAGCTTTTCTTAAGATCGCGGTAAATGAGTTTACCTGTTCTTGTGAGTTGCAAATAATTCTGTTGATCCCCACGAACCGTTGTTAATAAATGTTTAATTAAATGAGTATCATTGTGCACTGGAACTATTTCAAACCAACTTGGATCAACACCAGGTGGAAATATGAAATTGGAATCATGAGGCACAAAAAATGGTATCAATGTAAGTTTGAATGCGTATCCATAAGACAGACAATTCCAGTTTATGTTACTTTCTAATTCATAAAGGTCCATAGTAATATCGGATAGATCTCCGGTCGAAGTTTTGTTTATATCATACTTAGAATTCCACGTATAATGATCCTGGTATTTTATTATATACTCAGGTGCATATTCAATTTCTGCTCGATGAATCAAATCGTATAATAGCTGTTCATCATTCTCTACTTTGACAAAGTGAAAATGATGATTCGTTATCTCAGATGGGGGTTCACAATTCATCAAATACATTAAATATACCCGTGGCTCCATTTTTCTAATCAAGTTAGTAGAATTGGTTGCAGTAGTTTCTTAGTTTTTCCGTGGCTCTGCTTTACTTGAGCTGTATAATTAATCTGGCTCTTTCGAGATAAGTTCCCTATATTTGTTCTTTGTAAAATCTTTGTAAAAACAACGTAAAGATCAAACCACCTTAGGAATTCTGTGCTAACTTTAGCCAGCCCAACCTCATATATTTATACACAGTGTGGTTCAATTAGTCACAATGTAAACAAACAAAGCTCTGGAATTTGGGCATTAATGCATTTCAAAAATCATAGCAAATGACTCACAATATAATGTTTATGTTTTTTTTCTTCTATACTTGGCGCGAAAGATTATTATCTCAAGTTGCAAAAATCGATTGTACTGCAAAATTATTCATATCACCTATACTACCACTTTGGTATGAATAATCGGGGATTCAATCTTCTTTATGAGATACATAAGAGCTTCAAGATAAATTTCAGAGATAGTTTATAGCAATTCAAACAAATGGTAATATCGTGTTGAAACCCAAATTATACAACTAAAAAACAATTAAACTAAATAAAAACCTTTCATAACATCATCAAAAACGGTTGAACTATTTGATTCTTTATATGCTCAGTCTAAAACAATCCATCAATCTCACCATCTTCATTAACTTCGACATTCATGAATCCACAATGGGTAGGTAACCCAGGAATGGTTTGGATCTCGGCAGCCAAAGCATACAAGTATCCAGCACCAATGGATGCCCTGACGTCCCTGATTGGGAACTTGAATCCTTGAGGAACACCCTTGAGTTGAGCATCATGGGAAAGGGAATATTGAGTCTTGGCAATACAGATTGGCAAATTACCGAACCCTTGCTTGGTGTAAAGATCAATCTTCTTTTGTGCTTCAGGAAGGAACTCAACTTCTCCAGCACCATACATTTCCTTGGCAATGGTGGCAATCTTGTCTTCGACAGATGGTTCTAATCCATACAAGAAGTTGAAGTTTCTGGTTGGAGAATTAGCAGCCTTGATGACACCGTGAGCTAAATCAACGGCACCTTGACCACCTTCTTCCCAATGGTTGGATACAATAGCGTCATCGGCACCGGCCTTGAGGGCTTCTTCACGAATAACTTCATGTTCCTTGTCAGAGTCAGAAGACATTTTGTTGATGGCAACAACAACAGGTAAACCATAGCTCTTGGCATTGGCAATATGTTTAGCCAAGTTGGCACAACCAGCACGTAATAACTCGACATTTTCTTGAGTGTATTCAGGAGCTAATGGAGCACCAGCCTTGACTTCAGGACCACCACCATGAACCTTCAAGGCACGAACAGTGGCGACAATGACAATAACATCAGGCACAAGACCCGAGGAACGACACTTGATGTTGATGAATCTTTCACCACCCATGGTGAAATCAAACCCGGCTTCAGTAACAACGTAACCTTCTTGTTCAGCACGTTCTTCATCATCCAAGTCCTTGGAAGTACCGGCTAATTTCAAGGCCATTTTGTCGGCTAAAATAGAAGAAGCACCAATGGAAATGTTGGCGAATGGACCAGCATGGACAAAGACTGGAGTACCTTCAAGAGTTTGCATAATGTTTGGCTTAATAGCATCCTTAAGTAAGGCGGTAAGAGCACCAGCACAACCGATATCTTCACATGTAACTGGAACACCAGCCTTGGAAGCACCAATGACCATCTTACCTAATCTTTCACGCATATCTTCAAGAGAGTTGGCCAAGGCAAGAATAGCCATACATTCTGAAGCAACAGTGATATCAAACCCAGTGGCTCTAGTGAATCCACGTTCAGTTGGGGCTTGTCCGATAGTAATACCTCTCAAGAATCTATCATTACAATCAACTACTCTTCTCCAAGTGATTGTTTCTGGATCAATGTCTAATCTGGCAAAAGCAGTTACTTCTTCTGGGGTTAATGAATCAGGATCGGTCTTGTCAATACCCAACTTCTTTAATCTTCTCAACATGGAAGGAGTGAAGGTTCTAACTCCCTTCTTGGCAGGAACCAATCTCTTGTAAAGTGGACCGTCTTTTTGAGTAGATTCATGGAACATTCTAGTGTCAATAGCAGCAGCTAACAAGTTGTTGGCCATGGTAATAGCATGAATATCACCAGTAACGTGCATGTTGAATTCGTCCATAGGAATAACTTGGGAATAACCACCACCGGCAGCACCACCTTTGATACCAAAAGTAGGACCCATAGAAGGTTGACGAACATTGGCAAAGACATTCTTGTTTAAGTGAGCACCCAAGGCTTGGGCTAAACCGACAGTGGTGGTAGATTTACCTTCACCCAATGGAGTTGGAGTTATACCGGTAACCAAGACATATTTACCATTCTTCTTATTGTCAAGACGTTTGAGAAGATCCAAGGAAACCTTGGCCTTGTAGAAACCAAATGGTTCTAATTCAGAATCTAAAATACCAGCTTCTTTAGCAACTTGGTTAATTCTCTTTGGTTGTTGAGCACGAGAAATTTCGAAATCTGAAGGAACTGGCTTAAGCAAGTTAAGCTTCAATGGATTGGTGAATTTAGGAGTTTCATTGTTGGCAGAATAGTGTCTCTTGGCAGCAATGACGACGTTTTCCAATAAACAAGCAACAGTCATTGGACCAACCCCACCTGGAACTGGGGTAATTAATCTGGTTCTTTGAGAAGCGGCTTCGAAATCAACATCACCAACCATACGAGAACCAGACTTCTTGGTACTGTCAGGAATGAAGTTGGTACCAACATCAATGACAACTGAACCTGGTTTGATCCAGTCACCTTGGATGAAACCTGGTTGACCAATTGCTGCAACAACAATATCAGCATGGGCCAAGTATTGCTTGATTTGGTCAACTGGGGTTCTGGAATGTAAAATAGTAACACTGGCGTTGGCTCTGGTTAACAAGTTAGCCATTGGCTTTCCAACAATGTCAGATCTACCCAAAACAACGGCATTGGCACCTTCAATGGTAACATCTGAGGTGGATAACAAGTGCATGATACCCTTTGGAGTGCATGGTAAGAACAATGGTTCACCACCTTTCTTGGCCAATTCACCAACATTGAAAGGACCAAATCCATCAACGTCCTTAGAAGCAAGCACAGCATCAGTGACTTTAGCTTCGTCGATGTGGGCTGGTAAAGGTAATTGAACAAGAATACCGTCAACAGTAGTAGAGTTGTTCAACTTTTCCACTTGAGAAAGCAATTCGAATTCAGAAATTGTTTCTGGAAGTTTCAAGAGTTCACAGGAGATGGAAGCTTCATTGGCAGCCTTGAGTTTCATCTTGACATAGGTGGAGGAGTCTGGTCTGTCACCGACTTGGATAATGGTTAAATGTGGGTGAAAATCAGGGTGTTTTGCTTGGAAGGCAGTGATATCGGCATGGACATCAGTGCGAACTTGTTGGGCAATAGCCTTACCGTCAATAATAGCAGAGGCCATCTTTACAGGAAATTCAGTGGGAAGAAAAGAAGAAAGAAAGGAAAGAGAAGAGAAAACAAGAGTTGAAATTTTGGTGCAAATTTTCATATCTAAGAAACTTTGGCGGGACCGAGCCAAAAAAAAAAAAAATTGGCGCACATGTCAGAAAAAGATTTTTTTTTTTTGGCGTTTATTTTTATTACTTACAATTGTGACTCTGGCTGGAGTTTAGTGACTTCCTTACGGAGCCAAGTACAAACAATGCAATTGTTGTTTATACAAGTTCGTTTAACTCGTCTAAGTTATCGAAACTATCAACACTGACAGATACAATGTTGTCATACTTTTGATTAATACCGTGAAGTGCCGTCCCTGGACCAAGGTTAACTACATGGGTCACGTTTTCCTTCTGGAGTAACAGCATGGACTTTAACCATTGAACTGGTTGATAGTTGGCTTTAACCGTGTTATCTACTGTTGTGGCAGCATCAGTAGAAACCTCACCGGTAAAGTTGGACACTATCGGCTTTTCTTGTGGGTTTATGTTCCCAAACATATCGGCCAATTCTTGTGACATAGGCTTTAAGATCAGAGTATGAAATGGAATAGACACCGGTAATTTTACACTTCGTCTAACCAACTTTCTCCCGCACTTTTCTATAAATTCTCCAATGTGTTTCTCTTCTCCAGCAATTACTAATTGGTGTGGAGAATTGATATTTGCTAATACCCCCGATTCACGAGCTAGTTCACTCACTTGTTCGTAATTTGCAGGGCTAATCAATAACGCACTCATACCATATTTTACACCACTATTTTCCGCAATCTCCTCCATCAACTCACCTCTTCGTCTTACAATCTTGACTGCAGTGCCAAAATCAACAATTCCAGAAAGGCATAACGCAGTATATTCGCCAAGTGAATGTCCCATCAAATACTGGGCGCTGCCAACAACATCCACCCCGCGTGATTTTAAAAGTTGAGTGAGTATATATGTGGCTGACAAGATTGCAGGTTGGGCATTAGAGGTTTTACCAAACCATTGTTGTGCTCTTGCAGTGTCTTCGTCTGCAAATAAATGTTTTGAGAAATTACAGTTTAGGGTTGCATCGATTTCTTCAAGGTATTTTTGAAATTCTGGCTGGAACGGTTTATATGCTTGTAATAGACCATTGGCAGATATACCTTGACCAGGACATGTTAGAGCGTACTTTACTGTACGAGCAATCGTGTGGTTCATTGGAGAGTACACTGATGGTGTAAACTGATGGTGTAAACTGTTGATGCAAACTGTTGATGTAAACTGTTGATGTAAGCTGTTGATGCAAACTGTTAATGCAAACTTTTTTTGTATACTAGCCCTGGCGCAATTTTTAAGTGGGGTGGGGGAGGGGGGAGGAGGATCATAACAAGGCTCTTACGGCATCAAAATCTATCCAATCATGGTGTGGCTACTGGAATACTGTATGATTAGCTCATTCAGAGGATCACACTACCATGTTGTTACTACATAAAAAGTATCAAATGAATAAGATAATCATATATGGTTATACTTCCCGTTCATGCAAGGCGGGTTACTCCATTGGTTAAAATTTTTGGCTCCCACGCAAAAATTTAACTATTAGCGACAACAGATCGTACCATAATGAGAACAAAAACAAAATCACGAATGTTTTTGTTTGTGAAACTTCGCATCACGAAAATCCCCAAAAATTCCCGCAGTTTTTTTTTGTCCTACCGACGTAGCCTCGCCCAATTCCCGCGAAACTTCATTTTTGTCCACATTTTTCCTTCCCACCAGAACGACCAAACTTACCACCACTCCTACCACAAACCCACCACCGTTACCCCCACCACCTGCCACAAACTAGTGCACAAAAAAAATTTTATTACCATGTCTGATTTCAAAACCGCCAAGGACACCCTTGTTGCATCTCTCTTTGAACTTTCCAAGGCCGCTCAGGAAGCCGCCACTGCCGCTGTTGATTTCTACAAGTTGGCCCATGTTGATGACGAGCAAATTAATGAGGCATTGAAAAGCGTTGGCCAAGTAGCTGATCTTGCCAATGGCCACAAGGAACTTGCCGACATTGCTGCTGCCGCCGTCACCACCGCCAAGGAAGAAAAGGATGCCCCTAAAAAGAAGAAGAAGAAGGTTGAAAGAGACCCTAACGCTCCTAAGAAGCCTTTGACTATGTACTTTGCATTCCAGTTCCACACCCGTAAGGAAATCGCCGACGAAAGAAAGAAGAAGGGCTTACCAAGTTTGTCTGCCATTGACATGAACTCAATTATTAAAGAACGTTGGGCTAACATCAGTGATAAGGAAAAGGAAACCTGGAAGCAAAAGTATAGTGACGAATTGAAGGTTTATAATGTTGAAAAGGAAAAGTATCAAAGTGGATTAACTGCTGCCGGTACTGGTCCATCTAGTGTTCCAGTGGAAACTCCAGTTCTTGCTGCTGTTGAAGACGCTCACGATGCCGATGAAACCAAATCGGAAACTCCAAAAAAGGCCAAGAAACGGAAATCTGATAAGGAAAAGAGTGAAAAGAGTGAAAAGAAGGAAAAGAAAAAGAAGCTTGCTACTGCCTCTTCTTCCGATTAGACTGTGTTATTATTTCTCCTCTATGTGTATTACTATTTATCTAATGTCCTTTCTTCTTTTGTTTATCAATATGAGCACGCAATACTTTTTGTCGATCACGTAAAGATAACTTCTGCTTACCTTGAACCGCCCGCTTATGAATCATCATGACGAAGTTCTTCTTTCTGGCCTTTTCTTTATTGGTTGTCAGATGGGCAGTGTCTCGTTTACCTTTTCTAGATCCAAACTTCTCTCTATCTTCTTTACCTTCCTTAGCATGAGCAATTCTTTCCTCACGAAGTTGTTTGTACTTGACCTTTCCAACCAATGTAGTTGAATCAACTTCATTTTCGTTTATACCCATGAGTTTAGATACACCTGCTTCAGCACGAAGTTCTTCTAATTTGGCGAAATCAGCTGGAGTTAAGATACGAGAAGACATCATTTCACTTGGGTTAGTCTTTGCTTTCTTGGTTGGTGGTTCTTCTGATTCGTCTTCTTCCTTATCTGCTTGTTCTTCTTCGTCATCGGATAATTCCAAGTCGGAAACATCATCATCCTTAGGTTCTGGCTTGTCTTCATCTTCACTATCGGAAATATCGATTTCTTTATCGGACTCAACAGTAACCCACTCTCCTTCTACATCACTAGCATCATCACCTTCTTCCACTTCCCAGTCGTCATCACGTTCCTCATCTTGCTCCAATCCTTGTTCTTGTCTCCACTTTTCCAACAATTCAATCCCAGGAATAGAGGTAACAGTATTCTCAACCCCATATTGTGGCAATCCTGACTTTTCCCCACTTTGCAATTCCATACTGGCAGTCTTACCTCTGTCTTTTCTCAACAACATCTCAGGGGCAACTTCTCTATATAATCCAATCAAAGATCTGGCTGCCATCATCACAGGCTTACTCTTACTACCCTTGTACGCGGTAAGATCTTGAAGCAATGGTGCGTCAATTGCTAATGGTGCACGCGCAAGGATTTCCCTGATAGTATTTATACCAGCCGAAGCGACCTCGGCAGCTACACCATCACTGACGAACTCATCGGCAATTTTTCTTACGACAACTTGTACTGATTCTGGTGGGACCAAATCATGCGAGGCTTGAGCAGCAGCAGCCATGATCTGGGTGACATTACGTTGCTTTGGTGTAAGGTATTTGAGGAAGAATGTGTAGATACCGAGAACGATCAACTTGTGAGTACCGATAAGTCTCGAGATCAAGTTCATAAACATGATTTTCTGGTCCAAGTCAAACTTGTTCAGGTTTTTGTTACTTAAATGAGTCACGAAAAGCTGTTCGGCAAACCCCTGAGGGTCACGAAGAAGATGGATAGCCGAGAAGTTCAAGTATGTGGCGCTGTGTTTAGAATTTGACTTCTTCTTCATGGCCTTGACGGCTGCTTCTAACTTCTTCCCACGCTTGGAGGACTTCTTATTCACTTGCATCTTGTGTTTAAGTTCATTCATATCAAACCCTTCATCGTCGGAAGACTCATCAAAGTTCTCCTCACGCTCCTTATCGGCACCGAGGAAGAACCTAACTCCAGCAACAGCAACTTTGACATCTGGATGCAAAGCAGCCTGAGTCATGATTTCCACAGTACGTGAATCGTCCCATACACCACGTCTCCACAATTCTCTGGTCAATTTAGTAGCCCATAACCCATAAGAGTCCTTACGGTCGAGTAATGTGAAAAGCAATGCTTGAGTAGATCTATTCAATTTCTGGTTCTTACCTCCCGTATTCACGGCTTTCAATAAGGAAATAAGCGTAGAGTAAATCTGTTTTCTCATTTGTTTAACTTGAACACCGTCGGAGGTTAACAACGGGAACAAAGTCTGGATGAGCGATTCGGCAGTAATGACATCTTTGTTACGAAGCATGGTCAAACACTGGATGATTTTTTCACGTAAATCCACATCCAACACTCTGTGGTTTTCCAAAAGGATCATTTTCAATTCATCTGGGAAATTAGCAGTTTCCTTGGGGTAACATCCACACACGGCCGACACGAACCCAATCAAGTCAGCAAATTCGGACGAGTTGGTAGTGTCTGATGGGTTGGAAAGGTACAAGTCACGAAGCGACTCGTAGTGGGAGTATTGTTGAGTGAATTCTTCATGGTATGATTCGGGATCACGACGAACAACGTTCTGGAGGAGAATGATGTTGGTTGGAAGGATAGCGGCTCTTCTTTTCTTACCCATTGTGTATATATATATCTTGCAGTAGAAGAGTAACCTTACTACAGATAAATATTTTTTTTTCCTTTTTTGAGGGATGAGATGATTGCGAAAAAAAAATGAAAAACTTTGTAGTAAACAATTTTATTAATAAATAGAAACACTCTATATACTCTATACAGATAAACTAATCAAATAATCCAGTTAAATTCTCATAGTTCAACTTCTTGGAAACAGGCGTCTTGGAGAAATATATCATAGCAGCATCTTTAGCACTGGTTGGATTACCATCTGCATCCAATTCAACCCCAGAAAATTCACCCTTTAATTCCGGTGGAATAACTGAACGTTGTCGCTTCTTTCTCGGCTGTGCAGAGGTGTTTCCGGTCAACTCATCCGCTTCTTGTTTCAATCTCTTACGCTCTTGCTCAACTAAGAAATCATGATTCAATCCAGTCCATATCCTTTCCTTGATTTGTATTTCTGCCTCGGTTAGTTTACTTTCAAGCACAATATCGTCATCATCGTCGGAATTGAGTTCTACTTCGGAAGATACTTTTTGTAACATCTCTTCAGTCTTGGGAAGATTCTTAACTAAGTTCTTGGGCCAGTTCAACCTCCATATCTTGTCCAAGTCAGATTCTTCTTGTGATGATAATTCATAAGGAGTCTCATAAAGTGATTGTTTAAGTTTTGTCTTTTTAATATTGAGAATTCTTTCCATCTCTTGAGTCAACGACTCTTTAGTCAAGGACATATCGGTAAGAATAGTATTAAGAATGATTTGTTTTTCTTGTTCTTCTTTAGGCAAATTGTCCAAAATGTTTTGTGCTTGTTCTTTAGTCAAGCCCGTGAAATCCTTCAATGATCCATCTGTTTCCAATGCTTTAGAAATTTTCTTTTCCTTAGCACGATTCTTGTCATACGAAGGTGGATTTGAGCTTTCAATTTCCTTCTCATTTTCCCGGAATGATTTCACGGTTAACTCTGCAGCTCGCGTACGTTTGAACTCATTCAATCTTCGTTGGAGAGTTTCTTCACCGACATGGGCCACGGCCACGATTTCGGCATGGGTACGTCTGAAATTATTCATTCTAGCTGCAAGCAAAACGCATGCCCCTGCAATACCAGCTGGTCTTCTCCCTTCGTGGATCCAATCTGCAGACATTCTATGGGCTAGTTTCACAGCATCCTTGACAACTTTGGTGTTCTTATCCCTGAAATCCAACTTTTCCGCAAAATGTTGAATGAATAATGAAGGGTCAGCAAGGGGTAAGCTAGTAATGTGCAATGCCTTGACCATCTTCAAAAATGTAGCACCTAAGGAATACACTGATATTTGTAATCTTGAACTAAAATCAATCAACATATGATGTGTCTTTTCCTTACGACATGCCACATACAAGCAAGTAGCAAGTACATTATTAGATCTTCTTCCCTGAACAAAGTTTAACGTAAGGGCAAGTCTAAACCATTCCCCTGCGGCTTCAGCGATATAATCGGGAATCTGCAAACTGGCAGCTATTCTCCGAATTTTCCGCTTGGCATTGAGTAGAGTCTGTTCACGCGACTCCATGGCGTTTTGTCTTCCTCCGAAATTAGCCCTGGCTTGATCAGCACCAATCATCAGCCCTTGCACTATGGCGGCCCCATTGGATGATTCACCAAATTGGACTTCTGAGACAATGGGGTTTTCTTCAAGAACGGTACCACATCTCTGACAGGCAATATCCAGGGCAGCAGTGTATCTATTTAGAGCAAATGCAGTGTGACCACAATTTTTACAGGCTCTTTGTTTGCTCATGTTGTTGTTGTTTGTTTGTTTATGTGTAGTGTGTGTGTGTACTTATAGCTAGGAAATTTAGTTATTCTCTTTCGTAAATATGTCTGTGTATTATTAAACTTTCGTATATGAGTATTTCACTCTTGTTATAGTCTCTCTTGATGGGAATAGCGTGGTGATCCTTTGGTAAACAGCGGCTTCCCCCCTTTGACTAACTAAAAAAAATTTCCTGAGGAGGAGTAACAAACCAGACAACCAAAAAAAAAAAAAAAACCCACTAAAAAAAAGAAATTTTTAATAAAATCACCAGAACCCTAACTTGCAACCACAACAACCACACAGCAATGAACGAAACCATACAATCGTATGCACCCGTGGAATTAGCAGCCGATCCCTCACTCCCACCACGTAGAATGAGCACAATTTCCCGTCAAGTGACACGAGAATCACTCCTGCCCCTGCCAAGCATAGTCCAGTACAAGTTTCCCTACAATTTAATCATGAAGGTGTCTACTTCAGAACCACGAGATGGTCTCCAACTGGAACGCACATGTCTCACATTCATACGATTTGCAACAGCATTGTTCTTTACTTCATTGGTAATACTTTTGAATTTCCGACTAGATACTCCGCATGCATCGCCCAGATCAGGTTTGTCTACAGTGTTGGCGTATTTATTGCTTGGACTTTCCTTGGTTGTGTTGGTGATTTCAGGAGTCAATTATTTTGTAACCATCAAGAGATATGCAAAGGGGAAAATTGATAATTTTGGGTTTAATAATTTTTGGAGTATGGTGGCGGTCACTGGGGTGATTGTCGCGCTTTTAGCAATCAATGTAACTTTGTTGATTGAGGAGTATTTGATTCATGCATAGCGGTGCGAAAGAGACGATGGCATATTTATAGAAACATGGGCGGGGAGGTTGTTTATAGAACCAATTACAGATACGATTGATGACAGTAATATAATCTAATGTCTATTCTATTTACTCAGTTTAGGCAACTTCCCTTCCTTCTTCTTTTTATTAATTCTCTTCTTTTCACCAAACCCTTGTTTATCCATTTCCATCATGGATTCTCTCTTGGCAGTGGATACAGCAGTCAAACTTTCCTTGATTATTCTATCATCACTAACACCTTCCAATAACTCCATAGTCTTTACAATTCTCTCTTCAATGGCATGGATTCTTTCCACATCCTTCTCACCCACAATAGACACAGCATCACCTTTACGACCAGCTCTGGCTGTTCTACCTACTCTATGGATGAAATCATCTGGATCAGCAGGGATATCGAAATTCACCACAAGTTCAACACTAGGAATATCCAACCCTCTGGAAGCAACATCGGTAGCAATAAGTATGCGAGCAGCACCTGCTTTGAATCTATGAAGAGAGTTGATTCTTTCCGTTTGTCTCATTTGGGAATGAAGCGATGCCACTCGGAACTCAAGTTTACGTAACGTTCGGCAAATAACCTCAGCCGTGATTGTGCGGTTTACGAAAATCACGGCAGTTTTGTCCTTGTATTGTTCAAGCAGGAGTATACTATGAAGATAAGCTTCCTTCACATATGATGGGACAAACACGTATTTTATAGAAAGGGAATTGGGGATAGCCACTTTATCAACTGTTTCCACTTCATGCATAAATACAGGCAATTTCCCTTCTTTGGCAGGTGCATCCTTTAATGCTCTTACTGCATCGGTGACAGTAGCGGTAAAGAGCAAAGTCTGTCTATTTTCACTCAGTGGAATCACTTTAAAACATCTTTCCAAATCGCTGCTAAAACTATTACTCAATAATCTATCGGCTTCATCCAACACTAAGTACTTGACCCGTTTTAATCCTGCAACAGTTTCTTCACCACTGTTCAACACATGATCAGCCAACCTACCAGGTGTAGCAATCACAAAATGCGGGTTACGTTGTAATGCAAGGGCTTGAGTAACTATGTCTTCCCCACCGACAATAACACTGACTTTAATATTCATATTACTCCCCAAGGCAGCAAACTGTTCGGCTATTTGTAATGCTAATTCTCGGGTCGGCGTAAGAATCAACCCAAATATTCCTCGAGGGTCAGCCGACCAGTCAGTAAGCATGGGTGCCGCAAACGCGATGGTCTTACCGGACCCAGTCTTGGCTCCCCCAATACAATCATGGCCCTTGAGAATGGCGGGAATACATGCAGTTTGAATAGGGGTTGGTTGATGGATTTTCATGGCGATTAATGATTCACTGAGCCATTTGGCTACACCCAAATCGGAGAACGACATGTTGTGTTGGTTTTATGATTAATGGTAGTAGCAGTAGTCATGGAATATAAAAACAAGATGAGAAAAAATTAACTACGATGAGGATGAGTTTGGTCACGTGATCTGATTAACAGTTGCAGATTACAGGAACCCATACCATTTGCAACAGCCTTCGTGTGTTATTGGAAGTGGATACATGGCATTATCTGGAGAACAAGAATCAGCGTTAGCTTGCCAATATTTTAGTTTAACATTCCATTTATTGTTTGTTGTTTGGTTCATTTTCAGATTTTGCAACTTGCTCGCATAAAAAATGCAGCATTGAAAAAACTTCCAGGCAACATCTTGTACGACAACAGATCACAATGATACGAAGGATACGCCAGTTATCCCGATCTGCCAGATTATATGAATCATTTATAGAACCGCATCAAGATGAAGCACGGACATCGTACCTCATCCACACAAACCCCCCACCTAGCAACTTACCCACGCGTGTCCATTCCAATGATACCACCTCGGTGAAATACACCGCCCTTCCACACAATCAACCTGCCACGCCCGACGTGCTTTCGGAACGTATAGTCTCCATCGCCGATTACTTCTCAGGAAATACCCATCATACCCATCATGTATTCTATTCTTCGTCGCAAATGCAGCTTGCGCAACGAGCAGCTCGTGTAGAGGGCCACTCTCGAAAATTCATCGATTTGAAAATGGTTAGATTGACTAGTGGGAAAGGAGGTAATGGATGTGTTTCATTCATGAGAGATACTAATAAACCTGTGGGCCCACCAAATGGTGGTGATGGTGGTGAAGGTGGGAATGTGTATGTGTCCGTGGTTGATAATGCCACCAGTTTGAACCATATTAAGAAAACGTATATTGCGAGAGATGGTACTCCTGGGAAAGGTGACCAGCTAGATGGGAAGCGTGGGGAAGATATCATTATTGAAGTCCCCGTGGGTACGGTAATCCGGTGGATTCCTGATCCTGTTGAATTGAAACAGTATATGAGAAGACGTGAGGGTGATGTTGTCGACGATGTATACATCCAATTGAAATGTGATGGGTTCCACAATATTCAAATGTTTAGAAAGGGGTATACACCAGGTGAAGGGTGGATCTTTGGTCAACATGACCAAGAGTACTTTCTCGAACGTGACTTCTTTAATAACTTGAATAAGCAAGTGACGAAATACGACGAAGAGATCATTAACGCTGAAATTGACGAAGATAAATTTCCATTATTAGGTATTGATTGTGATAAACCTACGAAAAAGCCAGTTCTATTGCTCAAAGGTGGTCGTGGAGGAATGGGGAATATGCACTTCCTTAATCATGAAGTGCGTAACCCCAGATTCTGCAAAATTGGCCGCCCGGGACTTACATCTTTCTTTCTTTTTGAATTGAAGTTAATTGCAGATTTAGGATTAGTGGGACTTCCAAATGCGGGGAAATCGACATTACTTCGTGCAATCTCGAGAGCAAGACCACGGGTAGGACATTGGGAATTCACTACTTTGCAGCCTACTGTAGGGACTATTTTCACTATGATAGATAAAGATCCCTTTACCGTGGCTGACATTCCTGGGATTATTAAAGGGGCATCCAACAACAAGGGAATGGGACTTGATTTCCTTAGACATATAGAACGTTCTGGTGGACTTGTGTTTGTGATCTCACTCGAGTCTGCTAACCCAGTAGCTGATTTACAAACATTGGTAGATGAAGTGGGGGAAAAGCGAATGAAGAATAAGAAAGTGCTTATTGTTGCAACCAAAGCTGACTTGAGCAGTGAGGGGAAAAACTATCTCGAATTGAAGCACCACCTTGAACAGACGCAGCCACAGTGGAAAATTGTCCCTGTATGCGCGCCAAAGGGGGAGAATATTGATAAATGTATTAGATTAATGGGGGAGATTGCCCAAAAGGATAGTCACATATCCGAATAACCCTCCCACACACACGCGTAACTGCTCTTGTATATACGTATTTAGTTCTTATCTAAAATAATTTTTAGTAAAGGAAAAAAAAAAAGACAATAGATCCGTGTCCTGGACAAAAATATCATGAAATAAACACAAGGTAGACAGTGGATAGTGGTTTAAATTAGACTGCGATGTATGTTTCTGCTTGCACAGGAACCCTGTCTCCACAATAAAAAGAAATAACGGCACTTTTCATTTACAATACATGTGGCTATAAGTGGCTACAGGCATGCTAACGCATGACGAAACAGCGGTTGCATTGACAAGAAAATCATAAGATATAGTTGCAAAGACAATGGGCATCGGTCATACAGCTCTCTCTCTCTATAAACAATGCCGAGAAATTTATTGCTAAATTACCGTTATATGACAATATACGGTTTTGCATACTTTTACCATCTGATTATCTTCTTCCCGCAGGGGATCCCGCTAGTAAAAACCCCATTTGTTTGGTATTCGGAATAATCACGGTAGGCGTCCGAACAGTGCATATTCGGCGTTTTCTAATGCCCTTCGCCCAATTTTCACCTCGACTATTCATCGATGTTTCTTTTTATAAAAATGTGGCATACTCGCGATTACGACCCTGTATCCTCATGCTCCACAGCATCACTTCATCTCTATGACCAGAAATGTGTCAAGTCAACGATCGAAATTCCATCTTCCCCTGGCTCTAATTGTAACTAAGGAAATTCCAAGATCACAAAGATGACCCACATCCATGCAAGTGAAAGTTCCTTACTGCATGAAATATTTTTTATTTTCACGTCTCTAAAAAAATATTAGTACTTGTTTATTTGTTATTTTTTAACGTTTCCATGGGAACGGAAATAATCCCATCGACAAGCAATATTCCGGAATCCGCCTCAACTCTTTTTTTTCAGTTTTGTGCCTGGCAAAAAAATATTTTTTACAGCTTAATCTAAGGAAACTTTTATGAAATCAATCTGAAACTGTCGATATAAATATATCCATGGATCCCTCAAACTTGATCCAAACACTTGTCTCATCACAGATACACATTCATAACAATTATTGCAAATTCCAATCTTTTACGTTTCTTGCTATAATGTTCGCTGCTGAGTACTATAATCCATTTCAACAAATTCCATTCGCAAAGAATGACGTGCCGGTATCACCAATATCACCATCCACATCTCCAGTAACCCACATTCACTCATTGCCCGCTGAAGATTACTTTACCATCAAGCCAAGATTGTCGATCGATATTCACTCTGACAAGTCTGACGACAGTGAGGAATCTGAAGATGAATCTCCAGAACAAGTGTTTGACGATTACTTGCGTACACCACGTACCGACTTTTCCCCATTGACTCCATATGATACCTTCCCTTCGCCTACTTTAGAAAGCTACTTTCCATCCAAGTCCATGGTTGACTTGGTGATTCCAAACTTCACCCCATACAAGTTTCTCATTGTCGATGACAATATCATCAACTTGAAGATTTTGAATCGTATCCTTAAAAAGATTTATCCTCGTGCTGAAGTAACACAAGTCCAAGATTCCACCAAGGTTAAGCCAATGCTTGAAACTGCTACATTTGATGTTGTGTTTCTTGATATAGAGATGCCCAAGGTCAATGGGATTGAATTGGCCCAACACATGAGATATAATAGCAAATTTGACAAGTGGGGTGTCATTGCTGTAACTACATTGACCTCAGCTAGAGACTTGAGGATATTCAAGCTGTGTGGCATCGACTATACTTTTGACAAGCCAATGAAGGTTGGTTTAAATGAAATTGGTCGCATCATTGATGAAATCATTGATCAAAGAAAGTTTCATCGTTTTACTTAGATATTGTACATAGAGTTGTCTTTTTGGGTTTTAAGGTTTATAGTGTAATACTACAATTAATACAGTTTAACTTTGTGTGTGTAGATTGATAGTACCTCGGTTAAGGCGTGTGTCGCATCGATAGGCAAATCGCAGTTGCCAAGATCAATGCCGTAACTATCTCCACAAAATATTCTAAACGTAACTGATCCCCTGCTAGGTACCGCCTCATCTAATTTGCTCAAAGGGAGTAGCGAATGACCTTAATTATTTTTGTAGGCGTGATGTTTGCATCACTTCTTAAAAAAAAAAATAAAGAACCCCAGTGTTTGTCCCCACCTGCTGCAGAAATATTTTCAGCAACTGGAAAATAATCTAAATTCTTTTTTATTTTTTTTTGTTTTGTACGTGCCGCGTGGAATTGTGCACAATAAGATTTCACGGATCTGTTCAACTAAAAGAAACTTTGACATTAAAAAATATTTCTTTGGTCCAGGTTATGAGCCTTCTATTGTCGGATGACTGGACGTTCCATGCATACGGATTCTATTCCGCGGTGAAAAAAATCAAGGCTTTTCTCGGGTATGCTATGGCATGGACGCCGTAATTAGTTTCTATCTTATTGATTACACTGATGAGTTGCACGGACTTATCAATTACTTAGCCACCGTGCCGCAAAAAAATCATCTAGCGAAAATTATTTCCACTAAACCTCTGTCAAGATTTTAGAAATTGTGCAGGGGTGTACAACACATTATTTCACCTGCTAAATGTCATATACTCCAACTCCACAAAGCAGGAACAGTTTACGAATGAACCCTAAAAATAGCCCGGACCATTATCTTGGTTTTATCACTACAGTTACATACAGAACAACCAAGTAGAAGCGGCACTGTTCTACCTAAACAGGAAATCCCGCCCAGGCCCCTAATGCCTTGTCAATATTTTATCAGTAATTTTTCGCAGTGGGTGATAATACCCGATCACGTGACTGACCCTATTTTTTTCTTGAACAATAGGCCGCGCGCGCCAAGGAATATGTTCCGGAGACATCTGGCCAAGAAAATTTTGGTTTGTGTTTACATTGTCTCGGTTTTTCCGACGTTGTTTCCACAAATACGGCGTGTTCTGGAACAGCTGACGTCTTATCTTTGATAATATAGTTTGGTTTTTTTTTTTTGCGGCATTCATTTGTATTTTTTGCATCAAGGGAAGCTGGAGTCGGCTGTTGCTTTGCTTGTTTGGGAAAATTGATCTAACTCAACAATGGAAACAGCCGATCGGTGCTATTCTTGGCGATGCTCGATTTGCGAGTTATGGAATGATTAAACGAGATAACAATGGGAATATTATTAAGATGTTTTGTTTGTGTGTTCAGATCTTGCAGTCAATTTGTGGATGGTTATGAGCAGTCATAAGTGGTAACAATTTAATGCTTGTTGCTACATTGTTTGCGCCAGATTTTTTCCATGGGTAAAGATCTCGTGCAATACTTCACATTGTGTATATAATTCTTTGTTAAAAGGTTCAGGATAATACAATGACAAAAGCATTGTATCAGAAAAACTGTGTTTACGGTGCTATCGGCACTTACTCCGCCATTATTTCTGTATTCGTAATGCACCACTAAATTGGCATCGATCTATGCTGTCTTGCATAACTAGAGATCATGCAAAACATATTAGATTCAATATAACAGAAATGTGATCATAAAAGTCACACGCTCAAGAAATCGTAAGAGAATGCAGTATATACCAACATAATAAGGTTGTCCAAGATCAATGTCAAAATACAAGCGCAACTCTCTATTAGTACATCATTGATTGTGAGCTGATCTTATGCCCAGATCTTGGCGGAATTGGTCATAATAGTGTATAATTCCGCTGCAAGTAAATAGCATGATCAAGTAAAATGCTTGAATACGGAACAAGTATCCATTCTAGGATATTTGAGCATTTACTAAGCCTTTTGTAACGGTTTCTACACTTACGTCGCCTGTGATGTAATCATAGGGGTTTATTGTAGTCATACAAATCAAGATTTGCAGCAAAAGAAAAAACAAAAACCTGGAGTTGAAATTATGCATGAATGATCTGATGCATAATTTATTTTTTCAAAGTTTTGCGCGTCCAAACAAAGCTTCCAAAAGAAATTTAGCCTTACTCCGCCACACGCATCTTGACAATTCCAGAATAACTTCAGCCTGATGACAACTCAAAGAGAGAACACTTACAGCATTGGTGATGTGTGTTGATTTAGATTGAGCATATTCAGTTTATGCATGGCTAATGCAAAGAGTCGCCTGATTTATTTCCGCGGAATTGCGCGCTACGCCTCGTCATTGTTGGAATGTAGTTGCAACCATTGAAAATTGTAATAAATAAACGAGATAGTGGTTAACAATAGTCATATGTTTATTTGGTGAGGACTCCTCACTCCTGCAAGCGCACATATATCATCGTTCGCCTTATGGCGATGCCGTAGTGGGGCCACTACAACAATGGCTATGTTTGATGTCAAGGCGATAACTCTGCCTTCGGGCAATTCCGGCATACTGGTCTTATTCCGAAGTGCATAAGATTATTTATTTACTTGGTTACCTCACGCCTTGCAGCGACTTGGTACCATGACTTCCGTTGCTGGCTATGTTCTTTGATTGAGACGTGACTTCAGCAATGAAGCCATTGCTGATTCCGCTCATATTTTTGTATGGGCGAGTTGATACCTTTGCATGATCGTGATCTTTGCCGTGGTGACATCATTTTTGATTGTTTCTATCTGAATGGTTTTGGCCTTACATGTATCAATAAATGACTGTTGCTCTGCCTAGTTTTGCACGTCATAGTCGTAATATCTTACTAATCGATCCTATTTGAAAGTGACGCAATTAGAAACATGATTAATATTCATCAATAATCTAGAACAGCATTGTTACTCTATTCTCAAAATAGGCTCTGTTGTGCATATTGCCTGATGATCATTTGTGTCATCTGATCCATGATACTGCTACTGATATACCTTTGAGAAATTGGATTTGCAAAAAAAAAAAAAGAAACTATTTACAATATTGGCTTTGTTCTCTTCCAATTCCATTGTGATTACGATTTTGACGTTACTTCTCTTAGTTGACTGGTGAAAAAGTTCAAAAAGGCAATTGCGACAATTCACCTGGAAATGATTTTTCAAACAATCTTGCAAAATTTTATGAAATACCGAAAACCGTTTAAAAGTTCTCCACAATCAGCATATAGAAAGAGGTGGTACTAGCAGTGATAAAAACCAATTTAAACTTCATATAAAAGTAAATACAAGCGTATTTTGAAGGTATGGACCTAAATATTGATATTTGAAAATTTGCTAACAAAATTGAGTAAGAAATCTATAAAATCGCAGTATATTGCAGGAATATCACCCAATTTTTTAATCAAGGTTCCTAATGGAATAAACACTACATATATCATCTAAGCTATGTGTTTGTACTCAAATAAAGGTTGAGAACTGCCGAAATTTAAGAGATTTTCATATTCTGGGTAAATTTTATACAGTGTAAAATTCATGAAATTTTTTCGATCAGAAAACTTGCTCGTATGGCGCAGTGGTAGCGCAGCAGATTGCAAATCTGTTGGTCCTTAGTTCGATCCTGAGTGCGAGCTTGTTAATTTTTTTGAATATTCTAACTATCACTTTGGATCATTCTATGACTTTAATTAGGCGTAGCTAGGTGATTCTAGAATAGCTATTGTTGTTTTTTTTGGGAAATTTATGTAGCATGTAGAAATAACCTTTTTTCTTGTGTTATGTTTATCACCTGACATCATCAAGTTTTCGGGTAAGACTTTTTCAAACCTATCCAAATCTAGACCAATACATATGTCATACAAACTGATTTTGTGTTGGTGTGTAATGTTCTAGTTCTATATTAACAAGCTCGTTTCAAACCAGGGTAATTGTTTTTAGACCAACTTTGTCCCAAAGCGGAAATGTAATGAGCTGCAGTGAAATATTTTTTCTGGCGTTTGCATTATGGAGATTTTGTGTTACACATATAACCTTTGACGGCATGGTGGCTCGTTGAATGTTTCACATTCCTGCTACACTTTTACTTGACAGGTGTAAATTCATATTGAATTCCATTTGTGAAACATGTAACACGAGCAATTTTGAAAATAAGCAACAGTACCTTATATGAAACAAAGAGTGGAAGTTTAAACTTACAAATAAAAACAAACAAACAAATAACGAAACAAAAATAAAAGGTGGCGCGCGAGGATGTGAAAAAAAAACTTGAGATGGGGAAGTCATGACACTGATCTGACATATCTAACAACCAACCAGAGCCATTAGCTGACAAAGTTTGATTTTACATTTGCATTCATTCATTCAAATACCCTGCATATTTGTATCTTGTTTATATAGACTTGGCATTTCTGCATTCACAGCGTTGTTATAGAGCCATTGTCCAGTTTTGCCACTCATGCCAAGCACGATCATAATAACACCCCAGATCGAGGAGGGTGGTTTGGTTGAGAAGGAATTTGATAGAGATAAGCTTCTTGAACTATTGCAAAATCTATGTTTTAATTTGGATACTGATCATTTAGAATTAGAAGCTGTCGTGTCCGATATTGCCCGAGGGTTGCCTGATCGAATTGAAATTGAAAAATTATATGAGTTCGTGGCGGAGGCATTGGCCAGTAGGATAGTATATCATCCAGATTATGCTATCCTTGCCGGTAGGATCGAGATCAAGAAATTTGATAGCATTGTTCCATACACATTCAGTGAAAATGTCAAACGACTCCAAGCATACCGTCATCCTCGAGTTAAAAACAGACCGTACTCTATGTTATCTGAGAAATATTGTGATGTTGTGATGAAGCATGCAGCGTTCTTTGATGAAGTGATTGATAAATCGCGAGACAACGAATTGACATATTTTGGAATCAAGACATTAGAGAATTCATATTTACTCCAGATGAATAATCAAATCGCCGAAACTCCACAATACTTGTTCTTGCGTGTTGCCATTGGAATTCACTTTGATGATCTTGAATCTGTAGTGGAGACATATGACTTGATGTCGCAAAAGTACCTCATTCATGCTTCCCCCACATTATACAACTCCGGCACCGAGTTCAATTACTTGTCGTCTTGTTTCCTCCTTGCCGTCAAAGAAGACTCCATCGATGGAATCTACAAGACTCTACACCAAGCAGCACTCATATCCAAAGCTTCAGGCGGGATAGGTATACACATGCACGACGTCAGAGCCAACGGTTCATTTATAGCAAGCACAAGTGGGATTTCCAACGGGTTGGTTCCAATGTTAAGGGTATTCAATAATACTGCAAGATATGTTGACCAAGGAGGCGGGAAACGGCCAGGTGCATTTGCAATGTATATTGAGCCATGGCATGCTGATATTTTCGATATACTTGACATGAGAAAGAATCATGGTAATGAAGAACAAAGAACACGAGACTTGTTTTATGGATTGTGGGTTCCTGACTTATTTATGAAACGAGTCAAAGAAGACAAGGAATGGTCATTATTTTCTCCCGACGAAGCACCTGGATTAAGTGATGTATATGGGGATGAGTTTGTGGAATTGTATGAAAAGTACGAACGTGAAGGGTTGGCAATTTCTACAATCAAGGCGCACAAGTTATGGTTGGCTATATTGGAATCGCAAACGGAAACCGGGGTGCCATATATGCTCTATAAAGATGCTTGTAATTCCAAATCTAACCAAAAGAATTTGGGGACCATCAAATGTTCAAATCTTTGTTGTGAAATCATTCAATATTCCTCGCCTGAAGAAACTGCAGTTTGTAATATCGGCTCATTAGCATTGCCTTCATACTTGAAGACAGCCGAGAACCGTGCTGGCGAAGAAGTATTGGAATTTGATTTTGTTAAACTACACAAAGTTGCCAAGGTGCTAGTTAAGAATCTAAACAAGGTTATTGATGTTACTAGATATCCAGTACCGTCAGCCGAACTCTCTAACAAGAAACATAGACCAATAGCCATTGGAGTACAGGGTCTTGCTGACTTGTTCCTCGAGTTACGACTTCCATTTGATTCGCCTCAAGCCAAGCACTTAAACATGCAAATTTTCGAAACTATATATCACGCCGCAATTGAACAATCTACTGAACTTGCATTCCAAGAAGGTCCCTATGAATCATTCGAAGGCTCTCCTGCATCACAGGGTCTTCTCCAATTTGACTTGTGGAACCATAAACCATCACCATTGTATGATGACTGGGACACATTAAAGGAAAATATCAAAAATTTCGGATTGAGAAACTCCCTCCTTGTTGGGCCCATGCCTACTGCATCCACATCGCAAATCCTTGGGTTCAATGAGTGTTTTGAACCATACACTTCAAACATATACACTCGTCGGGTACTCTCAGGCGAATTCCAAGTCGTTAACAAGTACTTGATTAAGGATTTGATTGATTTGGGAATTTGGAATTCCAGCATGAGAAACAAGATCATTATGGAGAATGGGTCAATTCAGAACATTGCCAGTATTCCACAGGAAATCAAGGACTTGTATAAGACAGTTTGGGAGATAAGTCAACGAGTCATAATTGATATGGCTGCTGACCGTGGGAAATTTGTTGATCAGCTGCAAAGTATGAACATCTATTTAAAACAACCCACGTTTGGAAAATTAACCAGTTGTCATTTCTATGCTTGGGAAAAGGGGTTGAAAACAGGGATGTATTATTTAAGAACTCAAGCTGCAACACGAGCTATTCAATTTACGGTTGATGCAGAAGAAGCCAGCAAGGTAGACAACGTTGAAGTAAGCCCAAGCACACTTAAGCGAAAGAAGTATTTGGAAATTGATCATGTTCTGCTCAAAAGAAAACGAGAAGCATATGTGACTCCCGATTCCCAATCCCGGGAAGACCCCACGGATATTTATGATTCAACCCCGCTTGTTTGTGATATTGTCGAGACTGGAAGTTGTCAATCGTGTTCGGGATAAGAAAAGCCCATACCCCATGTATCTAGCCTGTATTATTTGTATATATAAAAAATTGTACATAGTCTTATTGTCCACGCGACTTTAACTTTCTATTGGCGAAATCTGCCACCTGTGACATCCCATCTTTGGTCACGAAGAACTTCCTCTTGATCTTATCCGACCAAATAAGCACCCCCAATTCGGAAGCATAACTTGACAACTTGTCAAATTCTTGTTGGTTAGGGAAATCCTTGAACAAATACCCGTCAAATGTCTGTATTCTGTCCAATTCTAATTGCCACAACTTAATCTGATCCACGACGTTAGGAGGCAAGATTTCCAATTTGTGCTGTGCTACTGATCCATCCGCTCTGAGAGCCTGACTTTGTGGTGCACCACCGGCAGTGTTGATATTGTGACTGGTATCAAACTCAATCTTCTTATCTAACTTTTCCTTTGCTAGCACTTTCATTTGAGGATGGGCATGAGTTTCCAAGAATCGAATGATTTGATCAGCCGTTATACCGTTGTATAATGCGTTACGAATGGATTCCCGAGTGATTTGGCCACAAACCATATTGGCGAATCTCGTACGTAAATGAACAAATAGATTAAGAATGGCGATTTCAAGGGGTGAATTTGTGTATGCATATAATTTGAAGTTGGTCTCGATGATAACCGTTCCCTGTATGTTTCCTGGTGGTGCTGTTTGCAGTACTTCATTGTCAGTACCGCCTTCGACTGAGTCAAGAGCTTGTTCAACCGCCATGGCTGGTGTTTTGAGCGCAGATGAATCCGAGGTTAATGTGGTGGCTAATCTTGTAGGATAAAATCTACTGGATGTGTCTGTGCGTCGGTATACTAATCCGTAATCTTTCAAATCTGCCAACATACTAACTTGAGTTTCACTTAAACTGGACACAGCATAACTCTTTCCTAACTCTAGCGAACCAAGGACAAATATGAAATTCAACACGTCAACTGGGTCCATGTTTAACTCCTGGGTCAAATTCAAATATTGTAACAACAACGTCCAGATCTGGGCATTGACATCCTGTAAAAGAAATTGAAATCCCGTGTTTGTAATTTTCAAATTACTGGCACCTCGTCCTGGGCCCTCCATTAACCCGCCTAGTCTCAATAACGACAACACTGAATTTGACGGCGTGGCAGTGGATTCCGTCCCCACCATGAAATGCAAGATAGTTTCCCACTTTGAGGAGGCAAACGAGTCAAGAAATGCGACATCAACCTGGTGCTTATCCACGGTGGTGCTGATACTTCCAAATGCAGTGGGGTCTTGTGATCCCGTGAGACAGTCTCTAAAGTTCTGTCTAAATGTAGAATGCAATCGTATATGAGAAGCCTTGCTGTCGTACTCAATCAAATGCAACGACTCCAATTGTTTCAATGCTTCGTATTCGAGCTTCCGGGCCAGGGGCATGCACCACTTATCCAAGTCTCTCAATGCAACCGGTTTCTCATTGAAGATCATGGACATGATGAAGAATTTTGCCATGGGAGAGAGCAATCGATAGATCGAAAGACAAGTTGCTGGAGCTTCATATAGTTTAGACTGCACAGTCTTAGGAAGACCTTCCAAGTATTCATTGACTGTTGCCTTGAAAAGGTTGCTTGATGACATGGCTTACTGGTGATACTTGGTTTTGGTTGTAAAACTTGCCTGTCTTTAAATTTTTGAAGACCAAAAAAAACACCGCCAAAGTCACATGACCAAAGTCACGAGACTCCATCGAAAATTTTGGCAGCCCAAAAATTTCCTTAGCGAAGAGAAGAGAAAACATTAGTAATAACACAGCATCTTCTACAGTAACTCACCACTTCTATCATGCCACCTAAGAGAAAGGCTTCTAGAGTTGCTGCTGAGTCAGATGAAGCATTCCAGGAACTTTTCCAACCAGAGTACAAGGGAAAGAAACTCACTGACGAGATCAACACCGCGGAAGACAAATGGAACTTACTTCCTGCGTTCTTGAAAGTCAAGGGGTTAGTCAAACAACATTTGGACTCATTCAACTATTTCGTGGACACGGACTTGAAAAAGATCATCAAGGCTAACGAACTCGTCTTGTCTGATGTGGATCCCGAGTTTTATTTAAAGTATTTGGATATTAGAGTTGGCCACAGATCGAAAACTCCTAACGACAAGCTCGTGCTTATGCCACCACATCAATGTCGTTTACGAGATTTGACTTATTCAGCCCCAATTTTTGTGGATGTGGAGTATACCCGTGGCCGTAAGATCATCGTGCATACTGATTTGGAAATTGGAAGAATGCCAATTATGTTGAGATCAAACAAGTGTATTTTGGACGGAGCTGATGATAACACCATGGCCCGTTATGATGAGTGTCCCTTGGACCCAGGTGGGTATTTCATTGTTAATGGTACTGAAAAGGTCATTTTAGTTCAGGAGCAATTGTCCAAGAATAGAATTATTGTCGAGGCTGATGAAAAGAAAGGGATAGTGCAAGCATCCGTCACTTCTTCTACTCACGAGCGTAAATCCAAGACGTATGTCATCACCAAGAACGACAAGATTTACTTGAAGCATAACTCCATCAGTGAAGATATCCCTATTGTCATTATCTTGAAGGCTGCCGGTATCACTTCCGATTTGGAAATTTTACAATTGGTTTGTGGATCTGATCCAAACTATCAAGATTTATTCGTGGTGAATTTTGAAGAAGCGGCCAGATTGGAAGTGTTCACCCAACAACAGGCTTTGAATTATGTCGGTAAGAGAGTCAAGACTATTAGAAGAGCAGGCGCACCTAAATTATCACAATTGCAAGAAGGTATTGAAGCTATTGCCACCACTATTATTGCCCATTTAACCGTGTCTGATTTGCAATTTAAAGAAAAGGCCCTTTATATCGCTACCATGGCCAGACGTGTTATCATGACCATGCACAATCCAACCATGGTTGATGATAGAGATTATGTTGGTAACAAGAGATTGGAATTGGCTGGTCAGTTGATGTCATTATTATTTGAAGATTTGTTCAAAAAGTTTAATTCCGACTTTAAAGCCAACATTGACAAAGTGTTGAAGAAACCCAGCAGAACTTCTGAATTTGATGCATTACTTTCGATCAATATCCACTCCAACAATATCACCATGGGTTTAAATAGAGCTATATCTACCGGTAACTGGTCGTTAAAGAGATTCAAGATGGAAAGAGCCGGTGTCACTCATGTCTTGTCACGATTGTCGTATATTTCCGCCTTGGGTATGATGACTCGTATTTCGTCGCAGTTTGAAAAATCGAGAAAGGTTTCTGGTCCAAGAGCATTGCAGCCTTCTCAGTTTGGGATGTTGTGTACTTCAGATACCCCAGAAGGGGAAGCCTGTGGGTTGGTTAAGAATTTAGCATTAATGACACATATCACTACCGATGACGAAGAATTGCCAATTAAGAAGCTTTGCTACATGTTGGGTTGTGAACCTATTTTGGGGGTCGATTCCGCTACTTTGCACGATGAAGGAAACTTTGGTATTCATGTCAATGGTACCCTTGTAGGAACAACCCGTTTCCCTGGTAAGTTTGTGGAGAACTTCCGTAAGTTGAGAAGAACCGGGAAAGTCTCGGCTTTTATTTCCATACACACAAACACCCACCAACAAGCTGTGCACATTGCCACTGATGGAGGTAGAATCTGTCGTCCATTAATCATTGTTGAGAATGGAAAATCAAAAGTGACTGCGGAACATTTGCTCAAGTTGAAGAAGGGAGAGTGGGCATTTGATGATTTCTTGGTGCATGGATTGGTCGAGTACCTTGATGTTAATGAAGAAAATGATTCCTTAATTGCATTGTACGAGGAAAATATCAATGAAAACAGCGTTCCTACTACCCATTTGGAAATTGAGCCATTCACGGTATTGGGTGCCGTTGCCGGGTTGATTCCATACCCTCACCATAACCAATCGCCTAGAAACACATATCAATGTGCGATGGGTAAGCAGGCAATTGGTGCAATTGCCTACAACCAATTCCGAAGAATTGATACCTTGTTGTATTTCATGGTTTACCCACAACAACCAATGGTCAAGACCAAGACTATTGAGTTGATTGATTACGATAAATTGCCGGCAGGTCAAAATGCTACTGTGGCGGTGATGTCGTATTCCGGGTACGATATTGAAGATGCTTTGGTTTTGAATAAGGCCAGTATTGATCGTGGGTTTGGACGTTGTCAGGTTGTGCGTAAGAACACGATCCAGTTGAAGAGATATCCTAACCATACCAAAGATATTCTTTCCGGTATGAGAGTTGACGAGCATGGTAATCCAATTTTCCCCCATCAAGCATTAGGGCCAGATGGGTTGGGTGAAGTTGGAGCTAGAATTGAAAATGGGCAAATTTATGCCAACAAGTTTGTTCCTACCAATGCTGGGGAGTCTGCCTTGGGGGGAGCCAGTGAACCAACCAATGTTGAAAGTCATCGAGAAACTCCCGCTTACTATAAGGGTCCTGAGCCTTCGTATGTTGATCAAGTTATGATGTCTGTCAGTGATAACGATCAAGCTTTGATCAAGGTGTTATTAAGACAAACCAGACGTCCGGAATTGGGGGACAAGTTCTCTAGTAGACACGGACAAAAGGGGGTTTGTGGTATTATTGTCCAACAGGAAGATTTGCCATTCAACGATATGGGTATTTCGCCTGATATTATCATGAACCCGCACGGGTTCCCATCTCGTATGACGGTAGGTAAGATGATTGAATTGATTTCTGGTAAGGCTGGTGTGTTGAATGGTACGTTGGAATACGGGACTTGTTTCGGTGGTTCTAAGTTAGAGGACATGTCCAAGATTTTAGTTGACAAGGGGTTCTCGTATTCTGGTAAGGATATGTTGTATTCGGGTATCACTGGTGAGTGTTTGCAAGCGTACATTTTCTTTGGGCCAATCTATTATCAAAAATTGAAGCATATGGTTTTGGACAAGATGCACGCGAGGGCAAGGGGTCCAAGGGCTGTGTTGACCAGACAACCTACTGAAGGTAGATCTAGAGACGGTGGGTTGAGATTGGGGGAGATGGAGAGAGACTGTGTTATTGCCTATGGTGCTTCGCAGTTGTTGCTTGAAAGGTTGATGATTTCTTCTGATGCATTTGAAGTTGATATTTGTAACAAGTGTGGTTTGATGGGTTACAATTCGTGGTGTACGACTTGTAAATCTTCTGAGAATATCATCAAGATGACGATTCCATGTGCTGCCAAGTTGTTGTTCCAAGAGTTGTTGTCGATGAACATTGCTCCTAGATTGAGATTGGGTGATGTGTTTTAGCTTGTATAGAGTGTATAATATAGAAAATGAGATAAAGAATTGACCGAGATAAACTGATTAATGGCAAGTAGGTGGATAGAGATTGAAGATAAACATGACATTGATTGGTTGCAAAATGCAAAATTGCAACATAAACTTTTTTTGTAAAAGTCGTGTGCCTCCTAAAAAGTCATCCTAAAGTTTTTTTTTACTCCCCCAATTTTTTGTGTCACTTGATTCTTGTTTCTGGCTTTTGCTTCTTGTTGCTTTAAAGTGTCAGCCCATAAACCTAAGCTAGTTGTGGTGCTATTTCGAAAAGTTGTCTTGTTTTTTGCTATTCAGATTAATAATTCATTAGATTCATTCCAAGTAGGATGTCGTCCCCGCTGTCATCGTCTCCTACGCTGCCACTATTAGTTGGTTCCAGACCTAGACAACAGCAACCACTGGGCTTAACCACAATTTTCCGACCCACAATATTGATCTTCTGTTCCCTTGTACTAATAGCATTCATATTCATCAACCTGAAGAACAAGTCCCATCTCGATTTCGAGGATGCCGTGTTCCTCACCAAGAACTCCATCAAGGAGCTTAGAGAGCAATACTTTGCCGATGGGTTTCATCCTCGAAGAAGAATAAAACTACACAATGAAGTGGGCCAAGACTCGCAGGTGCTTAATCTGGATATCGATTATCCCTTGAACAACGTTGTCAACTCGTTTTTCCCTATCGATGCGGTGGTTTCGTTCAATGCAAGTTTGCCTGAGGACGATCCGAGCGACAATATCACCACCCATGACTTTATTGCACGATATGCTTCATTCAGTCCCATTCTCAACTATCGAATGTCAAGCAAGTATAAGGTGTTGCGTGAAAATGCTTGTTCCAAATTGAAAGGGCGTGACTTAAAGGAATACAAGAATAAAACTCTCATTGTCCTTCGCGGAGAGTGTACATTTGTCGATAAGGTTTCCAATTTGCTCGAATCCAACTTAAATCCAAAAAGCATAATCATCGCCAATGATGAGCCATACAGAGGACTAATCACCATGTTTTCTAGTGATTTCAACCAGGATGGTTCGTTGCGCATTCCAATCTTGTTTATAACTAATGAGGATTACCACACTTTGAAAGCGATTGAAAAGTTGGGTTTGGAAATTGATATAGATACTGCGTATATTGGAAGTTGGTTAAGCATACTATTATCGATGGTTTTGTCGCCACCATTGCTAATTGTGATTTTCTATTGCATAATTATATGTGGACAGAGAATCAGAAAACGTCAAGTTAATATTCAAAATAAGAATATGGTCAAGCAACTACCAATTTACATTTACAATATTGATCATTTAATTGCCAGTCAGTTTTTCCAAAAGTATTTAACAACTACGTCGCAAACAAACATGGTTCCTAAAGACAGTGAAGCCATGGAACTATTTGATTCACCCAAGGGCTCAATTCAAGGTGCTTCTTCCAGGATAATAGTGGGAGGTGTTGATGTACGAGCATCCAAGGACTCACTCCATGTCATAACTGCCCCTGACGATTTCTTTCCTGCTTACAAGTGTTCAATCTGCTTGGACAAGTACGTTCCTTTAAAATCAAAAGTGTTGGTTCTAGAATGTAAGCATTTCTTTCATGAAAAGTGCCTATCCAACTGGCTTATAAATTTCAAACGAAGTTGTCCCTTGTGTAATTCCACCTTGCATAAACCAAATAATGCATATTTACTTGCGGATGATCAAGAGTATTATGGAAGTATGGATTTAGAAGCTGGATTTGATGCTTCACCATCACAACAGGAGAGTATAACTAGTGAAGGAGACGAAGAAGATTTCTATATGGCTGCGTCATCGCCAAGAAGTGGTTTAATACTAAACACTAGTAATGAACCAGTAGAGAGGTTTTCGTCATCAGAATCAGGGGACTCGACACAAGAATCAAAACCAAAGACCCTGACTGCTGATTCAGAAACATTCTTTACGGCGCATCAACAACTTCCTGAGGTTAGACCATACACACCTGACCATCTCAAGGTACCTCCAGCTGAAGGTTCAAGCAGGCCCAGTTCTATCAGATCTCCAAGGTCATATTTGATTTCTCGACCACTGCAGATATTAAGCCGATTGTCCACAGCTGCACCAAGTGATGAGGCGGATCTAAGCGTCAGTATAGATTCTGACGAATTCGTTGCTCCGATCGAAGGTTCTACACGAGATGTCGATAGAAATACGCTTTAAGCTTCACCACATACGATCTTTTCAATTCTCTTTTTCTATTTTGTTACATTTTGGGTATGTGTTTTTTTTTGTTTTAATTTATTTATTTATTTTTACATATGGTGTTTTATAGTTTGAATGGATATGTACAATTTGTTAATTAGTTAATTTGGTAATTTATGTCATTGTTTTTTTTTTGAGGCGTCAATGTTAATTTCACTTTGATAGCAAACGTACACATAGACGATACACTACGCCTTGTAAGCTAGCTGTTCATCGAATCGTCTAATAATAGCCCGTTTTAAATATGCTCAATACCTCGTGTAGTGAGTAGCTACCGTAAGAATGCTAATCCCGATCTAGTGACAGAGGGGTCTCCGGGAATTTCCGGGTGAACATCTCCACAAATTATCACGTGATCATATTATTAATGGGTGTGCCATAAGATGCCACATAGTTAAGGTGGATTATTTTTTCGGGCTTTAGTTTAGTACGTTTTCCAACAAAAGTTTTTCCTGTGTGGATTTCGAGACCAACGTAGTTCCTTTCGGAAGAAGTTTACAGAAACACTCAGTCGCTTCGGGTATAGCAGCCGAAGAGTTCTAGACGTCATCGATAATATCCCCTGTTCGTCCAGGAAGATACACACATTAAAAAAAAAAAATAAACAACCATGGTGAAAACAGAATCTCCTGCAACAGCAATGTCTGGGTCGCCGGGATCAACAAACACCGACAATTTCGGCACTCCTCCAAAGGAAGGAAGTGATTCCCAATCTCAAGTGGATGAATCTACACCTTCAGATAGCGAAACCACCAAACAGAAACCCAGACGAAGGAAAAAGAAAGTGGAAATCGCCTGTGTTTATTGTCGTCGGTCCCACATGATTTGCGACGAATCTAGACCCTGTCAACGATGTATTAAGCGTGGCATTGGCCATCTATGCTACGACGAACCCTCAAATATGAGACAACGCAAGAAAGCTGCCACGTTGAGGAAAACCAAGAGTGAAGGGTCAAGTGTTCCTTTGCAGGCTGTGCCTCCTGCCCCAACAATGTCTATTCAACTGGACATAAGGAACCAGAACATCCCTGTGCAAGAGACACAGCCCCAACAACTTCCGCTACCCCATTATCGTCCTCAACCTAAATCCTTGCAGAAATCAGTGCTATCTCAAACATTACCTTATAACCAAGAACCTTTCTTCTACTCGGAACATGCCGGCAGTGAATTCAGTTCGTTGAACGACTTTTTGTCCATGATTGATGATCCTGAGTTGGTACACGGTGCCCTCACCGATGACCCCAATGCTATGTTAAACTTTGGTGTCGATCAAGTGCAACCACAACAGCAATTCCCGCCTGGTGATGGCAAGACTAACAGTACTACTAATTTACTGAGCATATTTGCCATGTCTCCTAATGCCAATTTGTTCCCTGCCACGTTTGGACAACCTGAAATTTTGCAACAACAATCACAGCCACAACCGCAACAACCCCAACAGTTGCCAGCGCAACAAAGACAACAAACACAACCAACACAACCATCTCAACCTACTCAGCAACCACAACAACAGTCACAACAACAATCACAGCAAAACTTTAACCAAGAATCCCATCAACCTGTAATTTCCGATTCAGCAAGAGACAAATTTTTCCTTACTGCTGCCGATCCTACCACGGAAATCTCCCCTGAAGAAAGATTGAAACAAGTCATCAAGGCTAAGTTAGAAGCTGGGTTATTACAACCATATAATTATGCAAAAGGGTACGCTCGATTACAAAGTTATATGGACAATTATATGAATATCACTAGTCGACAACGTATTCTTAAACCGTTGTCGATTTTCCGTCCCGCATTCAGAGCCATTGCACGGACATTAAAGGATGTTGATTTGGTTCTTGTTGAAGAAAGTTTTGAAAGAATGTTGCTTGATTATGATAGAGTGTTTACATCCATGGCTATCCCTGCTTGTTTATGGAGACGTACCGGTGAGATTTATCGTGGTAACAAGGAGTTTGCTTCACTTGTCGGGGTCACCGTGGATGATTTAAAGGATGGTAAGTTGGCGATTTACGAGTTAATGAGTGAAGAAAGTGCAGTTAATTTCTGGGAGAAGTACGGTGCTATTGCTTTTGACAAGGGACAAAAAGCGGTGTTGACCAGTTGTAATTTAAGAACGAAAGACGGTATAAAGAGGAAAAGTTGTTGTTTTAGTTTCACTATCCGAAGAGATCGGTATAATATTCCCAGTTGTATAGTGGGAAACTTCATCCCCATTGATCCAAACTAATTTTGTATTATTAATAAAATATTTATTTTACTTACTCTTCTTCTTCTTCTTCCGAATCTTCTTCTTCAGAATCTACATCAATTTCTATATCATCGTCTTGTTCATCCTTCTTCTTTTGTTCAGCCTTGGCTTTTTCTTCTTCTTCCAAGGCTTCCTTCAATATTCTCATCTTTTCATCCTTGGTTTGTCTTTGGACAATCACATATTGCCCTAATGGGGTCTTTTCCCAATCAAAATCATTCAAGAACAATTGCACTTCGGTCTTGTTAGATGGCCCGTATTCAACATTGGATCTTTTACCAGTTATGAAAGTAGCATTGGCGTTCAACTTTTCCACCAATTGATGCAATTGTTTATTGAATCTAATATTCTTGGACTTCTTGGTGAATCTTCTCAATGACAAGATAGCGGGAGTGACCAATTCTGGGAAAGCAATGGATTTAGCATACAACCCAAAAAATTCACTGGTTAATTCAATAAATTGCTCACATAACCCATCTTGGAACACTCTAGTACCCAAGTATGCTTGGTTGGCTTTAATATTGTGGTCAAAGTCAAATGCTTGTAAACTAGAACCCTTAGGAGCTTTAGTCATGGCAGTGGAAGTCAAAATTTCAGAAATCAATGGGAAAATAGGAATGTAAACCCCGGTAGATTGTGATAATCTCAACAAAGATCTAATCAAATAGAATCTCAATGGGAAGAATTGGGCAGTTGGAATCAACCTGATAGCACCTAAAGTGACTTGAACCAAGGGGTAGATCAATTGTCTCAAAGGAGATTCCTTAGATTTATGGTTTTGAAGTTCAATTTCAGGATTACAATGTTGCGACAACACTCTTGACCAGAAATCTAATGAGTGACAGTATTGCCAGTTGTAAATGGTCTTGTAACCCTCCTTAGCATTGGAAGTGGCATTGATACTGTTTCTCAAGTGAATGGCCAACTGTCTGATATATTCAAATCCAACTTGATAACTCAAGGTTTCATCAATTCCGTATAATTCACTAGCAGAATTCTTGCAGAAGTTGATTTGGGACATACTGTGAATATTGGTCTTTCTGCAGTTTTGCAACATACCAGAATATGACAATTTCAAAATGTTTTCCAACACAGATTTAGGATATTCCTTGGCAACATTGTTCAAGAACGCGAATGTGGCAATTTGGGTTTGGATATCTGGTGTGGTTGACCATACATCGACAACAGAACTGAGTATTTCCTTTAATAATCTTCTGTATGACAAGTAATATGGAATCAATTCATAAATGGATGATAAAACCAAAGCAGCAATTTCAGTATTAGTGATATCCTTCAACAAAGTGATGAAAGAACCAGCATGGGATTTCAAAATGGAGGAGATTTGAGTAACATTTTGATTCTTTTGTGGAAGAGTTCTAACACCTTGACTGTTGGTCTTGTATTTGACCAATTTTTGAATGGCAACTGGAACCTTTTTAAGAACAACGAACATCAATTCAGAAAATGCATTTGGATCAGTGACTGAGTACTTGTAATCTTCTTCGTCGGAGTTGTTGATGTTGACAGCTGCTTTGAAAGCGATAGTAATATTTCTAAGAAGCTTTGGAGATGGCTTTTCTAATTGTTGCTCCCATTTCTTGACTAATTCGAGAGTTATTTCAACCTTTCCTGGAGCAGTAGCAGTGTCTGCCTTCTTCTTTGTTTTTTCCTTGACTTCTTCTTCTTCTTCGTCTTCTTCTTCACTTTCATCCTCATCCATGGCATCTAACGGGTTGACACCTTCAAAATCTAACAACTCGTTGTCGTTTTCCTTTAAATATTTATAAAATTCAGGATCTTGCTCTTCCAAGTTTTTCAAGTTTTCCTTCATAACTTCTTCGTCTTCTTCTTCTTCAGAAGATTCTTCATCGTCGGATTCCTCCACCTTCTTCTTCTTGGTTTTCTTTTCCTTTGGAACTTCGAATCCACCAGCAAAGAAGTCATCTACGGACATGTCTTCAAACACTTCTTTGGCCTTCCCATCTTTACGTTTCGGTTCAGAAGCTTCCTCACTGGTTGATTTACCCTTTTTCCGTAAGGCAATCTTCTTGCTGTGTGATTGAACCTTCTTTCTTTGTTCAATAGTGTGTTTCAAGTGTTTATTCTGAAACTTCTTGGTTTGTTTAGATACTTTAGCCATGGTCGATATCTATACTTTTACACCTAACATAAACTTTCAAACTTTACTGAAAAAAAATCTCAACCTTCGATGAGCTGAGCTGAGCTCGCTCGCGCAGGTAAAAAAAAATTTGTATTTTTGTGTAACCAAATTTCTATACATTGTCTCTCTATTAATCAAATTTCCCCATAAATGCATCTCTAACCCAATTAAACAAACGATCATAAACCACCAGTGCAGCATTATCATACAGGATATCATGAGCACTATCTGGAAATATCTGCACGTCAAAATTCTCCACTTTGTTATACGTAAGTCTATCTATAAACCACATCAGATTCTGTATGTGGACATTGTCATCACTGGTTCCATGAACTATAAGGAATCGTTTTGGTGATTTGAATTGGTTAAAATCTTTGATTTGGGCGTGTTTCTCGTAGTTTGGGTTCTGATCTGGTTTGTTCATGTATCGTTCAGTATATATCGAGTCATAGAACAACCAGTTTGTAACTGGTGCAACTGCCATACCAAACTTGAACGTTTCTCCATGATCATACTCTAAACATTTCAACGTGGTGAATCCACCATATGACCATCCCCAAAGCGCTACCTTGTCCTTATCAATAAACTTCTTGTTCACGGCAATATATTCCGAGGTTAATGTAGTTATATCTCTTGGTTCCCAATATCCAATATTGTTGGTAGCATACGAAGCAAATTTCCATCCTTTGCCACCAGTCCCTCTTGGATCAATCACTAATACAATTGCATCCAATTTCGCACTTATAATATTCAAAAATCCAATATCGAATTGTTTCTGAACATTTTGACTTCCAGGTCCTCCATACACATGAACAAACAATGGATATTTACGTTGAGTATTGAAATTTGGTGGCAAGATTTCCTTAACATTAAGTTTGATTGGATTACCATCCTTGTCCTTATCGATCCTGATCTCCTTGAATACCACTGTAGGAATATTCACATTATTTAAATTCGTCTTTGTGACATCATAATAGTTTATCGCTTTTGCCTTTACAATTATTTCCTTCTTATTCTCACTTTCATGGATGTCGGCCATATTGAAAAGTTTCTGCCATGGTTGTTCAGGTCCACTATAAAACAAATTTAAAAATTGCCCATCAGGTGAAAAGTGTGCTTCATAAAATCCATCTTCTTCGATATTGGTAATTGGAGTCATCTTGCTATCGTTCATGTCTATTCCCATTAAATGAGAATCCATTGAACTTCTCGTGTTAGTTAAAAAGTAAATGAAATTTTCAACCGGGTCAAACACCGCTTTTGATATAACATCAAATTCTCCATCAGTCAATATCTTTGGTGAAGATGATGATGCATTATCAAACAAAGCTAATCTGTTTCTTCCATTTTGCACAATAACGTCGATATATTTGTTTTCGGGTGAATCCTTGTTACGAATAACGGTAATTGGAAATTGCTTCTCTATCCATCCATTATATTCAGCTGTCGCATTTTGCATATTAATTACTTTAATCTCTGATCCTGGTTGATACAATTTTCTTGCAAGTACCCTACTAGTTCTATCTGTGTTTTTGATCAAAAAATTGGTATCATCGATCCATGTAGCATCATAAATGATATATTCCTCACCCAACGACGAATCTTTATCTTCTAATTTATCTAACTTCTTTTCACTAACATGATAATTGAAGAGAGTAACTATTGGATTTGGAGTACCTGGTTTAGGATACTTGAAGGCTGTATGTATGGGGTACTGATTCACACCTTCGACACTCTTCTGATCCAGCTGATCATATTGAGCTCCGATTTCATCACTTGGTTTAATATAATAATCCAATTCGACTTCATCAACATTGGTATCATTTAGTTTGGCAAATATTAAATTGTTTTCATTAGGTGACCACCAATACAACTTCAGCTGGACTTCTTCTTCATATACCCAATCTGGTTTACCATTGAATATATTCTTAGATCCATCGTGAGTTATTTGTGTGATTTGTTCATTTGACACTTGATAAATGAATAAATCGTGATTGTGGCCAAACAATATATAATTCCCATTAGGTGAAAATTCTGCAAAATGTAGTTTCTCGAGTATTTCTTGTTTTTCAAGATTGCGCTTGCTGGAAGGCGGTGGTTGAATTGGAGTAAATGCCCCTGTGATTGGGTTATATACCCAATATAATGCGAATGACAGTTTTCGCCACTGTTCAAGCACGTCAGTTTTCACAATTTGTACGGCATTCTTGTCATCGATTGCTTTGGCTGGGTTTAGTATATAATCCTTGACATAGAAGAAATTATTGCTGTATGCGAATTGAATACTAGACAAGAAAACCTTTTCATATTTGGTGTTGATTTGGTTGATTATTATTTCGTTGCCTTTGTTGGTTAAGTAGAATCCACCACCACTTGTACCTCCTTCTTTAGGGTATTGCTGAGGAGAAAGCCAATCGACCTTCTTTTGAAATGTAGCATAATGTCCCTTCCAGTATGATTGTAAGGTTAAGTTTCTGAAACTTGCATCATATTTATTTAATGTAATATTTGACCCACTTACACTAACATCAGTTTGCCAAGTTAATTTAGATGCCAATTGCGAAGGTGATAATTGGGAATATGCAATAATTCCACCAACCCATAAAAGTACAAAAAAAGCTGTTATAGCAGAGCATACCTTTGCATTTACCCCTTCCTTCTTATATCTGATAAACGTGTTCTGAAACGTCGGGCTCATATTGAAGTCATCAATATCTTTCCCCTGTCTTGCGGAATAATTCTCAATATCTTCAAATAATACAGATGATTCTGAATCAGTGGATCCTCGTGAATCAACCAGAGGTGTTTGTCCAGAAGTGGATTCTTCAAGATCTGGTAGTCGTTCTGGTTCCAGCCACTCTTGCTGATCTACCATTTCATATTCTTCCACATGACTAGGTGGAGAATTTCGCGAAAACATACTGACGCTTTAATAAATAAATATATGTGTTCTTGGTGAGTTTAGTATCAGGTTGTATTACTTGCCAAATATGATATTAGGTCTATCGATCCCTGTAGAATCGTTGGCTGATGTTACGTGTTGCCAAAATCGACTATCTTTTTTGGTTGTAAATATTTAAGGCACAAAGCCCACACGCGACAACCTGTAATTGTGTAAAAACATGTAAACTTAAGAATGCATGTTGACATTTTTACAGGTTATCTTTTGAGGCTGATTGTTGCTAAATTAACACAATCAGGGAGGTTAGGGGGGTGTGGGTTAGTTTACAGGGTGAAATAGCAAACAGTCAATCAACCCTAAAAATAAAACAGCAACATGAATCAAAGGTATCAGGAGCGGTTGTACTCGGATATTTTCAATCGTGACAATGATGAAACCTTTTATCGTTCCTTATTCACCACCCCTATTAACAAGAATGTCTTACTTGAAGCGTTTGGGTCCATAATAGAACTGGATGAAGTTTCTTCCACTATTTCAGGACGAAAGTTGTCTGTTTTACAACACATTTTCCAAACTGGGTTGGCAGTTTATGCTGATGCCATTGGGTATATTGATCAGGAACAGGTGGGCGTTGAGGTGGAACTAGAACTTCTGTCCCTGGTGCAGCTGCTGCAGCCTCTTGATCAGAGCGTGTCTGTTGATAGTATATTTCGAAGATCTAGTTTACTTGATATTGATGGGGATGATATAACTGAATTAAGTGGGAAACTGCTGAAGAACTCAAGTCGGCAAGTGTTGGAATTTAATGATGGCGATGACCTTACTAGTTTGCATGGTCAGACAAGCACCAGTCAGTTAACGGAAGAACAATCATCTCGCTCTGCAACAACAACACCTATTGGCAAGCATGAGTCTGAATTTGACAATTTGAACCCTGAAGTAAAGGCTGATTTGATAATTAATATCCTTCGAATTTTCCACCTTTGGTTCAAAAACATTATAAACACAAATGAAAAGCTAAAGGGGACAAACACGCTGTTTGGCTTGACAACACGTGTTGATTTGAGTGTTAGTTTGTTTTCCGGGGGATTGGATGTTTTGTCGTTGGTTGACTTAATAACTAAAGTAAAATGGTACTTAAAAACTACTCTACAACAAATTCAACTGGGTGAATCAGTGAAATTACCAGTTATAAAAGAGTCACTCCTACTTTTAACGGAAATATTGAAATCAATTTACACTGGATTGGTTGTTCACCCTTCGTCCAGTGGTAACTATCATGTGCTTAAAAGTTTACTATTCACGTTCTACCAAGTGAACCTTGCCAATGAAATTCAGTCAATTATAACTATAACTCAACCTTTCAAAAATGGAGACAAGTATGAACCTCCAAAGGTAATATTATCGATAGATACGTTATTCACATTGCATTTACTCGTTGGTGTCTTGGTAAATATCCCGACTAGCTTACTACCTACACACCTAAACTCTTCCGATATAACGGCATTGTCTATCCAATCCCTCAATCCTTATAAATCCATGCCATTATTTGCAAGAATATATGATTGGGAGCTATTCCAAAGTGAAATAAACCTGAGATTATTGCCTATATTCTGCATGGAATTCAACTATTGTTACAAGTTTCGCCCTGACTTGATGTTGGACAAGATTAAAACAAATTCGATATTCAACTGGTTGAACCTTAGTACTGATGCTTATGTTCATTGTAACACTGTGGAAACTTATACAACCTTGTCTAATCCCAAATTGAATCTTTTGGAAGGACAAGACGAGTTCTTGGTCAACTTGCAACATGTCTATGATCACAAAATAAGTAGAATCAGTGATAAGTTGGACTTACAAAAGCTTATATCAGTTACATTAACAATAAAATCCCTTATTGGCAATCCCAGCTTTGTTTCTGTCCTAATTGAACAAAGGACAAGCGCAAACCCTGAAGACTTAACTGAAGATGAGCTCAAAAATGTGGAATTATTTGAAGTTTGGTTGTGCTTATTATCATATATTTTTGAGTATCAATATCGCTCATCCAGTTTACAACATTTAACCACCCTTTCGTTGGAAATCATCTTGAATTTGACCACCAATTATATAAGCGATTTGAAGAAATATCAAATTAATGAAGATAAATGGAAATTATGTCATCAGAAACTACCATTTGTTCCACATGATCAAGGTGATTTGGGTTATAAATCTAGTTTATTCTATATTTTAGATTGTGTTCAGAACCTTATTCGATTTAACTTGACTAATAAGTTGAATGTCAAGAATTACCGCCTTGGTGTTAATTTGATTCATCAGATATTGTCCTGTTTTGAACAGGATAGCAATATAGATCTTGGGAAATATTCATGGTTTGAATTCCATTCTACTATTTGCACATTGGTTAAATTTATTGATAAACAGAATTTACTTGCTTTTAAGAAGTTAGATAGTAAACAAGTGAGGGTTTTAGTTGAGGAAGTGTTGGTGACTATTGATTTTATGTTGAATAAGAGATTCAATCAATGTGAGCAGGTTGTTGATAGTGAATCGTGGTTTTGGACAAGTACTCCTAATTCAATTAATTATAGTTTAATCTATAATATCTTGTTGAATTTTGAAAGTTTTACCAGGTTGATAAATGAGCTTGAATTGACCAACTTGACAAGATTGTCTCGATGCATGAAACAATATGAAAGTCAATTTCAGTTAACAGAAACAGAAGAGAACAGGATAAATTACAGTGATCTTGATTATGATTCACCAGAATTTGTACAGAAAATCAATGAATACTTTTCCCAGGAGGAAGAACCAAAACAAAACAAACCTGATCACAAATTTCAAGAAACACTATTACATGAAGGTCTTGTTACAGATAACGATATGATAACTTATATTCAAACGGCATTTCCAGTTAACTTTTAGGAATATTGTCTAGTTTAACTTTTCCCGACTCTATCCAATATGGATCCAATAACTTGTCCTTGTTCTCGTACATAACTTTATAAGACGTCTTTATCGTACCAATACTTACCCCAGTTTTATCTCTAATTTGCTGTTGGGTTAACTCAACATCAAATGCTTTGCCTGCAAGGTAAATTGCAGCTGCTGCAATTGTCGTAGGTGATCTACCTGCTAGTACACCAATGTCTTTGCATTGTCTCGCGATATGTTCAGCCGCGTTGGTGACTTGAGGAGTCAAGCCCAAGTGAGAACAAAATCTTCTGATTAAGTCTTCAGCTGAATGTGTAGTCAAACTTGTTGTTTCTTCCAAAATGGAGGATTGTGGGTTTGCCACTAGATGCGAATGAATGATTTTCTTGATAAGTCTAGCAACTTTGGCGATTTGTTTCGAGGGGACATTTGTCAATGCACGGATTTCTTCTAATGTTCTAGGAACGTCTGACCTTCTGCACCCAAGTAATATAACTGCTGCCATTATTGAATCCTGGGACTTCCCTCTAAGTAGCTTGTCCTCTCTCACTGCTTTGTAAAGGTGTTTTGCAGCATCTGTGACTGTTTTAGGAAGCTGATACCCATTACACAATTCTTGGATCCTGATATACGCCGCATTCAAGGCATTATTCTTTTTATCCACCAATGACTTTTGTTGGATCCTAGTTAAATCTCTTCCTACTCTATTCCCACCTTGCGGCACGTATGAGATCATAGTGGACAAGTCTTCTGTGTCCAAAAGTGGATTCCCCGAATCACCCACACGAGAAGGATCGTCACCATTTTGGTCATCATTATTGAAAGTTCTCCATTCGGAACGAGTGTCTACTATTCTATCACTAAGTACCAATCCGCAATTGCCGCAGATTATATCACCTTCACTAAACCGTTCCACCAAGTCGGGTGGGAATTGTCGACAATCAGGGCACACTAAGGTCACGTTCAAATTGGGACCAGTATATGTGCTATTTATAGTATTAGTGGACATGTGGGGGGATGATTGTGGTTGAGATGAAGTTGGTAAAGAATTTTTCGTGCAATACGATGACAAAAGTAATTTGTTTAGTTGGGCTATTTCATTAGGGCGGGGGTGAACTTGTTTGAAAATGACTTGCAGTATTTTTAGGATTCCGGTTTCAAGTCAGGTGAGCCTTGAATGGTGGGGAAAAAGGAAAAAAAAAAAAATACACACAAAGTTACCACACATAATGTATTGTGACATCTACATCTCTATACTACACTACATTTGAATTTCTAAAGAGGATATGTTATTTGACATACGTCTATTTACCTTCATGGACGGTTCTGAAAAAGTCCATACAGGCAGTAAACACAACTAACAAGATACCACCACCTGGACCTAATCTCAACACCTTAGGAATGAAACCCTTATATAATGCACCAAATCCTTCTTCCTTAGCAACAATGGCTAAAGATGGATAAGTCCATTTATACTTAGTAGAACCAGCTTGAATTCTAGACTTGACCACATCGAATGGAGTATTCAAAATAGTACCAACAGTACCACCAATAGCCCCACAAGTTAAATCAATTAAGGTCTTTTCAGTAGCATCCTTTGGCTTAGGGAAAAGAGATCTCAATTGATGAATACATCCGAAATAACCAGCATTCCACCAAATATGTCTCCAGGCAGTACTTTCAGTACCTTTATATAATCCTAAAAGCCCGTTTTCCTTGACAATATGTTTAACAACTTCACCCATACCATTAAACTTGGTGGTCTTGTCTTGTAATCTAATTTTAACCAATTCAAATGGAACAACTACCAAGGATTCAGTGGCACCGGCAGTAGCACCAGTCAAAACTGCCAATGGCTGAGTCATGGTCTTGACTTCAAATTGTTTCCTGTAAAATTTCCCCCATTCATCATTAGCAGCAAACTTAGTAGCTCTCTTTGGAGCTTCCATTAAAATTGGAGCTGCGATACCTTTATATAATCTAGAGAAACCTTCTTCTTTAACGATCTTCTTTAAACAGTCCAAAGTTCCCTTGTATTGACCGGTAGAATCCAATTGTTGTCTGGTTTTGATCACATCCAATGGATACATGACAATAATTTCGGAGACACCTGCAATGGCACCTGCCAAGAAGTTGTAGAAGAATGGCAATGGTTGTTTTTCAGCTGGAGCAGACATTTTGATATAGGAATAATTTTCAGCACACGAGTTTTTACAACGAGTCTCCAATAACGAATCTAGTTTTGCTTAATCTGTATTGATAACAATTGAATGATTGATCAATTGGGCTTACTAATTCACAAGGAAAAGAAAGAGAAAATTTTTAAAAAAAAAACACGAAAATTTCTTTTAGTCAAAGGACGAGAGGAGGTGGAGAGAGGGGGAGGAGGAGATCAACACCCTTTTGTGTTTTTTTTTGTGCTATTAATATTTTGTCTGTGTTAGTCATTTTAGGTGTTAACAATTGCTGTAGAAAAAAAGTGGGGGGAAACTTGTTCCGGGTTTTAGCGAACCAGTTAAATACAGTTTAATTATTCCCTAGCGGGTTTTTAACTTTCTTTGGTCACACGGTAGGTAGTAACTCTCACAAAAAAGCCGCACATCTGTAATGAACAAGCGCGATTTTCACTATTAAAGTTTTACACCAAGTATAAGTAGATCTTGAGTTGACTGTGATTCTTCTTTTTTTTTTTTTGCCTTGCATGTTTTTTGAATTACGCCCTGCAGAGGAATAAGATTTTGTCCCGGTACAGGAGAAAATTTTTCTATTTGTATTTATCTTCCATATATCCGTCCATTGTATTTCCGCAGTTAGATGTGAAGAAGTACAAACTACGTGCTACTATTATAACCAATGGATGATTCAGCAGTTACTGCGCTTATTTATACGAAGTTTCGGGATTTTATGTAATACTTTCGACGTTGAACTAAACTTAACCCTGTTTCGAATTTAAGGCGGTTTGCATGAGTCGTAATTGACTCTTTTTCGCTACAGCGATTCCTCACGAGACAGGTAAGAACTGGCAGAAAGCCATAAGCGAACTTACATGACCTTGCTTCATGTGCACTGTGCACTTTTTTACCACATACTATTATTTCCTTGCGCGTTTTCATATTTAGTAGAACATTGTCAAACTATTAAATATGTGGCTGAGCAGGTGAAGATAATGGGTTCTTGACACTACTTCAATTTGACAACAAGCATCAATATACTTGAATGTTAGTAAAAATTTCATTTCTGACTCGTCAATTGGTTGTCACGACGCCTCCAGCAAGCTTATCATTAGTAGAATTTTTCTGGTTCTGCTCTCCCTAGTCTTCAAGCAATATCCTATGACATTCAAAAGTTATGAAAGGTCTGTGCTTCGTGTTATATTTAACAAGTAAACTATAACTGCAACATTAACCAAGTAATATTCTTATGGAAATTAGTATTGCTTCAGGGCAAACCTTAGCCTGGTTGCAAAAATTCTCGCCCTAGTTTGGCTAATATCCGGGTAACATCTCGGAATATTTTCCCTCTTCGCTATAACAGAAAAAATTTTGCTATCGTATTTTGAAAACTTTTCTACTCTTTTTCTTCTTTGTGCGGCAGCCAGAACTATTACCGTGTTGCTTGTCTTTTTCAGATATACCTACGAGTTGGCGAGCGTCAAGTTCCTGGCGAGAGTAACATCCGTGTTTACATGGACCCTTTAACGATCATCTTAGTGCCCTTTCATTGATTTTTAACCATATTACTTGTAATATATGAAGATTGGTGAGGGCTGGTAGATCAAACATTAACACCCTTAAATTTATTAATTCTATGTAGAAACTATATCCATTTGCCCCTTGCTATTGCAAGACTGCAATTTACCAATAGACCAGCTATCAATGACATCCGTTGACGTTTATTAAACACTGTATCGTCAACCAAAAAGAACACTGCTCCGATTACACCCAAGAAAACGCCGAGCAAGAATCCAACAAGGATATCTTCATTGACGCGACTTTCTTCGAGATCTAACAGAGGTTGTGGTGGTGCTGCGTCTGTGTCTTGAGTCTCGGTTCTTCGAGATTGGGGACGGGGTGCATCGGTAGCTTCGGTGTTATAAGTTGACTCTATCCATCTTTCTTCTAATTCCCGCAATCTTCTTTGTCGTTGTTCTTCTTCCTCAACATCAGTGATCTGATCGTCACCGCCTCGTCTTGTGGCGCTGGAACCTCCGTATATCAGATAAAATTGCCGTCTTAAATCGTCGACATCTTCTTGAGAAAAACCTTGTTGTAACAATCTATCAAAAGAGATTGTCTGTGGAGTGGTTGTGACTTCTTGTGGTCTATTATCTAACTGGTTTTCTTCAGCTAGTTGCTCCTGGGTTAATTTCTCCCCAATAACGCAATGAATATATATTTTCTTTTCATCCTCTTGCGTTGGAGCTTCCGTACTAGCCTGTTCTTGATGTAATCGAGAAATGAATACTTCCTTTTTGAAATCAGTATTCTCGTTGAGTACTCTACCATTATAGATCAATCTTAATCTATTCTCACGACATTGTGGGACTTTGCTTCGTATGGTTGATTTTATCCAGTTGGTCGTGACTAACTTGTTTACGTCATCCCTTTCGAAATTTATTCCTAGAGGAATGGATAAATCATGAACTTGATCAGATGTAGATTCCGAATTCGTGAATCTAATGACTAATGTGAACTTCATGGTGATGTATTGCGTTTGTTATCAGTGGTCTTGCTTCTACTAAGAAGGCAAAATTAAAGTGCACAATGGAGAAAAAAAAAATAAAAATACTGCACAGAAACAATTCACCCCTCAGATTTCACTATATAACTATTAAAAGCTAATTCATGCATATTACCGCCCTTTAACTTCAATTGCAACTCGTTCTATGTGAGATATTACAAAAAAAACGCTTCTTTTATTACAATGTCTGCAAAGAGCGAAGAAAAGAGTGTTACTTCTGTGAGTGACATCACTGCCTCCGAACAGGAATCGGGGATAAGATACGCTGCATATGCAAACCGACTCAAAACCATCCTAAAAGCAGCAAGAAGATACCGATATGTGGCATATAGTTCTGATATTGGAGAATCATTTCGTCCAGTTGCTCATCCATACTTGGTAAAACTGGGGTATGTCATATCTTGGCTATACTTTATTGGTGATATTTCCTATGCTGCATGGTTAACAAAACGTAAGTCGGAAGGTACATTCACTCCAGGGTTAAGACCCTGGGACACCGTGCCCAATGTTGATGTACAATCATCACAGGAGTTTGTATCTAGCCATAGCTTGGTTGATTCAGATTGGAGATTGAGTGCGTTAAAGAGAGGCGTATTTCAGGGTATTGCATCCATGGCAATTCCGGCATTGACTATTCACAATATAGTCCATTATTCCGACTCTTTATTCAAAAAATCTGGCATTACTGTACTACAAAAGTATGGTGCTGTTCTTATTGGATTAGGAACAATTCCCATCCTTCCTCGTGTTATAGATGAGCCTGTTGAACAGGCTGTTGATTGGTTATTCTACAAAGGAGAACAGTTATACATCAAGAAAACGAAACTAGAATAGTCATATATTGTTATAGTCTAATAGTCTCATAGTCACATAGTCTCAATCTCATAGTCTTAGTCTCATACTTTTATGGTCTCATAGTCTAAAAGTCTTATAGTCATATACATAATCATCTCTTTGAAATATTGACATGTCCACATTTTTTACAAGTTCTTGCATCCAAATTGCTATCAAATGCAACAATGGCATCTTTAATCTGAGTACCTAAATCGGTTAAATAAAATTCCTTTTCAAAAATCTTATTTTCACATTTAGCACAATACCATCTGATCCCATCATTCATTCCCTCTGGTCTATCTTGCTCAACCACGAGACCAATGGTGTTTTCATAACGACATGGATTATGAGGGGTATTAGCAGGTAAAAGGAATGAGTCTCCTTCATGAATGTAAATATCCTTGAATTCACCATCATCAACAACCTTCAAACATATAGTTCCTTTCAACTGGTAGAAATATTCTGGAGTCTGGTTAATATGGTAATCATTACGTTCATTGGGTCCACCAATAATCATAATAGTGAAACCGCCACGATGAAGACAGAAATTGTTGACTGGTGGTTGCAAGAGCTCGCCATTCTCTTCAATCCATTTTTTAAGGTTTATAGGTTGTCCAAGTGCCATTGTGTGTGTAGTTTTGTGTGTGTGTAAAGAATGTTGGAAGATTTTGATAAAGTTTTTCACTCTGATCGGCGGACTTAAATACTAAAATGCGGGATCACGAGCCGATGGTCATGGTCGTACAAAACTGTATAAACGATTGACAAACTTTATCATGGTAAGAAAAAAAAAGGGATTGCTACCAGCCACCCGAAAAAAAAAGATTTTAACTATGATAAGCTGCACTTCGTTTAATCTTAATTCGAATTACGACAAATTGACTTTTCAACCAAGAAGTAAATTAGTTATCTTTGCTAGTAAATTAAAAAGAAAGGGATTTTTTTTAAAAAAAAAAGAGCTTCCCCACCAGGAGTCGAACCTGGAATCTTCTGGTTCCAGAAGTGGTTACAAAATCGTAGCCAGACGCCTTGACCATTGGGCCATGAGGAACGAAGCTTCTGCCAAAAAATTTTTATGGTTTAACCAATGTTAGAGTGATGTCTACAAATTTATTTTCTAATTTCTTGGATTTGTGGTGAGTCTTTTCATTATTTAACATGATTAATTGTTTTATTTACTATCTTTCTTTACTGTATATATTATTTGAAATTATTTCTTAAGTTTTGGGGGGAGATATTTGATGATAAAAGTTTTTTAAAATTTTCGTCCATAATTCCTCCAAATGATACTCAGAGAAAATGCATAACAGCAACAAATACTAATTATTAAAAAGCTAGCTTAATTTAAGATTATAAATTGGCATTTCGTCATCTGAAAATTGACTCAACTTTGTAGTGAGACTTGCAAAGAATATTTCAGGTTAACACATTGGATCCAAAACGAGATTACTTCTACCACTCCCCACCAACATACTGTTTACCATTGAGAAAAAGCTCTAGTTTACATTCAAATCTAAACAAAGTTATATAAACTAATTAGCTTCATATTCTCTTCTCCACTTGGGACCCCACTTTAATAACACAACAACAAACCCAATTCCAATAAGGTCCAACAATCCTAAACCGGTCAAACACCAACCAAATCCCATTTTTCCAACAAGTTTATCAATTATAGCGGATGAAATAGCAGCAGCGATATTCCTCATAAAATTTCCAATGGCCACATTAGTAGCAGGCTGTCCTGTAGAGCATTCCGTTAAATAAGTGGTGTTGGCAACAAACACCCAGGTTAATCCAAACCCAGCCAAAAATGTAAACACAAACACCACAGCTACATGAACATGTTTATGAACCGTCCATGCATAACCAATTACACCAGCCATAGATATAAGCAATCCAAATACTTGTAAAGAAAATCTCTTTTCTGGAATATACGAAGCTGGTTCTTGCTTAATCATCTTAGCTCGAAGTTTATCAGATAACCAACCACCCAGAATAGAACCAACAATCATTGCTATACCAGGACAGATATACGAAATACTAGTTTGAATATTGGTGAATGAATATTGATTTTGTAGTACATGACCAAATGTAACACTTAATCCATAAAAAGTAGCAAACAAAAGCCCACCATTGATCGAACAAAGCAAAACTGGTTTATATTTCAATATCTTCCAAAAGTTCTTTAAGCTTGGTTTAACAGGTTTTGGATAACCATCAACAATTTGATTTTGGAAAAGCTTTGGTTTCAACCAAATTGAAGTTCCAACGTAGCAAGAGCAATCACCAACTAAATATCTCAAGGTCTCAGGTAAAAGAAATATAATAATCAAATAAACTGCAAACCCAAACAAAGCCAAAAATCCAAAAATCCATCTCCAATCACCTTTACCAGCTATTATTGAAAGAATTGGACCCAATACAGGACCAAGTTGTGGTCCCAACATGAAATAGGAAATTGCCTTTGCTCTATTCTTAGGTTCAATAATATCAGCTATAGTTCCAGCACCAACTGAGACAACACTAGATGCACCAAATGCTTGCAATATTCTCAAAACATATAGAGCAGCAATATGTACTGGAACAGAAGCTAATAATATATTTGCCAAAATAAAAAATATCAAGGAAATAAGGTACAAGATTTTTCTCCCACCAAAATCTGCCCATGAAGCCCATAGAAGTGGCGCAAAGGCAAAAACCACCATAAAAACAGATACTGTTCCATTAATAGCTGTTGTTGAAACATGAAATACATTTTTCAACTGGGGTAAAATTGGAATATAGATGTTACCAGACACAGGACCCAAAAATCCTGCTAAAGTAACAATTAATACAATTAGTACTTTTCTTCGGAAAGAGAGAGCACAGTATGGTGCTTGTGTTATCTCAATAGTACTTGGTAATACTGATTCTTTACTCTTTGACATCTTTGAACAAAAATTTACTCGTCAAAACACAAAGAAGAATACTACGGGATAATAAACTACAAGGGACGCGCCATTTGCAATTGCCATGAGCAAATTCCTGTGAGCAAATTACTGCAAAAAAAAATTTTTTTTTTTATTCATATTTATTTTTCTTAAGCCTTCTCAAATTTAATTTGCAACCCTAATGGGCAAACCGGACCCGAAGGAGTAAGTTTTGGTTTCCAGTTTTCACCCAATGAAATACGATATTTGCCAATAATTGCCGAAATACATTCCTTGATTTCAAAAATAGCAAATTTCTCACCCAAACAAGCTCTCTTCCTGCCATGAAATGCAGGTAAAGTTGCCATTCTCTTCGCCTGAGAATAGTTTTGATTAATTTCATCCAACGTATTACCCCAGCGACTAGGATTGAATTCATCTGCGTCAGGACCCCAAATACCACGGTCTCTCCCTGTAGCAAGATTGTTATAACCTACATAAACCCCCTTGGGAATAAAAATATTTTCACCCAAAACAGTAGCTTTGGTAGTACACCTGTTAATGATTTGTGCCAAAGGAGGATAAACTCGCAAGGTCTCATAAATCACCAGTTCCAAGGGTATTTTTTCCGTTCGTAATGATTCCTGCAAATCCGGGTTTTTGCCAAGAATAAACAACACAGAAAGCATCAATAACAACGGATTTTCATGGCCAGCAACCATTACTATAACTGCATTATCCAAATATTGCTTTTCAGTTAATTTACCATCTTTTAATGCATTGACCAACTTAGTAGCTGCACTATTGGATAGTTCAGGCTTGTGCTCATCAATCAATTTCTGACCATACCAATTACGAAACAGATTAACTTCTCTCTTAGCGGTTAACCTGCTAGGAATAGGAAATTTATCAAAGTATGGAAAATTCATGTAAAATGGTCGGAAAATTTGCAGCTTGACATACTTTATTTTTTGATGCATAAACGATTGCAGACCCTCTAGAGCCCGAAAATCAATTCCAATCATCGAATTACCTACATTATTCAAAGTATATCTTTGTAAAATATCAGCAATTGCAATTGTATCACTGTTCTTTAGTTCGTTTTCAATAATTTCAAGCATCATCTTTGTGTTTTTGTATACTGGTTCCTTATCTGGGAATTGAATGCTTGGTGCGACAACTTCGCGATACAATTTCCACAACTCTCCATGAGCACTGATAATATTGTCCCCTGTATATGAGGCCATAACTGAACCAGGAATCTTGATGTGGTTACCACTTTTTGCGTAAACATCTTCATTTTTGAAAATAGTCAATAAATACTCTGGCCTAGATACTAAAATATTCCACCTTGAAGCAAAATAAATTTTTACTGCTCCGTACTTTTCTAACTTGTCTTTGAGATACCGTTTATAGATTTGTTCCTGGTCTAAATTTTCATACGAACCCAAAAACGAAACATAGAATGGGATTGTAGGGATTGTTTTCGGGAAATTGAATGGTGGAAAGATGATCTCTAAAACTAAGTAAACCAGGTAAGAACCTATAGCAATGACTAGATATTTCAATATTTCAGACAACATTGTTGGTTGATCAATTGTCCAACAGTAAAACTTGGCGTCGCGAAAAATCAACCATTTAAAATAGTATATCTCGTCACATATTCAATTAGGAAAGTTTAATTGACTCTTATCACGCAATATTACGACGGAAAAACTTTTCGAAGAAGAAAGTTCAAGATTTTGCCAGATACATGATATCGCATACACTGAATAGGGAAGTTCTGATTCTGGCCCCAGTTTCTTCAATTAGAAAACGACCCTTGAACCCCTAATTATGACCAATTACCCGAGCCTATTCCTTCCGAGCAAGGGATGATGGTGCAATCCTGAGCAGGTTTTTTTCACTGTACATGTTCAATCTCCCTATTAATTTTTCAGAATTAGAAAATAAATTTCCCATACACAATGTAACTTATTCTCCCGGAATCCTCAATCTGCCGATAATTATGAATAATATTAAGCCACCACCCCTCCTAGGCATACAAGCTCGATTTAGCGAAAGATCGACTATCTGAGATAGTAAACTTAGCTCTTCAACTAGGAAATTCTAATTATAACAGCAAAATGTATCCAAAGAGAAACTTCAAGATTTTGACAAAAGACATCATATTGCAGGATACAACAAGCAAATATTGGTTCCAGCCCCAGTTTCTAATATGTTCTCCTGAATTGTTCCAAACAATTGGCGTTTATTCTTTCCAAGCCAAGTATTAAGCAAACTTGGCAACAATTTTCTCATTGTAATCCAGGATTATAAATGTTACGATAATCTTCTAATTTTGACTCAAATTGGAGATTCTTATTTGTTCTTTAAAAGCACCTTTACCAGAAAATGGAATCCTCTTCTTCATTATCTTTGCGCTCCAACAACAGTAGTAGTACTACTATTAGCGAAGATCAAACCAAACAAAAGACTTACGAACATATGCGTTTAATATATAGCCGTGATGACAATGAATTTTTAAGTTATAGAAGTTATAACGGCTTCGATCCTAAAGGCTGTTTTACTCTTATTGAGCAACATTCAGCCAATCGAGTTTATTATTCTGGATATACTAGATTGTCAATTTCGAATGAGTATCATATTTGGGAAAAGTTGAAGAATGGTATTTGGCACGGAGTGATTACTATTCAATCAATCATCACTGAGTTTGATATCTGGTTTGTTCGCTTGATTTTAGATCTGTCCCGGGTTGCATTTGACAACCTTGCAAAGGAGGACTATGAATATTATACCAAGATGGTTTCAAAAACCTTTGTTGAACAATTGAAGCATACTGTTGAGAACGATCAATGGGAGTTTGGTGGCGAAAAGGTTTTCAATAGTGGGATTGATTTTTTTACTAGTCGTTGGCAACCATTGGAGGCGGTTTTACCAGCTTTTCCTTGCAAATCTTCCAATGTTGAAAAAGTTTCTGGGGAAATGCCAGACAAGGGAGAAGAATTAGCTCTTAAGCGTTTGATTGCATTTGCTACTTCTGTGAAGAAGATATATCCACCTGGGATTATTGTCTGGATTGTTAGTGATGGACACGTTTTCAGTGATTGTATAGGCGTTGACGACCTCAAAGTTAATCAATATTCTCAAGCTTTGAAGGATTTGTATCAAAGTCTTAAGCCAGCCGATTGGAATCCAATCAAGTTCTGCTCATTGCCTGAAATTTTCAGATTGAGTAGTTCAAATTTTGATGAATGCTTCGTTTCTGATGTTGATTTGGTACACCATTTGGGCACGAAACTTGATGATGAATCTGAAACTTGCCGTAAGATTTTGGTTGCATCTTGTGATACTGATGCCGGAAAATTGAGACAAGATATTACCACAGAAGGACATCCTCGTTTGGCATTATTTAGAGGATTTTCCAGATTTATGACTGAAGACTTGGCACTTCATCCTAATGTTTCCAACATTAGCAAGAAAAAATATAAAAAGATTGTCGCTAGTGTTGCTTTTGAGATGATTAAAAGGAACGATGCGTATTCCAACTTGGTTGAATTAATGTTTCCGTTTCATTTGAGATTTTCAATTCATGCTCATAATAATGCTGGGCCAAAGTTTGGAATTTCACTTTTGGCAAAAGTTGGCAAAGAGCATTGTCATCCAATTAACTCTATTGAGGATCATATGGAGCCAAGAAACACAGATTTGTTGCATATTCCCACCCCTTGGCATAACGCCATTGTCACGATTGACGACCAGGAAACCTATTATGTAATCAAATCCAATAAAGTCCATGAAGAATTGAAGAAGGGAACTGGCAGAGGTGGATGGGATCCAACGAAGCTACACTATGTATTTATCACTCAATAATAATTTTGAGTGCAACTTTTTTTGTGTATTTAATTTTCGCTAAATATATTTTTCGTATATAGGATCAACAAAAAAAACTTACAGCCATTTTTACAACACGCGTTTATAACCCACCTTTGTAGTAAAGAACCATGTCCCCAAGTCCATTGCAAGTCAAGGTTAGCGCTTTGAAGAGATTGATCAAGGAAGAAAAGTTGTATCAACAAGAAGTTTCCGAACAGGAACAATATGTCAACAAAATGAAAGAAAGTAACGCTGACGAATATGAAATCAAAAAGCAAGTTGAAGTCTTGGAAGAATCAAAGAGAATGGTTCCACAAGTCACCAAGAAGATTGGTGAACATAGAGAAGCTTTAAAGAGTTTCTTGGAAACTTACAGTGGTGATGAAGATCTTACTGCTGCTAAGGAGTTGCTTGTTTAGTTGAATATCCCGGTTTTGTTGCTAGAAACGGCTATGCCATATAATTTATATAGTTGCTTTAATAAAAGTGTAATTTGATTCGTCCATTTGCGATAGAGAAGAATTATAGACTACACCACCCATTTAATACTTCTAAGTATGACTAAAAGGTTTTTTCTTTTGTATTATATGCAACAACTAAGTACTATTTTTCTTTTTTTTACTTACAGATAAGTTAAACTAGTGTTCTAAGATGGTCAAGTTACCAGTAACCACGACATTTTCCAAAATAGAACCGTTTGGAATATCAATCTTTTCTCCATCATTACAAACAATGATAACGGTACCCTTCAATGTTACTCCTCTACCAAGAGTGACATTACCAGTAATGGTTAAATGGTCCAATTCTAAAATCTTTGGCATGTGAGGAATTCTAGATTGGAATCCACTAACCTTCTTGAAGTGGGAGCCCAACTTGATCAATGGGTTAGCAAAACCATCTCTGGTTGGGTCTAGCTTCAAAGCACCACTTTCCAAGTAGAATAAATCGGATTTAACCAATAATAAATCAGAACAAGTCTTGACTGGTAAGAAACGAGATCTTGGAACAACAACACCGTGAGCACCCTTGAAATGTCTAATGGCGGCACCAACAGCGGTTTCTAATTGCAAAACATTGATGTCAGAAGAACCCTTGGAGATTGTCTTTTGGTTTGGAATAATTTCAGCTTCAATGGCATTGGATTCAACCAATTCCTTGATAGCCCTCAAGTTAATCCACAAGTTGTTGGTGTTGAAGTACTTGAACTTCTTGATACTCTTGAATTCTTCAACATGTTCCTTTGGAACTTGAGCAATTTCCAATAATCTAACTTGACCTTCGTAGTTAATCAAAGTACCACCCTTAACATCAGCTCTGGTCTTGTCAGTTAATTCCATAATATATTCAGCACCAGTTTCAATCATGTGATCCAAAATCTTGGTGTCAACGGTAGCACCCAAATTATCACCGTTAGAAACAAACAAGATTTCTCTACCTTGAGCTAATAAAGCATCCAATTCTCCGGATTGAACCAAGGATTCAAACAAATCCCCGTGACCTGGTGGGTACCAAGATTCAAGAGAATCATCATATGATTCTGGAACTGGTAAAAGAGAGTCCTTGTAAATTCTTGGGAATCTGGATTGGTTGAAAGTCTTGACTCTAATTCTGTGACCTTGATATTTCTTGATAATCTTTTCAGTATCCTTATCAGTGTTGAAAGAGTTCATTAACAATAATGGAACATCAGCATCGTAATGTCTATTCAAATGTTCAATTTGTCTAACAGACAAATCCAAAAAGGTGTTACCATCTCTAACTTCAATAACAGATTTAGGACCAACACAACCCATAGAAGTACCTAAACCACCATTCAACTTTAAAACAGCCAATTTAGACAAGTTATTCTTGTTTTCTAATTCTGGTAATTTGGAGTAAGCAACAACTTCATCGGCAGAAGGAGATCTAATTTTTTCCCAATCTAAAGTAGTACCGGAGGCCTTTTCAGTCAAGTATCTTCTAAATAAAGAAAAGAAACTGTCCATTTCGTTTTCGAAACGTTGTTGCTTTTCTTCATCTTCAACAGTATCAGCCAACTTATTCAAAGCATTACGCATTTGAGAAGCAGCAACAGTGGTTGCTGTTGTGTCAAAAGCCTAGAAAAAAATTTCAAGTTAGTATAAACAAATCCAAAATAAGGCAATTTCTCGGTGAATTTTCTCAATCCCCCGTGGTGTAGCCGGTAAAATCAATTGAAACATCCACATACAATAGCAAAATACAATTCTGGTAAATTCAATTAAGCAAAGAATTGCTCTATTGAATCCAATTCTGATTCTTGAGTGCAATTGATTTTATCAGGAAAAGAAACAGGGGGTGAGAAAACCGGACAGCGGGGTCAAAACCCTAAAAAAACCAAAAATTCAAAATCTAACATACATAAGTTGATTGGGTTTTTTGATGTTTCTTTGGAGCAGCAGCGGAACTCATTATAATCAATTGGAATTAATGATGAAAAAAGGAAAGCAAAAGAAAAGAAGAGAAGGAAAGATTTACAAGCAAACAAAATTTCAACCAGGAATTTCGTGTGTTTTTATAATTAATTTAAGTTCATGAGGAAACAATTGTTGTCTATTATTATTTTTTTAAATTGTCTGTTTTTTTTTTTTTTGCTGTGTCGGATGGTCGTGTACTTCCTGTTCCAACTGCCACATACAACTGGCGCAACGGGCAACACACAATAGCTCTCAACGATTTGACATTATTATTCTCTATAACCAAGAATATTTTGTCTTTGGCAAATCAAATTCAATCTGCTTTTCTTGTCTGACACTGTGTCATTTTCTCGTAAGTGAAATTGGAATAGAACTGGTGTTACATATAAACTGTAACCTGGAACATGATCTAATTAATAATTAATCCAGAAACTTCCCCCAACTCATTTTGTGGCTATTTCGGTTGTTGAAAAAAAAAATGGAACCTCAAAACTGTCGTTAATTCTATTTTACCACATCTAAGATCGTGGTGTGTGGAGGTGTAATCCGGACAATAATCTTTTTTTGCGGATCTACCATCCTTTAATTGAGTTTTCGCAAAAAATGCCATGCAAATGAAAATTATCTTCATGAACTTGCAGCATTTCCTAATTTGTCAACAAGCCAATAGGATCTCATGGAATGATGAAATTTCTCTTTAATGCATAGTAGTATACAACAGCTTTTCTTTCATTTGTTTCTAACTTCAATTCTCCCGGATAATGCCTCCCCATTGGTACACACTCTGTTTGTGTAAATGGCGCCTTATCCACATCGCACGTTGTCTCGTTTTTTTTTGTTGAATGTGTGTGGTATTCGGAGAAATTAGGTTTAACGTGGTTGTACACAAACAAAAAAAAAATATTAACGCATGCATGGAACACTTTCTAAATTTAAAAAATAACCTCGTGATCAAAAAATATTGTAAAACTACTTTTACGTTTGTCTACATGATGCTGCATTTGTAGAATTCATTGAATGATCTATTTTTCAACAATGGGGCCAAACGAGAGGTTCATAACCATGTGGCTATAGAGTTCTAAGAGTTTTCTAAACGATTTATTTGGCTTTAAGTTGCGCTACAGATCAACATGTAAATTTCTACATAGAGAACATTCTCATCAATTTGCAGTAATAGTTGGAAATATTTTACTTCAACATTTTGAGCTGCAAATATTTTAATTCTTTCAATACAAAAAAAAAATAATACTAAAGTCAAACAAATTATACAGAACAGCATATACCTATTTCTGAATTCATTAGGGTATAGTTTCTTTTGAAAAGGCACAAGCAACCAACATCAGATCCAAACTTTTAGTCTTTCATGATTTAGCAATTAGGAACCAACCTTTATTTTCATTGCTTGGTTATACACCACTTATCCTTTTATCTCCAGGGTATAGGGTGTGACTCATTTTAAGATTAGTGTTAAGTCCTTGTTTATAGTTCAAGTCTAAATCCATTGAGTTTATCCTACAAAACTAGCTCTATCTTCTGGGGACACACAAATGAAACACGGTTTGTATTGAATAATAACCCCGCATCAAATTTCATATTCCAATTTTGCAGCAAACTATGACGAAATATTAGTGAAAGGGGTAGAATCGGCTACAACTTCCTAACCATTTGTCATATTCTATGTCCAAGTCACGGTTTTAACTAAGTTTTTTTTTATATATCTAGAATATTGCCTACTTGGTCGAGCTAAGGAAAACAAATAGCAAAAAAAAAAGTTTAGATATTCTTATTGGTGCATAGATTTCTCGTGAGTTCACGCCAATCCAAGAAAAGAAGTTCGAACTTAGCATAATTTTCATTTCCTTCAACTAATCCACTATGACAAAGTTTTTTTGGAAGTGTCGCCAGATTAATTACTTAACATGACAACATTTTCGTAAATCTGCAAACGTCACTTTTTGTACGACGAAAATTTCATCTAAAAATGTAAAAAAATTAAAAGGTGGGGGTGAACTGGTAGACTTGGTGATCTAATTATGCACGAACCATTTACAGTAATTTAGTAATAATTTGTGACAAAACACTTGACATAAAATTAATTCTATCACCTAGCTTTCAAGCTTTCAAATGCATTCGAAACTATTGATTTTGACACAAAAAAATTGAAAAAATTAAGTGTGAAAACACGTGTTAAAAATAAAATTTTCGTAAAAAAGTCACAGTGGCCGAGTGGTTAAGGCGACGCCCTGCTAATTAAGCGGTTAAGGCGTTGGGATTTTCCTTCGCAGGTTCGAATCCTGTCTGTGACGCCATTTCTTTATTTTTTTTATTTTTACAATTTGTAATCACTATATCTTATTCTCGAGTTTTAATTCAACAAATAAAACCAGCACCTTTACACTATGAGTGCTGGGTTAACCGAAGTTGTTTGGACCCTTAAAAATTTCTGTCAATAATTTGCCACATTTTTTTTTTTGTTGCGAAATAATATACTTTGTTCTATAAAAAATCTATAATTCTATTAATCCTCTTCTTGAATATCTTCAAACCATACATCCAACAAAAACTTTAACCTTGCCTTCATTTCGTCACCTATATTGACTATAGTACCTCTAACACCCTCTCGCAATGGATTACCCACAGTGTCATAGACACAATAATACGGATGAAGAATACCTTCTTGGAATCCCTCGGGTTCCACCCATGCTTCACTTGGCTCATTATATCCATGAACATAAACAGGCAGGTTGATTGTGGGAGGTCTAATTATTGCCTCTATAGTCATAGGATTTGATGTAAGTTTATTATCGAAAATCTCATTGTTTTCCCGTTCCATTTCCACCTTGTTATTTTCATCGTTATTAAACATGTTCTTTACCATTTCCGTAGATGTAACTTTATATTTGTCCTTTAGTAATTCTTTAAAGTGTTCGCCTCCTTCGTTTCGCCAATTTTGTAGCTGGTGAGAGGTGACGTAAAGCAAACTTACATCATCATCATCAGAAAGTTGTCCCCATGATGAGGAGCATATTTCTTGCGACTGAGTTACATCCTTGGGCAAATTTGATGGTGGGGTAAATATACCAGCAGCAACAGCTTGATTGTGGTTGAATGAAATCAGATTGTGATTACCCGCCATTTCTTGACTTACCCAGATGAAGTCAGGAGTGAATATGTTGTTCTTGGTCTTGAATCTGATGGTTAAAGTGTTGTGTAACTGGAAATTTGCCGAGATTAACAATCCCGAGAATGCAATGTTTTTGTTGATTGCCATAATTGATGGATCAAGGATATCTTGGAAATTATCAAGAAAGAAACGACCAGTTGCAAGCAGTTCATCATCTCGTTTGAAGAGACCAAAATAATGGTTATCAAAATCGTTTGGTGTTAAAAACTGTTTCACCAAACTAGTGACTTCATGGAACCCAGGAGGGAATCTTTTAGGTCTTTTGGAGTAGATTGTAGGACTTTTGAAAAAGAGTAACCCAGTTTCTTTATACCTTTGATCATTAAAGTAATCAGCTTTTTCTAACAAAGGAAGTGCATGTTCTGTCATAATAATTGCTTCTTCAAATGAATTGAAGATCATGCTCAACGAAACAACAAAGTTAATATTATTAAATAAATATTGTTTAACCATAACTGGATGCTGTTGTGTGTTTTTCACAGGACTAACATCAACAAACCAGAGATTCTGTTGAGGATAGTGAACATCAGTAACCACACGATATACTTCGTCTGGCTTTTTAAAGAATTCGAAATATCCTAAATAAGACCAAGGTAAATAACGAATTTCCGTTCTGGCTGCATCAACCAACAACTTCTTTTCCTGACGAGTTAATGTATCAAGGTGAACAATTTGGATTGGTTTCCTGTTCTTTAAAGCCCTAAGGACTTTAATTATCCTGCTAATATTGTCTATTTGTTTATCACGCGGTTGTCCTTTAGTAGGATGGAAGGGGATCACGATACCCTTACCATTGCTATTTTGTTTAAATTGTTGAATAAAACAGGCAGAGTTCTTGATTTGTTTGCTCTTGTCAAATATAGGAACAGTGTTTTGTGGTAATTTTTCATTCTTCCAATTTTCATAAATTGGGAATTTTCCCGACATCCAAGGATACAACTGGGTTTGGAAGTCCATGCACAACTTGTTATCTATACTTTCCTGTTCATCAGACTCACCAGCTAAGAAGCATTTCCCAAATACTCTCATATGATTGAACTGGTTAACGATTGACTTCTCCAAGTTTGACTGCTTCTGAGATTCTCTTATAAAGTCTTGTTCAAGTTGTTGTTCAACTTCTGCAGTCAATCTCTTTGTTGAACTTCTCTTGACTTCCAGTTCTTTAGCTCTAATCCAGGAATTTTTCTTGTAGATCAACGGATCAGTAACTTGGGCAACTGTAGCTTCGAGATCGACAATAGTTTCACCACTAGGATATAATTTGGACAAATCATGGAAGTATTGAGAACATATCTGGGGTTGAGATAGTTCAGCTATGTTTGGCCTGGACTTTGGTCCCTGGATCATCCATTTCAGGTATATGGGATTGATGAAATAGCTTCGTTGATGGATTAAATCAAATGGAGGTGAAGGAGGGTTTAAAACTGGTCTATTCCAAAAATAAATAACAACAAGCACTAAGAATAGTAAGACAAACGGCCTATTGAATCGTAGGATGGACCTCGGACCAAACATCTTTAACTGTAAGCTAGTTTTTATTTATGGTATCCACCAAGAGTATAAGGAGAAATAAATTTCAAAGCGCACGAGTTGAAAAATCGCAATACATTGTTTTCTGAAACAACATGTTTGGACCAACCATACCTAAAGAACTACGCGAGAAAAGACAGAGAGAAAAGAATAAGAGAAGTGAAGGTGACGTTGTGGACCCGACTAACGAAGATTCTGACTTGGATGACTTTATCGGGCCCATTCTTGTACGGGAAGAGAAAAAGACAACTGTCTCCCAGACAACCACTACTAATTCGAGCTCACAATCACAACCGTCCTTGCTAGAACTTCACCAAAGAGGATTGCAAAACAAACCAACAGCATTTGATCTGGAAAAAGCATTGAATGAAGAAGTGAAACAAGAATTACTAAAGAAATTAAGTAATGTAAAAGGAAAGTTTGCACCAGGGGCAAACTAACACATTCTATATATTCAAAGATTTGCCGAATACTTTATCTAATTCATTAACATTGTCATCAATAGGTGTTTCCTGCTGCTCTTCCTTTGCAGGAGTCGGAGTTCCCACTTTATGAGGTTGCATCACCGTAGCGTATTCAAAGCCAGGGGCCACCTTTATAGTTTGTTGATGTGACCATTCTTGAAATTGGTGTACATTCTTATCGTTGGTTATGTTATCGTTTAATCTTGATTCAATTGCACAGATCTCCTTTAGCCACGCATTTATTTCAGTTTCACCAACGTTAAGCTTGGGTGGTATCACAGTATTGGAAAGTGAAGGTATTAGTTTGTTATAATTAGTATTTAGGGTTATTGGTTTTGGTGGTTGATATGACGGATTCTTTATCAATGGAATCTGTTTTAAAATCGGATCAGCTGGATTAGATTAGTATCAGGCATATAGCAAGTGATTATACATTTCCATACATACGTTTATCTGTATCGTCCATGGTTAGTGGGAAAGAACTAGAACACTTTTCCTTTGTGATCGCAATTTACCACTGTAGAAAAAATAAGTACGCTAGCAGTAAGTTTAAGTTTACTTGACACACTGAAAATTAAATGATCCTCTATTATGGATAAAATATATAGTACATAAAATATAAGATGCCCACAAGGAGACTCTAGTTGTATGCTAGACCGAATCCCTTAGTTGTCCTTATAATGACGAATCAAAATATATGCGTTTTCTTGTTTCAAGTTGGACAATGAACGGTAACCACCTTCTAAACGCATCAATAACCCACCGAATGAAATGTAAACTGACATCTTGTCGCTGTCGGCGTTTTCTTCGAATTTATAAACAGTTCCGTACATAACATAATCATAATCATCAGCCAAGGATCTGTCATCAGCCTTTGGTGGTCTCCAAGAACCATTGGAAGTCAACATGGAAGATTCATTACCCAAAGATGAAGCCAAGGTGATGGTTAAAGAGTCCTTGGTCTTGACAGGGAATAATTCACTATTTATATCTAAGGTGATTTTGATGTCTTGAGATGTAGATGAGTGACCTGTTATTCTACAGACTTTGTTGTATCTTGCTGCGTCTGTGGAATCCACAATAAACATATCTTCAAATAATATACCGGACATTTTGATTAGATTGTATGTGATGTGTATGTTTTGTCCTAATGTGTGTAGGTGGATAGTACAACTAGAATCTTATTTTTGATGAGCTGAAAATCAAATAAAATTTTCTGAAAAAAAAGATATACACACGTGATTCAAGTCAGATGACCAATTATCAGCTGACACAGAATCACATGACCAAATCACCTGTGTCGTAAATTGAACGAAAAAGAATCTAAATCAGGTAAAACCAAAACAATTATTTTTTTTTCTTGCTGGGGATCTCGGCTTCCAAATTTAGAAGTGTAATTTGGATTTTGTCCGCCTAATTTTATTGTTCCAACATGTAACACTTTTTTAAGCCAAGGGGTTAAAAAAAACTTCTTCTTTAGATTTCTTTCATCTTAAGCTTATTGGATAAAATAAAAATGTATGGACACCCATTGCATGTAATACACGAGAAGGACCCTCTTGAATTAAACCCCGGGAAACCAAAGAAAAAGCTCACAGCTTTGAAAGTATTTATATCTATTTTCTTAGTCTCATCGTTGATATATGTGATTACCAATCGAGGCAAATATGAGGAATTGTCTACATACTTTTCCAAACCTTCCACTAGTTTTGTATATACAGTTGAACCAAGTATAACTACCGGTTTACAAAGAAGAGAGGACGACAACAAAGATTCTCAAAAGACTACAAGTAAGACAGATCCAACTCCCACAGACAAGAAAGAGGATACCAAGACCACAGACAAGCCTTCCAAAACATCAAGTGAGGATAAAACTACTAAGACCACAGATAAGCCTTCCAAAACATCAAATGAGGATAAAACTACCGATAAGCCAACATCAAAAGCCACTGACAAATCTTCAGATGACAAAACTACTGATAAGTCAACGGATGACAAGAATAGCAAAGCCACAGACGAACCAAAAGATGACAAGGATGTTAACACGGATTCCAAGTCTACTAAATCCGATTCTAAACCCACAAAAACCACATCAAAACCCGATCCAACACCTACAGAAACTGAAAGTTCTGCTCCAGTGCCGGTTTATGACCAACCAGGTATCAGGTTTGTGTTTGCCTTATTTGGGTTTATTCTTTTAAATATGTTTGCCATTGTGATTCATCACATATATATGGTTGCCTCGAAGGCAGGGAACACTTATAAAACTGTTGACGATGATATATCGCCATTCTAGAGTATAAGTTTATAGTTTTGTATATTTGGATTTAAAGGGTTACTTTTCGTACGTGTTCATCCTAGCATTGTAACTTGTTACAAAATTCGCACTCTTCTAAGATCTCAAGAAATTCTGCAGGCAAAAGAAAAAAAAAAACCTTCTTTACAAACGGCTGATCTCAGATTGCTTCCAGACAACCATAACCCCCCATCCATCACAAAACTTCATTGTAAGTGCTACATATACTAATGCGCGGTCTAGGTTATCGTCCTTCTACATCTAGAAGGCTCCTACAGATCTCCTGTGCCATAGGTTGGTGTTTGTTTGCAGCAGGTCCCATATTTGGATTTGCTGCCATCAAACCCATCTTCATAAAAGAGGGAGTGTATCATGATAAATGCCCCGCCAATTCCAACAGTGAGTGTACCCAACAAGAGTTGGCATTGGATTTCTTATTTACAGCAGGTTGTATGGTTACCAATATATCTGCCTTGCCTGTTGGTTGGATTCTTGATTCCTATGGTCCTAAAACTACTGGGATAATTGGTTCCTTCATATTAGGAATTGGTGCCATATGTTTAAGTTTAGCATCAAATATTTTATTTATGGATGGATACTTGGCCGGGTTTATCTTATTAGCACTTGGTGGGCCATTTGTGTTTATTTCTTGTTTCCAATTGGCCAATAGTTTCCCTAAACGTTCAGGTTTAGTATTAGCATTAATCACCGGATCATTTGATTCTTCTTCAGCATTGTTTTTATTCTATCGAATGTATTATGATAATATTCATAAATTATCAGTTAGTGGATTTTTTGCATGCTATTTAATTGTACCTATTTTCATTTACTTGTGTCAGATTTTACTAATGCCGGAAGAATTATACAAGACTGTAGCCACTTTGGCAAAAATTGCTGAAACTGGTATTGATGAGACTGGGAAACCTCTTGATACAGATTTGTTATATCCCGAAGATATAGCAGAGGACAGTGATGATAATACTGTCGAGTACTATCAACCAACAATTCAAGAAACTACTTCACTTTTGTTAAGAAGAGCGTCAATCTCCGCACAAGTCCCATCTATTCGTCGAGCATCATTCTCGTCTGTTGCTTCCAATAAGTCCGTTTATGAGCAAGAAGCAGATTTGAAATTAACTCGATCATCTGGAGGAGTATTTGGAATATTACACGGGTACTCCATACGTGATCAATTATCTTCCAGCTGGTTCTTATTGATGTGTTTATTCACTATGACGCAAATGTTGAGAATCAACTATTTTGTTGCCACTATCAAATCCCAAGAACTTTATTTGTATAACGGTAATGAGGAATTGGCAACCAGCATCAATCATTTTTTTGACATTGCCTTGCCAGTAGGAGGAATCATTGCTGTTCCCTTTATTGGAATGATTTTAGATAATTGTACTACATTGTCAGTGTTGGCATTATTGACGGGACTCACAGTGTTTGTCGGAATTGCTGGGTTATTATCATGGTTACCTGCCACATATGCTGGTATATTAGTACTTGTGGTATTTAGACCATTCTTTTATACTTCAGTGAGTGATTTCTGTGCCAAAGTGTTTGGATATGAAACTTTTGGTACAGTTTATGGATCCATAATTGCATTTTCCGGTCTTTGTAATATCTTCCAACAAGTTATGGACAAAGTAACCCTTGAAATATTCAAGAAGAACCCGGGACCTATTAATATAATCTTGACTGTTTTGACTGGGGTTTCCGGGTTTGCCCTTATTGGGTTTGTCAAGTCCCAAGAAATGGAGATTAAGAGATTACAGTTAGAAATGGAAGCACAAGAAGCTATTGATAGACCTATACCTACTTAGATAATATACAATTTACCGTATTCTACGTCGTGATTTTCTTTCCTTTTTCTCTTTTTCTAAAACAAGATCAGGATCTAATGCTGTCAACTCAGGTATGGCCAATGTTGGTTCAAGCTTTTCTTTGCTGGCGACTTCTATTACTTTGCTCATGTACCTTGATTCCAACATCTCGAGCTCTTGTTGATATATAGATTTCTTAGCTGGTTGTGGAACAGCCTGTTTGGATTTCTGATCTCCAGAAAAGGTTAGTATTTCCTCGATACTGGTCATGGTTCTTACTTAGCAGCGTTATTTTTATCAGCAGCCTTTTGTTCCTTTTCAATTTCTCTTCTTGATCCCTTGATTAATTCTAAATGTCCAACTCTACTAGCAATCAACTTTTCAGTAGATGTCATTAACTGACTTTGGTGTACTTTGGTCAACTTCTTAGCTTCTTTAGCGACGGTTTTCTTAGGCTTAATAATCTTAGGAGCGTTCCTCTTTGGATTCTGTTGCTTCTTGGTTACTCTAGCTGGAGCTTTAGCCTTTAATTTAATCTTCCCTTGAGCCATATCCGTTAGTTGTTGCCAATGCCCACACACTGATGGCTGCCTTTTAATTGCTGTTTTTTTTTCTTAGGCGAGTAAAGTGTTACCCACCGCGAGATGACCTCCGACGAGCCGCACCTTCCTAACTGGGACATCCCGAAACTGAGTCAGAAATTTTCAAGTAATTTCAGTCACATCGCACAAAGTTCAAATTTTCAAATTTATTCCCATAACTTGTGATTCACTTTCTTTTTCAGATCTCCTACCAGATCCCCTCCCCTAAAAACTATCCAAAAAACAACCAACTTCAAGCGCTTCCTTCCTTCTTTCACTTCCGAGGATCCACTATTAGTTATTTCAACAGGTTTTACTTTCTACTACCATGAGTAACTTTCTAATTTTGCCAGGTCCTAAGGCCTTATCCTCATTTAGAGTCAACAACTTTATTCAAGAAATTGAAAAGAAAGTTAACCAAACTGGGGCTATTGAAGCAGTTGCCACTTCATATACCCATTATGTTTCTTTGAAACAACAGTTATCTGATAAACAATTGCAATTGCTCAAGATATTGTTGACCTACGACACCCCCACTGATGCAGAAAACAAATTGAGTCAACAATTGGTCAAGTACTCTACCATAAGCGGCGACGAAGACACCTCTGCTATTCAATTAGATGACACTACTTATTTGGTTCAAGTCTTGCCAAGACCAGGTACCATTTCCCCATGGTCTTCCAAGGCTACTGATATCGCCCAAATTTGTGGATTAAGTGACCAAATTGAAAGAATTGAACGTGGATTATCTTTGATAATCAAGACTAAACCAGGTTTCAACTTGGGACAATTCTTGACTGCCGGTGGCGAAATTTTAACTTCTGTATTTGATAGAATGACTCAAACCCTTTACTTGGGTGCAAATGCTCCAAAGTACAATGACTTGTTTGCTCATCACAGTCCAAAGCCATTGGTTACTGTTGACATTATTTCTAACAAGGAAAACTTGAACAAGGCAAACAAAGAATTAGGTTTAGCTTTAGATTCCGGTGAAATTCAATATTTGATCAATGCATTCACCGAAGTTATTGGTCGTAACCCAACCGATGTTGAATTATTCATGTTCGCTCAAGTTAACTCTGAGCATTGTCGTCACAAGATTTTCAATGCTGATTGGACCATTGACAATGTCAAGAAGGATTTGTCTTTGTTTAAGATGATTAGAAACACCCACCAAAAGAACCCATTATACACAATTTCTGCTTATTCTGACAATGCTGCTGTTTTTGAAGGTCCAGAAGGTTATGTATTTGCTCCAGATTTCAACACTAAACAATGGAAGTCGATTAGGGAAAAAGTTCACACATTAGTTAAAGTTGAAACCCATAACCATCCAACTGCTGTTTCTCCATTTGCCGGTGCCGCTACTGGTTCTGGTGGTGAAATTAGAGATGAAGGTGCTGTTGGTAGAGGTTCTAAATCGAAGGCTGGTTTAGCTGGTTTTTCGGTGGCTGATTTGAATATCCCAACTTTACCACAACCATGGGAAAGAAATGTTGGTAAACCAAACCATATTGCTTCTTCTTTGGATATCATGATTGAAGCTCCAATCGGTTCTGCTGCTTTCAATAACGAATTCGGTAGACCTGCCATTAACGGTTATTTCAGAACCTTAACTACTGAAGTTGAAAATAGTAAAGGTGAAACTGAAATCAGAGGTTTCCATAAGCCAATCATGTTGGCTGGTGGTATGGGTGCCATTAGACCAGATTTGGCCCTTAAGAATGTCAAGATTACCCCAGGTGCTAAATTGATTGTTCTTGGTGGTCAATCCATGTTGATTGGTTTAGGTGGTGGTGCTGCCTCTTCCATTTCTTCTGGTGAAGGTTCTGCTGATTTAGATTTTGCTTCTGTTCAAAGAGGTAATCCAGAAATCCAGAGAAGAGCTCAACAAGTTATTGACGCTTGTGTTTCCTTAGGTAAGGATGGTAACCCAATTCAATCTATCCATGATGTTGGTGCTGGTGGGTTATCTAACGCTTTACCTGAATTAGTTCATGACAACGACTTGGGTGCTAAATTCGAATTAAGATCAATCTTATCTCTTGAACCAGGTATGTCTCCTATGGAAATCTGGTGTAACGAATCTCAAGAAAGATATGTCTTGGGTGTTGCTCCTGAAAACTTGGAATTGTTTGCTGGTATCTGTGAACGTGAAAGAGCTCCATTTGCTGTTGTTGGTGAAGCTACCGAAGAGCAAAGATTAATTTTGACTGATTCATTATTAAAGACCACTCCTATTGATTTGGAAATGTCCGTATTATTCGGTAAACCACCAAAAATGTCAAGAACTGCCATTACCCAAAATTTAAACTTGAAGCCATTCTCCACTAATGACTTAGACGTTTCAGAATCAATTTCCCGTGTTTTACAATTACCTTCTGTTGGTTCCAAAAATTTCTTAATTACCATTGGTGATAGATTTATTACTGGGTTAGTTGACCGTGATCAAATGGTTGGTCCATGGCAAGTTCCAGTTGCTGATGTTGGTGTCACTGCTACCTCATTGGGTGAAACCGTTTTAGCTACTGGTGAAGCCATGGCTATGGGAGAAAAGCCAACTTTGGCTTTAATTTCTGCTAGTAGTTCTGCCAAGATGTGTGTTGCTGAATCACTTTTGAACATTTTTGCAGCTGATATTCCTTCATTGGGTCATGTTAAATTATCTGCCAACTGGATGTCTGCTGCTTCTCATGATGGAGAGGGTGCCAAATTATATGAAGCTGTTCAAGCTATCGGTTTAGACTTATGTCCAGATTTGGGTATTTCGATTCCTGTCGGTAAGGATTCCATGTCTATGAAGATGAAATGGGATGACAAGGAAGTCACTGCCCCATTGGCATTGACCATTACTTCTTTTGCTCCAGTTGACAACACTTCCAACACTTGGACTCCATACTTGCAACCAGTTGAAGATTCAGTTTTGGTTTTGGTTGACTTGGCCGCTAAGGTCAAGAAGGCTTTGGGTGGTTCTGCTTTAGCTCAAGTTTACAAGCAAGTTGGTGATGCTGCTCCAACTGTCCATTCTCACCAAATCTTGAAATCATTCTTGCAAACATTAGTTGTCTTGCACAAGAAATTTGATGTTTTAGCATACCATGACAGATCTGAAGGTGGTTTAATCACCACTGCTGTTGAAATGGCGTTTGCTTCTAGATCAGGTTTGGACTTGACTATCCAAGGTGAAGATTTGTTTACTGAATTGTTTAATGAAGAATTAGGTGCTGTTTTCCAAATTAGAAGTTCTGAATATGAACAATTTAAGGAAATTTTCGCTACCAACGGTATCTCCAGTGAATACATCTCCACTATTGGTAAACCAAACTTCCAAGCTCAAACTGTCAATGTTGCATTCAATGGTCAACAAGTTTATGAATCTACTCGTGGCCACTTACAACAATTGTGGAGTAACACTTCATACCACATTCAAAAATTGAGAGATAATCCAGAAACTTCTACTCAAGAATACCAAGCTATTTCTGACGACAAGGATCCAGGTTTATCTTACCAATTAACCTTCAACCCATCGGAAGCTAAGGAATTCTCACGTAAACCAAAGGTTGCCATTTTAAGAGAACAAGGGGTCAACTCTCAACAAGAAATGGCCTGGTCATTCCAACAAGCTGGATTCGACGTTTATGATGTCACCATGACTGATATTTTAGAGAACAGAGTCTCCTTAGACGATTTCGTTGGTTTAGCTGCATGTGGTGGTTTCTCATATGGTGATGTTTTGGGTGCTGGTGCCGGTTGGGCCAAGTCAGTCTTGTTCCATGAAAAGACCCGTAATGAATTCAAGAAGTTCTTCCAAGATAGAACTGACACTTTTGCATTTGGTGCTTGTAATGGTTGTCAGTTTTTCAGTAGAATTGCTGAATTGATTCCAGGTACTGAAAACTGGCCAACTTTTGAACGTAACTTGTCAGAACAATATGAAGCTAGATTCGTTATGGTTGAAGTTGAGGCTTCCGAAAAGAACAATTCTATCTTCTTGCAGAAGATGAAGGGATCTAAATTACCAATTGCTGTTGCCCATGGTGAAGGTAGAGCACAATTTAAATCTAGTGAGACCCAAGCTAGATTTCACAGTGATGTTATAAACTACGTTGACAATTATGGTAAAGTCACTGAACAATACCCATTCAATCCAAATGGTTCTCCAAATGGTATTGCTGGTATTTCTAACGCCAACGGTAGAGTTTTAGCAATGATGCCTCATCCAGAAAGAGTTACCAGAAAAGAATCCAACTCTTATTACCCTGTTGAACAAGGTAAACAATGGGGTGTTCATGGACCTTGGATCCAATTGTTTAGATCTGCCAGAGAATGGGTTGGCGATAACTTTTAATAGTACAGTTTGAATTATATATTGTTTGTATAGTATGTTTTTAAAAATATAAAGTTTTAAGAATCATGATTTGCAGCCAATGCAAGGGTCAAAATGCCGCCCACCTCATCACGTGTATTCATTGCCTAATTAGGAATATATCACGTGACCAAAATTTTTCGATGAAAATTTCGCAACCCAAAGTCGTGCACTTGCACAATATATATTTTTTGTTTTTGAAAAAATTTTCACCGCTATGTATTCTTATAGTAGTGAAAAAAAAATTTTTCAGTCTTTTTTTTTATTTACTTCTTCAATCTATATCCATAAGTATTATATCAAAATGGTTAACGCTATCTTATCTAAGAAAAAGAAGTTGGTCGCTGACGGTGTTTTCTACGCCGAATTAAACGAATTCTTCACCAGAGAATTAGCTGAACAAGGTTACGCTGGTGTCGAAGTTAGAAAGACCCCATCCAAGTTAGAAATCATTGTTAAGGCTTCTAACACCCAAGCCGTTTTAGGTGAACAAGGTAGAAGAATCCATGAATTGACTTCTTTAATCACCAAGAGATTCAAGTTGTCTCCAGAAGGTGTTGCCATCTATGCTGAACGTATCGAAGAAAGAGCTCTTTCTGCTGCTGTTCAAGCTGAAGCTCTTAAGGCCAAGTTATTGAGTGGTTTACCAATCAGAAGAGCTGCTTATGGTGTTTTAAGATTCGCTATGGGTGCTGGTGCCAAGGGTGTTGAAGTTGTCATCTCCGGTAAATTGAGAGCTGCTAGAGCCAAGTCTCAAAAGTATGCTGACGGTTTCATGATCCACTCTGGTCAACCAACCAACGATTTCATTGACATTGCTATCAGACACGTCTTGATGAGACAAGGTGTTTTAGGTATCAAGGTTAAGATTATGAAGGACCCAGCTACCAACAAGTTCGGTCCAAGAGCTTTACCAGATGCTGTTAAGATCGCTGAAGCCAAGGACGAAGATGAAATCATCCCAGCTCCAACTGTCAAGGTTTACAAGCAAGAAAAGGTTGCTGAAGAAGCTGCTGAAGAAGCCCCAGTTGAAGCTTCCGCTTAAGTTAATTTAGGTATATAATTTTCTATTTTTTAAATTAATATAAGGAGGTAATTTCATTTCAATAACCCTTTCATGTACCACAATTTTATACTTTATTTCTTTAGAAAATCTTAGTTTTTTTGACCCCTTTAGATATAATTACTTTTTGTATTTGTTGGTCGAACTCGCAACCAATATGAATAAGGGTTTTAGATTCTAAAGATGAACCATTGAACAATAGAGATCCCATAGATCGTAACAGTTTCGATTCAATCATTGCAAAACTAAAGAATGCCATCGTTGGATAAGAAACCATGAAACTATTAATTGTTTGTTTTGTGTTAATTACCGCTATCCTACCCACAACTATTCTAACTATTTTATTACTTTGTCTATTTTTATATCTCTCTCTCTGTGTGTGTGGGGTGTATTAATGTAACTCTTTGCAACCAATTGATCAAATGGAGTTTCTTATTGGTATTTTAACAATTTGCAAGTCTTGGTTTCCAATTTCGGGCAATTTTATGCACTTCGGCAATATCAAGACCTGCCACAAAACTTAGAATTTGGCTCCAGTCGTCTTTCCGACCTCCCGCTTAGCGCAAAATCCTCGTATAGGCAGGAGGAAATTTGAAACAATCTATTAATATCATCTTTAGTGATATATCAGTTTTATGAAGTTATGAAATAGACCCCCCTTTGATCAGTTTTAGATAGGTATGATAGAACTACCCGGGTGCTAATGGCACTAAATCATCGGAGAAGGATTATCCCCTCCGACAAACATCGAGATGTATAAATACCAAAAGAATTTCAACAATGTACCGTTTGCATCCAATATAGAAAAAAACTACTATAACTCATGTCTGACCAAGAAAAACAATATACAATCGATCAGGAAGTTGTCCCAGGTACGATCAGACTCATCGATGTTCTTGGTAATTTAAATGTTAAAAAGAATGATGGAGACCACAACATCATTCTTCAACCCCAACCCACTTCCAATATCAACGATCCTTTAAGATGGACGGATGCTAAAAAGCATTTCCAATTCTTTTTAGTTTGGATCTGGTGCTTTATGTTTGCTGTTACTGTCAATTTCTATGGTCCATTATTCGATGTATGGGTTGACGAATTAAACACTGACTTTAATGAGTTAGGTATCAGTGTTGCTATCTGTTTTTTGGGTCTTGGGTTGGGAGTGTTGATCGTTCAACCTACTGCTTTGAAAGTTGGAAAGAGATTCACTTATTTATTCTGTACCCTTCTTGGAATTGCAGGTTGCGTTCTCGGTGCTAAGGCTACAAGTATCGAAAATATTTACGTTTACCAGGCTTTGGGGGGATTGGGTGCTGCCCCAGTTGACTCTTTAGCTGAAATCACAGGAACAGATCTTTACTTCCAACATCAAAGATCCACCGCGTTTGGATTGGTGATTCTTGCTCTTTATGCTGGGAGTTACTTAGGTCCAGTAGCTTGTGGATATGTTGTCGATGGTCTTGGTTGGAGATGGTGTTTTTGGATACAGGTTGTAATCTATGCAATAATATTTGTTTTATTTTCTTTTACCTTAGAAGAAACGTCATTCAGAAGAGACCTTAATGCCGAGGATGAGTTTGAAGAAGAGATTCTTTCACAACTGAAAGATAAGAAGAAGGAGAATATCAAACTGACGAGCAAAGAAGTTGACCCCATAGATAGGGATTCTGTAGACGAATCAGTTCCCAAAATGACTTACAAGCAACGGATGCGTATAATTCATACAGAATACAATGATGTCAGATCTTGGTTATGCATTTTCTGGCGTCCGTTCTTCTTAGTCTCCTTTCCAGCTGTAATATGGGGTGGTTTAGTTTATGGCGCTCAAATGATGTGGCTATCTTTGATTGGTAATTCTCAAGGTGATATTTATGGGGCTGAACCTTATAACTTCCTGGCCAATGGAATTGGTCTAACTAATTTGGGTGCTGCATGTGGTTGTATTACTGGAATGTTTTACGGAGGAAACTTTGTTGATTGGAGTACAATCAAGTTGGCAGAGCGTAATAATGGTATCATGGAGCCCGAATTCAGATTATACAGTATGGTTGTACCCACTGTTATCAATGCGGCAGGGTTGTTAGCCTATGGGTTAGGAGCTGACTATGGTACACATTGGGCTGTTTCGGTTGTTATTGGCCAAGGATGCTTGGGTTTTGCTATGGGCTCCACAGGATCAATTTGTTTAACTTACGCTGTTGACTGTTACCACAAATTGGCTAGTGAATGTATTGTACTTATTTTATTCATTAGAAACATGATTGGAATGATCTTTTGCTTTGTATTTATACCTTGGTATGTAAATTTAGGATTAAGGGTCACTACTTGGATGATGTTTGCCTTGTCGATTGGTATCAATGGAAGTTTCATTATCCTTGTCAAATGGGGTAAGGATTACAGAAAATGGACTGCGGTTAGATATGCAAAGTATTCTAACCCTATGTTTGGGGAAATATTCAAAGACAAAAGTTAAATTGATTATAATAATTGTGTTTGTCTGTTTTTAACAATATAATTAATTTTTATAAGAATTTAATATGTGTTTGTTAGTATAATCGCTTTGGTTGTAGGATGAGAATACTTCTGTTTACAGATAAAGAACTAGCTCTAAAATTAAACAATTGAACTTCTTTTAGACTTTCGGGCCAGGGGATTATGTTTAGGTCAGTAATAAACAGGCACAAAAAAGTTACTGTTGGAGATTAATTTTGCCATCATAACACAATAGTAGCATTTCTTAAGCAATACCATAAAAACGTCTTGCAAAATAATATTTAGCTAGCAGTAGTTGCCCCGGGTGCCAGCTAAAAATAGAGAGGGGCAATGATAAATTGTTATTCCTTTGCGCCGTACATCTATTTCTCCTGCCTAATTTTTTTTTAGTTATGCAAAAATACGGTCGCATGGAAAAAGTAGAGAGTTGCCTTTTTGACATCTTAGGAATTAGCAAGATCAAATGACATCATAATTGCCGGGTGGTGTACCCAATTAGTTTCGCGATGAAATTCTCAAACTCGGCGATAATTTCATTTTACGTAGTTAAGCCAAGGAAATGATTCATTAGTCATCACTGGAAACGCTTACAAAACCACACAATTGAAATATTTTTTAACGTGGCTCAGTCGTAAAACACCAAAAAAATCGAATGACATGATCACATTTGCATTAAATTATTTTATACATACCAGATTCGGATATATCCGAACAAAAATAATTACCAAACATAACGTTATTTCCCATCCATCCGAGGTTATTAGGCGACATGCTTAATCATACTTTCGCTTCCTCTGATGGTTTTATAAATTATCAAAATAAAATTTGTACCATAATGGATCAACATGCATCGATTAAAATAGGAGTAGCTGTGTTTTTTTGTGATAGAAGTAATGTGAGAAATGCAAGATATAAATGTTCGGAGAACAATTAATAGGAGGGGATCCAACTCCGATCTTAATTTTTATTCGTTAGATTAGGAGATGAAAAAAAATTTTTTTGTAAGCATAATGAAATTTTTGATTGTCGGAAGTACATCACCGAACAAAACATGACCATATGAACCCTGCAACTTTGGCACAAGGGAAAAATACTAGAAAAAAAATATGAGCAAATTTAGACAGGTTGCATGGGCTAGTTGCTGTCAAACCTGGATTGATTTGGTGATTTTGTTGATATGGCTAGGGGGGCAAACGTGGATGGTATTTGCACATGATTACTAAAATTCACATGTCGGGGTTTGCCATCCCAAATGAGAAGGTAAAAAGGCAAGTGCAAACATTGAAATTCGATTGTTTCGCAAAAACATTGACATCATCATTATTTTTTTAGTGATATTATTTATTATTTATTCTTTCCCCTCGGCTTTATCTCCGAATTTTAATATTGCGGTATGGATGTGCACTTTCGGAGTCCCCGCCAAAAATAAAGTTGGATGATTTACAACGGTTAAAACAATACATTTTGTGAACGGACATTAACTTCCAGGGTGGAATCAAATAATAATATTTTTGGTTCATCGGATAATTGGCGCTTATTAAACATTTATGACTAACTTTGCCAAAAAAATTTGCACTATATAAAGAGGTGCAGGTTTCCCAGTTTACTTGCTTTCTTCAGAACCATTTTAACTCTTTTTTATAATCTTCATTCCTTACCTCAATTATCTACAAATAAATAAAATGTCTCAATCCACTCAATTTTTAACTTTATCTACTGAAGTTTCCGAACCATTTATTATTGAAAATGTTTCACCAGTCTCTTCCCCAAACTTAAAGGCTCATAAGAGTAAGTGGGCTAAACCAACTATGGGTACCGACAAGCTTACCCCAGTTGCTGCATTTGAAGATGACCAATACGATGATGAATTAATTGCCGCTAAGGATTTACCAACTATTAACTTGAACTAGGATTATTATAGAACATACATCTGTGCATATGAATAGGAGTATTCCATTCATTTAATGACATGATTCTTTTTGGTTTTTGGTTTTAGATTTGGTTTTTGGTTTATGTTTAGGGTTTTTAAATTTGATGATATCCATTTTACTTCGTTTTTGTTATATTATTTAGCGATACTTTTATAAAAAAAATACACATGGTAAATTTTAGATTTTTTTTTGCGTAAATTCAAATAAAACTTTGGAAACACTTCCGAAATGAGAGGTTGAGAACGAAATGAGATTTGTAAGCAAGTACCAGTGTGGATATTTAGAAAATTTTTCACAAGTCGGAGAGCAATGTATTTGCAAATCAACAATGTCGATGAATCTTTTACAGATCAACTGGTTCTTCTTATCAGTAATTAGTAATCTCGTTCTCATCTAATTAACAACAAATATCACTCGGATCAAAGGGTGGTTTTTTTTCTTTCCGGTAATTCATCACGTGTAAATAATCACGCGGAAGTACGAAGTTCATCCCCTCATGTCTACTCGGTTGTCCCTATTTACCCTAGTCTATTCTATTTTACCCCTTGGTAATTACTAGCAAAGTGGAATTGCTAGGATAGATTATTGGGTCATGTATGACAATTGTGGGTTTAAGAAATTTTTGAATTACCAGAAACGATGAGAGCCCACGATGTGGGTGGCTGTGGCACACGTTGTAGGAAGAAAAGAGAGAGAGAGAGAGCATATATTTACATCAATTCACAGCCCACGCGGTGTTTACTAGTACACACATATAGCAATTGGTATATATATACAGGGTGAAACGTAATTCAATTAGTTAGATCGTAAAACAAACATAAAGTTTTTTAAACCACAGAATAGAAATCGTTATATCTCTTAGCATAATAAGCAGTAGAAGCACCACCTAAAGCTACCAACACAACAGGAAGGGGCTTCTTGAAAGAAGTTGGAATGGATCTAGCTAATCCAGCAACTAAAAGAACGGCACTAGTACCCAAAGCTAATTCCAAACCGTAATCAGCATTTTGCTTTAATAAATAACCAGCAGTTCCGTAAAGAGCAGAAAATGTAATACCAGCAACCAAGGAAGGAACTGAACCTTTACGAGCGTAACCCATGATACCACCAATGGCAGTAAGACCGGCTAAAGTAAATGCAGGATGATCCATACCCATTTTGAATTGACGATTTTTAGTTCTTGACTTGAGTGAGAGACAATTGTAAACAACTCTTGGAATAAGAAAGCAAGTAAAAGTTTTTAGTTTTTACCTTTTTCGGGTTTTTCGTTTTTTTCGGATATAAATGCGGGATTAGAAATAGTCTACTGCAACATTAGATAGGGAAGTTAGTGAACTGAAGAATAAAATATCAATGCTATAGAGTACAAGTTATAAGAGGGAATTATTGGCTATTGTAAAATTAGATTATGTGGGTGTAGATTAATAAATACTAGATGAGAGTCTGTTGATTGAAGGATATATCTACTTTCCGGTCATGCCGTGTCGTTGAGTAAACGAACATGTCTACAACTGCATCTATGTAATCAAAGAGTATATTCTAGCAGACAACAGGGAAAAGCTTTAACCGTAATTGCTGAACATGCCATTTTTAAAGTTACATGTGTATAAATCATTCGTTGTCCCCTCATTCATCGTGAAATTTTACTTAAGCCAAAGAATGTTAGCTGAATTTTCCCTTTTTTTTTTCCTTTTTTTTCCTTTTTTGCTTGTTGGATGGCACGCGCACAATTTAAAATAACTAAGACAAAAAAAACTTTTTTGTGGTAAAGAGCGAGCTAAGCTAAAAACCCATTGGTTAGAAAAGAATTAAATTGCATGTTTGTTCAAGTCAACAGCAATAAGCAACAAAGAAAGTGGGGTGTTCTTTGAAATTTACACTAACTTTTTTTGTGAAAGTACTGGTTAGTTTCTTATAAGTGAGCTACATGTTTTATATTCGATTTTATATAAAAACACTATTTAAAACTACCATTAAAACTTTCCGACAGTCAGTTTTTGACTTGCTTGATTTTTCAAAGATTTTTTTATTTTTTTTTTTTTCTTTTTTTAGAGAGTGCGAAAAACAACAGTTTGGAAGCAGAACCATAGTTAAATGGTGACACTCACTGGACGAAACAAAAACCATATTTCCACTCTCAACTATGTTACGCCCTCACACTTCAAACTAAACAAGTTTGTTTGTCTTTACTCTCAACTAAAAATTTTTTTTTACTACACCCCAGCAGTAACTCTCTCTTCTAGTACTACAATCAATCAATCAATCAAATAGTAATAGATAGATCAGAATGAATATCTCGTCTATGCTATCCAATGATAGTACTGTACCAACACCAACAACTCAATCACCCTTACATGTGACTACCGATCAAACTCCCATACCAACCACATCATTGCTACAGGGGAATAATACTGTCCCTAATCCATCCTCAACTGTTGCCAATTTGGTTCCTGTCAGTGCTGCCAGTACTGGTACTGAAAATGGCCATGGACAACATCTTTCTAGAGAGGATTCAATTGTTAGTGATATAATATCCACCCATAACTATAACAACAATGACACTTACGATGTTGCATATAAAACCAAATTTGAATCAAACTTCAATATCCTTAACCAATTAGACCAGTACCAACAGTTAAGTCACAACTTGAAATTGTTAAAATTTGATGAAATTAAATTGAACAACTTTATTATCAACACTAATAAATTCACCTCAAATTATATTGATCGTGTTATTGCTGAAGATATTTCATCTAGAAATAACAAGATTAGTGACACTAACAAGAGTAAAGAATTACAACTTATAGATTATTCAAAACCTTTGCATCATAATACTACTAGAGGTAAAGAATTTAAATGGGGTTCCACCAGAGAAGTTCACAAGGTTGAACTGAAGAAGAAGAGACGAGTAGCATCTTCTTCTACTACTGCTGCATCTCCAAACGGATCATCTGGTCCGGTATTGATTAAACCAAAACTTGGTGACAATGTTGCTGTTAGAAGAAGTACACGTCCTAAACCAAAGAGAAAGTTGCCCGTAGAAGAACAAACAGAGGAGGAAGAAGATCATCATAAGAAGGTGAAGTTAGAACAAGATGGTAAATTGAAAATCAAGCTTTCGGTTAAGAAGCCTGAACCAGTTAATGTTAATTCCAAAGAATACAAGGCATTCCTTAGACAATATGATAATACTTGTATTGCAATTTGGAAAGATATGTCACGTAAAGATGGTCCAAAGGTTAGTAGATTGATGCAACAATCTACTCAAGCTAAATTGATTAACTTGAAAAAGACTTCTATCTTGGCTGCTAGAGAAGCCAAACGTTGGCAATTGAAAAATAACAAGAATCAAAAGGATTTGACTACAAAGGCAAGAAGAGCAATGAGAGAAATGTTTAATTTCTGGAAACGTAATGAAAGAATAGAACGTGAATTAAGAAAGAAATACGAGAAGGAATTGTTGGATAAAGCCAAACGTGAAGAAGAAGAACGTGAAGCTAAACGTCAATCACGTAAATTGAATTTCTTGATTACTCAAACTGAATTATACTCCCATTTTATTGGTAAGAAGATTAAAACTGATGAAATTGAAGGTAGTGATTCTGATCCAAACTTGGTTAAACATGATAAGTCTCACTTGGATAAGTACACTGATATTGAAAGTAAATCTCATGATATCAACACTCTTGATTTTGAAAATGAAGATGATGATGCATTACATCGTGCTGCTGCCCAAAATGCCCAAAATGCATTGGAATTGGCACAATCAAGAGCAAAAGAATTTAACGATGAACCATTAAAGAATCCTGATACAAACGGTGAAGAAATGAATTTCCAAAATCCTACATTACTTGGTGATATTACTATCCCACAGCCAAAGATGTTAACATGCACATTAAAAGAATATCAAATCAAGGGATTGAATTGGTTGGCTAATTTGTATGAACAAGGTATTAATGGGATCTTGGCTGATGAAATGGGGTTAGGTAAAACTGTTCAAAGTATTTCCGTATTGTCATATTTAGCTGAAACTCATAACATCTGGGGTCCATTCCTTGTTGTTACTCCCGCATCAACATTACACAATTGGCAACAAGAAATTAGTAGATTTGTTCCTAATTTCAAAGTGTTACCTTATTGGGGGAATGCAAAAGATAGAAAGATTTTACGTAAATTTTGGGACAGAAAAAGTTTAAGATATACCAAAGATTCCCCATTCCATGTGTTGGTTACTTCATATCAATTAGTTGTTGCTGATGCAGCTTATTTTCAAAAAATGAAGTGGCAATATATGATTTTAGATGAAGCGCAAGCTATTAAGTCATCACAGTCTTCAAGATGGAAATCCTTGTTGTCATTTTCATGTCGTAATAGATTGTTGTTGACAGGTACTCCAATTCAAAATTCTATGCAAGAATTGTGGGCCTTGCTTCATTTTATCATGCCTTCATTATTTGATTCTCATGATGAATTCAGTGACTGGTTTTCCAAAGATATTGAAAGTCATGCACAATCAAATACCAGTTTGGATGAGCAACAATTGAGACGTTTACATGTTATTTTGAAGCCATTCATGTTGAGAAGAATTAAGAAGAATGTTCAAAGTGAATTGGGTGATAAGAAGGAAATTGATATCATCTGTGATTTGACCAATCGTCAACAAAAGTATTATCAAATGTTAAGATCTCAAATTTCGATCATGGATTTATTAGATTCTTCTTCTTTGAATTCCCTGTCTTCTGATGATGCTACAAGTTTAATCAATTTGGTTATGCAGTTTAGAAAAGTTTGTAACCATCCCGATTTATTTGAAAGAGCAGATGTTAAATCTCCATTTTCTTTTGGAAAATTTGCTGAGACTAGTAGTTTCTTGAGAGAAACAAATGAATTAGAAATGAGTTATACAACCGAAAATGTTGTTAGTTATAACTTGCCAAAATTGATATATGATGAATTGTTAACACCCAACGAAAAGACTGACTCTAAGGATTCAATTTATGAAATGTTTAATATTTATAAACCTGAGCATGTGAAGGATAATCAACAGTTTGGCTGGTTGAAGTCAATCGATGTTTCTCCTCAAGAACTAAACACATATACTAGAAGGCACATAGTTGAGCGAGCAATTGATTTACAGGAATATACTGATATTAATTATTCCAAGGTGAGTCGATTCAACTATCTTTATGAGGGTGAATTTGTCCCTAACAACAAGAAATTGTTGATTACTCAATACGAAAACAAGTTTTCCAATATCACTAACTCATCCATTCTTTCCAAATTATACTCAATCCAAGATCATGTTTATGAAGATATGTTTATAAATGTTATTTCTCCAGCTGCGGAACCATTAGCTTCAGCACCACCAATCACAAGTGTATGTTCATCGAGAAACTTCTATTATAAAACCCAAGATGTTTTATTCAACCCTAAGATTAGATCTAGTCTTTTACCATTACCATTATCACAAGAATATCAATTAATGACCGAAAATACTCCACTTGAATCATATCCTAAATCGAACATGTTACCCTCTCCAGTCAACAAGAAGATTGATTATTCGAACATTCGTATGCCATCCATGAATAGATTTATCACTGAATCAGGTAAATTGGCTAAACTTGACGAATTGTTAGTTGAATTAAAACAAGAGGGCCATCGTGTTCTAATTTACTTCCAAATGACAAGAATGATGGATTTAATGGAAGAATATTTGACTTATAGGCAACATAAATATATTAGATTGGATGGTTCTTCTAAGTTAGATGATAGAAGAGATTTAGTTCATGATTGGCAAACCAAGCCGGAATTATTTATATTTTTGTTGTCTACAAGAGCTGGTGGATTAGGTATTAACTTAACTGCTGCTGACACTGTTATCTTTTATGATTCTGATTGGAATCCAACCATTGATTCTCAAGCCATGGATCGTGCTCATAGATTGGGACAAACTAAACAAGTCACAGTATACAGACTTTTAACCCGAGGAACAATTGAAGAGAGAATGAGAGATAGAGCTAAACAAAAGGAACAAGTTCAACAAGTGGTCATGGAAGGTAAAGCTACAATCACCAAGAAAGAAGAACATATTAATAAGAAGAAGGATGTTGCGTTCTTGTTATTGGGTGATTCTCCAAGTGATGTTCTGAGCGGAAAGACTTCAACTACATCAACCCCAGAACCAGAAAGTGCAAATGGTAAAAAGAAATATAGAGTTAGTGCTGACGATGCATTATCAAGTAAAAAACTTCAAGAATTATATCATGAAGGTGAAGGTGAATTTTCAGGAAATGTTACTCCTGCACCATAAGTAATTTATATATTACAGAATGAACAGTGTACAATATAATTACTGAGTAATGACATTCTCTTCTATTAAATATGTTATTAATTATTAATTATTGCTAACAAATCCTCCAGCTTTCAGTACAAGTGAACAAAGAACAAGGTTGAATACTTCAAGAGATCTAACATTATCCTTGAATTGAATCAATCATGAGGTGCATTCTTTAACAACTTATTTTCAGTTTCTAAATTATAAATCCGATTAAAACTTTCTTCTAACTTCAATCGTAATGCGTCCTTAGATAGCAGACCATCATCTTCATCCCCGTCAATTGGACTAGTGTTCTGGGTTGTTATTAATTCAGTTAAGCCAGAAACATTTGACTTAACGGAATTCAAAGAATACCTATTTTGTGGAAACAGGATGGCTTTCGTGAACGCACCAGTTCTCTTAACACTTGATAATTGGTCCAATGTAACTTGATGATATCTTTCAATATTCACATTATCATCATCATCATCATCATCGTACAAATTGGTTTCAGGCGATACAGGTATTACTTGTTTATTAGATAGATGAGGCTCTTCCACCACTGTGACTAATCCTAATTGCAATCCTGCTGAAGATCTTTTCTTGGTTTCGAGTGGAGCTGGACTTAACTTTTCATCAATTATAGTACTATATCTACTTCGGGATGATGATGTTCTGAATGACTTTAAATTAAATGTTTCTGACGAATTTGAAGATAAGGAGGGAGATATAGGATTGTAAGACTCGGTAGTCTTGTTTAAATCATCAGCAATGGTGGAATATAAGTGATTGATAGTTTTTAAATCATTTTCAAACTGTTCAAACATGATTAGTTTCTCCTGTGATTCATTATCTGACTGGTTATATTTATCAAAGAATTTTAGATTTGTAGTTAAGGTGGATAATTTTGAGATTAAACTTTGGAGGTTCTGTATGGAATGTTGTGGTTGTTTTATTTTTAAGATATCTTCATTTTCATGGCTTGCCGATTTCCTAGTTGTTACTTCAAATTTTCCAAATAAAGAGGCAATATTAGAACTTGTTTGATTATGGTTTGTCATAACTCGTTTAATCAAGTTCAACCTATTGTAATCACTAATTTGGACCTCACGCGAATCTAAATTGAACTGATCCATGAGTTTGTATATGAAAAAGTTATACCTGACCGGAGTTTGGTTAATTGCTAATAATTGACAAATAAATAATCTTCTTAATTGATTAAATTTAGTAATATTGAATATAATTTCATTAATATATTCATCTTGGTTATCATCCGGTGTATATTCCTGGGTCAATATTTCCAAATCAATGGAATTAATGTTACAATATTGCTGTAACAAGTCACCATTTAGAACAGGTAGCAAGTCCATAATTGAAGATTTAAGATTTAGGTTTAAAAATGAAAGTGAACTTAGTAGGTGTGAGTGTAGATGCGATTTATATGACACGTTGTCACCTTGCCCCGGTAAAAAGTTATATGTATGCAATTCTTTTAATCTTATCATTTGTAAGATTATCTTCTTATTAACAATATAATTTGACATTAGAAATTCATTCAATAAATTTAGGATTTGACTAGTTTGTACCAATGTCCTGAACTTCTTAACTTTGATTAGTTTGGTTGAAATTATAAGAATTATCTTGAAAAACTTCAACTGATTGGATTGATTTGTATGTTCATTGGTTTTCCTTTGTTTTAATAGATAAATAATTAAATTAATGATTAGTAAAATAAGCTTCGAGTCATTATACATCTGATTATACTTCAAGTTATAGTGTTTTTCAAGGATAACCAAGTTGGTACCATCTGAATTTAACACATAAACAAAAGGACTAGCTCTCGCGTGTTTCAGTTCATGCTCTATAGATTTATTCAATATTGACAAACTTTGCTCATTTTTGGATAATATCATAGTATCTTCTAATAAGTTAGATAAAATAAGATTATATTTAAATTTCTCCCAGAATTTATCCAGTTTACTTTCCATGGATAAATATTTCTTGATAAACTTGATGAAATTCTCTGTGGTTGGTGGAATAACTTGGTTACAATATTTGTGATAATAATAAGTAAAATTATGAGGCTGGTTTTCCAGGTCTTGTTGTTGGAGTTGTTGATAATGTTGATGCTGTTGGTGATTATTCTGATGTTGCGCATAAGTCCACAGCAGCAGCAGAGACAATACACTTGGCCGTCGATCTTTTATAAAGTTCGGATGTGGGGGATGCTGGTTGTAGTATTCATGAGACATTGTTGTGGAAGGGACATTGGAAACACTAGGCAGAAGTACTGAGTCATCAATCCCCCAATCACCTAGTTCTGGAGGTGCTGCCAGATTATCCTCATTGTGGGAAAAGAAGTTCGATAGTGGATTAAATCTATCAAAGTTCATATTTGATTATGGTGATTCATATGATAAGGGGAAGTGCTGAGTTTAGATTAGTATAATCTGAATATGTAGTTTTTACAGCAAGTATTTTACAAAAGGCACAAAAAGACTTTGCCTTCAGAAATTTGCACTGCTAGGTGGCGTTAATGAGTGAAGGAACGGTAGTGCAGCACCTTGATTGATTGATTGTTAGGTCTATCTGGTAAATCCTCTTGAATCAGCAGGAAAAGTTGTTATCTGGGAATGGTAAACAAAAGAGATTATATTTTTCTTGTACTGTTTATTGTTTTACAACAGTATTTTTTTTTTTCTTGAGATTTTCCTGATTTAGATATAAATGGCTCCCCCAGATATTTTGTACTTTGCAACGTAATTTAGTGAGATTTACCTAGAAATAGTTATTTGATAGATTGTCATATGACTTATTTTGCACCTGAGTACACAATGGGACCATTTTCATAGAAGTTTGTATTCAGAGAAGCATCTCCTTGTCTTTTTGCGGATAAATTTTATATTTTTTTTTAGCCTGTTGAAGCGGAGTAACAGTAACCGCTCAATGTTAACAACTTTTTTATACCGAGGAATACGGTTTTAGCCCTGCCACAGGTGCGCGCTTTATTTCGTAAACAATTACCCAAATATTTTGGTGGAGATACCCACCTAATAGTAGAAGAGGTTGCTAGTTTAAGGTTATATTTGTTTCAGTTCCTATTGGATGATGTAACTGTTGCAAATTTGGTGTTATGAAATTGTATCGTTTCCGATGTCGCTCTAAAGTGTATTTTTGAGTCACAAAGTTGCTGCAAAAATATCAAACCGTGTGATTACTTCCACTGCATGGGTTGTACCCATCAGTGATACGAAGTTATCTAAAATGTTTATTTCCTACCTTTAATCAACCTCCATTATATTTAAGAAATTATGCCCTATAAAATTTTTATTTAAAATTTACAAGTTTTTGGTCAAGAACTAAGTAATTTTTCATCAGGTGCACCAATATATAATTTACAATAATAGTGTTAACTAAAGTAATAATACAATTAGCATAATAAATACAAATAAATATAAAAAACAGTTAATCAAACAAATCCCGGTCCCGATCCCATAGAGCTCAACCAATCGGTACCGATTATATAATCGTTGGTACTCTCTTCTTTTATGTCAAAATTGTCAGGTGGGATTCCCTGGGAACCTTGTTGTGGTTGAGATTGCATTTGCTGTGGCTGTTGTTGTTGCTGATGTTGATTTTGTTGCAGTTGTATAAATTTAATTCTTTCTTGCTGCAATTGAATTGTTGTATTGTATTGTTGTTGAGCAGGATTAATTGGTTCATCTTTGTTGAAATCAAATACTCCTTCCAAAAGGGCATCATCCAATAATCTTGCTCCTACTTGAGCCTGTTGTTGTTGTTGTTGTTGCTGCTGCTGAATATGTTGTTGTTGCATATTTTGAAACATAGCTTGTTGTCTTTGTTGTGACATCATCATAGGATTTGGATCAACTGAAGCTCTTCTTTGAGCAGCTGCAGCATTAGCTTGGGCTTGCGCAAACTGAGCACCTGCGGGTACTGCACCCCCTTGCTTTTGTTGTTGTTGCTGCTGCTGTTGTTGTTGTTGCTGTTGCTGCTGCTGTTGCTGCTGCTTAAGTAAATATTGCGATCGCTGTAAATTGTTTTGGTTCTCCATTTGTAATAAGTTCAATTGGTAATCGTTAATCCCTTGGTTACTAAACTTATTCACCATCTCAGCAGGAGATCCAGAATGACTTTGCAGTTGTGGCTGTGATTGTACATGTAATTTTTGCTGTTGGCCATTAGACATCAATGGGGATTGCAATTGCTGTTGGAACTGCTGTTGAGGCCTTTGAAGTTGTTGTTGTTGTTGTTGCTGTTGCTGCTGTTGGAATTGAGCCTTCAATTGTTGCAAACGCAATTGAGGGTGTTGATGAACATTTCCCAAATTAGGAGAAGATTTTCCACTTGTTGGTGGACCCATTTTATTAGGTGTAGCATTCGCGACTGGATTTGTTCGAGGAACCATAGGATTATGACTAACAGATTGATGTCGAGAACCAGGAGTAGAACCGGCAGCAGCAGCAGCAGCAGCAGCAGCTTGTTGTTGCTGCTGTATCATTAATCTTTGCTGTAATAACATCTGCTGATGTTGAGGTTGTTGGTGCTGTTGTTGCATACCTACTTGTTGCGGCAATGCAAAGCCACCACCTCGTTGTAAATTCGGCTGCTGAAACTGTTGTGGGGTAGGATTCTTAAGTTGATTTAAATTTGGATTTATTGACGCTTGTAAGGACCACAATAAACACCACCACTCATATAAAAAGGAATCATCTTCACCAGTCCCCGTAGACGAACTTAATGACATTAAAGGTACAATTTGCTCCATGGGAACTGAAGATAAATTCTTAATATTGTGAGGAACTAGGGTAGATTCAGTCAATAATGCCTGAGCTGATTCATGCATACCATTACTTCTAAGGTAATTATATAAATGTGCAAATAGTAATTGTCGAGGGTCTTTTGCTAATAAATCACTGACTGTATTAGGCAATACATCTGAGTTTAACATTGGTGTATTTGTAGCATTTGTATTACTGCCTGTATTCATATTAGGACTAGGGTTAGACATTATTTGGTTGGAATTATTCGAACTAGGCGCTGATGGGGTAATACTATCAAATAGATTATTGATAGCTATATCGTTAAAGTCAGTATTAATATTGGTGTCTAAATTGTCTTGTTTGGTCGTGAACATGTAACAAAACTAATATTGGTTGGTTTACAATAAACAATATGAAAAAGTCTGATGTTGTTACGCTTTCCAATATATAGCAAAATGTCTATACTGTCTATATGGTCGAATTATCCCCTCTAATGGTAACTTTATGCACGAGTGTTTATCACTTTTCGTTCGATGGTCATAAGAAAAAAGAAAAATCGTACAAAAAAAAAAATAAAAAAACAGAAAAAGAAAAAAGGGAAATATCGAAATCGTCAATCGAGAACAGGGTGGTGGTTGGCATATCTGCAAATAATTATATTTAGTAAGTAACAGATTTGTAGGTAACATGTTTGAGGTATCATTTTTTTTGATCGCTTATATCATGCAAGATGTGTTTTATAAAAGCTAAACATTGATCTAAGCGAGGTACCTACAATAAACAAATGTAATGTATTAATAGGCCTGGGCTCATAGACCATCACATGGTCTAGAATAATTCCAGCCGATACCATAGAAACATCCAATAGAATCCCATCATAAATGCCGCACAAGAGAAATCTATAAATCTGTTGTCATTGGCAAACCCAAATCTCTGGACTAAAATGACACGATCTCGTTTGAAACAAGAACTTTAGTTGCTAAATCATTCGATTATTCAAAATATATCAGGACCTCTGTTTTCTACAACAACATAATTTCATCTATTAGTAGTTGTAAATCCTCGACAGTTTATCTCGGTGCCCCACGTTATTTGTCTCCACTCTTTCCTTAAATATCGAGGGGAATATCATCTGAGAAAATTAGCATGTGATTACCTCAAAACATATAAAAGAGAGCCTCACAACAGAGCAATTGAATAGTTGTATAGTCAACCTCGACAAGATGTTTGAACCACTTAAAGTAATACTCGTCTCTTTCCATGCCAAAAACGAAGGGGCTGAGTTCTAAAGTTGCAGTCGTCTTCCTTGTTTACAACGATTTAAACGAAATACCGAAACCTACTTTGAACTCATATTTCGAAACACATTTTCTACTTTGTTCAATCATCACCAAATACAACTGTTATTCTAATTCTCCGGTATCAGTGTCTAAACTCTTGTTCTTCTTCTATCTGTTTCAGGAATATATCTGCGCAAGCCAAGTGTTGGGTACCAGTTGAAGTACAATACAGAAAGTAGTATGATATTAAAGAATCATTTGAGCATGATTAGCACCAACCGCAAATAGCTCTTCAATTAATAACCAGTGCTTCTCGAAGGACAGTATAAACAACAAAGATTCCGATCTTCCGTTCATAGCAAAGAACGCGTGTCTTGAACGATTGGGTATCGGGGCAAGAAAAGCTGAAGAAATCTTGGAAATGAAAGGACCCCTACGAAAGAATGATTATTAGTGTAAATTTATCCAATTGGATGAAACGTAGTAAGGCAATGAGCATGGGATAACATTAACTGATATGATTTAGTCAGTTAAACACGTTGAAAACTTCAGTTCTTACAACTCTAACCTTACACCGCTACTCCAAGAATAGTTTAACAATTAGTCATCATTTACTAAGACCCCATTGTACTAGCCCCTCCTAAGGTCGAACCGTAATTCTCCTCTTGATTCTAAAGTTCGTATACTTGGCTTTGTGACGTGATTCCGGCTATATACTCGGCAATAAACCTTGGCAATAACAATAGATTCCATAATGGTAAAGAGCAATTGAATTCTCAGACACGCTCGTCAGTTGACAACGAAACAATTGATCCCCCATTCATGAAATCACCACCACCACCACCACCCACATCGGTAAAATCCCTCGATCTTGAAAAATTATTTTTGTTTCAAGGATAAACCCAAGATTATTTTTTGGAGGCTTTTCGAGTGTGTGTGGGATATTTTTTGTGTCCTACTAAGTTAATCTCCCCACCCCCTCCCTAAAGAAAACGTTTGTCCTCAAATTAAAAAAAGTTCCGAAATAAATTTCCGAAGTTAGTTATTAATTATTCCGGTTTAGAACTAAAGATTACATAATTATTGCGGAATGTAGCAACTTTTCTCAGCAAAGATAAGAAACCTCTACCCCTCCTCCCGTTTCCTGTCACCACACAAACATATTAAAATTTGATTATTAATTAATTTGCAAGTAAGCAAATTTTTGCCAGATTCTTCGTTTGTTTAGCAAGTGTTCCTGCTTTATTTTCGTTACTACACAAAAAGGAAAAACTCGGTGATGACTAAGATCTGCATGAAGAAGGTGAACCCTAATGTGGTATTTCTCTTTAGTCTATAATTATTAATTATACGCTTGCAAAAAAATTTCTCCATTGACCCCACCATAAATCCCACGCTAGGATTGAGCTTCCCTGACTTTCTATCAAAAATAAACAAGACCAACAAGAGATTCTTTTTTTTTTTCTTTGCTGCATTCCCGACACAAAAAAAATTTTTTGTCATTTTTTTTGTTCTTCAGCCTTGGAATAAATCAATGCGCGCGCACGGTTCCTAACTTCCAATCTTGAAATATCCGTGCGGGATAAATTCTTCAGATTTTTATTTTTTATGTACACTTTTTTCTGGAGTAAACAATGGGAAGGTATTTTTTATGCATTTTTTTTTCTTTGTGGGGATCGAGGGACAAGAGGCGGTAAATTAAGTTAATCCTTATTTTCTAAAAGCTTTTTGTCAGACATTTTTTTTCTTCCTTGTTGGAGTGCGTGTTCAACAATAAGAAACCATTGTTCCCATTACCTATAGCCAGTTTGTGTATCTTGCTCTGTGTCTTTCTGGATTAACCGTCAAGGAAGGTAGAAGTAACCTACAGATAGACAATCAACTCCGAGGTGTTTAAGGCACTGGCGGCTAAATGCAAAGACCGATGCTGACATATGCGCAAATTTAACGGTCAATATAATCAAAAGTATTACATTTTTCTTGAATTAAACGCCCTTAATTTTAACAGAAACTAGATGTGTTGGTCAGGCAAGCTCGGGGACATCTTTGTTCAGTACCGATTTTAAAAATGTAAACAAATATCCCTAGATAAAAGTTCGTATCTGAGATACAATAGAAAACAATTTGGGGTTATATGTCATGCAAGTTTCATAACAAAGAAATAGCTGGGGAAAACAATCAGAAATTATGTTATAAGGGATTATTTTAAATACTGTCAAAAGGGTGGGTTCGTTTCGATTATTTATCTTCTTATCTTATACAATCAAGCGGCCAGCGTGTATCCCTGTTACACCAGGTTTGAGTCTTGCAAAAATTTGATAACTTTTGTTTCAATTTTAACGTTTCTGAGTTAACGTTGTTGATTTTGTAACTATTTTTCTTTGATCCTGAGGCAATAAAATTTTAGCGCAAGCTGTCCCCCAGACTTTGTTACTAATCCAAATTTTTCCTGGTTAACAAAAGCTGGCTTAGTGCTAATAAACAGCCCCTCCTCCCATCACCACAAAACCCCTCAATATGCCAATATATTTTTTTTCGATTCTTTGTCTTTCTAAAATTGTTCCAATATGCAGTCGGACAATTATTTTCCGGATAAATACAGGAAATCAATCTTGGCAAGAGATCGCGGCGTTCGCGGATGCAATATTCAACAACAGGGTTCATTGTAAATTGTGTCACTAAATAATTTCTTTTGCTTCGTGTTTTGTTTAGACACTTTTCTAATAGCAACACAAGGAGGTCACTAAGAATAGCTTAAAAAGTTACTTTGTATGGCACTAAGGTTTTTGCTTTTAGGTGCTCGCGAAAAACAAAAAAACGTCACTTAGTGCACTCCGGATAAATAAAGCCGAAAAAAACACACTGAACGGCCTGCATAGCCTTGCTTAAGTTTCACACGGCAAGAGACAAAAAAAAATATGGTATTTACACGCGCCACAAATATGGTTCGTTTCTGTAGGGACTAAACGATTTATCTTAACGCGTTTGCCATAGAAGAGATCTATGAGATTCGAAGTAATTAGAGAGAAGGAAGGTGTCAGGAGATCTAGTTGAAATCATGACACACATATTTTTCTAGCATTGTCAAAAAGATTGAATCCAATTACAATCTTTTATACGGGTTGTAACCACTTACTAAATATCTTCTGTTTCTAACCCTCCCCACCCCCCCTTGATTATTAGTCAGCCTACATCCCTTGCTTATTAGTCAACCCACATTACGTGCGGCAGCCACGGAGAATGCCTTAATCAGTATGCAAGTAAGAAACACTTAAGAAAACCCGCAGTTATCGTTGTAAACACATAATCGGAAAAAGCAAGAAAATAAATTTCTTTTCGATATGAAAAGCACTGCTAGCAATGTATTTCTTGCTATCACTTACGAACTGATGGTTTACCTTCCTCGTGTGTCCCCGGGGGGGTATCAACTTGGTTAATGTGGTATCGAGATAATTATCCTGGGGGCTGAATTTGTCTTACATACACGTCACCTTAGTATTCCGGCTTACCTGCTTCAGCCCCTTTGTTTAAGACAATCTACCTCCACCTCTTAACCATGCAAGAATTTTCCCCAGAAAATAAAGATTATTTTTTTTTTTTACATTTTGTCAAACAATTTGTAGGAAAACCAAGGAAAAAAAAGAAATTCCGAGACTTTTGTTTTTCATGGGAAGGTTAATCCAGAAATCCAGTGGGGTAGTGCAGCAATTTATGCAGACACTTTTTTTTGTGTCGGTAATAGGATACAGAAATATGGGTTCTGCCATTAAAAAATATATTATTATTTATAAATTTGTTTTAAATGAGAACAAAATAGAAAAATATATTCCGGTGCTATGGATAAATAAAAAAAAAAAAAGCTCCAGTAATGGGGGTACGATGTGTATAATTAGAAGAATTTCAAGAAGTATAAATATCCGTAGAATCTTCCTCGATTGTCATTTCAATTTGTTGCAAAATCTCTTTTTTATTCAATTCATCATTCACTCACTCCCTCGAATCGAATAAATATAATTCACAATGCACGGAGGTTCAGACGGTAATGACGTTCAAGCTATCATTGCTCAAAAGCGTTTAGAAATTGCAGGTAAGCCAGGTATTGCTGGTTTAATTGCCAACAGAAAATCTTTCCTTATTGCAGTTTTTGCATCCCTCGGTGGTTTAGTCTACGGTTATAACCAAGGTATGTTTGGTCAAATTTCTGGTATGACCTCTTTCTCAGCAGCTGCTGGTGTCGGTAAGATTCAAGATAATCCAACTTTGCAAGGTTTATTGACCTCTATTTTAGAATTGGGTGCTTGGGTCGGTGTGTTAATGAACGGTTACGTCGCCGATAGAGTCGGTAGAAGATGGTCTGTTATGTTTGGTGTTGCTTGGTTTATTCTCGGTGTTATTATTCAAGCTTGTACTCACGGTGCTAACTATTCATTCATTCTTGGTGGTAGATTCATTGTCGGTGTCGGTGTCGGTATTCTTTCTATGATTGTCCCATTATATAACGCTGAAGTTGCTCCACCAGAAATTAGAGGTTCCTTAGTTGCTTTACAACAATTGGCTATTACTTTCGGTATTATGATTTCTTATTGGATTACCTATGGTACTAACTTCATTGGTGGTACTGGTGAAGGTCAAAGTAAGGCTGCTTGGTTAGTTCCAATTTGTATTCAAATGGTTCCAGCTTTAATCTTGGGTTCTTGTATCTTCCTTATGCCAGAATCCCCAAGATGGTTAATGAACGAAGGTAACGAAGAAAAGTGTTTGGATGTCCTTTCCAGATTACGTGGCTTAGACAGAAACAACGAATTGATTCAAATGGAGTTCCTTGAAATGAAGGCTCAAAAGATTTTCGAACATGAATTAGAAGCCACTGCTTACCCAGACTTACAAGATGGTTCTGCTTCTTCTAGATTCAAGATTGGTTTCCTTCAATACAAGTCTATGCTTACTCACTACCCAACTTTCAAGAGAGTTGCTGTTGCTTGTTTGATTATGACTTTCCAACAATGGACTGGTGTTAACTTTATTTTGTACTATGCTCCATTTATTTTCGCTTCCTTAGGTTTATCTGGTAAGACCACTTCCTTATTGGCTTCTGGTGTTGTTGGTATCGTCATGTTCCTTGCCACTATTCCAGCTGTCTTGTGGGTCGATCAATTGGGTAGAAAGCCAGTCTTGATTTCTGGTGCTTTACTTATGGGTATGTGTCATTTCGTTGTTGCTGGTATCTTGGGTGGTCTTCACGGTGATTTCACCAACAACATGGGTGCTGGTTGGGCTGCCGTTGTCTTTATTTGGTTATTCGCCATCTTCTTCGGTTACTCTTGGGGTCCATGTGCCTGGGTTATTGTTGCTGAAGTTTTCCCATTAGGTTTAAGAGCCAAGGGTGTTTCCATTGGTGCTTCTTCTAACTGGTTAAATAACTTCGCTGTGGCCATGTCTACTCCAGATTTCGTTGCCAAGGCTACTTACGGTGCTTATATCTTCTTAGGATTGATGTGTGTCTTTGGTGCTGCTTACGTTTTCTTCTTCTGTCCAGAAACCAAGGGTAGAACTTTGGATGAAATCGATGAATTATTCGGTGATACTTCTGGTGTTTCCAAGAGAGAAGGTGAAATCCGTAACCGTATTCTTAAGGAAGTTGGTTTATTGGAATTAATTGGCTTAGAAGAATTAGACTCTGACAAGTCTAAGGGTGGTGATGTTCATTACCAAGAAGAAAAGGCCGCTGATGCTGATGCTGACAGTGCTTAAAAGAACAGGTTTCTTTAAGGCATATCTCTTTTATCTGTGTTTTACATATATAAATATTAATTAATTAATAAAGTTGAATTTGTTATAACTGATTAAATTGTACTGTTTCGCCATGGTTTGCCTTTTTAGGATTACTTTCTTTTCGTAAGTATTTTCAAGGTTAAGTAATAGTGTACACAAAAATGAATAGGAGTGGATTTTATTTATACAACTTGTCGCGAAATTTTGTATTCATACAAGGCATAAACACAAAACATTAACAAAATCATACCACTCAGCCATCATCCGTGTTCGGCCATATGGTATCGTGTAAACCAAGATCACAAAAGCTGCTTTGGTAGACCGTTTTGGTTAAATAAAATTCTCATGTAAATTTTTGTGATACAAATAACGTGTGACTACGTAAAACATTTTTAAAACAAATTCCGATACGAAATAGTACACAAAAATATTTGTACAAAGAGTCAATTATCAATTAATTGTTTTCGGACCCCCCGCGTTTACTAGAACAATTGATAGTGGGATCTAATTCAAACAACAAACAACAACAACAAACGAGCAGCATTATAGGTCACACAAATACTGTAGAAATGAGTGTATTTGAACTGAAGTTATCAGATAAAGAGATCTGCAAGAATGATCTTCTTCTTTCATCTAAAAATTTAGGGCTGTTTTTTTTATTTACATAAATTTTCTTGGTCACGCGAGTGCGCAATATTTTTCAAGGCGGGATCCCATTGTTCATGCAATTGAACACAGCAATGTGGATCTCGTTTTGTTTTATCCCTCGATCATATTCTGCTACCGTATTCGCTTATTTGCTCTTGTAATGCAGAGAAATTGGATTAAAGTTCTCGGCAATTACGTAACCATGCATCGTGGCCAGTGTGAGGCGAATGGAACCTTAATTCTCGTCACCAGAAATTTACGCAGGATGCGTAAAAAATAATCCACAACAGATTTGCAATCAAAAAGTCGCGATTTATTATTTTTTTTTTTTTTAGATTTTCCTTCGATGGTGTATTTAACTGTGAAGAAATCTATGCTGGCTTAGTCGATTTGGAATTACTTATCTAACAAATATGATTTTAACAAAGTTGCTATCATTTGCTTTGTTAAGCTCAGCATTAGCCAATGCTGAAACTATTAATATTCATGGAAAGCCAGTTGTGCTTGATCGCCGAGATGCTGTTGCTACTCCCACAGGCACATCAACAATTTTCCAAGCCAAGACATCACCAACAGCCACCCAATATGGTGAAATTGTTAATTTTCCAATTTCATCAGAGAAAAATCCCATGGCTACTGAAGGTGTTACTCAAGCTATTGCATTAGCGAATTCTATCCAAACTCAAACTTTAAGTCAGGCCGTTGTTGTCTCCCAGAGTTTTGAAAACACTGCCCTGGTATTTTTCTCGATATCCACTGCTTCTGCATTGGTTGACTTCCCAGAACAACCTACAAGTGTTGATTCAAGTTCTGCTTCTACTTCTGGAACTTCTGCAGCAAGTTCTGGTTCGTATCAAGCATCGTCTTCTACAAGTTCACTGTTGGAATCAGCAGCAAGCTCCTCACCTTCCGATCAAACAGGATTAGTAAAGCGTGCCACTAGTTCATCCCTTGTTAAGGTTGCCATCTCCAATGCAAATGGATTCACTGGAGATTTATTCTTACCTATTTCAACAAATGATGTTACTTCAGTATTTAAGAAAACTCCATTACCTTTATCCATTCCATCCGGTGTATCGAACGGAAACACCAAGTACCAAACTAACAAATTCTACGCTAACTTATTACTCGGGGATCAAACTTCCATGATTTGGTCATATCCTTATGGTCTTAACTATATCAAATCAACATATTACGGGTTTGGAGTACAAAGAACATTAGCTGCTTCGAGAGTGTTTGGAACAACCAACACCAATAACCCAAATATTCCTTCATATTTTTTTAATCCTATCAAAATTGAAGAAATGATAGTCTCAGCGACGGCATTCACTTCTGCTTCTAAAACCAAAATTAGTGTGTCTAATATGAAGGTTAATTCTGTCGATGTTAAGTTGTCTACTGACGGTAAGGCTCAGACCAACTATGTCTATATTCCTGTTGTTCAAGGTATGGGATTCATTACATCTGTTTACTACGGCAATTTAGTTCCTAGAATTAACTCCAACGTCGGATTCAAGACATTAGCTCAAGAACAATCAACCAAATTAACCAACGCCAATCTTTTGAGATATAGAGCTACTTTATTCAATGGAGTTCAATACTTGATATATGTTAAATTACCATCAGGTAAGAAAACCACAGATTTCTCATTTAAAGTGACAAACCAAAATACCATCACTGGATCCAAGGCCATCAACGGATTAATTGTTCAATATGCTATTGCTGCTACTGCTGCTCATAACACTTACTATGACGAGGCTGCCGGGATGTATGTCACAGAATGTAAAGTTAAAGCACATGGGTATGGGGGTACCTCTGCAGAATATGTGTTAGCATACAGCAAACTGGGTTCATCAATTTCTAAAATGCCTATGGTTTTTGCATTGCCACACATTGTTGAATCTGTTGATTCAAACACTGCCCAATACAATACAGGAATCTCATTAACTTCAACAAACAAAGGTGAAATGAAGGGGTTTAGAACCGACACCCTTCGTATGGTTGAAAACTTGAATACTAATATCCAATTCCTTCCCTGGGTTCAAGAAATGGGCACCAAAGCACCATCATGGACCGCAGCCCAATTGAAGTTGATTTCTCAAGTTGCAAACAAAGAATTATCGGTTGATATTAACAAGTTAGTCAATTCCCAAAACTCCAACTACTTTTCAGGAAAGGTATTGGACAAGTACGCATATATCTTGTATGTTGTGAGTGATATAATTGGAGATGCCAAATTAACCAAATCCTTGTTAGCCACATTAAAGACAACATTTGCCACATTCCGTAATAACAAACAATTTTACCCATTAATGTATGATACTAAATTTGGTGGGATTACTTCAACTGCATATAAAGTTAGCAATGACCCTAACGCAGATTATGGATCCAGTTATTATAATGATCATCATTTTCACTATGGGTATTTCATTCATGCAGCAGCCATCATTGGATATGTTGACAAGAAAGCGGGTGGTACTTGGGCCAAGGATCAACAGCCATGGGTTAATGCTTTAATTAGAGATGCAGCAAATCCCTCTCCTGGAGACCCATATTTTCCAGTTTTCCGTATGTTTGATTGGTTTCAAGGTCATTCTTGGGCCAGCGGATTATTTGAAGGTGGTGATGGTCGTAATGAAGAAAGTTCTTCTGAAGATTACAACTTTTCCTATGCTATTAAATTGTGGGGTAAAGTTACCGGTAACAAACGTATGGAATCATACGGGGATTTAATGTTGGCGGTTATGAAGAGATCCATGAACAAGTATTTCCTATATTCAAGTAATAATAATGTTGAACCAAGTAATTTCATTGGCAACAAGGTTAGTGGAATCTTGTTTGAAAATAAGATTGCCTATACTACCTACTTTGGTAATCCGGATACAAACCCCGAATACGTTCACGGTATTCATATGTTACCTATTACACCTGTATCTTCACTAATTAGAGGTTCAGGTTTTGTTAAAGAAGAATGGAATCAGCAGATTTCCAAGTTTATTTCCAAGGTCAATTCGGGATGGACTGGTATTTTAAGATTGAATCAAGCATTGTACGATGCTAAAAGTTCATATAATTTCTTTTCTTCCAGCAGCTGGTCAGACAATTATTTAGACAATGGACAAAGTAGAACTTGGGGATTGACCTTCTCAGCTGGTATTATGAATGCATTGGCTTAGTTACATAGACAATAGATATTAGGTTATTCGATAGACGTCATTATCTATATTTAGTGTGCGGGGCAATTATCGGGTATGCGTCATCTCGGTGTTGCTCGGTGTTACGCACCACCTCGGCGTTATTTTCCCTATAAATATGGCCGTGAATTTTTTTACATAAACAATTAACCGATCTTTCATACATCCTACCCCACAAACCAAACCAAATACAATTACAATGTCCGAACAAGTTTACTACAGCAAAGGATTCAAGAAGTCAATTTCTGATACTCATGCATGGCGTACAGTAGCCAATTCCTCCGAATTTGTCGTTAAAGTTTTGAAGCCCAACTTCAAAGTCCTCGATGCTGGTTGTGGACCAGGTTCCATAACTATTGATTTCGCAGCAAATTACCTCCCCCAAGGTTCAATAGTAGGAATTGAACCAACTCAAGAATTAATAGACACGGCTAATGTCAACAAGGAGAAATACGGGAAACCATTGGACAACTTGAGTTTCATCAAGGGGTCAATCTACGAGTTGCCATTCAAAGATAACACTTTTGATTTGGTCCACGTTCAACAAGTAATAATTCACTTACAAGATCCGATTCGAGCACTTAAAGAGTTGAAGCGAGTTGTTAAACCAAATGGATTTGTTTGTGTCAGAGATGCTGATTTGTCTTCATTTTTAGCCTACCCGGAAGAATATAGCTTGTTAGGTGAACATTATGCGTTGAAAGCAAAGAACGCAGTATCTACCGATATTAAAGCGGGAAGAAAGTTACGACCAAAGGCATTACAAGCAGGGTATGAATCTGATAAAATTAGAACCAGTGTTTCTAATTGGATTTGTACTGATAGCATCGATGCAAAACATCGTTGGGCTGCTGCAACTGTTGCGAGACTTGAATCCGGTGGCGAGAAGTTCTACCCAGAAGATGATGCCAAGGACAAAGAGCTTAGAGAAAAGGTTATTGAATTATGGAAGAAATGGAGTGAAGACGAAACCAGTATGATTAATTTACCAAATTATGAAATTATATATCAAAAGTAAATAGGTTAGTAGAGTGAATTCTAAAACTTCCTGAATGCTTCATATTTCATTATCTATATCGGATCTACTCATCGTATTACAATGTGAGATGCATTTTAGATTATAGCCTGGATGCAAAAAAATAAAAAGTTATAAAGACGTCTTCATTACTATACACTAAACGATATAATTATTGATCAAAACTCTTGATCAATTGGTCCAAAGACATATCATTAAAAATATCAAAATACGGATTATCCAAAGCCAAATAATTCTCCATGGTACTGGTAATGACATTAGACTGTGAATTCAATCCAGTGGTGTCAAAAACACCGGGGTCAATTCTTGATGTAACTTGATTAAACAAATTATCTAAATTCCCAATAAATGGATCAGTAACGATCGGAATACATGGATCTGCCGGCTGGTGAGGAGTCATTGGCTTGGGTTTATTTTCTGAGATTGGACCAAACAATTCAATCCATTCGTTAATCAATTGTGATTTATTTAAACTCATCATGGTTTTTTCTACCAATTCACTCAATTCGTTAATCTGCCAAAGTTTCAAATTAAACTTGGTTAATTTAGGATTGGCAGCGGCAAACTCGGCACATTCCACTGGATCATTCAACTTTTTAAAATAATCTTCTGATGATAAACTCTTCAAGATAAATGTGTGAGATTTACTAATTCTCCAGGCATACAAGTAGCGTTTACCTAACTTTGAAATACCCACAGTGGATATCTTTGTACATTTCGTGAGCCAGTAAATTAAAGTTTCACACAGACTAATATACCTCTTTGTATCTTCGTTTAATTCTTGCTGTTTCATCATTCGAATAGTATATTCTATTCTGATAATAATAGCAAATAAAAATCCATTTGAATTATGCAAACAGCACTCAATAGGTGGATTAATAAAAAAATTGGTTGAATGACAGAAGAAGTAATGTTGATGATCCAATAATCTAAAGATTTGAGGTAAGAAATCTTCAACCATAACACAAATGATTTTCTTAAGGTAGAAATATGACAAATCAAGATTGGTATCTTCAAAGTGAATAAACATATGGAAATATGTCGCTGTTAAGAAAGTCTTTGTTTGAAGAAAGTATGGAATGTAAAATACCCGGGCAAGCATATCCGATTCACTTTCTTGGACTTGATTGATAGCATCTGCAAATACCTTTAAACTACTACCCAAATTCTTAGCCACATATATTTCCAACGCACTCAACTTATCAGTTAAATCACCCATTTTCAACTTTGAGTTGACATCCAATACCAACATCAATATACTTCTCAAATGAGTTGGTAAATCTTTAACATTTTCATACGTGGCTTGCAAAAATTTATCAAAATGTTCGAAAGAAACGTTGTGGTTTCCTTCTTCATAATATGGAAACTTTGTATCTGAGTATTGGGGGTTTGTACTTATTGGACTTCCATATGATGCAGCTTGGAAAAGATCCAAGTATACTAAAAAATGCCAAACTTTACGTCGAATGTTACTTGTTCTCTTGTCAAACTTTCCTAATTTGTCGGGATCTCTGTTTAATCCAATAGTATACCCCATCTGAATCAATGTACCATTATAAATCTGAAATTGATTCCGATCAGGTCCTTCAGCATCTTCGGGTGAAAAATAGAAATACAACCTCATCAACAAAGTAAACTGTAATATAACCAAATTTGACTTTTGAAATAATTGAAACTTGGTAATACAATTGCGGGCCAATTCAATAAACTCAATCCCAATACAATTCTTTAAAAGTAACTGCAAATTTCGTAATTCAGCGGGACTAAACTGTGACTGGTATGCCTTTGGGCAAGTTGCACTTTGCAACACCATATTGTTGAACTCTTCATTATTGCAAATCAAAGAAAGAAAACTCATTCTAAGAATAATCAACAACATACCAATATTGGCATAATCTAAATTATCTTTGATATTAATTTTGGTGATATGCTCACCACTACCATCAAGCAACCTTTCGATTTCTGTTTTAAAAGTAGCTTCATCAATAAGCGGTATAAATGGATATAAAAACTTGAAAAACCTATTAATATGAATCCAAATAATTTCTCGACAAGGTAATATCTTGAGTATTTTTTCCTTTAAATCTATTGAATTATCATTAAAATATTCTTGATTGGTGGTAAAATTCATTCCTAATGGGATAGCAGACAGATTAATCTTTTGCTTCTTTGCATCAAATTTAAAACTACTTAAATTCAACCTTTGCAACACTTGAAATGGGATTTTGGCCAAAACATCACCTAGATCAGCATGAGTAATGTCTTCCTCCACTTGTTGTTCATCAGGTTGTGTCAGTCCTGGAGAACTCGAATGAGCTCGACTGAGATTCCTCAACTCATTTGATTTAAGAGACAAATATGTCCATAAATCAGCCAAAGCCACGTCTTTATCTAAGAAAGCATGCCAAGTAAATGGTCCATGGTTTAGTTGTTGTTTATCCCATCTTTGTGAAAATGACAGGTAATCAAAGAATGAAAACTCTTCTTCAGGTGAACTTATGGGGTTTATACCTATGACTGATTCTGCATTGGTAAATTTGCTTAATATATGAGATATTTCACTGGTGATTATATAAACCTTTGCCGATGGTCCTTTACTTAGGAAATTTTGGTTATTCACAGAATTTGGATGTATATCAGGGGTTGTTGCATTCGGCTCTGATGATACAGTTGAAGGAATAGTACTAGGTGGAGTTACCGTTGACTTATGTGTGATTGGTGAATCATTTGCAACCGAATGTTGTGACTGTGTAGAAGATGAGTATGATATTGGAATAGAGTTAGTTACAACTTGTGGAATTATAACCGGTTGTGTTGGAGTTTGCATTGGTTGGAGCTGAGGGGCGCGTGTTTGCACGGTTGCATCATTTAGTAGATTAGTCACAATGGGATGCTGCCTGTTTGTAATTGGTTGTTGTTGTTGTTGTTGCGGAATTAGCGGTTGTATCGTCGGTTGCGATGTATTACTATGAACTGGTTGTAGTGTCTCTGGTGACACGGTATTTTGAGGTGGTAACACTTGACCACTAGGCAAGTCTTCATGGTAGGAACAAATATCTTGAGTTTTGTATATGATACATCTGGTACACGGTAATTTACGATCACATTTCACCTTCCGTTGTTTACAAACATTACAAACTAATGTTGATCTATTACGACGCTTTTTGGGTCTTTCATCATCTGTCATTGTTGCGATTTACCAGATGATAGTTCAGTACCTGTGAAAGAAAAGAGTAGGGTACAATATGGGGTAATCTTTAATTTTTTAGGTTTTTCTATTATTTCGGCGTTAATCTTTCTACAGCATCCCTCGTGCTCGGTGATAATATTTTTTTGTTTATTTTTCTCGGTGATTAGATTTACTGTGTCTTTGTTCAAATTCAGGGTTGAAATTAAGCTTTACAAGAATACTTTTTGAAGCCAGACAGCAACCATAAAATACAACATCAAATATGTTTACGGTATGAAACTTATGCATAGAAATGTATTTGCAGATTGATTACATTAATTGGTTCTACTGAATTGGACAGGGTTGTAAGTATTACAAATCCAACAAACAACATTCCTTGCTTTCCCGCGCCAAAGCACACAAAAGTAGGTCACAATGACTAAACACAATATATCTGGAATTCAACTTGACAAAGTGTAAAATTAGAGAATGCTGACTGATACCAGTTTTCTTTGCATAGGTGATGTGCCTAATTCTATAGGTTTCCTATAGTTGTTTTGTTATTTCACATTGATCCAGCTTTTTTGGGAAGTCCTTGTTAGCTACAGGTAATTCTGTACTGCTGAGCAAGAACTGTATCTAACCGGATCACAGTGCTCTCAATGAAAAGTGCTTCAAAGAAATGCAAAATTCAACTGTTGCTTAAGAGAATTACTCTCTCTCTCTCTCTACATACAAGTTTCTTATTAAAATTTTCAATTAAATCACAGATTTATATAAAATATATTAAGCCTTCTCAGCCAAAACTTCATCCAATCCATCAACACTTGATCCTTCTATGTATTGTTCATCAAGATTAGAAATTGGACCAGTGTAACTTCTGTAGCCCCAAACGTAAAAGTAAATCAAAGACAAAACCCACAAACCACCATTAATAACCACAGTATAATTCATACTTTCCTTATCAACACTCTTTGAATCTGGGAACATACATAATACAATAACATAACCAACCCAACAAACAGTGACAAAGTTAATAATGTTACTTAATACCTTACCGAAGTAGAATGGCCCTGATATGAATCTAGCACGACCCATTGGGAGCAATACTAATAACACTGGCATACCCCAAGCTAACAAATTAGAAGCAACAGCCAATGAGAATAAGGCATTGGCACCAGCAGGACCAATCAACACAAGTAAACCCATAATCAATGCCATTGCACCACCAAAAATGGTTGCTCTGACTGGAACTTGAATCTTTGGGTTAACGTATTTAACAAAGTTGTAGATAATTGGCAATCCATCATCTCTAGCAAATGACCAAATTTGTCTAGAAGCAGCAATCAAAATAGAAACAGACATCATATATTGACCAACAGCAATCATAGCCATGAACGCAACAGCCCATTTCTTTCCTAATGAATCATAAATGATTTGTGCCATTGGGTTACCAGTGTCTGAAGTAAGAACTCTAGCAGTGTCACCATCTTTAATACAGGCAGCACAAACAATTACAATAAACCATCCGAAGATCCAACAAGCACCAATAGAACCTAAGATACCCCATGGAATTGACTTTTGAGCATTTTTGGCTTCTTCACTACAATGAATAGCGGAATCAAAAGCACCAATGGTCCAAATTGCTGGCATCCAACTTAAGGCAAATGACCAAGGAGTTCCCCAAGATCTAGCATTCTCGAAATTTGTGAAAATAAATTCAGCAGAATTGAAATCATGCTTCTTCCCAGCAGGAACAGCAATCAAGAATAAAATCACAAGGAAGGAGTTAATTATAATAGATGCAGTTTGCCAGGAAGCAGCATACTTGGTAGTTAAACACGAAATGATAACATTGGAAACAATACAAGCAGCAAAAATACCATAACACTTCCCATCAGTGATTTCGAAATTACCGTCATATTGAATGAAAACAGCAGATAAAACTTCCACGGCAAACCCATAACTGATACTACATAACCCACCGATCAACCCAATGGAGTTAGAACACCCAATCAAGAAACTTAATGGGACACGAATGGCATCTGGAGCATAATAGTTGGTGTAATAATATAACCCACCACTAGTTGGAATGGCACTACCTAAGAAAGCCATGGACACACCAGTACAGAAGATGAATATACTAGCCAAGAACCAACCCCAAACTAACCCAGCAGGACCAGCCTCAAGACCAATAGCAATGGTTGACGAAATACTTGGTAACAAACCCATAATCGAGAATGCAATACCAAACACTTGTAGTGTACTGTAATGACGACGAAGCTCTTGTTTATACCCGATCTGGGCCAAAAGCTCTACATCATTGGCAGCTTCATTAGGATGAATTTCTCGGATCTGTGATCTGACCGAGGTTATATTATGAAAATGATCTTCGGTTTTAGATTTTATTTGCAGAAGATGTCCCGAAGTTATTGATTTGATGTTGTTCATGTTGTTTGTCACCCTCAAAATAACATCTTAATCTTGCTTGGCAAGATGGAATCCATTTATATGAATACCCCACGGTTATCTTTGATTAGTTGCGAAAAACTTGAAGAAATAAAATGTTGATAAGAAATTTTACAGATTAGATCAGAAACCTGTAAATTTAAACGCAATCGCCTTCCTAATTGGGTGAGATATCAATTATCATTCAAAGCCACCGAGAATACAATAGGAATTGCCTTGAGATATGATAATTTATGGAGGGGGTATAAGATACGTCGAGAAATTGCTATTTGATATAATTATGGCTCTAGGCATTATGTTATCTTAGCGGGTGGAAATCGGTGATATGTAAGATAATGTTTCTGGGGTTGTATGTAAAAGCCGCTATGATTTATATGGGGGCGGCATTGCATTATCAACAGGCGGTTCCGGGATACTACATGTTATCTTGACATATTATTATATAATCTAAGATGAAATCTATGTAATTATTCTCGGCAAGATCTATATTTTATTCAACTCGTCTAAAATCTTATCATTGAGAATTTTAATTGACTTTTCAAATAAACTATGATTATCACTTTTGATCTTGCTAAATTCACCAAGTAAACTTTTCTTGAAACTGATTTCCAGATTTAATTTTAATAATTTTTGACTGGTGGAACTGGTATTTGGTAAATCATTAAATAAGTCATCATTCAACATATCAAGATCTTCTTCTTTTGGCTCAAGTTTAGTATCAAAGATTGAGCTGTAGTGGTCTTGTATGGTCAATACAAACTTATCTGTGACTCCAATTGTGCCATTTTCAACACCAACACCCTGTAAAGCCTTGGTACTTGGTGAATATATAATAATCAAATAAACCATTAAGTTGATAAAATATTTCAATTCTTCATCGTTTGATTTTTGGAAATTGTAAACCTCATATATCAAGAACCATATAACTTGAGCTTTATTCTTTTCAATATATTCAATTATAAAGTCAATTGGTAGAGTAGTGCCCTTGTTCAATAATTGTAATTTAATAGTTTCACAAACATTTAAATCTTTGGAGATGGCAGTTTCGCTATTATAAGTACCTACTGCTGTTATTATTTCCTTGGCAATAGGAATACCCTCCCACTCTTTGAACTTTGTGATTGTCTTATAAATATTATTTCCGTGAATATTTAGAATAATCTTGAATATCAACACGGAAATTTCTTGGGAATTGCCACTGGTATTAGACTTGATAATCTCACTAAGAACTTTCAAATGGGCATTATCTGCTTCCAACTTTTGTAATAAGTTTAGTTCTTTCACTAACCAACTTATCAAACTTACAGTTGAAGGGATCAAAAACAATTGACTTAGATAGTCCAATCCATTAGTCAAACTGGCATAACCCAACTTTCCTGAAGATGTAGCAATAATAGCCTGTTGGTACACAATTGGAATCAACTTATAAATTTGTTTAATGTTGACTGACTTTATTAACTCGTCCGACAATCCATCATTATTATCGTCAAACAAGGCATTAATCCAATCCGTAAGCAAATTATTATAGTTAACAATCTGTTCTTCATCATCTGTTTCTTGATTGGTTAAGTTGTCACATAACCCATAATAGAAATTATTAATATAATCAAGGATAAAGGAATTCTTTATGCTGAAGGAATAGTCAAGTTTAAAATGATGTACAATCAATATAATGGCTAATACAGTCACACCAAAATATGTAAATGTGTCTTGAAAATTTTCATCATCGTCATCAATATTGAACTGTGTAGAATCAATAAAGTCAATAAGTTGGTACAACACAGAATAAGCTCGTTCACAATTGAACATAATAAGATTAAGTAATTCAATATTGTTCATAATACAAAGGAGTATTCGGTTCAATTTCTCGAAATCTTTACCCAGGATTAAATCATTGATAATTTCAACTATAATAGAACTAAGTTCGAGTTGGTGAGATTTCAGATATTGTAGGTCATTTGGTAGGGCGTGCATGAATTCGATTAATCCTGATTCTTCAAGTGACGTAAATTCTGAATTTATATTTAAAAGCTTTTCATTAAACCGTTGTCTAAGATTCAATTCAGGAATTGTGACATCGTTAGGGTATTTGTCAGTTGGTAACATCCTATTAAGAGCTAAACTTTTAGTGAAATCATTCTTTAACTCAGTATGGTCAGCAAAGACATTCTCTACAACTGTTTGTATATCTTCGTCCGATATTTTAAAGAAACCCAATATTGAAGGGACTCTAGTTACAAGGAAGTTCTTTAAGTTAAAACGGCGGAAATCACCATGTTTCAATAAGTCATAACAAGTAATAAAAGTTTGGATGAATTCATATACCAATGTATAAGGAGAAGAACCACTGGGCATAAAATTAACAAACATATTAGCAATATTGTCAAACTCAAAATTACCAATAATTTTAATCAACCAAAATGTTCTTTTAGTCTTGTAGAAGTCTGACTGTTTTTCTGTGGATAATGTAGTTATGCTTAAACTTGCAATTGAAGTATAATTTATGACATTGTCTTCGGTTTTTACCTGAACTTGTAAATCGTGTTTGATAATTTTACTATGTGACAAGTGTTCAATTTGGTCCGATGTTAAAATTGTTTTGGACTTCAACAATAAGAACAGCAAAAGTTTACCCAACTTCAAGTTTTTCAAAATAGTAATTAACTTAATAATGAAATTTTGTATAGGAAGAATGTTTTCTTGCTCACTTTTCACTAGCTTGTTGTCAATAATCGATCCAACAATGAAAATAATGTGATTGACCACTTGTTTCTGACTAGTAGTAAATGTCTTATCATGCAACTTATTCAAATAATCTAAGGAATAGTCGATAAATTCGGTATTAATAAGCTGTTTAAGTAAATCTCGATCATATTTTGAACAATGTAATAATGTCTTGTTTATCTTGGTTAAATATCTTACTTGCACATTGTTGTCTAACTTGCCTAAATTCTTCCAAAATTGATGACACTGTCTAGATGAACTCAATGATAATTCAATAATTTGCAAGATTTTGGTTTCGTTGATCCGTTGTTGTTTTAAAGTAGGAGTGTTGTCTAGCTCAAGCAAATCATGAATATATTGGTTGTCATGAATTGGCTGTTTCACATTGAATTGATTGATTAAAGAGATAAATGATTTCGATGGAAGTCGTTGATTAATTGCTTTGGTGACTAGTTTATGTAGTGATACTTCTGACATTGTTGCTGTGGTGGTATGGAGTTGTATTGTCGAATAATTTTCTATTCGCAGAGAAATATTCACTCGCTTGAAGTATTTCTTCAGCGCGTAAAACAAAATTATCCTTACTGTTAAATTATCACATTTGGATGTAAAGGAACAACACTCGGCTACGTTCAAGGTTCTGGCATGGCCCATATAACTCTTTTCTACAGCAATAATATCTGCATTTAGAAATTGATTGTGAATCTAGGTGGGGTAGCTTGTAAGAGAGTGTGTGTTGCTGGGCTAATACCATGAACCTTGTCCTTAGCTGTTGTTGTTAAGTCTACATCGTGTAAAAGAAATGCAAGGAGCCAGGTAGAGTTAACTATATTTAACATGAATACATCTAGGGATAACAATTCGCCATACATAAACTACTTCCTGGGAGTAGGTCGGGAATTTAACAAACGATGTAACACACAAATCAAATTCTACTACTCGGGTCTTTCTTATACAACAAACTGACACTCTCACATTATCTGTGTGTTGAATATAACCATTGATCTAAATGCATGACCCATTAAACGGGATTACATGTCCTTTTGAATTATACTTTTAATGAGAAACTACTCTGCCGCCAATTTTTGTAGGAGGAAATTGAGGAATTTTCCCAATTAGAAAGGCTATTAGCAAACAGCTCCTTTCATTAGTATCATCACTCTGAAATACACCATTATTAATCAAAAGTTTTGTCGGCCTTTATCTGTCTACCCGGTAATAGCGTTTGCCGGGGAGATAACACCTAGTTATGATTATCTCCGGAGTTTTTCCTATGGTGATAACCATTGTATCGGACTTTTCTGTTTTCGGAATAGTCGCGCACCGTAACTGCAACAATTGGTCAGCACATTAAGATTAGAAATCACATTTCTTTTGTCTAAGTAACTACCTTAATTTTGCAACCATACTAGTATTATATGAATATCAGAAATATATTGAAAAAAGAAAACTATAAATATTGGACAATCTGCTGACATTAATCCATCATGCTTTTAGTTTATCAGATACTTTTATCTATTCAATTAATACAAAAAAAATACACAATTCAACATAATGACTTCTACTACAGTTTTTGTTTCTGGTGCTAATGGTTACATTGCTCAACATATTATTAAACAATTGTTAGGTAAAAACTACAATGTTATTGGTTCAGTCAGATCACAATCCAAGGGTGAAGATTTAGCAAGTTTGGTTAACCATTCTAACTTCTCCTATGTTGTGATTCCTTCAATTGGGGACAAAGATGCCTTTTACGATGTTCTCCAATCACATCCTGAAATCACTATTTTTTTGCATACTGCCTCCCCAGTTACTTTTGAAATTGATGATGTTGAACGTGATTTGTTAAGACCAGCTATTGATGGTACCATTAACGCATTGGCTGCGATCAAGAAACATGCACCACAGATTGAACGTGTTGTGATTACTTCTTCTGGTGGTGCTGTTTTTGGATTTAATAATTATTTCAATCGCGGAACAATTCATACTGAAGAAAGCTGGAATCCTATCTCATATGAAGAAAGTAAGAGTGGTGATGCTGTTAATGGATATTTTGGTTCTAAGAAGTATGCCGAATTAGCAGCACTTGAATTTGTTGAAACTGAAAAGCCAAATTTTGATGTTTCATTTGTTACCCCAGTTTATAATTTTGGTCCACAAGCTTATGAAGTCAAGGATAAATCCAAGCTAAACTTTTCTGCCGAAGTTGTTAACACCGTTCTTAAATTCAAGAAAGAAGATTCTATTCCTGAATTTGGTAATATCTTTGCTGATGTAAGGGATGTTGCTCATGCCCACATTGTTGCTTTTGAAAGCAAAGAATCCAAAGGAAAGAGGTTGTTAGTTGCTTCTGACAATTTCACGTTTGATTCTATTGCCCATATAATCAATAAGCATTTCCCCAATGTTCAAATTCCTCAAGGTGATTTATCAAAAAATGAGGCAATTTATGAGCAGATGGTTCAAAAGTATGATAACTCTAGAACAAATGAAATCCTTGGATTTGATTTGATTTCTCTTGAGCAATCAATCATTGATACCGTTGGACAACTTTTAGCTTAAATGTTAGTAGTGTATAGTGCAATTTATTCTCACATGTTTACCCTGTGGGTATTTAATGAGTTATAAGGAAGTCCTCTCATCTTTGATTCAAAAGTCTTTTCAAGTGGTCGTTGAACTTATCCCGTACAATATTTATAACTTTACTTGACTGCAAAACAAGTAGTTACAGTTTGTTTTATTGAATTACAAGCTTTTAAAACTATAATTCAAAAGTGTTATTCTCGGGCTCTGTTCCGTGCTTTTCCTAGCCGGGTTCATAGAATGACCTCTGTGTATCTACGTTTGGCAACTCGATCAGCAGCTCGATATAACCGATACCCAACTCCACATCCGGTGTGTCAGTGTTAGGCCGTTCAACTAGATTGAGGCCCAAACATTTGACTAGTGCATGAAAACTCTCGATTCCACATACGATAGTTTTTCTTACATTCTAACTTCTCGATTTTTAAAAACCGAATTATTATATCAAAGTTCCTGTTTGGGGTATGATTCAAAGAAGCTCGTGCTAGTTTCACAGAAGTCAGAATATGCAAGTTTTCAACTTTGACGAGAAACTAGACGAATACAATTTAAGAATATTCATAAATTACATATAAATTTTATAAACACAGACTAAAAAACTATCCAAAATTCCTTTTAGCCAAAAATCAAAACAAAAAGTCAAAGTCTCTCTTCTCCCTTGTATAAAAAAAACAACACAAATAATAAATATCAATCAAAATAAAAAAAATGTATCAACATAACCGAAAGGTAACTTAACAATGACCGACGACAATAACACTATATATATAAAAAATAAATCAAACTGAAATTGTGCCCACTTTACCACAAATTCGTGCTTCCAAAGCTTGATAAAAGATTATTCTTCCCATTTCCCGTAGCTGTAGTACTGGTGGTAGGATTGGCTAACGTAATATTAGACTTGAATGAATTACTACTTTGTCCCCAAATTGAACTTGTAGATGGGTTACTAGTATTCCAATTTGAAGAACTTCCTGGTAATAATGAAGGAGAACTAAAGAAATTGGTAGTTGGGGTAGGGGTATTAACCAATGGTGGTGAATTATTTAATGTACTTGTAGAATTCCCAGTGGTATTTGATAAAAACAAATCTGGTGGGGATGAATTCTTGTAAGTGTTTGCATTTGGTGGTAACAAGATTGGGGAATTGTTTGTAGAGTTTGTCCCAATGCTATCAAACAATTTTGGAAGAAGGGGTCCACCAGGAAGTGTAGCTGTGGCAGAGGACGCCGAAGATACCGAAGATTGTTTTAGTTGTGGTTGTTGACTTGTTGGTGAAGAAATTGAATTTGAACTATTGTTATAGATCATAAAATTTGTCTTCAAGTCATAACCAGGTGCTTGGCTAGAGGAACCGCCTGTAGTTTGTTGCCCTTGAGTAAATGAATTATTAGCTTCTGGTAAGACTGAAGGTCCAACATCAGCAAAGATTTGCGGTGGTTGGTATTGTTGCGGCTGAGGTTGTTGTTGTAAGCCATACATCTGAGGTGAACTTGTTTGCAGTGGTTGCTTTTGGTATTGGGGTGGATTGTACTGCTGCTGCTGTTGTTGTTGTTGATATCCACCAGAATAGTAACCTTGCTTCTGTTGTTGACCCTGTCTAACTTGTTGCTGTTGTTGAAGCAAATAATGCTGTTGTTGCTGATGTTGAACTGCTGCAGCAACTGCCACAGCAGCTAACGCATACTTGTTTTGTTGTTGATTATGGTGATTATGACCATGGCCACCATGTCCATGGTTATATCTTGAACCATAATTTGAAAATTGATTTTGATGTTTTGAATTATTAACAATTACTTTATCAATATATTCGATTTGGTTATTAAACGGAATTAATTCGAGTTTTCTCTTGGGATAACTTGTTGTTGTTGACATATTGAGAACATATACTTTAAAACTTAACTTGACCAATAAAAAAAATACAACTTGAACGAAATAAACAATCAAACTCCTTCTCCTGGATTAAACAATATGCTTTTGGACTTGCTAGTCTGACCTTAATATAAAATAACCGGCAAAAGTAAAATTAAAACTGAAATAAACGGGAAATCACTTAAACTCAACCTGTCAAAATAAATCCCAAAGAAACCCTTAAATCAAACAAAAATGATGTACTTGGATGATAACAAAGACAAAAAAATGCTGTATAAAAAAACGGTTCAAACGAATGTAGTAGTGGTCAAACAAAGTGGTTGTCTGGATAAAATCTGCAAATGCGTTATAAATACAAAAAAAGTGGTGATCGAACTAAATAGACAGGAAAAAAGTAGCGGTAGTACTTGCTAGAAGCTGTCTATGAATGCAATAACCTTTATAATGTCTATATATAACCAAATATATATAATGTGGTTGAATAATTTAGTGGTGACTTGATAGAAAAACTGAGTTGGTCGAAAAAGAACAAACGTCTATGGAAGTTCATGCGAGACCTAAATTTTTTTTTTTTTACTCGCGGGTTAAAAATTTACCACTGAATTTTTTTCTTTTGTCATTCAATTTTGTTTGTGAAAAAGAAAAGCTAATAGTTCCTGTATATTGTCAAAATCCTACATAGAAAATTAATCAGAAGACTAGTCACATGACTGTTAAACTAAGTAATTATACAGATCTTTGCCATGCTGGTATACCTGAATCCTTAGCAGGTTCTGAGTTTTTATTAGCATTTAATTGCCATGAAGGGACTCCAATACTGGCAATCTTTTCTTGGATTTCTTCTTCAGTCTTGGCAGTAGGTGGTGCTGAAGCTGCTGTTGCTGCTGCCGCTTGCCATGCAGGAATTCCATTAGACGAAGATGATGGGGAGGGTGCCTCAACTACGGTTTCTGCTTCCTTCAGTGGTTGTTGTTCTTTTTCTCTCTCTTGTTGTTCTTCTTTCTCCTTGTCCTTCATTTGCCATGCTGGAATACCTCCAGCAGTAACACCATCAATGGTAACACTTCCAACTCGTTCTTGACTGGGGGTGCTTACTACTGGCAGCGGAGTATCTACAGGCTTTGCCTTGGGCACTTCAGGCAGTGGGGTTTCAGTCTTTGCTTTTGCTCGTTTCAAAATTTCACTAGCAGATGGGATTGAAGATACAGGAGCAATCTTTCTTTCTTTACCATTAGATTGGCCGTTTCTTGCTTTGATTAAGTTCTTCAAGGAAGTCAATTCTTGAGTGATTTCAGATAATTCGTCATTGATATTTTCTTTAGTTAAACTCATATTCTTTTCGATGCTATTACTTAAATTGTCAATTTCCAATTTCATTAATCTTAAATCATCGTCAAATTTCAACTTATCTTTGTTATATTTACTCAAAAAATCATTAACATTTTCAATAACGGTATCAATATCCTTTAATTTAGCTTCATTGTTAGTCTTCATGGTTTCTTGATCCTGGCTTAATTGTTCTAAAATCTTGTCAACTTTAAGAAATTCTTCTTCTATCTTTTCTTTATCCTTGTCGATAGCTGTTTGAGTAGGTGGAAGAATGCTAGGGACTAGATAACGACTGAAAACCTGATATAATCCATATGTAACACCAACTGTGGCGGTGGCCATGATGAAGTAGTCCTTCCATGATCTTTCAGGAACAGGTGGTGCAGCATAGTAATCTATTGGGGGAGGAGAAGGACGAACTGATTGCACTGCAGTTGATGTAGAACTGGATGTTGTTGGAGTGGTTGCTGTTTCTGATGCTGGTTCGCTAACTCTTCTTAATGCTTCTTCGATTTCCTGCTGGTTTAACCCCTTTGTTTCTAAAAATTCAACCTTTTTAGTCAAGGGAGAATTCACAACTTGTGGATCTTTCAAGAATGCTACGGCACTGTTGATTAATTCGTCATTCATTCTGGAGTGGATGAATCCGTAGTGGAAAAGCAGCAAAGTTAATTTTCTCCAGATTTTTATGGGATCGTCCAGAAATGTGAGGTGGGAGTGGGGGGAGGGAGGGACAAAATTACCCACAGAAAAAAAAAAAAGCTACATTATCCGAGGTATTACCAATGTATGGTCTATTTTGGTTACTATGTACAAATTTATGAATATCACGAAGACAATCTTTCCTTTTTAACAAATAAATTTTGGGAGAAATCACTTTTGATTAGTTCTTCATAAATACACCAACTTATTCCAGAACTTATAGCTTTTCTACCTAACCTTAACGAAACACCTCGGAATAAATTAGATACTCCTCCTGGTTCATTAACTAATATCTTGCTAGCTTTTAAGATTGAAGATTCGTTAGTTAACTGTAATCTTGTTTTGATTGCGTCGAACGGTGCTGTAAGCATTGTGCAAGCCGTAGCTGCAAGTACAGCTGCTCCTGAATTTATTATACTTGCCCTATGGTCTATTGTCACAGGTATTAATACAGGAAATAAGTCATTCTTGAAACTTTCGTATGATAGCACATAAAGACCAGCGTACGGACAATCTCGAATTAAGGTTGCAACCGACCCTTTAAAAAAGTTTCTCAAAGACCCCGATCTCACTGTTGTGACCATTCCGGTCCCTTCATTATAGTATATCCCCTTTATACTCTCATACATTGAATTGTAATTGTAAATATTAGATTCAAATCTGGTCTTAATTATCGTTATAGGCATAAGGATATATCCAGCAATAGCCCGAGCGACAAACCCAGTAGCCAAATTTTCCAAGGGAGTCAATTTAGGCAAGACGGATGAGTTGGATGTGGTATTTAAGCTGGGGTTGGACTTTACCTTGAAGTTTGCCCAGTTACTTCTCATCTTGGATAAACAGGTAAAATACAATCCCGCTCCCATGGAAGTTCGTAATGCTGATGGCAACGTTCCTCTCCACAAATCCTTGACTGTATTGATATTCTTTAGTTCACTAGCTAATGATATTTTAACAGTATGTTGTTGTTGTAATCTGGTTTTAAGTAAATCAAATGGTTGAAGCGTAATTGCAGAAACTAATCCTGCAGTTGCCCCAGCCCCTAGATGAGCTAAAGCTTCAGGAGATTTCGCTTTGGTTGTCAAATTCCTAGTATCATTTTTGGAAATTATACTTGGTGATTGTTGCATTAGGTGGTAGTGGCGGGGGTATATTTACTTGGACTGGTTAAAGTAATCCATTCACTGTAAATATGAAGTTGGGTCCTGCCTTTTGATCCCCTTTGGCATTATCCCGGTTAAATTTTCATTGCCTCGTTTTTTTTTAACGGCGGTACCACTTACCCCGAACTTTTACGGAAATAACGAAAAAGAATTTCAACTTTTATTATTTGCTCCTACTTAGTACTCCACTTCCCTTTTAAAATAATTATACAGTTCTTGACTAATTACCAAAACAGGATGTACTTCCTTCAAGCCAAATTTCTCCTTGTTCCACAAGGATAAACTGGCGATGGCAAGATAACTATGGAATGGGTCGGGATTTGATTCAATATCCTTCCCAAATCCCCCAAATAACTCATTTTGAACTCTATACAATAAATATTCTTCTGCGCGGCTTAAATTAACAAACTCGATGTTGTCACTGTTCATGATGTACAATGCTCCAGTACACCACCAACAATAACAGGTATCGCTCAATTTGTTTTCTCTTCCATTAAATCCACCGATATCTATTGGTTTGTAATACTCATACTCGGTATCCTGGTATAATACAGCAGGATAATCAACTTGTCTTTGTACTAACCAATGTTTAGTCAGTTCAAGTTTTTCCAACGGATACTCCAACAATTTCAATGAGGCCACCGCACAAAATGTAAATCCTAAATGTGCTTCATTCAATACTTGGGAACTGAATCCTCCGTTGGAATTACACCTTTCTAAGATAAAGTCCAATGCTGCTTTGGAATCGATGTCATGCTTCCGATCCTCAAATTCGTCATACTTGACCAAATGACGAATTGCTAGCGCTATATAACAAAGACGAAGATCACTATCTCCGTACTGTTCATACTCTCCCTTTTCATTCTTGGTAATTGTAGGTGCAAATCCACCTTTGAATTCTCCTGTTTTAATTTGACACAATTGTAAAAATTTCATGATTTTATCTTGGTCTAACCTTTTTGAGTAGTTTGACTTCAAGATAAGCAAATTATACAACGCAAACAACGTCGCCAGTAAATTAGGCAAATCATAAGATCCGGCCTGTTTGAAATAATTGGTAGCTCTAAAGCCAATAAAATCATCATTTTCAATCAAAAATTCATCATATATGAATTTACTATAGTATTCCAATTCACCGTCAGAAAACTGAAATTTATCAAGCAATTGTAATCCATGCAAACAAAAATATATGATTGATAATTTATTAGAATCTTCAGATGCGGCAGATCCAGGTAACCCCATCAAACATCTATTGAAATATTTTTCATGTTTACTAATTGCTAGTTTGTCCATTGTGTTAATGTATAATGACTCTGGGGTTTAAATTCAGTTTTGCGCTTCATCAAAAATAGTATGATTTGAAAAATTGGTAAGGTGATGGGATTATATGCAGGATAGTGCTAAACAAAAAAGTGGAGTAGCCTAAATTGTTCTAGAATTTACACTAATTCAAAATATCAGTAACGAATAAAGGATAGCAGAGTTTAGAGAGCAGCTTACTCCATGTAATTCTAAAAAGATTTTGCCCATTATACTTATAAATCTTGAGTCGTAATTCTAATATTACAAACTTCTTTAATGAGTTTGTTGAAGGGCTGTAGAAATGCAAAAGGATTTTTGAATCAAGTGAGCTCATTATAATCTAATATATGCTATAAGGATAGAAACACCATTCTAGTATTTGAATTTGTTGAATCCCTAGAAATGCAAGACTAAAATAATTGAATATAATACTCAATTGGGTTTAGATTGTTGAACTCAAGCTGATATAACGAAGTGATTAAGTAATGCCCAGTTGTAGTTTAAAGATATACATATTTATACATTATATCAACTTTTTAATACAGATTTATCACTGGTTCAACTTCGATTGATTGTTCTCTTGTATAATGGGTGTGTCAATCAAATTATAATTATAATTCGGGTACTATTTCTAATCTAAAGTTCCAGTCAATACTTAGCTTCATGCAGTGATTACAGATGAAATTTAGGGGATCCTGCGGTAGTTAAGTATGTTACCGCCTTATTCACACTTTCACGTGTATTTATATATGTGTTATTCTAGCAATTCAAGGAAAAGAAACGCTTGAAAGTTACACATTTAGAATTATACCCTTTTTTCTATATATATCTCATTTCAGTGCTAGGTGTTGTCCCCAAGGCGTTTCTTATAATATCAACAATGTTTAATTATGGCTATTGGATGTTCTACCTCGACAATGTGGGAGGACTTGACAATAAAATTTTGTCAGGAAAAGTGCAAGTCAAATATTGTGCTTTCTGATCCACACAGAACGTTTCTCGTCTGATCCATAATTTCAACCCCTTACTTGCCCGCCTGTGATCTATTATTAACACGAAAAATACTTCCTAAATCGGCATAATAAATTATTACGAAGATGACTGAATGATACTGGTTTTTTTTGGGGATCGTGGTAGCAAGTCTACCCATATTTTTCGGGTGCAAAAAAAATATACCATCTCTATTGTTAGAAACGTGGGCTACTCAAGTTAAAGAATAATATGTGGCCAGTAGAAACAAAACAACACATTATTCCTTTTCAGGGAGGTATTTACTCAAATCGCGTCAGATTCTGGATTTTAGAAGTTATACATAGTGGAAGGTTTGGAAATTTCCCCGAAAAGAGTGACCATCAAGTGTAAGTACTGTATATTGTGGTGTGGATGCCATTGTACAATCTAGCAATCAAGCAACTAAAACGTTTCACCTGATAATCTAAATGCATGTCAAATTGTCGGCAAAACTATGGTGTTGCAAGGCTCAGCAGTTAAAGGAGGTCCCGAAAATCGGGGATATTATTTTTCCCATTATTGTCAAGCCTCGTCTCTGACACGTAATATTGGTTTTACTTTCTAGTTAGAATTTGTTTAGGGTTGGTCGAGGAATTCTGTCTTTATAAATACTCGCCTTAATTTCTGTCTTCTTTTGCATTTCTTTAATTTCTCTTATTTTGTTCTTGAGTAACTTTTAATACAAAAATGAAGATCGCCACTTTAGCTTTAGCTTTAACCGCAGCTGTTTCCATTAACGCTGCTGCCATTGTCGAAGGTAACAAGATTGCCCAAGGTTTAGTTGTCAGAGCCGACGATACCACTACTGATGCCGCTGCCGCTGCTGACGAAACTGATGATACTGATGATTCAGATGACACCGACGACGCCGACGATGCTGACGAAACCGATGACACTGATGATTCAGATGACACCGACGACGCCGACGATGCTGACGAAACCGATGACACTGATGATTCTGATGACACCGATGATGCTGACGAAACCGACGACGCCGATGATTCTGATGATACTGATGACTCGGATGAAACTGACGATTCCGATGACTCCGATGAAACCGACGACTCTGACGATTCTGATGAAACCGACGACTCCGATGATTCTACTGAAACTGATGATTCCGATGATTCCACTGAAACTGGTGCTCAAGACACCGCAACTGTTGGCCATGCCAATGCTTCTGGTAATGCTACTACCTCTGGTAATGCTACCACCACTGGAAAAGGTATTGCTGCTGGTATGTACCCAAGTTTCGGTATGGCTATTGCTGCAGCTGCTGTCGGTGCTGTTTTGATCTAAGCGATCTAATTAGTTAACTTAAAGTAGAGATCTAGATTTATGTTCAAACTTTGATAGTTTAATGTTATGTTTTCTCGTATAAAGCAGTTTTTGTAATCGCAAGGATGTCATAGTAGCTGGTATTTTCAATTCTAAGAAATCCTTCTGTAATTGACAGAAATGTGCATTTAGCTTTGGTTTACTGTGAACAAGTTTCTACTAAGTTGTTTACTTTGGTACTGATGATAGAAAAGGTATAGTCAAAAAAAAATCTGGCTGCAAATTTAAGGTTTTGTAGCGAACGAAAAAAATAAAGTCTGCACCAGCCACAAACCAAGTGGGGGGGGGGGGTGTTGCATCTCAATATTGCTACCCCACCTCTGTAGCTAGTTCTGTTTATTGGTTCCTTCAGCAACTAACTAATTCCTAATTCTGTGTCGACAATGTTGGGTTTCTTCAGAAGTCAAGCTTAAACCGAATCCGGAGTGTGCAATATAGGATAAAGCTTGATTGTGTACTATTATACAGTGTTCCTATACTGAATATATTCTATTTGGCAAATTTTAAAGTAACGCTGTTCTAGATTATCGGGAGAATTAAAGTATAAAAGACCGGAGATGCGAATACTGGTGATTATTTACCCAATAGAGTAAGGTTTATCCTATCTTTAATCCAAGGTCTGATAAATAAAAGTTATCAAGCTCCCTTTAATGACTCAAAAAGAATTTAACTTTGTATCACCTTATTTTTAGCACTCCAAAGTCAGTGGCTATCTAGTATAAAGACTGAAGAAATGTTCAAATGACAAATACGGAAGGAATAATACTAATAATGACAAAGTATTGAAATAAAATGTGTAAATGTAAAACAATCAATTAGTAATAAGTACTATATAAATAGAATTAATATAGATGGGTATTTATCAACATAAGAAAAATAGAATATTGTGTTTAAACCAAAAATTATCCAACCACAAATACATATAAAATCGTTAGAGATTCAAGTATATAAATATGAGACGTTCACTTAGTTTGTCTATTTCAGTCAAATTCCATTCTTCAATGAACAATTTTAAAGCAACTATGTGATACAATTTTTGAAACATGTACACCCTAGTATTCTCCCCTTTTTTAAACCAACTTCTTTAAAGACGACAACATCTGTTGAACCATTATTATAAAATATTCATAGCTTTTATTTTTTTTTTTTTTTTTGGTATAGGTAAATTATTTTTTAAGCATGTTTTTGTGCTAAAATCAAACAAAGAATATTTAAAACTTAGTTCAATTATCTGGTACTTCTTTGACTTCGCATATAATTGTGAACTCATCTCCATAGGCAAAGCTTTCGAGCCATCTAATTGGAGGTAAAATGTATGGTCCTGTTTGTTTTAAAACGCGACCTTGCTCTAAAACAATCTTAAGTTCACCATCTGAATCGCATCTTGCTCCGAGCAAATACCTTTCTAACAACTTCTCTTCGATGAAAACGCTAAAGTAATCAACAAACTTAACAGAAACTATTTTATACATTATTGGGGGAGGTTTTAAGTGATTTTATTGCAAGACTAGATCGAGAATACGTGGAGATTATTATTTTTTGGAATGACGTGTAAAAGCCCCTTTTTCTGGTGAGGGCACGACGGTGCTTTCTTATCTTTTATTCTAATATACAATGAAGAAGTAAAGTTTGAGGTGGATCAGCTACTGCTGGGTAATTTAGTTTAGAGCATTTAGTTTTACAAAGCAAATCTGTCTAAGGTATAATTCCATCTGTTTGAGGTTATCCTACAAGGATACTTGGTGCACAGTTGAATTTATCCAGATTGCACCCTCCAGATAGAAAATAATTCAAGAGATTCTGTATGGTTTCAGCTAGATGATCAATGTTGTAAACTAAATACAATTGGTCCAAGTTAGAAACAAACTTTGTTCAATACAATAGAGCTTGATATTTTTATAAAACTTTAGTTTTTTGCAAAAGTTCAAAATTTTTATACTATTAATTTGCACCCGCATTTACGAAATGAAATTGTAACTTCAGTATATCTCCTGTATTATATAAAAATTCACTTTATATATTAGTCACAGGAACATAACTCAATAATAATTTCTCATACAATGCTAAATTTGTGTCTTTGGCAAAATTGATATTGTTCACATAATAGCATAAAGTATTGTAGGCAAACATGGGTTCCTAGGTTCTATACATCGTAAGAGTAAATCCGATAAAAACAATGTGTGCCAACTAATGATATCGGATTTAATGATCCCGATGATTATTGCGTTTTTGTACTGTATTTGTAGTATCTGGAGAAAACAATTATAACAAAATAATTTTCAATTAGATGTGTGATACACTTTCTCATATTAAAAAGAATACAAAAAGAAAAATAAGATATGACCACTCAACACTGGCGGTTATTTCTTGGCGAGCCGCCTTAATCTTGTCCCCACCTTGACGTATATCCCCAGGTTTCCATGCTTTTGGAATAGAAAAGTCTTAGCATCTTTTGGAACCGCATATACGAAAACGAAAGATTAAATCCGATAAAACTTTGACTAATCCTTATACATATGTGTATTGCTTTCAACCAAGCCACAGGTACAAAAAAATTTAGTCAATGCCCGATATAACAAGGGATAAATCCTTTTCTTTTTTGTTTCGTAAGTTGCTGATTCAATTTGTTTGTTTCCAGTTTATAGTAGAGCCTTTAACTGTAGGTTGGATATTTCTAGCAAGTTAGCCTTGATAAAAACAAATTAAACCTCAAAAAAAAGAACCTGTTTACGAAATAATTCTAATAAATGGAGCTTCTGGTATATCTTCTAATTACATTAATCCCCACCAAAGCTAATTGGTGATCTATTTATGACACCTTCAACGTATCACGTTTTATTGTTCTTTTAAGTAATCGAACAATGCGGATCCAATCCACATTTTACGTATCTACCGTAAATACATTATATTGAAAAAAAAAATTTTTTGGTTACTACAATTAAAAACAACATTCTGGTGATGAGATTCAGGATAGTTTGAAATGTTATGACCTCTTTCAAAATACACCCCATCATGCAATTTAGTTCAAATGAAATAGTCATTGAAGAGAGCTGTTTCTGGTGCCTCATTGTAGGTAGAGTCAATTTTTCACATCACAATTTGTTTGCAGTAATTGCATATCTTCTTATACCGAGAAAATGGTTGCAATAACTTTACATAGGTCCCTGTAAAATCATCAATCGGTGATATATATAATTATGTTTCCATTAATAGCATTCGTAATGCCATCTATTGATATTATTTCTTCTTTTCTTTTTGTAAATGGAGTATTTGTTTATTTTATTGTTGGTTCCAATTACGTTTACGGAATTACCAAGGATGGTTTTTGAAGAAATACTTTAATTCTAGAATTCAAATTAATAAAATAATCACCCAAACCATGCATGCTTTGTTTTATTTCTAGAAACTATAAATATGGCTATATTTTCCTTTCAGATTAAGATGATGTTGTAGTTTACGTAATCATTTTCAATATAGCAATTTTCGAACTATAGAATGAAAATTTCCACTTTAGTTTTAACTTTTTATGTTTCAGCTTCTATTCATGCTTTTCCGGGTATTTGGAATAAATTAGCACGTAGAGATGATGAGGAGCAACCAGGCGATTTAGCCCCAAACATTGAGGAGCCTGCTCCAACATTCATTGAAGAACCTGCCCCAAACATTGAAGAACCTGCCCCGACAATAATTGAAGAACCTGCCCCAACATTCATTGAAGAACCTGCCCCAACATTCATTGAAGAACCTGCCCCAACATTCATTGAAGAACCTGCCCCAACATTCAATTGAAGAACCTGCCCCAACAATAATTGATGAGCCTGCCACTGATCCTCCCATTGATACAGGAGGTATAGGTGATCCTTTTACGGAACCTGATCCAGGTAGTGGTACTATTGGTGAACCTGATCCAGGTAGTGGTACTATTGGTGAGCCTGATCCAGGTAGTGGTTCTACTGGTGAGCCTGATCCAGGTAGTGGTACTATTAGTGAACCTGATCCAGGTAGTGGTTCTATTAGTGAACCTGATCCAGGTAGTGGTTCTACTGGTGAGCCAGATCCAGGTAGTGGTTCGATTAGTGAACCTGATCCAGGTAGTGGTTCTACTGGTGAGCCTGATCCAGGTAGTGGTACTATTAGTGAACCTGATCCAGGTAGTGGTTCTACTGGTGAGCCTGATCCAGGTAGTGGTTCTATTAGTGAACCTGATCCAGGTAGTGGTTCTACTGGTGAGCCTGATCCAGGTAGTGGTACTATTAGTGAACCTGATCCAGGTAGTGGTTCTACTGGTGAACCTGATCCAGGTGCAAACCCAACTGGTCCAGGTGCAAACCCAACTGGTCCTGGTGCAAAACCAACTGGTCCAGGCTCAAACCCAACTGGTCCAGGCGCAAACCCAACTGGTCCTGGTGCAAAACCAACTGGTCCTGGTGCAAACCCAAATACAAATAATCAAGCGCCCAAAGCAGGTACAACTCAAGCGGCAAATCAATCTCCTAAGCAAGGTACAACTCAAGCTGCAAATCAATCTCCTAAGCAAGGTACAACAACAAAGCCTGCTGGTGCTGCTGAAAAAGCTGGGGCAAACGGAGTTTTCCCAGATTATGGTCTTGGCGCTGCTGTTATTGCCTTAGGCTCTCTTTTTATCTAGGTTTGACACCTTTATTCTATATTTGGCTTTTGTCTTTCTCTATATGTTGTCTATGTTATGCTAATTATTTTGAAATATTTGTAAAAATGCTCTTAGCTCTCAAAAATATACTGATAAAACAACTGGATGCATTAGGTTCTCTTCCCTAGAACACGGGGACGATAAGAATTTGCAACTACGCCTAATTGCCAAGGTGAAAATTCGCATGACAGAATACTAAATTGCAATTTTAGTACCCACAATTAGAATGCATTTTAATACTAGGTCACCACTAGATTAACATAATGATACAGCATTTATCCGAAAATTCTGTTTGTGTGTAGGTTTACTTCAGTCCTTGTCTATCCTTAAAAATTCGATACCATCTAACAAATCTTTCGTCTTCGCAGAAGTAACACTTTGTCCATGACATTGAACCACGTGACTGTACAAATATTGAAGAAGTTACCTACATTGGATCTCCAAAATATTTTCTTGGCAATTAGCCTCGATGTATGCTTTCTTTAAAGAATTGATTGTCTTCTCCTGGACTTTCCATCCTTCCCTCAGAGCAAAAAGTTGTTTATATTCTATAATTATGATATCTAAATTCTATGACTATCAGAGTTAGTTCAGTTATCTGGTTAAACAAATTCTTATCCCTTTCTATATCCCTTACACATATCTATATTTAGAAAATACTAGTCAAAAAAGGATGCATTTTTCCGCCTTGCGAAATAATTTCTTCGTAGTCAAAAAAGGGATGCCCGCCTTCCCATTGTGGATGACCCCATCATGCCAAGGGGTAAACTTTTCGGTTCTGTTGCTAAGGGAACTGGCTATAGTTAAAACCTCTAAATTGGCCATCTATTGTGGCGTTTAAATTTAAACAAAAGCTGAAATAAAAAAAGAAAAGGTAAAACAACAAGCGCTTAGATTTAATTTCTACCAATCGGTCGACTCAGACGACCATTCCGCTCACGGGATATCAATTTTCAGGAAATTATTTATCGGGATCATCTCGATTGTTGTCAATTTTTCATTAAGGAGTGAAGGAAATTCGAACAATGAGATGCAACCCACACTTTGCGTCTCCACCGTTCAATGAATGATCTGGTGAAAAAATATCTTTCCTTTTCCAATTGAAAACGTGCTAGTAGATGAGATCCAATTTGAATGCATTAAAATGTGATGCCCCCTTTGAAACTTCACCCCGTCATGCAATTGCGTTTCAGAATACCTGGTTTAGCAATCGGTGTCTCATTTAGAAATGTATTATTGCCATTTTGATAGCACTCTTTAGTTACTATTCAATTTTTTGTTTCTCTTGCATCTTTCTCTCGCATCACAATTTGGTTGCAAGTTAAGAGGAGAATTTCCATCATCATAACTAATTTCATTTCAATACAAGGAGATGAAATTTGTATGAATGGTATTCAAGATTTCAGCTTTGGTGATATTTTTTTGGAAATACGTGTTTCTTTTAATATGACGATGGGATGCCGCATTACCTATAATGGTTAAGCTGTGGTCTTTCAGGGAATATTTTAAAAGGTACCCCTTCCGAATGACAAAATATTTCCTAAAATTTGCACCCCTTTAAAGATTATTGCTAATATATAGGTGTCATTTGCCGTCAATTTTTGTGAGATCTTAGAGTCGTAAATCTTTGGTAAGCAAGATCTATTAAGAAACCAATTGTCTATCGAAATGAAATTCTCTACTTTAGCTTTAACTTTATACACTACAGCTTCGGTTTATGCTGCTATTGATGCGGAAAAAAAATTAGCAGCCAGAGCAGACGAAACTACTCCTGCTGAAACTACTCCTACTGAGACTACCCCAACTGAAACTACTCCTACTGAGACTACCCCAACTGAAACTACCCCAACTGAGACTTCTCCAACTGAAACTTCTCCAACTGAGACTACCCCAACTGAGACTACCCCAACTGAGACTTCTCCAACTGAGACTTCTCCAACTGAAACTTCTCCAACTGAGACTTCTCCAACTGAGACTACTACTGAAACTACTCCTACTGAAACTACTACTACTGAGACTTCTCCAACTGAAACTTCTCCAACTGAGACTTCTCCAACTGAGACTACTACTGAAACTACTCCTACTGAAACTACTACTACTGAGACTACTCCAGAACAGCAGACCACTACCCCAACCGCAACTGAAACAACTCCAGCTGTTCCACCAGCTGAAGCTGCCGCCGGCGGAGTTGCTCCACAATATGGCTTTGCAGTTGCTGCAATTGCCATTGGTGCTGGTTTGATCTAAGCACCGGATGTTTTCGTACTTTCTTATTCGTCTACTTTAATTTCAATGTTTTTATTGCTTGGTTTTCTATATAGTTGTCTATATTAATTTTCTGTGATTAACTTAATCTTTAGTGTTTGTTCGTTCTAAATTGTAGAACTTAAGCATATTGCTGAAGAATATGTTCAAAATTTAGCTCAATGTGTCTTATAGTATTGACAGGACTCTGATTTATTAGTGTTACAATTACTGGTAAACAGTCACCTTGTCGATTCTCAAGAATTGAACAATGACAGTAAAACTCCAGTTTATTATCAAGGGATTCTATGAACTTGTCTTTCTTGGCAATCAATTGCAGTGGGTTTACATCAACGGAGTTAAACCATGTGAGTTTATATTCTTCAATACACTTCAGTTTGTTCACTTGAGTGAAACTATATTCCTCCTCTTTGAACTCCTTGTTAATTTTAAAAAAAAAATCTGCTAGATTTACATTCAACCCTGATCCCAATAATTTTGCAAATGATTCCTTCAATGTCCAAAAATGGTTGAATGTGAAATACCTTTTCTCTTCATCGTTAATTGCTTTCAAATAGCTTACTTCTCTAAAGTCGAAAATTTCGCTAAATTGATCAACGCATTCTCTGGATGATATTGCAGGTTGAACTGAGTGAGATAGATCAATACCAATCGGAGATTGTTTGTGTGAATATTCAACTACGATACTTACAATATCATTTGAGCTACTTGAATTGAATTGAAATCCTTGTTCAATTAACTGTGGTTTTCCATATTCATTGTACGTGAATTTGACCTTGGAAAAAAGTTCCGTGCCTTGGAGGTAATTAAGCACGATATTAGTGAATAATGAACTTATTAATTGTTTGAAGCGTAAGTTTTCATCTTTGATTGACCTTATTCTAAGTTGGTCTTTCAAGTTACCGACTAGTCTTAACGAAAGTTCGAAATTAAAATCATCTTGAAGAAACTCAGTTAAACTGGGACTAAGACGTGTAGTGAAAAGTATTATATTAGATTCATTGATATTTGGATTGGTTTTGATATCTAGCTTATCTAGGTCATCTCTTAAGGTCATATCATTGGTGTTACCAAGAACATGACTAATCGTTTATTCTACATAAATTTTTTTTTTCTATGGTCTTTTTATTTTTGCTGCAATATTTACATTTTCTATCTACTTATTTTCACTAGTATAGAATTTGAAATTACTGTTACCTTCAAATGGGTGTTCTTTGGCATATTGAGCAACTTCCAATACAACCTTCTTAGCATTCTCGAAACTTTCATCTGAGACTTGGTAATGGAATGCTACTCTTCCAGAATAGATCTTGACATTATATTTGTCGGAAATTTCAATCAACTTTTCAGGATCAATCTTGTTAGCCAATATGTCAATAAACACAAAATTTGTATGTACAGGATGTTCCAAGATAATTCCATGTTCTTGACAAAGCTTACCTAATTCCTTAGCTTGGTCATGTGTTTTTTTCAATTTTGGTAAATTCTCCTCAATTGCTGTCATGGCCATGGTTGCCAAAAGACCACTTTGTCTTATACCACCACCATTCTGCTTCTTAAAATGGTTAGCCTTGAGGATGAATTTTTTGTTTCCTACAAGGACAGTTCCGATAGGTGCACCCAAGGTTTTAGACAAGCAAAGTGATACACTATCGAAATGACTACAATATTCTTCAAGGGGGATTCCTGTTTCAACGTGTGCATTCCATAATCTTGCCCCATCTAAATGCAACTTTACATCATTGGCTTTACAGAATGCAGAAATCTTTTTAATCTCGTCAAGAGGGAATAACATTCCGTGTAAAGTGTTCTCCAAGCAAATCAATTTGGTTGGAGCACCATGAATTTCACCATCATCAGGAATGAAGTTAGGCAAGATGTCGTCTTCTAATGTTAAGTGGATACCGTTTTTAGGGATGATTGGTTGAGGCATAGCTTGGGATAATGTAGATAACCCAGCAGCTTCATGAACATAAACATGGGCACGATGGTCACATAAAACACTATATGGAGGCTGTAACAAGTGGACTCTCATGGCGATTTGGTTGGAAAGAGTACCACTTACGCAGTACAACCCTGCTTCTTTACCAGTCATGGAAGCTAGTTTTTCCTCCAAGGCAATGGTGGCTTGATCTTCATTGTATACTGCATCTCCTAAAGTAGACTTGCCAAGAGATTGGATCATGGACAAGGTGGGTGTGGTGAATGTATCACTACGGAACTCATTGTGAGCAGGACTTTGGGCAGAAAAGTTGGAGAAATCCATGGTATTATCGATAGTTATTGGGAAGGTTGTAATAAAGAAGGAAATCAGGTTGGAAGTATTTCACGTACGGCCCCAAAAAAAAATTGGTGCTGAGTCATTGGTGACTCCGATTCCTATATTACGAAAAGAGGCAATTACTAGTAAACCATTGCTATGTTTGACAGACCATCATTGACAATATCAACAAATATCTGTTATCGAGTTACTGCTAATAATCTCTGCCGGTATGCAAGGTTAGGGTATGATTTACTAGTCTGTGTACTGGGTGATAGGGTTTGTAGATCAGTGTCAAAAAAATGCTCGCATTTAATTTCCAAATTAGGAAGTCACCGCCAAAGACACAGTTGAGTGCAAAGTATGGGAATGCCACAAAATCGCGCACCTAGTGTAATGTAATTCAAACCAGATAACATACCAATTTGATTAGTAATAGTACATAAATGGTGATCTTTTGAATTATCTGTAGTGATGAATTACTTAGGTATAGAAAGTTTGGTTTAAGAACTAGGTGATTGAATACAGTGTTAATACAATCTCTTGTATAATTCATACAGTTATGGGCATAGAATCCCTAACATTTTTACCTCCCCCTCTCTTTGATTACGTGCTCAGAAAGATTTGATAAAAAAAAATGCGGGATTATCTTTCCTAATTGGGAGTTTTGCTCTTGCGCTCGAAATTTTTCATTGCCCCGCGCAAACTGATAATGAAGATACTATATAAACCAGGATGATTCCTGAAGTGGTCAATAAATTTTCTGATTTTCCTCTTTTCTAACTTTGTTTTTTTAATCAATTACACTACATGACAATGTCTCTCCCATTAGAATATCCAGTTACTTTACCAGATGGTCAAAAATACTCCCAACCATCTGGGTTATTTATTAATAACGAATATATCAAATCTAAATCTGGTGCCACCCTTGAATCTATCAACCCTGCCACTGGTGAAGTCAATGGTGCTGTTTATGCCGCAGATTCCGAAGACGTTGACATTGCTGTTGATGTTGCTCGCAAAGCTTTCAAATCTTGGCGTAAAGTCACTGGTGTTGAACGTGGTATACTTTTAAACAAATTTGCTGATGTTTTGCAAGAACAACGTGATTTGATTGGTGCTATTGAAGCTTGGGATTCTGGTAAGACCAAGGAGCAAAATGCTGTTTATGATATTGATGAATGTATTAGTTGTTTCAGATATTTCGCTGGTTGGGCTGATAAGATCCAAGGAAAGGTTATTCAAAATGATCCAAAGAAGTTGGCTTACACTGTTCACGAACCATTTGGTGTCTGTGGTCAAATTATTCCTTGGAATTATCCATTGGCCATGGCTGCTTGGAAATTGGCTCCTGCTTTAGCTGCTGGTAATGTCATTGTTTTGAAAACTTCCGAAATTACCCCACTTTCTTTATTATACGTTGCTAAGATCTTCAAGGATGTTGGTTTCCCAGCCGGTGTAGTTAACATTCTTTCTGGTTTTGGTGCAACTGCTGGTAAGGCACTTGCTTCTCACACTGGTGTTGATAAGATTGCCTTTACTGGTTCTACTGCAACTGGTAAGATTATCCAACAATTGGCTTCTTCTAACTTGAAGGCTGTTACTTTAGAATGTGGTGGTAAGTCTCCATTGATTATTAGAGCTGATGCTGATTTAGATCAAGCTGTCAAATGGTCTGCTTTGGGTATTATGTCTAACCAAGGTCAAATCTGTACCGCTACTTCAAGAGTTTATGTTCATGAATCAATTTACGAGAAATACTTGACTTTACTTGCTGAACATGTCAAGACTACTTATAAGCAAGGTTCTATGTTTGATTCAGAAGCTGTTGTTGGACCACAAGTTTCCAAGCTTCAACAAGACAAGGTTTTAAGCTATATTGAAATTGGTAAGAAGGAAGGTGCTCGTTTAGTTCTTGGTGGTGAAAAGAATACTGACAAGGACTTAGCCAAGGGTTATTTTATCAAGCCAACCATTTTCGCAGATGTCAAGCCAGAAATGAGAATTGTCAATGAAGAAATTTTCGGTCCTGTTGTATCTGTTGGTAAGTTCTCTTCTGATGAAGAAGTTATTGCTTATGCTAATGGTACCGATTACGGTTTGGGTGCTTCTATTTTCACCCAAGATATTACTGTTGCTCATAACTTAGCTAGTGAAATTGAAGCTGGTATGGTTTGGATCAACTCTTCGAATGATTCTGACGTCCATATTCCATTTGGTGGGGTCAAGATGTCAGGTGTTGGTCGTGAGTTAGGTGAATATGGTTTATCTATGTACACCCAAGCCAAGGCTATTCATGTCAACCTTGGTACTAAGTTGTAAGTAAATTATAGAGGATTGTTATTAGGTTATTTCTTGTTGAATATAAATTTTGAAAATAAAATAAAAAAAAAAAGAACAAATTAGACAGTGTAGTTGAAGTCTCTATTTTTGCAACCAACAAAGACTCGCACAGATTTATTCCAAAGAAAAAGAATTGCAACTGATGACGTCAAAGTGAATGACACATTCTACTTACATACTATCAGAGACGTCTTGGAATTTATATTTGTTCATTGTCTGCATATTTCTGCATGATATTTTGTTCCAGGTTGCAACATGATAAATTACATGATAACAACATAGCAATCTAGTCAAAGAGGGGTTCAAATAACCTCCCCACTCGGAACTTGATCTAGTTCCATCTAAATGAGTTTATACTACGATACAAAGTATCAAATAGTGAGATTGAACTAAAAACTCACGTCATTATCTAATCTATTGACATAATTGACACTAATATTGAAAGGTCATGTCGTGTCGTTATCATCAGCTGATTGGAACGGTCGGATAATTGTTAAATAATAAATTCCCATAATTAAGAATTTCTTTTCCTGAGCCAAGACTGAATTATTCACTCATTAACTCACCGATGAAATCTTTACTCCTTATTTTTTTTTTTTTGCGGTTTTTTTTTTTCAACTTCTCTAGAACAATAGATTAGCATCTCTCCACAAATCGATTTCCTTTAGACCATTTGATCTGAACCTACCATACAAGTTATTCCATCTAAACTTAGATTCAGGCAACTATATAATCTAGTGCAAACTTATACATCTGCAAAGAGTAGAAAAAAGTTACTGCAACGTCTGTTTCCACCGGAAGTTAGATAGTGTTCTCGTTCCTCATCAGCAACCCCTATATTCCCCCTTTCTACCATGATCACACAACAAAATTATGTTATACCGGACACACCAGCTTCAAGCAGTAACTACCACTGTGGTAATGTAGGAAGCAGTTCTAACTCTAGTTCTGCCCAGCTAATACCAACATCTATCAACCCTTCCAATTCAACCTCAATAGTATCGGCATCTACATCCATAAACTCGGCATATTCCACTGCCAATAAAAATAGCTATTCTACTACTCAAATATCATCCATTCCATCTACATCTTCGATAATTGCACATTCTAGGTACCAGCCTTCTAATGCACTTGTTAGCAAACTCCCCGTCGACTTGATAGAACATGAGATTTTGCCATATGTCGACCAATTTGATTTGGTGAACCTACTGTTGACCTGCTCAGCATTATACCTTCCCGCTATTAAGAAACTATACAGACGAGTCACTGTTGTTTTGGATGCGGAATTACCCCTTGTATATGATATAGACCATAGGCGCTATATATCGGAAAATGGGATGACATATATGGACAGTGCATTAATCTTCACATTTGGCAACTTGCTAAAATTCATAGAGTCTATACAGTCAAATGTGGAGTTGGTTCAGCTAGTTAAATATTTTGTGTTTGATAAATGTCACCAAGACGAACAGGAGACTTCGTTAACGGCTCTCCAGCTGAACATCCTCGAATTCTTTGCTGCCAAATCCCAGCATTTGAACTTTTTTCACATTTCCTTTGTCGAGTACTTGCTGGGGATTAAGCAGTTGACTGATTTCTTAAAACATGAAAATATCAGACAAAATATGTTTAAATTGGTGGTGACGAGCTTGGATGAACTATATACCCCCAACATACCCAGGTGTCTTACAAACTTGTTCCTTATGATGAATGAACTTGAATTGAAGGAACCCTTTGACTTGTCGGAATACCCTTATGATGTATTTAATTCGTTATTTACGTTGACATGTTCCACGTCGAGACATTTAGGTTTGGAAGTTTTGCAAAATTTAAAATTATGCTCACCAAGCATGAAATTGAAACTTAAAGGTTTGACAGTATTCCATCGTCATAAGGAAATTACAAATGCGGTTGAAGAAGAAGGTGAAGATGAAGAAATCAGTGAAGATTTGGATGCAAAATTGCAAGAAATTGACAAAAAATTGCTGTTTACAGCTATTGAGTCGAAAATCGACCTTAAATACTTGAGCCATTTGTATTTAAAAGTTGATTGTAATGAGCATCGTCATAATATGTGTAATTGCTATGAATCATTTTTCAATGATTTTGCCAAATTCTCTCTTGCTAATGACGGATTACCAAATTTGATCAATTTTGAAGCTGAATCATTCCCAAATTTAGATTGGTTAAGACCACATCAACAATTGGAAAACATATTGACCCCGTTGGGTGGGTTTATAAAGACATTGGGTAACTTATCTCGATTAACTATTGATTTTTCCACGCCTGGTTTCAAAATGTTTGATAACAATTTAGGTTTATCAACCATGTTATTAAACAAATTGAATGAGCATCTCATGGAAGCATTTTTCCTTTGTTTCTTCACCGTTGACAACACTAGCAATTGCAAATCGCCTTTGTTGAATAATCTTCGAACTTTGCAACTTCCAGACTTTTTCACCTCCTTCATTTACTACAAGCCGGATTTCATGGAATCATTGCTTCATACTTGTAAATGCTGGGGTTGTCAATTAGTCCTTGAAAAGCTCAAGGATGAATTTTTCGATGAGCAGGATGAAAATGGGTTAGATATTGAATCTACTTATTATATGTTGGTTGGATATATACTTGGTAAACTCCAAGCGGATCGTGAAGTATGTATCCCTATAAAAGAAAAGACATTTAACTATTCTAAATACCCTATCTACAAAGGTCAGCCACATACACTTCACCAGGGATTCCATTCGGTTGCGTCTCCATGCAATTGTAATCTTGAACAAGATCCACTTGGAGTTTCAAAGATGAATATAGACAATTTGGTGACCACGTACATAGTCCATCAGTTGGCACCTATTATAGAATATTTGAGCGTGCTATTTGTAAGATTGGACAATTTGATGATACATGGGATATATTACGAACGGAAAAACGGTGAATTGGTTCCTAATTTCGACGAGATGGATTATCCTGAGGAGTTTATACAAGTAAAACAAGACGAAATTAATGGTGGTATTAGACCTGAGGGTCCATTTGGGAATTTTAGAGGGGTGTGAAAGAAAATTATAAAGCTATGGATATGTCTATGGTGCAAATTATTCTGTTGGTTATTTAGTGTTAATAAAACAGATTAGTTTTTTTTGGCTGTGATTTTTACTGTACTCTTGTTTTCTCTAAAAAGTCTGTAAGAGCAAACAATTTTTTTTGCTAAATTTTTGACAAAATTTCAAGAAAATCATTTCTGACCAAACTCGACCTCAATTCGTCCGTGAAGTAAATAGTGGGTTTAAGAACTAACCAGATCCAATGAAGCAGGTCAATCCAAACACCTAAGTTATGCTTACAGGGATAATTTTCGCAACCATAGCACTGAAAAAAAAACGTATTGCAAAATACTACAATGGCCACTTGGCACGCGTAAACCAGCTTCAACATTGTTCAAGGTTAAACAATACTAAATAGCTCAAAATACAATGATTCCGTTGAGCCTAAGTAGGATTCGAGGATTATAGTTACCCACGTTCGTGCTCAATGAGAATGTTCAAAAGAGATTTCGCGTTCGTCTTCATCCGTGAATATTTTCAACCAAGAGGAGTGTGAAGGTAACGGGGAAAGGCTTATCCATCGATGGTAAGGCGGGATGGCTTATTTGATCAGTTATTTTGTGGGTATGGCTTGAGTATACCTTTGCTAATTCGTAAACCCCCAGTTTGCGGGTGAGTGCGTAATTTGGTATGGATGTACTCGGACGATGACAGCCGAAAATGTTAGTTTACAGGTGGATGAACTTATCCGCTTTTCTAAAAGATCCCGGAATATTTCTTAAGCCCTTCAACTGGGTTCACCTTCTAGGTTAAACCTGGGTGGATACTACCCAACAAAAAAGTGTCTGAAATATTTTTGTCTGCACAAAAGAAAAATTGTCTGACTGTATTGTCCTCCCCGCCATATGGATCCACTATTAAAAAAATATTTCCCCAGATAAAAATAATCTATTTATTGAAAAAAATATTGTAATAAAGTACAGAACAATAGTGTGCAATGTTTGTTTTGTTTTACTAAATACGGGCCGAACAATATCCTTTTCCGCGGGATCAAATGGAGGAAGGTACTTCCTAACTGAACGTTTCAGATTTGACACTTTTTTAATATGACAAAGAATATTTGCTTTCTTCTTTTTTTTTTTTCAGACTCGTTCCGGCTCAACCTTCAACTAGTGTGACAATGGTTTTAGTTTCTTAAGGTACAAGAATAGAAAACAACTATAATGGATAGTCGCCTCATCATATGCGCTCCGCAAATTTTGTCGCTCACAAAACCAAACTAACTTTTTCCCTCTCAGATCATTGTTCTTTAGACAACTTTTAACTAACCCTGTCTTTGCGGGATTTTCAAAAACAATGCTGTGCCTTTTGTTATTTCACAGCAATAATGAATGTTTCATCAATAAATATTGTTTTGGGATAGCAAGTGGGTCAATGAAACAGTCAAAAATAAACCTGGGTGGGCTGGTAGCATAGACAACCTGAATTTAATCATTGTTAAAACTTGGGGTATAATCCCCCGAATTACCCACATGTTATACCCGAACATACTCCACCAAAGAATGGACCTTCACATCTGAAAATCAATTTGTCATCAAACAGTTGGCTGAGCCACGTTTAAACTCACACTACCTACAACAAAAGGCTTTTTTCAAATAAAACCTCTCGTAAATCGGCTTATGCTTTGAATCCTCATTAACATGGTTAAAAGTAGGTGCAGGAACTAACGGCAGCCAAGAGTTTTTTGAGTTAGAAAAATATGCCATTTTCCCCACAATCTAGTTAATTGGATATATTTTTTCTGTTCGGTTATGTACGCCCGCTTTTAGTTTTTAGACATCTGTGTGTACGGCCGCTTTAATACGTGCATAAATTGCAAAAAAAATACTTCAAAAAATATTGGTACCTGCCGATATTTTCTACTTCTGTCGCGTCAACAATTCTAGAAAAAGTGGTCAAAAAATATTTTGCAACAATACTCTTTAAATACCTAACAATGTAGAGACAAGATGGACCCATTTCACTGGTCTCCACCGTGCAACCCGAGGAACCCTGGTGGAGGTAACACTAGCTGCAAGCACTAAAATACCATTTACGGGTTGAGGGGGGGGGGGGGGGGGAGGGGGTCCCCCTGCGGTAAACAATATTCTATATAAAATTGCTTTTTACGGTTAGAGGATATTTTGTAGCAATTCTTCCCGAGAACAATCGAAGTAATTACTCCATTGGCTCTTTTCTTGATCCAGATTTGTTTTTTTTAACCATTATAGTTGTCATTCAACAACCCCCAAAATTTATAAGTGGTGAAAAATGGAGTAAGAAAGCCTCTTTAACTCTTCGAGCTTCACTTCGATTTGTAACCCCCCTCTCACCATTGTGAATCACGAAACTAAATATTTCAACAATGGTGTTACCACCAACACCCCACACATGCCTATGTAATTGTAGTGAATCTTGTGTAATAGTGGTAGTAGAAAGTATTATTTTGGGGTACAGGGAATAATGAGTTCCCTATCAATATCACCAAATATATAAAGACCTGGAACTTTCCTCTCCGATGGTCTTTTTATTTCCTATTTTATCATCAACACATTCTCTAATATGTTGCCAATCAAATTATTAGCTACACTCGCTCTTGCTATTTTCGCCAATGGTGAAACTCCACCATCTTCACCAGATTATAACACTGAAGCTAACCCTCAATTACCACCAATCACTTTCGAAGCTGTTCACTACACTTTCCCAGATTGTCAAAATGGTCCATTGAAGCACAATGCTGTTTGTAACCCACACCTTCCAACTGAACAAAGAGCCAAGGCTGTTGTTGATTTATTCACCGTTGATGAATTGATCGCTAACATGGGTAACACATCTCCAGGTGTTGAACGTTTAGGTCTTCCACCATACCAATGGTGGAGTGAAGCTTTGCACGGTATTGCTAGATCCAACTTCACTGCTTCTGGTGAATACTCTCATGCTACTTCTTTCCCTCAACCAATCTTGATGGGTGGTGCTTTCAACAATGACTTGTATAAGCAAGTTGGTAATGTTATTGGTACTGAAGCTAGAGCTTTCAACAACGTTGGAAGAGCTGGTTTAGATTTCTACTCACCAAACATCAACCCATTCAGAGATGCTAGATGGGGTCGTGGTCAAGAAGTTGCTTCTGAATCTCCAGTCTTAGTTGGTAACTATGCTTTGAACTATGTTCAAGGTTTACAAGGTGGTCTTGACAGTAACCAAAACGATGACACTTTACAAGTTGCTGCTACATGTAAGCATTTTGTTGGTTACGATATGGAATCTTGGAACCAACACTCCAGATTAGGTTACAATGCTATCATTAGTGATCAAGATCTTGCTGATTTCTACTTGCCAACTTTCCAAAGTTGTGTTAGAGATGCCAAGGCTGCCGGTGCTATGTGTTCTTATAATGCTGTTAACGGTGTTCCAGCTTGTGCTTCTGAATTCTTCCTTAACACTGTTTTAAGAGATGGATTTGACTTCCAAAACGGTGTTATTCATTCTGATTGTGATGCCATTTACAACGTTTGGAACCCACACTTGTATGCCCAAGATTTAGGAGGTGCTGCTGCCGATGCTATCAAGGCTGGTGTTGATGTTAACTGTGGTGACACTTACCAAAACAACCTTGGTTACGCTTTAGGTAACAAGACCATTAATGAAAATCAAATTAGAACTTCTGTTACCCGTCAATACTCCAACTTGATTAGATTAGGTTACTTTGATTCTCCACAAACTAACAAGTACAGAAAGTATGACTGGAATGATGTTTCTACTCCACAAGCTAACCAATTAGCTTACCAAGCTGCTGTTGAAGGTATTGCTTTATTAAAGAACGATGGTACTTTACCATTCAACAAGCAAAAGGTTAGAAAGGTTGCTGTTATTGGTCCATGGGCTAATGCCACTACTCAAATGCTTGGTGATTATGCTGGTACTCCACCATACATGATCTCCCCATTACAAGGTGCTCAAAGTGAAGGTTTCCAAGTTGAATATGCTCTTGGTACTCAAATCAACACTACTGATACTTCTGGCTACACTGCTGCTCTTAATGCTGCTAAGGGCGCTGATGCTATTGTTTACTTTGGTGGTATTGATAACTCTGTTGAAAATGAAGCTCTTGACAGAGAATCTTTAGCTTGGCCAGGAAACCAATTAGACTTAGTTAGCAAGCTTTCTGGTTTGAAGAAGCCATTGGTTGTTTTACAATTCGGTGGTGGTCAAATTGATGACACTGAAATTAAGAACAACAAGAATGTTAACGCTATTGTTTACGCTGGTTACCCAGGTCAAAGTGGTGGTACTGCCATTTGGGATATCTTAAGTGGTAAGTATGCTCCAGCTGGTCGTTTGACTACTACTCAATACCCAGCTTCTTATGCTGATCAGGTTCCAATGACTGATATGACCTTAAGACCAAGACAAGGTTACCCAGGTAGAACCTTCATGTGGTACAATGGTGAACCAGTTTACGAATTCGGTTACGGTTTACACTACACTACTTTCTCTGCCTCCCTTGCCAACGCTCCAAGAGGTGGTCATCAATCTTTCAACATTGAACAAGTTGTTGCTGCTGCCAAGAGAAGCCAGTACGTTGACACCGGTCTTATTACTACTTTCGATGTTAACATCAAGAACACTGGTAAGACTACTTCTGATTACGCTGCATTGTTGTACTCCAAGACTACTGCTGGTCCAGGTCCTCATCCAAACAAGATTTTGGTTTCTTTTGACAAGTTACACCAAATCCATGCTGGTCAAACCCAAACTGCTAAGTTACCAGTTACTATTGGATCATTACTTCAAACTGATACTAACGGTAACAAGTGGTTATACCCAGGTACTTACACTTTCTTTGTTGACAATGACAAGAAGGCTCAATGGGAAATCACTCTTACTGGTCAAGCTGAACTTATCCAAAAGTACCCATCTCAAAAATAAGCTAGAGGCTTATTGTTTTTGAACTAGTGGTTGCTGAAATCAGTGTTGTTTTTTTTTAGTCAGATTGTGTCTACTTTTTTACCACTTGTTTTTCCGTTTGTTTTGTTTTCAAATATAAAATTGATTTTTATAATTACTTGTAGAATGACTTAATTGTAAGTACTTCAAGATTAAATTCCCTTTGAGTATAGGGCAAAGAGGGCTTGACCTATTCATATATCAGTTCAATGATATTCGCTTGTAATTACCGTACGACCGGCGTAATGCGGTATTTCCGCATTTTTTTGCCATGGGGTGCTGCTGCTCCGAAAATTGCTTTTCCGTGGGGGACCGAGATCGCGAACAATAATTTCACCCCCAGGATTTGTATACGACCACCATATTGCACACACTGTATGAAATACACCATGGTTATAAACAAGCAATACTCAAAGCATGCTTGTCATTACATTTTCATACCAAATTAGATAATTGTGTATTCTTCAATTTTGGGACTGAAAGATATATAGCTAGAAATATGAAACGCGTCACGTGATCCTAGGTTAAAAACTCAGCCAATGATACGAAAGTAATTTGTAAAACCCACACAAATTTTCCCGCATCCTAAATTTCCCGGGCCAAATTCCTGTGACCTTCTTCCATTTATATACTAAAAAAATTTGAACCTTCGAAAACATTCAAGGAGGAAAATTCTTTTTCAAAAAAGCCCATACCTTTTCTTCTTTACTTGCATTTATTAAAAAAGTCAGGCACATCACATCATGATCAGATCAATCATTCCAATCATTCGTCAACCACAACAATTACAATTCGGATTAAGGGCTTTAGCCACTGCTGCTGCTCAGCAATCCCCAAGATTAAAGAAGTTCCAAATTTATAGATGGAACCCAGACACTCCAGAAGTGCAACCAAAATTGCAAACTTATGAAGTTGACTTGAACAATTGTGGTCCTATGGTTTTGGATGCTCTTTTAAAGATTAAGAACGAACAAGATCCTACCTTAACCTTGAGAAGATCTTGTCGTGAAGGTATCTGTGGTTCTTGTGCCATGAACATTGGTGGTAGAAACACATTGGCCTGTTTATGTCGTATAGAACCAGACACCTCTAAGGACTTGAAGGTTTACCCATTGCCACACATGTTTGTTGTTAAGGATTTGGTTCCTGATTTGACCCACTTCTACAAGCAATACAAGTCCATCCAACCATACTTACAAAGAGACACTAATCCAGCCGATGGTAGAGAAAACTTACAAAGCATTGAAGACAGAGCTAAGTTGGATGGTTTGTATGAATGTATTTTATGTGCTTGTTGTTCTACTTCTTGTGCCTCTTACTGGTGGAACCAACAACAATACTTGGGTCCAGCCGTCTTGATGCAAGCATACAGATGGTTGATTGACTCTAGAGATGAATACACCAGTAACAGAAAGGTTATGTTACAAAACTCCATGTCTTTGTACAGATGTCACACCATTATGAACTGTACCAGAACATGTCCAAAGGGGTTGAATCCTGGTAAGGCTATTGCTGAAATTAAGAGACTTTTGGCTTTTGATTAAGCAACTGTGTTGTAAGAAGGCTGAATACGCAACAAAAAGGAGTATAACTTGCAGTGTTTGAAAGTTTAATTTGTTTACTACTTAAGGGACGTTCTTTATTTGGTAGATATTTCTATATGCATAGTTGGTAATATTTCTCTCATTGGTTTATATATTTATTTATTATTTCCGTTTATTTGAATAATGATGTAGTTTGTTTGCAATGTTTGTTTACAAGATCCAAGCAATGCCGTCTGGTGTTGGTCAGATGCTGCAATGGTAGCGCATACTTTTTTTTTTTTACTTACACCAGATTTAACAACCAAGAAGACCAGAGCATAATAGTCCCCCACATGATTGATAAGATCAAATTATCAATCTTTGAAAAGCTAAATACAAAGTATCTCAATAGTCTAGAAGAACCGTCTTATGATGATCACGAAGATGCATTCATTTACAATACGTTATTAAAGGATGCAAGTACTGATATAACTCCAGAGGAATGGTTGCATTTTTCCAAGGCTGATACAGAGGATGAACCTGCATTTGACGACATATCCGGATTAAAGAAACTAGCAATTCATATTCCAGATGGCACCAAGAAGAAACACACCAGGAAGAAGTTGAAGGATCCTGAGTGCGAATCTCATTCCATAATTGGATCATGCATGACTCTAGGATTTGACAATTACCAGCATCCAAAACTTGCCGATATCTACCTGTTAAAAGACTTGTTTAAATGTGTTGAGCACTTGGTGCAAGAAAAGAACCATTCACTTCAAGACTTTAAAATTCTCACATTGAGAAGACACTTGCATTTATTATTGAAAGTACCGATACGGAAACAATCAATTCAGTTTCATGTCATATATTGGAAGGGACTCATTATCTTTGCCTATGATTGGGAACCTGAAGCTCAATACAAGAAACAAAATCCACCTAACGGTATTGAACGTCTCCTCCAATATTCTGGAATGAATTTTGAGAATATTGTATGTGGAGACGATAGTGCAGATTACAAACTGAGGTATTATTCTGTGGTTAACCACACTGTGAATGGAGTACCGTTATTATACTGTGCTGAGATTGACTGTGCTATAAAGCTGGAACCAGGACTTTGTAATTATGTCGAGTTAAAGACCCATTCTAAACTGGCTGATGATAAGATTAAAACTGTGAATAAATTAAACAAGAAGTTACTCGAGGCGTATTGCCAAAACAAGTTAGTTGGTTGTCAACATCTTGTGATGGGATACCGAACATTGGACTTTAAATTAGCATCCATAAAGACATTTAAAATTGGTGAGGTTGCAAATATTGTCAATAATGACCCCATATTTCTTAAACATGGGTGTGCCATAAATACCAAGGGGATATTTAGGTGGTATCAGTTAGTGATCCAATGGCTAGTGTTTCAAGAGAAGAACCTTAAGAATCAAGATGAGGCAACTGTCTACCGGTTGTCATTCGACAGAGAGGACGAATTAATGGATTCGTACTTGAGCCTCACCAAAGTAGATAAAGAAGAATCTGCCATGATATTCAATCTGACAGTACCTGAGTGGTTCCAAACGTTTGTAATTCTGCAAAAATAAACAATATATTAATCTATGTACATGTAAATGGTAAACCTATTCTCTAATGGAAGCTTCAATAGCCATTTTTCTGGAATGAGCATCGAAATACTCCTTCATCTGGTTTATGCTTGTGTTACAAGGATCGATAGACATGACGTGTTTGTCTTTGAATGTGACTTTGATTTGTTGTTCATCTTGAGAATTTGGTGCCAAAACTTTACAGTCTATTTTGGCGGTAGTTGGGACTTGAGAAAGGAAAATTCTGGCATTTCTGGCACCTACTCCAAAGGCATCGAATTTGACCACCACATTGGCGAAATATTTTGTGATCATTGCTGTGCTTGCTGTGCTTGCTGTGCCAATTACTTCTAAGAATAGGTAAAAGGTTGATAGTCTCAAAATTTTTTCCAATTGTCTGCCGAGTAAAACTGAGCACTAACAAAAGTTTTTAGTTCCATACATTATTTTCTATAGCATGCCTAATTTTACACGTACCCTATATAATACACATTTACACCTAGTTGATTTCCCTCAATTCAGTAGATTGAGTATTTGGGGATAAACCTGAGGTTGTTGCTATTTCTGCACTTGGTGCAGTCTTCATGGCTGATTCCCTTCGCTTGTTCATCACTTCAATATACTTGTTCTTCTTTCTTGCTTGTAAATGACCCCAAGCAAAGTACGCTACGGGTATATAACTCAATAATGTAGCCTTGAGGGCAATTTCATGAATCAGGTTCTCTTGCACAAACCCTAAACTCAAGAAAGTAAGAATCATTTCTGCGACAAGTGCCATTGGGTAAATCACATAGAAGTTGTGATATTGGAGCCAAAACAAGAAGTGGGGCGAGCTCTTGGTCTTGATCCTGAATGCATGATAACTGTAATGGATAAAGTATTGAACACACCATGCGGATATCAATATGGAGTACGAAGTGTGTTTAGCGATTTTAGGGTGGGGGAATATTACACCGTAGCAGATCCATGCCATCTTCAAGTCATTCAGCAATGCCCAGAGATTGGACAAGGAGATCTTTTTGTTTAATAGTGGTTTAACTAGTAGGAACCCAATCAATGGTAGGAGTGCCACTACTTGGAAGAAATCCGCGATCCCTCCAGGTAGGAACCTCCTGCCTACCAATGGCAATAATAGTAAGAATCTCAATAGACAGCAGAACCATAATGTAGCAGCAGCTGAGTTGAAGAAGAAAACCACCTTTTGATTGGTTGGGAGTGGATAGAATCTGTCCATGTTGTATTAGACGATGTGTAAAGCAAGTGTATGATTTCACCCTCCTCGCGTGCTGGAAATTTGAATTTTAAATTTTTTTTTTTTGGTCAACCTTTTAATCACTGACGTAGCCATAAATAGACAGCCATGAAGATCTTTAACCTCCACTTGACATTCTTGTTTCTTGTCTCGCTTGTGGTTGCTTCCAACTGGAGCAAAGAGGACTATGAGATTTTCAGTTTGAACGATAAGATCCAACAGGATTTAGGCAAGGAAACTACGTTCTATTCCTGGTTGGACTTGGAGCGTGGTCCTAAGGCCACCCGTGATGAAATCAACAAAGCGTACAGAAAGCTTTCGAGAAAGTTACACCCGGATAAGTACTCCAAGAAGTCGAGAAAAGAAAAGAAAAATGCCGAAGACCGATTCCAAAGGTTGTCATTAGTAGGTAACATCCTCAGAGACAAATCTTTGAAACGTCGATACGACTATTTCTACGACAAGGGATTCCCCAAATGGAAGGGAACAGGGTACTACTATTCCAAATTCAGGCCAGGTGTGGTGTTCACTTTTGCTATTCTCTATATCATTGTGGGTACTTTCCAATACATTTCCCTTCGGATCAATAGAAAACAAGACTACAAGAGAATACTTGATTTGAAAAACGAGCTTATCAATCAAGCATGGGGTGGATCTCCATTCCCACCTGCAGGTATAACTGACAGGAAAATTGTCAATCAAGCTAATGAAAAGGAATTTGTGGTAACTCCTACCGGAAATGTATTCTTGGTTGACGCAGAAACCAAAGAATTAATTGAATTGGATGAAAATGATATAAACTTGAAACCTGGGTTCAAGGAATCGATGTTTTATAAAATACCCGTGTGTATTTACAATTTATCTGTTGGGAAATGGATTTCTAAACCAATAGACACTACGATAACCTATGTAAACCCAAAACGAGCTGAGACTCAAGAAGCAGAACGTGTAGAAAAGAAAAAGGCCCGCAAAAAGGCTCAACGAGGGGATAAGAAAATTGAATTGCCAAATGGTAAAGTTGTTTATAGTAGAAAAAAATAGATTACAGAATTAATTTAAATATACAAATTTAGTTAATTACAACATGTGAACCGGTGACGACTTAGTGACTGTGCTTAGGTACTCTTCTCAATTCGTTATCGTGCTCTTCTGTTTCTTCTTCGTCTGAACTCGAGTCGGATAAATTATCTAAAAAATCGTTTTCTTGATATGTGTCAGCATACTCGCTGCCTTCTTTATTGTCGGTGTTTGCATCTTTGGAACCTTCAATCTCAGGGATTCCCATGACATCATCTTCATCCTCAGGTGTCTCCTGAATGAATGCATCATGGTTTGTAGCATCTCCTAATATAATTGCCTTTTTAGGTTGATCCTCCATGTCCAAGTATCCCACCGTAGAAGAATCAAATCCATATTCTTGCGTCTCGTCGTCCTCTTCTTGCTCGGCTCCTAAGATCACATTATACACTTCTCTAGTTTTTAACAAAATATCATTAATGAACCAAGTCCATCCATCGGATTGGATAGCCTTGACAATAATGGGCGAAATTAAATCAGGCTTGTATAACGAAGTAAACTTGACCACTTCTTCACTGACTAATATGAGATGCCCCATGTATCCTGGTCTAGGCTTGTTGTCTTGTTTATATGCAGAAACTATGAGATCAGTCAAATCACACTTGTTTTCCTTGAAAAGCTCAACAATTAGGAAAGAATTATACGAATTGAGTTTCCCATTGAATATCTGTTGAATTAAGTCAAACACAACATTATGAAAGAAGTTATTCCAGGGATATTTGGTGAACATGGTGACGATTTCAAGCAAGATTCCCAGATCAATCAACTTAATTTTAAAATAATCACCAACACATGGATTCAGTCTTATTGTGGTATCTCTTTCGGTACATACAAATGGATTCTCAGGTGATATGGATGGTTCTTCATCCTCGGAATCATCGGCATTTTCCAATGATTCAATGAGTTTTTTATAATCACTATTTTTATCAAGTTGATCCAGTTCAAAATGGATGTCATCAAGCGAAACATCATCCAAGCTAGTCGTAACGTCATGCATGGCCATATCGTCGGTTTCAGGAAACGAAATTGGATCATCTAAGGCCTTTTTCAAGCGTTTGTGTTGTTGCAATCTTACTTGATCTCTTATGCTAATAATTTTCCGAATCTTTTTTGAATTAAGTAAAATCATATTGGAACAGTGTAATAATTCCGCTACTAATTCAGACACCTTGAATCTGGTAAATCCCAATATCTCCGTCTTAACATTTTGTGGGGGGATTGGTTCCATCTTGACCAATTCTTCAAACTTTTCTAAATTGTCGGAAAATATCGACAACATATCTCCTAAATATATTGGATCTCTTGGTCCTGGAGGGTTTTGTTCAAAATCTTTCAACCATTGAAACATAACATATGCATTAATTTCCCCTGGTCCGCCTTCTCCATTTTGAAGTAAGGAACTATAACTGCCACAATTGAGATCATAATCGGAATTGTTCTTTCGAATTAATTCTATGATGATACTAACACAATTGTTAATACCATGCTTGTTGGTTTGCATTTTACCGTTTTCATCTTTGACCTTAACCAACATAATCTCGGAAATCATGGTGTTGATGATCTTGGGTGACACCAATTCTCGAGTCAATTGATTTGGGCCTATATTTGTCTCCAACACAACTGCCAAAGCAGCATTGGACGAAATTGTCACCAATGCTTTCAAGAAATCGGTGGCTGCGGTTTGCTTGAAAAATAAATCATGATTGGGTATGTTATACTCTTGAGCAAACTGAGAAGGCTGTGGTTTTAGTATTTCTATCAATTTGATGATTATATCTTGCAGAGCGATTGTTTCCAATATACCAGTAGGAGAATCGGCCTTGTCGGTTTGGATAACTCGGAAAAAGAAATCCATCAACATGGGTATTTCGATTTTCCCGAGAAACGAATCAACCAAATCCTTCTGTCTTCTAACGAAGTTCAACAATTCTATACTATTGGTGTCCATCAATTGATCCAAAATACGAACCAAAAACGCCACCGTGGGGGAATTTTCTTGCAAATGGTCCATTTGTAAAATCAGCCATAATTTACTCATGATGGCCGGAGTTTCTATAATTCTATTCAGAATGATCCACAAGTCTATAGATAATACATCAGATGCCGTTTGAACACAACGGCGGAACTTTTCATCGGGAGTTTCATCCTCGTCCTCTTCCTCTTTCTTATCCTCGTCAAGTTCATCCACTTCATCCACATCTATCTTTGATCCGTTTTCAGATAATAGCTTCTTCAAGTTATCCTCTTCCTTGAGACTCTGTTCATGAAAGAAATCAACGCTTTTTATTAAATATTCAATCAATCCACTCAAAATATGAGGTTGGATCAAGAGCTCTATTAGTTTGGTACCCTTGCTTTCCTTGGTTCCTGTGGTTGTAGGTTCGTTGGTAGATGATGAGCCCAAAGATGCATTGTCCAAACCTGCATTTGCTTTATTAGTTGCATCCTGGGGCTCATTCGAGTTCAATTGCAGGAACTGGAAGTTTGATCCGGATTTGGAATTGTAGTTCCCCTTGACGTTGTTAAGCTCATTCAAGAGTTCCTGCAGAAGTATGGGATCCGCTAGGAAGTCGTCAACTTGCACTGCACTGAAGTCCTGGATGGAGTCTATAAATTTCTGTAGCACGTTGTTGCTACTCAATGCGTTTGTGAATGGCCAAAATGACATGTTGTAATCTCCACCCCTGGTTGGTTCTTGTTGTTTGCCCTTCTGGCCAGATTGATAAATGCAAAATACTAATAGAAGTACAATCTATCAGTAACACTGTGAGGTGTGTGTTGTTGTTGCGGTGATTGGTTGGATGTTGTAAAAAAAGGGACTACCAGAAAAGAAAGGGCTGAGACTGTGATAAGCAGCGCATATGAGAAAGTGGGTATTTCTATTTCTGCTGTGACTGCGTTGACTGGCAAATCTCAAGTGCAACTCAAAACACAAAAATAAAAAAAAAAATTAAATAAATAAATAATAATTTCCAACCACACATTATTTACGGTCTATTAATTATCTAGCCCAATGTACATGTAATTACTCTCTTAATCATCAGTAGGAAGTTCCTCGATGGTAGCAATTGCACGAAGGTACTCTTCTTTCAAGAATTCTCGTGTTTCATCCCCATTCTGTACTACTATATCATAGCAATTTTTAGCGCAATGTTCTATCCATTCTTTAATCGTCATACCTTCTTCTTCCTCTGGCATCTCACTAATGAACCTAGTCAAATCCCCATTGACATCGTCATGAAGTCCATAGTTTGAATTAGCAAGCTTCTTGACTTCTTCAGCACTGCTTTGTAAATAACTCATTTTTGCAAGCATCTCGGTGATAGGTTTAGCTTCCCATTTCATCTTATGCCCATTTGCTTGCAAGTTAAGAGCATTGCCATCGTTTAGAGGTTTTTGAACTTGTGTTTCTGACGCTTCTGAAAGTGGGTCATTGTCCTTAGTTGCCAGTATTGACCCTAGCATGGGTGATGAACACATTGCCAAAGGTGAAGTGATAGGCTCATTACTGCCCGGGAGTTTAGGGAGAATTAATTCTTTCCTTGAGGTCTTTCCTTCATTCGGCTGTCTCTCTTGGGTATGCAATTCTTTGGGGTTCTCTAATACACTATTTTCGTTATCATCAACCTCTACATTTGACTGTCTCTCTTGGATATCTTCTTCTGACTTCGGGTCTTGCGATACACTATTGTTCGGACGATCAATTTCTATAGTTGGCTGGTCAACCTCTGGCTTAGAGTCTTCCAATTCACTATTCTTCTCGTGATCAACTTCTGGTATATCTTCCTTGTCTGCAATAGTCTCCTTATTCGGCTCTATTTTTGCAAGGGTAGAGTGAGCCTGGGGAGATGACATTTCTTTCACAACTATACTGGTTTCTCTTGATACCTGCATTTCTTTATCAACTGGTATAATGCTCAGACTCTTTCTATTGCCAAAAGCATTAGATGGCTTAGGGGACGATGGACTGGTGTTTTCTTGTTCCGGCTCTTCCAGTTTCTCTGACTCATCACTACTTAGATCTTTATCCATCTTATCATTTTCCTCACGTTGAACAAAAGAAATCAGATTGATAGTCTTACCATCGGCATCATACAATTTGTCAATGTCTTCACTGATTTCCTGGATATCTCGAAGATAATTAGCATAGTCTTGCTCGTTGTCACTCTCGGAGTCATCAAGGTCTGGTTCAAATGCATCAATATACTTCTCCTTGATTGAGACTTCATCCAATTGTTCAGAATCTGATACATGATCCGAAGATTTTGGACTCTGTAAATTAATGCTATGGTCCAACTTCCCATTACTTGGTTTATGAAGTTCCAAAACTTCTTTCTTGGGCAGAGGTAAGGAATTCCGTACCTGTACTAACTGTTCTGATTCAATTTCCTTGTCTTTAGAATTATTCTCTATTTCTTCTTCTTTGGGGTGTTCTTCCTCCGGTTGTTCGTCTGGTTCCTGTTCTTCTTCGACTTCCAGTTCTATATCCTTTTCAACCTTGCTTTGTCTCACTTTCTTCTTCACTTGTTGTGTATTATCATAACTATTTTCATCTTTTCCTTCCATCAATATTACTGAATGGTTAGATGCTTCTTCTTGCTTCTTATTCTGTCTGGATTTTTTACCACCCTCGTTGCCATTGAGTATGGATTTGCCTGAATTCGATATTTTTTCATCCACTATTTCTGCTGATTCGTTTCTAGGTTCCTCTTTCTTCTTATTATTCCTCTGAGACCTTTTCGGCTTTTCTTTTTCATTAGATTTGGATTTTCCAGCTGACATATCGTCATTCACTATTTTCTGGGCTTTTGATTGCTGCCTGGTCCTTCGCTTTTCTATCACGGGTTCTGGTTTATGTTCAATGGTCTCCTGCAAAGCTTTTTGGTCCTTATCTTCAAGATTGTCAAGAATCATTTCGTCTTTCTCTTCTGGTGTCTCTATCCTACCTAATGTCAATCTTTTAGGGGGGGCTTCAAATGAAACATCAAATATACTAGGTTGAGATTTAACAATACTAGTCCGTTTAGTAGTTCTCTTTTGACCAGCAAACTTAATAGGTGATATTTTAGGAATGGGTATGTCTTTCTCTCTAGGTACTTTGTCAGAAGGTGATCTTTCAGGCTCAATCTGGGAAGTTATTATAATCTTTTCCAATTGTTCAACATTGCCTTCCCCATAATCAATATTATCGAAACTTGTATCGATGTCATTTCGAGTCACGCTCTGTAATTTCTTCAAGTTTAACTTCTGTTGTTTCTTTGGAATTTTAGGCTCGGGTTCTACAGGTTCAGGTAAACGCTTTCTCCTGGTTCGTGAACCCAGAAGATCATCTTCCTTTCGAGGTGATATTCCCATGATCTTTTTCTTGTGCAACTTCTTTTCAGGAGTGGATTCCTCGATTTCAATGACTTCAGAATCGTCAGATTCTACATAATCGTCATCTGATTGAGTTTCAATAATAGATGATTCGACACTTTCATCCTCGTCTTCACTTGCACTTTGACTAGATTCATCCTGAGATTCTTCTGATTGAGATTCTTCTTCTTCTTCACTAGCCAGGTCTACTGGTTGTGCCTCTTGACTTTCTTCAGAATCAAATTCAAGCTCAACGGGCGAATAATTGACTGAATTTTCCAGATCCACACTGATGCCACTTTCCTGTGTACTTTTGATGCTAACGGAACCATTTTCTTGTGATTCTTTTTTGGTAATATTGGTACTTATGGGCACTTCTTCTTGAGAATCGTTATCAGTGTTCAATGTGCTTGTGGGATCTTCTTGAAAATCTTTGTTCGTATTGTATGAACTTATAGGATCTTCTTCCGAAATATCTTCTATACTTTGAGGAGTAACTTCCCTTGCTTTCTTCTTCTTTGGTGTAAGTTCCTTATCTTGAGATAAAATAGCAGCCATGATGAAATCATTCGCTATATCGTCACTAGAAAGATCATCGACATTAAGATCTCGTTCTTTAAATCTTCTCTTGACTGCTTTCAGCTTATAGGTGGCTTGACTTTGCAAAATTGTTGAACTGTTGTTTAGATCTGTATATGGAGATTTTGTTTCTTTTCCGAAGGTATAATTGTCAACTTCAATCGGTGGTGTTTTTTGTGGTTCTTCCTCGTCTTCTATAACAATTGGTGAACTTTGTTTAATCAGTTCCACTAATTCCTCCTTTTCTATATATCCTGGTGATATTTGTTTAATAGACGGCTCTACTGATTCTTCTTTCAGTTCTATTTGTGAATTATCCTCAACAACAGGGGCTTTCTTCCGTCGCCTCCTCTTCTTATTTTGTTCGGTATGCGTATCTAAAAAGTAGCAGTATGACGTTTCATTCTTCTTATGTTCTTCAACAGGATCATCCCCGCTCTCCCAATAATCCAATGCACATCCACAATATATACAGACAACTCGATCATCACCGACATGATTTGGAGAATATATGAACCCAGCCTCAGAAAGCGATCTGCTATTAGGTCGCTGATCCCCGATATCCAAGGGGTAAGTTTGGGTGAAGAACCCTTTTCTGAAATCAATAGCCTCTTCACTCAATGGATCATTCAATATCGTATGTTTTTGTCGTTTCCAATACGATTTATTCAGTCGTTTGGTCTTGTATCGTAAACTGTCAACCATTGCTACCCGCGCAAGCGACCATAAACAGCCTCCTTTTGAGGCATGCACTTGGCATACATCTAGCGGATCTGCAATCTCATCTAGTATTTCTTCACCATTACAGTAAGCACATACCACTCGTGATTTGTCCATTAATGTAGGAGCATAATAGAATCCGGAATTGACTAGTTCGTCAGTCCATGCCTCGTTTTGTTCTTGTTTCCAATCTACAGCTCCCCATGATTGTTCTATTGGCTCTTCAAAGGTCTGCTGTCGATTCTCCCTGTATATCATATTATCATCTTGTGCCATTCTGGGTGTGCATGCATACTTGTGATGTTGTATTTGTTGTTGTTGCTTACTGAAAGTGTGGGTTTTTTTTTGTTGTTGTTGTACGCGTCTAAAAAATTGAATAATCTTGATTTACAATTTTTTATACAAAGAGGAAATATCTAAAAAGTGTGGCCAACTAACAATTGAATGGTCTTCAACGCTTCATACTTCAATTCGTTGTTTCCATAATTGTTTTCCAAATATGACATAATCAAAAGTTTGTACTGTCCACCTTTCTCGGTGTTGATGAAACTTATTAATTCTTGTCCTAAATTCTTAATCAAAAATTGTAAATCGTTCAATAAAATCACATTTATGGTGGAATTGTCGCTGGTGTTTGTAATCAAAATCTCAAAGATTCTCTTGATCAACTTATAGTTTGAATCTTTAAACTTACCAGAATTCTCTAACCAAAATTCAACCGATTTATGGGTTGGCGAGGCCCAACTGATAAGCTTTGGGTTTTCTAACCCAGTCATGTATTCATCAAAAGATGTCAATTTGGAAGTAACAACTTCTTGTAAATTGTCCGACAAATAAGCTAAATCGTTGGACAACTCTTCATCACTTCCATTAGAAGCAAACTTTCTTTCTTGCAAAGTTCTAATTGTGTTCAAGGCATCATGGAATAACAACAATTTAATCACCTTAAATTGCTCATGGCTATTGGTACAAACAGCAACAAAGTTCTTTAAAATACCCACGGAAATTCTCACAATTTTCAACTTGATGGAATCCTTGGCAATAGTAAAGAGACAACCAGCCAATTGCGGGAAGCTTGTAAGTAAAACTCGGTTAATTGGAGCGCTAAATGACAATATCCAAGTGGCTAACAAAATGTTGTATGAAAGTTGTAATCCAGTGGCATTTGGATGGGTGGCCAGTCTGGTGATTAATTGGTTGATTGGTTTGAAGTTGGAAACAAGGTTATTGTTTTGGTAGATTGTTTTAAACTGCTTGACAATTAATAATTCTTGCAATAATTGAATACCAATGAATTGGTAATTGGAATCAATACCACCAATAAAGTTAGGGGAAGACAAGATATCAAATATCTTGATGATAATCTCATCATCAATCTTGGCACTAATTGAACTATCTTTGGATGCCTTGGTTAACAAGATGGTAAGGTTGTATAAACCTAAAGTCTTGATAAAATTATCAGAGTTAGCCAAATGCTTGATAAATGGGTAATATGGCAATGAGTTATCAATTGAAGAGAACTTCAAAAGAGTGTCAACAAATTCTGGTATCTCCAACAACAAATCATTGGTCAATGCCAAAACATGTTTGACAATATCCTCCTTTTCATTAACATTCAATCTGTTCAATATGTTTAAAATCGAATTGCTGTATAAATCCAATTGGGCCAAAACAGTCTTATTTCTATTCTCTTGTACTTGTTTTCCCAAGGTCTTCATATGGCCAGCATCATCGTCTGAAATAACACCTGACCGAGCTAATCCTTCCCAAGGAATAATCCGTTCCTTGACGATTTTCTTGGAATCAGCAAAAAAGGTACTGTCAATAACTAAAGGTGTCTAAAAAGAGTTAGTATTGAATCTCATAATCACTGATTAATCAAGGGTAAACATACAAATTCACTAGTCATGATGCAATTGATTGTACCAGTTAATCTATTAGGCAGAGTGTTTCATCTGATAAACTCATTAGTTTTCCAAGACACCCTTGTGGGAAAAATTAAATCTGAATTTGTTGTGTAGCGCACGACCAGCCCCATGCTATACTTAGTTGCAAATATTACTCTCATACAAACATGCTTGTTTTGGATTGGTTGCTTCAAAATGATAGTCAATTGGATGTATTTCACATTTAACGTTTTCTGGTGACACTCTGTACTCATAAGATGAATTCTAATACTTAGTAACAGAGAACTATTATTTATACATGTTTCAGGTCAAACAAGAATATTTAGAATTTCTATTTTCCTAAGATACAATTGAATTATTCAAAACAATAGATTATCTCATATATATATATGATGTCTCAATTAAAGTCCCTTCTGGAATAGAAGCTATTATCAGCATCTTTTAACAAGTAAAAAGAAACCCATCATTTCCACTTTTGGTAGCATCCGCTTTTTCTAGATTCTCTGTCAATCAAACCCACAAAAGAAATTCAAAACTTTAAATTCATGCTTTAGATGCGCTGCAAGAACTAAAAAAAATTGACAAGTTGGGTAATTCGGAATATTACTGCAAACCTCATCTCGCTTTTTATTAGAAATGTTTATATGCCAATTAAAACAACAAAAAAACATGCCGGTCCCAGGAATCGAACCTGGGTTTAGTCGGCCACAACGACTTGTACTAACCACTATACTAGACCGGCGAATTTTCGAAATTTTGTTCTTAAATTAAAAAGTCTTTGTGTTGTGATCACGTGATTTGAAAACCTTAGAAACTGTGATAAAATTGGAAAATATTCTGCAATAAATGATTTAAACGGTGAAGGTGTGTGTTTACTTGATGAAGAAGATATCTCATTTATAAGAAAGGTATAAAATTCACAGATCTACTATCAATTTTAACTAACTAAGTTTTGACAACTTTCCACAAAAAAGCTGCAAAATTTTAACCACAATGCTTGCCATTTCCGAACAAATCAAAAATTTAGGGGAAATGCCAACCGTCCAGGCACATTGTTGTTCGCTAATCTAATTTGAGATCATTTATGATTCTTTTTGTTTAAAAATAATAGAGGAAATGTGCTGCAGAATACTGTTTCTAAACCTTAACCTTGACATAGCCCCATGATGGAAAACGTGAGCCTTTTTTTTTGTTTTGTGGTCTACAAACATTAATCCGAGTTAAAAATAGCAACATCAAAGTTTTATTAAATTAGATTATAATTGATTGCTAAATTGTGCGAGTGTAACGACGCGCGCGGTGTCAAATTAGACAAGAATCTTACGATTAACCTGTGGTTCAAAACTATTTCCAGGTATACGGTACGGGCATCACACTAGACAATTATTAACGGATTTAGAGTTCCACTATAAAGTTTGTCCTTTGTAATGGTATTACACTATAGCGGATATCCAACCCGAGTCTATATACAAAAGATGGCTTGTATTTATTGATCTCTTGTTTCCAGAAATAGAATGGAAACAATAAGTTGTGAGCGATGTCTTTTGTTTATGTTTAAGGAATTGAGATCCCGAGAGCCGTTAAAAAATTTTTTTTCCTATTCAAGCGAGAAAGTAAATCCACGTCATTTCACAGTGTAAAATTGTGGAATAGGAAAGCTTGTTCCGCAAGGAGGGGGGACATTGTTGGGGGATAATCCTGGAACCTCTCACATCCCTATACCTTCTTTTGCATAACTACAAGCATCATTTTCTATCTCTTAAAAGAAAGATTTAACGGCGCTGCAAACAAATTTGTACTAGTTGATGAAAAGCAACTTACATTCTCTAATTTCCAGCTACAAACTAGTTAGTTAAAATAATTCAAGTATCATTCATTCTTGACTCATACCACCAATGACAGGTGATTGCAAAGGAAGGGTGAACACAGCATATGAAAACACCTCTCTTTTTTGAATATTTTGAGTTATATACAGGATGCACTTCCGTTGCCCAGATCCTTATATTGCCCCCCCCATACAGGAACATCTTCCCGAAAAACTAAAATTACCCTTCCAAATTAGTCATTGCCTGAGATGCGTTTCATAATATACAGGTCCGCCTTCCGCTAATTAACACAAATTAAACAAAGAAAACTAAAAAATAAAAAAGAAATTCGTTTCACACAGAATCAGATCCTGGCGTACATCACCAGGCGCGGTTAAGTTTGAAAATTTCTAGGAATTACCCAATTAGGATTCAAAACTCAATTTCTAGTACATTAAACCCGTCATCAAAGAATGCTTTCAAGTCTTGTGAATTGTCTTGCATTAGTTAGTACTCTGCATCAGATTCTATCTTGCAACATGTAAGTCAGGGTAGATCTTGGATAGGCTTTAAATAGACTTTGGAACGGGCCTTGCGAAGACGTTAGTAGCCTTATTAGAAGGAATATCCTCGAAGTAATCACTTCTATAGGAATCTATTGATACTGTGTAATGGAAATCGCGTCCTCACTCTGACATTTCGTGTCGTAGAGCTTCCATAATAGCTTCTAAAGATGCTACAAGTTTATAATATTATTCAAAATGTGGGGAGGGTTCGGTCTAAATTGGCCGAGTTTTATAATTTCATTAAAATCAATCGTACATAAAAATAGAAAAATAAAGACAATTAATGCTTTTCTTGTTATAAAAAACAAATTTAAAAAAAACCAGAAGCGAACTAAAAAAGTGTTTCAATATTAGGACAGAGTTTAATCAGAAGTTTCTCTAAGATATTCCTTGGCCATATCAGCATCTGGAATGGAACCACAAATGGTTTCAACCATAATACCGGTAACCAAGTATGGGTCAATGTTAGAAGCTGGTCTTCTATCTTCAAAATAACCATATCCTTCCTTAGCAACTTGTCTTGGGATTCTAACAGAAGCACCACGGTTAGCAACACCAGAACTAAATGATTCAATAGAAGCAGTTTCATGACGACCAGTTAATCTTTGTTCGTTATCAGCACCATACAACATCATGTGTTCCTTGTGTCTCTTGGCTAATTTACTTAATGCAGTTTCAATATCCTTCATACCACCTGGGAGTCTCATGTTCTTGGTGGAAACATTAGTATGACAACCAGCACCATTCCAATCACCCTTCAATGGCTTTGGATGTAATGAAATCTTGACACCAAATTCTTCAGCAACTCTTTGTAATAAATAACGAGCAACCCATAATTGATCACCCATCTCTATACCTTCACAAGGACCAACTTGGAATTCCCATTGGGAAGGCATAACTTCAGCATTAATACCAGAAATGTTAATACCGGCATAAAGACAAGCACGGTAATGAGCTTCAATAACATCTCTAGCAACAACTTTACCAGTACCAACACCACAGTAGAATGGACCTTGAGGAGCTGGGAAACCACCCTTTGGCCAACCATATGGGTAATCATATTGGTCAAAAAGAGTGTATTCTTGTTCCAAACCAAACCAAACTTCTTCTGAAGCATGAGCCTTCATCAACTTGGCACATTCGTGTCTGTGATTAAACTTGTTTGGAGTACCGTCATTGTTCCAACATTCGTTTAAAACAATAACATTGTCACCCTTTCTGAATGGATCTGGGTAAAATGCAACTGGTCTCAAGTAGACATCAGAATCGTAACCTGGAGCTTGACCGGTGGAAGAACCATCATAGTTCCATTCTGGTAAGTCGTCAACTGAGGTAGGAGCCTTAGCAAGAGTACGACACTTGGATCTGGTGTTACCTTCAGCATCAATCCAGACGTACTCAGCCAAGACCTTACCCTTTTGAGGTAAATCCAAGTATTTGGAAAGAATAGCAGTGTTTTCAGTAATACTTATAGACATTGTGTTAATGTATGTGTGTATATGTTATAATAAATAGGTCAATGATATTAATCACCGATTAATATGAGCCAAATAAAGATTGATTTGAAAGTAGTTGTTGCTTAAATAGCAATGGAAGTAATATGTATAACTTAGGGAAAGAAAGAGGTGAAGGAAATAAACGAATCGTGAAGATTTTGGTATACTTATATATCTTTAAAATTTGCGGCAGGAAAAAACGATGCAACTATTTTTTTAATTTTGGAATGCAGGAAATATCCTGATAAGACAAATGTCCCGATTAGAAAGGTGAATTCAGGTTGTAATCATAAAAAATATTTTATCTGAACCAATAAAAAAATTACCCTAATTTCTTTTTTCTTGCTGCCTGAATCCAGAAAAGAAGGGGTTATGACATAGCATATCCGGGATTACGAATCCGCTAAAGGGCGACTTGACCTTATATCCTTTTGAACCTGTCAATGTATTAGCGGAACTTCACTCTTGATCTTCCGCATCCAGACTGCATTGTCTTACATTACAAAAGTTTCACATAAGCGAACTAGCTAGAGCGAATAATAAAACAAAAATATCTGGATAACGGCGATGGGAGGAATCTGCGCCTGATCTAGCCCAACTGTAGTACGAGTAATTCAAAAAAAAAAAAAAAGAAATGTTAGGGGACTACTTGTAATGACTCCAAATCTTTATAAACTAGTAAACAACAGGCAATTTCGGATGCTGGTGTTATTACTTAAAGTTCATGATGCTATGCAATTGGTAATGGGGTGAACGTCTAGATCCTCCACCCCACGGTATTACTCATGTGATAGTAGTCTAGTTTTGTACCATTTTTAAAAAAAATTTTCAGCCTATATGCAGTATACCGGCTCTAGGGAGAAAACTTTCTTGCTGTTTTTACCATTTTCAGATCCAATAACGCGTACTGTAATGATGTAATGTACCATGCGTTAAGGCTATTGTAATTTACTGCAATATTCCTCGGCAAGGGAATAGGTATATGGTTTACAGCTTAGCAAGACGTAATCAATGGTACAGTGAAAAAATCTAGTTCCAGTTTCATGTATTTGTGGGACAAAACAATAGAAAAAGTAAACAATGGTAGCTCCGCTAGCCCTTAAAATAAGGATTAAGCTACAGAATCTTCGACCCACCATATATGCAAATCAACCCATCAAAATCACATAGACTTTAATTATTCGGAATGGCTTATTGAAGTCCCGGCGTCTTTAAAATTGCCACATTTTGTCGTCCAGTAGACGAAGTAAATTAAACTGGTAATGAGCCGGTTGAGTGGATCCCAATTTATAGGACACTGGTATTGCGAGGTTGTGATTTGATAATTAGCTAGCGGAGACCCTATTCAGGCACCCACCTCTCTAATCACCGACCACAGCTTGTTACCTTATCGTATGCATAGGTAATTGGAGGGGGGGGGGGTGGAGAACGATCAACACATTTTTTTTTCCTTATCAGAAAAAAATTGTTCACTTGCAGCAGAATGTCTTAGTTCTTATCAACATACACACACAATACATTTGAAAAGCAAATAAGACAATATGCATTGATTACGCCTGCTCGAAATGCTATTCGCTGATTCGTCGACTAATATTTCATGCTTAATTATCTAGCAGAATAATATTAATGACTAGGGGGAGGGGGGAGGTTCGTAAGTAGTTCCATGATAGCCTCATTCTCATCTTTTTGCAGTACCCCTCGAGGGGTAGCTCTAGCTACCCCAACGAATTTTTCAGGGGATGTTATCAGACACCAATCAAAAACCTCTCAAAAGAAACGGATTTTTTTCCAGCTTTTTTTTTTGGTATGAATTGCACTACCTCACTTATCTAGGACATCAAAGCGGCTACAACGATGGTTCAATCGTATTAATTAGATTACAAAGTCTGAAGAAGTTACTAAGTTAAAGGCTATCATCGGACTTGTTTGTCCCAGAGTTTCTTTTGATATGTTTAACGAGATAAGTACGAAAGAAATTCCTTCGATTACGATTTATTAGTGATTGCGAAAAATTAGATAACGTCCCCACGAAATGTATTGTTCTTTATCTCCAAAAATAATAAACAAGCCAAAACCTCTTAAATCTGGAGAAACAAAGTACGAACGGACGACGGGCGATTAGTATCGAACCACGACCATGCTTGGCAGGGTATGTAATAACTCCGCATTTAAACCGGAAACTTTAGTTCATTTACCATTTTCCAGTATTCGACCTTCTAGTTTGCAGAACAAAATGGCGTGAGTGCCTGGTTTTGTATTCAGTCTTTTTCTTTCAAGTGGTTAGTACTAGCTGGAGCTTAATTAGCCACCTCCAATAGCTGTTTCTTTCTAAAAATAGCAAAGCTACAGGCGTCAGGAAAATGAAACATTGCGCTTTAAAACCGGCCAAGGAATCATATTGAATCCTGCACAATTGAGCCTCATTTGAAATTATATATTGTCTATGAATACATATCTATATAGTTTATTAAGGCACTATCTCGCCTGTAAAGTACACTCGTATATATAAAAATTTCTTTGAGCCACAATATCTGGGCATTATTTTATATTATCAATTAATAAAAAACTAAATCTTGTTTAGTTAGATAACCATTATGGTATTATTTAGTTCTTCTGCCAAGGAAGTAGATCGGTTGCTAGTTTGAGGAGCTCAACTTTCACTTAACAGCTCTATGAATGTTTCATTCAATTTGGGTTCTGACAAAGTATTTGTTTCATTGTCATCCGCTGAAGAAGAAACAGAAAGTTCTGAAGTTTCTGGTCCTGATTCCAATGTTGATTCCGAAACTTTAATTTCAGAGCTAACTAGGAGCCCTGAGGTAGTTGTCTCTGATAATTCCGACAGTTCAATTTCAGAGCTAATTGGTGATTCCGAAACTTCTGAAATAGAACCAGTATATGAGGATTCAATTAAGGACGAATCATCTGAAGGTGTATTTTCAATTATCACTTCAGATGATTCTTCAGCAGAACTAGTTTCTGAACCAATAGTGGATTCTAATACTTCAGAAGCGGTGCTTGATTCTAGTAGAGAAATAGAGCTCTCAACAATATCTTCTATTGATTCAAGCGAAGTTTCTATGGTGGTGATTTCTCGACTTTCAATTTCAGACAGCAGAAATTCAGGTGAATCTGGAGATTCACTTTCTTCAACAAATAACGACTCTTCAATTGCAGTATGTAATGGTTCAGTTTGTTGAGGGGTGCTTTGAACGGTTACTTGCTCACTTGATTGTTCCCTAGAAGATTTCTCTTGGGAGTACTCAAGTTGCTTAGTTTCTGAATTGTCAGTTTCTTCAGTCAATTCGCTAGAAATACGAGCTTCGGCCCTCTTCTTCTCGCCAACTATTTCTTCCCAGAGTTCATCCTCTAATTGCTGTACTTTAATCCTTTCTTTTTCAGCCTTTGCCTTTCTGGCAATTTCTTTTTCTTGCTTCTCCTTCTCCATTCTTTCTTCTATTTTTTTTAAAGTTTCCTTTCTAGCTTGCTCTTTCTTTTCCTGCTCTTCTTGTTCACGGGCTTCTTCCTTTTTCAAGTCATACACTAACCCTTCTCTCATTTGAAAGGCAATATTAGCCTTGGCTCTCATCAATTGCAAATAATCGGCATTGTCACGCAACAAGAAATTCAAATGGAATTCAACATTTCTTAAATATTCATTCCACACCTTCATTCCAATCACTTTATCATCTTTACTATTGGTGTTTTTGTATTCATTTGCCGAATCAAGAATAAAATCCCTGAATTCAAACAAAGACTCCTTGACGACATGAAACCTCTTCCAAATAGCCCAACTTATTTGATCATCATCAAGTTCCAAATCATGGATCATTTTCCCTAACCGTTTCAGGAATTGCGCCATAGTTGTTTCGCTGAATGTTTCCAATACGTCAATAGTTTGTTGAGTGATTCTAAAATACTCTTCAAGGATGTATTGATGACTGTCAATAAGGATCTTTTGAACAGATTCACTGGTGTCCTCGGCTAATTTGTAGCTTGCAGCAATATCATCACGGATTTCTTGACGAGTGATGGTTTCAATGGTGGTATCATTCGTCTCCTTAATCTTTTCATAGTCTCTGTTAATCTCACTAATCTTCTTATTCAATGTTTGATATTGTAAATGATGTCCCCTTTGTAAATCTTGGAGTTGTTGTGAAATATTTGGCTTAATTTTTTCAATGAGAGCATCAATAAGCGGCTTCATCTCAACTTCAAGGTTATTCATGGCTAATTCCACAGTCTTGTTGACTTTGTTTTCCCAATACAATATTTCCAGTTGAAGTTGGGCAATAACCGGATCTTCAGTAGCCACCGAGTTGCTTTGAGTCACCCGGACAGTCGATGTGAGATAAACAGTTTCAACATCGGACTCATCCGATTCTTCATTGGCATTAGTACCACCTATATTACTCAAGATATCCTTAACCACTTGAAGGGCATTTCTTGTCTTGGGAATTCTAGGGTAAAACTCTTCGAACTTGAACAAATTGTTGAACTCATTCTTCAAAAAGGAGGATTTCTCTTGAAGTTTTGCGGCATGTTTTGAATTTACCACTTGGTTAAATAATCTATAATACCAATCAATTGCCCATTGAACCACTTCTAATGAGGTGAAGGAACGAACTAATGGTGTGAAATAAGGAAGTACAGATGTTTGAAGAGTTTCCAAAAGTTGATCCCAGGTGAAAACAACAAAATTCTTGACGATATTGTAATACAAATCAAACTTCTGTTTAGAAATCTCAGACAGTTTTTCCACATAAGGGATGATGTACTTTTCTAAAAATTGCTTAATCAAAACAGCTGCCTTTTCAGCAACTGGACCAATCAGTCCGCTAATGTTAAATTTGGCATCAACAGTTTCCACAAATTTAACCACAGTCGTAACTTTGCTCACAACACCAAACTGTTCATTCACTGAGCTAAACACAGGAACAACCTTGCTTTGATACAAGGGTATCACTTGCTCTTGATATATTGGCTTAAGGTATCCATTACTTACGGTACAAAAATGATAGCTAACAGGTGGGAGATCTCCGTTGACGGACAATGAAGAAGGGGCATTCAACGGACATACAAAAGTCCAAGCGTAAAACACATATATGCTTAGAACCGTAGCTACCCACGTGAATTTGTAATTCATTTTGTTAGCGGTAAAAATTTGAACCCTTGGTTGATGTTTTGAAAATTCAATGATGGTTTTAAGTGCTGTAATTTTTGGAATGGATGTTTTTTTCCTGTATACTAAATTACAACCGCCATATATACTAAGGTTACACGTTGTAACTTAGCGGTGTTGATACCCCAACAAGATCATCGAATAGCAGTCTCCAATTCAACATAGAAGAAACAATACTATCCGATAAGTAAAGTGTAGATTCATTCTCACCGTCTTCTACTGAGCCGTGCATGACGGATACCCACAACCTGAAACTGAAGATCCAACTGGTAGCAGGAATCCTAAATAAGATTTACGAGCGAAGGATCAAGCGTTCCAAAGCAACACTAGTTAATCAAAGAGAATAATTTCTGTCTATATAAATATATAGAACTCTACTTATTGGAACTATTAAAAAAAATCTACTTTATCTCTCGCCAAAAAGTATCACTTCTTAAGAGAAAATTAGGAAATTATTGAGTATGAACGGTACTTAAACAATTCAGGTAAGATTATCATGGTTGGTGTTAACATAGTGAAGAACCCCGGCCACATTTGATGTTTACACTTGAGAATTTGTGACTTCATCACTGATTTGCGGCTACATCATTCCCAAATTGACCCATCGCAACGCAGTATATAAAAAGAAGAATCTCGTAACAGAATGACTCCGAGTAATCAATAGATTTATGCAAACTTTCTGCCTCCTTTCCAATATTTAACTCACGCAACAACAGATTACCAAATCCAATCCTAAAAATAGAGATTCAGTTCTCCAGAAGCAGCAGCTCGATGTGTTACAATGATCTGTTCATTATATCTATCCGTTTTCGTATAATATCAATATCACTCCTAAAGGACGAAAATTGACTATTTTGTAGGTTTAAGAAATCACAATCTATGCCAAATCCATTAGCAGACTAGAACACGTCATCTTTCTAACTTCCTGTATGGCGCTTTAAAAGTAGACGCGTATAGATTTAGTAATACTAGTTTGAAACAATCCCAGAGATGATTTAGGGAAATCCAAGTCAATAGTGAAGATCGAACTGACCTTTCGTTTAGTCCCCATTTCAATGATATGATGAATTCTCATCTGCTGACAATCTAAAACAATCAAATATAGACGTGCCTGTTAGCCGCTGCTGACAATTCGTCAATGTACTATTGATTAAAACTTTCCTCATTTTTTTTTTCACTATGGTTGCGGGGGAAAATACCGAGGCGGTATTGCCTGTGCGAAATGTACTTTAAACAAGCTGTACCTCTCGCTTGACAGTGCTTTCATTGTTTAGGCATGTCAAACTGTAAACAAAGCTGGAGTCTTTACATACAAAAAAAATATGTCAAAATTTCATGGTATATTCATTGCTACTAACTAAAAAAAAAAATCAGGGTATACTATAAACACAGGTTTGTCATCTGAAAAATCTACATACCACTTCTCATTCTTTGCACCTGAACCATTTACAGTAAAATTTCAGTAACATTGAGGGTATATAGATATATCATACAAAATATAAAAATCATCAAAACATACTTCAGATTTCTATGCTTCCTTCAACAAATTAATCCTTCTTTAACAAACCAGCAGCTTGTTGATAAACCTTAGAGAGATGATCATAAGCGTGAATTTCAGCAATTTCAGTAGCTTGGAAAAGTTGTTGAGCTAATGGACAAACAACAGAACTGATTTTACCCCTGGCGGAAACTATCTTTTCCTTAATCTTGTATTCGATGAACAATGGATGGGAATGAACGTGTTCATCCAAGACTTCATGAACTTTGGCATGGTATGGTTGGATAAAGTCGGCACCGGAATGTAATAATTCACATAAAGCAACTTGTTCACTGTGTAATGGATTGGATTCAATGATGCTTGGATCCACGGAAGCAAAGGTTGGACACTTGTAATTGTACAAGTAGACGGAATAGTACAAGATGATACAGGCTAAGAAGCACTTGATTTTGGCAAAGGCACCCATGGTTGTTCAATTGAATAGTAAGTGAAAAAAAGAAACAGAAAAACTTTTCCAAGTTATTGCTTCATATATTTGCCGTTCTTTTCACATTCTTTTTTTCCTATTTTGCTTATTGAATTTCGTTGAGAAATTTTGTGAGCCCAGATGGGGGGACGCACGTGATAATGATCAATTGGTAAAAAAAAAAATTAATTTTTGTTGGAATGTTATTATATTTCCTAATTTGGAAATGGGTGTGCTACCACCCTAAAGATTGCAAAAAATTTTTTATGATTCTAATTAGCAAAGTTTACCTATTTCCTTATTAGAGCGAATCCGATGGAACATCGGGAATAATATTCTGATCCAATTTACACATTTCAGAGATGAAATCTGTAGATTTTCTTTCTTCGTGAGTTGTGTGCCTTGTTTTATACTTAACCAGAATATCCGTTAGACCCTTCCATCCCAACAGTTTCCCTATAGCAGCTAACAGAAAATGTCAGTGGTTCAACAAGGACAAGTGACTCCATCAACCCCATCCAAACGTAAATCGTTTTCTATTCTTACACCTATATCCCCAAACAGAATGCTACAACACCAAAGATCGTTATTAAAGTCGCCCGAGAAACGAGAAAGGAAAATAAGTGAATCCACTGGATTGGCAAAGTTTTCTTTAGCCAACTCCCCAGCCAAAAAGGACTTCTTCAATAAGTCAGAGAGTAATACCAATACAACCCCAAGGAGTGGCCTTCCTGTATATGTTCCTATACGCTCTCCCCCATCTGAATTAAACACACCTCCAAGAACAATGGATGATTTACAAACAGAACTGAGAAGATTATTAGAACAATACACCACGAAACAAGCACAATTGCATGAATACGAAAGATTAGTTGAAGTTAAGAAGATGCAATTATTAGAATTGACTCAGAAAATTGAAGCGATTAAACGTGAAGAAGTTATCCTTTCCAAGCACGGTAATGGGGATATTTACAAGCAAGCCCACCTTGAGACTGAACGTGAATTAAACAAATTGAATATCGTGTCTACTGCTGAAAATAATGATAAGGAAAATAATAGACCTAGTTTGACTAAACAAGTGAGTCAAGTGTTTGAAGTCAAAACATCGACGATCAAGAAACAAGCCTCATTCATAATGAACCAAGCCTTTGATGATTTGAACCACAATGTAAAGAAAAGCACAAGCACGATTTTCTCACCCCAGAGAAATGAAGATTTCAAACAGTTGATTCAACAATCAAATGTCAAGTTTGATGATTTGGCCAAACAAACTTCCAAATTTTTCAATGACGTGACTTCCAATTTCAACGATAATATCTTCAATTTCAACAAGAATAAAAGCCCTTCCAAGATATCGGAAAGTTTTGTTGCCGATAGTTCATTTATTTTTGACAATTTAAAGGAAAGCTTACAGGATGAAATTGATACCAATAGCATTATATATGAACGGTCATTTGAGGATTCTCAGGAACATATAGACATAGATGACTACGATTCATCATTTGATTAAGGATTATTATATAGACTAATATAAAGTGTTCAATCTAAATCATCTAACCAACCTTTACATCTTTCAATAGCCTTATTCCATCTCCTAAAATTCTTTCTTCTTTCTGTGTCGGACAATTTGGCATGGAAAATGTTCTTAGGGTCAGATTCACCACCAATACTGGCCACGACATCATCAAGGTCTTTCCAAATACGCTTTTCTTCATCTTCAAATGCCAACCCAGCAGCAATTGCTGCCCCTAAGGCAGTACATTCAGAATGTGAAGCTCGTTTAACCGTGACACACGGTCCCAAAACGTCCGCCTGGATTTGTAAGACTTCATCAGCTTTAGACATACCACCATCGGTAGTCAATGTCGACAATGGTTGATCTTCCTTCTGCGACATCAATGCTTCTTCCAAGAAATCTTCTGATCCACCAGCATCAGTAGCCATTGCTTTTAAAATTGCCCGAACTTGGAAACAAACCCCTTCTAAAGCGGCATGGGCTATATGTGCCGCTGTAGTATATTGAGTTATACCAAATATGGAACCTCGAGCACCACGGTCCCAATAAGGAGCAAATAACCCCGAGAATGCGGGAACAAACAGCACTCCACCAGAATCTTCCGCTTGTGAAGCTAATGGCCCGATATCAGTCGCCCTTTCAATCATCTTTAAGTTATCTCTTAACCACTGAACTACTGACCCAGCTACGGCAATGGAACCTTCCAAGGCGTAGTGGGGTTTCCCATGATCACCTTTCAAATTAGGGAACCAGTAACTGAATGTGGTCAATGCCCCTTCTTTGCTGATCAACTTACGAGTACCGGTGTTGTACAATAAGAAGCTACCGGTACCATAAGTACACTTTGCTGAACCTGGTTCGAATGCTAATTGCCCAACAAGAGAACTTGACTGATCACCTAAACAACCACAGATGGGTACATCTCTTATGGTTTTCATAATATCATATGCTTCTTGAGTGATTTTGTTGTGGAAACCTAATTTGGATAAGTCAGGAGCATTGAATGATCCATAAATTTCCGAGGATGATACAATTTTTGGTAATTTGATTAAATTTGGATCTATTCCCCAAAACTCCAATAATTCGTCATCATAATCCTGAGTTTCCAAATCCATAAAGTATGTTCTTGACGCGTTGGAAATATCGGTAACAAAGGATTTTTCCTTGGTCAAATGATAAATCAACCAGGTGTCAACCGTACCAAACATTATATTTCCTTCCCCCTTTTCATACTCTTCTCTTACGGCACTATCATTGTCCAATAGCCATCTTAACTTACCAGCCGAGAAGTAAGTAGACAATGGTAACCCAGTTTTTTCTCTCAATCTACGTTTGGTTTCGTCATCAGTCATTTTTTCCAAATGGTGAATAATGTCAGCTGTTCTAGTATCGGTCCAAACAATCCCGGGACTCAAAGGTTTACCCGTCTTTCTCGACCATACCATCATAGTTTCTCTCATGTTGGTGACACCAATTGCCTTAACCTTGTATTTTATTGACAATTCCGGATTCTCGTTAACCTTGGCCAATGAAATCAAACACGCCACCAAACATTGAACTGCATTTGCCAAGATATGCACAGGCATACAATCCACCCAACCAGGCTGGGGAAACTTTAAAGTAGGACCTAATGACGATAAATTGTTTTCAATTTCAACATGGTCAGTGATGGAAATGGCAATACCTTCGGCCGAGAAGATTGGATCATTCTGTTTTAACAAGGAGGATCGTCTTCTGAATTGTTCCTCTGAGCCATCACCACCTTCAGATGCAGTTGTTGAGTATTCAATCTGGTGCTTGGCTAGCTCTTGGCCCTCTCTAGTGAAGAGAATAGCTCGTGCGGATGTGGTTCCTATATCGATTGCAGCAATCACAGGGATTGAAGGACTTTGGGAGTTACGACGTGGCATGGTATATGTGTGTGATGTAACAAGTGGATATAACTGAACGTTTTAACTCAATCAATCAGTGGCGTTGTTTCTATTTGGTTTGAACGAGAGACAAGGTAAAGATTCTCGGTGATATATAGTGTACCTGTTCTAAGGCGGTATGCTAATGTCATTTCTATTTTGGCCAATGCGTAGTCTAAATAAGATTTTTTTGTTTGGTTTTGTGCATGTGGTTTTAGCAACAAACCAAGGCGGGATTTTCGGAAATATAAGAATGGACACAAAGCTCGTAATTTGTTTTAAAAACAATGGTTCGCCTCTCTATACTCCACCAGGAATTAAAACAAGTCGGTGGAGGTACAGAAGTAGAACACTTGGGTGGAGGTATAGATTGAATTTTTGGGGGATAGAACTGTGCGTAAAATTAGAATGTTACTGGGTATTATTCCCCCCCGCACCTCCTCTTCTATGTCCACTGGGGGAAATGATTGTCTTGAAAACAATAAGAAGTGTTCCTCTAGAGGAAGAAACTACAAGTAGTTGGCGAGAGAATTAGTGTTAAAGTTTACAAGGTTACTCGCAGAAATCAACTACATATCCGAGCCACGGAATTTCGTTTCACTACTCGGTTAATGTTACTTGATTTGCAGCCAACTGAATCTTGCCTTACTTACTTTGCTGCTCAGCCATGGCACATTTTATTTGCAGCATTTCACCGAGGACATCGGTGGCTTTTTTTTTCACAAATTGCCAACTTGATTTAGGACATTTCGTCTAGGATTTCCCCCCATTCACCCCCCTGCTTCTCTTAGTTTTCTTGGCTAAATTTTACAATGGCTAAGGCTTTTACGGATTTTTGTGTTTTAATCCTAACTATGTATTAGTATTTATTAAAAGGTACTAACCGCTACTATACAACCGTGACCAAAGTACAAAAAATTAATTAATAATTACAAAATAAATAAAACCGTTATTCGGAGATTCCTTCATCATCAACATCGGTATATTCAGGATAATCTATATCAAATGGATCATCCGGTAATTCCTCATCGTTAATCTCTCCATTTATATGTTCGGCAAACTCATCCAACCAATGATTGTTTTCATGTTTAAGTCTATTCCCATTCTCTTTGACCCAAATCTTCATGTCTTCCGTATTAGTAAAGTTCTTTCCACTAATGACTCTAAATATTACTCTGAAATATGCGATTAATGACGTCAATCCTCGTAAATAGCCCAAATCGACAAGATTAGGATGCTGTGGTGGGATCTTGGCGTTCTGATGACTTCCTTCTTCAGATATGATAGATTGGGCAAAATCAATAATCTTCACATTGACATGGTCATATCTTTCTCCTCCACCTTCGTACATGAGCAAGATTGACGATCCATACATTCTGTAACCTGGTAATTCTTGGAAAATCAGGTACAATTCTTTAATTTGGTCGATCAAATCAGGGATCCTGAACATAACGGAATAGTTATCGTGACCGTTATACAAAAACTTCGCCAAGATCTTACAAAACTGCTTACCAATAGTGATTTTTCTGCCATAGTATTTATCATGCACTAATCTTTGATTATTGTATTTATAGATTTGAAGACCACAAACTCGAACTCCCAATTTTCTGGATGTAGTAGCCAAACACTTTCTTCTTTGTGATTGTTGTTTTTTACAAGTTGCTTCAATTCCATATTGCCTGGTACCCATTTTCAAATCTAACACACAAGGCTGCTTGATATTCGTGGTGAGATCTTCCAATAATATAAACCGTTCAAATCGGGTATGCTTTCGTAAAAGCGGCACCAGATTGTTGGCAGTATTTGTTGACAGGATCATAGGTGATGCATATTCTTGTGGTATGACTTCATCATCCATACTAAATATATTGTCTTCATTATTGTGCATTTTAAGAGTAGGATTGAACACTTCTTGAAGAACCTGTGCTTGCAAATCAGTATTAATTAATGTCAGTCCCGGGTTGGTGGGTCTTTGAAGTGGAGAATTCAATGAACTCAGTGCAGAATGAGTATGTTGCAAGTTTGATTCACAAAGAAACAATTCTGATTGCTTGGGCGATGGCAATGAGTTTGAATATTGTTTCCAAAGTTCATTGGGGATTATATGCTTATTATCATCAAGAACCACCTCTGGAGTCATCAATCCCGATTCCATTCTGCTGATGTTGCGGGGTGTTGACTTTATGGCAATTCCTTCTGGGACTTCATTTGTAGAATTTTTGTCATTTTCAGGATCAGATAATTCCTGGGGAAATTCGTTGAGAACACTGGAGTAACGGACATTCAAAACACCAATATATTTAGGCATAAATTTCAATAATTGAGGACGCTTCAATTCAATTGTTTCATAAAATAAATTTTCTCGATTAACTAATGCTTTACAAACTGCTCGTTTCGAGAACGAGAAAATTGCCGTATGTCCACCTACTTTGTTCTTGAATGGTCTTAATTCAACTGCAAGTGGAAATTGTGGTTCTTGCAGGTATGTGCTCTGATCTATATTTTGGGGAGTTTCCGGTAAGATGTCATCTCGAGACCGGTCTTCTATTATAGGAGTAGATGATCGTGAAAGTTTAATCAATGCACGTTCAATATCAAGAACTTCTTCAGATGTGTCTAATTTGTTGTAAATCGTTGAAATTTTCGTGATATCACCATTTAACCCATGGTCATATTCTACATTTGCGGTAAGATGTTGTGGTTTGACCTCTGTCGGGGTAACTGGTTCTTCCAAATCTATATGATCCTTTTCAAAATCTTCAACTGCAGGTGTGTGAGGAATATATGTTGCTGATGAAACTGGTTCCAACGCAGAACCTTCCAATTCATTGGTCTTTACTGGAGCTAACTTGTATTCTTCTTGGTCATTGTCTTCTTTTGGTATTCCGTCGTTTTGGTTAACACCTCGGAAAATACGCAACGATCTAGCTGCTTTTCTTCCAGTTATAGGTTTCCCATGCAATGGTACTTCCGAAGTAGAGGTTTGCCGTGTTATTGGTTCTGATGGAGATTTTCGTAATGGTATTGGGTTGTTATTGATATGCACTGATGAGTTTCCATTATGTCGTTCCGACACATGCAAAGTTGCATCTGATGTTGTTGTTGATGACTTGGCCAACATTGTACCGTTTTCAAGTTTCCTCTTAATTACTGTCGGTGTGATATTGGTTATACTCCCCTCCATTCTGTACCACTTAATGTATGTCTATTATGTATGTGTATTTGTTGTGAGTTTAAACTGAAAATGAACAAGTGAAACCAGTATTTACAGGACATAAAACTTGAAAAAAGAATCTGTATTGTTATTGCTATTGGAATGAACCAGCAAGATAGGGAAATGATGCTATGTGGTTTAGCTTTGTAGTGCAAACAAAAGAAAATAAAAATAATTGCTTGCTTGGAAATCAAAAACACTTTCTAACGATCTAAATTTGTTTGCCACGAGTACTATCAACTGTGGTCCACCTCTATGAATATCTTTTCCGGATGAAAATAGTGATGGTTGTAAAAACAAACAAAGGGTTGTAAAAAATGTGCTGGGAAGAAAAGTGATATCTATTTTTTTTCTTTATTTGTTTCCTTCGCTGCGTTAAAATTTCTTTGCCGTGGGAGAACTTAGCGAGGCTTGATTTTTTTTCCCCCTTCGTGGGTGAAGTGGTTTTGTGGTCGGCCAAACTATTGTCTGCAATTATAAGCCGTATTGATCCGGGGCTAGTGCGTTGTCAAGAACTTAGGAATGTGGGATTTATACTTGTTGCCACTAACCAAAAACTTGGGTAGAATAGCTATGTTGATATAAGTTTGTAAAGTAAAAACCAGCAAGGTAAAACCAACAAGGTCAAGCTCTCAAGTGGTATGAATATCTAAAAGTTGCAAAAAAAGAGAAGGAACGTAAGAAGGAGATAAAAACAAGAAGAAGGAGAAAGAGAGATCGAAGGTATCAGAAAATAATTTCGGTTCTATCATGAAGCATTTATACTTTTTTGGAATTTTATAGGGGTGTGTCTAGAAACGTCATATCTAGTAATTGTTTTTTTTTTACCCACGGTCGCATATTTTGCAATAAATTATAACCGTAGTCCGATGCCGAGATGAGATAGAGCTACAAGGGCACAGGGCATTAAAAGAGGACACGTAGTATCGCTGTTGACAAGTTGTACTGAATAATTCATATACCCAACAACAGATATTTTCACCAGATGGTCAACTTCATCACTTGCTTTTAAATTAAAGCAAACAGAAAGTGCTAACTTTTGTTCGTCAAGGAGATCGAAAAATGTGGTGCCTTGTGTTTACAAAGCAACATAATGCTTAGCATATGTGTGAGAATAAAGTGTTTTGAAATTTGGTGGGATCTGATTGTGTTGCTAAGATCAATTCAAAACAAAACGTGGTTCAGAACCACCTGGCCCTCCACGGCGGCGTGTGTGTGGAAATTTTCTTTTTTTTTTAGCGCTACCCCACCATGTTAACTATCACATATTTTTAATTTTGGCGGGTAGTGCCTACTGGTCTACAGAGTTGTGCGCACTGTTCCTTGCGGCTCAGATATTCCCAAACTGTCGTCAATGAGCAAACTACACACGTTTTCCGTTCCAGGACACACCCCAGTTTCACAAATGCGGGTCCATGTTATCTGAGATGAGACGAGCTTTGACAAGAATACTCAGCCTGGTTTATTAGTTGCCAAGACAAAGCTACATCGTTTTCGGCCCAAGGTCTTGTCTCTGCCGGCTGCAGTAATTTTCAGATTCCTATTCATTCTTTCTGCAGCATGTTATTTTGTTGTTCAATATGCACGACTTTTGTTAACCCTTGAGTTTCTTTGCACACACACAAATAACTACGATGTCAAGATAAATGTGGAGATCTGTCCTGTTGATAGTAACAGTTCTTGCAATTCTCCTTTCACTACCTAGAATTGTTAAAGTTAATGATGAATTAGACAACAGCACTAAATTGATTGACGGATTATACTATACTTATTGCAATGACAGCGACTTCAAAGATTTCCTAAAGAACAACGAAATCTTCAGCGCAGAAGTAAATCAAGACATCCCAAGTCAAGTAGTCATTATAGACCGAGAGAAGCCGAGAACCCCCCGAGAAAATGCTACATTTTTAATGCTATGTCGAAATCAAGACATGTACCAAGTATTGGAAACGTTGCAAAACGTTCAAGATCGATTCAATCACAAGTACAACTACGATTATACATTTTTAAATGACGAACCGTTTTCTAAAGAATTTATATACTTGATAACCTCTTTTATTGACCATGGAAGGATCAGTTTTGGTTCTATACCCCGGTCTCATTGGTCTTATCCCAGCCATATAAACACCACCAAGGCAGAAGAAATAAGGAGTAATTATGCAGATGTCCCTTATGGTGATTCTGAGAGTTATAGACATATGTGTCGGTTCTATAGTGGGTTCTTCTACCAGCATCCTTTGGTTAAACAATATCAATACTACTGGCGTATAGAACCAGGGATTAAAGTATATTGTGATGTGAATTATGATGTATTCAGGTATGTGAGGAAGCACAAAAAGAAATATGCATTTGTGCTTAGTTTATTTGAGTATGCTGATACAATACCTAGTTTATGGAACCATGTACTTGAATTTATAAGAACTGAGAATATGACTTCAGCTCCCGAATCATTTGAACTCCTTCTTAATAAACACAATTGGTATAATCTTTGTCACTTTTGGTCAAATTTTGAAATTGCTAATCTAGATATGTTTGACAACAATTATCAAAGATTATTTGAGTTTTTAGATTCAAAAGGCGGATTTTATTACGAAAGGTGGGGTGACGCGCCAATACATTCAATTGCTGTAGCATTATATCTATACAAGAATGAAATACACTGGTTTAATGATTTAGGATATTATTACGCGCCATATTCACAATGTCCACAGGACTCGAAGACCTTTATTGAGAATAAATGTACCTGTGATCCTGATGACGATTTTGGTCAAAGTGATTTGAGCTGTAATAGATATTTCTTGGACATACTATCGAATTAATGCAATACATATAAATTCACTTATCTTCTTATCGGTAAATGGCCATGTGGTATTATAACAGAAAATGAATGCAAAAAGCTTTGTTTCGTAATACAATGGCTTATTGCTACTTTGAGTAGTCGCGCGGCTCAAAAGTGTTAATAGTCAATTTTTTTTTTTTGGTTTGGCGGCTATTTTTCAACTATAAACTCCCAACCGATAATCCTTCTTATCAACCGCGAGCTCCGTACTACCAGCTCAAGGCTTAGCATAGACAGGTCTTTGATTAATCTACACCACTCCTTTACCATAAACATACAACAAGTCAAAGACCTTCAAAGTTATTTATTCAAGAGTAGCATTTACACATTTTTACATCACCACATATCTATGCTATAATGGTTAATAATTTCCTATACAACCTAAAGCTTTTCAGGCGACGTCGGAAACAGCAGTTGATTATACTTCTGATTATTTTCATCTATTTAATATTTATAGTATATCGCCAAGGAGGCGACGACGCTTCAACCCTGAGCATAATCGACGAATCCGGATTTAAACCCAGTTGGTGGGATTCTATTGTATCAAGCGTGAAGAAACCAGTTAAGTTTAGTGATATAATAGCAGGAAATTCTCCTGATAATCTGAGAAAAGATTCTTCTATTGAAGATCAAGAAGCTACAAAGGAACATGAGGCCAAGGTTCGTTTGATCAAAAAATTACAGGATGACTACAACAAACAACATCCAAGCGAAGCCGTGCGGTTGAAGCGTGGATACACTTTCTTCAACTCAATTCTTCAAGTGTTGTATAATGGAAGACCTGAGGTTAAAAAATTAGACAGGTATCGTACCGATGATAGGATATACCACGCTCGATATGATTCATCTGCCAAAGATGAACAAGTATTCAGCGAGGAATATTTATCCAGTTTCCTTCAACTAACAACGCAGGAATTGGCCGACATGAAAAAATCCCATCAATATGTTGTGGACAATTTGCCAGGTAAGGCGCCCAATCAATTATATCACGGGAATGGGATCGTTTATGTGGGTGGAGGACAATTTAATTGGTTGACTTTACTTTCAATAAAGACCTTGCGGTCTATTGGGTGTACATTACCTATAGAAGTGTTTATACCAAAAGTGGACGAATTTGAATTGGAACTTTGTGGGAAAGTGTTACCGACCATGAATGCCCGATGCATATACATGAGGAATCATTTAGTTAGCCCTCTTGACAAGACCGGGAACAATTATGCTTCGAAGTTTAATTTTAAAGGGTATCAATATAAAGCAATGGCCATATTACTTTCAAGTTTTGAAAACGTGTTGTTGTTGGATAGTGATAATATTCCTGTGCATGTTCCTGATAATTTATTCACTGAAGAACCATTTACATCGAAGGGATTAATTGTATGGCCTGATTTCTGGAAAAGAGCAACGTCACCTCATTATTACGAGATTGTGGGTCTGGAAATCAGTGAAACAGAGCTACTCCCTAAATATGATGAATCAATTGGGTTTTACCGTTCCAGACCACAAGAAATCACTGGTGCAAACTTGAATGACATTCCATTACATGAACGTAAAGGTGCCATACCTGATCCAAGCTCCGAATCAGGTCAATTGATGATTTCCAAACGGACCCATTTCAAGCCACTTCTTTTAGCATTATATTACAACTTGTATGGGCCCACACATTTTTATCCATTATTTTCCCAAGGATCCGATGGTGAAGGTGATAAAGAAACCTTTTTAGCAGCCACTGTTACCTTGAGACATCCATATTATCAAGTTTCCAAGTTTCTTAATGCATTGGGTCATTTCCAGAATGGGGATTTCGTAGGATGTGGAATGGGTCAATATGACCCAGTCGAAGATTATTACACTGGCGAGTTACGCAAAGAGTTACTGAAGATAACTGATCAGAAAGTGCTCGCCACTGTCAAGGAAAAAAACAACCGATTCCTTACTTCGGGTCCTCGGATGTTATTTGTTCATGCCAATTTCCCGAAATTAAATCCTTGGAAATTGAGAATAGAAAGAAAGATATACAACTCCAATGGAGAAAGAATTAGACTTTATGGAACTGGGATGAAACGTATTACTGGGTACGATTTTGAATGGGTTCAATGGAATAATATGAAGCAACTATTGTGTGTTAATAACTTTAAATTAGAAGCATTTAAAGATGTAAATAAAGAAGACTTGTGCCGAGAAATCACCCAGCAGCTTAATTACTTGAAGGATACCATTAAGGATTTAGAATCGTAATTAGTTCTATATGTCAATTATATGCAGGAAACATATTTTTAATACTTTATTTTTTTGTAGAGCAGAAATTCTATACACGAAAAAAGAGTGTTGACGGAAGTTAAGGACACCTTTACTATACCAAATACCTCGCAGAACATACAATGGCCATACAATTCCTCTTTCTAATATCCAGACAGGGCAAGACAAGATTAGCTAAATGGTACCAAACAATATCCCAGAAGGAAAAATCCAAGATTAGTCGAGAACTAGGCACATTAGTATTGTCCCGTCGAGCCAAGATGTGTAATGTTGTGGAATATCGTGATTTCAAAGTAGTATATCGTCGATACGCTTCGTTGTTCTTTATTGTAGGTATCAATTCCCATGATAATGAATTGTTGGCATTAGAAGTGATTCATCGATTTGTGGAGCAGATGGACAAAATGTATGGTAATGTTTGTGAATTGGATATCATATTTGGGTTTGATAAGGCATATCATGTATTGGATGAGTTGCTATTGGACGGTTACATTCAAGAATCTTCAAGGAAAGAGGTATTAAAGCGGGTCGATCAACAGGATGAATTGGAGAATATGGACGAATTCGAACATATTCTTTCATAGATAGAGTGTATATTAGAATGAATATATAATTTCATAATATATTTCTGTTTCATAGATGGATGTGTAGTGTTGCAGGAATTTTACGTGATTACTGATTCAGTGATCAAACAAGAGAGAGAATGTATGAGGCAAACGAAGAAGAAAACGTAGAGTAAGGGAGTTGTTTGGGACAAACAACCACCAATTTGTTACAAGGATTTGAAATCACACAGGTTGCAACTAACAAAAGCAAGATCGATATAGGGGTAAAATTGTCCATTAAAAGCGTAACCCAACCTGGTTTCACAGCTTTTTGAGAAGGAGAGGAGAAACTAGAAAGAAGTTAGAACACTCGCAGTTGCCCATGACACCACTTTCGTCAACAATTTAGTAAAATTGGTCTGTAGACGTTACAACATATGCTGGCCATAAGTTAGTCAAACTAGGAGACATTTGTGGCTTTGGCGCTCTTGAATAGTTAGTACTGAAAGCGTATGATCATGGTAGCGCAGTGGTAGTAGGAAACCTAACAAACTTAAACTTTGGATCTTTTTGGCATGACGTAATCAGATTCGAATTAAACTACTGAATCAGGTTATTTTTCTTTCGGAGATCATTTTATTGGAAGAATAAGAAAACATACATGTTTCAGAATGGTTCTACTTTTTTTTTTTGGAAGAGATCTAGTTTGGACAACAATTCACTCTATTTCACTTTCCTTTTGATTACTTGAAGACAAAGCTAAAGGAATTGGGATACCAAATTAATACTTGTTAGGTTCTCTCTTTGAACCTCCGTAAATCTAAGACCAAATCAAGTAAATATCACTTGACATATACGGAAGAAAAAGCTTGGTAAACACGTATAAAAATAGCAACAATCCTAGAATAGGGTACAGAGGAAACACTTCTCTATTCGGTATTTTTAAAGACTAAGTTTAGAACAAATTTGTTGCACGATTGCAACTGTGAATAAAACAATGAGAAAACGGAACAATACTTCTAATCTTATCTTATAGTCAGTTGGGGGGGGGGGGACGTGTTTGCAGGTTGACCTGTACGTTATAAGCAAATCCCGTTCTTATTTCCTTGCATAATCATGAAAACCATCAGAATAACAAAGGCCAATAATATTTCTTTTTCATTGTTTGTTTCCCCTAAGAAAAGTGGAGAAACTTTTAAGAATTCGTATAATCAATCGATTTTCTCCAACGCGCGTTTGACAATTGGAATTGAGGTCAATTGTTCTTGGGATAAGAAATGACGTAATTAAATGTTTACATGAGGAAAAGAGACGAACAAGGGGAAATTTGACTTGACGGGAACGAGCCAACAGGTTGACGGGTTGACAGGTTGACAGGGTACCCTATTAATTCCAGTTGATCCGTCAAAGAAAATAGATGTGTAGTAAAATAATGGGTCGTTGTTGCTCGGAAATACTTTCCGAAGTACCCTGGTTATGTTGACAATGGCTATTCACAATTTTTAAAATCAATAAATCCGCTCGCAACCAGGCTATTGTATTCGGATTGCAATGAGATTTCAAACTTTATTTTCCTTTAAAGTTTAATCCCTATGTAAGAAAAAAAAAATACCTACATTTGTGAGCCACTTTACCCCAAAAATTTATGTAAAATTGCACCATTTCTTACTTAACTACGGTGGCTACCTAGGTATTAATTTACAAATTGAATATCACGACATCGAATGCACACACAGAGATTACACTCTCTTTTGCATGTCTTGATAATGTTGAGTTGGGAACCAGGAGGGAAATGCCAATCAAAAATTGTATCTCTTATCCCTGAAGTGTAAATAAGAATTTCGGAAAATAAATAATTACGATCACCAAATATTTTTGAAATTATTTGGAGAAATTTTTGAAAAGAAATCTGCCACGGACATGAAAAATAAATAAATAAAAAAAAGTTAAGTATCATTACAGACAGGTGGAGCAAATTCTGGAATTTGGTTTTAACCACTCGTAGCCCCGATACGTTTATTTTCCGAAGTGGAGTGGTGTCCCACCTCCCACATTCTATTTTTTTTTCTTACCTCTAGCGGATTACGGGATTACGGAATGTAAGAAATCAATTCTATTCAAAACACATAAAACAAAAATTACCACAAACAGTATGCAATCACCAGACAGTCCACAGTATATTCTACAATCAAATTACTATAAATTAATACAACATGACTACATTATACACATTGTTTACTAAAAAGATGACAAAAGTGGGAAATAACACTTTAAGTGTAAATGCATCGCCCTCTGACTTGAACCGATTAAAAAAAAATCCCTCATTGATAGATGCCACGATTTACTCCGGGTGGGATAGAATTTACCACGTACTACGGAGCGAAATGTTTCCAATATGTGTAAAATAATTTCATTGTCAAAGTGTAACTTCCAAATTAAGCAAAAAAGTGTTTGCTGGGCAGAGACGCAAATGCGAATCAAAATAAAATCCCTCATAATAAACTTAAATCGCAATGAAACTCATAACCTGTAAAATAGAATTTTTTTTGTTAAAATCAAAAATCAAATCAATAAGTTGTATTGATTTTATGACATCATCATAAAAAGAGACGAATTTTTACAGGTTTGAAAAGTTTTTTTTATTAAACAAAGAAAAATTAACCTGTAAAAAGCGGAACGGAATTTTTTTATTTGTTTGATCGTGGAGGCTATTGGAGGGCAAAAAAAGAATTGGGTGACTTTGTGAGTTACAACTGCAAATTTACAATTTATTTTCTGCGTTTTCAATGTCCTTCTGCAAGTGTATTTTTTTTCTACAATTTTTTAATTTTTTAGCTGCAGTCCCTCACTCTTGGTTTACAAAAAAAATTCAATCCTATAAAATCCGCTTGAAAAGTCTGTAAAATTTTGGTTAGTAGAAAACTTTTAAAACCATAAGTTCATTAGTACTTTGTTTTTGTTTTATTTGGTTTCGGTTCAATAGTTTTTTGATACTAGGGAAGCTTATCACGCTTGTGATCCTTTGAATCAACCACCCCAACCCTTAATTACAAAAGCCTACAACAAAAAAAAAAGAAACACCTCAATAAATTTGAGTTGCGTAAGTACTCCTAGACAAAAAAGTTGTTTACGCACACCCCAACCACATTCAGTGACACGACAAAGACAAGACAATTATTAATATATTAAGTGTCATACATTTGATTCCCGACGTAGTCATTCATCAACACTTTTAAAGCTAATTAATTTAATTTAAAAGGAGTCATTCCCTTATACTACTACGACTAACATTTATTTTTTGTTTGGTTTATTATTTTTTGCATTCATTTTCCCCCATTAATTAAATTTGCAATTTCAATATGACTTTCTAGGGCACTCACTGACCTTAGAAGAAATAGCGCAATTACAATCAAACAACATATATATATTAGTCACACTTATCTTTTATCAACAGAAAAGTTTGAAGCAAGAAAGGTAATATTACATTAACAAAAAAAAATCATGTCGTTATTCGGAACAAAGAAGAAGGAATCATCCAGAAGATCCTCAGTTGCTTCTAACTCGTCATCATCCTGCAAAGAATCGTTTGCAAGCTTTGACGAAAAGAAGGATTACGTAAGGAGATGTTCGTTGAAGAAGCACAAGTCGAAACCACAACCTTACACTTTCTGTTTGGGAAAGTAATTTGGAAAGGAAAAAGTTATTAACGGACAAAAAAGCGGAAAGCACTATATTCATTTCATCTGGTTTATTATTTATTTATTATTGAGTCTGTTTTCATTTTTATATATCTCTTTTTATATTTGTCTTTATTTGGAGTTAGTGTTTGGTTTTTACAATTTTTGATTCTAGTGCAAATGAAGCCACGATCTTTCATTTGTTCTACTTAGTATTTATATAATTTTTGAGTTGTATAATACCATACTGTTTGGGATATCTTTATTAAGCTTGACATTTCGTAGTTGAGGTTGTGCTACAATAGGACTCTCAACGGTATATTGAAACATGTGCGTTTCTCCTGAATATGAACAAGATTCTATTGAGAAGGAAACTCGAAAAGTATACTACAGGAAGAACGCATAATACAGGAGGTATCTGGAAGTATACAGATACCTGACCTCTTCAATAATTGCAAGGTTAACTCAAAAACGTGGCTATTACATGTGAATGTATGAAAGCTCGTAGAGTCAACTGGTCTCACAGAAGAAAAGAAACCATAACTGAACATAGCATTTCAACTGATCTCACGGGCTAGAGAGTACGTCCACACTAGGGTCGATTGACCAGCATGACCGCTCAATGCAAGTTGTCCCGGTTATTTAGCATAAGAAGAAGAAGAAAAGTATAGTTGAAAAGAAAAAATTTTTTCTTCTTCTTTAGTCTGCTTGAGAATGGAAAATTACTGTGTAAACACAAAATCTGCTTGATACATATATTTGTGTTCAACAAAACATCAAGGTTTACCCCTTATTATAACATCCTAGCTGTTTTAAACAACATAAAGTTAAACTAATATCACCAATAAAACCGCGTTACCACTTTCTAAAACCACGCATCTGGTAGCACAAACCCACCTTGATGCTTAATGATACTATCAGATCTAGAAGCTCGGCATCTCATGTCAAGATTTACATTTAATCATAAACAACGGTTGCTAAGTACTAACCATCAACAAAACCGTCTCAAAAACAGGTTGACCCGGAAGGGTGCAGCTTCTTCGTGATGTCAGTTTCTAAATCACCTGAGGATGGAATCATCCGGTTTTTCTCTCGTGACATAATTTTTTTGCGACATTTTTTTCTAAGATGAATACAATGCATTGTCTATGATGTCAGATGCAGGAAGCTACAGACCTGCCCAACCATAAGAAAAAACTCTAAAAGAGTAGAGAGTTATGAAGGTAAAAGTTCTCTTTGAAAACTATCGATTAGAGACTTTCTCCGAGCAGGTTGCACCGTTATATCCTTAATGACAGGTTTTAGAGATTTGCTGCAATATTGAGGAAATATGCGGATTAAAAAAAAATGTTTAGGGGGTTGCGAAATAATATCATCGCTTACTACGATGAAATTCGTGACTGACACACGCGGCCACCAGCCTCTGTGATAGTTATATAAACGCAATAATTTCTCTGTTTTCCTCATCACTTATTCGTCTCTCTTGTAATGTCATTATAAAACTTTTTAAAAAAAAATTTCTTTACTAAAATGAAGGCGGTTGAATATCATGGTCCTGGAAATCTCAGATTTGTCAAGGATAGACAAGAACCACAAATAGTCCATCCTCATGATGTTAAGATCAAGGTCAAATACGTGGGGATCTGTAGTCCTGATGTAAAAGAATATAAGGACTCGGTATTTTTCAAAGATGAAGTAGACCCTCTTTCGAAAAAGAAGAAAAAGGGACAAGTAATGGGTCATGAAGTACTGGGAAAGATTGTAGAAGTCGGACCCGAGGTCAAGGATCTTAAAGTGGGGCAATATGTGGTTTTAGAAGCTAATGGACATTGTCATGATAAGAAAATCTTGGAACAGAATGAAACATCAATATGTGATGCCTGTGCTGAAGGATGTTACAACTGTTGTCAGAAAAAGGGATATTACGGTTTGGGGTTTAGTGATGGAGGTATGGCCGAATATTTAGTTGTGGGAGATGCCCATGTGGTTCCATACCCTGAGAATATAATTCCTCCTGATGTAGCTACTTTAATGGAATCACTTGCAGTTAGTTGGCATGGTGTGAGAACTTCAAGAATAACCGAAGAGAAACCAGCTGATCGTTCGGCATTGGTGATTGGTGGTGGACCAATTGGACTTTCCACCGTATTGGCATTACGTGGACAGAATGTCGATAAGATTGTGGTTAGTGAACCGGAGCAGACAAGACGAGAAGTTGCAGAAAAGTTGGGTGCAAAAGTATTTGATCCTACAAATCGAACCAATTCAACTGATGATCTCATTAAACTTAGCGAAGAAAACCTAGGATATTCTTATGTCTACGATTGTTCTGGAAGAAGAGATAGCTTTGATACCATGTTATCATGTGTTAAACCCGGAGGAGTGGCTACTAATTTAACAATGTCTGCAGATAAAACAGTTAGACAATGGCCCATGACCTTGACTAAACATGAATGCATATTTAAGGGAAGTACTTCTTATGTCCGTGAAGATTTTAAAGAAATCATACTGGCATTTGAAGGAGGTGTGCTTGACCCCAAGGAAGTTCTGTTATTGATCTCAGACAAGAAGAACTTGGAAGAGGGAGTCGATGCTATTTCGCATTTGGCTAATACCAAGAAGGATGTCAAGATATTGTTGGCTCCTTAATTTGTTTGATAGAGTAGATTGTGTTTACGATTACAAATTGTTATTAAACCATAATGGGAATATCTATAATTATCCCCATATTGATAAAATTAAAACATATTAATGCAAATAAATAATTTCTTCAATTTCTCTAGCGAATTGCTTTCATTTACCCTTTTTCAAATAAGTATGCAATGAATCTATTTTGACCCGTTTAGACAAACCCACTCTAAACCTAGGTTGATTTGAACTGCAAAGGGACGAAAGCGGTTTGGATGCAAGACGTTTTCGTGCAGGCTTTGATCCTGGTGGCGGTGTTTTACTTTCTAGTTCATCTGAATCTATTTGAGTGGAAGTGCTAGCATTGTGCTCTTGCTGTGGAATGTCAATTTGTACCTCAGCTTCTGATTTCTGTTCATGCATTATTTCCACAACTTCCGCAGACTTCACTACTTCCACAACTTCCGCAGACTTCACTGCTTCTACAACTTCTGTAGATTTTACTTCTTCCTCTTCTAGCAGTAAATCGCATTGGGTAGAGCATTCCAATATTTCCTCAATGTTAAAATCAATCTCATCATCCATAGGTGACAATAGTTCTGAATTTTGTATTGCGCCTAATATATCATGCTTGTCAAACTCTTCCGATGACTCATCACTCTCTTGTATATTATTCTCAAACCTCTCATCATATTCATCATACTCCTCCCCCTTTTCTTCTTCTTCATGTATGGTATCTTCAAGTAGTAAAACATCATCATCATCGGATACTGCCTGCAGGAAACCGATCTGGGGCTGTGAAGTATAAAATTCGAGCTCACTATCTATAGGCATTGCCGCTAGATCCTCAGCATGGAAATTGTCGTTACTGATGCATGATAATTGCGATGAAATTTGCTCGTCTGGTAGTTTCTGGGAGTTCCAAGGTATACTTGTCTCAATGGTGTGGTTTGATGGTAAACACAGGGAGCTAACCAACTCAGAGACTTCCTCTTCACTATCCTCAACAACTTCATCACAGACTGATTGGACGAGTCTTGGGTCGAGTATAATTGATTCACGCAAGGGTGTTGGCTCAGTGTTGGAACGTAGGGGAATATTATTGAGTCGTTCCACTGGTTGCCTATTGGAGTTGTGGATGTAAGGTTTTATTCGTTTCAATTTAACTCTGGAATTTTCATCAGAAAATAGTGAACGGTCTGTTTCCTTAGATGAGACCGCTCGTGGTTGGAATATCTTTAGTTTGTCAAACATTTTGCGTGGAAATGATTGTATAGATTGAATTTGTGTTTGGTTGTAAAAATTCTGAAAAAAAAAAGTAAACTAATGTGATCGGATTAGTTATTGGAGGTTTAAATTATGTATCGCTGGCTCTAAGTTAATGTAACTAGGAAACTTCCTAGTCTGAATCGGAGATAAATACAGCAGCTATAGCGAAGGGTAAGTTGAAGTTCAAAGTTATATAAATACGGCAACCATCAACTACAGCCTTTTTTTTGTATGTATAGTTGTAGTAATTGCAATGACAAAAAAAACACGAGACGCGTTTAAAAAACCTTCCAATACCACTCTTTCTCTTCAAGCTTCATTCATTCAGTCTGGTATTAGTTAATACCGTTGAATTGATATCATGTATTCGTGTTCTTATATTGATCTTGCAACATATTTGATCTTTAATATCTCCTTGTAATCATATCTTTCCAAGAAACATATAGAGTTGCTTAATTTCCTTACCAATCAGATCGGCAGAATGTTACATCCTACCCGCAACATAAGAGAGTACCCCAGAACATCCTAATAAAGAAGAAGGAACTGTCAATGACAAAAGAGAGGGATACAACAGCTTGCAATGTCAAAGTCGAGTTGACTGTCTCATGGTCCTATTCTGAGAATATGGTCTGCAAGTTTACAAAGAATTAAGAGTGATGTATAACATAAAGAGACTAACGTCTCACCAAAACGCACATTCTTCTATTCCAGCAATTGTAAATGTATCAATATGGGATAGCACTCAACTAAGAGGTTCAAGCCGTATCCTTTTCCATTTTTTTTTACTTTTGAATGATTTCATTTTTTTTTGAAGGCAAAAAAAAACACAGCATGTGGCCGTTGCTCAGGATTACGTTCTAGTATAGGCTGGGTGGCTGGTATCTAAATCATTTTCGAATTCTTGCACAGGGGTGTTGTTGTTTTAACGTCCAATCCTTCTCGAAACTAGAAATTGATTTAAAATCTTTCCACATCCTGGATATTTTATCCGGATAAAATAGTTTATGCGTTAGTGAGCGTATGACTTACTGGGCAATGATCTACTTGAGAAATCATAGATGTTGGTTGTTTGGTGGGGACAATATAAAAGCAAGTGTCTGTATTTCCAAGTTTACTTGGTTGCGAAAAATGACTTGATTGCAATGTGTACAAACAAATTTATCTGGATATGGGGTGATATTTGAGTTGTTGATTCCGGTTAGGCTTTCCTAGAATTATTATTCACGTACAGGACTGTCCAATACTTTCCAAAGAAGTATGTTAATTGGGATCAATTGAGCTCAGCTATTACTGTCTAGATTTTTGCCACAAACAATTTGTAATTTCTTTATAGTTATTTGCAATGATTAAGGGGAATAAAGCTATGATGTCAGAGGTAAGAATTGTATGGAATGTGAATCAGTTCAAGGTAGACTGAATTTGAAGTTTCCTTTTCGAGGTATGTATCAGTGCATGTGTATTCACCACATAACTCTACTAACACAATTTTACTATTTGATTATAGTTAACCAGAATGCTGGTTAAGGTAATATTTATAATATTATTTAAATTTGGTAACGTAGGAATTTCGCCCTACCATCGTCTCTGTCCCCCACACTTATTGTGCCATCTACATGGTAGTGCAACAATGCCATTTTAACTAGTTTGATCAATATTAAATGTGCGTGATTCAATATTCTATTAGGTTAACTAACGCATCAACTATATGAAATAAAACTAATAATTTACAACTTTTTCTAAAAAGAATCTCTTTTACATGATTGTGCACTTACTACAGAATCCCTTTTCTTCCGATTCTACAGTTTGCTTGGATTGTTCAGCTCTCTTGGAAGCAGCAGCTTGGGTCTTGGAAGCAGCAGCTTGAGTGTTGGCAGCAGCAGCCTTGGCTTCACCCTTGGCATTGTTTGCGAGGTCACTAGCAGCTGGAGGAGCAACCAGGTCATCAACAGTTTTCTTGGTTGCACTAGCAGAAGAACCAGCAGCAGCAGCAGTCTTGGTAGCTGCCTTTTTACCTACAAACTTAATAGCGGAGGTTGCGAAATCAGTACCTTGAATCTTGGCCATTTCTAATTCAACTTCACTTGGTTGTCTTGAACCATCACCATTGGCATAAGTACCAGCACCATATGGAGAACCACCATGAACTTCATCAGCGGTGACTTGAGCATATGTCTTGGCATAACCCAATGGAATGTATGGCATACCATGATGAGCTAAATGTGACAAGGATAATCTGACAGTGGTTTCTTGACCACCACCTGGAGTACCTGTAGAAACGAAAATACCAGCTGGCTTACCATCCAATGCACCCTTCATCCACAAACCACCGGTGGCACCCCAGAATTCAAAATATTGAGCTGGAGCAGTACCGAATCTGGTTGGAATACCGAAGATAAATGCGTCATACTCTTCCAAGGTTTCCAAAGTAGCGACTGGGATGTCCTTTGGCTTAGGTGGAGCATGCATTTTTCCGAGGATTTCATCGGACAAGGTTTCTGGGATTTGGAAAATGTCAACGGTAGAAGCCAACTTGGATTCTTCGACCCCAGCCTTGACGGAACGAGCCAATTGAGTGATGTGACCGTATGTAGAGTATTGAATGATAGCAACCTTCATTATATTTAGGGGTAGGTTATTTAGAAACGAGTGTTTTCAAAGAGCAATTTTACTATTTTCAAAATTTACAGGGCGGAATTACTGGGTTTTATTAAGGGATTTTTAATAAAGCCGGAATGTAACAATTGGAAAAACTTGAATTTACTATTTTTGAAATTTTTTAGTGCCAATTAGTACAAGATTACAAATTTTATTTTTAAGCGCGGCGAAGGCACGCTACGGATACCGACATGAAAAATAATCAATGCTTAGTTTGCACTAAAACTTGGTGGTGATGAGTAAGCCATACTTAGCTCATGCGATACAGTAAATAAGCAACCAAAGCAATTGGATTACCAGCTCAGTTGACTGTCCCTGTCAAAGCAATTGTAAGTTCAGCCAGCTCTTGTTTTTTTTTTCTGGGGCGTGGAGGGGAGGGCGATGAGGACTCTCCCCCCCCTGAAATTGACAATGTGAAATTACGTGAGTTTTCCAAAATTGTTGTTGGATCTTTTATTTCCAAAGCAATTGAATACGACAGTCCTTCCCCATTCTGGTAGTCATTCAAATCTAGTAAGATCAAAAAAGTGTAGATATAGAAGAGTGGCAAAGAATCAAGAGGAAATATAATGTTGTGATTTGCAGCCGTTTACTGTCATACTATGGCTAGTCAAGCTTGCTCGGTGATAATTGACTTCCCAGCCGAATAATCAAGTTTTGTACTAAAATTTATGTAATTTACCACAATGATTTGTCAGTAGTTTTTATCGCGTTTCGTATACAGAGCCACGATGTCGTTCAAGGGTTTTCATTGTTTTAGTGTTTTTTTTTTTTCAAGTTTGTTATTTTGCATTCCACTTTACTAAAAAATTATTAATGTCTGTTGACACCCACAAAAAAAATGCTTATTCAGATTACAAATAAATTAGTAAGAGGACGTAAAGCTGCAACCACCAATGAAATTAACAATTGAGCCCCCCAAATTGTTTGTCGTTTACGGCCGCTATGAGCGGATTGATGTAATTGCGCCACATTGTGACAAATGTTTACCTTTGGGAACGGACGGAAAAATCTTATTCTTGGCTATCTAAAAATTTTAACGGTAAGTCCTCGATCGGTTCTCTTTTTTTTTTTTTTTATTTTACAAATTTGTTACTATTTCATATCCGGGGCTTGTCATCCCCTTTTTGAAAAACTATTTAAACAAACCAGTTCTCGCTTTTCTGTGTTTGCAATTCTATCTACTATCATCAATTGATACATTAAAAAAACAAAAACATAAATCACAATGGCTCCAAAGGTTGCAATTATCATTTACTCGATGTACCACCACATCGCCACTTTAGCTGAAGAAGAAAAGAAGGGTATCGAAGCTGCCGGTGGTCATGCTACCATTTTCCAAGTTCCAGAAACTTTATCTGATGAAGTTTTAGGCTTGTTACATGCTCCACCAAAGCCAAACTACCCAATTGCTACCAACGAAACTTTGGAAGAATACGACGCCTTCCTTTTCGGTATTCCAACCAGATACGGTAACTACCCAGCCCAATTCAAGGCTTTCTGGGATGCCACTGGTGGTTTATGGATGAAGGGTGCCCTTCACGGTAAGGTTGCCGGTCTCTTCGTTTCTACCGGTACCCAAGGTGGTGGTCAAGAAACCACTGCTTTAAACGCTTTATCCGTTTTAGTTCACCACGGTATCATCTACGTTCCATTCGGTTACGCTAACGCTTTCCCATTACAAACCAAGATTGATGAAGTCCACGGTGGTTCTCCATACGGTGCTGGTACTTTTGCTGGTCCAGATGGTTCCAGACAACCATCTGACTTGGAAAAGGAAATTGCCAGAATCCAAGGTAAGAGTTTCTACGAAAAGATTCAAAAATTCTAAATTAGCTTATAAATAGTTTAATTAGATCGTTTTTTTTAAATGTTGAACAAAGATGTAGTTATGAATAATTGTTTGTTATTTTGTACACGCATTAATTATATACTCTTCTGCTGGATGCTAAAAGAATCACTCTTCATCACTGCTCTCGTCGAATCCAAACGAGAATGCACTATTTGATGCAGGTTCAGTCAACCTTTCCCAAGCCTTACTTTTCCCATTCTCCTTTTCATATGCCTTTAATTCAATCTTTTGCAATTTAACCAAAGCTTCATCCAATTGCGATTCCATACCATTAAGTTTTAACAAATAACCAAACAATTCAAAAATGGGCATGGCAGGAAGATCTGCTATTTCTCCACAATCTTCATTAACGTCAATGTTTAACGAGTCGAACACGTCCACATATTTCTGGAATGATGGCTCATCGGCTCCATGCTTCAAAAGATAGTGTAACGTCAGATTAATCTCTCTTGGTCTAAACCCGCTAACTTGGCCCTGTTTATTCTTTAAGAAATCCAAGGCATTGGCTAATTTTGAAATAGGGACAAAGTTTTGAGTTATTGCAATGGAATCATCGATATTGATGACGCTATGCCACCATCCACTAGGCACATACATACATTCGCCGGGGAAGGTAACTCCAATAACACATTCCGCGATCTTGAGCGAATCGTTAAAGAATCCGGAAAGGACCCATTCGGCAATTCCAACTGGTGATGTGACTTCGCTTTCTTCGTCATCAGTAGATACTCCCGGTGGGGTAATATGTGGTGGAAGCATGATCCAGAGCTTACGTCCAGTAATGGCTACATTCCAGGCACATGTGTAGTTTGGATCTTTATGAAACGTGGAACCGGATCGGGCCGATCCCATGATCAACCAGGCATGGTCGGGACGACATGTGAATTGTTCTTCTTTAGTGAATACTGTGAAGAGATCTTGTTGGAATATTGCTGGTGGTGTGTATTCTTTTCGAAGAGTCTGCATGGCGATGGAGTTACAGTCGAAGAGATAGAGTGGGTTTTCGTCTTTGTTGTTTTGCAAGTATTGGCTAAATTTGTTAAGATCCCATTCCACTGCCTCTTGACGGAATTTCACATCCAGATATTCTTTAATTAATTGAGGAAATGTCCATTGGGGCCATCGTTGAGGATCACTGTTGGTAAGTATGAATGGCGTGTCATGGTAGTTCGTGTTGAAATCTGTAATCAGTAAATCAGCTTCGTTTATTCGTAAGATTCTTCCCTGTGGGAGTTTTCCAAGCTGTCCTAACAACGAATCGTGATGATAAGTTTCTTCTTCATGAAGGATTTTGGTAAATACTTTAGCATAGTTTATTTGAGAACATTGGAAGGGCCTATAAAGCACATCAGAGCAAAGGAGGTTATCTTGAAGCTGAATATCTGCTGAATCGTGAATCCCCAACACGGTATTTCTCCATGATCCCAACCATGGTTGGTGGGTATACATTGTGATGTCTTTTACATATAATTTCTTCCATAGTTCTTCATCATACAAAAATGCATAAAATATCCTGGAAGTATGTGCTAAACTTCGGAGCGATTCCACATCATCGACATAGCTAAGAACTTCCTGGATTAGTTCATCGGGAAAGGAAGCAAATGCCCCAAGTAATGCATCTCTTACTTTAGTCAAGGCGATGTCGTCGTTCAAAAGGGAGTTCCCACTTGGTTTTACGTTTAGGGGGTGTCGTCCACTGACACTAAACACCGATATGGATCTCGGGTTATTAGGATACACGTAAACTTTCCTACGTTTGGGTTCTGAATCTGTAGTCATCGGTTGTTATAGGTTATGATAGCTGTATTGGCTGTGAAAAAAATTTTTAAACCGTCTTTTTTTTTATTGTTTTTATTTTTAATTTTTTTTTTTGATGATTTGATTTTAAATCTCCTGACAAATGTCGGGGAAGTAACGATGACCGATAAATATTTTCCCAGGAGTCAAATTTGATGAAAAGACTCTGGAAAGGCCGGAAGCGGGCGATACTAATCTGATATTCGTAGTGAATATAGATCAGATAGAGTTATGAAGAAGAATATACAGTTGAAGTAGGCTGTTGCGGGGTCTATGTAATTAAACGAGGTAACAATTTGTATAGTGTAATTATAATTGCCCATTATAAACCTTGCTAACAATATACTATCTTATCAAAGGGTACAACCTAAACGGGTATATCACGCGCCATAGAATCATCGCCAAAACTACCAAGTTTGGCATAGTTTGACCTAAAGTTTAAAAATCATGACCGGATTTTTCTCTTGGGTGGTGTGGTCGCCAATGACGCTGTGAAAAATCACATATATTTTTTTTTTGCTCTATTTATATTAGTCACAATCGCAGAGAATATTCTGGTAAATGTTCAAACAAGTTGTTAAACAGAACTTAAGACAAGCAGGAAACATCACAAAAGCATCAATCATGGCCACACCTGTTCGTAACATGTCCAACGGAAACAGACCAGAGGACCCAGAAACCACTACCCAACAACCGATTCTTTTTGCACCTCCCACTTATCAATATACCAAGGGGAAATTGGCAGAGTCGGATTGTGAATCTGATCCATTCATGGAGTTCAACAAGTGGTTTAAAGAAGCCCAAGAGCAACTTCCTGAAGGATCCGATATTATTGTGGAAGCCATGAACTTCTCCACTGCTAGATTACCTAGTGGAAGAGTGTCATCGAGAATTGTCTTGTTGAAAGAATTGGACAAGTATGGGTTCATTGTTTATTCCAACTGGAACACTTCCAAGAAGGCTGCTGATTTTGAAACCAACAAATATGCCAGTTTGACATTCTTTTGGCCTCATGTACAAAGACAAGTCCGTGTCGAGGGGATTATGGAACATGTCACGAGAGAAACTTCCCAACGATATTTCAACACTCGTCCTCGTGGTTCCAAGATCGGGGCATGGTCTAGTCCTCAAAGTTCCGTGATTCAATCTAGAGACGATTTGAATGAAATTAATGACAAATACAAACAAGAATTTAAGGACTTGAAAGACGAAGAAATTCCATGTCCTGATTTCTGGGGAGGTATTAGAATCGAGCCATTAGAAGTCGAATTCTGGCAAGGTGGGTTAAGTAGATTGCATGATCGTATCACTTATAGAAGGGAACGCAAGGAAGACACCGAATGGGAAATTGTTAGACTTGCTCCATAGATTTTATACTGTTTTTATATTTAAAAAATATATTTTATATATATATATACAAGAAATGGTTTGTCTAATTATACCACTTTTTCTTTTCACGCATTAATTTCTCCTTATCAAACATCAAAGGTTCTTCTCTCTTTGGAACATAATCCTTCTTTTTCAACTGATGTTCATGGGCACTGATATTCTTGCCAGGATACAAGATTCTGGCATCAGTTGGGTCTATATCAGCTTGGGGATCTACAGCATCTTTAATGATTCCATTTTCTCTTTTTAATCCCTTTAAGAAAGTTCTGATCTCAGCAAAACAGTACATGCACATGAAATGTGATCTCTTGACTCTACCACAGGCAGAACATCTGACAATATTGTGTAATGGTTGCACTTGTTTGTTTCCAGGAGCATATAATTTAGTTCTATGACGACGGTATGACATCTTCTTCTTAGGAACAGCACGCAAGATTCCGTTATCAATCATGAATGGTGGTTCTCCGTCATTATTGTGTAAATGTTCAGCAAGTTCTTCTAAACGAGGATCAATTTCCGATGCTGGGGCCTCAGAGACAGTTTCCCCGATTCTGATGCTTATAGCTGGAAGACGTGGGATAATATTAAGGAGTGACTCGTGAGCTATGGCAATAGCCCCGAATCTGAATGCTAACGACATGATCTCGGTAAAGGTCTATCTCTAGCTTACTATTGGTACAACGAAAATTTTTCAATATATTTTGCGATCAGAAAAAACCATAGTGAAGGTCGTGCAAAATGGAGAAATATCTGTTAACCCCAAAGGGTGTAGTCGGAGTTCTATATAACAGAGTATATATGGCAACGAGTGGTTGATTTTGTAATGTGAATCAAGATTGCAACTGTAAGTTATATGAAAGGAAATCCAATGGTGATATCCTGAACTTTTGATCTTTGCTTCAAATTATTATCTATAAGGGGTGAGGTTTCTACATAACATAATATTACTGCAAAAATTTTTAAAAATTATTCTGTCAAGACATTTCCATAAAACACAGTATAACTTTGCTAAACTGATATGTAATAACTTAAAACTGAATCATATTTATAAAAAACTCTTAATATCTTTCTATTTACTCGCTTTCGTCCCATTGAAATACTTACCGTTAAAACGTCATACATAAAAGGTCGTCCATTTACCAAAAGATTCACCCGATTAATTTTTTTTGTTTACCAAAGTTTAATTTGGGCGCGTTTACAAATTTTCTTTTGATTCAATTCAACTTACAACCACCAAACCAGCGGTTAACAACATATATACATATAGCCAAGCATGTCTGTAGAAGTCCCTGAAGTGAAAGAACCCAGTAAATATGTTGGGTTTGATTCTATCACCAACCAAATTGAAAGTAGATTATTGAAGCGTGGATTCCAATTCAACATTATGGTTGTCGGCAGAAGTGGATTAGGTAAGAGTACGTTGGTTAACACATTGTTTTCATCCAAATTGACTGAATCTCATGGAAGAAGAAGTCCAACTGATCCTATTGAAAAGACTACTGAGATTGAAGTCAGCAGTCATACCTTGATCGAAAATAATGTTAGATTGAATATTAATGTTATTGACACTCCTGGGTTTGGCGATCAAATTAATAACGAAAAATGTTGGGAACCTTTGGTTAAGTATGTCAAGGAACAACACTCACAATATTTAAGAAGAGAATTAACCGCCCAAAGAGAAAGATATTTGCCTGATACTCGTGTTCATTGTATTTTATACTTTATTGCTCCAAATGGTCAAAAGTTGAGACAATTGGATGTTCAAGCATTGAAGAAATTGCTGGAAATTGCCAATGTTGTTCCTGTAATTGCCAAATCCGACGCTTTAACTCTCGAAGAAAGAAGTGAGTTCAAGAAGCTTTTACAAAAGGAGTTTGCCAAGTATAAATTCAACATATACCCTTATGATAGCGATGAATTGTATGATGATGAAAGACAATTGAATGAAGATATAAAGTCATTGATTCCATTTGCTATTGCTGGTTCTGAAAAAGTAGTTCAAATAGATGGCGAAAAAACCAGAGTAAGAACTACCAGATGGGGTTCTATCAACATTGAAGACGTTAGTCAATGTGAATTTGTGTTTTTAAGAGATTTCTTGACTAGAACTCATTTGCAAGATTTGATTGAAACTACTGCTGTTGTTCACTATGAAACTTTTAGAACTAAACAATTAATTGCCTTGAAGGAAAACAATACCAACAGGCAATCGGGAAACCCAATTCCAGAAAAGCATTAAGCTGGTCATTTTACTTCATTTTTTTCTTTTTTTTTATAGTATATAAAATGTATGCTCTTTCTTATTGCAATAAATTCTTGGTATAGTTGAAAAAATAGCAAACCCGCGTAAGTAAAAACGCGTTTCACTTTTTTTTTTTTTTTAATTTCCAAAATAGAATAAACTCTTCCCCACTTAGTTCTATAGACATCATCACCATGGGAGTTAAAGGTCTTAATCAACTAATCAAAGAGCATTCACCATCAGCATACAAGGAATTCCAATTAAAGAATCTATTTGGGAGAAAAGTTGCCATCGATGCACTGATGTGTCTTTATCAATTCCTTATTGCTGTCCGTCAGTCCGATGGGCAGCAATTGACCAATGAAGACGGAGAAACTACGTCACATCTCTCTGGTTTGTTCTACCGTACCATTCGTCTTGTTGAGAACAATATCAAGCCTGTGTATGTGTTTGACGGGAAGCCGCCTGTGCTTAAAGGTGGAGAATTAGAGAAGAGATTACAAAGAAGAGAAGAAGCCCAGAAACAGATGGATTCCATCAAAGATGAAGGAACAGTGGCTGAAGTCATGAAGTTTGAAAAGAGATTAGTAAGAGTGTCTCGTCAACAGAATGATGAAGCCAGAAAATTATTGGAGTTGATGGGGATCCCTATAGTTAACGCACCCTGTGAAGCCGAAGCTCAATGTGCCGAACTTGCTCGTGGTGGTAAAGTGTTTGCGGCTGCCTCCGAAGATATGGATACTTTATGTTATGAACCTCCTTATTTATTAAGACATTTAACATTTGCCGAAGCAAGAAAGATGCCCATCGATCAAATCACATATTCTGAAGCAATTGCAGGGTTGGATATGACTAAAGAACAGTTTATTGATTTGTGTATTTTATTAGGGTGTGATTATTGTGAAACTATTAAAGGGGTAGGTCCAGTTACTGCATTCAAGTTGATCAAGGAACACGGTTCTTTGGATAAGATTGTCGAGTATATTAACAGCAATCCTGAAAAAACCAAGTTTAAAGTTCCAGAAAACTGGCCATATGACGAAGCAAGACAGTTGTTTCTCAAACCTGAAGTCACTGAAGCTAGTGAAGTTACATTAAAATGGAAGGAACCGGATGTAGAGGGGTTAATCCAATACATGGTTAAAGAAAAGGGATTCAGCGAAGAAAGAATACGCAGTGGGGCAGAAAAGTTAAAGAAGGGATTAAAAGCAGGCGTCCAAGGACGATTAGATGGATTCTTCTCGGTAGTTAAACCAGCTGGTACTCCTGATTCCAAAAAGAGAAAAACAGAGACCAGTTCCAAAAACAATAAAAAGAAGAGAAGATAATTGTATAATATGTAACATGTATATTAAAGTAAGGTTTAATCTTTCTTTGGCTTCTTCTTTTCAGCCTCAGCTTCCTTTTCAGCTTCAATTTCATCTACATACTTCTTAATCTCATCAACATCTAAATTTTGAATGGCATTGCCTGGTCTCAACACTGAAACTTCAATATTCTTGGCTCCAGTTTGCACCACTTCCAATAATGATTTAACTGTCAATTTAATAGTTTCTTCTTCACTCAAATCTTCTTGATAATGTTTTTCCAAGAATTCCTTGACAGTTTTAGATGATCTACCAATAGCATGGGCCTTCCAGGCATTATATACCCCTGAAGGTTCAGTTTGGTATAATCTAGGCACAGTATCATTCTTATCGAACCCTGCAATAAGAGTGGCAATCCCGAAGGGACGAACACCACCCGATTGGGTATATTTCTGTTGAACTCCAGCCACGTACTTGGTCAAGTATTCAATGGAGACAGCGTCTTCCAAGGTTAATCTATATGATTGGGCTTCGACTCTCGCCTTATCCACTAATATTCTTGCATCAGCATTGAGCCCAGCAAATGCCAAAAGGATGTGATTGTCAACTTTACAGATCTTGGAAGGGGTGATTCGGGGGTCCTGTAATTTAAGCGTGGTTCTCTTTTCGCATCCCAATACCACGGTAGATTTACCCTTGACCCCAACGGCACAAGTACCTCGTTTCACGGCCTCTGAGGCGTATTCAACTTCTAGAATGTGTGTTAGTAAGTGTTTCAACTGCAAGATTGAAATTAAGTTGACATACGGAAAACATGTCCATCTGGGCTGTACAGGTGTTAGTAAACTAGAACTAGAAACATCAATTGGATCAGGTATACATACGAGAAAATAGATAATGCACTGTCGTAACCACTCATTGTGACTTGGTCTGTATAATGTGTTTATGTATTACTTGTCAATTGGTTGTAAATAGTGTTCAATTTTTTGCCCTCCAAATTTCGTCTTCAAAAAAAAAAAAAATATCAGGGCGCAAAATTATCTGTGCATCTGGAAACTATATAATAGAAGAGTAAGAGTTTACCATCATGGCCAAGAAAGACAACAAGAAAAAGAACAATGCAAAGAATGTACCACATAGAGATAACTATGCTCGAATATCATACTTGTACCAACTTTCAAATCATTTAACGTTATCCCATCCTGCTCTAGCCAGAGGGCTAGCAAGAAATATGGATTTAGTAGGCAAGAAAACTGTCCTGAAATCATCACCACTTCTAAAGAGAACTATATGTAAACAATGCCAAAGCATGCTTATTCCTGGATTGACTATGACTATGTATGTGGAGAATCTTTCCAAACAAAAACTGCCTATTAATGATGTGCTAGTATGGAAGTGTACTTGCGGAAAATGCAGGAGGTTCCCCGTAGGTAAAGGAGAGTATGTTGTGTTTCCAGATAGAAATGGTGTACGAATAGATTAAATTTTCTACTGATGACAAAAGAAATAATGTAAATTTAATAATACCATGGTTATATACATAGTTAGGAATAATCAAATACAAAAGTGTCAATTGGACAGTTAAGCTCTTGGACCAATCATCTTTTCAGGTCTAACCCATTCATCAAACTCTTCTGAAGTCAACATACCTAATTCCAAACAAGATTCCTTAAGTGTAATACCCTTCTTGTGAGCATTCTTGGCGACTTTCAGGGCATTGTCGTAACCAATCTTTGGGTTCAATGCTGTAACCAACATCAAGGATTCATTCAACACCTTATGGATCTTTTCCTTGTTTGCAATAATACCTTCAACACAATTTATTCTGAATGATTTAGAAGCATCAGCCAATAATCTAACTGAGTTTAATAAATTGTAGGCCATGACCGGTTTGAACACATTAAGTTCGAATTGACCTGAAGCACCCGAGAAAGTGATGGTGGTGTGGTTACCCATGACTTGAGCACATACCATAGTCATGGCTTCACATTGGGTAGGATTAACTTTACCAGGCATGATTGAAGAACCTGGTTCATTTTCAGGTAACAGCAATTCACCATATCCACATCTTGGACCGGAACCAAGGTATCTGATATCTTGGGCAATTTTGAAAAGGGAAACGGCAAGGGTGTTGAGAGCACCTGAGGCTTCGACAAAGGCATCATGGGCAGCAAGAGCTTCGAACTTGTTTGGAGCAGTTTGGAAATCCAAACCGGTGATTTGAGAAACTTCTTGGGCTACTTTAGCATCAAATCCAACTCTGGTGTTAAGACCAGTACCCACAGCAGTACCACCTTGAGCTAAAAGGGAAAGTCTTGGTAAGGTTTGTTCAACTCTAGCAATACCATAAGTTAACTGTTGGACGTATCCCGAGAATTCTTGACCTAAAGTTAAGGGAGTGGCATCTTGTAAATGAGTTCTACCAATCTTGATAATATCATTGAATTCTTTACTTTTGGATGCGAATTCATCTCTTAATGCGGTTAATTTAGGTAACAAGTTCTCGACAATTTCGGTAACGGCAGCAATGTGCATGACGGTAGGAAAAGTATCATTTGAAGATTGCGACATGTTGACATGGTCATTTGGATGAACTGGTTTTTTCAGTCCAATAGTTCCACCCAAAAGTTCAATTGCACGGTTAGCAATGACTTCATTGGCATTCATGTTGGATTGAGTACCTGACCCAGTTTGATAAATGACAAGGGGGAAATTGTCGTTGAATTTCCCGTCAATCACTTCAGTAGCTGCTTCTTTAATAGCACCGGCTAATTTAGGATCAAGATCTCCATAGGATTCATTGACGATGGCAGCAGCTTTTTTCAAGACTCCAAATGCTCTAATGATTGGAATTGGCATTTTAATATCACCAATTTCGAAATTGGTGAAGGATCTTTGTGTTTGTGCCCCCCAGTACTTGTCGGCGGGGACTTCCATTTCTCCAAAGGCATCAGATTCAATACGTGACATGTTGGGTTGGGTCAATTGGTTGTAAAAAGAATAAAAATTTCAAGATCCTTTTTTCCTGAAATATGTCCAATATATATTTCGCATTATAATTCCGATGTGGTCGGGATACCATCCCGGGAAGACTAATAAACTTTTAGTGACTTCGCCGGGGGGTAATACTCCATTAAAATTGTTATAAGAAGCACCTTTTTAAATTCTTTTTCCCAAATAAAGGTGAAACCATCCCTGTTTTTCATGCTTTACAGTACTCAAGATTTATTGCATTTACTATGTAAAAGCTAATAGCTCTATAAGTTCATAGACATACCCGATTATTTTATTCTTATATACAAATTATTGAGTTTTGAAAACAACGAAATCACTCACAAAAACCTTGAAGTCAGCAGCTGCAGTTGTTGTTGTTGTTGTTGTTGACGTTCTTGTTCTCTTTTTCTCACCCTGCCTTCTGGTTCCACTTTAGCACCAAGCCAACCATATCTAAACCCAACTTCATGAGCCAATATCTCACCAAACCCCAACATCATTCCGTTAATGAATGGCAACACTAAATTGATCGCACCCTTTTGTAAAATCAGCCAGACATTAACTTCATACACACTTCCTTCACTTTCCTCCTCCTCCTCCTCTTCTATTCTACTTTGCTCAATCAACTCTTCAGTATGTAACACGTCTGAATCATTGACAAGTTGATCTGAAGAAAGTTGAGCGCGGAGAACAGTCAAGTCGTTGGCTTCAGTAAGGGCGTCGACCGCAAATACGTCGTCCCTGATTGTGTCTGCAAGGGTATATATTTCCTTGACTTCATCTGAAGTTGTGTCTATCTCAATTGGAGTAGACTCCGATTGAGGTGGTGTGATTGGTTTCTGGGTGTATTCAGACATTGTAGGGGCAAATGGTTACAGCAATTGGTGATGATTCAACTTTTCGGTGGCTAATTTTTTTTTACACCAGAAAAATTACACTGTTAGGCTATCTGAAATTGCACCTTTTATTTATACTATACAAACAACAACAGCTACTTACACGGCTAATCCTACAGACTTTCCTTGCTTCAATCTCTTTTCAGTTAATGCAGAGATAACAGCTGCACCAACACCAGATCCATCTTCAGCTGCAACAATAGTAATTGGGTCTTCTTCATCGTCCTTCCATTGGAAAATATCTCTCAAAGCTTTGGCAGCACGAACTTTAAAGTCAGGATACTTGTTGTACACACTACCATCAGCAGCACAATGGCCCTTTGTGTATCCTCTCTTTTTACAAATGGCAGCAATACCACATACTGACAATCTAGCAGATCTTTCCCCAATCAATTCACAAACTCTTCGTATAACCTTGCGTTCAGGTACGGTAGTTTCAATAGACAAGACTTCCATAAATACGTCATACACTTCCAGCAAGTTTTCAAATGGATCTTCTTCAATTCTGGCTGGGAATGAGGTATCCATGATATACGCTTGATGTAATTTGGTCAAATCTTGTCCTTTAAAGATGAGTTGTTTTTCTTCAGCCAATTCAAGCAAGACCAATCTTAAGATTTCACCCAAGTAATAACCAGAATTCATCTTTTCAAATGATTGTTGACCTGGCTTTGGTGATTCCAAATCAATTTGAACATCGTATTTAGTTCTTGGGAGAACTACCAATTCATTGTCAAATGCACCATATTCACAGTTGATAGCCATTGGCGAGTCAGGTGCAATATCATCAGAAAGTTTGCCTTGTAATTTAGGAATATCCTTGACTATTTCGTAATAAGCACCATTGACACCTGTACCGAAAATCAATCCCATGATTGTTTCTGGATCAGTGTACATGGAAGCCACAAGTGTACCTGTAGTATCGTTGATCAATGCGACTACATCAATAGGTACACCAACTTTCTTGATTGCCTTTTGCAACATTGGAACCACATCGTGTCCTTCCACATCATTGATATCCCAACCTTTAGTCCAACGTTGTAAAACCCCTTCATTGATCTTGTTTTGAGAAGCAGGATAACTGAATGTAAACCCTAATGGCAATTCAGAATCACACCCTTCTGGGTACACCTCTTCGACAAACTTCTTTAAACAATCAGCAATGAAATCCCAAAGCTGTTCACTAGTAGCAGTACGCATGTATCCTGGCAATGGATACTTGGATTGAGTAGTATCGAAATCGCGATTACCTCCCAATCTGACAAGAACGACACGAAGATTAGTTCCCCCTAAATCAATGGCCAAATAGTCACCTTTTTCCTTACCAGTAGGACAATCCATAACCCAACCCGGGATCATAGGAATATTCCCGCCGGCCACAGACAAACCCTTTTCCAATTCGTTGATGAAGTGAGCGACAATTTCTCGGAGTTTGTCAGGTGATACTGTAAATTGAGTTTCAAGAGACTTGAGTTCTGCAAGTAATACATCGGGGACATCCGTGAATGTACCTTTACGATGAGCAGGAGCTTTTGGACCTAAGTGAACCATAGCGTATGTTACTTCAGAGTAATTATAGAAAGTATCACGGGAATTGAAATGTGTGAAAAAATTATGAAAAATTCTGGTTAATTTATACGACAATAATTTTGTGATATTGAGCTTTGTGTGTTTTCCCGAGATACGTTTCAGTTGCTCCATTTGGCAGAACAGAAAATATTTTCACCGTGCAACATTGGGTTGTGTTTTTCCGTAAAGACATAACATTCATGTTGCAACCAATCTCCTCCTCATTTCGTTTCATATATCACAAATTAGTACAAACTTTAATTCTGCTTGAATCAAGATACATTTGCTAAGTGAGGAGAGATCTTAGGTTTAAGAATTTGCGAGAAATGCGGCGAGCACTTGCATAACACCCAACTGGTTACGCTAATATATTTCTATAAACCATACGCGACATCAGTAATAGTCACTAGCCCACAGCAAAGACAAGCTAGGGACCCCTGCTTTTTCTAAAGTGCTTCCAGAAACACAAATTATATGGTTTGGAACTACTGGCAACAAAAACTTAGTCCTATATATACAGCCAACTTCCAATAGCTTTAGTCTTTCCAAGAGTGGAAATTACTTTTTCAGATTGCAACATCCACTCAATATGCATGCAATCGCCATATAGTACTGAAATTACATCACCAGATCTCTCTTGTACTCTCATCAAATTGCTTCATTGATTCTCCCAAAACTTGCAAATCCTGTTTAATTTCCAGCACATATTGATTCACATCATCAAAGTTTTGCTTTTTATATATAGTCTGATTCTTAAGTTCCAAATCATCCTCTTTGAAAAACACATTAATCTTCTCTTGCTGACGCTTTTTATGTTCAAATGCATCTTTGCTTTCTTCATTTTCATGCACGATATTCTCTTCATCTAATAGATTGCCCGAACTTTGTCTTACTGGCGCCATTCTACTTAAGTGATACAACTGTTTCTGGTGTTCACTTGCATCCAAATCAGAAAAATGTTGAGTAGACATTGTCTCCAATAACTTATTCTGCGACTGCTTCAACTTTGATAACTCTTCATTAAACTTATCATTAAAGAATGACCCTCTATTCCGTACTTCACTTGCCATGTTCCGCACGTCATCCAATACATCAATCTGTGTCCATAATAAGTCCAGGTATGTTGCACTGGGTTTGGCACTAGGGATCTTGTCCATAGTTACTATACTTTGTGATTCTGCATTGGTGGCAGCAATGTATGGATCAGTGGTACCTGTGTTTGTTCGTGATAGGTATCGGTCACTGGCCCCACCCAGAGTAGTACGTCTGAATGTATTATTGGAATGGATGGACGCGGGATATGCTGTACGTGGAACTCCCAACTTAGAGCTATCTCGTGTTGGCTGCATGGTGTATGAGTTGTAGCTTATCAGGTGTAGTATGTAATATTTTTAGGCAGGTCTCATTTTTTTTTGTTTGTATTCTTGTGATTTGAACCGGACAGCATAAGCAGAAAACAGACAACACTACATGAACATTGAAACTACATCCATTGGTAGTATCACTCCAAAGAGTTTGTCTCCACAGTCTTCACCTAAATCACCTATACGACATAGGAAGTACCTTTCCATACCTTCATCGCCACGACTAGGAAAACTCCCACCATGGAAGAAGCTCCTCTATTTAAAGCAACCCTATCCGGATAACTACACCGACAAATCGTTCTTATCACAACTTAAACGAAACACAACTGTTGCCAAATATTCTTACGTGAAGCTAGTTGAGGATTTCTCACTCATCATATTCTACATATCATGTATACTACTCGTGATTCTTATATTCATTGGCATTTACGTTCATAACTGGGACCCAACATGGTTCACTATCACAACCAGTGTCATAACCTTTTTCAGTTTTATGTTTCTTTCCAATAGCTACATGATAAACATGAAATCATTCATCCTCATCATTCTCATGCTATTCATGGTCTCCCCGATCCTTGAATCACTTACAAAATCAACATCATCAGACTCGATTTGGGCTATATCATTCACGCTATGCATTGCCAATGCAGTATTCCACGAATACTCAATGAGTTCAGCCCAGCGGAAAATCAAACCCCATAGACCAATTATATCGACAAACATATCACTTTCTAATGCCATCGTCCTTGCATCACGGTTATCGTCTACGAACGAAGTATTTCAATTTGTGCTTTTTGCAGTCCAGATAAATATCTTACTTCCATTGTTTGACGCAAAATTGCTACAATTAAACTATAAGAAACTTCATTGGACTATTGTGATAACGTCCTTTATTCTTGTCGATGTATTGATGTATAAATTGTTAAATTACAAATTCATGGTATATTGGAACATTGCAGCAATGGGATTGGTAGTGATTATGCCAGGATATTTCTTATCACTTCAGAGATACAAGAATGAATTACAAGGACCCTGGGATACCGCCAAACCCATTCTTAATAGAGGTAGATAGCATAGTTAATACTAATAGTAATGTCGCAATGTCGTAAAAAATGTCGTGTGATTTGTTTTTTGCGGCATGAACCAACAAAAAAAAATACTGGATTTGAAAAACCCATGCATAGCACTGTATACATTAAAGCTTCGATCGAAACACGACCATCATCAATCTGTATTAGTTCAGATCTTCCAATTTACACAATGGCTGGTGAAAAAACAGATCAATCAGATGCTCAACAAGTACATTTAGACCAACAATCACCTGTACAGCAACAAGCTCGACCAACAACAAATCAACCTGGTGGTGGTAGTGGTGGTGGTAACCCAACGACAGGCGGAACAGCTCCTGCTCAAGCCAGACCACAACAGGCTCGTGGTAACCAACCCCAATATTCCCAAGCTGACTTGAACAGAATCGTATTGGAATACCTTAACAAGAAGGGATACCATCGTACTGAATCCATGCTTCGTTTAGAAAGCACAAATACGCCTACTCCATCTGTGGCTCCAGTTACCCCATCCACCACTGCATTAGCCAGCCCGGGTGAGTTGGACGGGAAGAAGGAAAAAGTTCTCAAAGATAAGTTGTCTCGAAATGAACGCGAGTTACGAGAATTACGTGAGAAACAACTGAAGATTGAACGTGAATTGAGAGAAACTAAGGATCGTGAAGTAAGATTGGCCAAGGAGAAGGACTTGCAAGGATTACGTGAGTTGGAGCAAAAGAAGAAAAGAGAAAGTGATCCAGCGATATATACTACCGCTTATTCTATGTTGAGACGCTGGGTTGATTCCAGTTTGGATTTATATAAGCCGGAATTGTCTCGTGTATTGTATCCTTTATTTATTCATTGTTTCTTAGAATTAATTTCTAAAGGGTATGATACTGATGCAAAGAAATTTTTCGATAAGTTTAAATCAGACCATTTGATCTTGCATGGTGTGGAAGTTAGCAAGTTTGCTGGATTGGCCTTGCCTGAACATTTAGAAGAGAATGAATTGGCCGTGGCTTATCGTAATCACAAGTACAGGATCTTGGTTTCTAAAACATCATTGAATTTATTACTTTATTTCCTTCATGAAAACGAGGCCGTTGGTGGTGGGATTTTAATTAGAATCATCAATCAATACTTAGATCCTGTCATCTCGATAAACAGACCGGATAAGGTTGACCGTGAAGGTGAAGCCAATCCCGAAGAAGGTATCCCTGAATATGTCACCGATACAAACGAGGTTGAAAAATTTAACGAACAAGGAGTGAAGTTAGGAAAATTACCAATTGATCCTGACGTTCAAAAGGAAATTGAAGCTGAATTAAAAATCAAAGATGAGAAAATAGAACCTGTAAACGGGAAAACCTTGACAGAAGAATTCCAGGAAATGACTAAACCAGACCAGGACTCCCCTGCTAGAGAATCTCTTCCATTACCACTTAAAGACCATGGAGATATCCGAAGAATGATTTTAGAAGTGGAAGATTCAAGATCAAAAATTAAACTTGGTTCCATTCAAGCTAGTGCTCCTTCTGTCTGTATGTACACTTTCCACAACACAAACAATGACATGACATGCATAGATTTTAATGACGATTCAAACATGGTCGCTGCTGGGTTCCATGACAGTTATATCAAATTATGGAGTTTAGACGGTAAACCATTAAAATCGGTTTTCAAAAAGGATCGCCATCGTCATGAAAATACCAGAAAGTTAATTGGCCATAGTGGACCAGTATATGGTGTTTCATTTTCCCCAGATAATAAGTTCTTATTGTCTGCCTCCGAGGATAAGACTGTCAGATTGTGGTCGTTGGACACATACACTGCTCTTGTATCTTACAAAGGTCACAATCAACCAATTTGGGATGTGAAATTCTCACCATTAGGACACTATTTTGCTACAGCATCCCACGACCAAACTGCAAGATTATGGGCTACCGACCACATATATCCATTAAGAATCTTTGCTGGACACATAAACGATGTTGACTGTGTTGAATTCCATCCTAATTCCAATTACGTTTTCACTGGGTCAAGTGACAAGACGTGCAGAATGTGGGATGTCCAAACTGGTCATTGTGTACGTATATTCATGGGTCACACAAATCCAGTCAACTGTATAGCTGTTTCGCCAGATGGAAGATGGCTTGCTAGTGCCGGTGAAGATAGTGTTGTTAACTTATGGGATATTGGTACAGGAAGAAGACTCAAGACTATGAAGGGTCACGGAAGATCTTCAATCTACAGTCTTGCTTTCTCGCGTGATGGTTCAGTGCTAGTTAGTGGCAGTGCCGACAATAGTGTTAGAGTATGGGATGTTAAGAGGAATACAAACGATGCCGGTCCAGAACCAGAGGCATTCTCGTTACTAGGTGATGGTAAGACAGATAACACTACCACAGCTAATGGCAAACCATCTGAAAAGGTGAATAAGAAAGAAATTATCGCTACTAGTGATCACATGACTGCTTATTTCACCAAAAAGACACCAGTTTATAAAGTGCATTTTACAAGACGGAACTTATGTCTTGCTGGTGGTGCATTTTCAGGATGAGGGGTTGTATAATTAATTTGTTTGTATGTAATATATCTTAATCAATTTTTTTGCATAAACGCGTCTGTGTAGTTAATCCGGGCACATAGGCGCATGTCATCATCATTCATTTTTTAGAACTAGGCTATGTCGTTAAACTTTTTGTGACAAAAATGTTGTTTCTATTTTTGCATGTAGAAATTTATTTTTAAAATATTTTCATGTGTTGTAAATACGATGACGGTATTGAAGTGACGAAACCTCAAGCAACCAGTTAAACATGATCTGGATTCCAAATGCCAAGTAAATATGACGTTTTATTCGTATTTCTTAAAATAGTCATGTACGATTAATAATTCTAGATCATTACGCCCTGACCAAAATTATTTTTAGCCGATGCGGCAATTTTTAAGGTTTTTCAGTACTATGATATCATGGAATAAACAAGAGAATACCACGACAATAAAGAGGATGCTCACCCAGCCTTGTTAGAATATATCAATTCTCACGCAGAGAAGATCACCTCCCTTCCTCCCCACACACACGACTAACAATTCCATGTTGTGGCCTGGAATTTGACACCTGTTCTAGAAAATAAATTAGACGAAATTGGTGAAATAACACTAAATCGGTCCGTACCACAAAAAAAAAAACCTGAAGCATGACTTTTGATTGTGGCTGAATTTCAATTTGAAACGTTAACAATAAGAAACAAGTATAACCGCTTTTTCCAATAGTCTACTGCATAGCCATTATAATCATTGTTGTAAAGGTAACATATTATATCATTATGTCACTCCAGATTTTCATTTCAAAATATTTTTTGAACTAAGCTACGTTCTTTGCATCCTGCATGCGAAGTAAAAAATGTATAGCGCTATGATTTAGTATCCGAACACTACATTTTCCCCTTCTAGGTAATATTCGTGTACGTGAATATTGAAAATTCCATGGCTTTATAAATAGGTTGAGGAATCCCCCCCCCACAACTATTCATATGAAGAAAAATAATTTCTCACTTCTACTAAAAACTATTAATCCAGTCATGAAGGTTTCATCTACTTTACTCGTTGTTGCAGCTACCACTTCTGTCTACGCTTTAGACCTTTCTGATATTAAATCAGCCGTGACTAACGCTGCTGCCGATGCCCAATCTCATATTACTAGTATCGCTGGTGAAGCTAAGACTGCTATTACTAGTATCGCTGGTGAAGCTAAGACTGACATTACCAGTGTTGCTGGTAATGCTGCTTCTCACATTACCAGTGCTGCAGCTGTAGCCAAGACTGGTATTACTAGTGTTGCTGGTGACGCTAAATCTGCTATTACAAGTGTTGCCGAAAACGCCAAATCTCATATCACTAGTGCTGCTGCTGATGCCAAATCAGATATTACTAGTGCTGCATCTGTCGCCAAGACTGGTGTTACTAGTGTTGCCTCTGATGCTAAGTCAGGAATCACCAGTGTTGCCTCTGATGCCAGATCTGTTGCTACTAGTCTTGCTTCTAAAGCTGAAACAGCTGCTGCAGATGCCACCTCCGCCACCTCCGCCACCACTACCACCACCACCAATGGTGCTGCTGCTGTTGGTGTCGCTGGTGGTATGTTTGCTCTTGGTCTTTTATTATTATAAAAATTCAATTCTCTCTTTGTCTAATTAATATTAAATATAAGTCACATATAATGTACAATTTAGATGTTTAATTTAGTTAATTGGTAGTAGATTCTCCAACACCATCGTTAAGAAGCCAGCGTATATGTCTCAATCCGGGTAATAATACTGATGTGCTTAGCCACATTTATGCTTTTGGAAAATACACCCCCCCTCTCTAAAATACCTAATTATAACTGAACACCCTGCCACGTTTCTATTTCTGTTTAGTGTATCATAGTGAAATTATTTTGAAACATGAGTTCCTCATATATGACTAGATTATGACTTCATTGGTTCCCATGAAAAATTCTTGTTGCGAAAAAGAAACTTTTCAATTTACGGTGATATTTTTAACAATATATATATATATATATATATATGACGTCGTCGTATAGCAAAGATAAATAATATTATTTGTAATTACGTTCACTTTCGCTCATGTAAGTATGTTCCATCATTGTGCCTTAAAATAGATTCTTGGCACCGTTCATAGAGAAGTGAGTTTGGTAGATAATTCTAAATACGGAAATATTTCACTCTACAACACGATGATGATGCTGTATGAATAATAATTACATCAAACCACATCACGCAATTGTGATATTATCTGAAGTATTTATAACGAGATAATTCCCTTCTAATACAGCCTGGAAGAAAGACTTCCAATTAATGAAGTTGTCATTGTCGTTTTATTTAATTAGTATATTCATGTTCCTGCATATTGCAATTGCAAGTCACACGACATTTGTTGATGGTGTTGGTGGATTTTATCAATTTGCTAGCGAATCTGCTTCAAATCAAATAGCGACCGATACAGCCACCGAGCCACAAAAGAATGGCGCAGGAAAGGTCAATGCTCGTAATAGTGGATTTATGATGGTTTTGGCATTCATAGGCTTACTATAAAGTTTGGAATCTATATAGATTGTATTTCAATGGAGGTATAATACTGGTATTTTAGATTCATTGATATTTAGTTAACACAAAGAATACATAGAAAGAATTTATCAAGAATAACATTAAGATATTTGTAAATTCCAACAGGAAAAGTTTCAAATTCACAATCACGAGACTCTTTGACACTTAATATACTGTATTGGGCCTCAGAGCACAGAGGTTCAAAGTTGAAGGGTCAACTCTGAAAGTTCTCCCCTTATGGAAACAAGATTTATTTTTAGAGGTAACTAGTAGATCTGGATAGTAATAAAAATTGAAAAATTATAGGGTTTTTGCACGCCAATTTTACCGCTATACATACTATGTAATTTGATTAATTAAAGATTCAACAAACCTTCTATAATTAGATAAATTGAAAGGGGGGGCATGCTACTTTATGTAAGGTTTAGATGGGGGCGCAGTTGGGTGGGTGGATGGGTGTGTGCGTGGGGGGACTCGGCTGCTTTTGCCAAGGTTTAATTTTGCGGCCATCTTGACCGAGGAAAATTTCATTTGCACAAAGTTCCTCAAGGGTTCTAGTTATGCTATTATTGTACAAATTTACAAGTTCACTCCTTAGGGGATGTAGTTTGTGCTTTAGAATTCATTTGCTATGGTGGCGTTGAACATATGAGTGCATCAATAAACTGGTAAATCTCTCAGTTCTAAACAACCATAGTTTATCCGACTTGTAATACCACTTGCCCCGCAAAATCACTTTAACTGATTCGTATTGTTTTCAGCTACTATAGCAAGTTAGTTGCCATTGTAAAATTAGGATTTAATTATTTTGTGCCATAACAATAATTTCTATTCTTGGTTCTCGATTATAAAACCTTATTGTGTAGAATTTCCTAATTAGGAAAGTATACCTAATTAGACTTTTTCCTTCTAACATGCCAAACCAAGAAACCATAGTTGGCACTAAGGGAAGAACAAGCAAAAGTATAAATAGCAATGCATGTCTCTACAGGAGCTTCCTTCTATGGAGCACACAAGAGGTATATATAAACTTGGCCAACCACTCTCCTTTTTTCTAAATAAAACATAAACTTCTTTCATAGAACACATAAACTACTATACACAGTTACAATGAAGCCTTCAAGTATATTTGCACCAGCCGTTGCCTTTGCAATAACCGCTAATGCAGCCAACGCTAGTCCTCAAGATATTCACTTCTTAACAGAATTAGTTAATGATTTCCAATCACACAAGCTTGAGTATCTTAGTTTTTTGGGTACTGCTAGTTCGGTGCCTATGGACTTGGCCCCACTCGCCACTCATGTGTTGACATATACCGATGATTCATACACTACGATGTTGGCGGATACTAGTATTAATTTTGCTGCCTTGACTTCATTTGTCACGCGTCTTCCTTGGCATACTAGAATTCAATTTGATGCTGCCGCCACCGATGATGGCACTGGTACCACTACTGTGACTGCCACTGGAACTAATGGCCATACTAGTCCTAGTCCTACTGGTACTGTCACCAAGACCACAACACCAACTACAAGTCCTAGCCCTGGTGGAACTGGCCACACTAGCCCTAGTCCAACTACTGGCACTGATGGCACTCATACCGCAACTGCTCAAACCGAGACTGTCACCGGTAGTGAAACTAAAACCACTAGTACTCATGGTGCCGCTGCATTAGTGTCTGCTCCTCTTGGTGCTCTTATTGGTGGTGTTGCGTTTGCTCTTCTCTAAGAAAGAAAGTTTAATATTTAATTTACTAGTTTTATTGATTGTTTTTTTTTTGGATTTTTTTTTATTTTTATATATATATATATACCAGCTTAATGCATATTCAATTTAGGATCTTAAAACTAGGTCTGTTTTGTAGATGTTACAAGGGTGCAGTCATGAATAGTAGTAGATATTTAAGATTCCATAAGAAATTATCTAGGCAATCCAAAGGAATGTCGTGACCTAGGCTTGTTTGACTGGGACATATTTCATTGTATAGTTTCGTTATACTGGTTATTAACCCCACAAGATTCTTATTCAAAAGCTTGATCGCGTATTCAAATTCTTGATTCATAAGGATATATTTCATGTTTCCTGTATTTATAGAATTTGAAGTTTTGGTCAATTTTTCAATATTGTTAGTGTTATAGTATAGTGGGAATATGTATGGCAGTTTGACTCCACTATAGGCTTTAGAAAGTGGATAGCGTTGTGATATTCCGTCGATTATGACATTGTGATTATTGAGTATCACCATCTCATATTTCAATTGGGTGTTGGTTATGGACGCTAGGATGTTTATAATTAAAACGATATATGATAATGCAGTATTAATTTGGGAGATTTTAAACTCATGCCATTGTGTTTGATTTTCAAATTGCGGTTGGTAGTAGGAATTCTTTAATCCACAAGTGTTGTAGTAACATATATTGAGGAGTTCCTTAATATCCAGAGGGAATTGAAACCCCATAATTGAGAATTGAATGCCCGAGATGTTGTCAATGGGTATTATTTCTTGAATGTGCTTTGCAAGGATCTGCAATCGGGTAAGTATATCGGGATATGTATTTATTTCAAGGGAGACTCTAATAGGTTCGATTTCAGACTCGAATAGTTCAATTTGGTTAAGCGTGGTTTCTCTAAGGGAGGCAAAACGGTAGGTTATTACTTCCTCCAAATCTTGAATTCTCTTTTTAGTCAGGATGATCTCCGATAATATGGAATCATTGACCGATTTCTGTTTAGCAATTGCTGTGGAAAGTGATTGGCACTGTATTCGTAGTTTTCCCAATAGAACTGACACGTTATTGACATTGTTTGAATCTTGAAGCACGGAAACTTTTTCGTTGATTTGTCGGATTAGCTTGTGCTTGGAGTGTTCAAGTTCCACTAATGACCGTACCAAATTGTTAATTGAACGAATCGAATCAAATGAATATGATTTTAGTGCTTCCATATGCGAAGAATGTGGGAGTACAGGGGTAGTAGTACTAACAGTGGTTGCAGCGCTCTCGTTTCCCTTTCCCTTTAGTAGGTTATATAGGGTATACCATGACCTATTTATCTCAAATACAATCGAATTTGGTTTGAATATTTCTTCATCGGTGATATCACCAACTTTTATTAAATTCTCACCCAATTTCACTTTGTATACCGCGAGCAAATGCCACGGTGTGCTTGTATTTGAATCTCCGACCGGGAATTGGGGACGGCACCACAACTTGATTATTATTTTAGAGCAATTCGGCAAATCAGGAACGGTGATTCCTTGAAAGCAGGGATTTATTGTGGAGTTCTGAATTTCAGATATGTACACCACAGCATTCTTGTTGACTGTGTGAATGCTGATAAAGCAATCCAAGATCCGCCGGTTACTCACGTCAACCAATTCCAGTTCATTGTTTTCATATGTGTCTATTTCCGGTATAGATGTGATGGTTCCTGCTCTATTTCGTCTTCGATGTGGTGATAAGCGTACTGCTGAACCATTGAATTGGGTGGATGTTGCCGCCGGTTGCTTACTGCTGTTTTCATACGATAGATACAAGTTGTGGAACCCAATTGACTTTATGTGTTTCAATCGAACTTCAGGATAAGTAGTCATGCTTCTGTACTTTCCCCCCTCTCCTCTGATGCAATAAGAAATGGCGGGTTGTCTGGAATGTTGTCTATCTTAGTTAGCCATCAGTACACGACCCATATGATGTCAACTCATTTTTTTTTGTTCCCTTTGTTTCTTTTTAGATTGTATTTTTATTTTCAAATTACGAACAGGGCAGCAGCAGCAGCAGAACCAGGGCAACAACAGTAACAACCGATCAGTTTGTATAATTGCCTCAGACAATCCACATACATAAACAAGGATTATCCCCTACTTTCATTGTATTCACTCATTTTTTATTTGTTTTTCCAGCAAAGTTTTGGTTTTTAAACCCCTCACTTTAAGGTCATCAGTAGCCGGTTCAGCAAACGCAAGATCACTCGTTTGTATGCACCGCGATAGCGACTGTTAATCATGTCTGCAGATAGAAAACCAGGCAAGTTTGGATTTAGAATATCCTCAATATTCAACCAGCCCCATTCTCCTTCAAGCACGAGTCCCACAAAAAGAACCAACCCGCTAGTGCACCATCCAGGAAGCCCTCAAAAGACCATAGGCAAACCTGGGCTCAATCAAAACAAACCAAGTCTGCGTCCAGACCCACCCCAAGCATTGCGTAGCAGCTCAAGCTCAGGTGCAGCTCCCAATGGCACGGCTCCGGATAAGCCCATTGCCCGAAAAACAGAACACATACCAACCCAACGCAGTGATAGTCCTCGATTGATAAATCGCGATAATGGTACCAATGGAATATCTTCCCCACCCATGTCTCCCAATTTACAACTTCGGAGAAAGAAACCACCTCCAGAAGAAGAACCAGAGGAAATGCTTTACTTTAATACTCCCAACGTTGTCAAGACCTCGCCATCCCCAGCTACTCCCCAAATAGCCACCAACAACCTAGCAGGTAGAATTGTAGATTCCGAAAATTCAAGTGTGGATACATCTACTAAATCTGGCTCGTCTAACATATTTGGTCACTCTCCTATTGAAAACAGTCTGCTGAAGGATTCAGGTGTAAACTACGAAGTGATGACGAATTTGGAACAAGACATTGATCATTTCCTTACCGTAAACGATAGTCCCGAAGACAATGGGTTTGATCCTGTCCTGAACGATAGAATTGCAAACATACAATATGATGATTCAAGTTCGGGAACGAGTTCAACTAAACCGTTACCAAATTCGGAACAAGATGATTACCCTATGGATTATGGGTCCCACCAAATTCAACCTATGAACCCTAAAGGTAGCAAGATGCCTAGTCCATATCCAATTGATTACTCTGTGGAAAATCTGAATGTTCAATTACCATTGGGCACCGGGTCACCCTCGAACACCCCACTTGAAATCATTGAAATGTTTCAAGGATCAGATAAATCAACCCTGGACCTTGCCAATATATCCTCGTCGAGATCATCTACCCCAGAACATTTACCCTTGAAGTCACCACCGGTGGTCACTCCCAAGACACCACAGCGCGGGGTGGCTATGGCCAAATCGTGGTCTGACTCAGCAAGGATAAAGTCTCCATCAACGTCTAGTTCTCAATACACGAATCTATCACAGATGCAACCGCAGCGAACCATGGTCAGTTCTGAAGCGTCGATGAATTTCCCAATCCAGAAGTCAAATACAATAAACACTATGGGAAGCACATTTGGATCACAGCGCAGCACTCATCGCCGACAATCGAGTTCTATTAGTTCGATAATGAGTTCGAATTCATACCGGAATGTGAATTTGGCTGCGTTGAAAAAAACATTGAATTTGAAGCCTGGGGAAGGTGAAAGATCAAATTATGTGTGGGCGATTAGAAGAAGTGCTGGTACGGCATTTAACGAGAATGGGCCTTCACGATGGAAATTGCCCGTGGGGATCTTGCCTGTTGACAGAACGGCATTGTATGAAAATTCCAACGGAAAATACCTTCGTCTTGCTGGTGGTGTAGCGTCGAGAAAAAAGACCAGTGGGGTTGAGTTGAAGCACGGACACTTGAAGCCAAGATTATTAGCTGCAGAAATTGACGAAGATGACGATAATGGATTACAACTTACCAGTAACACACCACCTATAAGCACCCATTCAGCCACCACTTCGCGTTCTGGCGGAAACAAATCTTCTGATTCCAACAAGGTATCACGACAAAACTCACTTGCCAGAACAGTTACTGATGCATCCATGGGTGGTGCAAGTTCTGATTTGCAAAGCGATATCGGGTCTTCGATTAATCAAGACAAACGCGATTCCGTGTCGACCTCGTCGAGCGATAGTATTGATAAGTTGGCGTTTGTGACTGGCTTTTATCAACATAGAAGTTACAAACGTGGAGACGACGACAAAGAAGAGAATGGTAGTGGTGAAACTGACATTGAAGGTAACACCATGCTGGATTACAACCACCAAAGTTATAGTGATCTCACTGATATGGATGGTTACGAGGAGCGCCCTAGACTTTATTTGGCCAACCCTGACAATGATAGTGATAGTGATTAGTTTGTAATTTAACATTTAGCAACCGTAGCCATACATTTGGGTGTAAGTTTTTGCAGACAAAACGGACGTCACGTGGTCGAAATATATTTTTGGAACAGGTCGTGTACTCTGTCCAAAAGCTTTCGAAAAGATTTCAACACGTCGATCGAATTGGAAAAACAACCACAAAGCGATTGTTACCCACTAACTACCCAATCAAAGTCAATTCGACGCCTTCACACGTAATACAGACACTGCAATGGGTGACGTTGGATACACTTTGATATATGAGCCCAATTCGGCCATCAAGACCTCCGTCAATGAATTCAAAACCTTGTTGGAAAAGGGCAAGGATGAAGTCAAGATTGATACCATGAAGAAAATCTTGATCACCATTCTCAATGGAGATCCCATGCCCGATTTATTAATGCACATCATCCGATTCATCATGCCTTCCAAGAACAAAGAGTTGAAGAAGCTTTTGTATTTCTACTGGGAGGTTTGTCCTAAGTTGGATGAATCTGGTAAAATGAGACATGAAATGATTCTTGTGTGTAATGCCATTCAGCGTGATTTACAACACCCAAACGAATATATCAGAGGTAACACCTTGAGATACTTGAACAAGTTGAAAGAACCGGAATTATTGGAAACTTTAGTGCCCAATGTCCGCCAGTGTCTTGAGCATCGTCATGCTTATGTTCGAAAGAACGCCGTGTTTGCCCTTCATTCCATCCACAAAGTTTCTGACCATTTGGCCCCAGATGCCGATGAATTGATCTACAGATTCTTGTACGAAGAAGCCGATGCCGTGTGTAAGAGAAATGCATTTGTTTGTTTGGGTGACTTAAACAGAGACGCCGCATTGCAATATATTCAAGATAACATTTCTGTGATTGAAACCTTGGATCCATTGTTGCAATTGGCTTTTATCGAGTTTATCAAGAAGGATTCTCTCGACAATCCAAACTTGAACCAACAATACGCTCAATTATTGACTGAAATTGTCGAAAGTTCTTCCAACGTTGTCGTGTATGAAGCTGCCAACACTTTGTCACTCTTGACCTCGGCCCCATCGTCAATCTTATTAGTCGGTACCAAGTTTGTTGAATTGGCTACCAAGGAATCAGACAACAATGTCAAGATTATCACTTTGGAAAGAATAAATGAACTTCACAAGAAACACCCAGGGGTATTACAAGAGTTATCGTTGGAAATCTTGCGAGTATTATCATCTCAAGACTTGGACGTGAGAAAGAAAGCTCTTGATGTTACCCTCAAGTTCATCACCAGTAGAAATGTCGAAGATGTTGTCAAATTATTGAAGAAGGAATTACAAGCTGCTTCCAGCTCCAATGACGAAAAAGCAGCCGAATACAGACAATTGTTGATTAATGCTATCCACCAAATGGCCATCAAGTTTGTTGAAGTTGCTGCTGATGTTATCGATTTATTATTGGACTCAATCGCCAATTTAAACACCACTGCCGCTTACGAAGTTATAACTTTTGTCAAGGAAGTTGTTGAAAAGTTCCCAAACTTGAGGGAATCCATTTTGGCCAGACTTATTGATGCCTTGCCATTTGTCAAGAGTGGGAAAGTGTTGAGAGGTGCTCTTTGGATCATTGGTGAATATGCATTGGAACAATCATTGGTTCAACTTTCCTGGAAGTATATCAGATCAAGTGTTGGAGAAGTCCCAATCATTGCTGCAGAAAAGAAATCCTTGAACGCCGAAAATGAAGAAGATGAACACAGTGACAATAAAGTCAAGAGAGGTCCAGTTATTTTACCTGATGGTACTTATGCCACTGAATCCGCCTTGACTGCGGAAGTACATGACAGTGACGATGCCAGCAAGACCCCAATCAGAAAACAAATCATGGCCGGTGATTTCTACTTGGGTGCTGTTCTTTCATCTACTTTAGTTAAATTGATTCTTCGTTTACAAAAATTAGGTACCAGCGAAAAGATTATGAATGCATTGAAAGCGGAGGCATTATTGATTATGGTTTCCATATTACGTGTTGGTGAATCTAGTCTTGTTAGCAAGAAGATTGATGAAGATTCCGCTGATCGTATTCTTTCCTATATCAAGATCTTGAATGATGAAGAAGATGTTGACACTATCAATACCGGGTTCCTTGAAGACACCAAGGATGCATTCCGTGCCCAGATTGAAAGTGCCGAAGTCAAGAAGCAACAAGCGTTGGCCAAGGATTTCCATGATAACGCCGAACAAGTTGATGACGCTATTGTGTTTAGACAATTGGACAAGAATACCAGAAAACTGAAGGCTAATGTGGATGACGTTGTTGCTGCCTCAGGTGGTAATGTGAAGAAGGAAAACTTGTCATCCAGATTAAACAAGATCTTACCATTGACCGGGTTTTCCGATCCTATCTATGCAGAAGCGTTTGTCAAGGTTCATCAATATGATGTTGTCTTGGATGTTTTGTTGGTTAATCAAACTACTACTACATTAAGAAACTTGTCGGTTGAATTTGCCACACTCGGTGATTTGAAAGTGGTTGATAAACCAGCTACTGCTAACATTGGTCCTCATGGATTCCACAAGGTTCAAACTACAATCAAGGTTACCTCTGCTGATACTGGGGTTATTTTTGGTAATATTGTGTATGACGGTCAACATTCGAATGAATCCACCATTGTTATTTTGAATGATGTTCATGTTGACATTATGGATTACATCAAGCCAGCCACTTGTTCAGAAACCCAATTCCGTAAGATGTGGAATGAGTTTGAATGGGAGAATAAGATCACCATCAAGTCACAAATGGATTCATTGAAGGATTACATGGATGAATTAATGAAGGGCACCAACATGAACTGTTTGACCCCTGGTGCTGTCATTGGTGAAGAATGTCAATTCTTGTCGGCCAATTTGTATTCTAGATCGCTGTTTGGTGAAGATGCCTTGGCCAATTTGTGTATTGAAAAGCAAAGCGATGGACCTATTATTGGACATGTAAGAATAAGATCAAAGGGTCAAGGATTGGCATTGTCGTTGGGAGACAGAGTTGCTTCCATCTCGAAAAAGAATAAGAAGGTTGCTCTTGCTCGAGTTTAAACTTTTATATATTTGTTTATAAAATTAATTATACAGAATCTAGTTTTGATGGGTGTAAGAAGTCGATGAGATTTTTGTGGGATTTAGCGAGTAGGCTGGAGTTCTCTGATGATCGAGAATATAATGCCGGGTCAGCGTGGATCCCAAAGAGTGGGATGTTTTCGACATTTGTGTCATTACTATCAACACATAAATCAAGTTCGGAACATTGTAATAAAGTATTGAACAATGCGTGTAAATCACCTTGCATGAATGCCACATGGAAATCCTTAGTGCTGAAGTTGTAAGTGAACTGCTCTGCTTTATCGAGATACTTCAACCCATGTGCATTCAGTAGTTTGTGAACTTGCTTCAAGAGTAAAGATATCTTATAATTAGCTGATTTGAAAGTAAACAAGTCGGAGCCACCGATATTGTTGAGTTTAGCGTTTAAAATAAACGCAATGTATAAAATGGCCCTTGATATGCTTTCTCCAAGTCCATATACGGTAATATACCTGTCGATGCACCCTGGTACCACTGGTGAGATTGAAATGTCTTTGATGCTGAAATTATCTCGTAAAGAAGTAACAAAATTAGGTTGTAGGTCTTGAAAATGTTGTCCTTCGGAAGTGCTCACTATTATTGTGACATATGTGGGCTTGTCAGGGTGAGATACCGTTTGTCGAGGATGCATCTTGCGCAAGTAGTTTATAACCTTGTCATCGTCATCTAATGGCTGTTCCTGTTTAGGTATTTCGCTGGATGGATCAGTCAATTGGTACTGGTCGTTTGGTTGTAGTGATGATGGTGATGATGATGATGATGATGGTTTAACAGCATGTCTTTTTCGTTTACGATTGTACATATCTATTCTGTGTAGTTGTACAAGTAGGGGGTAAGTAGTTGTTATAAAGAAGGAGTTGTTGAATCATGTGACCAAAATTGGACGTGCGCCAGCGTCAAAAAAAATTGGAGGTTTGTTTCACTATGGGGGCATCGCAGTGGAATTTTTTTCATACTTTTGTTAGATGGATCTTGTGAGGAAGAGTAAGGTACTAAACATATCAATAATATAACATATACAATGGCCAAAAAGGAAAAGGTATCGAAGTCAGAAGAAGCTTCTGGTGAAGACAACTACGAAAAGAGAATGTCTGCCGTTTTACCATTTGCTAAACCATTAGCTTCCAAAAAGTTAAACAAAAAGATATTGAAGACCGTCAAGAAGGCATCCAAGGCCAAGCATGTCAAGAGAGGTGTCAAGGAAGTCGTCAAGGCTTTGAGAAAGGGTGAAAAGGGATTGGTTATCATTGCAGGTGATATCTCTCCTGCTGATGTCATTTCCCATATCCCTGTCTTGTGTGAAGATTCCTCCGTTACCTATGTTTTCATTCCTTCCAAGGAAGACTTGGGTTCTGCTGGTGCCACCAAGAGACCAACTTCTTGTGTTATGATCATCCCAGGTGGTGGTAAGTCCAAAAAGAACTCAGACAAGACCGATGACTACAGGGAAGCTTATGATGAAATCGTCAAGGAAGTTGCTTCTTCTGATTAAACGGAGAGTGTATGCATCTGATTAGATGTATTGCTTTCTAATTTACTTTTTCCACCATCATATATCAAACCTCATATTGAATAAAACCACACCAAAGGTGCACCACCTTCAATATTTGTTAACATCATTGTCGATCTAACCTGGTCATTTCACCCACTTTCTACATCCCACTTTCTATATTGTAATTTTAGTAGATAAAAATATATAAAACAGTTTCGTATAAATAAGTTTGTGCTTGCAACCAAATCGTTCTCACTCACGCTAACTGCGCAAACAGAAAAAAGTACCCACAACAATAAACACCTCCCCCCCCCCCGCCAGCAAACAGCACTTATCTCTGCAAGCATGACTGATCCAGACACAACCACGACCAATGCATCAGAATCAGTAACGGCAGTAGACTATATCACCAACCAAGTTCGTCTAGAACGTGAAGCCCGCGAATTGATGCCGTACGACCCTAATGAATGCACTTATGAACTTGGAGAGTTGCGACAACCCGTGTTTGCATGTCTAACGTGTTCCCGTCAGAATGACGATACACCCATCGGAGTGTGTTACTCGTGTTCGATCCAATGTCATGCCAGTCATGACATTGTTGAGCTTTTCAGCAAACGTGGGTTTGTATGTGATTGTGGAACCACGCGAATGAGCAAGACCCATAATGGTGCATGTAAATTGCGAAGACACGGTCATAAACTAGAAAGAAGACTTTCCATCTCTTCAAATTCAAGTGCAAAGGAGTTAGAATTGAATGCTGAGGATATCCCTTCTTCTTCAAATTCATACAACCAGAACTACAGGGGCACGTTTTGTGATTGTCAAGAACAATATAATCCGGCCGAAGAAACCGGGGATATGCTTCAATGCTATTTTGGATTTGAATGCGGGGAAGATTGGTATCATGATAGGTGTATAATGGGGATAGACAAGCTGGCTGTAAGTAAAACAGATAACGGAGAGGAACCCAAGTTGAAATACTTTCCCAATTTGGTCGATTTTGACGTGTTTGTGTGTTGGAAGTGCATTTCTAAATTCAAACAAGTGTTTGATGAATTGGATAGACAAACTACCATTGTCCATACCAAGTTGCCACACTTTAAGCAAGTTCCATCGGTAGAAGAATGGCATAAACAAAAGGAAACATTCGAGCAGACTCTGGCAGAACCAGCAGCCAAAAAAGCAAAAGTTGACACTACAGATGTTGCAACCGAGGCACCATTATACTCATATTTCCTAAGCAATGATTTCCGAGATCAAATCAAGAAATTGTACCCTAAACTACCATCAGAATCCAAATTACATCAGTTTCTTTCAAACAATAACTACTTATTTGAAGATGATCCAGTATATGAACCCCCTCAAGACGACGATTCAGAAACCGGATCTATACTAGATATGGGAACCGATGCATTGCATTCTCTCCCTCGAGACAAAGCCATTGAAGGGTTACAAGCATATGAACAAATGAGATCTAAACTTCGTGACTTTTTCAAACCATTCGCAGAACAAGGGAAAATAGTCACTGAAGATGAAGTTCGTCAATTCTTTGGATCCATGACCGAAGAACGTAAACATAAATAGCAACATATTTGAAATTAATGTTATTATTTTAATCTATTTACAATAATCTTATACATCGTAGTTATACGTCATAGTTACACGTCACTTTCCTTTTCCTGGTCCTTCTTCTTATTCTTCTTTTCTTCTAACTTCTTAAACTCTTCCTTCCACACATCATTACCTTCTTGTTGGGTCAATCCTGGGAAAAGAACATCAAAGACCTGTTGGTACCATTCAACAGGAATAAAAGTAACACCTTCCTTAACTTCCGCTGGCATTTCTTCCAACTCGTTTTGGATATCCTTAGGATAGATAATTGTATCGCAACCATATCTCTTTGCACCCAAGGTCTTTTCCTTCAATCCACCAACTGGTAATACTTTTCCAGTGACGGTGATTTCACCAGTCATGGCTACGTTAGCAGGCAATGATCTTTGAAGCGCCAACGACATGATACATGAAGTGAAAGCAACACCAGCTGATGGACCGTCTTTTGGAACAGCCCCACCAGGACAATGCAAGTGGATCTCTGCAGCTTCAAAGAACCGGTTTTCAGGGAATTGCTTAACAATGTATTGTTTAGCAAATGCGTGGGCAATCGAAGCAGATTCCTTCATGACTTCACTCAATCTACCAGTGACTCTGATTCCTGGATGGCCAGTACCCGAGGCGATCGAGTTAGTCAAGATTGATTCAATGTACAAGACTTCACCGTTACCAGAGGAGGTGAATGCTAAACCGGAGGCAACACCTGGTGGCAATGTTTCATAGACTCGTTCACGAGTATAGATTTCGGGACCAATGTAATCTTTTAATTTGTCTGGAGTAATTTCGAGCTTGATATCATCTGGGATTTGTAACTTTTCTGAAGTTGTGGTGTCGACGGTTTCAATTTCTGGTTCCTCAGTACCAACCTTTTCTGACTTGGTTTCAACTTTTTCAGATTCAGCTTCGGTCTTTTGTTCAGTCTTTTCTTCTGGTTGGGTTTCCTTGTTGTGTTCAGATTCAACAGACTTAGTTTCAAGTGCTTCTTCTAATTCAGGTTCAACTGTTTCTGTAATTGGCTTGGTTTCAACATCTTTTGCTTCAATAACAATCTCCTTATCGTTCTTCTCCTTTTCAGCTTCCTCTCTTTCTTCAATTTGTTCGACAATCTTTAACGTTGCCTTGTTGAAAATTCTCGAAATCAAAGATTTAACATTTCTAACCCCACTCTCACGGCAATACTTGTCAATCATTCTATCGACGGTTTCTCTAGGAATAACAACTCTAGTTTCATCCAATCCAACCTTCTTACTTTCCTTAGGGATCAAGTATTTTGTCGCAATTTCAATCTTTTCGTTCTTGGTATAACCAGAAACATCAATAACCTCCATTCTATCTCTCAATGGAGCAGGGATGTTTTCAATATAGTTTGAAGTACACACAAATAAAATCTTGGACAAGTCGACCTTGACTTCAATGAAATTATCCACGAATCCGTTATTTTGTTCTGGATCCAAAATTTCCAATAATGCCGAAGCACCACCACCCCCGGAACGAGAAGTCAAATCTAATTTATCAATTTCATCCAATAACATTAATGGATTGGATGTCTTGGCTTGCTTCAATGCGTATATTATTCTCCCGGGGATGGAACCAACATATGTTCTTCTGTGGCCCTTGAGTTCATGGACGTCATGCAATCCACCAACTGCGATTCTGACATAACGTCTGTTCAAAGCTTCAGCGATGGATTTAGCAATGGAAGTTTTACCAGTACCTGGAGGACCAGTGAGACACAAAATTTTCCCTTCAACATTTCCCGATACTTTACCACGGGAGATGAATTCAAGAATACGTTCCTTGACATCTTTCAATCCGTAGTGATCACGTTCTAAAATCTCCTTGGCTTTTTTGATGTTGAACGAGTCCTTGGAATAAACACCCCAGGGGATCAGGGTCAACCAGTCCAAGTAACGCTCATGCATGGATCCTTCCATATCTGCGGGTCCAGCAGTAGCCAACTTTTCCTTCTCGTTGAGGTATGCTTCCTTGGCTTCATCGGTCAACTTCAACTTATTCTTCTTGATTCTTTCTTCAAATTTCGTGCTCTTGCTGGACGAGGTGTCCCCGATTTTCTTTCTCAATTCCAGAATGAACTCCTTGATGAATGCATTAGTTTGATTCTTTTCTGCACGTTTACTCAACTCTCTAACTGCACCCATCTTAAGTAATGATGCTTCGAGTTCAACCTTGGCGAGATCAATGACTTTGATTAACTTGGTTTCCACATCGAGGGTTTCCAAGAGTTCTTGGGCCTTGTCGGCTGGTACAGCGAGTTTCCCAGCAATGTAATCAGCAAACAAAGAAGGATCTTCCAACATTTGTGGCGTCAATGGTAATGAGTTCTTACTTCCTGGATTAGCTTGTTGAATCTCGGCCAAAATCAGCTTGATTCCGTCAACCAACATGACGATTTCTGGAGACGTCTTTTCAAAGGGCTTGTCTTCGGCTGGTTCAACCATAGCGGTGGAAATATTGTAATCTTTCAAGTATGAATTGACAAGATGGGTGCTCTTGGTCTTTGGCGGGATCAATGTGGCCAATTTGATACGCTTATGGGCAAACCCAACTAAAGTAAGTCTGGAATCAGTAGTGTGAGTTCGTAAAACTTGACACAAGACCCCAATGTCATGAACAGACTCCTTGTCGTCAATGCTATCGGTATCTGGCTGATCTGGGTCCCTGGCTCTAAACAACACGAAGTGAGGCTCGCGCTTCTCTTCAATGGCGGCAATGGCTCTGAGCATCTCGGGATCATTTACTGATATATGGAAAGTCGAGCCTGGCAACGGAGGACGATGCATGAAATTAATGGCGATCATGGGTGGATACAACCCGGTTTCTTCATCTACTCCAGGAGATTTGGTGGATTCATTTGAGTCTTCAGGGTCTTTATCAAAGTTATCTGAAGGTGGAGATGCTGGTGGTGTAGCTGGTGGTGCTGCAGATGAACTGGAACCAACGGGGGAATTAGGATCAATACTTTGTTTAGTTTCCACTGTGGCTGATTTGTCATCATCCTTCTCGACATCCTCGGACTTTTCCTTCTTCTTTCTTGGGGCTCTTTCCTTCTTTTCCTTTGGTTTCTTGTCTGGAGTATCCTCAGTCAGTTCCTCTTTGGAAGACTCTAATAAAATCAGATGGGGGATTTGAAATTGTGGACCTGGGGTGCTGATCGATGGCAAAATCGTAGGAATGGAGTATGAAATGGGAAGTTGTTGATGGGAAACTACTGTGGTAGCAGTACGCAAACCCACCAAAGTACTTCTCAATTGGTTTGGAGTTCGTACAACCTGTCTTAACTTGCTTCCTCTTCTAATCATGGTGAGGGGCCCCTGGTTGGTTTGATAGTTGTTCTTGCAACTGGCTAAGATTTACAACACTTCAAATCTCGACCTTTTTTTTGCTTTCGCCTCCAGACAGAAAAAAAAAACTTGCCTGTAAAGTCACGTGACTGATCCGTCTCGGACATAACGAGTTGCATATTATTCATGTCTATATATAAGGGTATATACGTGTTTGGTAAAGTCTATTCAATGGTAAATACGTTCTTGTGTTTCTTAACTTCTGGCTGTTCCGCTAAATCTTCAGTGGTTTCTATCAGCCGTTTCTTAATTGGACTCAAGGGGTCTTCCTTGAAGTTTTCATCCTGATAATAGTTCAATGTGTTTAAATTCTCATCATCTAGTCCTTGACTGGCATCCTTCAGGAGTATCTTTGCCGTCTTTGATTTCCACAACTGTAGCTTCTTTTTCTTCTTCTTGGGTGCATTATCTTCTAACGCAGCGGTTGATTCTCGTGACATACTAGAAACCGAGGAATTGGCACTGACGTAAGCTTCATCATCGGTGAATGTCTTATTTATGCGATCAGCCAGGGATGGAAGTGAAGTGGTGGCTGATTTTGGCACTTCATTCACGGTCCTGTGGGGGAAATCCGGCGATGACACAGGTGACACCGATTTCTCAAACTTGTCGACAAACTTCGATGGTGAGTCGTTTGTCTTGGTGATGTTTAAACTCAACGATCGCTGCGCTAGTGGTGTAGGCGAGAGCCCAGTATGTGTGGCTGTAAAGCTTCGGTTTTGACGACCGTCTTTTCTAGTGGGGGTAGTTATATGAGCCGGATTGACAAATGTGGGCGATGCCGTATAATTCAGGGTGATATTGAATAAACTGGGTGGCTTTCTGCCTCCGCTAAACTTTCTAGTAACCGGTTGAGCAGGCTGGCTTTTAAGTTTCAGTTTTAACTTTGAGTTTTCTTCCTTCAACACGTCAAACTTGGCTTGTTGTAATTTCAATTGGGTCGAATGTTCTTGCTTGAGTTTGTTTATGCTTAGTTCGTATTCATTGAGTTGAGCTCTTAGTTGTTCAAGGTCATTCTTTCTTGGAGTACCAGACTTCCTTTTCGTGACTGGAATATCGTGCTTGTGTCTTAACAAAGCGTGGACTCTTAGCACAGCTAGTCTGATCAAACTCTTTCGCTGTTGGTCGTGGTATTGTAGCTGATCGAGCTCATTCCGTATTTGATAATGTCCCTCTATGGTTCCCTGTTCTTCCATCACTTGGTTGCTTTGTAATGTAGCACAGAAAGTAGACAAACGTAAACAAACAAAAAATTCAGACAGACAAAAAAGAAGAGAAAACGAGCGGGACAAAAAAAAAAAAAAAAAAAGAATACTGAAAATGTCTGGCTTTGCAACAATATGAACATTTCTGAAAATGAACGAAAGCTACTAAACAATACCGATGTATACAATGCGTGTAATGGAGAATACTATAAAGGACGTGCAGTTAATCGAGAGTTTCTCAAGACGTCAACTACGCATAAGCTTATAACCGGTGAAAAAGGGTTGAAATTGGTCATCGATAAAGATGCTGATGATGTGGACATGGTGTATACCCTGAGAGGAACGGCTATACCTCCAGATGAACTTTTAGATATGATGAAACCAGATGATTTGAAGATTCCTATTAAGCATCGAGAGGACTTTAAACTGGGTGGATTGCCGGATTCGGAACTTTTAAAGAGTATACACTACTTTGTAAGCAGGAGATTGACCAAGAATGAAAAGAGTGCGAAAAAGTATGCCAGGCGTATGGATGAGACCGCTTTGATGGCAATGGGAATACTAGTTGAGTCTTGGGTGGACCGACTACTAGACAAGGACACGTGTAGATTGTTCTTGGCTGACCCAGAAGAGGAAGAGGAAAGTGACGAGGAAAATGAAAACAGCGAAGACAATGAAAGCACCCTGTCTACTTCACTGTCAGAAGACGAGTAACGAGCAATGTATAAAATATATTTAATGTACAATAATCTATTCAGATTCAGCTTCAGCAGTGGATTCAGCTACTGCTTCACTAGGAGCAGCAGATTCACTTCTAGCTCTCTTTTCGGCTTCAACCTTTTGTTGATAAAGCTTTTCTTTACCTTCGTCCTTGGCTGAGGTATGTATACCAAAAACACGATAAAGTAATTCATGAGTATCTTGTTTGTTAACCATAAGATTGACGTTGGAAATACCCTTCCACAATGGCAAGAACAAGTCTTCCAAACCTTCACCTCTCTTAACGGTTAAGAAAGCACATCCTTGTTCCATTTCATCCAATCTTCTCGAAAACTCTTCGTCAATACCTCTCTTCTTAAGGTCTTCGATCTTGGGGAACGCTTCTTGGAACAAAACTTCCAACAATTGTAAATTACAAGACAAGTGTCTCTTTGGACCCAAGTATCTTTCAATGGTGTGCAAGGACTCGGTTTGGACTCTCCATGGACAGGTACCGAGATCATTACGTTGAGCCACAAATAATCTAATACCGGCTTGGATAATCTTTAACTTTTGTTCTTCTATGGACAAGATATCACGGATGATAGGTGAGACATAGTAGATTGTTCTCAATGGTTCACCAGTGGAGTTTCTCACCAAGGTACAATCCTTAGGGAACGAATCTTGGAAATCATAGAATGGCCAACATTTGGCTAATTCTGGATGGTTTGGATCCAAGAAAATAAATGGTTCTTCATTAGCATCTCTTGGCAATTTATCCTTCTTTTGTGGCTTGTGAACGATTTCAGAATCAACCTTTTGCTTCTTTTCTTCTTGTTCCTCGGTCTCTTCTTCAGCTGGTCTCTTGTTGTTATTTTCTTCCGGGTCAACCTTTTCAAAAACGGTAATAAAGAACCCACCAGTGTTTTGCAAATGTGGGTACACTCTAACACAATAGTCCAAGTTGAATTCTTTCACTTCTTCTTCAGATGGTGGGAATACGGAGTCTGGGATACCTTCGGCGCCACGTTCTTTAAGCTCCATATCTTTACCAAACACCTTCCAGTCATTGATACCCTTACGTCTGACTAACCCAGGCAATTCATTTTCAACATTGACTAATCTGATTTGGTTACCCCATTTTCTCAAAGCAGCAGCGACAACTGCTTCATTTTCAACTGGGGATAAAGAACAAGTGGAATACACTAATCTACCACCCTTTTTCAATAATTGAAGACCTCTGTTTAAGATGTTATATTGCAATGGGTGCAATCCAAGGGCGTTACCAATACGGAAATCCTTCCAGACATTGACATTCTTTCTCATGGTACCGTCACCGGAACATGGGACATCACACAAGATTCTATCAAACTTCAAGTATTCGTTAGCACCGTTTAATTTGATTCTTGGGAACAAAGTGGCATCATGGTTCACCACCATGAAGTTTGGAGAATTCAATCTCTTGACTTGATGGACCAACATATGGGATCTCTTGTAATCGGAATCATTAGCCAAGACAAACCCAGTAGGCAAGGCCTTTTCGTCTTGGGAGTGCAATGCTTCGACTAATTGGGCGGTTTTGGAACCTGGAGCAGCACACATATCCAAGACATAGTGGTTTGGTTGGACATCCAACAATAATGGAGGAATCATGGACACGGCTTCTTGTCTAGAGATATTCCCCACTTGAGTTTCAATAACCAAGAATCTCTGGGTTTCAGCAAACTCCTTTTGCTTTCTAATTACGGCCTTGGACACATCAAGTTGCCAACCTAATTGGTTTGGGTAGTAGGCCAAGTTCTTTGGTGTCAATTTGACCCCTTCAAACTCGGCATCTTTCAACTTTTCGACGTGTTTAGTGATAAATTGTTGTCTGATTTCCTCTGCATGTTTTCTAGAACCAGTGATTCTGAAAGTTAATGGTAAGTTCTCTTGACAGTGTTGTTTAAAAGTGTCCCATTCGTCTTCAGGTATGATATTCAAGGCTTTGTAGTACTTTTCCCAAACTTCACTCTCACGGACAGCGTCAGACCATGGAGCTTCACGATCGGCGTCAGTGTTTCTGTTGCCAAAGTTCTTTTTACCTCCACCTTTTCCTTTTCTGAAATTTCTTTTACCCATTTTCAATAAGCTGATGCTTCTACTGAACATGTAGGTGAACCTGTGATTTGGAAAATTTTTGGCTGCCTGGTTTTGAGATGCGCATTAGAGCACAATCTGCAAAAAAGTCTCAACCTGCAAAACATATGGTAGCATATACATCGGTCTCTGTGCTGTCCATGGTCCACACTTTGAGATAACTTGGCGCCAGCTTATAGTTGCTACAGGCTTATGTAGCAATAAAAGGAGAATCTAGATCCTGTAGTCACCTAGATACTGCTTTAAGTATGGAGAGAGAGGAAGAGAGGGAGAGAAGGTCAGGTCCGATGTGCCTGGTTACCGTTCCCACCAATCTTAACCTAATCGATATGGCCTGCTTGTTAACATTGCATGGCTGCACTTGAGAAGAATGTCACGATTGATCTATCTCTGCACTAGAGTCAAATGCAGCTACTTATTTAATACCATTGCTGAACCCATCATGGTGGTGGTGGTTTGTCCATTTGAATCCGCATTATTCTTGCACGTTAGATTCAGATGGACAACTCAACATGACAGCATTAAACAATTTTGATCACTTTTTTTCAACCTATCACAAATAAAATCTTTCAAGTTATACTGTTCTCGGAATAAGCCCCAGTCCTCCCTGTTGTCCTATTCGCTTAAAGTTTATTGTTGCTGTTCCTCGGTAAATCCTGCTTACACGAGCGTGTAAGGGGGGTGGTGGTGGTGGTAACTCGCATGGTTTTCTTCACGTGACAGATATCTTTGGCTTTCCTTTTATCTCCGCCTCGTCAAAAAAAGGAAGGAACAAAAAGAACAAACAAGTCATTGCTGCTGCCATTTTCTTTTTACAAATAGTTTGTGTAAAACATAACAATATAACAATAACAATATCATTAGATCAAGGGGTAGTACTATCTGGTCATATATCTTCTTACCACCACGACCCCGATTTATGTCTACCACCTCTTGGAGAATACGAATAGGAGGAGCTGTAAGTAAAAACCCTTAATCCCTGAATATGTTGTCTGATTTTTGTACTAACCACATATTTCAGTTTGGTGCAGTTTTAGGTTATTCAGCTTATAAACGTTTAAAGGCACAGGGAAGCAAGCCGAACTTGCACCAATACTTCAATACCCTTGTGTCATTGCGAACAAGATTCAACCCAGGAGTCCAGTTTTTTGTGTTGTTTTTATGTCTAAACTTCTTGAAGTGGATCACTTTTGGGAAATTAACTCCGCGAGAGATTAAGAACCTCAAGGACAAGATTGCCTACACCATTTGGGAATTCTTTTTCGGGTTTATGATTTTGTACTTCAAAATTGGGTCATATCTGATTATCCAGGTGGAAGTGTTCAAATTTGCCGGGTTGTTTTTCACAATCATATTGTTGAAGGGTTTCCACTATTTATCGGCCGACAGAATACAAACAGTGTTTAATTTATCGCACAGTACACCTACCGTTAAACTTTGGGCCATCAAGTTATCAATAGGTCTCATCATGTTGAATCTTATTGATGCCATGTTAATCGTCAAATTCTTTTACGAGTTGTACCATTCAAGCACAAACGAAAAGGGGTTGTCGATGGTGGATAATATATTAGTGGGTATCTTTGGATTTGAAATCTTGAATTTGTTTCCCGTTATCGTGTTAACTACGTTGAAATGTGGACTTGAATTGAGTCAATATTTGAATGAAGATGAACAAGAAGATACCCAATGGAGAGAATATAAATTAAAGTGGATATACATGGGAGAGTTCATTGTCAATTTAATCCGTTTCATTATGGTGTGCTTGTTTTCCGTGGCATTCCTATACTTTTACACATTTCCAATTCATATCCTCCCCTCGTCATATCTCAGTCTTCGAGTTTTAGTTGCAAAAACCAGAAATTTTATAAACTTTAAAAAGAAACAGTTTGTGCTTGAGAAGTTGACAGTACCGACAGAAGTTTTTCGCGATGAAAAGTGCGTTGTTTGTTTTGAAGAGTTTACTGATGTCAATGATATTCGACAGTTGAACTGCACTCATAGTTTCCATTATAGATGCTTGAAAAGTTGGATCTATTATTCAAATTCGTGTCCAACCTGTCGTGAGGTTATATAGAAACTGCGTTGACCGCTAAAACCTGCTTTCAATTCTCTTTGATAGTTACGTTGTACGTTAAAACTGTCTTTTTTTAAAAAAAAAAACTATACTTATAATACATAAAACAAACAATAATCATATTTACAAAATGGTTAAAAGTATTCATTGGACCCGTTGGTGATACCTAGACTGTCGATGTCGCCATTCTCATGAGTCAATTGTTTGGCTAACTCTTCAATGTTATGGTGATGATGATTTACTTCATCAGTATTTATAAAGTCATCATATCCATATTCTTTTGTATGTGGATGTTCCTCCTGTTCTTCGTCTATTCGTTCCTCTTCTTTTATTTGCTGTTTTTCATAATCGTTGTACAAGTGTTCTGAATGAATAGAACCAATAGGACTATGACTTAGGCTTTCATGGTGTTCATTTTCGTCTATTGAACCGTTCAAATATGGCACATCCTCATCCTCCTCCTCTTTGATGGCTTCGTCATATTCAGCCGAGGCTGACACGGATCCTGTGCTAGAACTAGCCTCATTCTCATGACCAATAGCCACGGCCACGGCTTGTTCTGCAGTTCCATCTTCGCCATTTGCAGTAGCAGCAGCGGCGGCAGCGGCCGCAGCCGCTTGCTGTTTCAATTGTCTCTTGGTAGCCCTAGTCTCCCCGCGTTCCTGTCTTAACGCTTGCTGTTCACGATATTTCGCCAAATAAATTTTCAACACTTCGGCATAATTCTCGAACCCCAAGTCGTGCATAGAATACAAGATATCTTCACCATTTATAGTTTTTCGTTTCTCTCTCAAGCATTTGTCGCTGGCTTCGGAAGTAACAAATGATATGAACTCACTGACACATTCCTGCATGCACTCCTTGGCATCTTTACTGACTTTTGCAGTGTTGGGCAACGTGTTTTTCATTAATCGGGCGACGTTGGCTATAGGGAGCCATCTGTCCTGTTCACGAAGTTCAATATCTTGTAATTTGGGCTCCATGGTAATCACCTTCTATTCACAAAAATTCTCAGAAATTTACTCTTATTCCAGTTTAGTGACTGTTCACACAAAGTTATATGTCTTTCAATTGATTTAATCAGGGTGTTATCCAGATTATATTTATCAGTCTCCTTAATGGCTACAATCTTCAAATCTCGAAAGTTTTTTCTCTTTGTCCTTTTTTTTGTTTTTGCTTGTTCGTTTCATGAAAAGTTTGCATGTTAGTAACATGTAACTTCCACTAACATGCATTTTTATACGGTGATGTTTTTCCGAATATCAACAGACCTGTTTCACTAGTCAAACAACCCCAATGTCAAAACTGACAGATGAAGCGACTAGTGTAATCAGTGAATCGACTAAAGGTGCATCATCATTGATCCTTGTCCAAATCATAACCAAACTATTCACATTCTTACTCAATCAGCTATTAATTCGATATGTCTCCCCCAACAGTTTTGGATTAGCAACCTACTTGGAGTTCCTCAATTCGACAATCCTCTTCTTCAGTAGGGAAGGAGAACGACTTGCCATTCAACGTATAAAACCAAGTAAGGACACAACACGCACGTTTCAAAGCGTGATCAACTTTGGATTCTTGAGTTTGGCTGTGGGTGTGCCGATCATGCTTTGCATTGGATATTGGCAATGGCATACCACCACATTTCAAGAATCCTTATTGGTTTTGCCATTCCATAACTGGACAATTACATTGATTTCGGGTCTGATTTTAGTGGAATTACTAATTGAACCGGTATACGCCCTCTATCAATTCCAATTGGATTTTGGAAAACGTTCAAAGTTTGAAGGGTTGGCTATATTCACAAGATGTGTTACTACGTTTGTCAGTGTATTGTTTAGTTCAAAGTATGTTGACGAGTTCGAAGGTGCTGCCGTTGCGTCATTTGCTGTGGGACAGTTTGCATATTCATTTACGTTATTTGTGAGTTATGCATTGGCCTTTGCTTCGTTCAATAAGGTCAACAATGCTCATACGAAATACTCACTTTATAAGTTGAGGGATGGTGACAAATCATACTATTTCGACTCTGAAGTTTTTAACATTTATAAAGGATTCTTTATTCAGATGATATTCAAACAATTGTTGACCGAGGGAGACAAGCTTCTCATAAACTACCTATTTAATGTTGATCAGCAAGGTGTATACGCTGTTATTACAAACTATGGCTCAATAATAGCCAGGTTATTATTCAATCCATTAGAAGAATCAACCAGATTACTATTCTCAAGATTATTATCATCGTCGTCCGACACCTCGAAACAATCATTCACTTACCTCAAATTAATCCTGGTTTTCTACTTAAACTTCTGTATATTGGTGTTGTTTGCCGGAATATCCAATGGCTCTTATTTATTACAGTTTATTCTCCGAGGTAAATGGACGCTGACGAACGTATTTCAATTGTTCCAGCAATATATAGCCTACATCCCTTTCTTGGCATTTAATGGGATCCTCGAGGCGATATTCACCAGTATGGCCAATAATCAAGACATGAAGAAGTTTTCGACTTTTATGACTGTGATCACGGTAGTGATTCTCCTTACGCTGTATCTCCTTATAGAACAACTAGAAATGGGTTTGTCGGGCTTGATACTTGCAAATGTGATTAATATGAGTTTGAGAATTGCTTATTGTTACCAACAAATACAAACGTATTATGCAAGACATGGGATACATTTTAATTTGATTAACATTGTGAAAAGTACAAGCAGGGCAATTGGATCAGCTCTTGTGTTGGTGATTGTGCAATATTTGCTTGTGTTTAAAGGGGTGGGCTTTACTACAAAGAATTTTACCCAATTGGTATATAGTGCTTTGCTTTCCGTGGTGCTATTAGTGGTATTGGCCTGGTTGGAAAGAAGAACGTTAAAGGGACCTGTCTTGGATCTTGTATCTCGATTCAAACGTAAAAGTGATTAGTTTATAGAAATAATACATATAATACTAAAGTTGCAAAAAAACAATTCCTTTGCATCAAATGTGTGAAATATATCCTCAGCTTATCAAAAATATAAAAAAAATTTCGAGTCGTCACACCAGATATTTCCAAATCATCACTATATCGTTTGTGCCATCCGTTTCGCCTTCACCACGGGTAACATACTGTGCTGAATTGCTTCCCTCCAGTGATATTGTTACTCATTACCTGAATTTGAAAAGAGACTGATTACTCGAGTCTTCAAAATTCATACCGCAGGAATCGAACCGGACACGCCCGAGTGAAAATAACCTGAGAAATACTTCAAGCAGTGCGCTTCTACCAAAGACCATCACAGTCAAAAATTTGAATTTTTCCGGTTCACCTACATCAGTTGAGATTCAGCCCATTATCTGCAGGAATTTTAGACTGTTTACTATTGCAGAATGGAGGTTTTGTATTTGGAAAAAATTGGAATGCGTTCATGATCACCTATTTATTTTACAAATCAGACATCAATAACTAAGGAAACATGTCAATTGTTGAGTTGCTGGCAACTGTGGATAAGCTTGCCAAGATTATCAATCAAAAGAACAAACAATTGGAAGATTTAAAACAGGGGTATGATCAGAAATTGCATATTATAAATGAGTACATACGAACATTAGAGGGTTCAATTGAAGGTGATTCTAGCAAGGAAAGTATACCAAATGAAGAGTTTATAAAGAAGATATCATCCAAAGTTGAGTGTCCTAATTGTAAGCATGTTATTTGGGATAATATGCAATCAGGAGAGTACGTACTCGTTCCAAAGCATCAATTGAAATACTTAATTCGGGATACTCCACAGGCACAGACACAGGCACATGAACCAATTACTCCTACTACCTCCACATCTAACGATACTTCATATCGTCCCCCTAAACCGAAGAATCGATCCAAGATAAATTGCTCCTTCTGTGGAGAACCTGGTCATACACGAGCAAAATGCTACAAGAGATTAACTACACCCAAGGAAGAAACTGGCAATCCCTAAAAAACTCCTGCATTTCTATAGTACATATATAATTATACAATCATCCTACTTTGCGGATTGAACCATAGCTTCTATAAACGTAGTTAGTATCATATCATAAATAAAACACGGAAACTTTTGTACATACCTCTTCTAGATGCATCTTGTAACAAAGTGCAATCAACTGAATTTGGACTCATATGGACGTAACGGACAGTGGAACCTCTGATAAATAGAGTCTTGACAGATTGCAAGTGTGGGTATTTGTTGCCATTGGTGCATGATATATTATCCAATTTCAAATTCAAGTATTGATCGACGGATTTTAAGGTTCCTTTTATTTCCATGTCATTCTTTAATTCAACTGTGACTTCTTGATCCACAAGCGTCTTGAAAAAACTGAAAAATAACATGTCTTGACTGTAATGTGTGCTTGTGTTGCTGGTGATAGTCGATGTCTAAATTCCAACATAATTTTTTTCTTCACCTTTTGACAAAGTCGGAGATACTACATCCAAACATCAACATACAAATATTTATTCAGAAATAGTAAATAATAACGAAGGAGAAATAGTGGGATTTTCTTCATCCAAGTCATCTAAATAAGTCTTGAAGTAAGAGGTATAAGGTTGATTGAAATTGTTTTGAAAGTCTTCAAGAAATGATTCGGGAGGTGATTGTGTTGATTCTTCTTCTTCTTCTGATGAAAATTTCGCAGTCATTTCGAGAAAATATGAAGGACTTAACAGTGGGGGGATATATACTGGTTCGTCATAAGGTTGGAACAACACTTCATTGGGATTAGACTCATTCAAAAACATATCTTTGTTATTTGGTTCAAATGAATCATATTCAAAATTATCAATGTGGTCTTGATTGTTTGAAAAGTCAAATCTCACTTCATAATTCTCTTCATAACTACCAAAACTTACTATTGGTACTGGAGAAACAAACTGAGATGTCCTATTTTCAATCTGGTTAGGTGAGATATTGGTAGGGGTATAATTAGAAGGTGATCTCCCTCTCACCGTCAATGGCGGAGTTTCACAAAGGGCAACAACAGCATAGGTATTCTCACCCAATTCCAGTAACAATTGAATTTGTAATATAAAATTCTTGGTCCCACTTACTGGTTTCCTATGCTGAACAGAGGATGCAAACTGAATTCGTTCATACTTTGCTACTTTGGTTAAGTTCCCGGGAGGATAGCTATGAAGAATGGACTTTCTATTGTATGGTTTAGTGGTACTTCTATCATCATAAAACAACCGATCAAAATGAACTACCCTGGCAGCTTTCCTAATGTTGGCACTTTCTTTAATGACAATATGACTGGGTAAAATTCCAGGAATTATCGGAACAATAGGAGGTTCAATTTGTGGACCACGATCTCTCTTGGCGGTATGTTGAACCAAGGGAACGTCACTTTCATCCTCAAGACATTTGGAAACTAGTCTAATGGCAAAACTCTTAATATCCCTCAGATTATTTTCAACTTGGGTGTAAAATCCACTTTTCTCAAATAGGGTCTTGTTATGGTTTCGGAATTGAAATGTTGCAACCACCGAGAAGTAGTTGCGTTTATATCCGATCCATTCATTGTCCACTAGGTCAAATCCACGATCAATTCTGGCAGAAAGTACAGGTATCATATTTTGATTACCAATGGTAGAAAATATAGGAGATATTTGAATGGTTTCACCAAATGGAGGACCAACTTTGAATTGTAATCCAGATCTAGGTGCTATTTTGTTGTGGGATTTGGAATGGGAGATAGGATCAGATTTTCCTTCCGAAAGGTATCTCTTAGATCGACCTCGTTTCCGCAAGGGACTGCTTTTGAATTGAAGACTCATGACATTGTAAAAAGAATAACCGCTGAGTAGTTAATTTTTTGGGACTATTTTTATTTTTTGCAGTAATGCAATTTGGAAAAGCTACATGGGGTTGAACACCTCCTTTTTCCTACAATCGCCAAGTTTTATGTATGTAGATGTTATATTACAGAAACCATATTGATATACGATGTTTACCTACAAACAAGGAGTATATTACCCCGTAGTGTTTGCAATCCAGAGGGTCATATTAGAACTGCCATATGGTAGTGCAAAGTTTTTTTTGCCATACCACACGACTCATCTGGTGCTTTAAAAAAAAATATAACCAGACTGATTTTTCAATTCCTACTAGAACATCTCATATCAACCAAAATCACAAACAATGGGAAAGAAGGCTATTGATGCACGTATCCCATCACTTATACGTAATGGGGTACAAGAGAAACAACGTAGTTTCTTTATTATTGTCGGGGACAAGGCCCGTAATCAATTACCCAACTTGCACTACCTTATGATGAGTTCTGATTTAAAGATGAACAAGTCGGTGTTGTGGGCTTACAAGAAAAAATTATTGGGTTTCACCTCACACAGACAAAAGAGAGAAGCCAAGATCAAGAAAGATATAAAGAGGGGTATTAGAGAGGTTAATGAACAAGATCCTTTTGAAGCTTTTATTTCTAACCAACATATCCGATATGTTTACTATAAGGAGACTGAGAAAATCTTGGGTAATACTTATGGGATGTGTATTTTACAAGACTTCGAAGCTTTAACTCCTAATTTATTGGCAAGAACCATCGAGACAGTTGAAGGTGGTGGGTTGGTTGTTATTCTTTTGAAGTCAATGACCAGTTTGAAACAGTTGTATACCATGACCATGGATATTCATTCCAGATACAGAACTGAAGCCCATGATGATGTGGTAGCTAGATTCAATGAAAGATTCTTGCTTTCTTTGGGATCTTGTGAAACTTGTTTAGTCGTAGATGACGAATTGAATGTCTTGCCTATTTCCGGTGGTAAGCACGTTAAACCATTACCACCTAAGGATGACGATGAATTGACTCCCAATGAAAAGGAATTGAAAGAATTGAAAGAAAGTTTAGCTGAAGTACAACCAGCAGGTAGTTTAGTCGGATTATCGAAGACCATCAACCAAGCTCAAGCTATTTTGACATTTATAGACGTTATTTCCGAAAAGACTTTGAGAAGCACAGTTACATTGACTGCTGGTAGAGGTCGTGGTAAATCTGCTGCTTTGGGTATTGCCATTGCTGCTGCTATCTCCCATGGATACTCCAATATTTTTGTCACTTCTCCATCTCCAGAAAACTTAAAGACTCTTTTTGAATTTGTCTTTAGAGGTTTCGACGCATTAGGATACACTGAGCATATGGACTACGATATTATTCAATCCACTAATCCTTCCTTCAACAAGGCTATTGTTAGAGTCGATATCAAGAGAGAACATCGTCAAACCATTCAGTATATCTCACCAAATGACCATCATGTTTTAGGCCAAGCTGAATTGGTTATCATTGATGAAGCAGCTGCTATTCCATTGCCTGTTGTAAAAAAACTCATGGGTCCATACTTGGTGTTTATGGCTTCTACTATTAACGGTTACGAAGGTACTGGTAGATCCTTATCATTGAAGTTGATCCAACAATTGAGACAACAGTCAAATAGTTCAAGTACTCCAGCCGACACTGAAATCATATCCAGAGATAAAAAGTCTGGATTTGAAGGTGGTTCATTAACGAGAAACTTGAAGGAAGTCGTCTTGGACGAACCTATCAGATATGCTCCAGGTGATCCAGTTGAAAAATGGTTGAACAAGTTGCTTTGCTTGGACGTTACCTTATCCAAGAACACCAAGTTTTCCACCAAGGGTACCCCACATCCTTCTCAATGTAACTTGTTCTATGTCAACAGAGATACTTTGTTCTCGTACCATCCAGTCTCGGAAGCCTTCTTGCAAAAAATGATGGCATTATATGTTGCTTCTCATTATAAGAACTCACCTAACGACTTGCAATTAATGAGTGATGCACCAGCACATCAATTATTTGTCTTATTACCACCTATTGAAGAAGGGGACAATAGAATCCCAGATCCACTCTGTGTGATTCAATTGGCATTAGAAGGGGAAATCTCTAAGGAAAGTGTTAGAAAATCCTTGTCTCGTGGTCAAAGAGCTGGTGGTGATTTGATCCCATGGTTGATCTCCCAACAATTCCAAGATGAAGAATTTGCTTCTTTGTCTGGTGCCAGAGTGGTTAGAATTGCTACTAATCCAGAATATGCCGGTATGGGGTATGGTTCAAGAGCTATTGAGTTATTACAAGATTATTACCTGGGTAAATTTACCGACATTAGTGAATCCACAGAAATTAATGATCATACCATCAAGAGAGTCAGTGATAAGGAATTATCGAATGGATCATTAAAGGATGAAATTAAATTGAGGGATGCAAAGACCTTACCTCCTTTGTTATTGAAGTTGTCCGAAAAGGCTCCTTATTACTTGCACTATTTGGGTGTTTCATATGGTTTCACCGCACAATTGCACAAATTCTGGAAGAGATCAGGATTTACACCTGTTTATTTAAGACAAACCGCTAACGAATTGACTGGCGAACATACTTCTGTAGTGATTAATGTCTTACCAGGAAGAGAAAATGCTTGGTTACATGAATTCTCTAAGGATTTCCATAAGCGTTTCTTGCAGTTATTATCATACGAATTCAAGAAGTTTAAGGCTACTCAAGCCTTGGGTATTATTGAGGCTACTGAAGCTGGTGAAGGTGCCAACTCCAAGCCAAAACAGTTAACTAAGGAACAACTTGATGACATCTTATCTCCATTTGACTTGAAGAGATTAGACTCATATGCTAACAATTTGTTGGATTACCATGTTATTGTCGACATGTTACCTTTAATTGCCCAACTTTACTTCTCCAAGAAGACCGGCGAAGAAGTTAGTTTATCTTCAGTTCAATCTGCTATTTTGTTAGCCATTGGGTTACAACATAAGGACATTGATCAAATTTCTAAGGAATTGAACTTACCTGTCAACCAATCCATGGCTATGTTTGCCAAGATTGTCCGTAAATTCTCCACCTATTTCAGAAATGTGTTGAGCAGGGCCATTGAAGAAACCATGCCAGAATTAGAGGACGAAGCCGTCAAGGCCATGGTTGGAGGAGACGAAGACGACGAAGAAATAGATTATGATGCTATTGAACGTAAATTGCATGACGACTTGGAAGAAGCTGGTGATGAAGCCATGAAGGAATTACGTGAAAAACAAAGAGAGTTAATCAATGCCATTAACTTGGATAAGTACACCATTGCTGATGATGCTGATTGGGATGGGGCTGAAAAATCCTTGACTAAGGCTGCCAAGAGCAAGGGTGTTGTTAGTGTCAAGAATAAGAATGCAAAGAGAAAGTCCGGGGAAAGTGCAGGCGAGATTTATGAAAAGGAAATGAAGGCGGCAAGTAAAAAGCTTAAAAAGCCAAAGAAGTAAAATTGTATAGTATAGTTTAATATAGATGTTCTAGTGTAAAATTTCTATGTCTATTGCTCTATAAACTGGATAAGATTGAATTCAATGCCCATTCAATCAATGTGAATAATCGTGTTTCGTCATCATTGTTAATATCAAAGATATTGTACTTTTCAGTCACGTCCTGCTTTAAAGATAAACTGATATCACTTTGTTCAAACAAGTACTTGTGGCTATCCTTGTATGCTGGCCATACAATATCGTCGAAATATCGAGGGGGGTCTACCCAGACACTATCCAAAGTCTGATATGACCTTGATTCTCTTCTCTGTTTCAAAGTTTCATACGGAGCATGAAAGAATAGTTTAATATCAAACAAGTTGAAAATTTCAGGATCATGGAAAAGCATAAATCCATCTACAATGACCACTTTTTTACCCGCAAATTTCTGCAGAGACGAAGTTATCATCTTTTGAAAGATTCTCTCTTCTAACTTCGACAACTTTAAATCTGCATCTGGTTCTAAAGAATGTATCTTTGGCAAAATATGCTTTTGCTTTATATCGTGTAAACATTTGACAAATCTGGCAAAATCGAGTGCTTCCGGACAATCCCAATTTTGCAATCCAGTCTTGGGATCAATAGGAATATCTGCATCATGAAAATAAAAATCGTCAAGATGAATCAACACAGAGTCACCAATCAAATACTGAAGGGCTTTTGAAACTGTGGTTTTACCACTGGAAGAAGGACCTCCACATGCAATTAATACCACCTCCTTGTCATGCGGTATGGTCATGGTCATTAATTTCACTTTATTTATACAAAAGAGGCGGAGTAGATTATTTCAGTAGCCGCTGATAAATGTGATTATCTTGATATTTTTACTTGTAGTATTATCTTGTGATTTTGTTGATCTGTGGGTCTGGGCAGTTTTTCTTTTCGTTTTGGTTGTGGGCACTTTCCCTAGGAAAAACAAAATAAAGCTAATCTCCCTTTGACTAGTTAACAAACCCTGTCACAGCTGACAGATAACAAGGTGTTATCAAAAAAAAAAAACAACCAAATTTAAAGATCAGCAACCTATTTACCAGATTCCAGGATTACTATATCTGGCAAAGATATAGAATAACTTTGTCAATACGAGTGAGATAAGAGGGGGGCGCTCCGAGCTACGGAGTTCAACCTAGCCACCTTCGAAATTGAACGGCTGCATTAGATCATGCATGGGAATACTTGGCTTGCTAGTAACTTCACAAGATTACCAAAGCAACTCCTTATTATCTAAATTCTTTTTTTGCCAATTATGTATAATAAAACAATAATTGCTCAACAATTTAGGCAACAAAGGAGTTTAGAACATGCTAACCAATCGGAATTATGCACCTGGATACATACTTCCGGCATGTTTCCCGTTTTAATCAGGGGGCGCTAGGTGAGTCCGGAATTAAGGTTTAAGTTCCACTAAACCACTCAATGAATGGCCGAAACAAAGATTACGAAGGAAATTAGTTCGAATGAAAAATGTTGTCCTTTTACAGTAATAGCAGCTCATTCTGAATTTGTACTATTTATGCTTCCCCCAGACGTAGATCTAGCGGTGAACCTGGGAAAGATGCCCGCCTCGAAAGTTTCAGAATTAAAACGTTGTTGCCATGTACAAACGCTTAAACTTCGCTAAATCGGTGACTAGAGATCTTGGTATTTTTGTTGTCTGGGTTCCTGGAAGCTATAATTAGTAGGGTTTTAAGGTACATGTACCTAAAAATGCAATAGCTGTCATGATTCTGCACGGTTAAATCTGGAGACAAAGTAGTTGTCCTTCCACTTTGGGTGCGATTTTCATAATACAATTGGCACCCAAAAAAATGTTTTTTTTCTTTTCTTCCGCATTGGGATATTATCACATTCATAAGATTTCCAAATTAGGAAAAGGATTTGGTAAAGATTTCTACGCTTCATACGTTGTACCTGCTACAGATCGTAATGCATTTCCATTCTCATCAAGTTTTGCCTCCTTGTGGTTGTTAAGACGTTGTCAATAACCAGTTGTATATAATAAACTGGATTTCGCTACAGTGGGAAAACCCTTGAGGAGCTTTACAGGTTTTGCTTTTTTTTTTTTCTCGGCTTATTCATTTTCGCAACCGTACCCGTCCCCCGGAGATAGACTATATGTATATATATCTGATAATTCCTTCACTAGTGCATTCTACAATTGAGAAAAAGTTTTAAAATGAAGTCACTTGCAATGCCCGGGTTGGATATTAACAATGCCATGAAAACTTCTTTAATTCCAGGCATACCAATAGAAAGTACAAGACAAAACTACGATCATCTGAATATTATGAGTTTGCAATCTAGTTCAAATAGCATACTAAATTCAACGCCGTCGCCCAAGTCTAAGCCAAAAGTCAGAATTGAAAGAACAGATTCGCCTCAGTCGGCTACTAGCACCACTTCTAATGACAAACTGATGATTGATATATTTAATGTTCTTGGCATTAATATTGAAAATCGTGGCTGGCCGTATGATGCTAATACCCTTCAAGAATTAATCCGATTCAGAGGTGAACAAGAGAAAACAAGACAGGAGATGCTTAAGAATCAAAATATCACTCTTGCACTTGAATTATTGAAGTTAGCTCAAGAAATGAACATAAGTAACGACGTTATTCCTTGTTTGTTTACATCGGACTCCCTTGTCATGGAACATAATTTAAATCAATTACAACGGTTCAATGATGTTCCCAATGGAAGAACAACAAGGAAGAGAACTTATTCAGATACACAATTATCCCACATGGTAAAACAAAAGGAGGATATTCTTAAACACAAATCACACGGGCTGCTGCCCATTTCCAAGAAGGAATTATTGCCGAGTCCTAACAAGGAAAAGCCTACATTATTACCACCAATTCCAATTCCCAGTAGGAAGGAGCAATCGTTATCACAAGAACCACAATCATCACGTCCCATTCAAGAAACTTCAGGCCAGTATCTGCCTAAATTTATCCCACAACCACCTGTATACCCTAGATACTATAATCCTCAACCAGACAATACTATACCAAGTGGCAACCCAGGATCTCCTGGCTTCCGTCCCTACATATACCCTACACCTGTACAATACCCACCTCCACAATATTATTTTGTTCCTTCAAGCACACAACCAGTGCCACCATACTTGATGAACTTACCTATTCCATTACAAAAGACACCACCAATGCAAGCATTACACTCTCCTGAAAGTATCAAATCACAAAAGGATGACGCGCCTGTTAAAAAAAGAAGGAATACCGGGATAAATTTCATGATCAGTACTCCGACTAACCCGCCAGCTAGAAAGTACAATAATCCAAAAGTCAAATAAATCACATGTTCACGCAACTGAAGGGATATATTTATTTTTATTTTTCTAAATTTCACATTGATGATCTTGGCAAAGTGGTAGTTTTTTTTTAAAAGAAAAACTTGACTCTGAGCTTTCGACTTTTTCTATATGCATTTACAGGGAAACCTATTTATGACTGATTTTTGGTTTTTGCTTTCATAGGTTTCTTGTCTATTCTTTTTATAGCTCGCTGTATTAATTAAAGCCAAATGGAAACCAGAGGTAAAGGTATCTGTGCTTCCAGGAATAAACAATCTTACACAAAAAAAAGACTCAACAAACAATCTAACATATGTAACTAATTTCGTTATCTTTCTAATAAGTTCTATCCAGAGAGAGAATGGTGTGACATTTTTTTTTCCAGTCTAGGCTCGATTGCAACACTCTTATCGCTGTCAAAATCTCGTTTCCCTTAAATCGAACTAAAAAAGAAACGTGATTCTCATTGTTCACCGGAAAATTTTCGCACAGAAGTTTGTTCCTCATAGCATCTGGTGATTGCAATTTTGAACGTCTTTTTCACCGCTGAATATGCTTCTACATACGCTATATTAATGGCATACATTGAAGGATAAGCAAGCAAGTTAATAGAACCTAACTGTGAGAATCATTCTTGCTAAACGTTTTGTTATGTCCTTTAATTGCCGATCGCATCGCCGCGAATGACCATTTGTGGCGACCGTTTTGCATAAAACTAAAACCAAGGCTGCTAAAAAATATTTCTGTAAGGGATTAAGAAAAAAAAAAAAAAAAGAACAGGGTGACGTTCAGTTTTTGCAACATAATTATATTCGCTCCTTGATCACGAGAGTCATGGCGGTACGATGGCATGAGTCACAAAATTGGACTATCCCTTTCTATAAATATAGATAATTCGCTGTACTTAATTCTTGACTCTGTATGTATTTGTATATTTTGTGTTGCGATTACAAATTGACAGAAATAGAGACAGTTTGTTGCAATACCTTATGTCAGAAGAATATAAAATTTACCATATAGAAGGCAAGAGATTGGACATGGACACTCATAATCATGAAGTGGACGACAATAGTTCTAGAGAAAGTGATGATATCAAAGTTGAATTCACACAGACCCCTCAGGTCAAATTTGTAGAAATTGAGATAGACAAGAAAGAAGTTTCCGTTTCGGAAAAGCATACTCCACCATATACGATATTTTTATCTCATGAAAGAATATTGCTAGTTGTCATTCTTTCTCTTGTGGGATTCTGGAGTGCTGTTTCTAGTCCAATTTATTTCCCTGCTCTTCCAACATTACAACATTACTTCCATACTACCCCAGGGATGACCAATGCATCAGTTATTGCCTACTTAATATTCCAAGGTATATCACCAACAATCTCTTCCAACTTGGCTGACACTTTCGGGAAGAGACCAGTTATATTAACGAGCATATTGATATACATTGGTGCATGTGTTGCCATTTCCCAGATGCATAACTACATAGGACTTGTTATATTAAGGTGTGTTCAAGCTGCTGGTATTGCTCCTGTTATTGCAATTAGTTCAGGTGTTGCTGGCGATGTTTGCACACCTGCTAATCGAGGTGGTATGGTTGGCGTTACCGTTGGGTTACAGTTGGTTGGAAATGGTATAGGTGGGTTAATAGGTGCACTTCTTATTAGTTCATTTAATTCATGGAGATCAATCTTTATATTTTTAACCATCGGTGGAGGAGTTACATTTGTGTTGGCTTTCTTTTTATTACCAGAAACGTCAAGAAGTATTGTCGGTAATGGATCCATCAAACCTAAATCATGGTGCAATAGAAGTGTGTTCATTAGATTCCCACACTTCAAAGCAAGAATGACCAATGATATAATAACGTTAGAACCAAAGAAATCGTTTGATTTCTGGGGCCCTTACAAGATCTTCTTCAAGAGGATTGTCTTCTTTTCATTGCTTCCCCTGGGCTTGCATTTTGCATCATGGACCATGGTTCTCACTTCACTTTCTACCGAACTTGAATCAAGTAAGTATAATTACACCGTTATGAAAGTTGGTCTCGTCTATCTTCCACAAGGGCTTGCTTGCTTTGGGGGCTCCCTTGTTATAGGAAGGTTGATGAATTGGTACTATCGTCAACGGAAAACCCAACACGAACAAATATACGGGGACTTACCCTATACTGAAAGACATCCATTCAATATTGTTAGCACTAGACTAGCTCTTTGCATTGTACCTTCTATTCTAACCATCATTGGGCTTTCAATTTTTGGTTGGTGTATTGAAACAAATCAGCACATAATCTCAATCATAATTTCCACGTGTCTCATTTCATTAAGTTCGTCAATGACAATGAGCATCAGTGCTACATTACTAGTTGATTTGTTCCCAACGCAAGGAAGTGCTCTGGCTAGTTGTGTAAATTTAATGAGGTGTTTATTGGCAGCATTGGGCACGGGTGTGCTTGATTTTATGGTAGGTAAGTTGCATTTGGGTGGTACGTATACATTAATGGCAGGATTGACTTTGGTGGCTGATATGGGATTCATTTATGTGGTCTATATCGTCAATCAGAGGTTAAAGGGGGAATATATCGAAGAAGAGATCAAGGGTCAAAAAATTTAGTGCTTCTTTTTTAATTACATTATTTATTTCTTGTTAATAGTTTAGATTTTAATAGATTCAAACTAGAGTTTCCCACTATACAGTGCATACTGGAAAATCCATTTTTCTTGAACATTCAGCAATATATTCTTGTACCTTCTAGTGGATATGTGAAATAATGCACTTGTTCATGACGTAGTGAATGATTTAACTTCTCCTGTCATAAGGACACAGGTTAGGAAGATAACCGAACCTATCATATGGTTATGAGTGACATAATTAAAGTTGCCTTAAAGTTATTTATGACTTTACCGACCCGGTCATAAGATCATTAATGGCTTAATCGATTATCATATGGTTATTGGTTAAAGACTTAACCGAACCTGTTATATTATGATAAACTACTTAACCGAGCCTGCCAAAGCTATATTTGGGCGGTTTAACCGAGCCTGACATGGTTACTGGTGTTTACTTAACCGAGCCTGACATGATTACTGGTGTTTACTTAACCGAACCATGACTCCAGTTACGTGACGTAATCGAACTCCCCCCTTCATATCTGGTTCAGTTGGGCTCGGACTTATCTTATTATGATCAGTTGGTTAAAGGAGTAACCGTTTAATTGTTTATCCGGGATTAAATCCGAGCAATAAAAATATAATCTCGCGTCGTAAAACTAGATGAATTAGTTTTTTCTCGGAGATACTTATTTAATTCCGCGATAATGAAACAGAAAACTAAAATTCCACCTCAATAACAATAATTGTTGTTTCAATTGATAATGTTCGAGTAGTATACTCTGGCTATCACCAAATACCAGCTCCAAATGACTGGGTTCCACCGGCAACGGCCCGGTTGTTGCATCAACAGTGGGCGCCGTGTCTCGCGTTGACATCAGGGAGCCATGCGTCAATATGCAGGTGTAAGTATCTCGGTAATTAAAACCGAAGTAGTGGGGGGAGTAGAACAAAGACAACCTACGCAAAAAAAGTGTGCGCGGAGTTGTGACCCAAGCGACTTAGAATTTCTTTTTTTTTTTTTTTTTTTTAAATTAGCTGATTTAGTCTTGCTAATTCCGAAGACATTTCTCTATATAAAGATATCAATATCGCCTTGCTATTGTTAAAAACTGTTCAATATACATATGGTATCAGTTGTAAATATACATTCATTTAATAAGAGAATACTATAAATGTCTGACGAAACAAATATTCTGCAGGATAAAGAGAACCAAATTGGCCTCGTTACTACATCTACCCTGCAGCCACCACCACCGTATACAATACTAACTAAGAAGGAAAAGTATGCTATTGCGGTGCTAATAAGTGCCAGTTCCATCTGGTCCACTCTTTCTTCGTCGATCTATTTCCCAGCATTGACCATATTGTCTCACGACTTTGATGTCTCCCCGGGAATCATCAACATTTCCATTGTTGCATATTTCATATTTCAAGGGATAAGTCCGACGTTGTTGGCGACGGTTGCCGATACCTATGGAAGAAGACCGTGTGTGCTTCTATGTCTTGTGTGCTATACTGGTGTGTGTATTGGTCTTTCGCAGAGTAATGTGTACTGGCTTTTGGCATTTCTTCGTTGTTTGCAAGCCGCTGCCATTTCTCCCATTATTGCCGTCACAGCCGGTATTTTATCTGATATTACTACGAGAGCAGATAGAGGAAGTTATATTGGTACTGTTAGTGGGATTCAGTTGATAGGACAGGGGTTTGGGGCATTGGTTGGTGCCGGTGTTGTTTCGCGATGGGGCTGGCAAGGTGTGTTTGTTTTGTTGGCTATCGGGAGTGGGTTCATGTTTATTTGTTGTGTTGTATTTCTTCCCGAAACTAACCGATCCATCGTGGGAAACATGTCAGTGCCACCAAAGTACATTTATAACCAGAGCCCAGTGGTTCATTTCCCGTGTTGTAGTCACCGCTTGACCAATGATGTGTCAACATTGTCGCCACGTACATCTGCCAACATTTTTGCACCATACAAGATATTCTTTAAACCTGCAGTGTTTTTCACGCTTTTGGCTGGTGGGTTTCAGTTTACCGCCTGGACTATGAATTTGACTACCCTTTCCACCAGTATGCAAGTTGACTATGGGTTTAGTGTGGTTCATGTTGGATTATGTTACTTGGCTCCTGGTATGGGAACTCTTGTAGGGTCAGTTGGGACCGGAAGACTTCTTGATTATACCTACCGTCGTCGAAAAACCGCTTACGACAGCACTTATGGTCATTTACCCAAGGAACAACAGCCACCATTTGACTTGTTTGGCGCCAGATTTCAAACAGCAATATTCACCTCGGTTATCATTGTGGTATTTCTCATTGTGTTTGGCTGGTGTATTGAAAAACACACAAATATTGCACCAATTTTGATCTCGTCGTTTATGATCTCGCTCGCAGCTGTGAGTTTCATGGGTTGTATGAATACGTTGTTGGTGGACTTGTTTCCTAACCAAGGAAGTGCCGCTACTTCCTGTTTGAACTTGATGAGATGCTTGTTGGGAGCAGCTGGTGTAGGTGCACTTCTGGCTATGATTGACGCCATGGGCACTGGTGGAACCTATACGTTGATGTCGGGATTCTGTATCATTTCGTTTTTGATTCTTTCATATCTTTCACAACGGGCCAAGAAGAAGAGAGAGGCCAAGGTTAATTTAAACTCAATGGATGAGAAGTCCAGTTGAATGATTCATGTTTTGCATATAAATTTTTATAGAAGCTGTATTAATAGAAATAGAATAATATATTGACGTAACTTTGTAGAATGATTACATGGGATGCCTTTAAACAGCTATATATTAAAACGAACCCCTAATTTATTATGTATACATAAAAGAAACACGCCTATTGAGATGCACATTGAACACCAGGTTGACCTCCTTCTTCATCTTCAGAATCGTAAGCATCCCTCCTTGTTTGTTGATGTTGGGCTGGGTTGAAGCTAACCATGTCACATTCGTCAACTTCAGCACCCTTAGGAATAGTAACCTTGGCTCTGGCAGGTAAAATAGATTCCAATTCCTTCAATTTGTCTTCAGAAGCAAACCCATTTTCTGGGAATTTAACTGTGAACTTAACAAACAAGTTACCTCTACCACCTTGTCTATAAATTGGCATACCTTGACCTTCAACAACTTTAACTTCACCGGTGGAGATGACTTCACCTGGATAGCTGTGAACCTTGATCCAATCACCAGAAATATGCTTGAATGCAACTTCACCACCAGCCAAAGCAGTCAACAAGTCAATTTCAGCTTCGTAGAATAAATCATTACCCTTTCTGGTGAACTTTTCATGAGGCTTTTCGTCAACGACAAAGATAACATCACCTGGGGTAATACCTGGTTCTTGATCACCTTCACCGCTGAAAACGACACGTTGACCATCCTTCATACCTGGGTCAATGTGAACTTGTAAAATCTTACGTTCAGATTGTGTCTTCTTACCCTTACATACGGTACATCTATCCTTTGGATTACAGATATCACCGGTACCTTGACACTTGTCACAAACGGTTTGGAATCTTTGAATCATAGGACCCATTTGTCTAGTAACAAACTTCATACCACTACCATGACAGTCAGTACACTTGTGCACCTTACCTTCGGCACCACCTAACCCGTTACAGTTCTTACACAATACGGTCTTGTTGAGAGCCAACTTGGTGGTCTTACCCTTATATAACTCTTCCAAAGTACAAGAAATAGAGTGTCTAATATCTTTACCTCTGCTAGGACGTTGTGGACCACCACCAAAGGCACCACCGAAACCTCCACCAAAGAACTGACTGAATATGTCTTCAGCATTCATACCTGGACCACCGGCACCTCCGGACAATCCTTCTTCACCGTAGTTATCGTAGACTTCTCTCTTTTGTTCATCAGACAAGATTTCGTAAGCGTGACTGATCTCCTTAAACTTTTCAGCGGCTTCAGGGGAAGGGTTCTTATCTGGATGGTATTTCAAAGCGGACTTTCTGTATGCTTTTTTCAATTCAGAATCGCTTGCGGATGGAGAAACACCCAAAGCATCGTAGAATTTGGTTTCCTTGACCATTATTATCTATGTTTCAAAAAAAAAGGACTTCTATACTGTAAATTAGAAAACACTGGTGAATTATTTGAACTAACGCGATTTTCCTTGTTTCTAGGGTTAAACGTTGTTTGTTGTATGCGTTGATTCTGTTAGACACGAGGATGAATTAGTATGTGTAACACTAAACGGAAAATTGATAATTGCCCTTTTAAGGTGTTTTAAATATAGAAGAGAGACGTTGAAAAAAAATTTTTTTTTTTTTTTTATCTTTGTGTGTTTGCCATTAGTAAACTTTTGTATGTTGGAAAAAGAAAGAATATTCTACGGTAACATTGTGCCTGTGTGCAGGAGTAGTAAACATACAAATTTGGTAGCGAGGTGGTATAGATTGCAAAATGTTGTAATCCAATCTATGATGTTTAAGTCTTAACTGGCGTAATGCAAAATATAGTAGTTTTATCTCAATTGGTTTGTGCAAAACATCACATGTTTTTCTCATATAAATTTTGATTAATTTCCCACTAATTTAGTAATTATTCTGTTGCATTATATCAAATGCTTAAGCCCGAGGTATTCGGATCAACTCTACTGCACTGTAAATGCTAACAACAGTACATTAAATACAACGTCTATGGCCTCTTTGGCCAGTTAACATCAGCATAAGCATTGTCAATTTTTATATAAAGTAAGTTTTCATTTGGATGAGGTCGCTGAATTACAGCCTTGCATGAAGTGGATATTGCCAAGGTAATCAATACTTTAAACCAAAAGTCACACAAGCTAGAAACGGCAATCACCAAGACATTCTACAAAGTGGCCAAGATGAAGCTATTTTGAAACATCTACGTTAATGTCGAAAGAAATCCCATTTCAATCATTGTTAATATACATACGCTTCTCCACACCAGCATCATATTTGAATATGTAAATCCAAATTTAACTCCTTGAAATGTTTATAGAACAAAATTATCGAGCGCAGATTGAAAAGTGTATCTTTCTAAGAAACTATATCAAATAATTGTTACTGAGGTATTGACGTCAGTGAAAAAGCTTACAATATATTTTAGTGATAACTCTCATGAAATTTGCATAATATCGCTCTCACAACAATTAAAGTCTTTGGGGCTAGTTAATGCAAAGAATGATGTTTTCTCTTGCTTTAAGTCGAATCAAATACTCGACTTAGAACTAAAGGAAGCTTTGATTGGTATTAACATTTTTCCATTAGACTTTAGTCTCACTAGGATATTCCAAGTGCTCAATATAGCAAAGATCGAATCATTTGAAATCATTGCCTTTCCCGTACATTGCTTGTGGAGTACGTCTGAAAACTTAATTGAACCACCATCCAGTGATATGAAGCTTATTTTGTCTCGATTTACAAACATCAAACATTTGGATATTGATTTATTCCCCCAACAGAAGAAATCTGTGATGTAGATTCTTATTTCGAACCCAGTACCTTGAAAAGCTTATTAGTATATTGGAGCTTTTCGAATGAGATCTTCCTATCCATACAAAGTTTTACAAAATCAATAACAACTCCATAAAACATTCTTGGGTCGAGCGCTAACTTTCCCAGTTTATTCATGGATTCACAAAAAATTTGATAGAATATATAAAAATAATTTCCATGTTGTATGGTAAAAATGTCTATGACAGTAGCCTTGAAGCAAAGCCAGCTCATTTTCTTGCAATCAGAACACTATTGGAACCGAGAGGAATGTTTCCAAACTTCAATCATCTCACTATTGCAGGGTATCATCATATAGCGAATAGAAATGTGATGAAAGAAATCCAGATTCTTTGTTTGAAGTAAGACCTCTTATTTCTCTACAAATTTACTCGACTTCTAAAAATAAAATGTATTTGCTTAAACTAACCTGCATGTTCAACAATTTCACTGACCAACTTACCGTTCTTGACACGATGAACAAATTGTTCAGGAACTGCCAATTCGGAATAATCGTCTTCAATAGGGACATTAATGTTCAATGCTGTGGTAGAACTGGTAAACACTTGAATATCACCATCGACGGATTCTTTAGACAAGTAGACAGTTCCTTCATCACTCTTGTCGATACTGATCATAGGCACAAATCCAGTGACTTGCAAGCCAAACTTGATCGACTTAATAACGTCTACTCCAGAAATAAGGGAATCAATAACTAATCCGACATTCTTGGTTTCCAGGAGGGAAACAGCATTGGCTTTACCTTGAAGTTGGATCGTTATATCTTGACAATTACCGATAAACACAGATTGATGCATTTCAACAGCGATGATGATAGGTTCGCTAGCGTCTAACTTTGTGTAGTTTTGAATAACCCACTTGGTACCATCCACCAATTCCTTCTTTGGAGGCTTGGCAGCTGGAGTAGGAGCAGCAGCAGCAGCAGCGGCAGCAGGAGCATCACTTGCACGCGAGGATAAACTTTGTGGTTTCTTTGGTGCAACTGGTGGTTGTTTTCTCAATTCTGGATTTTTGTGAGTCATTTCTGACTTGTCAACCTTCTTTAATCCGGCAGTGATATCCGAACCCTTGTTGAGTTCAGCAAAGACAGCATTGATACCACCAGCTGGAGCAGGAGCAGATTTAGCAGAAGAGGTATCGTCAAACAAGTTTGCTGGAGGAGGTGGTGGAGGTGGAGGAGGTGGTGGTGGAGCACCCCCTTCGGTAGCTGGCTGCTGGGACTTGACAACTTCTTCCAAGTGTGATCCCTTGGAGTTCCAGCTAGGACCAGTGGCATGGTATTCTTTGACGTAATTCTTTAACTCGTCAAAGATGGCCATGAACTTGTTGACCCAATCAACATGTTTTTCGTCCTTTTGCTTGTATTCTTTCAACACACGGTCACTCCAAAACTTGGAACTGTCTTTAAATTCCGGGATGAGAGAGACTGGAGTGTCACTGACAATCCACCCTAAGACAGGAACACCTTCGGAAATGGTGTTCAAATGGTTGAAAAATGGGGAAGTACGGTTGGCTTCCTTGATTTCAATGATTGAGTTGATACGTTTATTCATTGGTTCGAGAACTTTAAGGAAAGTTGGATCGTTCATGTCTGGTTTCTTGGACTTGGAAACAATTTCTAAAAACGAAGATTGGGACTTAAATGCTTCAACGAGCAATTGTGCAGCATCACCAATTACAGAATCAATGCTTTTGGAAGTATCAGCAAAGGGGACAACATGGTCAGAAATGAATTGTTCAAATACAACCACAGATTTTGGTTTTTCTTCAGGAATAGACTTTGGCTTTTCTTCAGGATTAGATTGGGTAGTTTGCATAGAAGAAGAGCTGTCAATTGAAGTTTTTGGTTCGTTGGCAATGCGTTTCTTGTTGGCCTCTTCCTGGTAAAGGGTGATGTCTTCAAGACGGGAAGTAGCGGCTTCAAGACGCTTGAGAATAGTTACGATGTTGTAACCTTGAACGTTATATTGACCTTCCTCGGTGGACATGATGGAAAACCCTTGTATATAGTGGACAATGGTGGATTATTACTGAAATAAGGTATGTAGATTTGAGTATGTGCGTATGCCACCCACCGGACACGGTTCGTCTCTCCACCAAAATTTCAACCCCCCTGTGGCACGTGACTGAAATTGACAATTACCCGGACGCACATCAAAAAGTTTATGGCAACACGCACGACCTGTGCATATAAATATCAACGAAACATCCTATACTTTAGCAAGCAACACCACCTAAAGCGACACCACCGAAAGCAACACCAATCATGTCGCCTTCCAAAGCGAAACCAGAGGAACCCGAGTTCCCACCTCAGCCGGTGAATATTCTCACAGACTATCATGTTTCCACTACAACACCAGAACCATTCTACACTTCATACACACCCAACACCCCAATTGCCATGGATATCGGATCGTCGCAATTCCGAATAGGTCTCACCAACTCATCTTCCCCGAATAACGTGTTCCCCCTGGTTGTGTCCCGTTATCGTGACCGTCGTGCCCAGGCCACGCTTACCTTGATTGGTAACGATGTCTATGGCGACCCAGCCTTGAAATCTACTATAAAGACCCCGTTTGACGGTCCGTTGATCACAAATTGGGATTACATTGAATATATGTTAGACTACTCTTTTGAGCACTTGGGTGTAGACAGTGACAATGGAAGAGTCAACAATCCCATAATCATGACAGAACCATTAGGTTGTCCTTTGAGTCAGAGACGAGGAATGTACGAATTGCTATTTGAGGCATACCGAGTTCCTAAAGTCGTGTTTGGAATTGACGCCTTGTTTTCATACTATGCCAATAAGGGGAAAGACGGGGTTGTCATTGGTACCGGGCACGAACTGACGTATGTGATCCCCGTGGTTTCAGGCAAGGGTGTGATGCTGCAAAGTAAACGTATTGACTGGGGTGGTGACCAGTGTCAGAATTTCCTTGGAAAATTGCTTTCTTTGAAGTATCCTTATTTCCCTACCAAGTTGAACTCACACCAAACAACAAACTTGTTCAAGGATTACTGTTATGTATCAGAGAATTACCAGGAGGAGTTGAAACATATTCTCGATATGGATGTTTTGGAACAAAAGGATATTGTCGTTCAAGTGCCAGTTGAAATTGCTAGCAATCCCGAACCTAAAAAGTCAGAAGAAGAAATTGCAAAACAACAACAAAAGAGAAAGGAACAAGGTAAGAGGCTTCAAGAACAGGCCCAGCAGAAAAGACTCGAGAAACAAGCCCAAAAGAAGGAGGAATGGGAGTACTACTCCAAATTTAAAACGGAAATGGTGAACTTAACTAAGGAGCAAATTGAAGCTCGTCTCTCTGAGGATGGGTTTGACGATTTGGATGATTTCAACAAATACATGGTTTCGCTTGAAAAATCCGTCAAAAGAGCCGACCACGAAGAACAAGAGGATGAGTTTGATGCCGGCAGTGCCTGGCCATTGGTTGATACCCCCGACGATCAATTAACCGACGAGCAAATCAAGGAAAAGCGTAAACAAAAACTTCACAAGGCCAATTATGAAGCTCGAGAACGAACCAAGGAACTTAAACGACAAGAAGAAGAAGCTAAAGCTGCATACGAAAAGGAACAACAAGAATGGAGGGAACGTGACTTGGATGATTGGTGCACCACGAAACGAGTCCAGTTAGCCAGTGCTATTAGCAAATACAAGGAAAGACAAAAGCTTCTTGAGTCTTTTAAAGACAGGAAATCTGCTGCTGCCCAACAAAGAATGAAAAATATTGCTGATTTGGCCAATGATGAAACTGGCCTGACATCAGCTACCCAACGTAAACGTCGTAGAAATGCCAATGCCACCATTGATAATGATCCCAACGATACGTTTGGTGCCAATGATGACGATTGGAACTTGTACCGTGACATATCCAACACCAGTATCGAAGAAGAAATGACCAATATAATGACGGAAATAACCAATCTCGAAGATGATCTTTTGAAGTATGATCCAAATTTCCATCATGAAGATACGTTTGCAGCTGCCACCACATTTGATTGGAGTAGTTCGGTGCTCCACAAATTCATTCATGGACCTCGTCCAAACATGACTATTGCTATGCAAGCTGAAGGACTTTCGCCTGAGGAAATAGCCAGCCATCCTGAAGTTATCCGCAAGAATCACCAAATGCATCTCAATGTTGAAAGAATCCGTGTTCCCGAAATCCTTTTCCAACCCAACATTGCCGGATTGGATCAAGCTGGGATCAGTGAAATTTGTTCTGGTTTGATCAATCGTAGATTGGAAAGAGAAGCCGCAGAACGGGTAATCAAGGATGTATTTATTACTGGTGGGTTAGCCAAACTTCCCAACTTCCAAACTAGAGTAGAGAGAGATTTCAGACTGTTTTTACCTGTGGGCACTCCATTGAAGGTTAGAACCGCTAGAGATCCAATTTTGGATGCTTGGCATGGGATGCAAATGTGGGCTGATAGCGAAGAATGCAAGTCTGGCTATATCACCAAGAAGGAGTATGAAGAGTATGGTGCTGAATATATCAAGGAGCACGGTTTGGGGAATATGTGCTTGATGTAGTAGATACATGCAATAACAAAGATCAAACTACTTTTGAGTATTTTTATACAAAGTGTAGATTATAATATGTAATATACAGTTAACTAAGCGCTGGTCTTTTTGACGTTTGGATTTATACCCTTTCTCTTCAATCCTCGCTTTATAGACAGTTCAACGATTTCCTTATCAGCATCTTCGTCAAATTCAGCGAAATCATCATGAATGATACCTTCATCTTCATACTCTTGTCTGATGAGACTTTCCTTTTCCTTTGCACCAGCCTTGGAGACATCGTGTGGAGAAGGAGCAATCTTTTTAAACTTGGCCACAAAGAAACCATCAACGTTATAGGTGTGTGGGTAGTATCTTCTAGTTAATGACAATTTTGGATTGAAATGTTTCCCACGGTATGATGTAAATCCTTCCTTACCAATTTGCAATTCGGTATCCACTAACTTGACATTAGGTCTTTTACGTAAAGCGTAATCCACGACAGATTCATTTTCATCAACAGCAACGGAACAAGTGGAGTATACGATTATACCACCAGTAGGAGAGTTGGCGTCGACGGAGTCAATAGCGGATAAAAGCAATTGTTTTTGTAAATGGGGGATTTGAATGAAATCCTTTTCGGTACGTCTGACCTTGACACCTTCATCCTTGGCAATGACCCCGGTACCGGAACATGGCGCATCAAGTAAAACTCTGTCGAACCCACCAATAACCTTGGGGAACTCACGGGCATCGTAGTTACACACAATGGTGTTCTTACACCCTAATCTATGAATATTAGCAATTAACGACTTGGTTCTGGCCTTGTTTGCATCATTGGCAAACACACACCCGGTGTTCTTCATAAGGGCAGAAATATAGGTGGTTTTACCACCTGGAGCAGCGGCCATATCCAACACACGCTCGTTTTCTTGTGGGGCAAGAGCCATGACTGGAAGGAAAGATGAGGCGGCTTGTAAGATATAGTGACCGGCAAGGTATTCTGGAGTAGCCCCGATTGGAACTTGAGAATCAAAGATTTGCAACCCGACCTTGGTCCACGAACCGATTGGTTGAAGGTTGACACCACGATTGACTAACTTTTGTGCAAGGTCACGACGTCTAGTCTTTAGGGTGTTTGTTCTAATGGTGATTGGTCTGGCGATTTCGTTAGCTTCAAAGAATTCCATGGCTTCGGCAGGAGAGAACAAGTGGAAAAGTTTATCAGCCAAGAACTCAGAGTAACCAAAGTACTCACAGATATCAGCAAGAAGACGGTTGACGTAATCGGTACGAGACTTGCCTTCTTCGGCCATGTCATTAAAGTTTTCCAAGACCTTGACGATTTCAAGCATACGGGTACGAACAGCAGTGACATCTTGTGGTCCACCTTTAGCAATCTCGGCTTCTTCTTCTGCCGTAGGTAAAACAGCAGCACGAGGTTGGGCCTTTTCTGCTTCCAAGAGTTCAAGCTCTGCTTCTTCGGCTTCGAGTTCGTCTTCTTCATCAAGCTGACGAGAGTAGGCTTCCATGTTGGCAGCATTCAAACCTTCCAAATCATCTTCAGATCCTTCGTCGTCGGAGAACATAGGGTGGGCTCTTTCTTCTTCGTCTGAATCCAAGTCTTCGCCATCAATGTCAAATTCATCATCTTGAGGTTCTTCTTCGTCTGATTCGTCAAAGAGTGACTTTCTAGCGGAGGCAAGTTCTTCTAAATCAACTTCAGGAAGTTCTGGTTCTGGTTCTTGTTCGACTTCGACTTTTTGCTTCTTGGACTTCTTGTGCTCTACTGGTTTTTTGTGTTTTGGTTCTGGCTTGTCTTCTCTCTTTCTCTTTTCCTTCTTGACTTGCTTGGCTTGGAACTCATCAAGAGTAGGTGGGACACCTTGCTTATTCTTTGCTCTTCTTCCCATTGTGTATGTGTCTATGTATTCTATAAGTAATAGTATCTGAGATGAGTTGAGAAAAATAGCTCTGAAAAATTTAAGCAGATTATTTTTTTTAGGAGATGAGCTGAGCTGAGTTTAACTGAACCTATACCAACAACTAGTACTTTGGAAATGAACACGAAAAATCGCACGGTAATCACAGCAAACCAACATGTTCTAATCAGATTACCTTCTGAAGGAACCAAGATTGTCGAGCTTCGTCCTTCTGGAGTAGTCAGTTTGGGAAAATTCGGAAGTTTCTTAGTCGATGGTGTGCTCGGGTATCCTTTTGGCCAATCGTTTGAAATCGTCGAAGGGCAAGATGTGAAACCAATTTTGAGTTTACAACATTCATCTGACCCCAAGGACGTCTCTGAGGAGCCAGAAGGTGATTTGAACAAGGAAGAATTGACAAAGATGTTTTCCGAAAACAACCAGAATATAATAGATATCGGGAGCAAGATCCAGAAATTGACCAACGACGATATCGAAGAGTTGAAAAAATCCGGAGCTACTTCATCCATTGGTCAACACATCATTGATCAGATGATTGCTGGTCACGAAGGGTTTGACAAAAAGACCTTGTTTTCACAACAAAAGTACCTCAGGAGGAAGCAACAAAAGTTCTTGCGGAGATTCACTGTGGAATACTTGGGTTCGTCTCAAATGTTGCAGTACTATATCGATAAGGATTTGCCTAGAGTGATCGATCTCAGTGAAGAAAGTTTGGGATTACTTATGACTTATGGAAATGTCAGACCAGGCGGGAACTACCTCTTGATCGACGAAACCGGTGGGGTTGTCCTCTATGCTATGCTTGAAAGAATGGGTGGTGAAGGCCAGGTGGTGTTGGTGCATGAAAACGAACATGTCAATATCATTGCCTTGCGTCATGCAGGATACAGTGAAGAGTACATAAATCGTATGGTGAAAACCATAGACTATCTCCAATTCTTGGAACCAGAAAACGAAAAGATCAATTGGGAAGACAAGTCGGAAGAAGAACTTGCTGAAATGAAATCATCCAAGCGTGAGCAGTACGAAAAACGTAGAGAACGTGCCACTGCCATCAACTCAGTCATTGAAACTGTGCAAAACGGGAACTTTGATGCATTGATTTCCGTATCAACATTACATCAACCTACTCTACTCCCAAGAATCCTTGACACAGTAGGAGGATCCCGTCCAATAGTCATATACAACCAATACAAGGAACTCTTGTTGGAAACTCAACATGTGCTCACCAAAGACAAGCGAGTATTGGCCCCTTCAATCTTTGAAACTAGAGTCAGGCCATACCAAACCATTCCTGGAAGAATGCATCCTTTGATGACCATGCGTGGTGGGGGAGGATACATTCTTTGGGGAACCAAGGTCATCCCACAAGAAGGTATTACTGCTGTTGGTAGAGGAATTTCCAAGAGAAAGAGAGAAGAGTCGCCAGCAACCGATGCCACCGATTCATAAGTACGTATATATAAAATATTTTTTTGCATAGTTAGATAAATAAACTATGATGCGATCTCATTATACCTTTGGTTCATACAAGTGATCACACATGTCCTTCAACTTTACAAATTCAGTATCGACATTCCATCCAATAACACATCTCACATTATCATTATAATCACACCATATCCCTACTCGCCATGCACTGTAGTCCCGCAAATATTCATACACAAACTCAGCTTGTTCTTCGTAACCAATTTCAAATACAAATGCTTTGGCATGTCCGGGTATCACTATATTCTGAAGAAGTTCCAAATAAAATTCATATTCACCAACAAGAGCCAACTGCGGCTCATACAACTTGACCGATCGTTCTATCCCATGCTCAAACATTGACTTTTTATAGTCATGGAATGGGATGTAAGGTGGATTAGATGTAACTAAATCAACCTTCTCCACACCTATATGCTCGAGGATGTTGACATTGAACACATCACCAATTTGAAAATTTACCCCTGAACTGCCTTCAACGGAGTCCTTATTCTCATTTGCTAGGTTTACCGCCTCAACAGAAACGTCAAATGCATCTACTCGTGTCTTTACTCCCACCTTGTCCAACTCATGTGCCAAAAGTAAGGGGATGCATCCTGTTCCAGTGCATGCATCCACAATACCAATCTCGTCATTCGCAACCTCCTTAACTTTCTCACTCAAGTCTATAACCCAAGCCTCGGTTTCCAGCCTAGGAATCAACACGCCAGGTTTACACTTGACAGTTATATTTCCAAAGGGGACATTCCCCAATATGTACTGTAGCGGAACAAGTCTATCTCTGGCTTCAACAGCCTTAACCCATTCATTAGCAGGAAGTTCGCGCTTGATCCAATTGAGTTCCCGTTGGGCCGCTTCTATGGTCCGATTGGCTCGAAGTAGTGGTGGGAGTAAACTACTGATGCTTTTCGCTTGTCTGATTAGTCTCGGTGATAGTCTTGCCATTGTGTGTATGTGGAGTGTGTTTTGGAAGGAGATGATCATGTGGAGAAACATCATTGTTTTAAAATATAGTGGGAAAAAAATAAACTGGTACGACTTTGATGCTAGCATGCGATTTAGGGGGAGAATTTAACCGTGATCAAGGGGGGGGGATGTTCTCGATTAATGGTTACATTATTTCATCGTGTAGTTTTTTATTGAATTTAGAAGTAGTAGTATGATTGCGAGCTAACGGTTACATGGTTACTCTTGGAAACAAGCGCGGACAATGACAATGATATCAAGCTTCAGAAGAATAGTTCTTTGCTTGATTTAGCATGTAAACCGATGCAATCACCTGTGTAGCGCATAGTACTACTGGGATTGGAGGGATCTTGCTGTAATTTAATATACTTCTCTTATTTGACTCACTTTTTATAGTGCAAAAAAACATAGTTGATGCTGTTGCAAGTAAGTCAAACTAAATGAGGCAACTGTAACAAGCGCCATGCCTTGGCTGCGATAACACCATTTGCATCAACATTGTGTGTTTTCTTGTAAGTTGCAAATTTACAGTTAGGAAAGTTTTGCAGTGTCATAAACCCAAATCAATTAGGAAAGAACCTAGTGTCCAACTCTAAGTTCTTCCTTGGCGAGTCAACTTAGGCTTTCCAATCTCAAACTAATAGTACCAAATTGAAAACTATAAATATTTACTAATTACTTCTACGATATCTATAATCATTATGACAAGAAACAAGTCACCATGCCAAATATTATTTGCAAATTTTTAAAAATAGGTACCCTTCAAGGAAGTGCTCCTAGAAAGAACAAAGGGAGGCAGTTAGGAACATTGCCAGCACTTTTAGTCACAGAACATGAACGGTTCAATGATGTAAGTTCGTATATGCAAATCAGCAATCCTGATAGGACCACCACGAACTATCTCACCGTGATGGTGTTGGGTGATCGGTATGGATCGGACAAGATGAACTATTTGTTTAAAGCAAGGTTCCCCACTGGTGACCCCTGGGATTTCAACAAGGAGAGAAACAATGGGTTTTGGTTGTGTTTGACTGATCAGATGAAGATGCATACCAAGGGCGAGAATCGAAAGTTTTTGGTGATGCACTCTCGAGGATTGTTTTCCATTGATTGGAATAAAGATCGTGATTTCTCCAAGAAGGTTATGACTTTTGGGATTTATGCGGCCGATGTGTTTTTGGTGATGAAGAAGCTTGGCCAGGCCAAAGATGAATTGGTACAGCTTTTCCAAGCTAAAGTGGCACTTTCACACAAGCCAGGTAAGTCAGGATATGGCCACAAGACATTGTTGTTTATAGTTTTTGACATAGAGAAAGATGTGGCTCTGGCAGCGTGGAAGATCCGGAGAGAGATTTGTGAGATTTGGACTGGCTGTACCAAGGGTGAAAGTTTGGCTGATTATTTTGAACTTGATTTGCATGCTATTAGGCCGGGGTCTAATTCTGAGCTTGATAAGGTTCGTGGTCACTTGATGTCTAATACCATGTTAGATGCTAGTACTATCAAGGTTCCTCTTGATCAGTGGGCTGCGTTTGCAAGAGATTGTTGGAATGTGATTACCGACGACACGTTGGCACCACCTAAGTACGGACAGTCTATTATATAGATATGTAAGTATATTTTTTGTTGTTGTTGTTATTGTTGTTTAGCACTGGCTGCAAAAATACACTTCAAGATAATATTATATGTAAAAGACATATTCTTTCTAGCAGTTTTAAGTGTTAATAATTTAGTAATCGTTTGGTGCAAATATATCTATTTGGTAGCTAATTACAATAACTTATATACAAGAAGGACTTACATCCCTTTTCTTCTGTAGTACATGTATGCTCTTTCATGAACATGTTCTGGACTTGGAGAAATAACCTCGGAATGACCTGGTCTGGCAATTGGATCTCTCAAGTACACGGCATGACAAGTGTCAAACGACACTTCAATGTGATGAGGCAAGATCGAGAAACAGCCCAAGAACCCTCTAGGAGACCAAGGGGTGAAGTAAGGCTTGCTTGGGTCTTGTCTTCCATGCAAGTGCTTTTGCCATGGCAATTCGACAACAGCATTGGATTCGTCTTCCAAGATTTCTTCCTTGTTCAACAAAGGAACTTTTGTGAGTTTGGAGGCGTAGGTTGGGTCGTATGGGGCAGCACCGGTGTTTTCAGCAGATTCGATCTCACGACGAATTTCGGCCCATTGTGATTTTTGCAATTCGGTCAATTGCGCCTTGATGGATCTGGCAACGTGCTTGACTGAGTCTGGTTGGTTGGCCTTTTGGGTTTCATCGGGGTTGACAAATTCCTTGACGGAAGCTAAGGTTGGTTTTTCAACAATGTCCTTGGCGTTCTTGGAAACTTTTTGGAAAATGTCGGAACATTTCTTGCTGTTGTGAGGGCCGTATTTAGCAAATGTTTCAGCGGTGACTGGGGCAGTTGCAGCAGATCCAAGTTGTAAAATGTCGAGAAGGATGGATTCCCTGGTGATTTCATCTTGGGCTGACTTCATTTGTTTTCTCTTTTCCACAAGTTCAAGCTTTTCTCTTTCCTTCTTTTCCAAATTAGCAATACTGTTCAAGGAATTCTTCTTTTGTAACTTTTCCCATTCTCCCTTTGAGTCGGCTTGTGCTCTGTCTACGTAGTTGTTGTATTGGGTGATTTGAGAATTATCGATTTCAAGGGCTTGTTCAAGACTTGGCTTGGACTTACCAAGGGCATAAAGTACCTTGACTGGGTCAACATGGAACACATCTCCGCTTTTCAATGGGAATGAAGGGTGTTTAATTTTGACACCATTAACGCTGACATGGCCACCCATGATAAATTGTCTGGCTTGTCTGACGGAACTGGCAAACATGGCTCGGAAAATGGCGATTTCCAATCGTTTCTCCAAGGGGGAGAAGGTTTGCAACACCATAGGAGTGTGTTTTTGGCCGGCGGCTCCACGCATGGTGGCGTCCAATTGTACGTTCGATTTCAACCCTGGTGAGAATAATTGCTTCCAGCGGGTTTCGTTTATGTGTTCTCCATGGTATCCTCTTGTCTCGGTCTTGGCCAAGTACTTTTGTTGGTAAAGGGTCTTACCAGTGTATGTTGCTTCGGGTTTCTTGATGAGGTTGTACAAGTTCTTTTTGTTCATCGACATACGAACACGTCCACGTGCCAACGTATGGAGTCTGTCTGCTTTCCTAGGCATCTCGTTTTTTTGTCTGTACCTTTGGGTTAAACTTACTGCTTGGTAATAACAGTCCTCGTTTGATCAAAATTTTTATGAATGGGAGAAAAGTGAAATTTTTTTTTTCAGAATGGTCAAATGCCGAAATAGGAAACCGCATCACGTGCTGCTCTTTTCCTACCATCCGCTGGTGTATGTGTATTTTTTTCCAAGATGTTGGTGTTTACAATTGGGTTGGTTGTTTTAATGTGCAAAAAAGAGGTATGCGTTCATGGACAACCGAGGAGGAGATTGCTCTTTTCAATCTAGTATGTGACCACAAACCAGCGGGAGCCGTCAAGCACAAGCAGATGGATGCGATAATAGACAATATCAACAAAGATGTACCCGGCAGCAACAAATTCACCGTGGCAGATATATGGGCCAAGCTAGCCACGTTGTATGATCTCAAAAGAATTGATTATCTAGAGGATTGGGAGAGCGAAAGCAGTGGTGAATCAAGTGAGAGTGAGACATCCAAGAAGGAGCAGGACGAGAAAATCAAAGTGGAGGAAGATAAGAAGGAGGACAAAGTCAAGGGAGGTAAAACCAAGGAAGTCAAGATAGAAGTTCCTGAAGTAGAAGAGGACGAAGTGGACGAAGTGGCGTCTCCTGTACCTGAACCAATCAAGAAAACCACCACTACTCGATCACGATCTCGTGAACCTAGACCAAGACGACAGTTGCGAAATATGACTGAAAATAGTGGTGATGAATCGTCTGGATTGAGTGATGTAGAAAGTAAGAAGGAAGATAAGGAAAAGGAAGAAGACCAAGAATCTGAAGAAGAGGAGGAGGAGGAGGAAGAAGAAGAGCAGGAACAGGAAGAAGAGGAGGAGGAAGAGGAAGAAGAAGTTGAACAAGTGAAAGAAGAACCTAAGCAAGAGGAACAGACAAAACCAAGACGGGGTAGACGAGGACGCAAACCTAAAGCGGTAGTTGAAGCAGAACAAGCAGAAGCTGAAAAAGAAACAAAACCAGTACCGAAGAAAAGAACCCGTTCGACTGCCAAACTCGAAGAAACTCCCGAGCAAACACCACCTCCCCAACCCAGAAAGAAGACAAAGTCAAGTCCATCTGCTTCACGCAGAAGAACACGATCTGAGCTTCAAGAAGAGGAAAGTAATGATGACGATTCCGAAGAAAAGTCTTCTTCTGAAGCTGATCAGCCGGAGCCAGTTAAACAAGCTACTCGACGTTCTAGTAGAGGTAGACGAGCTACTCGTAAGAAATAGCATTAGCCTTTTGTAGATTTAATGGAAAAAGTTTTTGATTTTTCACCAACGCGTATAATGATTTTTCTGTAAATCATCAACTGTCTCTTTCTAACAATCTTGCAACATAGCATGCAAACCAGACAATTGGCTAGACGTGTCATACTATCACCTTCCATTCAAATAAAAAGAATGTTATCCATCACACAATATGTTCGTCATGAAATAGCCACAGCCACAACTGCAACTGCTGCTACTGCTACTTCTGTTGTTTCAGATGTGCATGAAAAACAAGTTGCTACAGATAGTCCTTCAATTGGAACCATCCCCGGTTGGGACCGTGGTGGAAGAAAACAAGATAAGTCACTCACAGCATTGTATGCAACCATCCGTCGACTCATAGACAAGAATCCTGGATCCGCTAGTCTTGTACAAGTGGGGAGTTTCTACGAAATGTACTTTGAACAGGCCGAACAATACGCTCCGAAACTTGGACTCAAACTTGCAATTAAACGAACTAAGAACTATGCTATACCAATGGCAGGATTCCCACTTTCCCAGCTACGCAAGTATGTCGAGATTTTAGTTCATGAAATTGGTGTGAATGTTGCAATTATCGAACAGTATCCTACGTCAGATGCAGTGCAACTAAATAACTTGATACACCGTAAGATCAGCAGAATTGTGTCTCCGGGGACACTCATCGACGAATCATTCCTTAACTACAATTCCAACAACTACTTGCTCGCCATTTCATTCCCACCTCACCTTACTGATCTTCCCCCAGACCCGCAAACTCCCGTGGGGCTAGCCTGGGTTGACATTTCCGTAGGTGAATCCTTCATCCAACAAACCACACTAAAAGACCTCAGTGCTGACATCTCGCGTATCTCGCCCAGCGAGATCCTCCTCACTCAGGACTGTCAACCACTCGAACTCCACACGGGAAAATGGGAATCATCACTCCAGATCCTCCGGAAGTACTTTCTTCGATATCACTCCGCCCAACATTCCGACCTTAAGCTACAATTCAAATCTAGTCTCCAAGCTACTCGTAGAGCACTTCAAAACTTGTCAGTACGTGACCATTCCGCATTGAACATGATCCTCTCTTATGTCAGGATCAACCTCCCCGAGGCTAATTTCAGCCTTGAGCTCCCCACTTACTATTACAACAAAAATGTGCTTCAGATGGATCCTCGTACTCGAGAGGCACTTGAATTGACCGAGAGATCAGTTAATGGTCGTGCGTCCGTCATTGGTTCCTTTCTCACTACCATCCGGGAAACTGCCACGGCTTCAGGATCGAGACTTTTAACACAATGGATAAAGTCGCCTATTCTTGACATTCGCGAACTCCAACGCCGCCAGGGTTACGTCAAGTTGTTCTTGGACTATCCGATGTTGAGAAGGACAATGAGGATGCATTTGAGTCAGATTGGTGATTTCATCAGGTTTGTCCAGAGATTGACAGTAGGCACCGGAGATGACGTCGTGCAATTGGTGAGCATTGCTGATAGTTTATCCAAGTTGCAAAAGTTGGAAGAGTACTTGAAGGAGGAATATGCAAAACAGAAGGACATGACTGTGTTGGGTGATTTCTTGAAGAAGTTTCACGTACCCACCGGAATTGCCGATGAAATTCACAAAACTATCTATATTAAACCGGTGATTAAAGTTGAAGATAGTGAAGAAAAGGTAGATGAACTGGATGAATCTGCCTTGGAGATGGACATGGACAAGTACCGAATTAAGCAGACCGATGAGTTATCTAACGAACCTGACTTTTCATTCTCGGTCAATCGAGACTTTAATGAAACCCTTTCCAAGCTTCATAGCGACCTTGACAATCTTGAAAGAAAAGAACAGGTACAAATAGCCAACGTACAACAGATTCTCACCGAAATCGACCCTAAGCTTACCGTGTCCAAGAAGGAGCAATACGGAAGATACTCAGATGTACTATACATATCAGGCAAGCAAAAGTCCATAGTAACCGCATTTGAAAAGTTTGACCAGGACGTACGTGAACGAAAGCAAAAGTCATTCATTTATAAACCGAAAGAATGGGACGACTTACAGCGGAAAATCCATGAGATCCATAATGCCATTGTCAGCGAAGAACGGAAAATCATTGAGTACTTAAAAGTCAAGGTCATTGATGAAATTCCTGCTATTCGTCACGTTTCTCGTCTTGTCGATTTTCTTGATGTTACTTCATCATTTTCTATTCTCGCACAAGAAAACCATTGGACTTGTCCTGAACTTACAGACTCACCCTGTCTTGAAATCAAGCAGGGCCGCCATGTTGTTGTCGAATCTAGTCTTCGTGAAGGTGGAGGCAACTTCACACCAAATAATACGAACCTAGGCACAGATGGCAAGCTCTGGGTGATTTCTGGTCCTAATATGGGTGGAAAGAGTACATTCTTGCGTCAGAACGCTCTTATTGTGATTCTTGCCCAGATTGGTTCCTATGTTCCTTGTGAATACGCCAAAGTCGGGATTGTGGATAAGATATTCACGAGGATTGGTGCTAGTGATGATCTCTTCAATGATTTGAGTACATTCATGGTGGAGATGGTGGAAACTAGTAATATCTTGCGTAATGCAAGCTCGCGATCGCTTGCGATCGTTGATGAAATAGGAAGAGGAACGAGTGGGAAGGAAGGAATGGCTATTGCATATGCCACATTGCGAAATTTAGTTGAAGTTAATCAATGCCGTACTTTATTCGCTACTCATTTCGGCAAGGAGTTGCAACTGATTTTGCAACTGAATAATGTCGATCAGAAAGATATAAGGTACTACCGTACTAGAGTCTTGGTTAATGAGCTGGATAGCGAGTTTGAAAAGAAGTGGATCATCGATCATCATTTAGAACCGGGAATTAGTGAAACATCAAACGCAATTGAAGTAGCGCAAATGGCAGGGTTTCCTGAACGAGCACTAGACGTTGCTCGGGATGTATTGTTAAAACTATAGAGTCTATTTATTGCAGAGGGTTTTGTTGGTTTTGTTGAATTTGTTGGAGAAGGAGTTGTTTCAACTGTTCAAGTTGGGCAGGATCTACCTGGTTGGTATTTGCTGGTGCTGGCTGATACTCTTGATGGTACTGTTGTTGATACATTGGCTGTTGAAATTGCTGCTGCTGTGGATATATTGGGTACAATGGTTGTTGGAATGACGGTTGTGGTGGTTGAAACGATTGTTGGTACCCTTGATATTGGTTAAACTGCTGTGATGGTCTATATTGTTGATCTGCATGGGGGAAATAAGGTTGGCCATATTGTGATTGTTGAGATTGTTGAGGTTGTTGATATTGTTGAGTAGAAGTATGGACATAGGGCTGATGTTGTGGTTGTGCTTGTGGTTGTGCTCGTGAATAGTTACTATAGTCATGTACGTTTTCTCTTCTATTAACAGATGATCTTGCATTATTAATCGGGGAGTAGGAAGCAACTGGTTGGTGTCTCTTGGAGGCACTGACAACGGGTTCCCCTTGTCTTTTGTCGTTTGGTTTCTTGTTTTTATTCTTTTTCTTCTTAGCTTGTTTAGCGGCCAATTCTGCCTCATCATCAGAGAACTCTTGTTCTTCAGGTGGAAGCTCTTCATCGTGACAATTACTGGCATCAGTACCTTTCAAATGCTTTATTGTATCGGTATACAAGAATCCTGAATCAGGAACAACATAATAAACAGATTTCCCCGTTGTCCCTTTAAATTTGGCAAATTCTTCTTCACTGTTGAACTTCACACGATATACTGGTTGTTGAACTCTGCCAAAGATTTCAAATAAGGGACCAATAACAGTTCTATCATCAAAACAAAAGATTGATTCTTCCTTAAGGACTCGAAATTCACCCGATGTTCTAGCCTTGATGATCATGGAGTTTTCAACTAGACCAGTCACGATTCCGATTTCTTCAATGGGTGCATTCTCGGGAATTTGATAGTTTTCAGGAAGTACAGGGGCAACTTCTGTGACTTCGTGCTTGGACTTGATGGGGCCGTCAATGTGGTCTTCTTCTTCCTCTTCTTCTTCGTCAACTTCATCCGCAAGGATGTTTTCATCAGTTTCTTCCGAGTCGGAGTCAGAGTCGGAATCAGAATCAGATGCTTCATCTGAGGAGGAGTCGGAATCGTCTTCGGATGATGATATGTCGTCAACATTGATTTCATCATCGGAAAGAACCAAATCTGGAGTAGTGGATATTTCGAAGTTGGCTTTATCCTCGGTACTTTCTGATTTGACTTGTTCGACTTTTGATTCTTCATTATCCTCGGTTTGTACATCTTCGGGATTTTCTTCTCTGGTTTCCCCGATGTTTGATTCTTGTTGTTCTTCGAGTTCAATTTGTTTAGATTCTTCTTGCGTGGATTCCTCCTGGTTTGCTTCTTGATGTTCATCGACCTTGTTTGCTGGATCTGCTTGTTCCTTTGCATGATCCTCGGTATTTGTGTTGGTACTTTCTTGAAGTAATACATTTTCAACTTGAGCATCTTCACTTATAGAAGCAGGTGCCTGATTATTTGCTTCGTTTGACTGGGTAGTATCTTGCCCCACGTCCTCGATCTTGTCAGTCGATTCTTGCTCTTCTGTATTCTGTGCTGACGAATCAATTTCTTGGTTCACAATGGTAGCCTCGCTGTTCACCACCTCAACTTCTTCTTCTTTCTTTTCTATCAGATCAGTTGACATTCTATAACGTAGATATGACTCTTGTTTATTATACTTTGTATTAGTTGTTTTTTAGATAAACGCGATGATCATCTTTTCATAGTACGACAATATTTTTTAGTCATCTGCAGGATGTGAAATTGGTAGCGTGCTTCTCTACCCTGTCACTTTTGCCATATTATAGTTTCGTTCTGTGGTTGCAGATATTTAAGTATGCCATTGGACAATAAATAATAAGTTCTCAGTAGTGCGTGATCGCCTTTGCTGAATAATTTATAGTGAACGACAATTATGCTGGAGGTTTTGTTAAAAATTGACATAAAAATCAAAAGAAATATTATACAGAATGGAACAAACAATGAGGTATGACTAGCAGTAACAATCGTGAACAGCGTAAAACATCAAACACTAATGGAAGTCATAACATATTCGTCACTTTCTGATCGTCACTGTCAAAAAATAGTAATCTTTTAGAGTGCTTGAGGTATATGTGGTTGCAAAAGGTGCTATAGTAATGTTAGCACCGCGCAAAGCAACGCCCAGTCACGTGAGCGTTAAGTAAATATGAGCACCGATCTAAGTAAACCTGAGACTGAAAATTAGGTTTGAACGAAAAAAATCAAATCCAGGTTACCCGGAACTGATGAAAAATTTTTTTTTCTCTCCTGCATCAGGTCTCGTGAATAGTACGAAGCCCAAAAAAAAATTGTATGAAAAATTTTTTAATACCCTTCTAACTCTTCTTCATTAACCAAGTAGTTTAAAAACTTATCAAAATGGGTGCCTACAAATATTTAGAAGAACTCCAAAGAAAGAAGCAATCTGATGTTATGCGTTTCCTTTATCGTGTCAGATGTTGGGAATACAGACAAAAGAACGTTATCCACCGTGCTTCCAGACCATCTAGACCAGACAAGGCTAGAAGATTAGGATACAAGGCCAAGCAAGGTTTCGTTATCTTCAGAGTCAGAGTCAGAAGAGGTGGTAGAAAGAGACCTGTTCCAAAGGGTGCTACCTACGGTAAGCCAACCAACCAAGGGGTTAATCAATTAAAGTACCAAAGATCTTTGAGATCTACTGCCGAAGAACGTGTTGGTCGTCGTGCTGGTAACTTGAGAGTCTTGAACTCTTACTGGATTAACCAAGATTCTACTTACAAGTACTTTGAAGTTATTCTTGTTGATCCATCCCACAAGGCTATCAGAAGAGATGCTAGATACAACTGGATCACCGAACCAGTTCACAAGCACCGTGAATCTAGAGGTCTTACTGCTGCTGGTAAGAAGTCCAGAGGTATCAACAAGGGTCACAGATACACCAAGACCAAGGCTGGTCGTCGTCACACTTGGAAGAAGAACAACACTTTATCCTTGTGGAGATACAGATCTTAAGCAGGTTAAGAAATTTGTTTCGACATTGTTTTCTTATTGCTTGAGATTATAATAATAGCTGGTGAGGTTTTTCTTTGGTGAAATAATTTTATAGTGATTAATGAAATAAGCTTTATCGGTGAAGAGAATTTTTTTTTTTGTAGAGAATTTAAACGAAGTAGGCAGTAAGTAAGCTGCAAAAAAGAGAAGATTGAGGGAATATAGATCAATTTAGAGCACAGCAACTAGTGTTTTAGAACCGGATTATGCGGCTAGCTCTGCGAAACACGTCAATATTAGTAAAAAATTGGTCATAGAGCAGCTGATTGGCTTGAGATGGTGTCGCTCTCAACCACTAGTCATCGGGTAAATTAGCATGCGGAATTAACTTTAGCAAGGGATATCATGCCACCACATACACATCTGTCTGTGCCTATAGATGATAGCAGATGGCAGATGGCAGATAGCAGATAGCAGCTAACCAGCACTTGCAAGGTATATAGAAACTGCATAGTCAAACTGAAAATGCGACGTGGACTAGCCCGAGTCAAAATGTGGAGGTTTTGTGTAGTAATTGGTTATCGCTCGATCGTAAAGTTACCACGCCAATAACAATCATTACGCCCCCCAGGGGAGTTAAAAAAAAAGCGGGAAAAAGATTTTTTCTCCTTCACCCTTTTTTTTTTTGGGCTGTCTGGCCAAAGTTTCAGTTTCAGTTTCTCTTTCGTTTGTCTGATCTTCTCTTCTCTTCTCTTCTTCTTCTTCTTCTTCTTCTTCTTCTTCTTTCTTCTTTCTCCTTCTTGCCCTTCTTGCTTGAAACTCAATTGAAAGGTTTCTACATATCCTGCATTCATCAATTGTTCATTATTCATACGCTCAATTGCTATTCGATCATTCATTCCTGTTCAGATCGCTCCTTATCCCTAATCACCTAGTACATATCAAATGGCCCATTCTAAAACTGCAATTTTGTCTGTCTACGACAAAACCGGTCTTTTGGACCTCGCCAAGGGCTTAGTCGCTGCCAATGTCCGTATCCTTGCCTCTGGAGGTACTGCCAAGTTAGTTCGTGAAGCCGGCTTCCCTGTTGAAGATGTTTCTTCCATCACTCACGCCCCAGAAATGTTAGGTGGTAGAGTCAAGACTTTACACCCAGCCGTCCATGGTGGGATCTTGGCCAGAAACTTGGAATCTGACGAAAAGGATTTATCCGCTCAAGGCATTGAAAAGGTCGATTTCGTTGTTTGTAACTTGTACCCATTCAAGGAAACCATCTCCAAGGTCGCCGTCACCGTCGAAGAAGCCGTGGAAGAAATTGACATTGGTGGTGTCACCTTGTTGCGTGCTGCCGCCAAGAACCACGCTCGTGTCACCATCTTATCTGATCCAAAGGATTATGCTGGATTTTTACAAGAATTGAAGGAAGGTGAAATTTCCTCTGAAACCAGAAACAGATTAGCCCTCAAGGCATTCGAGCACACCGCTGATTACGATGTTGCCATTTCCGATTTCTTCAGAAAGCAATACGCGGAAAATGTCTCACAATTACCTTTAAGATATGGTGCCAACCCTCACCAAAAACCAGCTCAAGCTTTTGTTGCTGAAGGTGAATTGCCATTCAAGGTTTTGAGTGGTTCTCCAGGTTACATCAACTTGTTGGATGCATTGAACTCCTGGCCATTGGTTAAGGAATTATCTGCCTCTTTGAACTTGCCTGCTGCTGCCTCTTTTAAGCACGTCTCTCCAGCCGGTGCTGCTGTTGGTTTGCCATTGACTGATGTTGAAAAGAAGATCTATTTTGTCGAAGATATCGAAAACTTGTCCCCATTAGCCAATGCCTACGCTAGAGCCAGAGGTGCCGACAGAATGTCCAGTTTTGGTGATTTCATCGCTCTTTCCAACATCGTTGATTTACCAACTGCGCAAATCATCTCCAAGGAAGTTTCCGATGGGGTTATTGCTCCAGGATACGAGGATGAAGCTTTGGAAATCTTGAAGAAGAAAAAGAATGGTAAGTACTGTATTTTACAAATCGATCCAAACTACACCCCAGAAAACCTCGAAACCAGACAAGTTTACGGTATCACTTTACAACAAAAGCGTAATGACGCCATTTTCAAAGGAAGCTCCTTCAAGGAAATCGTTTCCAAGAACAAGGAATTGACCGAACAAGGATCAATTGACTTGACCATCGCCACCATTGCCTTGAAGTACACCCAATCCAACTCGGTCTGTTACGCCAAGAACGGTATGGTTATCGGATTAGGTGCCGGACAACAATCACGTATCCACTGTACCAGATTAGCCGGGGACAAGGCTGACAACTGGTGGTTCAGACAACACCCTAAGGTTCTTGGATTCAAGTGGGCGAAGGGTGTCAAGAGACCAGAAAAGTCCAACGCCATTGATTTATACGTGACCAACCAAATTCCAACCACTGAGCCAGAAAAGTCCGAATACGAATCCAAGTTTGCTGAACTTCCAGAACCATTAACCAAGGAAGAAAGAGAAGAATGGTTGGGTAAATTAAACAATGTTGCTTTAAGTTCTGATGCGTTCTTCCCATTCCCTGACAATGTATACCGTGCCGTTAGATCTGGGGTTAAATTCATTGCTGCGCCAAGCGGAAGTGTTATGGACAAGGCTGTGTTTGCTGCTGCTGATGCTAATGAGATTGTCTATGTTGAAAACCCAATTAGATTATTCCACCATTAAGTAAACGTCTTTTTTATTTTTGTTTAAACACTCTCTATGTTTTTGTTATTGTTAATATGAGATTTGTATTGTAATATCGTTCTTTCCTATATTGGTAAATTACCACACACTACTACAACCAAAGTAGACACGTAAAGTGAAAAAAAAGGCACCAAAAAATATCGACAAAAAAAAAAAAAAATTAGCAAATTTATTCACTACTGCCAACCATAACAACAACTATACCGCTATCATGGCCTCTTCGGAATACAATTATGACGAATCAGGCGAGACATGGCCGTTCTTTGTCTTGGCCATCCTCAGTGTGATACTCATACCCTTGTCCATCAAATACATCTATCGGATCAGAGACAGCTCTAACCCAGTAATAGAAAACCAAAAAATTAAAGGTGCAATCACTGAAGACGCCACCAGTATCGGCGTCGCCAATGCCGACTCCATCAAACACTTTAAGAGAAAGCAAAAGTCTGACAAAATCTTCAACAAGACCTTGGTGTTTCTTATTCTCGGCTGGCTTGCTGTTTTGTACGTGGGCAAATATGTTACTAAAGACGCCGACACGTCGGTGTTGTTTGATCCCTATGCTATTTTGGACGTTTCCTTTAGTTCCACCGAGCTGGAAATCAAGAGTCACTACCGTAAGTTGTCGTTGAAGTACCATCCAGATAAGTTGCCTAGAGATTTGACCCAGGAAGCCAAGGACAAGATGGAACAAGAGTACATCAAGTTGACATCTGCCTACAAGGCCTTGACCGATCAGACCATGCGAGAAAACTACTTGAGATATGGTCACCCAGATGGTGAGCAACCAACCACCCATGGTATCGCCCTTCCCCAATTCTTGGTTGAAGGAAAGTACAGCTCAATTGTCATTGTGGGCTATTTCCTCTTGATTGGGGTTTTGTTGCCCTATGTCGTGGGCAAATGGTGGAACAACGTCAAGAGCCACACCAGAAAGGGATTGCGCGTTGAAACTGCTGCTCAGTTTACGAGAAAATTAACCGATAAGGATCCTGGTAAGGTTGTAACTCCCCATGACATTTTGGACTGGGTGTTGGAAAGTCAAGAAATAAAGAAGAGCTTCCCTAATTTAAGTGTTGGCGAAATCAAGAACCTTGTTGAATTACATTTGAACCGAGATTTCTCAAACACCGCGGTGGAAAATGACAAGGTTGAACTTGTAGCCAAGTTGCCATTTTTGATCCTGGGTCTTGTTGACATTGCTGTTGTTTTCCGTGTCCATGATGTTATTCTCGCCGCCGAAGATTTGAAAAAGTGTATTGTTCAAGCTGTTCCTATCAACGGCAGATACCAAGAATTATTGCAATTGCCATTCGTCGATCGTGAAACTGTGATTAACCAACCAATTAAGAAATTGGGTAAATTGCTCACTCTTTCTCAGGATGAAGCCAAGAAAGTATTGGGTATTAAAGATGACGCGCAAGTGAAACGTGCCCTCGAAGTTGCCTCTCACATCCCTACACTTCGTATTCTTGAAGCTGAATTCAAATTGCCTGGCGAAGAAGTCATCCCTCCCCAATCCAGCGTTCATTTATCCGTTAAATTCCTTGTTAAGTCCCCAAGAATAAAATCCTGTCCTGAAATCGACGATAAAAGATTGAAGGATGAAGAAACCTTGGACTATTTGAAAAACCCCTTAATTGTCAATGATCAACAACCACAATTACCATTCTCATACACTCCTTTCTTCCCTATCAGTTTCCGTAATGGCTGGGACGTCATGCTCATCAACCAAAAGGATAATAAGTTAGTGGAAGACAGTACCGTTTACAGTTTGGAAAATATCGATTTGTCCGATTTGGAAATCTCTCAAGAATCTTGGAAAGAAGGTAAGGATGTAGTTATTGGAACATTCAAGATCCCATTGCCTCAACCCACTGGTGCTATTGGAACTCACTCTTACAGAGTAATCATGAAAAATAACGCTTACTTTGGTGCTGATGTCGATGTTCCTGCCTACTTGGAAGTTGAACATGCGCCAATAAAGGCCGAACTTTCGAGTGTCAAGAAGAAGTTATTGGACGATAGCGATGAATCTGATTCTGACAGTGATATTTCTGACCCTGAAGAAGACTCCTTGGCTGGTGCCTTGGCTGCTTTAAGAGGTGATGTCAAGAATAAGTCTAACAAGATTCAAGAGTTGAATGACGATGATAGCGATAACGAAAGTGTGTTTACTGATATCAACACGGATACTGAAGATGAAGCTGATTAGAATATATTTATATATATATATATACATAATAATAAAAAAAAGTGTCGAGCCAAACTATACTGCCAAAGTCATGATGTAGGCATCAGGGTTTGGTATTTCTAAGCTCTTGTAATAATCCTTGATGACTTCATCCTTTTTGACGAATCCCTTTTTCAAGTACCATTCAATGGCCTCCTTATTATCCACATGGACATGAATATAAATCTCATGAATGAATCTCGATTTTGTCTCTTCAATAACGTAGTTCAACAATTTACTGCCAATGCCCAATCCACGGTACTTTTCTAATACGGCAAAACTTTCAATGTAGATAGCATTAGGTATGTTCTTGGAAGGCAATTGGAAACGCAACAACAGTTCGAGCAGACTGATCTTGTGGGTATTGTTAAATGCTCTGGCTTTTATAGCTCCCACTGGTATTTCAGCATAAAATGCCAATTTGGTGATTTGTCCCGGTGTCACTGCTTCCTGGTACCATGCAGCATCGTAACGAGAGGGCAACACTACTTCATTAATTTTCTGGAATGTTCCGACGTTGTTTACGGTAAGGTCGTCCAATGCGACAATGTCTCTGCCCATTTTTAGCTACTTTGTATACTAACTTGTCGTACAACACTTTCAATGCTCGTAAAGAAATGAAGTGAAAATTGCAAAGAAAATCACGTGATTGTTGAAAACCGTATAGCATCCATCCTTGTAGTGGCGGATCTGACTATGTAGGTCGAATAATATCAAAATTGGTGGTATTACATTTTGTCACATGATAATTGGGCCACCCCCCACCCCTAAATTAAATAAACCACCACCAGATTTAAAATTGTTTTGGCTATTGTCTTTTGGTTGCCTGGGTTTTGCCTCTAACAGGAAAATTTAAGTTCCAACAAAAAGATTTGCATCCTTGACGTCACTCTCTTTTCCCTACAGACTTGACATTAACAATGATCACCACTGTACTTATCCTATTAATCATTCTTTACTTAGCTAGAAGTTTCTACAAAGACCATGTTGAAAACCCAATTGACGCCACCCCTGAAGAATCAACCGTAGTCGAGGGCAATTTCACCCCCAAAACCTTGGCCAAGTATAACGGTAAGGACGATCCTAAGGTATTCCTCGCCGTTAAACGAGTAGTGTATGATGTCACTATGGGAAAGTCATTCTATGGTCCTGGTGGTCCCTATGAGAACTTCGCCGGAAGGGATGCCTCGCGAGGTTTGGCCAAGAATTCGTTTGATTTGGAAATGTTGACACCCTTGGATCAACCTATAGACAAATTGGGTGATTTGAACAAGGAAGAATTGGAAAGCTTGGCCAATTGGGAAGATTTGTTTGAAAATAAATATAAAGTTGTGGGGAAACTTTACGAAAATGATGAAGTTGTCAACGGTGATGTTGTCAAGAAGGAATAAGCAATTTAATCTCACTTATATAGTTATCTCTCTGTTAATATCAATATCATAAAACTGTATGATTTACCATGTAATCCCCTTCCTAGTTATGGCTCTTGATCCGCTACCCTGAAAATGGTCGTGTACCCCAGCACAAACTTTCATCGCCAATAGACAATTTTTTTGCTTGAAAAAAAAAAAAGACGAAACTAACCAGCAACTAGTCTCGTTACAACACAGTTCAATCAATTGGTATATCACAATGAGTTATCGTGGAAGAGGTAGAGGAGGCTACCATGGCGGTAATTACAACAATAACCAACAACAACACCACAACAACCAATACAACAACAATAATCAACAAAATGTTGATGCATTCGTGGCTGCCAATTCCATCCCTGTGGAAATCATGGGCTGGAACGGGGCCAGTTCCGGTGAGTGTATAAACTTTATCTCGAGAAAATGCCGTGTTGTCGTGTCAAATTACAGTGTTGATGAAAATAGCGGCGTCTTGAAAGGCTATGTCAAGAACGAATCCCAAGTTAAACAATTGTTGGATTGGAGTGGGGTGAGATTTGCTGGACAACCGTTGAGATTCTCAAAGGGGTCAGCTACTTTATCAGGACAAATGGGGGCCAACACCAGTGGACCAATGAATACTATTGAAACCATTACTCATTTCTTGAAGACAAGATATCAACCGGAAATCAAATTATTAAACCTCAGTAACGTTAAACAGGATCCCACATTGGCAGCACAGGGGTTTTTCGGTTCAATGTCTACCACGTCGAAATTCTTTCCTGCATTAATGAAAATCGCCAATGATTTAAAGTTGGATGTGGTTAGTATAGATTTGTCCAACAACGAATTGAATGACTTGCAAACAATCTCCACCATGGCTACTACATTCCCAAAATTACAAAATCTTTCCTTGCACAATAACAATTTCCAAAGAATTAGAGTATTTGAATCGTGGAAGCATAAGCTTAACTTCTTGAGAGAACTAATCTTGACCGAAAACCCAATATTGAACAATGTCAATGAATTACAACTGATTAAATTAGAATTAATGAGATCCTTCCCTAGATTAGTTGTCTTGAACGGCGAAGTATTGAGAAATGAACAAGCATTAAACCTCAACTTAACATTCCCATTTGAATCCACCCAACCTATGTTTTTCCAAGACGACAATATTCAAAATATCGCCACCAATTTCATTACCAATTATCTCAAATTATGGGACTCAAACCGTGCCGATTTAATGATCTTATACCAAAACGAATCCCAATTCTCCATGCAATTAGATTCAGCCCATCCACATTTAATCGAAGCAAGCTCAACTACAGGAACTGATTTTGGATACTATTTACACAATTCTAGAAACTTGACTCGTGTTTCATCCATCAAGGCCAGACAAGCCAAGCTTGCCACCGGTCAAGAGCAAATTTACAAGAGCTTTACCCAATTACCTAAAACCCATCATGATTTAATAAACAAACCTGAAATGTACAGTATGGAAAGTTTCACATATGCACCATTGAATGGTATAATGATTATTATCCATGGATCATTTGAAGAAACTGCCCAACCCGACAACTTGGATTCATTAAATCTGTCAAGTAACAGTGGACCTCGGGGAAGATATGGCGGAGGTCCATCAAAGAAGAAGGTTCCCTTAAGTAAGAAATCCTTTGATCGGACATTCTTGGTTATTCCTGGTCCGAATGGAAGTATGATTGTTGCTAGTGACATATTGACTATCCGACCATTCAGTAGCACTACACCCTGGAACAAGCCAGTACAAGCTGTGGCTACTCCAACTGTTACACCCAACCAATCTCCTGCACCACAAGGACCTCCATCTACTGAATTACCACCGGAAATCAAGAGCAGATTAAACCCTGTACAACAAGAGTTGTTGGTGAAGATACTACTCGAAACCAAGTTAAATATTCAGTACGGTATCATGCTTTGTGAACAAAGTAATTGGGATTATAATCAATGTTCAATAAATTTTAAAAACTCGGCACCAACATTACCTAGAGAGGCATTTATATAGATTTAGGATGTTATGAAAAAGAGAAAAAAAAATACACACACTATTTGTATAACATATCGTATTCGTCAAACGAGCGATTGACCAATGACAGGGAATTCTTTGCTTCCTCACCTAGCAACTCGTAAATTTCAAACTCGTACTTTGGACACAGTCTAATTGTCCAAACTTGTTTAAAGGTCTTGGTTAATTCGCTACACATGTAGATTTCGCGATTCTTGACATAGTAATACACTGGCATATTCTTGTCAAAATCGTCTAAGGTGTTTCCAGTAACAGACACTCGGACGTATTGGACATTTCGTGGATCTCTTGTTTTCTTATAAGCGTAATTCCGATCACGGAAATCATGATAAAACACAATGGTCTTTTTAGTGCCAACGTAAACGTACTGATATATAGCCGAGAGTACATCTTGTTCATCATAAATCTCAGTGTAATCCTCGAAATTATCAACGGTTTTCAATTTGGCAACGTGCTCATTTATAAAAACATAATTACGAACATATTTCTTGATTTGAGTTCCCCGGATTACGTCACGCTGTTGCCAGTTCAAGTACCATTTGATTTCCTGCTCATTCTGGACTTTATATAGCACGATACGGTTATGTTTTATTTGTGGCTTATTGGAAGTGTAGAAAATGCGCAACATCGTACGGATCAATTTTGGAACATTCTATGAATTTGAGCTGGGGATTGTGATGTAGTAATTGGAAGTTTGTTATGCTGGTGTGTTACTAAAGTTTGGTTACAATCGGGGAAGGAATAGACATTGAATATCCCGTTTTTCAATCAATAGCTTGCACCGGTCACAGTTTCCCCAACACGATTAAACTATATTTCAATAAAATTATGTCAAAATTTTAGTTTCAGATTAAAGATAAGGTGCAATCAGCTTAGTTTTACTTCTCCTCTTACACACTCTCTAGCACAACCTGCAACCTTTAACTTTAACTTTAGCAACTTATGTTGACAACTGGTAGCGGCAGAATCACAGCCGTATGTTTTTTTTTCCTGTTATTTCAAAGACATATTTAGTTTCTATTCACTTGTACTACAACCGCTAATGCCAACATGGGGTATAATATAGCAATGGTCAGCGATTTCTTCTATCCTCAGCCAGGAGGAGTAGAGTTCCATGTATACCATCTATCGCAAAAGCTAATTGACATGGGTCACTCTGTAATAATAATCACGCATCACTATGGCAATCGTACCGGGATACGAACACTCACGAACGGATTAAAAGTTTATTACATTCCTTTCTTTGTTCTATACCGAAGCTCCACTTTTCCTACAGTGTTCTCGTTATTCCCTATACTAAGGAACATATTCATTCGAGAAGAAATTGATATCGTGCATGGTCACGGAACATTCAGCAGTATAGGCCACGAAGCGATCTTCCACGCCCGCACAATGGGGATGCGTACCGTATTCACCGATCATTCACTATTTGGGTTTGCCGATGTGGGTTCTATTCTCGGGAATAAAGTGTTGAAGTTCACGCTTAGTGACGTAGGGCATGTCATTTGTGTGTCGCATACGTGTAAAGAGAACACGGTATTACGAGCCTCGCTTGATCCTTTGAGCGTGAGTGTTATCCCCAATGCTGTTATATCGAAGGATTTCCTGCCTGATTTGAACAAGAAACAAGGAGAGGATATTACGATTGTGGTTATTACAAGACTATTTCCTAATAAAGGTGCCGATTTACTTACGGCGATCATCCCACGAATATGCATGGCCAAACCCAATGTGAAGTTCCTAATTGCTGGTGATGGCCCCAAATTTCTTGACCTTGAACAAATGAGAGAGGAGTATTTCCTCCAAGAACGGGTCAAGCTCATTGGTGCAGTCAAACACGAGCAAGTTCGAGATGTAATGGTTCAGGGAGACATTTACTTGCACCCGTCACTCACGGAGGCATTTGGGACAGTCATTGTCGAAGCGGCATCATGCGGTTTGTTCGTGGTTACTACAAAAGTAGGAGGAATCCCCGAGGTCCTCCCCAAGGAAATCTTTCGATTTGCGGAACCAGAAGAAGATTCATTAGTAGATGCTACATTAAACGCTATAGACTTAATCCAATCGGGTGAAATAGACACATCCACGTTCCATTCTGTAGTGTCCAAAATGTATTCGTGGTCAGACATTGCCAAGCGCACGGAAAACGTGTATAATCTGTTGGATCTAAATGTATTGAATCAACCGTTAATTGAACGATTACAAAAGTATTATTGTTGTGGGGTAATTGCTGGAAAGTTGTATGTTCTTTGCGTGATTGTCGATATCTTTATTTATGCCGTGCTCGAATGGTTCTATCCTCGCGAACATATAGATCGGGCGAATAAATGGCCCAAACATCGAAGGAATTCACTAGAGTAGGTTATTTCGGCGGGATTTGTAATGAGTATACCTTTCTTCAATTAACAAATTAGCATATTTGGGTAAATTCTTTTTAGGACGCCATGTAGAAGTGGTGGCAATGTGAACTGCTTTGACATCCAATGCAATTGACCGCAAATCTCGCGATAATTCCATCAACGGAGTTGTTTCATTCCACCTAGTTCTTGATGTCTTTTTTAACCAACTGTAGTCCTGCTTGGGCGTAGCCATTCTCATCTTATTGATTTGTTTCAATTGAGATATTTGTTCCATAAAGGAAATATTCTCATTATATTGATGTTGGGATTTCAAGTCATTGAATACAAGATCGTATTCCTGGGTATTCTTTTCAACAAGAGTTAACTGAGTTTTTAAATCTTCTTTCTCTAATTCAAGTGATTTAATCGTTTCCAAGTATGATTGTATTTGTTGTTCTTGTTTAATAAGTTTCGCTTGTAAATTCTCCAAGTTAAGAGTGTTTTGACTAGTCAACGATTTCATATTTTGTTCCAACATGGTGATATTCAATTTGAGGTCTGATATTTCTTGATCTTTTTGGAGAATCTTGGAATTGAGTTCAGAAACTAGCGAATCTGGAACTTCCGATTTTTCTGCAATTTGTTCTGGTTCTGGTTTGATGTCATATATTGATACAGGATCAATTGAATGACCGTATGCGAAGTCAATGTGTGGAATGTTCTCAAGTGACAACAGTAACTGTGTTTCAGACAATTCGTCTTTTGTGATAAGTGAATGTAATTCATTTACACAGTCATTGATTTGCTTGAAAAGTATACGAAAATTAGGCTTACCCTTGGGAAATTCTATTTCCTTAGTTATATCAATAGCTGTATCTTCCTGAACTAATTGATCTAATTGCTTTCTCAAATTAGGATATTGTTCAACTATGCTTTTTGAAAATTCATGTTGATGTCTAAGCAAAGAATTAATAAATCTCACCCATAAATTGTCAACTAGTTGTAGCCCTTCCAATTCCAGAAATTCAATAATTGTATGAATTGCTTTGCCAACTTGAGTAAACTCATCAATTATGCCCTGTTGCAAATCATCACCTTGGATAAACGCAGTGATTGCATTTAATATAGGGTCAAGTAACTCAAGATTGAGATCCAAATCTGGGTTATATTCTAATAACATATGAACAAACTTGAAAAATTCTTGCAACTCCATAACAACAAAGTATGCATATATTTGACCTGATAATTTCTTAGGGAACTTCGTCGATAGAACATTCAAGTCCAGAATAGTTAACTTGAATTTAAGAATAACATCACTTAATTCATGAGGGATTGTATGCTGGGTTACTATGCTGTATCTATTTTCAACCAATTCAAGCTTTATTGAATCAGCACGAGATTTTGCTTTTAAATCTCGAAGTGTTTGCTGAGTTGATTTTAGTTCGAGTTCATAATCAGTCAAATCTTTCTCAGGAACAGACTTGTCTATATTCTTTTGCAACAGTTTGTTCTTGTCCTCCAAAGTCCTTATTTTCTCTTTATTTACTTCAATTTCTTTAGTCAAGTTCAGGACCTGTTTTCTTAATTCTGCTTCTGACTGTTTTTGAGTTTCTTCAAGTTGTTTATCTAAATCATGAATCTCATTCAATTCGCCTATAGTTTTGTTAAGAGATATGATAGTCTTTGAAAGTTCGTGATTTTCATGAGTTAAATGTTCAGTAATCTTTTCTAATTCTTCAAATTGTTCGAGTCTTTCTTCTATGCCTTGGCTTAGTTTAAGCTCGTCAATTTCCTTCTTTAAGTTGTTTTCTGTCTCTTCTGAAAGTTTCTTTAATGCGACCAATGCCAGTTCAAGCTGCTTATTCCGTTCAACGATGGACTTTATATCATCAGAAGAGTATTGTTCCACATCAACAAAACTGAACTCATGCTCCAACTCTTGATTAATTTCCAACTCTTCTTTGATCAAGTGAAACTCAGTATCTAGTTTCTTATACCTGTCCAGTAATTCCTCTAATTGAGTAGTCAATTCCAAATTACTGGACTTCAAAAACTCATTCTCCAATAATTGCATTTCTAATTTCAGTTCAAGACCTCCAATTCTCTCCATGGTCCTCTCTGACTCCTTCATTAACTCACTTATCCTCTCTTTATACCCACTGGATTCGGAAGTTACCAACTTGAGTTTATTCTGCAACTTATCAATAATCCGATTGACATTATTCAAGTCGGGCGACATTTCCTTCTGTGGTTCGAGCATGCTTTGCCGCACGAACACGCCATGGTTGGGTTTACAATGAAAATATTGAACACCTTCCACTGAACCATTGTTCTTACCGTTTGGCTGGGATAGTTCGACTCCATACCATGTCCCAGGGGCGAATTGGGTGGTGCCTATGTAGCGGATTATGCCTGGGGTTGTTTTCACTATGACTTTTGATCCCACTGAATATTCCGTCATACTGGGTTATATAACTTCATTTAATGATATTTCACTACAAAGGTTGGAGAATATATATATGTTCAATTGATTGTATGATTGTAGAATGCACCTTGTTGTAAGTAATCAGATTTGGTTGCCAGATTTTGTTAGTGCAAAACACGCGTTTAAATCAAAAACTAAAAAAAAGTTCAAACTATCAACACCAAGACTACACCTTTATAAACACACACAACTAACAAAACAAAAAAATGGCCTTCAGCGGAAGAAAGAGTACATTGGACTACCAACCCCAAACAACCAGCCCTTTCCCCGGCAATAAACGGACTCCCGGACAACAACAACAGCAACCCACTGTAAAGCAAGAACTACTCGATGAACAACGAATTGAAATCAGAGAAGCGTTCTCAATATTTGACATGAATGGCGATGGCTATTTAGACTATCATGAATGTAAAGTCGCATTCCGTGCTTTGGGTTTCGATTTGCCTAAGCGACAAGTATTGGATATCATAACTGAATACGACACCGATGACACAAACTTAATCAACTACGATAACTTCTTCAAAGTCGTAGGACAGATGATTCTTGAACGAGACCCCTTGGATGAGATTAAACGCGCGTTCAAGTTGTTTGATGAAGATAACACCGGTAAGATCTCATTGAGAAATTTAAGAAAGATCGCTAAGGATTTGGGTGAGAATTTAACTGATGAAGAATTAAGAGCCATGATTGAAGAATTTGATTTGGATGAAGATGGAGAAAGTATGTATATCCACACTATTGCCTTTGCTTTTGACTTTTACTAACACATTCTAGTTAATGAACAAGAGTTTATCAAAATTTGTACCGAATAGATGTTACCCTGTAAACCAATTATTGTATATTAATGTCTTAGCTATGTCTAATCTGGCCAGAACTATTGCCAACTTGTTTAATAAAAGTGTTGTTTTATTATATACTATATAGTTGTAGCGGTTGTAGTGGATGGTCGTGCCCCGTTCAATATCACTCGAATGAAAAATCGCAATACAAAAATTTTTTTTTTTCACCATAGTCCACAACCTATACAAATCAAAGCTAACAGTAACAAACATGTCCTGGACAGTAGCTAGACATAGATTCAAGAGAGATCCGGAAAAGTACACTGGAGTACTCAAGGAATACTGGAAAAAGAAAGTCCAAGGGACTTCCATGCCCACTTTTGAAAATTTCACTCCTTACAAATTACCTAAACATGAAAGAAAAACCGATTTCCAAGTTGGGATAACTCAAGGAGATTTAGTTTATGTCACCGAGGGTGAAAAGAAAGGATCAATCGCTAAAGTGTACATGTACAATCCCGAATACAACCATGTCATGATCTCGGACCATACTGAACAAAGAATTCTTCCTAAATCTAGATGGACCGAGGGTACCACTTCCCACGTTATCGATATGCCTAAATTCATGCCTTTGACTAGTATAAAATTAGCCGGTAAGGATAAAGACGAAAACGGGAAAGTCAGTTACGTCGTAGCTGATGAAGTTATCCTCAAGGACCAGTACTATGACGATAGATATAAGAGATGGTTACCTAGACGTTTCGTAAAACACCACGAATCAGTAGAAATCCCCTGGCCTGCACCAGAAGAAGTTGAAGATGGGGAATTAAGTACCAAGGAAAGTGCCGCTTTGGAAAAGACCTGGGAATTCCAAACCATTGGTCAACCACCAGTTCCAGAAGACGCATTACCGGAATTACGTAATCCTTATTCCCAATACAAAAAGAGAACCTTGACTGCATTACAAGCATACAAGTTGAACTATCCAGATATGCCATTGACTAAAGAGCAAAAGATTTACTTGGCCAAGAAACAAGAACAAGCTAGTGCCAAGAAACTTACTCCATTGTCCGATGAAATTAAAGAATTTATTGGTAGTAAGATGGCCGATCATATTAATAAGATTGAAAGTGAAGCCATGCTTGCTCATTTAGAAGGATTATCTAAAGTTCCAAACCCCGACTTTGAAAAGAACATGGCTGAATTACAGCAGTAAATAATATCTTGTACATAATACATATTCATAGTAAGAACTCGTACTTGTAGTAGTAGTAGAAGATATCCTTGCAACAATGTAAATAATGCTCTGTATTAACGTATACATAATGCTCTTGGCTTACACCGACTACAACTTCTCATAATCCAACTTACCCTCCAATTTCTTAACATCAGCAACCTTCCGCACGGCCTTCATCATGTCATTCTGTAAAATATAATCTCTGTCTTCTCTAATAGCAAAGAAACCAGCTTCAGTAACAACATTTCTGATATCAGCCCCATTGAATCCATCACTCATTTTAACCATGGCTTCAAAATCGAATTCTCCATGCTTGGAAACCTTACTGGTATGAATCTTGAAGATTTCCAATCTTCCACTTTCGTTAGGCAAGGGGATTTCAATCTTTCTATCCAATCTACCAGCTCTCAATAACGCCGGATCCAAAGTATCTGGTCTGTTTGTAGCCATTATAATCTTAGTTTGTCCAAGTGAGTCAAACCCATCCATTTGGTTTAATAATTCCATAAGAGTACGTTGAATTTCACGATCGGCAGAAGTACCTTCACTGAATCTTCTTCCACCAATGGCATCAACTTCATCCATAAAAATGATACATGGCTCGTGTTCCTTGGCATAACTAAACATTTCTCTGATTAAACGAGCGGATTCACCAATATACTTGTCGACAATGGCCGATGCGGGGGAGAATATAAAGTTTGCACCAATGGTGGCTGCTACCGCCTTGGCCAACAAGGTCTTACCAGTACCTGGAGGACCGTACAATAACACCCCCTTTGGAGACTTGATACCAACACGGGTAAACAATTCTGGGTTCTTCAATGGCAATTCAATGACTTCTCTCAATTCTCTAATTTGTTCATTCAACCCACCAATACCGTTGAATGAGATTTCTCCAGGTTCGAACGTAGTCATATTGTACACCAACGGATCGACTTCTCTAGGCAAGATTCTCATGATTGTCAATGTAGTCATATCCAAAGAAACTCTGACACCATTTCTTAAGTTTTCCTTCTTGATTGTGTTTCTGCACCCAACAATATATCTGGGTCCACTAGAAGCCTTGACAATGAATCGTTCATCATCCAATTGTTTCAAAACTTCCCCAATGATTTGACCTACTGATTGCAATGCTTTGATGTCATTCTCGGTCTTTTCGTAATCCTTCTCCAAGTCTCGTATAGAAAGACGCAATTCCTTTAATCGAGAGTCCCATTTTCTGTGTTCTAATAATTTGTCTTTGAATTTAGAAAGGGCCCGTTCTCTCTCAGGATCAACGGACGAAACTTCGGGTTGGGGTTGATCAGCGTTTAATGCTGCTAAAAGAGCATCGTTTTCGTCAGCACTCATCGTAATCAATTGATATATTTATTAACTTACTTCGTGGCTGTCAGTGTAAGTGGCAACAAAACTTTTGTTTGTCTTTAATGGCAAAAAATGTTGATGAAGTTTTCCACAAAAGCGCACGACCCTTTTTCTAGACCGGTCACGTGACCGGGTGCTGTATGCACAGTCTAGCCCAATACGGTTAGAATTCTCTTACGATTTTACAGGATCGTCCTGGAAACTTTTTCACAAAGTTGGATATTGGTCTATATTTGCTCGTTTGTTCTTTGCTAACAGTTTCTCATCCCACATATCAGTCTTGACCACCAGCAGTCGCTCAATTCACTACATGGTAAAGCTACTGATATTCGTGTCCTGCATATAACCCCATTGACTTACTCATAGCAGGTGAAAGAAATCTTGAAAAAATTGTTGTAAGATGATTAGTGAAGTATCGCCGTCTTACAAACACACAAGGAAACATCCTGGCACAATTGATATGGAATTCACGGCGATTATATTTTGTGGTAATGGGAAAGCCCTCTCTCCGTTTTCTGGAGTTAGATCTACAGGTATACCTAAAGCATTGATCCCCATTGCCAATAAACCCATGATTGAATATGTATTGGACTGGTGTGAATTAGCATTCTTTCCTAATGTCATTGTTGTAACTAATGACGAGGATTTACCTTCCATCAAGGACGCGGTTGATGTTTATCAAACTAGAAAGACTAAAAAGGAAGGCGAAGACGGAGAAGGTGACGGAAGCGAGTGCATTATCGAAGTTGTTGGTATAGATACCGATCACAGTGGTCCAATCTTGTTTGAATTGTACAAAAACTCCTCCAATAAGTTTATGGAGAATTTCGTGATCTTGCCTTGTGATTTCATCACCAATTTATCCCCACAGGTTCTTATTGAAGCTTATAGAAACAAAGAAGATACTGACTTGGGATTGCTTATACATTACAAAAACCAATTGAATATCGAAGACAAGAAAAGCAAAATATTTCCTAAACATTACACCATATATTCCGAGAACGACGACAATTGTACCTTGTTGGACATTTACAATCAACAAGATATTGAATTTCACAAATCCTTACAAATTAGAACCCAGATGTGTTGGAGATATCCTAATTCCACAATAAGTACCAAGCTTCTTAACAGTTCCATATTCTTTGGATCCACTTCCATATTTGAAATCTTCAAAGAAAATCCAGATAAGTTTACCGAGTCCTACTTCAAGTCAAGATCTGCCACCAAGATTATTCGTGATTTGGCAAGAAGATCATGGAAGCATTCAAGTACCAAAGAAACTATCGGCTTTTTAATCTTACCTAACCAAGCCACTTTCTTTAGATGTAACAACTTGCCCGTTCTCATGGAGTCCAATAGATATTTCATGAAGGAGCAAGCCAAGTCCAAGGGTCAACAAGTGAAACAAGCAAACAAGACAGAAGCTCATATTGGTGTCGATTCTCTCGTTGGCGAAGAAACTACTTTGGGTGAAAAGACAAACGTTAAAACTACAGTCATTGGCAACAAATGTACTATTGGAAAACGAGTTAAATTAACCGGTTGTCTTGTATTCAATAACGTCACCATCGAAGATGACGTACAATTGGAAAATTGTATTATCGGTAATGACGTCATAATCCACACCAAGAGTAAACTTGTCAATTGTAATGTTGAATCAACCAATGAAATAGCCAAAGGAACTCAATCTAAAGGTGACACCTTATTGTGTTTGACTTTAGAAGGATTAGGAGAATCTGCTATAGACAGTGATTCAAGTGAAGATGAATATTCTAGCGAAGATTATTCCGAAGAAGACTACGATGATGAATATGCTGATAATGATGATGGATTGTTTGCTTATTAATAGAACTCTGTATAACCTAGGAATCCTAATGTCAAGTGCATTTGCAACTCTATATTCTTTTTCTTTTTGAGTGGTTCATGACCACATATTCAGTAAAAGCGATAATTTCTTGATACCCAAAGTGGAAAGATTGCATTTAGATAACATGTAGCTAGGTTCATTGTAAATTTCAATGCTTGGAATACCAAACCGCTGAATAGTTCCGGGTCTAGTCTATTTGAGAAATATGCCCTAAAAGTGATTTGTAGTTTAGCATTAAGAAATGAGCATAATATTGATGTTTCTTAACAAAAGTGACATACACTCACCGTTAGATAAAGCCTCTATTTGGTATTCTGCAAGGGGGTTTCCTTAGCCAGTTAATGTCTTTAAAGCAGTTAGCCACACATCGGGGCGAATTTGCATTTCTTTATTCCAACTTGGTAGCCCAACCTTTTGTGGAGTAATCTTTGTCTTTATACAACAGACACTTCTACAGTAGTATCTTTTACTACCGAGAGATAACCTTAAATATCGTTTGAACATATTATTTACGAGTTTTTGAAAGTACTCTTTATTAATAGTTCAGGAAAGGACGCAAGAGCTCAAATCGAAAGTTCTTTACATGAAGTGAGTTCAAAATAGGTTTAAGAAAAGTCTACATTGATACTCGTGTGCATTAAAAGATAGGGTTATCTAACACTAGTTCTAATCCATCAAAATAATCAAATGCTTTGAATGTTACCAGCTCGGAAGTGGTTTGTAGATTTTCAGGTTTTAAGTTTTCGCATTCATCATCAAGCAGACAGCGTCTAAATTTTTCCATTATCAATTGAATGACAAATTCTTCTGATTGAACCTTTTTTACGGAAATTTTGAAAAACTCCCCATAATCGTAGATGCAATTCAAAATCAATGACTTTACTTTATATAGGGTTAGGTAAGTTAAACTTGAAGCGCAGGTGCAAAAAGGTCTCAGCCCATACATCCTTGGTACCTTCTTTTAATACAAGAATGGCCAATTTAGGAATTTCTAGACTCGTTATCTCTAAGAATCATGATATGCTATTTGTTTTTGAAATATTAAGTAAAATACATTCCTGAATTGGACTCGAATTTGATTGTTAAAAAAGCATTTTCTGAAAAGGATCATTTGCTTTTTATGGGTGCCATAGAAGAATATGTTGAGTAATACTACCATTGCGGTCAACTTCCTGTTGATGTCGCTGTTGCTGGTTCATGTAGCTAAATTAAGGGACAATTTGAGCTTTCAATGAAAGAAGGAAAGTTAGAAGTTTTCTGTTTGTATGTGCAAGAGTAATTTCGTGTTGAATTTATCTACATACCCACATATCAACCCATTTTTTTTTCGCAATATTTTGCACCTTTTTTGAAATCTTTGTTATTGCTACGGATGTATAAGGAAAGTTTTCCATTTTTAGTTTTAGTTATGAGTATTCCTTGACTTTTACTTCAATATACTACATCTTGAAAGTAGTTGGTTGTTGTTATATAATACGATCCTTCTTCTTCTTCTTCGAGAATATGCCATTATTCAAGTGAAGAAGAAGAGTATTCTAACGTAGACTACGATGACAAATATGCCGATAATGACGATGGATTATTTACTTATTAACAGAACCCTAAACTATATAACCTAGACCGTACCAAAACCCTAATATCAAGATGCATTTGTAAACTCTATATCAACTCTAAATCTTCTTTTTCTTCTTTGGTGGAGATTCTTGACTACTTTGTAGTTGTAAAAGCTTCAACTTTTCTAACTGGATATCTTCATCAGAAGCAGTCAATCTCTGTATCTTTTCTAATCGTTTCAGTAACATATGTGATTGCCTTTGTTTGAGATTATGTTGCACTGATAACGGTGGTATACTGGGACGGAAATGAACATTTGGTTTTATATCCAGAGTAAATGTAAAGCTGTAGACATCTTCAATAGATGTGTCTTTATTATCTTCTTTCTTTATATTAATGACTTGTTCGGGTGATATTTCTTGCTTCTCGACTTCTTTCTTGGTATTTTCTTCATCCGGTTTATCCTTCTTCAAAAGTTCTGCACGTTTAGTCAATACCCAATTCTCAACGTCACCTTGTTGGCTAATGACTTGTAATAAATCATCAAGGCACGACAAATACCCATGATTAAACAACATATCCCGAGAATTATTGGTGATCTTGTATAAACTAGCTACTGATCTGGCAGCATTTGTGAAATCAGACTTGAGACTATCACTATTGCTATTAGACGAGTTGTATAAGGTTGCTATTGATTTTGCCGCGTTTTTGAATTCATTGGTTAACTCTGCAGTTAATTCGTTTGATTTCTCCGAGTACTCGGACATGCTTGTGGTGTCCATTAGGTCTACTCTGTGAAGTGAAAGGAGCAAGGACTGTGGTACAAATCTGCGGTCTTTTTTTGCTGTTTTTTTTTATGATTGTCCCCTCTTCGACTGATCACGTGATTAGAGACAGGCCAGGTTTTAAAATAAACACGAATACCAAAGATACAAAAACAATCTATGGCCGTTTTAACCTTTCAAGTGTTACATTGCAACTATGATTCAGTCAACTTTAATTTATCGTTATGATGGTGAGTAGAACCACTGGTACTGTTTCATACTAATTGAATACTAACAGCTCTCAGCATTGCCTTTATGTGGATCAGTCGACGATGATAATACACCAGGATTGATGGATCAGAAGAAAAAGTGCAAGCTTTTAATCACAAGAATCACCCCTAATTCCGAACCGCAAGCTACCATTGAATCAGGAGAATTTAACATTCATTACTTGATAGTATCTAGCATCATCTATATATGTATTTGTGAACGGACATATCCTAGAAAGTTAGCATTTTCATATTTGACAGAGATTTCCAACGAGTTTAGAAACAGTCATGGCCAGGAGGCATTGGCTGCTACTGCAAGACCATTTGGATTCAGTTCATTTGATAATTTCTTACACAAGACCAAGAAGATTTACCAGGACCAAAGAGCTCAATCAAATTTAGACAAATTAAACACCGAGTTGGCGGATGTCAAGAAAGTCATGACGAAAAACATCGAAGACTTGTTATATCGTGGTGACTCATTGGATAAAATGAGTGATTTGAGTTCAAGTTTAAAGAGTGATTCCTTGAAATATAGAAAGCGTGCACAACGGATTAACTTTGAAGCCATGTTGAGACAGTATATCCCGGTTGTTGGTGTTAGTTTGGTGTTCTTGTTCATAATTTGGTATATGTTTCTTAGATAGTGAATAGATGTATATGTAACTGTAATACCCTTTCCGTGCCACCTAAAAGTCTACAATTCTAAGCTTGTAAAGTTGTAAAGTATAAATTGCGAAAAAAAAAGTATATATAGACAGCCAGACAAAATGCACATTTCCTTACAACACCTTCTTATCAAACATCAAGTCAATCGCGATATGTCCAATGGATTCAGGGCGAGGCTTGGCTCCATATCAACCATCCAATCAGCAAGATCTTTATTCCCTACAACAACAGTCGAACCAACAACAGCAGTAACATTCACCAATGTCGAACCAAACTTGATAGGAACTGAACTGACATATACCCCCAGTGTGACTGATCTGGAAGGATTCCTTGCCAATTCGGGGTTGCTCACTGATGATGAGGTTTCTGATTACTTTCAACAACCAGACGAGGATTTGCTGGAAATGCTAACTGACTTAATACGACACACTCCGGAAGAACCCACCTCGGCCAAACAGTCATTTCTTGATGTGAATATATTCCCTAATCCCTATGACTTGGATGAAGAGGAGTTTTACAAGCGGCATATTGAGATATCAAAGGAAGATGAGTTGTTTCATGACAAGTTGAAACAGTTTTTCATTTTGTCCAATGCAGGCAAACCAATCTATTCCATGAATGGGTCAGACGAGATAATTATCGGATACATGGGAGTAATAACCACCATAATCTCCACATTTGAAGAAAATATGAATGAAGAGATATATTCCATTAGTGTGGGAGATATGAAAATCGTTGCTTTGAATAAGTCACCGTTAATTCTCGTCTCCATTTCTAAAATAGCTCACGAACAACCAAATGTTTTACTATCACAGTTGAATATGTTGTATAATTACTTGTTGTCAATCATATCCAAACCCACAATTGATAGAAACTTTCACAACAAGTTGAACTATGACTTGCGGAGAATCCTCACTCAGTTGGATTTCCATAATTTAGATTGTTTATGCATGAAAATGACTTATGGATTGACTTCGTATGATTCATTCAATTACTATATCAGTCAATTATTAAATGCAAGTTTACAGCAGATCAAGATATCCTACACTGCAAGACAGAGGTTGAATAAGATATTACTAGATTCCAAACGAATGAGACAAAATAGCGATGACAAAGAAACTGACTTAGGTGCTGATCTACTCTTTTCAATTCTTTCTGTCAATTCCAAAATAGTTAGTTTTATGAAACCAAAGAACCATAATTTAACTAATCAAGATCTAACACTATTGTTCTCGATTATAAATTCATCAAAGTCAGATATAAGTAACGATGAAACTTCGGAAGACATGTGGTTTCCTATTTGCATGCCCAATTTCAACCCCAATGGATTCTTGTACGTCTTTGTCAAGACAATAATTTTGCAAACTACACCAGTGACCATCACTCTTTTGAGTAGTAATAAGAATTCGTTCTATCAAATCCGACAAATATCAAATTATATTATACACAAATTGACCAAGCCAAAGATGTTGTCTAAGCTTACTAAGGAACTCCACGAGAGTAATACCTTAGCTATTCTTCGGGAGGTCCCTATATCTCATTTCATATACAAGAACAAAGCCCTTAATCAATTTGTCATGAGTGATACTGACAATTCCGTGAATAGTGTGCTTCAATTGAGTTACTTCTATAACACACTTTATCACACAAAAGCAAGTCAAATGAAAACCATTGGCAGCCTAAATATCAAAAAGTTTTCGTACACTAGATGGACAGTGGATGAAGCAGTAATTACCGGATTCATGTTATCGGATAACAACTACGAATTTTATTGTTTATGTAACTATCAAATCAACTCCAAAGAGTTAATTGGGCATTGTATAAAAGTTATAAAATGGTGTGAAAAGAATTACAATAGACTATTTATAGGAAATGGGGTTAGTTTTACTTGAGAATAGAAGCTTCGGTGGTTTTAAACACATTGGTCAACTTATCCGTGTATGATTTATGCAATTTTTCAAACTCATCCAAAGTTTTTGTTTCTTCATCACCAATCTTGCTTGATTTTGCATCCTTGAGGAACTTGGTTCTAATGTCACTCCTCACGGCAGCTAACGAGTTGGTCTTTCCGACTTTGAACTTTTCATAAATTTCCTTCAATTGCTTGGCATTTTCCTTCTTCAACTCAGTAGTGATACTAGGCACAGGAACTTTCAAAGTAAACTTATTAGCAGGATCTAATTGTCCACTCATGTTCAAATCGGAATCAATTAATGCATTAATGATATGTTTTCCATAAGCAGGATCAAACAAGGTAATTATAAAGTGTCTACCCTTGACAGAAGTCAGGGCAAGTGAGGTGAATGGAACTAAATCATTATGAATGTTGACTTTTAAATTGTCGAATATTCTTGGGTCAGTCTTACCAAGCTTTACTTGAGTGGCCTGTTTTGAGAATTTTTCAATAACAGAATCGAATTTCTTAGTGGCATCACTAAGATCGATCTTGGGTGCTTCAACATCTTCTTCTAATGGTTCATCCTTCTTTCCCTTTTTAGATTTCCTCTTTTGTGAGAACACTATAGGTGTGGTATGGAATTGGGCAAGTGGGGTGATTGTTCTTGGTATCAAGCGTGGTTGGGCAAACGCTCTAGGGATGACTCTAACTATTGATCTAAACATTGGGCTTAGTTTCGGATTGGTGGAGTAAAGTTGTGAAAAATTTTTGAAACTCGTTTTTTTTTTCGGTCATGATTTATCGGTCACATGAGTGGTAAGTTAATATAGAACTATTTATCTAGTTAAGGCACATCTAGTTACCACTTTTATTGTAGATCAATGCTCTAAGAATACCTAGTGATTGAAATTATATTATCTGTCAAGGTCAAAGTGTTCAGCTCCCGCAAAACTCTGCCATTTAGGATTCATGATCGTCGCTATTAACATCATCTTTCTGCTACGATTAATCTGTCAAATGGAGTAGGTAATAAGAGTTGAGTTTTTGGTTGTGATAGTGGTATAAACAATGGTTGTGATACTTTTGACGTCTTAAGGACTGCATTAGATGAATATTTTTTATGGAAACTAGGAAATGGTTTGGATTGCTATCATTTACTCTGTTAATTTTTTTGAGTTGCAAAATTATTATACTTTTGTGTTCCTGTAAAAGTTTCTCCTATAATTACATGAGATTGCTGTTAATTACTACTATCGTCGACATCGCACAATAACTTTACCAGAGGAAAACTTTACTTACATTAGTGAGCTGAAATGTGCTGACAATGTTGGTTCAATTAAAAGATTCATGAACAGCTTCCCTTCTGGTTTTATTTTTAAACATTTAATCGCTCAGCATAGAGGTAAAAGTTTCGATGATATAAAGAAAATTTTATAGGATTGTCAGGATGAACTTTGCAAAGTTGACAAATTATTAACTGAACTAGAACTATGTGTGTTCATTAACGGGTGCAATTTCAACTTGTTATCTTATAGATACTGAGATGAACTTGTCTATATGAAGATTTTAACTCTACTGGAAAACCTAATCACGTGTTTGGATCATTGGATACTCCCACTCAATGTTTTTAACCTAAAATTGCAATATAACTCAATTAAAGAAGTAATCCGGAACTTTCCCTTGTTTGTTGAAAAGTACAAATACAAGGTTATGCAATTATATTTGTTGAACTGTAATATTTCCAGATTTAGAATTGATTACGCTCCCGCCAGTTTGAAATCGATAGACCTTGGATATAATCAAGTGCACTGTGATGTCATCAGACTTCCTGAAACTAAGACTAGATTTGGTTATTCCTATCACCGTCCAAGAAACAAGCAAATATTGAAAAATAAAGAGTAAAGCTTATTTATCGCTAGTATGATAATTCGGGAGTATGGTAAATTTATATATTATTTGCATCCAACCCAGCACTAATATTAATATAAGTTCAGGTTAAAACACTTTATTTGCGGTATGAATCTCGAAATTTAATCAATTTCTCTGTTTAGATTCCATAAAGTTTATTCTTTTTCAGCAAGGAAATCATTTTACCATTTATTAACTTGATTTCCCCAATACACACAAATACACCTTCAGACATTCCTGAATATTATATGGTAGCGCGTGTTATTCTCGTAATAGTCAAATATATATACACTACCTAGTATGAAATAAGAATTACTGATGATTGATTAATTATGCGGCTTTAGACAAATCTTCTAACAACAATAAACAGGAATTTGCTTCTCTTCCCACATCCCCACCTTCTTTTATCAAGTTATTCAAATGTTTAACCATTGGTGGTTTAAATACATCAACAACGATCTTCCTTCTTGTATGCAAATCTTCGGTGGATATGGAATCTAAATCATTAACAGTATATGAATCTTCACCGAGTGATACATCGCCTTTCTGTTTTGGCATTTCATTAACGAATAACTTCAAGGATGCGAACGGGTTAGGTGTAGCTGGAATGATATATCTATAAGATTGGGGGTGGATCGATATGATGTTTTCAATATCAATGTCTAAAGTTTCTTCTTGGAACAAGGATTTTTGGAGTAAATTACGCAACACTTGCAAATGTCCGATTCTAGCTTTCTTGGAAGATCCTTCAATCGATGTAGTTGTTATAGCGATAGACACTTGCTTCTTGTCATTGACCAAAGTCCATCCCATAAGTGAGAAAAACAGTTTTAAAATTTTGATAAAGTATGATCCAACAAGGGAATTTATACAATTGTCAACTAATATATTCAAAAACTTGGTGGAACTATGTCTTATGCTTGGTTGTATATGTGTCATTGCAGATAGTATAAACAAGATTATTGAACGTAAATGTAAATCCAATAATCCTGGCTGTTTGTCTCCTATGGACTTAAGTAAATCTATCAATGCTGTTCTTACTTGTTGTGATTCATCAAGGATTAAAGGTATAACTGTTTTTAAGATTTCTGAATACGTTGAAGGGTTGGAGGGTAAATGTTGTTGGATATAAATCAAAACTTCTTTTCTAGTAGTTGAAGAATGATGTTTTGTTAAGGATAAGTGGTGTGATAAGTCAATATCTGATTTGTTTGTACTACCAGTTCCAGAGGTTACTTTTGCGATAGATTGATTAGGCAAGGAAATTGTCTTTGCAATGAATGATGTATCAGTATAATTATCAGGTTTAGCTGCAGTTTTACCAACCTTGAGCTTTGGTTTAACAAAGTCTTTCTTCTTATCAGCCTTTTTCTTTTTAGATCCCATGATTGCACTTGCTTATTCTGTGGTGTTGTAGATTAAGGTCATCTCTTCAAAATTTAATTTTTCATGAGATCAAAACGAGAAGACAAAAATAAATTTACAACAAAAACAAAGTTGATTTAATCAAAGGGCAAATCATCCATGGCTTCCCTATTTCATACGCAACCACTCCATCATGACATTGATGGATCTTTACTACAGTCGCTTTCGTTGAATGATAACAACAATCAACAGCAGTCAATACTTACCCACTATGATGTAGAGGATGATCGAATGGATATAGACGATACTGAGGATATAACTATGTTGGATACTACGATTCAAGAACGATCAGAAGTAATACCAGAGCATGTAGAACCAAAAGACCAACATGATGATGAAGTAGAAGAAGAAGAAGAAGAAGAAGAAGATACCAGTTTTATATCTTCATTACTATCACCAACTATGTTAGGCGCGAAACTTGCTGTAAAACCACAACTACTATTAATGGCGCCACCAGGTTCTTCTCCAACAGAAACTAAACTGGAAACAGTCGATTACGAATTCAATACTAGTCAAATGACTAAAGTGGATAAACCGGATCTTTTTGGTAATAGTGCTAGTACAAGCGCGATAGGCCGAAATATCAGCTCATATTCTCCTGTTTCTGATATAAACACATTTTTAGCTAAGGGAGACACTTCAGGTCATTTTAACAATCCCAGCCATTCCACGTTTTACAATAATGGTATGAATCAATCATATATGATGAGAAAAACATTCTCCAGTCCAACTCCAACTACTGTTCATTTACATAATCATTACTATTTCAATCCGCCCAAACCGGCTAACCACGAGACACATCAACTGTCACTAGAGAAATTGACTCACCAGCAACACCAGTTACAACTACAACAAGCACATCCCCATAAACTAGCCCTTCCAGTTCCTTGGAAATCCAACATTTCTCCTCTGGAACGTATCCCATATATGTTATCGTCCTACCTACAACTTCTTCTCAACTTCCTTGCATCATTGTACTTGATCCACTTAATTCGAGGACTTACACTTTCCATCAAGAGAGATATAACATACCGGTTAAATCAACAATCAACAACAATCCTCACCTCAATAGAAACCTGCAGACGAGCATACATTGAAAATAGATGCCATCCAGACACTATTGTCCCACTTCTCGAAAAGAAATGTGCCATGTATGAGCGATGTATGAATCAGGACCCATTCAATGGTGGTGGAAACTTGTCTAAAATTACCGCAGAGACTGTGGCCATGGTTGCTAATTCCTTGATTGAGCCGCTTGGGATAAAGTTCTTCTTGATGATGGTTGGGTTTATTGTAGTTGTATTTGGGTGCAACTTTTCATTTGGGTATATTAGAGCAAAGACTTATTATGGGTGGAATAACTATGGGGAACAGAAACACAAAACTAATTAGATTTGTATAGAACATAAATATTTAAGTACAATTATAGTTGAATAGAAAACTTATTCAAGGGTTCTTCATAATATCTATTAAAACAAGTAAATGCGACTTGTTTTGTAGAGAATTTGTGACATGTTTTATAGTCCGTCTAGAAATTTCCAAACTTTTGCTTTTTTACTTTTTCTTGCAACACTAACAATGAACAAGGGTAGATTACCATTGACCATTATGTAGTTGCTTGGCTATAATCTGGCAAGAAGTGTAAATGTAGTTCAATTGGTTAGTAGTTGAATAACCTCAATTATTTGACTTCTAATCTATTGGTCAGCTTGTGTTTTTACTATTCATATTGACATTGTTTGGCTCGCTCGTTTACTCTTGATGGTTATACTGGTATTTCTAACAAAGATCCACTTTTGTCGTACACCACCAATTAAGAAATCTAATAAGTCGTTTGTAAAACCAGATTATCTAACCTATTAGAAGATTAACAACATTATAATTTGGTTGTTCCTTAAAGAGGCTTATTTAATATTTATGTAATAGATCAATGGATTGCCAACTGGTAGTTACAACTGCAGTATTCAAACTGCAAGAGTATGCTCAGAAATATATCATTCCATTGCTAGTCAATGTGAAATGTGATCCACTTCTAAGTTTTCAACGTTTAGTACTCAATCCTGTTTAGAAAAGTGAAACATTTTGATGTGCTGCTTGGTATCTTTGGTATTTGTTGTACATAATGTGGGATGATATTTTCGAGATCCGAGAAGGAAGGCTAGCTAGCTCGTTTTTTTTTTGACGAACCAGTCCCAAATACATGCAGTAAATTGTCTGATTTTCGAAATGAATACCAATGTTGAGCCAATAATTTCTGAATTACTAAGCATAGACGAGTTATAATATTGCAGGTTGCACCATGTTATATTCTATGGAGATTTCACTATCGAGTAGAAAAGCATTGGTATAAATAAATCAGGTATGAGATTTTGAAGTAATTGTGATATACGTCTGCTAGCTAATGTAGGTCTATGTAGCTAGCATTTAAATATGCAAGACTGCATAAACATAATTCTGCAATTCACTCGTGTTGACGGCTGCAAATTGCTGCCTGTGAAACTTCATATGCATTTTCTTCAAATTTAACCACAAGCACACTTTACTGGGATCTGGGGTCTCCCAAACCAAAAGATAGTTGATTCACTCATGTAAACTTTGAAATTGTACTTTGATCTTTCCAATTGAAGTAGTGGTTATTAAATCAAATTAGATTAATCTTACATAACAAAAATACATTTATGACGTAGTCACAAACTGACAATGTATTATGATGGAACTAGTTTACGTCCCTAAAATCAACGTGGCCCTTACCATTGAAAAGAAACAGTATTTGGCCTCGGCATTAGCGGCGACGCCGGAGAAACAGTTGATGGATGTTATACTACAATTGATAACAGAGAATTAGTAATCTTTGATGGAAACATCGGTTGATAAAGCCGACTCCGAGCACGATTACTAAAGATTTATGCAGGTGACGGATTTAAAAAGGGGCTGTATTAGCAACTAAGAAAAAAATTAAGGGATATTCAAGAAAATTCGCTAAAAAAAACTAAAAGAATTCTATCAATGTATGAAAAAGATATAGTATAAAGTTGCCTAATATTATAATACCCGCTTACATAATCAGATCTATAAATCTTCCGAAATGACAGTAGTTTGCTGCGATATTAACACCGATTCCTCTATAAAATTAAAAGAAATGCGAAGACGGGCTTTGACAATGGTTTAACCTCGGCTCAACTAATGCAACTGGTAACAAAAACTAACAATTATAGTACACGGCGTGGCAGTTTACACGTGACCTATTGTTTAAACGGTGGTTGTATTGGTAATCCTGGTTCTGTGCAGGAGGACAAAGTAAATCACATCTCATCGGATTTGTGAAATTACCAAAGCCTCACTTTCGTTGACAGGTCTCATTTTTCTGATGGTTTTGTGTCATATTTGGCGTTTATCTCCGGAGAGTATCACACAATCTTTCGTATAAATATTACTTGGAATTCCCTCATTGACGAGCCGATGGTCGTTTTTGTTTTTGTTTTTGATTATTTGTAAATCATTCAATTGCTATATAATAGAATATGGGTATTTTTGGTACCTCTCAAGAGGAAGAGGATAAATTAAGACAAGCTGTTGGTGGTTCCAATAAGGAACAGCTGTCTACCAGGGAATCTTTTTCCACAACCTCATCTGCATATGTTACTGCCGATGAAGGTTTAAGTGAACTGGAATCTATTGATCAAGCGACAATTGAGTTACCACATCCAACTATTGAAAACCGTCAATCACAAATCGAGCAAGAAGAACAAACATCCATTCATACTGTGGAACAAGTTGCTGATGATGAAAATGATGACGTTCATACTATCGAACCAGTGAATGAAAAAATCCAAACTCCAAAAGTTAAAACCACCCATGCTCCTGATTCCCATTCACACAATGATGACACTACCAAGAATAACCTGTCTGAAGATGACGACTCGCTTATTCACCAAGTTGAGGAATATTCTCCTGAATACGATGAAAATGAATTGAATAGAAAGTATACCCTTGAAAGAATCTCATCCCATAAATCTATTGAAGAAGCTGCTTTCGAAGAAGTTGCTGATCAATACCCAGTTCTCGAACATGTTGTTAGTGACCACGAAAAAATCTGGGACGTTAAGGAATTGGATTATGATGATGCCCAAGATAAAGATAATCCTCATAACTGGCCAGCATGGAAGAAATGGATGGTTACTTACACTGTTGCATTCATGTGTCTTTGTTGTTCACTTGGTTCATCAATGTATACTGGTGGTGTTCCTGAAATTATGATCAGATTTGGTGCATCTCAAGAGTTATCCCTTGCTGGGTTAACCTTTTACTTGATTGGGTTAGCACTTGGCCCTGCAATTGCTGCTCCATTATCTGAAGTTTTTGGAAGAAGATGGATTTATATTCTTTCCTTACCTATTGCCATGTTATTCACTATGGGTGTTGGTCTTGCCAAGAATATGGGAACTATCTTGGTGTTGAGATTCTTTTGTGGTTATTTTGCTAGTCCTGCTATGGCCATGGGTGGTGGTACAATTTCTGATATTTGGTCAAAAGAACCTGCAGAACAATCATTTGCCATTGCGTTGTTTTGTTTATGTCCATTTTTGGGTCCTGTATTAGGTCCAGTCATTGGTGGATTTGCTGGTGAACATAAGAACTGGCAATGGGCTGCTTCATGGGTTTTATTGATGTTTTTCGGTTTTGTTTGGCCATTTGTTATTTTGTCTCCAGAAACTTATAAACCAGTGATTTTGAAAAACAGAGCTATCAAGAGAGGAATGAAGGTTAATGCACCAAAGATCAATTCGGCATTCATCAAAAGAGTTATCTTTTTCGATTTATTAAGACCAATTCAATTGTTATTCAAGGAGCCAATTGTCTTCTTCTTTTCTGTTTATGTTTCTTTTATCTTTGCTGTGCTTTTCGCATTCTTTGAAGCATTCCCAGTTATCTTTAGAGGTGTTTACCATATGGATTTAGGTGTTTCCGGTCTTACTTTTATCAGTGTTGGTATCGGTCTTATTTTAGGTATTGCATTTTACGTTGTCCTTGATAAGGTCTATTACTTCCCAAAGAACCCCGATGGAACTCGTGGTAAGCGTGATGAAAATGGTAATATTGTTTGGGATGCTCCAGAAACTAAACTTTTGGTGGCTCAAATTGGATCAGTTTTCCTCCCAATCTCCCTTTTCTGGCTTGGTTGGACTGCAAAGCCTTCCATCCATTATATGGCCCCAGTAGCTGCTGGTATTCCATTTGGGTTTGGGTTGATCTTAGTTTTCCTTGCTGTTGTGTTGTATTTCTCCATGTCATTCCCACCAATGAATGTTGCATCTGCAATTGCTGCTAATAATTTGTTGAGATATTTATTGGCTTCTGTTTTCCCATTATTTACTGTGCAATGTTATGAAAACTTGGGTATTGGTTGGGCCAGTAGTTTGTTTGCGTTCATTGCCTTGGCCATGGTTCCTGTTCCATTCATCTTCTCTTACTTTGGTCCTAGATTAAGAGCAAAGAGTAAGTATGGTTATGCTGCATTTTTCAAGAAGTTAGCCGAAGAGAAGGCCGCTGCTGCTGCTGCTGCTGCTTCTGCTGCTCCAGCCGAGAAACAAGAAGCTACTGAAGACGTTGTTTCCGACAAAGTGTAAATATGATAGATTTTAGTGGGGGGGGGGGGGTCCGTTTTTAATAATTACTTTTAATATTCTATAATGTATAATGTTTTAATATAATTTAATTTTGTTAATGAAAAGATCAACTGCAATTATCATCTGCAATCATGTCGCAAATGAAATGAGCAATGAAATTTCAAACACTTGCTTTCGCTCGTATTTTTCACTAATATTGCCAACTACCCCAATATCAACCTCAAATCTTGATCTGTTAATAAAATCCAACACTCAGATCTGATAATATGCCATAATAAAAAAATGACGTAGCTTAGCCTCAGTCATATCTTATGACCCCATCAGGTCATCCGATTATTATTTTGTATTGTTTACAAATATTTTTTTCCCATTTTTCCGTGCTGGAAGAACTCCCCGACGTAATGTGTGCTGCATCTTGCATGAGCAAAAAAAAAAAAAAGGTGAACGCAATTTTAGCCAGTTGCGAAAAATATAACAATGATCACACAGTTTTACCCGATGGGTTTCTTTTTACAAGAGTGATGATGATGATATATAGATCTGATGATCCCCTGTTATCCGGTGGGGTTTTTTCAGTAAACGAAGTATACCAACAACTATGTTTTATCAATTACTTATATTATATTATTTGTTAGCAATAGTACTAACATCACCATTAAAGCTAGATATAGAAGTTCATCGTCGTGATGAAATCATACTACCACATCCATATTTAAGAAAAAGAGACGAGTTCAGAGTACCTGTACTGAGCGAATACAGTGTATACACCACAATATTAAGAATAGGATCAAACAGAGATCCCGTACGAGTGATTCTTGATACCGGATCATCAGACTTGTGGGTCATGTCCAGCAATGTCAGTTGTGTAAGCAACGAGCAATCCAAAGAGCAGAAAACTGGTTTTTTTGATTCAATATTAACTGCATTAAATCTTAAAGCTACGAGAGTTTGTACTGATAATGGTGCTTTTGACTATTTGAATTCAGCTACATTTACAAGGAATGATACAAATCCATTTAGTATTGGGTATATAGATGGAGTCACAACAAAAGGGTTCTGGGGATACGATGATATTACCATAGGTGGAAACCCAATTTCAAATTTATCATTTGCCGTCGCTGAGGAGACATCATCGAAAATCGGAGTGTTAGGCATTGGACTTCCAGAAGCAGTATCCACCAACACTAAGTATGACAAATCTTATGAAAACCTACCACTCAAAATGAAAAATCTAGGATTAATCAACAGAACCCTGTATTCAGTATACATGAATTCCAACGAAGCGAGATATGGTGCTATCTTATTTGGAGCTATAGATCACGCAAAATATTCAGGAAACTTGACCACTTTAGACATTGTCAATCCTCCCAGCTCACTTCAAAGACTTAGAATACCCATCAGCAGTATACAAATAGCTAATGGGACAAACCTGCCAACCACTGCTGTCAGCAAAGGACCCAGTGCACTCTTGGACACAGGATGCACATACTCAAGATTTTCCAAGGATGTTGTGGATTCAATTGCTAAGCAAGTAGGAGCAACATTCCTGAAAGACAAGAACCAATATATTATTGACTGTAATATTCCAGCTACCACGCTTCTTAGACTCAACTTCAATGGTCAGCCAATAGATATACCTATGACTGAAATGATAAGGTCAGCGGGTACTAACACATGTACTTTGGGTATAGATGTTGACGAGAGCAATAGCTTATCTATTGTAGGTGATAACATCCTAAGGAGAATGTACGTGTATTTTGATCTAGAAGGTAAGCAGATATCTGTTGCCCAAGCAGTATACACTGACGAACAAAATATTGAGATTATTTCTGACGACAATTTCCAAACCGATGGTCAAGAAGCTGGTTCCGAATTGGTACAAGAAGAAGAAAAGAATACTTCTTCCGCGTCTAATATCCTATTTTCATGGTCTTTCTTGATATCAGCATTATCAGTTTTCTTTATTTACAATATTTAATTTTTAATATAAACTTGCATAGATATATGGTTTGTGTTTTTTTGTTAAACAAAAAAAAAAGAATTAAACATCTTATAGGTAGTAGTATTAGATAGATCTTTGTAAAACTATGCATTGAAACTGCTATGTTACTTTTGGCAACCACAGATCTGGTATAATCACGTGTAAACCATCACGTGCGTTTGAATTTTTTTGTCAAGTGGTTTGAACAAAATTAGCACAAAGTTTACACTTACATTCATGTACAATATTTTAGCAAAGATATACAACCAGCATAATTAATAATCAAAATCGTGTTAATAGTATCCTAAGTAACATTCCAAGGTTATATTGAACCATAGTTTATTTATTAATTTTATTGTGTGTTTACTTTGGTCATTTTCATTTTTATAGAAAACAACAATCATGAATAGTAATCAAGGTATGTCAAACCAAAACATTGGTGGTGGAAACAACAATCAACCACAGAATCGTCAAGGACAACCACAACAGGGTGGTAGTGTCAATGGTCCTCGACAAGTGAATATCAATGCTAATCAACTTGCTCATCTAATCCAAGCATTAAAATCAGAATTGGCACTGGCAAAAACTGCCGCTACTGAAAGCGAGAGACAACAGCATTTCGTTCGAGCTGATGGTATCCGTAAAATATTGGTAAACTATCAGAATCAACAGAAAGCAAGACAACAACAACAGCAGCAGCAGCAGCAGCAGCAGCAGCAACAACAACAACAACAACAACAACTTCAACGTCCACCACAACCGCAGCAGCAAAACCCTTTGAATGATCCATCACACCAACAACAAATTCAAGCAGTGCAAGCACAAGCACAAGCTTTGGCTGCTGCTCAACAGCGAACCAATTCATTTAATCAACAACAACAGCAACAACCTCAATCGTCACAAACATCCCCTCACATGCAAATGCTTCAAGGAAATACCCCAGTTATGCCTTCTCCAAACGCAAATATGAGACAATCACCATTGATGCAACAAAAACAAGCGCCTACTCCAGTTGGAACACAAATGAGACACTCTCCTTTTATGCCTCAACAATCACCGCCTGTACAAAACCAACAGATGCCAAACCAGATTAGACAATCGGTCAGTGCAGGTACTCCTATGTCTTCGAGCGGATCTGGACAGTCAATGCCTAGTATCAGTCCCAACAATATAACTGTAGAACGGTTGAATCAAGTTAGACAAAAGTTAGCTGAAGTTCAGAAAAGAATACAACTATTGGAAAATAGTAAGAAAGGTAATGTTACTCCTGCACAAGTTGCTGCTATTGATAAAGAAATAGTCGAGTGGAAAGGTAAGTTCCAACAGTTTCAAAAAGTCGGTGTTTATATTCGAAACCAGTTGCTAGTTCAATCTAAACAGAACGCTGCTGCTCAAGCTGCCGCTGGTCAAGGAGCTCCTACACCTGCAAGAATGGGTAACCAATCTCCACCTCTTCAACAACGTCAGATGCCTCCTCAAATGCAACAACAACAACAACAACAACAACAACAACAACAACAACAACAACAACAGCAGCAACAACAACAGCAACAGTTTATGCAACAGCAACAAAGAAACATTCAAAATGCACAAATGATGGCTGGTCAAATGCAATCACAAGCTGGCACTCCACTACCAATGAGACAAACTCCTCAAATGCAGGCTAAGCGTGTAATACAACAAGTTCCTCTGCAATCAAGTATTCCATCTCTGGTCCCAACACCATCTTACCAACCACAATCAATACCTACTCCTCAACAACAACCTCAACCTATGCCTCCACAAGGAGTTACTAATAGACAAACTTCACTTACCCCGCAATCACACCTTCATCAACAACAGCAGATGCCACAAAGAGCCGGACCGCAACAACAGGGTCACCCATCTATATCAGCACCAGTTCTGGTCCCTACTGCTACTCCTCTAAGTGCTGGCCCACTGGCTGTTACATCGTCGGCTCCAGGTGGTGTAGCAACTCCAGTAGTTCCAAATTCAGCCCCAGCACCAACGATGGGACCTTCCGGTCCAACTCAACCAACTACAGTGCCACCTTCTTCAGAATCAAAAGGACAGCAAACACCTCTGAAGGCGCGATCAAAATCAGTGACATCTCCAGGCGGATCCAGTACCTCCAGTGGGTCAGGTGGGTTGTTTAGTCTTCAAGGTATAATAAAACCTGCGGTACCATCGATACCTATCTCGGGTTCCGTTGATGTTAAACCACCCACTATAGTCACTTTCAATTCTAATGCAGACACTAGGCCGACATTGACTGGTGGTGCTGCTAACACCTTAAGTATTCTTTTGGATTCACCTGCAATAATGAAGTTGCCCACATTTGAACTTGCCGATGGAAGTGCAAGTGCCATGGAAAAGGGAAGTGGTCGAGTATTGAAGAAACGTAAGTTGACTGATTTAGTAAGCACCATGGGAGTAGATGAAGGTGATGGGAAAACGAATATTGATGGTAATGTTGAAGAACTATTGTTAGATCTTGCTGATGAGTTCATTCATTCTGTTACTAGTTTTGCATGTAGATTGGCCAAGCATAGAAAAGTTGATAGTATCGATGCCAAAGATGTTCAATTGCATTTAGAACGTAATTGGAATATCAAGATTCCTGGATATGCTACTGATGAAATTAGAAGTACAAGAAGATTACAACCTAGTACAAGTTACAACCAAAAGGTTCAAGGGGTAGAAATATCGAAAGCAGTTAGTGATGATATGACTAATTTATAAACTCGTTATATATTGATATTATATATACACATTATATCGTGATTACTATTTTTCCTGTTCATTCTTTTCTTTGCTTAACTTCCGTATTTTTTTGGCCCAGGATTTATGTTCCTTATCATAAACACCTTCAGAAACTCCCTGTAAGAATCCATTCTTGTCTTCCAATAATTGCCAAGGTGATCCCCTACTCTTATCATCTTTAATTAAACATAAATCTATGAATTGACATAATTTCCCATCATATTTAGTTTTGGTTACAGGATTAATCTTGTTTGACAATGTCGGAGCAGGTTCATTGACGATTCTTTGTAATAAATCCAAGATACCTTCAGGTCCTCGAGTTTCAAAGTTTCCATTTTCCTCCCCTTCTTTGTCCTCGTCATCATCATCATCTGTCCATATTGGTATTCCACTGGCTAATTCTATCAACATTAGACCCATGGACCATACATCAGATTTGATGCCATAATTCAATCCTTGTATTCTCTCGGGAGACATATATGTTGATGTACCAACAAATGTGTCGGCCATAGCCATGGAGTTTGTCAATTCTCGAGATACACCAAAATCACATAGTTTGAACTCACCCTTGTGTGTCATTAAAACATTATTTGGTTTAATATCTCGATGAAGAATCTTATGCGTTGTATATAGATAACTCAACCCTGAAAGAATAGCAAACGCCAATTTTTTTAATACTATCAAGGGGAACTGTTTGTTTTCACATAATGGTAATATCTTATCTAAAGACCCGCAATTACAATATTCCATACAAATGACTATTGTGTTATTGGTGTTAAGGAATGCACCGTAAAAATCAATAATAAATGGTGAGTGACATTCATGCAATATACGTAATTCACGAATTATCTGTCGTTGAATTACACTCTTCAGATCAATATGAATGATTTTCTTAGCCATGATTTTCTCAGTTGGGACATGAAGTACTTTGGTAACTGTTCCTGAATGGCCTGATCCCAATGATTTTAATGTCACTAGATCTTTTGTGTTTAATTCAAACGATCCAGTGGTGGCAATAGGTGATTGATCCTCTATGGTATTGAGCGCAGTTGCAAATGATGCCGGTCTTGGCTCCAAGGGTGATGAAGATGTTGACTTGGTAGGAGAAATGGAGGATATAACTGTTTGCCTTTTGCGTGTAACCAGACCTTGTTTCTTATTGTTAAGATCCAAATTAGAAATTTGATTTATAATTATATCGGCTGAAGTTTCTTGGTCAGGATCAACATTTCTATTACTTTTATTAATATTCAATTCAACAGAAGAATCAGGCATGCTATTGTTTCTGGTTAACGCTTGGCTAATAATTAAACCAGTTATAGGAGATCTTTGTGCGATTGCTATAGCAGGAGGTGGAGATGCAGTGGTAGATTCTGAAGATGACGCTAACTTGAGCATGGGCGCGGGTCTTTGTCTTCTTTGCCTTAATGAAATGGGCGTTCTTATCATTGAATCGTCATCTATAACACGAGCATTATCTTTACTTGGAGATGCATCTAAGGAAAGCTTTTTAAAATTTTTTCTTTTTAACGTTTTAGCTTGTAATAGTTCGGAAGAATCGTCAGTAGCATCTAGTTTTGTTGATCCAGTGACTGATGAAAAGACAGGAACAGGTGGTAAATCTTTATCTTTGGAGGATCCTAAAGAGGTATCCGATGAATTATTCCAATTCATCATCTTTGTTGGTGAGAAATGCAAATGTTCAGATTCTGTTATCAAGGGAGGAGGTAAATGTGATTGTTGATTGATCCAAATTTCAGTTTTAATATAGAACCAATGACTTTAAGATAGGTAGAAACGAGTAGCTGGATTTATTTAGTTCGAGGTCGTGATAATGGTATATGTTTCTTTGGCTTATTGAAGGAATGACTGATACCTTTGAATTAAGTGGTGTTGTCTGGAGTAGGGGAAAGAAAAAAAAGTCAAATGTAAACATGGTGGTAAATAAAAATCCGCAAAGCAAACTAAAAAAAAAAATTAAAAGAGGCTAAAAGAAATTTCAGGTACCTCTAACTAAAGTATACAGTGTGAGATCAAGCAAAGACATAATTAACGGAAATTTAATGATGATTAAGAAAGGAGTAGAATATAATCAATTTAAATTAACGGAACAAAAGTGTAGTCAACTGTAAAAACTCGTAAGCTAAGCACCATCAAGCTAAATTGAGCCAAAGTTCCAAGATGTCCTTTTCTTAAGGGTTATACTTGCAAAACTGGAATTTTTGTGGCATGGATATCTTATTTCTTTATTTGCTTGGAAATTGCCTTCGTGTAGACGGAATAAAAATCACAATAATGGTTGTTAAAAAAGGGGGGAGGGCAATATATAGATTGTAAAGGCCATAATAGTTCTATCAAGTTAGTTCAAAAGAATGAAATGGTTCTTCATGACCTATCGTTTCTCTTGTCGATTGTCCATTACATACACGCAAGTGTTAACTTTTTTGTGAATTTCAATCTCGTCAAACTTGTTTATTATTATACGAATAATTCTCATCTCGATATAGGGGGGGGGGGAGAGGATTCCAGCCTCGAATTTTGTGACATTATTATAGTCACGAACTATATTACTATTCCAAGTATTAATTTCATTTCATTATGATTCCAGAACACCTACGGCTCCACCGGACTTAACTTAAAACTTTCGTTTCAACATTCTGGTTCTTTCATAATTATTTTGTGTATATAATGTTATCGTAGGTCTAAAAGCTTGACTATAATCCGTTAGTTTGGGTTACAAAAACAAACCAGGGCGCGAACCGCATTATCCAACCAAAGAATCTAGATTCCAATCCAATATTTGTTGGTTTCATTGTATGCTTTATTAATTTTCGAAACTGTAACGTGCAATGTGCCAAGAAAAGTGGATGAAGTCTATTTTCAAATATATCATTTCCTTGTCGATTCTAACCACTATAATAAACTCGATGAAGCATGCCCAGTAGAGATTCCATACTTTGAATCTAATTTATTCAATTCAATTCCATTTATTGGTAAATTTTTACTAATTTCTGTTTCAAATTAGTGCAACTTACCTCGTTGAACAACTAGCCATTTTTGTTTAATTTCATTTTGGAACAATATAATATAATTAGTGTTGCTCTTGGTTGGTTTTGAGGGTAAAAAATAATGTAGATCGATTTAACCCCCAAAGCATACAATATTCCACAAATTCTAACGCATTGCAATAACTGAGGATTGTTTAATGGCCTTGGATATTCATACACGCATTCAATAGTTTCAAGGAATTCGAAATGTGGTTATCGCCGTTCTCAGTTCTATGATTGACACTCAATAATGCAGACTTTCCTCATCATCTTGTTTTATTCTGAATCATTTGTCATATTTTTGCAAAAAAAAAAACGACCCGAGCTCTCTGTAATAGAAATCAAATAATTATACCATGCTTCAACCACAACTCCCAAGGTTCTAGAGAGAACTTTGTCAAAGTATTTGGCATAATCATCTCTAGTTGATAGAACATTACTTCATAGAACATGGAGCATCAAATTCATCCTAGGTAGGTACCCATTGTCCCAAATCTTCAGCAACTCGAAATCTTTTCGGAATATTGACTTGATAGATGTGAATTTGTATTAATTATATCGATTGGTAGAAAATAACTGTATCATTGGAGCAAGGAGTATTCGGACTCGCGTGATGGCTCTGAACACAGGATTAAAAGATCATAAGATTGTGAATTAGTTCTTAATCCTGAGCCTGATCCACGATGAAAGTGCCTGATGTGGGAAACATAACTTTGGGCTCAAACTATGTTCTAGTTTGAACAAACAGGGATATTCTAAGCTTCAAGGTATCAAAAAAGTCACCCGATCCAATTTGAGGCAATAATTGTTTGCAGAAAAGTCATGACTAGATTGTGATTTCACACGCCCCATTTTTATGATCTCCTAAATTAACTTAAAAACAGATAGCCACAAAATTAGACTCAACTAATACTATTTTAGGAATCACATTTGCTTCAACAGGAATTGATCTCCACCATGATCTCCTATCTTAAAGATTGTTGTCATAACATCAAAAATACACTCAACCGGGCCTGTCGCCCTTTTCAGTCCATTTTATACACAGATTGAGTTCATTAAATCAGCCAACCTTATAAAATTGAAAGGGAATAGTCTCATATCGTTTCTATATCAACTGGGTGCTGGCGTATCGAAATGGTTAGTCATGATAAGAACGTGGTTGGAATACGATCCATTGTGATAAATTAAAGGAAGTGTTCTTAAATAGCAAAACACGCTGCTATGGAATCACAAATCTATCAAAGAAGCCTGAATTTCCACTCTTTCAAGATGAAATGGAATCTTGCAGAATCTTATTGGCTGTAACTAGTTTGATATTAATACTGTTGGTAGCGTGGTTGTTCTAGCCTATCAAATATAATGAAGGCTAGAATTCGAGTAGTGCATGCATTATATAATATTTTGAAGCAATTGAAAGAACAAAGGTAAATGGGAAACTTTTATACAGTCTGGTTAAATATTTATTGAAAAGTTTCTTTTATGATGTTTCTATATTGGTTAGTGGCAATAGAAAATAAAAATATTATTACACATCCGGGTAATCCAACGGATATTCTCTTATATTAACCCACGTAGTGATCTATATGTTGATGTTTAACACCTCCTGTGTAGTTTTTTAGGTGTTGTTTTTACCTAGTTTCAACATTTAAAGGAATATACAGTAGATAATTAGTTTTAGCTAGAACATATTCATTTTGAAACCAAATAAGCGAATATGATTGGCTGGACTCTGATCCGGTCAGAGACGTGGCATTAAAATGTCATTTTGGGCTCTTTTTGACCTAATTAGTTTCTCTACATAGATTTAGCGGGATCAGATTTTGAAATCTTTCATGTCTTTTTAAAATTTATACAGTATGAGCACGGTGAAACGGACTTATATCCCGAAGTCGTTCCGGGCGTTTCTATGCTTTATCGACGTGTTCTCCCGAGAAGCATTGTACTTATTATTTTTTGAAGGATATTTTTTTTTATACAATTATAGGATCGTGCATAAATTGACTTTAATAATAATGCGCCCTTCTGTAAGATTACAATCACAAAAAAAGGGGGACAGACTGCGAAAAAATAATATTCTTAAAGCAAGTTCAAGTTTGGACAATAGAGTTTCTCCTCGGTTTGTTTCAAACACTGGAAATCAACATAGACAGCTGCTTGGACTTCATTCGAACTAATACTGTAATATTTTTTTGCTTGCTCTTAATATGAACCGGTTACTAATCCCTTTATATGGATACTTCGGAATGCATTTTGTTTGTGTAATTTAAAAAAAAAAACCGTGATCTTAATTAAAATTTACCTAAAAGAAATAAACATATACTGATAATTTTACAAATTAACCCATTTTGAATGCCAGTAAAAACTACCGGTCCCCTTTACATGTCCAAAATTAATTTGGATTATTACTTGAATAATTGTGGAAGTCTGAAGAATAAGATTGTTGTTGTTGCTGCTGCTGTTGATTCATTGGCATGTATTGAAGTGGTTTTCCTGGTTGATTGAGTCCAAAGGGATGCAGTTGCCCTTGTGGTCCATACAGTTGAACAGGAACATATTGTTGCTGTGAGTAATGTGGATGTTGAAACGGTACACCATATTGGCCACCTCCCATTTCAGGATATGAAGCATTAGCAGTACCAGGAGGAAGAATTGTCATACCGGATTGTTCTTGAGGCAACATTCCAGCTACTGCTATAGTATGAGGAATAGAATTCATTAAGGTATTACCAATGTTATTAAGGATTGGACTATTTGCAATTGTTGAGGACGTGGGAGAACTGGCAGAGGTAGAACCCTTCCTTTTTCTGGATCTGCATTTAGCACAAACTTTATGTTTACCAAAATCTTCAGGATCTAAAGCTTTAGCACAACGGTTGCAATTACCCATCTTCTCCAAATTGGTTCTTCTTATTTTGTCATTTTCACGACATCTTTTACAAACTTTATAGTTGCCCATTCGTCCACGCTCTCCATCTTTGGAACCTTCACTTGATGTTGAGCTCTTGGAAGAAGTAGCTGATACCAAAGTATCATCATTAGTTAGGATAGAAGAATCTAATGGACCAGAGCAATGCACGCATCTGCCCTGTGCTGCACGATTTGCTTTTCGTGCTCTTAAATTATGTCTACAAGAAGGACATAATACAAATTTTTGTTCTTCAATTGGTATCTCCGATCCACAACGACGACAAACACCCTTTTTATCTTTGGTTTTCTTTTGCCATCTTCTTGATCTCTGTCTTTGTAAATCACGACAATGTTGACATAATTTGAAAGTCTTGGCCTCGGCTAAAAAGCGAGTACCAGACTCACCTTTAGTTTTAGGCACTATTAGTGGTTCTTCAAACTTTTTCTTGCAACGAGAGCAATTCGATTGTAATATTTGGTGACCATCCATATCTTGAGTGATTATTCTTGAGCTCCCATTTTGTAGATTTTCAATTCTATTAATATCTTGTTTAATCGGATCCAGACTATTCACTAGTTGTTGTTGTATATGTAATGGCGGTATTGGTACGACTAATCCACGATCTGTATTATAACTTAGTGGATTTTCATTTGGATCATCATACTCTAAATTATACAAAGGTTTTTGGATTCCACCATATGGAACCAGAATAGGTGGTTGCAGAAACCCATTTGAAAGTTGATAATACCCACTATTGTGTATATGGGGAGCAGAATAAGGTGGCGGGACGGGTGGTGGCGGAACCAGTGGTTGATGCGACAATCCAATTCGAGGTTGCATTTGGAACGGTTGCTTCTGTTGCCTATACTGATTTTCCAGAAATGCTGTTAAGGTGCTAGGATTTGGAGCCGGCAAATCAAAATCATTTTTGAACAGCATTGATGTAGGTGGATGCCCAAACATCGGTGTCTGCATCTGCACTGGTTGTGGCTGCTGGTGCACTTGTTCTTGTCTCTTTTGTGACCCAGTTTGGTCCGGTGTATGTCGCTGTGAGTTTTGTAGCTGTTGCTGTTGTTGTTGGTGTTGCTCCTCTGAGGGGTCGGGCTCAGGAGTTTGTTGTGTGGGTGTATTATTCACTAAAGAATGCGCTTGGATATTCTTTGGTGTGTTAGTACGCTGTTGGTTAAAATCTTGATTAGGAGTCAGGTGCCCTCTCGACTGCTGCATCAGTAGTTGAGGATTAATTTGTAGATCTAAAGAAGACTCTAGGTACTGTTGATCCATAGTCATAATAGAATCGCTAGATTTAACTAACTGTCATTAAAAAAATGTTATTAATGCAGGCGTACGGGCAAATTTATAACTTTCTTTGGGTCAAGATTGTAACTAATTAGTAATTCGTAATAGATATAGCACTAAACCTCTGAAATAGTGTCAAAAAATTATGCTAAGCTAACGCTTTAATTCGTGGTACAATATCTAAGGCTAATATATCAAGGGTGAAGTGTAACAAAACTGGTATCGGATATGAGGGTTAATATTTTTGGTACTTCTGATCTTGGGAGTGACAACTATGAGTATTACCTACCAATTATTGAATAAATATAATCTTTCAAAAAAAGACTATAACTAAATGATTTAAGCAAGATATCGGTCACCTTTCTATTGCGCGATCTAGGATTTCACAACTGAACCAAAAAAAAATAAAAAAATATAAATATATTATTTTTTGAGGCACCAAACTTTTAAAGAGCAGGATGCTGAACGAAAGAAAGGTAGGTTTTTCTAAATATTGGACTTATGGGAGTTGTGAGGGAGCTGGAAGTTGATAATTGATAGTTGCTATTGAAGGAGGAAAATTTGATTAGAAATATAGGTTGTTAGAATTATTGTGCTTAACTGAAAACTTAACTGGCTTTTATATAAAGTTGAAATCTTTTCTAACGGGAAAGATTTTGTATCTGCAAACTGAAAACAAAAAAATAAATTATTTTATTGCACTTCACAGTTTTCTTCCTCTCACAGAAGCTTAATTCTATTTTTTTTTTTTTAAAATATTATTATTATTGTTTTTTCTTTTCCACCTTTTATTTTCGATGATAGTGTCCGAATAAAATCTATAGTTTCACACTATAAAATTATTAGATCCCAGCTTATGAGGTGGCTATTTATTTAATAAAGGCATTTCTTTCCCAATTGGACCTGCAGGGAGCATTAATGACTCTGTGCTTCAATTTGTAAAATAGGTTTTGTGAAGTTCTCAGTCTCTTTTGCAGAAAGGCGGCAATAATTGCTGTGACTCGAATCTATCCAAATATGCATAATATATTTTTTATTTAGAGGAGGGGGCATAGATCTAGTCAAAAAAATATTTAATTTTATTCAGTTCGCAAAAAAAAAAAAATTCAAATAGTTTAATTTAAAAGTTTAAAGGCCAGAAGCACATTTTTCTCGCTGAATTGAAAAAAGGAGTTTTAATTTTAATTTCTCCTTTTTAAGATATCAATAGATTTGCCAAGCTGAACAAAGCGAACATTGACAGAATTTTAACGCCATGATAAAGATTGCCCTGGCTTTTAACAAAAACCTATGCAATAGTTGACCTGTTTCATAATTTAAATCACCTTCTCAAATGGTATAGGTAGATAATAACTCCGCAGGTTTGGTACTTTTGGTTAATGACGTGATATGATGGTTACGGAATCGAAGGTGTTCATATGCAGTCAAGGCGGGTTAGTAATGTTAATAGTGATGGTGGTAGTTTGCGTGATGGCTTTATGTTACAGTAGATAGCCTGTCATCCGGAAGTTTAAAAACAAACTATTCAATCGAGGCTACAACTGGCAAGTGTCTAATTTGCCCGGGACTAAGTGAGAAAGCAGTGATATAATTTGTGGCTATTCCTTAGAAGAAAATTCTTTGAAGAACTTTACTCTACGGGCCAGGTTATGAGTAAAATGTTACGATTTATGTCAAACATTCAATTAACCACGAGCCAAGGCTGCATTCATCCCTCATTGCTAGCCGCGACCCAGACAACCTAACAACTTTAACTTCTAACCCTAATATATTATGATCAAAGGGATATCTCATATGTTGCAAAATTATTGATAATTGAATTTATGCTGTACCTTACTTTTAAGCGCTAGTACTTCGTGTTTTACACAATGTGCTTGCAATGAAAACATCGTTCCACAGCTAGAACTAACTTATGACCGATGCGAAAACCTTATTATTAATCAATGTGGTGTTTCATTGTTTTTTATTTTTATTTTTTGGTTATTTGCAGTTTATGCATGGTTATGTGCTCAGGCCCTTTAATACTTGTTTCGTTTAACTCAAAAAAGAAAACACGACAGAAGGAAAGTTTTCCCGCGGTATGGGGGCATTGTTCTGTACACTAATTTGCAGAAATATTCTGGAGTTTCAGCATGGACAAGAGCCTATCTGCATCATATACTTGAAGTTCTATTGGCAGAAACACAAACATTGGAAAAATTGAGCTCCCCACTTTTCCAGGAGATTTTAGGTTTATTCCTATTAGTTGGAACACGCAAATATTACAGGAAATGTTAGAAAACAAATACTAAACCTAATAAACTCCTAGTTTATTCTCACATGATAGTTTCTTTTGGGATTTGAACTCAATATCTTGCTTAGAGAACAAATATCTCCATTTTATACAACTCAGATAAAAACTCTTGTCCACTTCACTCATAATCATCTTTGAATGTTGCATTGGTGATCAATTTTTCCCTCCGACTCGATAAGTTAAAATCCAAAATCGGAACCACAAATAACCTTATCCTGTACCACAACAAACTTTATTTCCAAGTATAATGGGCGCATTATCTATTTGCCATTTGATGGCGTAAACTAATTCCTTGGCTATCGCTTCTTAGTTAGGGAGCACTTGCTTTTGCTTCTTTCCATGTCCGTATTTTAAAGGACCAGAGACACTAATGTAAGGCCACAATTTCAATTACGGGGAGAAGTTTGTTTTGGTTCGAACATCGTAAGAGATTTTATTTCCCCCATAATCTCCACAAATTTGCCTGCAGGAGGTTTAATTGGACATGTGAAAAGTGATCTTTTAAGGATTTTGTATCAGAAAATGGATGATTAATGTACAGCTGCTGTCTTACTTGGCGAAAGTTTAATTTTCGTCATTATGTTCGAACAAATAGTGAAGCAATGAAGTTGAATAAGAAGGTAGTTTCCTGATACCACAAAATCACAATAGATCTAGTCTATTTACCTTGCTAAATAGAATCTCAACCAGATTAGATTATCGATTAAACGATTAAAGTGTATGCAACTGCTGCTAATTTGATTCTTTGAAGTGAAGATTTATCACCTTAATCAAATGGTTGTGTCCGTTTGTTGGTGAATAGCTGGTTGATGATGTTGATTTATTACAACGGATATAGCCTCTGTAATTGGACTTATTTTCCAGTTCTGTGATTGCAACCCTCATTTCAATTAACTAACTGCCAACATTGCTCTTTTGTGTGCTTGTGGGGCGGTAATATTTTATGGATCTTCATGCTGAAATATTTTTTTAGCAATGATTTTTCGTGTTCTAATATTATTCGAGTATATTGTTGGTATTCTTTAAGTTTTGATAAAATACTGCAAGTATGTCGGCTAAATCATATGTACTACCCATGCAGGGACTAAGCCACCTTATGGGGGATCTTTAGAGTGGTGAAGCTTTTTATTTTGTTCTTGGATATCGCATGCAGTGAAAAATTTATCTTCTCTTGTCATTGCAAATACGTGTACTTCATTTAATTACAATGGGTTGGGTTTTCTTCTAATTATAATATTGGTATAATTACTAGCTTTGATTACAATTCTTCGCTTATTCTTACCATCTAAAGGTGGAAAAGTTTTCCGTTATTAAAATACCCAAAAAAAAGAACAATATGGTTTGTAATTTTTACCGTCTTCACGTCAACAATAAAATCAAGAAGCACAGCTTCTAATCCAAGATCCACGTTGGGCAGTTCGAAGCATGGCTATCTGTTAGGCGCTAATCCCATGTCACATCCTATTTTTCAAATCTGGGCCTTCAAATCACGTCATTGTTACTAAATATGCTTCGCCTGCACCTAGTGTAATATTGGTCTTCACAATATCAGATGCTATTTTTTTTAACATTATTTGATCGATATATACTAAAGCCAAGCCTTTTTTTGGTTCTCGTTGAACACTAGGTGTACTTTATGTTCCATATCTGAATGTTTTTCATTTTGTGTAATATTGCGTACTAACCATAGTGCACCTAAAACAGGGCATAATTACAGGTTTATATTGTCTGGTAATTTCCATGTTGCCTGATAGTTATCTTCTAGAATTCCTTACAATGAAATTCGTTCTAATAATAATTTAAGCATGAAAATTCAATATTCTATTGATTCCGATTGTCTATTTTGACCTATATACAAGATATATCATCTAGTGACCAAGATGTAAGCACTATATCACACCTTTAAAAGATCATAACTATATACAAACAAGGATTTAAAAAAATAATTTAAACCCTATATTCGACATTCTATGCATGTATCTGCATTGATGGCACCAACACTTTATTCAAATCTATCTTCTAATAAGATTTGAATAACTTCTCCAGCTCGGTAGGCTCCAAACCCAAACAATACAATCCCTGCACCTCTCACTGATCTTTGCCACCATAATGGATGTTTAACGAAATCGATTTTCCCGGCCTTATCCTTGAACTGATTTGGTGAATTCAAATATGCCCCACCTGCCATAGCGACAAATGATTGGATGGCCGTGCAGGGAAGACATGCTTTTCCTAGTTCTGCATCTGATAAATCCCTTGAGGGAGGTGGATTAAAAACTGATAAGATATTGGACATTTACTGTTTAGAAGTCAATGTATCCAAGAGGGACTTTGAAACTCTTTCGTGTATATATTAGGTTTGCCATCTGTTGTAATATTTTCTGCTACAAAGGGAATTGGTCGTGTACATGGCAAATACAATTGTAATATTGTAGTTTAATCGGTATTCGGAAAGGATGGAAAAGCAATGATGAAGCCACTGGTTGATGTTTGATTAGACTGTTTTCGTGTGTTTGGCAGGTAGTACCAGGTTTCTTTAAGATTCTTCTAGAATATTTCAGCTAGTGGTGCTGCCGATTTGAAGTTCTTGGCAATTCACACGACTTCGATCCGACCTATGTAGACCAAGATTTGGCAGCACGAAAAAAATATAGACAGTAGTTTAGCCAGTAAGAACTAAGGCAAAGCGAATGATACAGGCATGACCACTAGGATCTTAATTTCACAAGCTTCTAGAAGGCTAGTTAGGAATAAATATGTACTGAACCCTTTGCTTGTGCTAGCCAGGTTCAACTCTAGCCAGGGTCAATACAATTACAATTACAACCAATCATACAATTTTCAGCCACCACAGCCCAGAACTTCAATATTCAAGAAGTTTCTATACACAACATTAGGGTTCATAGGACTAACTGGGGCAGCATACTATATATGGTGGCCAAAACATACATTTCCTAGTTCAGTTGCTAAGATTTTAAGAAAAGGGTTGTGGGCTGAAAGTGATAAAGGTGAAAATGACTATCAGTTAGCTTTGAAATATTATTTACAGGCACAAGAGCATTGTCAAGAGATCAATATGGACCCTTTGTCAGATGAATACACTGGTATTCAATTGAAAATTGCTGAAATGTTTGAGAGATTGAATATGAAAGCTGATGCTTCTTTTGTGTATAATGAAATTGCTACCTTGTATTTAACGGTGCTTACGGCATCTCCTGATTCGAAGCATGGTAAGAGATTGAAGAGTCGAGAACATAGACGTCATTTGATTCAAAAAGACTTGAGAATTGCCATTAAGTTGGTGGAAATGAATAGAGAGAACCCTCAGCTTTGTAAAGCTATTCTTGTGACTCATTTGATAATTGCGCAAGATGAAGTGAACAAGGTGTTAACCAGCCCTAAACCATTGAGCTTAGTTAATAGAGCAGATAGTAAGGATGATGTCAACACATACACTGCTACTCTTGATAACGACACTATTGTGATTAACGGGAATCACGGTGAGGAATTCCGGGTCAAAAAGACTCCAGAAGTTTGGGAGCCATTCACCGATGAGTTCTTCAATGCTATGGACTTATTAAGTGCCATTTGCATCTCCTCGGGTGATTTGGCCATGGCATCAAAGGTGAAGATATCTATGAGCGAAGCTATGTTATTAGCCGATGTGGAACCTTCCAAGATGTTATTATCGCAATGTAATTTAGGTTCATTATTATACATGCAAGCCGAAGAATTGGAAGCTCAAGAAATCTCCTTAAGACGGAAATTCTCAGATTTGACAGGAATAGAATATGAAAGGTTAAAGACTGAATCATTGTTGCAGGATCAAGATGACAAGGAGCTGATTCAGGAAACTTTGAAAACGAAAGTATCAGCTGAAGATCAAGAATTGTATGATAAGGTCGTCAGTTCTAAGAATGTGTGTATTCAATTGGCCATCAAATCATTTGAATCAGTGCTTGAATTTGCAAAGACCGTACCGCAAGAAATAATAAAGCAACATAATGAAATTAATGAAACAGTTGCTTTGGCAACTTATGGGTTAGGAGTTGTGAATTTACATTTAGGGGCATATGATAAAGCAGAAAGATTATTACGTGAATCAAGGGTACGTTCTAGAAAGTGTAATTATTCTTATTTGATCCCAGAAATTGAACGAGAATTGGGGAAATTGTTTGATGAGAAAAAGAGTATGAAGCTGGGTATTCCTAGAAAAGATGATTTACGTGATATTGAAATGGATATTCTCTTGAAATAGATTTTTAATTATTTATTATATATTTATATATATATATTAGCATAATGTCTTGTTTAACTAAACATCCTGTGAGCTAAATGTTCCTGACATAAATAATCTGGTAAGCATGTTTGATTGAGCAAACTGCTTTTGTTTAAACTTGATGATTTCTTCAAAAGAGGGTGGTTCAATCTCTTCCGGGACACTGTCTGTAATAAGAGGAGTATCAAATGATGCACCTGAAGAATTAATATCAATTTTCAAGGGAGAGGCAATTCTTGCTGGAACAGCTATATATCCATCCAAGTCTGATCTCATGGTTGCTGGGTTTCTTTGAATGGAAGCCGATGAAACTTGGTGTAATGGCTCTGAAGCAGAAGGTTCTGATATTGAACCATAACGAATACTTGAGTTAGAACCATTACCAGACGAATGGAATGAGAAAATGGAAGACTTGTCATCAAATACTGATCCCATTTCTTCCAAGCTTAACCCCTTTGTCTCAGGAAACAAATAATACACTGCAAATATTGAAATGACACAGGATGTAGCAGGAATCAAATAAGTTTTCCATTTGATTAAATCTAACAATACGGGAGATCCAAATCCCACAATAAAATTACACAACCAATTAACTGCAACACTTACTGCTGCTCCCTTTGATCTGACAGTATTGGGGAATACTTCACTCATCAACCAAGGAATTGGACCCCAACTGTATCCAAATGCTGCATTGGTAATTATAATACATACAACCACCACAGTTGGAGTTAATTGATTATTCAAATATAACGAATATGCAGTGATAAATAATGGTAATCCCATCAATACACCTCCTGAGATAAGTAATGGTTTTCTTCCCCAACCATCAACAAGAAACCAAGGCGGAATAGTACTGAAAATATAAATGATTGAGTTAATTCCCGTCATTAATATAGCCAGTCTTCCTACCCAACCAGCAGATTCAAAAATCATGGGCGCGTAGTATGAAATAAGGTTAATACCATTGAATTGAGCAAACATTTGTGAAAAGCAAGCAATTGACAATCTCTTTGCATATCTTTGGAATAAATATCTGTAAGAGCGCTCACCACCCTCAATACGACCAATCAATACATTCTCCTTGATATTTCTATATTCGTTTCTGGCATGTTCGTTTTCCACGTCTCCATCACCATATAAATCAGCAATGACAATCATACCTTCCACGTCATGGTTATGGTCCAATAACCATCTCGGAGTCTCGACAATTATGAAGGTACCTAAATATAACAATGTTCCCATGACAACTTGAACAATCAAGGGGCTTCTCCAACTATAATCATTTTCCAAAAACGAAAATCCATAATCTAACCAAATACTAGAACTGTACCCAATTATATTTCCAGTGAATTCTAAGCAAGCGTAGAACCCACGATGATCAGGTGGACTAATTTCTGATTGATAACATGGGATAATTGTAGTTAGGAACCCAATGGCAATACCGCTAATGAATCTCCCCACACTTAAGTTTAAAATATTAATTGAAGTTGCTTGAATGATACCCCCAATGACAAATATAAGTGATCCTACCCGTATTGTCTTTCTTCTTCCTGTTTTATCACCAACTCTTCCTGCTATAAAGGATGATCCGAGTGCCCCGATTTCCAAAATTGCAATCATTATCCCAATTTCTGCGGGGGTTGGGTTGTCATAGTAGTCTTTGAAATATTTATTGGTGATCAATGACGACATTAAACCTTGTTCGAACCCAAAAAGGAATACTCCAAGGGAAACAAAGATTGATGTGAAATTCAAAAGAGCATTACCTACAAGGAAGGATTCTTTGATTTGAATGTGATGGTTTTGGCTATTTGGTATACCTTCCATGATAACTGATAATATGGATTGCAGCTGGTGAAAAAGTGATTGTGAATAATTCAAATTTTAGTCTGCGTTACAGGATCTGGACTATTGGTCGTCTCCGCACTTTGAAGATGTTACATGAATAGGTTTCCAGCAATAGATAAGAGGAAACTTAATGAGGACAAAAAAGTGATACAATGGAATGTGACGCGCTGCTTGAATGAATATTTCAGTTGAGAATTGCAGGATTACGTCATCAAGGCACAACTCCATACAAGGTGTAAACTAATGGAATCAAACATAGTCGAAGAAGAAAATGTTAACAGATCAAATATAAACTATATGCTGCTTGTTGGAATTGAAATAGAAAGCAAAATCGACAATAATTTTAAACTATGGTACTGATGCCAAGTTGATTAAGCAGTAGTAGCTCGGGCAAATCTAGACCCTTTTATTTCTGGTTCTTTTTTTCCGGTTCCTTTGCTTCTCTTCTATTTTTATTTTTTTTTTTTGTTTGGAGGCTGCTACCAAACTAGCCGGAATTGCACCTATTTGCAATATGGTGTTACTTATTTGTCTCAGGTTCCAAATCAGTAGAATTCCAAAATAGAAAAGTTTTAGGGCAATTATACACGGGCGGATAAGTCTTTTAGATTCTCGGTCGTGTTGCTAGTCGCTATAGCCGGTAGGTTGGTTGTTAAGTTTAAACTTGTCGGTTTCACATTCTTTTTTTCAAATATTGTACAATTTTGTGATAAATTCTCCAACGTAGTTTTGAACATAGAATTATCATTAGGTCATTCAAGTTGAAGACTGTATAATACAACAAACTAAGAATATCAAGACAAGCTTTTCCAGTAGCGAAGAAAAAAAAAATCCGATCTGATAAATCTGCCAGAAGCTGCAAATCACTCGCCCCCCCCCTTGCCCGGAAGAAAAAGAAAAAGCTTCGTCATGCTCAAACGGAAAAAAAATATTTTCTAACGTTGGTTAAGGATTTAATGACTCGTTTTGGTCACTGCTGCAAGTTTGGTCAATTATTCCGTGACTTTCTTAGCAACATCACTAGCAATAACAATGACATGAAAATAAACAACGTTACTTTTACGAGACGGTTGACATTTAATGCGTGCTGCTTCTGCCGTCTAAGCACAGCGATTAATGACCAAACAGGACATACATTTTTAAGATCTAGATCCGCATCCGGTTCCGGATGAACCTAGTCAGTGTTTCACAACTAACAATACACAAAAATACAGACGGGTTACATGGTCATCAGATTGAAGTATTGTAATTAAACACATAACGGCTATTAGTTTCCGTGCCCACTTTACTGGCAAGGTCAGCTACTTGAACTGAAATTTTCCCCAAGGCGTGGGCAATGGGTGCAATCAAATTTTATTTACTTTTGGTCCCCATGAGGGGGGGGGGGGTGATCTCGTTGTCAGTCTTTTCTTTTTTTGCAACTTTGTTGATTTATTTTAATTTTAAATATTATTACGAATTATAGTCACTTAGTATAAAAGTACCACGATGGGTTGCATACCACATGGATAATCTCAATGTTTAATTTCCCGAAAAAGAAGAAAAATACTGTTTCACCCCAAGTATAGGCAAAAAAAAAACCTAACTTACACATTTCATCTATACAACGTTTTACAAAAAAGCCATAATATTTACACGTTTTCTCAGCAACCCATTGTTTGAATAGTTTCGGAGTAAATACACTTTCGCCACGTACACATATTCCCCTCCTTTTGTTGCAAACATTACACGTTTACCACAAAATCTCAAAATAAGAAAATTTTGCTATAAAAATGCCATCGCTTACCCTAGGTTCTAGTTTTGAAGATTCGTTGCAACAAGCATTAAAGAAACAAAAAACAAGCCAGTTTTCCCTGATTCCTACATCTACACAGGATTACACTGCACATAAACATCATCACAAACATCATCATCATCATCACGGCCACCATAATCATCATAATCACTATATAGACGATAATATGACTCAAGAAAAGCAAGCCCAATATCATCATCATCATCACCATCACCAGCTTCATAAAACTACTGATGCTGTTGTTGATGCTACTCATGGGACCATCACCCCAATCAGCCATGCCCAATCTCTTGATTCGGTTATGAGTGATATAGCTATGAGTGATGAAGAGTTGACAAGACAAGTAAGTCCAGGTGACCTCGAGTTAATTACCGAAAAACATTTTATTCTTAAGCCAGATATTTATGAATGTCCATGTGGACATTTCCATGGTCCAGGACAAGATGCCCATCATGATCATGACATTCACTCTGTTGGTTTATCTGACCATCCCTTATTGCAAGGCCCAGAATAAACAAACAAACAAGGTGTCAAAAAAAAAAAAACAAAGAAAAAATAAAAAAGGAATTCTGCGGGGAAACACCCCCCAAGAGGGATTGTACTTGAGTTGGATATATATATATAGAGATGTAATACACATAATAAGTTTATTGTAGTTAGCTGACATCAATAAACATCATTAATATAGTTGTCATATCCAATATGACTAGTTCTACCATTAGATTCAGTAGGTTGAGATGACATCAACAATGCCTTAAAACTCCGTTTTTGTGCCGTGCGGCATTAATGGAGTATTAAGCCCCGAGCGAAAATCGAGCCCCTTGTTTGCACAAGATTTTTCAGATTTGCTCCCTATGGTTTGAACTCGTCACGAATTAAAAAAAAATGAGAAATTAAAAGCTTCTCTGTCAACTTCGTAAATCGGTTTGTTTATAAACATTTGCCAGTTGGCAAGGCAACATCAAAAGGCGGGTTCTTTCTTTAGTTAAACGAGGACTACAGAAAATAATATAATGTGTTGTACCTGTTTGAGTTCTCGTATGACTGCTATTTTGATCAGAAAACAGCTTACTACAGATGTCAACTAGTTCTAATGTGATGAACTAATAAATAGTTGTGTTGTACTGTTAAAGCACTTGACTGCGAAAAAAAAATCAAGCAGGCAAAGAAATTGGTAGCACCACAAAAAAGTTCAATTTAACCCAATTAGGAAATGCAATTGGTTACGCGTTCAATTCTAATTTTTTTTTTTAGTTCGCCCGTTTTTAATATTTATGTCAAACACCAAATAAATTTTTAAAAAAAGCATACACGTTAGATTTCCTTCTTTCAATCATACACATTGCCGATTGTTCCAAATGTCAAACCAACCACGTAATTCAAGAAAGAGACTGGCATTCGAGGACGAGGAAGACGACGAGAGATACAATGCTGGGTCTTCTCCCATGTTAGCATCGTCTCCACAACTTCCACCCTCCTCACCTGCTATTCCATTTGATGCTGATGAATTGGATGAAGAAGATGAAATTCACAATGACGTTGCTGATTTAAACCCTAGTGACGAAGAAGACGGAGATGATTTAATGGAGAATTTGGAACGTGATTACAGAGTTAACCCTGAACAAGATCATTATAACTTGGGCGATGAAAATATCGACGATGAAGGAGACTATGATGAATTGGATGCTGCAACCAGAAGAAGAATTGACGACCAATTAAATCGTCGTGATGCTATCTTGAATAGAGCCAACAGATCCAGAAGACAAGCATTTTTAGACGATGAAGGTGCTGAAGACCAAGATGACGAAATCATGGATCAATATGGGTTGCCTATCCAAAGAAGAAGAAGAAGATTTCAACAACAAGACGAGGATCAAGATGACTTCATGGATGATGTGGAAATTGATCCTTTTAACGAAGAATTATCATTGGAAAGTTTGACTGATATAAAGGCTCCAAGTATAACAGAATGGATCTTACAACCTGCCGTTAGTAGATCTATTGCTCGTGAATTAAAATCATTCTTGTTGGAATACACTGATGAAAATGGTAGATCTGTGTATGGTGCCAGAATTAGAACTTTGGGTGAAGTCAATGCCGAATCTTTAGAAGTTAGTTACAACCATTTAGCTGATTCCAAAGCTGTCTTGGCATTATTTTTAGCCACCAGTCCCCAAGAAATGCTCAAGATCTTCGATATTGTTGCCATGGAAGCTACTGAATTACATTATCCAAATTACTCTCAAATTCATCAAGAAATTCACGTTAGAATCATCAATTTCCCAAATCTTTTGAACTTACGTGATTTAAGAGAAAATAACTTGAACCAATTAATTAAAGTTTCTGGTGTTGTCACCAGAAGAACCGGTGTTTTCCCACAATTGAAGTATGTTAAATTTGATTGTTTGAAATGTGGTACTGTTTTAGGTCCATTCGTTCAAGATGCAAACACCGAAGTTAGAATATCATTCTGTACTAATTGTCAAAGTAAAGGTCCATTCAAGATGAATTCCGAAAAGACCTTATACAGAAACTACCAAAGAATAACATTACAAGAAGCTCCAGGTACTGTTCCTGCTGGTAGATTACCAAGACACAGAGAAATCATTTTGTTGTCTGATTTGGTTGATGTAGCTAAACCAGGGGAAGATATTGAAGTTGTGGGTATATATAAGAATAATTATGATGGTAACTTGAATGCCAAGAACGGGTTCCCAGTTTTCGCTACTATAATAGAAGCTAATTCCATTAAAAGAAGAGAAACAAGTGCATTCATGGGAGGTATTGATAGTAATTTAGTTACCTTATGGACTGAAGAAGAAGAGCGTGAATTTAGAAAGTTGTCCCATGAAAAGGGTATAATCGAGAAGATTATTTCTTCCATGGCTCCTTCAATCTATGGACATAAGGATATCAAGACTGCAGTTGCTTGTTCTTTATTCGGCGGTGTCCCAAAGAATGTTAACGGTAAATTATCAATTAGAGGTGATATCAATGTATTGTTATTGGGGGACCCAGGTACTGCCAAGTCTCAAATTTTGAAATATCTTGAAAAAACCGCTAATCGTGCCGTATTCGCTACTGGGCAGGGTGCTTCTGCTGTCGGGTTGACTGCCTCGGTTAGAAAAGACCCTATCACTCGTGAATGGACCTTAGAAGGTGGAGCTTTAGTTCTTGCTGATAAGGGTACTTGTTTAATTGATGAATTTGATAAAATGAATGATCAAGATCGTACTTCTATTCACGAAGCTATGGAACAACAAACCATTTCCATTTCTAAAGCAGGTATTGTTACTACTTTACAAGCCAGATGTGCCATTGTGGCTGCTGCCAATCCAAATGGAGGCAGATATAATTCCACTTTACCATTATCACAAAATGTTGACTTAACCGAACCCATCTTGTCCAGATTTGATATCTTGTGTGTTGTTCGTGATTTGGTTAATCCAGAAAGTGATGAAAGGTTGGCTAGTTTTGTTGTTGATTCACACATGAGATCACATCCTACCAATGAAATTGAAGATGATGAAGATGATGACACAGCTGCTACTGCTCAAAGATCAAGATCAGCTAAGATCAACGACTTGAATAAACAAAAGGAACAAGAAATCTCACCAATCCCACAAGATCTCCTTGTTAAATACATTCAATATGCCCGTGTGAAGGTTCAGCCTAAGTTACATCAAATGGATATGGATAAAGTTGCCAGGGTCTACGCTGATTTAAGAAGAGAGTCGATAACAACCGGATCATTCCCAATCACTGTTCGTCATTTAGAAAGTATTTTAAGAATTGCAGAAGCGTTCGCCAAGATGAGATTAAGTGAGTTTGTCAGTCAAAATGATTTGAATAGAGCTATTAAGGTGAGTATTGATAGTTTTGTTGGCGCTCAAAAGGTTACTGTCAGAAAACAATTACAAGCTAAATTCCAAAAGTATACTTTGCCAACCAGAGCAAGGTGATTTGGGGTGGGGGTATTGGATATGGTTATATAGTAGCAAATGCTTTTGTTTATTTAGTTCTGTTGTGTATTATAATTTGATATAAGTAGAAGTTTATTATACCCAGGTAGACTGCAAATCCCGATAAAGCGAAAACGGAAATTAAGCGCGACTTTTTTTTTTTTGCCTTTTGAGTCAGTGACATAAAATCAAAAATTATCTCCACCATCACGCGAAGTGAGACAAACCACATCGGGGAAATTTCAACACAACCTTTACCACTCATACGCGATTACACTATTGTGATGTTGAATCTAGATGAGTAAGTTGTTTTCCCAGTGGCTTGATAGCATTTGGTGACATTACTAACTATGATTTAGAACAATTGAAAATATCAAACACTGCAAACATGTTCCTGAATCAGACGTGGAAGAATTGTGCACCAAGGTCATAGAACTACTCATACAGGAAGCCAACATTCAGCATATTGATACTCCTGTAACAATATGTGGAGATATCCATGGGCAACTTCATGATCTTATCACACTTTTCAAAACTGGTGGTGAATGCCCCAATACACAGTACCTTTTCCTTGGAGATTTTGTAGACCGAGGCTTTTACTCGCTTGAAAGCTTTCTATTATTGATGGCATTAAAAGTGAGATATCCTGATCGGATGACTTTAATACGGGGAAATCATGAAAGTAGACAAATTACTACTGTGTATGGATTTTACGATGAATGCATGAGAAAATATGGCACTGTCAATGTATGGCGATATTGTTGTGAGGTATTTGATTACTTAAGTCTTGGAGCAATTGTAGGAGGGAAAGGAGGTGTTTTCTGTATACATGGTGGATTGAGTCCAGAAATAGATACAGTAGACCAGATAAGAATTCTTGATAGAAAACAAGAAGTGCCTCATGAAGGAGGAATGTGTGATTTGTTATGGTCTGATCCTGAAGATGTTAATGGTTGGGCTATCAGTCCAAGGGGAGCTGGGTTCTTGTTTGGAGAAAACGAAGTTAATAAATTTTTGCATGGTAATAATATATCGCTAATTGCAAGAGCACATCAATTAGTGATGGAAGGATACAAGGAGATGTTCAATAGTGGGTTGGTTACAGTTTGGTCGGCGCCTAATTATTGCTATCGATGCGGTAATGTTGCGAGCGTATTAGCAATAGACGACGAACTAAATAGAGACTATAAGGTGTTTGAAGCGAGTACACAGGATATTAACGCTATACCGTCGAAGAAACCAGCAATTGATTATTTCATATGAAAAGAAAAAAACTCAAATTTGCTGCAAATTGCATTGACATGGTTGTAAAATATTGAGTTATTTTCCTGCACCTTAATGGTGATATATATTTATTACTTTATTAGGCAAAATATGAATAAATGAAACATAAGATAATCTGCTTCGTAATTGAGCACATGCAACTTGGTTTAATATTACGAGAACTTTTTGTAGCAAAATGCAGAGACGTGTGTGGTTACCTGGTATTCTATATATCAATACATAAAATGGTAGTGTTCACAAATCAAACAAACAATTGACGACTGTGTTGTGCTAAATATAGAACGTGGTGGTGTGGAAAAACATAGAAAGTGAGGGAAAAAAGTTTGCGCATCCCTTTCAAGGTACACAGTGGGTTTCCGTTTAAACATTAATTTGCAACGCATAAAATTCAAGGGGGCTGAGGACGTTCACAAAAGTTAATTGGTGTGTAACAAGAACCGAAAAGTGACAAGAAAAAAATGGTACAAGACGACTTCACCCAGGTAAGTAATTACCTCACTGGTCACAAAAGACTACGTCATTGGTTGAAATGTCTTGGTTTGCTTCCGGAAGCAGTGGATGGTTTGTGAAATTTACCGTGGCATCAAATGAAAATTTCACATTTTTGATCCGTTTGCATATTTCTTGTGCTCTAAATCAAAAAGGACACAGGAACAAGGCTGTCCCGTGACATGCATAGTTACACAAACACTGTTTTCTTTTTTTTCCCTTTAGTTGATCCTCGAAATTTTGCAGATAAGAAAAATTTCTAGGAAATTGATACAACTTGTAAAGGCTGTGCAATCAGAGTAAGGACTGAGATTTGGTAAGCAATGTAGGCTGAGCAGTACTACCTGTTGCTTATCTTCTAAAGGTATTTGATGGCGAAGGTTTGCGTAGTATCAAGGGGTAAAAAGTACAAGGTGCTATGTTTAGAACTCCGTAAGGCAAAAGAAAAAATTTTAGACGTGCAATTTGTTATGTTTTCTATTTTTGTCATTTCTATATTTTTCCGATGAGGTAATTCATGTTACGAGGGTAACATCTAAACTTTTAGTTGACGGTTTGAGGAACTACTCTGAAACCAATGGTATGTATTATAATGTGCCCTGAACCCATATACTGTAGTTAGCTAGGGGTGAAGGTTAGAATTGGTTGATGAGGTCATATATGTTCCCTGCTGTTGGAAATGACAGCCAAAACATAAATTGGTTTTTCTTTGTACATAAAAAATATTACTCGTGCATAAAAAATACCGTGATATTGTTTATTTAACTATTATGCACAAAGTTTTCTTTTTCTTGAATTTCGGTTTCATATACTATAAGAGCAATGACTCTCCCTACTCGAAAAACCGAAGGCTGATTAATATTAGATCTTCTATTCATACCACTGCATCTGCTTTTTATATACCAATTGGGTGTATAAACCTATTCCATCACTAATCACAACCACATCAACTTAGCATTAACTATAGGCTCTAGGCAGGAACAGTCTAATAATCCTTTTTCTTTTTCAAATTGACATAGCATAACATTCATACTATTATAAACTTTATTCATATACACCATTAAAAATCAACCATGAAGTTTAATTTCTTTCCAATCTTCTTTATTTGCATATCATTGGTATTGGCTGCGGATGCTCCTACAACTACAGCAAGTCCCACTTTGGTATGGGTCACAGGTACCGATGCCAACGGTATATTGAGAACCACTCAATCTCCATACACTCAACAATTCTCAACCTTTTTCACCCTGGTAGCGGCACCATCATCAGGTGTTATTGGATTAGGGACAATAAGTGGACTGGTTGGGGAGGTTCGAACATATGACATAGTAACTATTACCCATAATGGTGGGGGTGCTAGTAATTTTGCATTGGGATTTGGTGACAATATGGAAGTTCTGGCTATCAAATATTTGGGGTTGTCATTATTTGCATTCATTTCGTTGGTTTTATTTATTTAGCTTCGTTTTCAGGGAAGCGTCATTTTCTTATTTTCTTATTTTCGTGATTATTTAATAGAGCATTTTATTTTGAGATTAACCTAATGCAGGTTTTTTTTGTAGGTAAATGAAGTAGACTTGTCAAATTATAGCAATTATCAGCACGCCGTTGGTACCACCTAACTGATATGATTTGTATGCAAGTGTGTTTTCCGTAAGAAGTATTTACCTTTTTGGTGGATGCTACCATGAGTATGCGAGGTATTTTTTTTGCGGCTTAAACGAATGTGTGCAAAAAAATAAACTCAGAAAAAATAAAAACAAACAAAGCCAAAAAATCTTATCAATTGTGTACACATTGATCCCACAAGGGATAAGGGTTAAATTCCTTGTTCCACTTCCTCGATCCAGCCTTGCCAGCATGCGTGCTCATCCCTTACTTTATGGAATTGACTTTCCATTTCTGGTCAATCTATCTCTAAATTGGACAGAGGACTCTAGAATCTTATTTTATATGTGTAAATTTTTACAAAAATTTGATTAAAATTTAGGCAAAACGGTACCTTTCGCTTAGTTCCCGCCCAATTTTTTTTATTTAATTCAAAGAATACTTCCTTCTGGAAGTGGAAATTGACATACATAAACACCACGAATCATATTTACTACAATTATTCCGATATCAAATGATGTCCCCCACCTTCTGATGCAACATGATGCATATTTCATTAGCCCCATCTAATAAAAGAATATACACATGTAATAAAAAATATTAGATAATCGTCATGCATTGTTACAGAGGAATATCATGCTCTTTTTTTATTTATCTTTAAATATAGAAACAGTCTACTTATTGAAAAAGTAACAGAAGTTTTCCCATATAGTTAAATTTTCTTATAATTAACAAGTTTGTAATTAATTAATTAGGTTCCACAGTTTTAGGTCACGGGTGATGGTTTAAAGGCCACAAAAAAAATAATGGATTATTCCACGGCTCGTTTATTTATACGGAGCAACTAATCTAAATCCAACAACAACTGTACTAAATAAATAAAAAAAAAACAAACTATGCTTCACATATTCAATTGAATAAGATCATTACTACAGCTATCACCTAATACCAATAGAACTACCATCGTTTTTATATCCAAGTAGTAACAAGCATAGACCTGCCACCCCATATTTCCATTTTCCCCGCGACACATGTCAGCTGCTCAATCACCATCGTATGGGTCTATAGATGACCACAATCGACCTACTCCCCGTCCTTCACCCAGTTTGAGAGCACAAGAAGCTCCACCTACCTTAGATAATATTGAAACACACAAAAATGATAACATCCTTGATAGATTGGGAATATCTACTTCCTACACACTTGAAAACAAGGGATCGGTTGCTCGAGATCATATGGCCAATGAACGAACATTTCTAGCATGGCTACGCACATCACTTGCATTTATAACTATTGGAATTGGAGTAACTCAGCTTCTACGTATCGATAGACCAGGATCTACTCCCAATAGCAAATTCGAAGTCAATCAAGCAATATCATTAAAACTTGGCAAAACCATCGGGTCAATTTTCATCATCATCGGGATATTATCATTACTATTTGGGTGCCAACGGTATTTTGAAGTGCAGAATATGTTGACAAAGAATCATTATCCTGCTGCTAGATTAGGTATCCTTGCTTTGATAGTGTTGGTGCTTACTATAATTTTGTTTACATTCTTTATGGTTATAAAATCATAATCTTTAAAATAGGAGTTTCGTATTTTTGGGTGTATATTTTGTATCAGTAGCATAATAGATAATTAATGAGAAGCTATTTAAATATAGAAGACTGTTTCTTCCAACGGTGAACTCGTCAGAATTGCAAAAAGAATCATGGCTTATCAGATAACTAACTTTTGGAATAATATTAGGGCATAGCCCTAAGAAAATAAACAGCACGTGCTATAATATGCAAATTTAAAAACTGCAAATAAATATTTACTGGTTACGAATCCAACATGTAAAAATATAACAAGGAGAGGGTAAAAAAAAACTTACTCACAAAAAAAGAACGCACTCTGACTAGCTCCCCACCGGCCTCACCAAAAAAGAAAATTTTTCCAATCTATTTTAGAGTTTCACTCTTCTCTTTTTGATACCTCTATAATACACATAGTTAAATCATAGCAAAATGGTATGTGGAAGATCCATCCAAAGACGATATAAACGACTGCAGATTGAAATGAATGTTTAAGAATGCATATATGTGATTGATTAGTCGAGATAGTCATGAAAACCAACCACTTAAAACTATAATATTTAAAGGCAAATCACGACAAGATCGATTTCCAGAAAACATTTTCAAAAGGGTTAAATCATCATTTATAAACCGGATATCATACAATAGCACAACTGTAGAACAACTGCAAACCAGAGAACGCTCATTTTATGATTCTTCAGATTTCTACATAAATGTCAAATTCCAACATATAACCAGTTAAGCAACATTTCCTATGTTCAACAAAATCAAAAGAACTACAGATATAAGAATTGTAACTATCGATAATCCAATACATTTGCATAGACTAATTTCACTCGTTGTCGTAATTTTTACAACAAGTAATACTAACATCTTTAATAGGGTAAAGTTCACGGTTCCTTAGCTCGTGCTGGTAAAGTTAAATCTCAAACTCCAAAGGTTGAAAAGCAAGAAAAGCCAAAGAAGCCTCAAGGTAGAGCTTACGTTCGTTTGTTATACACCAGAAGATTCGTTAACGTCACCTTGACTAACGGTAAGAGAAAGATGAACCCATCTCCAGCTTCTCAATAGATTAATGGTTGATGATTTTGGGTTAATTTGCTTCATATGATTCTTGTTACATTAGTTTAATTTTTATATCTTTTTATCATTTTGGATAAGGATAATATACAAAGTACAATAAGAAAAAGCAAGTAGTATTAGTGGATTGACGTTAAGACTATTCCTAATGTATATTATGTACAAGGAATTATCTACGTGTGCTATCTATAACATTTACCATTGAGGGTTTAAGAAATATGAGTAAACTCTCGATCTAATCTCTGCAGATTCTTCATCTTCTTCGAACATTGGTTTCCAATTAACCAATTCAATCTTTTCTGCCTTAAGGTCGTATTCTTCACAAGTAACAAAGAATTTTAAATCCTCTTCGAGTAGCCAGGCACGATGAGGACTGAACACAACAAGACATTTCCCGTTAGACTTTAAACTTTTGCGGCATGTAGCTAATAATTTATGATGTTCTGTATGGTTAAAAACCAAATCACTCAAGATTATGAGATCGAATTTATCTTCTTCTTTGATATTTACAACTTCTTCCTTATTGTAAACCAAAGGACTAACATCTTGCCCCCATATATAACCTTGAACTCTATAGTCACATAACTTTGTTTTCAGTTCCAAATCTTTGAAATTGTAATCAATATGTGATATCAAATCAGCATCAGGGTAGTCTGTGCATACAACTTCGGAAGCTTGATTAAGAGAACAGATCAAGGAAGGTAAACCAGCAGCAGCACCTAATTCAAGGATTTTCTTGCCCTTGACTAAATCTTCAGCATGTTTATCCAAATAGTCAGCGGTATAAATACCGGCATTCCATAATAAATGTCCCCAAAGTGGAGATTTCCCAACTAATTTAAGGGTGATTTCTTGTGGTTGGTTATCATGAACGACTTTTCGGGTATATTTGGCAAAATGTGATTCTGGTGGCGGAGGCAAGAAATCTTCTGGTTCTTCAAAGAGGTTTCCATCAAAGGAAACTTCATCATCTGACATGGCGATTAGGTTCTTGCTCTAGATGTGAAGAGGTTAGCTATGTTGAGTAAACAACTTTGTATAATTAAAACAAATTTTCATGTTTCTTTTTTGTGTAAATTTTTTTGCATCTCCCACCAGCAGAGTTGTATTTGGTAGCACTGCCAATTAGCTGCCAGTAATACTACACTGACAGTCCCAGGGATCATTTCATATCTAATTGAGAACCACCTTTGAGAAGAATCACGCTTGATATTTACAATAAATGGGTTATAAAACTTAATTTCATTAAAAAGATTTGAGACAGGTCGCATCTTTTTTAGTCACAGCATCTTAAGGTTCTGCACTCACAGTGGTATACGAAACAATTGTACCATCATAAGTACTGGTGACAGTAGTAAGTTTTCAATTTGCATTTAACAGAAGCGTATATGTAAATGTATGATATAGAATTCCCTTGTATAAGAAGTTTACCCTCTGCCTATATATATATATTGAATGATCCTTAATATCAAAATGTGTCTGTTTAAGTATTGGATGGTTTGTTGTAGTCCCCCAGCTGAGTCGTCTCTACTCTAATTCTACAACATATAACACAATTCTTAGTTTCCCCTAAATGTTGTGATCTTTTTCTATGGCTACGTTTGCTTTTGAATGCTTAAGCACTTAAACAATTCTAACAAGCAACACTAAAACTTTTCGCGTTTGGCTCACAATACAATCTTGAGTCTGGCCAGAGCTAACACTTGGTTATAGTAGCTAGTTATGTTACAAAATGAAAAGGTAAAGTTAAAGTTGTTAAAAGGAAAATTCAAATGCAAAAATAAAAACAAACTGTTAGTGCTGCCAAATTTGACGCACAAAATTTTGTCTTTACCTCAGCTGAGACTAACTATACCAGCTGTGTTGACAATTTAGATACCAGAATCAATCGAACTTCATAATGACAATCCCAGAAGCCACAGAAGTGGAAATCAATACAGAATGGTCCAAAATCTCAACCCAACTTATACAAGATCCTGAGAATCTAAAGTTGTGGCAACAACTAATTGATGCTGCCGAATTTAACAACAAACGAGGCATTACCAAATCCACACCAGTGCCACAAGTAGAATTGCTTCGTGTTTCATACCAAGAGCTCCTTAAGAAGTTTCCTCTTTTGTTTAATTATTGGATCAAATTGGCCACTTGGGAATTCAAATTGAATGCAGACCGTGACAAGGCTGTGGAGGTATATCAACAAGGGTTACAACATTTGCCTTATTGCATAGAACTATGGATTTCATATTTACAGTTCAGAATCGATACACTTAAGGATGAAGAGGATTTGAATGAGGTGCTAAAATTATTTGAACATGCAAGAGGTTTAATTGGGTACCATTTTCACGGTTTTGAGTTTTATAAATTGTACTTGACATTCTTGGAAAGCTATCAAGATGCAGACAACCAATTCCTCAAGAAATTTTATATTTTACTCAGGGTTATTCTAGAGATTCCGATATATCACTATGAGTATTTCTACAAGAAATGGTTCAACATCATAGCTCAAATAGGTCAAGATCAAGAATTTGCCAAGAAGGTCGTCCCATTTATTGTTCAGGTAAAGGAATTGAAAGGTTCTGATTACAAAACTCTATCAGTTAATCTCAAAAAGCTATTCATTGATGCGTATATCACTACTCAGTTCAAGGTCTATGAGTTATTCCACTACGAGAAGAAGTTATCCAGACAGTACTACGATGTCAAGTTAATATCTCGACAACAACTAGATCTCTGGTTTCAATATTTAGAATTCTTAGAAATTAAGAAATCAAGCTACCCGACTAAGTTGCTTGAATTGACTTATCAAAGATTTATCTATGCTACGGCGAGATATACCGATTGTTGGATCAAATATGCCGATTTCTATATCTTCCATGAGAAATATAACCTGGCAAAATCTGCGTTGACTAGAGGATTAATTTACAATGGTGACTACAGGATTCTTCTCAAACTTGTTGATTTGGAAGTGTTTTTAAAGCAATATTTCCGAGCCCGAGAGTTGATTGTTAATTATATTCTGAATAACGTTTCAGTTCCAATTCCTGTATTTGAAAAACTATTAAGTATTGAAAGAGTATTTAGTGAGAATGATGATGAGTATATTCTCCAATTATTCAAGCAAATCATTCAAGAGACCCAAAATGATTACTTCTTCAACGTATTGTTGAACTATTCCATCGATCCATCAAAAGCCCAAGAGTTTGTTAAGCAATTTGAATCAGAGTTTAAAGGGGGGTTTTATGAAGATGCATGTAATAAATTAAACAAGTCCATGAAGCCGTCAACACTAAAGAATTACGATACTATCCTAAATACATATTAATAATCATAATCAAACAATACCAACCAATTAGAATCAACCCCACTTTTCTATCAAAATGCCATTTGTTCCATGGCAAATAAAACAACAAAAACAATATTGTAATACTTAATGCCACTGTGCTTATAATAGCGTTATGACTCAATGTAAATGTAATTGGTTGTTTGGTTTTAGTGACGACATAGATTCCATTTATACCAATACCAAGTAAGATTATAAGTAATGGAGTTCCAAGACAAGAATTTATCCCCAAAATCGGATTTATTCTTGTAGCAAGTGTCAAATTTGTAATGAGGTCGTTTATAGAATTACTTATTGAAAACACCAAAAGTCCAAGTAAATAATCTGAGATTCTCCAAATCAAACCAAAGTTTTTAAGTAGCTCAAGAATAACTAGTGAGCAATAGGAAACAGTCAATAAACTAATACCTATACCGACCAGGGTAATAATGACTGCTTTAACATCTTCACTAATGAACTTCAATGATAATAATGCCAATGGTATTTCAATAAAGATTATGCCCGGTATGACATATTCCCATGGTAGGCTGCAAAATTCCCAATTAATTAATACAGGAACTTGGATCAAGTAATAATATTTAAAGTATGAAGAATGCATAAGATGTGACTTGACGTGCCATACGTCTTCTTCATCACAGCAATGGTGGATGGGAATAATAAAAAATAGTATGAAATCAATAGCATTGAAAACGAATCCAAAAATATTGGTGATTGAAAATTGATTTCGTTTTTCCGAACTGGTACTTGCAGCCACACTATATTGTTCAATATCACTGGAAACTTCAAGCGAACGAGTTCGACGGCATTGATAGTCTACACTAAGATAGTCTGAAACAGGTTCTGGTAATAACTGCTCCTCCTCGTCGTCAACTTGTGGTGGTGGTGGTGGCAGTTGAAGATTTCGCAAGGGGGACGATTTACGTGAATTTGTTGGACTGGCTTTCAAATGCAGAGAGCTCATTGATGTGAAACTCTTGCCCCTGGTTACCACGGGTCGTTCTTCATTTGTTAAAATGCTGATTGCATCTTCGATATTATAGGGTTGTTCAAGAATGTGTTCATGGTCATTATGTTGGATAAGGAGTTCTTCATCAAAATCCCGCAACTTTTCCTTGTCAAATAAGCTTAGGAATAGGATATACACGGCATAAATGCATACCATGGTTATACTTTCAGCTAACGTGATTTTACCATCGGAGAGAATAACCAGAAATGATCCAAGGACAAGCAAGACCCAAATCAAGTCGATTGTTAGCAAATTAGGTTGTTCCACTTTGAATTCACGACTAAAGATACTGATTAAACCAATGATTATCGTAAACATGATTAATATCGATCCCACTACTTGACCAATGACCAAATCTGACGAGCCAGATTGTAGAGCAACATAATAATTGATCAAATCGGGGAATGAGTTGGTTAAGGGAACTAATATGAAACTTAATATTTGGTTATTCAAGCCGAGGGTATAGGTGAACTCATTAAGATTTCGAAACAAATAGTTAGACACCAATATACTCAATGATATTAAGATGATTGTCAATGCCAATAGAATCAATAGTGATAGTATGGACATTAAGATCCATGATGGGTAGTGGGGCGAACAGTAGTACAATTCAGACCATTTGAAATATGACACATCACAGTTCTGTCGTATATACAAACATATATCTGATCCACTTGAGTTTTGAGGTATTAAACATTGATTGTCGTCTAATTCTTGCGCGAGGGCTGAATTGAAGCAAAACAATAGCAAAGCTAGCAAAGATAGTAGTGGTGACTCAAACATTATGGTACGAATCCACTATATGTGTTTAGTTGTGCCTTACCCTCGAGAAGTATTTATATTACCGAAGAACGGGCTATAGTTGCGGTTGAGGTCATTGATAAATTTCAAGTAATATTTTTAGTCAGTGATTTGAGGGGCTGGTGAAATATTTTTTTCTGTTTTGACTATTTTGCAATCAGTAACGTTCATTGTTAACTGAAAAACATTCAACATATCCAGGCGGTACCTTTTAGTGCATACGCGAACTAAGTTACAGGCAATTCTAGACCGTGCGTTTTATTACATCCATGCAGGTATAGGTTGCGCCTACTTTGACTACATGTCTAACTTTAACGTCGGTTGAAATGTATCAATTAATAGCAATTTATTTTTTTTTCAGAAATAAAAACTATACAGTGAGTGCATATAAAATATATCCATAGAAATCGTAAGCAATCAATCAATCAATCAATCGTATGGAACAAAATCTAATAATTCCTTCTTGAAGGCAAGGTATTGCTCAGTTGAAAGAACCTTCTTTGCAATTTCAATATCCTTGTTGATATCATCAATCAATGCCTCTTTACTGACATAATCCAATTCAGGGCGGATGTATCCCAAAATCACATATTTCACACCAGCACCATAAAAGGTATCTTTGAACTTGCGGATTATATGGAGCTCAGCGGCTTTTTCTTCGTTGTGGAAGAATGGGTTCCATCCAAGCGACATGACCACAGGCAACACTTCCAAATCCTCTTCGCTCAACTTGTTACCATGGTTGAACAAGATTTGCTCATGATGGCCATATCTAGTGGCTCTCAGTTTGGTTACATCCTTTTCGCCAGTGAGTGGTATGAGTTTGGCATAGCCGAAGTAGATTCCAGTAGGCAAGTGACTGATTTCCTTTCTGATTGGGATGTTGGCTGTGGGGATCCCTAATTCGCCAGCACCACGGCCATAGCCAAGTATGATTGAGGTTTGGTCGTAGATTGGGTAAGGTGATTCTGGTTTGACAGGAATGTTTGCGTCTGGGCGATGCATTGCAGTTGGGTGATATAAATGATTATAAAAGAATCGACCAAGGAGGAAAACTTGGAACAATTTATAGGGTTGTTAACCAAATAGAATTGATGACTGGGAAATTATTTTTTGTTTATATGGCGTGAAAAATTGTGAGATTCCCGAAGCAAACAGAAAGATTGGCGAGGGGGTGATATGGTCTGTGGGGGTTATTGAGCGGGGCTCTAACCTAATTAATAGAAGAAACACCGAGCTCCGAGCCAAGACAAAATGTAGAGAACGCAATATTAGGTCGATGGTTTGATCCCCTTTTGATATAATCGTTCCACTAAACATATACGAATTTAGGTTAAGCGGAGTAGCAGTCAAATTTAGGGAATGTATTTTTTTTTTTGGCTCTACTTGTGTAGGTTTCTGGTGAATGCCAATAATACAAGTTCCTTCTTGGCATTGAACTGAATTTTCTTTTATATATACAAGAGGGTCCTATCAACCACTTGGTAAATATTGGATTGCTTCTTTGGTGGATATTGAATTATACAAGCATTAATAATTTAGTGGAATGATCTTGTAATTTGCAATCTCATGATGCTTCTCACCGCGCGATTTCAAAATGAGGCGACAATGGCTAGAATAAGATGCGTATAAAAATTATGTTTAATTTAGGCTTTATTTGATAAAGCTTGACAGGTTATATTCCTTTGTTTAAGTCATGAAATGCTCTACCATTGATATACCCCAATTTTTGGCCAAGCAATAAACTTTATAATTGCTAATAGCTCATTAGCAAACACAAGGTACTTTGAATATCCCCCCTTAATCATTTCTACACCCATACTTATCGTATTATATTTTTTATTAGGTAGTCGTAACAATCTATATATTTACAGATCAGAGAACAACTTAAAATCTCTTTTCTAATTGTTCCAATAAGGTAACAGCATCCTTACCGAAAGCTCTGATACCTTGAGACAACTTTTCAGTGGCCATGGCGTCTTCGTTCAAGGCGAATCTGAAAGCAGCTTCGTCATCAACGAAAGTAACCTTTTCAATGTCTTGGGACTTGGCAGCGGCAGCATCCAATTGCTTTGGAACAGCTTCGGTGGAGTTGTACAATTCCTCCAACAACTTTGGAGCAACAGTCAAGAAGTCACAACCAGCAAGAGCCTTGATTTCACCAGTGTTTCTGAAAGAAGCACCCATGACAATGGTCTTGTAGCCAAACTTCTTGTAGTAGTTGTAGATACCCTTGACGGAAACGACACCTGGGTCAGTTTCAGCAGTGTAGGTTTCACCAGTAGAAGCCTTGTACCAGTCCAAGATTCTACCAACGAATGGGGAGATTAAAGTGACACCAGCTTCGGCACAAGCAACAGCTTGAGCAAAAGAGAATAACAAAGTCAAGTTACAGTGGATACCGTGCTTGGCTTCCAATTCACGAGCAGCTTGGATACCTTCCCAAGTGGAGGCAATCTTAATCAAGATTCTGTCCTTGTCAATACCTTGAGTCTTGTACAATTCAATCAATTCCAAAGCCTTCTTGATGGTGGCTTCCTTGTCGAAAGACAAACGAGCATCAACTTCAGTAGAAACTCTACCTGGAACAATTTCCAAAATGTTCTTACCAAATTCAATCAACAAACGGTCAAGAGCAATTTGAGCCTTTTCCTTTGGAGAAGAACCCTTGTCTTTAGCGTAGTCAATGGCAACATCAATAACCTTAGCATATTCTGGCTTCTTGGCAGCAGCAAGGATCAAAGATGGGTTAGTGGTGGCATCTTGAGGAGTGTACTTGGCGATTTGTTCGAATTCACCGGTATCGGTGACGATAACAGTACCGGTAGCTTTCAATTGTTCTAAGGAGTTGGAAGACATTGTATATATATATATGAGTAAGACGATGAAGTAGAGAAGAAAAGAAGAAAGAAGAAGAAGAAAATTTCAGCAAAAAGGAGGAGGGGAATTGGAATTAATCTATTTATATATAATTTTTTTTTCATCTGACTGTTGTCCGGATTTTTCGTTACAACGGTATGTGTAACCGGTGGAATGCGTGGAGGATTTGTTGAATATTATTATTTTTTGTGTAATTATATAAGCAGGCGGGTGAGAAACGAGGGGGGCAAATCTGGCTGGAAATTGTTAGAATTTCGGATGAACGTTTTTAAGTTGACCCTCGAAAATGCATCAGGGGTTTTTCTTTTTTACTAATAAATTAATAATCCATGACAAGCGCAATATTACTAATAACACTAATAATATTCATGCTTGTGATTGCTGTTTCTCCTCCTTAGGTATTTTCTAACACCGCCAGGGTTCTAAATTATTTAGATAGAATTCGGTTACGTAAAAAAAAAGAAATGGCGATGTAAACGTTTTCCATGTATTTCCGAGGGCTTGAACCACTCCGGCATTTGCGTAAGCGGAGGCTAATTCATTATTACAACTCCATAAATAACACAATATTATGTGTAGCTTTAATTGCATGGAAAAAAAAAAAAGTGCGCAACGTTCGCTATGGAAGGTCGAAAACGGCAATTTTGGGCTAAAAGAATGACCACATTTTTCACCCATTGACCTTCTTAATTGATGGGTTTACTATCTGGACAGTTTAATTATTAAGACTACACATTCTAGAGCTTATTCCATTGCCTTATGTTGTTAATTTTAAAGAAAGTTTGTTCCACCCCCTCATGCTCGCTAAATATGCATTTAAATTGCTAAGAAAAGAGCGAATTTTACATGAATTGAAAGTTTCCAGTTGCTCCGCAAAATAGGATATACATGACAAACCTAATCATTCCATAATTCTTTAAATTACCAAGTCCACCGCCAGGTGCTTGAGAACCGGAAAACGCAAAGCCAAGTATTGCTTCAACATGTCAAATACGCAACATTCACGTGACTACATGTAAACAAAATTTCTTTTTAAGCATTTATCCGTAATGGTGTATTCTTTTAAGTTTTTTTTTTTCCGACGTTTAGGCAAGTTTACATTGTTCGGATATTTACAAAAGCCAATTTCCATATGGAGATCGAGATGGTAACAGATCTGGGTTTGATTTTGATCTTGATCTGTCGTAAAGAAACAGTCTGGTTAATTGCCTCCTTGCAGTATTCGCAGCATTTAGTCTAGATCGTAACTATGGCGAGGAAATTTTACCCCTGCCACACGACCTTAATTTTCTTTGTGTGACACAATTTTTTGCTCGGAGGCGACGGCAAAATCATATCGTCACAAGAGGATTAGACCACTTTGTTTGCGGGCAACCAAGTGCCACCCTTATTCTTGCTTTCGTCATCTTCTCCCCCCCCACTGGCTAATTTATCCAATCTGAGACATATTTCACCAAGATCTGAAGTGTTCCAAACATTTTTTTCGATTTTGACCCACTTTGTTCCCCACATTTTTATTCATCACAACAAGGCTTGTCGTGTGTAACGGAATTTACAGATCCTGGTTTATTTTGCAGCAATGGCTATTGTTCATAGACTTTACATCACTGCCAGCAATAACTACAGTGAGAACTTCCAAATAGTGGCTGTAAACACCACGATTCCCCTTGAAATTGACTCAGAGATCGGTGTTTTCAAGGTTGTTGTCAACATTAAAGATTTTGACGGATCAAAACCTCATTTGAGCAATAGTTGCTACAACATCGATGATGATACTTTCCTTGATGGCGAGCCATTGAATTTCAAGCGTAATGAGCACGACAATATAATACCCAATGTCCGCATGCAAATTGAGTTTACGCCAAAGAAGGATATCAATGGAGCCCAGTTGATTTTTGGTAATGATTTCACCTATCCTGTCAAGAAATACATTCCTACGATGTTGTTAACTACCGGATTAAAGTTGTATAACTTGTTTGTGTCAAACTCGGTTCAGGGTAATTTGTACAGTAACAAACCGTATCTTTACGGGTTGGCATTGAATAACTTTACGTATATGGGAATCGACAATTTCATGCAAATTCCAAAAATAATCAACAGTAAAACGGTGCCCATGGATTGCGAAGAAAACGTTTCTAGTCAGTTGCACACTCTTACCCATAGTACTTCACAGGGAAGAATCAAGTATTTCAACCAACGTGAGGATTGTGAAGAGTTTGTATTTAAACAGGGCGTTGCATATAACTTGCAATTTGACACCAATTACGTCAAAATGTCAAATTCAAATTACGCCATTTGTATTCCGAAATTTGACGTCAATGTCAACAGATATGTCAATGAGACATTGAACAATTTCAACTATGTGATCAAAGAAGGTGGGCACACTAATGTCGATGAAGGTACGGCTGGTCTTGTTATAAATTTCGCATTAAGGGCAGAAGAAGAACACCTTGACAGCTAGTTGATGGGCTATTGTATATGGTAAACTAACTATATTGTTGCTTGCATATCTGCTACCGAGCTTTTTTTTTCTATGCCATTATAACTATTCATTATTTAAGCATAATAGTCATATAATTCGCTCTCTTTATATATAAACATAAGAATAAAACATGTTCCAGGACAATCAAATTGCAAAACGGCAGAAATTTTTTTGCATATATCAATTTTTGTGTAACATTGAGCATGGCACGACCAGCCACCCGCCCCTCTCATCCTTTAAGTGCAAAACCATAACAAACAAAAAAAAAAGCAGTCACATTTAATCACGATTTAAAATTTACCCTATCCAGAAGGTGTATAAACCCTAGTATAAAGTTGCAAAACAATCCCAACTTTTTTTTGGCAGCCATATCCTAAACACAACACCATAAATTAATACCATCAAACCATACCTGCATATACACTAATACTCAGTACCAGATGTCTAATCACCACGAGACATCCCCTCAACAGGAAGGGACCCACGGAACAGATATACATCACCACGAGAGGCGACGAGAGAGTACCGATCAACCGCATTACGATAAAACACAAGAGGACATAGATTTGGAAGACGCTATAGGGAACGTCTTTGACGATTTCGACTTTGGCGAGATACGGCATATGCAGCCTGAACAACAACAGCAACACCCACACCCACACCCACAGCAGCAACCGAATCAAGACCACTCACACATGGGCTTGTCCCATGAACAAGAGATGCACGATTCAATTGAAAATGCCCTTGATGATGTGTTTTCTGGAAAGCACACCGAGAGCAATACAGACGAGGGAAATCTCCACGAAGGACAGAAGGAGCAAACTGCATCAGAAGACCATCATCACATGGATTTAGATGATGCGATCGGAAATGCCTTCAATGATATTTTTGGAACAACCGAAACACATACTGATGTCCAGCAACAGGAAAGCACAGAAATAACAAAAGAAACAGACCATTCCGAGGTCCACACATCAGACTTACACAATGCCATAGCTGATACTCTCGATAACCTCGCATCCAAGCAAGATATACATGAACATCAACCAGAGATACAACTGCAACCACAAACTAAACATAATGAACCCGAACACAACGACGAAATGAATTTAGATGATGTAATAGGCGACGCATTTTCTCACGTCTTTAACAAGGAACAAGAAACAAAGCCCGAAAGTGAAACTACTACGCAACCAGTAAGTGGAAATGTATCAGAAAGTATAACACATCCAGATCCCGAGGAAACAAAGGAACAGCAGCAAGTTCAAAAGAGCGAGTCCACTGCGCAAAAGGAGTCGGAATTGAGCGTCGCAGACGCCATTGGCGATGCATTTGACAATTTCTTCAAGGACCATGACAAACCCAAAGAGCATGAACACGAAGATCACAAGCAAGATGAGAAAACACAAGACGATGACGACTTGAATGCAGCTATAGGTGATGCATTTGGTAATGTTCTACGCGACAAGAATGAACCAGAGTCTAGCAAGGAAGTGGATGTGCCCGATGACAAAGATGACTTGGAAGATGCCATTGGTGATGCATTCAATAACATATTCAACAAAAATAACCAATCACAACCTGAACCAGAGCAAAAAGAAAGTCATTCCGTGGAATCAAAGGTTGAGAGTGAAGTAACACAATCCGAGCAACCTAAGGTAGCGGAGAGTTCTGATCAGAAAGAACCACCAATGACTGAACCCGAGGAAGATAATTTAGAAGATGCTATAGGAGATGCATTTGCCAACATATTTGCAAACAAATTGCTGGAAAACATAGAGGCCGAGAAACCAAAGGAAAAGGAGAATGAACAACCTCAACAACAACAACAACAACAACAAGTAGCAACTACCCCCACCTCTCATGCTCCACCTGTACAAACACAAGAAGCAAACAAATTACCAGTACCTGCAACTAAGAATAGTACGCATTCTGAAAACGATGATCTTGATTTAGAAAATGCCATCGGTGATGCTTTCAAAAGCATTATTCCTGATCCTACTAAAAGCACGTCCGAACCAGAGAAGAAGCAAGATACTGAGCTAGAAGATGCGATAGGGGATGCATTCAGTAATATTTTCCACCAGAATACTCCGAAACTGTCGTCCATAAACGAATCTACTACATCTGCAACTGAGAAAAAGAATACCAATGACGATGATATGGATTTAGATTCTGCTATTGGAGATGCATTCAAAAGCGTCCTTCCTGCTGTCAGCAAGCAAGCTGTTGCACCCCAAACACATGCTGAAGATGTTGATAATGAATTGAGAAGTGCAATTGGCGATGCATTTAAGTCAATAGGAACTCAACAACAGACTGAAAAGGGTGAGGTGAATGACGACGACTTGAATGATATGATTTCTGCTTCTTTTCAACAAATATTAGGAGGTTCATCATTATCTAAACAAGCGCCCGCAGTTACAGAAACGCCACTTGCCGATAATGACATGAAGGATGTTATCACAGAGGCATTCAAGTCAGCCATGAGTACCAGCACTAGCACTAGTACCAGCACTACTAAGTCTAAGAAATCCGAGAAATCTAAACCATCCAAATCCAAATCACACAATCTAGTCCAAAACATTGTCAACCAGATCGATTCCAAGAACACAAGAATGAGCGAAAGTGCCATTCATAACTTGGCTGTTCAGATTTCCCATCAAGTGCAGGATCATTTGAAGGATGAAAAGAAGAATAGTGCTCCTAATATTCCCCTCGTGTTTGGATTGCCACAATTGGATGAAAGTGTTTTGGAACATTTCCAAAATGAAGCGTATGCCGATAAGGACAAAGAGAAGCAAGTTGATCAAAGTGGACTTCAAACTGCTATTAACAATGCATTGAAGAATGTCATGGAAGGATCAGCAAGTAAGGAAGATACCGGAGCTGCTGATTTGGAACTGTTACAGATGAATGATATACTTCAAAACGCGTTCAAGATGGCGTTGGAGAAACCTCAGGAATTAATTTCAGATTTGGAAATTGATGATACCGGTGTATTGGTTCCTCCACCCCAAGCTCAAGTCTCTCCACTTCAAAAGACTTCATTACAGAGACCAAAAACCAAACCAAAGAAGAAGGATTCTGATAAACCTGTGTCTAAACCAATTATAGTTCCTGACATACCAATAAGAAGTCTGATTATCAACGACGTGCCTAAACTTCCTGGAGAAGTTGCCGGTTCAACCACCGAAGAGTCCTCCAAGCATGCAGAAACCAGTCCCAAGAAGACAATGAAAAAGTCAAAAGAACCCGAAGAAGGAAAGAAACTTTCAATAGCAGAATCTTTAGCATTAAGTCGAACCATTCTTAACCAACCACGTCGTGATTATTCTTCCATCGAGTCAATTGAACAGCTTTTGAGAAGTGATCGAACTGGAAGTTCGTCTGGTTTACTGTCCTCATTGAATACTCCATTATCGAACGTACTTAGTTCATTGACTTCCAGGATCAATCGTGGAGAAATGTCGGATCGAAACATTATGAGTGTGATCCGTCAAATGACCGAGACAATCTCAGCTGGAGGCAGTGTGAACATTGCCCAATTTTTAAGACCGCCAACTGCAGAAGAAATCATTGCCAAATACCGAGATCAAGAGAAGAAAGGTGTTGTTGGTGCATTAGAAGTAGCCAAAAAGTATCTTGTGGCACAAAATGACGGAGATACCGAAAAAGATGAAGCTGTTTCCTTGATTGATAAAGCAATTACCAAGTTTAACGTCGAAGATTCCAGTAGTACAGTAGAATCATCACAAGAGGAATTACCGGGGAACCAAACTGAGTTTATTTCTTCAATCAGCAATTCAGTTATAAGCACAATTATCTCGGCTTCGCCAAAATCAAGGTTCAGTACCGCTACTATTTCCAAGATTGAAGAGCTCAAGGCCAATTCACCCGAATTTGTCAAGAAAGTACGGATTGATAACCGAGAACGGAAAAAGAAATGGAGGGAAGAGAATGCTGAACGGAACAAAGATAATGATTTAAGAGTGAGAGTGATCAAGAAGGCAAATGCTCTATTTGGTGATCAGGATTCACCGGAAAAGGCAGCATATATCGAAGAGACGTTTAATCTTAGACGTGAAAAGAGAATTGCTAGACTGAAAAAGGACGAGAATGTAAGTGGAGAAGATGATGAGGAAAGAAGGTTCAATATTAAGACTAAGGATGCGTTTGTAGTTTCTCGTGATCCTGACCTTGTTAGGCCCGTTACTGATTTGTACAATATTTTCAAAGGATTCACCACCAATGATGATTCATTAGCAATGTTGATTGCAACCGGTGCGTCTGTTGCTTCTGCTGCTTCATTATATTCACAAAACAATGATACTACTTTCAAGCTGGTTGATTCGGCAATTTCTTCGATCTTGACCTTGCTATTGGCTACTAAAGGAAGTAACAACGAAAGTAGAGCTTCCTCGTTGGGGTTCCCAAGTGCAGTTGATAGAGGGATTGTCGGATCTTTACTGGAGTTGAACCTTCAAGAAAAGAGAGAACCAAGTAGTTTGCTAATGGGTGATTTAAAGCGGACAAGACCCAATGAAGATCTAGGTATAAATTACAAGAGTTCTGTTCCTGGCCCAGCACCATTCTGGGGATCAACCAATTCACTCAAGATGCCTCATTATAAAAAGAAATCAGATACCAGTCCCAGCCCCGCCAGTGATCAACAGCGAGTTTTGAAACTACCTCGAGATTCACCATTCATTTCAAACAAGGTTCATTTAGGCGTTCGCAACGACAATTCATCTAGTTCTTCACCTGGGTTACGAAAGCCTGGTAGTTTTCAAAAACCTGCAATTGTTAAATCAGAAGGTGACAAAGCACGCGGTACAAGTTTAGGATTCCCCCGGTTATATTCTGCATCATATAGTTAGACATTTCTATAGATCTATAAAGGTTCAGTTTCTTTGATTAGCCAATTGTAGGCTCTTCTATCGCCCATTTGCAACAATTTATTGGCAAATTCTGCTCTAATGCTCTTGTGATACTCGTTAATCCAAGTAAGTTCAATTAAAGTCAAGTAATCACAATCAATAAGCTTTCTACAGAAGGGAATTTTAGTCAAATACTCAAATCCCAAAAAATTATCCCCATTGCGTGTCTTTCCCACGGAATCATCACATTCAATCACCTCAAGCTCACTCTCGATTCTAATTCCTAATTTCCCATCAACATAATATCCTGGTTCGTCAGTGAGGATGGCTCCCGGACGGTACAAATCCGCTTTGGAACTTGGTCCACTGCTAGTAGTCAGAATATACAACGGCCCTTCATGTACATTGCCAAAACTGCCCACACCATGGCCAGTCCCGTGATTGAAATCAAGTCCTTCGTTCCATAATGGTTGTCTTGAGTATCCGTCGAGAACGGTACCAGTGCTGGACGAATGAGGGGGGAACTTGGCCATAGCAACGGCAAGATGACCCTTCAATACCAAGGTGTAGAATTTTTGATACTCCTTGGTCAACCCTTCATGTCCAAATTTGTATGATCGAGTAATATCGGTGGTTCCTTCGAGAAATTGGGCACCTGAATCAATTAAGTAGATCTTGGCAGGGTCAATTATGTCATTTTCTTCTTTAGTTGGCGCATAATGGATAATTGCAGCATTGGCACCAGTCGAGGAGATTGTTTCATAGGATAATCCTTTGAAATTAGGTAATTTTGTTCTGATGGAGTAAATCTTGCATGCAGCATCATATTCAGAAATACTTGCTTTCTTATTGATAAGTTGGTGTTCTAACCATGAAGAAAAGATAATGAATGCCAAGGAATCCTTGTATTGAGCAATCTTGGCATTGAAAGATTCAGTGGAGTTCTTGTAAATCTTGAGATTGGCAATGATGGATTCATGGATTATAATTCTTTTGCTGTATGATTCAGGGAATGCTTGGAACAATGCATAAGTGGTTGACGACTTTTCTGGTAAGATTACGGCAAGATCTGGTTCATCAACTGTAGATTTCAATTTTCCAATATCTTCATAAAATTGGGAGTAATCTCTAATTGATAAGTTGTTGATAGTTTGCAAGTACTTATGGAGTTCTTCATTACCATTGTCAATCTTTACCTTGTTAATATACAACACCACCGAATCCAAAGTGATAATGGCATATGCAAAAAACACCGGGTTGAATGGAATATCAGAATCAGCACGTAAATTAAGTAGCCAGGCAATACTATCCAATTCATTAACGACATAGTGAGTGGCATCATGTTCTCTCATTCTGACTCTAATTCTGTGCAACTTGTCATTTGTGTGCTCACCACTAAACTTCAAATCCAACTGGTAGACTGGTTCTAAAGATCTTGAGGGTTTCTCGTCACCCCATACTTGATCAACAAGATTGATATCAATTAGTGGTTGAAATTTGAATTTATTCGTATATGTGAGTCTAGCATTATTAAAGTAGTCTCCCAAGGACAAACTGATCAATCTAGGGTCACACGAGATAACGTTACTGAAATCATTATGGACAGCTTGTTGGATACAATACTTTGGCCAGCTGGGGTAACCTGCTGCACCTTGCTTGAGCAATCTCCAATAGTTTAAATCCAATTGCTTTTCAGCTTGGAGGAAATATCTTCCATCGGTAGACAAGGCAGCTTTGCCTTCTAAAGTGGCGCCATTGGTTAAGGTAACAATGGCTATACCAGCACTACCGGTGAATCCCGAAATGAATTCTCTTCGTTTATCGGCCAATGCGGTGTATTCCGATTGGTGTTCATCTTCTGAAGGAATAATGTACACACCGATATGATGATCTCTCATAAGCTTTCTTATCTCGGTCAATTTTTCTTGGGTGGAAAGTTTAGACTTGGCAATAGTTAAATTGTATGGCAAATCGGGAACGGGCTCATAGTCTTCATCGTAGTCAATGCATTCGTAGTCTTCTGTGTGGGACTTTTCTGATCTCGTGAATGAAGGTAAACAGCTTTGGAATGGGAATGATAAGATCGATTTGAAGGAGGGGCAGAGTTGGTGGGTGGAGATTTCGTTTTCGTCGGCAATTTTGCGAGGATACCCTAACAAAGGTTCCTTTTCTGAGATGTGCGTCATGACTAGGGCTGATGCGCTATTGCAAAAACTGTAGATGTAAACAAGGTGAGTAAAAAGAAGCTTTGTTTGCCAGGAGGCATATCACTTGAAATTGCATGGTGGATTTAACCGCTCCGCATTTATGTGCCGCATCGGAAGTGTGTTGCCGAGCCCTAAAAGAAAGATCACCAGCCCCTCTTTTTCTTTGACAACGCATGTGGTAGCACCAGCGGACAAATCCCGCGACGGAATTCGATGGTGTGATCAAGGCAACCAATGGCGACGACTGCCACTGAACCGACGCCAGACCTGGCCCGGAGCCAGACTTGACCTGGAGCCAGACTTGGCCCGAAGCCAGACTTGACCGTCGCGAGTAGACCTTGGAGTCAGCCTGCGACTCCAGTTATAATGTGTGATGTGATATTGCTGCATTACCAGAAAACGTAGCAAAATAGCAATTGGGCACACACGATTCAGATTGATCTCACGTTTCATCTATCCAAATAGGCTTACACGGCCTACCCCCGACGTGCGACATACCAAACCAATGCTATCAAAAGGCTTTCTGTGGTAACCAAACCTCTCCACGTCACCGGCCACAGATAAGGAAGAGACACTCATCACGTGACGCGACATTTTTGCACCTCACACGAATGTTTACATTTTTTTTAAAAAATTTAAGACGCGTCAAGTAACCAGTGTTTATTCTACTACTTTACACCCACCACTGTATCCAAACTATCGAAAGAAATGGGTAGATTAATTGGGTTAGAGTTATACAACTTCAAGTCCTACAAAGGGAAAACTTCCATCGGATTCGGGACTTCCTTTTTCACATCAATCATTGGACCTAATGGGTCCGGGAAATCCAACATGATGGACGCGATCTCGTTTGTCCTTGGTGTCAAATCATCACAATTACGGTCTCAGAATTTAAGCGATTTGATATATCGTGGTAGAAAAGAAAATGTCGATGAAGACACTACCATTAATCTGACCGACCAAGATCCTACTACTGCTTATGTCATGGCTGTGTATGAAAAAGACAGTGGTGAGATTTTGAAATTGAAACGTGCTATAACTGTCAGTGGAACTAGTGATTATCGGATTAACGGTCGTTCCGTGACATTGTTGAACTATAGCAAGGTCTTGAAACAAGAGAATATCTTGATTAAGGCGAGAAATTTCTTGGTTTTCCAAGGTGATATCGAACAGTTGGCTTCTCAATCACCCAAGGATTTAACTAGTACAATTGAACAAATCAGTGGATCCGATGAGTATATCCAAGAATTTGAAAAATTAAAGGAAGAAAGTGAACGTGCTCGTGAGTTTTCTTCTTCTGTATTTACGCGTAAGAGAACATTGAACTCGGAATCTAAACAATATAAAGAGCAATTGGCGGAACAACGTGAATTTGAAGAAAAATTGGTACTCAAGGGAGACGCCATTAAAAAAATTCACTTGTATAAGCTCTACCACAATGAAAAGAAACACGACTTGCTTAAACAGGAGATCAAGGATAAGAAGAATGAGTTGAAGGAACGTAAGCGAGATTTGCAGACTAAAGAAAAAACCTATGAAACCATCATGTCTGAGTATTCTTCCGTCGCCCTTGATTTGAAACGTATCAAGCAGAAAATAGACACCAGTGATATGAAAGTTGAATCCACTAAACGTGATTTAATTCCTATTGAAGCCACCAAGCGAGCCTTGGCTTCTAAAATTTCATCCAGAAGGACCAAGATCAAGGATTTAGAGAAAGATATTGCTAATCAAAAGCAACAAGTATCAGTCATAGAAAGTCAATTACGAGATGCTGAACGTCTTAGTCGCGAATTTGAGCAATCCAATGTTGATAGTGATATTTCCATATCTCCTGAAGCACAAAGGGAGTATTCTGAATTAAGATCCAAATTCTTGGCCACTGACGAATCAAGATTAGAACAAGATTTAACTCTTTTGTCTAATGAAAAGGAAAAGATAAATGCTAATATCGTCAACATACAAAGTCAGAAAGAACATGCTGAAGCCACAGTTCGAGAAATTGAATCTTTAGTCGTCAGTGAATTGAAATCCAAGTATGATGATATCAACACGGAAATCAACAACACTCTCGAATTAAAAGCTCAAAAGGAAGAACTTCGTAAATCTTTAATCAAAAAGAAGAATGACTTGGAAAGCAAGAGGAAGCAATTGGATATCCAATATTTTGACGTGTTGAGCAAAATCAATGAATCTCGTGCACAACAGCAAGAATCCTCTAAACAAAAACAATTACGAGAAAACGTGTCTATGCTTCAACAATCGTTCCCCACTGGTGCTGTCAAGGGATTAGTCTATGAACTAGTCCGTCCTTCTGCGTCTAAATACGAGCAGGCATTGGCTACTATGTTAGGACGTAATTTTGATGCTATTATTGTGCAAACCTCCGCCGTGGCCCATAAAGCCATTGAAATGTTGAAAGAAAGACGAGCAGGTGTGGCTACATTCATTCCCTTGGATACCATTGACGTAGACCCAGTTAACTTGCACCATCTCAGATCATTGGCTACTCCAGGGTTAGATATTATGGAATATGAGGATAAGTCACTTGAGAATGCCATGAACTATATCGCTGGTGATGCATTGATTGTGGAAAACATGACGGTTGCAAGACAATTGAAATGGACCGGTGGTTCGCGTGTTCAAAACAAGTTGATCACATTACAAGGGTCCGTGATTCACAAATCAGGATTCATGACTGGTGGTGGCTCTTCTCAAAAGTCAACTGTGGTGTTGAATTGGGATAAACGAGAATTGTCAAGGTTGAATGAAGTCAAGGATGATTTGGACATTCAAATTAGGAAAGTTGAAGATGAAATGCCAACCACGGCTGAAATCAGTTCATTGACCGATGAAATTTCTCAATTTGACAACAAGTTGGTGGTATTGCGTGATGAGCGGGATAATAAGGAACGTGTGATCAAGGATAGGGAATCAGAAATTGAATTCCAAAAGAGTTTGTCTCTTGGGTTTATCGATGCTATTGCTCAAAAGCGTAACGAGCTTAAGAAGTTGGATGTTAAGATGAAGCATATCAGTGATGAAATAAAACTCGCTAAAGAAGACATCTTTGGTGAATTCTGTGAAAAATATGGGTTTGTTAATGGTATTGAAGATTATGAAAAGACTCATGGTAATACTCTTAGAACTAGAGCAAAGGAAAGAGTTCAATACTCAAAGGCTATATCTACATTGGCAAATAAACTAGAATTTGAACAAGAAAGATGTAAGAAGACACAAGAAAGGAAAGCAAGCTTGGAAAGCAAACTCGTGGATTTAGAACATGAGTTTGATGAAGTGTTAAAAGCAAAGACTGAATTAGAAGAAACTTTAGATTCAACTGAAGCAGAAAATGAAGTCATGAAACAAGAGTTGATAACCATAACCAATTCCACTCAAGCTAAATTGAAAACAGCCAAATTGATTGAATCTGATGTTCAAGAGGCACAAGCTGAATTTGATAGCACGAACAGAGAACTTTTACAAATTGAAGAACGATTATTGAAGGTTGATTCTGAACGAGCTACTGCGTTGGTCAATTGTAAGATTGAAAATATAAACTTGCCATTGAATGACGGTGATTTGGAAAGTATACCTGTTGGTGAAAAGTCGCAAGAAGCAATTGACGAGATTTACAAGTTGGAAATTGATTATTCATTGCTTGATGAACGTTTCAAAGAAGCATACAATATTCATCTTGAGTCAGAACTTGCAGCATCGTTACAAACCATCCTTGACCAAATTGAGCAATTAACCCCCAATGCCAAGGCACAGGAGAGATTGCAGGAAGTGCAAGCTAAACTCACGGAACAAGATCGAGACTTCACTGTTGCCAGGCAAAGGGAACGACAAATCAACAAAAAATTCGAAGAGATTAAGGAAGAACGTCATAAGAAGTTCATGGATGCATTCAACCATATATCTTCCCAAATCGACGGTATCTACAAAGAGTTGACTAAATCAGCCGTAGCACCAATGGGTGGATCTGCCTACTTAACTTTAGAAGACTCAGAGATGCCATATTTGTCTGGGATTAAGTATCATGCTATGCCGCCAATGAAAAGATTCCAAGACATTGAAAACCTTTCTGGTGGTGAAAAGTCCATGGCAGCATTGGCATTGTTGTTTGCCATCCATTCGTACCAACCATCACCATTCTTTGTTCTTGATGAAATTGATGCTTCGTTGGATTATGCCAATGTTATGAAGATTGGGAACTATATTCGTAAGAACGCAGGGCCAAACTTCCAGTTTATTGTTATATCGTTGAAGAATTCGTTATTTGAGAGATCAGATTCGTTGGTGGGTATATATAGAGAACAGAGGGAGAACAGTTCCAAGACTGTTTCTTTGGATTTGAGAGATTATCCCGAAGAAGAAGTAGCTCTAACTGCCAGTGTATAATTTTGTATTTATAAAAAATAAATTTTCAGCCAAAAAAAAAAAAAAAAGATTAGTTCATCTTCAGCTTTCTTTTGCAACAACAGAATGTTTGCCCTAGCGAGGATTAGTCTTGTTCGAGGCACTCGACTAGTGTATGCTAATGCGAGATACTGTTCTGCAACTGCAAGCACTGTGAAATCTTACACAGACAAAGATGTACGCAACTACCTAAGGAATATAAAACGAGGGAAGGGAACCAAAAGAAGAAAAGATTTAGATGATCCCACTCATCCCAACAACCTCCTCCAGTTGGAAATCCAAGAGTTTGCCAAACAAATGGGTGTAGCAACTGCTAATATTCTCAATTGGGATGACTTTATCGTGCATGAGTTTTTCGAAATGAAGGGAAAGAACATTGAGGTCAATACCATGATTCATGGGATGACTACCCTGGGAGTAGGAGTAGCCCTAGTTCCCAAGTGCGATTATACTGTTGGTTTCAATGGGGACCTTACTGACAAGTACACTGTAGTGTTTGTTCCCAAGACGTACACTGGTGATGAAGTTACCATTACAGTAAAGAAACACTTTGAAATGCATGCCGAGGGTGAAGTACTCAAGGTTCATAATCTCGGCAAGAATCCACTCAGGAACAACGATTTAATTAAATGCAGGCACTTTGAAACGTGCAATGGTTGTCAATTGCAAATGGTGCCTCATGAAGAACAATTGAACTTTAAACAAACAATTATTCAACGTGCTTACAACTATTTTTATCCGGAAATCTTCAACCTGTGGGAAGATGAAAAGACCAAATTTGGCAGAGTAATAAGTTCTCCCTTGCAATACGGTTACCGTACCAAGATAACCCCACACAGTGCATACTACAAGGGAAGAGATAATCTTGTAATTGGATTTCAAAGTGTAAATAGTTTTGAAACTGCTGATATTGAACAATGTCCTATTTCTTCTCTTGAAATCAACAAAAAGTATGCTGAACGCAGAGAGGAATTCATCAATGATTATCTTGCCATGAGACAAATTGACAAGCATGTGGCTAGAGTTGGACATTATTTCAGTTTTAGAAACTCTATCCACATAGATAGAAATACGCGTCAGATCCAACAAATTGCAGTTGAAGGACAACAGAAGATAATTACCGAGAGAGTTGAAAAGTATTACTACCAATTTGATGCTTCTAGTTTCTTTCAAACCAATAGTTCGATCTTGCCATTAGTGTTAAAGTATATTCGAACACATATAAAATCTACCAAAGCTCCAATTGACAATTTGGTAGATACCTATTGCGGAGTAGGGTTCTTTGGGATTGCTCTTAATAAAGATGTGAAAAAGAAAGTCCTAGGTATTGAGTTGGGCTCAAAAATGATTGAGTTTGCCAAACATAATGTCAAGTTGAATAAATTGGATGCGGAAAGAATCCAGTTTACCGACGGTGACGCCAGTAATATTTTCCAGAACCAACACTTGGAAGACATGAAGGGCCAGAATAATATGGTGATTGTAGATCCGTCAAGAACTGGTTCAAATAAACAATTCATGACTCAACTATTGGAATTTGAACCAGAATTGATTGTCTACGTTAGTTGTAATGTGTTTACGCAAGCTCGTGATTTGGAAATGTTTGAAAAGTTGCAAGGAAAGTCGAATGTAAAATATAGAGTCAAGGATGTTGTTGGGTTTGATTTCTTTCCTCAAACAAAACATGTGGAGACCGTGGCTATATTAGAGAAGGTGTAATTAATGTATATAGTAATGCTGAAAATAATATTTATTATGTCTATACTTGTTCAGATTCCTTTAAAATTTCGTCTATAATGTCAAACAAAGCATCAACACCCCATGCCACTCTGGCCTTTTGTTTCTTTCCTGATATGATATCACTCGTCTTGACTTTTTCTTGCAAAAAGTATTGCAATCCTCGGAGAAGAGTGGTTTGGTCCTTTGCTCTTAACACTGTCTCCACTAACAACTTATCATCGAACTTTTGTTCATATTCACTAGACTTCTTCTTGTTTAACCCAGCACCGATTGAATTCTTTTGTGATTTCTTACCAATAGTATCAAGGAAACTAACCAACAACACTTCCATCAATAAAACAGTATCACTTGATGCAGTCAAGAAATTAACAGTTCTCAAGTTATGAAGAGGGATAGATCCTTCAGCTATAAGAGAACCATAAAATCTACCTAGATTCAAGATCCTTCTGAGCTTAGTTTCATCGTCGTCATTATCGAATCCGAGGAAGTCATCTTCGTCTTCATCTTCACGATCACCGCCATCCAATTCCTTGATTAAGTCCCACAAAATGAATTGAAATGTCTTTCTGTGAGAATGTGATTCACACAATTTAGTCCCCAATATACCATAGTATGGATTCCATGAAGGTTCCATAACAGCACAATGAGTAAGAATCTTTGGAATTTCTCTTTCTTGTGCCCTTTTCAAGGCCAATTTATCCAACTTTGTAACAGCATCAATATAGTCGGTAGCTGACATTATGGAAATGAAAATGGCTCTTCTGATATCAGTATTCATTCTTTGTGATTTCGCAAGTTCCATCCAGTTGGGTTCAGCGTGGTCCAAGATATCATTCATGACACTTTCATCGACATCTTCAGCAGCAGTGGTTTGTTCAACACCCTTCCACGCAGAACCAACCAACCACCATTTCCCTCTACTTTCAATACTGTGTATGTCATCAAGAGAAACCTGGATTGGATCATTGAACTTGTTATTGTTGATCCCACCAAGAACTTTCTTTAATCTGATTGAAAGCTGGTGGTTAGCTTCATTGACCACTTTCAATTTGTTGTTTTTGAGTGATGATATAGTTTCTATCAAGAATTGGGTTCTGGTATTGATTTGTGATTTTGGCAAGCTCGAATATTTCTCATTAATTAAAAGAACAATGTCCTTTAATGCAGTGGGATCATCTGATCTCATTTGATTCCCTGAGTTTCTAATCAATCGTAAAAGCAAGTCCGCGTTAGTCTCATTCAAATCGCTAATTAAGGTTTTAATCAAGTCATACAACAACTTGGAAGAAACCAACTGGAACAAGTAAACCGAAGATAAAAGTGAAACCAAATTGGAAGCTTCACGGGTCTTGCTGTCATCTTGTTTAAGCAGCTCAAATTTTTGCACTATAGTTTGGATGAAATGAGCCCCAAATTCCACACCTTGAAGTCTATAAAGGGCAACAACAACACATGCATGGAGATATACAAATGTGTCAAGTAATCTTCCCTGGTGAATAATACTGTCCAAGATAATATTAGTGATTTCTTCATTCAATGTGTGTCTAGGGTGGGATAAAAACAAGGAGTTGATATCATTTATAATTGAATTGATATTTGCTTCTGACAACTTGTTAAGTGGACCTTTGATGGATTTTCGAAGATTGACTACTTCTTCAGAAACTGCTGTTTCTTGTTCCATGGCCATCTTACGTCTTAATGCAGGTGGAATATATCTTTGTTCAGCAGTTTCAGATTTGGGTTCATTGGTGGTATCTGTTCCTGGTGCAACGTAAGGGTTTTCTCTTTCCCTAGGTTCCTCATCCAATTCTCCAGACTCATCAAAATCATCTTCATCTATTTCATCATCGTCTTCTTCTTCTTTTTCTTCCTCCTCTTGCTCCAGTTCAGAACCAAAGTCCAAATCAAGTCCATCTAAAAGTCCTCCAATGATATCATCATCGTCCTGCTTGGCAAGCTTAGATTTTTTCCCACTCTTGAGACCAAGTTTCTTTGCATAGTAATCAATATCGTCTTCGTCTCGTTTGAATAATTCTTGCTGTTGTGGAGTTAAAGGCTTTGGTTCTGACTTAGATTTACTCTTTTTGGATTCTTTTAATGCTTTTAACTTTGCAAGTGGATTAGGCTCCTCTACTAATTCTTCTTCTTCGTCTTCTTCATCAAAATCAGCAAAATCGTCTTCTTCAGATAAATTATCGCCTTCAAAATCATCTTCTTCAGATATTTCATCATCTTCTAAATCATCTTCCTTTATTATTCTGACTTCTTTGGATTTTCCTTTACCGTTTGATTCTTTCAACTTACGAAGAGCTTCCATAGGGTCTTCTTCTTGTTCATCCTCTTCATTCTCGTCAAACTCTTCGTCAAACTCTTCGTCAAATCCACTATCTATTTCTTCATCAAAGTCAGAAATATCGTCGTCTTGTTCAAGGTCTTCTTCACGAACAATCTTGTACCCATCATCAGTAGTTGGCTTCTTTCCATTCTTAGATTCTTTGAGTTTTCTTAATGTTTCCATTGGATCTTCTTCTCCATCTTCTTCATCTTCTTCTTCACTCAAATCAGAAATTTCGTCATCTTCAAGATCTTCCTCGCGTACAATTTTGAATCCATCATCCGTGGATTTAGCCTTGCTCTTCTTTTCCTTCAACTTGCGTAATGCTTCCATTGGATCTTCTTCTTGCAAAATTTTAGATCCACTTGAAGATTTGCTTTTCTTTGCTTTTGCTTCTTTCAACTTTTTCAATTCTTCTAATGGGTCCTTGGACTTTCTATTCTTTTTCAACTCGGCCAATGCAGCCAATGGATCTTGGTTCTTAGGTTGCGCGGTAGATTGAGAGGTTTTCTTACTTCTTTTCTGTTTCTTTAACTCACGTTCCTGTTTTCTTTTCTCCTTTCTAGTGACTGGCTTTTCCTTTCTCTTTTTACCCTTGGTTTCAAACTTGGTGAATCTATCATCGTCATCGGCAGGACCTTGTTTGATCTTGTCTAAAATAGAGCCAGGGAGTCTAATTCCGTGTCGAGAATCATCTTCGTCATCTCCGTTTTTCCATGACATGGTGGATGTGATGGTTGTGGTGGTAGTGTTAGCTGGTGTGCTGTTGTACTAAGGTCATCTCAAATCAGTAGACAATAATTTTTTTGGTGTCGCAGAATTTCTGGTGAGATTGCAAAATTTTGTTCTTTTGTTAACCGCTGAGTTATAAACAACTTCTACGTCACAAACAATGTTAGAAGAAGATACCGCCTCTAAAGATAGAGGTGATTACATGATCTTCCTTAGATATTTACCAGTGGAGCAGCTTTGTCTGATTATCTTTGTGTTATGTTTTCAATTAATCGTGGGACTGTCTAGATATCCCGATTTTTTTTGGGTACAACCTTCCTTCATCCTTCAATTTAACTTTGATCAGGTAGGTCTCGAAAGAATTATAGAATTATTTCAATTAGTATCCAAACAGATACTACATCGGTTCAATCAAGGTACAATTTTGCCCTTTTGCAAATTCGACTTGACAGCAGTATTATCCACATTCAATAACAACAGGTTTGGGTTTAGTTTAATTCTGTTTTCTCGGTTTGCATCCAACAAAATGAGTTATGACCTAACGTTGAATGGTCCTGATATGATGGTCAGTTTAATCCAAAGTTTTGCTACGGAATTAGGTCCGTCTTGTGAGTATTCTCCCAATGAACTATTACATCTCCTCATTGATACCTACTACAAGTCAATTAAACAAGTTTGCGAAGTTCCTTTGTCGTATAACTTGACTGGTCTAGAGCCTTATAATCCCTGCCAATGGTATTATACATTCAAGAAAGGCTTTCCTGTTGTTTTATTAGCCTTGGCTATCTTGATACCAGAAGTTATCAGAGCAATAGTGGGTTTAATCCAATGTGGATTGACCTACTTTGACAAATACCCCATAGCAGAAGTTGCATTTATAAAGAAAGTCCTTTTGGGTTTCCAGCATGCATTGTTGCTTACGTGGTTCCACTTGTGGAGAAGAGTTCAAATTCCCCTCAGGTCCTTCTTGAAAGAAAATTCACTTGGAACAATCCACAATAATCGTTTTCCTTTTGCATTGCTTGCTGCTGTCACGATGGCAAGTACCATCACTGTATTTCATGGCGAGTCTTGCATTTTGAATGTGTTTCAAAGACAGGGATATCCTATCTCCTCTAAGAGTAGATCCATTCAATCTTGGGGATCGTATGCTTTTATAATTTGCACTATAATCCCATATATAGTCTTAGTTAATGTTTTATAGTAATCTATCTTTTATTTTTCTTTTTTTGCAACTCTCTATAAAAGGTTTAGTAGGGCTAATTTGTGAACCATTGTTTCTCTATGTGTTTGGATTATCACTTATGTCCGTGGTCTATTCAACGAAACCAAAAGAAACCGTAAAACACCAAAACTAATTCTTGTGTGCTACTTTTATTTTATTATAGTGATTGTTCTTAGCTGAGCTAACGCTATTTACCTATTTGAACGATGTTTAAAGCAAACTACTCCAGTCATATCAAATAGCTATAGACCGTTTCCTGCATATAAACACATGTTTTTCTTCCCTCGGTTTGAATGATCCTTACAGCAAAAAAAGGGCCAGGTTTAAATTATCACGCTTGAATAGGTTGCCACAACAAACCAATAGACGTAGATATAGATATGGGGAAATTCAAAGTAGATTTAAAGCTCATCAGCGATTTGTTCATATTGGCAGGAGCTGGACTTTCCGTCTATTATATTATAAACACTTTAATCAATGATTATATAGATTCTCCCTCAATAAAGAACAAAGAAAATGAAAAGAAAGGCAGCGGGATATTGAAAAAGATTCAAAGTTCTAACCCTCATCTCAAAGATATCTCCCTTAATCAATACGAAAAGTCATTATTAAACTGCTTAGTTATACCCGACGATATCTCCGTCAGTTTCAATGACGTTGGTGGATTACAGGATATCATTGATGAAGTGAGGGAAGCAGTTATATTGCCCTTGACTGAACCAGAATTGTTTGCTACCCATCTGAGCTTGATTCAATCTCCTAAGGGTGTATTGTTCTATGGCCCTCCAGGATGTGGTAAAACCATGTTGGCTAAGGCAATTGCCAAAGAAAGTGGAGCATTTTTCATTCTGATTAGAATGTCGACAATTATGGATAAATGGTATGGCGAATCCAATAAGATTGTGGATGCTATATTCTCACTTGCAAATAAGTTACAACCTTGTATTATATTCATTGACGAAATTGATTCCTTTTTGAGAGATCGTTCCAGTAATGATCACGAAGTTAGTGCATTATTGAAAGCTGAGTTTATGACCCTTTGGGATGGGTTGAAATCAAATGGTCGAATTATGGTGTTGGGGGCAACCAATAGAAAAAATGATATTGACGAAGCCTTCTTGAGAAGAATGCCAAAGACATTTGCTATTGGGAAACCCAATGCCCAGCAGCGTAAAGCAATTTTAACCAAGATGTTACACGATGCCAATTTGGATTCCAATTTCGATTTGGATTATATTGTCAAACATACTCAGAACTTCAGCGGATCTGATTTGCGGGAAATGTGTCGTGAAGCTGCAATTTTACCTGTTCGTGAATACATCAAAGAGAATTACAATTACAAGAGTGGGAAATTGAGCCGTGATGAGAATGACGCTTTGCCAGTACGGCCATTGAGAACTAATGACTTTGTCAAGACTTCTGATGATATGATTACGTCATCCATGGATTAGTTGTATTTATTTGTATTTAGTAGGATCATCCCTAATAGATAATCCCCGAGTGAGAATTATTGTATTACCCGGACTTTATTCTTCTGCAGTTTTCCCACTGCAAATTTTTTTTTTCAAACTCAATTGAAATATCGTTACTTTCTTCTTCAAAGAACAACATCAACCATATCACACAAGTGTATTTAACGCAAATATACATACTATATCCATTATTTTTTTTTGAATGTAAACTATCCTCTTAACCAAGTTGGCCTCTTCGAAGATCCTTATACCTTTTCCTCCGTGGTATAATGATTCAAAGCGAGGCCTAGAACTACGTTTTCACGACTAATTTGGCTTCTTTTCTTACAGTATCACTAGGAAAAATCAGATACGCTATGGGAGAAGAGACTGATAGTTTGCTCTATTGGTTGATAATTAGTTTGATACATTTTTTTTATCTGATTGGTTGTTTTATTGTGTAGTGAAAGAGGTGTATAGTCTTGATATTTCTTGCGCATTAGATTACTCAATAATCTTATTGGTAATTGTATAGGATTGAACAAAATGTACCATGCGTAATTTACTGGAATGTAGAGATGTCAGTTATAAAACCATAGCTCAATATATTAAACTACATAAACAGAAAAACCAAAACAAATCATCACAGATAACCTGGATGATAATTCACAAATAGAATCAAAAAAAAAAACCACGAAAACTTTCTAAAAATCTGCTAAAGCATTCACCTATTCACCCTTAGGGCTTGGCTTTGGCTTAGCACCGAACTTAAATGTAGTTGGTTTTTCGGCAATACTAGGCTTATGAGGTTTACCACCGAATTTGATAGTCTTCATTGTAGTAGGCTTAGGTTTAGGCCATGGTTTAGGCCATGGTTTACCACCAAAGGTATGGGTAGCGGTTGGGCATCCTCCTTTACAGGGAGAGTGGACTGGAGTAGATTTAATAGGTGGAACATCAAGGGTATCAGTTGGGCATGGAGGAGGTGGAGGTGGAAGATCGCATGGTTCGGTAAATGGAGGAACCTCAGTTGAAACTGGTGGGGGTGGAACCTCACCAGTGGATTTGATTGATGTAGAATCAGGTGGTGGTGGGACTTCAGTAGTTACTGGAGGAGTACAGAATGGTGGAACACATTCAGATGGTGTCGACTCAGTTGCAGGAGGAGGTGGTGGTGGAGTTGTCTCAGTAGCTGGTGGGGGTGGTGGTGGTGGAACAGTAGATTCAGTGAGCATCGAGCTTATACAGTCTTCAGGAGTACTTTCGGGTGGAGGGCATTCTGGAGTACTTTCACTAGCTGGTGGTGGTGGTGGTGCTGTCTCGGTACCTGGAGGTGGTGGTGGTGGTGCTGTCTCAGTACCTGGTGGAGGAGGTGGTGGTGCTGTCTCGGTAGCTGGAGGAGAAGGAGGAGCAGGTGT